AATTAAGTAGTAAGTTATTAAAGAAGGCTCAGGGAACTAAAAAAAAAAAGTAAAAAAGTAAAAAAAAAAATAATTAAAAAAAAAAAGGTAGTTTATATATATTTTTTTCTAAAAAGGTATTAGGCCTAAGCTTTTACTATACTACTATTATATTAAAGCTACTTTTACTTTAAAGCTAGCAAGTAATATTTAATACTAAAGCAGTAAGTAATACTATAGTAAGTAAAAGCCTAGCATTTTATAAATAACTATTTATAATTGCAGCTATTAGTTTAGTAGTAAAGTATGTATAAAAAGGGCTTAATACTTAAGCAGCGCATTAAGCAATAAGCAAATAAAAAAAAAAAAAAAAAGTAAAATAGCAAACAATACTTAATACTATAATATTTAGTATTAAAGGGGGGTATTAAAGCTTAAAGGGGGGTATTAAAGCTTAAAAAGACTAAGCTTATAATTAGGGAAAAAAATATAATATAGTAAATTAGCATATAATAAATATCTTTAGCAGCAAGGCTGTATTGTAGTTTAAATAAATAGAAAAAAAAAAAAGTATTAATACTAGCTTATAATAGAATACTAGAAATATAAATTGCATGTCTTACTAATTATAAGTTAACGCCTGCCTTTTTTATTCGAATGCGCATTGTAGTATGCTACAATATACTAAGCAATTACTTTTTTTTTTATTAAAAAAAGCCTTATTTTATTAGGCCTAGTATTATATTATAGAGGCTTTCTTTTTAGTTAATTACTAAGTATTATTTAAAAGACGCTATAGATCTGCGCAGCTTTTTATTAAGAAAAATTTATATTACATTTTAAAGCTTAAATTACAAGCTATATTTAGTTTTTTTTTTAAAAAAATTATATATTATTATATTAAGGTATTGCATTTAATAGTAGAAAATTACTAATTTTAGTAAAGTTTTAGTATTGTAACTAACTTAACTGGGCAACCGACTCGCCTGTGTAATATGTTAATAAAAATTTTAAAAAAAGCTAAAAAGTAAAAAAAAAAAGCTTAAAATATTTAAAAGTAAAATAAATTTTTTTAAATATAAATAATAAATAGTGCCTGCATTGCTATTGCAGGCACTTAATATAAAATTTTAAATAAAAGCAAAAATTAAAGTAAAAAACTTTAGTAATATAAAAAATTTATTAAAAAAAAGTAAAGTAAGCGCTTTATACTTAGTATATTCTATATATTTTTAAAACTTTTAAATTTTTAAATTAAAATTATAAAATGCATAAATATAGTATTTACTTTTTAAATATACTAAAGTTGCTAAAGCTAAAGCTATTTATATTTAAAAATATAGTATAATAAGCGCAAAAAATTAGTATATTATTAAAATTATAGTAGAAATATATTAATTTTATAAAAAATTTTAGTAAATTTTTTTAAAATTGCAAGCATACTAAATTAAAAATTAAATAAAATAAAAAATTTTTTGCGCAAAGCGCATAAAATTTATAATAATTATAATAAAGTAATTAAAAGTATTTTAGTAGTAGTAGTAGTAGTAATAGTAGTAGTTTAATAATAATATATTTATAAAAAGCTTAGTATAAATTTATTATATTAGCAACGCACTTTTTACTGCTAATAAAAAGTAAAGTACAAAATAATATTAGTAATATTGGCATTTAAGGCTATTATTTACTGTAAAGTGCGCCTAAAGCCTTACCCCTGCTCTCTAAGCTTTACAGTCGGAGAAATAAAAAATGGCTCAACCTATCACGAGTTAGCCAGATCCTTTATCCCGCTCCCCGGCCGCCTCACCTAGTTGCATCCTGCCGCTGGGTGGCCTGAAATGAGAGACATTCGTCGCCACCCCTGAGAGTATTTCCAAAGCGCCTACGCCCTAGTTGAGCTATAATACCATTGAGCCAATGTGGTCTTTTGATTTGTTAAGCATTTAGAGCAGTTTGATAAAGGTTTGTACAGAGATTATACATCGTCGCTCTATTATACAGTAGAAGTGATCAGAACAGTCCAGCTTCACCATCCATATAAGGCCACCAGGTCTATCATCTTATTTCCCTTCAGCTGCAAGTGGTGGCTTTCATCTATCTTGGTAGACGTCTCCCGCCTGAAAAGCGGAGTCGTTTTCCGAAGACGGCAATTGAACAACCATCAATTCCTCCACAATTAGGAATCGGCAAAGGCGTTGCTGATCATGACTAGGGTTTCAAACAGTGGGAATACCCTAGTCCTGAAAACGCACCAGCAGCTTCATAGAGCGTTATGAGCGAGATAGAAGACCACTGAGACTTGTAGTTTGTCTAATCATGAAATGTCATCTCGTATTGTAGCGACAGAACTGTATCAACACGCTTTTGACCAAGCCCCGCTTCCAAGCCGGGGGTAGTGTCTGTAATTATTTGGCCTTCCCGCGCATGGCTGGCCCACCGCTGCTTGGACTCCTGAAGCTTAACGGGCTCCCTGGGCCGAAAAGGCAAAACGTGCATGCATCACCTATAATACCCACTACCTTGTTCTCTAATGTCCCCGTGCGAGTATCTCCCGTTTGCAGGAACCAAGCTGGCCCGTCAAATATATGGTCGTGAACGTGCAGCCGCAGTGTCCTACTATACTCACTTGTTCCTCTCATCTCGCCCAGGAATACAGCTACACAGTATGAAGTTTCTTGGCGTCGCCCTAACGTGCCTAGTCCTCTGGAAGGGTGCAATCGCGCAAAAGGATCTCTTGGGGCGACTGCCCAACTGTGCGGTAAGTCTACACCTGTTGCTACACGCCACCCTCGAACATTCACTGATGGAGGTCTCAGACACGTTGTTTGGAGGCTACTTTACCTTCAAGCAATTGCTCGCGCAACGATATCGGCTGTCTTTGTATCGATGTCACATTCCAGACAGCATTAGCAGGGTGCAATGCCCTGAATTGTACCGTTGTCGAATCACTTCGAGCAACTAACGAGACCAACGTGGCATGTGGCATTCCGATTCGCGATGACAGTAAAACTATGATTGCAGTTACTGCATCTATCGGCGCCCTAGCTGTGCTGATGGTCACCATGCGACTTGCCCACCGTCTCATCTCAGCGCAGGCAGAGCTCGGATGGGATGATCTCTTGATCGGTCTGGCTGGTGTACGCAACAAGATCCATCTTCATGTACTCAGGTCAAGCAGTATGCTGATACTGGTCGGATTTAGGTAGCTTCTCTTTTCCAAAACGTGCCCGTTGTCGTTGGTAAGCCGTTCTGGTCTTCGAAAATGAGTAGCTTGACTGATAGTGTTCCTAGCTGGTCATCTCGGTTTCGGAAAGGATATGTGGGGAATACCGCCGGATGGCATAACGAACAGCTTGAAGGTAGGTGTCCATTCCAACGCAATAATCTTGCTAACGTAACTCAGTGGTTATACGTTACCTACTTTATGTACCAGGTTGCCGAGTTCCTTTGTCAGCTTTCCATCCTCGCCTTCTACCTACGAGTCGTAACCTCCGCCAAGCTCAAGCTGGTCACTTATACTCTGATGGGCCTTGTTACCTGTTTTGGGCTCGGAAACACATTTGCTATGATGCTCCAATGCAAGCCAATCCACCTCTTCTGGGACGGCTGGAAGGGAACAATGGCTGGAAAGTGCACCGTAGACGTTCGCCTCTTTGGGTTCGTCCGTGGAGGTATCGAGATTGTGCTTGACCTGGCAATCTTGTCACTACCCTTGCCTGTGTTAGCGAGGCTGCAAATGTCCTGGAAGAAAAAGTTCCAAATCATGTCGATGTTCTGCGTGGGATTCATTATAACCGTTGTTAGCTGTCTCCGTCTCTGGGCCCTTGTACGATTCGATCAGAGCGCGAATCCTACGTGTACGTATCCGTATCGCTTGTACCTACTCACGACTAACATTGCAATCACAGATGATAACGTATCAGGTGTCTACTGGTGCGTAACCGAAGCCAATCTCTTCATAGTCGTTGCGTGCATGCCTGCTATGCATGGACTCTTCCAGAGGATAATGCGCCGGATTGGGGGCAAATCCGAGAATTCCGGCTATAGTAACTATAGCCACGGTGACAGCAGCAAATCCGGACAGCGGTCGGGGAACAGCCTTGCCTTTGGTGCTATTTTGAAGTCTGTCGATGTCAAGCTTCAACGTGAAGACCGTTCGGAGTCAGACGTCGAACTAGTGGATCGTCCACCATACCGTTAAGGATATCGTAAGGGGAGCGTATTGGCATTGGTGTGGGGTATGGAGATGAGTTCTCTGTGTAAAAGGGTTACACTACATCTGGAGCTCTGCTTCTCGCGTGTCACGATAATCGTCCCTATCTCTTGTAGTAGAGTTGTAGACAGATAGTCGACTACCATAACGTACGATTGGAAATACTATAACTATAATGAATGGCCCAGGTGAACAAACTGCCTGTGAAATACGTGATGAACACCTAAATCCTTAAGAATGACATTCTGCCTTTGCTAATATTACGTAGCGGCGAGCATCCGATGACGGAACGGATGGAGCCTCGGCCCAAAAATGCCAAGCCCAGCTCCAGCCGAGCCGTCGACAACCTAGATCCGACAAAACCATTAGCTATGCAACGGAACCTCCTTCAACGTCCCGTCACGCCCATCTCGCGAAACTTGTTATGGTCACAAACTCGGAATCTCCAGCTCGCCCAGAGAAGCGACGCCGGCTAGAGCGCGTTACGGCCGCTTGTGATCTCTGTAAAAAGCGCAAAGTCAAATGCGACGGAGCACAGCCATGTGCTTATTGCAGCCGAAAGAATCGCGCAGCGACATGTACATTCGCCGCATCTGGAGCCCGTGGCCAAGTACAATCCGCTAGCCAAACTCCAGGTAGCCCGAGAGTAGTTGGTAGCGCAAACGCGCCACATCAATCACCGAGTCGCAATGGTCGTACGGAGACTAGTGCGCCCGAGGGGCTTCACGATACCGGGGCCTCGCTTTCACCTACTGCCAGTAGGGACGACCGTCATGAAGACACAGTTGTGCCATTGGAGGGGCGCATTCTGAGTGACGCGCTAGGGAAGGGCATCTTCATTGGCGACTGCGCTCCGCTTTCATTCTTACAGACTGTGAGATATCTTATAGCGTCTGAGGTTGACCCAGAGGGGTTTCCAATACATGCTGTTCGGGACTCAATCATCGAGGTTGCCCCCATAGAACTAGAGGACCAACAACACACTCCTTCAGTGAACCCAGACGAGATTCAAACCCTCCTTGAACAATATGATGTGGCCACTAGCGGACTTGTGGATCTGTTTCAACACGATGAATTACTGAGCGAGATGAAGACGTGGGCCAGTGGTCATACATCGCACTCAGATGACGCCACAGCTGCAGTTTTCTATCTCGTACTTGCAGTTGGTGCGCAAGAAAGCCGCGAAGAAAAGGCCGAAGCATGGTTCAGGCATGCGAAAGAACTTCTTCTCAAGCACATGTGCAATAGCATGAATGTGTCTACAGTACAGGGCTTCACCCTAGTGGCAATATTCATGCTTCGAGCGTTCCAACCGAATGGGGCATATCTGTATTTCTGTACGTCAACTTCTCTTTTGTATGTTTTAGCCTGCTGTGCTTGAAAGTCTTGCTGTTTAGATCTGATCTCGCAAAACCCCCTCGAAGCTCTTCAGTGTACTTATGAGAAGTTGAGGCTATCCTTGCCGCGAGAATCCGTTGCTAACAGTTTCCAGCACTGGCAGCTCGTACTGCTTATGCGATCGGCATCCACCGAACTGAAGTGAACGCTTCTTTTGGTGGGTCAATAAGAATAATTCGAGATCGCATTTGGAAGAGCCTACGCGTAGTAGATATGCTGATTAGCAGCGTATTGGGCCGCCCACCGTCAACTTCAGATGTGGACTGCACCGTCAAATACTGTGTTGCAGAGACGGGAGGTCAAGCAGGTGTCAAAATGTTGGACGCAAGCGTGCAGATCTTCATGATCATTGAACGCGTCGTAGTGGAAGTCTACTCACGCAAGCGCATTTCTCTGCGGATCGCCAACTACGTTTCCCGACAACTGAAATCATGGGCATCAACTTGGCTGCAAGTCTTGACTGAAATCACGACCAGTTCGATCCAGGGTAGTTTCTCACAGGAAAAGGTTGTTGGTGCTTGTGCTACGCTGTGTTCTTACTACTATGGCATCATGCTGCTGACACGTCCATTCTTGATATACGACTTGTACGAGTACATGGGTGCTTCTTTGAAAGGTGGCGGCTCGCAAAGCGACCATCAGCACAAAAGGAAATACGCAGACGCCGCGCTTGATGCCGCTTCGTCATTCGTGGAAACTCTAGAGGCTGTGATCTACGCAGGGAAACTGCCACGAAGGATGCCACTCATAGTGTAAGCTGCATGCCCCAATATTCTCGCCTCATACTGATCAAGGGTAGATCTTGGCTCTTTACTACTTCACTTGTCCTGGCGGTTGGCGCTCTCGGTCGTTCAGGGCTTACTTTTGCGGACAACTGCAAAGCGTCAATCCGCTGTCTGGAATACTTCAGCGACGTCGATCCGACTGCTCGACAATACTCACTCATTGTTCAGTCCTTACTCAAAACCACAACTGCACATATCAACAAAAGGGAGCAGCATTTACGCTTGCAACGAAAACAAGCTTCATCTCAGCTATTCGGGCTTTTGTCTTCTAATCCCGAAGTGATGCGTCATGAGCAGGAAAACGATACATCCGAGACAATAGTCTCACATGCGCCACGACCCGATCTTTCCTCTACCTCAACTCCCTATGATTGGACTATCTACGATGCGGACTTCTTCGCCTTGCCATGGTCGAACGAGATTGATCAAGGCCTACAAGATTTTCTCCAACCTGGCACCCTGACCCTAGATGGTGCGTCCATCGCTGATATACCGCTTTTCCCCATATATGACCAGCAAGTGGGTGGTGGCAGCTTCCTCTGACCATGTCAAGCGGCACACCACAGCTTGCATATAGATTGTCAAATAGCTGATGTGGTAAATTCGACGTGAAGACTCAGTGCGAGACTGCTGCTTCACTAGTTTCGTTCCTTGATATTCGCAAGAAGGGGATCAGCGTAGTGCCTCCGGTTCCGACCAACTCTTGTGTATGTGGCTTCTTCGATGCCAGCATGGTCGATGCAGATGCGATGTCTCTGCGCTTGACCACACCGACCGGCCCGGCCATGCGGCTAGGTATTATTATATACCTGGTCACCAAAGCCATATGCTTGTCACGAAACCCGCTAAGGGCTGCGACCGCTGCGTTGAAAACTGCTACCAGCTTAGGATCGTCCCGATGACTACCGACATAATTTCGGATGTTTGCTATGGCCTCAACTTCTTCTAGAAATCTAGCGTGAGGGCCCGGCATATAAAGTCGCATTTCTTTGTGGAAACCTCCACTCCGGGCATGGTCGACCGATAAGACAGCATCGCAAAATTGCAGAAGCGAACTCTGCCCATTGCTCCCACCACGATACTTTTTCCACGACCCTTTGCCTTCGCCCTCATCGTAAAACACGCCATTAGGAAGACCAGCGGCTTCCATGTTCATACTACCCGCCAAGAACGGTCGAATAGTATGATAGAAGACCTGAGGATTGCATCGCTCATCCATGCGCACAAGAAGGCTACCGATATGCTGCATGCTTTGCTCGAAGAACTTCAATGCTTGGACAATTGTCGGTATGTCATCTACTTCTACTGCCTCTATAGCTCCAAGCATTGTCTCGATTAATGGGCCCGCACTTGCCTCCATGGCGTTGGAAATGATAAAGAACCATGATTCGTCATCGCTTCCGGTTGCCGTATGAAGTGCGACAAGGTTCTCCGGCTGGGTAAGTGCTGTATTCTCTTTGAGCGGTCTCCAATTCCAAAGATTCAACGCCGCGTACGTTGCCACGGGGTATACTTCAAGATGTTTGGAGGTTCCGAGGAAGGGAATAGTGATGGCAGGAGGTAAACGCTGCACGAACGATAAGCGATAAAGTTCCGATAACGCAACACCTCCATCAATTGGCGTACCTCTGATGGTTCGGGACCTGTCCAAATGTAGCCTTGAGCAATTACTGCTAGTATCGAGTGGGCTCTCTGCCATTCCGGCTCGCTACTCAAATGACCAGTACTGAGGATTGGTAGCCTATCTACCCACTGTCTTATCTGTTGAGCCTCGATCAACATTGGCAGCTGTTCGATCACCCGTTCCCAAGGCTCGTAGTAGTCATGGGGCAGGCGACTTAGAGGCGTCTCTACCGGCAGGAAACCGTTCTTCGAGATTCCATATTGTGTTAGGGCTGCAAGAGATGGAAGGATATCGATTTTATGGGGACTCATTGCGGAATGGATACGAAGTCAACGATACATGAAAGATTTTCAAGGAACTATATTTTTCATGGCGGTTGGCACCGTACTTATCACGAAGACAAGCAGACCCACTCTGGCTCTGTGCAAGCATCCCACCACCAAGTTCTGCTGATGGCGTGACGTACATCATCGTATGTTATTGTAGTAGCTGTAAGTGACGGAACGGAAGCCCGCATGTTCCGATGCGAGGATTTTTGATTTTGTCGGATACTACAATCTGACGGCTTGAAGTCGTCGGAAGGTGGCAACGGAAGCTTAGCGCTAAAACGTCGGATGCAAGTCAAGCCACGAAACAACAGAACATTTATTGGAGACGTAATTGTGCACCTACAGCATATATTTAACGGATCCTGGTTGTTCTTTATCACCTTTCGCAGTCTTCTACATCACACGGCAACCACATCGACTCCACTATACAGCATACCCCGTACGACCATGAATGCGACGATCGCTATCAAGCAGCTCTGCCAAGGGCATAAGCCGGAATGGCCAGCGAACGCCAGCTCTCTGAATTTTGCGCAATCTCTTGACAATAGCAGTGCGATATCGAAGAGTTTCAGACCCGACTTCATCGTTCCAACGAAAGCGCAGCTCAAGAGGAAATCGCTCAGTGATAGTGCGACAACATCAGCTCCTACTTTGAGTTCTGAAGAAGAAAGCATTTATTTCTGCGGCAACTCACTAGGTCTACAGCCGAAGGCGGTTGGGCAACACTTGAACGCATACTTGAAAACATGGGGATCTATTGCCGTTGGCGGGCACTTCACACAGCTCGAGAACTCGCCGCTCACACCATACCAAGATCTGGCCGCCGAGTGCGCAAGGAAAATGTCCCATATGGTCGGCGCCTCACCATCAGAAGTCGTTGCCATGAACACCCTGACCATCAACCTTCATTTGATGATGGCTGCTTTCTACAAGCCAACGGAGAAGAAGCACAAAATTATGTGCGAGTGGCGGCCCTTCCCCAGTGATTGGTACGCCATTGAATCGCAAATAGAGTGGCATGGTCTCGACCCTAAGAAATCGATGCTACTCGTTGAGCCGGATGACCGCTATCTCATGACAACGGAAAACATCATCAGGCTCATCGACGAGAATGCCCATGAGCTTGCTCTCATCCTGCTTCCGGGAATCCAGTACTACAGTGGCCAACTTCTTGACATTTCGACTATCACCGCACATGCGCACAAGCGCGGAATCACGATCGGCTGGGATTTGGCGCACGCGGCTGGCAACGTTGAGTTGAGGTTACACGATTGGAACATTGATTTCGCCTGCTGGTGTACATACAAGTACATGAACGCCGGCGCCGGTGCTGTTGCCGGTGCCTTCGTGCATTCGAAGCATGGGGACAATGGGCACTACAAGGGCCTGAAAGGATGGTATGGCCACGACAAGTCATCACGATTCCTCATGGACAACAAATTTGTGCCTACGCCCGGCGCTCAAGGGTTCCAATGTTCTAATCCATCAATCGTGGACCTCACCTGCCTATTGGGTACGCTCAGCGTGTTCGAGAGGACATCCATGGCAGAGCTACGATCAAGATCTCTCCTCTTGACTGCGTATGCCGAGCATCTCCTTACCCAGATTGCGAGTCGGAATATCAAAGGTGGAAGTTTCCCGTTCGAAATCATCACACCTTCGGACCCCAGATATCGAGGCGCACAGCTTAGCGTCTTGCTTCCAGAGGAAGTCTTTGAGGATGCTAGTGCAGCACTAGAGGCAAATGGCGTTGTATGCGATAAGCGGAAACCGGGCATTATCCGTGTTGCGCCAGTGCCGATGTATAACACTTTTGATGATGTTTGTAGGTTCATGCAGATATTTGAGGAGGCGCTGCAGCCGAGGACACAAGCTTGTGGGCAAACAATACAGGAGGAGAAAGTGATTGAGGCGAGGTTGTAGGGGACGTCTTCTTAGAGTTTAACTGAATAGCATCTATAGTGAAAGCGAGATAAGAAATTGCTAGGTACCCTAAGCAGTATAGGTTAATCTAAACAGTCGTGGAAGCACTACGTAGGTTTAATTATTCTAAAACTATTTCGCTATATTATCGCGTAGAGGTCCTCGCGGCACTCCACTTTTCAAAGCGCCGACGCCCTAGCTGAGCTATCGCTGGTTCTGCCCAAAGATATCATAATTCAGTAGGCTTCTTTATACTGAGAAGCCTTCTTCCCTGGTTTAGAAACTACTATCTATGCAGGAAACAATATTGCAACATTCCTCTAGCGGATGCCGTGCTAGTACTATCATGACTGGTTCTTGGCCCAATGGAGGGGCCGACCAGCCTCCCCGACGCTCAACTAATATAAACAGCGCATAGATGGGGTATCTCCGACCAATTCTCACGGCACGGCGGTATACTCTTACGGGTATCTTCATCCACTTTCCAGAATGGTATCATCGGAGTCCATGCCAATAACGGAGTGGGTGGGGCAGAGATCTTCATGCGAGAGGAAAAATGAGGCCGAACGCAATCAGGCCCGCTGCAGACAACAGAATATATATTAACAAACGCCATGCTACTACTCGACCTGGTTTTTTCTTGCTGTCGAAGCATTGCAATACCTTTCGCAGCCTACATTGACGACATGGGTCTTCCTGGGGCAATTCAACGGTCCCTCACCGCGCTTGCGATCCTGACGAGCCTCACGAGTGTGGGGGCTTCTCTACAGGTTACGTTGCCTGGCTATGGCAGCTTCGTTGGCACCACTGTCACCCAAACCTTGACGAAGCAGCTTCTGCCCGCTACAGTCAACGCATGGCTCGGCATCGATTACGCTTCGCAGCCAGTAGGAGAGCGTCGATTCGCTCCAGTTGGCCCTCCGGCCTCATTCTCGGGGGTCAAGAACGCCTCTCAGTATGGACTTGCCTGCACTCAGGATCCAGCGAATATTGTGTATAAGCTGGATGAGGCTTGCTTGAGCATGAATGTGTTTAGTCCGCAAAACATCTCTTCGACTGCAAAGCTCCCGGTCTTGATATGGGTTCACGGAGTAAGTCTAAAGATGAAGCATTTGACCCGCATCTCTGACTATGGCAGGGCTCATTTGTAAGTGGAAGCGCAAGGAGTTTTGACGGTGCGGCCTTCGCGGCCAACGCGAAGGAGCCTATAGTGGTCGTAACCTTCAATTACCGAGTATAGTATCCCGAGATCCTCCACGACTCAGGACAAGCCTAACCTCGACAGATCAACTCTCTGGGATTCCTTCCATCGCCCGTCTTTGAGCGCCAGGGCCTTCTCAACCTCGGGCTCCTCGACCAGGAATTGCTTTTCAAGTTCGTGCAGCGGTACATCTCTGCTTTCGGTGGAGATCCTGCGCGTGTCACTATCGGTGGCCGATCGGCTGGTGCCCATTCAGTCGGCATCCACCTCTTCCACAACTATAACAAAACCGACTCTCCACTCTTTTCTCAGGCAATCCTGCAATCCGGCAGCGTCACTGCACGCGCCTTTCCCAACGCATCCTACCCCCTCTACCAGGCGCAATTTTCGCGGTACCTTGGTCTTGTTGGATGCAGCGGTGTCGCCAACAGCACGGATACCGCTATTCTTAGTTGTTTGCGAGGTGCTCCAATATCAGCGATTCAGAATGCCGGCGCCTTGCTATATGCTGAATCCGAGTATGCCATAACCTGGCCTTTTCAGCCCACCTTGGGCGGTCCACTTCTTGAGCAGGCAGGCTCAACCTCGGGTATCAATGGCCAATTCTTCAACATCCCTACTATTACAACCAATGTCAGGGATGAGGCTAAATACTTCACTCCTGGCGACATCGAGACCAACGATAGGTTCCTCACATACCTGAAGAATCTTATTCCCGGCCTGAGTACGAAGGACCTCTCTGAACTGGAGGCCTTGTATCCGGACCCTGCAGGCGATGTCAATGGCCCATACGCGAACAGTCCTAACACGACTCAGTACGATCGCCTCTCCGCCGCACTCAGTGACTTTATGTATATCTGCGCAGGTCAAGAAACGGCAATCCGTATGTCATCGGCTGGAGCTCCCGTCTACAAATTGCACTTCACCGTCAACAACACACTTCCCGCCTGGAAGGGCATACCTCACACCACTGACACAAAGTACACATGGGCCGAGCCTGGCGGTAAATCTGGCGTCCAGTACCCAGAGGTTGGTAAACTGCTACATGGCTACTTTTCAGATTTCGTTGCGCTCGGTGATCCGAATGCGGGGAATCGAACGGGTGTGCCAAAATGGCCAAAGTATGTAGATGATAATGCAAACGGCTTGCCAGGCCTGCAGTTAAGGATGGAAGCTTTTGGAAACAGCAGAGTCGAGGGAGATGCAATTAGGAGGAAACAATGCGAGTGGTGGAGAGATGAGGAAAGGGCTGCTAGGCTGGAGAAATAAAGCTTCAAGTACATGAGATATATCACCTTAGCCTTGGTGAACGTGGAACTGTTTCAAACACCTGCGATTTTTGGATACACATATGCTACGCCAGAGGTAGTATCACGCCCCCAGCAGTGTCCAGGACAACAATCATGATCTCAGGTGTATGTATATATGCATTCTGCTTGGAATACAAGATCCCCAATATCCGGCCTACTTGAGCCCTACTCACCCTATTCACGGATTATCCTGTATCTTGACCATACCACACCCTTCCCTCAGCAACAGCGTTGATAATACGACTGAGCAAGTCCTTCTCCATATCCTCAGCGACGTCAATTCCGAGCGTCTTAGCAGCGGTGGAACTGCTATCCTAGCGTAGTTTAACCTACTCGCGATAGTCTATCCACCCCCTCATAAATGGCTTCATACCATGTTTCCATGCGTGTTCTTCTCGTATGAGTTTCTCCATCCATGCGTGCTTTCCTTGTACAAGTCTCGCCTCTTCGACATTCCATCCAAGCCTCTGTGAAACTCCTCTTGGGCTGATTTGCCTCGCCTAGACTCATGCTAATTTCGACGGAGACCTGGCTGTAATTATCGCTGCAATCAAGCAAGTCTTTGTCGAGCTTGGGTGCGGCCCTTTGGGAAGGCGAAGATGATTAATGAGCCACAACAGCGGAACAGGCGCTTGAATACCTTTGTACCCCATCAGCGAAAATGCTGGAAGGCACCGTTGTTATTGCTGTATCTTATCGTCGTCACCTCACACGAATAAACATCAGGTATGGGTGTTTTGCACAATGGGTGCACAATCTGCGCACCAGGGTATATAATGACGAATATTTGATTTTCAACATTGAGGTCCAAGGGAATCGAAAGAGTTTTCCCTACTCGGCGCAGCCAAGTCCCTCTTTTACATACAAGGCCCGGGGTTTAGATGACATTGCCCTCGCCACACGCCAACTGGGCTCTTATAGCCAGTCCAGCACCCTGCTGATGCGGCTCCTTCTCTTACTCTTGCTAATCTCATCGTCTCCAGCCGGATGACGATGCGAATGCTTGGGCTCTGGCGCACTGTTGCGGCGACGCTGATGCTTCAAGGGGTGATGATGGGGAATATCCTTTGCTCCATTGACTTGACAATCACCATGACGATAGCCATCGCAGTGGTGAGACTTGCTGTCGTGCTCCCTTGAGGGCCTCGTTCGGGGGCCTTGCTTCTCATTTTTTGAAGGCGTAGGTAGCAATGTCCTTTGCTCGGTCTCCTTGGCTTTCCTGCCATGCCTTTCGTGCTTTGACTCCCTACGTTCTTCACTACTTCCTCTCTTGTTCCTGCCAACGAATGTGAGCATTCAGCTTCTTGGTTTGAAAAACAACGCTTGCTGAACGATCATGCACAAAATCCAAATCATTCAAATCACCTTGCAGGCTCTAGCATCTTGGGCCGCTCCCGTTCGCGCTCTCGGCCCAGGTCGTCGTAGTCGCTTTCATCATCGTAGCGGTGGCGTCGTTCTCGGTCTCGGTCCCGGTCGCGGTCTTCATCGTCTCTGTCATCCCTGGAGCTGCGAGAGCTTCGTTTATCCTTATCGCCACGGTCACGGTGGTCGTATTCTTCGTCCTCTACTCGTATGTTAGCAATGCGTACGTGGAAGGGGTCCGATGAACGTACCTCTAGTCTCGCGGATCTTCTTGGTCCGATCTGCAAGCTTTTGAATCTCTTGCTTCGTCAAGACACGCAATACAATCACGCAATCCATACGTTCTTCGAAGCGCTCCTTAGCCTGCTCCAAAGCCTCTGGATTGACTAGGCGACGGTCGATCCTTGTCCATCGAGCACCTACTGGGATATCTTTGCCCTTCAGAGCATCCTTGTGAGGTGCGACTCCCTCGCGGATTGGCTCAGGATCCTCAGGAAACTTAGCGGTGGGTCTGCGGAGTATACTTTTGACTGCTGGAGGCGCCTCTTTCGGAGGGGTGACGATCTGCACACTCTTACTCGTCGACACCATGGCCCCATCGAACGACTCGGGCTCCTGGACGAGGCTGGAATCGTACACACTTGAAGAGCGTTTGTCATAGCGAGAGCTTGGAGATTCCTTGGTATCTGGTGGAGAGGCGCGAGAACGATCTTCGGGACCACGGGATCTGTCTCGATCATCTTTGCGCCGCCTACGATCTCGCTCACGGTCCGAGTCGCTGAGATCTCGATCGTGAGTAGCACGGCTGCTTCGCTCGGCTTCTTGTTGGATTCGGCGACGATATTCTTCGTCTGGATCGAGTGCCGCCTCCTTTGTCGCTGGCTCTTTTCGACGCTCAGCATCTCGGTCAACATAATGACGCGGCCGTTCGTCCTCACTGCCTTCGGAGGAGGGTGTCTTGCGGGAGGACTTGACCCGGTCGTCATCGTCATGGCGGCGCTCACGGGGTTTGCGGTCAGCGTCTTGGGTTGGTGCATATCCAGCAACCGGAGGAGCAGCAGCAGTAGAAGGAGGGGGTGGTGGTGGTAGTGGATCACGTCGCTCTTCAGGCCTTCTCTCACGCCTATCTTCGCGTCGGTCATCGTATCGATCACGCCTGTCACGCTCGTCGTGTTCCTTCCGTCGCTCGCGCTCACGTTCTTCGGAAGAGTTTCGTTCGTGTTCCCGCTCTCGTTCCTTTTCACGAGACTTCATATAACCAGCCGCGCCCAGAGTAGCAGCCACACCGGCCGCAGCCCCAGCAGCCGCGGGAACATAGCCTTTAACTTCTTGTCGACCGCCTTCACGCTCTCGTGGACGTTTATCATACAGGTCTGGCGGTGGGGCTACATCCCGTTCACGAGACACACGAGGCTCGGGCATCTGGACACTGCCACTAGCACGCTCAGCTGGGTAGTATTGGCTGCTGCGCTCATCGGGTCTACGCGTTATCTCTGGAGTGGTAGTATAGTGGGGCTGGCGCTCCAAGGCGTACTGGTCGTGGGCAACGCTGGGGTTTCCCGGGGCGATGCCAAACCCTCGGGAAGTCACCTCGCGGTCTTCAAAGCGATCGACTGGGGGTTGCCGTCGATTCTCGACCTCTCTATCTCGTCGGTCATAATCATCGTGGTATGTCTCTCGGCGGACATCACGGGGCTCTTGGTGGATTGCTGGAGCGTGATGACGAGTAGAGGAGGAACGTGTAGGAGTTGCATCTGGATAGGGGTCGTATTTGGGAATCTCTCTCGACCTCTCAATTGACGAGGATCTTGCGTGTGGTCTTGGAACGCCATTGTTGATCTTATCAAAGCCGCGAGTCGACACGGGCGGGCCGAGTTCACGAGCAGAGCTACGAGCAGGACGGTCCACAATCATGCTAGTAGGGCGGGAGCTGCGTTCCAAGCTGCCAGCCCGTGGCCGCCGCCAGGCTGGCTCGGTGTCGCGGTACATGCTCGCTGGGTCTGTGTAGGAGTATCCATCATCGCCGAGATCTGTAAGCCGCGGTGGAGGCTTGCTGTTGCTGTGGTAGCTGCGGCCTCCGCTTGTCAGACTATAGCCCCGGTCAACACTGTCTCGGTGGCGCGGCAGGTCCACCTCTCTCTCAGCAACCAATTTTGTAGAGCGGCTGCTATCGTCGACACTGTACACCTTTTTGTGTTCTCGACGAGGTACGCCGGGTGTGATGTATGTGTCGGCCCGCTTGTCCCGTGGCGGCTGGGCGATCGGGCTGGCTGGGCGATCGAGGTTGCCGTGAGGGGTGTAGGGCGTGCGGATGGGCAGCGATGTGTTGGTCACCGTGCTGACATTGGGCCTCGAGGAGTGCTCGTTGGTGTTGCGCCGCGGGCGTCCCGTGTACGAGTCGTATTTGAGGTTGCTCGCACGAGCTCCCGACGAGCTGCTGGGCATGTAGTATGCCTGGTTGTAAGAGCTCGTAATGCGGTCGGCGCTGGTGCGTGGCGAGCTGGGGCGGCCATAGTACGAGGAATCATAGTATGGATCGGCAAACGTGCCTGTCGACGATCTGGCTGGGTTCGAGTAGCGGCCGCGGGGCGAGGACGGGCGGTTGTATCGCGATTCCATGCCGCCAGAGAGCGTCACCGACTTGAGCTGGAGGGCAGTCTGCGCAGCGGGCGTAGTGGACAGCGAGGTGGGTCGAGGAGGCAGCGAGGGCGCACTTGCACCAGTATACGTGTTTCTGCGTGACCTCTGCGGCTGCGAGGGAAAGGTGGTGACGCTGCCCAACATGACGGTCAGCGGGTGAAAGAGTCGAGGTGGGAGGGGAGGAGAGGAGCCAACAGCACAAACGACAGAGAAGTAGAAACAACAGCAACAGAAGCAGGCGAAGAACAGTGCCGCAGCTCGACGTACATGGTGTCGGTATATGGTCGAGGGGCGGTGGATACAGGCGCGTGGGCCAAGCAAATACCAGGGCCGTGGTTTGCAATAGAACAGGAACCGGCAGCCCGATGGCTTGTTGGCAGGATTCGAGAAACCGGCCCAAACTGGCTGGAACGAGTGGTGACGCCCGTGAATGACAGGGGGCGGGGGTTGCGAAGAAATGAAGTCTAAAATAAAACGGGATATTTTGCGCTGGGCCGCAGGGAATGCCTTGGAGGAGAGATGGCCACGGGACCTAGTTGGGTGGGCCTACGAGGCGAGCGAGGCGGGGCAGATGGAGGCTTCCGGCAAGGGAGAGAAGCTGAGGATGGTGGAGAGGGGGAGAGGAGAGAGAGTAGAGAAGGGGGGGGGAAGAATAAGGAATGAATACAAAGGGGGGGGTTGTCGTGGGTGAGGATGGTTCTGTCGTCGGGCAGTGGGTGTGTGTGTGTGTGTGTGTGGTCCGCTACGGCACGCCCACGACGACGACGACCACCAGGGCCTGTCTGTCTTGCGACGTTACGTCGACCAATGTCTCTTGGTGACGGGATCAGCACTATGACATCGGGGGGCCCAGTGGGTGTGCACGTGCCAAGTCGTCTGAACCCTGACGGGCTGCTGCGTCTGGTGCGGCGTCGTCCTGCACCGAAGGCGCCACTCACAGTAACTCGCGCTGCCCTCGGTCGCACAGCCGTTGGGGGAGAGGGTCCAGCACCAGCATCTCCATCGCTATACGCTTACTTACGCTGCGCTTCACTCTTCATCCTGCAGCCCACCAGTCGACCCGATAGCCGCATGCTGCTGACACTCGCCCGCCATTCCACCGGCCCTCCGCGGTCGTGCCGTCTAGCTGTTACACTCGTCGTTCTTCCGCCGCCCAACTGACCCCGCTTAGGCACCATGGCCCAGCGGTCTGCCCAACTCGCCGCTCTCACGGCCTCACAGTCGCGACTCGTCCGGTCAACAATCGCTGTGCGGCCCGAATCGACTGTCATTTCGGAACACGATCTTCATGGTTTGTACACGTTGTGCGCACATCGCTGCGGGTACAAGGAGCCTGAGTGCATATACAAGGTGGTTCGAGCATGGGGGATCGCCCTTTTGATATTGCCCTGATTGGCACATCTGCTATTCTAGGCAGACTATTCGATGCCTCGTCTATAACAATAAATACAACTAGCCAGACTTCCCTTTTATATGCTGAATTCCTCCTGGCTCCTGTTTGGCAGTGGCAAAGCACCTCTCACAAACGGCCAAAGATCGTCACGCTGTATTAATAATTGGCATCGGGCATATAGCTTCGTTGACTACTGAACTCCTTCACTTATTATTATATGGGTCCAAGGATAGGGGTGCAGAGCAATAAAGGCAAACACAATAAGATTTGCTACCCAGGAAAAGAGTAATGGCGTCGTGTCGTGTGCTCATGTGAAATCATTTCGTATTAGCGCCCAATCACCCGCCCTGTTAGACATTCTCAATCCGCTCCACCCGCGTGCCCTTCTTGGCTCCATCGCCATCCACAGACTCCAAATCATCCGCAGCATGGGCATCTCTCAGCTGCCTCGCCCGCGACTTGCTCGGGAAGGTATCTTGAAGGCACCCCTTGATGATGTTGCCCTCAAACAGTTCACCGATGGACTCGAGTCGCACGCCCTTGGTCTCAGGCACACAGAACATGACCCAGACGCACATGACTATGCACAGTGAACCAAAGAGGAGAAAGGTGCCGTAGCCAATATCCGCGAGCATCAGTGGTGTGATCTTCGCAATAATGAAGTTGAAGAGCCACTGGGTCCCGAGAGCTGCCGCCATAAGCAGCGATCGAACGTGGTTGGGACTGCATTCGGAACTCAGGATAAACGGCGTTGGTCCCCAGCCTTGTCGATCGTTAGACAGGATTCATCCGTAGAAATGAGGCAAACGTACCAAATGAGTAGAACACAACAAACAGGTAGACACACACAATGGCGAAGATGGAGTTGCCATCGAGTTCGCCCTTTGGTGGGTGGACTGCCATGTTCACTCCAATATAAACTGCATATGCCGTGTTAGCAGGCCACCTATACACTCCGTACACGAAATCCACGTACACATTGCGAAGGCTTGGCCAACGGAGCCGATGATTAGGGACCACTAATGCAAATGTCAGCGCATGTTGAAAGCTAGAGTTGCTCAACATACCTTGCGTCCCAACTGTTCTGTGAAAGCCATCAGGCCGATAGCCGTAACCACAATCTTTACGATTCCGTAGACACCCGTCGCGAAGAGACCAGACGATCCGCCAGTGAGCCCAATCTGCTTGAAAATTTGCGGCGCGTAATAGTTGATTGAATTGGTACCCGTCCATTGCTGCCAGAACATGAGGAGGACGACAAAGGAGGACTGGTAGAGCATGCGCTTTCCCGAGCAAGCAGCTTTAAGCTGAGCCACCATCGGTAGCTTCTCATGGCCGTTGAAATCAGCAAGAATCTCGTCGAGCTCTTGAATGACCTGGGGGTCTTCAACGGACCTGCCGCGAACATATGCCAATGCTTTGGCAGCGTCTGTGATCCGGTTCTTCTCGACGAGCCAGCGTGGACTCTCGTTCTGGAAGATGATGCCTACCAACAGCAGCACACCCGGCAGCATTTGGAGGGCAAACGGAACGCGCCACTTTGCAGAGTTGGTAGGGCTCGTGATGTCGAGGTTAATGCCGTAATTGACGAAGAATGACAGACATATACCGGTAACGTTGAAGAGTTGCTACGCCAGTCAGCTCTGGAAGACAAACGTCAGGCATTTGAAGACTCACCATGCATCCGATGCATCGTCCTCTGATCTCCTTTGGCGCATTTTCGCCAATGTATGTAGGAACGACAGCTGAGATCAAGCCCACGCCAAATCCTAACAAGTCAGTGTATGTCTCAAATGCAATCCGCACATGGAATCCCTACCTCCAATGACACGGCCGACGTAAAGCTGAGATAGACTTGTAGTTCCAAGAGCGCACAGGGTCTGTATAAGCGAGCCGATGATGAAGATGATATCCGCGACAATGAGAGCCCGTTTGCGCCCAAAGGTATCGCTAACGTAGAAAGATGCGAGCGCGCCGAAGAAGCAGCCAGCTTGGAGCACGGAGACAATATTGCCCTGTAGACTGGCGAATTTGGGGCTCCTTGAGTCGAGGTTGAAAGAGTGTTGAAATGCGTCCATGGTCAATACACCTAATCTAGTCAGTTCGGACGATCCTGAATATTTTCTAGACGATGAATATACCTCCAATAAGTCCGGTGTCCCACCCGAAGAGCATGCTAAATCATCGTCAGTGTGCGTTTACAGAAGAAGTGAATGTCCCTGAAGTGGTTGAAACCGAATGCCACTGAAGGTGGTGGGAGAAAAAAAGTTAACATACCTAAATCCATTAGTAAGCGATTTCAGAGGAGAAAAAGTACATGTTAAAGCTATGCAGCAATCATTATACTGGGTAGACTTACCCGCCAAAAGATGCGACTCCAGTGAGGACGTAAGCCCTACGATGGGCCTTGAAATCCCTCCACACACCCGGTAGGTCGAATTTCGCCATGATTGCGTATAGCAATACGATATGCAATCGCTATGTCGACAGGTTGCCGTTCGCGCAATAAAACACCGTGCTGTCGCAAAGGGTGTTCAAATGGCGATGAAAGAAAGGCGCAGTGCTGGTCGTCTCAACCACGAGGACAACAACAAGATTTATATTCACAACGTCCAAGTCCACTCGGAAGCCCGATCAAACCCCGTACAGTTTTAACTGGAGACCCTGGGGGTGTCGGCATAGGTTGACGCGATGACGTGGGGACCCCAGTGGGGAATTCAACATGGGCCAGCGTTGCGGTGAGCAATTGTTCCTCCAATTCAAACGCCGCGTCCCGATAACACTGACTCCGAGTCTATCGGATTATGGCTTGGCCTGCAGAATGATTGGATTCCTTTTGAGATGCGAAGATGTGAAATGCGGCGTCTGAAGGAATGTTGCCGCCCGTGTCTAAGCTGTCGGATGGCGGGTGCTGGGCGTTAGTTAGCGCGGATGCGTCCTTGTGTTGGCATGACATTGCATGTCTTGCTCCCTCCGACGTCTGCGCTTGTGTCATGCATGCCAGACTTCCTCGTAGACACGATTCATTCTACGCTCACCAAATGCCAAAGGCCGACACTGGGCGTGTTTGTGCCTTCACTCAACACAAATCGTCAAATGCCGACCCCAGATTCTCTCCGCATTTCAACATGATGCTTTGCAAGAAATCAAAGTGTGGCTAAGGGTTGGAGCTAATTCAGTCGTCTATTGCCGCCTTCTAATGCCGACTGCACCATCCGCTTTCCTACCCGGCCATCTCATATGTTCGCCTTGTCCTTCTTCTGCTCGGGTACTTGTGTCAGCAGCTTGTCGCTCTTAATCGCCGACTTCAGGTTGTCTAAAACCAACAGCTCCATATCGCGTTGGGTCTCGAACGTCCCTGTCCCAATATGAGGCAGCAGCACCGCGTTCTCGCTCTCTAACAACCCTGGGTGAATCTTTGGCTCCTCCTCAAACACATCCAGGCCACACGTCCAGACTTTGCCGCTCTTCAGTGCATCCACCAACGCTGCTTCATCGATCAACGGCCCTCGAGCAGTGTTGACGATGATGACGCCGTCCTTCATCTGCTCGAACTGTGCCTTGCCAATGATGTGTGTTGTGGAGGGATTCAGCGCTAAATTTAAGCTGATAACATCCGACGACTTCAGCAGCTCGTCGAAGCTCACATACTTCGCGCCATTCTCTTCGCTTGCTGGGAGCTGATTGCGGTTGTGGTATTGTATTTTCATGCCGAAAGCCTTCGCACGATGCGCGACCGCTGAGCCAATGCCGCCCATACCCAGGATACCGAGCGTCTTATTCTTCGGGTCGTGACCGAGCGAAAAGTTTCCGCGCCATTTGCCTGGTAAACATGTTAGTCGAAGCTACGCCCAAAGTTTGGTGCTCCTGACCTTGATTGACTGCGTTGTAGGACTGCTTGATATTTCGGAATGCACCCAACATCAACCAGATAGCAACGTCCGCAGTCGCGTCATTCACTGCTATCGGTGTGCTTGAAACTTGGATGCCCCTTTTTGTGCAAGCTGCAACATCGATGTTGTTATATCCAGCGCCGTTGTGACAAACATACTTCAGGCTCTTCGGTAGAACATCGAGCAGCTCTGCGTTGAAGTCTCCGGTGAGCGAATTCGAGTCGTTACTTCGGTAGAGAGCATACACGCCGTCGAATTCGCCACTTTTGCATTTCGAGATGAAGTCGTCTCGATTGCCATCGGGGTACTCATGCAGCTTCGTTGCTACCTGTGCACATTCCTGCCATTCCTTTCGCGCGTGGGTAAGCTTGCCGATAAGAAGTGCTGCTCGTTGCGACATGATGATTTGGATTGCGTAACGACACTAGGATGACGAAGAGTCTTTGAAGGTTATCGTTTTCAAAGTAGCGGAGGAAAAGAGCAGTCCGAGAAAAACTTGTGCAGCGTGGCGGCGTTAGCTACCTTTTATTCCTCGCATCCCAGATCCACCTGCGGAGCTCCTCCTACCGGCCCATCTCGGACCGAATCTTCTCTCCTGAGAGCTCTCGAGCGTGGAAATACACTTTGTCAAATGGCAGGCAGTAATTAATCTTATCATTCAGTAAACCTGAACTTCTCACGCTCGATGATGCGCGTTCCGCTCATCAAATCCAGCAGTGACGCAACCCCGCTCTACCTCTCTATCTACCCCACCATCACATTTCCAGCACACTTGACTTGAGACAACACATCTAGAGCTTGGGTTTGGTTTAAAGCAAGCGCAGAGCTGCTTCAATTTTTGGGTTCTTCTCCCAACAGTCTGTAAATCTTGCAAGATTGCACCGAAGCCACTTGGAACCAAGTGGTTGTTAGAAACCGGCATATGACTTCGCAGACCAGTTGCCGACAATCGTCCTTGTCAAACACCGACTACAGTAGGGCACGTGATCTCGCTACCCCACATTCCCTCGGCCTTGCCTAAACAAGCAAGCCTCATTCTATCTTCCGTTCGGAGCCAGTTCAGCTCCGAGGCCGACGCGCATTGCTCTGTAAGCGGTCCAAAAACCACCATTTCCATCCCTCTACACTAGGCAACAAGGCACCAGCGAGATGTTCAGGCTGCCTGCTGAGAATCTCGGACGCCTCATGCTTTACTTGATGCAACTCGGACCAGCGTACGCGCCGATGACTCACGTTGGGATATCAAGCTTCGATCGATTTTGTTGAAATAGAGCATGATGCCGTCTTTTGCTTCAAAGTCTTAGATATCTTAGTTCGGTCATCTTTCAACTCTTCAGTGTATTCGCAAATCCTTCCACCGTGTCGCATAGTCAACTGTAATTGAAGATGGAATTGAAGAATGTCGCAATTCTTGGAGTATGTGCCATCGCATTCTTAGACAGGACCCTTCGTTATTTCTGTATTCTGACGGGATTGATATAGCCTGGTGGAAATGTTGGCGCCGCTATCATCACCGAACTCCTCAAGGATGGATCACGCTTCAACCTTGTGGGCATAACACGTAAAACTTCAACATACACACCACCGCCTAACACCAACATCACTCATAAATCCGTCGACTACACTTCTTTTCATTCCTTACTAGAAGCTTTCACGGGCCAGGACGCGGTTGTGAACTGCATAACAGGAGGAGCTACCCATTACGAACCCTCGAAGCTCATTATCGATGCAGCAGTCGCCGCTGGCGTCAAGTTCTTCTTCGCGAATGATTACGTGGGCCACTTGACGAGGGAACAATTTAAGAGGCTGCCAGAGAGTTTTGTAGGCGCGAAACCCAGGATTCGGGAGTATTTGGAAGAGCTTGGGACGCAGGGAAAGATCGCTTGGACGGGTCTAACAGGAGGGCCCTTCTTTGATATGTGTAAGCGCCGCCACCTGGCGAAATCAAAGCGGTCGATCTTGTTGCTTATGTTACTGACCATCACGCAGGGCTCATGAAAGGCCCAGCAGGCTTCGACATCGCCAACCGCCACGCCCGCATCTACGGCACTGGAAACAACCCTCTCTGCTGGACACCCCTCCCCACCATTGCACTTGCAGTAGCAAATATTATACGCAACCCAAAACCTGTCTGCAACCGCCCAATCTACATCTGCCCCTTCCCCAAAAACCAGCTTACACAAAACATTCTCCTCAGCACACTCGAATCCGTCCTCGACACCAAATTCACCATCGAAAACGTTGATGTGAAGAAGATTAACGAACATGCAAAGATTGCATTAGAGCGGGGAGAGGCTGGAAAGGCCATGAAAGGGCTGGCTGTTAGCAACCAGTTTTACGAGGCAGACAGTGGGAATGATTTTAGTCATTTGGTTGAGAATGAGGTCGTGGGCGTGAATACGATGAGTGTAGAAGACGCCGTGAGAGAAGCGATTCAAAGATATGGTGAGGATTTTAAGATAGTGGAGGGGATGTTTAGGGTAGAACCTTGCGAGATTTGATCGCTGTAAGCTTTGTATCAGATTTGAAATAGCCCTTCATAAAATTACAGACGTATGGGTTTCTCGTGTTAAGCTACAGGTGGTCGTTTATTGTTCTTGAGCTTCATTGGATTCTTTTTGAGGTTATTACATCGAAATATGGCAATGAAATGCAGCGCTCCCTCCCTGAACGCCTTACCTACGGGATTGTACTAAGATTTTGTCATTAACAGAACTGCATGCTGGGGCAGACTACTTTTTGATATTTTGAATTCATAATTCTGTGAACCAATGCACCTCCCGAGTAGATCAGACACTTGTGCTAGCGCGCTTAACAAGGCTAGAACAATTTCTCTGCTTACGCAAGCACCCTTTTCTTCTACCCTCCGTTGCATCTTCATGATGTCTGCTCTTCTATCGATTTCGCAAAAATGCCCCCAAGAACGAAGGCATGCGCTACCTGTCGCAAGAAACGCATCCGATGTGATGCAACGCTTCCATATTGCCTCATGTGCAGTCGATTCGGCCGCCAATGCCCTGGGGTCGCAGATGGACCCTTGATCGTGGACATGACGAAAACCGCAAAACATGGCATGCAGAAGCGCGCGACCAAATCATCATCAAAGAGCCTAGATCTAGTTCCATTGGTCTGGACAAATCCAAATAATGTTGTTGTCCATCGGATGTCCCAGCGAGCGATGGTGACAGAAGCATTCTACGAGCGTTTCTTGACACATTTCACTTTCGAAGGCGAAGGAACAGATATTCGAAATCGACTTTCGTGGCTTCATCGTCTCCCCCTCTTGTCCACAGACGGTACGAACGATGCGCTCGTATTAGCCTTGCAAGCCACAGCGTCCGCCTACTGTGCAGTGGACAATAGCAACGTAGCTCTGACACGGCACGCTTGGAATCTCTACGGCGACGCACTACGGGCACATGGCCGGGCCCTTCTGCCATCAAGGTCCAAGCCTCATGTCACACTTCACATGGTATCAACAAGCGTTCTTTTCAGTTTATTCGAAGCCATGCAGGCTACAAATGCGAATGCATATCGCTCACACATCTACGGCGCAGCGAAAATGTTCGAAGTGACGGGACCAGAACAGTGTACAGAGGGCATACTGTGTCAGATCTTCTACCATCTTCGGACGCAAATGACCTTTCTTGATTTGACCGGTAGGGCGAACGATACTCCAGTGGAAGTGAGAAAGATCCTATACAGGACGCTAGAGTATACGCGGTTGCCAATGTTCCAGACATTAATGAATCATGTCGCGAAGCTGGCGGACTTGTATACTGCAATGAGGGATGGAGTTGACGAAGGCCAGACCTATCAGTCCCTCGACCTTACGACCTACATGGTAGCCAGGAGCGAGGTCGAGGTCCTGTGGGACGAATATACTGAAACAGCCGAAGAATGGAATGAGCAACTTACGTGGGAAGATCCCTGGACTAGAGCCACCATGTATCGCGACGCCTTCACCGCGCTTACCATTGCGTACTTTGAAACCGCCCGTATTCTACTCGCCATCGTAGCACCACAGCTTGCGACTTCTCATGTGGACCTGAGCGACCACTATGCAGCGATAGTGGATATCTCACAGTATCTGCGGATCAACGATGTCGGTTTCGCCTATATGCGCATGGCGACCCCATTGCTTCTGGTCGCGTTGCATTCTCCGAAGAGGGAGCAGCGAAAAGCAGCAACCAGGTATTTTGAAAACTGGGTAGACGGATCAATGAGAGGAATCAGTCTACTTGCTCTAGAATCGATCTACCGACATCGTGTATTGAAAACATAGCTAGACAAGCATTTATCGGCTGTGAACATTACTAGTGCATTCGAGTCTAACAACTCCATGGGTTTGGCAACGAACAGTGTCGGGATCTTGCAAGAAGTCGAATGATCAGTCAAAAACGCATGGCTTGTAGTTTCAAGTTGATACGCCCTCCAAATACCCACAGCGAGGCCATGATCACAAGCCACAACACTACGAGACCGTCGGTCGCTTCCTACACTGCCAACCTCGTCCCGGTCCCATCTCAAATCAGCAAGAATGGAGTCGCCGCCACCAAACTTCCGCCCCCCCCCCCCAAAGATCCCTGGAACAGACACTCTCCGCATCAATTTCTACTCGAAGCCTAAAATAGATGCTGACATCCCGAAAACTCACGAATGGTTCGATAGCGTGTGAGAAACAAGGCACTGGGGTAGAGATTTGGAGAACAGGGAGAGGGTAGGTACGAGGCATTCAATGTCATGGTATGCTCCGGATGTGAAGGACGAGGTTATAGCAGACGGGATGTAGAAGAAGAAGCATCCTATCTTGTCTGAGCTTGTGAACGAAGTCTCGGGGCATGATATTTCTTATTATCAGAGAGTACGCAAAATCATGCTATGCTATAGTCAAGGCTGGAGAATGATGTCCTCGTAGCACCGAGAAGTCTTCAACCACCCTTTAATGAGATGTACATACCAGGGCACAGTATAATCGGGAAAGAATCAATAGATAGCACTAAGCATAAAGTGAACACTGTGAAAACATATTTAGGACTGACAGGAGCCTCGGAGGGGACAAAACGAAACTACGAACACGTTCAGGGTTTTTGTTGTTCATTTTGATGAAGTATTAGATGGTCGATGTGGAAGATAATGTACTGGTGACGGGAGCGGAGGTAGCTAGCAAGTCGGGCCGTGCAAAAGCAATGGAGCTTGGCGGGAAAGCGCGACGCGCACCGCGTCGTGGGCAAAGCAGCGCGCAGCCAGATCTCGTCACTTCACCTCGCCATCACCCCGCCATGTCCTGAGCCACCCCGACGCGATCGCATTGCCAGTCCACTCGCATCTCTCCCTCCAACCTCTACAAACCACCTGCGCGGTCATCGCGCCCAACCGCCGCTATGGGGTACATCAAGCAGATCACCATCCAGGGCTTCAAGAGCTACAAGGACCAGATGCAAATGGAGCCCTTCTCGCCCAATTGCAATGTCATCGTTGGTCGCAATGGCTCTGGCAAGAGCAACTTCTTCGCTGCTGTGCGCTTCGTCCTCGGCGATGACGACCAGTTCATAAGCCGCGAAGAGCGTACGAATATGCTACATGAAGGCTCCGGCTCCGCTGTCATGTCTGCATACGTTGAGGTGTGCTTCGACAACACCGAGGACCGTTTCCAGACGGGCAAGCCCGAGTTCTTCTTGCGCCGGACCATTGGCGCAAAGAAGGACGAATATTCAGTCAACCGCAAAAATGCCACCAAATCCGAAGTCCAGCAGATACTCGAATCCGCCGGTTTCTCGCGATCAAACCCCTACTACATCGTTCCCCAGGGCCGTGTCACAGCACTCACCAACATGAAAGACTCGGAGCGGCTACGACTACTAAAAGAAATCTCCGGCTCCAACGTATACGAGACGCGACGCGCTGACAGCGTGAAACTACTCGCCGCCACGGACAGCAAATGCAGCAACATCGACGATGTAGTGGCGTCGATCAACGAGCGCCTAGACGAGCTAGAAGGCGAGAAGGAAGAGCTGGAGGCATGGAGCAGGAACGATAAGGAGCGACGATCTCTGATGTATACACTCAAGACGCGCGAAGAGGCCGATCTCGAAGACCTGATCGAAAACATCGACCGTTTGGACAGCCAAGGCCGTGAGATGCGGGAGAACAACGAGGCAAGCTTCCTGCAGAACGAGACCGACATTGCTCAGATTGAGACCGACATCAACAAGCGGAGAGGCGATCTCGACGTTCAGCAGGCAGACCGCGTGCAGTCAGAGAAAGACCGAAAGTCTGCTTCGCTAGAAAAAGCCAGAGTTGAGCTTGAACTCAAGGCCTTGCAGGACAACCAGTCTGCTGCACATCAAACGAACAAGTCACGCGATGCACAAATTAAGACCATCCAGCAGCAAATACGTACACGCGAAGCCGAGCTTAAGCAGCTACTGCCCCAGTACAAAGCAAAGAAGGAGGAGGAGGAGGCTGTCCGATCACAGTTGATGGAGGCTGAGGGTCAACGGAAGCGGCTGGAGGAGAAGCAAGGCCGCACAGCTTTCTACAACAACAAGCGAGAACGAGATGATGCACTGCGCACACAGATCGACGAGACAAATGGTGATCTGAGCCGTCGCAAGGCCGTCTTGATGCAAACCAATGAGGAAATCGTACAAATTCAGAGCGATGTCGAGCGATTAGAAGGCGAAATTGCGGAGCTAAGGTCGATCATCGAGAGCGAGGGAGACGCGAGTGTGAATCTCGCGGCGAAGATAGAGCAAGCGAAAGATGCCTTCAAAGCCATACGTGATGAGCAGAATAACCTTTACCGAGAAGAGAACCGGGTGAACAGCCAACTCTCAAATGCCCGCAACGATCTGAACAAAGCCGAAGGCACCTTGTCACGCTTGCTAGATCATGGTACCAGCCGCGGTCTAGAATCGTTGCGTCGGTATCAAGCAGATGGCGGCCTCGAGGGCGTGCATGGCACCATTGCCGACTTGCTCCAGGTGTCGGAGACATATAGGACGGTGACGGAGAACGCAGCAGAGGGTGCTCTCTTCAATGTTGTCGTCGACAACGACAGGGTCTCTAGCGCGCTCATTGACAGACTTATCAAGGATAGGGGTGGACGTCTCACTTTCATACCTCTAAATCGCGTTCAGGTGTCTAACATACAACCCCCGACCAAAGGGGACATGCAACCCCTGCTTCCAAAATTGACGTACGACGACCGCTTTGACGTTGCGTTCAAGCACGTCTTTGCAAAGATTGTTGTCTGTCCTAACTTGGACGCTTGCAAGAGCTATGCGAAACAGTACAATGTCCGGGCATACACTCCAGATGGAGACAATGCGTCGCGAAAGGGACAGTATCGAGGAGGATATCACGATCCTTCCAAGTCTAAGATCAACGCCTACCAAAAAGTCATTGAGGCTCGTGCGCTTTGCGAGGAGTTGCAACAACGCAAGCGTGACATTGCGAATCAATTGGAACAGAAGCGTCAACAGGCGACTGCTGCGTCTAGTGAAACCCGAAGACGAGAACACGAGAGAAGCAAGGGCGAGAATAGTTATGGACCGATGCGAGAAGAGCTTCGGGTCAAGAACAAAGCACTGCAAGATGCTCGGGACAGCCTCGCAAGGAAGCAAGGGACCGCTTCAAACCTGCAATCAGCTATCAATGAGCTCGGTGCGCGACAGAGCGACTGGGAGACTGAGATTGCTTCCCCGTTCGAGAAGGCGCTATCCAGAGACGAGGAACAGATGCTCATCACACTCAGGAGCACTGTGCAAGATCTGAGGCGTCAATCTGCGCGAATCCAAACAGAACGGACCACCCTCGAGAGCCAGAAGGTCGAGGCTGAGCTCGAACTGAACGAGAACCTGCGACCAGAGCTTGATAACCTACAATCACAGCAAGGTGGTACGGGTGGTTCAACGAATCAAACGACGCATTTACGGGAATACGAACGTGCACTTGATGCCGCAAATCAGACTATTGCGGTCCTCGATCAACGAATACAAGAGATTGACGCTCAAATCGAAGACATTCGAGCTCAGCTCGCTGAGCTGGAGACGACAAAATCCGAGAAGGAATCGAGCAACCGGCAGATCGCTAAAGCCCTGGAGAAGCATGAGCTGGCCATGTCCAAGAAAGACTCTGATCGCAGTCGGCATACAGACCGACTTGCTGAGGTCAAGCGGAGTATTCGGGATCTGGGAACTCTACCCGAAGATGTCGACCGCAAGTATGCACGATGGGACACAACCAAGGTAAGACTGCCAATTGTTGTGAGGAGAAATCAATTAACACAACACGACAGGTCACCAAGGAGCTCACCAAGGCCAACCAAGCGCTGAAGAGTTTCGCGCATGTCAACAAAAAGGCCTTTGAACAGTACGAAAACTTCACACGGCAACGCCGCACGCTCATTGACCGCCGCGCCGAACTCGACACGTCCCGAAAGTCTATCGAAACGCTCATTGACACGCTCGATCAGCGCAAGGACGAAGCCATCGCTCGCACCTTTCGCCAAGTCGCTCAAGCGTTCAAAGAAGTCTTTCGAGAGCTCGTAACAATTGGCCAAGGCCGGCTCATCATCAACCGCAAATCCGACCGCGACGTTCGCCACCACGACTCAGACGACTCAGACGAGAGCGAAGAGGAAACGCAGGCCAAGAAGGGCAGCAAAGTAGCAGAGTACACGGGTGTAAGCATTGCCGTATCCTTCAACAGCAAACACGATGAGCAGCAAAAGATTAGCCAACTTTCAGGCGGCCAAAAGTCATTGTGTGCACTTGCTCTCATCTTCGCGATTCAGAAATGCGACCCGGCGCCCTTTTACCTCTTTGATGAAATCGACGCAAATCTCGATGCGCAGTACCGTACTGCGGTCGCACAGATGTTGAAGAAGTTGTCTGGACAGGGTGGCAAGACGGGCGATGGGGGAGGACAGTTTATCTGCACGACGTTCAGACCAGAGCTGGTGTTGGTGGCAAATCGGTGCTATGGCGTGACCTTTTTCAACAAGACGAGTAGTATTGGTGTCGTGCCGAGAGAGGAGGCGATGAAATTCATAGAGGATGTGGAAAAGACGTGAGATGGAATTTGTTTCCGGTTCGTAGTGTGTAACTGGCTCCTTTCTCGCTCCGATAGGTGGTGGATGGTGGTTACCTTGTTTCATTGAAGAGGTATCTGGCGTTATCCGCCTCTCTCTATACCAAGAATCTTTCTTTTCAGAGCCAACAGCAACTTTGCACTGTTCATTTATGCATACCGTAACCCACTATCTACCTTTTGTACACTCCATGAACGTGTCTGAGTATAAAGCTAAGGAACGCGTCCTAGGTGGAGACAATTGGACATGGACGAATTATACATGAGACTAGGCCATAGGGAAGTAGTAGTAGTGCATGTGCTCGAGTCCCACCACCAAATCCACAAAAGTGATTAATAAAGTAACAACGACAATGAACTCGACTGACAGTTGTCGAAAAATCCTAGGCTTAGTCTCAATCTCTCAATCTCTCTCAACCTATCCCATCTGTGTGGCGAAACTCCGCATTGACACTATTCCAAATCGCAAAATAGTGGGGTTAAACCGAAGAAAAGACAGTTTATTCCCGTGTCCCTTAACTCCGCTACATCTCCACCATCTCCATCTCGATCGAACAGGAAACCTGCATCGAGGGCGGCGCTAGTGACGTCGCCACACGTCCAGACCCACCTAGCGCGATCTATACGTGACATGTGGCTTGACACACATTCCCTCCAGTCACTACCAAACTGATCGAACCCAATCAAGCAGCCAGGCAATTGAGTTTGCAAAGCAGCGCTACATCCCGTGACTAACCGTCGTATAACTCGTAAAAGGCGTACAAGTTTTCGTTGGTAAGCTGCCCAGCGTAGGCTAAACTAGAGCTGAATAGGTGGATGGAATTCGGCCGGATAGAGGGACTGGTGAATCATCGTTATGCAGGTTGGGGCTGGGGGATTACTCATCTGATTCAACGCAGCCACCCAACTCAACTCAACATAGCGCGTAATCCCGACTCACCCGACTGAACCCCATCGACAGTGTTCTTACTAGAATACTTGCTCACGGGGTTTTTCTCCGATAGAAGAGTGTGGCTATGTACTGTTTTGCATGTACATTGGAGACGTAGGCCGGGTATAACTGTTTTGCTAGGTGTTGATGACGGTGGTTTCTGTGGAATTCAGTTGACTCCGGATGATTCAGGTTGCACAGACTGGTAGTGTAAGGGTATGCCGTCAATAGGAAGTTTCACTTCCGAGTATGCAAAAGGGCAGATGGGCTTTGCGGGGAAATGTCCTACGACAGCTTCAGCTTCTGTAGAGTAGCGTAGTCTGAGGTCGTGGCTGGAAGAACGTGGCTGATATGTAATCTTAGAGCAAAAGCGTTTAAAGTAGATTTGCTTTTGCTGTATTGCATACTAGGAAGTCAGGTACCGGAGTTATCACGAGACTTTGGAGTAAGCTTCCGAAGATGAGAATGCAGGAAACCTGTCTCACAATGCAATCTCAAGCAATCCCAGGCAAGCTAAAGTGACTCATTCATTTAAGCTACATTGTTGAGAGCAGAACAACTGTCTGACCCCCGTGTTTTGGCGGCTGTTGTATTTCGATCGCGAGCCTTGTTGTCTCGCCCGCGCTCCGCGCATGTTATCCCATAGCCCATTGGCCTAAACGCCCAAGATCATAAATCGTAACTAATTGTTGTAGCATCCTCGCAGCCCAAGTACAACAAAGAGTAAAAGGGTAAGAAGCAAAGCTTTTGTGACTAGGGTACTGCAATGCTCTAGGGTATCGTAGAAGAAAAGTAAAGCGTCTGCAGCTCCAGTCGCAGTCGTTCCAGGAAAGAAAAGAATCAAGTTAACGTAACGGTAGGGGAAGTGTCTTGTCTCCCTCTAGTAAAGGCCCATTATTGGTCCATATCGTCGTCCTCGTAGTCCCGGAGGAGGTCCAAGCCGGCAAACTCGTCATCTGGGCTCGAGGCCATGGGCGATGATCCGGCACTACCGTGCAGATTGTAGTCGTCGTTGGACATGGTGGTAGACATGTCCGGGCTCTTCGCACTCGAATGTCGTGAAGCTGATGGGTTCATTGGTGCCTCCATTCCCAAGAGGTCGCCGGCACATCGCGCGAGGTATTCGTCGACTGCCCAAAAGTTACATCCAGCGTGACGTAGCACCTCGTTCTTGAGACTGAGCACCTCCTCGCGCAACATGGCTACGTTCTCTTTCAACGCCTTGTTCTTGGACGAGAACTCGCGAGCACGACCCTCAAGGCCGTTGATGTACTCCTTCTTGCGCTGTCGGCACTTGTGGGCGGCAACGCGGTTCTTCTCCAGGTGCGACTGGCGAGCCGAGGAGACCTGGAAGGGAAAGCCATCAGCAGTAAATGCCTCGACCATCTGGGGCTGCGATTTTGGCCTGCCGCGCTTCCGCTTTGGGGGCTCCGGGTTGCCGTCGTCGTTGGCTTGCTGAGGTGGGGCAGCGCTATCCGCCGAGCCGTGATTCGTCGGCGTCGGTCTGCTAGCACGCCTGCGCTTTGTTGAGGGCTCTTGAGGACTGACCCGCGATGATTGCGCGAGTTTTGCCTCTTGGGTGCCGTTGGCCTGGTGTTGTGACCAGTTTGTTTCATTCCGGAGTTGGTCCACCGGAATGGAGTTCTCTCTGGTGGAATTGGTGCGGGGCTCGGCTGGCGAGAGGTCCTCAGGCGGCGTGACCTGGCCAAATCGCTCAATGGCAGCGTGGGTGAGAAGAGAAGGTGGAATTGTGAAGGTAGAGTTGTGCATGGAGTCGGCACCGCTGAATGGGGCCCAATTGGCGTTTTGCTGTTGTTGCTGCTGCTGCTGCTGCTGCTGCTTCATGTCAGGGTCATGCAGGGCTAGGTAGGCATCGTGCGCCCAGTCGAACGTATGTGGTGTTTCCATCTCCATGCTGGTGATGAGGCTTTGGTGTGAGTTGGTTGCGTAGAGGTCCAGGAAGACGATTGCGTGTGGGTGTAGGTGGTAGGCACAGCGTAGTGGTGGTGGTAGTGGTGGTGGTACAGGGCGTTTGGTATTGATGCAAGGCGGCAAGTAGTCGAGGTTCCAAGAAGGAGGGTGATGACTTGGGAGAGCAGAGAAGTGGGATCAGGGCTAGCAAGAAAGAAGGCTTCAGTGTGTGTAGGCGCGGAGGGGGCGAGGGTTAATGAAGGGAATCAGCTGGGACGGGCTGGCAGGCGGGGCCCAGGCATGGGAAAACAAACAATGGGGCATGTGCGCAGCATGGGAAAGCTCAGAAATCCATTTCCATGCGCTTGCCTGTTTCCGGCAAGGTGTGCCCTCATTGGCGGGGCCAAGTCTGCCGCCCCATCTTCCAAGCTTGTCACCTTCATGTCGATCGCGGCGATGGGCTTGTTGCAAGGGAACGTGCAATCGACAAGGCACAGTGACATTGGGCTCCAGCAGCAACCCCTTGAGCTGAGACGACTCTTGCTTGACGCGCTGCTGTCCGTGGCTATTGCTCTGCTGGCGCACCGGCTGTCTCGTTCCAACTCCAGCAGGACCGACGCCCTTGTTTGCGCCACCTGCGCCTCTAGCCACCATCCCCGGTCGCACCTCTGGCTAGAGGACCAACTAGCAACAAGCAACACGTATGGCGGGTGCAAACGGCTTTCTCTGTCAAGCCCCACGCACAGGAGACACAGGAGACACAGGAGATGGGTGCGCGGCTAGGGGGGGGGGGGTGACGTAGCCGGGCCCATTGTTCCCGTCAAACCGCCAGATGGTGCGCCCCACTGCGCTGCTTTGTGGGCCCGCTGCATCCTGCCGACCAGACGAAACGATGGGTTTGGAGATTCGCCTTCAAAGACACAAACTGCCTCTTCGGCCAACTCTACTCGACCTCTAGCGCCCTCGGTCGCAACTCTGCCCGCAAAGAGCCATCCATAGACCCATCAAACTGGCTGGCCGCCCTTCTCACTGGCTGCGCCACAGCCTGCCGCACCACACATGCCAGCGAACGGCAGATTCTTCAGATCCCTACCCTCGTCGTCTGCTGATCTCCATGGCTAATTTTCTCCGTTGCAAAAATCCTGCTCGGAAGAACATGGGAAATTGCCCAAATTCCCATATCCCGCCCTGAAATCCCATCAACTCCTGCCCCGCACCATCGCCCCCCTTCGTTCCCCTGCAACCAGTTACATCATCGCACATGAACTGGCTCCGAGTAATGGCCCAGTAGCAAACTCCTTCTTCTCTTTCTTCAATTCGCATGCAGTGTCGTCCTGGGGTTGGCCTCGGTTGCAGTTGCGCGTGTCGTCCAAGACCGCACGCAACCATCGACCCGACGCCGCGTTTCCACACTGCAGCGCCCTTTAGGCTGCGCAAAGCCACGCCTAGATGTTACGGTTGCGAGTCGGAACATTTGGCCGCTATGCATTATCCATCTAGTGTGACTCGGGCAAAGTGGGTATTGTGGCCTGCACAGCGAACGTTATCAAAGAATGTGCCAGTGCCTGCTTGCTGATCTTGAACATGACGCACCATCTTTGCAGCTGTTTGAAAAAGCATGTGTCAAAACACAGCGGTTGGCTCCACAAAATGTAGATTGAATATGCGTTTGCAATCAATGTAGCGGTATTTGCTCGCTCTGATCCACGAGTGCTTCCACGACCTGAATATATCTTCTACCTGACGCTGCATTCGTCTCACAACGATGCTCCAAGCAGCCAGAAGCCAAACCAGATACATTGAACGAATCATTTGTTCTACCCTCATGCCAGTTCCAGCCCATCATCTACACAAAAGTAAAGCAAACGGCCAGTTCAGCTCGCTGTCAACTCAAAGAAGAGATTCCATCCAATTGGTGCATCCTCCTCCGGCAAGTAATCCCGCAGCAAGCTATCGATCCTACCTCTACCTACCTACCTACCTATCCACTCTACTCTACTAACCACCTCTACACAAGGAACAAGGATCCGAGCGCTCTAGATGCTCTCGCTGGCTGTCCCCTACATTCAATTCCCACCGCTGATTCGATGCGGCCACGTCTTCCCCGCGGGCTCCTACAAGATTACGCCACGATCCCACTAGTCCAAACCGTCGGGATTAGATGAGACCAGACCGGTTTATGCGTCATCGGGAACGAACAAGATGGTCTACGTCTTGTGTGGAGAAGGGGACTTCCAAGGTTGTTGGGAAGTTCCTACAAGTGCCATTTAGGGTTAGTTTTCGATAAATCATCATACGCGATACAATCCAACCCCGGAATTGTAGGTATAGTCGTGGTCCACACGTCAACTATTGTTACAAACGCTGACTTGCCGCTAGTATCGTGGAGACTGCTCTGAACGCCCGCAACTGCGAGGGTGATAACTTGGCTCCAAGTTGCGACACGTTCTGCATGCTAAGGGCCACCCCAGCATTCTCCGGATCGAATAGCCAGTCAACATGGCCGGTCCACGTACATCGTAAGGAGTCGAAATTCTTATACCAATGTGAACGGAATTTACAGAGACAAAAATGTGGAGACAGCTCGCCAACTCGGAAATTTTACATGATACAGGGGAATATTTCTCATCCGATGCATAAACTTGATCGGATCCTCAGCCTTATCGGAGGAGCATGTGAGTCCATAGGAGTGCAAAGTTGGCTGCTAGTCAAGGGGCTTAGGACATGTAGGTTCACAAGGAGGTCCGCAGAGCCTCCGCGGAGGCTCAAAATTAGCGCTAGGGTGGTCTTCACTTCCGTATTTGTCAGCGCCCAATCGAAATGTGTCAATGAACCTCGACTCATTTCGAACTTGTGTACAATAAATGAGAGGACACTTGATACATCTTTATTAAACTCAGTCAATATCGTTAGAACAAGGATGGAAGGTACAAAGGCTACTAGAAAGGTACAGACCGATTTCTACCTTGTCGCGAAGGTCATTAGCTAATGCAGAAAAAGTCCTGCGACTTGTGCTACCGGCGCAAGATGAAGTGCGATGGGAAGAAGCCTCGCTGCTCACATTGCATCACGTATGAGATAGATTGTACCTACACAGCACCCAGCCGCACGTATCCACCGAAAAAACGACGGCGCTACGCAAAGGGTGAGGATGGTGTCAGTACTGCACTAGGTCGCTTGGGACGACTAGAATCCCTAGTCCAACAGGTCACCGAGCGTCTAGATGTTGCTGGAAAGCAAAATGAACTTGAACCTCTACTCCAGCGCGAGGAGGCGAGTGCAATTCCCACAGTAATGCCGGTAAAGATCACAAGAAGCGAAGACGATAATAAATCTACCAAATCGATGATGCTACCTCCGTTAGAGCAGGTTCTGCCTGTCGTAGAACTCTACCTCCAGGACTTCAACTCAGTTTTACCACTGTTCCATGCCGATGCTCTCCTGCAGTTGGTCCGCGATTGTTATAGTGTTGGACCCCTACAGCGCGACCCAGTAGTGTGGGCTGCCATACATGTTGTGCTGGCTCTCGCACGGCGATACAATCTTGTGGCTAGTCATAATGTTCCTTCTTTGGCTGCATGTCTTAGTAGGGCAGAGTCGGTGCTGTCTAGGGTAGTGCTAGGCGATATCCAGCTACTCAACATTCAGGTTTTGGTGGGCATGGTGATGCTGCTGCTTGAGGTCTCGCAAGATCTTAAGCCTGCGCTGGTCTTGATTGCCACAACAATACGTCTCGCACATTCAATTGGCCTGCATGACCAGGCCTACTCGACACACCTGGGTTCTGCCCATGTGAGACAGCGAGCTGGCGTATTCTGGCTCGCGTATATCCTCGACAAAGACCTCAGCATGCGCTCGAAACAGCCCTCGATCCAGATTGATGACGACATCAATCTTGACTTGCCTTCGCCAACAATCCTACAACATAACGAGGATACGAGCAAAATCAACGATACCAACGACAGTACAGGTGTCATCACTACCGCCGACGGCGCCGTCAAAATGAACTACCTTACGGCACGCATCCTACTAGCTACTGTTCAAGGTGGTGTATACGATTATATATACTCAACACGCTCTCGAAAACACAGTCCAGAAGAGCGGTCCCATGCATTACAGAGCGTAGCTTGCGCACTTGATCAGTGGAAAGCTTCTATTCCATCTGAATTCAACGCCGCAGAGGGCTCAAGAAGAGTAGCTCCTGGTATGCTACGCTTTCTTGGAGTATTGCATTCCACGAGTCTATCTTGCACAACTCTTATAAACCAAGCTCATGCCTGGGACGATGAGTGGATGGCCAGTATACGCAGATATGGCAGACAAGGCATTGAACCACTACTGCCACCAAAGTGGGAGGTGTTGGTAGCCGAGGCCCGCGGTTTGCTGGTCTTATTTGGGGCATTAGGGGGAATAGATTGCTCGAACTTCTGGTGAGTATCCAAGGCTGCTTGCATACTTGATCGATACCATAATTTCTGACCCCTCTTGCTTGAATGCTGCGTCTCGAATACTGTTTAACGAAGCTGACTAGCAATGATATTGTAATAGGACAACAGGATGTACTTACATGACGGCTATGGTGCTTTTAATAGCCAATAGCATGCACAGACCGAAACACAGTGACTCGTCCTTGGATAGGCAGCTTGTAGACTTTGGTTTACAGACAGTTGACAGGATGGTGAAGGAGACTGAGAACGAAACGATACGATCCTGTCAGGCTACTTTTGCTGAACTGCATCAGCTCATGCAAAAGAGATGTGCTGAATCAGCCATAACGGCCAACAATGTCGACTGGGCTTCGTGCTTGGTAGATATGCAGCATGGAATTGAGGGAAATAGCCACCAGGAGGACTTCTAAAGTAAATATATACAAGTGCCGTACCTATGTTCTAGATCATTAGAATACGGAAGACATTCTAGATGATGAGAATTTTTATCAACTCCCACGAGTCTAGGGCATACGTCCACCCACGTAGTATCGCTAAAGATGTGCATAGTAACCGAGTAAGCAAAAAGCCACGGAAGCGCTTCCGGAGCTGCCCATTCTGAATGATTTACTAATCTGGAAGGTTTCCTATGGTGCTTGTGAAGGTGATTATTGGTAAGTATCTCTACTCCAGAATTGTTGTCGGGCTTATCGTCCTCCGCGGAACCACCATACAACGTAATTTCCAGGGCTCCGCGCTGAGCAGGATTTGAAATAATTTCGCTACTCGTAAGCATACTCGTAGATATTGCTACAGAATTCTAGTTGGGTATGGCATCTCTGCATGTGTATTTAAGTAGCCTCAATCGTGGCCAAAACAGACGTCTTCCCTTCCACAGAACGACAAAGAAGACATCAAATACTCAACCATACTACAAATCTCACTTCTATCTATTCATTACACTACCTCTACGCAAGATGGTTAGCTACGACGGGCCTCACCAAGGAAATGAGATGTTCAAGTCCTTCACCAGAACCTGGCACAGCCAACCTTACCCTGAGATCTCGCCTTCCCGTCCCGAGCTGAGTGCTGCTGGAAAAGTCGTCTTCATCACGGGTGGTAGTGGCGGAATTGGTAAGGCCACGGCAATTGCTTTCGCACAGGCTGGTGCCAAAGTCGTCGCCATCTTCGGACGTCGCATCAGGAATCTGCAGTTGGCTGCTGAGGAAATCAGCAAGGCTAATCTCGCTGGAACCACCACTGTGGTCATCGAGAGTGTTGACATCAGCCAGCGTCTAGCTTTGGAGGGTGCTTTCACCAACGCTAGCGACAAAGCTGGTGGGGCCAAGGTCGACATTCTGGTCAACAATGCTGCTTCCCTCAAGCCACCAAACCCTCTCACTACATACAGCGAGAAAAAGTTGCGCGAAAGTATTGAGGAAAACTTAATCGGCTCGTTCAACGTGGTCCAAGCGGTAGTGCCCTTGCTCGCGCCTAAAGCAAAGATCTTGAACATCAGCTCGGGCATTGCACATATCAACCCGCTTCCCGGATTCTGGGTTTACGCATCGCTCAAGATAGCTATCATCAAGATGTTCGATTTCCTCCAGGCTGAGAATCCGGACCTCGGTGTTTTCAACATCCAGCCTGGGGTAATTTCAACTGAGCTCAGCCAAGTTTCCGGTTTTCAAGGGCAAGACGACGGTAAGCTAATCGACCTTTGATTTCTAGATATCTCCCGTATCACTGGGTCCCTTCCCCATTCGTTTATGACTTGCGTTGGCTGATTGAAATCGTAGTCATGCTCCCCGGTCATTTCAACGTTTGGATTGCTTCGCCTGAAGCCGAATTCCTTAAGGGGAAATTTGTCTGGGCCAACTGGGATGTGGATGAACTAAAAGCTCTTGCCAAAGAGGTTCAAGAGTCAATGCTTTTGAGGATATGTTTGAATGGCGTGCCGATTTAGTGCTCAAGCTAAGAAGAAGCATATTGACTTGTAATAGATGCAAAAGGTGGGTGCCTAGAAGTCTTAACCTGAGTCTTGTTCATGTAGAGCAGCTGCAATGCCACACCTATAAAACTGCGTTTATCTGTTTATCTATTTCTCTATTAGCGCTCAGTCATATTCTTGAATCCTTTTTCCGCCTGACCCTAGACTGTCTTTGCCTACATCATGGGGACTACAACGGATGTTATTCTGTAAGAATTCAGGAACCCTAAAGAGGACTCTTTTCTGCATCAATGAGGGAAAAGTGATTTGCGCTCAACTCAAACTTTCAAGTCGGTTTGAGCTTCGAGGACTACTCCAAATGCCACTTGACAAAGAGTACAGTCAAGGCTGTAAGCAGTTTAGGCCGGATAGGTACCTAGTATATCTTATTTACAGGAACGAGCTTCGTTGTAAACCATGCTCAATGTCTGGTGCTACCAGTTTCATTGTGGTGGCGGTTTAGGACGATTTGTCTCCAACTGTCTCGATTTCACGAGTCAAACACGAGGACATTACAAACGATAAGCAGTAATCTGCCGAACAAGTGCCGCAGACAGCTCACCATGTTTAGTAGGCTGGAGCCCCTGAATTATGAGTAAGACATTCCTTGAAAATCTCAGGTGTTTTCAGCTGAGTCGTCTCTCTTCATCCTACTCAACTCCTCTAGATCTATTGTGATAGTGGTGTCTTGAACACTAGCGCAACGTGGTCATCACCAGCCGTGACAACTGCCTCCCCATTGCCTTGCACAAACGCCATGATGCCTCCGCCCTCACCACCTCCTCTGTGGCCCTTCCACTCGCCCACGAGACCCTTGCCCGCCGCCGCAGTTCCACCTCGCGTATCCCATCTTCTCAACACACCATCGTAACCTACACTGGTCAACAGCCACCCTCCTGCACCCTCCTGCTTTACGAAGTCGAGCTTGACAACAGCCTGTGGCATTTCCTCGTCCGAGTGTGCGTCTTCGATTCTCCGGCGCACGGCAAAGCGATGTGCGGTGTCGAACAGCGTTATTGACCCATCGACGTTACCCGCGGCCATGAGCGTCAGTGGTGGAGAGGAGAAACTTATGCATTCGACGTTGTCGCTGCCTGCTTGCAGACTCGCGAGAATTTGACCTGTCTGGCCTGCTGATGATGCACTACCTTTCGCAGCGACCTGTTTCCCGCCGCCCGCCTTGTTCTTTGCGCCGCCGCCACCTGACGATGTCGAGGCTTGTGCGGATGCAGCGATGGATAGGCGCGGCAGACCGATGATGCGAACTTGGCCTTCGGGACCACCGACTGCGACAAAAGCGCCCGATGGCGCGATGCCGACAGAGTATAAGCCGCCCTCGACTCGGAAACGCTCGTCGATGCCATTGAGGCCGACGACAGTTTGCGAATCGGATGTGGATGTGAGACCTTGTGATGCTGCATCGCCGAATACGTCCCAGACGTAAAGACTCGAGTCTTCCGAGATGGTGGCTAAGAGAGAGCCATCAGGCGACCATGCACCGCCTGTGCAGGTTTCGGTATGGAGGTAGTATGCTTGTAGAACTTGGACTTCGGCGCCTTTATCTGTGCTGAGTTGGTAAACCCAGACTGAGCCGTCATTGGCTCCGAGCGCGACGACGTTGGGATGCTCCGGTGAGGGATTGGGGATGAGCCAGTTGATCTCTTCCACTTCTTGTGCTTCGGCAAGAAACTTCCACTTTGTGCCGTCGGGAATGCCCTGCCAGACGCGTAATTTGCCGTCCAAACCAGCTGTGGCGACGAATTGTCCTTTCGGCTCTGTGAAGGTGATGGCGTTGATAGAGTCCTTATGACCGTCCAGCTTGAACAAGCTCTTCAAGCCCTCCCTCTCTGTCGGTTCCGCGCCGTTGTTTGGTTGCGCCGCTGCAGCCGAGGAAACATCGATAATATAGCCCGTGTCGTCGCCTCCGCCAGTCGCTATGATTTCTTGATGTACAGGATGTTGCGCTATGCAGAAGATGCTGTCCTTGTGCTCATCAAAGTGTGCGATCGAGTCGTTTTGTAGGTTGATCTCCATCTGGATGTCCTGCTCGCCTTCCTCGCCCTCGTCGTCTGAGTCCATGGGGACATCGCCATCGTCTTCTACAATCTCTTCCGCCTCATCTGCGTCTAGTGTGTTGTCTTCGTCATGGTAGTCGATGTCGTCCTCCTCATGGTGGGGCTGGTTCTGATTCGGGACCGCCATCGCGCAATTTTTGACGCTCGATATGGGTATAGAAGAGAAATGCGAGCGATGTGGACGTGAAGTAGGAAACTGCTTCGCTGCTGCAAAGGACGGTATATGAGTCGTACGGGTTTGCTGCTTAGAAATGCTAAATTGCACCTTTCTATCAAGAACTTTTTTGTTCGGGTACACGTCGGCGATTGAGGGGCACTCCCCGACCCCACGCGTCATTTCTAAGCAGAGTACCGTGCGGCTTCAACTGAGCATTGAACAAACCAATGTTTCGCGTCTGAGCCCGTGGATGTGCACTCATCGCCAAACAGTGTACTTTGAGGAATTCTGATCACGAGGGGACCTAAGTTGAGCTCGATGGAATGGAAGACAGTTCAAGTTCCTACTATTAATAATCATCGCTCTCATCTCTGCAGGCGACTCTGCACCACCATGTTCAAATCTTGTACATCTACCCTCTATCCCACTCGCAATGTCTCCATCACAACTTGCTTCCTGCCTGTCTCCTCTTCTCCTTTTCCTTGTCCCTCAGCAGCCGTCTCAAGATTTTGCCCGCAGGCGACTTTGGAATCTCATCGACGAACTCGATGCCACCGGAAATCCACTTATACCGCGCTTTGTGTTGCTCAACATGCTTCTGGATCTCGCGAGCGATGACCCGGTCGTTTTCTTCGAGACCTATTGATGGCGATTTGACGACGAAAGCTTTAGGTACCTCTCCCGTCTTCTCATTAGGGATTTGGATCACAGCACAGTCATTAACTGCCGGGTGGGTGAGGAGATGCGCCTCGAGCTCTGCGGGTGCGACTTGATGTCCCTAAGATACTGTCAGTGTTGCACTTTCAATACAATGTTGAGCATGTAATCATACCTGAACCTTGATCAACTCCTTTATTCGGTCCACGATGAAGACGTGTTCATTGCCTGATGGAGCTTTCCTGATCACTGCTTCATCTCCCGTTCGCATATACCCACCCTGGAAGGTTTCCTCGTTCGCCTTCTCGTTATTTAGGTAGCCCAAGACGACAGCTGGCGATTTGACAAGCAGCTCACCGGGCTGGTCATAGCCGGTAATGTCGGCGCCCTCGGGCGTTACAATCTTACATTCGATGCCAGGGAGAAGCGAACCAGAGGAGCCGAACCAGATATCGTCGGGTGCCGATGAGCACACAACGGTGCATGTTTCAGTGAGACCTATACAAGTTTAGCGTTGGACGCAAAAGGCACGATATACGTAGTCCTACCGTAGCCTTGCCGGATCTTCCAAGACGGAAAGATCTTTTGGACGTCATCCGCAGTCTCTTTGCCCAGGGGTGCTGCGCCTGTGAATAGCGACCAGACGGAACTAAGATCGTACTTGGCGAGCACCTTTGCGTTCTTGGTGAACAAAATTATTATCGGTGGCACCTTAACATTGTTAGCTTACTATCATCTCCGACTCTCAAAGACGTACCAAGAATAATGAGTTGATCTTGTAGTCCTGAATCGCCTGTAATGTGGCAGCAAAGTCGAACTTCGGAAGAACAATCACGCCATCCCCACGGAAGACGCTTGCGTGACAGATAACGACAAGACCGTAGATGTGTGACATTGGTAGCAAACCGAGAACGCTCTCTGTGTAATCAGACTGGTTCCGTAGGTCATTGATCATTTTGTCTCTGTATGGCTTTTCGAAGGTAGCAATTTGCACTGCGCATGGTCAGTGGAGCCTATCTTCAGCTTTGATATAAGCTTACTGGTGTTTGCGATAACATTTCGGTGCGAGATTTTAACGCCTTTCTGCAGCTAGTCAGTACAGAGAACAAAATTGAGCGAACATAGAGCGCTTGCCGGCAGTCCTGAGGTGCCACTGGAATAGCAGAGGAACGCAGTTCTCTTTGCGCCATGCCCAGATTCCCATTTCAATGGCTCCAAACGATCTAGCTTCTTGCCTTCACGAATGAAGTCGTCCACCGTCTTCATGCCATTTGGAGTACCCTTGCCGCCAGTGAGTTGCTCGGGTACTTCCAGTATGTAGATGCGGTTATCCGGGATGTTGCACTTCTTCGCTGCTTCCCGCGCAGTTGCCAACAGCGGGACGCAAGTGAAGAGCGCCTTCGCACCCGAGTTCTTCAGCTGGTACTCAAGCTCAGCGGCGCTGTACGCGGCGTTTGCGGGTGTCTGGATGCCACCCAAGCGGTGTGTGGCCCATGCCAATGGAACGGTATCCAGCTATCAAACATCAGCACCAGGTTTCACAACTTGACGGCATCCACTTACAGTGTTGACCGAGAAGACGGCAATGACCTTGTCCCACTCGGAACCCTTGTTCGGGTGGAAACCAAGTTCCTTTGCGAGTCCTCGTGCCAAGTAATCTACACGCTCTCTGACCTCCAAGCTCGAGTATGTCCTGCCTGTCACACCGCAAGTGAACGGATTGTGGGAGTATCCAAGAGGATGTCGGCCATAGTGCTCCTCAAGCATGAAATCGCTGATGGAGATCGAGTCGGGCGGGTCAAAGGGGAGCTGCGGCACCCATGATGGAGGATGGAAAGTCATCGTAGAAACAGACTCTAGTCGGAGCAGATTGCTGATCAAGGGCTCGCCGGGGACTGCGCAGCTTTAAGGAGAGCGGAGTTACGTGCTGACGCTAGCTCGTAGCCGTGAAGGGCCGCGACGGGCAAATTTCCTAGGCTGGTGCTCTTCACGGCGCCACTGTCGCCCATCCGTGGAGACTTGTGGAGAAAGCTGGGGTACGTACCTACACCGTGTACTTACCGAGGTTGTGTTCGAAAGGGGAATGCCGCCTTGGCAGCGTCGGCAATTACCACGATAGCGACAACGAATCCGCATTCACCTTCTATGGTGACTGGAGATTATATGGAGCCTCAAACGGTGGTCATGGTTGATTTGACAGATAGGGTGTAGTACCATGGTACAACGAGCACTAAGCAGTTGACGACAACGTCCACATCGGCAGTACCCTTACACTTCCATCACCTTACACGCCTATCGAGGAACCAGGCCACTCGAATGAACGTGTCCATGCATTGGCAGACATCGTCGATATACTTCTCTGCTTCTATTGTCCATCGTGTCTCAATTGAGTTCTTATTGTACGCCCAACTGTAGTCCTGCTAATCTCCCGCGACGCTTCGTGCGTTTCTTGACCGATTACACCTATTTTTATACCATCCTTGCCCACCACACCCTTTAGCTCTCTTGCTATTCAATACTTCCTGAGTGTCATCCGACATGGCAGGCGCGAGACGCAAAATCGACGAAGACGCCTCCGATCAGAGTGCAGCGAAGAAGCGATCAAAGCCCAGCAACGGCAATACCCACGAACTGCAGCATGATCCGAGAAACTATGGCACTGCGGCTTCTCTACGCCCACGGCGAGGATGTCAGACGCTAATCCTACCTGATTTACCACAGACCTACACTAAGAAAGTGACTCGAAAATCGAGCACAGTTACATCCAACCAAATTGTCGTGAACAAAGCCAAGACCGCAGCACAGGCACCATGCGAAGAGCACACTGAACTATTAGAAGAGAGTTCATCTATTGGCCCACTTGCTAACGCGCTCAACCACGTACCAGATAGACCATCATCGCGTCGTTCCGCACGACTTCGCAACAACACAGAATCTGAGAGTAATCACGTTTTGCAAGATGTGCCACTGGAACACCAGGATACGGTCAGTCAACTACTCGATATGGCTCCTTTCCTAGACTGACTTTCGTGCACAGGACTTCAGTGCTCAAGACACTGAGAGTACCCTTCGGCAAGATAGCCACGACCAGTGTGCTCAACAAGTGCTAGCAACAGCGCCTGTACCCCTAGTTACATCATCCAATGTCTCAGACACTAAGCGCGCTTTCAGTCAAGAGCAGACAACGACCACCTTGGTCCCACAAACTCCAACGCATAGTCCAAGCTCAGCTTCGCGACATGGTGTTCCTCGCGAAAAGGTTGGGACACCTCAATGGGTCCCTTCGCCGGATGCTCAAGGATCACATAAGCCTCCGACCCCTGATTCGATTCCATGCCATATCCCAGGCGCTGCTGGAACTGTGAAAGAACCATTCAATGACCGCACGATACCTGCTCAGGTCTTCGATGATATGGAGCCCGAACTGCCTGTACATGTACAATCGTCCTACACCAATGCGCCATCGCCAACAGTCATCCACGCCCCTCAAACTTTATCAGAGGGAGATACCGAGGTAACGACCGAACATGAGCACTCAGAAGAACGTTCACTTGCGATTACGATTAGCGAAGAACAACTGTATGCGATAGCCCACCGTTTGAGTATCAGGCCGCTTCTCGGCTCAGCCAAAAGTGAACCGAGTGGACAACCAGAGGTATGGGCAGACGGACGTCAAGAGCTCTGCGAAACACTGCATTACTATCGCGCGTACCAAGGCGCCTGCTATTCCACGGGCGGCTTTGTTCGAGGCTTCATGTTCGATAAGGTTGCCCATCCTCGCGACTACATCGATAGTAATGTCGTCATATCAAGAGCCGGTGGAGGGTTAACCAAAGACAAAGACTCTGGTGAGATGAAAGTGGGGAGAGATCAAGTCGAAGACACGGTTGCACAGGGTTTAAGGAACTGTATGAACCAGTTCAACCCAGTTGTGATTATTACCGGAGTCGACAACCCCCACATCCCCTCAAAGCCACCGCATCAGTACTGCGTATTGGACTACTTCAAGCCCACGCATATATGGGTCGAGAAAAGCGGCAGAAGCAAGATTGTGAGATATCGGTTTGAGAAACTCAACACAAAGAAGGACTCCTGGTGGTCTCCGACACAAAAGGATATGACAGACTCTGTCGATCTTGGCTCACTTCCTCCTCCAATTGAAAAGGCTTGCGAAACTTGTGGTGTGTCGTCTCCGCAGATATATCTGAATGGTTGGATGTGCCTGCAGCCAGCATGCATGTTGTTCTGGAATATTATTGCTTCAGACACTAAGGCGAACTACGAACCCGATGAAGCGTCTCTCACCTACGATCCGCGTTTCCTCAAACAGAAGACGCCATGGCACAATGATGATCACGAGTATCCACTCGTCTCGAACAACGTTGAGCTATCCGGCCACTGTGTTCCAGGTGAAGATACATCACAGGCGTTCTGGCTCGGCATGGTCTGTCCTGAATGTGGGCGATGCATATCCCGGCTCAGTTGGATGGGCTGGGAATGCCAAAATCCTGCATGTGGATTTAGGAAAGAGCCTACCCACACTCTCATCCCAGCTGTTTCGCTCCGTGAGCCGCTCTGGCCACTCACGAACAGCTATCCGCTGTCCAGAGACACGACAGTACCGTCAATTGATGTTCGTGTGTCCTTCGTTCATGGCTACCGCATCAACCGATACAGTATTCCGGGCATTACCGGCTTCATAACGCACATGATCGCCAACAAAATCGTGGTTGAAGAATCGGGTGGCCCTGACACGATGTTCGAAGAGCTGCAGCAAACAGATATCGGACTCAGGAGACGTTCGATGCCGAATGGCCAGCTAAAGGGGCCGAACTATTGTCGCCATTTCGCAGTCAACTATGGGATGCCGTACAAATTCATCGCTGCAACTGCCTCGCAGTCGTTCAACGACGCAGCGCGACCTATCACCGCCACGCGAAGTAGATTGAACTGGGCTGCCAAACTTCTGTTAGCCCTAGAATCCAACCAGAGTGTGGACGACATCGAGAAAGGCTGGAAAGAGAAGGAATTCAACGAAGTCCTCGCCCTCGGCTACTTCGAACAGCAAAAGATCAACTACCACGACGACGGCGAATACGGTCTCGGCCCTACTATTGCAACTCTCTCACTCGGCGCACCAGGGGCCATGCGCATCCGCATGAAAGCGCGCCACTACCACGGCGTCTCATCTGCAGGTGTATACGACGACGCGCCGCCGCTCCCGGGCTGCCAGCAATACGCCGCTCGCCTCGCCCTCCAACCTTCCCTCGACGCGCTCAAACTCTCAGACTCCAGAGGCTATACTGCTCGCCGCAAAGAGATCCCCAAAGAACTAAAGCTCAAGAGCTCAGGCAATGCAAAGGACGTGTTGAACATGCTGCTTGGACACGGCGATATTGTGGTTATGCATGGCGCAGAGTTGCAGAGGTATTATGAACATGCTGTGGAGCATGCGGGAAAGCTGCGGTTTGCACTTACTTGTCGGTACATTGACCCCCAGTCCCTCAAGGAAGCTGATAAGCCGGACTATGAGGTCGGACCTGATATGGACGGATATGACGGATCTAGGCTGTGCTAAAGCAGCATTTTGGAGTGGGAAGATGAGACGGGAACTTTCCCAGTGGTGGAGAGAAATGGAATTGATCAAAGGATCTTTATATTCGGCCGCACAATAGCAGCGCGAAACGGGGTTTTGCGTTGCTACGCGTCATCTCATACGACTTATATAGTCGAGATCTCAGCATATGCAGAAACGTCTTATCCCTTTAGAAAATGAGCAACAAATCGTGCAACCTCCTCTGGCTTCTCTACCATCGGTAAATGTCCTGCGCCCTCCACAACCTTTAGCTCCACACCACTACCCAGCTTATCTGCCATATTCTCCTTCATAGTCTTGGGAAGCACGCCATCACCCGCACCCACCAAGAACACTCCCTTGCCCTTGTAACTCCCCATCTTCTCCCTAATATCATACTGATGCAGCGCAGTCGCACTATCCCTAAAGCCAGGCAGCGAGTTGGACTTGACGAAACCTTTCACTTTTTCGATCTTCTCCGCCAACGTAGCGTCGTCATACGACTCCTTGACAAACCATCTCCGCACGGTAACTTCAGCCAACTCCTCGCCGACGATGGGCTCCCCAGAGGAAGACTTGGCGCCTTCCTTCTCGCACACTTTGACACGCTCGGTCCACGCACTGGCATTCGATGCGGGCGCGAAGGCATTCGTGTCGCAGCCTACGAAAGCTTCGATACGGTTTGGATGTGAGAGTCCGATATTGAGCGCTGTCGCGCCGCCGAGTGAGACGCCGACTATCGACGCTTTCTTGACGCGGAGGGCATCGAGGAGGGTGATGACGTCTTTGGTGAGCGTGTCGATTGTGACTGGTGCGGTGGAATTAGGAGGGAGGGCGTTGCGGCCTCGTGTGTTGTATCGTAGGATGCGGTACTGGCTGTTGGTGATTTGCAAAAAGTGGCTTACGAAATCGTCCCAGATGCCGTAATCAACGAGTATGCTGTTGGAAAGAACTAGTAATGGCGGATTCGGATCGTCAGAACCTTCTAGTCGATAAGGAAGCTGCACGCCATCCGGGGTCGTGACGAAGCTTTCGATCACTGGCCTCTTCTCTGGTGTCTTGTGTGCGGGATGTGTCTTTGTTAGGCCTTGGACGAACTCTGTTGACAGGGCATCAGCTGAGGTGAGACTCTTCAGGTCGCGCGACGCAGGTCCAAATGTATAGTACAAGTCATATACCCTCCTGTTCCTCCCCTTTACGACATCTTTCATGATCCTACCGGCCCATTCGGTGCTAAGCGCCTTACGGAACTCTGGGCCTCCCAGTCCGTTCTGCGGCGCATATTCATGGAGCGCAACAAACTCCTTCTCAGTCTTATGTCCGCTCTCGAGATCCAGGTAACTCGTCACAAACCTCCTCGTCCTCCTCCAGCCAGGGACCTGCTGCAGCAGCGCTACGTGTTCATCTTCGTACCACTTCGACAACTCCTCTTCTTTCCCTTCACCATCCTGTAGTGTAAAGCTCACAGCCACCAGAACATTCTTCTCGCCCTCGCTCTCCACTTTCTGCAGGTCCTTGAAATCGTCACTTTTCCACTCATTCTGCAGATCATAGCTACGCCTGTCCACAAAAATCTGCTTCATGGTGTCGCGTTCCCTTTGCGACTGTACCGGTGCACTGCGGAGCTTGGTGTAAGGCTCTCTCGTCAGCCATTCCAGCTCGTCGAAATCGTAGATGGCCATCCATTCGGGCTTGTCCTTTGTGCCGGGCTGGCTCTCCAGGTCAGTGGCGCGGTAACGGAATCCATTGTTGCAGAAAGGGAGGCGTAGACGGTTCGGGCCGTGTTCGTTTTGGTACCTGAGTGCTTGGTGAGTGGACGTAACTTGGCCATGTTTGATAGGGTGTTCCATGTTCAGATGCGATCGTGAAGAGGAAAGAATCCGGCTGGGGGAAGGTCAACTTACCAATCGTGGAACTGCGCGTCTGGCAAACCCTCTTTGGGCTGCATAGTCACGTACAAAATGCCTGGTGTTGATTTGGACGCCATGGTGGGGGTTGGTGCGGGGTAAATCAGTGTCCAGCACTATGAAGCAATTCTGCGGTCTACACGATTCTATTTGAATTCAAGGGAGAAGGGACATGTTTAGATACGAATTGCGACATGCACGTACAGTAACCCCGATGCGATGCACAGCTCATCTTGGCGAAAGTTCTGGAAATGAGAGCATCCCCCGATGACATTTGCCGGCAGCCACTAATGCTAGGGGGCCGCGGCTTCGTGTTCCGAAGTCGGAAAGCACGCGTGTAGCTCACCAGGCAGCGCTAAATGCTACCCAACGTCTTGGAAACTTCTTGGGGAATTGCTTCAACTGCCGCTTGGGTGCTGATGAATTCCACACATGGGCCTCTAACTCATCTCCGCAACGACTAGGTAAATAGAGACAATGGAATTTGGCCAGGTTTTCAGTATTTATTACTACAAGTCGGCAAGCCCAAATACCAACCTATTTTCTATACTATGCCTGCTGCTTGGTGAATAAAACCGTGCAGCTGTCTATCCTTTCCATCATCTAAATTTCTAATCGTACCAAATAGCGTTCATGCCAAACCCCTTCTCCCCAACCTCTAGCCTCGCAACCCGTCCAAGAAACTCATCCTTCCACCTGTAAATCTCCACGCCGCCCTTCTCATCGTCTGTGAGTGCAAGCCACTCGTCGCTCCATGGACACGGTGCTACGGCATTGCTGTGCCCGCCCGATGTTGGTGTTGGGTTGAGACAGATTTGTCGCTCGATGGCTCCTGAAGGTGCGATTTTGAAGGCAGCAATGTAGCCAGTGAGGGAGAAGGAGTTGGATCGGGAAGTAGCGAAAAGGTACTGCGATGATTGCGTCAGGAAGCAGACGTCGGAGCGGTACATTGTTGTTGCGTTGGGGATGCCTGCGAACCATATCAGTTTGTATTACCTGTCAAAGTGCACTTTCAGGGACTTACCAGGCGGTATTAACGGGTAGGTCTTGTGAGTGTAAATCGGCAGCTTGGTCTGTGGATCAACCACATACTCACACAGCCGATTGCCCCCCTCCATCAACGCATACAGATAGTTCCCACTAGGGTGCATTTCCACCCAGCGGGGATGGTCCTTTGGTGCTGGGGCTTCCGTATAGCCTACTGTCTCCAGCCTGCCCTCGTCGTCGATCTTCTTGTGACACCATATCCGGTTGGCCCACATGTCTGCGCTGTAGAGATAGGCCTCTTTAGGATCGAAGACCATGCCGTGGATGGCGGTTTGTGGGCAGTATTCGAAGTTCTGGATGTTTTCCTTGATGTGGCCCGAGGGGTTGACGGAGAATACATTGCCATAGCCTGCGTGATCGTAGAATGGGTTGCAGTATACGGCGTATGGGGGCTTCTTTGCGGGAAGGAGGAAGATGGCGCGGGTTTTGGTGTCGGAGTCGTTTGCTCTAGCTGTAGAAGCCTGTTAATTGGTGGTCAAATATGAGAATGGAAATGGATGCGTACGATGTCCGCCTATTGGAAAGCTGCCTGTGTGGACGATGTCACTTGGGCTTTTGACTTGGTGGGAGCTCCATTTCTTCATCGACGCGCCGTATATGGTCTTCCTTTGATGCTATATTCCTAATTATTAGCTATTGCAGCTTGCAATTGATTTCGTGGAGGGCATACGTCAAAGGCCATCCAACTGATCGGCTCATCCTCAGGTATCTCGGTCTTCTTCACCAACTCCAACTCTAGTGTCTCATCGTCGAACGCGACCGTGATAATGACCCCTGGCGGCGTCCACGTCCCGATCATGAGATGGTGTTTGACCATATTGACGACTCCTTCTCTTCAAAAAGTTCGGGTCTTGTTCAACAAGTGATTCGTACGAGCACAATCACCAAATCCGAAAAAATCACATCATCGCCCTCCACAGCCAGGAACTTATTGCTCGATGGCGTCGCTAAACTTCCCGGGTCTGCCTCAAAGGCGGGGCACTGGCTTCGTGCCGCTAAAGAAGATGGAAGAGTGTCGGGTAAGCCTTCTTCCACAATGACCTCGCTATGATTCGCCAATGCCCCAAGCCAGTGCGGGGCAGCCATCACGATATGACCCAGCGTTCGGCACTACCGCTCACAGATGTTGAAAGCCGGTAGCAGCATGCCGCCACGCTGGATGCGCCGGCTAGCATCACGGGGATTGTTAAAGCTGTTAGTGCGGTTGGTTAGAACTGAGTAGTGTAGAGGGCAGTTATAAAGCCAATGGCTCTCCCAGCTCACGATACCAGCAATTCACTCATCCCTTACTACTTCATACAGATACCCTTTCTCCAATTTCCTCTCACACATTCATCATGACAGACCCTCAGACCCAAACTGCACCGCAGAACCAGAACAATGGCAAGCACCGCTTCGATCCTAACTTCACAGCCTCCGTCATCAACGCCATCGGGCCCAACACGCCAGATAGGACTCGCTTTGTCATGACGTCGCTGATCACACATCTGCACGACTTCATCCGCGAGGTCGAGCTGACCAACGACGAGTGGTTCGAGGGTGTCAGATTCGTCAACTCGATTGGCAAGACGACAACGAACACCAGGAACGAGGCACATCGCATCTCCGATGTCTTGGGCGTAGAGTCGTAAGTCAACTGCCACAAGCATGTCTCATCCTTACGACAAATGCTAACCACCCACTCCAACAGATTGGTTGACGAAATCGCACACATGCACATCAACGAGTCCGGCGAGACACCTACCTCTTCCACCATCCTGGGCCCCTTCTGGTCCCCGCACTCTCCCTTCCGCGACCTTGGCGACTCCATCATCCGCAACCCGCACGCCGATGGCCAAAAGACACTCATGCACGGCGTCGTGCGCGACCTAGACACCAAGAAGGGCATTCCAGGCGCAGTCATCGACATCTGGCAAGCGAGCGCGAACGGAAAGTACGATTTCCAGGACCCAGAAAACCAGGAGCCAAACAACTTGAGGGGCAAGTTCACCACGAATGAGAAGGGCGAGTACTGGTATTACTGCTACAAGCCGACGGCGTACTCTCTGCCTACAGATGGTACGTTTTGATTGCACCTCACTCATCAAGAAAGCCCAGCATGCTAATAATGTAACTACAGGTGCCGCAGGTGCACTCTTCAAAGCGCTCGACCGCCACCCCTTCCGCCCCGCACACATCCATCTCATGGTCTCGGCAGACAACTACAAGCCATTGATCACACAGCTGTACCCACGCGACGACCAATGGGTCAGCAACGACACGGTGTTTGCCGTGAAGGACGACTTGCTGCTCGACTTTGAGCCCAGCAAAAACCCAGAGGCCAAGCTGGATCTGGAATACAACGTCACCCTTGCGCCCGCAGGCAAGAAGACAACTCGATTGGAAGGAATTCCCCGGTTGCCAAATGTGTTTGACGAGCAGAGTCGGTTGTAGTTCGAATTGATCAATTTTTGGTGCGAAGGAGCATTCTGTTAGCGTATCATTACCGCTTTTTCTTTTCCTTGTAAAAACTGTGCGCGATGCAGATTCGTTCTTTGTAGGGAATGAATCCACCAGTTTGACTGAGACTTTTTTAATCAATGTTTTGGATGAGCACGTGGGGATGCGTTGTGAAACTTCTCGGCGCCTTTTCGAAACGCCGTTTTGAAAACGACTTTGGGGGTGTTCCTGGCTGAGCTGCAGCAGAAATCGTACATGCGTGCAATGTATCACATGAACAGGATAGAGCCTGAGCTGAGAATCAAATATTTTAAGAGCTACTGTGACAGATACTAATGATACCGTTACATAGTCTTGAGATGATTTCGCCCACCCGCGAAACAATTGCCTAGAATCCAAAGATGCTATTCATTCCCGGAAACCAGCGCTACCTCTCAAACTCCACTATCTTCCTACTGGCATCACTCCCTGTCCTGCTCCTCCCCGTCTTCGCCTCTTCACTCGCACCACCCGACGAGGACAGTTCAAGCGGCGCATCACCCTTCACCGCGTCCACACCCGCCGTTTCCGCACCCTCCAGCAAATCCGCATCCTTCGCATTGCCTCCCTCCTCCTCTTCATCGTCATCCTCCCTCCCATGTTTAGCCTCTTTATCCAGTTCTTTCTGCGCCTCATCATACCTCCTTCTGACCTCTGCAGCAACCCTCATACCATCATGCACAATATTATCTAGCATACCCCTGATTCCCTTGCCAGGCGGTACAACACCGACACCGGCACCGCCCACAACGCCACCCATCCCTCCTGTGCTAGCACTTCTTCCAGCATTTGAGAAAGTGGTGAGATTTAGGGAGCTCGATGATGAGGGGAGTGTTTCGTCGGCAAGGCGGAAGGAAGATGAGAAGCCTACTTCGAAGAAGTGTTCCAGTACTTCATCGGCCAGGATGACCATGCGGAAGGTGGGGAGGGTGATATATAGGGGTTTATTGGGGTCAAGGGCCAGATTTGCTGCTTTTGCTTTTTCGTTGCGTTCTGGGATGTCAGACTCGGTTGTGTGGTTTGATGGTGTTGGCGATAGGGGGTTCTTGTCGAATTTGGTGGAGGTAGCTTTTGGTGTGGCGGGTGTGGAGCCAAAGTCTATAAGGTCGTCCTCGTCTTCGTCGCCGATTGCGAAATTATCTATGCCCTCCTTCGCTTCGTCTACAGCTTGACTACCCTGGTTCGAAAGGTGGTCTGGGTCAGCATATTCAAAGCATCTCCGGATGAAGGCTGAGACGCTGCTCAAGAACTGTTCATCGCGGTTGGCTCGATCCGAGCTTGCCTCTGAGCCCACATCAGTCGATGTAGAAGATGAGCTCAAGTCTCGGACGCCTCTCCGTGATAAGAACAAAAGAGCCTCGGAGATCCTCAGTATGCCCTCGCGGTCCACTCTACCGTCGCCGTCGTCATCGTAAAGCTCAAAGAAATAGCTAATATTAGACATGATGTCCTTTGTGCCTTTGACATGCGCGAAGCCCGTTACTACGTTCTGTAAAGATAGTGAGTCCGTCATGTCGGCATCCCATCTTCGGAACAGTCGTCGCATGAATTCGTGTTCTGCTGGTTCAGGGCCGGATCCCCATGGAGACATAGGGGGTCGACCTCTTGTGCTATTTCCGAAATATGAATGTGGAGATTGGCTGCCATTGACTTCCGGTGAAGAGCTTGGAGAGTCAGTAATCGCCCACTTAGCGATTCCTAGAGCTATTGTCAGCCGAATAGTCCTCATGTATCTGCATTTGTGGCAGCTTACCAGCTAAAAACTCTCTAAAGGCATCATAGTCCATCTGGGTCGGACTCAGTCCAACCGCTACCCTTCCTTTCTCTGCGCTATTGCCCGAATGGCCAGTGACTATCTCGGTCGCTTTCATTCTACTAGCCTTTGCTTTCCTCTCCGCCTCCTGCTGCATGATCTCTGCTCTTTGTTGTCGCTCATACAAAACAGCGTAGAACTTGTCGTATAGAAATCCTAGATCATTTACACTCAGCTTTTTGCTTTCTGGACCAAGATTTCTGATTGATGTGCGCTTAGCGAAGCTTTCGATGTTTTCGAGAACTGCGTCTTTATGTTTCGCCCGTTGTTCTGATATAGTGTTCTGGGTGATGCCGGCAAACTCCTTGAATGCTACTACCATAAGCTCTTGGAACCGCGTGACGGCTCGCAGCTTGGGGTTCTCCGATTTCGGGTGGGCAGACTCATCTAGCCTTGAAAAATAGGTCTTCAAAACGGAGATGAAGGAGCCGTCGTCGGTAGCATCAAGCAGCTCTTCACCGTTGATTCGGAGAATGGCAAGCCCAATTTGGAATAGTACCTTGGGACCTTCAAGAAAGAAGACGTCTAGAACGCGAAAAGCAAATATCAGGGGCATTGAGTTGATATAGAGCGAAAGAAACCAAGGTAGTGAAACAACGGATAGCTGAACATCGGACTTCACCAAATGGTCCCATAATATGGGCATAGTCTTTTCCACGAGCGACTCGAACACTTTTTGATCCAGCAGGGTCCCGTACATGGTTTGTGAGTAGTAACCTGGTAGGAGGCGATCACACAGCACAGAGAGCAGGTAGAACGCCTGGCTTTCGGACAGATATCTTGTTCGGTTAGAATCGAGCAGTTGTAGGTCAAGGGATATACATACATCAACAAAGCTGCTACAACAATGTTCATTGCCTGGCAGTAGCCAACCTCTTCGTTTGTCCAGCTGTACGCAGTCAAGACCCTCCGCAGCCGACCGATGCCCTCTTCGCTTTGGAAGCCTGGATACTCCGGCAAGCTTCTGTTCAAGTCCTTCTCGATCTCGTCGATGGCAAGGGACTCCCGTCCTGAGAACTTTGCTAGGGTTTCGGTGTATAGGTTTGGACTCTGTAGGCGCAGGAAGAACGCTCCTGATGTGAGCTCCCACATCTCGCCTCGTAATCGATTAGGTAGTCCGACGCGGATGAGCTTGTGGAAAGTGGGTTGGCGAATGAGGGTTGCGCTTCGTCCATTGTCTAGCATGTGTTAGATCCGCATCGTCGTGCACATTAAATTTTACTCACCTCGCAGATATTCGCGCCATAGTCGTATCTTAGTCGCATCCCTCAGCTTTCGAGCATTGCCCGGATACCGGAACACCATGCCTAGGCCGGTATCCGGATGCTCCCGCTGTGGTTTCGCATCGTCTCCCGCCGCCTTCTTGACGTCGGCGTCAGAGAGCAAGTATTCAGAGTAGCAGTGGCCGACCACTCTCCGCAAGTTCTCCACCTCTTTGACGCCCTCCCTCAATCCTTTCTTGAGGCTATCGCAGAAGCGCTCACAGGCTTGTCGCGACCCGGCAAGCTGGATCGTAAGCTTCTGGCCTGCAGGCGCCTGCGATTTTGAGTCTGGAACGCCATTCCACGTCGTTATAGCTAGAGCAAACATGTAGCTTTGACTATGCAGCCGTTCTACCCTGCGGATGCCGCATAACGGCAGTGTGAAGCCGTTTCCCGCTGGGCCTGCTCCATGCGTCTGCCCGGTGAAGCTGCTAGAAGCGCTTGAGCTGGCGGTGCTGACAAAGCTCGAGCCTTGGGTCGAGAAACAGAGATACTGCTCGCTGAGGTGCAGCTTGCCCACATAGTGATTGCCCTGGCTGCGCTCCTTCTCGGATGTGACGTCGCCGGTGCCCCTCGTAGAATGGTGGGGCTGCAGTGTAAGTTCAGCGGTGATCTCTTGGAGCGGGTTTTGCGAGTCAGGAAGGCGGAATTGATAGCGGAAGAGGGTGGATTTCGAAGGCCTACGGTCGGTGGTTGCAGGCGCAGCGATGGTGTTGAGCGTGGGCTCGATGTACTGCTGGGCCTTCTGCACCAGATTGCTGAGGTGATACATGGCTTCGGACCGGCCAAAGGTGTCAAAGGAGAGTAAGCTATGCGGTAGCAAGAGTGGTTTTGTGCTTCATTGCGTGGAGAACAGCAGCCATTCGTGCTGGTTAGCTCGCAAGGAGTACGGAACGATATGCAGGGCAGGGCTGAGCTGGGGTCGAGGTGTCGCACCTACCTTTTGGGCCGTGCGCCTGTGTGGCTGAACTGTGGAGTGTCTCGGCAAGCAACGAAGACAATGACGTTTTCAGAGAGACAAGTTAAAGACTGTCCCGAGCACATAATTTGAAGTGAACGTGGATACGTTTACAAGCAATTAATTACGAGGGGACACTAAAGCCACTTTTTGTGAATTCTCTACGAGTGCAGCAACGTTGGATCTATATTCGCACGCGCCTGCTCACCCTCTTCGCCGCCGTCTATTCCCATTCTTGATCCTGAACCTTGTCATGACTTACGTACAAGTATACGCTCCGTCTACTCTCAGATCCGCGCCCTGGGACAGTGTCAGCAAAGCAATGTTTTGATTTGGGAGGTGACTTACATTGACGTAGAGACTAGCGTCGCTAGAGAGGAAGGTAACGGCACCCATCAAATCCTCGGGACGTCCCATTTTACCGACGGGAATCAGAGAAGTCCACTGCTTCTGAAGGTCTGGGTTATCGTCAAGGATCTTCTTTGTCCTGAAAACATGTTAGAACGGAAAGCTTCATCCCGACTTTGGGATCACTCACAGTGCCGTAAGCATGTAGCCAGGGGAGATGCAGTTCACGCGGATACCTGCGTGTGCCCACTCGACCGCCAAACTGGATGCTAGATGGCGGACGGCAGCCTTGGCCGCGTTGTACGGGGCCTGTGGCTGTGGAACATTCACAATAGCGCCAGACATGCTACCAATCATGACGATGCTTCCCGGTGCCTTCCTCTCCATGAGGTGCTTCGCCACGGTCACGGCATATAGATAGGTACCATCAACGTTGACCCCCCATAGCTTCTGCATGCGGTCGTGTGGGTAGGAGATGGCATCGTAGTTCTCCGTAAAGCCAGCGGAGGTGACGAGGTTGTCGACCTTGTCGTGGAGTCTGAGGATCTCGGCGAATGACTGGTTGACTGACGTGGGGCTGGAAACATCGCAGAAGTGGGCAGTGACTTTGGGAAGCCTAGGGGTTCGGTCAGTCGTCGTAATTAGTTGCGAGAATTCGTGTATGCTCACTTGTCTGTCCCTTCATTTTCCTTCTGGAAGAGTTCAATCAACCCTTCTGCTGACCGCTGTGCTTCTTCCCTGTTCATGTCGACAATTGCAACATCAGCTCCCGAGGTGACCAGGGCCTGCGCCATGACCAAACCCAGACCTCGAGCTCCGCCAGTGACGACGGCCGTCTTGCCCTCGAGGGAGAACGAGGCCAGGGTCCTCTTAGCATGGATACCTCCTCTGCCCTGCACTGGCTGCGAAGGAGGGAGATCCTTCTCCTCGGGGTACTCTACTTTGATGTCTTGATTTGTTCGTGCAAACTGGCCCTCATGGTCACCACTTTCTCCAGGCTCGGCCGCCGTTGTGTAAGCGTTGTGCTCGTCCTCGGTGCTCTTGTCAAAGCGGCTGGGGGCAGAGGTAAAGTGTCGGATCGAGGCAACCGCTGGTCGTGCTGGTCGGACCGCTGCTCGCGGAACTTGGGCCCTGGTCGCACGCGCGACGTGACGCATAACTTGTGACTTGAACATGGTTGGGGAAAGCAAACAGGCTTGCAATTGGGGTGGAAACTGCAGTTTCGATGCAGGGGGGTTTTCGCTTTATAAGAAAGAATGCAGGCGCCCAGGTATCGTGAGTCGCAAGGCTGAGTCTAAAGACTTTTAGGATGCGCCTCGAGGCGATGCTGAAGTGTTCGGGTCGCTAAACGTCGGCTCGGAAGCTGAATCAAGTAGACAAAAAAGCAATTGGATCAAGAGTGAGCATGTCACGATGTCGATGCGGCGCCGCAAGGTATTTTAAAGCATTTTAAAGCTCTCAGGAGCTCCAGCTTCGTACCCCCACCGAATGTCTTCAGCGGCTGAGGTCGATGACGCACGTCCAATGCAGGGAGAGCGTTGGCGGGCTCAGAAAGGCGAGCGATCAGCCCTGCATGTCCACAGGCTGGCTTGTCCTCTATCATCGTCTCCTCTTTTTCTTCACGCCGTCGTCTTCCGTCCCACTCCCACGAAAAATTGTGGAGAGCGGTGAGCTACTGATTGTCACACGCGAGGACAGTTGCTGCTCGAAGCTTGGTCACCACCACCACCACACCTATTCACGACCCCCACAAAGTTCGGCCTTTCCCCGACCCACTCCACGCGTGTTGAAGCTTCCCGTGCCACAATTACTGGTTGCAGCGCTTCCAAGCATCAGCTAGTGTATGATCTACTCTCATCTTGTGTCTCCATGTGCAACCAGGCGACCTCCTACATGCTTCAAGTACTTCCTGCCGCCGTTGCTAGACCTTGCTTTGTGTGATCATTCCCACCCAGCTTTGACTTGCTGACTGACACACGCCTACTCAGCACCGAGCCGAACCTACAATGTTTGAGCTATACCTCCTCACCTTCAACTGTGCACGCGCACTCGTCGACCCCCAAGCCCTGGCGCCTTCCCTGTTCGACGCCTTACCCAAAGCCGCCCCGCTGCCTGACTTGGTCGCTATATCACTACAAGAGATTGCCCCCATCGCCTACTCGTTCCTCGGAGGATCATACCTCAAGCCGTACTTCGATCGCGTTACTACTACTGTCCAGCTTGCCGCACATCTGCACAGCAATGGCAGCGAACAGCTCGAGCATATTGCAACGCGGAGCCTGGGCATGACAGCGCTTATGATATTCGCCAAGCCTAAATTCGCCGAGCGGATACAATGGATACAATCAGCAGGAGCCGGTGTCGGATTCTCTAATATGGGCAACAAGGGCGCTATTGCAATGCGGGTTGGCCTATCCTGCCCAGGCACGGACGATCTGCTGCATCTAACTTTCGCGGCAGCCCATTTGGCACCCATGGAAAGCAATGTGCAGCCTAGAAATAAGGACTGGGAAAACATTGTGCGAAATCTCGTATTCGTGAACGGTGATGAGTCGGCATACAGCTCAAGTGAAGAGACGCCGCTGCTTGTTTCATCGGGTGACAAACCAGCGGACCACAACGGTCTCTTCACCGCTGGCAATCACGTCTTTTTCTATGGCGATCTGAATTATCGAACGCATGACACGCCACCAGGAGATGAAGATTACAAGTCCTATCCCCAACCCACAGCATCTGAGTCGTCGCCTTTGCATTACTCACAGCTATTGGAAAACGACCAGTTGACGAGGGAAAGGCAGGCGAGTCGAACACTCCACGGTTTTGAGGAACTGCCTATCAGCTTTCCGCCCACATACAAATACTCCACGTCCCACGCTGTGAAGAGCTCCGATGACGAGAGGTGGGAGTGGTCCAAACACCGGTATCCTTCTTGGTGTGACCGAATACTATATCTACCATCTCTCTCTTCGTCCAAGTTCGAGCCGCAGATCTACACAGCTCTCCCTGTGCAGAACACCTCTGATCATCGGCCAGTAGCCCTGTCGCTACGTATTGACGACAAACCTATTCCTCTAGATCCAGATGATATTCGCTCCCAGCCTCCGTTTCCAATCAATCCGCAGTGGAAGGCCAGGAGGGATGCCGCTCGACGCTGGGAAATCATTGTTGGGATACTATCATACCTCACTCTGACCGGCAAGGGCAACGCAATTCTCGTCACTGGCGTTGGTGCACTTCTGGGCAGCCTGTGGATAGCTGGGTGGTTGAGCAGATGATGCGCCGTGTTTGGATACCGTCTAGGTTTCACAAGATTGATTTATCCTTTGCTCTACGTGACTCCCTACACCTCGGCACCATTGCTCTCTGAGCCACTCCATCGAAGTTGCTGTTGGCCATCCCATAGCGTTTACTTCTTCAAGAAATTCGATCATGTTGCATTGATCCAGGCTATCCTGCAGTACCACGGCGAACTTGTGGATGGCGTGAGCTGCTATTAATGGTGCGGACATCGCATGCGCGTTGCATCGAGCAATGGCCATCATTTCTATCAGCCCTTTCAACACTGCTTTCCTCGTGGGCGCCGTAACGTCAGCTAATTGCACCTCGTCATGCTCAACCTCTGGGGAATTGGTCGCCAGCGCCATGCGACAAATACGCAAGTGTTGGTGAGCGTCCGCTACACAAGCCATGAGTAATGAATTTTGCAACGTTAGAAGTTGCACTCACCGTGGCATGGGCTCGCGAACCATAGCTCTGGCAGATCTCTTGCAAAGTCTAGGTTCTCTTCTCGACAAAAGAATGCGTCAAAGCTCATCGGTCTCTCCCTTTCCCACGCATCTACCAAGTTTGTCAGTTGGTGCCAAGTTTCTGTAGTGCGCAAGCCCCTCTCAGTCCATTGTAGGATGCGCGCACACAGCCACACAATTCGATTTCCCCAAGCCACGTCGTCGGATGGTGATGCCAGGAAAGGGAAGGGAAAATCGCGGTAGTCGATGCGCATGCTTGGCCGATTCAGTAGCCCGTGGAAGATCTCGAAATGCACATGCACCATGAAGCATGCTTGTACGACAGGTTTCGACATGTCAAATAGCCAGTAATTGGGGCCCTGGAACAATTCCAACGTGGAAAGCATTTGCTGGCCTTGTGTTCCAGCTATACAGAGTCAGCGATTTAACCTACACGCGGAGCTTAGTCCTTCACTTACCATGAAATTCTTCGAAACTCCTGAGCAGCATCGCAGCTACCAAGGTCGCTTCATCATCAATCCTCCCTCTTTCCGCCAAATAGGGTATGAGCTGTTGTAGTATCCGCTCATGGTACATGTATGGTCTTGCTGGGAAAGCAGGATTAACGCGTTGTATATGCTGCGCCGATATCATGAAGATGGCGTTCATCAGCATGGCGTTACTAAGCGCAAGTTTCGGGACGACCTCTCTAAAGATATTGTGTGAGCTGGTAATATCCCACCATGCCGATGCTTTGTCTATCCAGAAGCGGAAAAGGTGGGCGTCAATAGGGTTTTCTATGGGCCATGCTACCCCAGGAGCTTGCGTGGTTGTGGGCAATGAGAGGTTGGTGAGCGAGAACGGGGAAGGAACATCGTCGCGCCAACTAGAAGGTGAACTTTCTTCATGGCTGTAAGCTGATCCAGGCGCAGGGCTTGTGTGGTAGCGAGGATGGGATGGGATCTGCCAGGGGCTGCTTGAGACTGTTCTCATTGCTGTAGGCACGGCTCCTTGATCGGTCGAGGGAACCCCTACCGAACAAAAACTGAGCTCCGTGGTTCGAGGGCTTCGCCGCGATGTAGCTCGTGGTATCCTCTCGTTTCTCCCTGGTCGAACTAGAAGTCTCGATGAGCTTCGAGATCTCTCGCTCGATCCACCTCCACCTCTACCTCCATTTACAAAGTCTTCGGTGACTTGCGCAGATTCATCGACAAAGTTCACTTCGACCTCGTCAGCACATGGAGCAGTCCTCAATTCAAGCAAAGGAAATGTGCAACATACCTTTCCCCGGCATACCGACCCACACCTGTCCGCCTCCAAAGAAGTACTCGTACTTCTTGATATCTGCTCTAGTAGCTTGGCCTTCCGGATTCGGATATACACCATGTCGGAATCTGACCCTGTATTTGGGCTTCTTTGCCTTTTCTTTTCCGCCTGAGGAAGCATCTGAATATGTACGATACATTGGAACAGCTTGTAGTCCAATTCGGTGATGTCGACCAAATTCAAGACCCTTGGCGTTGCAAATTGTGGAAGTTTTCCTCGTAGCTGTTGCACCTAGAAGGGGATATGTACTCCATTGCTACAGTTGTTCCGGAGATAGGCTACCCATTCCGCAGGCGATCGCTTTTCTACTTGCGGACGAAGGGCGTGGTGATGAGAAGAGCAGGCTGATTCAGCGCGTGTGTGGGTGGTATGGCACAACAGGAAATGCGAATCTCATTGGACAATTTGGACAATTTGGACACAGGGACACACCATTGATGTAAGCCACGACGGCCATGCCTCCGCTTCCGCTCTCAGCTATGTGAACAGTGCCGCTGTGCCTTCCACACCACGGAGATACGAGAGATGGGTAGGGCTGATAGGGCTGATGATTGCTCGATGCGGCTGATGCCTAATGAGCCATTTGTTCTAGAAGCTTTGGCGACTACATCAGTAAGCAACTCCCTGTCCCCGAGCATGTGTTCACTCTTCTTCCTGAGCCCGTGCGTTGCAGGTGTTCAGCTTTGTCGTACTATAACTGGTAGATATTCCAGGAGCCATGATTAGTTATAGGATCTAAATTCGGAGCCTATTGGTATTGCATTCAGATTGTAAGGCAGCTTGTGCGACGCCCGGGCACGAAGAGCTCAAATGCCGTAGCGCACCCAACAGAATGCCGCACATGCTTTATCAGAAAGCTCTCTTGTATTGCTCTCGCAAAAGATGTGCGCTAAGCAATGATCAGAGTTCGTGATTGGGTGTGCATGATCCCTTATTGGCGGAACTGCATCCTACTGCAATCGATGCCAAAAGCAAAAACTACCGTGTTAGGAAGTAATGTAGAGCGCATCATGAATGCAAAATTCCGCATACTTCCAACCAGAAGTAGCATCCAAGGGTGGCTCTTACACTACTTCCTATCAGGAAAAATATTCCTCAGTCAGCACTTGCCAATATTACAGCCACGTGATTCGTCTTTCACCCATGCTGTTGACATAGGCGGTAAACGAGCACAACATTTGCCGTTCAGGTGCCTTGACGTACACGTACATAACGAACCCCTCAAAAACGATACCAAGTGTCACCAGGTCAGATCTGATCAAGTCTCAGCGGTCCAGACCGCTCACCTCTTGTTCAACGGGCCCGCTCGAATGACGTCGGAATACGAGCGTCCGGGCGCGCTCCGTCAACCGTGCTCGTCCGTTTCATGAATTTACAGAACCTGAACCTGAACCCTTGGATGAGGCGATGACGCTAAATTTAGGGGAATACCGGGGTGGCTGAAGAACTTCTTTTCTAAGCGAAAAGCATGTCAATCAAAGGGTCTGGAATCGATGGAAAAGTGGAGCTGAGTGTCGGGGGGATCCTGAAGCATTGTGCGGTGTGAAGGTTCAAGGCTGGGCTTTCATATTGAGAATGGTTTAGAGTCTTGTTAAAATCTGTGTGTTGCGAAGGGATTAGAATAAAAATACTACAATCGCAAACAAAATGTGTACTGAGAGTATTTCTTGCTAAATGCGATTTATGTTTACCGTGTATTTATTGGGGTCCAGATGTCACTACGCTTTGTGGTTTTGTTCTATTGCATTGCCAAATGTCCGAAGTCGCCACGGGAGCCCTGCTTCCCAACTATTGGACTCTTATCACTCAATGAGAGGTTACGGAAAAGGACACGTCTTGTGTCCTTTTGGGAGTTGCATAGTACATGCAGGACGTGCAGCCGCTGCCCGACGCAGATTTTTGTGCCCGGGATACAACACAACCCTTTGGGATATGGTGGGTAGGAGTGCAGTCGACGAAATCCCCCTCATCGAGATATGGTTGCATTGGCATTGGTAAATACACTGCGACTGGCCATGGTCGGCTACTTCATCGTGATCGCGCCTCGGTATTCGCGGCCACTATCCACATCTGCAGCACCACAAATGCAAGGCCCTCGTACGCATGCTCCCAATTTGCGACCACAGTCCCATTCGGGCCACCACCTAAACCCAACTTCTCCAAGAACCTCACCCCGCTTCACGATAGCCCGCCAATTTAACCCCACTCCTGTATTTCAGTCGCGTGCATGACCTGGATGCCTTGATCGGGTTGCGTCGGGCCAACCAGTGCAGCCACAACGTCATTGCGCAGCGGCTGCTAACGCTTCGCGTACACAATGTCGCGTGCGTTGATTGGCTTCTCGTGCCTGATGCTCGATCTCCAGCGTCGAGTCCGATTCATCTGAGAGTATCATTATGCGCATCTGGATCGATGTGGAGCAAGGACATCAGTTTCTACTCTGGACACGGACCTTGGCGGCAGCATTGGGCTAAGGGTCCAAGGAAATTAGGCATGGAAAGTTTTCTTGCGACCTGCGATGCCCTGCATGGGCCTGTAATTTTCTCTGATGCGGGTCGTGTGAGGGACATTTATTTTCCGGAGTGGACTCGTGAGGGTCTGGTCACTCCAGAACGTTTCTTTGCAAGGGTGTCGCGATAGGGGGGGGGTTGAAAGTGGGGCTTGTAATGGTATTACCATGTCTGGTGTCTGTCTCACGTATTCTGCATCTGCTGCGAGCTTGACATCAAGAATGCGAGCTGCGAAAAATGCATATCAGCGATGATAGGCTGTAGCGAAGAAGATTGGAGTGATGTTGCTTAATTGATCTTGTATTGAGCTGCCAATATGTATCTCTCTTTCTCATATGTACTCTTCTCGTCACCAAGTACTCTGCGCATGCTGCCGGAGCGGTATATGTGCGCCTTCATATGTCTAAAGCGACAATTGTAGCTCTTTGCCAGCGCCTGTGCAATCCGTATTAAAAAGTAGAATAGTGGTATATGGAACACGAAAACGCAAAAGCCCATCCCATGTAAATGCCGGTTCAAAGTCCTCCGATGCTACCTATGATAGCAGAAGTCGAATGGTATTGGAGAAAAAATGGTGTTCAATGATTAACACCGTCGCTAAGTCGATACAGGTTCAAAAGATTCGTTCAGTTTCGTATTTGTGTGTTGATCGTGACCAAGCTCAGATGGTCGGCGGTCATTGAGCCTTTTGCGACTGCGAGTTGAGTTGCGAGAGTGAAGCAAAGGAATTGGTCATTGCTGAGTAGGCTGCTGATTGGCGTGCATTGACTGATGGCATCGAGGTGGAGTTGGTGGTGCGTATTGATTGAAGGTTGAGCGTGACGCAGTTCTCGCATCGACCGCCCGAGGCATTGCAGCGACCTCGGCATCCGCGTTCGTAGTTGACGCAGGAGAACATTGTGATGATGGTGCCGAAGGTTGTTTGGTAGGTAGAGATTGTGTGGTGTTGTATCGTATTGCAGGCCAGCGTTGTATAGGTTTGGTGGTAGAGAAACCTATGGCTTGAAACTTGTAATGTCTTCGGAGTCGAAACAATACTCCTGGCGAGGAAATGCACTGCAATATATGCGCTAGGACCGTGATGCCCGATGATGTCGTGGCTACGGCTGTCAAGGATGCAGGGTGAATTTTAGTGTGCTCTGGCCGGCAGTCACAACCTTAATCACAGGTAGCGCGGATGTATGTCGGCGTATCTTGGTCGTATTCAAAGTGCTACCCTGACAGGTTCTGACCAATAGCCGTATAGGTGTATCGTTCGGGGTCAAAGTGACAAAGGAGGAACGTGGAGTCGCGTGTTGTCAACGTAGTTTGGATAGGAGCATGCTTTAGGTTTATATCTCGTAACTTGGTGGAAAGAGATGAGTATGTGACACTGGATACCGCCCTTTTGAATCATTCCGACAATGCCGATATGGTCAGAAGATTTAAGAGGGTCGTGGATCTTGCGCGGTCCACAGCTCCGAGTCTAGACTACCAGGTTTGTTGGCCAGTGCGCCTCCTACTCACCACCACTCAGGGATCTTACGGACGTACAGCCCTGATCATTTTCGCTCCCATATACATGATACATTGAACTTAAGTACCGAAGCTACAGTCAGTCCTTGCCAAGGACCCCCATTCTCGGTCCGTTAATACCGCCAATCATTGCCTACGCGGAGGCTGAGCCGCCGTTTCTCGTAGTTTACACAAATCTGCAAAACAGCATAATATCACATCAGCGTGCGGAGAAATGACAACTCAACCCGTTCTAGACAACCTGGCCATTACTATGGAGACTAGGAGAGCCCAATTAATCGTTTATCACTCGAACATCTTCATTGGGTACCGAGATCGTCAGCACCCAACGGTCTGAAAGCAACCCAAGAAACCACTCGCGACAACTTACATATGGCTCTCGCTACGCTACATTTCAGCCTTCTGCAATACGTGTTCGCTTGCTGTTAGCTTACTCGGAATGGACTACAATGAGCATCTACAAGAGGTGGTCCAAACCTGTGCGTTATTTGCATTATATTCACCCAATGCTGCCTAAAGTGCTCAATCATTCCTGCGTGCCCAATCTAGGATATGCACAGACATGCACAACAAGACGTTGGACGCAACTCCTGTCGAAATAGTGCTGGGCAATGCGCTTTCACACAATCACGTGAAATTATCGCAAGACATTCGTCGCACGCAATCCTCTCCCGGCATTTACAAGCATCCGTTCTCCGAAACATTTTGATCCACACACGAACTCACCGTTCGTTGACCCTCCGCCCTTTTCTAGTTGTACATTTAGCTCTGCCGAGCCATCCGACGGCGTTACGTTTAGGACCGTTAGTTTTAGCTTTCTGGTTCGACTGTGGGGTATACCACTTCGAGCTACCAGTCTAGAACTTCTACAATTCCACCCACGCATGGAATTCGAGCTTCCCGTCGGATTAAGCTTTCCAACTCGCGGTAAACCTGAAAATCAACGGATCGTATAAATCGGTTCCAGCAAATCAAAGGAGCTAAGACGCTGGAAGCTTGACGCACCCTCAGGATTTTGCTGATGACCGAGATATCTGCGACAATTTGCGATCTGGTTGATGCTGGATGCTAGCTGCTAAAGGTTGCTTCTCTCAAGTTTTCTTGATCGATCGTTATACTCCGAGCCGCTCTCGTCAGATTCAAGCGCACGTGGTTCAGTGGAGCGCGTGTGGTCCCAACAGCTTTAACGCCGCAACTGCAAACTCCAACAGAATCGGGTAGACCCGGGTTTTCGTCATTATGATCATGTTGATATGGCAGCGAGCCCCGGAACTGGCACTCTGGAAGCTTCTCTTATTACCCACCGATTGATAACAACGTGATGTCACTTTCCCGAAGAAGTAGTTTTGAACAAGACAAACATTAAACACATATGGTCGATTACGGTTTATCGTAAAGGGCAGACCCGTGTTGACTCCGATCCCGCAGTTATAGACCGCCATCCTGCCCGTACACATCAAAGCTGACCGTCAGAGCGATGTTGCAAAATCTCCAGGCAACCTTCATCATATTGACCCCGGAGACGAAATGCCAATATGAGGCCATCTTCAGTATCTTTCCTAGATGTAAACCTTTTGAGCCCTTGTTGTACAAAAGTTAGTCTATTGACGGCAGAGGACGTTAATTAGGCATTATAATTCGAAATACATTGTGCCTTTGTCAGCGCTAGTATAGGGCGTTACACGGGCGGTTATCCTGATGTAGCAGCTGGTGTCTGTCTTCAGTCTGCCTTTCGATCAAGTGTCTACACATGTGTTGGCTACGTGGGAACTGCCTAGCTATCACAGGATGTGGACGCTTACTGTGGTTATATCATTCGCCAAAAGGCGTAAATCTCTCGAGCACAGCTTCAGCCTCCTTTAGCTCCCTCTCCAGCACCTGCCTATGTGCTTCACTCCTGACGATGATCGCGCATGGGAACTTCTGTGGCCGGATATTGAATCCCTCGGTATATGCAAAAGTATCGTAGTTCCTTCCCTCGACGGGTAGAATATCAAACGCCCAAATGATCTTCGCCAACGCAATGAATAAGCTATTCGCGGCAAGATCGGCACCTGGTGCTACATTAGTACTGAAAAGTCTATGTGGTAACGAGTAAGCTCACCTGGACATATACGTCGTCCCCATCCGAAGGACGAATGCCCGGCTTTCGCTGGGTGAGGTTTGCCTGTTAACGATGTTGGGGCTTTGGACCTCTCAGCAAGCGCCACATCGAGGAAGCGCAATGGATCGAAACGGTGTGGATTGGGATAGTATGCTTCATTCAAATTTATGGCCCACGAGTTGCCGAGGATTGTAGTGCCGGCCGGAATGTAGTAGCCTTCGTAGTGGTCGTCTTCCGTAGAGGCATGCGGTGTGCCTCCAAGGACGGCAACGGGACGCCAGCGCAAGACTTCTTTAACGAGGGCACGGAGGTACGGTAGTTGCGATTCGTCATCAAATATCGGCGTCCGCGTGGATCCCACGACAGCATCAAGCTCCTTCTGAGCAGCACGCAGGGTCTCAGGGTGGGTGACGAGTGCGAGAAAAGCAGTGCATAACGTAGAGGCTGTTGTGTCGGATCCCGCGCCAAACAGAGAAGCTGGAATGTAAGAGAAGTCCCGGTCTGAAAGGGGAATATGTTCTCTCTCGCGCAGCTCTAGGAGTAGCTTGCAGAGAGAGTCTGGGATATCGTCGCCTCGAGTTCTCGCTCGTGCCAGATCGGATTGAACAACATTTACTAGGGCCATGTTCGCCGCCGCTTCTTCTCTCCCACGCCTTTTAATATCCACTTTCCAGGGTGCGAGGAAATCCGGGATGTGCTTCAAAACCGGAAACGACTCGACCATGTATTTGCCAGGCACATTCAATGACGACGCGTAATGCATGAACTTGAAGCGCTGGTGAATGACCTCAGCATTGAGCGAGTCAATGCGGTGACCATACGCGACGCAGAATACAATGCTCGATGTGAAGCGTTCAAGGAGCTTCTCCCAGTTTGTCGGGCTTTGGAGGAGCTGGCAGCATAGCCGTGACGCCTCGGCTGTTTGTACCGGCTTGTACAAGCGGAGGGCCTTTGGCGTGAGGGCCTGATGTAAAAGCTTCCTCCTAACGCTCCATTCCTTGCCATACGGTTGTACCAGGATACTCGCGCCATCCCACAGTATCTCTCCCATAGCCACCATACGCGGTCGCGACGAGTACTTTGTACTTCTCTTCTCCATCAGTTCTACGGCTATATTCGGGTCTGAGACAACGATTGTAGGCTTCCGACCGATCCAAATCGTGAAGATCGGGCCGTAGACCTTTGACCACTCTTGGAACTGTATCCATGGCTTCGTTTTGGGTAGACCGAATTTATTGCCGACGAATGGAAGTGGCGTCGGGCCTGGGGGCATTCGCAGCCATATCCAGACATCGCGGAGGAGTGTTACGACAGGTACGGCGAGGAGAAGGGAGAGCCAGACATATGCTGGCAGCTGTAGTAGGGCCTCTATCGCCATGTTAGTACACTTGCTCGGGGGCCAGAAAAAAGGATGCGATAGAGAGAGATGACAGCAAGAAAGCATCTACTTACACATTGAGATTCGGGCGATCCTACTGCCTCCAACGTGGCGTTCGGCAGTTGTGTAGCTCGCTATTGTTGTTCCGCATACCTGACGTGAGGAGGATGTGGGGTTAAGGTTCCCGAATCAGGTCACAGCGCTGTAGGGCGCCACATTACGCTTAGCTGCAAGACTTGACAATTGTTGCTTAGCCATCTAAAATAGCAAAAAAGTGCATTCGACTTGGGCTTCTTGTTGCAGACAAAATGTTTTGCGCCGGCCCGCGCGGTGTTGGAAGCGATTCGGATTGGTTTATCCGAAGGGCCGCGGGGTGCCCCCATTGAAATCTCTCCACCTTCACAGAATCCGCGAGACAACTTCATCCACTTACGGCAAACATAGCAAGTGTCTTGTTGCGAAGTGTCGTTTCAGGAAATGAAGCAACAGGATTTCGCCATCTCGTATGCGTATGATACGTAGGTCTTCAGAGCCAATGGCCAGACCCGCGCATGTTGCCTCAACTGCCCTTCCCATCCTACAGCCTCGAAAGGGATCACGGAATACATATTGATTCCTGTTCAGTCATGTTACCTCTCAGTAACCACGCTACCCATCGGCATACCGCAACCTCAAAAATCACGACACCGCAAAAAGCGCAAAAAGAAGTGGAAGACGCCTAAGCTTTGAACTCTCGAGCGGGGAATCTTTATTAATGTTAGTGTTGAGACTCGAACCTGCGGACTTAGTTGAGCTTACCGAACCCCGGCCTCCGGCGATCTGTCTGAATGACAAGCCGAAATACTGACCACTATACGACTCGAGATTTGCTTTAATCGATGGAGAAGTCTGACTTTTGAAGATTTCTATATTGAGTACCGGCCGGGCCAGAAACTTATTGACGGACGAGGTCCGTGAGATCATGAAGCAAACGAAAGCATTAGTTGGGGGCTACTGCAAATTCGCCTGTGGGCCTGCGGGTTAGTGGGCGGCAAGATGGGCGGTGAGTCAAGACAAGTCTTAAACTACGAGGCTAGAATGGCTACAAACTCAACCATGCCCGACGGCAGGATGCTAGAAATGGAAAGACGGTGTATGGAAGTAGATAATGTACCATTACTGCTTATTGTGTTGCTTACACATCACGTCCTGAAGCTGACGGTGGCTATCACGAAATCAATAGGTTGCTTGCATGTCTCTACTTTGCATTGCTGCGTAATGTCATTTATATACTCCTTGGTTCTACTATTGGTCTTCTAACACTACATTATCGGTCATTGACCTCATGTGAACATGCTACTCATATAAATAGCCACACGCTAGTAGATGGTGCCAGTACCCGTAAAGTTCCCACTCTGAGTAACAAAATTCTCAGTGCTACTGAAATCCTTCACACGTCCAAGCAAGATCTCCAGCATACGGAAAGCGACGCCCGGGGTATATCCAGGCAGTTCATGGCCGGCCAATCTGGCAGTATAGAAGACCAGACCACGCTCTTGAGTCCACACACCTTGCACGCCCGAGCCAGCCAAGGCACCGAGATTGTACTCAGGGTGGTAAGGCGCATAGAGGGGAGTAGATGGATAGTCGTGCAGACCCTGGGCGCCGTTCCAGGTCATGTTCTGAATGGCGAATAGAGTACCGTTGGTGCTGAGCAGCATGTCAAGGTCGCCAGAGCCAATGATGGTGTTGTTGGTAAACTCAATAACGCGCTGTAGTACGCCATTGTTGGCGGGACCTGGAGAAGCGTCGGAAGCGTGACTGGAATCATTACCGTTTCCAAATACGTTGGTGTCAGTGCATTGCAGCCAATGTGAGTTGACATCAGCGTGAAGTGCCTCCTTTACATCAGTACGGTTGAAGTATATGACAGCACCTGGTGGTGAATAGTCTCCGGTATTGACTATTCCGAGCTGCGAGAAAGGATGGGGACAGGTCTCGGTGATGTGGTAAATGTTGAAGCAGGGGTTGACGGCAAGAATGGCCTCGTAGAAGTTGTCGAACTGGTCGCATGTTACATTTGGCGAGTTGGAAGGATCCGGCAAGACGGGGAAGGCACCCTGAGGTGGCGGGAACTTGAAGTAGGTGTCGAGATACTCAGAATAGCCACAGTCTTTCTGGTGCTGGCGAATGGTGTCCATGAACGAGTCGTTGAGGAATAGCAAGTTCTGCCAATATTCGACATATGGAAGGATGATGACCTGTTGCTGAATCGTCTCATCTCCGATGATGGGGTCATTGATAGAGATGCCAGCCAAGTTGAAGTATTTTGTGTCGTTGGCCTGAATGAAGCCGTCGGCAATGTACGGAACATAGTAGCCAGCATAAGACTCTCCGGTGACGTAAGTCTTCCAGTTGTAGAGTTCGAAAAGGTCAACAAAGCTCTTATAAAACCCGCGGAATTCGGTTGCGAGCTCGACTTCATCGGTGATATTTGGTGTTCCTTGCGAGTACCCTACACCGACTGGCTGTTCGACCCAAAGCACGTTGGTAAGATTGTTCCAGCTATATGGATTCTGTACTGGTGCAAGGGTACCTACAGAGTTGGAGGGACGAAGTCAGTATATGTTTTCTATCTATCTCATGCAAGAAAAGCTTACCAGATTCCCAAGTAAACGGGCCATTCTCCGTCAGAAATCCACTGAGCGAACTGCAGCCGGGTCCACCATTGAGCCTGTTGTGCTCGTCAGTAATTTCACGTTGCTTCTCATTGCTACTTGAATGCTTACCAGATGACAACCTCTTCTGGACTGCTCGAGAGCGTCGATGGAAAGAACCAGAAGAACAGCTTGCGGGTCTCATCCGGGTTATCCGAGATAGGTAGCAAGCCAGCGTATGACTCTCCGATATCAAAAGGAACCTCTGGGATTCCAGTGCCATTGACGGCGAACGCTTATGGGCCGTAAGCATTGTAGAGTTAATTGCTCTAAACATCCTTACTTACGCTTAGTCTTGTCTGTTAGAAAGCTAGATGCCCGCTTTTGAAGCTCTGGGTGCCTGAAGGGCTCATTTGCCACGCGCTTCTCGAGAACTGGCTTCACCTTGTTGAAGACATTGCGCTTGTGAGGCGAATTCCCTGCGAAAGCCGAAGAGGCACAAAGGAGCGTACCAAAAAGCGTAAGAAGCTTCATTGCTCTTGATTTCGACTGGATGAAGGCACCTGTCTGAGATAACAAGCCGAATAGACGGTCTGGCAGCTATTTGAACGTTTCCTACGTGACGGCATTGCTCGGTGCCATACTGTGGCGCTTTACCCGGAACAGAAGGAGACTGCCCCAGTTCCAGAGAGCCCGGTACATAGGTGCGGGACGTATCGCGTCTGTGAGCATGTTGACCGTGTCATCGGGCATCGTCTGGCAGTTCACTGGGTGAATATGTGAGATGACGCATTTAGGAACGGCACTGCGGATATGCACCTTCCTGAAACGTCTAAATAGTGATGATTTTGCTGCATCGGTCTAGTAGTGTGCCTAGGATATCTGACGTTGCGCTTTCGTGATTCGACAGGCTGCTTAGTTCATTTACTGTGCTATGTAGGGTTGTGAGAAATCAAGCCTCGGACCAGATGCTTGTCGTTGCTTAGCTATGCCGCATGGACAGGAGCGCGGGTTCAACCAACGCGAAGAGGATTGACGGCCGTGCCAACGGTACGATTAGATAGCAAGCTCGTTCAAATCGAAGGCTTCGAGCCGACTGCAGCGTGCTAGAGCGAGGCCATGTCGCGTGCGAATAAGCGGCGCGATGAGGCGGGTAGGACCACAATAGTAGTTAAGGCAAAGAACGGTGCGACAGACAGACTCAACATGCGGTACTCCCATAGGATTGAGGATATCTGGGACAATGGAGATACCCGTTGGAAGTCGTTAGGGGTTCACGGTTGGCAGGCGGCTCACCACGTGTGATTAACTTCGCGCAACGTTGCGGGGGCTTGGAGCTTGGAACCCTCTCCCGTTCATCACCCTGCATATTTTCGACGTGTGCCCAACATTCTTCAAATGGTTGTACAAGCATGCTGCGAGCTAGCATGACTTTACTTGAACGAAACGAACTACGGCACAAGACAGATGGAAAAAGAGCCATTATGTCTATACAAAGCCTGTCGCCTAAGCAGGGAAGCGCCTTTCGCGCCCATCCTTCGAGCCTGAGGTACTCGACTTTAGCATGCTTACGCTTCTAGATAACAGTGTGGCGCTGTTCATTGTGCAGGTCACAAACAATTGCTAGTCTGAAAGCGACGAATGCGATGGGCGCATTGGTGTGGCTGTCGCTGACGCGGCCGCATAGCCTCAGCTGCCCGTGTAATCATCAGGCATGCAATCGATCATCGGCCTAAAGACTCACCGGAATCCAAACTTAAGAACGTATAGTAGAGCAGCCTCTGCTGCGTTGAACACAACTTACAATCTTCCCAAAACGCTACTATGGGCATTCCTACTACTCCACGAGAGGCCGCACCCGCCTATGATGATGTCTTTGCCGACCACCCGGTTAACGGTTACAAGCCATCTGGAGCGACGTCAGCGGTAAGATTCTCCGCGCCCGATGACCTACAAGTTTTGACATAGCACAGTATGCTGCGGTCCCACAAGATGACGATGTCGAGCTTCACGCGCATGACCATACCCATATTCACACACCCTCCAGCTCTGCGGACACTACAAGCACTCCAGAGACGTTCGCGCAAACCATCGCAGGCGTCTTGCGACCCAAGCCACAACCCCACGTTCACTGCGAACAGTGCGATGTTCAACTTGCAGCCAGGCAGCGTAGAGAAAACGAGAAACATTGTTGCAACATGGTTGCTGCCACGTTCATGACAGCGTCTGTGTGTGTTTTCTTCGGTGTTGTTTTCCTCACGACTACCGTGTGGGCCAGAAAGCATCGCCATGATTAAGCTTATGAGTGATGTCACTTGTCATAGGCGTTGATCTCGATACGTCGAATGTGCGATATATTGCGAAGCGTGGTAGAGTGGTCGACTATACTCGAGGGGACGGTGCTCTTTTCATTCTTCAATCTTACGAATATACCCTTCCGCGATAGAGTTACACAAACTTCACTTGCGCTCCACTTCATTTTCGTCTCGCACGTCACCGAGTTCCTCCGTAACCTCCCATCTGCTTTTCGCGCATCGCTGTACACGGCGTTTCTCTGATTGTACTCGGCACTTGTCGGCCCAGATCACTATCCCTGATGAAACCTTCCCTCCGCATATTTATATGATGCAGGGTTCTCCAACATCGGAACGCTGTTCTACCGAGCCGTCAATATCGAGATGTCCATCCCATTCGCCAGGACCTCACGTATTAGGTCCATCGCTGTGAATCCATTTAGGTGACCACATGGTATCTTCCGATAGATTGAATGACCCATAGAATATCTGTTCGGCTTAATATGAAGGTAGCCTGGAGGGATAAGCTGGTCGATATGACGAGTCTTGGAAGAGTATAAAAAGCCGAAACGGTCTCACTAACACTTGCGTATCAAAGAGTTGACAGGAATTGTTCTTTTGTGTTGTCGTCTATCTTCCTCGATAGTCGAAAGAAGGCCGTTAAGATGCACTTCAATACCGCTATCCTCGTAGCCCTCATCCCTTTCGTCGCCAGCCACGGCCTCATCACTACACCTCCGTCCCGCCCCGTCGGCCCAGCAATCATCGCAAACTGCGGCCCAAAGGTCGAACAAGACATCCGCCTCGACAACACCTCGCATGTCGAAGGCCTGCCCGAACTCGCCGCTAAGGACTCCGCCTACAACGCAGCGAAATGCAAACTCTGGCTATGTAAAGGCCTGCAATTTGCCGACAACCCCGCTGCTAATATTCAGACATGGCAGGCTGGACAAGTAGTGCCGATCAAGGTGTGGCTGCGCATTCCGCATGAGGGAAGCGCAAATGTGAGTATCGTGGAGACGAAGAGTGATAAGATCGTGGGGAGTATGTTGAAAGTTTGGGCGAAGGGGTATGCGCCTGGTCGGAAAGAGACGGATGTGCCGCTTGATCAAAAGGAGTTCAATGTAACTGTGCCCGAGGGGTTAGAGGAGAAGTGTGCGACTGCTGGCGACTGCGTAAGTAGAACGTGTGGGTGTGATGCGCTGGCACTAGCTGATTGATGAAACAGGTTCTTCAGTGGTATTGGTATGGGACGAACGCAAGACAGACGTATGAATCTTGTGTCGACTTCAAAGTTGTGAAGAAGGGTACGAGCGGTGGCAGTTTAGGGCGGATGTTCAGGACATGATATTCTTGTATCTACGCACCGTACTAAGCAGTCTAAGGAGGCTCGTTTCAAGTGGGAGAACTGTAAAGCATCGGGATCTCGAAACGAACATGTTATCCCAGTTCAAGACTCAGCCACACATCATGAGAGATACGCCTTATCAAATGTATATTTTCCTATGTAGAGAATTTCGAAATCTGGTTGTGACTGCAAGGATCTAGTTGCCGAGACTCGCTACACAGATTGAACAATATAGTGCATTCTAAGTTCGCGTGGTCTTGCATACAAGCTTTCCGGATCAATGGCCTTTTTTGAAGGCATCGGCCGAGGAGTGTTTCTGGACAGCATGTTGGGACTTGACCGATGCAGAGAATCTACACAAGCGAAGACATGGAGACAAAAGGACTGACGTACGTGTATGTCTTGTATCTCTCCTCCAAACACAGAAAATCCCTCTGCAGATAGAACCATCAATCGTAGGGCTTGTTCCCAATCAAATGTCGCTGAACTTTAGCCCATAACGACCACCTTCCCCTTCTGCCATTGCGGACGTAGCATGCCACCAGAGTTATCCATGGAAAGGATATTCGAAGACCCACACATTGTTAACCGCAGTAACCCTGACCGTGGCGGTGGCGCTCATGTATTACCTATAGCAGATTAGCAAGAACATCTTACACTCACCTTATCCCTTTGATAGTGCCCATGTGGACACCGTTTGTCCTTCCAACGACAAGCGCCACCTCATAGTAGCTCATCATCAAGATCTTCTTGGCTAGATGAGCTAGAACCCAGACTGAAAGAGTGCCAAGCCGAAACAGAATGATTGAAGAGACAGCTCTCCTCGCCCAGGATATCCGACAACTCCACGTCATGCTCCCGTAGTCCCTCGATAGCCCGCAGCAAATCCTTCTCCACAAAGTCTGCGAAGCAATCGCGACCGGAACCGGCTTGTACGCTCGGTCGAAGGAAGAAGAATTTCAAAGGCGTGCCTAGATCAAGACCCTTCCGCAGCATATCTGTCAAATCGTAGGCAAGCTTAGGGTTCTCATCGATGTCTTGGAGATATGGACGTAGAAGAGATCGAACGCACAGCTGGATCTCGGGAGGATATGTTGGGGTCTGTTGGTGAATGTGAACGAGGAGCGCGTTTAGCCATGAGAGAGGTACGTTGTCGAACGGGAGGTAGATGCGCAGGATCTCAGTGTTGCTGTTCGGTACCGTACTGGGGTGTTTGAGAGTGTCCTTCAAAGGACCTGATGAGTTTGGAAAAGCGTGTTTGGGAGCGGGGACCTTTACAAGACATTCGTACGACAGCTCTTGGACCTTGGGAGATGCCATGATGCCGTGCGACGACATGTTCGCGTTGGTAGTCCGTAGACCAAACAAGGAGCCTCCGGTTGCACTTGACGACGAAGTAGAGAATGGTGTACCTTGTTGTGCTGTCCTAAAGGACCACGTTGAAGTACTAGCGGTGTTGACAGAGCCACTCAAGTCAAGGCGCGGGGCGGCAAAGAAAGAAGCCATGAGGGTGATCTCGATTTTCGGGATTGTTGGGATTGTTGGGAGTGGTGGGTTTGGATAGTAGAGTGTTTGTGGAAAGGCGACGGATATTTATACGCTGCGGGGGGCGCTGATGGACCTGGTGGGGCGGTACTTTGGTGGTGAGAGTGAAAGTGAACGTCAAACGTGGTTTCAGTCTCTAGGCAGCATCCTCGTTGCTGTTCGGGTACTATTGGTTTAGTAACGGTGGTTGAGTTCCAGTGGTTCAGATTGTAACACCATCTCTACGATTGACTCAGAGTCGGGGTGAGCTTTAACCCTCTTCTCTCCCGTGGTGCCTATGTATCCGTGGATTGTAAGAAATTAACCCTAGTTCTCCGGTCCTGCCAAATCAGGGCCTTGTGAAAGGCGATATCGATTGCGCTGAGAGGACGAGGATTAGAGAGCCGACATGGTACACGTACATTCTCATCTACCTTGAAATGCGACAGTATCAGACTGGCACGGCGGCCCTTCGCATGGGAGATGCAGACCCCTCGCTCTACATGAGCAACACACTGACAGACTCAAGACGCTAACTTCCACGTGTTCTACAAGAAAAAAACATGACATCCAGATGGCAGCCTCCGCGTCATTGGCGGCAAAATGGAAGAGAATAGTCGATACAAGGAAACAGTGAGACTATGAAGCGCAACTAAATAATGAACCCTTAGCTACATGATGTGCGGTAGCATAACAGTCTACAGCAAGGTAGACTGTCCATTCCAGTGTTGTTGGTGGACACGAGAGGTTACCATTCAGAAACATGCAAAATAGATGAAGCTGACTGTCATTCGGCCTACGGTGGATGAGGAATAAGCTGGGAGCGTCATGCTTGTCTTGAACCGTGTTGTGCCCGACGAAGGAATCTTCTAGACAAGACCCCTGCGCCTTTTCGTGATGTAGCTGGCATCGAGAATTGAAACTTCAGCCTCAAGTATGAGTCTGTTCCTTATCTTCTCGGCTGCCATCAAGTCGTTATCGGAGGATACTTTGAACTGCGATCATAACGTGGAGTTCTCGCAGTCCCTTTGAGTGCTCCGGGCCGTACATGGCTCTTGACGTTTCTTACAATTGCGACGTAAGCTGTGGGTACCATTTTGGTGACGCTCGAGAATACCAGGGTGTGGAGGGCGTGCAGGCTGCGTCGCAGGGCCTGCAGCTTCATCCTGACCGCTGTCCATGTCTACGAACAGCATCTTCAACTCGCTTCGTTCGCTCGATACCGCGTTGATGAAGGAGCGTGGCGACGCATCTGTCGCGTGAGGTGTTGTCGAAGGCAACGTTGAACGTTGTCACAAGCGAATGTTGAGTCGTAGCTCGGCTATCCACCCGGGGGGTCTGGCCTCATCCGCGACGCCATGAGATGACGTCTTCCCGAAGCAGCGTCACACAAAGCGCGGATCCGTCTCCTCTCCGCAATTCACTATGCTGCCAGCTTTCCCCGCGTTTTGTATGTCATACTGTTCTCTTTCATGCTCTCGATACGGCCTTGATTACTTGTGATCAAAAATCTGTGCAATATGGCTCCAGAAGACAGCTCCGACAGGACGAGCTACGTCTACAACTCACAGCTTGTAAGTTACTGAAACAAACCTAGAGCGCTCTGCTAAGTGTTAATGTCGACAGGACGCATTTACTCTCTATCATATCTCGAACGGAACTGGCCGTAGCCACAGTGTAGTCGGTCCCGGTCTACCAGCTCTCGGTCATGCCTTATCCGGCGCAGCGGGCACCGCGATATCGAAACTCATAACATACCCCCTCGATCTTGTCATCACACGTTTGCAAGTACAACGGCAATTGCAGCACGACGAGAAACCCCTCCACTACAACGGCATCCTCGATGCGATCGAAAAGATTTACGAGAGAGAGGGAGGGCTACAAGCGTTCTACAGCGGAGTAGTACATGAAACGGTCAAGGGCGTAGCGGACAGTTTCTTGTTCTTCCTGGTATACTCGTACGTGAGACAAAAGAGGTTGAATTCACGAGACAATGGGAAAAACTTACCATCGCTGGAAGAGATTGGTGTTGGCATGGTAGCCGGCGCCTTTTCCAAGTTCTTCACGACACCCATCCAGCAGATCGTCACAAGGAAGCAGACATCAGCAATGTTGAAGGGTGCGTCAGGGACTTCAATACCACCCCTTAGCAGCACGGCAGACATTGCGCGCGAGATCAAGCGGGAGAAGGGCCTACAAGGCTTCTGGTCGGGCTATTCGGCGAGCTTGGTCTTGACACTCAATCCTTCCATTACCATGCTTCTACACAAGGTTCTATTACGGCTCTTGGTATCAAGAGCGAACCGAGAAAATCCTGGGGCACGCATCACCTTCCTGCTGGCGGCGATCAGCAAAGCCCTAGCATCAACAGTCACCTACCCGTTTTCCCTTGCCAAAACACGAGCCCAGGTATCTGCGCAAAAGCCGTCAGCAACCGCCGGCGAGACTTCGGAGCAGGAGAAGACAGAGAAGCCACTTGGAGCTAGAATGGCGCGGGCACGACAAGGAACTATCTTCAGTACCATTGTTCGCATTGCGCAGACGGAGGGCTTGTGGGGCCTGTACCAGGGCTTGGGAGCCGAAGTCCTGAAAGGCTTCTTCTCGCACGGGATCACGATGCTAATGAAAGACCGAATCCACACCGCTATCATCAGCTTATATTATTCCGTTCTGGAGTCTCTGCAGAAGTACCCCAGTCCGGGAGAAGTGGCAAAAACTGCTACAGATGGTGTGAAGGACGCATACGAGAGTAGCAAGGAACAAGTTAGTGAAGCTTACGCGAAGGGTGTCGAACTGGCAGGGAATGCGTCAGGTAGAGTCAAAGACGCTGTAGCAGAAGGATCGCAACAGGCTCAAGATCTGGTAGAGAGGGGTAAGGAGCAGGCTAGTGACCTCTACTCTCGAGGCGCCCAAGCAACAGAGACAGCGTCGTCGAGTGCCCAAGACGCCGTACAACGTAGCTCACAGCAGGCCGGGTCTCTCCTGGAGAAAGGCAAGGACCAAGCTAAAGAGGCTTACACGAAAAGTGGGGAGGTAGCAGAGTGGGCTTCATCAACGACTCGAGACGCCGCCGTAGACAGCTCACAGCGGGCTGGCGAGCTATTGGAGAGGGGAAAGGATGCAGCGGGGAACGCAATCGGGCAAGCCAAAGACGGCCTCCTCCAGGCAGATGTTAGAGATATTGATGGCCCTGATACGGGCATCAAGGAATGAACAGAGGCAGCGGATCGATATTGATTGGAGTAGCCAGATTGTACATATACCCCCATTCCCTACTTCATAGTACATATAGTGTTTGGGGGCCTCGCTGGAGAACTGTTCATTATTAGCATGATTGTAGTAATACGGATAGCACACAGAAGCTGATATTTGCCGTTATGATTGTCATGGGATGTCCTGAAACAGCACGTTCATCCATCATGCCAGCGTCCGGATGCGTCTCTGGCGAGGGCGCTCGTCCCCTACGCAACCATGGAAGGTGCCCGCCGCTAGCGTGTCACCAGCCCCATCAACAACGATCGCTATCGACAACACATCACCGCCAACCGCCCTCCAGCGGGGTACTAACTACTAACAAGCACAGGAACAGGAATAGCATCGTTAAGGCGATAGACTGGGAAGAAGGAGTTGGCCGGCAGAATCGGGACGACAGCGGCGCATAATTGCCGTCGGCAGTGAAACAGTCAGAGACCTGGGAGGAAAAGAGGCAGAAGAGGCAGGAGCAACCCACGCGCGGAACCACGCTGCACGACTCACTCTGGCTCTGCGAGCTGTAGACAGAGTACTTTCACCCTCCAGGATATCATTTTCAACGCCCGTCGATTTCACGCCTGCCCAACCGCCGCTGCGCGCCTTCTCCTGAGTTCTGCAGGCGACCAAAGCCGCAATTACTCGTTCACCATGGCAGCAGACGATACCCCTTCTTCGCCCCCAAGTGGTGGATGGAGCAGCACGAAGGAAGAGCTGGCCTACTACAAGTCGCAGTATGAAACGCTCGAAGCCGAGCTGCAGGAGTTCCAGGCCTCTAGCAAGGAGCTGGAGGCAGAACTCGAGCGCGACGTAGAGGAGAGCGAGAAGAGGGAACGCAAGCTTCAAGAGAAGGCAGAACGGCAGGGCTTTGAGGTCGAAGAGTGGAAGGTATGCCGCTAAATCCTGCTGCGCTCGCAGATGCGCAATTTCTAGTGGGGACAGTTACTGATTCTCGACGGTAGACCAAGTACAAGCAAAGCAAGATCGAGGCCAACAATGCACAGAACACGCTGCAGAAGGAAATCACCAGCTTGCGCGACGCACATCGGACCCTCCAAATGAAGCTGCGAGACATTGAAGTACAAAGTGACGATTTCGAACGCCAGGCGCGCAATCAGACATCTTCGCTTGAGGACGTCGAGTCAAAGTACAACGTATCCATCGAGCGGACCGTGATGCTGGAAGAAGAGCTCAAGATTGGTGAACAGGAGCGAGAAGGACTACGAATAGAAACCCAACGCCTACGGGATGAGCTCTCAGATCTAAGGATAGAAGCCGAGATTGTGCAAGAGAAGCTGCGCATAGCAGAAGTCACAATCGAAAGACATCATCAGCGCAAGGTATCCCATCAACTTGCCAGCGATTCATTGCGACCACGCTCACCAGTCTCGGAGGCCTCGACCTCTGCAACGACGCTCTCCTCACCTACAGCCGCCTCGACCCCACCCCACTCGAAATCAGATGCTCTGCGGCCAGACATGACACCGCCATCGCCACCGTTATCCGACGCCCCGCCATCTACACGGCCCGTCCCACAAACACCAATGCCGATGCGCAAGAACTCGATAGCAGCACTTGACACTGCTGCGACGCCCCGGGCTGGGTTGTACCAGTCTCGACCACCGCGCCATTCGAGAGGACCAAGCATATCAGCCGCATCACGACAAAGCACTGGCGTCAGCGGCCGCGGTACACCTTCAATAAGAACAACTGCTCCAGCGCAGCGTGGGCAGCGACCTAGTGTGGGAGGGACTACACCGGCAGGGGGTCTGCCTAGGTCAGGCTCGCTCTACCAGATCCGAGGGCTGATAGGCAAGATGCAGAAGCTCGAGGAACGAGTGTACTCGGCACGATCCAAGCTTCCTGCTCCAACTAGTACCCCACCACGAGCGAGTCCACGTAACGGCAGCGCGATGGGGCAACACATACCGAGCAATATCACACTGAGGAGCAATAGGAAGCGAAGTTCACAAGCCTCGACGGCCTCGTTAGCCAACGGCGGCGGCGGCGGCGAATCTGGTGGTGTAAGCCGCCTCTCATTCGGTATGCGGAGCTCTTCGCGGGAGCCAAGCAACAGCCGACCCAGCAGTCGAGCGTCCCTGTCCTCTCAATCCGGGCTACAAAGACCAGGGAGTAGGAGCAGCACGCGGACACCGCTAGGGCACTATCAAACGTCGTCGATTAGCGGAGTGGAAGGACGGGTACCGCGTCCACGGAGCTCCATGAGCGGCAACTCTATCGGACATGGGCATTCCCAGTCGTTATCCATGTCACTTCGAGAAAGCGAGACGGGCAGCAATAGTGACGGGAGCAACGTGGCCACGCCGTTGGCGCGCAGACTGACGATGGAGAAGTCGGGCATCCCTACACCAAGCGGACTGCCAAGGAGACAGAGCGCGGGGCGGAGAACGAGCGCATCGGTGGTGGATGGTGGCGATATGGGACCGCCTGCACGGCCGCGCAAGATGTCGACATACAATGAGGAGGAGACGTACTAGGGCGGTTGCAGCAGTAAGCGGCGCAAGCTCTTGGATGGCTTTTCATCTTCCTCGGGATATGATTTTACGGCACTATACCTCATGTGATTTTGGAATTTTGGCGCGCGAGCGACGCAGGTACTACTTAGCTTCCGTTGACGGGGTTTGAGCGTTGGGAGCGAGCGGCTGAAGATTATTTTCTGCATTTTTTTGCTTGAATCATTCTGTGCATAGTTTAAGGGTCGGGGCTGGGAGGAGTGTTTGGGGACTCATTACATACTGCTCAATACCATTTCATTTGTCTATGAAGTAATCAAGTAGGCGATTCTCGGCATATGTGGAGCATTCTGGGGTAAGAGTGCACAGGCGTGGTGTTTGTTTGAAAAAATCATACGATTTGGCATGTGATAGATGGCCAAACCACGGTTCGGTCCGCCCCCAATCCTGTCACACGCCCCCAAGACCCTGGAGGGGCACTGGGTCCGATGTAGCTTCGGAATTATACGCCTGCAGCTCGGAACCTAGCTTACACTGCCTATCTTCCTATCTGTGTCTGTTGTTGCGATGCTGTATGCGCGCCAAGCCTGTGAGATGACTGTGTTTGGAGAGGGAGTGAAGCGACTGCGCGACAATTTCTGCAACGGAGACTAGATAGCCGGGCGTAGATATCAGACACTCGTCGTCTATATCCTAAAGCAGTAGACACAATGGTAATACGTTGTACTTTTGTCTGTATATTCCGACCGCGGCCTTCTCTGCGCCTGATTGGCTGTGAGGTGGGGACTCGGACATGTCTTGGTCGGGGGAGGAGGAGGAGAGCCGGGCATCAGCTTGAGCCCATCATGGGGACTGCGACAATGTATTGTGTGGCTTCGCTCTTTCAGGCTGTTTGACTACTATTACTATTATCATCAAAGTGCGAGTGGGGATGCGACGAGTATTGGAGAGTTCAGCGATGCGATAGGGAATGATGGGGAGTACACTACTTGTTGAGGGACGACCCAAGCATCAGAGCGGAGAACAGGTCGGAATGCCGAGATGGGCGGACCAGCGGCAGCTTAAAAGGGTCAATGAGTGCTGATGAGAGAGTGAGGACCTGTCATGGCATTGGGTTGGGTTGCTGGTTGGGGGCTCTCGCAACCCTCAACGAATGCGGAATGGCTCCCAACACAAAATATGTACAGACCCGCATCGCAGGGCCCCAACGCCGCCTTTAGTAGAGCAGACTTGGGACGGACGATGGTTGATGGTTGCGCTTCCTGCTGCTCAACGACAAGGCCAGCTGTCAAGTACTCGAGGCTTCTAGTTGTACAGCTTCAACCACGGTGGTGGGGATTCGGGTTCCGTACGGCTTCCGAGCTGTGTGACGGTGGTGGTGGCCCTGGGGTCGCATAGGACTGACTGGGGGGCGTCATGCTATCTGTGGGCGCAAGGGACTTGTCCCTCTTCGGCATCGTGGGCCCCATGGCCTCAGCTCAACAGACAGCTCTTCGGGAGAGCTTGGGGTATTCCGCTTGGGTTCAAAAAATTTAATACATACAAGCTCCCCTACTCTCCCGACCGCAATTCCCCTTTGCTCTACTTACTCCTCCTCCCTACTCTCTCCCACAAACCTCTCTCTTTCGTTCCCAGGTTCCATTTGGTGTTGTTGTTGCTTTCCTCCCAGCACGGCAATAGACTTTTGGTTGTACTGGTGCTGAGAGCCTTCTTCTCGACATTTTACTAATACTCGCTCTCGCATCTTCCCACGGGCAGACGGCTTTCGACACACACACGCACATCGCCAATTCCAAGCTCTGCCGTCATCGCGGTAGCTCAGATCTACACACCACACTAGAGGCCGCGCTCCAGCTTCCTGACCCGTAGAAAATTGCCCGACTCTCCTCGCCCCGACTTCCCCCCTCTCTCGCCACAACCCGACCATTTCCCTGCATTGCATGGGAATTCCGACAGACACAATGGCCGGAGTTGCACAGAATGGAGTCAATGGGTCTGCTAATGGCGCCCCGAGCTCCTACGCGGCCAGGTACAATCTTGCTCCGCATTTCATCGGCGGAAACCATCTCGCCGCTGCCGCGCCAGGCAAGGTGAAGGACTTCGTGGCAGCGCACGATGGACACACGGTCATTACAAATGTGAGTATAATCCTTGCAGGCACGGTTGGACGTGGTCAGGCATCAGTGGGCTAACTTGGGTGTCATCCCATAGGTGCTTATAGCGAACAACGGTATCGCAGCAGTCAAGGAGATCCGCTCGGTGCGGAAGTGGGCCTACGAGACGTTTGGCGATGAGCGCGCCATTCAGTTCACCGTCATGGCTACGCCCGAGGACCTGCAGGCTAATGCCGAGTACATCCGCATGGCGGACCAGTATGTGGAGGTGAGTGATGCTCTCAAAGAGACTGTGGGGGGAGACGCAGCAGCTAATGAGAAGTGCAGGTACCCGGAGGAACGAACAACAACAACTACGCCAACGTCGAGCTTATTGTCGATGTTGCGGAGCGTATGAACGTCCACGCCGTGTGGGCTGGATGGGGCCACGCCTCTGAAAACCCAAAACTCCCCGAATCGCTCGCTGCCTCGCCCAAGAAGATCGTCTTCATTGGTCCCCCGGGATCTGCCATGCGCTCGCTTGGTGACAAAATCTCCTCCACAATCGTCGCACAACACGCAAAGGTGCCTTGTATTCCGTGGTCGGGCACTGGCGTCGACCAGGTGATTGTCGACGAACATGGCATTGTCACAGTCGAGGACCAGGTCTACGAAAAGGGCTGCACCAAGACGTGGGAAGAGGGCCTAAAGGCCGCTGAAGAGATTGGCTTCCCCGTCATGGTCAAGGCTTCAGAAGGTGGTGGTGGCAAGGGTATCCGAAAGGTCGACCGCAAGGAGGACTTTGAGCAGCTATACAAGGCGGCTGCGTCAGAAATCCCTGGATCGCCAATCTTCATCATGAAGCTGGCGGGCAGCGCGCGGCATTTGGAGGTCCAGCTGCTGGCCGACGAATATGGCAACAACATCTCCCTATTCGGGCGTGACTGCTCGGTGCAGCGACGCCATCAGAAGATCATCGAGGAGGCACCGGTAACAGTTGCTGGCTCGAAGACCTTCCAAGAGATGGAGAGGGCGGCCGTCTCGCTCGGAAGACTTGTTGGATACGTCTCAGCGGGTACCGTCGAGTATCTATACTCCCACGCTGACGACAAGTTCTACTTCCTCGAGCTGAACCCCCGTCTGCAGGTCGAGCATCCCACCACTGAAATGGTGTCGGGCGTGAACCTCCCAGCCGCCCAGCTCCAGATTGCCATGGGTCTCCCATTGCACCGTGTCAAGGACATTCGATTGCTATATGGCGCAGATCCGCACACCAGCTCCACAATCGACTTCGAGTTCTCCACCGAGGGTAGTGTTCAAAACCAGCGACGACCGACCCCCAAGGGCCACTGCACGGCCTGCCGTATCACCTCTGAAGATCCCGACGAGGGCTTCAAGCCATCTGGTGGTACTATCCACGATCTGAACTTCAGGAGTAGTTCCAATGTCTGGGGTTACTTCTCCGTTAGCTCCGCTGGTGGTATTCACAGCTTTTCCGACTCGCAGTTCGGTCACATTTTCGCTTACGGCGAGAATCGACAAGCGTCGCGGAAACACATGGTGGTTGCGCTCAAGGAACTGAGTATTCGCGGTGACTTCCGAACCACTGTTGAATACCTCATTAAGCTACTCGAGACGCCTGCTTTCGAAGACAACACAATCACAACGGGCTGGCTTGACGAGCTCATCTCCAAAAAGCTGACTGCAGAGCGACCAGATCCCTTGATTGCGGTTGTTTGCGGTGCTGTCACCAAGGCTCACGTTGCAAGCGAAGCCTGCATCAGCGAGTACAAGACTAGCTTGGAGAAGGGTCAAGTTCCTTCCAAGGACGTCCTCAAGACTGTCTTCCCCATTGACTTCATCTATGAAGGCTACCGCTACAAATTCACTGCAACGAGGTCAACGATTGACAGCTTCACACTCTTCATCAACGGGTCCAAGTGCGCCGTTGGCGTTAGGGCTCTTGCTGATGGTGGCCTTTTGATCCTACTGAGCGGAAAGTCGCACAATGTTTACTGGAAGGAGGAGGTGGGTGCTACCCGTCTCTCCGTCGACGGCAAGACATGCCTCCTGGAGCAGGAGAACGACCCAACTCAGCTCCGAACACCATCTCCCGGCAAGCTCGTCAGATTCTTAGTTGAGAATGGCGATCATGTTGGCAAAGGCCAGCCTTTTGCCGAGGTGGAGGTTATGAAGATGTACATGCCCTTGATCGCACAGGAGGCCGGTATGGTCAACCTGATCAAGCAACCAGGAGCCACTCTCGAGGCTGGCGACATCCTCGGTGTCTTGGCTCTTGACGACCCGTCCAAGGTTAAATCGGCTCAGAATTATCTTGGCCTCCTCCCTGACCTCGGTGCTCCGCAAATCATGGGTGGCAAACCCCCCCAGAGATTTGTCCATCTCTCTAGCATCCTCCAGAATATCCTCCAAGGGTTCGACAATCAGGTCATCATGCAGAGCACTCTCAAGGAACTAGTCGACGTTCTTCGAGACTCTGAACTGCCCTACGGCGAGTGGAATGCTCAGGCCTCTGCTCTCCACGCGCGTATGCCACAGAAGCTGGATACCACCTTCTCCCAAATTGTCGACAAGGCTCACAGCCGCAGCCTTGACTTCCCCAGTAAGGCACTCGCCAAGGCTTTCCAAAAGTTCCTTGACGAGAACGTCGCCAAGGGTGATGCTGAGCTGCTCAAGTCTGCGTTGCAACCTCTGGTTGACGTCATTGCCCGTTACTCTGAAGGTCTGAAGGCCCACGAGTATAACGTCATGATCAAGTTCTTGGATATGTACTGGACTGTTGAACACCTCTTCTCGTCTCGCACTTCGCGCGATGAGGAGGTTATTCTCAAACTTCGTGATGAGAATCGCGACAACATTACCAGCGTTGTACACACTGTCCTTTCGCACACCAGAGTCAGTGCGAAGAACAACCTCGTGATCGCCATTCTAGATCTCTACCGACCTAACAAGCCCGGCGTTGGAAACATCGCGAAATACTTCAAGGGCACCCTCAAGAAGCTCACTGAGCTGGAGTCGAGGCAGACTGCCAAGGTATCTCTCAAGGCTCGTGAGGTCCTTATTCAGTGTGCTATGCCATCTCTCGAGGAGCGCACGGCCCAGATGGAGCACATTTTGCGTTCCGCTGTTGTGGAGTCGCGCTACGGCGAGAGCGGATGGGACCACCGTGAGCCCAACTTTGAAGTAATCAAGGAAGTCGTTGACTCAAGATACACCGTCTTTGACGTCCTGACCCAGTTCTTCGTACACCAGGACCCGTGGGTTGCTCTTGCTGCCCTGGAGGTGTACACTCGTCGAGCTTATCGTGCGTACCAGCTCCAGAACATTGATTATCATAACGAGGGTGATCAGCAATGTCTGCTTTCCTGGGACTTCATCCTGCGCAAGGTTGGCGAGGCAGAGTACGGCCTTGCCGTGGAGCCCTCAGAGCCGGGTACGCCCAGCACTCCCGGGTTTGAGCGACCTCCTCGTATTCAGTCACTCAGTGACATGACCGCCTGGCAGAATCGTTTCGACGGTGAACCCTCTAGAAAAGGTGTCGTCGTTCCGGTCGAGTATCTCGATGACGCAGACGAGCTGATTGGCAAGGCCCTGGATTTATTCCCTGCCATCGGCGCCTCCAAGAAGAGCGGTATTAGCCTCAAGGAAGGCCTTACCATGAAGCGTACTCCGACCTCCGGTACCAGCGAGTTCAAGCACTCGGATGAGCTCACCGGTGTACTGAACGTTGCTGTCCGTGACATTGAGAGCGTTGATGATGCGGAGATTTTGGAGCGCATCTTGCCCATCATCCAAGAGTACAAGGACGAGCTTCTCGTTCGTCGCATTCGTCGCATCTCTTTCATCTGCGGCCACAAGGACGGCACCTATCCCGGTTACTACACTTTCCGCGGGCCCAGCTACGAGGAGGATGCCAGCATTCGTCACGTTGAACCCGCTCTTGCCTTCCAGCTTGAACTTGGTCGTCTTTCCAAGTTTGACATCAAGCCTGTCTTCACGGAGAATCGCAACATCCACATTTACGAGGCTGTTGGTAAGGGCGCTGAGAGCGACAAGCGTTACTTCTTGAGGGCTGTAGTCCGGTCTGGTCGTCTTCGTGAGGAGATCCCTACCGCGGAATACATGGTGTCTGAGACCGATCGTTTGATGACCGACATTCTCGATGCTCTTGAGATTGTTGGCACTTCGCAGGCTGACATGAACCACATTTTCATCAACTTCTCTCACGTCTTCCCACTTGACCCAGCCGAAGTCGAGGAGGCCATTGGTGGCTTCTTGGAACGTTTTGGTCGACGACTTTGGCGTCTACGTGTTACAGGCGCTGAGATCCGCATCATTGTCACCGATCCTCAGACTGGCATTCCTTACCCGCTCCGTGTCATCATCACTAACACTTCCGGATATGTTATCCAAGTCGAAATGTACGCCGAGCGCAAGTCTGAGAAGGCTGGCAAGTGGCTGTTCCATAGCATTGGTGGAACCACCAAGATCGGCGCGCTTCACCTCCAACCCGTCTCAACACCCTACCCGACCAAGGGTGCTCTCCAGCCGAAGAGGTATAAGGCTCATCTTATGGGTACCCAGTACGTCTACGACTTCCCCGAGCTCTTCCGGCAAGCCACCGAGAACAGCTGGGTTACGGCTATTGCGAAACACTCCTTCCTCCGCGATAGACAACCAGACAAGGGAGATTGCCTCGAGTCCTATGAGCTGGTGCTCGATGACACCGACAACCTAGCTGAGGTCAACCGCGATCCTGGACATAACACCATTGGTATGGTTGGCTGGATCGTCACTGCTCGCACACCTGAGTACCCTCGTGGCCGACGCTTCATCATCATTGCGAACGACATTACCTACAAGATTGGTTCCTTTGGTCCACAAGAAGACAACTTCTTCCACAAGTGCTCTGAACTCGCACGTAAGCTAGGTATCCCCCGGGTATACCTCTCTGCCAACTCTGGTGCTCGTATCGGTCTGGCTGAGGAGCTAATCCCGCACTTCTCGGTCGCGTGGAAGAATATCAACAAACCTGAGGCTGGCTTTGACTACCTGTACCTTACGCCTGAGAAGTACGAGCACTTTGTCGATGGAAAGCGCAACGATGTCATCTGCGAGAAGGTCGAGGCTGATGGCGAGAAGCGCTACAAGATCACAACCGTCATCGGTGCTGAGGACGGTCTTGGTGTGGAGTCGCTACGTGGCTCTGGCCTGATCGCTGGTGAGACATCGCGGGCTTATGAGGACATTTTCACCATTACCTTGGTCACCTGCCGTTCCGTTGGTACGTATTTCATTTTGAACATGATATTTATTTATTGTTGCTAACCATGCACAGGTATCGGTGCCTACTTGGTCCGCCTTGGTCAGCGTGCTATTCAGATCGAAGGTCAGCCGATCATCCTCACAGGTGCCCAGGCCATCAACAAGTTGCTTGGTCGCGAAGTTTACACCTCCAACCTTCAGCTTGGTGGCACCCAGATCATGTACAGGAACGGAGTCTCGCACATGACTGCCGAAGATGACTTCGAAGGTGTCTGCAAGATCGTCAAGTGGATGTCTTATGTGCCTGATAAGAAGAACAACCCAGTACCCATCTCGCCGACCGCCGACTCATGGGACCGCGATGTGACCTACTACCCTCCTGGCAAGTCTGCATACGATGTCAGGAACCTCATTAGTGGATTGGAGGATGAAGATGGTTTCCAGTCTGGTCTATTCGATCGCGGATCGTTCGAAGAATCCCTCGGTGGTTGGGCCAAGACTGTCGTCGTTGGTCGCGCTCGTCTCGGTGGGATCCCCGTGGGTGTCATCGGCGTTGAGACTCGCTCGGTTGAGAATGTCACACCTGCTGATCCTGCCAATCCCGACTCCATCGAGCAGGTCACCTCAGAAGCAGGCGGTGTGTGGTACCCCAACTCTGCTTTCAAGACTGCCCAAGCCATCAACGATTTCAACCACGGTGAGCAACTGCCACTCATGATCCTTGCCAACTGGCGTGGTTTCTCTGGCGGTCAGCGCGACATGTACAACGAAGTCCTCAAGTACGGCTCTTACATTGTCGACGCTCTCGTCAAGTTCGAACAGCCTGTATTCGTCTACATTCCTCCATATGGCGAGCTCCGTGGTGGATCTTGGGTCGTCGTTGATCCCACTATCAACCCTCAGTTCATGGAGATGTACGCCGATGAGGACTCGCGCGGTGGTGTCTTAGAGCCTGAAGGTATCGTTGGCATCAAGTACCGCAAGGAACGTCAACTCGACACCATGGCTCGCAATGATCCTACCTACGGTGCTCTCAAGCGCAAGCTGAACGACCCAGCGACACCGCAGAACCAGCTTCAGAGCATCAAGGCCGAGATGAACGAGCGCGAGAAGCTTCTGCTTCCCATTTATGGCCAGATTGCTGTCCAGTTCGCTGACCTTCATGACCGTGCTGGCCGCATGAAGGCCAAGGACGTCATCCGACAAGCACTCCGCTGGCAAAACGCTCGCCGCTTCTTCTACTGGCGCCTCCGCCGTCGTCTCAACGAAGAGTACATCCTCAAGCGCTTCGCTGCTGCTGCCGCCCCCTCATCTCGGGACACAGCCAAGGTCGATCCCATCACACGTGCCCGCGGTCTCGAGGACTTGAAGCATGTGTCGAAGATTCCGAACTGGGAGAACGACGACAAGAGCGCCGCAGAGTGGTACGAGGAAAACAGGACACTCATTAGCGAGCGCGTCGAGAAGCTCAGGACTGATGGCATCGCACAAGAGATTGCGTCGCTCATGAGGAAGGACAAGGCAGGTGGCATCAAGGGAGTGATGAACATGCTCAGTACCCTTGAGACAGCTGATAAGGAGGAAGTGCTGAAGATGTTGAGCCGGGCGTAGGTTCACGGAAAGATTAGAACGAGCACAGGACTTTGATCAGACACAAGTGTCTCAGTGGCCAAATCTCCAACCTTACGATGACGACAACGTACGGCGAAGGAAAGGATGGGAAATGGGGGGTTGTGTAAAATATGGGTAGATGCGCGATTGTTTGATTCACTTCGATGCCAAGGCATTCGTTGGTGTTTATGTGTAGTTCTTTTTAGCGTTGCTATTGCACGGTCTTGTAATCCACTTCAACACTGTAGTAGAATAGTGTACATGAGGAGAGTGGAGGTATTGGGAGGTACCTTCATTTTCTTCTCAGTGTATCAATCAAATTCTGAAAGCTACCCGTCTCATACCAAAGGAGCAGTACCTACATGCCCCTTTCCAACGGTATCGCCGAGCAGCATGCGATAATCTTGTCAAATCGCTCCGATACAGTTTGCGCTTGCCGATGCAGGAGACATGGCTTGCCGATCTGCGGATGCCCGGTGGAGGTTTGCGGGGTCTGGATAGCTTCAACATACGTCACCTGAGCGCACGCACCACCCTCATGTATCCACATGACCGCGAAAGCAAAAATTCGAGCCCCAAAACAAGCTTTGAACACTATCCATCTCATTACTCTTTGACGAGTTCCAAAATCCCAATTGACTACTCCCGGTACACTCCGACACACTACCCAAAAACCAAGAAGAGTCTGCCCACTGCAAGAAGTAAAGAAAATGGTTTATACGATTGTCGTGCATCTGTACGCCAAGGAAGACGCGGAGAGCATCAGCAAGCTCAGCGCGAAACTGGTAGAAGCAAGCCAAGTCTACAGCAAAGACCAGGAAACGCTCAGTTGGTTCGTGATGCAAGACGTGTCGGATAAGCGCAAATTCACCATTGTCGAGCGGTACTTGCAGGAGTCTGTAAGTTTTGTAAATAATCTCGTGATGCGTTGAGCGAAGCTGATGACATGTCGTCGCAGAGCCAGAAATACCACTTGGAGAACCCTTACTGGAAGACGTTTGATCCCTATGTGCTTCCTCTGCTGGAGAAGCCGATGGATTTGAGGAGGTTGGAGGAGCTGGATACGACTGTTGCGAGTGCTGGGGCGCATTACCATGAGGATGCTGTTAGGCAGGAGACTAGTGTGGGGACTATGTATCAGGGGGCTGCGTGAGGAGGGGGGTGGAGATGGAGACTTGGGAAAGGGAACTTTGTGTGTATATATGAGAAGCGGGGGTATCTAACTATTATGCCTTACGGTTTCAACGGTAAACTCCAAGGGCCAGGAGTGAAAAACTAAGTTGGCATTTCTTGATTTCATGCCCACTTATGGTGTGATGATATGAAGACAGGTATATCCTTGGTGATACATGACGGCCGTACTAAGGCTACCGCCAATGGTATAATTGTACAATCTTGGGGATGTTACATTGTGATATCCATTTCCTCGATTCGTTACTCGTACCTATTTTTCTAAACCCCATTGCTCGTGATTCTTTGTCCAAAAAAGGACAACAATACTCCCGACGCCTGACTATACTCCATGATTTCACAAAAGAATCCCGAGCTGAACCAACCGAATTAAGATCCACAGTACACGAGAGTGCCAAGGTCTAGACTCTTGTGACAGTGGTTACTCTTGATTATACAGTGAGTATTTCATGCTGGGGTCGTCCTGCGTCTGTTGGGTATGTTGCTGACGTTGGTACATGTTCATGTCAAAGAAGTCCATGTTGAACTGGCCTTCAGATGTCGGATCTGCCCATAGTTTCTGCATGTCGACGATGGGCGCACCTTGGTCAAAGCTCGTAACGAATGGATGACCAAAGACCTGGGGCAACTGTACTGGATCCGGCGCAAAGGATTGATATACGCCAGATTGTTCGTCGGAGAGTGGATCCGTTGTTTGCGGTTGAAAGAGGCGCGGATCGAGTGCTGCCGGGTTCCCTATCGGACTGTTGGAAAAGTCTGGCGCCTGCCATGGCGCTTGCTGCGTCTGTTTCCTCGATTTGTGGAAATCTTGGGAAGGTTGACCTTGTAGAGGGGAACCGATTTCGTCGGCAAGTAGTTCATTGGCTTGAGAATGCAGGGACGGAGCACATGTTTTCAAGATCCTCCAAACAACCTGAAGTGCACGTGCGGCAACTGGATCCTTGACCTGCATAACACGCAGGCAGCTGAGGAGCTTTTTGATAGATGCAACTAAATCTGGCTTGTCGTTCGTTAAGTTCTTGCCTTCGTAGGCCATCTCTAAAAGTAGCACAGCCATAGACTGCATGACTAGCGGCAGGATTAGTGTCCAGATGCGATTTCAATGTATTGTGGCACTCACTAATGTGAATCACTGTCCACCATGGTCCTGACGAGTAGATAAAATCTGCGTCCGGCTGGTCAGGCAATAATTTCGTCAGTTCTCGTGCAGCCTCTACACAAGCCTCAGCTGCCTGGGAATTGAAATCTACAGAGCGGTTGCTCTCATTTTCAATACGTCGTTCGAGCCGACATAGACAGGGTCGCGTGATGAGTATTTTCGTGCTCCAGTAGGATATTCTGAGCAAAAATCGCTCGCGTTCGTCGTCCAGTTGTTGTGGGTGTCCGGGTCCAAGGATTTGTGGTAAGGATTCCTTTTTCCACTCTTCAAGCTCAGCAAGGAGCCCCGTGATTTTGGTTTGAACGGACTACAAGGCGCAAATTAGTATGGGCCCTAGGTAAGCGTTTGAAATTTGGTGAGGCTTTAGTGGGCCTTGTGGCGGGTGGAACTATTGAAGACAAAAGCTTTGCGACACCTCAGTCGCAGAAGCCTACGGTCGAAGTGGCTGACGCGTGAACTTACCTGCCAAGAACTAGCAGCTGTCCGGGGTGAGTATAGGCTCACAAGCACCTTTTGTGAAATCAATGTCATATTGACATGAATGACAAAATAAGAAGCTTGAGGCCCAGCTCGACTGCCTGATGCTGAACTGCCACTACTCGTAGGGCTCTGCGGAGAGATGTAATCCGTACGTATGCGTGATGCGCGTCTCGTGCTGCTACTATTTGTGTCTCGCTCAGTAGATGCCGATTGTGGGAGAGACACCGTGCAATCTTCGATGGCGATGACGGGAGGTCGCCCCGTTATAGAGCTTACAAGACACTCGATTGCGTGTAAGCTCCACCAAGTGTTTTGCATCAACTCCTTCCTCATGCCATTTGCCGAACGATCTTCATTCCGTAGATGGAGGCCGAGTGCTAGGGCAAGTCGCATTGAAGTTCCTATCACGATCCACGCCCTGCTGACGTGACCAATGACCAGAAAGTAAAATGAGAGGAGGCCGGTCTTGACATTGTAAGTTAGTTAGTGTAGCTTAGTGCTTCGACGAGGGTACTCACGGCTTGAACAAGGCTCAAATCGGGTCCTGATATCATCATAATCGTGTTTTTCAAGCCCAGAAGATGCACTGCCCGTGTCATGTACACTAAATGATCGCGAGTGTCCCCTCTCCACCCGGCACCCGTGAGGTGAGAGTATTTTGCAGCGATTGCGAATAGCAAATTCATAATTGCGCGCCATTTTTCAGGGATCTGGAACGGTCGATTCAGCCTCAAGGAATCGAGGTATCTCCGGAATTGGTCCTCGAAGTTCGTGGGCAGAAGCGGAAATGAACTATGAACGGTGCGCATGTAACAATTGAAGAGGTGCTCTGCGGTTTCGGGATCTGGGACTTCGTATGGATCGACCGCAATATCAACTTCAATGTCGTCGCTATCAAGGTAAAATGTCGCATCGGTGATGTATCGCATAGATCCTTGGGTTGCGTTTTGCCTTCGCTCGTGAAGGGCATCAGATCGTTGGTTCGCAGCACCTTGACTTGCTCCTGGGGGCCCAAATCGCTGGCGGACTGGGTCGGTATTGCCGCTCTCTGCTTGACGCTGAACACTTCGTAGCCATTGAATCTCAGAATTCTGGCCTATGTATCCCGTCTCCCTGGACTCGCGAGTTCGCAGCAAATCCTCGTTGAGGTTATCAAGATCCTCGTTAGATCCTACCGAAGCGGTTACGTATGCTTCACCACCATAATGTCCACTCTCTGCTGTTTCTTCCTCGTTGCGAGAGGATTCGTCCCGGGGTCTCTTTCCTAAGGAATGTTCGGTCACAAGCGGTATATGGGTGAGCAGATCGTCTTCGGCCTGCGAACAAGAGTACGTCAATGCACGGTTCCATTTGACCACAGCAAGCGCCATAATATTTAGTGGAACCTACCTCTTCTATAGCATCGTGAATTTTCTTCTGGTCATCCTCCCCCACGCGCTCGCTCAGGTCCCTGAGAAGTGAAACAAAAGTCTGGTTTAGTTGTGTGGCCTCTCTCAGACGATCCCGCCGAGCTTGCTCGTATACGCAGTTCGAGTTACTTATCTGGCAATTTGTGCAACATGGTAGATCACCCGAACACCTTACCTCTATCACAAGGTCAGCAAAAGAGCACAATAATGGGAGACGAATATAAGTACTTCTCCTCCGACAGGTTTTACAGGCTCTCGGTCTAATCACTCCTGTTAGTGTCATATGTAGATGTTTGATGTTGAAGACTTGCACTCGGTCCTCTTTGCTCTTGTCACTCGCTCTCGATGGCGGCAACGGTCCACGGTCGAGCTTAGGAATGGCGACTTTGCCACTCCGTTCATTCTTAGACGCCCGGGGGAGGTTGACCTGCATGGCGCTGACGACTCCGAATTGGAAGTTCCCGAGAGCCCCGCGGCGCTATAAACGAAGATGCGAGATGGTATATAGGGCTGACGAGGGTGTTCTAGTCACGTGGTGATAACTTCTGGTAGCGGGGCGGAATGGATTGAGAGAAGGGTCATAGAGCGCCCCAGTCCTGTGGCGCGCGCGGGGGTTCGAGACAGGAAGCGACTCGATTTGGGATTCGATTTGCTCCAGGCCAGTATATGCGTCGGATCCGCTGTAGTATAGTGAGTGATTTGAGGCCACGGGCGCGTGGTAGGAAGCGAATCTGCGTGTTGATGAACGAGTGGCGAAGTCAAATGGGTGGTGGGCGCGCTCGGAATCTTTTCCCTAGCCAATAAGAAGGCACTGCCAACAGTTTCCACTGCTAAACCTAAAATTCCCAACGCAGGCAAGCTCGAAGGCACTACGCAAGCAGTGCTGAAGGGCATGTTCAATCTTTTGCATCCGGACCAGCATCTCGAATCGTCGTGGGGGCGACGGCGACGGCGATTAAGCGTAGACGCGGGGCTAAGCTAGGTCGTCCAAAGGAAGGGGCTTGGTACCATCGTATCACTCATGACATGGCCTCGTACAACTCAGCAGACGGGCGCCAAAGCTCCGGCTGCGTTGCGACATTCGGAAAATTGGAGCTATTCGGCGTGCAACAGTGCAACAAGACTTCTTGATGCGTGTCGGTCAGGTTGGCCGAAGCTTGTCGTCTCAGTATAACCCAAGGGAGCTAAGCAAAATGACGCCATCACGCGGCCAGCGCCTCTTCAAAAACATTAGCTTGTCACATTCCGGGCCGCCAACGCTGTGAGCGCGAAAGAACTGGTGGGTCTCTTATCGTGCTACATCGAAACACCAACCGGGTAAACGCCAATCATCCTTCCGCCAATAGCCGTTACAAATCAGCGCCATGCTCTCCAAACTCGAGTGTACATTGCAACGAGCACACGTCAAGCTACCACTATGCAGCTCCGTGCCGTTCACGCAGAGACCTCAATTCCAGCCACATCCCCTTCGTCCTCGACGTCCGTGATCCTCGTTCCTCGAGGAAGGGGTCATGGTACTGTTCACCTCGCCCGTGCAGCATTACGTTACACCCAAGTTTTATACCGACACAAAACCTAGTACAGGCTAGGTAGTTCCTACGTGGAATTATGCTGCTGCACAGTATGTCGAGTACTGCAGAAAGGTATTATTGGATTGAGATCGCGAGGCTTGAAGGCAAGTGTAAGATGAGCCAGGGGCTGGGAATTGGTGATCTAGAGGGTGTTGTCAAGGGATTTGAAGAGCTGACGAGTGAAGTTGGAGAGAGAATGGCGGAGGTTGTGAAGGAACGGGGTCGTAGCTTGAAAACTGCCATAGCGTGTACCAGGCCTGGGAATACCAGTCTAAAGCCTGTTATCTGTCAGGAGTATTCATGAAGACTGGAAAGCTAACGGCAACACACCTAGTTATCGTCAAACACGACTTTTGTCCCCGTCGATGAGGTCTGCTGTGCTAAGCCCCTCCTGCCTCCAACCTTCTTCGTCATTGCTTGCCACATTGCCGGGTCCCGCTTTTTCCACGGACATACTGGGTCTCCATCCAGGTGCCTTTCCATGCAATACCAACACTTGAATGCTCGAGGTCTCTTACCAGGTACTTTGTAACCTTCTCCCTCTATTTCCCCTCTCCGCTTCCTTTTCCGCTTTGGCGCTTCGATCCCACTGCCGAACATCCATGCGTCTCCCTCCGCGGCGGTAAGAAGTCTCGAAGTCGATTTGTTGATGTGATTTTGTTCCATGTATTCTTCGAGGTCTCGTTGCCATAATCTCATAACATACTGCATGTCAAGGCGGATCTGTGGTGCCACACAGCACAGTACCCCAATTTTCTGGCCCAGGAGCGCGACCAGACCTCCTTCACATCTGCTCAAGGCCAACTTTCTCAGTTCTTGCGCACTCGTTTGCTTGAAATCCATGCCAGCTCCCTTGCCTATTGATGCATAGTTCTCGACAGACTCTTTCCTTCTCCTGTGTTCCGCTTCCAGTTCGTCTCTCAGATTTGGCACACTGCAAGTCTCATATAAAATCCTTTGTCGCAGTTCTGGTGGGAGTCCAAGTAAGGTAGCTCGACCCGGATACGCACAACCTTCTAATCGCCACGCTGGGTCGCGAAGCCACGGGAGAATCTGTAACTTCAGGGCACGTTCTCTTGCAATTCCCTTTCTGGCCGAGGTCTTGAGAGTCCGTAATGGCGGCTGGCTCCAGATGCGGAGACGGGTCGACTTCGCTAAGTCCCGACGCCGTTTCTGAGCGTCGCGGGCGTTCTTTGCGCGACTCATGGGACTCTGAGTAGTAATCTGATATTGGTGGGTATCCCTTTGATGAGTATCGAGTAAAGAGTTCTTCGGGCGTACGATAAGGTATGCTAGAAGACGAGGAGCTTCTTGTAGTTACACCGTGGTGTAGGTGGATATTGTAAACTAGCTCGGCTCGGAGAGGTAATTAGAGCACGGGCCTTACGCTAAGGGGCGATCTCCCGTGAGTGGGAGTTACGGCTTCACGCGTCGACTGAGCCAGAATGGCAGCTCACCCGTTGCCCGAATATCGTATGCAACGGCAGAACTAAAGTCTCACGTTATGTCATTTGAAATGAACGCAAATACTGTATGGCCAATCCATTCGAACCCTCAACTACCTTATCGACCATCAGACTCAGGTGACGACCCAATTCGTACGACCCTGGAGCCCATCAGAAGTCGGGAATAGTAAGCCGCTAATAGTTATTAAATATGATCCTCTGTCTGAAACGGGCGATTTCTCCCAGGAAGGCTTTCATGCAGAGCTCTGCGGTGCGCTGGCGAGCCTTTTCGACCGAGAGGTTGGTGTATGTCGCAACACTGAACCCAATTACGGAGGCGACACAGAGAAATTCGTCATTAATGTTTGTTGTAGAGCGGTAGCCGAGGGAAGAGGCGAGGTGGCTGTATACGATCCATTTGTTATCCTGCGGTATGCTTTGATACCATTCACAATAGTCTCCACAGTCGTGGAGTAGAAGTTCGTCTTCCCTTATGCTTGGAATGGAAAGTCGATAGGATAGCCCTAGTACGCCGTTTTCTGCTGAAGCTCTGTAGCCAGCTCGTCGATATCCGGTAGCTTCAAGGGCTTGTCTTGGAACTGATAGTACACTTCTCTTGCAAGGCAACCCTCTTGGTGTGTCCAAAGGCATCGATACCAGCCAGAAGCGTAGATTCGATGGCATATCTCACTCACAGAGGCTGTTGAGGAAATCGAAATCAGCCAAGAAACAACGATTAGAACTGCAACTCTTTCACCGTAAATCTCGCGCATGGCCTGGATGCTTTTCTTCTTGTATATTTGTCTTCATCAGAGGTGCCGAGAATGCAGCACAGCGTGTCCACCCGAAATCCCGGAAAGGAGTGCGTTCGTTTTGTGGCGAGAGAGTTAGCACAAAGGCCGTCAACAAGGACTTGTAGCTTCGATAGTTGGCAGTATGGGAGGGAGTAGTCGAAGGGATTGCCTTTGCCGTCTGCCCAGCTGTTACAGGTAAGATAAGAGTCATTCGGACATGGAGAAATGTGTACTAACATATGGGAGATCGCAACATCTGAATAGTTGTTCGCCGATTGATCGTGTCTATTTGGCATACACCTATCAGCTGCATAACAAAGTACATGAGCTACTGCAAAATTCCCTGAATGAGAATTGCCTACATACCTGCGTCGAGCGCGAATATACAAGGACTGTGTGGCGAAGTGGTAGTGGCTCCGAATGTGCAGAGACGGATGTCACGGTCCACAAGTTCAGCTGAATTGGCGTAAAGCTCGCTTGCTCATGCCTGCCTGTTTGTCGGAGATCCGGTAGTGTTTGACCTTGACAAGAATGAGCTGCTGTAGAAGTCGGGACGGGATATCATATTCTGGCCCGGCGTTGTGATTGCGATTCTACAGCGCGGCATATCGGCCATTTCCTTAGCTATCTATGGAAATTGAGGCGTACTTCTCATGGCCACTTCCACGACTCTCCTCTGCTTTCTTAAGGGCTGTCAGGCGTAGTGGAGGCGCGAGAAGTGGGCATGTGGAGAGATTGAGTGAGGGCAAAGAGGACGTATATTATGACACATGGGAATGAAGCGTAGCATGCCATCGTCTAGAGTACAATGGGTGTGGTCTGAACCTTGAACACCTGTGAACTGGCTTCGATAATCTTGATTCACTGGCCATATCACTGACATGTCGGCTTTGCATGGTAGCGCTTGGAATCTCATGGGTCATCCTGCTCATCAGCAGCTCTACCTTGAAAGATCAGTCGTGATTCCTCATTGCTGTTGGAGGCATTGGTAGGGACATTCTTTCCTGCTAAAGAGGAAGCGCTCTATAGCATAGACGCTGAAGCACGAGAAAGGAAGCGAATTGCAAAGGAGCTGAAGAATAATATCAAAGAGCAGAATAGTATGAAGTGAAGGACAATGGAACGTCCAATCAAGTTCCCTTTCACCTATAGTGTGTACCTCCTCCTTCACCTGCCCGTGACGATTGAATAGGCTCTGCTATTGTATCACTAGATAACAGCAGTGAACAGACCGGATGCTATTATTGCTATAGCACAATAGAGACTGACAGGCCGTCGCTAAGTACTTAAGCAGTATCCCCCGACCAGTTTCTTTCTTTCCTTTTCCTCTTCAGACCATTCATTGTTGACACTTTCTGACTACCACCACCTACCCACCAGCTCGTCACGTGCCAACATGACGACCCCTTCCTTCACGTTCGGCGCTGGCGCCACCCACGCTTTCTCGCTTCGGTCCGAGACGGAGTTCGAGTTCCCGGTGAACTCGACTCCTGAGCCGACCATCGAGGAGAGGCACCAGCAGGAGGTGGCTGCTCTCCACCTGCAGCTGGCCGACGTCGAGACGGCCAAGCTCGACCTCATCGCGGCGCTAGCGCGCCAAGAACGAGCCGCGACAGTGGCTCAAAGCGCAGAGGCGGTGGCCCGAAGGGTCATCAATGAGCTCCGTGCCAACTACCAGACGGCCGTCCACGAGAAGACGAGGGCCATGGACGACTACGAGCGAGTCGCCAAGCTCCAGGAGGAGGCGGACGAGCTGCGCCAGACCGTCCAGGAGCAGGGCAAGGAGCTCTCCAAGCTCCAGGGCGTCCACGCCGACACGGTCGCCAACCTGCAATCGTGCGAGAAGCAGGTCGCAGACAAAGACCTAGAGATCGCCAGCCTCCAGGGCTCGAACAACAAGCTCAAGAAGGATGTCGAGCACGAGAAGGAAGCCACCACCAACCTCGAATCCATACTCAAGGACTCCCACCACAAACTCGACCACGCCAGCGACGCCCGCCAAGCTGCCATCAAAGCGAAGGATGAGGCCGAGGCACGCGAGCACGATACCCAGCTGCAGTTCGACGATTTGCGAAAGCAATGGGAGGAGGCGCAGAGCAAGATCGAGGAGCTTGAGCGCCAGGTGGACGCGATCCAAGAGCTTGAACACGAGAACGCGGGACTCATGGACGACATAGACAACCTCCGCGACGAGCTTGAAGACCACCACCGCACCCTCATTGTCAAGGACGAGCGCATTGGCCACCTCGAGACACAATTTCAGAAGGAACGCCAGCGCAACCTCAATGCCGCCGACGCTGCTGATGCCGCTGCCGCCCGTGCAGGTTCTCCAGCCGACGAGCTTCCTACGCCCTTCAGCCCCCTCGGTGAATCACTGCAAGATGAACTCGAAGCTTCATCCGACTACGACGGGTCCCTTTACGAACCGTTCGAAGAGCCACACGAACTCTCTCCTGTCACCGAGATTGCTAGCATCACGCCCGTCGAGGCTGTCTCCGCTCCGACTCTCACTCTCGATGTTGACGAGGCTGCTAGTATTGCGCCCTTTGAGCCTGTCTCCGCTCCGACTCTCACTCTCGATGTAGGCGAGGCCGCCAGTGTTGCACCCTTCGAGCCTGTCTCCGCTCCGACTCTCACTCTCGATGTACACGAGGCCGCCAGTGTTGCGCCTATCCAAACCGCCGTCCCAGCATTCTCCGTGCATGTTGACGAAACTGCAAGCATCACTCCCCTCGAGCGCCAGATCACGACTACAACCTCCTTTACCCAGACCGAGGCTCACGAGCTCACCACCGAGATCCCCCAGCATGCTGCTCTTGACATAGCTCCCGTCGCACCCATCGAGGTTACCTCCGTCACAACCTCTACGCAGACAGCTGCACCGAAGCTCACGGCCAGCATCATCGACTCCGCATCCATTGACGTCCCTTCAATTGAGGCTTTAAAGACGGAGCGCGAGGTTACGGTTACTACTGCCACGCAAACTGCAATCTCGAATCCTAAGATCACCCTCACACCCATGCTGGTCACACACGAAGAATGGCCTCTGGCAGAATATGTCCCCAAGCGTCCAACTAGCAGCGCAGGTGCCCAGACCACCGAGATCGAACTGGCGGCTCCCACCCCAGAGAAGCTCGGCTCCTTCGACAGAGACTTCCTCCATGCCTCCACTCTTCTCATGCTCGCTCACAAGGCCAAAGAGTTCGGCACCTTCGATAGAGTCCCCCGCCTCGCTTCTATTCTCGCTACTGTGTTCGCTGCTTTTCTCACATACATGTACCTGTCGCAGTACATCGAGTTGCAAGCCTGGAAGACTGCTAACGGCGTTGGCTTCCGCCAAGGATACGGCAACATGTACAACCGCGGGGGTGCTTACGGCAATGGACGCTACCTCTTCGGCCTCGTCCCCGTCGCTATGGATGTCGGCAACTCTGGATGGTCAGAGCAGTTAGCTCGCACCATGTCTATGGCCATTACAAGCTTCGAGAATTGGGCTGGCATTACCCATTCGCCACTTTACTGAACTCCACGGTATGATTCACGCTTTTCGACGATCAAAAACGCCACATCCCCAACCCGAAGAAGAGCTCCTGGTCTTGAACACTGTCTTTCATGCGTCTACGAACCACCACGCTCATCTACATGGGACTGTCTGAATATCAGCTTCGAGCATACAGACGGCGTTTATCAAATTGTTTTTGCTTTTTCTTTTCTGGCAAGGCTTGTACTGGAGCTGGGTTCTTCACTGCTTTCTCGATGGTGCACATATTTGCCCTCAGGTATTTCCTTTCACGGTGTTTTGGTCCATTACGACCTGATTTCAAACGACAAAAAGATGAACGATGATACCCCCCATATACCCCCTTTTTGTCCTTTTCTAGCTACGATTTGCTGCGTTTAACGAGATGATGGATCACTTTTTTTTACATAGATGCTTTGAAGGTCGCTACGAAAGCTTTACATGACATGAGCTTTACGACTACGACCAGATGATTGAATATAGACTTTTTCACGCCCAGCTTCTTTTTTTTGATTCCTTTCGTGACGTATACCACTTGCATTTACATTTTAGGTTCAAGGTTCTCTCTTGTGCAACGATTTCAACACATTGCCCTCTCGTCTAAATCTGCCACCCAGGGTAGAGACGATGCGAGAAACTAAATTAAGCAGATATCTCTGGGAAGAGTTCATGGTTACTTAGCTTTAAATGACTTTCAGACTGGCGAAGATACTAGGGAAAATCCTTCCTCATACCATACCCCGTCCTCGGCGTTCTCCCCTCGCATACCGCCTCATCTTAATCCTCGCGTCTCACTTAGCGTAAACTTAAACCCGTCGTTTCGGCCAACACGCTCAGAGCTAGAACCCGCAAGACTCTTAGGAGATACTCAGAGCTGACGTCAATACGATAGACGGGGTATAGATTTCATCATGTGTAGTAAGCATCAATCGAATGGGATTGTTCGAAGTCTGTTAGACGCCTATCCGTTCTTCAAGGAGACGATCTTGAAAGGAAGAAAGGATTCGGGTGTTGGGGACGTGTTCCGGCTGATTGGCTTTCTTTCTCTTGCACTTATTTGGCGTTGGTGGCACAACCGACGATTGTGTCCATGCTTTGACTCTCACTGGAGTTGGGCTCGAGGACCGGCGACCTGAAGTGATGAAGATCGTCGGTTTGTCACCTGATTCTCGGTGTTGTCGGCAACGCCAACTGCCACCGCAACTTTTGGTTCCACAAGTTAGTTCGACTGGCCCTCGCGCAGCACTTCATGGTTCAAGCTGGCATAAGCCAGCTGTCTGGGTGTTTGGATTTCCTGTCGAGATGCAATTGCCTCCAGAAGTTCTCTCCGAGAAGTAATATCGGGTTGCTTGCGAAAGATGGCGAATGCCTCCGCGCCCAAGCCGACGACGACAAAGGCCAAGCTGCAACCACATCCTTAGGACCGAGTTGCCGAATCGGGTGGCTCCGTAGAGGAACAGGATGATCCCCTAGGGTGAAAAGAGGAGCCGAAGTAGAAGTGGACGTGGTTGATTGGGGAACCAACCATAGAAATGGGGGCCGGTTGGTAGGTTGAACCTAGATGGGTGACGATAGCAGTAGAGAAAGTGTCGAAGTCCATGTGCATGCGCTGCAAACTGGGTTCAAGGTCTAACAGATTGGCAGAATATGAGTCGCAGATGAGGAAAACTACGGTGTAATATGTGCTGCAGGTCTGGCCAGGCCGGGAAACGCGTGGTGATGCGAGACTTGAGTCGTTTTCCAGACTTGGACACCGCAGATGCAGCACCTAATGTACTCCTGAGGATCATCGGGAGATTTCTTGCAGACTGGTATGATGAAAACACGTGCTCGTATCTCTAACTGCCTGGCGGGAAGTGCAATCCAAGGGCTGGGTGATCTGGGCCTCCGCGGCAAGTCAGAGTCAGGATTCGACTAATGGGAACCAGCCACGACGGTGTAAGAGAGAAGTGGGAGCCCGCTCCGCGGCAGCAGGGAACATTCCCATAGGCACTAGAAGTGAGGAAACTAGGGAGAGCCTGTTCCCGCCGAGGCCAATGGCGACCTGAACCCACCTGTTCTTGTACAATTCATGCCGTCCGACTCGGTGTGTGATATTGAGGAATCCAGAGTATGCAGACGTGCCCGAGCCGGCCCCAAGTGTCGCGCAACATGGGCTGAAGGGGGTTCCCGTTGCCGTCATGGCTTGTTGTGGTTTGGTTTGAAGAGGTGAGAGTCGGTGAGTAAGTTGTCTGACATGAAGACGCCAACATGGGACGAACGATTCGAGCGGATATGTCAACAAGGAAACGTCACTATTTGTCCAACTAATAACACAGAAGAAAGTCCACAAAAGAAAGTCCTGGTCGCCGTTGGGCCTGATGCACGGAGGACAGGCAGGCCTCGGTGTATTGAATGTATTACGTGTATCGAAACGGGTAAAAATCGGCAGTAGCCAGCAACGACTAACCCCATCCACGGTCCTGTGTGGGCACAAGACAGTGATTCCGGCCCGTATCAAAAATGCATGTTCCCGACTGTGGGTGTGTTTGCTTGGTGACGCTTCCAGGTCGGTGTGGGAGCGACTGTGCTTACCCGCGCTGGCACGCACGTCTTTTTCATAACAGGTCAGCATCCAAGAGGCGTTGCAGCAGGGCTTTCGCTGGGCATCTGTACAGGTTGCGGCCCAACCGCGCCACCGCTGGAAAGGCCTGTCCCCACAGTTTGTGTGCGGTGGTACCCAAAACCGCGCGAAGCCAGCTCGAGCAGTCGATTCTATGGGTACCTGAGGCCGCTGCTCGCCTCGCGCCTCGGAATAAGTAGTAGATCGGGCGCCTCCGGTAGAGCTGCTCTGCTGTTTTCGTCTTCCCTCCTCTCCCTCTGCTGCTTGCTACTCCATCCCCCATTTCACGACCCGGGACCACCACTACTACTACCACTGCCACCACCACCATCGCCGCCTCACGTACCCTGTGCCATCTCTCGTCCCCGCAGCTTTCGTGCGTCGTCGACTTGCTGCCCGACCGATTGACGTGCAGACGCCCACCGCCGTCGACCTGCCTGCGCCAGCCAATCGTGATCCGTCGTTGCTTGTAGCCGGCCTCCCCCAGCTCCCCGCTGACCTCAATCGCGTCTCAAAAGAGCCGCACGCTTCAACACCAAACAGGTGTCTTTCCTGTCGCCCGTACGCCGCAGAGACTTCTGAGAGTGCGCATTATTGCCATATCGCACGGTCCTGTATACTTGTAGATACCTGTCTGTCGTACCTGCCGTATCCACCCACGACAGCTGTGCCCACCCACCCCCACCAACGAGTTGCTGCAACCCACAGGCTACCCTCCCCTACCACACCCTACCATCATACCCTGCTCTTCGGCCTCCCCAAAAAAGGTTCGCCGCAGCCACGCCGTCAAGGTCCACCCTCTGTCACAGGCCAGACGCCCAAGTGCCGGTATATTGGTCCACACCCCGCTTCTGCTTACTCCTGCTGCTGCCTCCAGCGCTCTTCTGGAATCCCTCTGGACACCACAGTCCTCGGACACCACAGGAGCCTTTATTGCCATCCGAGCTGACGGTTTCTGACCTTGGTTACCTTGAGCCCCTCCTTGTCCCTTTCCAGCTTGTCTAGCTTGGCCTTTTCCTTGACCCTGACATCAGAGTCATCTTTCCTTTCCTCTTCTTCCTCCAGAACTCTCTCTCACCCTCTCACTCGCCATGTCGCGGGCAAATCAGTGGTTTGTACCTGGCGATGGCATCGCGAGAGAAGTCATCACGGCCGACATCCAACGTTACTTGGGCCCAGATGCGCTCATCAGGCCCGGCGTAGGCACCGGAGAATACCAGGTCCGGATCTCTCCCCCACTCACATTTGCACCATGCAAAGACTGACAGCCACCTAGGGCCAACCAGGCTACTGGATAACCGCATATCGCACCCTCACTTCGGTACGTCGACGCAGTCTAGCTAATCATGTTGACGCGAGCGCTGACGTAGCCTCAATAGCAAATGATACAGGATCTGAAGATGGATTCACAACGTTGGCAGCAGGAACGGCAACCAGGCGAGGCAGGACGTGGAGGTAGTCATAGTCCTTACGTTCGAGATACCAAGGTATCAAGAGGCCCTGACGCTTCTTTAGTGGCTTATCAGGACTCACGTACACATGCTGCCCGCCAGCATTGGGGTCCCACAAAACCGTACGACCAACATGCAGCGGCCGTGGCCGCGGACCCGTATGAGCAGCCAACCCGCCAGGTGGCACCATCAAGGACCGCCTATGCCACGTCTCCAAGTTATGCTACTAGTAGTGATGTTCATTACACTACTACTCCAACAGCCCCGTATGGAAGCTCCACTTATTCGACTGGATCCTCATCTGCTGCACCCAGGACCCAGCCTGCGGATCCATATTCCGCTTACCAGCAGACTGGTTCCAGGGACTCCAGGGATCCCAGGGACTATGCAACTCAGTCGCCGTATTCTTACTCAGCGCAGACACCCACAGATCCATACGGGCGACAAACGGCACAACCCTCGGGTCAATATGCAGCTCCAAGGTATTTTGGATACTTCGACGAACGTTTTTTGGTCTATCGCTAAACCCCTGTAGTGCAACCGCCGCTCCAGGCTACTACATTGCTTCAGATGGTCGTCGTAAGTCGAGTCTTGGGAACCACGTCCCCTCTTGTTTACTAACCGTCGACTGCGCAGAATATCCTCTGTCGCAACAGCCACAACCTTCGCGAAGTCAACCTGGCGCCTCAAATTACTCAACTCGGAGGTAAGGTCCATGTGAATGCCTGGCCTTATTGTTCTTCCTGCGTCATTGTATGGAGCCCGGAGATACCCTTTTCCTAAATGTCCGGAACCCGAACTGGAGTCTGGCCACCCTACTACTTTAATGGAACCTCTTATGAACTTTTGGGGCCTTTAGGCGTTACGAGCGAAAAGGATCCGGATAGATGCGTCGTTTCTTCAGAACCTGGACCGTGGGAATCCATAACATCTAGTCAGTCCGAAGAGCCGTGGTCTTCCTGTTGCCTTCTGTTTGCATGTCTAATGCCTTGGTGTTAATGTGTGTTGCCTGGGTCAATTTATTTCCTTTCTTTTGCGCCCCGGATCTCGGACTTCAATCTGCGAGTCACTACTGCTGCGCGGACATCTGGTTCATCATGGATTGTTCCTTGCACCCTTCTCGCCCCAAGGGTAGGATTACGGAACTCTGCAGGACATCCAAAACTCCAGCCAGGCCATATTACAACTTGACTGAAGCATTCCATGGATCAACTCATCGAACCACCGGATTTTCCTTTAACGTTCGAATGTATATACCTATGACATAAGGATGCTTCTCCCATGATATGGATGGTTTACGATATGATGGAAACATGCACGTTCTGCATAGCTTGCATGGGCATGAAAAATTGAAACAACTATTCAATTTGCTACATGCTTGACGGTCCAATACTCGATACTCGTGCGAAACTGCTTATCGTCATTTTCATGCTTCTCTAGGCTATCGGGTTTTCGGTGCAATTTGTGTCTTCCGCTCCCAATAAGGGATCCCGCAGCCCACGCGCGATTTAAGTCAATATACCACGTCCCAATTTGATATCAACCAAACTTTGCACCCACTCTTCCCGTTCAGTCCTGGCCAATTGTCTTAATCTCTCTAAGATACGTCCCACGCATATTTACACAACGCCCCTGGGGCCCCCACTTCGCAAATGACTGAATGTCTGCAGGTACGCTTGCATACATCAGGCCACGACATGCTCAGTACGTGTGTCGCTGAGAACCAAAGACCGTGCTATCGGATATACTTGCATGAGAAGATGTTAGGTTCAGCTCATATCCTGATACTACTGCTCATTTCGGAGTTCTGCCTACCATGATGATGACTCGTTTGACCATGCCTGAGTCCTCAATTTGATCGAATAGGTGTACCTTTCCTCACTATCTCTCTACACCATATAGTGTTCTGCACTTAGTTTACATACAACACTAGGACAATAGTACCACACTACGAAAGCCCAATCTTCATGATCGTCCACGCTTTGGCGCTACCCGTTGATCGGCACGGGCACCACTCGTCTACTCCCGAGGTAATCGGACCGTATATGCTGTGCATTTAGTGATGCGCAAAGCACAGCCTGAGAAACGAAGTGTGTGTGTGTGTGTGTGCGGTTGAGGGTATAGCTCGGCGTCGCTGGCACACACCTGCCCTAGACCTCGTACGCAAACGCCTATCGGCAGAAGTCATAGATGCTCAAGGCGCCTCGGTTGGGTTGAGTGTCTCCCTTAGATTATGCTGTCGTTGATCGATGGATACGAGGGGTGGTCCGGCCCGCATGACAGGGCAGAAGTGAAGGGTTTGGAGAGGGTCGATGACGATGCGAATGACGATGGCGGGGGAGGGGCCACCTGGGCAGCGTTGCAGCGGCTAGGTTGGACTGCAACGGTATGGTTAGGGATATTGGTGCGAAAGCCTGTTGTTGTATCGGGCCTTTTGTGACCGCCGGACGGTCAGGAGGCATTGCCTAGGCCTCGTCCTTCACGGTTGAGCAATGATTGACTTGTCGTCATTACTTTTGGTATAGCATTTCGGTTGAACGGTTTATACATGCGCTTAAGAATCATATATCAAGCATCTCTACATCCGGTCTATACGCATACCTGGTCGCGATATCAACATGCACTTGAATGCTACCAGAGAACGTCATCCACGAGCTCTCAGCTCTCTTATTTGTTCTCCTACAGTTTACCCTCATGCCTCTTTCGAAGCATGTACCGAGTGAGTGTGGGGAAAACGTCGCTGGAGCTCCTTCCCTCCTTCTGGCAAAAGTTCGGGCAAACTGCCATGATCGACATCAAAGCTCCGATGCTACTCATCTTCGCACCTCTTTCTACCGAACCCCACAGTGATGTTCTCTCATAATATATCCGAGGTCATCTTCGAGTCTTTTTGTTTTTCCCCCAATCCTTCGTCTTATTAAGCTTGGTCTTCTTACTAGCTGGCCTTGGTCCGGTCCTGGTCGAAAGCCATGTACATCATGGTGCCGCACTCTGCTCAAAGGCCGCTGTCGCGTGCTCGCTTCAGTCAACAGCTATCATGTATGTCTTGCAAAACTACGTAGTTTTAACGCTTTGGAGCCAATGCGCGTTCGCGGCTCACAGTTTCGCAAAACGCAATGACACCAAGAGTTTCGCTACCAATCTGTTGCACGAATCCCTAGATTGGTTGGATAGGTTCTACGACAATGAAAGAGGCTATTTATTCAGTTTGGATTCAGAGGCGCTGACACATGTAACGAGAGAAAGTGTGTGGTATGCGGCAGGTTTGCTGGCGCGAAATGAGGTGGATGATGTTGAGCAGGCCGTGCGAATCGTCAGCAACGTCATTGGTGCGCAGTTTAAGAATGAGAGCGAGCAATGGTAAGTGACATCTGTGATAGAACTGGGTCGCAAGGGAGCCAAGCATTTTGTCATTTAGAGAACTCACACCATTAGGTTTGGCGACTATCAGATCTACCCCGAGGAACCCTCGGTAGGAACCGAGCAATACCTACCCCGTATCTACAGTTCATGGGACCCAAATTGGCGAGGCTTCATTGGCACTACATTCATCCTCATTCTTGAAGAGTTCTCGCACCTGATCCCGCAAGACATTCAGGAGTACATGCTGGAAAGTCTCTACAACACCACAATTGGAGATAGCTACCGCGTTGGTGGCGTTGACCATGATAATCTGTACCCTGCATATAGCAATCCTTCGATCATGCGAGCTCTTGTATCAGGATGGGTGGGCCGTAGAATCAACGATTCGAACATGACGACTGCCGGCGAGGCCGACGCCAAAGCTATAATCGATCTATTTACGCGCGATAACACGCTTTCTGAGTTCAACTCAGGGACGTACGCCGGAGTGTCATTATTCGCACTGACGCTTTGGGCCAAGTATATGCCCGAAGACAGCCTTATGGGCCAGCATGGAGGAGAAATGATCCGCCAAACATGGACTTCGTTGGGACAGCTATATAACGCAAACTTGAAGAATGTTGCCGGGCCTTGGGACCGAAGCTACGGCTACGATATGAACAAGTATCTGAGTATTCTGGCATTGCAGATATGGACGCTAGTTGGGAAGGAGAATGCCCCTGTCAACAAAAAGGTGAGTGAGATTTCAAGCCAGAATTTGGAGCATTTGGAACTTCAACAGTGCGAAAGCTTCCAGCTCTCACCATCGGCAATCCTCACTCACACTCTCTAGCCATACGCGATGGGTCACAAAAACGACTTCTCCATCTCCCCACTCATCGCAATCCTCGCACCGTTTCATAACACCCTTGTCCCTGAGGAAACACTTTCCTCCTTACTCGGGTTCCCTGGCACCCACACTGTAAAGACATCCGCTTTCTCTCCACCATACGACACCTACCCTCGCAACATCACTGCTTGGATATCACCCAATCTCACTATCGGCGCCGAGTCGTTTGCCGAGAACGTGATTGGTGGTCCATCGAAAAACCCGAGTAGTTTTAATCCCGCTGTTGTTCAATGGGCGAGACGGGATGGCAGTGTAGGATGGCTGAGTTTGTACGCTCAGGTTAAGGAGTTGGATGTCAAAGTGGGTGAGTGGACGCTAGAGCTGAATTATCCGAAAGGGAATGTGAGCAGTGGGTTTTCATTCTTGGTAGGCACAAATGGATGGAATGAGAGGAGGGATGTGAGTAAATGGGAACATGTCGAGGGCGTCAAAGTCAACGTTACTGGCAATGTGGACACGAATTATACAGTGACATTCAACGGACTGCGCAGTGGGGCGAGAGAAACTATCAAGTGAGTACTGTGAAGGGGAGGTGCGATTATATCTCGATGCTGATTACATGCTGCAGTGACTTTGAGTTCTGGAACTTCACATACACCATGCCTCCGAGTAGCCAGGAGATCCCGCGAGTGCAACTAGATTTCGAGCTTGCTTAGGGAGAAATATGTCGAGGCTGGTCATGCGCGGCAGTCCAGGTAACTTCAATGACTATAAGTATGAAATAATGAAGAGCCATGAAATCCTAAAACTGTTTTAACGACGCAAGAATATTTGGCACATGATTATAACCCGCAGAAGCGATAGTTGAAATTCATCGCATGCCTTATCGTTCCTTCTCATCCCATGCTTATTTCTCTCATACATTCTTATTGCCTGTTTCAAGTAGATTTTTCTTCAACATGATGTTATTGTGTCCTCGATTGGACCAAACTGCCCTCTATATGTTCCTTCAATCCTGCGAAAAAGATACCAGATTGAGGAGCGTATCGTCAGAGTTGATGGCGGAGATAAATTGTTTGGGCTTGGTGCACCAGTGAAAGCGTCAATACACGATGCAGAAGTGCTGGGCAAATCTGATCGCACTCGATGCGGCTAGTGCGATCTTGTACGATGAATGACGCGCATGCACGGGATCGCGGGAACACGCGCCTCGCGCTTGATGCTCCCCGTACTATCCCAACTCCAGCATCATACCGTCACAACGATACAAACGAAAACCTACACTTCATTGAAAAGCTTATTCCTGCCTCAGTATGGCCTGAGACGCAGTATGTCCTCGCCGGCGCCGAATTTCGCCTCCTCTCCGTTCTCCATCACCTCCCCGCGCCGCATCCCCAAGTCGAAGTTTACCTACAAACAGCTTCACCAGCTGAAGTCCTACAGCCCGCAAACACCTCTCCGCGTAATCGCACACGTCGACCTTGATGCCTTTTACGCGCAATGCGAGACAGTCCGCCGCGGCATCGACCCATCAAAGCCCCTCGCAGTCCAACAATGGCAGGGCCTTATAGCGATCAACTATCCTGCACGCGCGTTTGGGCTTAGCCGGCATGTCACAGCTACTGAAGCTCTGAAGCAATGTCCAGATCTTATTCTGCAACACGTCGCGACGTGGAAGGAAGGCGACGAGACATGGGCATATCATGAGAATTCGTTCAAGGACATGGCGACGCATAAAGTAAGCTTGGATCCATATCGAATGGAGAGCCGGAAGATCTTGAAATGCATAAAAGAAGCGCTGCCGGAGAAAGAGCAGCGTGTGGAGAAGGCAGGGATTGATGAGGTGTTCCTGGATTTGAGCGCCCAGGTGCATACCATTCTCCTGCAGAGGTATCCTGAGCTAGATGGGCCCATACCGTACGATGACCCGACGGAGTACCTGCCGAAAGTTCCGACGACGGTGCTGGATTGGGCTGCTGATGCGCTCGTTGAGACTGGCGAAGAGAACGGAGAAGATAGGGATCCAGACTGGGATGATGTATGCATGGTCATTGCCTCGGAGATTGTGCGGGACGTAAGGAAGCATATCAAGGAAACACTTGGATACACGTGCTCGGGAGGTGTGGCGAGGAACAAAATGCTGTCCAAGCTGGGTTCAGCATATAAGAAGCCGAATCAGCAGACTGTGATCCGCAATAGGGCGATTAAGCACTTTCTTTCGGATATGAAATTCACAAAAATCAGGATGCTAGGCGGGAAATTGGGCGACGAGGTGGTTGCCATGTTTGGTACAGACAAGGTGAAGGACCTCGTGGAACAGCCGTTGGATCAGCTGAAGAAGTTGGGTGACGATACTGGGAGCTGGCTGTTTTCAACTATACGTGGTGAGGACCATAGCGAGGTGAATCCCCGAACGCAGATCAAGAGCATGCTCTCAGCGAAGTCTTTCCGGCCTACCATCAACTCGTTCGAGCAAGGCGTTAGGTGGCTGCGAATCTTTGCCGCTGATATCTTCTCGAGATGCGTTGAGGAGGGCGTGTTGGAGAATAAGAGGAGGCCAAAGACGATTAACCTGCACCACCGGCAAGGTACGCAGACAAGGAGCCGCCAAGCGCCTATACCTCAGGGCAGACCGCTCTCCGAGGCTATCTTGTTCGATCTGGCGAAGAATCTCCTTGCACAAGTAGTAGTCAATGGGCGGGCCTGGCCTTGCTCCAATCTATCCCTCAGTGTAGGCGGTTTCGAAGACGGCATTACGAACAACAAAGGTATCGGTGGATTCCTCGTGCGAGGCGAAGAAGCCAAAGCCATGATGTCTACAGGCCGATCAGCGAGCGGCGGTGAACCACCTGCAAAAAGAAGAAGAACGAAAGGAAACATTGCGAACTTCTTCGGTCCACGCGATGACAAAAAAAAGGACTTTGATGCTGCAAGGGCGGTGCTGAGGACAGCACATAGCGAGTCGACACGAGAAGAAACGGAAGATGATCTTATTGAGCACGAAGAGGAAGATCCATTCCAAGATACCAATGACGATAATGACGCAAGACCTTCTACGCCCATTTCAGATCGTCACGACTCGAACAACGACCTCCACGGACCCAACACACCGCCCTCAGCGCAACCGCAACTCACTACCCACTCACCACCATCCCACCAGCATGATCCAGACATATCTCATACGCCAATATCACGCCAAGAGCCCCCCTCACACCAAAAAACTCTCGACACATACTTCTGCGCACAATGTAATCTCCGCTTGCCGCCCAATGAGAAGGCTGAACATGACGATTACCACTTTGCTCTCGACCTATCAAAGGAAATGCGGCAGGAGGAGAGAAATCCACCGGCTCTCGCTGCACAGACTGGGAGTACGCTTCCCGTCGGTCAAAAGCCGAGTAAAGGGAGAGGACGGCCGCCGGGCAGTGGTGCGGGGAAGGGAGGAGGGAGAGGCATGGAGAAGGGGCAGGCGAAGTTGGCTTTTGGGCGGGGAAGTTGATGTTGAATACATAATGAGCTTATATACCACTGTACTCTTTGTCAGACTTGTTCGGTGCTCAATTTCGTGTAGTTTCTTTGTGTTGTCAGATGGTTGAATGAGGTTGAGAGTGATACCATGGTTGGACGACTTAGAATACCGTGTCAAGTGCTGGCGTGTATGCAACATTTCCAATTCTATGTCGATGTAGCCATCTTAATGGAGGGTGTTGCTGACCATCCATACCCTTCAAAGTACGCAGCTGGCTTCAACCTGCCTTCCAGCACTCTACAGGTTTCCACCATCAACAGGCCCAGTAAACTTCCTTCGCCCTGTAGTAATCCAAAAAATCAGGCTGACTAGCATCACCGCACCCGTAGCTGCTGATGTATAATTCATGTTATCGCTATCCACAGGAGTCGCGCTCGGAAAATTCGCAATGACGCAGATAAAAGCCAGATACAAGAAGCCGATAATGTTCAAGATAATGCCCCATCGGCCAAGCGAGTAAGGTCCTTCGAGGCGCGTCTTCTTGCCGGTGAAGTGGGCGAGGATTCGGGATAGCAGGGGCATTAGGTAGGAAAGATCTAATTGCGTGTCAGTGGACTGTGTTTCAATCTAGGATGCGTGACTTACAAAATCCTTGCGTGGCAATGGTGACAATTGTGTTGAAGCCTGTTGTGGTTCCGAAATAGATGGAGTTGAACGCCATCTGAACTACTGCAGTCAAGATGATAGCAAAGACTGGCACTTGTCTCGACGAAACCTTGCTAAGCAGCCCAGAGAAAGGCAGGCCGTTGTCGCGAGAGAATGCATACACAGCTCGCGACCCCTCGGCCATTAAACTGTTTGCGCTGACCAGAGCAATAACTGCGATCATTGAAGCCAATGTCGATGCTCCGGCCACACTGCCCGTTGAGTGGTACATGATCTCGATGACGGGTACTCCAGTCGCCGTAGCTGCAGTTAAGTCGAGGTCACCAATGCAGAAGCAAAGCGCGATGAGCCAAATGAATCCCGTGAAGAATCCAATGTACACTGACATGACGATGGCTCGTGGAGCTTGCTTCCGAGCGTTCTTCATCTCTTCGGTCATGTGCGATGGTGCATCGTAGCAGCACATACCTGAACAGGACTAAGTCAGTACTTCATTCTTGTGGTTTTCCCAGTGGATTACCTACCAAAGGCGCTTTGTAGCAGGCCCAGGCATGTCGCAAACGGTGCACTCCAGCCAGTGCTGTTCTGGAAGTCACTGAACACGTAGCTCGCCGATTGCTTGTGATCATTCTTGGCCAGGATGGTAACCAGACACACAATAAACGAGAGAAGGTTCCAGGCGAATATTGCCTTGGAGAGCTTGTTCAGGATATGCGGAAAGAATGCGTTGGATACGGCAGCGATGAACGTGATGAGATAGGCGATTAAGACAGCGTGCCAGCGCTGAATGGTAAAGCCGTAGTTGAGCTGTGCTGTCCCGAGCACAAAATTTGCAGCGACGTTATTGTTGACTGCGCCCATGCAGATGATACCGATGAGCATGAACCATCCGCAAAGATAGCTGAGTCCTCTAGCCCAGCGGGTCGGCGCGAGGATTGCCACCCAGCTATACTGTCCTCCAGCGACCGGATATCTTTGCAAGTTAGCGGGATGGCTGAATGTTGGGTAGTATACATACGCGCTACACATCTCGGCCATAGAATACGCAACCGCCAAAGTAACCAAGCAGACAGCAACCCAGCCCCAGATCATGACCGGCGGTCCTCCAGATTCAAGGCCGATAATGAATACGCCGCTAAGTGCGGTCCAGCTGGTAATGATACTAAAGGAGAATCCGATCATGCCGAGCAATCCAAAGCTACGCTTGAGCTCTGAGGTGCGATTAGTAGACTTTGCGCATAGACACGTCAATCTGCTCACCGTGGGTATATCCCAGCTGTGCAAGCACCTCATCATCACTGCTGTTACTGTCATCGATCACTTTTTTCTCCGGGTCGGACACCAGGTCGGATGCCATTGGGACGACTAGCTGGTCCTAGCGAAATCGATTTAAAAACTGATATGTAAGACCCAGAAGCATTGACGCCTTCGCAAGCTCAAGAAGAAGGATCGAGTGATGTACGAAAGCTGCATAGTTATATCAATATCATCTCGTCGATCTATCGCTCGTAGCAGTGGAGATGACAGGCACCATTTTGAATGCCTAATCTGCTGCATGGTCGCTGATAGCAAATAAGCACCAGCAGTCGTTCAGGGTACGAAGATAGATGTCATGACCACTTCAGTATGCAGACTGACATGCATGTCTTATCAGAAGTTTGTTGTGTATTCACCATTGGTCAAGATCGGACACAGCGACCCGGCAAATAGAAGTGGGGTGGTGCATTATAAGCTGACCCAAGAGGCAATCCCGCGGTCGGAGATAATGACTTTCCCATATAGTGGACCTGCATACACACATGCTCTTACGTTCGCTCTTGAATCGATATTTGTGGAGATGTAGAGGGAACTGACACGGAAGGTCGGAAGGAGATGGCTGGGGTTCCTACCTAGTTAGATAAGGAACTGCATGCCCGCCACGCCCTGTACCACGAACGTCACACTACTTTGTAAGCTTCGTGAGTTCGATAAGTTTCAGATACAACTATAAATACTGCTTATGCAAGATCAATTTAATGTTTAGGCACTTTCCTATATTGACTTCGGGCCAATATGCGTGCTAAGGTTCATCACCCCGCACATGGGTACTTGGATCAACTCTCTCTCTCTCTCTCTCCCTCCTTCACACCCGTCAACGATTCCATGTAACAGCTGTCAGTAAACACACCTAGCAAGGAAGTAGACAAAGAGATACTAGTAGCAATGAAATTTCACACGCCAACACCTCCGTTGACGATGAACGCTCTCACCGCCTCGTTATGCGCCTAGCCCAAACCATACTCAACGCAGGTACCGTTTTGTTCCAAGCATTGCTTCCAGGGAATATCCTCCTATCATCCAGACGTCCTTTTTAGCCATCTTCTCAATATTTTATAGAGTTTTATAATCGTCCGAGCCTCAGAATGATATCCCAAATCTCCACATCCCTCCCCTACCCCTGGCCACACGACTCGTCCCTGCACCCCAGTACATCCGCCCTCCTAATCATCGACATGCAACGCGACTTCCTCTCTATTGGCGGCTATCTCGACTCCCAAGGCTACTCGGTCGCGCGCTTCCAGTCCCTCATCCCGCGCCTCGTCTCCCTACTCTCTACCTTCCGGCGCGCGGGATTCCCAGTTTACCACACGCGCGAAGGACACGCGTCGCACATGGCGACGGTGAGCAGTAGGGAGACGCATAGAAGTGCAGTAAATGGAGCGCAGATAGGCAGTCAGGGACCCCTGGGCAAGTTGTTGATTAGAGGGGAGAGGGGCCATGATATCATTTCGGAACTACAGCCTTTGCCTAATGAGCCTGTCATCGATAAACCTGGTCGAGGAGCGTTTACGAATACCGATTTGGAATTCTCGTTGAAAGCTAGGGGGATACGGAATCTGGTGGTTTGTGGGGTCACGGCGGATGCGTGTGTTAGTAGTACGGTAAGAGAGGCGAGTGATCGGGGGTTTGATGTGCTTGTGGTGGAAGATGGAGTGGAGAGTGTCAGTGATGAATTGAAGAAGTGGAGTTTGGAGGCTATGAAAGTGGAAGGAGGGTTGTTTGGGGTGACGGGAGATGCTAAGGCTGTCAAGGAGGCTGTGGAGAGTTGGATGAGCAGCAGTAATGCTAACAGCAATGGATATGCCAAAGAGGGCGTGGAAGGGTATGACTCGCGATGGTACTACGAGCAAAACAGACGAAAGACATGAAAACAGAAGAGGATCGATATCACGTTGCAAGAGCACAGTGCGTTAATGTGTGTATATGTGCATTGACTATACTAGCCAAATGAAGACTCTAGGTCTCTTATCATTGAACCGTCCCAGACCATAAACATAACGCCGTGAAGACCGATAGCCGTGCCAAATCATACCCATAAACAATGTGTCGTGACCAACTGGACCATCCTTGACCGAGAGCCGTGGACAAATCGACCAAGGGCGACGTTGAGTCGTGACGAGAAGAGGAACTGCTTAACCACCGAAACCGTAGAGGGTACGGCCCTGGCGCTTGAGCGCGTAGACGACGTCGAGGGAGGTGACAGTCTTGCGCTTGGCGTGCTCGGTATAGGTGACGGCATCACGGATGACGCTCTCGAGGAAGGTCTTGAGGACACCACGGGTCTCTTCGTAGATCACTACGGCCATGTTAGAATTGTTGCGGCGCGACATTAGGGTTAATGTAACTTACTAGCAGAAATACGCTTGACACCACCACGACGAGCGAGACGTCGGATGGCGGGCTTGGTGATGCCCTGGATGTTGTCACGGAGGATCTTGCGATGGCGCTTGGCACCGCCCTTGCCGAGACCCTTGCCACCTTTACCGCCTGGAGAGCGACGTTAGCATACCATGTCGAGAAGGGAGCAAGATGTAGTGCAGCGAAGAGGTCGTCGTGGTGTGCAGGTGAGGCGTTCTCGCCATGCACGATGTGGTGGGGCGACGCGTTGAGGCTCAACACCAAGCGCGACGTCGGTAATCGCGCGATAGCGGCAACTACGACAACGACGACGACGACGACGCGAGGCGATGCGACATGTGACAATGAGGGGAGATGAAGGTGCACTTACGTCCAGTCATGTTGGAAAAGTGTTAGTGTTGATGGAAGTTGATGAAGTTTAGTGTAGACGCGTTGGGCGTTGGCTGCAGATGTAGTCGTGGGTTTGGGTGGAGAAAAGACGGAGGAAAAAGAAGAGAAGAGAAACTCGAGATAAAGCGGGCAGGCGAGTTAAATAGGCGGGCGGGCGCTGCGGCTGCCTTAAGATCACACCAGGGCGCTAAGCTGCGTTGGGCCGGGCAGGATCATGGAAAATCAAAGGCTGCCCCTTCAGAAAATCAAAATCAAACATGCTGGAAAGCAGCACTTCGAAAGAGCGTCAATGTCCTTTGCGGGCGGGCCGGCCTGGCTGTTGCAGTTGGCAGGGTCCGTGGTCTGTGCGCCCGCGAACATCAAACACGAACGCGCAGTACACGACCAGAACGCCAACCACTGTTTCTTCTGCAGAATTCACCAGTACGGTCGAATAGCCCTACAAAGTATCTAATAATACTCGTAAAGCTTCAATACATCGCTTCAAGGCCTCAGAACGTCCACATCTCCCGCAATGCTGCCAAACGCGCGCCAAGAGTGTCTCTGTAGCGCGTCTTCTATAGCTTCACACCGCCCTAACCTTCAGACCTCACTACACATCTCACTGGCACGTATGAACGAGTTTCTAAAGGCAGATTTCGATGAGAGAGTCGTGCGCTAGACATGTCTTGCGAAGACGCATTCAAAAAGACGGCCTCTGCTCTTACCCTACTCACCCAAGCTTATCTTTCCACGACCCCAAGCCCACCCTGAGCTTTTATGCCAGCCACCTCTCCCTCACACATGTTTGAGTCCTCTGTGAGACGAGAGGGACGGCACTATTCCTTGATACACTTCCGAGAAAAGGAAAGTTGAGATTATACAACAAGATTCATTTCGCATACTATTCAATCAAACAAAGGCATAGGACAGTGCCAGAAGGTGCCCTCTCAATCTACTCATCTAACAAAACGTCCCGAGGAGCTAGCTAGTCCACCCACTGCGCCTGCCAGTTTCCCGTTTCCGCCTTTAATATTTACGAAGTCTCCTCGTTGACTTCCTTCTCCGTCGGCTCCTCATAGACTGGTGGGTCGTCGTATGCGGGGAGCTCAGCGTACTCTACCTTCTCGTCGCGAAACTCGGGCTCCTCCACAGCCTCCTCCTCTAAAGCGATCCTCTGGTAGCTCTGACCTCGGACCTTGGCCATAGTAATGGCGATGAGGCAACCTAGCGCCATACCAATGAGGTAGGTGAGCGTACCGGCGAAGATACCAATGAGAATCGGAATAAGAATAGTAAAGAAAGCGCGGCGGATGAACATATGGAAGCGTTGACCGTTGTGGCCGTGTCCGTGGTGGCCCATATGGTGAGGACGATGATGGGGGCGGTGATGAGGGTTACCAGGATGGAAGCGGTGCGGAGGCTTGCCCTCGATCGACTCGTCCTCCATCGGGTTGGGATGACCATGTCCGTGTGGTCGCTTGTGGCAACCCTTGCCCATCTTCTTCAATTTGTCGACCCTGTCCGCTACGATGCTCTTCCACTTGCATAACAGTGGCCATTCCTTGCACTCCTTCTTCTGGTCAACCGGACTAGCATCAGTAGCCTGTGCGGCCTCGAACGATGCGATCATAAGACGGCCTTGAGAGTCTTTGAGCAAGTTGATGGTGAGCTCCGGAGGATGGACAGCGGTGCCCTCGACAGATGTGATTTGGAATGTCATAGGAAGCAGCTCAGTTCCCGCTTCAGACACGGTCTCGGCGCCATTGTAGCGGAAGTGGTATCCCGTAACGCGGAGGCGTAGGCCGTCTTCGGAGTTAGGATCGACCTGGGTAACATGGAAGGGTTTTGTGAAGTAGCTGAAGGAGGGAGGGTATAGCTGAACACCGTCGATATTGAGTGAATGTTCGAGAGTGCCTACTCCAAAGTCGAGGAGCTATAGAGGTCAGTCAGGGTTCTTGAGAACTTCTATCCGCAGACACCAAATCCAGACGGGTCTACTGAGCCCGTCGTCCGCTTCCCCACCATGTCGCGATAAGGCTGCGGGGATCCTCGAGGTACTTACAAAGGCGTTTCCTACGTCCGACTTCCACTTCAGCGCATCGCCTTCCTGCGTCGCAAAAGCGCATCCAGGGCACTCGAGAGTGACTGATCGCTTAGATGGGTTGATCGCAAGCGTCTCCAGCGCATTGTCGTCCCCGAGGTCGGAAGTCATCATAGGAGGAATGAGCACGGCGCTGGCGGCCAGCGCCAGGTTCGCAAAGACGCCCAGCTTGCTAGGAGGCATCATGAGGTGCGTTATCGGAACAAGTGGTTAAAAGGTCAAGAGATGTTGTAGAAACGAAGCGCGAGGAGGTCCAGGACAAAGGGAAGGCAGTGCTGGGCCTGGGGCATCACAGCCGCGTCATCTAGCACGTGACGAACACGTTATCGAACTATTAGCTATCAATGTCGCACGCAATGAAACACACGACGGAGCACATTAGTGACTAGCTACTACGCGTCACCGAAATAATTATTCAATAACCATTTGCGAAAGGAGTGCTCCGTGCTAATTCTTTTCCCTTGAGCAACCTTAGAGCTTTCTCGTCAAACTTCTCGCGGGATCACGGCGAAGCCCCTGAGCAAGACGAAGACAGCGAAACAGTCCGTACGCACGCGCGACGTTCGAGAAACACTGCCCCTCTCGGGAATTACTGGTCGCGCCTCCAAGGGCTAATATAGCGGGACCTGGCATAACAACCCCCAAAAGCGGGTGCAACTGCCGCTGGATGACATGTGTACACTCGACACTTAACGGGGCGTAATACTAGCCCCTGGACATTTTGGTCGTGGCAACGAGTCCCACTGGTAACGATATTTGCGTCCGTTAGCCTGTTAGGGCGGCTACTACTATCCGTGTCGAAAACTGGAAAGATGGCGATAGATGAAATGCATTAATAGTAAACTAATCTACAGATCTCTTCCTAGTGCGTTTGTATTTATCCGCAAGAGACTTTCCAGTCCACGCTCGTCGACATGTACCAGTTGAAAAATGGATGTGCCCTTCAAATTCTTCTGGAGTCATATTCACGTTTAAAATGATATCCTTCATTCGCCTCGTTTCTTTGCTGGGGACCTTCGTGCGTGTCCAAGGTGTTCGCTATCTAGGTCGCGTCAACTCGGCAACCAAGGAGTTGACTTGGTCTGGCACTGGTGTGTCATTCACCTTCTCGGGGACATCAGCATCCATTGGCCTGGCGTCTGTGAGAGGCAACAATAGTGCCGAGTTGATTGTTGATGACGGCGAGCCAACGGTCATCTCGAATGTTGCGGGCATCTCCATCTCAACACCAGCCGGTTTGACTCTAGGAAACCACAGCGTTGTGTTCCGTAAACGCTCCGAGGCTGGCTTTGGCTCCATCTTTATTGGCGACATCACCACCGATGGTGTTTTCGGCCCAGACATTCCTCTCCCAGAGCGCAAAATCGAAGTCATCGGCGACTCTATCACCGTAGGATACGGAATTGGCGGCAAAATACCGTGTACCAACACAGCGGCTCTGGAAGACGTCACGAAGACCTATGGCGTCCTCGCAGCCACGTCGCTCAAGGCTGACTATAGCATCGTCGCCTGGAGCGGCAGAGGCATAATACGCAACTATGTCTCCGCGTCCCCCGACGACAGCCCTATCATGCCCACCCTGTACAGTCGCTGGGGCGCCAACGACGCCAACGGCAGCTACACCTTCCCCTCGACCTGGACACCGGATGCCGTAGTCATCAATCTAGGCACCAACGACTTCGGCTACCTGGGCACTGGAGCAAACGGATCTACATACGCTCTGCGCCCGAAACTTGACCCGCGAACATACACCACTGCCATGGTGCAGTTCGTTCGTAGCATCGAAACACACTACCACAATGCTACCTTCTTCCTCCTGAATTCCCCAATGCTCAATGATGGGTACCCTTCGGCGGCGGACGCGCAGAAAACTACCCAGACCAACGCCCTCAAAGATGCGGTTACGCAACTTAATGGCACGCGTCTGCATTTTATTGACTGGCCTTCGCAAGGAGCGGATGTTGGCTGCGATTATCATCCTACTCCTACAACGCATGCTGCTGAGGCTGTGGTGCTGACTGCAGCTATCCGTACAGCACTAGGGTGGTGAAGTTGCAACATAGAGTGTTCGGTCGAATGCCGTATAAATATATACAGTTCACTTTATTATCCTCAAAAACAATTGTGGCTCAGTTCATTCGCACTACACAAAGTGCCACAAAAATGGCACGCTTACAGACCTGGTATCTCGCAATCCAACGCCAAACGAACCCCAAAGAACCAATAGGTAACATCCATCTCAAAAAGATAAATGAGATGCCCAACGCCAGTAACACCACGTGCTAGTCATACAACATATCAAGATCTCTCTCCCGGCATTCTTTTCCCATATCACATCCGACTAACCTGCACCGGAACACCAGGATGCATATTGAGCAAGTACTGCGGCCCAGGCATGGTCCCTCCTCCGTAGCCATTAACCCGACCCGGACTCCTCTGCTGCTGGCCATCTGCGCCAAATTCCCTATTCTCACCACGCCCATAGTACGGTGCACCATAAGCAGGCGGTGCTCCTCCTGCCCCCAGACTCGTCGAGCTAGTACTCCGGCTCTCTACCATTTTGCCCAACATGAGATCTCGATCGTCGTCAGTTTCGCCTGGTGTTTTCCGGTTTGCTGCCCGCGCATGAGCGGAGCCGCGCCGCCGTATGCAGGTTTGAAGAACGGTGTTGAAGACGAAGACCATGAGGGCTACGGCGGTGTAGCCTAGGATGACGGGGCGCGCTTGAGAAGAGAGATGGAGACCCAGTCCGCCGGTTAGGACGAGGAGGACGAAAGTGACGGATGTGAGTGGGGTGTGGAGACTCGGGATTTTGGCGTGGAGTTTTGAGACTGAAGGGAGGGGGAGAATGCTGATGAGCAGGATGGGGAGAAGGGAAATGAAAGCCGTGATCTGGTGGGGCGAGTTGAATGATTTGGACTATCCCACCATGATTAGCAAGGCTGCGCCAAAACATCTCAGACAGGAGATGATAGATGGGAAAACTTACGCGGTTGTACTGCGCACTCGTAACACCCCCCAGCGCGTACGCAACGAGCAGGAACGCCATGACCACGACCGACACGCCAATGTGAATCTTGATGTTTTTGAAGAATCCAGCAAAGATGACGTTCAGTGGCCATATGAGAAATAGGGCCAGACACCCGACAATCGCATGCGCAAGATTCGCTCGATCATGGTCCCGCACCATTTCCCCTCCAATCCGCACACCACTCACTGCACTTTTACTCGGTACTCGGCCCTCGCCCGTCGCGGCTACCATATCCATGGTAAAGTGGCCGTAGCGAATGTGCCGCTTGAGGCCTGCGGACGGGGAATCGGAGTACAATCTGTTTCCATGACCGAAAGCGTAGATCATAGGGTGAGCATCGGTTTTGGTGTCGAGGAAGCCATTGGGCCAGACGCGGCAGTTGCGGCAACGCGCGTGCAGGATGAGCATCGAGTCGTTGATCTGGGTGCCAGGGAGTATTTCGACCGCAACGTTTGGCGAAAAGGTTGGTTCGGAGGCTTTGGAGCCGAGACGTGGGGAAATTGTTACGTCTGGAAGGTATTAGCAGTTGTATTCGTCTTATTAAGTTTGTGAGGAGGCTGCTGAGCGTTTTGTACGTACTGTTACCATCAGCGTCTGGATACATGATAAACATCAAGCTATTCTCCATCTTCGCTCCAAAGCCCACACCAACCCAAGAGTATGCTGGGCTGGTGAAGTATATGAAAACATCACTTGAATCGTTTGCGATGTTGACTGAGAATTGGGTTTCTGTTTCGGAGAGAAAGAACGTCGATGCGGCTGTAGCATTAGTGTTTTGGGCCGCGATGAGCACTGGGAAGACTACAAGCAGATATTAGAAAGAAACTCTAGAATACAGCTGGCCTAAAAAAATGATGTGAGATTACAGCGTGGTGAAGACTTACAAGCTACCAGCGCAGCCAGGGCGCCAAAGCGTGCGCGCAGACTCAACATGACGACGCAGCGCGTGCCAAACTTCAGTAATCGAGCAGAGAAAGAGGCAAGAACAGGAACAGCAGGAGTAACAAGAACAACAACAAAACAACAGCAACACGTCAACGACAGTACCACAGCTTTACCACAGCGTCCTGCGGCGCTATCCACACCTTATACCTACCTGCACCACATCACCGCCAACACACAACCCTCACTTCAGCATGAAACAAGCCCCAACCCAGTCGCCGTAGATGAACCAGCCAGCGCTTCCGAGCAGACGACTGTTCGTTTCGGCCTTGCATGTCTCACGGCAGCAACACATGTGTGCATCCTACCAATAAGCACGCCTGCTCAACTCGTGTACCGCAAAAGGTGGGCGCTTAATCGTCAGTCAGGGGTTTCACAATGCGTAACGAGGCGCCAACCACAGACGTGCCAACTATTATAATATAAAGATGCGCTTTAGCGCTGTTCATGCGGATTAGCGGGGCCCTGGGATGGGATGCTGCTTATTTTTAGCAGGCGCAAGAGGTAAAAGGGTCGATAGATGCAGCTGCAGCAGTCAGCCTCGTCGACATTGTAAGCATATTGCTGGGGGAAGATTGTCAGTGGGGCAAAAGGGCGGCGGGGTAATTATCGCAACCACTGAACTCTTGGTCTGATCGGGGAGGGTTGCCCTTGCTTGCTTTTGATTGCTGCCTGCTTTGGGAACCTGCATGCACTGCCATTGCCAAATCGGCAACGTTAACTTATTGAGTGTTACTATTCGTGATCAAGTCCAGTTAACAGGTCTACGCAAAAAGAAATGCATCCGCTGAAAAGAAAACTATGTACCTCCCATCGCGAGTCCTCAGTGCAGGCCCCTTCACCCGGTCTGTGAGCCAGTCCTAATTGAGAACCCGAAAAACATCGAACCTGAGAAAGAGACAAAGGAGACAATAAAATGCACGCCACTTCTTGCTCGCTCCGGTTATGCTAGTCATAGTCATTAAGTCATAAGGGCATGCAGCGTACCAAACGTTGGCCGTGTCCTCGTCGCAAACCATGAGCTCATAGCGAACCACCCATTCGGTATCATATCGAGACCTTTCCCGACAAACGCACGAAGAGACAGGGCGCTTGGGGTTGTTTGACGTCCAGAGACATTCGCTGAGTGCTGGTCCAAGTGAACAGTCCGCTCGCCGAGACAGACGGACCCGCCTATGCCAGATATGAGATGATCAATCTGAGACCCGTTGCTAGAACCTCGAGTCCCTTGGGGCTAGCGTATTGGTGGAACCTCTCGAGGGTGGTCATCAAATGTCCCCGGATCTAGCGGTACCGGCTGCGACGGCTGTCAAAGGAGACCTCGTGCTCGTAGAAGCGCTCATCGTAGCCTGGCGGGCGGGAATCGTGAATAGATTTGCGCTCAATCTCAATCTCACGGATGCGGCTCTTGCGTTTGCGGCGGATGTCGTCTGAAATCTCAACAAGGTGCAGAACGTCCTCCTGTTCGCGCATCAGCAGGATCCCTTGCCCGGACCGAGGTAGTGGACTTACATATCGTAGATACTCCATCACGTAGAAGAAGTCATCCGTCTCCTCGCAGGAATAGCCCATAGAGTCGATGGCTTCCCTGATCACCAGATCTTTGGTGATCTCCGTCCACATATCTTTCTTCTTTTGCTTGATCTGGTTGCTTAAGTCAGTGGCACGTTCATCCTCACCGCTGATAAACTTCGATCGTCGAACGCCATTATAACGCTGCCAGGTAATCTCTTGAGCCCCACCGCCAATACCATCCATGCGCACGCGGTTGGTCCCTGGGGGAACGTCGATAATAGACCAATCTTTGGTAGCTCCATTCCACGCCTCGCCAGGGTAACCACGCTCAAGTGCTTTGCGGTTGTAGTATTCGGCTTCAAGATCAAATTCAGAGTCATACACAGGCGCAGTATGACTCCGCCTGGGTGGACTAAATGATCGCTCACGCTGACGTACCTCAAGCTCGCCGCCCCTGTCACGGTTGAGGTTGATATCAATGTCAAGCTCCTCAAAGTCTCCCCTCCCGCGTCCTCGGCTACGGCTCCTGGATGCTTGTTAGGCAAGTATGATGAGGCAAATGCTCTACTTACTCTCTTCGATTGATCTCAATCTCAAGCGTCTCATTACGAGGCGGAGATGGAGGCGCTGGTGGCGGAGGTGGTGATGGAGTACGGACCCTGATGACTCCTGTAAAGTTATTAGTATCGAACACTTTGTTGCTTAGGGTTGCATTGCCGACTGACCATGGTCGATATGTCGGTGATGGGTAATAATCTCCTGGATGATGGGCGGGCGAATCTCTGGCTCGGGTGCAGGAGCTGGCGGCGGGGGAGGCGGAGAAGGAGATGGTGACGGCGCCCGCTCTTCTTTACGCCTAATAATGATCTCGTCTCGGATGACCTCACGAGAGTTGGAGGGTGGTGAGGCATCGCGAGGACGGCGGATGACGAATTCTTCTCGCTCGCGCGCAACCAGATCGCCTCGTGAGCGTGATGGGGCTGGAAGGCTCCTGTCTCGGCCCCTAATCGTCAAGGAGCTTCTTTCTCTGCTAGAGTCCCTGCCTTCACGACTGAATTCTCGGCGGTTTGCGCGCAGCTCAAAGTTACCATCTCGCTCTTGGAAACGGATAGAGCCCCTCTCAGCCGAGACATCGCGGCCGTTGCGACTGACCTCGCTATGGGAGGCCCGGATGTCGATGCCGTCGGCTCCGCCTCGGCCTCGGAAGCGTACATCATCGCGCTCAGTGGCTGGCGCTGGGCGGCCAGCAGGGGGCCCGTCACCACGGCGGAAGACGATGTCGTCTCGCTCGACTTCTCGAAACTCGGGCTGTCTGGGCCTGGACTGCTCGCGGCGCCTGATGGTGATGTCCGTTTCATCCGCGTCGACCTCGCGCGGACGGCGGCCTACAGGACCGTCGCTACGACGTATGGTGATGTCGTCTCGCTCCACCTCTCGCACACTAGATGGAGGGGGAGGAGGGCGGGCGCTGCGCACGGAGCGGGTGTCGTCGAACGTGTGTGCGCTGCGGGGTCCTCTGGCGAACTCATCCTCTCGCGAGCGAACAACCATTTGGCCCGCAGTTGGGCGGCTGTAGTCATCATGGAAGAAGTCGGGGGCACTGCGGCGGGGGTCACTGCCTCGACGGAGCTCGACATCAAGCTCGTCGTAGTTACGCTCACTGCGGTTGCCATTGCGATAGAAGTCGCGCTCACGCTCCTCGTAGAGCTCTGCAGTCGGGTAGCGTCGCGACATGGTTGCCAGTGGCCGGTAAGCGACAGGGTGGGTGAGGCACAAGCAACGGCGGGGCAACGAGGGGGGGTTGGAGGGGGAGAGGATCGGCCGCAGTAGAGGGAGGGGGGCGGCGTAATGTATTTGTTGTGAGCACGAGCAGGAGAGTAGAGTAGGAGAAGAAAAGGATAATAATCCGGGTAGAAGAAGGACAGACGGCGCCGTGGCCTGACGTTATCGAGAGAGGGCCCGCCCTGTTGACTCCCCCGGTGTGTGTGTGTGGTGGGGTTGTCAGTCAGGACCTTGGTTGGGCATGCCTCAATGCCTGTCGCACTCGCGGGCTGCGACCCATGACGTAGTGTGATGAACGGCTTAGCACACCACAACTGCCAGCATGATCACCAGCCTTCATTCGCCCAATTGCTGCTCTCAGCCTGCTGCAACCTCCGTCCCCGGCTCGCACCAGCAACTGCTTCGCGGCCTGCCCCGACGACCGGTCAAGTGCAGAGCGGTACGGCTGTCTGTCAGTGTGTGTCCCAATCTGTCATCCGCCGCATCAAGCACCGTCGAACAGGATTTATTCAAGAAGCGACCTTGGACTCGAGCATTTCAGAGCATGTAGCTAGCCTTGGGGTCTGGTATATGATGAGAGCCACACAGTACCATCCAGCTAGAGATTGACTGCTGCAGGGCGTCAGGCACTATACCACAGCGACCAGCTACCCGACGCTACGCCAGCCTCCTCGAAAGCCTAATCCATGGATTCATCTCGGGCATTTTGACCTGAAACGGAGTCTGGTTTGCCCAAGAAGTGTAGCTCTCCCGTCTCCTCAGTTTTTGCGCCTTTGCGGATCCTACCCAACAACGTGTCGCGGGAAGTGCGAGGCGACCCGTTCGTGTACCATACATATTACATTGACTTTGCCACCATCTAATACTCTGTACTGATAATTAAATCAACAAAGACTTCCTTCTTTCTTCCTGCCCAGCACCAAGCCTTGTGACTTGCCCTCGTTCAGGCTTCTCGCCCTGGCCATTTCTCCGTCGTCTGCAAGATGACGTCAATCCGAACAATGCCGTCGAGACATCCAATCGGGACATGCTGCCTTGTTGATTTCCCAATAATGACTGGCTATCAACCGACAGCATGTTGGACTTTGCGCTAGTTCTACAGACGTGCATATTCACCTCACGCAAGAGATATACGGGCTTCGATTTGAGTTGAAGGGGAATGCCCTTGCTATCAATATACCCCTCGAGGGGTCTGGGAGGATCCGACATACATAGAATTCTGAGTGTGTACAAAGATACTCGACAACTCCAACGCCCAAAATGTATACTATGCATCTCACACCTCCGCTATACACATCGCAATCTACCATTCCTCTCACCCCCTCTCCTCCCTCCCATCAAGCCAACTCGTACAATTCACACACCGCTTCGCCTTCTCACTAATATATTTCCTGCAAAACTTGCACTTGACCTGCTTCTTCACAATATTATCCCCACTACCCCTACTATACCCCAACGCAATGACCCAAAGCGCCAGCGCAATCGCAATGAACCGCACAACCTTGTCCAGAAAGCTGCCATACGCGAACACGACCGCGCCGTCTGACAAGGCTTGTTCAATGGTATTGTACCCGTTGGATATGGTGCCGTTGTATGTAGGACCGTGTTTGAGGATGGCAAACTTCTCGTCGAGGTTGCGGGCGAGGAACGGCAGGAGCGAGATGATGGGGAGGATAATGTCGCTGACGAGCGAGTTTGCGCACGCTGTGAAGGCGGCTGCGAGGCTGTACAGAGTCCATCAGTATACTGAGAGGGTTGAAGGGAGAGTGACTGACATGAGGCCTACGGCTATTTCAAGCACGTTGTCGCGCAGCGCGAAGTTGCTGAAGCTGTCCCATGCTGTTGTTGTCTTTTTGCGCACGCCCTGCTCGGCGTCTCGTAGAATCTCCTCGGTATGTTCATCCAGGCGAGGCATCTTAGTTATTTACAATGGGGAGTCTTGTTGGTCGGGAGTGCATCGACGTGTAAACAAGAACACAGAGCAGCTACCTGACCCGTCGCGTAGCCCGATCGACGTCATCCCAACACGCGTGCTGCTTCCGCCAATCACATTATTTGAGAGGATCCAATGCAAGAATAGACAGTATCAAAAGCCCAATTCGATAACTTATCATATCTCATGTACATACGTGACGGGACAGATCACCCTAATTCAAAAACTAATGCCTTATGGCCAAACTCCATACCAAGCCAGCAATGCCCACCAACGCCGCGATCCAGGGTATAGTAGTATAGTATTATGATCCAATACCGATCTCATAACCAAGTAACACCTCCGTTGAGGCTCCTTCCCAGCCTCTGGTCCCGCCTGTAGAAATCATAAAATTGCAGGCAGGGTCCAGGTACAACTGCGAAATAACGCCAGTACGGTGACCTGGTACGATTAAAAATGGCACAGCCGCACCGCCTTTAGCGCCTGGATCTTGCTGAGTTAGATCGTAAAGTCGAAGAATGTCGTAAGACGCGCTAGATCGATTAGTGTGTTGAAACCCTTGGGGAGACGGGAGGACATACCATATAAGATGCTTGCCGTTTGGCATGGTCCGCACTGCACTCACTGCTCCACTAACGCTCGGAAATCTAAAGGTTCTCCTCGGTTCCCTTAGGCCTTTGTGTAAGCTGTACTCGTCCACCGTACCGTTTCTCCTACCGGCGTATATAAAGTTGCCGTCCGGTGACCAGCACGCATTCATACACCAAGGTGGTGTGTTACGCGACGGCGTAATGCGTGCAACTGGGTTTGGTTGTCGGCGATCCCAGATCCGTAGTGTGCCATCGATGGAAGCATCCACAAATGTTGTTTCGGAAGACGCAGGTTGCTCAGTTTGCTCTGCCGAACTGTTCATAACAGGGCCGATTTCCTCTGCATGTGGCAGACCATTGACAGTACCACTCGACTGTGAGTCTGTCGTCCCGTTGGCTAAAGTTTGTGCCTGTGCAGCTGCAGGAGGCTCTTTTAGGGTTTCGCCCGCCTGCTCCTGTGGAGCCTGCACTGGGCCGCCCATGTCCATCATATCAAGGTCGCCATTTGCGTCCTCATCCGCTTGCTGAATGCCATTTGCGATTGCTCTTGAGAACTCGTCATCGTCATCCCCAAATGAAGGGAGAGCCGACGATGGATTGTTCTCTTGTGCATCACCAAACAGGGAGTCTTTGTCGCCAAACAACGAATCGTCTGGTGAACCCGGCGCGTCCTCGTTGCTATCTTCTTTTACTTGCGCAGGCCGTGTAGTTAAGTCGACACCGTTCGCAAGATTGCCATTAGCCCGTGGTCGAGCTGCATTGTTGGAAGAGAAAGTCCCGTTGGACGAGGGTAGGGTTTGTGTATCCTGAGGAATGGGCAGAGTCGACAGTGGTCGTTGCTCGATAGCGGAGATCTGGCTACCACTTGTTTCAAACTTTCTCTTCACCTGACCAGTGTTGAGATCCCAGTCATTGATCGTCTTGTCCCAACTGCCGCTCAATACGGATGTCTCGTCCTGCGACAGTGTCAAGACTGACACAGCCGAGGTATGATTTCGCAAGGTGTGTATTCGCTTCCCTTCCTCATGGCGCACCGACTGTAGATTGATACCTCCAGAATCTAGTCCCGATAGTAGCCACAGCGCCTGATGGTGGACAGCGAGCGAGTATACTGGAGACAAATTCTCCGACATACCCGAGCTGTCTTCATTCTCCCAGTAAGAGAGAAGGACGCCTGCCTTCGTAACTGAATCGACAAAAGGGTGTCTTTGCGCCACCGTGAGAGCAAGCTTCCCATTGGCAGTGTCTACCCAGTTGAACTTCCTTATGTATCCATCTGCGCCTCCGCTAAATACCCATCGCATGTCCGGCGTGGATGTAATCGAATTGATTGACGTGCTGTGTGGAGCGGCTATCGTGGGTATAATATCGTAGACGGGCGCATTCAAGGCCTCTTGGCGCACGCTTGGGCGGAAGGGCAGATTGCCCAAGACACCAGACGCTGCCGCTCGAGGGCTTGGAGATGTGAGAATGACGGCGGGGTTTGCGTCTGCAGGGCCAGGCGTCCCGCCGTTGGGGAGATTATTTCGTGGCCGTTGCGAGGGACTGTCCGCTTCGTCCTGATCCTGATCCTGATCCTGGTCCTCGTCGTCGTTGTCCCCTTCTGCGTCGTCATCGTCATTGTCACCTTCGTCTGCATCGTCGCCCTCTTCCTCCTCATCTACTTCCATAGCATCGGCTTCCTCTGCCTCGTCTTCCTCCTCGGCGGAGCCTGCGCGGCGCGGTTAGTATGGGATCTGCTCACAATGGGAGCGATTACTGACTGGCCCCATTCTCGTAGTCGTCCTCTTCGTTCATGCTGCTCCCATAAGTCTAGTGGCACATACGGAATAGAGTCCGAGGAAATTAAAGGATAGTCTTCGACATGTTCACAAGGTATAGGCTATGCTACGAAGTCGCGGTTAGGCGTGACGACTACGGATGAGGCTCGGCTGCGCGTCATCCCTTCCGGGAGCCACTGGATAAGCGAAGAACACCAGAACGACCTCTAATCTCCCCTTTTATGCTTCAAGCACTCAGTTGAATTGGAAAGTCATATACGGAAATGAGGGAGTGCGCTAATCTGATGGATACATTTGAAAATGGGGTGTTAGAGGTCTTGGACTCTGTGTCACTCTCAACTAATGGCGCAATGCAGGGTATTCGTCGCTGATGCGCTTTCTTGCAGGTCTCTCATCTAGAACGATTGAAGATTCGTGGTAATTGAAGGCAAGGACAAACACTGCTTGCAGGAGTAGGCCTACTTCGTAAGTGTCGTTTCATTCACTGCCATAGCCGCACTGCCAATCAATTAGTCGACATCTCCGGCTTCAACAAACACCCAAGTTCATCTGCTAGCTTCATGCATCGCTGCAAACCCACTACGAATTCAACAGAATTTATCGTTACTAGATTGTTAGTACCAACATCATCTCTAACTAGCTATAGTTACTAAACGGTCAATAACTGCATAGATGATATGGGCATGCATTTCTCTGGCGCGAACGGCTGAGGTCTTCTCCCTTATGGGTTTCTCGCAACTATTCTTTTAATTGTCTCCCTTGCTATCTTGCTCTTTTGTTTTTATAGCTCTACTTACTGAGTAATAGTACAAATACCTTGACTACTCCATGCGAGGTTGGAAGTGTCAAAACTTGTTTTTGCATGACTGCTCCAAACCCCGGTAGACGTTAGCGTGGAACATTTCACAATAGGTTTCTTTCATACATGGTGGGATCTCTTCTTAGTTCAAGTAAAATGGTCAACTCCACTGGCCGCTTTCATAACAGGGTCAGATCCAGTCCTCTCTAGCTAAGTCAAGTGAAGCGAGTCTTCTCAGTCATTATGGTTCTTCACTTGTCTGTCAGATCGTTTGTCATGTCGGGGCGCACCTTCCGTGAATGGCGGATTACGTGATTGTTTGTTTGCGCTTCACTGCGAGCTTTTGGCACGCAAGCCACGTAACAACAATATATTCACGCGTATCTTTCGTTTCCTATTCTAACAAACTTGAGTCACACACTGAGCCATCAGGCAAACATGCCACGGGGCGCTCGCAAAAGACCCAATCAGCGAGGAGGCCGCAGCACGGCTACCCACAGAGACAACACGTTCGCAAGCTTGGCCGGTGCGGAGCAAGATGGTAAGTCTTCATGTTTCGCAATCAGCACGAGAGAGACATTGCCTATGCGTTGCCTCCAACGGGTCGTACCCAACTCCCATCTTTACGTCTTTCAACCTCATTTCTCCCTCAATCTCAATGCGCCTCGCTCACCACACTACAGACGGCGAGGTCAACGCTCACCTCCGCGAGCGGTTCAGTGACGCTCCCTTCTTCAACAACAGCTCAATACCTGACGACAACGTTCCTAAGTCGGGACCGTCACGCATGAATAATGATATCCGCGAGTATTTCCAGCCCTTAAAGAAGCCTGTTAAAGGTGACACATGGCTCCACAAGCCGGAGATCCCGAGTCCTGCAGAGGTTCTACGCGAAAAGCCCGTTACCTTCACCGAGCCTAATACACTCATCGAGTTGGATGAGAGCATTCGTCCCCACAAGGTTGACGGGCCGTATGAAAACAATGAAGATTACTTGCGCACCAAATATGAGCTTCTGCGCGAGGACGCTATCCGACCACTTCGTGAAGCACTCGATGAGGTTCGTGCCCATCCATTCAAATACGAAGCCGAGTATACAAATCAGAGTATCGGCATATATGATCCTGTGTACATCACTTCCCTCGTCTTTTCACCTCGAGGCCTAGCAACACGTGTTGCTTTCTCTCTTAGTCGCGTCCAAAAGCAAATCAGGTAAGTGATCACGCAGCCGAACCATGTCAGTCTGCACCTGTTTACCAATATCAGATGGGAGCAGTCCAAGAGACTCATCACTGGCACACTCGTAGCCCTCTCGCCCGTGGACGATGCGTTTCAGACTCAATGTGTGCTCGCCACAATAGCCGCACGACCTCTCTCGGCGCTAGGGCAGAATCCGCCTGAGATCGATCTCTTCTTTGCGCGCCCAGAAGACCAGGAGATTGACCCTATGCGCAAGTGGATAATGGTAGAATGTCGTGCTAGCTTCTTCGAGGCGAGTCGGCATACACTACTAGCCCTTCAGCATTTGATGAGAGAACCGTTCCCAATGTCAAAGTATCTCGTCCACGCTCAGAAGAACGTGGAACCTCCGGCGTACATACGACATAACCCATACGTAAATCTTAGCTCTCTCGTGAGTCTGGAGGAGAGCACGGATTTCGAGAACGTCAACGTTCTGGAAGACTGGCCGTCTACATCGTCGCACTCGCTGGATAAATCCCAAAGTAAGGCACTCAAACGCATGCTCACAAGCGAATTGGCCATCGTTCAAGGCCCTCCTGGTACCGGGAAGACATTTGTTTCCGTTGTTGAATTGCAAATTGCCTGCGATAACCTGCGTAGAGACGATGCACCGATCATTGTCACGGCACAGACCAATCACGCCGTGGATCAATTACTTCGACACACCTCGCAGTTCGAGCCCAACTACATTCGATTGGGGGGACGGAGTAAGGATAAGCAAATCAAGACGAGGACGCTTTGGGAAGTGAGGTCAAATGTGCCTCAACAGAAGCAGCCAGGAAGCCAGAAGGCGCAGGCTACAATCGCAATGAAGAAGCTAACCAACGAGTGTCAAATGCTTCTCGCACCCTTGGAAGCAAACAAGCCGCCACTTGATCATAAGGTATTGCTGCGCCTCGGACTCCTTACCAAAAATCAAGCAGAATCATTGGAGATGGACTCGCGTTACATCATGGGTATCTCGCCCACTGACAGCCCAGGCATCTTGATGGAGCAATGGCTAGGTAAGTGTATTGCACCATGCACTAGACCGATCGGCCCAGAAGACTATGGATGGGGGTATGAAGAGGAAGACTTCGAAGTCGAACAGCTGAAGGAGCTCGAGGCAGAGGCTGGCACCCAAGATGACGACTTCTCAGAGGCTCTTCCTGGGCCTGTGACATTACTGAGCGACAACTATACGGGAAAAGGAGGCTCGTTACTGACCACCCTCGAGATCCAAGACCTATTGCGCGAGACGGACGATCTGACCATGATCCGGGTCCCGGATCGCGGCGCAGTCTACAACTACTTCATGCGTGAGGTGAAGAAGCTCGTTCTGGTGGAAGTCCGCAAGATTGCGAAAAAGTACAGTGAAAATGTGCTGCAGCGCAAGGTCGGCCTCTGGGAGGAGGACGTGCGTATCCTGCGCGATGCACGTATTATCGGCTGCACTACGACCGGTCTATCTAAGTATCGCGCCTTGCTTTCAGCCCTTCGGCCACGAGTTTGCCTTGTAGAGGAGGCTGCCGAGACGCTTGAAGCCCCGGTTACGGCGGCTTGTTTCCCGAGTCTGGAGCATTTGATACTCGTAAGTAATAGCCACTTGAGAACTACATGTAGGATTTACGCTAACTTTACACTTCTACTAAGGTCGGTGACCATCAACAATTGCGTCCCCATACTCAGGTGAGAGCTTTCGAAGACGAGCCCTACTATCTCAATCTATCCCTGTTCGAGCGACTTGTTTGGAACGACGTAGAGTTCGATACATTAACGCGTCAACGACGCATGATACCGGAGATACGACGACTTCTATACCCCATCTACGAAGATACACTAAGGGACCACGTCAGCGTAAAGGATCCCAGCAACCGCCCGCCTGTTGAGGGGATGGGAGGGAATAACTCGTTCTTCTTTTGTCATGAGTGGCCCGAATCCCGCGACGCGAACATGTCATCCATGAATGCGAGGGAGGCGGACATGATTGTCGGCTTCTTCAACTACCTCGTGCTTAATGGCGTCAACGCCCTGGAGATTACCGTGCTGACCTTCTACAATGGACAACGAAAGACCATTAACAAGAAGCTTCGGGAACACCCAAACTTACGAGCATACCCAGGAATCACGGTCGTTACTGTAGATTCCTATCAGGGCGAAGAAAATTCCATCGTGCTGCTTTCTCTAGTTCGCTCGAACCGGAACCACGCCATTGGGTTTTTGAATTCCGACAACAGGGCATGTGTCGCACTCTCTCGAGCAAAACGTGGCTTCTACATTTTTGGGAATGGAGAGCTTCTAGCTCGTGAGAGTGGTACGTGGGGCGCTGTTATCGACTTAATGTACGGCAACAAGAAGGTAAAGGTTTCGACGGGCCAGGTGCGACGCGTTGGCTATCAGCTCCCGCTCGAATGCAGCAACCATAAACGCAAGACATGGATCGAAGAGCCGGAGGATTTTGACTGCATTCAAGGCGGTTGCGACGTGAAGTGCGACGGCTATCTGCCTTGCGGACATTATTGCCCGTATCGATGTCACCCTTTCGACCACGAAAACATGAACTGTACACAGAGGTGTAGCAAACGCTTGGAATCCTGTGGTCATCCATGTGTTGCGATTTGCTGCGATCCCTGCAAATGCCAGGTCAAGTTTTGCAACAACGGGACAAAGTCTATGTTGAAGCAGATGTCTAACGGCACTACTTCGTCCCGACCGCCACCTTCCACGTCGCGCAATCTGATGCTCGATACCAACTTTCAGGGTCCTATAAACCCAGTGCAGCGCGCGACGACTCCACAAGGATTCGACAGTACGACCGAGCAGTGGGAGGCATATGCGAGTGGAGGTGCCCAGGTTGACGATGCCCAAGTGTTGCAAAAGGTGAGGGAACAAGAAGCTCAGTTTCTCGAGAGTATTCGCAATGCCACACTACCTGCAGGGCCTTCCGCGGGACCTTCGTCCGCGTCTACGAAGCTCATCCAAGTCTCTCCAGAGAAGGCTTCGACTTCAAGAAACACGAAGTTGCTTCTCGATCTTGATCTCGACGAGGCTACTGATGCTCAGCATGAGCAGCAAAGTCGTTTTACGGAGACCTTTTCGTATGCGGAGGCGGCTTCGACAAAGGGCAAAGGAAAAGGTAAGGCGTATGTCAATTTGCTTGACTAGTTCAACGCAAATGAATGATGAAGAAACTGGCCGGCGGGGATGATGGTTCCTCTCAGGGCTGGCGATATGATTTTGACCTTTGACGTACGACCAGTGGCGTTTCACGATATGAGACACAGCCTGACCTTCAACGAGGGCTATCAAAGACAAGTCGATATATTAGCGTCGATGAGAAATAATGAAAGAAGGGTAACTCATAGGCCTCGCCCGGGGTATCTTCAATAGAACACAAGCGTACTCCTCTTTTCTAGCCCCTCTCTTCGGCGGTTGTCCAGTCAGCGCATAACTCACTCTGTCCTTTCTCCATCCATCTTCACCTCGAATAACTCGCCCGCCAACTTCGCAACGTCCCCGCCTAGGCCAGTCAATCCCGCCTTGATACTTTCCACTGTTTCAGGTGTCAGACTGCCCTTTCTCGAGTAGAAATCTACACCCGCAGGCGTGAACAGCGTTTTCGCGAAGTAAGTGACTACAAAGCTGTTTCCTGTTGCCGGCTCGTCGCCATAACCGAGTATCTCCCACTTCGAGGACGCGATCATGAGCCAGCCTTTTCCACGCCAATGATATGCCATGCTCGCGACTTTCGAGTCTCCTACGCCACCGCCTGTACCTTCTTCGGCATCTCCGCTGGAAGACGCGGGTGTGGTGTTCGGTACCTCAAACGGCTTATCAACACCATGTATAGTCTTGATATTGGTTGCACTCAGACTCTGATAGGTCACAACATCGTCGATTTGCAGTGGTGAGGTACCGGCGATGGGTGTGTATGTTATCCGTACGTTGCGCGATTTCTTCCACATTGGCAGCGTCGAGTGCGTTACGTTCCAGGAGCCCTGAAGCCATGATAGCTGGGGTGGAGGGATTGAGGGCGAGGGTTTGGTTGCGGGAAGGGAGGAGGGCGCGCGGAGGGTTGTCATGCCGGAGGATGGGGGTTTGGACGGAGCCACGGAGGGTTGTGGGTTGGGTAACGTTGGCTCCTGTTGCGCGTTGCAAGCTCGAGGTTCAATGTCTGTGTGGTGAGACGTAGGACGAAGGTTATGTAGCTGGCTGTTGACGATCCGAAACGTGAAGTTGAGATGATAATAGATATCCAAGTGAACACAAGGACCGCAAGGTAACTTCACTTCAACAAATCGCAATGACCTCCTAGGGCCATCGATCCTCTACGCGCTATGCTGTAAGGCTGAAGATCGACGCAAGTAACCCCATGGAGCCACGCCGCCACGCCGCCACTCCAAAAAAAGCACCCGCCTCAGGGTCCATCAAAATGACAGCACTACCCTCCCTTTCAGCATATACCTCCCTCTGCACCTTACTTGCGCAAACAGCAGTCCCTAGCAACGGTTTCTTGAGGTCCCGAATTTGCGGGTATTTGCCGGTCGTGACGCCCCATGTTTCGGAGGCGTCTCGGTACGTTCGGCTGGAGGGCTGACGACGACTGAAACTCTTTCGCGGCTCTGAAGGCTGTGCATTCGTTGCTCATAGCTGATGGCGTCTCCACCATCCACTCCCAACAGTCGCAATGCGTACGAGTCCACTGCCCAGCTGTTTCCATGATTACCAACCGGGCTTGGTTGCGCGGCTGAGACGAGCGAAGCCCGCTGCTTATCGTATAATAGAACGACGTGCCCCGGGCCCTAGTGGCGTTCGGAATATTTCTGCTTCGCTCGTTGTAAGGTTTGCATATCACCAGGAAATTATTTGACGTTCGCTTTACGCTCACCTGACGTTCTTGAAGAACTGTTTGTGCTTTGCGGTTGTTCCAACTTACGAGTCACGTTTGACGAACACAATCACTTTAATACGAGAGCTGAGAGCGTTCGCCACACACGACACATCACCATGTTTCTAAGAAGTCTCCTTCAAGCGGCCACTTTACTACCTCTCCTCTACTCCACCACCTCCGCACAGAACGCCTGCAACAACTCACCGTCATTATGTAGGCGGGCATACAACAACATCACACATCTCGGAGCCCACGATTCACCCTTTCTTCGCAATAAGGAGACGTCGTTCTCGACATCCGGGAATCATTACTATAATACGACTGTACAGCTCGATTCCGGTGTACGGTTACTTTCTGCGCAGGTACACGAAAAGCAAGCCAATGGAACGAAAGAATGGCATCTTTGTCATAGCAGCTGCAACTTGCTAGATGCTGGGACCCTGGAGAGCTGGCTATCAGAAATCAAAACTTGGATGGATGCCAACACCAACGATGTCGTTACAATCCTGCTCGTAAACTCTGACAACGCCTCTCCCGCAGATTTGGGTTCACAGTTCAGCGGAGCAGGCATAGACAGATATGCATACAAACCACCCTCGACCACCACCCTCCCACAAACCTGGCCTACCTTAGACAGTCTGATTGGGAACAACACCCGCTTGATGACTTTCGTTGCCTCCCTCAGTCAGCCATCAACGCAGTATCCATACTTGATGGACGAGTTCACGTTCATCTTCGAGAATGAATACGAGAACACAAACCCGAGCAACTATTCGTGCAAGCCAGACCGTCCCACAAGCCTCGGCACCACGTCCGCAGCCCTCTCCTCAGGTCGCATGTTCCTCATGAACCACTTCCTCTACCAATCGCAAACTTTCATCCAGTCGCCCAATGAGACGTATGCGAATGTTACGAATGCGCAGACTGGCTTCGGAAGCCTAGGAGATTCGGTCAAGAACTGCACCAGTGTGTATGCGAAGCCACCGACTTTCGTGCTTGTCGACTTCTTCAATGTGGGTCCCGCCATGGCGAGTGTGGATGCGGCGAATGGCGTTACGGGCGCGACGGGGAGGAAGAGTGTTAGTACAGCACCGTTAACGCAGGGAAGCGGCGCTGGTACGAGTGGAGTGGGGAAGAGAGAGGGGAGTACGTTGGCTGTTGTTATTGCGGTGGTGGCGGCTGTTGCTTTGGGATCATAGGCACTTGCAGCATCGGGTTTAAGATTTTGAGTTTGGAAACTTTTGCATTGCGATGGCGTTTAGTTACTTACAGCGATCACGGAAGGCATGGCATGGCATGGCATGGCTTGTGGGTTTGGGAAAATGGTCCCGGCATATGGAAAGCAGGTCTTTGGGTTTGTTGCCAAATATGGACAATATAGTTACGTAGCAAGCTAATACGATTTAACGAGAGATGGAGTCATTTGTAATTGTATCTTGGTATCCTACCTCGAGTTCAACTTCGAATCTATCGACACTCTCAAAACCATTGTAATCCTTCTCACGCGCAACTCAATGACCAGTCAGGCATTGATCCTCCAAGGGCAGATCGACGATTACATGTTATGAGGTATAGACATGCGTAAGCATGTATATGCTTGAATACGTCATTACCGGTATACTTGCTCTTCAAGTATAGGGGCGCCGAAAGGTGCAGTAGTATACGCCCCACTTGTACGCAGTATCTTGCATCTCGCGTCCGGGTATTCTATACTGCGTCGTCGATCAACCGAGATTGTTGCATGCCACGAGACGGACTGATACAGTGAATGGTTGTATGAAAGTCGAATGCATTTACGTCAAAATATGTGCGTTTCATGTAGGTTTTCACTGCACGATGCTGCACCGTAGTGCTGCGCGATGGCGTACTAGCCCATATTTCCTGGCCTGTACACCACCTGCACGGGCGTCGGGCGCGACGCACGCCATACTACCTGTAGACACTTACGAACTCGTGATCAAAGCGCTGGGCCTCTGTCGTCTACTGGACAGGTGTGCCTTTTGTATGTATTCTGATCCTGCACCTGGTCGTGTATTGGCCCAAATTGTGATCCATCCACATTAGCATGCATATTCTCGACGCGAGCCAACCTGATGTACATGTGAAAGAGTACGCCCCGTGCAGCCCCTCCTAACGAAGACCCACTATCAAGAGGACTTCACCAACCCTAGCTGATCATCACGGGATAGATAAGATCGACCTTTAGTGTCCTAGTGCGACTTTGGCAAGCGGGACGATCCACGGCAGTTACTCAAACTTTCAGCCTCAACGCTGTCTCACTGGACAATGGGCTTCTGAAACACACGTATGCTCTGTGAGCGAAGGAGCTGGCTAAAGCTGTGCAATTCCCTTCCTCGTTGGAGTATACGCGGGACGATCGGGGAGGAAAGGTGAGGCGATATGAGGTTGTTCGTCTGCACGGTGCCGAACACCGCTACTCTTTCATGAGGCCGTGGTACCGCCGTGCTTGGGTGAAAACATGCGATAGTAGCGGTAAGCGCGGCGAAAATGTTTTCTCTAACAAGACGTGATGGCGCGAAGTGGTTGTGAGATGCGGGGTGAGGTCACGGTACATGCACGCTTCGTTAGGGTGCAGCTTTAGCGGGACTAAGTGTGGGGGCTGGTGCATATTGCAAGGGTAGTGTGAAGTGCGGATATGTCCAGTTGAAGGGAGGGAGTTATCTTAGGTGCTCAGATTACAAGAAGTTATGGCGAGGATGCTGAGGACTTGATGGTGTTGTAATCATGATACCGGTATGTTGATTCAATGATATAACCAAATGTGCTAAATACAACTCCTTCAAATGCTATCGTATCGCGCGCTGCATAACAACGTATGTAAATGCTCAAGTTGAACGCCGCCCAATGCAAGATGCCCTATATGCATGCTGAAGAGAAGAGATACTAGAACGCCATACAATGCTTTGCGACCAGTGCAAGAAACACAACTAACTCCATGAAATGCAACAATGTCCAAATGACAAAGACGCCTCAACACCTCCCAATGCAAATGTGTGATGCAGTCTAGGTATGCGCCTGCCTACAGTCTTGATCTTTCTGCAACGTCAAACCTCACTCTTGACCTCGACCTCGTCGACGACCTCCGGCGCTCTGCACCATCCTTGGCCTTTCTCGACTTCGCGCGCCTGAGTGCAGGGCTCTCTTCCTCTTCCGACTCGTCCACGGTGAAGAGCTCTGGGCTTGGTTCCCGCCATGAGTGACGATGGCCAGATAGTGTTCTTGACATTCGGCGACGGTTCTGCACCTTGCGGGCAACAAGCTCTTGTGCTCGGCCCCGAGTTGGCTCCGTGATCGTGATCCGCGGTGTGGTAATCTGTGTCACAATCGACGGTGTGTCGTTCAAGCGATCGTCATCGAGGCCCATGAAGGACTCTTCGTCCTCTTCCTGGATGGTGGGAGTGTGGTACTGGCTATGAAGCTGAGTGTGATTGTTTTTGACATATCGAGTCCATTTGTCTGCGACGTTTGACTTGAATTTGGAGGCCTTGGTAGTACGAGGTCCATCTGGAACGTGGATCCCGGCACTCAACGAGAGCTCCCATGGGTCATCTTCTTCGTTGACTGGAGTGATGAAGTGAGAGAAAGGGTCCTCGTCGATATCTGGAAGATTGTTCGCCTGGGGGTGTTCGCCTTCGATAGTCTCGATGCATGGCGGGAAGGAGTAGGACCTATAAGGGTTCCGTGCGTAGGATGGCATTGCGGAGATGAAATCTTTAAAAGCTCGAAATGGAGAGGATCGGCGAACTGGTAACGACCGCTTGGTGCTTGAATCAACCTTTACAGTGGTGAAGTAGACCTGGGTATCTTTCTTGCCTCTCCTCTTCCGGCCGGTCGATTCCAGGAAGAGCAGTGTGAAGGCACGGGTTGGCGCAAGTATGAACGTGGAGGTGTAGTTTCGCTAACTGTAGAGTTGAGCACCGCAAGGTTTATATGCGGGTCTAGGGCGTACGGCCTCTGGTCGAGTCACAGGAGGGCGCAGCGTCAGGAAGGACTGAGATGAGACAAGTTTTGTTGTGTTGCCTAGCAGGTGACTGCCTAGTAGAGGGACGAGGCAAGCGAGAAAAGGTGTTCAGAGATAGGAAATCCGTCGAATGCCAATTTCCTCCCTGGGTTTACCGAATATGAGGGGCATATTTGGAAGGACTCGTGCCGTACTTATGTTCAGAGGTAAGACGTCTTTCTGGGAGAGTGCCCTGCAGCAGAAAGGGCCTACAGCTGCATTAGTGTGGGTGGTGGACGGAAAGCTTAGTTCAGCGTGGACTAAAGAGTAGGAATTTTCAGGCGCAGAGGAATGAATGACAGGCATAGGGATGGCTGACCATCCAGGTGACAGACTCCTACACCACCTTGGGGCAAGGTCATCTGCGGCTTCAAGTCCCATGCACGAACTGACCACCAGATGTTGCAGCAAGGACAAGACGGCCATTAGTACAGGAATTGACGATCTCGCGAGGGAGTCTCCACAAAATGGGCAGGCTATCGCAGGAGAGCGACAGCGCAATTGTCCAAGTTGGAGCGAAAATGAAGTATGAAGGTGGAGCGAAGGGCCGAAGCATGCCGGGTGATCTGGCGCTACCGGTAGCGGCGGGGCATGTCACACCGATTTGATGGCATCACGACTGACCATCTTTGTACTGTAATCTATCCCAACCTCATTCTCTCTCACACTTCTAATCAGCTTAGCTGGTTTCGTCAAGCCATACACCCTGTTTGCTCACACACTTCTCGCTGGTGCTCATGGCGGGCGCTGACCGACGGTGAGTTACCCCAAGCTGGCTACATTCAGCCTGGGCGTCCCACCACGGGGTGACGAGGCCACTTGCGTGAACGTTTCGTTTGGCCCTTGCTGATCAGACCCTCCAACAAACCTTTTCCGAGGATTCATCAATCTTCAAATGGTCATGAACAAAGCTAAGCCCTGAATATGTTCCAGGTGATGCGGCTCCCAAACACCATCGCACCAATCAAAGCCTCGCGAACTGACAGTATCATTACATCTTTACGCGTTATTTGAAGGGTGCTGAATAAGTTTGCCATGCTGCATTGACATATGATCTGGTGTTCCAGTGTCGCACGCCACCGTTCAGCTAGGCTCCACCTCCAGCCAGCCAGCATTAAACATATCGCTTGGGAATACCAGTTCTGACCACTGAGGCTTCGGGATGGCCTATTTCTCACCAGGAACTCAATAGATCCGGCTCACTTGGCCGGCTTGTAGCGCGAATAATCTAGACGCTGTGAGTAGGTCAATATTGGTATTTGTTATCGAGACGTGACTGACACCGCCACCAGTGCCCATATTCCAGCTTACGCAGCCCTATTAATATTCCTCGTGTGGAGGGTGTATCCTGTTTCTGACCGCGCCTCTTTGAGTTCGCGGCTCTCAATATCTGACTCAGAACTATATCGCACCCAAGGTTGTGTCACCTGGACCACGATATGCCCCTTGCTGTTCGGAGTAGTCCGAACGTATTCGCAACCTTTTCGCATATTCCCCTACAGTTGAGGGAGGAGGCTTTGAAAGCCGAAACACTAGATCTCAGTTGCTGTCTTCGAACACCCGCAGCTCTCCTATCCTCTAGCCAATATGTGAAGATAGCGATGCTTCGCCTAGACATTCGGAAGAGAGCAACGACAACGCTCAATCTTGATATATTTCGAATGGGGTGGCGGTTGAAAGCAAGCCAGATGATTTCCCAGTACTCAGCTTACCTTTGCTGATTGAGTCTCTAGTTCTGACTATAGTCAGGGCCCTGAAAGATAAACTTAGCATCCTTTCTGGGCGTGCCGGTCTCAGAACGAGCCCTTTGAGGATACGCTGTGTATGTCACAAGAAATCTCCTGAACGCTCCCAAACAATTTCCACGATCATAGACTCTAGCGAAGCATCGCGCCAGAACTGGAACCTGATGCTAGTTACGGGATTCACGGCTTACCCTAGTATCTCTCCAGACACTGTAATTTTCCTGGTATCCAGTGTCGATTACTAAAGGCTCGTAAGTATGTAGCAGGTAAACAAAAATTGATGCCCAATGTGGAATCAGGTCTTACATTGCACTTGGTCAACCCAATCTTAGGCACCAAGACTCATTGTAGAATCACTCATCCTCTTGTTGATTCGACCGAGGCGGGCCAACTCTCGGACCGAAGCTCAATCTGCCAGAGGTAGTAGTTTTCACCGCCACACACCGCTTTTTCAGCGGAGCAAATATCCACAGCGCTTCACGACAGCCTCAAGACTACTCTCCCTTAGCTTACAAACTTGTAGTTTGAATTACCCCTTCATCTCCTTGCTATCTTGCAAATGCTATGATAGTGACACTTTTCGCAATGTGTTGCTTCCAATCTTGTCAATATTCGTATCAACTTCGGTCCCACAACAGTTCAGACTACTTTCCACGAGCCGCTCAATAACGCGGACAAATCTCACTAATCACCTCCTACTATGTGAGGCTTTCACCGCTAGGATATAAGTTTAGACGCTGCCGCTCTCCACCTTCACCCGCTGTCCATCAATCCCGAATTCGGCCTCTATGATACCACCAATCTTGAGCGTCTCTTGTATAGAGCGCATCCTCCCGGACTTATCTCGGACCGTCATAACCGAGTACCTCCGCAGTTACATCGCTGATGATCGCACCTCTTCGCCAACTGCTTCTCGCTTAAAAGGTCCAACAAGGCCCCATCACAAGCCTGAAACATCTCACCGACTACGTCACCATACTTCACAAGTCTCTGACTTGGCGCGCATCCTACAACCACCGCCCAGACTATAGACGAAGTCTCCACGACTCATATCTGGTGACAAATATTTACCCTCTAATTTGGCGATGATGTACTGCATCAATCATTTCCTTCTTGAAACAAGAGCCGTTTTCTAGCCTCACCGCTTCATGCTTGAAAGATCTGCGGACTGAACGGATTGGCGAGTAGCATCGTCGGTCCTTCAACGGCCCGTAGAGATGGCGTAGACGAGCCGTGTACTTCGTTGACATGAGGCCGAAGATCATATCGTTGATAATGTAACGGTCTTCGATCTTCCTGGGCCGCTCGGCGGTGAGATACAGATAGAGTCATTGGTCTCTTAAGCGTCTTGGGTTTCCTGATCTTCAGATACATCCTAAGATGTATGTAGTAAGATCCAATGCCGCGATACAAAGTGGGGAAAGGGTTTGCGAGATTGGGACATGGAGAAGAAGGCAGGGAGAGATGAAAACACAAATTGATATAGGCTTCTAAGGGTACACACAGGTGATATACAGAAAGGGGCTCATGACGATGAGAATTACGGATATAATGGATACATATCAGCACCCACTTACTGTGATGCCGCTACTTTCACCGCGTTCCTGCGTCTTTGCTCAGTAAAGCGACTCTACCTCCCTTGGCCTAGTCGCGAGGCTTAAACGTTGGGTCGATTGCTTTTGCTTGCGCCAAGAAATGCTTCTGAAGCTCTTCAAGAGCAGTTGTATCCTTAGCTGCCCTTTCATCGCTCTCGTTGTCTGTCCTGCTCTGCTGCCGCCACTGTGGTCCCAGAATCGCATTGAGACTAATCGACCCTCTGCGATTGGGATTCCGCCGCAATCTTGGATGCCACGTACGCAGATGCGGTATACCTTTCCCAAGAAGAGTTGGCTCCCTGAACAGCATTCTCCCGCATATCTTATTGACCTCTTGTATATACCTTGCATATGGTATGGTGTTCACATCCTCCATCATCCTATTCTCTTTCTTTTTAGATCGTCCGCGACCGAACAAGACAACAAACTGCATCTGCAGCGCTTTGACGACCGTATGTTGGTGCAAATGGAGACCAAGGTCGCGAAGCTCAAGGACAGTGCGGAGGCCGATACTCCAATCAAGTCGTTTGAGAGTTTGGCTCCGAAGGAGTCGCTGGCGATAGTGCTTTTTTTCAAGCGTGGAGCCAAACATAGACTGCTCCAAATGCGCGTTCGGGAGGAGACCGGCTCTAAAGCCCCATGTAATCAGGCCTTGTTGAAGTGAAGGTGTAAAGAGTAGGCGAATGGGGTGCAGTACGTTCTCGCGTTGCGTGATCGTTGTGGGAAAGTGAAAATAATGATGGCGTTCAGGATATGCAGCGCGTAGCTTTGCCGTTGCTGGCTTCAGGAACGGCGACTCGGGGAGGCTGGCAAATTGGCGGCTGCTCCTTGGTGCATACCAGCATAACAGCCAGAGTAAGAGCCGTCTGAGCTCCCTGAAGCGCCCGAGCATCCCGAATCGACGTATAATCTCGCGCCATTCTGTTGGACCAATGGCTCCCATACCAGACTCTAGAATAGACATGAAGACGCGAGTGACGAAACGCAAGTCATCAAATCTACCTCGAGTTGACACTCCCGGCTTATGTCCTGGCCGTCGCTGCCGTAGCAAATCTTTGATAGCCATGATCGATTCGAAAGACAACATAACGCCCCGGCTTCGCATGTCCTGGAGCACTTCCATAACATGACGTGGTCCGGAGCGTTTGATGTAGACTTGCAGGAGAAGATTCCACGACTCTGCACTAGAGTCATTGTGGAAGAGTGTTAGTATAGCGAGGGTACGCTGAGCCTGCACCAAGTCCCCCTGATCGAGGTAGTATTCCAGTAACTTTCGTTGTACCTTGGCGAGACCAAAGACATCCGGATGCTGATCGCTGTTGAGCATACTGTGCACCAGTTGCCACTTCTGCTCCATAGCAAACTTCTCTAGAGCTAATGAGAACACACAGCCTTGCAATGCGATGCCAGCTGCTCTTAGCTCTTCGAATCGTCTCGGTAACTCCTCTATAGGTTGTGTTCGCGCTGCCATTGCGAGTACCGCCAGAGGCCCAATCTCGTTCACCCCCACTAGGGCAAGCCCTTGCATGATAGATTCCGGCGGGAAGGTTCTGGTTGCGAACAATCTTGCGCAGAACGAGTCTTCGAAACGTACTGGGGCGGTGTCGCGGCCCAGCAGTCGTTGCATGAGCTCCTTATTATATCCGCCGGCGTTCCGCTTCGGGTTTTTCGACGTAGGTTTCGTATTGAATCGCATTTTAGGGGTCGAAATATTCGACATCTCGGCAGTAAATATATGAACCACAGGATGGGATGCGGCAGACTCAGAGGGCAGGTCGCCTCGAGATGTGCAGAGTGCATGCCATCGACGTGCCATATTAATGTTTCCCTGCTCGATGAGTGGAGGCACTGTCTCGTCGTAAAGGTTGCGCTCATTGCTATTGCGGTAGATATCCATCAGCGCCTCCCATGCTGCAGGACTGAACGTCGTTCGCCCAAGATGCGCCAATTGTCGCAAAGGAAGCTTCCTCAGATTTAGCTTCACTAGCATTTGGTGATGGTAGCTCAAAGCCTTTCTGGGCTCCCGTGAAAGCCAGTAGCCTAGGATCAGGTCGTAGAGGCGGGGATATGTATTGCCAGTCTTTTGAAGCAATTCAGATGCATGGTCTATGACTTTCTCTACAAGCAGTGGGTTCTTAATGAATGTACCCCATAGGAAGTCCGCGTCTGGTGTCTCGGCGGTGGGTAGGTGATGCCCTTGATGGCGTAGTGACCTCCAGACAGCACGAATGCCTGGCAGCCGAGAGACTCTCTCTTGTCGTGCTAGAGTCACAGCCCACGCTGCCTCATCGTTGGCTTTGTCTGCCCCTGTGCTCAATGTACCATGGTCCCTGTCTTCTGCTTCGAGGAATCGGCGCACAGTCTCTCGCCTTGCAGTCTCTTCTTTGGTCGTCGCATCCTGCCATCGTCTCCATTTCTGCTGCACGGAAGGCTTTGGACTGTTCGAGTAGGTGCGGCGTGAAGTTTTCGAAGGACAGCAATTCGCAGCCGTGGAGCATGCTGCAGGAAGCTCGGGAGCATTGACGATAGATCGCAGGAGTCTCAGGGCAGACGGGCTGACGAGGAGCCTGTCCAGGGCCGGTGGCATCAACAAGACGAAGTAAAGGCGCGATATCAGTCCATTGGCGGCAGTAATCGCGCTCTCAATGCTGCTCAAAGGTCCAGCTTCAAGTTGCGAAAGTTGATGCGGCCCAAAGCAGCTAAGCGCGCCTTGGCGCTGGCTGACTTCCTCTGACGGATCATTCGACCTGCAACTCCAACGTCCCGACACACGCCCCAATCCACCCATTGCCCCCGCGACAGCGCCAATACACCTCCCCACTCTTCATAATGGCAGGGTACGTCTATTCCGCAGCTGTAGTCGCTGTCACGAGCGGCGGAATGCGCTGCGACAGCCCAATCTGCGCCCACCCGGCTTCCCGCTCATAGTTCGGTACTGACACTTTTGCAGCTGGGTCTACCGCGAGAACCGCGTCCCCTATTATCAGCGCGAATTCCAGAAGCACGATGGCTTGAGGACCTGGGAGAAGGTGCGTTGTCTGGATGTTGAACAGCCTGGGAAGTCTTGAGGAATGCGACGTGCAAGCATGCGACAAACGAGTGCTTGGTCATTGCAGCCTGGCTTTGGGACACCCGGGGCATGGAGTAATAAGTGCTGATACTTTCCGCGTCTAGGCCCGTGGCAAGTTCATGATCCCCGCGTACAAGGCTCTCCTTTTCACCAGCTTCGGCGCCAGCATGTACATGATGTTCCGCATGCTCCTGGTAAGTCATTTCCTCTAGCTACGTGAGGTGATGTGCCGTGACTGATGGCATTGTAGGGACACAAGACTTGGTATGGAAAGAAGGCTTAGATTGCATACTATGCTATGAGTAGAGTCTCTAGCTAGGGGCCGCGTGGGAGCATGTTTCGTCTGCTACAATGTACAAACAATCAACAAACCTGCAAATCATCTTGACTCTTTTGTCCAGGTCGGATAGAGCACAGTCAGTCAATGCACTCGTGGAACACTGTCCATTCTGCTGTCTGGGTCGTGATGGCTGCTTGCTTCCTTTTGTCAGTGCTAGAAAGCTCCGGAACACAAAGGCAATTGCCCATAGACAACGAATCATGTTCAAAGCCACTTTGATGATTTCACCCGACAAACGACCTTTGCATATGGAGGGACTAGATGATTGATGAACAGTGAATAGCTACGACTGCATTCTTCATGACGCTTTGCAACTCCTACTTCTGGTCAAGGGACGCGTGATAGCTGAAAGGATCCGACTCTGTCTGTCAGTCCCATGGCGTGTTAGTTCCCATAGGCACAACTCGAGTGTCACAAGGTTTCCTGCGCGATGATGGGCAATATCAAGCTCAAGGGTAGCTCCTCCCCGGACTGCCCCTCCACATTGGACCTAGCGCTAGCTCTAAAACGTCAGTGCCGAGATCCTTCTACGAGATCCCGCGCCGTCTCCCCAACCAACACCTGTCCATTGTGCCATTGGGAAAATACTTAGCACCATGGCCGACTTTGTAAAGGGACTTTTTGGTGGGCAGAAGCCTGTGCAGGCTCCAGTTGCCGGCGATGATGGTACGTATTGTCCCCACGTATATATATATATATCCGACCAAGACGTCCCACCGACCAGGAATTGGGCATGCACACGACACCAGACATTGGAGCGTGCCTGAACGCTGTGCGTCGCTTGAAAGAGCAGCAAGAGCAGCAGAAACATTACAGAAGCTGTAGGAGCTTTCGAACTTTGGACAATGGACTCATGATGCATGCACACGCACATTCGGGTTGCGCCGCATGGCTAACGCGTCGTAGACTTCGCAGACTATGCGGGCGCTCCTGAACCCACGCCAGCAGCCATCACGTCCTTCACCGACACCGCGACGCAAGCAGCGCCTACCTCGACCCTTGGCCAGCGCCCCTACACGGCATGGTACCGCGTGTGGGAGCGCACGACCATCGACGACTTCAAGCTCGAGATGTACATCCTACCCTTCCTCGTCGCGCTTGTAGTTGTGCATGTCTGGGGCACAAAGAGGAATCGCACCAAGGCAAGAGCTTGGATGAAAGCTCATGCGCCAATCTTGACGCACGAGTTTGTCCAGGTCGGCTACACGCGCCCGCAAGCTTCAGCAGAGGATGTCGCGGTTCAGCAGGCGCTCGATACGGCTGCCGACTCAGACAATATGCTCCGCGAGAAGAAGGCCGACGAGTACCAAACGTACGCGACTGGACGCCAGAACGTTGCGTTTGTCGACTTCAAGCTTACTCTCGCCAAGCGATTCAACCCCTTTATGCGCATCGGCGAGAACCTCATCCCTCTGTTTCTCGAGAGCTTCCCTGCACCACAGGAGCGTCTAGAGGCTACCGCATACGTCTTCGATGGCCAAGAGACAAAGGTTGCGCCGGTGTACGGCAAGGGTGATGCGAAGAAGGTCTCCAACAGCGCTTTTGACGGCTTTGTCTTTGCTATCGTTCACAAGGACATCATGAAGCGCCTTCGCGACGAGCGCTACGATTTGTCTCTCACCACGACGCGCGATCACGCTAAGCTCCCTGTCTGGACTACAGTTATGAGCGAAAGCGCAGAGGTCACGGATACGCTACTCACTCCTGAGCTCATCAAGGCTATCAATGAGGCTGGTGACAGCTTCGAGGCGCTCGTTGTGAGCGATCAGCCCCTGGATCAGCCCAAGACGTAAGCTTTAGTCTGGTAGTAGAGGCTGGAGCACTTCCGGTACCTTTACATACGCTGGTTAGCAACTGTAAAGGTCATCGAATTGCTCCAGCCTCACTCACCGCCTTTTAAATACTCTTACTGACATTCCTACAGCCTCGATGACACGAAACCTCGCAAGCGTATAAACCTTTCTCTCAAGTTGACCAACGACCACACCTCGACGCTCCCGATCTTCACCTACTTCCTCCGCTTATCTGACCACCTCGTCTCGTCGGCGCACTTCCGCCCAGAAGCCCTGCGCCGCATTCGCCAAACGCGCGACGAGCAAATTGCGAAAATCCGGAGGGCGGACGATGAGGAGAAGGCCGAAGAACGCAAGATTGCGGCAGACAAGCTCAAGAGAGAGCAGCGTGACGCCAAGCTCGGAAGACTGAGCGCGGACGAGCAGAGGAAGTTCCTGGAGAAGGAGAGGGAGAGGAATGCGAAGAAGGGGCAGAAGAGGAGTACCATCAAGGCGTAAGAAGGGGCCCGCTTAGATTTGGATAGTAACCTGGAGGTGTGGTCCATGTTCCTGAAGGGTCACGAAAGTACTTGGATTGCACTTTCGTGGCCTGCGGTCTTGAAGTCATGTTGGATGGCATTTGAAGCTGGTTGTACGAATACACGTTGGATAAAAACAGGAAGCTGTTTGAAGAAAATGTAGTAATTCATTAATATTGCGCTACATGTTCGTTTTTGATCCTTTCTACGCAATGTATTGAACTAGCATACCAAGGCTATATATTTCGCTCTTAGGAGAAGAAAAAAACTAGGCTGTCGAAGCCGTGTAAACAGTACCGCCATGTCTGGGCTTAAACCTTCACCGCCCGCTTATGACGCCTCCTCAGGCGACAGGAAGCACCATGGACCTGGCCAGCTACAGGGTGAGCCTGGGCGCTCTTTACTCTGTTGGAGAGTGCTCCCATGTCAGGTTCATCCATTGGTTGAGCCCATGTCGAATCCGAGTCGTCAAACTGGAAGGGATCTTCTGCAGGCTGAGCTTCCTCTGTAGACTGGAAGGATTCTTCTACGGGTTGAGCTTCTTCCATAGGTGCAGCTGGCTCCTCCACTGGTGCAACTGGTTCCTCCACGGGTGCGACTGGTTCCTCCACGGGTGCGACTGGTTCCTCCACGGGTGCGACTGGTTCCTCCACGGGTGCAACTGGCTCCTCTGCGGGTGCTGCAGGCTCCTCCACAGGGGCAACTGCCGCCTCCACAGGTGCGACAGGGGCTTCTGCAGGCTGAACAGACTCGACGCTAGGTTCAGAGGCATCAACAGGCTCGGTGGTGTCTACGCTGGGGTCGACAGGCTCCTGAGGGGGACTTGATTGCGCAGAAACGTCACCTTCAGGACCAGAATCGGTGCCATCAACCCAGACGACATCGTAGGGGAGGTTGGGATCCGACTCAAGAGATGGGTTTCCGGCAGCTTCTTCTGAAGGGGAGACTGATAGGTCCGGGGTAGGCTCTGCTGGTGTTGGGGCTTCTTCGGCTTGGAGCGCAGGCTCCGCAGATGCGACGGCTAGGGGGGTTTCTTCTGGTGTAGAAGCTTCAGCCTCCGATGGCGTCTCTTCGGGCTCTGCAGACGCAACGGCTAGTGAAGGTTCTTGATCGGCTGGAGTCGCTTCGGCAGGCGCAGATTCGGCGGCCAGTGGACTTTCTTCTGGTGTAGAAGCTCCTGACGGCGCCACTGCGGGTGCAGGCTTAACAGCTGGGGCAGGCCTAACCGCCGGAGCAGGCCTAACCGCTGGAGCAGGCTTGATAGCTGGAGCAGGTCTGACAACAGGCTTAACAACAGGCTTAACAGCTGGAGCAGGCTTGACAGCTGGGATGGCAGCGGTGGACGGTTGACCCGATCCACCATTCGCCAACTCGGCTGCCATCCGCTTGATATGGCTCCAATCATTGCTGTCCTCGCCGAGACTCCAAGCCATGACACCTCCAAGCTGATACTTCCTCACAATCTGTTCAAACTTCTTCGTAATCAGCTCCGGAGTGTCCCATGTCCAGAACAAGCTGTTCTGCGGGTCGAAGTAATACTGGCCACCTGCTTTTTCATCCGTGACGCCGTTCTTCGCAGCAAGTTGCCAGGAACCAGCAACATCGGCATCGGTACATCCAGTGCCAAAGGCATGTTGGCACGCTCCAGAACAGTGTTCGTTTGTTGTGCCACAGTTTCCGTACTGGGAGCAGCAGCCTGATGCGCATTTGGTTCCCTTGTCAGGGCCACATGTGCCATCATTTGATACGGCGAGGGCAGAGCTGTCAACGGGCTGCATGTGGGACTTTTCGAACGTCCAGGAGCCCGATTTGAGGGTGTCTTTACCGGTGATTGGATCCTCAGCAAGGACAATAGGGCAATTGAGAGGGCTGGAGCCGCAGTCTCCTTGGGTGGTGAAGTATTTGGCGTAGTACGCAAAACCAACTGTAATGTACGATGAGCAGGGGTCAAATCAACCTGTATTTCGGGGTAGCTTACGATTGATCTTAGCCGGCGGAGCGCCAATGCGGAGATAGTTTCTGATTGTGTTTTCCGATCCAGCGACAGAGGTGTGATGCTTGGTGACATTATCACGACGGTTCATCAGATCATAAGACATGACCTATTCAAGTCAGCAACGGCTACCTCGCTAAACCGAGTCTTGGGGACTCTCGGACACTCACGTTGATGTAGTCAACAGAAGGCCAGATCTTGGGCCCGTTCTCTTTCGTAAAGGCCATCATATCGCCTACATTCAGTCAGTCCAATGTATTCGCAGAGATGGAACTCGTGCTTACCTTTCTTGCCGGGAACTGCAATCGAGAGAAGTTTGCTGCCAATAGCAGTACGAATCGCGGCCAGCACCTTTGGGAATGCGTCGATCTGATAGACCTTCTGCGAGTTGAGAACCTGTTTATAGTCGGCACCATTACCTCCTGGGTATTCCCAGTCGATGTCTGTATACTTTGTCAGTAAGGGTATATCATTCATAGAGACATCTCTTGAACTCACCCACGCCATCGGCACCAGTGTTGGTAAGCATCGTGGCGATATCTGTAGCAAACTTTTGAATCGAGGCATCCGTCTGCGAGAGGTCATAGAAGCCCCTGTCGTCGCCCCATCCTCCAACCGCGATGCTCACTTTGGCATTGGGAAACTCGGAGCGAATGGTGGAAATGGGAACCTTTGGCTGGAAGGCAGCTGTGGCATTCGCCATGGCGAAAGCAAGAACGACATGATCGATGCCGGCTCGATCTTCGGGATTGGTAGGACGAGTGGGATGCCATCTGAGCTGGGTGAGCGTTTGGTCTGCTTTTCAAAGGGAGGGAGCTCACTCGTCTGCATATATGAGGAACCGAGCACTTGCTGATGCCGCAAGTAGTGTAGGCGCCAGAAGCGCTACTGATGGGAGACGCATGTTGTTGGCAACTGTGTAGGTAGCTACTCAACACCAGAAGAGCAGTGACAAGAAGAGAAAGGGCGAGTTTAAAAGACGGTCAATTTATTATAGTGGTCGTAGCCCTGGAGGTTGCCGTGGAAAAGCGCTAGAGCATTCCACGATCCAACTTCGGTGCTTCTGACTTGGCGAGGGAAGGTGAAGGGGGAGCAGCTAGGGAGCGATGTAGCGAGCACCATGGCACGTACAAAGGGTGTAACTGCCCCATCTCTTCACAGTGTACCTGCCTCAATTGATCGTAGTGGTGACTGCCCTTCAATTTGGAGCATGATACCTTGCATTCGTTCTCCAGAGGGAGCACTGGTTGCGACGCAAGAAGCAATCGGCACGACTGGAATGGAAGTGGGGATACAAGCCGTAACCCCGTTTGAAAGTGTATAGCAAGTTCAGGAGGTCATTTCCAGAACAAGATGCTCCATGCGTTCCGTTGTTTTCTATTGGGACTGATCAGTTGCCATTCGTCTTGACATGTATCGGGCCTTGAGTCTGAGACATGTCCTTGGTGACAGCTGTCGTTCGCGTGAGGTTCAGCGCCCTGGAATGCACCAACGGTCATGATGGGAATGCGGCCTTGCAGGGGCCAACATCAAGGCAAGCCCAGGTACAAGAAGCAGCGGCACCTCTCGGAAAACCCGCAATCGATCTTGGAACCAATGCGTCCAACGTTGTACGGCAGAAGGGCGCTAAGTGGTCACTCGGATCGCCTCCCGGTGTCATAACGGTCCCTGTGTGACGCCCAACGACGATTGCGTAAAAGGGAACGTGTGCTCATTGAGGACCGTTTGGTTGTTTGAAGGAAAGTGCAAGCTAACCGGGTCTCACCGAGAGAGATTTGTGTCTCTGCGCGGAAGGCCGACTGCCGGACCGATCCAACCTGGTCTATGGAAGAAGCAAATAAGCCAAGGAGCCCGCCCTATCAATCGATACCGACAATCGCGTAACCATGGGGTCAAAGGTGCGGGGAGGTTTCGCAAAATCGTCCATGTTTATGTCGAGGGGGATGGTACTGGCCCAACATGGGTCGTTCCTTCCCGGGTTGATGATTCACGTAACGCGCATACCATCCGCTCTTTCCTCGCGACGAAAAGGAAGCCCCGCAGTCTATGATGTCGCCCTACTCAATCCACCTGGGCAACTCTTCGATAGTGACTCCATGGCCGAACCACTTTGACTTGGGACTATAAAATAGAACACTGCAAGAGTTGGAAAAGGCCACGGTAAGATGCTTTTGCCTGCATGCTGCAATACGAGGGGTAGTGCACCTTGAAGATGAGGATAGCAGCTGGTAGACTACAAAAAAAAAGAGATGGACGTCAACGGTCCCAGGCCACCTACACGACAAGCAAATTGACCATGCATGGTCTGAGATGATGCAGCAGGGCACACCATCAACAACGCGGACACGGCCTGGAATTGTTCGCAGCTGCAGCATGCGATGCACGTCAGATGCGGGCGCTCAGCTTGGTGGAATGGGTCGATGATGCAGACGACCATGGCGAACCGTGGTTCCCAAGCTTCGCTTCGTCGTCGACCAAATGCATGCTAACAACAAGGTGGGAAGAAACATGGTGGAGCCGTTGCGGCGCTGGTGGCAGACTGGATGAAGGAGGTCGCACGTGATGGTCCGGAGGATCCGTCCTGGCCCTTGACCCCGTCACCCCGCCCAGCCCTCGCGTCTTCGTGCAGCTGAATAGACGGAGCTTCGGCCAATCACGACGCGCCGAAATTGGAAAGGCTGGGACGCGCAGGGGGAGCTATCAAACCGCTGGCCAGCTCTGGGTCACAACATGGCTGGAGCCAGCTGAAGACGCCGCCGCCGCTGCTGTGCGCACATGAAAATGCCGCATAGGGTGTGCATGAGAGAGGCATGCATGTGCTGCTCCAATTGAAGCGCTCCACGAAGGCAACTGGCAAAGACTCGACCCACTTGCACTGGTGGGAGATGGCGGAACGTCTTCAGGCTGCCGCTGCGCGTGTGGGAAGCTCGTAGCAGATCGGTGGAGCCCCCAATACAAGTTGCTAATGCTGGGCGACGCCAATTGATTGCCATCGCCAGGCCAACACCCGCGCAGTGCTCAGCGTACGCGTCAGAAGATGCCTCGGTGCGAAGCTTGGAAGCTCGCCGTCGGGCAGGGTGGGCGGCTGGCAGAGCGTCTTCCCCCCTGATGGCCGAGCGAAAAGGGGAGGCTGTGACACGCTAACGGAGCTCCAATAACAACAAACTATACCGCTTCGGGACGCCCAACCTCCTCATCCTGGCCTCGAGCGATACGACCGACACAAACAGTCCCCCAGCTTGACCGCCAATCTACTTGATCCCCCCTCCTCGCCTCGCTGCTCCCTTTCTCCTCCACTCTCACCACCCCACTACTGCACCCAATCGCACATCTTCACGTTGCTGCACCTCTCACCACCACAAATCTGGCTTCGCTTTAGCACTCCCTTCACCTTCCCATCCTCACAAAGTGAGACCCTAAAAGGAGCCAAGAAGTTCTTTTCTTGATTCCTTTCGAATTGTTTTCGAACGGTTCGAAGGGTATTCGAGAAAGAGCGACCCGACTCCGGCAAACTGGATTTTGAAGCACGAGTACGCGCCCTCTCCTCCCACCTGGCCCTGCCCTGCCCTGTTCGCGACGGTGCTAATTGCAGCAGGTTCCGATCCCCTTCAGTGTCTTCCCGTCTGCGTATCGGAACGCGGAAACTCAAGAATCTACCACAGTCAAGGTAGAAGGCGAAGCAAAGCACTCGGATCAGGCTTCACACGGACGGGAAGGTCACGAAGAGACTCATACCACCTTCTCTGCCACCGTCAACGCTCCTAAAAGCCACGACACTCACATCCAAGAAGAGGTCCGCATCTACGAAGAAGAGCGCCTCCGCCGTCCCCAGCAGCACACTGAGGAAGTCCACACCCACGAGGAGACCCGCTTCGTAGAGCCCCAACAACAGCAACGTGAGGACGTTCACATCCACGAGCAAACCCGCTTCAGACAGCCCAAACAGACTGCACAGCACACTGAGCAAGTTCACATCCACGAGCAAACTCGATTCAAGCAGCCTGAGCACCGTGAGGAACTCCACATCCACGAGCAAACCCGCTTCAGAGAGCCCGAGCAGCACCGCACTCAGCGATCCGACCGCGTAGAGTTTGGAGCTTCCCGCGACCGGTAAGTCCGATTCATTATTCATTGTTTTGCCAGCGCACCCCAGCACGGGCTCCACAAAAACAGACCATCCCAACCCCCTGAGCTTGGCGAGAAAAAGCCACGCGCCATCCACTAACCCTTTTCTTCTGTTGTTGTCCTAGCGACACGCAGTCCCACTTTTCTCTCACCTCCTATACCTTGCCCACGCTGACCTTCCTTTCTCCTCCAGTTACCAGCCCACCTCTTCCCAAACCCACATCGAGGTTGAGGACAACAAGACCTTCGACAGACACTTCAATACAGTCCACGGCCCTGCCACCGACTACGCTCCCTCTCAAATCGACGTCACCGAGCGTCAATTTCGCGAACGCACCCGTCCCATCGTCGCCGGTCACTCCAAGGAGTCCTTCACTGCCAAGCACGATACCTACCCCAGCAGGCATCAGGTCAAGCACGTTGATACCCGCTACCCAACAGAGGTTCGAGTAGAAAACACTACTCGTTCCACTGCCGACACCCCCAAGAAGTTCAAGCGTGATATGGGATATTACGACCAAGAAGGACAGTATCATTCCCTCCGTCAAGGTATCCAGAAGGCAGCCCACAAGGTCGCCGAACGCGTAGCCCACCCTATCCACCCTCACCGCCACCACCACTCCCACTCGCAAGAGCACTCCTTCCCCGGTGCCAAGTACGAAGACAACCGCGAAGAGATCATCGTCAAGGACAAGTACACTTCGTCCAACGCTCCCTCCGCCGCACCCTCTGCTGCCCCTTCCGCTGCTCCCTCCGCTGCCCCTAGCCGCCGCACCGTCCACTCCGCATCTCGCGTTCAGTCCGCATCTCCCGTCGAGAAGGTCGTTCGCGTTCACGGCAGCTCTTCCGTCGCACCTACCTCCGCACCTACATCTGCACCAGCACCTGCTCGTGCCCCTGTCCGCAAGATGGCTCCCTCTTCCAACATCACCATCCCTTGCCACCACATCCGCATTGGTGATCTCCTGATCCTTCAGGGCCGCCCTTGCCAGGTCATCCGCATCACCACCTCTTCCCAGACTGGCCAGCACCGTTACCTCGGTGTTGACCTCTTCACCAAGCAGCTCCATGAGGAGTCCAGCTTCATCTCCAACCCCGCCCCTTCGGTCGTCGTGCAGAACATGCTTGGTCCTGTCTTCAAGCAGTACCGTGTTCTCGACATCCGTGAGGACGGTCGCGTTGTTGCTATGACCGAGTCTGGCGATGTCAAGCAGGGTCTCCCCGTCCTTGACCAGAGCGGTCTCCTCACCCGTCTGACCGAGTCTTTCGACAACGGCCGGGGTAGCGTTCGCATCCTTGTCATCAACGACGATGGTCTCGAGATGGCTGTCGACTACAAGGTCGTCCACGGCTCCAGGTTGTAAATGGTTCCAGTCAATGGTAAGTCATCGTCGTTGTCCCCCTGTTCCGATCTTCATCTAATGTATCCTAGGTCTCATTCAATCATCCTTTGTCTAACCCGGCATGGGGAGTTTGTATCCAGATGACCACTTCATCTTAAATTGTGTTCATAACTTTTGCTTCGTCGCTTGGCTGGTTGCCCGTCACCACGCCTTGGACACAGGCTAACGTTCATCGCTTCCTGTGTCCGAGGCAAGCGCTGCCCGAGGTCTCTTGGAAAGCATGTGGCGTTGGCACCTTTGGTCTAAGTGATGGGAATTTCGAAGCTACACCTGTGGATAGTTAATGAATCGTGTCTCCTTCACATTGTCTTTGCGTGCCTTATTGATTCTGCTCTCTGTTGTCGCGATCTCCTCAGCTGATGTCTTACACATGTGGCGGAAGCCATCCGAGGCTAACCCCGCGTTTTCGCTGTAAACCCAGCATGTTGCCTTGAGTTGCTCATGTCAGTGCCCGACTTATTTCCCATATAGAACAATCACTTGTGTTACTGTTCGGTTGCAGTCTATATCTAACCATCTACCCGGTGACCATGCCGCACTCAGATATCTCACCATTGCCGTGTCGCGAACTATTTTCTGACCTTCCACCTTTTCCAGACAATATTCCCACTGCACCACTTCTCCGTATATCGCTCGAGAAGCTGCTCCAACACGATTCAGAGGAAGAAGAGCGATGCTGGAAGGCTTGTTGTGACCTGGGGTTCTTCTACCTTGACTTGCACACATCGAGCCCAATTAGTCTGGATGATAAAAATAGAACAGCAAGCGGCGAAACACTGCTTCAGGATGCGGACCAGCTTTTTGAGGTGATGAAGGGTTTCTATGATCTGGACATAAAGGAGAAGATCAAATACGATTTCAAAGACCAGGGCAGCTATTTCGGATACAAAGGCTACGGAGAAGGCTTCATCGACAAACAGGGGACTCGAGACCGGAATGAATTCTACAACGTGAGTAAACCACACCAGACATAATAAAACACTTTATTTAAGCAGGCCAACCCCAGATCTCCAAAGACGACATCCTCGGACTCAGCCCACCCCTCCCGTCACCCGCTGTTCTAAACCCCCATCGCGCGCTCTACAAGTCCTACATCCACTCCTCGCACGCAGTATGCATGCTCATCGCCTCACTGATATCCCTTCGCCTTCCACTAACGCACGAATCCCGCGCAGCAGGCGGTCTACCCGCGCTGCACAACCTCCGCGCTCGTTCGGGCGACCAAATTCGCTTCGTCAAAGCGCCGCCACAAGAGCCCTCGCTCCGGGGTGTAGCGCTGGGCGAACACACTGATTTCGGAAGCGTCACTGTGCTATTCAATAGGTTGGGGGGACTGCAAGTCAGACTCCCGCCGTCTATCGCGCCCGCACCAGCGAGGCCCTCCTCGTCCTCCTCCCCACCACTAGCCGCGGCTTCTGACGTGGAGCGACGGCTGTGTGAGGATGGGTGGGCATATGTGCGTCCCCTTCCGCGGCATTGTATCGTTAACCTCGGGGACGCACTTGTTAAGTTTTCAAATGGCTTGTTGAGGAGTAATATCCATCGTGTTGTTGCGCCGCCGGGGGGGCAGGGGGGTGTGACGCGGTATAGTTTGGTTTACTTTTGTCGGCCGGAGGATGATGTTTTGTTGAAAGGGGTGGTGGAGGGAGAGGAAGGGGAAGGGAAAGAGGTTGTTACGGCTAAAGAGTGGATTCTAAGGAGAGCGTTGGGGAGGAGGAAGGTTGATGGGTGGGCGGGGAGTGGGGGGACCGAGGGGGTGAGTATGAGGGGTGGTGGAATGAGAGTGTGAGGATCGGTCAAGTTTTGGTGAGCACTTTCTGGCTATTACCATTGACATTGATGGATTTAGGGTTTTTCTCCATTCTTAGCATTGAAGGCGCTGATTTAGTCTTCTATTGCTCGAAATTTATACTATGTCCTTCAAATAGAGTTCAGCTGTGCAAGTCACACCGATTGTTGTCCCTCCACGCCAATGACCAGATAACTCAAACAATATAAAAATACATAACGTACCCGTTTTGTAATCATGCGAGCGATGAAAGCTCGGGCAAGCAGCACATATGGCTTTCTTAAGTATTGTAAAAGAACTACTACGTCTACATGGGTATAGGTCTAGTCAAGTAGGGGTATCTACGTAAGGATAATTTCGCCCCCACACATTATGCATGTAAGCGAATGATTACATTTGCATTCAAAGGTCTCTATTCTTATGGATGAACATTCAGCCGTGCTTACACTTTCCCTCGACATGTTTCTTCCCTGCACGACGTTATCCTCTGAACAGTCACTTGGCCGGTCGGTGCTGAGCCAATGTAGTTTCTCGAGTTTATTGAAAACTTAGTGTGATTAGATGAAGGTTGCCTAGAGATTCTGCATCATGGCTAGCATGCAAAAGATCATCCAAAGATCATCTTCACGGTCTGATGATCAAGCGAGTGTTTGAAGTGTTTAGGGATGCTGGGCGCAACTTGGTCTTGCATCGCCCTCCTCCTACCGTTGGAGAACGTCTGCTACCATGTCAAATTTGCCTACTCTCCAGGACGTGAGTCCAACCGCTCTTTTTGTGTTCAACTACGAAGTGCCTATGGCGACTAGCGTAAAACCGGCACTCGACATACCAGCTTAAGAGGTAGGGATTCATCCTGCGTGAGGACCGATGGGGCGGTTATACAATTGCCGACAGGAGACGGGAGCTGTGAGAATCTCGGAGTTGCAGATGTGATTCGTTGGGGTTACGTGGGAGCCACGGGGGGCTTCTCGGCAGAGTTGGTGAATTGATATCTGGCTCGAAATAGAGATTTACACCTCATTTGAAAACCACCAAATTTTTCTATTCAATAAATCTCCTCGAGTTTCTTAACAATCTGTACGCTTGATTCGCGACAGCAAATGCTAGACCAGGCCAGGCCTCCAAGGCTTACAGCACTTAATCATGTGTCTCGGGTAACTAGGCCCTAAGTTCTGGCCAACGACATGGAGATGCTTTTGTTTTCGTGTTGGTCCTCCGGATAAATTGGCGGTGTTCAGCCGCACGTGCTGACATTGCATCTCGAGGCGCCAGTCTCATCTCGTCTAGATATTGGACTAGACCACGCGCATCTCCTTATGTTGGTATACCAAAGACGAGCGAACGAAATCCGCGAAGAATCAGTTGTGCAACATATAGACGTCGGGATAAGGATGTGGAGACCAATACGGTCAGGCACTATGTTCGCTTGTGCCGGCACGTCGCCAGTGATAACTCGGAGTGTTCTGATAGAACGACCTAAAGTACCTCGACCACTCGAACGGCTCGGTCCCCAATCGGCAGTAATTAATTCAATTCCAACAGATCGGCGCTTGGTATCTCAAGCGACTTCATATACTACATTACCTCCAAATACTGGGCTTCCGGTCACGCTATGTGGCGAGCAACATGGCGCCATGCTGGTGTCAAGCATGCCAGCATGACTAGCGAGACTTTCCATATCACATGCACGCCGAGAAAAGGTAACGGCGAAGGCGCGGCTCAAGCTTCCCAGCCACCCTGTGGTCTGCATACGCATAATTCAACCTCGCACACTCACATTTGGATCCCGCCCTCTGCGATCTTCTGAACCCGTGCAAGTTGGCGGGATCGCGGCGGCTGGTCCCCTGATAGTCGCTTGACGATGCAGACAACCCAGACATTGGCTCACCAAAGAGTTTCCTACTGGTGCTGCAGTTGCTTTCAAGCTCTACTTCCGGCGCGCAGGGCCATTTATCCATCTTGGCGGTCGGCAGCCTCGTATTAGGGGCCAACCCCACCGCCTCCGTCGTTTCTGGTTGGCCCATCATGACATGGGACATCAGATCTCGAGAAGCACACCGGAAGTAAAGTATAATCTCCCCGCGAAACGAGTCGCATGCTGATGCCTTGGGGAATCTGGAGGACTCCATGTCAGCCACAAGAGGAGCTCACGGCTGCGTGAGCGCTTGAGTACGAGAAGCGAATGAGTCTGGAGAAAACTTGCCGCTACATGCACCATTCCTGGAGAAAGAAGGCTCCTCCCGCATGACTGCTCTAGGGTCTGCATCCCAAGTGTGTATCGCAGAGCCAATCGTACTGACTCAGAAAATTGATGTTCTAGACATCACAATAATCGCATGCTACCTAGAGATTGCCTAGAGATGGGGTTGGCTCCGCATACGCTCAAGTGCAGCATTGACTTCAATATTCTAATCCTTCCATGTTCAATACCCCAATATTTACAGACCCGTAGTCGGATGATACTCGTGTCTGGTGCTTGTCTGGTGGGCCTGCCACGCTCGAGCGCCTCAACGCCCCCATCTTCTAGAAGCCTTCCGGATTCCCCACGGGGGATAGCAATTTTGCAGCGAACGTTGGATTATCCGTATTGCGAACCAATACTAGCGCTTACAAGATATAGCGGATGGACATACAGGTCTCGCCCCGGTGTTGTCGGGCCTCGTGCCAGCGGGTGGCTTGGAGGATTCGGGTCGACAGAATACTATTGGTGGTTTCCACATCTGTCTGACAGATGTCCTGCACAACCCGGCATCCATGTCCGTCAAGCCGCCAGGGACAGGGCATTTTATTCAATTAGTTGGGTTCTGGAGTCGCTTCCATTTATGCTGCATCGAGTATAAGTATCAGACGCTCGACGAGGGTATCTTTCAACCCCAAGGTTCTTGGCCTCACCGCTACAGACTCCCATAATCATTCGACTCGAAGTCACTAATATTTCAAGAAATCGGCTTCGCTACATTTTTCGCCCATCATGGTCGGTATGGCTATGGGTACGGCCAAGAGCGAACATGCTGCGGCCCGCGCAGACGCGCCTGAGTTCGAGAAGGTTATCTGGCACAAGGACCCGAATCTGCGCAAGCTATACTTCTGGGCTTGTATTCTCTGTGTTGCCTCTGCGACGACTGGTTACGATGGGTGAGTGGACTATCAAATGCCCACCTGAATAGTTTGCTGACAGTGATTTAGTATGATGATGAACTCATCGCAACAGATGGACCGATGGCAAAATTACTTCAACAAGCCTGATGACAACCGCCTGGGTATCATGAACAACGCCTACAATATTGGTTCTATCATTAGTTTCTTCATCGTGTAAGTGTGCCCAGACCGACTTCGCGTGTAACAACGGCCTGATCATGCTTAGTCCCTTCTACACCCAGTGGCTCGGCCGTAAGATCCCAATCGCCACCGGCTGTGTTATCATGTGTGCTGGTGCTCTCGTCTCCACCTTCTCCACCAACTGGAAGGTTTACATGGCCGGTCGTCTCGTGCTCGGGTTCGGCAACTCCTTTGCACAGATGTGCTCACCCATTCTTCTGACTGAAATTTGCCATCCCCAGCATCGTGCGGTCTTCACGGCCGTGTACAACTGCCTCTGGAACTTGGGCGCTCTCTTCGTCGCATGGGTAGCATGGGGCACATCCCAGGCCAACAACGAGTGGTCCTGGAGGTCCATCACCCTCCTTCAGGCTCTCCCATCCGTTATCCAGCTGGCCTTCATCTTCTGGGTTCCAGAATCACCACGTTGGTTGATTTCCAAAGAGCGCTATGATGAGGCACTCGACATGCTGGCTTACTACCACGCCAATGGCGACAGGACCAACGCGACAGTCCAGTACGAGTACCAGGAGATGAGGGATACTATCAGGATGGACAGTGAAGCGAACAGAAACTCTAGTTACATGGACTTCTTCAAGACGAAGGGTAACCGCTGGAGGTTGGCTATCCTCATCTCCCTCGGTATCATCTCGCAATACTCCGGCAACGCTCTCTTCTCCAATTATATCAACCTGGTCTACACAGGTGCTGGTATCACGAACCAAAGTCAGAAGATGGCTGTAAGTTGACATACCACCAAAGTAGTACGCGAGTGTGGCTAATTATCTCTTCAGCTCTCTGGTGGTGAACGTATCTTGTACCTCGCCGTATCCATCTACGCCGCCACATTAATCGACAAGGTCGGCCGTCGCCCACTTTTCTTAATCGCCACTGTTGGCATGGTCTTCTCATTCATCTGCTGGACCATCACCTGCGCCATTTATGAGAATTCAAATGGGACCAACTCAGCCGCCGGCTACGCTCAGATTCCTTTCGTCTGGATCTTCGGTGTCTGCTACGCCATATCATGGTCTGGTTTGCTGATCGCCTACGCCCTCGAGATCTTGCCGTATCACCTGCGTGCCAAGGGCTTGACTATCATGAACATTACCGTTCAGGCCATCTTGGCAATTGGTGGCCAGACCAACCCTGTTGCGTGGAAGCGTCTTCCAAAGCACTGGAATTTGGCTCTGTTCTACACCGTAAGTCCTCGAAATTCTGCTATATTTGACTCAGGCTAATTCCAACCTAGTTGTGGATCACCGTCGAGCTTATCTGGGTATACTTCGTTTACCCTGAGACCAAAGGCCCGACTCTCGAGGAGATTGGTCGTATCTTCGACGGATCCGATGCTGTTGTGCAACCCAACCTCGAAACCATCGAGAAAGAGATCCAAGAGGAGCGCCTTTCCAGCACTATGGACGAGAAGAACCCGCGCATTGAGCAGACTCGCGTCTAGAGCGCTCTCAAGCTACCTTCGTTTGTGTACTAATTCATAACCGGGCGAGTGAGGGGTGGATGGGGAAGATAATTGACATGAAGGTTGCGAACAAGTGTGTGAGTGTTGGGAATATTCCCATACGAGCAAGTCAAATTTGAATACAATCTTCGCATTGGCCTAGCCCTTTGAGATCTTCTTGATGCCAGTCCACGTGGTACACACATACCACACCTAGTCAGGAAATACAGAAGTATGGCACTGCAGTACATGTTAATGCCAGCGGGCCTGTATTCTGCGCATCGTATCTAACGGGTTGGCTCGGGCATGGAGTATGCGCTTCAGCTCGCACATTCTTTTTCTCTTCTTTCGTTGCCTATCGCCAAGAAGGCTGAATACATCGATTTGGAGCGTAGGATGCTGCAGGCTAGTGAAGCGCAAGATCCTGGAGGTAATGTCATATGCCTCTAGGACTTTTCCTCATACTGGCCACCCAAACAGATACATGATGTCTGAGATCTCGATAGTCTGGGCGCTCCTCAAAGCCTGCTGATCCAGCAGATTTCATCCTCGCGATCGTACATGGTGCGTCTCACGGCCTACACGACTCTTCCAGGCTCCAGCTCTGTGAATGAAGAGTATTTGGCTGTCTCGAAGTAGTGTAACTATTTCACATCATTCTCTTTGGCACAAAAGTGTCAACTGGCTGCTTAGGGGCTATCACGCCTCGTGTTGGGTTTGCAATACAGCCAAGCAGTACTAGGACCTGAGTGATACCATGTATCGGTCTAGCTCGCGGTTGTAATTTGGTATAGAAAAGCGATCGTGCCTGCTAACAGCTTACTGTCTCGATTGCAAAGCTCGACATGTCGTGTCTGGATTAAGAGAACTGCGAAAACAGTTGCCCAGTGAAAGGACGCCTTGATCTTTACGCTCAATTTGTGGTTCTTGGTCCATTGGCTCAGACTCGCTGTGGGCAATGATATTTTGTTGAATCCCGAAGTCCGGTGTATGGACATTGCAGATATCATGGCGTTGGGATGTCTCAGCGATCTGTGCATGCTCCATCTGCTGTTCCTTCTCCTAAGTCGAGCCCTGACTGTTTTCCCCGACTATGTCTCCACCTCCTTCCCCCCTCAGCTTTGTAACCTCCTCATGCTCTTTCTTTAACGCCCTCCAATCATGATTTTCAAATGTAAAACTCCAAATCTTCTCCGCAGCTCTCATCCCCCACTTCCTTATCAGCACATAATCATCTCCCTTGCTCCTCGTTCTGCCCACATGCTGTACGAGATTCGGCGTAACCGCATATCTCAACTCACCTCGTTCATTCGCAAAATCCTCAGTCAGCACATCCACGTACCCTAGGTGTCGTTCTTTAAAGTAATTGACAAGATCAAGGGCCTTGGTATTGGGGAACACTAAGGCTTGACTGCAACAACCGAATTTTCGCATTTCGTGTACGCCGGTTGGTATGGGGAACAGGGTGACATGACCGAGGGAGAGTAAAAGCAGTAGAACGATGGCGAGTATGGCGTATATGATGACGAAGGTGCGGCGGGTCGTGAGTTTGAGGGACAGCTTTGTGGTGGGTTTCGTGAAGCGCATTAGGAGGATCGTGATCGTGGGTAACAAGGCAATGCAGATGGAATTGAAGAGGTAACGCTTCCAGTTTTCAGCGTGATAACCAAGGAATTGTTCCGTGTAGAATAGGCGCAAGTAGAGGAAGTCGGGCTTTGAACGTCGCAACGCAGCCTGCTGTTCCGCCTCATGGATCGCCGCAATTGTGCGATGGTACCACCCATCCATAGCGACCGTGTCGTCCTCGAATATCGCAATGTATGGCGTGAACTGCTCGACGCATTTGGTCAAAAGCAGCGAATAGTCGAACAGGGCCTTCTCGTCAAATTTCCCTTCCTTTGCTTCCAGCTCTACGATGTATTGCAGTCGGTCTGCGCCAAACTCGTACGTCATGACTTTATCTGCAAGGCCAGAAAGCCATTTCTCGCTATATGCTGGATGCGCCGCAGGCTTGGAATGTGCGAGGAACACGATGAGATATATCTCCTGCCTCTCCTCGGGTGTCAAACCCTCTAGCAGGGAGCCCACTGCATCTGGCAGGTATTGCGCGTCTTCTCGCCTGAAGGACGGTATGCCCACACATAACTTCCTCTTCTTTTCCTCGCCGGCTTTCACGACGTTCGAGGGGTTATAAGACGATATATAAGCCTCGGCTTGCTGGCGTCTGATGGTAGAGTATCGCGGCGCGTAGCCTTTGCGTGGGTTGAAGAAGACGGATGTCGGATCGCGCGCGGATATGGAAGTGATAGTGTAGAGGAACGTTAGGGCGATAAACACGGCGATGCCTGTCACAAGGCGCGTGGAGAAATGCATGTTGGGCAAGCGAAAGTGTCGAGGACACCAGGGGTGTCGTTAAAGCATCGCCAAGTCGAGTGGTACAAGCAAAAGCAACGCGGAGAAGTAACGGTCATGTCATTGTGAAGGCCACAATTGAGGCCTGGAGATGGCCAGGAACCAGTCCCATGCGATACGGCAAGTGGCAGGCCTGAGCTTGTCTCCAACGGTTCTCTACCAATACCAAGGAATCCCATCTGGGGAGATTCAATTAGCCCCTAGGATATGGTTGGCTGGAGCTTCATCTTGCCGAAAAGGCCAATTTACTGCAGCGAAAAGTAAGGACTAGGATCTTGTACTCAGTGCCAGGGTTTGAAGCTCGACGAACGACGCTTAAACGTTCCTCGCACATGTATCATTTCGCGTCCCCTTGGTGTGGGGTCAACATCGCATTTGTGAATAGCATAATGTGTGAACAATCGAGTTCAGTCTCTCATCATACCGTTGAGGTACAACAGGACTTCATGCGCAGATACAAACCCGCCAAATTACCGTATGATGAAATTACCCTGTCTAACGACTCCATGTCCTGTCGTTGAGGCATACGGAGACGCCATACCACGTGCGCAGGCGTGTAGGCGCGCTAGACGGCGGGATGACGAACAGCGAGGTCAGAGCTCACTCTCACCATCCCATGCACTTTGTAACTTCTTAGGATTGAGTCACATATCATCCTCGGCGATTCTTGCATCCAGACTCGTGTTCGCCGCAAGACTGGGAAAGCTTTTTCAGTCTCGAGTCAGTCGGGAATTGACTCACCAGCCTCGACCCCGCTTATAGTCGGTGTCACCCAAATTGTAATCCAGGGACCAGAGGTCTTCCAACTACGGCCCGCATTCTGTTGGCGCATTACTATGCCCAAGAAACACACTCCTTCCTACGCTCAAACAAAGCCGTCCTACGTCCATCCGTCGTTACAGGGTTCGCGACCCTCGTCGTCTACGCCAGCAGAACCGCAAACCGTGAACCAGCGCATACAACAACTTCGTCGCGAACAAGCACCGCGAGCGACGCCCGAACAACGAGATGAGATCACATCGCTAGTAAGCCGCACTGTCCCGCCAGAGCTACGGCGCATATTGCATATACCGGAAGTTAATGCTCCCAAACCAAAGGCTGGGTTGCGGCCTCGCCGAGTTTTGGGAGCCGCGAGACCACCTCCAGGGCCCGCAGCACCGAGCAGCTGGCTGCAGACGAGTCGCCATGCGCCAGCATATATGCGGAAAAGGAAACAATCCAGTGTAGAGCATGGTGCTCCAAGATTCTCTACGCTGGCCACAGTGACGGATGAGGAGTACAAGGTACGGCTACCCCAGACCTTTCGTTGATAACTCGCGTCCTCCGAGCTTAACTGTCTTTGTTCAGGCTTCTTACTCTTGACGCAGCGCCTACCACCACCCCGAAGCTTAGTACACCAATGCCTACGATCGTTTGCGATGCACTGGGAAGAGCTGTGCGAATACGAACAGCATTACCTACCCGCACTACCGATATCGCTAAAAGAAGCTCTGTTGAGCTACCTGACGCTTTTTGGAGGGAATGTGTGTCTGGACTTCAAATCGTTCAAGATACTCTTCCAGAACGATGAGGGTACGGGAACGTCAGGCTGGGACGAGACACGGTTCCTGGACCTCGCTGGTCTTCTAAACGAGCAGCTCACAGTCAGTGATGTGGGCCAGTGCCTCAGACGCCCGAACGCTTCACAGACGGCGCTGGAGATGGGGGCACTCAGCATAAGCCCTGAAAAGGCGAAAAAACCAAAGGAACCCGCAGTTCTTCAAGTCGTGGATTCATGGGAAGAAGAGGCAGAAGAAACACCGACGGCTCAACCCGTCCCAGTAGCGAGTCTTCAAGTTCCACACTTCACCAATCTCAGCCGGCTGTCTCTTGCCCATCCAGGGCAATGGGCATCCTGGCCCGAACTCCTTCGCATATCACCACACCTCGGTAAACTCACCCATCTTTCCCTCGCATTCTGGCCACGGCCCTCGATGACTCCCAATGCACTAAGCACCTCTATGGTGTCGAACCACACCAGCGTGTCACTAGGCGGCTCACATTTCTACTCGGACCTAGATGACGACTGGCACGAAGCAGCCAATATCCTGCGCCGCTTCTCCACCAACACATACTCACTGCAATGGCTTGACCTTGAAGGCTGCAACTGGCTCAGAGCGCTGACCTGGCGCTCCGTCTCCCTCCCAGGACCTCCTGTGCCTGGAAGTCAAGACGTAGAGCCTTGGCAGATACACTCGGTCTCGCCTAGTCCTGACTGGAACGACGCATGGCGACGCATCACGTATCTAAACGTATTCCAGGGATGGATACCGTCTGATAACCAGAGTTTACAAAACATGCCCGCGGGGATTGTGCCGGTGCAGTTGATGCGTTGGCTCAGAGAGAACAAGGCAAAGGATGATGTGAGATGGAGATTGAACGCGAATGAAACGGGGCACGCTGTTGCAGAGTGGGTGCAGAGGGAAAAGGTAGCAAAGGGTGTAGGGTTGGACATTCACGAGATCAGGAAGAGTGGCAAGGGGTTGTGGTGTAGCATTGACCATGGGTGGGGTTCTGCCGCTGGGGACAATGTACATCAAGTCGCAGATCGCAGTGCAGCGGGCTAATTACCTTATAGAAAATGGTCGTCGGCCCGGGTTCTATATGACACGATTGTCATTTGCAACTTACTTTACTATTATAACCGTGCTTAATCGAATATCTGATTTTGTTATGCAGATTATGAAAAACCCGTGTGTTGTTGAGCCGCTATTACTCCGTATTTTAACATTTGTCGGCGCACGCACGCATTGTGCCCCCTTTCGTATCCGGATCTGACTGACTCAACTAGTAGCCAGGTAGAGAGATTATCCTGTTTATGTGGATACTATACTACACAACAGAGGCTAGACAGGTCCGCGCGCGCCTGTTTGCTTTAGAATGGATGCAACAATAAACATGCGATGTATGCATGTAAAGTTGAAGATGACGTCAATGTGCCCCAAGAGGCTAAGACGGATCAGAAACAAATCAAAGACGTCTTGGTTGGTGGGAGAGTTTCGAGTGAAGGGATCCTTGATCCTTGCGGCAGAAGTGCGCGGCCTGCTGCGGGGCAGTGGCTGGCTCGGTACGTACCAAGGACGTCGAAACCAATGCCGCATTGGCATGGCTGGGCTGTGACGCTGACGTTGGAGAGGGGAGAGATGGTATGTGGCAGCATGTGCACGCGGCAGAAGCGACGTAGACTCTTGAAAGTACAAGTAATGCTGAGAGCATCCAAGCTAGTGCAGTAGTGGAGATGTAACTGGCGTACTAAACATCCGACTACTTCGTGATACGTTCTCATGCAAGCCACCGGCCGTCAAGATAGTGGACGTACAGCCGGCGGTCCGCCTGCCAAAAGAAGGAGGTGTTTTGCCAGATAACGCTGCGCACCCCGCAGGCTGTACCTGTGAGAGTCCGAGATGACTGCAGCGTGATAGATTGCAAGTGCATCTACTGCAGCAATTTGCAGCCGTCTATTCTAACCTTCTAGATGGGTGTTTATCGTGATAAGCAAATGGCTGTACTTGCTCCTGAAGCTGCATATTCCCATGATGTGGAAAGAGTCTGGTTGGATCGTCGAGGGCGTGGGGATGTTGCCATCGCAACTCGTATCAGCTTTCGTGTACGGCTACATCCGTGAATATTTTGGTATGCAGCTACGCAGTTCAGCAGCCAACCGACGGGCGAAAAGCACTGGCGTATTCGGAAGCAAAAAAACTGCGAATAGTGCTAAAAATTGCGACATGTGGCCGGGTAGACTACGCCGCAACCAGCAGGGAACGCCGTTTCAACTTCAGCCTTCCGAGCCCGAGCCGCGCGGCGACGTTGCTGGTACGGTAGGCCATGTCCGGCGGTTTACAGTCGGCGAGGGAGGCGTCGGGTATAACAAGTGAGGCAAGGCTTTTCTTTGTTACAAGATGAAAAAGTTGAAAGGGTCAAAGAAAAGAGCCAAACGGTGAGTAAGCCCCGGATTAGCTGACTGCTGACTGACCTCTAGCCCTGGAAGATCTCTGTATCGGTCGGTGGCGTTCGTTGCCATGGATTCCTAGCGGCTCTGCACAGCGGCCCCTCTAGCTAGCGGCTGAGGATTATGGATGATGATGAGCGCTGAGATGGCGTATACAACGACGTGTTGTGCTTTGGAGGCTCCACCCGGTGCTACGACAACGGCGTGGACAGAGAGAGAGCGCGATCGACGGGCGTAGTAAGGAAGAGGAAGGCAGGCAAAAGTGTCAAGGCTGTCGTTCGGATGGATAGCTGGAGTCAAGTGGGTGTGGCTCTGTGCCACCTTCACAGGACAGGCACGCTAGAAGTGTAGCGCGACCCAGCTTTTGAAACCCGGCCATCCCTGCGCTGCAAGAGGTGCCTCCTCTCAAAAAAGACGCGCAACGCCTGCAGTGCCCAGCCAGGCATTATTGCATTGCCTCTACTCGTTTGCGCAGCAGGCGCTTGTCTATCTATTCTTCCTCCTCGTCCTTCGTTTCTGCTGTAGCTATCGTGTCTTTATTTTACAACTAAGTACCCACTGCCTGCCACGCCCAAATCTCCACCTTGACCTCCATCTCCGACCTTGCACCTCTCCATCGCCTGAAACAGTTAGCGTCTAGCTCCAAGGGTGAAGAGATAAGGTCAACATTTTCCCCGAAACCAGCGAATACGACTCTGCACCCTGACAGCCGGCAAGGGCGTCTGTCGTGATATATTGTCTCTCCACGCCCCAAAGTCGTGTTCCCTCTGTACCCTCGAGTCGTCGCCGCCGCCGTCCACCGTCTTCCTCAACTTCTCTCTGCGCCGCCACCTGGCCCGCGCCCGCCCACGATGCTCACCTTCAAGAAAGCCCTGGTGCTGTCGCTCGCATGCCTCACCCTCTTCTTCATCTTCAAGTCGCATCATTCGAGCAGCACCACGCCCACCTTCCGCAATGCAAAGGACCTGCCCCGCCCGAGCACCTGGGTGAACCCAAAGACGCCAAAAACACCAAAAGCCGCTCCAGAAGCCGCCAAAGACAAGGCAAAGCAGACGGACAAGACGAATTTGGCCTTCAACATGCCCGAGGCCCCGTCAAGAAAGCCCAAGTCGCAGACGCAATTCAGCGCCGACGAGCTGAGGCAACGGCCGCTCAAGGACCAGCTAGAATACCAGTTCCCCTACGACGTAGACGGGAAAACACCCGCATACATTTGGCAGACGTGGAAAAACACACCAGCACAGGGCGAATTTGAGGAGATGTTCCGCGAGCCAGAGGCCAGCTGGTCCATCCACCACCCGTCCTTTGTACACGAGGTCATTACCGACAATGTCGCTGTGCACTTGATCAGGCATCTCTACGCCTCTGTGCCCGAAGTCCTAGATGCATACAACGCTCTACCGCTCCCCGTACTCAAAGCCGACTTCTTCCGCTACCTCATCCTGCTCGCCCGCGGCGGTATCTATTCCGACATCGACACGTCAGCCCTAAAGAGCGCGGCAGATTGGATCCCCCATGACGTGCCCGCAAATTCTTATGGCATGGTCATTGGCATCGAGGCTGACCCGGATCGCCCAGATTGGGCCCAGTGGTACTCTCGCCGCATCCAGTTTTGCCAATGGACAATTCAGTCAAAACCCGGTCATCCCATCCTCGTCGATGTCGTAGCAAACATCACCCAAGAGACGCTGAAGCGCAAGAACGCCGGTACCCTCACCAAGGACAACAAGGGCATCATCGAGTTCACGGGTCCTGCCGTCTGGACGGATAGCATCTTCTCCTTCTTCAACAACCCCGACTACTTCGACATGAGCACAAGCAAGGGCAATATTACCTGGGAGAATTTCACGGGCATGAAGGCGCCGAAGAAGGTTGGCGATGTCATCGTTCTGCCCATTACGAGTTTCAGTCCTGGTATCAAGACTATGGGTGCGGGCGGCGAGGACGATCCCATGGCTTTTGTCAAGCACAACTTTGAAGGTATGCAAAAAGCTCCCTCTTTCATCGGGTCCCTGCATTGCTAGGGTCGTGTCACGCGGCACCTGCACAGCACACAACCTCACTCCTCCCTGCATTGCACCCGCTTCGAGTCCATGGTTTCACCAATACTGACTAGCAACAGGCACCTGGAAGCCCGAGAACGAACGCCATGTTGGCGAGATCTTTGCTTGAGTGCAGACGAGACGAATCGACGAACCGCTTTCCTACATATTCACAACTCGAATGTGTGAGACGCATACGCGGGATAAATGGGGCATACAAGAGATGGAAGTTGCTGATTGGGTACCGAAGTCGCGGTGGTTGGACACATGAAGAATGCAGTGAGGGGGCATGTCGGCTCGGTTGCTCACATGTTGGACGACGTTGCAGTGGCAAACAGGTCTCTCGTCGACAAACATCGATGGAGCACCAACACCACACCAGCGCGCCCCGCACCAACCCAGAATGCCGCAGGCAGCACTTTGGCAAGGAGGCAAAATGTGAGACCAAAAGTCTGACTATGGGTACAGCGTACATTCCTACGGCAGGCAGGTTGAACTCAAACTTCAAGCGCTGAAGTTCGAGTCTGGATCGGATACATCTTCGTTTGGCGCACATCAGTTCTTCGGCATTTTCGGCGATCTGGCGGCATATATTTCCTTACCTGTAAGAGTAATAGATACACGAAAGTACAGCGCGGAGGCATTTCGCACCATGTACACTACCACGCAAAAGGCGTTGCCCCTTGAACATTAAAACCAATTCACATTCCGAATAAGCAAAGTCTTAGAACGCAAATATATGTGTGTATCAGACTAATAACGAGATTCATCAGGGTATCTTACTCCAAGCGCCAATTCAACACCTAAAGCGCCCACTAGGCGACCAGCGCCGATATACATACAAAATATCGTACTCTCCACAAGGAAACTTGACTCTCACGCATATCCCTAGCGTTTATCCGACCCACCAATCGCCCGCCCAACTTTCCCCACCATACTCAACAAGCTGCCCCCCAGAGTCGGTCTATTCTCCAGCGCTCTCTGTGCCCTCTTCTCCTTGGCATACCGCCGTTCATACTCGCGCTCCGTATCCTCATCAATCGGCCCATACTTTGATTCGTATTTCTCTTCTCCATTGGCGTAGACAGGCGTGTCGTGCATGTGCTGTTGGCTATGGTAACTACCGCTATGCGTAGACTGCATGGACGCGGGGCGTTGCGCGTAGATGGGAAATGGCGCTGTCTGTGGCTGTGGTGCGTAGCCGTAGCCTTGCTGTTGCTGTTGCGGGGGCCAAGAGGAAGGCGGCGTTCGTTGTTGTTGGTAGTAGTAGTCTGAGGGATTTGGCTGGCGCATTGGGATGGGGATTGGCTGCATTTTGCCCGGCCATGGTTGGGATGGGTAGGAGGTTGATGATGTTGATGAAGAGCGGCGGGCTTTTTGCTGGGGGATGATGGGGTTTATCCCCATGGCTGCGTTTGGTAGGGATGATGGCGATGAAGAATAGAAGGGCTGGGAGAAGGTGGGTGGTGTGGACGAGTAGAGCGCGTGCTGCTGCTGTTGATGTTGCTGCGGTGTTGGTGGGTAGAATGGTGGTTGTTGAGGCTGCGCTTGTGTGGGACCAGGCGTCGTTGGGTACGGCGCAGGTGGTTGTGGTTTGTATTGAGGGTAGGACGACATCTTGAACGCGGTATCACCTCCTGTTGTGACAGTCTTTCGTAGATATGCGATGCGGGCGCCCTTTTACACTGAAACCTGTAGTTGACGTTGCCCTGTTTTCCCGATTTGGTGCGCGCCGAGCCGTATGTCGTATGCGGCTGTCGATGTATGCAAATTTCCCGCAGGATTTGGTCGATAACGGGAACCCTGATATTCAGAGAAGGTAAGTAGTGAAGTAATATATTGAACAAGTCTAGGCTGTACCACTCTGATATATAAGTCTGTGATCACTCAGGACTGCTAGTAAATGTCTAGGCGTAGCGATATATATGCGCCACAATACGCGCACCGGTCGGTGTTGACCGGAAACTAGAACGGTGCAAATGGCGGTACTAGGCCCTGCTAGTGCACCATGGCCTGGGCGAACGATCATGTTCGCCAATCAGTATTCCATCTCGTTGTAGTCGGATATCACGGCGCCCTAGTCATGCGCGATTGATGGAGCGAGCGACGCAAACGTGAGGGGCAATTGTGTGGAGAACGCCTATGATGTCAATGTCTTGGCGAAAGGGCAGACCGGTGGGCTTTCTTGGAAGTAGTTGATGTTAGGGTTCCTGGCTTAGTGCAGACCGATGGGTGTGCGGAGAGGAGATGTTGTTGGTGGATAAGACATGGAGGGTTGCCGATCGTCCCGGAATCTCTTGCTGTGTTTGAAGCTAGGCTGAATCGCTGTAGTAGTTGCAGAATATGTTGTACAGTCTGAACGGAGCCTTGCTGCGCATCGAACTTTTTCTAGAGAATCGGTGTTATATAAACCAGCGCGATTTCGTGTAATAGGTGCAGCCGTTGGTGATGTATGTATGCACCAACCAACAGCGAACCTAGCCCAGTTCCTGTCGCTGAAACGAAAATGACAGCAGCAAATTTACGAAGCTTCTTATCTTCTCAAGTCAGTTAGGTAAGGGCCCTAGAAAGGATCCGACGAAAGGAAATGAGAAAGTTGCTGGACCAAGTGAGTTCATAGAGACTTTGCAAAAATAGATAATCCGTATAGAAATAGAGAAGGGAAAACTACGCCGGGTATGACGGGTTAAGTTATATGTTCTGGAGCAGTTCTACGGTAGGTAAGGTACCTACTGCTAATGATAGTGTACGTTTAGTACACCGTGACAACCCTCAGTGAGTTTTCATGTTGATTCTTTGAGCATGAAGTTAATGAACGATACCAGCTGTCGATCACGACTTATGCCCCAAAACTGGACCCATTCTGTGTAAGGCCTTTGGTGCAAATATTTCTTGTTAATGACACTGTGTCTTCCGCACATTTCACGAACACAGTTGTGCCAAGGATACGCCACAGTGGAAACACTGCCACATCAGGCGCAACTCAAGAGTCGCTGCCTTAGCACAACCTTGCAAATGGCAGACCACGACCCTTGCAAATATAGGGCAGAGCTACTCAAACTGTCGATCACAAGTATCTGGCTGTGTCGAGAATCGGCGGCAAACTACCAGCAGTGGCTTTCTCATAGCGCTATTCGTCATCTTACTACAACTGCCCCACCAAGCGCGGGGCTGTGTTGCTGACTCTGCGCCTCACGAGCTCAGCCATCATTCATCGTTCGCTTGTACCAACCTTTTAAGTCTCTTTGTTGCAAGGCGACTGTATCTTCTTCTTCGTCTTCTCCACACATATTTCGACAGCAGTTGCCTGAAACGCGCGCACGCCGACGCAATCTCACCAGAGCACACCAGCCAACATCCTAGTCCGTTGTAAGGAAGGAACTAACATACAGGCTCCATGTCGCACAATTATAACCAACCAGGCGGCTACCAGCAACCTCCATACCAAGGCCGTAAGTTGTTAGCTCTTTGATCCGCACAGCCCCATGATCAGCATACTTCATCCAGCCATCACTTGGCAACTGGAACTGAGCGGCTACTAATACCTTCCAGAAGCCCCGCCCCAAGGATACGGACAGCAACCCCCACAGCAAGGCTACTATCAACAACCAATGCAGAACCAACAGTATCCCCCACCGCAGGGCGGCTATCCGGCACAGCAAGGCTGGGGCCAGCCGCCACAAGGAGGACAGTATGGCGCGCCCCCACCAAATCAGTACGGTGCTCCTCCTCAAGGCCAGTACGGGGCGCCTCCTCCCCAGCAAGGCTATGGCGCTCCTCAGGGGCAATATGGCGCACCTCCTCCAGGCCAGTATGGCGCACCGCCCCCAGGCCAGTACGGAGCCCCGCCCCCAGGCCAATATGGGGCTCCGCCTCCACAAGGACAATACGGCGCTCCTCCACCTCAAGGACAATACGGCGCTCCTCCGCCGCAAGGACAGTATGGTGCCCCTCCACCACAGGGCCAGTATGGTGCGCCCCCGCCTGGACAGTACCAGCCTCCACCTCAACAAGCTGGTTACGGAGGCCCGCCGACGCAGCCATCACCCGGCTATGGTCCCCAGCAGGTTGCCAACATCGACGTAAGCAGAGATGTTGAGGCTCTTCACAAAGCCATGAAGGGGTTCGGCACCGACGAGAAGGCCCTCATCGCAACATTGGCAAAGAAGGATGCTATACAGATAAACACTATTCGTACACAGTACGATCAGCGACTAATGAAGAGCTTGGTAAAAGATCTCGAGAAGGAAACCAGTGGATACTTTGAGAGGGGCTTGGTCGAGATTGCTCGAGGACCTCTGGATTCCGACTGCTACAACCTAATGGAAGCAATGAAGGGTATGGGTACAAAGGAGGTCATGCTAGATGATATCCTGATTGGCCGAAGCAATGCCGACATCAACGCCATCAAGGCGAGGTACCAGCACCTGTTCAAGCGGACCCTCGAAAACGACCTTCGAGGTGATCTCAGCGCTGGGACAGAGCAGATGTACATGATGATCACTGCCGCTCGACGCAACGAAGACTCACATCCTGTCATCCCCCAGGAGATTGAGCAAGCTGTCACTGAGCTCCAGAATAGTATAGGTGGATTTGTTGGCAAAAATACAGCACAGGTCTGCCAGCTCCTCACCAGCAAGAACGATGCTCAACTGCGCGCCATCGCTCAATCCTACGAGCAGCGCTTCCGCAAGCCTCTCGACAGTGTTCTCAAGTCTAGCTTTTCGGGCCACATGGAGGACGCACTCTGCCTGCTTGTGCACCGAGGCAAGAACCGTGCCGAGGCTGAGGCTGTCCGTCTGGAAGAGGCCATGGCTGGAATGGGCACCAAGGATGTGTTGCTCGTACAGCGTGTGGTTCGCTGCCACTGGGACCGCAACTTCATGAACGCTGTCAACGCCGAGTTCAAACGGGTTGTTAAGAAAGACCTCGTTAAGAGAATAGAAGGAGAGACCCGTGGTGACTATGAGAGGCTCATGGTCGCTTGCGTGAAGCCTTAAGATTACTGAGCGATGTGTACGGTTATGGCTACTAGGCTGTGTGTTTATGATATCAGGACTTTTCCATATTTCATACTACGATACCTGGGTTGTTCCTTGGGGTTGGAGAATGCATGGGTCTCTACATACGGAGTGGAGAGAGTTCGTCTAGATTGTTAAACTAAATACTTTTGGTGGAGTGATGTAAGCCTATTATATGACTAATTCATACGTTATTGTCAAAGTCTTCCATTACTCACAACAGTACCTACCCGCGCAGCAGAAAGCGAACCTACGAACTATGTTTCTAGTACCACGAGTGCGACAGTCTCTAAGGGATAGGATGTGTATATCGCCTAGTTGATGTTTGGAGCCTATTCTGAAGCCAGAACACTGTGCATCTAGGCGTCTTCCTCACAGCCACGATTAGTACTTTAGCACGCATATTCGTCTAATCATGAATATACGTGAAGCTGAATCTCCATGAGAACCTGTATATTTACATTTCTTTCATTGTATGCGCTAATGCTCATCTCGATCCACATCTCATTGCCCCGAGAAACACGCCGCGTGCTCAGAGAGAGTACGTTGGCGGGCCTTTTGTTCTAGACCTACTAACGCTCTCGATCACATCGTTCCACCCAAGATTAAAAAAACTCGTCTGATTCACGGGGTCGTGGTGGGTCTTTAGGCCTCCCAAGATATCCACCCGGCTCGTCTTCGGCTCATCCTTCATCTCCTCCTGCTCCGACTATTTACCCGCGCAGTCCAACAGACGACAGAAGATTGTACCGTACATCATAATGATATGCAACACTGTAAGTTCTCGGTACGCGGGGTGATGAAGTCTGATAGGCCAAATTTGGCTAGCTTCACCTGTCCATAGTTAGTTGTTCTTCTCTACGATTTGTGTCGGCATAGAGTAGGAAGATGCAATTGTCTTAGCATCTATTGCCTCGGGCGCGCATTCTTTTTAGAGATACGTTTGGTAGGCGCTTTGAAAATCCTCTTAAAAAGATCTCACCTGCACTTTCACAGAACCGGTGATAGCTCAACTAGGGCCTAGGCACTTTGTAAATCCTCTTTCACTCTGAACTTACTAGGAAGTGTCTTGGCATTGCGGCATATCGACGTGTACAGTTCTCGATACTCTCCACTCCAACTTTGGGAAAAGTCTCTCTCAGACCAACAGAAGGACCACGATGAGCAACTATGACGACCTTCCCAGCGAACTCAAGCGCCAGGTTGCTTTCTACCTCTCGTCCAAGGACCTTGCTGCGCTCAGTTGTGTCAACAAATCGCAGGCTGCCGTCGCTCAAGATCAGCTCTACTACGCGCCTGAGATTCTCAAGCCAGACGAAGGCTACCGCTTGATGCTGCTGCTGCGCACCCTATTCGCCCGCCCGCAGCTCATGCAGAAGACTCACTCGCTTTCAATCGCTGTCGTCGACTGCTCTATGCCCTTCGGCCCGGAATCATCTCTCAAGGTCACAGAAGAGCACCGCCATTTTTGGGACGACTCTGAAGATAGTCCTTGGTGCCCAGACTATCACGACATCCAAGCGAAGCTGATCCATCAGCTCAGCAAGCATGGTGTGACAGAACTGTCCAATCCTGAATGGATTCAAAAGATTCAGAAGTGGTACACGGCACCCTTCTACGGTGGCCTCCTTACGATTCTACCAAACCTGGAGCATCTTTCACTTTCATGCTACGTCAAGCCGGTCACAGAACCAGTGATAGCTCAAATAAGGCGTTGGGGTTTAGGAAGTCCTTTCTCGAATGACATCAAGCGGGTCCGACCGCCATGCCGCATAGCGGAGGGGAGAAACGACGGATTCCCAAACAATTTGTTTGGGCTCTCAAAGGATGAAGATCTAGACTCAACGGTGAGCCAGCATTTCAAGCTCAAAATGCTCGATCTGGTGAGCGGATACCTCTCGCGGCCCTTTTGGCAGTTCTATGGCTTGCAGTGTATCAAGCTCTCCTCGCAGTCAGCAATTGCCTGTGGACCATTCCCAACGCGTCTAGAAATCTGCCTCACCCATGGCTTCAATGACTGGTCGTTGGCCGAGCTAGGACTATATCTCCGTTCGGGATCATTATTAAAGCATATCAAGATACGGTTCGAGCCTCTTCCTGACGAGAAAGGGGGTATACACCCGAATGTGAGATTCTGGCATTTCTCCAACTTACTCAAGACCATGGAAGCGTCAGCGTCTACATTGGAAACACTGGCTCTTGTGCCTACCGACTACGCCAAGATGGATATCTTCAGGTACATTGACCAAGACCTCTGTTTTTGGAGATTCACTCAGCTCCGCAAGCTGACTCTACCCTCGCAATGGTCTTCGCAATCCAAGGTGGGAAAACTACCCCCGAACATCGAGGAGTTGAAGCTTCTGTTCACCCACCCGATGGCCTCCCAACTCGCGGATGATATCGTCAACCATAAGCTTGAGTTTGGGAAACTTTGCCGCCTCGACCTTGTCTTTCAAGGGGAGAGCGATGTTGCAGTCGAAGAATCGTTCTGGGCGAAGTTCAAGGACAACAGGATCAGCGTGTACGTATGGGTACGAGAGCATTCGTTGTTTGCAGCGAGGCCCGCGTAGGAAGGGGGCAGTTCCCTCAGTGCGTATTGAGGGGTCTAACTAAACACATTAAGGTGTTGCAAACATATGGGATTAGATGGCTGAGGAAATCTCTATTGCGGTGTGAACTGCAGGCCACCTTAGGCAGTCTACATAGAATAGGCAAGAGCTATGGGGAAGGAAAGCAGTACCATCACCATAGGGAAGATGGCTATCTGTAAACACAATGAGAACGATATAAAATTTCGAAGCCCTACTCACTCGTACAAGTTCTCAACCAGCATATTCACATCCCAATCATCTACCTCTCCTGCTCTCACCCACTTCAACCACCTGCTCCACAAACCCATAAACCGCCATGTGCATCTCCGTCCCCCCTTCCCCCCACTGCTCCCCCGCACCCCGAAGCATCCTCCCGCCCCACAGCAGCGCATGCGCAAGCGCCTCCACGCCCAGCTCCACACCCTCGACTCCTTGCTCGCACTCTCTAGTAGTAGTAGCAGCGCGTATCGCAATCCTATGCAGTTCCGTGAGCACCTGGAATACCACATTGGGAGCATATGCAAGCGCGTTTGGCCTTGGCTGCCAATCAGGATGGTGCATGTTGGTAATATAGTCTTCTATGCTAAATTGTAGGGCGCTTAGGATTTCGGCGTGTTGTAGTGTAGGAGGGGAAGCAGGGGTTTGTAATGCGGCGTTGAAGACTGTTCTAACCGCTGCAAGTTGGAGTGGTGCATTGTTGTTGGTATTACTTTTTAAAGGTGTGTTGCTCGAGGCCAGCAGATGCGCTTGCTCGCTCACTTGAACAGGTGTAGTTTTAGTAGGGTTGTGCTGGGTTCTTCCTGTGTTGTCCTCTAGCTTGCGTTTTCTCATGTTGGGAATCTGTGGACTGGAGGTGTTTGCTGCACTTTTCTCTTGCTCTTCTTTTTCCTTGTTGATGGATGGGGAGGTATGCGGGTTGGGTGCAGGAATACGAACTTCTTTCAAGCAGCGTCGATGCTGCCTCCGCGCAGGACGGACACAGGCCGAAGCTGATGCTGCTTGTGCTCGTGTTTGAGGCATGCTGATAGAGTCGGGGGAATGTGGTGATGTTAAAGAATATCTAAGGTCTTGTATTATAATGCGAATATGAAGGGAAAGATGGTATACATAGAGAAAGGGTCTTAGCTTCAAATATTATGTGTCTATTACTGTGGGTTGTTTGTGCAATACCGTGGTTCTAGAGTATAGTATTGTTTAATTTTTAAGGGTCGGTAGAACATCAAGGGTTCGCCCGGAGCACGTGGGACATGAACAGCCGCTTGAAAATCGAGTAGTTATACTTCTCTCACTCAAGCACAATAGCTCCGTCCGATAAAGTGTTCGAGTCGAGGTGCGGTTTGAGTACGATGGGTTGGGCCTGAAGAAGCTATCCAACTCGGCTGGTACGGAATTACTATAGACGTCGTGTATGAAGTTCAACATAAGTAAAATCCAACGAATATAATAAGTGTTCAAAGTGAGATTATAAGCACTACATGTTAGAAAGTCTTCGTGATGCCAGCAGTTTGATACCCGATGGACGATACGATACGCATTGCAGCGCTCACACGTTAGCACCTGGGGAAGATTGCGATTCTGCATTGCCGGCACTAAATGCTACCATTGGCCAGACCGATGTTATCCCAGTCCAGTAGGTGGTTGACCGAGGTGGTTTGTGGCGCAAATGGTGACCTCGACTGGATACGAGACGAGCGATCGTGGGCACGACTCCATCAATGACGGTGGTTACCGAGCGGTGTATTCCGTTGATGCGACGCTTTTATCTAGATTGACTTGCTTGTTCCAGACGCCGGGTCGCGTTGCTGTCGTGTAGCATCAGATAGACATACGGGCAGCTCAACGGTGCAAGGTCATTGGGTGATCGGAAGAGATCTGTTGGGGGCCTCTGATAGCTACAAGGACCCCTGCACTGTGCAACTGAATAGGCAGGCGATTCGTCCCCATCAAGATCTTTGCATGCCCGAACGTGCCTCCACGAGACATTTTCCTGGTACTGTATGTTGGTCAATCTGGAGCAACGAGAGCCCGCGGCAGCGGATCACAGATCCGCTTCGATGGCAATGCGCGAGGCTTGAACATGTGCCACAGATGTCACCTTGTTGTCTTGTTCGTTTTCGTCTCGCTGCTGTCCGCCAATCCTTTCTCCCGAGGTTGTTTGTTCAACCCGACTAAGACCAATCGATGGTGGCTCGAAGTCGAGGCGGTGACCGAGGTTCCGCCCAGGCGGCGCAGTCGACGACTGGCTGCACTGCAGGAAGAGGCTAACACGCGGTGTTGCTCGCACACAAAACAAGATGGGTATGGCATATATAGGGACCACGTTGTGTGGGCAGCCTCGACGTCCGGAGATAAGGCAAGAGACGGCAAATTGGCCTGTCATGGTTCGGACGGGTGGGAGTTGAAAACGCTATGTGAACCCTGATGTCGAGAGAGCGGGTGTGACAGTGCGTCGAAACCAGGTCAGAGGTTGCTCTGGGAGCAGATGGCGTTTGTGGCTTCACCCGTCGGTGTGACAGAGCCGGTCAGGATTACTGCAACCGTAGATGAACTGCTCACCGCACGGGAATGCGCGGTCTGCCCATGCAAGGGCTTGCTCGGTGCATATGATCTCCAGCAGGGAGCTACATCAGGTGTGTTTCTTGCTGCAGACGACACTGCTGCCTGCCTGCCTGCCTGCCTGCGACGACGGAGCTGAGCTTCGGTCTACGGCACTGCCAGTCTTGCTTGGGCCAGAGTGGTAAGCAGCGGATTCTGCAGCTAGGCCATGGTCGCGGCGCGATGGCGACGCTACAGTAGAGTGACAGCCTCTGGACGCTGGGGCGACGAGGGCTTGGCAAAACGCAGCGAACGGCGAACGGCGAGGCCTTTTGGGAAGAAGAGAATGACGGAACTGTCAGGCGGTCAACAGGTGCGGTGCAACGGTAGGGCGCGTCACGTTGCGTCTGCGCGGTGTGGCATTGCAGTTTGTGCGAGGGACATTGAGGGTTTGTACCAGCAGCCGTTCCTGGGGGTCGATAACAGCACAATACCGAGCCAAAAGGTGTTCATGTTGGACAGCGGCCATGATCCCGGGAGAGACGGGCGGGGCTTGCATATGGGCACACACACACACACACACACACACACACACATACGATCTGGGGGGCGGTCAAGAGGCCGTGGACGTGAGAAGAAAAAAGACTGGGGCCACGGCTGGATGGATGGATGGATGGATGGCTGGATGGATGAATAGAGTTTGGCATCCCACTGTGGCGCCGAAGCAACATTGCCATCTGTCTGGTCATGCTAGTGCTGGTGTGTTTGGCGAGTCTTCTTCGGCGCTGCGTCTCAACGGGTGAACAGGGACGGCTTGGAGGGTTGCTGTCTGCTGTCTGCTGTCTGCTGTCTGTCTGTCTGCCTGTCTGGATGCTCTCGTAGTCCCTAGGTAGGTTGGCCCTCCAGCTATTCCCATACAACTACCCACCCATCTAGGTTGGTGTAAGGTTGGATCGCCCGGGATGGGATCAGCAATGTCGGGCAGGTGCGAGGCCGCTTCAGGGAAGGTGCCAGCATCCCTGCGCCAATCATGGCTGCGCAGACGTCGTCGCACCTTCTTCTTCTTCCCCCCCCCCATCCCAAAACTGCCACCACCACCAGCCCGCCGCGTCTGTCATGTCAGCTGTCACCCGAAAAGGGGCTCCCTCTCTCTCCACCCGCCGCTACAAGCCTCGAGTTGCTCCATTCTTGCCCGTCAGGCCTCCTCCCACAGGCCTCTGCTTACTGGGAACAAGAAGCTCTACGCGAGTCAACCAATTTCTCCCGGATACCACACCCTGTTGTCGAGACTCCTTGTACGCCATGCATCATCGCCCGCTCGATATGGCGGCGGGCAGTCGAGCGAGCATGTCGTCGTCTTAAATCGCTCTCCTTGTACCCCCGTCTGAAGCCTCTTCTCTTTCCTGAAACTCCCCTTTGCAGCTCCCCCTAGCGCCCATCTCCAGTCTCGACACGACACCACCAAGGGCTCCCGCTCCTGGATGCTGGAAAGGCTCCATCGCACAAATTGCGCACCCTTTCAGCCACCAGCCCGGTTCTGGCCTGCGGCAGCTGTCTGCCGGACATAGTACCTTGTGCTGGGCCACAGACGTGCCATCAGCATGGCTCCGACTTGCACAGCATGCCTCTCTCGTCGGATTGCCCTCTGCGCTGGTCCAAGGTGAGATCGGGTACAGTCGCAAACGCTGCACCCACCCCTCCGTTCTCGCTGCCCACGCCAGAATGAGCACATGTTCCTCCAATGGATAGGGCGGTCCCGCTATATAAGCAATTATCATGGTACCGTGTTACCGGTCCCTGGTAGACGCAGTGTATATCCGTCCCATCCAGCATCCACGCATCCACGCACCCAGCACCCACACCTAATCCGCGTCACCCCAGAGACCCTCCATATCTACGCTGCACAGTGAATCAAAGCCGTTTTGTCGGGGCACGTCGTGGCCGGTCAAGGTGAGGCTGGCATGCGCCAAAGTTTATTTACCCTAGATATAGTTGGTAGTAACGAGCGAGGCCTGAGACGCTGGTTGGTTGCCATGCCACGCAGTGCTTGGCCATCGCCCACTGTCGCCGTCATGGAAACCTTGACAGGTTGCTGCACCCTCCAGTGTGGGAGTGCAGATGAGGTAATCGACGGGGCAACCACTGAGGTGCATGCAAAACGAAACCGGCGGGAGACATGATACCCCCCCTGTCCGTTTCTGCGCCAAGTCTGAAGCACCAAGATCTGCATCGATACTGGTCTACTAGCAAAGGAGTGGAGACTGCGGCGACGGTCAGGTAATAGCGCGTCTGGCGCAAGGCCTGCAGCCGCACCAGCTGCTTTACCGGCTCGTGCCTCGATTCTGCAGCAGAGTGGGAGCCCTCTCCGTTGCCTCGACCAGCGCCCTCCTAGCAAGAGCCCGCGTTGTGCAAGCTCGGAGAATATAGACCACAATTCGACGCTACCTGTCAGAAGCGCAGCCGTCGTGCTAGACGCGCCTGTCTGCCCCTCTACTACTGGCCCCTACTGGCATTCCCCTGGCACATCTTCTGTGTGCAAGATCGCGTGCATGGTTGAAACTACGGCCCGTTGCAGCTCTGGTTTGCCCAGAAACGCCTCCTTTGCTCACGGTGCTTCTCTGCTTCTTAAACACCTCACACCCCGTCATCACCACCTGGGCTGCTGCTTTGCCAACTGCTGAGTGCTTGCGCCGGCCCATCTTTCCATCTTCACATACTGCCATACACAACTTGTACATTGTCCAACACACATGATTCTTCTGTATCATAATTCTCTTATCCGCATTAGCACGCCTTATCATTGACACTAGGCCTGCGATATATTTCTTTGGTTGAGCGGCTGTAGTGCTCGGCCTCCCACGCTTTGCACAAAACGGTTCCCTGTTACATCATCATCCTCGGCATACATAATTCTTAGGTTAGTCATTCCCCGGCTCCTGCATCAGTAGATAAAATCGCGCCTGCGGCTGAGAGCCCTGACGGACTTTTCGATAATAATGCTTTTATGTCGCCTGCCAACCAACTGCGGAACGCACCTGTCATGAACTTTGGGACGCTTAGGCACTACCACTCACCATGGAGACATTACAAGAATAGAATTTGCTAACCAGAGAATGCCTCCAGAGTACTTAAACGACGCTTCCTTGCAACTCATGGAATATCTCACACTTCAAGATATCCCGCACCGCCACTGCGACCCATTGCACTCACACAGAATGACAGCCTTACAATCCTCTGAGAGGTCATTGGGTAACGTGGTTGCTGCGGTAAGTCATGTCTACGAATGTCCTCCTACTACTTTCCCATCTTCTTCGCCATGCGCCTTCTCTCCCGACCCTACTCCTCTACACCCGCCGATCCAACCCAAGTATTTCCCTGCCCCCGCCCACTTTGGACTTTATGAGCAGCCGCCATCCATGAGCGGAAGCAGCTCCGAGGCCCACAGAGACGCACCTTCAATGCACTACATCCAACTCCCTGCTGTGGATAGCGAAGGGCCTCCTCATTTACCGGAGCATTTTCGCCCTTCTCCTCTCATTCCTATCAGACGACCAGGCTCAACAGGATTATCGAGAATGTCTCCTGGCCCACGTTTGCGTAATAGGAAATCGCGCACGCTGAGCCCAGGTCCCAGGGGGAATGCCTACGACGAGCCCGAATCTGCATATCCCCGCGCCCGAGAAGTCAATAGCAAGGTGCCCTACTTGAACAACACTCTGACCGACGAACAGACCCATCATATGCGCCATTCTCCACCCATTCAGCCCGGTGAACAGAACTTCCCAGGGAAGCTACCTTCATTTTCCGAGGTATGTATCTGACAACTGCCGAATATAGGTACCCCCTCGCTGACCCTCGTAGTTTCTCAATACTACCAGAGCAAATACCCCACCTCACACGCCATCGTGCCGCAACAGCTCAGCTGCTGGCTCCCCACAAGCGAAGCCGCATTTCGACGAGGTAGCGTGGGTCGACGGGAAGCGCAGGCGCGTCGACACACTTGGAGACATCTATGCACGCCCCCCCGCCGAGCGACCGCCTGTCGATCCCCGGCGTATGAGTAGTGCTATCGATCCTGCTCTTGTCAACTACGGCTCTTCTCAACTTGGGCAGCACAGAGGAGCGCAAGGACCAGTGCCTGTGCATCATCGTCCGAGTCACTCTTTTCCGCCTCCCCCGCACCGATCAATTCAATCAGGTGCACAATTTCGTCACCAGTCAACCCCGCCAGTTTCTCAAGGCAGCACAATCTATACGCAGCAAACCCCACGCCAAAGCACAATCGCCCAAAGTACCTACCCTCAATCCATGGTACCACAGGGTGCAATGTACGATCATAGGCCCAGCTACTACCAGGAACCGCAAGGCGGAGCCTACGGATACGAGAGATCGCACGACTCGTACTATAATCAACCATCTTACCCAGGCCCGCCTCAACCAAGCCACGATAACGTGTACGGGGACAGCTTTCGCTTCCAAACCCATGTCGGCATAGATCAGAACTACAACAGAAAGCGCCGGGGCAACTTGCCAAAGGACGCTACGAACACACTCAAGGAATGGTTCGCCGCTAATCGAGCATCTCCGTATCCCACCGAAGATCAAAAGCTTGAGCTGTGCGACCGGACCGGGTTGAGTTTAAATCAGGTATGCCGTTTTCTTTTCAGGCGCGATGTGAACCTGCCACACCTGCCACATCTGCCAATTTCACCGTTCAATGTACCTACTGTTTAGTTACAGTATGCTGTCGTTCATCTGCCAGTGTCATTCTGCCTCCGGCTCATGCACCATGAGCTGATTTCCGTACAAAACTTGCTGGACATTTAGCTGACAATCCAAAGGTGTCCAACTGGTTCATCAATGCCCGCCGTCGAGCCCCACAAAAGGAGCTGCGTGAACGCGAGGCCAATAACCCAGAGACCTAACGTGATTCTGGCGCCGAGCCTGGAACATCTCGATTCTACGGCTTGAACCACCGAACTGAAGTGGTGATTGCAAATTGTCACCCACTGTATCAGAACACCCCGCACGCGACCCTTGAACACCACACCCGTATTTTCCAATTGTCGATATCCTCATGATTACAACACAACATACGTCAACTGGAGTCTAAGAGACACCTGCGTCTGGGAAACCATTCCAGAGTCTCCACAACACCACACCACAGCTTTACATTTTTGATAACGGACCTTTCTGGAACTTCGGTCACCGACTTGCCATCAGGACTTCTTAGTCTACTGACGCTTTGCTGTCGGTTCAATCGGTCCACTTTATTGCATGCATTTAGGGTACATTGCCGTGTACTTGACTTAACAAAATACATTTCCCTAGATGCCTAGGCTCACACGGCTTGTCATGAGCCTGTTGGGTTAACATCGTTTCCACCAGGTGTTTTTCACCGGGTGCTTTCCTTGTAACTCGATACCCCTGGGCAAACACCTTGCGGAGCATACACGCATAACGATCACGAGGAGTTTAAAAGATTCGAGCGTCCACGGATGCACAACTGATTTTTCTGGGCTTTTGCTTTGGGCATCATTTTTAATTGCTTAGCGTTACTGGTATGGAATAGTCGCTTGAGAGGCTTTCTCTAGCAAGGCCTCTCGCGTACTTTAGATTCAGACACACAATAGTATTCGGTATATCTAACTACACCCTCACTCAACAAGATTCCTCGATTACCTAACCTGTGGGAAAGTTGCTCGCCTTACTCCGCAAGGTTGAAACGTACTAGACGTACATGACGCTATGCGTCGCCGTTCCTGGACTCGGGCCCTAAACTATCGAATCCACACCCACAAAGCACAAGCACAAATCCGTCACTGATTTTTCCCAAGTCCACAACAACATGATCTATGGATCCACAGCGGCATTTTCATATCACACTTTGGTGAATGTGCATCCGATCATGCGCCCATGACGGACATTGAACCTTGCTACTATTTAGAAACACCCCAAACGAGTGGTAACGCACCGCTGCCTAGATCCCGATCCGGCGTTTTGAACCTAAAACATGACTGACGCCTAACGGGCATACGTACCCTGAAGGTTTACAGGGAATGCACAAACACGGTCATGGTCATTGCGAGCCTTGATATAATTTCATAAACGAGAAGAAAAGTTATAAAGCCCACCCAAAGCTCGCTGCCAATCATAGAAGCGGTATAGTACCGCGACGCAAAACTTCGCCGACCGAAGTGTACCAAAAAACCCCCAACAACCCTGATGTACGCCCTTAGCCGTGTGCTCGCCTGATCGACATGCGTGAACCAGAGGGGCTGGGGAAGCAGCTATGAAAGGGAAGCTAGCAATGGTCATCCACAGTTAGGTCAAAGATTAATGCCCTCATTCCGACAGGCCGGATTGGGAGAGAACTTGGGGGCGGGCCGAGGGCGTAGTGTACCGTTGCGGGCATTATTATGATGCACAGTCATGACTTGTGCCTTTTCCGATTATTCATCTCAACAAGGTTCGGGTATTACGGCAACGGCCTCGTCGCTTGGTTTGGACGAATCGATTAGCTGTGTGCTGTCATTTTACTAGGGCGAAGCCATGCATTACTCAAATATATGGCCTTTGACATCTCAAATTCAAGTTCACCATGTCACGGAGGCGCTTCCGTACAGAGTACCAAGGGTGACGTGTTTGTCATAGGTCGACTCGCCCTCACCCTCGTCCTTTGCACAATAACCAAACGCAATGGTAGGATGCATCTATAGGAACAACCGCAAGGACATGCGCGCATAATCGGGGAGCATCGACTCCGCGTCCTCGGGACGAGCTAAGGCCCTTGGGGAAATATGTGCTCTACTGGAGGTTGCGGAGGATACGGTGGATAGACGAAATGATGATGATGCGGACATTCATTCAACAGCACTAACGTACATGAGCAAGTTTAGACTACGGGAGAGCTCCATAAACAGTACCATGGAACGCCCCGACCCGACCGGATGGGATGACGAGCATCGGGAATCTTGCATAAACTCTAGCCTGAGGCTTTGAACCTTGTTTCAAAGATTGCAAATAGTGTGTGCGTCATGGGAAGAACCTGGGTACGCCGTGATATGCGTTTGAGCAAGTGCGGGTTCCTCCGCAACGCAGCTTAGGGATGTTAGTGTGACGGAATGACCTGGAAATGTTTTGTTGACTTGAATCTAGTCGATCCTCCTTTCGAAATCGCTACACTCGCAGAATAGCCCGGGCAAATATCCTTTCCAGTACAAGAAGCTTCCTAGCAACGGTGAGAGCGAACCTAGTATGTCAATCCTCGCATGGAGCGACCACGACACCGGTATTGCCCAAACCCACGATTTCACGCCCTGCATTGTTGAGCCGGCGAGGTGGAAGAACCTATCCAAGTCTGTTACGGCAAATTCTGGTTATGGTGTGCATTAGGCCGTTGAGCATAAGGATGTTGAGGGGCGGTGTGGCGACGGCGCGCTGGTGTACCGAGATTGAGCTGATGGCCGTTGATTGGAGGTCCAGCTTTGGTTTGGTAGAGACGCGCGGACTGGGATTGTGTGGTTCGCGACTTGCATTGCATGACGGGACGGAACGGAGCGTGATGGGCCACTTTGTGCACGATGCAAATATATCCACACTAAGTCTTGTAGAAGCGCTCGCGTTGCGTTTGCAGGGGTCGCGATCTTGTATCGATAATAAGCGATAAGTCGAGTAGGTAATAATCTATTTATGCGCTCGCGTTGCTAAATATTATGCGCATGTGGGTATCTTTCCAAACGCCAGAATGATGCTAGAGATGCAATATACTCATCTTTCCCCTTCAAGAAGCGCCAAACGTGTGCCCGGATTATCTGCTTCGTACTTTTTCGCCATATCATACACCACCTCGCCCCATTCAAACTCGCCTCTGTGACTCCGTTGCTTGCATGGGCTCTGTCTGAACGGAAGAATCCAGTCGATGAAGCTGTTTCCCATGGTGTCCTTCCAGCCCGTCATGAGAGTTGTATACCAGGGATGCTCCAGCGTCTTCGTCTGCATGACAACAGAAGTGCGCCCGGCACCTCTCTGAACGGTGCACAGTACAGGCCAATCTTCTTCGAAATCCGAACTCTTGCGTTCCTTTCTCGATCGGGGGGATGATGTTGGAGGTGAAATCGGCTCTCGGGATGATCTTGAAATGAGGAAAGCAATGTTGTGGATGCCACCGCGTTGGATGCCTTCGACTGACGTGAAGTTGATCATCAAATTCCAGCCGGTCATTCCGGTCATAGTGAAGGTGAAAACGAAGAAGACAGCCGTAACAGCGAGTGCTCCGATCCATGTTCCAGGCCGAGACCCAACCTAAGCAAAGTCAGTACGTGGTGTGGCCTGTTGTAATCATAATCTGAAAAAGGCTGAACTCACTTTAGATATACGGTCACCAAAAAAGACCGCAACAACGATCCATACGTATGCCGTATATAGCGCAGCGAAAAATACAAACTGCAAGAAGAATTTATGCGTAGATTCCGCTATAATGCCTCCTGCCCAAGGGCAATAATGGTCCATTTTCCTCACACAACGTCCGAGCTCTTTACAGTGATGTGTCCTGTCAGGCTTGAAATTGTGGCACTTATTGCACCACAACGGCATGCCCTCAAAGTCGCATATGAATGCGTCGTACTTGTCAAACGCCTTTGTACTCATGTCCATCTTCTCGCGTGAAGGATCCCCAAGCGGGACAAGATCCTGTTTCGACCATATTACCTGGAGCAGGCGCAACCAGGGTACGAGGAGCAGGAGAAGCAGTATAGCGTATACGATGATGAGCGCGATGCCTGTGCCCCGTCGTGGCTGGACGTTGAAGCCGAGGCGCAGATCTTCGGAGGGATCAATGAGATATTGCACGCCTATCAAAAAGACTAGGACCCAGGACACGAACCCCATCGCTCCCAGCTCGAGAAGGGGCATGATAACGGATGTCGCCAGACCGATTCGCTGCTCGAGCGCCGCGTTGTTGCCGTGCGCATTGGACTTCTGCGAGCTCGTTACGGACGGCGGCGCCATGGCGAAGGGAGATTGAGGCGGTAGAGTGGTGGCCGTGGTCGAGCTCGAACGCGCGCCGGCGTTAGAGGTGAAGTGTGGCGCGCCGACGGGAGGCGTGAGAGATGACGCCCAACAATATGTGAAGAGGTGACGTCTGACGGTAGGTTACACGGCCTGAAGTCGCGATGCTTGGCAGCCGCGTGGCTGGTGCGCCCAGCCCATTTGACATCATCACTGGGATAGTGATTGGCTTCATCAACAACAACATCGCCATCGTCCATCAATTACCTCTTGTGGCGATTGACAGCACTTCACGATTGTTTCTCCCCGAAACTTCCAATCGCCGTCTTGCGTGGCCTCATGCTTCATTCAATTGAGTCGAGCCAAGTGAAGGACTACGACTGACTCATGACCTGCAGCACCCCGCATTCAGACCACCGACTTCACTTCACTCAGGAGCTCTCTCGCTGTCATCTCATATCTCTTGCCCTCACACACGTCAGTTGAAAAGTGGTGAGGCGATGCGAGATTACGTCCTCAGTATCGCTCGTACTACCAAGTGTCTCTCGACGGCGGATATCACAACCAAGACGCTGCGTCAGAGCTAAACGCTTTTTGTTTCACCGGAAAATCCTCAGCCCTGTGTCGACCCTCCCGGAGCCTCACTATGGTCCAGCCATTGCAGCTTGAGCCGGTGTAGGAGGGGTACCGGCCCCTCAGCTGAACGCGGCTTTCCCACTCCGGCGAAACATCCAGTACTGTTTGTGCGCATGCCAGCGACATGATACGGAATGGGGCACTTGAACACAGTCGTGACAAGACAATTACCTTCGCAAGGCTCCGCAAGACTCGAGTATATAGAGCTGCGCCTACTCGTAGTGAAGCGCGTCGACGCTCTCACCGTATTTTACTAATTACACCGGCGGCCCGCGCGACTGTAGACAGCCTCGTCACTCACAGCTAAAGAATACTGCTGCCTGATGTGAAGACTGGGGCAGTTTTGGTAAGAGTAGCTAGTAAGTATGCTGGTTCAGCGTTGCCAAGTAGATTTCTAACCGTGTGTAGGGAAAGTCTTGGATCGATCGCTCTTATACTATCCGTTTCGAAAGTCCATTTACACATGAAAGGTCCTTTTAATATGCAACCCTATGCGCCTCGTCAGACTTCGTAGAAAAAGCTGACAGGTCATGGCTCTACAAGCCCGGATCTATAGCCACCCGGAGCAGCTCACCGGTAAATATCATCACTGGCGGGCTTCGACCATGAGGTCGATCCTCACTAGATGCAGGTACCGGAGTCGCATATGCAAGCTGTTCGAAACGCGTGCCACTATGGCCATTGGATGGATCTGAACTGTTCTTTCCCCTGACTCGTCAAGGCGCCAGCACAACGCAGACTGCTATAGGAACAAGAGAAACACTGCCCGGGGCTCTCACCGTCGGCACCGTGCCCTATTCTAACGTCATAGTCATGATCTGAACTCTAATTATTCGTTGTAGTCCCTACACACTGCAGGGGACTGTTGCACCGCGTACTGTACACCTTCACCTTGCTTATCTAAGAATAAACGCGCTTCGTCTCTATTCCCTGTATCTGCAGCTAATTTCTCGTTGTGAGAAGTATGTCATCACTCTATCATGTTGGTCTTCCAACCACCTGGTATTGTTACTTGTGGCCGGAGCCGACCTGGTCCCACAATCCATATCTAGTGTACATATCCAGGCTCTTGTTCATCCCTTTGCTTATATGTTACATCAGGTATCTTTGCGCTCGTTAATTCTACCGATCAGGTGATATTCAAGCCAGCGCCGCTTTTGATCAAAAGAAGGCAGAAGAAGGCAAAACACAAAAGAACTCTAGGACGCAACCACCCCAAGAAGTATTACAGCTGTCCATCCCGCAGCGGACTCCCTCCAGTCTGGCCTTTAAACGAGATGATACCGTCGCCCCCAACCTATGATGGCCCCTCGACTACTAGCTGTAAAGTTAAGTAATGGCACGGCAGCCGGGACAGCTACCTGACTGAGCGCAGTCCTCCGAATAGGGCTGTCATTCCTCACGAGGTTAGGCACGAACTCTCAACGGCTTCCGCAGTTGTGCACAAACTCCACCCCAAGGGAGATTCACCGACGGAAACTAATCTACAGCGTGTGATCACACATAGCGTCGTCGTCGGACCCGCCGATGCTTCGGTGGACCTCTAGGTCCTCCACCCTTCTCTGCGCTCTGACTGGACATGCCTCACTTCCTCCTTAGGGCTTGTATGCCTCATCACCGTCGCCTTGTCGGTCTGCGCCCCGGACCTAGCTTCGAGATCCGCCATGTCATTGCCAGTGCTACAAGCCAGGCGGTGCTTGGGGGACGGTAGGGTTAAGATCATACGAAGCAGGATAAGTATAAAGCTCATAACCTCCGCCAACAGTCTACATCTTAGTATCCTGTCACTGCATCAAGCAACCTTCTCCATTAGAACATCCAGTTTATTCCGCTGCTCAGAGCTTCTTTTGTGTCCCTCCTCGACATTCGATCAGTAAAAATGATTATCCCCACCTCCCCCACCTTGCAGCTTCAAGAAACAGAGCTTGCCCAGCCAAAACCAGCAATCATCATTCAGGAGAAACACGACGAGTACCTAAACACGTTAGCGGGCTTGAGCTCTCATCGCGCCATGCATAATGGGGTAGTTCCGTCGATGTTACATGCTGGAGACTTCGCGCTATCTATTGGAAAGCTTTTCGGTCAAGATCAGCTTGACCACGAGACCGTGTTCACAGCACAGTTTGGCAGGACGAATCCGAACCACGAAAACGCCCCTTCGGACGGAGATGTAGTTTGGTTTTGTAGCTCATGCGGAGACGGCCCAATAGGATCGTGGCAGGTCTGCTGCCCGGTATGCACTCATCAGAAGTGTGGTGGTTGCAGGGTGGAACAGACTTGACGCCGTGCAACGCTTTCCAAAAACCTCATCACGTCTTCGAACTAGAGCAGCCAACACCGTCAGATTATGGTACCTAGGCACGCAACTACCACTTCATCTGGATGATTCGATCGTCAACCGACTTCAATTGGCCCCCAACCACCCCTGCTCTCTTTTTATCGGCCCCTTGTTTCTTTGTTATTACGGCGTTCGGTTTAGACTTTGGTTGTTTTATGGGCTTCTCTCACCAATGTAACCACAATTGTGGGTTTGGCGGATCTTTTCCCAGCATTTCAGCAAGCGATGATTGATTAGCGCTGTTGGTGTCTGTAAGATTCCCATTTGACCTGCCCAGAGCAGGTCGCCTCCTCACGGAGATTCTAGTCATTCTTTGGTATACACATATATTGGAAACTTTTCTTTACAAAACAAGTTAACTCTATTCTTTCTACTTGTATCCTTTTTGTTGTTGCGCTCGTGTTGTGAACATCCAACTTTCGGTCCAGAGATGAAGAAGTGGAGTCACCCGGCAGGATCCACGATCGTCCTGTAGCCACCCTCGAGGTATAATTCTCCGCAAGATCTTCCCGCATGAAATACGCAGGTACATAAGACACCCAGCACACCATCAGGACTGCACATCTTCTGTATATGGTAATATGGCACGCTGAACAGTAAATCTCCAACGAAACGAACTGATTCGGCCTTTCTATTGGCCGAAGGACTCTTCGGTTTAAAGCCATTCCAGGTTCAGAGGCGAATGAACGTCCTTCAAACTAGAAGAGCCTTGCAGACGCGTCATCCTGCGCCTGACTGCCTGGAGGACCTCGCCAAGCCGCGGTACACCGGCATAGACAAGGCCTCCTCCCGTGTAGGCGGCCTCAGGCGCCTCTAAGGAAGTTACGTTGTAATTAAAAGAAAAAAAAACTGCGGCATAACAAAAGCTAATAGGAACAGCCCTTCCGGCCCTTTTTGAGCCCTGGAATCCTTAGGGATTCGAATCGTGACCAACACGAATATTTTCACGTCTCACTTGCTCCCCGCGGAGCAAAAACAAGTCCACCACGCGGGAAACAGCCTACAGAGGTCCCTTATTACTTCGATTGCCCCCCGAGGTGCTACCAATGGACCTTGAACTGCTGCGGACAGGCGCCCTCGGGTGGGACTCAGGAAATGAAGCAGGAAGCGTGTATCACCGGGGCATCACGAGACGGCACTTAGTGGAGGGCAAAAAGGGCAAGATTGTGGCTAAGCTATGTGCATGTGGTTTCGTGAAGCGTAACAGAGGACGTCGCTCCGTGCGTTGGAGGACTTGAAATTGGAGTATATCAAGGTCGCCATCTCCTACATTGAGAGACGCTCACCACATCTTTCAAGCTTTCCGCATCTTACTCGGATCAATAACATTGATCGACAGAGCACTTGTCCTTGACTCACCTTGCTCTAAAGCCCTCCAAGGAACCGAACATTACACCAGCAGACCACCATGTCGACAGTATTCTGCTACAATTGCGGAAACGGCCCGCTCAATGCCGCCATCAACGCAGCATGTCCTAGTTGCCAACATATTGGTTCAAACCACGCATACACGGCAGGAATAGGTGCTACCTCAAGCAATGAGTACACCAGCGCCGGCAGCGGTTCTTTTACCGAAAGGCCTGAGCGCGAGCCGGTTTACCGCTGGGTGTGCTGTTTCTGCCACAGTAGTAATAGCTACAACGTGGACGTTGGCTGCCCACGTTGCAATAACCACTGGAGGCAGGGCTGCTGCCAGGTGTTTGATGCGAACGCAAAGCGCTAGTGTGGAGAGGATCGATACTGGAAGCGTTGAGATGGGTATATTGGCGTAAGTGTCTGCCCGTCGTCGTGCTTATGGGTTTCTTACTGACGACTTCAGATGGCTAGATTGATATGGCGTCCTGGCGTCCTTTGGCGGTCGGTGTACTCGTGGGAATTTATGGCGAGTTTGCTTTTATCGTATGTTTCCTTAGTACACATCTATCTTGAGTATTTCCTTCTTTCTTTGTACTTTCACCTTCCCAGATGTTCTCACATGATTGTACTAGCTTTTCAAGCTAAGGGAGTCTCATGTCCTGTCAAGCATAGCGCTGGCGCGCCAGTTTCAGCGTCTAAGTATTGCATGTCATGTAGGTCTCTCGATGCATCGCAGTCCTCTGGGACAAGGATGCTTATTCCGTAGTCTGTACTATTAGTCTATCAAGTTCAATTGATTATTATCTCGCAACTTCAGATCTTTGACATCGTGCTCCACGTTGCTGACCCTCTCTTGCACGAACGACGGCTGCGGTTCGTTGTGCTGTGCTTGCTTGACCTTACAAGGCCTCTGATACCCAAGCTGCCCTTTGTGACTATGATTGATACCCAAGGTAGACTTTATAAGGTGTGGCGCTCAATACGAGACACCTTGTTGCGGCTGGCTGAAACTTACGTCAAGGCTCCTGCAAGCCATGTTTACCGGCACCTGGTTTCATGGGGAGGCGGCGGCCAGCGCCCACCACGCGACCCTGTATCAAGGCAATACTCAGATCTAAAACCTCCTGTCGGGTGGCGTCTGACAGGCGTCGCGGCAGGTAACAATGCGCCTAATCATGCCTGTAGGCGAGACGCAATGTATAACGTACTTTCCGTGACTTAGACTCAACCTTTGAAATTTGAATGCGAGTAAAGTGGAGCCTCAGAACTATTGCTGAGATGGCGGCGTGTAGAATTGAGGGACGTAGGGCACACTGCTTACTTTGCGCGACTAGTAAGACGACGGTAAGCCCCATTTCGGAGGCAACAGGTCCCACGAAAGTTATTGCAATAGCATAGCCATGCCCGGCGTACAAAGGACTTCTTTGCCTTCGAGTAGTGCCCTACAGCGCCACGAAAAGCTTGGGTTTGAGTTCACCAGGAACAGAGGCGAAGGTTTGAGGTAGAAACAAGCCCTGTGAGATCATCTGCTCTACCTTGTCAGCCAGCAGGGCTCCTGCTGGGAGCCCTACAGGACATTATTACCTAAAGGGTAGAAGGCGCGTGGTATTAATTGTTGTGCCTGGGGCGGTGGTAAAGCAAGCACAGCGTTGGTGCCTGTTCATCAGCGCCTTGCGCGTTGGTTGCACGAAGCTGGAGTGTGAGGGCCATGCGAAGAGAGATTCTAACACGGGAATGACGCCGCTGCGAGTGACGTATGTGTCAGCGAATAACCTGGAGGATTCGGAGAGTGAAGACGCGACGCGACGCGAAATGCCGTGCTTCGCTGGGAGCTTATCTTATCGTCTCGTTTGAGTAGTGCCTGAAGATCACTCCCTCGAGCAACGTCAAGCCTGCTATCATGACTTTGATCGCAGAAGAACATACAAGGTATTCAACAGCCCGCCGACGGACGGTTCTTCGACATAGCCGCTATAAGCCTGTACATCCCCTGTCCCGCCGTCCGCTCGAAAGGCGAGAACAAGCGGGGTTGCGGAACCTCAACTCCCTTGCGGGGTATTAGGGACAACCCGTAGAAGCTCTCGACCGGTGCCGCCGTGAAAGAAGCCTCTCGAATCGCTGGCCTACACCCCAAAGCAGGCGGCGATGACCCCGACATATCTGGTGAACTCTGCTCGGGCGACATGCTCCTCGACGCCCTCGTAGCCTGCTCAGGCGTAACGCTCAAAGCTGTCGCGACGGCACTCGGTATACCCATCGTCTCCGGCACTGTGGTTGCTGAAGGTGATTTAGATTTAGGGGCACGTTGGGCGTGGATAAGACGGCTCCGGTGGGCATGACGGGTATACGGTTAGAGTTTCAGGTCAAGTTTGGAAAAAGGGAAGATGGCAGAGAGGTTACCGAGGACGAGGTTGAGAAGCTGGGGAAGCTCACGGAGAGGTATTGTGTGGTGCTGCAGACGCTGGTGCATAAACCACGGATTGAGGTGAGGTTGGCAGGAAGTGGAGGGACCAAGGAGGAGGATGGGATCACAAAGGAGATCATGCATGGGAGTATTTTGTAATGGCTGACATAGTGGTAAGCGCTACTAGCTTTAACCATATGATTTTGCTGCGATTCTGGTCCACAATGCATAGTACTTGTCCAGGGGATTCCCAGCCTTCTTATTGAGGCTGTGTTGTCTTGTGTAATGAACAGGAAGACTCGGTACACGATTACCTATATCTGTGAGTCGAGACAGTTATCAATTAACAGCTTTATATGCTGAGATCATTCAGGCACTAGACGATCGCTGCAAGTTTCTCATTCATCTTGCACTATCGTGCTATGAAAGATTGTATGCCTTTAGACTTGTCTAACTACTCCCATCACCACCATCACCCATCCCTAACGTTGTTACATAGAAACCACTTTGCGCCAACCTGCGAATGCAGGGCCCTAGTGAGCTTGCTCTCTATGTCCAAAGTCATCAAGTGCTAGGTCATTGTTCAAATGCCCTAGATATCGTAGAGCGCAGCGATCTCATGGATGCCCACAGAAGGATCTTCGCAGAGACCGAACAAGAAGTCGGAGTACCACTTCCTGAAACGCTCTGGCGAGATGCTGTCGAGGACCTGGCTTGCCAAAGTATGGGGCTCGTTCTCTGACTCAAATGCCTCGTTGGTCTTCTGTTGTGCGTACTCCGTAAGCGCTTTCATCAACATCGGTGTGAGTGGCTCGCCATCTTTGCGGACGACGATGAGAGACCCCATCTGCTTGGCAAATTTCATCTGCTGGTCGATGGCAGATGTCGGATTGCCGAAACGAAGAGCTGTATCCAACCATGTTGTGTCGAGTAAAGTTCCAGGATCGAAGAAAGCAGCGGAAGGGTTCTCTGCATACGAGAAATCTTGGTGGGATCGGCTGCGCCAGCAGAGGGCAAATGTAAGCTTTCGAAAGACGAGCGGGAAGCCGGCCTTCTCTGCCACCGTGGCCTTGAGTTCGCTCTCCCCATCGCACACTGACTTGAGAATATCCATCGGCTCGAACTGGGTTCGCTGACAGATTTGTTGGTCACTGACACAGTTGAAACGAACTCCCCTCGTTTTCTCTCCGTCGCCGATGGTGTACATATTCTGTTCGATACTGCGTTTGGAATGGGCCACACTCAGATAGTCAACGACGTGTCGCAAGTCAACGGGCCCGAGGTCATAGCACTGGTCGGGCCATCCTACGTCGGTTCTCGCGCCATAGGCCAGCAATGGTCCCTTCCAGTAGTTTGTGAGTTCCTTATCGATCTTAGCGAGGCTCTTGTTTGGATTCCCGAACAGCATGGCTTCATTGGTATTTAGATCGTGGATCCTGGCCAAAAGCACTATATCGCCGTCAATTTGGCGATGTAACACGGCGTTTTCCTTGAAATAATCGATTGGATAGAGATCCGTGTTCTTCAGGCCCAGAATATGTGTGTGTGCGACAGCACGCCCTTCATCACTGGGACCGGACGATGGTAGCCAAATATACTGTGGACCATTGCCTTCTTCGGGGAAATAGATCGCTCGCTTGAACTGAAATTCTGGCTGTTGTGGTCGCTTGTCGTTTGAGAAGTCCTTGCTGAACTTCTTGCACAGAAGCTTGTGGACAGGCCAGTCGACCTTCTGGCACGCCTTAGAGCAGTATCGGATTCCGTGACAGCTGCTACATACTTCCGAACCGAGAGCTGGACAAATGGCGCACAGCGTATCGCTTGCTGGCTCGGCCATCGCGTTGGCGTAGATGCGAATTCGGTGAGAGTGGTAGCGGTGGAGGCGAGAGCGAACAACAAGGGCTATAGTCACAATAAGTAGCAAGAAGGGCTCGTGCGCACGCACAGGAGCTCAAAATGCTGACCGAGCCGGGCGCTTTCACCGGGAAGACCTGCGGAACAGAAGCCAAGATATATAATTGAAGCGGTAAAACGGGTCTTTATTTGAGTGGAAGGCTAGCATGCTGAGCTTTTTAGGCCATAAATGACTACCGATCATCAAGCATGTGCGGAAATGATACACGTCAAAGCATCGAGGAAAGTTCTGCATGAAGATCATAATCTAGTTCAGCTAAGGGTCTTTCAACTGTCTCTATGAGGCTACAAGGCCGTAAGCCACAGGCAATCCAGCGACTGACTAGACATCGTGAGGCGATAGGACGCTGCTGAAGTCGAGGTCTTGACACCTCTGCTTCTTTTCTACCAGGGATGTTTTGTATGACTGTAGCAATCCCTCCTTCGACAACGACGCTATATGACTATCCAACATAGGCAGCTCGTTGCTGGCTAAAGCGACATCTAGCTCATACTGGAGCTTGTCTTCGAAGTTTTGCTATAGCTTCAAGGTAAATTGGGTGCAACTGCTTTCTGTCCGGGCGCATGACCTTGATAGTGCCGTGGTTTAGGAGAAGGTCATGGCGCTCTTGAATTGTCCGATCCTGGAAGACACTGAAGTCGAAGACGTCGTAAGCGGTGAGTAGATGGTAGACTGGAGTATACAGTGCAGGAATGCCATCAAATGTTCGCTAAGAAATTAAAGCTTCTCACCAGTCCAGCTTTTGGCAGTCTCTGGAACAGTAGTCTTAGGTCAGTATTTCTCACATCCATATCATACAGAGACATGACTAACGTATCTCGTTGCAGCCGTTGCAGGTCTTGGTACCAAATCCTTGCACAACGTGCACATAACAGCCGGATTTGCGTTGGTGGTGTCAGCCATCTTGTGGTGGCTGTAGTGATGGTGAAGAGGAGAGTTGGTTTTATGCGACACAAAAAATCTAATGCTCAGAAAGTCAAGAAATGCCAGCTCATCCTTCGATACCACTTCTCTCAGGAATAGTCTCTGACCTGTACGACAGACAGGCATGCCTATACAGTTAAATAGTGTGACTTGAAGGTAGCTCCCATTCTCAGCCTAACTGGAGACAGTCTTGCACAACAGCTTTTAGGTGAACCAATCGACTTTCGGGCACCCCGCCCAGCAGTATCAAACGGTAACATGTTGAACAATGTAAGATAAGCCATACACCTCGTACTTCCAGTAACAGTCACTTGATTCGTAGACACTATAAGAACTATGATACATAGTTTAGTTGCAACAGCGTTGAAAAGGATGGATGCTACACGAAAACTGAGAGCAGAACCTTTGATGATGGCGATGGTGTTGAGCAGCACGCGAATAGACTAAAGAAATTTTGGGGAAGAGGGGGTTTAGTGGGAAGTATCGCGGTCCTGGCTTCCGTAGAGGTCTTTTCTCTGGCAAGTCCTCAATCCATATCCATCTTTACCTGCTGCGACTCTTCGTCGCTCTCTCAGATGTTGAACGGCGATGGTACCAAACGCCCCCGGAATGGATTCTCCTGCCACATCTCATAGTAGAAACGCTCGAAGTTCTCCTTCGATACCTGGTTGATACGTTCTGCATGCAACATGTCGGGAGTTATACACGCAAGATCTGAAGGAGCAGAATCCGCCATTTTAGCCGCAGTATAGCTGAGAAGAGCATGGACATGTGCCAGAAGCAGTGGCTTCCCATCTTTCCGACCTAACGTCACACTGCCAGTTTCGGCGGTCTGTTGTCCTGGATTCAGAAGACAGGCTTTGTGGTTCTGTCTACCTGAGTGGGGGGCGTAATCGCGCCAGACTCTGGCTGGTGTATTCTGATAGGCGATAAGCGGAAGGCCGACTCGGTCAGCTACTGGGGTGGGTATCTGAGATTCGTGGCATCCTGCGAGTAGTCCAACGTGCTCCTCAATGATCGGGCGGTCTAGAAATTGCTGGTCGCCCTGACAGTTCAGACGCACGACTATGGTACCTTTCTGGCCCAGGGACAACTCGTGGAATTTCTCATTCCAGAAATGCTCCACCAGCCGCATCTCATCGATCACGGATCGGAAGTCGGCTGGTCCGAGATGTACATCAGAAGGCCTCTTATCAATATCCGACGTGTGATGCACTCCCCAAGCAACGATCGCGCCTTGGCAGAATCGAGCAAGATCGGAATCGAGTTTCGAGATGCTCTGGTTAGGCTTGCCATTCGGAGTGCAGCATGGACATATCTTTTCAGCGGTGGGCCTTGACAAGACGATGCAGTGCGACTCGTAGCGACGCTTGAGTACCGGGTTGGTCTCACTCGCAACGTTGTCATGCTTGTCAATCCACTCCTGGCTTAATCCTAGCTCTGCAAAAGCGACTTCTTGAGGATGATTGTGGCCGGCTTCGTAACGCATCCAGACAAAGCGGGGCTTGTCTTCGTCGGCAGGGAAGTAGATAGCGCTGTAATGGCTGGAATCAGGTCGAGTCGGCAGGAACTCTTGGTAGTCCTTGCAGACTACCTTGTGGAGGGGCCAATCATGCTTCTGGCAAGCCGTAGAGCAGTAATGAATAGACTTGCAGCCGCTGCAGATCTTGGAGCTGGGGTGATTGCACATCGCACAAAGCGACTGTGCGTGTCTGCTCGCCATTCGAGCTGTCCTGAGCTCAATGATAGTAGGTGGAAGGTTAGTGACTGATACAGCGGAGAGCGATTGAATGTGCGAAAGAAGTAAGAAGAAGGACGAAGAAGTGAGCCAGATAATAGAGGAGTTAAGTGCCGCTAGTGGGGTCTGCACAGCTGCAATGTGAAAGTTGAGGAAAGAGCGCCGGGGTGCAACGCGTGAGCACGTGATACGAATGAACAGCTGCAATATGCTACTTTGCGTATCGTGCTTTTGTAATTACTGTCAATACGACCATGTGTATATCCAAGGGACGAAGACTTACTGGGCTCAAAAGCTAGCAGAACCCCAATTCTTTGTGAAGCAAGTGAATCAAGCTCGTAGTTGGCATGTCGTAAAAGCTATAACACATGATGAAAAGCAGCAAAGGAAGTTTGCTACGCATATTTTGTACCGGCTTCATTACTCGGAACAAACATAGAGAACAGTAGCTTTCATCTCGAAATGCCAATCTACAGTTACCCGTCAATGGTATGTCTTTCCTACTTCAGGTTTTTTGACCGATTTCGACGAGAGAGAACAATGTCCAAACCCTTCTACCACTTCGTGCTGGACTACTCCCCATCTCACCTTTGCCAGATGCGGATCGATCTCATTAGGTGGAGGGTGGCATGCGGCGCTTATAGCAAGACTGCAAGATGCAATGATGGGCGCTTTCATCGACATATTTCTGAAACCGATCCATCCTACAGTGCAGAGCAAAATCAAGAACGCGCTGAGCAACACGAAAAGGCTAAGTGTTGAGAAGCCACACGCCGATTTTGATTTGTGCTCAAGCATTTTCCCTTGACTATCAAAGAAATCGACGCGAACGAGGAAAAATGTTTGCGATAATAACCAATGGAGGGTGCCGCTAGTGATTATGAGGGGAAGACTCCACCTATATGGGAGCTGTAAGAAATAGGTACTCCGTTGACTGCCATGAGATTGTGTGACTCTTAGGCCCTTCCTGAAATTTGCAAGATTGTTCCATTCTAGTGTGCCAGCCATGGAAGTGCAGATAGTGTTGATGGCCAGATAGCTGAAAGAAAGGAGAAGTTGCGGCGCGTTAGCGAACCAAGCATTCTTCAGAGTTGCCGCAGCTGTCATGTTACCATCGCTGAAAGGAAGGTAATATTGGGACGAAGCTCCCCAGGACCAGGAGCTAGCTGGTGTGGCGTACAACGGATAAAACCCAGGTACCATGATGATACATAACACCCTATGCGGTTAGTATCGATTGGCAACATGGAGCGCCGGTGGGAAGCTTACATGATCGTGTAGAATACCTTTCCATTTCGAGTTACGGCAAAGAAATAATATCTGGGGCGTGGAAGCCACATGCCACCCATTCGCAAAGTGAGGTCTTCTTTCTCCTCCGTGCTAGATATAGGGTGACTTGAAGGATGTCCCATACTAAGTAGCATCTCTTCCCTACCCAGCATGCATTTCCCGGTAGTACTTGGATCAATACGCTTTAAGAAGGAGGCCGCGGCATCCCCTATGGTGACGAGGTACGCTGATCTATCTGTAATAAGGACAGAAGCCATGATGCTCAACTTCAGGATGTTGAACACGATTACGGTGACCATGAAGTAAAGGCTGACTCGTACGCGACTTGATAGATCGTCTTTCTTCTGTGAAAAGGCATATGCCACATGAGCATAGCACTGTAATGGCTCATTATATCCGGGTTCATACATGGAGTGTACCGGTTTGAAGTATATCCAGCCGGGTAATGGGTACTGTTCGTGTGAGATTGCCCATGTCATTTCCTGCTCGATCCCAAACCTGCGTAGGGTGTCAACATCTTGTAATGTCATATCCGTGAGAATCTGTGACGTGTCGAAGGCCAGAAGATCAATTGTAAGGTACAAGTCCCCATGCCCCGACACGTGCTCTCTATTGTACACATTACTCCATTGATCATTAGTGAGTCTCGAGTACGTGCCAGAAAATGTGTCATTATCTGTGATCGATCTAATCTGCTCCCATTTATCAGATCCAGCGGCTAACGTAAAGGCGTTGAAGTCGACCGAAGTCACGACCTTGAAAACTGAAGCGTTGTAACTGGTGACCATAAGTCAGCGCGAACATAACAAGCCAATCCACACTTACAAGAGGTGCAGAGGAATCGATGATAATGCTAGTGCGACCCATAGCACTACACGGTGGCGAGGAATCGCCCGTAAGTTGCGGGTGCTGAGAAGACCGATGTCGAGCCACTGGCCTTTAGCGTGGGCTACATCAACGTCCTTTCGAGTAGGAGCACTTAATACTTGCATGGTGTAGTTGCTCCCGGCAAGTAGCATCGTACTGAGCACGTTGATGAGCACATGCAAGGAGGTATTCCATCGCGAAATGGTCGCTTCATCGCCAACAATTAAGTCAGCGACGCCGTCGGAATTGTACCCCGAATGTACGGTCGATCCTACGACAATCATGGCGATATTGCAACAGAGGACGAACGTAGACGTGCAACATCCAAACAGGACCCCCATTCGCCATCCATGGAATCGACTTTGTCTGATCCAAAGTGCGATTTTGTTATCAACTGATCGAGTGGTATCTGAGAGACCCTTGAACACACGTGTGAAGAAAGACGGCGGTTGTCGCTGATCATCTGAAGAGGTGGTCGATATCGCGATGGAGGAGCGACGAGATATGCCATGGTCCGGGTCTTTTTGTGGTTGCAATCTGCGTGTCACTCAGTGTCTGGCTAATTGCAAACCCTATACACGGTACACAGGTTATACGACTCACGGAATGGTCTCCATCTCTGCACTTTCTCTCTCAGATGTAAGATTGGTGGCGCCAAGTATTGAGCCACTCTCCTCGGGAGTATAGGGTGCATCCGTACCCCTCGATATATGCAAAAGCGGAATAGAATCAACAAAATCGCCTAGGTCCTGTGCCAAAGGCGGCAAGAGAGGAGCTTGAGAGGATCGCCCGAGTTCAGGATCCATCGCTGTACGTAAGAGGAGACAGGCCGAGGTAGTTTGAAAGAGAATTTCCTCGAGGCAGAGCCCTTTCTTAACTTGTCGCGCTGCAGCAAGGCTGAGGCTATAACGTAGGTGGCTGTCAAGAAGGTACCCTTTGGCTGGATCACGCAAAGTTTGGATGATCTGATTGGTATCATCGATCTGCAATGCATGTCCAGGCTATGTATAGCTAGGTGACATAGCTGAAGATGGTGAAGGAGACGGTCATGCAAGCAGGAAGAGACCGCATTGTGAAGGCTATGGAGCAAAACTGGTTGTGGATAATCTCGGGGGAAAATTGCGGGAAGAGCCCAAAACGCCTCCCTGGATAATCAATACCTCTGAAGTAGACAGCTAGGCGATGTCTAGTCGGTATTGCAGCTTCGTGCTATCGAAAATGTAGCGAGTGAGCCAAGGTGTGGTGAGGACCCACGTGATGAGGTCCGCGGCTTATGCGCCCCTTCCCGCGCGTCATTCGTCATTCATAGATGTCCCGGCAGCCCGACTGTCAAGCTGACCTCTGCCCTCGAAACCGCCACCACTTACCAACACCGCGCGCGCTCCTTCACTACCTATTGCGCATCGAACGCATCCACGACAAGCATTTCGCGATGACCGGACCGAAATACCAGGACGTTCCTCAGCGGGACTCGCTCGACGAGGCTGCGCCGTCATACTCGCAAGCGCCACCCAGCTATCAAGCAGCCGACCCACAGGAGGCCCTGCTTCGTGGTGTACCGCGAGACGAAGATGACAACTTGCCAGACGACTTCAAGTTTGGCGGTGTGGTAGCAGAGGCTACGCTGGATATCCGGATGGCGTTTGTGAGAAAGGTGTACGCTATCTTGTAAGTACTCGAATCCGACGTCGAACCCTCTGGTTTATTGCGCATTTACCAACTACATTAGGACCGTCCAGCTCCTCGCTACCGCTGCTGTAAGCTTCGCCTCGATGACCTCAGTAACGTACAAGAACTGGATCCAGACAAACCCGTGGATGATGTGGGTGTCGCTCTTTGGCTCCTTTGCCTTCCTTGGCCTCACCTTCTGGAAGCGCAAGTCGTATCCTACGAACCTGATATTCCTTGCTGGATTCACCGCCCTGGAAGCCTATTCCATCTCCGTCATCGTATCGTTTACCGACTCCAAGATCGTGCTCCAGGCGGTCGTCTTCACATTTGGCATCTTCATCGCCTTAAGCCTGTTTGCCTGCCAGTCGAAGTACGATTTCACGAGCTGGATGCCGTATTTGTTTGGTGCTCTCTGGGTTCTGATACTGTTCGGCTTCATGTCCACGTTCTTCCCATACAACGACAAGGTAGATCTTGGTTATGGCATTATTGCGGCTTTGATCTTTTCGGGCTACATCCTGATCGACACTCAGATGATCATGCGTCACTACCACGTTGAGGAGGAGATTGCGGCGGCCATCTCGCTGTACCTCGATATCATCAACTTGTTCCTCGCCATCTTGAGGATCTTGAACTCGCAAAACAACAACTGAGCGTTGGATTTGAGCGCTAGCAAGAACCGAGTCGGTCTCTACACACCAGGGAAACTGAATGGCGTTGGTTGGAATTGCCCTTGGATATCATGGAAGGATCCAAGGTGCAGGATGGCGTTGTGATTTCGTAAGATTCAGTTGTATTCTTAATCTGGAGGATGAGTTCCATAGGCTTCCCCTGTCAAGTTTTCGCGTAATTCACCCAAGTCAATTTTTCCAGTATCATCGTTTTGTTGCATCCTGAATGACTTTGGACGGCGCAGGCTCACATATGGTATTCTTACCAGTAGGATGACGGCAATTAGACACTGCGATGCTGCTGGCGATGGCGGGGTAGTACTATGGAGCCGCGGATGCGTGGGCGCACTATTGGCCAGGAACGTGAAACGCCCCCGAACCCTGAATCATCGGAAGCGAAGCTATGCATAACGGACATGGTAGCGTCTTCATCTTTTCCCTGTAGAGACGAACGATAACCGGAGGGCTCGCTCGCTCGGACTCGAGGACAAGCAGGGCGTGCTCCGCGATATGCACCAGAAAACCACTTGCCACCTCCTTTCCTCGCCGCCAGCAGCGGCATGCTTCAGCTCGCCCTCATAATTGCACCAACAAGCTAGTAAAATTACGCGAGACCCATTTTGAACCCCAAAAAGGTAGCGCGCTCTACCAACATAGCAATTGTTAGCTCCCGCGACACCTGGCCAGAAATTCCGAGACAACAACCTGTTCTCCGTTTGCAATTGTTCAAGACGTGCCGATCAGGAGTCGAGTCGATCGAGGCGATCGCGCAGCTCACGACGTGTGATTCGTCTTGGCCCTTCTCGTCTCGAACCCTGAACATCTTGCTGGGAACCACACCGCTTCCCCTTCGAAACACCTGCGCATCCACCCCCGCAGAGGAAGCCCTCCCAGAGACGGAGAGCCTTACGACACCCCATTCTTCCTACTGCCCCGATCCCCATGGCTTTTTCCTGCTAAAAGAACGCAAAAGCCCCACCACGTTCGCTACGTCGAAGCCAAGACCTGCAAAGTCGATTGAAGCTCTGCATTTTGCTCCTCTGCTCTCACGCCATTGCGCACAAGACTGCTGTCGACAACTGCTGGCATTGCCCACAGAGCACCCTTCGCCACCCCACGTCTTCAGGACGTAGATTTGGAAAGTCGACGCCTACGACGATAGCATCGGACAATCGCATTCTCGTCCCCACCACGAATATCGCGGAGCCAGACCCAGCATGGCGACTACGACGACACTGCCGAATGGCAATGGCGCGCTCAGCAGCGCACATGCAGCAGATGTACACGAGCAAAAGGTCGCAGTCACACCAAAGAGGCGGAAAACGCAGCCAAAGAAGGTCAACGACGAGGGCCTTTTGGCATCGCTTTGCACGCTAGTTTGTGAGCACCAGATTGGTACGTTCTTATGGCAGTGAGCGTCCAATGCGAGAATCTCCACCAGCTAACCAAGCGTATAGGAATATCTGTCAACCTCATCTCCCTCCTTCTCCTCACGCACATGTTCTTTCCCCGCGCACGGAGCCGAACCACCAGGTTCCTGCAAATGTCGTACTACAACCCGGAGACGAACAAGTACGCTTGTGGTACCGATGACTTGCCGTTTGTCATACTGTGGACTGTCATCTTTACCGGCCTCAGAGCCGCGATAATGGAATACCTTCTGGACCCACTTGCCAGACTCGGCGGGATCAAGACGAAGAAGGGTCTAGACAGGTTCAAGGAACAGGCTTGGTTGATTGTATACTGCACTGGATCGTGGTCATTGGGCATGGTAAGCAGAAATGTCTGGGAACATTCGTGGTTCTGAGCGCTAAAGTGTGGACAGTATATTATTTACCATTCGGAGTTCTGGTTCAATCTCCACGGCATCTGGGAGGGCTGGCCCTTCCGCGAAGTTGACGGCCTGTTTAAGTGGTACTACCTCGTTCAATGGGGTTTCTGGATCCAGCAGATCCTCGTTGTCAACATTGAGGAGAAGCGCAAGGACTATGCGCAGATGTTCACGCATCACATCTTTACAGTTGCCCTCCTATTCCTATCATATGGATACTATCACATGCGCGTTGGAATTGTCATCCTGACTATCATGGATTTTGTGGACATCATCCTGCCGGTACGTACTAGGTAGTGAGAACATGAGCGCTAGCTGACAATCACAGACGGCCAAGTTGCTCAAGTACATGGGCTACACTACCGTATGCGACATCGCTTTCGGCATCTTCGTTATCTCCTGGTTCGTCACTCGCCACATCTTCTACATGATGGTCTGCTGGTCCATCTACGCCGACGCGCCTGTCGACATGGCACCAGGCTGTTATATCTCAGACTCGTCCGCCAACCAAACCCAATTCGTCCCCATGTCCGATAGCGCAGCATTCGAAGCCCTCGGCGGAAACAATATCTGGGGCAACCTGCTCAAAGCCTACACCGACCGCAACGGGCCCATCTGCTGGAACCCCAGTTTTCGATACTACTTCCTCGCCCTCCTCCTAACACTACAAGTGATCTGCTGTATATGGTTCGGGACCATCGCAAAAATCGTGTACAAGGTTCTTAGTGGGAGCTCAGCCGACGACGTGCGCTCCGACGACGAAGGCGACGATGAAGAAATCGAGGAAGACAACACACGCACAATCTTCAACGCCGTCACAGTTTGCAGTGAATCGGGCATGAGCGCAATGACCCCGAAAGAAGAAGAGGTTGGTGTCGATGGTCTGACTTTTGCAAAGATGAACGCTACGAGTCAACGAAGGCAAGTGAGGAGGGAAAGTTCGAGAGCGAGTGGGATTAGCATTCCCGGACATGGCGACCGGAAGGAGTTATTAGGACGTATTGGGTGTGACAAACCCAGTTGAAGCGCTCACGCATCAAACGTTCCAGGGGCCTGGTTTTTATTTTGCGGGCGAGCACTTGTCTTCTCCATAGGTGTCCCCGGCGTCGTGGCGTTCGAGCTCCTGGTGGGAGTGGAGGACATTTTTCACATATCGCATCAAGTTGGTCGCGGGATGATCATACATACCCTAGAAGCGAGCATAGATTATTGTAATCCCATCTTTACGCATCCCTATCAACGTTCACTAAAAAAGGGCAGAACAGTAGCAGGCCGGTGAGCACGTACTGTGTGGCATATTCCCGCATAATGAAATCAAAGTAGTGTAAATCTAAAATAGTGTCTCATTTCGCCTCGCTGCACACAGTTGTCGTGATCTCGAGCTAGTATATTGCAAGATTGTGATCGACTTCCTAGTGCGCAAAGGGCACATGTACGCATCGCCTGCCGTGGGTATTCCTATGCCTCGCATTACGCCGTGTTATGCAAATACACCAACACCAAATCCTAGCGCCGCAGCTATCATCGAGTGAACTGTACCCGAGTTCGATAGCGTTACATTCCGCGCTGAATGATGGAAACCCATTCGTCCTCTCTCGATATCCTATCGATGGATGCCAACAACGTCGGTTCCTAATCGATATATCGTTTCCATTGGTGGTCGGAGAAGACCTGCCGTCCGGATTCATCAACGCCTATGATGAACCTATCCCATCGGGCATCCTGCCCTGCTCCGATGATCAAGATTGTAGTGTCGTCCAGCCACCCTAATAGGCCCTTTGTTGGTCTGCCGCCTGGCACGCCCGGGATACCAGCGTTCAAGGTGGCAGATTTGCCATGCGGACCCCAAGTAGGTGGCTCATCGCCCAGTTCAAATTTCGCCGAGGCTGTAGAATAGGTATCCGAGAACTGGCGCGGTAGAAGCGGGACCTTGGACAGGATGCCCCACTTGTGCCGCTTGGGATCATTTTCAGAGACGGTGCCTTGTGTCGCAGCTGAGAGGTCGAATATGTGCAAAGTGGATTTGTCCGAGGTTACAGCAAGTATCGAACCTGCGGGCGAAAAAGCGAGGGAGAATATGGCAGCGGGGTCTACGCCACGGCGGAGTTCCGCAAGCTTGGTGCAGGATGGGAAGGACCAGAGGCGGATGATGGTGCCTTGCTCGCTGGCTGTGGCTACCAAATCGCCGTTCTTGCTGATTGCGAGTGCGCGTAGTGGAGACTCATGCGCTGGGATGATGCTGACGTTGCTGGTAGTCAGGTCAAACAGCTTGACTTGCCCGACCGTACGGCCAGGGAACGCCACGATATTCTTGCCCAGCTCACACAGCCCGAAGGGGTTGTTGACAGTCTCATAGTCCGCGACCTTCTCCGGCGGCATCTTCATCTTGTATATCCCGACCTTGTTTAGCAGCACGACAATTAAATGTGTATGCGATATTCGGACACGTTGCACCGGCGTCTTAAACTCGAGCGATGTGGCCACCTCTTGCGTCAAGTCGTTCCAGATTTGGACCTCGTAGAGAATGTCAGTGTCGTCGACGAAGTGCCAGGCGGGATCCTCGGGACAGACCTTGTTTTGGGGGAACTTTGGCTGCTTCCCTCCTCCGACTAGAGCGATGTATTGCGTGGTGCCGAGCATTTCTGCGCAGCCTATGCCGCCGCCGACTTCTGTAGGCATGTTAGTACTGCGAGGTTAGTGCCATGTATAGCGATGAGGCACAGTACCTCTCGCAACTCTCTGATCGCATGAGCTAGAGGAGAAGACTGAAATGGTCAGTGACTGTGTGGCACGGCAACATGTCTGCGAACATACTACGAAATCCGGACTCCAGTGCCGCTGAGAAGGAAGAGCTGTCCGCGTTGAACGAAGCAGAAAGCACAAAGGGCCCTGTGTCTGAGTCGAGAATCGGACGAGTATTCATGTTGAATGTCGAGAGACCTAAGAGGTATGTGTCTTGAGAAGTTCAACCGCTCAGGCGTGGGGCTACCTGAAGGCGCAGTAGGCTGCTGGGGTGGGTGATGGCGATGTGGGGTGGAGTGGCCTTGCAAACGGCGTGGGAAGCGTTATTGCGGGAGATTGTGGCATGCTAGGCCCATATCCTCAGAACGACTGAGGCAACGGCAAGGTTAATAATGCGTTGGAGGATACTATATAAAGTGAAGGCAGAGTGGAGGTTCCATGGGACGCCGACACGAACCACAGCTCACCATGTCATGCGTCCAAGCTTCCTCCCTCGTCGCCCCTTCCTCGCGTAGCGTAGGCGGGAGCTATCCAGATGTGGAAAGCACGGGGTCCACAGGTGAATGCTCGGAGTATTTCCAGTACGAGGGAACAGTGTCTACTGTGTCAACTATGTATCTACGTGTTTTTTTGATTCTATTAAGACACTGTGATTACGTTGGAGACTTTTTGTGGTAGTGTTTCCCCTACCAGTGGTCCAAAGTATTGGTGTCATCCTTAACCGACCGTGTGAAAAGAGTGCTGCATGGGCTCTCATCTTGAATTGCGCAGCCGCAGGAGGCCATGTTGACAGCGTTGCAACTTGAATTATACATGAGACGATTCCGACGCTCTCTCACAGTCGTGCTACCCACTCGTGCATCATTTTACTGTCTTGGTCTCTCGTCCCAAAGTAGTCGCGCCAGGTGGTCGCGCCAAGATAGGAGCCAGCGACCAGGGTCTACGCCGCTAGCGAGCCCCTTTGCGTCGCGCAGGGAGCTGCTGCCAACGTCCCCAAATTTCCACGACAACACTCCGCAACTTCACAAACAGCCCGCCCCGTTTGCACCACACGCTTCAGTTTCATCCTCACGCCGGGCTGCCTCCAACTGCGGCACACTCGTCCGCAACTACGTACCACGTTCACCGCTCCGAGTCCAAGATGTCTTCGGTACGCCCTTCCCCGACTCCACGTCCCCCTCAGGCACACGATGCCGGTGCCTCGCCCACCACACCTGCATCAAGCCATTGGTCATTTCCGCTAACCACATCGCAGGCGCTCAACAAGACGCGCAGAAAGAAGAATGTCAAGAAGGGAATCCAGTTCTGCCTGATGGTATGCGGTGCCTCAGGGACAGGCCGGACAACTTTTGTGAACACGCTCTGCGGCAAGCAGGTTCTCGGCCACAAGGAGGTCGACGATCCTACCGTTGCTCACGTCGAAGAAGGCGTCAAGATCAAGCCCATCACCGTCGGTATGTCGCCACAATGCCTCTTGATGCCCCCACGACGGTCCGCTAACGCCTGTTTCCAGAGCTCGATGAGGAGGGCACTCGCATCTCGCTCACCATTGTCGACACACCCGGATTCGGAGACCAGATCGACAACGAGGCTAGGTAGGATAACTCTAGAGCAATTCGTGGCATTAGCTTACCCCCATCACACAGCTTCTCAGAGATCGTCGGATACCTCGAGCGACAGTACGATGGCATTCTCGCCGAGGAGTCGCGTATTAAGCGTAACCCCCGATTCCGCGACGATCGTGTACACGTCCTCTTGTACTTCATCACACCGACTGGTCACGGGTAAATTTTATCATCCCTTTTTTCAGGCTCTGCTAATCCTTGCAGTCTCCGAGAACTTGACATTGAGCTCATGAAGCGCCTGTCTCCCCGCTGCAACGTCATCCCTGTCATTGGCAAAGCTGACTCGCTTACACCGGCTGAGCTGGCCGAGTCCAAGAAGCTCGTCATGGAGGACATCGAGCACTACCGCATTCCCGTGTACAACTTCCCGTACGACATCGAGGAGGATGATGAAGACACTGTTGAGGAAAACGCCGAGCTCCGTGGTCTCATGCCTTTTGCCATTGTTGGTTCCGAAGACATCGTTGAGATCAATGGCCGACGGGTACGGGCACGACAGTACCCCTGGGGCATTGTCGAGGTCGACAACCCGCGTCATTCAGATTTCTTGGCAGTGCGAAGTGCGCTCCTTCACAGCCATCTTGCCGATCTCAAGGAAATCACCCACGACTTCCTGTACGAAAACTACCGTACCGAGAAGCTCAGCAAGAGCGTCGAGGGTGGTGCTGCTGCGTAAGTTCTTCCATCTATCACATGTCGTCCCATTTGCTAACGTGTCCTACAGTGACTCGTCGATGAACCCTGAGGATCTTGCCAGCCAGTCTGTGCGCTTGAAGGAGGAGCAGCTACGACGCGAGGAGGAGAAGTTGCGCGAAATCGAGGTTAAGGTGCAGCGAGAGATCAACGAAAAGCGACAGGAGCTCTTGGCCCGCGAGAGCCAGCTCAAAGAGATCGAAGCCCGCATGCACAGGGAACAGAGTGGCCAACTGCAAGACCACGACGCCGAGGAGGCTTAAGCGACATTCACTAATGTCTAGTACCAATGACCCGGCCATCATTTCGCCATTGGTGCCGGGAAAACGAGGGTAGCGCGCTTGCATCCAAATCCAAGGAGCCGAATAAGCAAAACCTGTATACTGCAACAGTGGGCGTTTGTGATGGAGGCTTTGTGCATTGCAGATACCGAAGGATAATGCAAGGCATGTTGGGCTTCGTTTCTTCTTACCTCAGGGGGCTGGCCATTTTCTAACCGGACAGTGTCAGCTTTTGGATCATGTCTACGGCTGCACTGTCTTGACATGACACTGTTTCTCGTATGTTTTCTTAGCACTTCGATACTTATTCCCCCGCCTCTTGGTCTTCATGTAGGAAGTAGTAATCCATTTTCTAATATTGCCCCGGTGGTTAAGCTTGTTGTTTTATTATTCAACGTTTCTTGGAGGGTTTCCCTGCCACTGCTCGCTCCTTCCTCTACACTGCACAATGACGTGAGGTTCAAACAACACCAATCACGTGAAACGCTCAACATTACACACCCACAGCCCTTCTCAATGCCATCGCTTGTTCCAGTCTTTCTCAATGGCGACCTTGGCTACTTCGAGATTTCGGCCGCGTTGCAATCGCTCTCGCAACGCCATCACCTGCCTGGTACGGCAATGTCCTCCACCTCGATGCTTCAAGTCAAAGCCTTCGATGGTGTGCATCATGCAACAAGTCACAAGGATTGGACGGACTCGACTCCGGATCATCACTGCAGGGCATTACTTGAGTTTCATAACATTCGAGAGCCCCGAAAACAAGTCGTCCACTCGAACGATGCTCCCCAACTGCCGCAGTGAGGTTCGACCATTTTCCTCGAAGGTCGGCGCGTAGATTGCTAGGGGGTGGACGCTTGATGCGAGTGGAAGATACTCTCCTTGATCAGACGACTAAAGGTCAAATCCCCGATCGATTTGACCAACCTTCTCGGTTACAGGAGTCTTCACGACGCGAGTATAGATAGAACACGTCGAACATGCAGCATCATTGTTGAAGTCTTCTAAAACCCTGTAGTGCATTTCGGCCCGAACCAAACGAAGCATGATTTTGGCTGATCCAGATGGCATAATCGGGCGTTCATACTTTCGAGTCGAATTATGCTTGCCGCCGCGATTGCCGACACATGGACGTGGAGATGAGCGCAGATAGCTACCGCTGCAGTCAGCTTTCAGTGCCCTGCAACCGGAAACTCTTCGCCCATAGCGAGCTCCCGCATCGGTGAAACAACTGCCCGTCATGAACACAGCTGTTAGAATACTGTCCTCCGCTTTTACTTAATCGGTGAGTGCTACATGTTGTGACGCCTGCCTGGTGATGCCACAGAAAATCAGTATAGCCGCAGAATTCCGTCCGCTATGAGTGTCAGTAGTGGTCAATCGGCCCGCCTCGCAGCGATCTGGCAAACATTCAGGATTCTCCACATCGGACCAGAGATGCTGGCATTTTGCGTTTAAAGGTCAGGTAGAGTCAGGGCATCTAGGCCCTAGAAACTGACGACGCAATCAAGCACATCGGCAGATAATACGGCTACGCGGGCCCGGCCGTCTCAATCATGACCTTCTATGCTTATACCTCGAATCAAAAGATTAGCTGAGGCGTCGTAGTCAGAAACACCTGCTCTCTTCTCCAATCCCCAATCCTTCTGTAAAAGATTTCGACGTGTTCAACGCAACTCGACAGCATTGGCTTCAACCTTCTTATCCACTCAGCGCTCAAAGGGCATGACAAACGCCTGAGAGTGAGTGGCTACACCAATACCTGCTGCAGTTTCGACTGTATGGGCCAGAAATTCGAGACCAGGTGATGGGACTGGCCAAGTGTAGTTCACCCCAGTGGCTCTCCTCGGACGATAGCTACAGATTGGTGAGTTCTTGCAGTATCGGTTGCTGGAGCACGAATCAGGGCAGAGCAGCCTGCAGCCTTCGGTCCGCTGTTCAAGGCCTGTCTGCATTATCGGCATGCCGCAGACTTTGGAGGACAACACCGAGCCGGCGAATGTTCCGTTCTCCACAATTCTTTCCAACATGCAATTCTTGGCAAGCCAACCAAGCTGTTGCGGTACTTGTAAGTCAGCGAAACCTTACAAATGCGACTTCAGCTTCCTTTCGTATTCCAGGATAAGGTCAGATGTGCAGACGCATAACCTTTCGGAGATTGTCTGATTGGCAAACATGATGAAGCCTTCCAAAACGACGACCCAGCTCTTCCGTACGAACATATTCGCGATACGGGAACGACCCTGGATCCTTTTCCTCGGCGCTGCGCTCGCCACAGCAACAGTATTCACAAATAGGGCAATACTGCTGCGTGCAGATGTGCCATGTGTGCAGATATCTCCTGATGTCCTGCATATCGCGTCGTTCATACACATGAAATCCTTCGTCTGCGTAATGCCGCTGTCGGCAGTGGGATATAACGGTCGTTGGCGGCTACAGCGGCGGGAAATATGTCGTGCAACAGCAATACCGATAGCAGCACTCCTGCCACGTAGTAGTGGAAAATATCGCAGCGAAACTTTTTGATCGAAAGAAATCAGCGATCCTGTGTGGAGGATGTAGATGGGAACCTCAGTTCGTCGATCGGCAAGGCCTCGGTTTCCTGCCGTGCTGCTTGCATGGGCCTAACCCCGCCTCTTCTCAACGGGCCCACACCTCGTCCAAATTCGGCTTCAAGAGACGACATGTCTGGTCTGCCGCGGAGAGCGCGGCTGCCTCTATACGGAGGTAGTGCTCGGACGAACGACTAATTTGATCCTTCAGCCTATCCAGTCATTGTGAGTAGATCCCAGTCGAGCTCTGAGCTAACGTCTGGGTGCTATCAGGTGCGGTGCAGAAGAGTGGAACTCAATCATGTCTCAAGGCGGAGTTTCCGGCTATGCAGAAGCCTAGATTTTACAAGTTGTGCAACCCTTGTATAATTTTCGACTACATTGCCCACTCCGGCAACTGTTGGCAGTTGAATACAAGGTAGCCCACACGTTGCTGAGATTGCCATCTTGCACTACTCATGCATATTTTGCGACTTGTTCAGGAACGAAACGACTAGGTATGCGCTCGGATGGGGAAAGCTGAGCCTCCTTCTAGGCCACGTTCACTATATCACAACTGTGGACCAAATCATAATTCCGACCTAGTTGCCTTGACGCCATCACATGCAGGCTTGGGCCCACCGCTGTGGTTCGGGAATGCCAGGTGATGCATGGTGTTTCACAAGGCAGCCGCTTAAACCACACGTCAGCATGTTCTTGCGAAGGTTTGGAAAGATGTACAGGTCCACGGGCTAGTAAGTGTTCACCGCACTCACCGGAGAGCTGAACATTGCTTTCGTTGAGCGTTTCGAAGGCGTTATTCTAAACGCCACCGCTCCGCAACCCGCGTGAGGATCGCTTAAAGCGCGTACGCGTGCCCAGGCGGGGACGTACTCTTTGCAGGGAATGCTCGTTGAATATCGACCCGCCTCTACCCACTTCGAATATCGAATGCGCAGTACTCTGGCCCGTCGGTATAAGGGTTTGGTTGGTCCAAAAGGTGCCCTCCACTCTGGATTCGTTGAGCGACCAATGCAGGGGCGCATCGCCTGCCAAGTCTCACGGCAAGGTCAGGGATCTCATCATCACCACCTATGTCTCCTTCGAGATGGAGGTGTCCAGTTCGTAAGAATGAATACGGGCGGGCTCATAGATAAGTCTAGACTCGCCAATCGGGTCGCAGATCGGCTCTGAGTTGATTGAGTCCTTGCACGCTATTTCAGCCACTCACCACTAACCAAGTTCAAAAGCTTCTTAGTCTCAGTTTGCCTTCCGCGGCGGATGCAGGAAGCATGTTCCCCGAAAGCTGAAGCTCTCTAGTCCAGGCGACTGCTCATTCAAGTTCTTTTTGGGTTTCTTCTTGCACGCGACTATGGCGGCAGAGCTAGTAAAAGGGACCCTCTAACAGGTCGTCATCGCACAACATGATCCTTCGTGCGCCAAAGCGTGTTACCCACTCCTCCCAGTCACGGCAGACTGGTTATGTTCCCCGGTATCTCATTAGTGGAAACTCTCAGTTACACGGGTTCTTGCTTCCTGTCAACTCGATTGGAGAAGTGACACAGCTACTTTCGTTCCCAATATCACATCGACCTGCATTCCATAGAAGAAGCATACATACGCGGTGACGTGTAACTGCACTCATTCACGAATTCCTTAAATCATCGTTTGGCACTCAATCAATTGGGCCCCCCCCAGGTCACTTTCCATCTTCTGAACTCTTCAAGCACATCCTCGCCATTAGCACGCCTTCACTTCTTAACTTCATTACCGAGAGCCCGAGGACTACATAATGGACAGACCACAAGTGTTGATACCGCCGGTTAGTAGTCCGTTGCCCAGTAAATCAACTCAGTTTACTAACGTCCAAGCGCTAGGCTGCGAATATACTTGGTGTAGGTTCACCGCTCCCGTCGGCTTCTCGTGCTAGTCCTTTATACTGACATTTTGGTCCGATTGATAGACCATCGGAACTGGTGAGTACTCTGAATCTGTAGCATTCTAACATGCTAATGATAACACAGTGTATGCATCCCCGATCTCTCAATGAAAGTAGAATGCTAACGAGGTCTCCGATCAGTTGCTTGTGCGTTCAGGTATGGATTATAGGAAGCCTTTGTTTGTTACCATCCACTAACAACATTTAGATTATCCCACAGTAAGCTTCGCCATCAGCTTCGCCTCAACCTTGACTAATAGCATGGAGAATATGGCACAACTGGCGACGGAAGTCCACCGAGGGTCTGCCGGGAACGATGTTGATTCTTTGGTCGATATGTAATACGTTCTGAATCCCTCGTCACAACACTGCTAACAAGAGCAGGCGGTGTGCCATTTGGTGTATACGCGATAGTACAAGTACGAATCCGCAATGACCTTCAAAAGCTAGTACTGACAAATGCAGAACTTCAACTTCGCCCTCAAATTCCAACCCCAAGCCTTCGCCGGACTCACCCTCATCGCTTGGGGCCAAACACTATATTACCACAAGTCAGTCGAAGTCCTCTCGAGACTCGGGAAAATATACTCACCAATGGCAGCAAATGGAGGGCCTGGACAGCTACTATCGCCACTATTGCGCTTGCGGGTAGCTTTGCTTTAATGGAGATGATTCTCATCCTTACTCTACGGGTACGACACGACTGCCACGCGCAATCGGAAACGACTAACATACCACATCCAGACTCCTTACAGTAGAGGCGTTAAATGGCCGATGATGCTTATGGCGATATCCGCTTCTGTCATTCAGGCTGTCGGTCTCATCCCGCCCTACTTCGAGCTTGCGAAGAGAAATGGGCGGGTCATTGGTATCGGTAAGTCGTACGATGTTCAGTAGGGGGACAAGAAAGACTAACACGGGTAGACTTCTGGTTCCTGACGATCGACTACGCCGGTGCTTTCTTCTCGTTGATGGCTATTGGTAAGTCAATCACTGAGGTGCGTTTCAGGAAGATTCTGATGGAGCGACAGTTGCGCAACAGTGGTTCGATGCTCTTGGGGCTGGCCTGTACATCGCATGGTAAGTACTATCTGCTCGTCTTCACGTAACGGGGTTTCGTTCAACTTGACTGACTGTCCTAGCCTGGCTTTAGAGACTGGGATCTTCGTTTCTCAAGCTATCTGGCTGTGGCGCATTCGACATATCCGCCGTGAAGCTAAGAAAGCTGGTATGACTTACGACCAATACGTCGCCAAGCATCCCTCGAAGAAGCTTCCTCGATCCGACTCACAAGAGACCGTCGTCGACGTCGAAGCGTGTCACGAGTCGAACGCACCAGATGCATATAACGAGAAGCCGAACACAATTTTGACCAACAACACTGACACGACGGCGCAGACTTGCAGTGCAACATCTAACGCCGTCGTTAGGCAAGAAGAAGCAGTTTCAAAGCCGCTCGTGGCTGTCCTGAAGCTTAGTGGATCTAGCTGATAGGAATGTTTCGTTCCCTCTTATTCCTCTCTCCTCTCTTGTTCGGGGGCGCCAGGTCACTGCTCTCCTCCATGTACATCAAGGCAATACCTTCCTCTCCTCATATTGGAAAAGCATCTCATAGTCTGTCAAAAGTCGTAAGTTCGTGGGAGTATTTGGTAATACCCACACGGTAAAAGCGAAGCGAAGTTTCTTAACGTATTCACGAATCATATGTTCAGTTCAGGGTTTTCGTATGCTAGGTTGGCGATAATATTGGGTATTTACGGGAAGGTGGCTTATTCAAGGAGTTTGCCTTACGGGTAGGTTATCACGAATTAGGACAGGTTCCACTAATGCAACAAAACTGCTCCTTGCATCTGCGTTTCTGCTAATGCCTACCGTGATGCTTGACTCGTGTTTTCACACCACCTATCTAGTGTCCAATGCTGAACCCACCTGGTAGAAGGTGTACATTTCTACAAGGCATCTAAAACACTTGATCTGACACAAATGCAACATACTGATAATGATGTTCCCAATTCGGCAATCCTCGGCTCTAGTTTCTTTGAACGCGGGGCATCAACACATCTTTGACCCAACCTCGGACAATGACTTTTAGCGAGAATTAATGCTGTACGCGTTTCAGTACTTTTGTACATTGAAGTATACCTGAGCTCATTACAAACACTACCGGTACAAATAGCGACAATTACAAAGGAGATGCAACAGTCGACCAAACAGCAAGCTTCACAAACTCGTAAAGTCTTATAAAGACCCAAGCGTAGTACCTCAATACTTCTCCAATCTATTATTTCCTTCTGCTCGCAAACCAGGAATACAACGCTACCTCGTACTACCCCCAGTCCACACAAACATGACAACATCACAAGAAAACGCCCCTCCTCTCTCCCACCCCCCCTTCTACTCAATCCCCAACATCAACAACCTCCGGGACGCCGCCCTGTACCCCCTCAAAACCTCAACCGGCCAACCCATCCGTCCAGACATCCTCTTCCGCAGCGCAGAAGTATCCAAACTCTCCCTCCCAGACTGGCAAGCCCTCCACGCAATCGGGATATCCCACGTCTTCGATCTACGCAGCAAGCCCGAAGTAGACAAAGGCTGGGCGGGCATCGTAGGCGAGGGCAAAGATGGCGCAGATGTACGACCGGGCTGGATCGCGGCGATGGAGCAGGCGGGTGTGAAGAGGAGTTGGGTACCTGTTTTTGCCGAGGCGGATTATTCTCCTGAACGGTTGGCGGAGCGGTATGTCAAGTATATGGATGAGGGCGTGGGCGGGTTTGTAGAGGCTTATGAGGATATCTTGCGGAATGGCGGGGATGCGTATAGGTCGATTTTGCTGTATCTTGCGGGCTTATCGCCGCCGACGCTTACGAAGAGTGATGGGCATGTACAGGAGCCGCTGGGTGCGCTGGTACATTGCACAGCTGGGAAAGATAGGACGGGTATCTTCTTTGGCATTCTCTTTGATTTCCTTGGTGTACCGCGGGAGGCGATTGCGCTGGAGTACAATCTCACCGAGCAGGGGCTGAGGCATATTCGCGATGAAGTCGCTGCGAGGCTCATGCAATCCCCGGGGTTCAAGAAGTACATGCTTTCCCAAATGGCTGGGAAGTCTCTCTCAGCGGAGGACATCGCGAGATCTCTACGTGAGCAGGGGGGAGAAAAAGAGAGTGAAGGCGCTGGTGTTCAAATTCCGCCTGAGATCTTGGAGAAGGGTCGGCAAGCGGCGTTCAGGATGATTGGCGCGAGGAAGGAGAGTATGCTCAAGTCTCTTGAGATGGTGGATGAGAAGTTCGGAGGGGCAGAGGCGTATATGAGGAAGGAGTGTGGGCTGGGCGATGAGGAGTTGGAGAAGCTGAGGAGGAATTTGGTGTTGAAGGAGTGACTGCATGGAACGAAGCGGCGTGGACGACTTTGAGTATTCGGTACAAATAGAGCATTTACATGGCATTGAGAAATTCATGGATTAGAAGGAATAAAGGCAATAACGTCTGGTATTAACGAAGTAGAATACAACCAGATGAGAAGTGTAAAAGAAAAGGGACATGTACCTAAGGATTTCAACGAGAGATATAACTCCATCCCTCCCCCCAAATACCTACGTAGTGCGTCATGTGCTAATGGAGTTATTCAGCGATTCACGAGACCCCTGAAGATTTTACCAATATGATCCATTAAAGAATAAGCCTATGACTTTCAACATCAAGAATCGTCTCATTGGCCTCTTACTTTTTGCACAATCTATTCCAGGTACCACACTACTAACAATGCTAACCATTTCCTACAAAAATGGAACCCTTCCCCGCAACTTGTTCCACATATACACTACATCTACTCCCTCTGGCCCGGCCCCGACTTTTGCGTCCAGGCTTCCAGAAATATACTAGGAAATACATTTGCCCGTGATGGACCGTTGCGCCATATCAGGCATGAAACAGAAAAAAAAGACCAACCGACCAGGACGCCGTTGCTGTGCCTGTGCGCATGATTTTGCCCAAACAAAAACAGCGAAACACGACTAGTAGTGTACGAGGAGGAAATAACACTACAGCGGGAAAAGTAATGAAAAGGGGGGAGAAAGAGGTGGTAATAGTGACCAAGAGGGTGGATGACAAGAGGAGAGTTAAAATTATGTAGGAACAAATCAGACCACAAAAGATCCGGGTATCGTGCGAAGTAGAGCAGGTTAAAACGGGACGGTATCCAACAAAAGAGCTGGCTTACCGCTCCCTACGCTCAGCTAACAAGCAACCCCAATGCTAATCCACAGAGGCATCGACGACAATCTCATCGAGACATCCAGCATAGATAGTCTGCGAGAAATCAGGGGTTCGAGAAGGTAACGGACAGGTAAGGAAAAGGTCGTAGCGAGGTCGTAAGAGCGCGAGAAGAGCCAGTCTCCTAGAGCAAGATGAGGTAGTTGCTCGGTGCAATGCCAGTCTCCCCATTTGGCTTCTTTGCCTGCCACCACCGCCCGCTGACGTCTGATACCTCGAGGACATCGTGCTTTTGGAAGCTGATCTCGTTTGCATCGTCGGGATTCGCTTCGTAGCTGTAGATGGCCTTTGCGCGGTATGGGTACTCGAGCGAGGCCTCTTGTGGTGGCTCTTCGTTGGTAGGTGTCGCTGCGTTGTTCATGCCCATGCCGCCGAATTGCGGGACGGATGAGTTGCGGCCATTGGCACCAACCGGGCCGCCTGGGTAGCCTGATACGGGGGACGATGTCTCGAAGCCGTTCAGTTGCGCTGATGTGTACATCTGAGGCGCCTGGTTATTGACCTGGGTCTCTGGACGGTTTGTGTAGCCATTGGAGATGGGGCGCGAAGAGCGCGACCCGGGGTGCTCTTTGTGCAGAGCGTACGAGTCGACGAAGGCGCGATGGCTGGCTTGTGGTTGCGAGCCGTAGTAGAATATCCACACGATCTAGATGGCGTTAGAGAGGTGATTCTGAGACTGAGACTAAATCGATGGTATGCGAGCAGACTTACGGTGATCATGGAGAGCAGGATGTAGCCGGCAGCGGCAGCCTCGAAGGGAGCCACGGGTGAGTAGACAAGCGAATTGACGGACGAGGTGGTGAAGACGAGTCCAGCGGAAAGGAAGCCCACGATCTGTCCAAATCAGCAAGTGCAGCCGTCGCAATTTCAGGGTCGACCTACCGCAACATGGTACGTTCTCTCAGCATCTGAGGCCACTGTCACAGTGACGCCAACGATGCAAAAGAACATGAAGACCAACGTCCACCAGGCGAAATTAGGAAATCCACCGCGGATGGCGGATATTATGGAGCTGACAAAGGCGATGAGCCAGGCGAGCTGGATACGAGGTTAGCCGGTCAGCCTCACAGACACACGTCGAGTCCCTGTACTAACAATGCCGATGGAGATTGTGGCCAGCGCAATGGGATCACCAATAATGCGACCGATGCTGAAAGTGGCCCGTTGGCCGTAGCCCTGTCCATTTTCCATTTTGCGCAGTGACGGAGAGCCCAGCGAGCCGTACGTGGGCATATGTTGTTCGGCTGCGGGGAAAGGGGTGGGGGAGGAGCACTCGAGGGCGTGCGGGCAGCGTAGGGAGCGTGGATGCCGGCGTGAAGGCTACGGGGTGTTGGTGTTGAGTTGTTGTTGTTGCTGCGAGCGGATGCGCCGGGTAGTCCAACGAGTGTGAATGCGCAGAGGCACCGTCTGGTCCAGCGACGATGGGCAGGCGGAGTGAGGGAGATGTATACGGGCGTCGTGTCGGTTGTCGGTTGACGAAGGGGAACACGGGCGCAAGCAGCGGGGGACAGAGGGCCAGGAACCAGCGAAGAAGTCGGCGCTTGGTGGTGTGCGACGGTTGGCGGCTGCAGAATGGGCGATGGAGCGGGCGAGAATTGGGTGTCGAGGAGGTTTTGGGTGGGAGATTTGGAGCGAGATGGGACGGTTTCAGCTTGGGCCCAGGCGGGCTTCTCGATTGGCCCGTCTGTGGCTGGGGGCCCGGGGACTGGAGCGGTTGCTTCTCCACTTGGACTCACTCAGCAGCAGATTAAAATGGATGCACTGGCACTGGCACTGGCACTGCACGGCCGTCAGCCTGTGGCTCGCCGCCTGCATCTGGCCAGGAACACGCGCGTCTAGCCTTCATTCACTTCAATCCAGGTGTCACTGGAGCAGCGTCAACAAAGGACTGTGAGTGAGGTATTGTAGCCGTGTCCGCTCAACAGAACCCCCTCCCCACAACGAACACGGCCCAGGACGGACAGCCAGCAGCCAGCAATCAAGGCGAATCGGCACCCCGTTATGATTCGCACTCGTCAAGGCGGCCAAGAGTGGCGCTTTTTTGGCTAATTGGGAGGTTGAAAGGGATTAGCTTCCGCGGTTCGCCTGTGAAGCCTGGGGTTCAGTTCAGTCTCATGCATCCATCTTCAAGTCGTCCACTACCACAGACTCTCCCAAGTGCAGAACAAAAATGTGCCCCCTCTCCATGTCTGTGCCATTTTGATTGCTCTTGATTGCTCATCTACCATGACTGGCTCATTGCAGTTGTCATTGTATATCCATCAGTCATACTATTACCCACTTCAACCACGTTTCCTACCATGACATGCTGCATCCTGCATCGCTGCCAACGCAGCACAGCATGCACGTGTCGCTGTGCCCGTTTGGCTCGTCTGCAGTGGTTCGCAGAGGAGCCCTTTTCTACACCATTACCTTTTGGGCCTTGCACAACGCGCTGCGACAAGCCTGAAACACTCTGACAACTCCCATCACATCCAAATCATAGTACACGTTGAAACTACTGGCGCTCATCACTGCTCTTGCTAGCATGGACGGGGACTATCCTGATACAGCCCATGTGAATTCCTGAAGCAACCCGTTTTCGCACCAGACCAATCGCATGCCTATATCCCCATACTATTCTCCCAGGTCCCTGACAAATATCGTCATTACGGCCTACTGTACACCCTTCAGCTGTGCATACATACATGGCACATGGCATTACCGGCAATACACAATCCGGTACTCATGCAGGGGTGGTTCCATCTACGCTTCCAGCTATTGCACCTGTAACAACCAAAAATCAGGTACGCACGCCGATATTACTGCATGCGGCCAGGAACTAGGCCATGGGGTTGCCCGCCTGACGTGCGTCTTTTTGTGTCTTGTGCCCATTTGTGAGATAGATTTTGTGTGGTATAGCATGAGCGATGACGTCTGCGGACAACTAGAGCAGAGGTGGCTCATGGCATAACATGGGGTATCTGCCACCTGTCAGTGGCGCAGCAAAAGGTGTGAAGTCTGTATCGTACTATGCAGCGCATGAACTCCGACGCACCTTGGCCTAGCTCGTGCGACCAAGTGTACATGCAGGATCCCATCTCCAGTAGCATTTGCACACTCCCACGAGGTATCTTCCCGCGGCACTCAATGCTATTCGCCCCGAACCATTTGATGCCAATCCATGTACATCTTTTCCTAATACTGGCTCGCTCATAGCTCTTCCGCTGCTTCCTTTTCCGGCTTCCGCTTGAACTCTTCCCTGACCACCGTTCTCAGCGCCTTGGTGAGCTTCTCGTGGTGCTCGACCCAGCATCTGCCTGCGCCGAGGAGCATTACCTGCTTATACCGCTGGTTGACGAGTCCATTTTTTCTCCTCAGCTCCGATATCTTCAGTGCTTGTTGCAGCTGGCGGTCCTCTGCTTCTGCAATGCGCGGTCGTAGCATAGCGAGCTTGGCGAAGCCGTCTGTAGTCGGCAGTTGTTGGTCGTCGAGGGCCTTGAGCTGCGACGCCGTGGTTGCGAAGCCAGGTGCGCGCTCTACGACTACGACGGCTTTCTGCGTGTTGTCGAGGGATGGACTGTCTTCATCGTCGGCGTCATCTTCTGGCTCGAGGACGTCCTTGTGCTTGCTCACTAGCCATCGTTAGCTCCAGTCACAGTGCATCACAGGTTCTTTTGCATACGTAGCTCATGCGCTTCATCAAGCAGCGCTGTCTTCCCCGCTAGCTCCTGCAGTGACCTTTCGATCTTGTGTATGCGGTCGGGGACAGTCTTCGGCTTCCCCTCGGTCGTCTCCTCTTGTCCACCCAAAACATATTCTAGACGATCCAGCCTCGACTCCAGCAGCGAGAATGTGAACAAAACAGCCTCCTCGTACTCGTCCATGTCGTCGGTTGGCGGTCTGTTTGTGGAATGCCGACGCGAATCGCGTGCTTGTGGAGAGTTATATTTAGCGGCGGATATACCCAAGCCGCTTGGCTCGGACTGGAGATGCCGAACATCAGCGTAGAGCCTCGACAATCTCAACGTTCACTACCGCTGTGACTCTTCACTGCTTTACTCCCCGAGCGCACTCGCTGGCCCCTCACTACTCGAATATCGCTATCAACACCACCAGCCCTAGACACATGTCTGCACAATAACCCGCCGCGCAGTTGCAACCCGGAGAGCATGGCTACCTACTCCGCAATCAGTCCCGAGCCAAACGAGGCAGATCCCATGGCCTCGAGCACAGGGTCGCTGGGAGGGAGACGGTCAGTGACGTGAATATTGGCGTGTGCGAGATATGCGCTGACAGTAGTAGCAGGCGTGGTCGAGGTAAAAAAGATGCTGGATTCCAAGGCCAGGCGACGTGGATATCAAGTGTGATCAACCTGGCAAATACTAGTACGGCCTATTACATGCCAACGAGAGATGGTATGCTAACTGGACAGTTCTCGGCGCTGGCCTTCTCGCTATGCCCTCCGCGCTCTCGAAAATGGGCATCTTCCTTGGCATCTTCGTAATCGCATGGGCTGGTATCACAGCAGGCTTCGGCTTGTACCTGCAGACGCGGTGCGCACGATACGTAGATCGCGGTCATGCGTCCTTCGCCACCCTTTCACAACTCACCTACCCAAACCTTTCGATCCTATTTGATGCCGCAATTGCGACCAAGTGCTTTGGGGTAGCCGTCAGCTATCTGATCATTATTGGAGATTTGATGCCTGGCGTTGTCATAGGATTCGTCCCAAGTGCTGGAGATGTCAACTTCCTGGTTGATCGGCAGTTCTGGATCACTGCGTTTATGTACGTCCAACGTCGAGTTGATGAAGGCGATTTCTAACCAGCATAGGCTTATCGTTATTCCACTGTCTTTCCTACGCCGTCTGGATTCCTTGAAGTATACCAGCATTATTGCACTTTTCTCGATTGCATATCTGGTTATTCTCGTTGTAGCGCATTTTCTCAAGGGCGACACCATGGCTGATCGCGGAGTCGTCCGAGTCTTCGAGTGGGCAGGCCCAGTCTCTGCGCTCGCAGCATTTCCAGTCATCGTCTTCGCTTATACATGCCATCAAAATGTAAGCTAACCTCTGAAGTACTTCGTTGTATATGCTGATATTCTTCAGATGTTCTCCATTCTCAATGAGATCGCCGATAACTCTCACTTCCGCACCACCACGGTCATTTTCGGCTCTATTGGCGGTGCATGCGTGCTTTACATTCTCACCGGCATCACCGGCTACCTCTCGTACGGCGACAACATTCGCGGCAATATTGTATCCATGTACCCGACTGCAGCCGCTAGTACCATTGGTCGCCTTGCCATTGTTATTCTCGTCATGTTCTCCTACCCACTCCAGATCCACCCTTGCCGCGCCAGCATCGACGCATGCCTCAGGTGGCGCCCACGCCGCAAGACACAACCCGACGGGAGCCCCTCTAGGAACACTCTCATGAACAACACACCAAAGCTAGGTGGCTTCCAAAGCCGAGAAATGAGTGACCTAAAGTTTGCCGTCGTAACTACAATCCTCATCATCCTCTCCTTCATCACCGCAATGACCGTCTCCAGCCTGGAGAAAGTACTTGCGTACGTCGGCTCTACTGGCTCCACTACCATCTCCTTCATTCTGCCGGGCTTGTTCTACTATAAGATCTCCGATCCAGCATCGCCGCATCATCAGCGGCTGATCAAGGATGAGGATGACGAGGATGAGTTTCACAGTGGGGAGGTGGAGGGCTATGTAACGAGAGAGGCGCATGACAATCGGGACTGGCGAAGGGGCCTTCTACGGACGCTTGCGCTTGTGCTGAGTATCTATGGAGTGGTGGTCATGATAACTTGTTTGATCACAAATACCTTCTTGGTTGCAGCTGCACACTAATAGCTACTTGGGTCGTTTTATTGCTTGGGGGTTTCTCCTTACCTATAGCATTAGCGGGCGTTATGGTTGGTATACTAGACTGGTTGGGCGCTTGCCATGGCTGATGCTCGATATGAGCTTCATATTCATACACAATCTACTCTGTCCGTTCTTGTAACGGAAAGGACTATGTTACAATATCTACTTCTTCTCAAAAATTTCCCTAATAACGCCGTATAATGCAATGCTACCTCTCCTAACTTCCATCGCAAATCTCAACCGCTATTGTCCCATATCTTGCTACAATATACTACGCTCAAGCACTGGCTTCCTCGACGACCTCTTCCGCTACAGCCGCAACAGGTTTTTCAGGTATTATCGACTTGGCCGCTGAATCAGCCTTGACGACCTGTCCTTGAATCTGTGAAATGCGGTACTGCGGCTCAAGAATGCCAACCTGCACACAACATTAGCGCCTGTCCATCTCGATCACTAGTTTCCCCTTCACACGCATCAATCCAACATGCGTCAGTCCTCAGACGTGGCTTTGCCCTTGCCCCCTTCTTCCAGCAAACCACCCAACCCTCCAAAAAAAAGTCGCAACGTACCATGCTCAGTAGCCTCCACGCCGTATCACTCGGTTGTGCGCCTACACCGACCCAATACCTCGCTCGCGATATGTCCAGTTTGATATCTTTCCATGGCCGGCCGTGCGTGTCGCCCGGTCGGGGTGGTTGCGGCTTGGGATCGTAGGTGCCGAGGACTTCTAGAGGGCGGGAGTTGCGCGCTGTTCTGTTTGTTTGCGTCAGTCAAGTACTCAACCCGGTCTGTCTGAAGCGTTGAAGCTGTGAGGGTAGGGCAATTGGGTTGTGTAAACGGATTCTAGATCACGAACGATTGCGCAATGGACGAGACGAGGTGTTGCGGGCGGACTTCGTAGAGTGTGTGGATGGAATGGGGGAGGGTGCGTACCGGGCGTGTGCGACGACTATGTTGTAGAAGGGAGAGTGCTTCTTGCCGAAGCGAGCGAGGCGGATTCGTAGGACCATGTTGTGTGGTACTTATGTGCTTGAAGTCGGTCTTGCACGGCTCTTCGTCGTCGTTCGTGGTGTTGGAGGTTTGGACGGCCGTCTTTTTGAGTTTGACCGAGAATTTGCCGACGCGACAGGTGAGCACGTGAGTAGTTGTCCCCCAAGTCTGATCTTGTTCATATTATGGTAGTTCCGAAATTGTGAATATTGATGTTGCTATGTTCTCGTGAGTTTTCTATGAGCTAGGAACGGTGTGGGTGTTGGATCCTCTTATAATCATCGAGTTGTTCTTGTCATATGCCGGCGGCCTTTCGAGCTGTGATGTAATTGCTCGCCTCGAGCATCACATTGAACTCGTACACTACTTTTCCTTGTCGGGTTTGCAGTTTTATAACCAGAAATGGCGCTTCGAGTAAGCCTACTGTATAATCTAGCATTTCAACATACTAACGATCCTGTCTCAGACCCTCTCTGCCAAAAGCGCGGCGGCGCTCGATCAAGAGCTCATGTCCACGGGCGCATTCTCGATCGACCAGTTGATGGAACTTGCTGGTCTCTCAGTCTCACAAGCAGGTACAGTAGTCCCTGTATACTCCTTGTTGAATGTCCAATAACATTTGGAAGTTTTCAAGCTTCAACCTCTCAACAAAGGCAAGAAGATACTTGTGGCGTGTGGACCCGGAAACAATGGCGGCGATGGGCTCGTTGCTGCCCGCCATCTCTTCCACTACGGCTATCAGCCAACTATATACTACCCGAAGCAGAGCAAGAATGAGCTATATCAGGTGCGCAACGTGCTTCTACATTCATAAGCTTGATACGAACTAACAGCCGACAGCGCCTGAAGAAGCAACTTGAAGACCTCAGGGTGCCCTTCACCGAAGACTTCCCCGGCGCTTTGAAGCAAACAGATCACGTCGTAGACGCAATCTTCGGCTTCTCATTCTCAGGCGAAGTACGCGAGCCGTTCCCCAAGGTCATCGAGGCCCTAGCATCTACCTCTGTCCCTGTCCTTGCAGTCGATGCACCGTCATCATGGGATATAGAAGACGGTCCACGAGATTCAGGCCCGGGCAAGGGGCTTATGCCGCCAGCACTCATCAGCTTGACCGCCCCAAAGCCGCTTGTCAAGCAGTTCAAGGGCAGACATTTCCTTGGTGGACGCTTTCTGACCCCTGAGATGGCAGAGAAGTATAACCTGGATATCCCCAAGTATGAGGGGTTGGATCAAGTGGTTGAGGTGCTAGTCGAGGGTGGAAAATTATAAAGCGTCCATTTGTGGCGAGATAGGATGCCTAAATAAGCTGTTCCTTCTAGAAAAACGTAATGGTATTGCTATCTCCTAAGATACTACCTCTCTATATCCAGGCCTCTATTCCCAATTTCGCGCTAAGTTTCGGTGATCGGGTGGGTAGTAATGAATCCGTTGTTAGCTACCTTGTGCGAATCTGCCTTGACGTGAGCTGCAGAGCCATCTCCAGACGTGATGCTACCCATAGAGCCATGATATCTAACCCCCGTACCGAGTTGTATCTCTTGAGGTCCCTTCTGTGAATGTAGATTGAGGCCAAAAGACCTCCAATTCCTTTTCCCGGAAAATACTGCAGATGACTTGGGCGATCCACCATCCGATTCAAGAGCGCACACTTGTCCAGAATTCGGACTTCTTAATGCAAGGCTTCCTTTCTGTGCCATAGCTTTGATATCATTGAGAATGACAAACTCGAGCTGTAACTTGAACGCATAGACGAAAGAATGGAGCACCGCTTTCAGCGAAAAGTACTCGAGGTAATCGAGCGTTATAACGAGGACGTCGCAGAGGATGACGATGACTTGGACCCAGATCAAGAGAGCGATGGTCTTGCGGGTGTCCTTTTGAAAAGAGTTGCGAAGATACTTGCGGGTATGGTAAATGTACATCGCCGAGATGAGAGTTTCTTGGACGGAGAAGGCCATGACTTGTACGCGCTCCATGGGCGCCATGAACGGCAGATATTTGTCGTGCGTTGGGGCACTGGAAACGCCGAACTGAAAGACGATGGTGGGGACGTGGAACAAGAACGCATCCGTGACAATCATCGCGAGAGTGAGATTCATCCATGTTCTTTTGTGGACGCCTCCTGCGAGAAGCAACCCAAGCCGCGAGTACAGGACCACGGAAAATCCGGTCACCATGCCCACCCATCCAATCTCGGCAAGTACTGTTGCGAGAATCCAATTGCACTGTGGTACGCAGATTTTAAGCACAAAGCCGAGAGCGTGGATGGTGGTGCCCCATGTGCAAGCAAGGACCGACCAAAAGTAGAGGCCCCGGTAGCGCCGGAAGCTGTAGAAGATCCAGAGCGTCAGTTCGAAGGTCATCCAGATTGGTAGGGCGGTGAAGACGGCAATGATGGACCACACGGTTTGGTTCCAGGGGAGAGGGCCGGAGCGGGCGAAGGACCAATCGAATTCGGCGAGTGGAACCCATGGGACTGTGACGTTGCGGACGTGGGACGACATGCTGGAGATGGATGAGATAATTCAGGCCCAAAGAGTCAAGATGAGGAAAAACTGGGGGTTATAGAAAACTCGACTCAATCAGAGCAGGCTGGAGATAATTTCAAGATCTGACGAGCAGCTGCCCTTTAATCCATCTATCACATTCCTTGTGAGAGGCCATAAGGCTGAGAATCAGCTGCCAAGATTGTGTTACTCTACCAGACTAATTTTCGGAGGCCTACAAAAAGGCTTTAGTGCTACGGAATTCTAAAATTGATCCGAGTGTGGGTGGCCAGTTAATGTAAAATTATCAGCCGGAGTCGAAGTGCGTCCAGCTAACCTTTCGGTAAACCAAAAGTATAGCGTCGCTCTATGATTGTGGGAACACTTCGTTCCATTTCTTCATCTTAGAAACGAGCTGAGTAGGATTTGCGGAGTGCGTTAATCTGATGTGAGATCCTTGGATTACATATGGCTGACTGTCCAGGCTAGAGTCTACCTAGTACCGAAAGGGCCGGATGGAGTTGAAGCTAAACCATTTCCGGCGCATATGATAGAGATTCCAAGTTCTTGGCCCCTTTGACATGTGTGATAAGCTAATCTTGGTGGTTTTCAGCAGGACGTTAAACGGCCCCGATGCAATGCCAGCACTTTCCAAATCCAGCCGGGCTGAATCGCATAAAGTGCAGCTGAGCCAGGCCGTGTTAACAGCCCTGTATCAATTTTGCGTTGTGCCCTATCAATCTTGTGATATATATGCAGAGACGAGGTGGTGGGCTCATACATATGGCTTAATCATGGAAGAGGTGGGGGCCTATGAGCAATGATTTGTGTTCCATTCCGACGGACTTGCACCGCTTCGTGTGATCACCGGCGTGTGCGACGACAACCTTGTATGACCCCAAGCTCGAAGAAGCCAGCATTCATGGCATCTGATTCACTTGAGCCGCCCCGGATGTTGTTCGCTCTCTCAATATAAGAACGAACGTCCTCTTCAAATGTAGTCTGAAAGCACTATCAGACTTCCATACTCTGAGATAGCGATTAGTAAATTTTCATCGGCCCAACTCGAATATGAAGTATTGCCTTGTCGCCATTACAGTGCTCTTCAGCCTTACCGAATATGCTGCTGCCCTTCCCGCAGAGACAAAACGAACCGTCGGTGGCGTAAGTGCACACTTGCTTCCTAGCTTCCACCACTTCGCAAGATCTATGGCTAATCGTAGTTGTACTTGTAGATCAAGATCTGCACCGGCGAATACTGGACTGGCACTTGCGGTTACAAAGTTCAACCTTTAAACAGCTGCATCCATCTTGATGCTCCATGGGTATAGTGCTCCCCTCTCCCCCTTTGTATTGCTGCTAATTGATCACAGTATCACACCATATCCTCTTTTGGACCCGATCAAGGCACAACGTGCAACTGGTATAGGTAAGTTAGTGCTTGTATTATTTTGCTCTGTCCGGTTCATGGTGGAGTCCAGTAGTAGACTGCGCTAACGTCACATCAGAGATTATAATTGCAACGATCAGATCGCTTCGGGGATTGTGTATCCTGGGATCGATGATATGGACCACCCAGCTCCGGGTTGTCAAAAGAGGAGTGAAAACGGGCTTGAGAAGAGGTGCCATGGTAATCAGGTTGGCTCGTTCAAGTGTTGGGCTACCTAAGTATAGCAGAGGTCTGTCAAGCCCAAAATGTAGTAGATAGTTTTTCGCATAAGTTTCAATGATTCATGTCTCATTATTAGTGTAGGAACGCTGAGTACAATAAAATTTAACAGATACTGGTACAAACATGTACTAGAGTCCCTTTGATCCTAGTGCACTGGTACTATTTGAAGAGGGAATAACGCGTATATGAAGGTTACTTTTAAAAATTTGAGAAGCTTTAATAGAGTTAGAGATAGTGAGACATAGGTTGATACAGAATTTAGGCGCTGTAGTAACAAGAGTAGTGAATCAAACGCCTCGATTAAGCCTCCCGCGAACCGAGCTTCTTCCCCGCAATGCCGCGGTACGGTTATAAGCGGTGTTGCGATGCCATCGCTAACCCCATCTTCTACCCCAAACTCGGCATAAACATAGCCTTTACTTGTCCTTTAAACCGCACAGAGCCTTTGATTGTCGCTAATGTTGCGTTGTGATTATTCGCACTGAGCGTTCTAGCTAGTCATTTTAGCTACGCGTTCCGGCTCAGATTACGTCCCGACAGCTGCTCTGTCAACGACGTACCTACGTCCGTCCGCCGCAAATAACGCTACATAAGCAAGAGAGCAACTTTGGCATATAACCACCATGGTCCCGAAAGCGCCTTCACGAGAGGCCTTGATCTTACTCAGGCATACCATACGACCTTCGATCGCGGTTCGATCGCAGGCACAATGCCGTCTCCTCTCTACCACTGGCCGTGCATCGTTGCTTCCACAAACTCGAACACACCCTTCGCGTCAATCTTCGCGCAATGCCGCAACCTTCACACATTCGCATCATGCCGAGGCGGTCTCGATTATCTCCACCGCGGTCGAGCCTAGCTCTGCCGACTTCAAGGAAAATAAGCGCCAGATGGACGAGGCAACGGAAAACCTGGTCAATCTACATAATAAGATTGCACAAGGAGGGCCGCAAAAAGCAAAGGACAAGCACCTACAGAGAGGCAAGATGCTGGTTAGGGACAGGATAACAGCTCTGATCGACCCTGGAACGCCGTTCCTGGAGTTGAGCCAGATGGCCGGCTACGACATGTACCCGGGCGAAGACGTACCTGCAGGCGGCATTGTTACTGGCATTGGCACCGTCAATGGTATTCAATGTGTAGTCGTGGCAAACGATGCGACGGTGAAGGGTGGCACGTACTACCCGGTTACTGTCAAGAAACACTTGCGTGCTCAAACGATTGCCCAAGAGAACCGACTACCGTGCATCTACCTCGTTGATTCTGGAGGCGCGAATCTCCCAAACCAGGCAGATGTGTTTCCTGATGTCAATCATTTTGGCCGCATATTCTACAACCAAGCACGAATGTCGAGCATGGGCATACCGCAGATTAGCGTCGTGATGGGCCCCTGTACAGCAGGCGGCGCATACGTGCCTAGCATGAGCGACGAAAACATCATCGTGGAGAATCAAGGACACATCTTTCTTGCTGGTCCACCGCTCGTCAAGGCAGCGACTGGCGAGGTGGTCTCAGCAGAAGATCTAGGTGGTGGCAAGCTGCACAGCGAGATCTCAGGCGTGACAGACTATCTAGCGGTCGACGATGCTCATGCACTCGTCCTCGCCCGCAGGAGCGTAGGCAACCTCAATTGGCACCGCAATCAAACTGCATCCTCGCAGGCGAGTTACCAAGAGCCGCTCTACGACCCCCAGGAGCTCTCAGGCATCGCAGGGACCAATCTACGTCGACAAATTCCTATCCACGAAGTCATCGCGCGCATCGTCGACGGATCAAGCTTCTCCGAGTTCAAGCCATTGTACGGGTCAACCTTGGTCACTGGCTTTGCGAAGATCTACGGCCAACCCGTAGGCATTGTAGCCAACAACGGCATCCTCTTCAGCGAGAGTTCACTGAAAGGCGCGCATTTCGTCCAGCTATGCGGCAAGCGCCATATTCCACTAGTCTTCCTGCAGAACATTTCAGGCTTCATGGTCGGCCAGGATGCTGAAAAGGGTGGCATTGCAAAGAATGGCGCGAAGCTCGTGACGGCCGTAAGCTGTGTCGATGTGCCCAAGTTCACGGTAGTCGTTGGATCGAGTGCCGGTGCGGGCAATTACGGCATGTGGTAAGTTATCCTAGCACTTTGCTGGCAATTCCTCTACTAACGACTCCTGCAGCGGTCGCGCATACTCTCCCCGCCTGCTCTTTACCTGGCCGAATGCGAAGACGTCCGTCATGGGCGCCGAGCAACTCTCCTCGGTTATGGAGGCTGTCGGCAAGCAAGCAGACCCTGCTCTCAAGGCTAGAATCGAGCATGAGAGTGAGGCGACTTTCGGCAGTGCGAGATTATGGGATGATGGTATCATTCCTCCCGAGCATACAAGACGAGTTCTCGGCATTGGCTTGCAGATGGCGTGTGGTGGACAAAACAAGGGCGTTGAGAAGGAGAGCACTTGGGGTGTGTTTAGGATGTAGACCAAAAGTTCTGTTTAGCAATACACTGGATTTGTGATTTGCAGGGACGAATCCACCATGATCGAAAGGTTATGATGTCAGGTACTGGGGTCTGTTCATAACCATACTGTAGGTCAAAAGTTTAAATGTTCATCTGCGACACAGTGGACCAGTCCACAAAACCGAGACAGCCCAATATGCTCTAGCGGCTTGGCGCGCTGAGCCGGCTTCCAAGGTTGTGAGGCATGATCTCCCTAAGGCGTCGCAAGCGCTCCTTGGAAAACGCTTGGTCTTCAAACGTCTTAACGTTAGCAGATCTTTACACATTCTATTTACCTAGAGAGGCGCTATTCTGCGAAACATGTAAAGCGAACATGGCACCCGTTGGCACTCCGGTGAAGCCCGGCAGATGCGCGAGGCATCCAACATCAAATTTGCAGCGCGCCCCTCCTTGCTGCCGTACTCCGGGCCCGGTTGATGCATCCCTTCTCCAATTCTTGTTGCGGGCCTTATCCACCAAGAATGATGATCGCAGTTCCACATACAGTCCACATACAGTCCACATACAGTCCACTTAAACGGAAACACCAGGTAGACGTCGCCCAGGTGGCTAACAAGGCCCTGACCCGGAAGCTGCCAGCCAGTGGTAACGGGCATTCCCTCGTCTAACATCCATGGCAGTTTGCCTGTCAGGGCAGGACGGTTGGGCGGTTGGACGGCTAGAAGGAGGCAGGTATTGGTTTGCTGTCAGCAAGAAATACGAGGGTGCTGACGCCGTGTAGCCCAGCAAGGCGCCGCAAATCACAATAATAACGGATTTGCACCGCCTCGCTGCTGCACACGAGTTCCACATTCCTACGGTTCGGGTCAAGTGGGTAAGCGCGACCATTGTCAGCTCTTCGCCAGGCATAACCATCCGCTCGCTGTCTACTTCTTTCTTTCACTCGCTTTCCGCTGCCGTTGCCGTAACCGTAACCGTCTGTCGCCAGGGACCGTTCTCTTGTTCGTTTGCCACCACCATTTCCCCACCTTTTAGTCGCATCCAACTGGCGGGGGTCTGCAGCGCCGCACCACCTCATTGCATACACTCAGCGCGAGCTGCATACACATGTTGCGATGAGGTTATTCAGCCCTGCGCAAGCGCTAGCGGCGCTCAGTCTGCTGTCTGGGACTGTCGTGCGACAGCATGTCGAAGCTCTCACTCTTGATCCAAACTCCCCAGGTAACGCCTTGTCCCTGCGACGTCACTGACGTAGTCGCGCTTGCAATCGCTAATGCGACCACGCAGACTCAATCAAAGATGTCGCCTCCAAGGTTGCGAAACAACTCGTCGCGCAGTATGCCACAATCGACGACAAAGGCGCTCACGTCCTCGGTGGCTACCCAGGCATTTTGTACCCGCCATATTACTGGTGGCAGGCTGGAGCTATGTTCGGCACCCTACTAGACTACTGGCACTATACCGGCGATGATCAATACAACGACATGGTGCGCGAGGGCTTGATTCACCAATTTGGAGAGCATAAAGACTTGGTATGTACCCGCTATCGCATGGCCATCGCGAATCGCAAAAGCTAACAGCCTTTAGATGCCGTCGAATCAGTCCAAGAATGAAGGAAACGATGATCAGGTCTTCTGGGCCTACTCCATGATCGCCGCAGCCGAGTACAAGTTCCCAGATCCTCCACCAGATCAGCCCGGATGGTTGGCCATGACGCAATCTGTCTTCAATCAATTCGTAGGGCGCTACAACAAAGAGGTTGCAGATGGCAACTGTGGCGGTGGTATGCGATGGCAGATCTTTCCATGGCTCAATGGCTGGACCTACAAGAACACGGCTTCCAACGGAGGTCTCTTCCATCTGGGAGCAAGACTGGCCATGTATACAAAGAACGACACGTACGCAAAGTTTGCCGAGAAGGCGTTCGACTGGATGTCTCAAAGTCCCCTGTTGCCAGGCGATGGTCAGGTGTATGATGGAACAAGCATGACTACGAATCCCCCTTGCAAGGATGCGGACAAGACTCCCTGGACGTACAATTACGGCATCATGATCGCAGGATCCGCATACGTAGGTCATTGCGCTGAACCCCTTGGGTCCCTCGCTAACCATTACAGATGTACAACTACACGAATGGCGCTGAAAAGTGGAAAACCGCTTTAACCAACTTTCTCAAGCAGTCCGAGCGCTTCTTTCCCGATCAATTCGGTGGTGTAATGTACGAGGTCTGTGAACCCAAAGACCTCTGCAACAAGGATCAGGAAAGCTTCAAGGCTTACCTTTCCCGCTGGCTTGCTGTCGCTATACAAATGGCTCCTTTCACACATGACCTGATCATGCCTCATCTACTCAAATCGGCTGTAGCGGCAGCACAAACATGCGAGGGCCCTTCGCAGCACAATGGCGGACCTCATCAGTGCGGCATGCGGTGGTTCCAGCCCGGTTTTGATGGTAAAGGCGGCGTAGGCACACAAATGACGGCTCTGAATATCATCAGTGTGCTCAACGTAGATCGGGTGCCTGCACCCTACTCGAGCAACACGGGCGGAAGTAGTAAAGGGGATCCCGGGCTGGGTTCGGGCGGCGACCAAGAAAGACTACCCACTGTTGATGGTAAGATCACAACGGCGGATAAGGCAGGCGCCGCTATTGTCACCATCATTATGGTGGTAACCACACTAGCAGGTGTGTGGTGGATGGTTTTATGAGCTGGGTCTGGGAGCATTGGCATACTCATGGTTTAGGATCTGGCATGATGATGGCGTTTGGTGTCTTGAGAGGGCATTTTAGCGCTCTGTGCCGGGAAAGTACATGTACTAAATATTTTAAATGAGATATTCTTTTCTAGTCGACGCCGCCACAAGTGTTTTCAAGCAACTCAATGGAGTTATAAGAGCATCTTCCTCTGGAGCAATCCCTGTGGAGATTGGATAGGCAAAAAGTTGGGACAGACAGTGCGTTGAGAGTGCGGTCACGTTACGTATTGCAAAGGACGTTGTGTGGACGTAGGACATTCAAAAGAAATGGACTTCACGGTGACGTAAGCGAGCCGCATGCCTTCGCGGCTCAGGTTCCGCAGCTGACAAAGATTTCGGCCACTCGGACACTACGTTGCGCCCCTAATCCTACATACGCACAGCTTGGAGAACAGAAAATACGTAAGGCGTACAGCTGAGGCTTTCTAAGCGCGAAGCACGCATGTTTAGGCGAGCAACTGTCGTAGTGGGACGTACGGCTAAGCAGGTAAGAAGATATATATCAACAAGTGCTTTCCCACTTCCCCGTAGTAGTACACCACTTCCCAAAACACATTGCTTGCTACATCAGTGAAAGTAGACTTTGGAAATATCCCGTTTCACACACCATGGCACCGAAAATCAACCTGTACATGACCCCAGGCTCATGCTCCTTAGCCTCACACATCGCCCTGCACGAATCCGGCCTGGACTTCACCATCACCGACCTCAAAGCTAAAACCGGGTTTCCACCAGAACACCTCCATCTCAACCCCAAAGGGCGCGTGCCGATCCTCGATCTAGACGGCGAACTCATCACTGAGACGCATGCTATCCTGACCGTGATATCCGCTTTAGTCCCGTCTAAGAATCTTCTTGGAAGTAGCGCGATTGAGCATGCAAGAGCGCACGAGTGGCTAGCTTGGCTAAGTGGAACGCTGCACGGAAACGCGTTTGCTTGCCTCTTTCGCCCGAAGCGATTCATCGGTGATGAGAAACTGTACGATGCGGTGCGCGCGCGGGGGCGGGAGTGGGTGAAAGAGTGCTTTGAGTTTATTGAGGGTAAGCTGGAGGGAGGAAGGGTGCATGCGGTTGGGGAGGCGTTTACAGTTGTAGATGGGTTTCTGCTTGTGTTCTATCGGTGGGGGAATAGGACGCAGTTTGGGATGCGGGAGAACTACCCGAATTATGCCAGATTGGTGGATGGTGTGATAAAGAGGGGAGCGGTGATGAAGACGATTGAAATAGAGGGTATTGACGCGTTGAATGATTAGCAGGGGAAAGAGCAAGGGCTTGATGTATCCTACGAGAAGGTCAACCTAACTATAGGGGAAAAGATGGATTTAACTATTCAGTGTATACTCAAACGTCCGCCATAGCCCCTAGTAATGCTAGAAAAGATTCCCGTTATCTCCTATTACAGCCATTCTACGGACAGAGGGTACTCTGTGCTCGCCCATCCACATCCGAGCCATTATCGTCGTCGTCTGCAGAATCTTCCCCAGACTCGTCCGAGTCATCTTCGTCGTCCGTGGTGAACTCGTTCTCGGAACTATACCACATGTCGTGAACCATCTTACTGATCCAGAATTTGCTGGGGTTGGCCGGAATCTCGGAATCAGTTAGCTCCCAGTCGATCCTCCAGTGCCGTGGTAGTATGCAACGTTTGACCTGTCATTTATTCAGCGCGAATCAAGAGCGAAGTAGCTTGACCGGGAACGAACTTTCTGCAGAAATCGGCTCATGTTATAGGCCCAGACTTCCCGCGGCATGTCGAAGAAAGTAGTGATGTCCTTGATCACAAGATCCTCGTCGGGAATCATCTGATTAGGATGCCAGTGTCCGCGGTAGGTCCAGGATACTGTGACACATGCACCATTTTTGCAGAAGGCCTCGTAGATCTCACTGAGGGTCTCTATGAACTCCGCTAGAACATCGATGCGGACAACTCGCTGGATGAGGAGAATGTGTAGCTTAAACCCACTCTTCTTCTTGACGTCGAGCAAGGGTCCAAAATCCGCTTTCAAAGCCTTCTTGCGAACGTAAGCTAGTTCGGAAATTTTGTGATTGCAACCGAAAAAAAGCGGGTGTTTCGGAGGAGGAGTGCGGTATCGATCCATCTTGCAGTGTACTGTCAACTGTCGTATTGCACTCAGTGGGTCGAGGCCCACGTCGAAGCAATCCTCCGTCAGAACTCGCTCGATGCGGTGTGATTGACAGAGTAAGAACCCAGCTGTACCGAAAGCTTTGTACATGGATAGCACCACTTCAGTCGCAGTGGTCGGACCTACGTACTCTTCGCATATGTAATGAGGGAGGAAAGACCGCTCACAAAGCTGGCGTATATCGTTCTTGTCACCGCGAACGGTCGATCGAGCGAAGCCTGCTAGGGAGGGATATAATGTAATCGTATCGGAGTCCCAAGTAAACTCCGTGTGGTCTCGAGATGATCGGATCTGTGATCGGGCAATGGTATTGGGGAATGATCTACGCGGGTCGATATTCCAGAGGTGGTGGTAGATCATATCGCGCACTTCAGGTGGAAGACGCGTCTGGATTTGCGCTGCGAATTGCTGGTTCCAGGTTTTGCTATAAGGAATGATGGTGTCGCGGTAGACACTGTCTCTATTAGCTCTAGTCATTATGCCGCAGGACATAGCTTACTCTGCGAGCCAGTTGATGTATTGCCCACCAGCCATCAGGCGTTTCGTGATGAGACATCTCTTTTGCTCCTCGAGACGATCGAGCTCGCTATCGATGAGCTTCTGCCTACCGATTGATGTCAGCCCGCGACCAGTAGAATGAATCCCATGTGGTGAGAGCTTACTTCTTTGTGATCTCAATATCTCTTTGCTTTGCCCTGTTCCGACGTGTGAGTATGTTCAGCGAGTCGACAACGATTGCAGAGGCTGACGCATACCGCTGTAGTTTTGCAAGTGCAAGGCTCAAATCCTCGTCACTGACGATGCGAGACGAATTCATACGTCGAGATGCCATCGTGCGCAACCTTTCTGAAGGCAGGTTGAAGTGGTAAGTAGTGGAAGTGCAATTAAGAGTGACACTTGGCTGAATGCTGCCCTCCCAAAGATGCAGGGTGTTTGGGCGCAGTTTCCCTTCAAGAAGGGCAAAGCTTGGTAGGGTCCTGCGCGCTAGCGCGCTAATAGCGCGTTATCACATGAGACATACCGTGCGTGGTCTTTCACTTCTATCCTCACACTTTTCTAGAATGATCAACGAACCCATACTCCCCAGGGATATATTGAGTTATCGCCAGCCTGTAAAGACCTCCCATACCTTGATTGGGAGATCTTGAAACTGTCTTGAGGAGAGCTGCAATTGGCGGCTCAATCATCGAAGACACCTATACGATGTTGACAGCCTTCCTTGAAGCTGATTCTCCTACACATTCGGCAGCGTAAGCCTGATCTTGATGGTAAATCCAAGATACCTTCATCGATCCCTGTTCTTTTAGCGCCACGTAGCCGGACAGCTTCTTTGCGTTGTCGTATGTCCTCTTGATACACATCATCGGGGACAATTCCACTTTCCTGCAATGCTGCTTCCCATTGAAAAGTCAAATTCCAGTTGATAGCTGTAGTACAGGGGGTATGAAGGTCATGCCACGTGGTTGCCGTGTCCAGACCCTCAGGTTCAATAAAGTGGATGTTCGCGCCACCTCGAATTATTGTGGATATAATGCACCAATGTTCCACAGTATTTCCACTCTGGGACCCTTTCGGCCCTGTGACGTCCAGATCAAGGTCTATCGTGGTATCATCAAAGTCATCTTCATCTACAGGACTTGGGAAGTCCTGTAGATCAGGGCTCAAGAACCCGTCCATATCAGCAAGAGCCTCCAACAGCAGGGAAGACGAGGGCTGTGTTGATATATTAGGGCTGGAGCCTCGTTGGAGAGACAGCTTAATAGCTTCTGATGCCCCACGAGTTGACACTGTCCATCCAAACAACCAGCTAAGATAATTCTGCCATGCATTCTCAGAGTTTTGGAGAATGTAGTCTATAATATCATTCTACGATTCCGCGTCATCACAAGTAAGAAAGTGGCCACGAGTGATGATAGGGAGCTTTCGAGATAGATCGTCGATGGAAACACCAAACATTTGGAATGATTTTAGTAAGGTGACGTAGTCTGTAATTCTTTTTGCTCGATAATTCGAGAAAAGACAAATTAGAGCGAGGTGCATCGGCATTCGACCGTCGCTTTGTGTAGTTAAACATCCTTATTTATTTTAGCCTGCATAATTGAAGTACTTACTGATTCTGTTGATCCCAAGAAAGACCGCAGGAGTTCAGAAATTTGCATATGTCAAGTCTTCCATATGCAGCAGCAAACTGCTCTTGTTTAGCTATTGACTACTGAGTGGTAAAAATAGAGTACATATAAATCAAATCTAATGTGAATACACACTTACATGTAACAAAGTCCGACCAAGCAAATCCTGGCTTCTCAAATGTATCTCGCCGGCCACTAGTAAACGTCGAAATCGAGGAAGGTCGCCATCACGTATGCAGAGCAAGGCCCCGTGATCATCCGGAATGACTGGAAATGTCGCGATGCTCGGGCAAATCTGATAAAACCCTTGATGGTCCGGTGCTGTAGTCCAGAACAATGAGAGCCCACGTAAAGGGATCAGGTTCTGGCGCGGACGGAAATGAAGGCTAATTGTGAGGGTCGTGGAACCCCTATATGAGCCCTGGGTAGGCCCGCCAGCGGCCTCGATTTCGATCTGCAGATAGCCTAACCTTCCCTTACCAGCCCAAAAGTGGTGATAAGTTGGCCATGTACATTGTGAATTACACAAAGGACGGCGACCGGATGGTGGCAGTTTGGATCCATATCCGTTTATTTCGGAGTCGATAGCTCGCTCATTGTGGCAATTCAAAACGAGGTTTTGATCTAGACAAGAACGACTTTTATGTGACTCGGCCCTTATTCGGTGGTCATGATGTTTTTCTGGAGGATGTTGATCATAATCGCGACTAATCTGCTCGGCAACCTTCTCCAGGCATCCCCAGACAAGATCAAATTGCGTTTCTGACTTAATCGATATATGGCCAAGCATCGTCCTGAAGTCAGATAACAACTGAGCGCGTAGCGCCGCCGTTGCTGACTCTAATCTTGGCACAGAAGAGCTGTAGACCATTTCGAGACTAGATTGGATGGTCACAGAAGATTTGAGAGAAGCGTTTAGGTTCTGTGAAAGCTTTGCCTGGATTGAATGGCATCTTTCGGATATTTTATCGATCGCGGCGTCCTGCTGCTGGGACCGTTTGTCATTAGCCATCCTTTGGATTTCGAACAATCGATCATCAATTCGCTCTCGCGTCCGGAGGCTAGCGTTAAGAGTAGTGAACTGATCCATGATCATGGCGTAGGATAGGCTTTGATTTTGAGCAACTTCAGCGGATTTCTGGCGTAGGTCGAGGTTATCTTTACTAGACTAGAATCAGTCGTGGGACAGTCTGTCCTGGGTGATCACTCACAGGCCCATCACAACCAACGCTGTGTTCAGACTTGTCTTGCGATCATTCAGTCTTGCCAAAACTTCTTTCATCTTGTTCTTATCGAAGACCCACTTTGCTTTAGCAGCAAAGCCTGGTTTGAGTGCATGAGGAAGCATCTGCTTCAGCGCAGTGATATCGTCGAAGAACTTGCGAAAACACCCAGTAATGGTATCTGGTAGAACTTCAAACTTCTCGATCGCGTTCTTAGATCTCTCAAACTCGATCACGTAAACGCGGAGGATTCTCATATTGGAATCGACGTCTTGAAGGGCTGGGTCAGGCTATTAACTCATGTCTCAAGAACAAACTTGAACAGCTTACTGCTTCGTAGCGCTTCGATGTCTTCACCAGCATTTTTCATGGATGACAAGACATTATAGACCTGACGGCTTGATCGCAAAGCTACATCAGCTAGCTGAACAGCGCTCGCGACCGCGCCAAGAACCTCCGCCATGTCTCAAGGTGAATTAAGGTACTTCAGGTGACTTGAAGTAAAAAAGTGGTATCGGTATATGTTGTTAGAACACGTTGGAAGAACGCAAGGTATGGTGAATTAAGTGGCTTACAGGCTGAAGTGGGGCGCAATGAATAAGGTTGCAATGTGAGGCTGTACAGAACGCCAGGCTTGAACCAATCGCGTCATGATGTAGGCACACCGCCCACCCGCACGACAAAACAGCCATGAATTCAATGTCCAAATTCTCCTGATAGTAAATAAGCGCCTTTTGATAGGTACCAAGTGAATTTCACAGCTTTTTCGAACACGAGAAAGATTTAGGCCATGAGAAAATTTACTCTGCTCACTTGGACTGCCACAACAGCCGCTATTACTGCAACACCTGAGCAAGACATGAGATAGCTTTCAATCCCCACGACCCGTAAAATAGTACTTCCTGCTTATTAACTGAAGGGTTGAGTGGTGTAGCAATCAATATACGAACAATGTCGAGTGAGCAGCTTGATCCGTATCTGGCTCCGGAACTTGGTGCTTTTCCTATCTAGAGCTTCAAGAAACCTGTATGATATTAACAGACTTCCTTCAAGATAAACTCCCCCCCCTTTCGGCAGTGTAGACCCAGATGATGGTGAAACTAAGACACCTTCCTCAAACTCATCGTCATCGGCATGGCCCAAGAAACACTCTATGTTAGTACGAATTTCTAGTAACGGCGACGAAGAGGCTATATTACAGTTATCCAGGTACTTTGCTATCGTGTACAACTACTACGATCTTGATCGGCATCGCAGTCGGATAAACCTTCGCGGGCTGTTGGTGCTGTTGCTTGTTATCGTTGGTGGCCTTGGAGATCCAACCATGAGATCCTTGATGCCCAAGCCAAGACACTAACCAGTTATAGTAAAGCCCAACGCGGGGCCTCAAGAACCTTTGCACGCTAGAGCCCACACTTTCATCCTTCGTCAATCTACCACCGTTAAGCTTACGGAATACAAAACTTAACCAAACTAGTTGCAACCTACAGATCCCGAATTCTCACTAGTGTTGATTGTGACAATAACCAACCTTGGAACAATACCACCGTAATCATCGGCCATTGATTATCGAGTGATGGCTGACGTAAATACTCCACCTTCGAGCATAGTCGCCCAAAAGAGACGGCGGCCTCACACTCCTATGATGTGGGCGACGATACAACCGAAGCTCAAATACTATTACATAGATCTGGATATGACTCTTGAAGATACCATACAAAAGATACGCACAGAACACAAATTTGATGCCACGTAAGTAATTTTTTTTTACAAGGCTGAGGGTATATCTGTCTAAGCGTCCATAGCGACCAAATGTACAAAAAGCGGCTAAAAGCATGGGGGCTTTCGAAACAGGTCAAATCCGACGAGAAGGGCAAAGCTCTAGCAAGGATTCTTGGGCTCCATAGTGAACCCGTCACAGGCGATCATGTCCCGGTCCGGCACGACAAGCTCGTCCGATATGCAAAGTCTCGTATCAAATCCGGAGCATTGGAAAGCCATCACCTAAGCAGGCTGACAAATCGATACACTGTAGTGACCGACTATCGGTATGCAGCTGCTGAAATGCCGTCGGTGCCACGCTCTCCAGCACTCCCAGACCAGTTCGCTGGGTTTGACGTATTCCTGCGAGCAATGCAAACGTTGATAAAGAGAGAACAGGGAGAATGGCTGACCGGGCGCCAAACTTCTCCGGATGCAATATTTGGCGCACTCACAAAAGGCTTGTCACTCTGGCGCAACAACGCCTTTGCTGCAGCACGGCAATCATTTGGTCAAGCGGCTCATAAGACGATGGAAGACCTCCAAAGTACAGAGGTATCGGTATCACGGATAACGTACTGTATCAGTTCCATTTTGTGGGGTTCCGAACGTGAGCTCGTCTTTCAAAAATTCGTAGAATTTATGATAAACGCCGCCCTCGAAGTCCTAGGACCAAGATGCCCAATGACGATAGTTTTACAGCACTTGCAGGCGGATCAGAGTCTGGATGCGCAGGTGAGCATATGGGCGTGTGCTCTGGATGACTATAAGATCTCAGAACAAAACGTAGAACATTGGTGGAACATGGCGCAGCGTCGTTGGCGATGGTGTTGGCGCAGTGGAAAATTCGATCTCGCAGCACGATACTGTAGTCACGCTATGAGTGAAACGCGAAGGATCAACAAGCTGACTATCGACATGGAGTTGGAGGCGCAGCATGACCTGGATTCCATTGTGCTGAAAGCCAACACATAGCTACTTGGACAAGATTGGCGGATACATCCCAACTTACGAGAAAAAGTTCTTGGCATCAGGCGAAATATAGCCTACTTCGGCAGTAAAGCTATTTCTGGTATTGCGAGGCGTTTCATCGGACTCAGTTTAGTTTTCGGGGAAGTGCGATATCTGGCTAGCTCCAACTCCGGCTCAGCTCTGGCACTAAATAATGTATTGACTTTGCTTTTTCTTCGCTCTGTTGACACCTTGTATTCCTCTGGTATAAACTTGATAGAGAGTTCTCGTCTCGAAGCATTTAACTCGCGCTATTTCAATATCATTCTCCCATCGTGATAATATTTAATACCGCAGCTACAAAGTTTTGCTTTTCCATCGCTGAACCGAATTTGGGTATCTTTTCCACCTGTACAGCAGCTTGCAGACTTGAGCGCCATGCACCTGCAATATTCGCGTCTTTGACCGGTTTACACGCAGCCACTGTCACGGTGCATACGTTTTAGGTTGTGCAACCGAGCGATGTGCAGCAAGGCTGAGCACTAACCATGACCAATGTAAATAGCTCAGGGCGGGACGGGCCGGGACAGGGACAGGAGAAAACCGAAAGATCGCCTACGCCCCAGGATTACCTAATAAGCCACTGCCATCTGAATATGGAGATATTCGTGATTGAAGGTACAAAAACCTGTCATTCAAACAGTGTGGCAAACTATAAACATCTCTTTACTGCTATCCGTACAGTGTCCGGCTGAGCACCCGAGCATAGCCTTGAAGTTGGTGAGTTTGCGTTTGCTACAGCTTTTACGCCTTTTAATGCTTTTAATAGTACTGCAATCAAGGGTAGGCGACGGAAATGACGTTTCAGGCCAAATATTCCCGGCTGTCACCCTGCAGGCCGCTGTTTGCGTCGGTAGGATCGAAGCCTTTCCAGTGTGCCTCCGCAACTGCCAAGCACACTAATATCGCGAGGGCGGTTATTTCAGGGAACATTTGCATGTTGAAAATCCAAATTCGTCTCCCTGCATCACAGAAAACTGTCTGTGAAGGAATGATTTGATAATGCCCGATCCCCCCTGTCCAAGGCGTGGCAGGCTGTGAATTGAACAGTGTCCTATTGGGCAAGACATGTGCAGATTCGAATTGAGTGACGCAACTTAGCTCAGTTCAGTAAATTTCTCGCTGATCCACAGATGGAAGTTATGCCGCCAACAAAGCAGAGACGGCGGTTTTTTAATTCAAATCTACTTAAAGCCTTTCATGGTTCCTTGTCAAGATACTCAAGACAAGCGTGCCTTTCAGCTTTCGAGTTCTTGAATATCTTTCACCTTGACACAACGCCATAGCTCTTCTTATTGAAATAACTTCTGAAACCCCTTTCCAACTTCTGGCTTCAGTATTTCTTGCCCTTACACGCACTCCTTTGCTCAATATGCCTGGTCTTCGTCTACAGCACCAGTTGCTTGGATTCCTCCTCTTGGTCAACATGGCTCTTGCTGGACGATTCAGTTTTAGTATCCAAGAGATAATCGTTGGAGTGACTCGCGATTTCAAAGAGGATGATTTAGTCTTAGCTATCGCAGCCACTACAGGCTCCACTCCTAGTAACAACACCTGGTCGCTCGGTTCAGTTGAGGCAAATGATATAATTAAGTGGAACAACCTCACTCACGAAATTGAAGTCCCGGTTAGCGCATCCAACTTGTCCGTGGCAATTGGCATCATGAATACTCCGAATGGAACTGAGGTTACGGTTCAGAATGCGACATCTCGTAAGCAGGCCACATTTGCAAGCTAATCGAAAGCTAACATCTTTCAAGAACTCGTGCAAATTATAGTCGGAGCTGCAGCGAACATGTCAGGCACAGCGGGTCCAGCAGAGAGGCTTTTGGATATAGCCCTTAATTTCTTTAGCGACCTCACCAGCTGTGCCGGTCCTACCGTCATCGACAACGTCACGTATGCTCCAGACACCCTCAACAGTCTTAACCAAAGTCAAAAGACTTGCGAAACGAAGACCTATTTCGAAGAAGTAAAGATCCTCTGTGGCCTTCAAAATTCGAATTACACAGTCACGTACTGTCTTGAACGCCTTGATGCCAAACCTGTTCCGGCATCTGCGGCGGCAAGCTTGCTTCCAGGCCTTTTCCTGTTATTCATTACCCTTGCAGTTGCATGTATTTCCGGAGGCTACGGACTTCTTATGTAAGCTTTGAGCCTTATGATCGGGTTCAAAGAGTTTCATTCAGTTGTCAATGGAGAAATCGTTGAGTTGTGATAAGACTTTGGGCATTTGGACAATTTTTGAGGCTCAGTCATCATCCAGCTTTTCGTTTTCTCTACTCACAGATGCAGTTCGGTAACAAACGTATTCGAAGTATACAGTCACTACATAATATAAAATCCCATTCGCGTACTTCTTGATCCCGTTCCCTGACCTTTCAAACCGGATCGTATAAACCTGGAGGATCTTCAACTCGAAGTCGACTTTTGAACGGCTTGAGTCAACCTGTTAGCTCATCTTGGATAGCGTACTGATTTGACGCCCTAGGATATTTTTAGCGGCACTTTTTGTTGATGATGGGACCTCACAATTCATCACCAATCGTCAGGAACTCACTCACATCAGCCTGGTCTCTGCCCGCTGCATATTATTGTAGTAGAAAACCATTAGCCGTAGGTCCTGCCGACTACCACTGTCTACACTACTCGATGTACTCTTGACTTCGGTACCTGGTTCTAATCATGCTGTGAAGGTGTGTATGAATCGAATGACATATGAGAAGATGCATTCAGATAAGGAACGGTCAACCACAAAGTTTCATCGATGCTTACAAGCAACTATTGTGTCTCCACAGCCCTGGACCGCTAGGATTCATCTCTTGGGTTAGCGTTGACCAGAGCAGTAGAGGGGAAACAAGTGACAGTCACCGCCAATCAAGTATTTTCGAACACTAGCTTAATAACTCAAACAACGCACAACTCCTTATACAAGACAGCATGAACATGATTTAGGGAGGGTAGAACGAACGAGTGGAGCATGGCGAGACAGACCGAGTGTGAACGTGCGCCAGGCACATGATAGGTTCGCTAACCGCTAGATCATGCTGGTGCTAGAACACAACATAGCGTGTCCGACACATCCCACTTCGATCCCAAGTACCGAAACAAACATTGTCGCTCTCCTTTTGGCTTGTTCTTCGTTCCTCCTACATAACCCCAATTACTATGCCCTCAGCTTCCGCTGTGTTGAAGCCTCTCCTTGGCACTCTCGCTGGTCTCGTCGCGACGTATGCTGCCTTCATCTGTCTCCTCACGATCCCCTCGCTCCAAGATCATGTTATATACTTACATCGCGTCACACTGACCTGGTTCCAAGACGTCAATACTCCGGAGCAGTGGGGATTTCTTCGAAATCAGGTTACACCTTTTCACTTGACAACACCGGATGGGGAGACCTTGCATGCATGGCATGTCTTGCCATTAGAGGCCTACCGCCAACACCAAGCCGAGCTTCGCAAAGAGCCAACGGGGCTATGCTCAGATGTTCAAGAGCGACTATCTTTCAAATTGCTCAGAGATGATCCTACTGCCCAGCTGGTACTCTATTTTCATGGCGCAGCAGGCACCCTGGGCTCAGGCTGGCGACCTCAAAGCTATCGCGCGCTGTCGGCGGCGTCTCAAAATGTCCACGTGCTTGTCGTTGACTATCGTGGCTTTGGAACAAGTACGGGATGGCCATCAGAAACAGGCCTACTTACGGACGCTCTGACTTTGACTAAGTTCGCGCTGGAGACTGCAGGTATGCCTCCAGAGAGAACGGTAATATTTGCGCAATCTATCGGCACAGGCGTTGCGCTGTCTCTCACACACCATTTCGCGATGCAGTCACCTCCCACACTCTTCGCTGGCACCGTGCTTGTGGCGCCATTTGCCGACGTAGAATCTTTGACCAGGACCTACAAAGTCGCTGGCACGGTTCCTCTGCTCTCACCAGTCGCCTTTTTCCCTTCGCTCCTAGAATTACTCAATCGCTTTATAGTCACCAAGTTCCCATCTAAGGACAAGCTAGCGGCAGTCATCCATCACCTAGACACTGTTAAGGTCAACGATCGACACCGCAAATACGACATTACACTTATCCATGCCGAAGATGACTATGATATTCCATGGATCCATTCGGACGTTTTGTTCTGGCATGCAGTCAACGCAACGCTAGAGCCGCCATCATCCATGCTATTTGACCAATTAGAGAGAATCAAGGAAAAGAGGAAAACCCCACTTGGCGCTGGAGGTTGGGAGATGGAATGGAAAGGGAAGGGTGGCATGATACGAGAGCAAATCGTCAAACATGGGCTGCACGACCGTATAATGAGCTATCCCGTCGTGAGCCTTGCTGTATTGAGAGCCTTCCATAGTCAAGATCCGGAGTAGCGGTGTCGGACCTCAATCAAGAAATCGCCACTATTTCCCACAAGGACCTTTCACGAGGAACCAAGAGGATTTCCCAAGCGCATACACCATAGTTGAGCTACTGCTGCTTCTGTGAAAGTACTTTGATTGCGGAGATGTTTGTGATTACACGGAGTCCTGGTGCGTCGTGAGAGCGGTACGCGTGCAGTCGCTCCTTCTGTCTTGCGAAGACGTTGCGACCTAGAACACTGACATTGGCACACTTAGATCCATACCCTGACCATATCTCATAAGGTGAACGAGCCATGCAACATTATCAAGCTACCAGCGCAGTCAAATTACCGCGTAGTCCGGAAAGAGTTCAGACTTTGCTTAGTAAATCTTCAACTCTTGTGTAGATCATACTACGTAGATTCAAAACATCCCAGACTCACTTCAAAATGACAACAGAAATGGGTGGGCCTAGAGGCATTCAAGTAGCTATAGAAATCTATTCGATAAGTCTATAGGGCAATGAACCCATTCAGCCTACCTTTTCGCATCTCCAACCCACACTCTGTCACGACCGCCGGCAGCTAAACAACAGTCCTCATCTCATCAACTCCTCGGAGTCTCCATCGAAGTTTACCGCGTTTTGGGAAACTTGATGTTCAAATTCCGCAGACGCAACTGGATGATAGGTATTTCTTACCTGAGATTTACCTTTAATGCTACAACGCGCTTTCTATATTGCATATCCGTGCAGTTTTCCAATGCGCTTTTTAGCACTGATGCAACATCCGTAGTGTTTTACTATCCTTTCTAGTGTGATGGATCCATTCGAACGCACGTCGCGCCCAGGCGCTCCGTGCTTGACAATTAGATTCACGCGAACGGGTTCAAAAAAAAAAAAAAAAGCCATCGAGTGCTGAGTCGATAAAAATCAACAGGTATCCTGGTCACCTTCATTGACTCGTCGACTGCTCGCTCGCAGCATGATCTTCTAAATCCAGCTCGTCCCATTTTTCTACCAGTCTTCTCCGGCCAACTTAAATCAGGGTAAGAAATGTAGCAGAGGTATCGTCCTTACTACTACCGGTCATTGCGCCCCTCTTTGCTATTTTAGCGTGGCTAGCCTTTGGAAAATTACTCTACAAGCATTATAAACTAACAGTATGCGCACCTCACGAGAGATCTGCGAACTAGATCTATACAATCACAACCTATCTGCAGCGCCTTATCTTACGGGACAGCAGTCGTGCCTCCGCCAACGTGATAGTTGATCTTGATGTCGATTCGGCATTGCTCATTCTTCCAAATCGACAATACTAGAACTACGCAATCATGACAAGCTCCGTCACATCGACTATCTCAGCTTCTACTCTTCTTCCACGCTCCTAATGTCGCGGTGACTTCGAGTTTGACAGCACACTGATCGCTGTTGGGGATCCCTGCGTCGATCATCGTAGGTGCATCTCTCGTTCACCTTTACCTTCGAGCAACTTTCGTTGCTTAAGACCTCCTCATGCGTCTTTATTGTTTTCCTGACACCACCAGCGCCCCGACTATTTTTATTCTTATATTTCAAGTTCTCACAGCTCTTGCAATCTTGCGGTGACTTCCCCAAGCATCAATATCATGGCGTAAGTACTCTTCCAGTATGGGCAACACCTTTGGTGTTGTGACATCCCAAGACAAGCCACCGATGATGATGGTGAGATGAACTCGACTAACGTGTACAGCCCAAGGCGCGAGACAACTCCTCCCCCTCACTCCTCCGTCATGGAGTTTGGTCATCCGCCTCCTCCTTCCACTCCCGGTCCTAGCAACGGCAACAGCATCATCATGGAATCACAGCATACTTCCGTGCCCCCTTCTCCATATGGCCCGCCACCGTCGCCATTTGCTTCGCTCATGGCTCCTGTTGCGGAGCAGCCTGCTGCTGCAACCAGCAAGACAAAGGCCAAGCAGCGGGCGCGCACTGGAGCCGGCGTGAAGAAGGCGCCCCTCAAGAAGAAGTCCAATGGCACCAGCTTGAAGCTTGTGGCATCCGGTCAAAAGGCGCCATTCCGCTTCATGGATCTCCCTGGTGGTATGTATCATCTCATGATCAAACTCCGTGATAAGAGCTGACAAACATTAGAGATTCGAAACATAGTCTATCAGCATACGTACGCCAATCCAAAGCAGGCTCTCCTCGTCCACCGCCCGCGCATGGCATCTCTGCGCTCGCGCACCCGTTTTGATCGTGCACGCCCTCTTGCCTCTGATGTTATCGGCAACGAGCTTGACAGCGCAATCTCCGGCTCCAAGGCGACGCGCCCTATCATAAAGCCAAGGTCAAAGGCCGGCCTTACTCTGCGCGAGACTAACCGACCCTATTCCGGCCTCACACAAGTCTGCAAGCTGCTCCGCTATGAATACCGCCCGATCTACATGCAGAAGCAGGAGATTGGTATGGACCTGACCGATATTGTCGAGTACCTGCAAGCCTTCTACTACGAAGCACCTACCCGTTTCGCCAACCTCCCAGCTCCTGGTCGGCGCGAGACCGATTTGCCCTTTGGCGGCAACTTGACTATTGCAATCGGAGACAAGCCCAACGAGAAGGAGCTCGCCGCCGACGGGATCGAGGCCTTTCCGCTCCTAGAGATCTGGGCAAATAGTTTCAAGATCGAAGCCGGCTTTGGACGCTATCTAAAGGTCCACTACGCTCCTGAGGATGACGGTGAGGCTAAGGATCTGTAAGTGACCCGGCAAACTTTCCACTTGGAGAAGACCAAGTTCAGTTACTAAAGGTGACCAGGTACCGCCTGTTCGGCCGCTGTGTCCTGGAAAACCGCTCCTGCAGCCCGATGAATATCCTCTGGCGTACTATCCTGCGTAACCGCGCCCTTGCCTCTGTGCGCATCCACCGCAAACCTGCGGCTCGCCATGTCAGCGTCTTCCTTAGTACTTTCTCCCCGAGTGTCAAACCGTACATCCACATCATTTTCAAGAAGAAGTATGCTGAGCCGTGGATGACCAAGTTTGACTCGGCTATCCCCAAGGTTCCTGACTGGCTGGCCGACCGGGGATTCAGTGATATGGAGTACTTCGATGTCAAGGTTGGCGTCGAGCCTGCGGGCGTAAAGTAGACGTTACCTCTCGGCTACTGTCACGATTTGTTGATCGTGCTTCATTAATTAGTGATGGAGAAGCTTTCAGGATGAGGATCCAGGTTGCGAGGACGCTTCGAGCATTTTCCTTTAGCTACTATTCTTCACCATGAGAGACGTTGGCCCGAGTGGCTCGACGGTTGGCGCAAGATCTTGTGCGATTTGTTAACATCTACGGTACTCATCTATGAAGGGATTACCTGGTCTGTGGATGGTTGAAATCCGGTTGGAAGCGTCTCGCGAGATCGGAACGTCAACGTCATACCCCCTAATATAGCTCTTATCAGAATCCAAAATTCCATATTGTTTTCTTGCTAAATTGAGGCAGAGAAAAACTGCAGCAATGCTTAAAAAGTCGGAAGTTGATAGCGATGACATGATGGAGGAACTGAGGTGTTGACCAACAAGCCGCGGCTGGGGTTTCACAAGTCATCAGTCAGCTCGTGACATCGAACACCAGGTGTTCGCGACGCTTCATCAGGACTTCCATTCCGATACGGCTTCACACATTTTGCCATCCGCATCCAGGATTGTTAATCGTTGAGCTCATAGCATAGAGTCGGCGTGTTGCATCATGTAACAGCTGCACGTTGCCCTAATGTGTGATCGCAGCCGCAAAGCACGCAATCATGTGCCAAGCGCTCCATCGCTTTAGGTATGAAGGTACAAACCGAGAGGCCCCTCGATAAACCTCAATCCAGCCCCCTAAAAAAACGAAATGGTCTGGTCATCCCTCTTTTGGGCCAATCTAGGCCTTGGTCTCAATAGCCAGCAAAAACTCACCCCAGAGCACAAATTACAGGTCCCGGGCGGCACACTACATACATCTGGCCGACCAAACATAGTCTTCATCCTTACCGACGACCAGGATCTACACTTGAATTCGCTAGATTACATGCCCTTTGTTCAAAAGCACCTTATTCAGCGAGGTACTCTCTACAAGCAACATTATGCAACGGTCGCCCTTTGCTGCCCCTCGAGGGTTTCGCTCTGGACGGGCAAGACGGCTCACAATACCAATGTGACGGATGTGTTCCCACCATGTGAGTGTAATGGCTACCATATATATCAATGTATGGCTGAAAAGAGCAGACGGCGGTTATCCGAAGTTTGTCAGCCAGGGATTGAATGACAACTTTCTACCTATATGGTTGCAGGATGCCGGATACAATACATACTACACCGGGAAGCTCTTCAACGCGCATACTGTTGATAACTACCACTCGCCTTTTGTAAATGGCTTTACCGGATCGGTGTGCAAAATAAGCTCAAGTTGTCTTTTGCATGCTAATGCATAACAGGATTTCTTGCTTGATCCATATACGTATCAGTACTTGAACTCAACTTATCAGCGGAACAAGGATGCTCCTGTTCGTCACGAAGGCGAGCACACGACTGAACTCCTCGCTCGGAAAACCTACGACTTCCTCAATGATGCCGTCAAAGAAGAGAGGCCGTTCTTCCTGACCGTTGCACCTGTCGCCCCTCACAGCAACGTAAAGTTCAGGTCTACAGAAGGTATCATTGATGATAACGTAGCCGAATTCTCTCCACCAATTCCCCTTGGGCGACATGAACATCTGTTCAACGATGCCAAGGTTCCCCGAACGGAAAATTTCAATCCTAAAGAGCCATCTGGTGTGAATTGGGTTCGTGGTCTTGCTCGCCAGAGCAAGGAAAATGTTGACTTCAATGATCACTTTTACCGCAACCGCCTTCGCGCCTTGCAGGGTATTGATGAGATTGTTGATGGCGTCGTTAGCCGCCTTCGCAAGCATGGCATTTTGGACAATACATACATCGTGTATTCGTCAGACAATGGGTACCACATTGGCCAGCATCGCTTACAGCCGGGAAAAGAGTGTGGGTTCGAGGAAGACATCAATATACCCCTCATGATCCGCGGTCCCAATGTACCTGAGAATGTCACTACGGACATAGTGACAACACACACTGACCTCGCGCCGACATTTCTTCAGCTCATTGGAGCCCCTCTTAGGGCGGACTTTGATGGCGAGGTCATTCCAACCTCAGAAAGTGGCATAGCAAAAGCCAGCGTTAAGCGTCACGAGCATGTAAATGTTGAGTATTGGGGATTTGCGGCAGGTGAAGGAAAGGATTGGGATGGAGGTACGAACAACAGCACTGCCGTTGAAGTTTATATTGACACAATCATAGTCCGGATTCACCACAACAACACCTACAAGGCCTTACGCGTCATCGGCGATTCGTATAACCTATACTACTCCGTCTGGTGCAACAAGGAGCATGAGCTCTACGATCTCAACGTGCGTAATGACGTGTAGTCTCCAAACCGCTGTATCACGGCGACTAACATGAACCTAGAATGACCCGGGTCAACTACGCAATCTTCTCAGCAATAAGCGCAGTCCTAGCCAAACGCTGCTCGGGTTTCCACTCCACAAGGTTGCAGCTAGACTTGACGGGCTGTTGTTTGTGCTAAAGTCATGCAAAGGACGCACATGCATCGAGCCGTGGCGTGCACTGCATCCAGATGGTAACGTGGAGAAGTTACGCGACGCTCTTTCGGCCCGTTTTGATGAGTTTTATGAGGTGCAGCAGAAGAAGATTGAATATAGTCGCTGCGAAGATGGCTACATTATTGATGCCGAAGGGCCCCAGTTTGAGAACGATGGGCTCGTTTATCGCTACAACAGTCATTGGTCTGACTGGGTCTGATCGACTGTAGGAACATAGTGGGCTTGACGTAGATGTTTTTATTTGTTCGGTTCTCGATAACGCAATCCGTTCCTTGTGTTGCAACATCGGCATCCTAGCAGCGATGTTCCGACCCTGCATACGGACGCGGCCGGGCCTGGTCTTCGGATGCACAATGACTCTTCGTTGAAGAAATCTTGTGCTGATGCCGAGGAGATCTAGTCAGTACTGGTAAAAGTATTCTGCGTCTCCCATATTCTTTCATGTCGTCGCATCTCTAATATTCGCACCCTGCTGCCACTGCGTGTTATGGCCTCGGCGGACGCCACTAATAAGACCGAAAGGACCCCGCTTCTATTCTCCTCAAATACTACTTCGTCGGCTAGCAGTATCAGTATACCATCCAGCGACATTTCCGACGATGCATCACATTTTCGACCAAGCTCAGTGCATTCCAAAACCGCACTCGACGAAGAGGCAAGACTCGACTCAACATCCAGTACGACGCCAAGCACAGCGACGGTGTCAGTGGGTCGTATAGTATGCGTTCTCCTCGTAGGCACTTTTATATCCAACGCGGATAGCTCTCTTTTACTCGCGACGCATCCCATCATCGCTTCCGAGTTCAACGCACTCCACGACTCGAGTTGGCTCTTGACCAGTTTCGCCCTCGCGCAAGCATCAACGCAGCCATTGTACGGGAAGCTGAGTGACATATATGGCCGCAAATCTATGCTACTGCTAGCGTACGCGCTGTTTGCGTTCGGGTGCGGTCTGGTGGGCATAGGGGGTTCCATGTCGACTCTGATTCTGGGTCGTGTCATATCAGGAGCGGGCTCAAGTGGCATGACGGCCCTAGTCTCTGTCCTCATCACCGACCTGGCCCCTCTGCGGGATGTGGCAAGCTGGCGCGCATATATCAACGTTGTTGCGACAACGGGTCGTAGTATTGGAGGACCCCTAGGCGGTTGGCTCGCTGATTCTGTGGGTTGGCGATGGTCTTTTCTGGGCCAGGTCCCGCTTGCTGGAATAGCCATCCTTTTGGTTGCAATCACTCTTCCCCCTCGCCCCCATCATCATCTGGATGACGGCTCAGCAAGGAGTAAACTGGCGAGAATCGACTTCATTGGTGCTATTCTGATGACATTGAGTATTCTGGCCCTGCTTATTCCTCTTGAAGTCGGCGGTGATCGTGTTCCATGGTCTTCTCCCATCATCATGGTCTTGCTTATTGGATCCGCTGTGTTTGGTGCACTCTTCTTGGCGACAGAAGCCTGGATAGCCAAGGAGCCGATGCTTCCACTTTCACTATTACGCCAGCGAGATGTAGTAGTCTCGTTTTTCGTCATGTTTTTCCAATCTGCGGCGCAAACCGGACTCATGTTTGCCGTTCCACTGTATTTCCAGGTAACGGCAGGCGCATCAAACACTGTCGCTGGAGCGCATCTTGTCCCTGCAGTGGTAGGCAACGCCGTAGGAGGTATGCTGTCCGGAACCATTATCCACCGCACAGGCCGCTACAAAGCCCTCATCCTTGTGGCCACGATTGTAGCAGCCACTGGATACCTTTTACTGATTCTCCGCTGGCATGGCCACACCAACTGGTTCGAATCCCTCTACATCTTCCCTGGTGGCTTCGGCATGGGCATCGTGCTATCGGCGCTCTTCATCAGCGTCCAAGTATCCATACCCCCGGCTTTCATTGCTATTGCGACTTCAACGCTCTATCTTACATCTTCCGTTGGTTTCTTGGCAGGCATGGCAGGCGTGAGTGCTGTGCTTCAAGAAGCATTGAGCAGGGGCCTCGATCATCGGCTTGTCAAATTGGGGTTCTCCGATCACAAGAGGTGGAAAATTATTGAACGCGCAGTGTCAGACGTGCACTATGCCGACAAAGCGACGCCGTTGATCGGAAAAGCGGTTATAGGATCCTATGTCGAGGCATTGACTTGGACACACGGTATGTGAAGTCGCTCTCGTCTTTGGACCTTGCTAACTCGCCTCGCAGTCGTCTCTCTAGCATGCTCTATTACTGCATTCGTTGGTAGTCTTTTCCTACGACAACATAAATTATAGGGTTATCAATGTAAATGGCTTAGGCAGAGGGCAACGCAAATACAAATCTTGTGCAAACCATTGCGGTTCACTTCAACTTGTTCGACCCAACGGCCAAAGCCTTGTACACCCATCTGTAGTTGAAAACCCACCTGGAATGTAACAACATGGCCCTCTTACTTCCTCGTTTCATTCTCACTTGGCAGCCGTCAGACTTCCTAAGCACGCGAACCCTCCACGTGCGTCCAATCACTTATTTTAATAACCTAGTCATCTCTTTACACCTCGAGCAACTCACTGCAAAGCGACATGGGCGAACAGGTAATCCGAAGAGTCGTACTGTGGTGGTGTTTCTTCTGAAACGCGAGACGGTCGCGCTGGCACGTGCATTGACGTCATGATGCATTTCTCCTACTCCACCTCATATTTCCATTCCGAGCCTATCACAACGGCCATCTCGAGCGCTATGCATTGTTTGCACTTTGTCATGATACCTTCAAATCCTCGCACTAACGCCTCTCGATCATGTCTTCGTTCCATGCGCTACCCCTGTGGCCGCTAATGAAACAGGTACCGTATTGCATGCACCGGCGTGGGACCGCGTGGTTCGCGTCGAGCTCGCTACGAAGACCGTGTGCGACAGTGCAATGCATACAACAACAGCTCCGTGAATTGCGTGTCCGTCGCTCGTTGTCCTCTTGCGCAGCGAGCTCCGCGCAGTGAACAGCCCATTTTGGCCTCTCGCGACACATGTGAGGTCATCGACAAGGATCGAGTCCAGTTCCCGTGTCTGCACCCCAGGAAAGTTTATTATAGGTCATATAGCTCACAAACCCCTCTTCCTCCTCGAGCTTCCCATTTTTCCGAATCATCGTGTCACTTTCTCACAGGTGGCATCTTCGCGACACAAGGTTCAGGCCAGTTATCTGCAATATCGACCCTTTTCCCACTATTATCTCCACAGACCATGTCACGCCCCAAGAGTATGCCCGACTTCACAGCACTCATGGACGCGTCAACGCCGCTATTCGAGAAGCGCATACATAATCGAAGGCAGACATCACCCGAAAGGAAAGCGCATCCAAGGAAGAATCCCAGTATCTCACTGGCTGCTGGATTGATCATGAACGCCGAGACCCCGAAGAGTACGGGACCCCTAAGCTCGCCAACAAGGCAGAGTAGAGAACGGGTGGTAGAGGAAGGCCCGGAAGAGCAGGACGATGGCGGAATCATGTTTTATGCGTATGCGCTGAGGGTATGCCAGCCTCTGCTCAATACGCCCCTCTCAAACTGACAGGCCTTTATAGAGCGACTACGCCAACGCACCACCGCACATTCTTACGTTTGCCTCCGCCGCCATCTGCTCGCAATGGTGGGCCCTCGTCCAGCGGGAATGCCCTGGCTCTGCACGCCCGAGTACGCAGCTCTTCGTTCTCAAGAGCGAAGATATAGACCACGTACAAGATGACCCGAAGTTCTTCCACCTTCGGTACAAGTGGTTCTACACATCGCAGGATAGTCCCAGAACTATGGCGTCTATTATACCGCTGCAGAATGCGAATGGCTACCCAGTCGCTCCGCCGCAACAGCCCATCGAGCAAAAACCTGCGACGTTGGCCATTGATGGCCTGCTTGAGAAGCTGGAGAGACTAGCGAGTGTGGTCGAAACCAATGCGGAGCAGATTCACGCGCTCTCAGTCGCGCAGTCAGCCGGCTTACAAGCCATGCAAGAGATCAACGAGTCGAACAGCACTCAGATCAAGGCTATTGCCGACTCCCAGATTAAGTTGCAAGCGCTCGTCGATCAGAACGCATCCCACTATATTGCCCTCTCGAACACAACATTCCAATCACAAGAGAGGATCAAAGACATCATAAAGACAACCGCAACCCAAATACAAGGCCTCTCAAAGAATCAAGCAAAGCTCGCGAACACGTCGGACACCATGATGCGGGGCATTGACAACCTGAGCACGTCCGTATCGCAGATGAGCTCGAACATAGCCATGTCCGACACGGCCAGTAACCATTCTGCACCGTCTGCGGGTTCATTCAGCTCCATGGCCAACCGAATAAGTCCTGCACCGAGAAAGCTGAATCGAAGGGTCAAGGGCGTGTGGTATGAATATGACACATCTACGCCGACCGGATCACCCAGGAGGAGCGTTAACTTTGTCGACACGCCGCCGAAAAGTCCCGTCACGATGAAGAACGGTTGAAGGCAAGCGCTATCGACTTCATGGAGGATGCATCCTCCGCTATTTAACATATTGAAACCGAGAAGCGCACCAACACCCGATCATCAGGAACCCAGAACCTGGCGTAATAGCAACATGTAAAGGTTCTGCGGCAGCACGATGCGTCAAAATCAGGATGGACTTTGCTCTCACTATGAGTGGCAAAGGGGGCGTTAAAAACGTGCAACAGAGCGGTGAGGACTCCGCCCGTGATCTTGATCGGTCATACAATAGGCGCTGTCATTGGTGTAGAAACAGCCAGGCCAGGAGCTTGGTCACTTGGCCAAATGCGAACAGTAGAAGGCCAATACTGAATAAAAGAGGGGTATGAATGGTACGAGTTTGATTGCGAGGCGAACGGTTGCGAAGACGAGGGGGTAAGGGTGAAGACTAGTGTTATTACTTATGCAACAGTTGAAGATAATAGAGCTTAAGCAGGTTTCCAAGAAAAATTCGATCGTTGATTCGCACATCACGAAACCATGGACGACAGCTTCCACCCTTGCTCCGTCGCCACCCATTTCACTATGACCTCCTTTACCTTCATCTCCAAGTCCTTCCCCTGATTGGGAGCGCCAATATCTTCCATACGTTCTAAACTTTCACGATCCAACCCGTGAAACAAAAACGTCAATGTCGAAGACTTGAAGTCGTGAATCAAAGGGACCGAAGTCTGATTTACCCACTGTCTCCGGAGTCGTGATTGATTGGCTCGAGAGTATACCGCCATCCACGAAAAGAAGATTAGGAGCAAGCTTACAATAGCCGCTGCGTAAGACAACCATGCCCACCTAACGCGGATACAGGTCGTACAGTCGTACAGTCGTACATCTCTATAATCGCGGGTTTAATGAAGCCTTTTTCCCGCTGTTAAGCCAGCCGCAGCCATCTGCACTAGCGCGTCCCAGCCTCTTGCCCGCCATTTGAATTCGTATGACATTCGCCACCGCGTCTCCTGCTAACAATGCACTCCATAATTCGGCGGTATTGCGCTGCTCGGCCGATTTCCAGCTCCCTTAGCATCTCAAGTGTCAGGATGTGTTCATCCATCACCGGCGATTCTGGTCGCGCATATACAGGTGGTACTCTGCTCAGGCGGCAGCCTCACGACAGCCAGTTCGACATATTCAAAGCCGAGTTTATTCACCTGAGAGATCTAGAGAAGATGAGCATGCGCTAATTGGCTGGCTAGTTCAGAGGGCAAGAGCTTCGTCTTCAAACGTGTGCCAAGACGTTTCTTCGATCTATCTCAACGCATAGCCTCTGATTTTCCTCGGTCTGAGAGGCTTCGCATGCATGTAGACTCTAACAGCAAAGAGCCTATACTTATCTACCCCTACTTCCGAGACACTCTGCTTGCTCTACTCAAGAATGATCCTGCCTTCCCGCCAGATGAACGGCCGAAGATTATGCGAGGTGTTGGAGAAGCAATTCAGGAGCTTCATTCGAGGGATTGGGTCCACACTGGTGCTTATTATCCCCCGTCAAACGAGCTTTGGAGCTGATCAATCACGGCAGATATTAAGCCAGATAATGTTCTGGTCAACTGGACATGCGACAACGAGGGCAACAAGATTGTCACAGATGTTGCTCTTGGCGATTTTGACATCGCCTGTCAACTTAAAGACAATGAGGCTCGCCATACCGAACATGCACTGGGTAACGCGATGTGGCGAAGCCCTGAAGCACAGACCGGTATTTGCACAAAGGCGTCAGATATCTACTCGTTGGGGCTAGTAGTGAGTCATGCGTTTCGTTGAGAAGATTGTGCGGCTAATTTGCATCTACAGTACATCTATATCTTAGGAGGGGGTGACCTTCTGGTATTGCACGACTACCAAGAGCTTTTGAAGGCAGGCATTCCCCCAGAGCAAGAAGTAATTACTAAGCACTTCTGTTACTTTGGCCCCGTTCCGGAAAGCCTTTACGAGCAGATCAAAGATGAGAACTGGAGGACTGCTTTAAGAGGGGCGGCGAAGATGGCGGAGGCAGAAGTACAGGAACGACCAATGCTAAGATTAGAGACCTGGGGTCAACAATTGGGCGAAGCGGCAGTGGACCTGCTTTCAAAGACGACGAGTCTCGATCCCAAGAGTCGGTCGACAATCGACCAGGTATTGGCTCTCCCGTTCTGGCAAGATCCTGGCTCGTGAGATTTGCAGCGTAGAGAATGCACTTGCAACCAATGATGGCGCTCACTGTCCTACGCGTCCCTAGCTCTTTCATCGGTCACTTTCACACTTCACTAGTCATGACCTTAGGGGGACGAGATTTCGTGTCGCTATTGACGCAAACCAGCACTAAGTACAACTGGGTATCTTTGACCCTGCTTCGTCTGTTAGGCGAGCTGCGATGTAGAATCTACGAATATGCGATCGGCGACGGCAAAGCCAAGCGGTTGACCTGTCTTTACTTTGTACGGATGAGATAAATCTATCGCCTAGCCTCATCCACACGTCCGCAAACTGCCCACTGCAGTCAACCCGGGTGTCTGTTATCAAGGCGCACAAGCACGACCTCTTTGTTAGTGGAGTAGCAACAACTGACTTAGGTTTGGCATGGCTGGAAGTTTTCGATGGCCAAACAAAGCAGAAAGCGCGCACAGGAGAATACAGAGCTCTAGCAGATGATCGAGCAAAATAAGCTTAAATACGAGGACGAGCTTACTCAATTACGCGAGAAGAGATAGAGGGACAAGCTAGTTGGCGATGCTCTCACCAAAGACCACCAGAGGCTCGTCAAGGTAGCTACTATCATGTCCGCAAACCGCGAAGCCAAACTTGTCCAGGAGCATAGAGAGGCGGCGACGGTGCATACGGAAGCTACGGAGATGCTAGACAAGCAAACAGCACTGGTGAACAAGCTCCGCGAGCAAGTCAACAGGTTCGTCGAATACGAAGGTAGTCATATGCAATAGCTCATGAAAGTATATAATTTCACTTCCACTTTGAATTACCCTCCCAATTAGCAATCACGCCATCCCATGTACATCCTAATAGCGCGGCTCGACAAGCTTCGGAATAAACTTCAGGCAACTGTGCAAGCCCACTATAGTGACTAGTATAACCACCAATTAGAAGATTAAGATGTACAGACCAACAAGTCAGAGTACCCCGTTATCAGATCAAACTACACCATCTTTAGCTTAGTGCTGAGCGAAGAATCCTGCGGTCGGAGATCTGATAACGCTGTTAAATCCGAGCTCCGAAGACCTGCTACTTTGGGATGGCGAAAACAAATGTAAAAACCTGGGTCATGACTCCACCTAGGCGTGTGAAAGCACACACACATATACATATATAATGGCACCTTCCTCATTATTGATTTCCATGCCCCATATCTCATCGATCATTTCCCCCCTAAAGATGGCCCATATCATCGAGACCAAAAAGCCGATGTCCGAGCATGAGAAGACTACTCCAACTCCGTCCATTGTCGATATAGAAGCACCACATTCTATTCACAGCGTCGTGGATCCTAATGACAGACTCGAGCATCTCAAACAGGAGTACGGTGTACGTACCCTTATTTCCAACCCACCATTTCCCACACTAACATGGCCAGGCAACATGGACCTCTCTAACCGACCCCCACGATCCCTACAACTTCCGCCCACGCACCAAGTTCCTCATCGGTGCCATATTCTCGTTCGGTCAACTTATTCCCATAATGTCCGCAAGCATGATTGCCCCTGCGTTACCCGCCATCGCTAAGGACCTCCACGTAAGCGCTTCGACTGCGCAAATGACCATGTCGAGTTACTTCCTCGGCATGGCTTTTGCGCCCCTTTTGATTGCAAGTGCAAGTGAACTGTGGGGGAGGAAGAGAATTTGGGTGATTTGTAACGCAATTTATGTGGTTTGGAATGCGCTGTGTCCCGTGGGCAGGAAGGTCGAGTTGATGATTGTGGCGCGCATTATGGCTGGGGCAGGTGCGAGTGTTGGCGTGACGGTAATAATTTCTTGCAGCCAGCTATCCGTACACGTGGCTAACGACGTTAGTTAAATGGTCCCGTTATGGCGGACATGTACGGTGAGAAACACCGCGGCAAGTCTCTAGCCATGGTAACACTCCTCCCATACCTCGGGCCAGCTCTTGGACCCATCGTCGGTGGCCTGGTGACGCAGCTTGTGCATTGGTCGTGGGTCTTCTGGATCATGAGTATCTTTAATGCCTCCGTCATTGTGCTAGGTCTCATCTGCATCCAGGAATCGTATACCCCGGTTCTCCTCCGTCACAAAGCAGCTACTGAAGGTAACCGTGTCTCAAGCGAACTTTCTGCGAAGATGGAGCGAGTTCGAATAGCCGACCACATGATGCGACCACTGCGCCTCTTCGTTCGGCGACCTATCATCTGGTTCATCGCGCTGACCGGAACCCTTTCTTTCGGCGTGTATACTCTAATGCTGTCGACATATGCCACTCTCTGGATTGACAAGTACGGCCAGTCCGAATTTATCAGTAGCCTGCATTACATATCCCTTGCACTTGGCTCGACGATGTGCGGGCAGATTGGCGGCCACGTTATGGATGCCACCTACAAGAAGATGAGCGACCGAGCGGGCGGAAAAGGTGTGCCCGAGTTCCGCATCCCATATATGCTGCCTGGAATGATCATCATGCCAGCAGGTCTCTTCTGGTACGGATGGTCCGCCGAACGCAAATTATCGTGGATAATGGTCGACATAGGCGTTGTCGTCTTTACTCTTGGCAGCTTTGTTGTAGGGCAGGCGAACAATGCGTATCAGATTGGGGAATTCGCAGAGTACGCTGCGTCAGCGGGTGCTGCAAGCCGGTCGGTATCTTACATCCTAGCCTTTGTCTTTCCAATTTTTGCGCCCGACATGTACGCTAGATTAGGATACGGTTGGGGAAATAGCACGTTGGCTTTTGTTTCGATGGGCGTGGGACTTCCAGCCTGCGCAGCCATGTGGTTTTGGGGTGCCAAATTGAGATCGTTTGGCAGGGAAAAGTAAGCGTTTCATGGACAATGTTTGGAGAAGACTTCTGCGACTCAACAACTACTGGCCGGTCATACATCAAACGTGTAGGAGAGCTCTAAATTCATGAGCGAATATACGCACGTTTCTACCAATCATAGCCATGAAGGCGCAGAGACGAGAAATTACCATCCAAGGAGGAATGTGTAGCTCGTCTCTTGGCATAGATTTGCATATAAGTGTGTTATGGCCGCTACTTTTCGATCACCCGAGGATCATTTTGCGATACTGTTGTCGATTCCTCATCCCCCAATATACTTCCTGCGATCCTGGCGCCCTGTTCAAATAGAGACTCGCGATGCAGCTTCGTCCGCTTGATACCGAAGGAAATCATCAAGCCCAACGCGCTGACGATAGTGTATAAAACCCATGTTCCTCGCAATGCGCTTGTGAAGCCGATGCGGACCACCATTCTTTGGACCCCTGGAAGCTGAGCAACAGTACTAGCTTGTGAGATGGCTTCACCACCCGCAAGCTGATGTGCAAAGTCTTTGGAAATGCCACTGTTGACAAAATTTTCAAGGTGCGGCACCATGAGGAGCTGGAAAACGACTTGGCTGATAACAACACCAATCGCTCCAGACACCATGCGCACAAATCCAAAAGCGGCAGTACCAGTTGCAATATCAGACTCGCGAATACGTGTCTGCAAAGCGATGAGCGGAGCGCCAAAGTTTGGGCCGAACCCGAGTCCTATGACAATCAAGAATCCGATATTCTTCCCAAGGTCAGGGGAGGTATTGAATGAGATGAGAAGTCCCACTCCGATCGTCATTAGAAGTAGGCCAGCCTGCAGCACTTCAAGGAAGCGCCCCGTCTTCTCAATAATGTGACCAGATGCAAACGAAACAGTCGCTAGTGGTATCGCGATAGCCAACATGTATAGCCCCGTAACTGACGGAGTCCGCCCGAGCACGATTTGAAAGTACAACGGAAGAAAATAAGCGACCGAGTTGAACACGAGCGCGTCACAAGCACACACGCCTAACGCGCACATGTTGCTGACATCCCTGAAGATGCGTAGCGGCATAATGGGGTTTCCACCTCGTGTCCCTTCCCACCATTGAGTGACGGGGAATAGGACGTACGCCAGAGAACCAAGGGCGAGGAAGGAAATGACAAGTGGCCTGGAGTACGAGCTAGTGCCGCCAATCTGAAGGCCTACCAAGAGCAGGATGGTAGCAACGAGGATGGTTAAAGTACCGAGCCAGTCCATAGACGCAAGACCGGCCACTAGGGGAGTCTTCGGGTTGTGCAGATGCAGCGTAAAGTAGAGAATGACGATGGAGAAGGACACAATCGGTAGGTTGATGTAGAAGCACCATCGCCAGTTCAACTCTTGCGCAAAGATGCCGCCAAGCACAGGGCCCAAAGCAGATGCAACCGCCCATACGGCGCCTATCGTGCCTAGGTAGAAGGATCGATCGCGGATGCTAAACAAGTCGCTGACGGAGACGTGCACCAACACGATAACGCCGCCTCCACCCAGGCCTTGAACAGCTCGACCAGCGATCAGCATCGCGGCATTTATACTGACAGCGCCGATGATGCTCCCGCCTAGGAAGATGAGGTTCGCTGTCAGAATTACAGGCTTTCTCCCAAAAATATCGGACAGTTTTCCCCAGAAGGGCACTGAAGCGGCATTGGCGAGAAGATAGGCGGACCCAGTCCACGCGTACAGTGAATCCGGAATGTGGAACGAGAGGGATATGGTTGGTAGAGCAGTAGGAAGAAGTACGGTGTCCAGTGCTACCAGAAAGGTGGAGAGACTGAGGGCGATGAATGCGAGCAGTGTTGGGAGAGGTGGTCGGGGCCTGCGAACTGATGAAGGTTGCTTTTTCGTATCAGTCTTACTTGATGAAATGGAAGGGTCCGGCCCAACCTGCCCTTGATGTCCCTCTGGGTCTTTGGTGTCCATAGCAGAGCTGGAGAGAAGAGTGCGGCTCTCTGATTTAACAAGAGACGTGAGCCCTGGAAACGAACCGACCTGTGTACTGGTTGCGCAGTCTTCTGGCACGGATGAACATGCACGAGAAGATACTTGAGGCTCAAGAAAGGGCTGTGGGTGCTGCGTCGATGTGGTCTCTGTTGTTGTAAAGTCCTTTGCTTCGATGGAATGTCGTGAATCCATTAGTCCTCTTCTCCGAACATAAGCTCGAGCCTGATGATCAATGCACCTCCCTTAACCTCTTAAGCACATTTGTCTTGAAAGTGTATGGTTGGTATGAGCATGGGTTCAAGCGGATGAGCTATTGAGACCATCTAGCGGAGAATTTGCGATTCATAAAGGAGCGTAGGTCTCTCCGTGGCATGACCCCTGCGAATAGTTCCATTATAAACGCATGTCCTCGATATTAGACGCAAAGCGGTGCATGACGCCCTGCAGGTTCGAAATCGGGCCGAAATGTCGGAGAGATTGGGATGCTTTATGCGCACAGTTGCCGTATTTATGGGACCAAAATCCTTGGGTGCTTACGCAATGGGAACAGCATCGAAGCTAGGATTTTCCAACGACGTGGGAGTACGCGATGTGGTCCTCATAGCAAAGAATTAAGTCGCCCGTAGATTGTTTGCGCCTAGTGTGGTTCGAAAAAGGTGTTTCTACCTTACTGGTGTCATGAGGGATTTGCGGGTTCTCCAACAAGAACCTAAGAGGCTTGGAGGCGAGCTGCTGTGGTATGTTGTATGTGCGTTCAGCATCATGGCGCAAGGTTTACGCACAACGCGGTTTGGTGTGCTATAGCTGCAGTGTAACAGATTACGAGAGCAAATGCCGCTCCCGAAGAGGGCTAACTTGTGTCACAAACAGCTGGTTAGATCCTTTGCAGGTGCATTAGACCATCCAGCGTCGTCGATCTTCTCTCTACAGCCAATTCTCACACCCCATTAGTGTGATGATGCTACCACGAGGGCACCTGTTTGCATAGTACCTAGGTGAAATGCTTTGCCAATAATTTGTACATACTCTAGAGCAGAGAGCTGAAGGTAGCTAAGCCTAGGTTATGGTAAGGAGAAGGTGACCTGCGAGTCCCGTCGGTTACTCTCGACGGGGTCTGCCAAGAGCAGTACGATCGTAACGTCATTCTGAGAAAACAATCGTTCGTCGAGTAGGCAAAGTGCACCCCGGGATTATTGCGGGGATTTGAATAAGTAATTTTGGGTAAGCCGGTCTGATTGACTTTGATAGTAGCATCAATGTCGCGGATGTTAGCTTCGAGAACACCCAACCGCTGGGGCGTGGCGAGCCTAGAGTGTGCCAATCGAGAAGAGTTTTGTGATTCGCCAATTCAACGTCAAGCTAGGGAACGTATCCCTGTCTGCGAATATGTCGTGTAAGAGGGTATCCATGCTCGATCATCAGGAGGCGCTTGGCTGCGGGAACCATTTTCAAAGAGATGTTCGCAGATGAAGCTTGATGAACGAGCTCATATGGACCTGTAATTTACTAGCCGACCATTGCAGTCGAGCGAGAGTACTGGCTGGCGCATCTGGTGATGCCAAAGCTTACGCCACGTACCTTCAAACCTTGCTTCTGTCTGAGCTGCAGTCGATGGAGTCTCTTCACCGCTTCCTGAGACGAGAATGGCCTGCGAACATGTCGCGGAACGTGCTGCAACTGACGACCCACTACTCCAATTTTCAGCTTGCCGCCCAAGAGAATTGAATGCTTTCTCAAAGTGCATTGTGGCTGATCTCCTCAGCTAACGGCTATCAACATCCGTAGCGCTTGTGTTCGGCACGCTTCGGGGCTGGAAAACCCGATAGGGATGAGACGATGTGTGAAGAGGGAGGGGGAATTTAGTTAAGGGTCTGGCTGCTGACTAGCATGAACGAGCGTAGTAGAGCCTGAACGCCCAGGTTGCCCACGTGCAGGGACGTTATAGCCTGTACCCAAAGACATACCATGACCGCGCTTAATTGATATGGAGGTCACAACGCGGCGCCACGTTGGAGGAATCGATGCCTCTTGCACAGCTTTGTCGCGCAAGTCGAGAGGGCTAGAAAGGAGCCGTGCTCGGCAATGCTTCAAAGCGACCCAAATGTAAGGCGTGCAAAACACCTGCACAGCCAAGACAGCCCGCCAGCGAGAATTTGTTTTGAGACAGGAGCGGTGGCGATGTCTTACAGCATGACAGTCGGTTGCGGCGCTGCGTGGGCGTCAAAGGGTTGCGCAAAACCAGATGATGCCGTTTCAGCGAGGAACGATGAGTGAGACATGTGCGCTGTTCAGTCAGTTTTCATCTACTTGGTGTCGTACATGATCGTTCGTTGTCACGCATAGCCATTCGCTTCCGACACGGTTTGTCGTGCAAAAACGCTGTCCTTCGGGAAAGCGGATGCCTCTCCCGGGTCATTCGTGAAACCTTGGCAAAGAGTTCCCCTAACAGCCATTGTCTTCTAGAGCCGATATTGCGCTGGCATATCTGGAGATGACGGGTGATCAGTCGAGCGGCACGATGATGATGGGAGAGAAAGATGCCAGCGCGATGCGCAGCCAGATGCGGCCCGACCCCGCCATGCATTAGTAAGCACTCAACACTAACGCGCATACATATTGTTACAAGATACCTACACGCTTCACATCGAGCGCATACCTCGTAATTTCATTAATTCATTTTGCATGAATCCTTTCAGAGCTATATTGTCGCCGCATTAAAAACGGTGCTGCTTGTCGACGTGACCCTTGTTCACTCGACGATAGTTTACTCATTATTTGCAGCGGCCGACGCTACTAATCATGTCCAAGTCTTTCTCGTTGTTGGAAACATCATACTAAACCTTCGGCAAGCTCAAAATGAACATAGCTGACTTTCTCTTGTTGTAAGACGTTTCGATGCGATCTACAAGTGCTTAACCCCGAATCACCGCCTCAGCGGGTCCTCGTCTACAGCAGATGCAGTGGGTTGCAAGAAGCGCAGGATACTTCCTTATTTTGAACAATCAATAAAATGAGGCTGATTGTCATTTAAGGAGGAAATAACAAGAGGAAATAATAAAGAGAAGGATAGTGCAAATATTGAAGACCATCCTGCAGCATGGTCGACACATCCTCTGACTTCACTGCTTTCGGCTACGCTCTCCAACGGTACTTCGGCGAACCAGTGCATGATGTCCTTAATTATCCAGAAAGTCATAATAGCAGGAGCTACCGGATCAGCTGATATCCCGATCCTCAAAGCCCTCCTTGATGACTTGGAATTTTGGCTCGTTGAGGCTGCCCTCTCAGCAGGAGTCAAGCGCTTCATCCCTTCTGGATCCGGCACAAACAATCTTGACCCCGCGCGCGCGAACTTGTGCCCGTTCATGATTGTAAAGGCGAGATGCCGGAGTACCTCATCGCCAAATCCAACGACAGCAATGGCGCACTAACATGGTCGTCCATTTCTTGCGGCTCCCGGGTCGACTGGGTGTTCTAAACCTGCAAATTCAGGCAAATCCCTGGACTTTGATGTCAAAGGGCGCAAACCTACCATCTACAACGCTAGCTACAAACGCTACACAGTGACCCAGTCTAGGAACACTAAGCTCACTGTTGCTAGGGCACTGCTCAATGCCAGTAGTTCGGCGAACAAGCAACTATCTCTCTCTCTGACTTTACAACTACGTCTTGGGATGTTGTAAAGAGTGTAGCGAGGTAGAGGCGAGAAGCTTGTAATATGATCGAAGGACAGTAAATCGGACATTAGGTCCTATGGGGAAACGTTTACTGCAGGATATTTCAATGTAACGACCCGCAATACTAATTATCTAGTCTTAGGAGGCCTTGACAGCTTTACCATTTTGTTACTACTATTTTGTTATACATAATCGGCTTCGCAGCATTATCAGCAGCTTCTGTACTTGCCTTCTCTCGCATATCATACAGCCTCATTGCACAATACTTCGCCATCCAAGTAGCGCCAAATCGATTCACTGTCTCACTATTTCACTCTGTTTTCCGAAAGAAGTGTCTACTTTTAGCTTTCACTCCTGAGGTTGACCTGTGCGCCGTGCGCACCACTCCCCCCTCTCCAATAGATACATATGTTTCTAGTCTACAACGGCAAGAAGATACTCATCACTTCGCAAATCTACCTCCACCTCAACTTATTATCTACCATCCTGACTATCGAAACCATGCCGTAAGTTCAACACGCAACAGGACTTTGTTTTATCTTGTGCTTACACTCATAGGAACAAGCGGAAGAAGATTGGCTTCAAAGCCAACCCTCATCTAAAGCGACGACGCATAGATATGCAGAATACACCCCTGGATTCTCCTATTCAGCGCATGTCTCTATCAGAAGCTGCTGCGGCAAACAAGAACAATCGATTTCTTTCGCTTCCAGGAGGTAAGATACTAAGTAGTTTACTTGGCCACGAAAACTAGAGCTGAAATCTCGTAGAACTCCTTAATCGAATCTACGACCTTGTCTTAAGTGACTTCCAAGACGTATACGGTGGATACAAACAACGCGACATTTCGCCGTTGGCAGGTGGCCAACATCCTCTGCCAGGCCTGAAATGCAGTCTTGCTCTTATCGCCCCCGAGACACGTCTATCTACCGAGAAGGCCGAATACACCTACATGAAGAAGGACTGGGTGGCTTTGAGTCACGTGAGTCGTCAGATGCGTAGTCAGTTCCGCACACGGCAGAATACAACAGCTCATGTCTACATCTCTGCAGAGTTGCTTGGTGGCTTTTTGCGCAAATTCTTCGGGTCCAACGATGTCGTGCTTCCGCCCGAGCATCCAGCCAAGTTGACGGTCATCTTTGCGGAGAAATCGAAAATTGATGTTCTACCGCTCATGCGGCTACTTCACCGCGCTCCAACTCTGCAGTATGACATCTTGACGCTTGGTGACGCAGGTGCTCACGATCAAGGCCTTTATCAAATGATGTTTGGGGCCCAGGATTCCCTACGCACGCACCTCACAACCACACTATTTGGACAGATCAATCGCGTTTCCTTCTCACCTAAGGGTTTCCTTGAGATTCGCATTAAAAGCGAGTTTGGCAGAGATTGGATGAAAGTTGACCACAATCAACCGTGGACTGGAGACCTCTGGCACAAGACCCATGGCAAAAGCCTAACGAAGGAGGGCATTTGGATCAAGGATCGACAGAACGGGACGCGCAAATGGCTTGAGGATGCAGGTATGGATATTGAATTCATTTCGTACTGGAGCGTGACTGTAAAAGTCCAGGACTAGGAGGCAGCCGTTGATATACCCTAGTCATAAGGGTTGGATTAAGCGAGAGTGAAATTACACAAGATTTGATCATCTTCCTTTCAACTCTTTCTTTACTTAGTCCAATTCAATGAAGGTTGTGCAGCACGAAATATATTTCATCTTTGTGGGCGAATTGCCAGGCCAGTGAGCCTTCTAAATACGATTGCCTACTTTGTTTTCTCCGCTCCCTCTGCACATACTTGGCCTTTCTTAAGCCCCAAGTCCTTTTAGGTACTCTGATTCAATCCAAAGCGTGGACTTGCATGTGCCTGTATAATAGTCAGAGTAACACGTGAACTTTGACCCAATAAATGTGCGCTAGGCTATTTCAGTCATTGTATGTGATCGTTAAATCAGACGCACGTGTCCTAGAACATGCACTGTAATTAAAATTATCTCCACTCTTAAGATAATCCTCTATAGTAGCGACGGTTCGATAAGTACTTGGCTTAGGCGCCTCTACAAAGGGTTATTGTCGTTATACCTCATGTATAATTCGCCGAAAGCTGTATAAGAACTTTCATTTAATTCTTTTGTTACACAGGTTATTAGTGAAGTCACAATGTAGTCGATATTAATGGTAATAGAACAATAGAATCCTTTGTTAGGTCCTGAATTATAGCGTGTCTTTGTTGTGTGCAATACAATGTTTAAAGATACATACAGCGCTTTGTCTTTTCTTGAGTATATGCTTCTAATTGTGTTCTTTGGTAGGACTGATATTACTTGTGCGTGAGACCAAGATATTTGATCTTGAATTCTAATAAGAGAGCCACTTCCAACGTTCCAAAGCTCACGATCACAACAGCATACAGCCCTTGAAGCCAAGCTAAGACGCCCACCCCACACTCTCTTCCTTTACTAAAGAAACATATCAGGTACAGCATGTCGTAAGTATCGTGGCAAGCTCAAATCTCAGGACTGCTACTAACCTTCCACAGCCGCAAGCGTCATCATGATGGCAGTGATCCAAATGTCCGCCGCCCCCTTGCGCCGCAGTCGAGGATATCAAGGTTTAATCTTAATCAGGAAAGATTCCCGTTGAGGTTTCCTGGTGGTACGTGCCTATATTATTTTACCGTAGCCTTGCTAATGCACAACAGAGATTCGAAACAAAATCTACCAAATCTTATTCGATGATTTCATGGAAGATTATCGGCCGTATATAATCATGCGAGAGGGCATTGATCCGGGGTGCACTTCAGGCTCTCCATGTCGACCAATAGTAAATTCAGAGCATCCACTAGTATTAACTGCACCATATGGGGATGGGGTCATTCCATACGACCAGTTCGGATTCTGGATTGACGCAGCCGAGCAGACAATTCTCCACCAACGTTATAGAGACATGAAAAGAGATCTTATTGCAGTGGGGCAGATATCTCAGCAGTTCATGCACGAGTATAGGTCTTTCCAACGCGCTCGTCTTGATCCCTTCGTGCACCTGGATGAGCTGGAGAACTTTATCAACATCTTTTACCCGAGCAAAGACCTCGCCGTTGCGAATAACTACCGAGGCAGGCTAATTACCATCACCCTTCCAAAACATACCACTGACACTTACGACATCCTACCATTGTTGCGATTCTTCGCCCGCGCGCCACACCTACACTGCAACATCTGGGCATTACTGACCGTGTCTCGTCCCGGAATGTGGCACGGTGAAGAAGTTCGTGATGCCTTATTCGGCGCTACAAACTCCTTACGCTCTTACCTTGCTACACCAGCCCCTGAGTCACTAAGTATTGTAAATATCGAATTTCGAACCCATGGTGTGGTCCGGCGCTATCGTGGCAATGCTTTCAACCATCATGATAAATATCACTCGGCAATATTCAAGGTTACATTTGCCCCTACAGACAGGCAGGATTGGATGGATGGCAACTTTATTTACTTTCAAAACAACGCTTCACGCACCGGGACGAGAATGAACAAAGACAGGGCGAGAAGACAGCATATTTTGCAGTTTTTGAAAGATGTTGGGATGGATTTTGATAGCATCAGGGAGAGTTGGGAGATGAGTTTTGGTGTGCTGGGCCAAAGTTGAATAATAGAGCTCGAAATGAAAAGAATCAGGGGTACCTATGCATGGACAAATGGCCCAATGTGCTCTCAGCAAAAATCAAGAAACATTTCTTTTTCTGCGTGGCCTACAAAGGTCTTATTCTAGTAGTTCGTATCATTCATTCGTTGCCCGAAGAAAACTGCATATACGAAAAATGTAACGAGCGCCTGCGCCATACTAGGAAAACGTAATCTAAATAGCGCTGAATTGACTCTTGGACGATTATGACTTCGGTTGCTTGTATAGAGTAATGGTTTTACAATAGCCTTTGGGTTCTTTGAAACAGAGCTAGTTAACTGGTTATAACTAAGTAGCTCATGACCCGTGCGGAGGTAGCGAGTTGACCGCACGTGCACACCAGCCGACCAGAATACAATGTAAGGCCAAGTGCCGAGATGCTCTGCTACTCTGGATATTGCTTAATTTCTCAATTTGCTGCATTACGTTCATTCGCCAGGAAGCTTCTACCATATTGGGTAATCGGCACAAGGCACCCCTGCTCATCAGCTGCACCCCACATTTCCACTTTGGAGACAAGACTACGCTATATTCAGATTTGGATATTAATAGGCATAACTTTGTGCTGAATCCTCTTGCATTCATTTCTCCTGAAGCTTCCCAGCCTTCACTACAGACCCGTCATTATGTTGGGGCTCATTATACCAGCGTTATTTGCAACATCCGCGTATCCACTCGCGCATCATCTTGCTGTCGGAACTACTGATGGACAAGCGCTCTACTCGTTGGAGATGAACGTTGAAGCTAAATCTGTTTACATGATTCAAGCTAGAGATGCAGCTGGAGCTTCGTCGTCGCTGGCTCTTGATGTGCGTATTCTCGATTGCTGATTGCAGCCTATTAACCTTCAGTACAGCGATCTAAAAAGCACTTGTTCAGCAGTCGACCGTCAGATGGGACACTGACTCGGTACTCTATCGCCTCCACCTACGAGCTAGTCAGTGAGGGGACCATGGACATACCTTCATCATGTCAGTTTACATCTGCCCAATACTTCATTATGTAGTCAAAATGTTGACAGCGCAGGCAACACAACCAAATTCACGTCCCTCCATCTCACCTCTTCTACTAAAAACCTTGGGATCTGGGGAACGGCTAGTACCGGGACATGCAGCGTGCTCTTTGGACTCACATCCGACGGTTTTACCACATTGCGGTCTAAGGAGATTGCCGGAGACGTGCACTCACTTGCCTGGAGCTCGGATGGCCGCAATCTGCGTGCTCTAGACTCGCATTCATCAGCGTCTTCCGCGACCTCAATTACCAACTTCCGTATTGCTGACGACCCAAACCTGGAGGATATTGCTGGCACAGACGTTCTCGCAAATGTCACCAAAGCATCGCAGATCGTATCGCATCCCAGCTCAAACATGGTCTACCTTATTACTAAAGATACAAACGAGCTCATTACAATATCGCTACAACAGAACAAGCACATACGCCGCCGTGCAGCCTTGTCACCGTCACGATACAAGCTTCTACCATCTTCGCTCGATGCCACCCAGTTTCACGCTTCGTCTCTTGCTATTACTTCCTCAAAGACGACTCTCTGGACTCTTACCCAATCTCCCAATCAAGCTGTAATCACAGCCTTTAGTCTAAACGCTACCACTGGTGAGGTCGTTGATGTTGCTGCGCGGGCCAGTTGGAAGGGTGCTGGCGAAGGGCAGCTTGCCGCAGCCCCATTTGAACTTGGCAATGTGGTTGCTATCACTAATTCACCGATGGGTTATATAACACTTCTAGGACTGGACACAAGCTCTCCAGCGGTTGGTCTCGAGCTTGATCAAAGTAGTAAGCATGACTTCCTGCAACCCATGGCTGTGGACAATATCAGCGTGGAGGCAGCAGCTGCGAAGATTCAAAGTTATGGCCGGAGAAGTCTTGATGACTTTGTTGGGCTAGGCGAGGGTGTTTGGATCGATTAAAGTCTGACATGTAGACAAATTTACCATATGATCCATGTGATCACCGGCTCTTTCGATGGCAGTGGGTCGCTCGGGTGTGTTTATTGTATCTACAAATTCACCGCTATTCTATTTACGTCAACGATGTGACCGTGCCGCAAAGTCATCCCCGGTGCCTTGAATAACACAAGCAAGGAACTTCCAAGTTGTTGAAGTAAGCGTGTAGCGCATTATGAGACGGACTAAATGAGACTTTGTTTCGCGCCGAGCGCTGAATCTCCTTGGCCTCTTCCTGTGACGGATCCGATGCAGAGTGCTGTGCGTGTCTTCAAGACAATACTATGCCCAGGGAATTAGCGCGCACGCCGAAGGAATGTGCGTTCTGGCACGGTCCTGGGCTTTGAGAGTATAAACTTGTGGTATGGCGGCGCGGATATCAACACACCACCGCGCATGAGCTTGCCCCTTGCCCATCACCTACCTAACAGCGTCTGTAAGGATTATGCACGCAGTACGCATGCCTCGTTATTCGATGGTGACTACCTCCGGGGAATATTGCATGAGCTGATCACGGACGTAAGCGATGCTTAATTCCAAGCCAAAAGTATAGCGCAGAACATGCAAGCTCAGCATCATAATTCAAGATATTTTCTACTTTAGTCATCATCTGTTAAATCACAATATCAATGCTCGCAGAAATTGTACGACTGCTCTTGCCACCTCCCTTCAGCCGTCCTATGAAACGCACCCCGCTCCTGCATCAACTTCGTCCTATGCTCCATTGCCTCCTCGACGCTCATAGGAAGCCCATTTTGTCCCTGCTCGAAATACTCTTTTACCATGTCCATAAGCTCCGCCGGTAACCTACAATTCTCACTAGCCTCAGCTCTGTTAAGCCCGTGCTGCACTAATAGGGCGACTAGCTCGGGTGGGAGTATGGATAGAGCTGCGATTCGGGCTGAGGGGGTGGAACCGAGAAGTGAGTCAGCATACCATGTCATTTGCTGTGGTGGGATATTGGCGGTCGAGATGATCCGCTGGGTTGGATCGACAAGCCAGAGAGCGATGAAGCGGCGGTGGCCAGGCTTGGTGGGGTCGATAAGACGGAAGGGTGAGACGCGATGTTGGCTATTGTTGATGTTAGTGACCGCATCTATGGAACACTAGCCCTTACTTACAAGACGTTGGGGAACGCGAGCAGGCGTCCTTGGCGTGTCTCTACACTACCGTAATTTTGCAGGCATGGTGTGTTGCAGCCAAGCGACGTGCCATAGATCCTTTCCATCCAGTGGTATGCATCTTGCCCAACATTGTATGCCTTATCGTCGTTCATGTACATAGAAGTCTGCATGCGGAAGGAAAGGCTGCTGTTTGTGATATTTTCGCTGTCAAGGTAGTACAGTGCAGTAGCGCAGATGTGTTCATTCATCTGTCCTTCCACGTGCCATCCACCGATCGGGAACTCTGGTTTCTCGGGGGTAAGCTCAATGGATGCCATCTTCACTATGATTTGAAGGCCTGAGTCATAGAAATAGTCGGCGAGACGCTTTCCCTCTTCTGGTGCGTATTCGATATTTTTGAAGGAGGGCTCGGGGATTTTAGGCTTGCGAAAGAGCTCCCACTTGATCCGGCTGAGGTCGGAATATTCAGGACGGTAGCGTAGCTCATGAAGCTTCTCTTCGGTGACTTCTTCGCGTGCGCAGTCCTCGGCAGTGTTTAACCAATTGTCGCCATTTTCGTCACTAAAAAGACATCGGAATTAACAAAAGTGACTCAGACTCAGACTCAAACAGGGTGATAGACTTACTCGGGGTTATCTGGCTTGCCAAACCGAGGCGCAGTGCGCCCGGCGCCGTCTTTCTGATCATAGTCTGTAACTATTGCGAGGCATTGGTCCCACATGGGCAGAGACAATTTGACCAACTTCTCAATCGTGCGATAGATGTCCGGGTACTTGGCGGGATGTAAGTTGTTGATGTAGCTAGTAAATTTCACATTGCCGTCCCTTTGAAAGACGACGTTCGCTGGCAGCCATTGATACGTATCGGACCAGCAATTGGCTGAAACTTGCCCATCGTGGCGTCGCGCATCACCCCCTATCACATCGTCTCCAGGAGCCACATCACCCGTACCCGCCCATTGATCGATGGCATTCCCTACGCCGACACACTCCCGATAAAAGCCAAGACTTCGTCCATAGACTAAAGGATACATAGACGGGTGAACCAGATCCTGAACCATATCGTTCGAGTTGGGATGCCAGTCCGGCGAAGTTTCTTGGTCGGTCTTGAGCTTATCGAAGGCGTTGCGGAGAGCGTCATGCAGCTCTGCAGATACGAGTTTGTCGGACTTGGCCACTGATGCGCACGCATCGAGAGTGGGAACAATGCCAGTCTCTTCAAAGTATTTGGCTTTGCTGCGAAGTTCCTCGACACACTAAGACCTATTAGCAACATCCGAGAAGACTATAGAGAAACAAACATACACAGTCAAACGTGACCTTATTCATGATACCTTCCGGGGGTACGATACCATCATAATCTTCCTCGTCAGGCAGCCATCCGCCGTCGTTGTTGTCCCAATACTGCCTCTTTCCGCTGATCGCCAGGTCCCAAAGCTGTTCGTCAGGAATCGCAAGCGCTTCTTTGCGCCACCTTGCCACAATCTCTTCATTAACCACCTTGCTGTGCCAGTCTTCTTTGTCGGTTAACTTTTCCATGATATCCATCATCGCGAGCTCACGCACAGGGATCACGTCCGACATGGCGCCACGGCCGTATTCGTGGGCGCCTATCGGGTAAAAACCATAGCGTTGCTCGGTAACGTAGCGAACTGGAAGGCCAAGGCCTGGGTAATTGGGCAAGATTGCCTGTGGTATGAGTGGCTTGTTGTGAAACTGTAGGGTGCGTGCCATGTTGTTTTGCAAACGCTTAAGGCTACCCAGCAGCTATATATACCCCATCAGATTGAATTACCGCTTCTCAGCAAGTTGCACACCAATGTATCACTTTAACTATATTGTAGAAGCGCTAGGCCAGGCATCATCGTGTTGCCTAGTTGCGATGATTGTTTGGAGAGATAAAATAGGGGTTGAACGCGTGATCGCGTGATCGCGTGTTCGCCGCCTAGCCCTTGCCGTTTCCCGACAGCCCCGCCGAAACCAGGCAACAAGGCGTCAGCCTACGCGGAGCACTTTAAAGCACGCTTGGGCAACCAGTATGTGAACCATCAACTGTACACACTGCAACAAAGCAAACCAAGTCTGGCCAAGATACGTAGGCTCATGGCCGACAACAGCAAAGCTACCCCCAATTGTGCATCCCTACGCTGCAGTCTCACTCAAGATAATGTCCACGGCTTGCTCGGCCATAGCTGAGGAGCAGGTTAGCAGTGCGATACAGAGGATGATTCGAAGATTGACTTGCCATAAACAGGAACCTGATAGTGTGCTGCTAACGGCTTCGGAATCTTGAAGCACAGTCAGCCTTTCGTCCTCTTCACGCAGGCTAAGGTCATGTAATACTGACCACACTTGCGTCTACGACGCGTAGGTTCGTGATTCCATAGACCTTCAGGGAATTGTCCACTACCTGTCCCATGGCCGCAGTACCACCAGGGTGGAACACTGTAGTCGCACCCATCCTAATCCGTGCATCGATCTCTTCGTCCGAAGCATACGTCCCAAGAATCGGATATCCAGGAGGTGTATGCTCACTTTGAACAAGCTCTTTTCCTTCAGGCGTCTCAAGCATCAGTCGCGAGTGCATTCTGAAGCCCTCACGCATGACGTGTTGGTCCATCTCCGTCGCATAGTAATTTGGGTCGATGATAGGCGCATCGGTGGCGTTGGAGGAAGCCAGTGTGACGGAGCCTCGAGATGTAGGTAGACATCCCATGACGAATGTCGATACAGATGCGCCATCGAGGGGAATCTGCAGGCCCTGTATTTCTGCTCCCAAAGCACCGTAGAGAAGAAGCATTTCCAAGTGCGTACGCGGACCCTTGAGCAACGGATGATCATCGGAGACCAATTCTTCATCATTCTCAATTGCAGCTTTAAGAGGCTCGACAGGGATCGGCGCCCGAACTAGGAAGTCCACTGGTCCCCCCAAGTTGTAATTTGGACCGCCAAATTCGGGTGATCCGAGTGCAAGGCCCTTCTCTGGGTACCTAAGCTTCCAGTAGCGGAAGTGCCCTAGGTGATCATGCAGGTTTTGACCCACAGATGGTAGATCGACAGTGATGGGGATTTTGTATTCGGAAAGGTGCGAAGAGTTACCGATACCGGAAAGCATCAAAACCTGTGGTGTCCGATAGGCGCCGGCTGAGATGATCACTTGCCCTCCTCTCTTCAGTTCAATGATCTCATCGTTAGCGAGCTCAACACCGGTGGCAGTCTTTGTCTCGTCAATGATAACGCGCTGTACCAAACTGTCGGAGTGCACCTGAACGCCTCCCAGAGGATACGTAGACTGCACGACCTGTCGCTTCCCATTTCGCCAGTTCTCGACCAGGTCACTGATACCTTGAGGACGGCCATCATTGAGATCGTGATTATGCTTTAGATCTAGACGTGACCAAAGCTTGAGCACAGTGTCACGCAGCGGGTATTTACGACCGGTCGACCTGACGGATGCAGTATGCACTGGCCCATCGGAGCCATGCTGCACAGGATCAGCTTCAGGATCAAAGTGTTTTTCGCTGCGCTTGAAGTATGGAAGCTGGCCATTGTAGCTCCAGCGTTCATCGCCTACGTCTTGTGCCCATTCATCGTAGTCGAGAGCGTCTCCTCGAATCCAACCGCCTAGCACGGTCAGCTAGTTTCAATGTCACTAGTGCAAGTCCACAAACCGGTGTTAATGACTGAACCGCCACCTAGGGCCTTGATACCGCAATTGTATTTTGGTTTCCCATCCAGATGTTCTTGTGGCGTGGTGAAGTACTTGTAGTCTAGATCTGAGAAGTGAAGTAGGCTAGCTTCCGTAGGGTTCAGTACGTGATCATGATTCTTTGGATCTGGTCCAGCTTCAATGAGAACGATTAACAGCGAAGGTCTTCTTTGGTGTAAGCGCGATGCGACTACGGTGCCTGCTAATCCGCCACCCACGATGATAATGTCTGCCATTGCTGCAACTTGAGTGAGTTGTAAGAGGATCGACGGCTCAAAGGGAGAGAGGTTCGACTTTAAATGAATTTTGACGTGGAGGCACTAATGCTGGGCGATCGGGCGTACATGCGCCACGATACAGTCAGCACTATAGCAGTTACCGGCTTTACTCTAGTGCCTCGACGCTATACAGACTTTGGGTGTTCACCAAGAGCACCACCTTTCTTACTAAGGAAATTCCAGATACGACCATTTTCTATACATTTGGGTGCCACACCAAGTCCAACCCCAGGAGACAGGATCTACGTGACAGCGAACGCTAGCTACTCGTGAAATTGCAATACGATGAATACCTAGAAAAGATTATTAGAGTCGAGAACGAGATCTCATGTTAGTCGTATCTCTTGCATTAGAATCCTGCCTAAAACTAGACTTCCATGTTCCCCTAGGCAAACAGGGTTTCATACCACCTTATTTCCTATACTGCCTTCAATCATCACTTCTCGTGCAGGTTTTGTACGCCAGTCAGTCCATAGTATCTTCTTAAATTTGGCCGTGAGTATCTGAGCGTCCAATTACTGCATGCCGCGTTCCCAGAGTTTCGGTTTGTCTAAGAGAGATCTCATCAGATGGGTCCAAATTTTCCTTGTTTGTCTTGCGCCGGTGCCAAAGACACCACCAAATGATAACTCCAAGCGCTGGTACTCCAAAGCCGATTCCTACTCCGGCTCCGATCCTCATGTTTCGTCTTTTACGAGCGTTGTTCTTATTGGTGTCTGTCCCTGGTGGAGGCGAAAGCGACCCTGAGGTGAGATTGCCAAGCGCCCGTGGAATTATAACGATCTCGGAGGCGCTGCCAGACGTGCAACAGTCCGTTGAATTTCCGCAGCACCATTTTTCGGAAGTGCCTGATTGATCGCAGGGCGTAATTTGGGCAACGTCGTCTGCAGCAAGCTACTTCAACGTTAGTCTTTCTGCGCTGCAGCGCCAGCCCCAAGACTACTTACACCGATATTACAAACATCCAAACACCCACTCCAGTCTTGATTTGTGCAATAAACCCTGTAGTAGTGTGTCCATGGAGGTTTTTTGTCCCCTTCAACACTGCTCCAGCCTCGATTTTGGCACAACCCGTTTGGAAGACATTCATCTGCCGTTGGTCCTAAGATAATGTCTCCACCAGGAGGATTTTCCCACTTCGTATGGCAACATACTGTGTGGAGTGGATTTCTGGGGTCAGGTGAGCATGACTGAGCCCATCGGTCGTCAAGCGCAGTTCCATTGGGGAGGAAGCAGGAGGAAACGGAGACTTCGACGAGCGTAGCAATTAGGAGTATTATGGACAGTGAAGACATCGCTGGAGAATTCGCGGTGTTCAAATCTGATACCTCATCATTGATTAGTTCGAACTGGTTTTATGTCGTCCTCAGCCCCCATCCATTGAACATACTTCACTGTTTAGCCCCCCATCACGATGTCTGGAAATGACACCTCCGGCAGAAGGCTGGAAATCCCCTCCAATCGGTGTACCCTGCCACGACGTTATCGCTGTGATCTATTTAGGTGCCACTTTTTATTTTAGTGTTCGAAACAAGGCAATTTGGGGACCTTTTGCGGATGCAAGAACCTCTGCAGGGGCGGGGTCGTGAAGAGGGGGCGTCAAGCGACCAGGCTGAAGTACAGCCCCGACATCACATTCATATATGAAGGTTTTCTGGCTGCGGTAGGTAACTGTAATGGTGTGTCTACACATAAGCTGAAGCTAAGCGGACCGATAGTTCTATTGATGAAGGACCTGTTCACCGTGCCACAATGATACGCCAATGGAATATCAGAACTGCGCAGTTTCAAAGCAGCGGCTGCATGTACTAGATAGCTTCTGGGGGTGAAAGCCAAACATCTTCTAGGGTGGGCTGATAGCTGAACGAACAAAACGTACAACACCAGATGTAGTTTGTAGTTCCCGACGTTCTTCGCCATTGGGGGCCGACGTTCCACAATGCTAAAATCAGGCTTCGCTTCGGAGGGTATACGGTCGTTAAAGCAGTGAGAATTCTCGTGCCGTCTTACAACGCTCACCGTCAAGATATTTGAAGTAAAAGCGGCGAGAGGGAGACATGCATTAGCGAGGTGTGGACATGGTGCAGGTGACTAGTGTATACGGGTTCTTTCAGGGTTTAGCGGCTTGGCAAATTCGCTTTCACTCTGCACGTCATCGCCCACCCGAACACCTAGATCTGCCTGACCGAACAACGTGACATCGATATAACGAGACCAGGCTGTTTGGAGTCAGCTAGTATACACCATGTCCAAACCCAAGCCATTCCCTGCAATAACAGGCAGCTGTGTCTGCAACACCGTCCGCTATCGCCTGCTCACATCACCACTGTATGCACCGTCGAAAATCTTGCTGAACAGGTACATTTGACTAATAGAATACGCAAATCTAAAGCTATTGCTATGCCTGCCACTGCGCGGATTGTCAAAAGTCCTCCGGTGGCGCATTCGGCTGGTTCCTCAATATCGAAGCATACAACATCAGCATCATCTCGCCCACACACCCTGTGATTGTAGCTCGGGAAAAGAAGCCGGGCGCTCTGGACCGACACATGGAGTGCCCAAAGTGTAAGACGGAGCTTTGGAGTAACAACGTCTTGGGCACAGCAATTTGCAGTATAAGAGTTGGCACGCTAGATTTTCCCAGTTTGATGGAGCCGGATGTGCACTCTTATGTTGGGAGTAAGGTCGAGTGGATAAAACTGCCAGAGGGAGCCAAGACGACGGAGAAGGAGGTTAATCACAAAGAACTCTGGCCGAAGAGTAGTTTGAAAAGGTTGGAAATCTGCATGGCAAGGGTGGCGGAGACGACGAGGAAGAAGCAAGCCGCGTTAGCGGAGCCTCAAGAGGGAACAACCGGGGGTGGTGGTGAGGGGGATGCAGAGGGAACTGGTGGCGAAGGAGAGAAGACGCCGACTGCTGTGGAATTCGAAGACAAGGATGCTGAAGATGACGAAGCATTTGAGAAAAGATTCAAAGAGACGGAGAAAGCCCTACAGGAGCGTTTGGAGAAACTCAGCCTCAAACTTGAAGAAGAGGAGGTAACGAAAAAGGCCAGAGAATTGACCCTCTGAAGACTCGCACTTTACTACCAGGCTACCATGTAATTTCTCGAACCAATCTAGTCACTTACTGGTGTGGTGGGCTGTGTTAATTGTATGAATCCATCTTTCTTATATTCTTCTCTTATGCACATATACACCTCTATTCGTGCCTGACCCGCACAAACTTCACTGTCGAATAAGTCACAAACTACAACCCAGGTCTCGCGCAGTATCCCCTTGAAAAGCAACTGTCAGCTCGGCCAGGCAGACAAATGATAATCACGACCCCTTTGCCATGTGTAGATACGTAGAAAGACATTCGGAAGACATCTGTTTGCTTAGAATATGGCAAATTGCATGTTGAATTATGCTATAGCTTAGTTCACGTATACACCACTCAATGTAGGCCTTGTTTTGGGGTATGCAATATATTACAGCGCTGTCTTTACATACTATACATCGGCCTAGGCAGTTGCACTCCTGAACGGGTTTCTTATCTCAGGCAAATACTTGAGAGCACCCTTCTTTTGTTCTGGCTCCGGCTCCGGCTCGGATAAGCGCAGCGAACTTTGGTACGACGCATCGTCATTTCCTTGCAGAGCGTGGATGATCCTCCCAACTTCGTTGTTTTTTTCAATCTCGAACTCTTCCGAAGAGAGCAACGCAGTCTCACCGCGTACCTTGTTCAACGCCAGTGTTTCGTGCTCGATCAGCTCGGGCCATTGCCCGGACGCATAAAGCGCATCTTGCATGTCTGCCCACTGGACATTGACACCTTGGAGGCTGAATGGTGTAGGAAGGGCCTTCTTCAGTACCCGTGGCAGGACAGAGCGAGCAATGTAGTGGTCACGGGACTCGGCCAGAGCCTTGGCTTCGAAAGCTTGTTCCAGGGCGATCATCTCGCTTTCGTTTTGCGCGAGAAGATCCCTGTCGATATCGAGGTCTTCAGCTGAGCGAGTGGGGTCTGGATTCTCGAGGGCATCCTGGAGTGCACGAGCCCGTGCCTTCAAGTCAGCCAACTTGGCCTCTGCACCCTCCTCTTTAGCTGGGGCGGCTTGCCGCGCCAAGTCTTCCTGGAAGTTCTTGAACTGCTCCGCTTTTCGTTGGGCATATTGAACCTTCCGTAAGCGGGTTTCGTTGCTTTGCTTCGCCGCCTGTAGGCGCTTCTGGTCTGCCTCATTCTGGTTGTGCTTCATCCTAAGCTTCATGTCCAACGACCGTACCTGATGCTCCAACCACTTGACATTATCAGCCTCCTTCTCCTTGGCCGCAGCAGCATTTGCCAGGATATCGATTTGCTGCCATCGCTTGTCCAAGAAGTCAGTCGCCTTTTGCTGCTGTGCTTCCTGGGCTTCTGTCATCTTTGCTCCATGTACTTCCTGTATGCGTAGAACCTCGGCCAGATCAGCGCTCATATTTGCTCGCTGGTCCATGATCTTTCTGATTCTCTGTTTGAGAGGCAGATTCTTGTACTCGGGGTCTGTCTTGTCCCATGCCAGCTCGTGGAGTTTACGGAACTCTCGCAGTTTCCGAAAGGCATTGTGGCCTTGCTCGGGGGTAGGAAAGGTAACGACACAGTGCGGTATCCATTCGTCGGGACGCAGGACAGGCGGCTTCGAGTGCTTGCCGATGAAGGGCAGCTGCTCAAGATGGTGGTTCTAGATGGCAATTAGTGCTTGATAGAAGAATAGCATTGACAGCTCCTTACGTCAAGTAGCTCCTGCAGTGAGTAGATGATCTGGTTGGACTTTATGTTCCGGAAGACGTAGATGATCTCTCCGTGGCGCGCCTTGCCTTCGGGATCGACGACATCCCGTAGCGTATAGGGTTTCAATGGCGCGGGCACAAACTGTGCAGTCGGCTGCGGCTTTGCCTTCGGGTTCACGACGACCTGCAACTTTACGTGACGTGGGTTTGACTGGCGCACGACATAGGCCGCTACTCGTCTCTCTAGTAGCGCCTCGAGGTGCGGTCGGGTGGCATCGATGCGGGAGAAGTTGATGGGTACTGGAGGCGGTCTGTATCGCAGCCGGGCGAGTGAGCGAGGCATGGCCGCGTAAATGTTGGCGACCAATGGATCTTCGTTAGATGATGCTGCTGGTGATGGATGCAAAAGATCGAAGTCCCCCGCACGGGCCAGGCGGAAAGCGGAAGCAAGCAGACCTCCGCTGGCTCCAATACGACAACTCCACGAGCATTCGTGATTCACGGCGGCCTGGAATGCTTACCATGACTTGTTCGCGGACCTTTGCTGTGCCTCTCAAGATAAACGACTATGCTTCGTCGAAGGGCAGCCTAAGCACCTCGCGCCCAACTCGCGCCCATCTCCACTGAGCGCCGTCGGATTAGCAACACATAATGGCCGGCCAGGAGCAGAACCAAACAGCCGACCAAGGCGAATCTCCTCTACCCCGGGAACGGCCGTGGTTGCTGCCATACGTGCGTATTTCAGAGAGCAATACTAGGCGAAACTAACATCGAGGGCAGAACCGCAAGCTCCGGCACCTCCAAGGCATCACAATTCGCAATCTGACGCTTACCACGCCGCCTTCGAGGCCACGCGGCAAGACAATCGACGATGAAGCAATACCCAGTACACTCAAGTCGCCCACAAAGGTACTGGCGCTGAGAGAAAATAGGGGCCTGGCGCATTCCCGGTCATCGAGCCAGCTAAAGTCTACCGATGCGGCCCCACGACGCAGCAGTGACAGCCTGCGCGAGCCCACGACTCCTCCTAAGCCCATTAGACCACCGATTGGCAAAGGGTCACGAAGACGAATGACAATGGAGTGGACCAATGCGAGCCCATTGACTCGCCAGAAGAAGCTAGAGGACATCACGGCAGGGCGCATGGCAGATACCTTCTTCACACTCCACGTCGAGGGCTACGAGGGACCCGTCTACATCTCCGAGGTTGCAGAGAAGGCCATGAACCCCAACTTCAAGTTCTTCGATCTTGGGCCGTGTGGTCCCAGCGTAACGCGACTCAATAAGCTAACCGTCCGAGTATGGGCGAAGACTGAAACGATGGAGGGCTGGCAGTACCTCATGGAGTACACCGTGCTGTTGAGATCACTGCAGTTCATTGGCAAGACACTGGGAAGATTCAGGCATCCATTGCCCCCAAACTGCATACTGTTCCATATGACAGATGGCATCTATACCAGCTTTACCGACTTGCCGGTGCAGGAGCGAGCGCGACAAGACGTCCTTGCTCAACCAAAAATACATCCAGATGGTCGCGTTCTTACTTCGTCGTCATATGATGCTCTGATGCGGTTGTCGACGCTAGATGACTGCATCCAGGATGCCTTGGCCACGAGAGATCGCATCGCTGACGAGATTGGGAGCATTTTGGAAGTGAACAAAGACGCAATCAGTACGGTCGAACAAGTCCCTGAAACCGAAGAAAACTTGAAGACTGTACAAGACGCTGTGACGGCGGAGAAGCGTCGGGTCGTGGCTGTCAGAAGGAGGCGAGACGAGCTACAAGCAAATATAAAGAATCGGAGGGAGAAAATGCAAGCCGGTCGAGAACAGCAATCTAGGGTTGATGCCAACTTACCCGAGTACAAGGCGAAGCACAGTGAGATACAAGAGCTAGCAGTGAGGCTCGAAGAGGACATTACCGGGCAGCGAAGGCGAATATGCGAAGATCTTCAGCGCATATTTCCAATCGAGCCGGTACCAGGCAAATCGCTTGCATTTACGATACGAGGCCTTATGCTACCCAACTCAGCATTCGACGATGCGAAAGAGGACGTTACATCTGCGGCTCTAGGCTACGTTGCTCAAGTCATCAGCTCGCTCTCGCCTTATCTTTCAGTCATTCTACCATACCCAATATCCTTACATGGCTCCACATCTACCATCGACGATCCGCTCGCTATAGGCCAAAGCAAGCAAAATAACCTCCGCACGTACCCTCTCTACATGAAAGGTGTAGTGCGCTATCGCTTCGAATACGGCGTCTTTCTTTTGAACAAAAACATCGAGATCTTGTCAAATGCTCTTGGGCTACGACCTATGGATATTCGGCATACTTTGCCCAACCTGAAATACCTTCTCTATATCGCCACTGCCGGAAAAGGCGAACTACCGGCCCGGAAAGCAGGTGGCATCCGGGGACTACTACGACAGGATGGTGTTCTTTCTAGGACAGGCAGTATGAGTAGCACGATTACGGCAAGCAGCTCTGGTACGCCCACTGCTGAACTTAGGAGAAACTTGGAGAACACTGGGAAGAAGATGGACCAAGCCCCAGCAAATAGTCCTGTGTCTGCTGTAGGGAGTCTGAAGCAGAAGATCAACATCCACCCTGCGGGGAGTAGACTAAGACCAGTTGGATGAGACTTGCTGGGATGCCAAGAGGGGCGACGTCGAGAATGACGCGTATGCGCAGCAGGGTGTATGTTGCGCAGGGCTTATATCACGGGGCCTACGTCCAGCGGCAAGATGTGCGCATACCAAGAATGAAGAATCACCATACACCATCTTGCAGTTCGTACTTCAGTTGAATATGTGATGGTTAGTGAAGCCGTACCCCTCACTCAGGGCCCACCAGAACGCACACTACCATGATGGAGATTTGACTATAAATTGCATGCCATACACCAGCTGCAAGAAGTGCCAAAGATAATAGCTGAAGTCATCAATTGCCCTCCTGCTGACCTAAACCCCCTGGTGTCGCATGTGATTCCGCCAATCGCTCCACTTTTCGGTGTGCTTGGCATTGCCGTTCGCAAATTACAGAAAGGAGAGAAGTGTATATCATCCGCGCCTGCCCGCAGCCTTTTCTTTCTCAGTCTCTACACTACATATTGATGCTCACATCATAACCTCGCACGCTCACAAGTTCACTTTATTGGGTTCTCGAGCGCTCGCACAATGTCGGAACCGTTTCCTGCCCTAAACGGCGCGCAGACAAGACACAGCGGCGGACATGGCACAGCGCGGCGGAGAAGAAGGTCTAGCGGACTAGGTGCAGATTTACCAGGCGATGTCGATGTACCGTCTTTTGCCACCAACAGGAGGGCAACACCACCGCTGAACAGCCCAAGGATGGTGGATGGATCGGTATGTTGTTGATGCTTGCCTCGAGCTTCATCTCGACAGGAGCTCTCTCGAGCTTCCTTCGCCGATTGCGAGCACACGCTGACCATAGCCAGAAGTCAGACAAGGGCCCCCGCCGCTCGAAACGTCGGACTGTACGCCGCGTCCTCTCCAAGTTCAAGCGACAATGCATACGGCACACATGGCTCCTTCCCATCATCCTGGTGCTTACGATCGTCTCCCTCTATCTGGTCTATCCATACCCCTCGAATCCGATATCTGCCTGCCTCTTCATTTCGTACCCGCTCGCGCGTAAAGACCCCCTCATTGCGGCCTCTGTCCGAGCCGACCCCACGGCGCCCATCCAATATGGCAAAGGCGCACGCGACTTCGCTTTCGTCGGCTTCTACATCGTGGTGTTGAGCTTCACACGCGAGTTCTGCATGCAGAGACTCATTCGCCCCATCGCAATATACTACGGCATCAAAAGCCGGGCGAAGCAGTCGCGGTTCATGGAGCAAGCCTACACCGCCCTTTATTTTGCCATCTACGGTCCTTTTGGCCTCTGGGTTATGGCGCGGACACCCGTGTGGTACTTCAATACAACGGGCATGTACCAAGACTTCCCGCATCGGACGCATGACGCCTTTTTCAAGGCCTACTATCTCCTGCAGGCGAGCTACTGGGCGCAGCAGGCTATTGTGCTACTTCTGATGCTGGAGAAGCCGAGGAAGGATTTCAAGGAGTTGGTTGCGCATCACATCATCACCGTTAGCTTGATCTGGCTGAGCTACCGGTTCCACTTCACGTACATGGGTATTGCCGTGTACATTACGCACGATATCTCGGATTTCTTCTTGGCTGTAAGTATCCGCATTTTTACCTTCATCTTCCACGTTGGGAAATTGGAAGCTAACGCTGTACAGACGTCCAAAATCCTCAACTACGTCGACTCACCCATCGTAGGCCCCTACTTTTTCATGTTCATGTGCATCTGGGGTTACATGCGCCATTTCCTCAACCTCAAGATCCTCTACTCTATCCTCACTACGTTCAAAACCGTCGGCCCCTATGAGCTCAATTGGGCGACGCAACAATACAAGTGCTGGATCTCACAATTCATTACCTTCGGTCTCCTCGCATCGTTGCAAGCGGTAAATCTGGTCTGGTGGTTCTTTATTTGCCGCATTGCGTATCGGTTTGTAGTCTTCAGTACAGCAGATGATGATCGCAGTGAGTATGAGCCCACTGACGAAGAAGTCGAGGAGAGGGAGGAGGAGCTGAAAGAGGAAATCAATGGCGTGGCGAATGGCGTACACAAGTCGCTTGCTGAAGCGCCAAGTACCCCAGAGCAAGCAACAAAGGCGGGGGAGCAGGAGACGATTGGGTCGAGAGTCAAGCAGCGGAAGGGTGTTGGAAAGTCATAACCAGACTAATCCGGCAGTCTGATATGAGTCAATGGCAACCCACTTGGGTTAATGGGGTCTTTGGATGTGGCATATGGATGCGGTCGCTCATGACCTGACTGCGCTCTTATGAGCTGATTACTTGTACAGATAGAAACGACGCTCGCTTCGATCTTGGGAGAGATGACACCTTTCTCAACTTCGTATTGTAAGTTAAAGATGCGTAGATATAAAGAAAAATACCATGTCAGATGACGCTTTCCAAGTACCGACCACAGAAGATTGTCTGAACGGAGCCATAGGAGGGCGAGGAGGTAGGCCAATGGCGTGCCAAAGAAACGCGCAAGATACAATAGATTGACGACAGCCTGAGTTCAGTGCGCCTGGCGTTGAAGAGCTACTCGCAAACTTTCACGTGCAAATAAGATGGAAATTTCCTTCCTATCTAGAATTGGGATTCTGAGCATGTAGGTGTAGTATAAGCGTTGAGTAATAGTGTGCGTCTGGAGGTGGCGAAGAACAATTAGGTTTCGTAAGTGGCGATCACGTCAGGCAGGTGCAATGCAGGTCCCGGCAAGTCCGTTGATGATACCCCGAAGAGCCTCAAGTATCATCTCAATATCTCCTCTAAGCGTAATCGTTGTAGTCCCAAGCTCACGAGCATATCTTTATTAAATCGAAGAGAAGAATTACTTACCCCACAAAATCGGATATTAAATTCGAGATCCGCGGTACTTTACCCATCTTCGCCAAGCGCTCCCGGACACGAAGTACCCCCCTGCACGGATCGGATCCCTGGCCGCCCCTGAAAAACTCTTTTTCCTTCCTCGACCCACAACACCGACCCGTTGCAGGCCCACTTTCTGTTATTTAAAGCGCAGTCGTGTCCGTGTCCTTCGTTCCCCGCATTCACTCCACCGCGACTTGCATTCTGCATTTACACTTCAATCGCTCCTTTGCGTTTACGAGAGCAGCCAGACGTTGACTTTAGAAACATCCGTCGTTTGCCATACGTGTCGTCGTGTCCAGTTTGAACGTCGTATCCATCACTCAGCGCACAATCACACCACCGAGTCACTCCACTATATAAGCCTCGCCTCGCCTCACCTCACTCCCTCGAGAGAAAACAACACATCAAGTTTCACACGAGAAGTCAACATGTTCGCCCGCATTGCCACCCGTGTCCCCATCACCGCTGCCTTCGCCGGCAAGCGCGCTGCACCCGCTGCACTCCGATACAACTCGTCTAGCTCATCGAGCCGCGCTGCGCGCGTCATTGAGATTGCTGCTCAGGCCGAGCGACCCAGTACGTTCTACGTTCTCCAGTCCAGGATGGCGAGACCGATGGCTGACAGTTATATAGGTGGCGCTGAAGCCGGTGTACCCGCCCTGTGGGCTGTGTGCGGCGCCCTGACGTACGCGGCGTGGAACCGCATGAACGAGCAAACGGCTGGCGAGAATGTAGAGAAGCTACTCATTGTCTAAGCCTCTTCTCGCACGATCTTTCTGGCTTGTTTTGCAATTTCGATATTTCGAGCAATATGTACTGCATAGCGTGCATACGATGGATGGATATTCTTTGCTTCTTTCAAGGGAGCGGCATAGCATTTCCTGCATGCATTTTTGGGTTTGCGAATAGACCGGTTCTTTTGCTTGGGTTTTGTTTGGCGCGGATTCGAATGGGCTGGGCCGGAATAATGGGTATGGATCTTGGATTGGGTATAGGCCTGGGGTATCACGACACGTCTGGCGTTCACAATGCATCAATGTCTTTGTCGAGTCCGCTCGCACTCCACACTACTCACCCATTGATTTCTTCGTCCTTGCCTGCATTCTTACATTCTCTCCTCGTCCTCTGCCTCGTGGTGAAGAGCAGGGGTGTCCATTGCATCTCATCGGTGGTGGTTTCGTCAACGTTGCTAGTGCCTGCTGTGATCCTATCCATGCAGCGAGATGGACAGCATCCAGGCACACCATACAGGCGGGTTCAATTTCATCTTCCAGTGCGGGATCGGCACCAGCTGCTAAGAGGATTCGGACAGCCTCTGCATGATTGGCATGGATGGCGAGATGGAGGGGAGTACATTGGTGTGCGTTGCGGACGTCGATATGCCCACCAGAGGCGACCAGGGATGCGAGGTTAGCAATCTCGCCTTTGTATGTGGCTTTGTATAGGCAAATCGCTATCATCGAGGGGATATTGCTCTACGGATAGGCCTTCAGTTAGCACTTGTTCACTGTTGCGCTCGATGCATTCCGAACTTGCTTCAGCCATTCTTTGGAGCAATTCGATAGTGAGTTAGAACGAGGCGTCGTTGTTCGAGTTCTCCGTGTAATTTCTTTTTACAAGAAGTGGTTGCTAAAATAAGATCAATTAAGTTTGTTGTGGGATAAATACCTAGGTATGTACAGTAGTGGATACCATGCACCATTATAGCCAAGCGTAGTTGCCTAAAAGTGCTCCTCCAACCTGCCTACTCTACTTCGCTTTTATTCGGAGTAAGCCAGGTATATAAGATGCTCGAAATCTTCGGAGGAGAATATTGACAGTTATATTACCAAAAATGACTAGTACCTGGGCGCAAACCCAGCGTGACGGCTGGCTATGCGACCTCTACGGCATTGACAGCAGCGACGGCACACGAAGTCTACCCAATGATTCCGTGCAATCGCAACTCGTCAGTGTGCTAGAGGCCGTGCTATCAGGCACGTCGTCGCCCAAAGACGCAGCCGCTAAAACGGCATTGCTCATCATGTCCCAAGTGGATGTCGGCACGCCTTGGTGTAACCTCGTGGGGATGTACCTTGACGCGGCCCAGACCTTCGGAGACGACAAGGAGTTGAGGGCGTTGGTGGACTACTTTGTGGAGTTGGCGAAGCTCCCTGATGCCGTCAACGAGGGGCCTGGAACAAAGACGTTGGATATTGGGGGAGGCCAGATACGCCGTATCGAACCAGGCCAGACGGTCGCGTTTGAAGAAGGCATCCTATGGAGCGACCTACCCACCTTTTCCTGGAACGTGACCGAGAGGTTCCAAGGTAAGTGAGTGAGTAGACGGCAGGGTAGGGCTCATTTCCTTCACTCTTCTCACTAATGAAACTACTATAGGGCCCGAGAGCTACCTTGCCAACCTACGCTCGCCGGCATCCCCTGAAGCTGCAAAAACAGCCTGGAAAAATATCAATACCTACTTGGCTCTCCTCGCCAGTAATCCTGCTGCCCAGAGCATACCTCGTCTCGCAGGCAAGGCGAGACTAGGCCTCATGGCCTTGTCCATAGCGCTGGAGCATTCGCCCGACACACGGCTTGGGCAGAACGCAGAGTTACACGCGCCCGCCGCAGCACAGTGGTTTCGGATCGCGAGAGACGAGCTTGAGACACTCTGCATAAAAGGGACAGAGCGATTTTATCCCGGGGATCTTTGGGCGGGCGGCGACGTATGTGACAGGGCAAGGTTGCAATTCTGGATGACTAGGATGGTAGAATTGGGATACTAAGCGTGTAATGCAGCGATAACGAGATGATTAAGATTTAAACGCGAAGTTGCCTATTGAGGAAGACCTTCATTCAATCCCTCGACCCCTCTAACCTTCCCAATGTGCGCCGCCAGATGCTATGCTACCGTGCGCCGAGCAGCCCCCATCTCATTACCTGACCGTAACCAAAGGCCGTTACAATAATCATACAAATATATACACAGAAAAGACATTACAACCACCGTCTCTCACAGCACGCACGCACCTACACTCTGGCAGTCCGTGGCGCTGTACTCCTGGGGTGAATATGGTGGTGGTGCCACATGCCCGTACTCGCTCTTCCAGTTCCTTTCAGCGTGCTCTTATTCCCAGCACGCTTATACACTTCCCCCCATAGATCTTCGACTGGCAGTAGCTGCGCCATTTGCTGATAATGTAAGATGTTGTGTGAGATTTCTTCTTCTTCGTTTTCCGCCTCCTCGGCGTCCACTGAGGCTTTGGAGCCACGAGTAGAAGGTGCGCGGGGACCACGCAGAGGCTTCAGGATGTCGCGAAGCTCTTTGTCGTCGGAGGAGATTTGCGCTTTGAGGTACGCTAGAGCGGTTGTCGATGTTGGGTCGGCGCCTTCCAGGGTCGTCATTATGGGTGTGCGGGGTGTGTAGGCAACCGTGTACTGCTGTGCCGCTGGTGGATCTATGGGCACGACAGCAGGATCGAGTCGTGCAGCGTCTCCCTTTTCGAGGAGAGTAACGATGTCGAGGCTCTCGCCATGTGGGATGGGCTCCTTGTTGCTGGGCGTTATGCAGTCCATGTCGACCTCTTTCCGCAGGACATGATCGATGTCAACGGCAGAAAAGTACGCGCAAGACTGCGGAAGCTCGTTGATGCCCATTTGCTGCGAAAACATGGCACGTGTCCAAACGTTTGCAACCTGAAGCGCCATAGCGGCTCGGTACTTGTCCTCCTCCTTGACCAGGTATCGAATCTCATCATGCACGGTGATGGAGAGGCGGGCATCGAGGTTGAAACGGCGGGTGAGGTAGTCCATGGCAACGATGAGAAGATGAAGGTAGTCGACGCCAGAGGACTGTATCGCCCAATTGATGCGCGAAGTCATGAAACCGCCTCTTGTGAGATAGCGTCGTTGCAGCGCTTCGGTGATGGCAGCGCCTAGTACTGGTGTCCGGGGCCGTTCTTGCTCGGCGAAATCTTCTAGCCTGTTGAACACGAAAGACTCAGTGCCGCCTCTCCAGAATGGCCGTTCATGTAGCTGCTTCCTCGTAGTCTTTTTACCTTTGGTGGTCATATACAACTCGTTCGCAGTTTTGGAGGTTTGCGAGTCTGTCAAAGAAGGGTTGAACTGGCGTAACAAGGTTGACGCGAACTTGAGTCCTGCGCCGTATATGCGGCCATAGTTGAAGACCTTGGCGTCGTTTCTCGAAATTCCCAAAATGCCTGCTGTTCGCGAGTGCAGATCCGTGCCAGCTGCCTTGGTACCCTCCAGGGTCATGAAGCCCACAGCGTTGCCACCGTGCAGTTTGAAGGTCGCGTCCCCGATTAGACTGGCAATCCAGAGCTCTTGGGAGTCGACATCGGCTCCAACGAAACAGTAGCCTTCCGGTGCCCGAACCATTGACTTGAGCTCAGAGCCCACGCGATTCTTCTTGGCGTTGCTCGCCGTAAGCCAGGTGTTCTCGACAGATCGCCTCGTAATGGTGCCCATTGGGATAATCTGTGGTAGGATGAAGCCCACCTTTTTACCTCGGCCTTTGCCCGAGGCAGAGGCGAGTTTTGGTGCATCTGGCACTTCGTTGTTGTAAACGACTATCTGCGACATGATGCGGTCTCTTGCGCTTATCCAGTACGAGCAGGATGCATTCATCTCCAACGCCCCCTTGGCATAGGCATAATCTGATGTTAGCTTCTCCTTCTCGAAGTACTGCAGGTAGCCTTTTGCAAGCGGATTTGTGCATCGCGCGAGAGGACCATCTTTGTGCGGGACCTTGTAGTATCGGCACTCGGTATCGTCGCGCAGCTTCAAGTTCTCTTCTTCAGACATGTCGAGCTCTTTGATGCCCTTTTCATTATACGCAAACACCTCGTCCATAGGCACCTGGTATGTCCAGCCATGCTTGTCCGACCAAACCAATGGGTTGCCGTCCCAGGCCAGCCTCAGCAGGATCGGGGTGACTCGTGTCCGCACGGTCAAGTTCATCGGCGCGGCGTTTGAAGGAAACAAGTCCTTATACCACTTAGGCATGCCCGGCTTCTTTTGTCTGGCTGCCGGTCTTGGTGGATCACCCTTCTTTTTCCCTTTCACCATCTTCACCTCCTGGCCTGACCAATCCAGCTGGCTTAACCAAGGATCATTATTGTATACTTCGGGTTTGTCTTTAACTTCCAGCGCCTTCTCTGTGAGCGCAACCAGTCGTTCTCGTACAGCGTCTTCCAGCTGGTGGTAAGTGGCCTCGGCGTTGTTGAGGTACGCGTCCCAGGTCTCGTTGACGGGTAGAATCTCAGAAGCCAGGAATCGCAAAGCTGCGAAGCTGACAGGGTGCGGGCATGTCTCCATAAATAGCGGGAAGACCTTTTGGTACACGCGGTGTGTGATTTCTACATCTGCTGCGCAGTAGTCGAGGAGCTCATCTAACTTTTCTCGAATACCTGGTCGATCTAGTTCGCCAAAGTATTCTCTTCGCGCCTTGTCGATTGTGATGTTGCAGTGGAATTTGGCGACGTCGCGTAATGAGTTGATGGCGCTCCTGCCTATCCACAGTTCCTCCTCTTCGTCTGGTATGGCACCCGAGTCAAGTAATTGCGACAGTTCTGCGTTCTCTTCGGAAGTGGCGATCTTGTCCCTCAGCTCTCTGTTCTTCTTGTGCTTCATCCATGACGGTCGTTGCCGCGAGCACATGCCGTTGGATGCGACATGCAATGACATCGTGTCGATGAAAGAGTTCTTGGATTGCTGTATGTTGTATTCCTCGGCTATCCGCGCCCTGTCATATCCAATGTTGTGTCCGACGATGACGCGGGGTATCGACGTGTCTCCGAGGGGGATCAAGTGGCGGTCCGACTTTGACTCGCCCAGCAGCCATGGCGATAGCCAGGCATACCAGGCGGTTGGACTCACTGCACAGGCCATGCACGCGAAGGAAGTTTCTTTCCACATGACCTCGGTGTCAAATGTCAGCATCGTCTCGTTTGGCGCATCCACTGCCTCTGTGGTCCCGTCGTTATTGTACTTGGTCCAACCGCTCTGCCTGACCCATTTTCTCGGTTTGGGGGGAGGGTTGGCCCATGCCAGCTTCTTCGCCATGCTCAAGTGCGGTTCCGCTGCATCCATGCCCAGTTTGTAGAAGTGCTCGTCCAAGGTGGCGCCTTGCATGTCGGGGAGGTCGAAGCCCACGGGAGGGGTCGAGTCCTGGTTTTTGCCCAGCAGGTCATGACGGGTGAGGTGGTCCTGCGAGAGGGCAACGAGCTCTGGCGGGGGAGAGGTGCTGGCGCCAGGGAAGACTTGGGCGTGGACATGGCTGGAGAGTTGCTGGACGCCTATCTCGTTGAAGCGGGCCTCGGAGGGAACTGCGAGTAGTGAGTTTAGGTACAGATTTCTCTCGTATAGCATGTCGCATACCATTCAGAGTCGTCCTCCTCGCATCGCTAGCTTGCGCATCCTGTGGTGGTTGGGCTGTGGCAAGGCATCGTGATGCGGTCGCAAAGGGGGCCTTCGCAGGTGCTGGTCGCGTCCGATGGGCAAGATGGGCGGTGAAGGTTCGACATGAGCTGCGGCGCATGATCGCGTGGATGAACGGCGCGTCAATGCATCCCGTCGTATATTAAATGAGGCGTGAATATCAATCGCTGTCGTCATGAAAGCGGCGGCCTACTTTGGCCTCCTACTAGCTCCAACGTTTTCCAGCAGAACTCTTGGCGAGTGCCCGCGATTCATCTGGTCTGCAGCTGGCAACATCTAATGCAGCCCTACCAAATAGTCTCCGCCGCATTGCATTGTCTGTGACGCCCGAGCCCATCCATGGATCATTTGCAGGCTCGTGGGCCACCTCAGCTGCCCACACCGTGCCCAGGCGTGTGTTGTACATACATAATCATTCTCGTGCTGGGTGACGTTTGCTTCTCCATGTTCATGCCCTCTATGTAGAGCTGCTTGCTGCCTGCTATCATAATGTCCTCGTCCGACTACTCACCTGTCTACGCCAACGACTGCAACCAACAGCTCCCTTCACACCCCTCACACCCCTCGGCTGCCCGCAACTCGCAGTCACCCTTGACGGGCCACGACCCAAACTTCCTCGACCAGGTCCTGCCGCCCTTCGACCCCTCGTCTCATCGAGCCTCACCATACGAATACCCATTCAGCGACGTCTTTGACGGCCCATATCGCCCTGTGCCCTCGCCCTCGCCACCCCTTGCCAACTTCCTCGACAACATCCTAAACCCCGCGGGCCTCGATCACAACAGGTTCTCGCCCTTTGTCTATCATCCGTCTCCTCCCCGCTACTTCCCTACTACAGCGGACGACATGCCACCAACTACACGCACCCGTCCACAAAGCGCCCAGCGACCGGCACGCCTGCCGAATGGCTATGTTGACCTGACAGCCACGCCAGACTCTCCGCCGCAGCGAAGGAAGAGGACATCGCCAACACCAGGCCCGTCAGCGAAGCGCCAGAAGCGAGGAGATGCCACACCCGCGCCGCGAGATAATGTAGAGCCCATCAACGTGGAAGAGGTGGACCTGACAGTCGACAAGCCGTCGGTGCAGGAAATACTGCAGAAGCAGCGCGCAGATGCCGTCAAAGCACAGGCAAAGCCAGAGGAGCAGCCTACAACCTTCAACACCTTCACTTGCGTCATATGCATGGACAATCCCACCGACCTCACTGCTACCGCCTGTGGTACGTCTGGTCTCTCTTCACTTTCGTCTGATCCTAATCTAACCATAAACAGGTCACCTCTTTTGTCACACATGTCTCATGGAAGCTCTCATAGCCGGAGAGAACCGCACTGGGCCAGGCGAACCGAAGCGATCACAGTGCCCTGTATGCCGAAAGACCATCAGCCGCACAAAAGCTGCCGACATCATACCACTCCTGCTGAGGAAAGGTCTAGCTACTCAGCCGAGGAAGAAGGCTGTAGCAGTACCTGCTGCCACGGCCCCAAAGGTACAGTAGATGTGTACTTGATTTTAGCGTTGGACATTTCTTTTCTGACATTTCTTTCGTATGTTTGTGATCATGAACTAAAACGATGTATAGAGGCGGCAGAGAAAGCCAGCGCACTCCGCCAGGCCGTCAATCCGACGCGCACGACGGGCCCTAGAGGAAATAGAATATGTGTAGCTAGGCAAGATCAAGGTTCTGTGGCCCGAGTGATTGATCTGGTCAGAATTGAGACTATACCTGGAAGAGCGTAGAGTGGGGAAACACCGGCGTTCAAGATACCCATATACCATATCAGCAGTTTTGGATAATCTGGCTAGTTATTTCGGATTGTACCTGCATTAGCGTCATCATAATGACGTCCTTGTTAGCTCGAAGGTAAACAGCAATAAAGCTACTTACAACTCAACTTCCCAACTCATAAACCATCCACCTACCACACCTCAACCGCCAGCATGTCGCAGAACACCAAACATACATCGCAAATCGCCATCCTCGGCGCTGGCGATGTCGGAACTACCATTGCCTACTCGCTGATCATGAACCCAGTCGCGGGGGACATCTTGATAGTCGACCCCAAAGAGGAAGTCCGGGACGCTCAGGTGCAGGATCTCTCTGACGCAACCTTCCATGGCAACACGACCACTCGTGTAAGAGCCGGAACGCACAAAGAAGCTGGGCAATCCGACATTGTCGTCATTACTGCGGGAGCAAAGCAGAAGAAGGGTATGTCTCTCAACGAACTAGCATATATCGTATCTGACACCCACCAGGCGAAAGCCGAACCGACCTAATAGGCCGCAACAAAGCCATTCTCGAATCCGCCATCAACGACATGACGCCCTTCCGATCCGACACAGTGCTCCTCATCGTCGCCAACCCAGTAGACGTCCTGGCCTACTTCGCGCAGCAGTTCTCCAAACTCCCTAAAAACCAGGTCATCGGCAGCGGCACGTTCCTCGACTCGGCGCGCCTGCGGGGTATTCTTGCAACCAAAGCCGGCGTAGCAGCAAGCAGCATCGACGCCTATGTGCTCGGTGAGCATGGCGAGTCACAGTTCGTAGCGTGGTCGCACGCTAGCATTGCGGGCGTTCCGCTCTCGTCTGCCCTCGAGACCGGCACAAGGCTAGATCAAAATGCTATTGCTGAGGAGACCAAGGGGAAAGCTACGGCCATTATGGAGAGCAAAGGGGCTACGAATTATGGTATTGGCGGTGTGGCGGCGAGTCTTTGCAAGAGTATATTATTTGACGAGAGGATTGTGAGACCTGTGAGCTTTTTCCAGGAGGAGCTTGGGGTTTGTCTTAGCTTGCCGGCTGTCATTGGGAGGAAGGGCGTTGTTAGGAGTGTGGAGATTCCATTGGATGGGGAAGAGAAAGGGAAGCTGAAGAAGAGCGCGGAGGCGCTAAAGGAGGTCATCAACTCGTGAGAGGGCCTGGGAAGTGCAAGTGATGGATTCATTAGGTATAGCCCATGAACCTGGCTGTGATGAATTCAAATGTTCATTCTATCGTCTATTTTCTCTATACGGTCGGCATTGGGAAAGGATCGTACTTCAGGTAGCCTTCGTGGCTCTCACAACCCACAGCGGATCAAGATGACCCGGCAATCTCGGCGAATCGACCAGTACAGTACCATGATCATCCGTGATTCTCCGTCCATCTTCACCTCTTGCACACAGGTCTACAATCTCTACATCACTCCAGCCTGCAAAGTGAAGATAATCTAAACAGTCAGCGCATGTCAAACTCGACAACACAACTGCGACCTTACCTCCAACGAGTTCCAGCCTCGCTCGCTCACTAAGCACCATCCACCTCCCAACCACCTTGTCCGAAAAACACCGATTACTAATAACCAAATGTACCCTTCCCCCCTCCTTCGTCGCGTCGAGCAAATTCCTGCATACCGCCAATGGCTCAATCAAATAATCAATGCTAACCACGCACGTCACCGCATCGAACGCCAACTCTTTTCCCTCCCTTTCCCACGCATCTCGCACATCATGCGGTGCTTTATTCAAGTCCACTACCCTCCAGTGCTCCTCGTCTTGAAAAACGCTATTGAGACTCATCTCCTTTGCGTTTAAGCCCACGCCGTAGACTTCCAGGTCTTTCTTCTGCACCGCTTCATGAATGGAGGGAGGGTAGAAACTCTTCCAGCTCGTGCACATGTCGATTATCTTGCCGGTGCGGGGTAGTATGGTATCGTAGTAGGCGGTTAGACGGGTGATGGCTGGGTCGTCGATGTGCGTGACTAGGCGTGCTTGGTGGTAGAATATGTCGTCGTCGGTTTCGTCGGAGCGCTGGAAATCGGTTGGATTATAAGGCCATGTGGCGTATTTGGGCTTGTAAGGTGTTGCTGGGAAAGGCGTGTCGTTGGAAGATGTGGAGGCCATGTTTGTTGCTGTTCCGGAATCGGAGAAGAAGTTGAATGGTATGTTACGGTTGGTAATGGAGGAGTAGGCGCGCCAATTATGGGTAACAGATGAGAGGATGGATCGCGTGCATCTTGAAAGGGACATTAACTCTAGGAGCTAAGTACTGCGTGTTGATGTGAGGGCTGTTTCCTCGGGATATCGTTGCTGAAGGTGCGAAGTGCCCGTTGTGAGAAAGCGCGTTCGGAATGAGCCAGGATGATGACGTCAAGACAACGCGTATCCACGTGCGCACGTGAGGTCTCATACTGATTGACGTTGTAAAGGCCTGATCGACTCAATTTCGAAACATGTCTGAAGGACCAGTTAATGCAAGACACTCAGCGCTTCGACATGTCGAGAACTATCAGTACCACAAAACCGCGGGTCTCCTATTCCGAGATGTCGGAATCGCGGTTCCGAGCAGCGGGGTTACCTTTCACACATGGTTATTAAAGTAGCTCCATGCGACGCATAGAAAACATGTTTGAGACATTAATTCAATATGAAAGGCCTTCTCACAACGGCAAGAATAGTATGCAAGAGCCCTGAAGCCCGGAAAACAGTCATCGACGCGTTCCGCAAGATCATCGCATACACAGCTCCAAACGAGCCTGAAGTCCTCCAATATGTCTGCGCAGTACCTCTTGAGGATAAAACAGAGACCGAAATATACATGATTGAAGAGTACGCGCTTCACTATATGCTTACCCAGCACGATCTCTTCAAGTACGAGTAGCTGATCCATTATTGTTAGATACACATCGCAAGCCGCCTCCGACGCCCACCTAGCAACCCAACCCGTCCAGGACCTCATAACCCTCTTCACCACATCCGACGTCCTCGCCCAAGCGCCAGAAGTCCACAACGGCTCAGTAGCAGTGCGACGGAGCTCCGGCCTACCCGTTTCTAGCTCCTCGAATCCCGCTATTGCGCTTGCTAATGTAGGATATAAAGCTGGGAATGTGGTGGAAGAGTGGGGAAATGTGGCCAGAACTGCAATTGGGGGTGTGAAGGGGTTCAATCTGTTTATGGTGGTGGAGGATAAGGACGCGAGTAGTGTGAGGGCGGTGTATGTGTTGGATAGTTGGGGGGCTTATAAGGAGTTTGAGCAGGGTAGTGGAGTGAATAAAACGGGTGTTGCTGAATTGGTGAAGATCAAAGCCGTTGATGGATTTATTGGACGGGAGGACAGGAGTAAGCTGTAAGAGTGTGGTTGGAGTGAATAACCACACGGGCGAATGGTATTGCAATCGAGCTTGTCAACTGCACTCCCAATCGCGCCCAAAGCGAAAAACAAACTGACAGATGTAACAAGATAGAGAGATTCTGTAAGCTTAGGCAGTCCTTCTGCCCCGATACGAGGAATGAGGAACCCACATGTGGAGCCTAAACCAGGGTCCTTCCCTTTCTGATCGCCCCCTAGTTATGTGGTGTTGGCCGTGGGAGTATATCCAGAATCTTCCAAGCTCATCTCTGCTGACTTTGTGGATTCCAAATATCTCTTCTGGTACGTTACTGTAACACCACCATCCGAATGAGCGATACCCCTACTTGTAGTAATTAGCAATGTAAATAACTGACAAGATATGTCATTTGATTGTGAGGACGAAAATGGAAATAGAACGCGGCTTCCAAGGTGTCTGTCAAATATGACATCGAAAAGGAATTATAGACGGGAAAGAATATTGATCAGCTTTTTCCGTTCTCGATTTAGCTGTGACCATCTGAGTTGGTGATCCAGTGCGCCATGTCAGGGCTTGCGTGAAGCGGGCGGCGCGAGCCACAACAGAACTTCACGAGCGGTGGAATCATGTTCTTCGAAGCACTTCAACAGTTGAGCCCGTACAGGGCCAGAGTACATGCGCGGTCCAGGTTTTCGCATAATCGTAGGCCAGTGCATGTTGTGCGTGACGACCTGACTGGGGTTGCCGAGTGTGCGTATAATGAGCCATCCACGATGTATGTTGACCTTTAGCGACTTAGCTATAGATCTCAACTTGATCCCAGGTAGAAGGAGTGATTTTTGAGGTTCTCACGTCGCCTTGCGTGGTGAAGGGACGCCAGGGAAAGTTAAAATGACATACTAGCAACACCATGCGGTTTACGGAGAGTTGCTCAAGGCAGAAATGCAATCGTAAAGGGTGGATGTGGCAAGACGGCAAAAAAAAGAATTCTCAAATCATGGGACCTGCAAAGAAGCTGTCGCAAGAATTATGCGAGAACACTGACCTGATTCCACACGAGCTTGTTCAGCACCAGACGATCCTCATCTCCACCGTCGTAGTCTCCCGTCTCTGGATTTAGTTCACTGCTTATTACACAGATGTTTCCGCTGTCTTCACCTTGGTATGTTTGTCTCTGGCTGCTGAAGTTGCGAAGTTCTCCCAATTTTGCTCGTAACCACTGCCCCTTGGGGTCACCTTTTTCCATTCGGGCTTCGCACCAATCCTCGAGCGCAGCACAATCGCATGAGAAACTGCGTTTACTGGACGTATTGGCTGTGGATAGTGTGTCGTATACGATTGATCGATCACACCCGGCTTCCATAACGGCAAAGCGTACAGTTGATAAGCTTGCCATTTTGCCCAACCGACGATTATGGTTGAACAGCTCGACTGCCTCTAGGCTCTTTTCTAACATGGCTTGTTTCCTGCCTTCGATGGCAATCTGGTGGGCTTTTGGGTCCCGCCAGTCGACAGTCATGCTAGTGATCCACAAGATAAACCGCAGGAATTGTATCTTGTCCTGAACCCAGGGTCCTCGCAGTAGCTTCTTCGGGATACGACCCGTGACGAATGATAACTTGGGTAGATGACTTCGAGAAAAGACCATGGCGGTAGCGTCATTGAAGTTTGGGGGCCATTGCGCGTCGAAGCAGCCGTCTTCAGACGAAGAATCACACAAGCAACCTTTGGGCCCGAATCTCCGAAGAACCCAAGATTTGAAGAAGGTCCAGGTCATCCATTTGCTAGCGAAGATGTATGTTTGAGCTATAGACAGTTCGGCACGACTGCCAAGCGCCCTGGTGAGGTGGTGGTCGCAAGCTGAGTTATACACGTACTCGTCCGACAGTTGAGCTCCGATGTAATTAGAAGCTCTGAGCAATGCGATGTTATGTCCGGAAGCAAAGAAGATGGGTTGGAGGAGTTCGGTCGGGAGCCTTTCGATTGGAGCAGAACCCATGCTGCCGGGTCTGGGACGGACACTCTAAGGTAACTAGGTGGTATGTAAAGTTGGTGTTGGAAACAATGGGATATTGCTGCTTATCTCAATGTACACCCATATTCTGACAATAGCTTAATAAGTCGTCGTAAGCCCTTCTTTAAACATTTCTTGTGGTGCTGCCTGCACGCGGCTGACGAGTAAGCCACGAGTCATGTTAAAAACGCCGGGCTAAGTACTCACCTGGCCAGATACTAACGCTATTTACCACCCCGATGACCGCATACAGGATAGATGGCTGCAGCCAAGGTTTGAGCGGCTGGCTTAGTCCTCTCTTGTTATTGTGGGCCGGTTCATGTTATGGCGAATGTTCGAAAGACGGGTTGTACTCTACGCTAAAACGGACCCCACATCGTCCGTTCAGGAAAGTTCTATCTATCACAGTACTATTAACCACCTTGTAAGGCGGTCTTCCTGGGGAACCCAATATATCATCCGGAAGTCTCAAATCTGCTCACTCGCTCACCTCATTTTCCACTGTTTTCCGCTGATACTATCGAATATCACTAGTTAAACTGGGTTAGATCAACATCCGTCCTTATTTCACGACAACAGAAAATACAATCCTAGAGCATGATTGCCCAAGGACAGACTACATATTCGAAATTGAATTACAGCGACAGTAGCGCTGATCTGGGTAGATACAGCTCGTAGAGGCCGGGGCCGAGAGTTTAAAGCTGAGAGGGTAGTCTAGTTGACTAAACAGGACAAGATCGGAAAATTACCATGGTAGTGTCAACGTAGGACAACAGTTCCTCCTGATAACCAGTTACGTGTGCTTGATAATGAAACAAGATGTGCAATTATCCCTTGCTTCATATCTGCAGTTTAGATTCAGTGATTCTATTTCGCAAGTCTGCTAATTTTGCTGCTCCAAGCAACATACGGTTGGTTAAGTCTTGAATCCCTTAACTGAATAGACTGATTTATCCCAATTCAATAATGATACTTGACCGCGGTGACTATCTGTGCGTAGCTACCAGTCATGTTAGCTCACGAGCGTAATGGCGCCATGCGGGGTACTTCACCTCGCACAACCGCTTTGGCCTCAGCACTAGCGAGCAGCATCATCGACCAACTTCTTTCGAGTATTTTAAAGTACTATTAAGAATTTAATCTTGTTCAGCCACCAGTGAACCTATTTCAACCTTGCGAATCATGGCCGATCTCGATCCAAGTACCCTCTTTAATGTGAAGGGTCTTGTCGCCGTTGTCACCGGTGGAGGAACAGGTAACGTATAGTCGCAATTAGCGGCGCACTGCTAATGTCTGCACAGGGATTGGATTGATGATCGCTCAAGCACTTGAAGCGAACGGCGCAATAGTGTACATTCTTGGAAGGCGCGAGGAAGTGCTCAAGAAAGCAACTAGCACCGCAGTACGCCGCACCATACGGGGGGGGATTCAAATGTATACTGACATGCTCCTACAGAAGCACGGAAACATTCATCCCATCAAAGCAGATGTGACTTCAAAGTCCGACTTGTCAGCGGCAGTGGATCAAATTGCCCAAAAGACCGGCTATGTCAACCTCGTAGTCGCCAACTCTGGGATCTCTGGGCCATCACTCAAAGGCCTTTCAAAGGATGCCTCACTCTCTGACTTCCGCGCCCATCTGTACAACTGGGAAGTCGCCGACTTCAACAATACGTATGGTGTCAATACAACAGCCGTCTTCTACACAATTGTTGCGTTCCTCGAATTGCTTGACAAGGGCAACAAAGCAAGAAATATCGAGCAAAAGAGTCAAGTAATTGCGGTGAGCAGCGTTGCCGCGTTCAATAGGGTACCGTTGTCGGGTTATGCGTATGGGAGTTCCAAGGCGGCGGTTACGCATATGATGAAACAGTTTGCGACGAGTCTGGTGTCGTACGATATTCGATCGAATGTCATTGCGCCTGGGTGTAAGTCGATTCCTATCAGTCTTGCTACGCGACTACTCGGGCTGCGCTGACAACGGATAGTCTTTCCAAGTGAGATGACACAAGAAGGGATTAAGCAGCGTGGAGAAGGCAAAGACGCCTGGCCGAAAGACGTAATACCTGAGCAGAGAGTGGGAGACGTGAAGGATATGGCTGGTGCTGTGCTGTTTCTCACAAGTCGAGCAGGAGGCTACATCAATGGCAATGTGCTGATTATTGATGGTGGGCGGCTGAGTGTTCTTCCTGCAACATACTGACAGCACCATGGCCTGGATCTGCAGCCGGTGAGATGAGGATGAAGGGTCTGTAACAGGGTGTGGAGGCAACGAGGGAGCACGTGAGTTTCTCTCACTCACCTTAACTTGGACTGGCTCTCTCTCTCACTCCAGCTGTTTGCCTTCATTCCAGGTGGTTTTAGCGCTGAGTTCCCATACTTAAATCTCAAACCACAAACAATTTCTTTCTAGTCAGCGTTGTTATCAATCTTTACTCTTATTTTGGGGTTAGCCTTGAGGAAAGTTAGCATCATGCAGGCGACAAATCATCTCCCCAGTCTGATGGGTACGCTTGACGACCTGAAGGCCGCATCTCCAGGTTTCGTGCGCTCACACGTACCAATGTGTCCTCCACCGTGCACATGCGTCGACTGCGAGACCTACTACTATGCACCTGACAAGCAGCAAGTCGACCGATTCCGTTATACGAGTACGCTCACCGACGCCGAATCCAGGAGCCTCCTGAAGGGTTATATGAAGGACATCTGTGAAGCCCAGCGATACTTGCGAAAGGCTATACAGCAGAATGGTGACTACGTTTTGAGCCGCTGGAGGAAGCTTACCCAGACTAAGCGGGTTGCAATGCTCCAGCAAGTGGAGCCGGATCTGCCTCTGAAGAAAGGTCTTATTGCGGACCTGGAATCCTCGGGCACACCATGGCGTACATGTCGGAAGTACCGGAAGTATTTTCTGCTCCCATACCTGGACGTATACACCCTCAGTAAGAACCCATCGACACTGATAGGGTTGCTAAATACGCGGGCGAAGAATCCTGTTGAGGAATGGGCACCGTTTGACCACAACCAGTTGAGGAATTCCTGGGGTCAGGGTTTGTTCGATTCTCATTTCAATGTCGGTGCAGTTATCCTGCATGGACCTAACTATGGCACTCTCACCAAGTGGGAGGCACAGGCTGCCCATCGGTTCGATCAGGTCGGATTTCCTCGCGCGCAACTCATCATCGAAGCCCAGGCTACTCTACTACGGTTCCTGCGACAAGTTGTCGAGAAATTACTTACGGGTCTGCCAGACGGTGCGTCAGCATCTGCCACCAAATGGGATGCATTCATAGAGTCAGGTCTCAAGATGGAAGGAGATACAGTTCGCTGGTCAAGTTTTGTCAACCAACCATTCACTGCCCCTCCTCGATTCGATGTAGACAATCTAGTCTCTCAAGTGAGTGCCAGATGTGAGTCCACAAACGATCATCTGTGGCTTCTCCAGACGGAGCCATCTTACTTCAAGCGCTACATGCACAAGATAGCTCAAATGCAAAGTGTGGAAACAATTGGTAGAAGCAGAGTTGGCCTTGTAATCACGAATGGCGAAATCATCGCGGACATCGACATCAACCAGTTTTGGCGACACACATTACTTGAGTTCAAGCATCTTCAAGAGCTCTATCATCGGTATCGAGACTCGATCACCCCTGGAGCGCCTTTGCCGATTAAGGTGGATAACGCTCTTGGTGCGCTTGAGCTCATCCTCGTCAATCAAGTACACACGCGAGCTCTACAGCTTTTTGCGGTCATATCCCAGAGACCAGGGTTTCGGCACATCTACGACTCAACGCGCGTCACTGAGTGTACTCCGGGCAGAAAGAGCGCGTATGAAACGAGTATTCGAATTAAAGAAAGGTTCACGACGAGTCATGGCGAGACCGCTGCGTATCACACAGAAAGGCTCTGGTGGATTCTTATGCAGCTGCAGGGTGAGCCAGACCTTGAGACTCGATTCCCTTACGCTATGTTGCTCGATATGCTCAACGATCATCTTGCAAAATCACCGCCCGCCGAACGCGAGCGTCTAGACGAGATACTATACGAGAAGCTATCTGACTATGTCACACTCCTGGAACTCCTCTGGGCGATTCGCATGCATTGCCCCCGAAACAAGAATCGCACGGTTAAAGAATGCGAAAGGACCGAAGACCGACTGTTTTGGAGAGCCTCAGCTACAGGGACTGGTGTCCTAACTCGTGATGCCACTCCTATAGGAGAGTTGTCAGCTTTCGAGGCTGCGAGGCTACCTAGTGGGCCACGGAACGGGAACTGGCTCCAGAAATTCGAGACAGCGCATCAAACCCTACAAGAGTATTGGAGAAAGACGTTCCACATTTATGAAAGGCGAAACAAGGTTCTTGGACTACGACCTGATGACGTTGAGACAAATATGGAGCCGTTATCATTCTGGAAAGACCCAAAGTACATGGCACAATTGGAGACAAAGCGTACACAAATCCTTGCCGACACCAAGAAATTGACGGTTCCAGATAGCGAGGACATTTTCCTACCTTTCCCAACAACGCCCGAAGTTCCAATCAAGCTTGACATCCTACCGTCGAAGACCAAAGTCAAGACTCGAGGCGAGGCTCGATCGGAGGAGTCCGCACAGGATGAAGAAGCTGCAGCAATACGAGAACCCACTCCAGCGAAGATCGCATTGCCTAAACGCTCGTACGCGACATTTCGCTACATGTTCCCCACGGGCCCTGAAGAACGCTTGAAGGATGTCAATTGGGAGACGTTTGTAATGAGTATGGAAAACGCAGGCTTTACAGCAAGAAATGGTGGTGGCTCCATTGTCATGTTCGAAGACGAGAACGGCGGTGGCAAGATCAATTTCCATAAACCACATCCTGACCCGAGCATAGACCCGGTCATGCTCCAGTCCATGGGTCGTCGGATGAATAAATGGTTTGGCTGGACTCGCGAGACCTTTTCGTTGGCGGGCAAGTAGCTTTACTATGAGGCTAGCATTGCATGCTGTGATTTTAAGAGCTAGCGACCGAGAAGGAGAGATATGTGGCAGGAAACAAATTTGGGAGATACCAGACCGTAGCGGCGGATCTTACCTTGCGCTCAATTGAGCTCCCTTGTTCAGCCGCGCGAACGGACAGTCTCTCCAAGCGACGTGGATTTTTTCCCAGAAAGATAGCGGTTTTGTGTGTCGGTGGCATCGGCTAGCGTTTCCAGACAGATTGTCATGAGGAACCATAGCTAGATACTCTTGAATCAATTTGTGACCGCCGATGTGTAAGCATAGAACGATACTAGTTGCTTCCTCGGGGCTCACGAAATAGTATCAATCCTTTACTGATGTGATCTCGATTGTATACATTGTATAAATAGATCCCCCGCTATGAGTGGGTCACACGGCAGGTTGTTCTTCCCGATCGCAGTTTTGTTCTTGCATATCCTGTCCCCCCTTAGCTCACCTCCCCGCACTTGTAAGACGTTTGCAAACAACACGAGTGTCTAATACCCGCACCATGAAACTCTTCACGGATCTTATCACACTACTTCTGCTACTATGGGACCGGGTTGTGGTTGCAGGATACGGAGGTGAAGACCAACCGCGGCGTGAGTTCTTTTACGTCGGCGGCGAGTATGCGAATTTGACGGTAAGGCTTCATTCCGCATATCGGAAACCTCTGACGGAACAGCTTGGAAACACCACCGCTCAATTTATGATCAACCAAATCTACGTCGAGAAGCTCACTCCACCAATCGTCACCCAGGAGCATCCCATTGTTTTCATCCACGGATCCGGACAGACAGCAACCAATTTCCTCGAAACGCCAGATGGCAGACCAGGCTGGGCTTCCTTCTTTCTATCACACGGCTATGTTGTTTATCTCAGTGATCAGCCTGCGCGCGGACGCTCCCCGTGGCACCCATCTATTGGAACGATGATTACACTCAGCACTAGCGACATCGAGAAAGCTTTCACAGCAACCTCGTCGCACGGGCTTTGGCCCCAGTCACGACTACATACACAATGGCCCGGGACAGGAACAGTTGGTGATCCGATCTTTGATGCATTATACGCTTCGCAAGTCCAGCTTCAGGCCGACGAATTACTATCCGAAGCGCAGAATGCCAAAGCGTACACAGCTCTATTGGATAAGATCGGTCCGGCCTATATCATCACGCATAGCCAATCGGGCCCATACGGCTGGCGAGTTGGCGATCTTCGTTCTCACCTCGTTAAAAGTATCGTTGCCCTTGAGCCTGGAGGTCCCCCGTTTATCGGAAGGCTTCCTTATATAGGACCACGTCGAACCTGGGGTATTACCTATCACGAGATTACTTATGAGCCATCCGCGGGACCCAACGCAACGCATCTCGAGACAGTCACGATCCCTGCCAAAGACGAAGATCGTATAGAGTGTATCATGCAGGTAGAGCCCGCGAAGAAGCTAAGAAACCTAGCGCAGGTACCGGTTCTGGTTATAACTGGGGAGGCGAGCTATCATGCACCGTATGATTATTGTACTGTGGAGTACTTGAGACAGGCTGGTGTGGAGGTAGAGTATGCTGATTTAGGTCAGGAGGGTATACATGGAAACGGGCACATGCTCTTCATGGAGAAGAACAACCTTGTTATTGCTGAAAGGGTGCTGCGGTGGTTGGGGAGTGTACACCGCTAGAGAGGTCAGAGGTTGAAGAAGTGATATCTTCTGTGAAGGAAATATGGTGGAGGAAGTTGAAAAGCAGGGGAATAAACATTGGCTATATCGACCTCAACGATGCGTCAATGCTACGAGCCCCTCCTAGCTCTTGAATTTCCGTTATGTCTGAGGGATTGAATCATAAGCAAGCAAAATTCAGAATCTTGCGACTGTGAATTTCCAAGTAAAAAAGCAGTATAAAACCAACTCATTCGAATGTCTCTTATGCTCTTGTATATACTTCCACAATCACATTTGCTTCCTCAGCAGTCCAATATCCACACAACGAACACAGAAAAATCCTCACCGATCTAAAACAGGCAACTAGTAAGTTTGAAACCGAAATGTGCAACTACTACAGCGTAACCTACGACTGCGGGTGTCAATTAGTCGAATACGAGTGGACGTGCCGCACTAGCTGCCCAGGAACCGCGCTGGTATATCAAGGAACAAAGAAAGTGGCTGGAAAATGTGCTTATCACCAGGGCTCTAGTAAATAAGAGATTCTAAGCGTCGCAAGGTGGCAGAAGAGCGATGGGGGCCCTTGTATGGTGCCGTTGCGATCGGCGATGTTGTGGTTGTTGGGTCCTTTAGGGATGTGAGAAGTAGCAGTTTGATGTTGACGGACAAGCCCGGTCACCTTGTATTCATGCTCATTTTGAGGTAGTTTACTATTGAGAGAATGTAATGTGCTTAAATTTGGCTCTGAGATTTGACTGTGAGAGCAAGAGTGCTATCACGCTATGTCTGTGCTAGAGAGGATGCAAGCACTTGGAAACATGCCAGTCCTTTGAATTCTCTCAGCCGAGTGATGTAGCAAGGTGCGTTGCCATAACGTAGTGGGTTTTAGTTTGCTGCAAGTCGTCAGTTTAGCAATCACATACCCATTAGGAATTTGGAGGGCCCACGGATAGCTTTGGACTGTGCGGTGTGGCGGCATGGCTGAAGATATGTCGTCCTCTCACCTGCGTACGAGACAGCGGAGTCTCGAAGGTATACCCGAGTACGCCAGTGATCTTATGGGTGATTCTACTGAGAAAGAGCCGTTTTGGTCGCTAGGCTACGTACCTGGTCGCAAAGCGGGAGATGGCAAGATTTGTCTCACCTTATCACCTAGTCTAGTCTGAGTAGCAAACTCTATTCGCCTGAGACAAACCTCCATCAAGCTTTCTATTTGACTGGTGTATATTTCTCCTCTGACCTCTAAACCACCAACTATGACAGCTATGGCTACCCAGAGCAAAATCCCTATGGCTTCAGGTATGTAGGAGGCGCCTTTTCGCACTGTCCCGTTGTAGCCACTAAGCTAAGCGTGCTCCCCGACAGAAAGCGAGTACTATGAGGTCCGGCCCATTCCTGGCAAGGGCTACGGCTGCTTCGCGTTGAAAGCTATGAAGCGCGGAACGCGTATTCTAGCCGAAGAACCACTACTGGTCGTCCCCATTGCCGAGTACCTGCAATCCGATATCCAACAGGCCTTCGACAAGCTATCACCCGAACAGAAAGACATCTACTTTTCGTTGCACTCTGGGCATGGTCAGGATCCGAAATTGTGGCCATCTAGGATCCACCCAACAGTGGAGGGCAAGGAGCGTCAACGTATCAAGGAGCAACACGATGCCAGGACAGGCAAGCAACCGTCGCTCATTAGCATCTTCCAGACGAACTGCATGGAGTGGAACAAGGGCGCGGCAGTCTTTCCGAATGCAGCCAGGTTCAACCACTGCTGCAACCCCAACGCCTGCTTCACCTGGAACTCTGCGCTTGGTAAGGAAACCATCCACATCATGAACGACGTCGAAAAGGATGAGGAGATCACACTGTCTTACTGCGACATGATCCACGACAAGACGCTCCGATTGTGGGAGCTCAAGCACTACGGCTTCACCTGCGACTGCCGAGCCTGCACCGGGGACGAGGACGACGAGACTACCTTTGCGTATCACAGTGCTTTGAGGCGCTTCAGGCTGCAGGAACTTGAACGCGAGACCCGGTTTCTACGAGGGCCTAAGTTGTACGAGGGCGCGGTTCAACCGGACTTTGTCAGGCAGCTGCTCCAGCTTGCGGCGCTCCACCAGGAGGAGGGTGACTATACAGCCAGGCTGGCCAGCGTGTAAGTAATGCTTGTGAAGTTCATGTTCAAAGCATAGTAGTCGTCGGGCTTATGAATCCAATACTGACAACGCGCAGGTTTCTTGATCTCGCGCTCGTCTGCGAGGTCAGCGGCGATCTCAAGATGGCCGAGGTGGCTGCTGGCAAAGCCGTCCAAGTCAAGAAGGACTGCCAGGGCGCCGACTTTCCGGACTACAAGAAGTACGTGGAGGTACTGGAGCGTGTCAAGGTGAAGCTGGGTCAGCAGGAAGTGTGAGGTCGTTGCTGTGAGTCGATCGGTGGTGTGTCATCATAGACAGGCGGCGTTTCGGCAATCTCTGGACAAGTAGGTCACAGTGGCCAGGATTGTGGCGGGCAGATGCGTGGTTTCAGTAGATGATAGACTCATGGTAGTGCGTAGGTGGGCGATGCAAAAGTCCAAGTACTATCTCAAAGTCCAGCCCTTGTCATGTGAGAGGCTGTCGCTTAGCGCCCGAACCCCTGTAGGACCCTGAGACAGGTGGAGCGTCATCGTCAGCACCACCAACATCCAGTCGTGAAGATTTGATTGTCACCGATGAAGCGATTTAGGGAACAAAGCCGCGAAGGATCAATGGAGCGTCCGGAGAATCCAACTAGCCGCTGGCGGCCCCTGAACTCACGCGACAGTGGAACCTAACACGAAGTTCCAAGAAGCGCTGACGTCGTCGTGTGTCCCTGCGTTGAGCGTCTCGAAACTTGTCGCAGCTCCGGTTACGTCCTCGTCCTCGTCCATTGTTCAATCATTTTCTCCATTCTACGACACTGACGCGTATTCAACTACTGCTCCTTGACCTCACAGAATCCACACTTGGCACGCTCAGCTCGTATGCACGGCGTTGCTTCGCCCCCTTCAAGCGATCGACTGCCCTCCAACGCCTTTTAGCTCCGGCACGCTTAGCTTCCGTGAAGCTGAACGCCTACGACATATACGCGCCTCAGCGTCCACCTTTACAACCGCACGACAATTGCCTCCAGCATGGATCCCACAGCTGCCAAATCGACCGACACAGCGCCTCCAGCTGCCACCATAAAACCGCCGCAAGCATCAACCGCACAACCTCCCTCGCCGCCTCCGTCGCAATCAGGGCCCCAAACCGAATCCAAAGTCTCCACGTCGAACGATGCGCCCCCCGATACAACACCCCCATTCTCGCCTACAAGCCAAACGCCAATTCTCCAGAAGGGGCAGGAGGAGTTCGAAGGTACCGTAGATGTCAACAACGACCTGCCGACAGAAAAGGATCTCGAGCGAGTGGGAGATATGCTTGTGCTAGACGCCCAGGGCCAGAGTAGACCATTCAAGGAATTGTACCAGGCGCCATCTGTCGCGCCCAGGCAGTTGATCATCTTCATTCGGCATTTCTTCTGCGGGGTGAGTGCTGCCACTCCAGCCAGCTACAGTTGGTAAAGCCAACCCAAACACGCAGCTAACAAATTGCAGAACTGCCAGGAATACCTCCGCACCCTCTCGTCCTCGATCAAACCTGAAGATCTTCTTGCGCTACCAACCCCAACGTTTATAACCGTCATCGGCTGCGGACGTCCTGAGCTCATACCCATGTACACCGAAGCCACCTCGTGTCCCTTCCCCATCTACGCAGAGCCAACGCGCAAGCTCTACGACTACCTCGGGATGACGCGCACCTTCAATCTGGGCGCAAAGCCCGACTACATGCACACCAACATGCTCATCAACTCCGTTCAGTCGATATTCCAGGGACTTGGGACAGGCAAACATGCATTGAAGGGCGGCGATTTCAAGCAGGTGGGCGGGGAGTTTTTGTTTGAGAATGGAGAATGCACATGGGCGCATAGGATGAAGACGACGCGCGGTCACGCAGAGGTGACGGATATCAGGAGTTTACTAGGGCTAGATGGAGCGAGCCCGCCACTAAGGAAGAGGTGGAGTCACAGTGTCAAGTCACAGGACAAGGATAAGAGGAGGAGTATGAGTTGGGGACGGTTGAGAAGCAAGAGCAGAAGTGCGAAAGATAAGAATGCCAGCGGAGTGACGACACCAGAAAGGGTGCAAGAAGAGGATACTGATACGAAGAAGATAGTCGGCAGCCCCACGATATAGGGCGCTGACGTTAAGAGTGGGTTGGAGAATGACATTGCATTTACAGCGTATTTGAGCGAGTCGAGGGCCGACACATGGCATCGCGTTACTGCATATGAACTGCATGGCGAGCATTGAGCGAGGTGCAACTGATTACACCACATTCGGGCAGTTAGCATTGATACCAAATCTAAACTTTATCTTGTGCTATTCTTCCAGTCCCAAACAGAGTGGAGACGACGGATCGGATTGCGAGCCGACTATCTCCCTCTCCCTCGGCTATCCGAGCTTCATCGCCAAGCCCCATTCCAAGGTCGAAACTGACAATTCACGCATGAAGATGGACTGCAGCAGCAGAAGTGAATTGTCGTCGACCTTCCCATCGTAATCTAGTGTCACTGAGCTAAATGCGGCAACTCGGTCCCATAACGTGGTGCCAAGGGAAAGAAGAGTCGGAATTTTCCATCCGTATCTGGTCAACTTGGCCCAAGACTACACTACTACGCAGCGGCCAATTGTAAGCTACGGCTTCTAGAATGTCGACGGCGCACCTTGTCCGAGCCTACTACGAGTTTTCGCCTTGGAGCGCGAGGGTTGCGCGACGCCCGAGCTGTGGCCGCGAGTGAGGGGCATGGAGGGGCAATGACGGCGCGATTCGGAGGCACCCCACACGCCCAAATAAAAGCTCCCGGAGCCGCTCGAGAGTCTGGAGTAGCTCTGCTTTCCCCTCTCCTCTCTTCTGCTCGTCTCCTTCTCCTCTATTACACGCCCAAGATACCCATTGAATTCACATCACAGCAATCATGCCCGCGGATACTGTTGGAAAGGTACGTCGAGCTCCAAATCACAAGCAAGCCGAACACCGAGCATGAGCTAACTGCTGCACCTCTAGACTATTACCTGCAAGGTGCGTTCAAAACCCGCTCCGTCTTTCTCGCGCCTCGAAATCGCCGTCTCCTCGAGCTCTACCGTCCAAACTGCTGTGACCTCATGCGGGGCTTGGCGTGCGGATCCGCAGAAGATTGCGACGCTGAATTGCGTACATCGGAACGCTTATCAGCTGAGAGCTGGGAGTCGGGATAGATGCCGAGATAGGACGATGACATCTTTATGAAACAATTAGAGGAGCAACTGGTGCTGACTATGGGCTAGGCTGCAGTTGCCTGGGAAGCTGGCAAGGACCTCTCGATTGAAGACGTCGAGGTCGGACCGCCCAGGGCACACGAAGTCCGTATCGAGATTTACTACACTGGTGTTTGCCATACCGGTACGTGACAGACCACTTTGCGTCCAATCGTCTCTGAACTGCGTGAATTGGTCTGCCAGAATATAGTGGAGCATCTTGATGGCTCAAGTTCAACAAATTACTACAGAATCCTAGCTGACTCAGAATAGATGCATACACTCTCTCTGGAAAGGATCCCGAGGGTGCCTTCCCCATTGTTCTCGGTCACGAGGGCGCTGGTATCGTCGAATCTGTCGGCGAGGGCGTTACAAACGTAAAGCCTGGCGACCATGTCGTTGCGCTATAGTACGTATAATCCCCCTCCCCAAACGAAACAACCTCTCACAATATACAGCACCCCAGAATGCAAAGAGTGCAAGTTCTGCAAATCCGGCAAGACCAACCTCTGTGGCAAGATCCGGGCGACCCAGGGTAAGGGTCTCATGCCCGACGGCACCTCGCGCTTCAAGGCCAAGGGCAAGGACCTCCTCCACTTCATGGGTACCTCCACATTCTCGCAGTACACTGTCGTAGCAGACATCTCCGTCGTCGCCATCACCGAGAAGGCCCCCATGGACCGCACTTGCCTGCTCGGCTGCGGTATCACCACTGGATACGGTGCGGCTGTCATCACCGCTGGCAGGGGCGGTGTCGAGGCGGGCTCTAACATTGCTGTATTCGGTGCTGGCTGTGTCGGACTGTCCGTCATTCAGGGAGCAGCCAAGAACAAGGCTGGCAAGATCATCGTTGTCGACGTGAACGACTCAAAGGAGGCGTGGTCGAAGAAGTTTGGTGCCACAGACTTTGTCAACCCCACCAAGCTCGGCAATCAGAGCATCCAGGAGAAGCTCATTGAGATGACCGATGGCGGATGCGACTACACCTTTGATTGCACGGGTAACGTCAACGTCATGCGCGCCGCACTCGAGGCCTGCCACAAAGGCTGGGGTGAATCCATCGTCATTGGTGTCGCTGCAGCCGGTCAGGAGATCTCTACACGCCCATTCCAGCTCGTTACCGGACGTGTGTGGAAAGGCTGCGCCTTCGGTGGCGTCAAGGGCCGCACCCAGCTGCCTGGCTTGGTGGACGACTACCTGAACGGCGACCTCAAGGTTGACGAGTTCATCACCCACCGTCAACCGCTCGACAAGATCAACCAAGCCTTCTCAGACATGAAGGCTGGCGACTGCATTCGCTGCGTCGTCAACATGCGCGAATAGCTACACTCGGGCCCCCATGACCAGGATTGGAAGGCTAGGCTTTAGTTGAACAATCTATCTTGTTTCTTCTTTGGTTTATGCGAATATGCGTTTTGCTTGTTTTCTCTATAAAACATGAATTGTCACCGCGTTGCGAGGAATGTAGCGGTGTACGGCGAGGTGTTGGGCAGGTGAAGAGGTGGTGCATCAGTCGGCGTTGATGAAGTGGTAGCACTTGGGCCTGGGGGCTTTCAATGTGTGTAAATTTACATCCAAAAGTAATTTTGGCTTTCATGAAATGAATGATCTAGTACACGGAGTGCTCAATTTCAACCGAAGAGACTTGAACTGCTGGGTACATGAACACTTCCCTCACATGTCTTCATTCCTTCCAATAGTCAAAAATGTTTCAAATACCGCACATGCGCTGCTTCTATTCTCTGTCTGAAAATAATACAAGTAGCCCTGGCCTATATTGCAGGTGGTGTCCCTCGCTCTACTGTCCCCAAAAGAACTAGACTGGGGTTTCCCCAACACACAACGCGAAACACGCATGAAACCCTACTAACCTCAGCCTGCGAACCGATTCCAAACACCCCACTGCATCGTCCCGACGTAGCTTGTGTAGATCAAAAGCTTGACTCCACGACCAGGCCTGAGGCTATAAGGCATAGCTGTGTTGGAGTGAGAAGTGGAGGGGACGCAAAATGCAAGTAAAACTCAAGTTTTAATTCGAAATCTATTAAAGAACGTGATATGTAGACAAAGGGTTCCCAAGCCCCAGTATAAACTACGCAATCGAAAACAAACGACTCCCAAATGCACATCTACTACCACCTTCAATTAACAGCTCCTCCGGTCGCAGACCAGAGATGTGAGCACAAGGCCACTCTACCCCTTTGCCTCCCGCGTTAAAAACATTGAGGTATATACATTATGTTTCCACTTCCCTTTCCAGCTTTTGTTATCGTTTCTATTTTACTTGCACACGCCCGAGTCGATCAGTATTGCCATTTCGTGACTATCGTAAGAGAGAGGCGTTTAGAAGTCGGATTCGTCGTCAAGGGAGTCGATTTCCTCCTCCTGGTCGTCGTTGGTGAGGGCGGGCTGGTTCCTGGCAGCCTCACGCTTGCGGGCAGCAGCGCCTGCAATAGGAGCGGTAGCTGGTGCGGCACCTGAGTTGATTAGACTGGATCAGTGGAAATGGAATAGAAGAGTTACGAACCCGTAGTTGCGCCGACGGTTGAGGCGCCTCCAGCAACAGGAGCGTTAGCGGAGGGAAGCTGGGCTGCAGGGGCTTGAGCCGCGGGAGCCTTTGCACCAGCAGCCTTTCCACCAGGAGCCTTTGCGGCAGGCGCCTGAGTAGCGGGAGCGTTGGCAGCTGGGGCTTGAGCAGTGGGGGCGTTGGCAGCAGGAGCCTGAGCAGCAGGGGCATTGGCAGCGGGAACGTTAGCGGCCGGGGCAGTGCCTGCGGGTGCAGGAGTTGCGGGAGCAGCTAAACAATTTAGTGATCTGAAAGATGCTCGTAGGTGTGAACAAACTGACCTGCGGCACCAGCCATTTGGACGGGTACACAGCCACCGAAGGGACCGGCACGAGCAGGGTTCTCGCAACGAACCATACAGACATTGCTCTGTCCAGCAACAGTACCTGTGCAAGTTTGACCCGCAGGGATGGCAGCGGTAAGGGGGAGATCTTGCATCTGGGTGTCCCTGTTGCGGCCACGGTCATTGCCTTCGAGGTTCTGGGTGACGGTAATGGGTTGCCAGTTGGTGCCAGTACCAGTAGCATCGATCATGCACTTGTACGGGCCAGCGCCATCGCCATTGACCTGATGCACGGTCATCTGGATCTCACCGCCAGCTGAGACTTGAGGAAGAGTGCCGCCGTTGAGCTGCATGACCTGGGCAGTGCCGGCCTGGATGTCATTGTCACCTCCACCAAGAGTCTCACCGCAAGTGTCGGCGGCGGCGCCCTTGAAGCGGGTAGAGTCCTGTTGGAAGGGAGCGCGTCGAGTGCCGTCACGGGGGGTGTTGGGGTCAACACCAATGGCAGAGCCCTGGCCGCCAGCATCACCGGTAGCACCGATGATCGCACCGTGGCCAGCCACGAGCGAAGAGGAAGCCAAAAGGCTGAAAGCAACAACGGAAGACTTGGTGAAGTACATTCTGAACCGGTCAGAGGAGGTAATAAGAAGATAGAGTGGAAGGGGTATTAGATGAATGGAAGAGAAGTAGTGATTACTGTAGTTGCTGGGTTGGGAACCTGATGACTTGATGCTCTTCTTCGGTTGTGGAGATGTCTTCATTTATACATGATCGCGAATCGCACCTTGACTACGTCGTTAGCTCTCAAGTTGCATCGGCTATGGATGATCCCGCTCCCATGAGGCGGTCCAGTCTGGCCAAGACGTGTGAAGCTGTTGGCATAAGGTTTCGAGGTCACCAGTGAAGCACAAAACATAGCCTCGGCCTGGTTTGTGACTGAGGATAAATGTTCGAAACGTGATTGATGTAAGAATAGAATATGGAACCCCATGTTTGTAGTTTCAAGCGTGTTTTGCCAGCATCTACGACGGCAATAGTCAAGGTAGACCTAGCATGCAGAGAGAAAATGGCCTATGAGAGCCCTGGGGGTTACTGGTGAGACAGAAAGATGTAGGAAAGTCGAAGTCGAGGCATAAGCAAAGCTTTGGAAGCCAGGTATCGGATGGACCCTCAGGATTTGCCCAACCATATTGTGCTTAGCCATAGCTGTTTGAACCCACGATGCCTAAGCATTGAATAGTTTAAGCCTAAAGCTTGGCGGGTAACCTAAACTAATCCTCGAGTCTAGTGAAACCAAGACAAACCGAGGATGGAAACGTAAATGCAAGCCGAAAAGGCCTTTCCTTGATCCAATAGAGAAACGTTCTGCTCGGAATTCAATTTGGTTGCCATGTTGAGATCCGTGATTCCTGAATGAGGGAAGTAAGTCCTCAGTGGACTTCATTAGACACATGCTAAGCTGCTGGTTTTTTGATGCTGCTCAGTTCAAAGATACCGAGAGGGCACGGGCGGCGCCAAAAGCTCGTCTCGAAATGTGCATCGGGAACATGGCAAACAAGGAGCCCCATGTCGCGACAATTATAGAGTATCTAGGCAGGCTAGATAAAACTAGTGCTTCGTGATGGTGATGCACGTTCCAGTGTGAACAAGTGTGGTTTAAAGTTTCGCAACACCCTTTTGGGTTGGAGTTTTGTTTAGTGCCGCATCGTCAGTTTCACACACGGTTGGGCAACATCTGGGGAGGTTTTCGCTTTCGGCGTCGGTATGATCCGGTTTGTGTTGATGCCGCACATTGTGGCTTAGGGGCGGCCGCGGTAGAATGGCGGTCGGATTGGTGGTCGAGTGGAGTGTTGTAGGTTGGAGGTTGAGGTGAGGCTCTGGAATCGCTCCACCTGCCCCATTTAGCCATCCGTCTTGGCAAACATGCGACGCTCATTGAGTGGCATACAGAGTGTGCACTTCTCCCTCGAAGCACTGCACTCATTCGCAAAGGATATTATTAGTCGACTTTCAAATCAGCCACTGGCCATGTCAGAACACGGCTACTATTCTCTTTTGGCATCGTGCCGAGTATCTACGCAGATAGCCTCCTGTCCGCCATTCTTCGAATCCCTGGATTCCAATCATCTCAATTCCTTGCCGGGATGAAATAGTGGCTCAACTAAAAAGAAGACATGTTCAGTCTTTCAGGCCGAATCTCTTGGTGTTGAGGTTGAGTAGCTCACGGGCATGCAGTTCGCCTGTTTATACGCTTGTGCTAAACAGGCAGGTGGGATTCTACTTTGCAGCACGACTGCACCACGTCATTCCGAACATCGGGTTACTTCGTCTTGCGATAAGATCGGAAAACAACACGCGCATTATGAACTGTTCTGACCAAACTCATCTGATGTGTGTATCAGTACACTAAGGAAAGCCGCAAAAATATGCCGGGTACGATGCCCAAAATCTGTTAAAAGTTAGGATCTATAAGTAACCTTTACTGCATGATGGTAATGTTTCCGAGCCATCTTCTTTCTCATTGCTGAGCATTATATCCTTAGGATGGTGTCATTTCATCGCCTAGCCGTCACAACGCTCTTTAGTTGTGCTGCGGCAGGACAGACTATGCCATTCGACGCACGAGAGGCTACAATCGACTCCGTCCATCATGCACTGTACTCAGGACTCTCAACATGTCGTGAAGTCGTGTCTTCCTTCCTTGCCCGGATCGAGGCCCGCAACACCCTGACGAACGCGATTCTGACTCTGAATCCGAATACCTTGGCATTAGCAGATGAGTTAGACGAGCAACTGGCGGCAGGAAACGCAACCGGACCTTTGTTCTGCGTACCTGTACTTCTGAAGGACAACTATGACACTAAAGATTTACCAACCACGGGGGGCAACTTGGCCCTCGCAAAGTCGCGCCCAACAGAAGACGCGCCTAGTGTGGTGGCTTTGAAGAAGGCTGGGGCTATCATCTTGGGTAAAGCAAACTTGCATGAGCTTGCTTTGGAGGGGATCAGTGTATCATCCCTAGGTGGCCAAACGATCAATCCGTACGATTCCACACGAACGCCTGGTGGTAGCTCCGGTGGAACTGGCGCAGCTGTCGCATCTTCGTTCTGCGTGTTCGGTACTGGTACGGATACCGTGAACTCCCTTCGCAGTCCTGCCTCGGCCAACTCACTATGTAGCATCAGACCTACCCAAGGATTGATCACAAGAACGGGCATCATCCCCATTTCGTATACCCATGATGTTATCGGACCTATTGCCAGGACAATCAAAGATGTCGCTGTAGCATTGACAGTCATGGCTTCTTCTGGCTACGATGCGGCGGATAATTCGACAGCACGTGTTCCGTCGTCACGTCGTAACGTGGACTACGCTGCGTCCCTCACCACCGGCACTCTCAAAGGCCTGCGACTGGGGGTGCTGAATGGCTTCTTCAACCGCACTGACTCACCTGAACTTACTCCCGTTAACAACGCTATGGACACCCTCATGTCACGACTAGAGTTGGAAGGCGTAACATTGGTCCCCATCAACGAGACGATCTACAACGCGACAGCCATCCAAGCCGCGCTCGACGTCCAGCGCTTCGAGTACCGTGAGCTCATGGATGCGTATCTCATGCGCCCTTCACTTGCCGGCGAGCATCCTAAGACACTCAACGAGCTGTACTCGCGCAAAGCAGCAAACGGCTCGAGTGGGCAGTTCCTCGTCCTTCCCTCTCAATACGAATACGTAAACACAGCCCTCATCTCCTCGACAAGCAATGCAACCTATGCCCAGCGCCAACAGGGAATCCGCAACTTGACCCTTGCGCTGCTCAATACGTTCGCTAGTAATGAGCTAGATGCCATCATCTACCCCGAGCAAAAGAATCTGGTCGTGAAAATCGCCTCGGCCTCTCAGTCTGGCCGCAATGGGATCCTGGCTGCCCTTACAGGGACCCCTGTTGTTACAGTCCCTGCAGGCTTCAGTGTGCCGAGTGACGACGCGCCGATTGGTGTACCAATTGGCATGGAAATCTTGGGGAGGCCATGGGACGATGAGAAGCTGCTGGGGATTGGGTATAGGATTGAGCAGTTGTTGCAGATTCGGAGAAGCCCAATATGGGCCAGGGAAGTGGTGGAAGTACCGGAGTATGACAGCGTGCCGACGGTCACGCCGAATACGAACGGTATCCCCAGCGCATATCCATTAGGGACACTGTAGCTATAAGCAAGTTGGGAAGGTGGTGATAATGATAGTATGGGATTTCGGTAATGGTAATATCAACGTGAAATAAACATATCCATCCATCTTATGAATCGTCTATCAAGATCCACTTGTCCATGTCCGCTATCGTGTCGTATTTCGAAGTCATTCTTTTTTGCTTCTACACCGGTGTATATGATTAGACTAGATACCTGGGCTATCAAACGACCAGGACTTGTATGAGTGGCAAGATCTCCACGGTGAATAATGCGGAACCCGGGGAACCAGAAGCCCGGTGTTATTATTATGCCTAGCACAGCCCCCTGGGTGGCGATCTCCGCACGATCGTCAGTTAACTTTCCGCGGCGATGCCGACAACAACTTTACAGTTCGTCGAATAGGCCCGCGAATCTGGTCAATTTTGAAGTTGAACGCCGAAGGTCAAATGGAATATGATGATCAGCGGTGCACGTTTGACGAACGTGAGCTAGCGACGTGGCAGACGGAAGATGAATGTAGAGTGCACGTGCTCACGCGCCAAGTCGCCGCTTATCGATTTCACTAGCCCCGGAATTATCCGCCCTCCACCTCACAGGGCTGACTTCGCTCCTTGCCTCTCAACCCTCACTCATGTCTCACAATCAATGGAGCCGCTCAAGTACGGAGCCATCGTTAATATCGTCACGCTCATCGTCTTCTTTAACTATCTCTGCATCTCCATCTACCTGATTGTCCGCCAGGGCCTGGGTCGCAGCCTGCCATGGATCTGGCTCATGGTGTTGGCGCTCTGCCGGCTCACGCAGGTTTCGCTCGATTTGGCGGCCACGACAATCTTTCCAGGTTATAACGCGGCGAATACCAGTCTTGAGAGTGGTGTTGCTATTCTTACGACGATGGGACTCACGCCGCTCTTCATGGCGACAAACAGCTTGCTCAATGCGACAACCAGACCAAAAGGACGGCGGATGCAGTGGATCCTGCTCATGGTGCATATTCCGCTGATTATATCCTTCATCCTTATTGTTGCCGGCGGTATTGATCCGGACTCCCGCGACGGCCCAACGTTTGCAGCGACCGGGGTAACCAAAGTTGGCGTTTCCCTATACCTGGTGTGCTTTCTACTTCTAATTTGGGCGACTACTGTTATTTCGGCGCGCCTCTACCTAGCGGATTCAGACGAAGTCAAAATCCTTACGACGGTGGTCATCAGTCTCCCTTTCTTCCTTGTCGACGTCGTCTATATAATGTGTTTCGCGTTCGAGCGCTGGGGCGCTGAGGAGCGTTGGGAGCACATGCGATTCAACGTTATTAGTGGCAGTGTGACGATCCAGTTATGCATGTACGTACTATCATCCGCAAAGCGCCTTCCAATCCCACCGGCCCTTGCCACCAATACCGTGAGGCCACGAGCGTATCCTAGGTCGTGTAAATCTGGATCAAGGCTTTGTTGCTAATATGTTCATTAGGCAGGTTGTCATGGAATACATCATTGTTGGACTCTACCTGGGCCTGGGCCTTGAGCTACCCAGCAAAGCTGCAAGATTACGGGAGCAGGTTGAAGATCGGATAGGCCAGGCGAGGGGTCTTGATTTCGATCAGCTGCAAGAAACTGTGCTATGGAAGTTACACGCAGCGGTATCGAGGGTTGTTACTGCGATGATCATGCCGGCCCTGCAATTTGCCCACTGGATGCTAGGAAAAATACTACGTTCTTGATGCGTGTCGCCCTTCGCAGTCTAGACATTTCTTCACGTTGCAAGTCGCTGAAGTGCATCTCGCGATGAGCTTGTAGTATTATCGGGAACTAAACGACACCCTAAGCCTCCTTGGCAACTCCTCACACACATAATCGGTTTCGGTTTAGGCTTATTGATGGCATATCAAACACGCTTCCGTCAGAGCCAATGCTGCGCGTCGTACACTGCCTGGGCGAGATCACCTATGACCGACACGACATAAGGCCACGATGTTTCCACACGATTAGAAAGGCCAGAGGATATTATGGGGAGTGCGGGTTCATACGCAACGATCATGCGAGGTAGTTGTATGTATGGGAAGTGGTTCATTGGTGAAGTCGGGTAGGCTGATGAGTGCTGAGCGGACGAAATGAACACGGAGTCCAAAGTTTGGGGCGCTAGTAAACGGTAAGCGCTAAGAAAACCTAAGCTATCAATATCTCAATACACTATTTATCATTGGCTTCCCATAACGTACCTTCGACGCCAGAAACCGAGGTATTCCTCATTTCGGTAGGGCTTTTCAGGCAACTCCAGGCGGCTTGCCAGCGTCTAGCGTATGCCTTCTCACTTCCGTGCCGTCGTTCGCCGTTCTCTCATATACAGGGCCAAAATCCTCCGTTCCGGTCGCATACGTAGGGAGGGGTTGCGCTCTCGCCCTATGCTTGCCAAAGAAATATGCACCGAGACCAACAGCGGCAATGAGAATGATGCCACAGGGAATACCTGCAGCCAGACCAATTTTAGCACTTGATGAAAAACCACTTGACCCTCCAGAGCCATCTGGTTGTGATGTCCATGAGGGTGAATATGTGGCCCTAGCAATTGATGATGTACTGCTGGATAGGGAACCCGAGCGAGTTGTAGGAGTTGTGTTCGGTGTTGTCAGTGTCTGTATGCGTACTGAACTTGTAGAGGAAGTCGTGTACGGCTCCGGCAGTGGAAACTGCGGCGGCAGCGTCGATGGCAGCCGTGGTATCGTCGATGTCTCTAACGAAGTGTATGGTGGCGGCAGCAGCAGCGTCGCAGTCGCCGGTATTTGCGCTGTCGCGCATGTTGTGAGAAAAGTGACAACGAGCAGGAGTTCAATACGCATGATGAATCGACTTGTAAGACAATTCAAGAACACAACGCCGATAATGACTCAAAGTCAATGCTAGGTGAAGGCTACCCCGAACTTTATGAAGCTTTGGGGACAGGCAGCTTGTTGAGGCAATGCAAGTACAGCCCCTTTCGCGTGTTTTCAAGAGAATTCTGGTTGGTTGGGTGGCCGCATGAGGCGTTTGGGGGCTGGACAAAGGAGGTGCATCAATAGGTTCTCAATGTAGATCCTGTCGCAGGATTTTCAGCCTGATCCACAATATCGATAAGACTTTGGAGAATTAAACTACCTGCTGATAATAGTTCGCTTCAGTGGATGTTACCTGTTTAGACACACTTCCAAGCACTAAGTTCCTAGGATGAATCGAAATGTGAATTGAGACTTGGAATGAATATTCATGATAGACCGTAACCTGAGGAGTACGATCGATCCGGACTGGTCATGAACAATTCCCATACGCAGACTTTTAAGACATGTCGGCTCTACTTTGCCCGTCACATATGCAGATCTATATTTACATCTGCTGGATGCGGTCTTATGGTTCAGCAAAACTTGACCGCAGCAAGGCTGAAAATTTATCCAACCAACGCAGCGCCCTTGTCAGCCGCCTACCATACCTCCTCGTCCAGCGAAACAGAGCCCGGTTTTTATTTAGCTCGACATGCCATAGTCGCATAAAGAATGTTTGGCAAGAATACGAGGTTGATTCTCGGGTACATCTTTTACTAGCTGGTTGCGAACCTGGTGAAGGTTATGGCTGTGATGGTGTGGAGAAATGTTGTAGAAGATATTATTAGAGTCTACGTGGCCCTAAACGCGTCGTCCCGTGCAAAATAGGTACTGAGAAGCCGGACTAGGCGACTATTCGTCAATTTTCATCCGATGTGGTTTGGTAACGTGGAAATACGAATGAATTTTAGTTTAGAGTATTCATGTAATCTGCGGAAAAGGGGGCCAACTTACGGACCTCGGCGAGAATATGTAAGAGCAGGTTCATCGACTAGTTTTCCTTCTACAGGAATTATCAGCCTCACCAGTAGAGTGTAACGTATAATAGATTCAAGGTTTAGCCTTGTCTGGCATCCTCTGTACCTATAGATCGTGCCAACTGCTACGAACTTCTCTGCAATGAGACCATTGTCCTGAGTTTGCATAGTAAAGCCAGTGTACCTTCACGTGAAAATATTGGACTCTTTGCGACACCCAGTTAGGAGAGGTGCTTTTCTTTGAATCGAGTGTTGCACTTGAGATTCCGCGTACAGCGTAGCTTGATTTTCCAGTTGTGCTGCAAAATCCACGTCCTCATCGCGTTCATGCTACTTTTTACCGTAGAACGTACTCATTCGATATTTCGTCTCGCCCTCATATGGCGCAAGATCCGCTAATGCTTGCTCTCCTTCCCGAACAATCGTCTGCTTTATCTTCTCACTTCGCGGTCTAATGCTGACCTTGAAAGGTTGTGGCCTCATGTTTAAACCGTTACTACGCGTATGTTAGCACTCAATCTGTACAATACAAAAGATGGACCTACGTGTAATCGAAGATATCCACCGGGATCGGCTGTCCACGCTCGTCCAGCGCAGGCTCAATCTTAAAACCCCATACAAGTCGCGCAACTGTCAGCCATGTTCCTTGCTCAGCGAGCGCTTGCCCAGAGCATACTCTTCGTCCCCAGCCAAACGTCATATATCCTCGCTCGCCCGGGAACGCCCTTGCGTCCGGATGATTCTTCATAAATCGATTTGGGTTGAAGCGATCTGGCTCTGGGAAATCGCGCTCATTGTGGTGAATTGCCCACACATTGCCTTGCACCCATGTTGACTTTGGAATTAGATACCCGTTATAGTAATCGTCTTGTACTGGCGCATGAGGCTGGCCACCGATAATGGCTACTGAACGCCAACGGAAGACTTCCTTAACGAACGCTCGCATGTACGGCAGGTTGGCATCGTCGTCGAATGAAGGGCTCCTGTCCGAGCCTACAACGCGATCTAGCTCCTCCCATGCGGCTATGAGAGTCTCGGGAAATGCACGCATAGCTAGTACGGCTGTAATGAGCGTGCTGCTTGACGTGTCCGATCCAGCACCGAAAAGATTCCCCGCCAATGCAGAAATCTCCTTCGTTTGCAGGTTGTATTTGGCCTGCTCTTTGAAAAGCATCTTTGCATAGCAGTCCTCATGATCTGGCTTCTCGTTCGCTTCGTAAGCCAGGGAATAGAAGAAGTCGTGCCCGCGGTGCGTTGTCTTTTTTGATCCCATACCGTGCTTCCACGGTGCATACTCAGTGGGCACACGAGCAAGCGCTGGGAAGGTCTCCATCAACATCGGAAATGTTTTGCCGGGCACGTTCAAGTCGGCTGCACGATGCATCAATGCGATGACTTCCGTGATGATAGGGTCCGCAGAGCTTCCCACTCGCCTCCCAAATCCAATGATTGACACAACACTCGTCGCGTAGCGTTCGAAGTGCGCCACATAGTTCTCGGGGCTACTCAACAGGTCAAGCGCAACAACCTTACTCTCGTCGTTCTGGAAGTCACGGTATCGCTTGACTTGCTGGATCCCAACGCCCTGATGCGTTAACTTCCTCAGAGCCCGGAAGCGCTCTCGCTGAGCGGGCGTTGTTGTGATCAGATTCACAAGATTATTTTGGCCTGCTCCCAGTTCCGCAAAGACCAGCATGCGTGGCCGCGAGCAATATATGCCAGCTCTTTTGTCGAGGAGCTCGCTCGCTGTCCAGGCATCGTTGATCCATACTGTTGGGTTTCTGGACTTTGGTTAGTTGTTGATGATAGTGATCGGCCGGTATCGACTGACCTTCCAATCCAGTACGTGATTAGCGGTGTGTTATACTTCTTTGACAGCTCTTCAAAGTATAACCATGGCTTGTGGTCTGGTAACTGAAATGTGTTGCCAATGATTGGGTATGGGAAAGGTCCTGGAGGCTGTTCGTTGTTAGCACTTGCAACTCGTTCTATTTCAAGGTCTCACCATCTTAGATCTCAGCCTCAGCATCCACGCATAGTCGACGATGACTCCTACAGCCACTATCACTAGCACAGCGAAAGCAATATTAACAGCGCCGAACTTTGAGATGCCATGCTGCAAGTAGTGTAGCGGCAAAGTCTCGAAAACTTGCTCGATGGCCATGCTCGTCGGTGTCTTAGAACCCTTTCTCTAACGACGCGTCGTCGAAATCGCTGTGTGATCTGCTGTGGCCCCAAATTCCAGACCAAAACAAGTGCTGCGACCGGTGGAAGCGACGGCAAACGATATGAGGAGCCAATGAGCCGAGCGTTAAATTTGCTTTGAAACTTCTCCGAGCGATGCACGAGCTGCGAGGCTGCTAGGCGGGAGTAGTACTGTAACCCCACATCGCGGGGGTGGGGCATAGCTGTCGGTTAACGTTATCAGGTCCTAACCGGGTCATCTGGATGGCTGGTTTGTTGCACATGATCGCCGAGTCATGGAGTTGCTTGTACAGGTGGCAGCGATCGAAGGAAGACGTGAATAATATCAACCCGGCCGCGCGGCTGGGAAAGTTCAGGCGATGGACAACATATTCATCGAACGCTAGAAGAACGACACTTCTGTATTGGAAGTATGATGCTTATAAGGCTCTCTTGCGCAAGATCGCGGATTACGAAAAGAATTAGCGTTGAAGCCTATGGCGATACCCAAGTTCCAAGGTGCGCGCGCCTTCCGCCATCCACCCGACCCACAACAGACCTAAACGCCGTTTCCCGTATTTCTCACACCACGTTTCTTCATCTTCCCTAGCAAACGTCAAAATAATTGCGCTTCAATTTCTAAAACCCCTAAAATGCCCATAGTAGTACCTCTCACGAAAGCGACAATTAGAATCTCGTTTAACGGCTTCACAAAATGGACCACTTATTGGGAATAACTTTGCAGGGTAGGGACATGGGGACATTGACAAAGGAAAGGGAGCTTGGAATGTTTTCCGGGCAATCGAGGCTGCCTTGCTAGTGAGCGACCTCCTCTAGGTCTTACCGCTTCCGCATATACCCAGGTAATCTGCTTGCACTAACACCGTGCATCGGATATTCGACGACCTTGTGCACTACAGTTACTTCATATTCTCACTATTAGTTAGCCCCATGAACGCAGTCGCTCAGCCAATTACCTTGTTAGACATACCAGCATGGACGAGACGACAGACGGCTGACCTAGTCGGACTGCCTAACGAATTACTCGACAACATCGCCAACTATCTTGAAGGCACTGATCTATTCAAGCTTCGAACGATTAGGAATCGCACGATCTGTGATGGCATCGATTACGCCTGGGTGCGCCAGCGCAAAGCCAGAAAAAAGACCTCAACTGACTATGATACATAGGTTAAACGTTTCTTTGCACGCAGACAATGCAGAACGACCGACACAAGCATCGCGCATCTCGAAGCTATAACCCGTTCCCAATTCGCTAATTGCATCTATTCTATCGTTATCGAGATGCACCTGGTAAATATATCGCTGGAAACTGAAAGACAGGATACAGAGAGTCCAAGTGTCCCTACAAAATCATACCTCGATGCGCACAGCTGGAGCAAGTCGGTAGGCTCGAAACTCGCCACCATATTCAAGAATACTACGAACCTCAGCGAAATTGGAATTCGCATGCCTCCAAAAGTTGGCTACCGTACCGATGGGATTCCTCAATTCTGGTTGCCTGTTCAAGAAAGACTCCCGAGTCTAACTAACCAGTTAGAGGCTTCTGCGAAGCACCGCGTTTTCAAGCTTACAGCCGCCCGTGTAGTCTTCTGCTCTATAATAAAGGCTTTGCGAGACTCGAAAGAAAGGCTAGAGAACTTGACTATCTTAGACTTCACGAGCGGTCCCGGGGAGCCACTCATACCTCTATCACCCCCCATGCTCGAAGATTTGGTCAGGGTACCGAGCGTTCAAAACTTGACGAGACTAGAGCTACTGCTGCAGATGCTCACAGAATCTCCCCACGAAGCCATTCCAAGCATAGTCAAGTTGATCAAGGGAAATACTAGGCTCTCTTCATTGAGGCTATGGGCGGGCCCAGGCGTACACTATAGTTTCATGACACCCTCAGGAGCCTGGTCTCCTCTTATCAACGCTCTCGCGATTCAACCTTCGTTTCGTCTGCAAGCCCTCGATCTCGATAGTCTCGTGTTAAGCGGTGACACGACCCTCGCTAGCATAATCCGGGCGCATTCCCACACCCTTCGATGTATTACGTTAAAACACACCAACTTTCGCCGCCCAAACTCGCTCCGCGCATTTTTTCTCGCCCTAGCCGACACAGATCTTGAATTATTTGCCATGAAAGACTTCCGGGTATATGGCAGGTGCTGGATGACCACTGTCACCTTGTCCTACCAGTATCGACTAGATGCCGTCTTACAATGGTCCGATGCTGAAGGAGATGGCAAAAACGATGCATATCTGGATTGGGCTGATATCACTTGGGATGGAGGGAACCATACAGAGTGGATCAGATATGACAATCAAGCTGGCACGCACAGCGGATCTTGGATGAAGGATCAAATGAAGGATTTGATCTTCATGGCAGAATGCTGTGGAATTGATAATTGAGGCTGATTTGAATCTGATTCACGGAGGAGACCAGCGTTATTTCTGCGGCTGATGCTGAGGGGGTGGAAACGCAGTGTGGCATAGACTTTTCTTGCGCCACAGAAACTCTATAATAACACGCACTTAAATTCCTCAATCGTTATAATATCATTCCGGTGGAATCGAAGCTGCCAACGCAAGAGTGAATGCACGTGAACGTCAAAGCGCGCTATGTACCCCAGAAGTACCAAGCCGTACTTTTGGGCGTTGCATGGTCAACCTCTCCTGGGCTCAGCATGCTGGCAGATCAGCACCCGGAATGCGTAGACTTCGCTGCTCCAAACCAGCCACGTAGCGCCCTTCAACGTTTCGAGTTTCGCTTGCGGGCTAGGATCCAGTCTAGCGCGTGCAACCAATACCGCCCTTCATGATCAATGCTACGCGGCATTATCGTCCCGATAGCAAGGAAGTGCCGTTGAATTATATCAACCATGGCGTATAGGTTATTGTGGATTACTTGGAGACGTGAAAGGAGATAAGAAGCCACGTGGGAAGAATAGCTGAACCGTGACATGGCCCATTGCAGTAACAAGGCATCGATCGGGCTACTTCCGACGCCTCCCCCGCACCCCACACTTTAGATCGACACTTGTCTGGGGTAAATGAAGCTAAATGTCCGTAGGCACTATCGGCAGATATTGAGGTAGGGGTCTGGAACCGGGGAAACGATCTTCATATGAACCTGGATGATGAGGCCACCATCACGAATTCGTTGTGGTGCAAGAACTTCTGTTTTCATAGAAGGCATGTGGTGATTATTGTGGACAACCTTCTAAAAGTCTGCTCTTTTTCTAGCCATATCTCGACTCGTCCATTGAGACACCAAAACATCTCATCCGGAAGCGACCAACCTCATCAATCTGTCATCATGCCTGAGGCATCCACCCGTAATGGCCTGCTGGAGAACTGGAAATGCCTCCTCGCATGCACTCTCGTGTCCATGTCCCCATTCCAGTATGGCATCGACTTTGGTGCCATCGGCGGCTTACAAGCCATGCGCGGCTTCCTCGAAGTCTTCGGGCACCCTGATCCTTCTAGCCCAATAGGATACAACATCACACCCGAGCGCCAGCAACTCATCTCCTCTCTCATGACGCTCGGCGCCTTCCTTAGCTCCTCCAGCGCAGGTCTATTTGCGACGTACATGGGTCGGCGCCAGTGTCTGTGGATGGCGAGCTTACTGTGCTGCGTGAGCAATGTCGTTATGATGACCACAACTAGTCTGGCAGGTTTGTATGTCGGACGGCTGCTCATCGGAATTGCGAATGGCTGGTTTATGACGTTCAGTCAGCTGTACATCCAGGTATGTATCCCCCTGTGCTCATGTGGTGAACGCATTAGACGATAAATTTGTGCTAATCCCCATGTAGGAAAGTACGCCGGCGCGGTACAGAGGTCTCATGATATCGGTCTTCCAGATCTGGACTTCAGTTGGATCACTCATTGGAACGGTCATCGACAACGCAACACACGATATCGTGGGTAGAAACTCATACATCATTCCGCTCGGCACTATTTTCATCGTACCGGTATTCTTATCGATTGGCCTATTTTTCATACCAGAAAGCCCTAGGTGGTTAATGCTCAACAACAAGCAAGACCAGGCCCACAAGTCAATGGTCTGGATGCGACCAAATCCCGAAACTGTAGCTGAAGAGCTTGCGGAGATTCAAGCTGCCATTGATGCTGAAAAGCACACAAAGGAGACGGCAAATTTCCTTGATATCTGGAGGGATCCTGTCGATAGGAGAAGGACGCTGTTGGCTATCGCGGCGGTTTCGACGCAGGCCGCATCTGGCGCTATGTTTATGATCGCTTACGGAACGTACTTCTTTCAGGTGAGCGAGATTGACATTTAATTGATTTTAACTTCAAGGCTGACCTAATTTTAGATGGCGAAAGTCGGTAGCCCATTCATGAACAGCTGTATCCTGACCGCAGTTGGTGTGCTTGCGATCATGGTCAATAGCTGCATAATATCGAAATATGGAAGGCGACGTGTGTTTTTGATGGTTGGTCTCTCGTTATGCGGAATCACACAAATAATCATCGCCGCCGTGTCCCACGTCAACCCAGGAACAGTCGGTACCGGCAAGGTAAGCTACGGCAAGACCTTCTCTGAAAAATACGTATACTGACGACATGTAGGTCATCGTTGGTCTCTCGGTCATCTACATTTGCGGCTACAACGGCATGGTCGCTGCCTACGCATGGCTCTCAGGCGGCGAGATTCCTTCGCAGCGTCTTCGCTCGTACACTTTCGGCGTTGCGGCCGCGGTGGGTTTCGCAGGCGCATGGCTGGCCACGTTTACAGCGCCGTACTTTATCAACCCCGAAGCGCTGGGCTGGGGTCCAGAATACGGTAAGTCAGGTCAAACAACTGCATTTCAACCGTATAAGCGAACAATGCTAACATTACAAAGGTTGGATTTGGGGCCCTTCCTGCTTCATCACCGTTGTATGGGTTTACTTCTACCTCCCAGAGATCAAAAACCGCACCCTTGAGGAGATCGATGAGATGTTTGAGGCTAAGCTTGCAGCGCGCAAGTTCAGGAAGTACGTATGCACGGGCCGGTACGTAGTAGATGGCGATGAGAAAGTTGTAGAATGGCGACACAGTGGAGGAAGCGACAAGGACGGTGTTGTGAGGCAAGAGGTCGTTGGTGTGGAGAAGACTGGCTGAGTTTTCGTGAATTTGAAGATATTTGCATTGCTATAACTATAGTATGTCAATAAGATTGGCAAGGGGTACTGTGCGGAAAATAGCATTCAACCCACCACTATTCATGCTTACTTCATGCGACTTTCAAATTCTATAAGCTATCGATACCAACTTCGCATTGCGTATTGGTAGTCTATGATAGTCATAGACCCTCACTTCCTATAAAGCTCTAGAATGTACCGGGAATACGAATATAGGTTTCTGTATATGTGTATTCTTCCTTCCTGCAACTATGCAACACCGCATCATGCAGCGGCAACCGATGCCGAAGCCTTCTTGATTGCCTCAGCACTAGCCTCCTCCGCATGGGCTTCTGCATCAAACCCAAAGATCCAATCCTCCCTCGGAAACTGGATAAGAGTAGGATCCTCCTTCACTTTCTCCCAGTCGGTCTTGTGCCACATATCGCGCGTCGTTTCACCCGTTTTCTGCACCGCCTTCACGCGGTCATATCTGATATCTTGAAACGCCCTCAAGGCGCCCCGTATATTGTCGTTCCCAGCTTTCCGCAGCAGAACAGCAAGTGTGACGCCGTCTTCCAAAGCCTGCGTAGCGCCCTGTGCACTTGTTGGTAGGAAAGGATGAGCTGCGTCTCCGAGGAGGCAGATGCGGCCGTGGCCTGGCGCTGAGCCGTATCCACTGACCCAGTTGGGTAGGGGGTCCCGATAGACCAATTTCCAGTCAACGAGCTTTTCTTCGGGCGTCTTTGACACGATCTTCCAGCACATGGGATCCCAACCTTCCAGTACTTTCTTCACGTCTTTGAGATAGCCGGGGAAAGACCATGATTCTTCGATGTCGTGTTCGTCTCGGTGCGTGAGCACCCAACAGCAGTCCGTGCCATTCTTGATAGTGCTGAAAAGGAAGTGGACGTCTGGGCCTGTACATCACATGAGTTATTTCTTTCAAACTCAATGTATGGATGATGGGAAACTTACCAATCCATCCGTTGAACGAATCCCCATTTTCGCAGAAGTGCTTCGTTTCGGGGTCGGCGATCATGTCCTTATTACTGAACCATGCTCTCCACACAGCATATCCACTACTCTTCGGTTTATCCTCATACCCCAACACTAGTGTTCTCGCCTTACTTCTAACGCCATCACTTGCCACTACGAGGTCACCTTCGACCTTCGTTCCATCTTCCAGCGCAATTCCTGCGGCGCGCTCATCCTCCCAGTACTTCTCCACCCTTTGCCCCAAGTTTATCTCTACGCCAATTTCTTTCGCGTACTCGAACACAATCTCGTGGAGTTCTCCCCTATGCCCGTTGAAGTTTGGGGCAGTCTCGTCGCGTGGTGGCGTTTTCTGGTTGATCACAACTTCGCCAGTATCATACTTGTGGATATTGAAACCGTATGTTGTTAAGTCAATTGAGATGTCGCGCATCTTTTTCGCGACAGAGCCGTTAGACCAACGTGCGAATATGCGTCCCGCATTGGGTCCGAAAGAGATAATGTCGCCGAGGATTTTGAGCGAGGGAAAGGATTCGTAGATTATGGGCGTGTGGCCTTGTCGGATACATTCTATCGCTGCAGTGAGGCCACCGAAGCCTGTGGATTGAGTGTAAGTAGTGATAGATAGGAACGAAGAGAGACTTTGGGGTACATACCTGCGCCTATGATGATGACTTTTATGCCAGTCTTTGGCTTTGTGCCTTCTGAAGTGGCCATGTTGGGACGTTTGGGCGTGTCTATGCGCGCAAAACTGGATGAAAGAGCTTGACTGATGCCTTGCAGATCTTCTCAGATCAAAACTGACGGAGCTCACCAGGATGTGATGCGAGGACGGGAAATGAGCTCAGATGTCAGATGTGAATACCAGGTAAACGTCTTCCAATCCTGCAGCGTGGGGCTCACATACCCTGTATCTACCGTGAGTTCATCGAGCCGTGCTATCGACATGCTATTACTCTATAGGCGATATTGTGCCGAAGCGTACAGGGGGCGCGTAACGCGGCATCACGCGATGGATCTCACAGCGCGTATCTTTACCAAAGAAGCATCTGATGTTGGCAAGGCGGAGGCATGCCTCCGAAAGTATTGAGTTACCGCGTTGTGGTTGTGGATATTGAGGCTTGAGTTGGGGTATAGTGTAGCCCCACATCGCTGCAACTTCCCCGCGATGTACCCCGCAACCCTCTCGCGACCACGCCGCGGCGTTTACGGAGGGAGTCGGTGGGCAGAAGTTACACTTGATAACCTCATATTATGCATAATGTGCCGTATGTATGCGTCCTAATACTCTTAGTGCTTGTAGGGTGGTGTGGGAGCTTGGACCATCAGTGAATGTTCCATCAGCGAGGTGTCAGTGATGAGAAGTCTGCAGGATTCTAGTGGGGCTTGATAATACATTACCGACGAAATAGCATCGCTGGCAAGCCTTGCGATACCATCCCACGCAGACCAAGATGACGACGACATTGACGCACCCTGAGTGGGACAAGGAAACAGGTGGCCTCGAAGTCGCGAAAACATTCGCAGAGCGAATCCGCGGCAAGAATGGTACATTGCTCACGTCTCTCTTCAAATCATATCTATTGACCATCTCCTAGTACTGATCACAGGTGTCTCCCCTGAATCAATCGGTTCCTCCATCGCCCTCAGCATTGCCTCCCAGTCACCCGCACTCCTGATATTGGCTTCTCGTACCCAGCACAAGCTCGATGAAGTCGTCAAATCTATCAAAGATGCGTACCCCGACACTCATGTCAAAACTGTCTTGTTAGACCTCATGTCCCAGGACTCCGTCAAAGCTGCAGCAGCCGAAGTCGCCCAGCTAACCAATCGCTTGGATCTGGTAATCAACAATGCGGGATTCATGTCACAAAAGCGCCAGTGGACTAGAGAGGGCATCGAAGGCCAGTTTGGCGCAAACCACATCGGGCACTTCCTATTCACCAATCTACTCATACCTCAGTTACTCACTTCTGCCTCGTCCAATGCAACAGGCGCCACACGCGTGATCAATTTGACAAGTCTTGGCCATCGCCTCAGTCCAATCCGATTCTCAGACTACAACCTAGAGAAGTTAGGAGATGAAGTACCACCCGAGGAAATGCACGCGCCCCTGCCGCCGATGTTCCAACAAAGTACAGACGATGGGTACATCGGGTTTGTAGCGTACGGGCAGGCAAAAACGGCGAACATTTTGTTCTCGGTCGCCTTGAACGAGCGCTTAAGTGGGAAGGGCGTTGCGAGCTATGCTGTGCACCCGGGATGTAAGTTTTCTTGACAGTGGAGTTGGTATGATGAAACTCGAGAAAGATACTGATTAATGGGTAGCGATATGGACGGGGCTGAGCCGAGACCTTGACCCAGATGGCGAGGCTGCTATTCGGAAAACGAGTCCGTTCTGGAAGAATCATGATCAAGGTGCAGCGACCGTTCTGGTTGCAGCGCTCGACCCTGCTTTAGATGGTATGTCTTTGCCTATTTGAAATTTTTCGACAAGGTACTAAGATAGAGAGCAGAACCAAAGGGGGTATTGCTGCATGATTGCCAGATATTTGGCGCCGCGCCACATGCGACCGACCCAAAGGTTGCAGAGCGACTGTGGGCATTGAGCGAAAAGCTAGTGCAGCAGAAGTTCAAATTATGAAGCGTTGCATTTGAATATAGGAAATCGTCTTGATAAACTGCAGTAGTGACGAAGGAAGAATGAGTGGAAAGGAAGAATGTCACTGCACTCAAGTTAATACAGTAATGCCTAGCTCACAGCAACTGACACAAGCGTAGAAAATAGACCTAGCATTCTTTTTTCCTCACAATTCTCCGCCAAGTCTCTAGCATGCTGAAGGCTCCTCTGAGTATCATCGTGATTGTACCCGAGCATGCTCATTGGTGCCTTGTAGACCTTAGTTGCAACGCTGAGCGTGGATGCATATTCTTTCAGATGAAGCAGAAGGATTGCGCGAAACTCCATAGTATCGAGAGTTGCCACCTTCGTCGATCCAAACTTCTCTTCTATCAGTGGTAAAGAAGATTTAACGAGTGCTTCTGCATCCTTGAATTTCCCCTAGCCGTGTAGCGAGGTGGCAAGGTTGGTGTATGTCTTGAGGGTAAAAGCTGATGCCCCGCTAAAGGTGTCTTCTCACTCCAGCTGCTGCCTAAGCCAAACAACACCAACCTCTCCGTCTGCATCAAGTTCCGCCTTCTGATATCGACGCATCGCAGGTCTTCAAGTTATTGTGAGTTGCCACGTAAATGCTCACAAGAGTGCTCGACGGGTTAACTGGCTCACCCCTTCAGCCCGACACCGGATCGCTGCTGCCCAACACGGCACAGCAAGTCGACTCAGCGCCTTGGTCAATGTCAACATAGCCCTGTGGTCCCTAACAAGTAATCATGGGCCCGTCGCTCTTGGTAAGGCCTTTGGATCTATCGTTCACAGCCAGCGCGGCCTCACGCTCCCTTTTGTTACGGACTCGATTGACTGGTACAGGCTCTCCATGGTTCAGCGGACGACGACGAACAATCTTATCCGAAACAAGGCTTCATAGAGGACGAGAATGATGGCGCCGTTGAGAATGGCACCCTCGCCTTTGTTCACGTGATCCAATCTAGCCTGGCCTACCCCGGGCTCCAGGTGTTACCTAAAGAAGCTGTTCATGCGCTCAAGTGTTTACTTCGCGCACTCGACGCTTTTCATCAACAAGAAGTTATTGCTCCACCTACGGCGATCACTTATGATCGTGGCTTCTCCAAGCTGCGATCTCTCACTAACAACGATGGTGTTGGCTCTTTTACGGCCTTCCATCATAACAGCCTATCTCTTGACTCACTCCTCAAAGGCTCAGACGCACCCACTCTTCTTACGGTGGCACTCAGTTTATTCAACAAACCCTTCATTGCAGTCTACACTCAGGTACTCCATAGCGTCGCCAAATCCATTTATTCGCCGTTTATTGCGTCAAACAAGCCCCCGCCTCCGCCTGCTCCGAAGCCTTATCCAACTGGTCCCCACCAGAGCGGTATAGACACACTGAACGCACTCCAATTCTACACCATACTCAAGCTACCCCCGAAATTCTCTCGTGACGGCGCCAACACGGCAACGAATGAGCCGCCGCCTCGTCCGGCTCCTAAGCCCTATCCGACAGGCCCATCTCAGAGCAAGCTTACGAGGCCACACGAGGCGCCTCCGCGTCCAGCGCCGAAGCCATATCCAACCTGGGTGCATCAAAGCTAGGCATAATAACGGAGAGTGGTGGGTCCACCAGAGTCCTACTTTGGCTTAAAGACTTTCGAACAGGGCACATATTACAAGGTCGAGAGCGGTCAGCAAGCTTACTGGCAATACAATCCTTCTTCTCAACATGTCATCATTGTTCCTTATAGTTTTTTTTACTTACTCAGAGTCCGGGACATGGATAATTATTGGGGCACATAGGCTAGGATGACGGTCACTACATCGAATATCGTACGTGCGCTTTACATATGCTTTCCCTCTGCTTATGCGAATCATCCATCTTTCCCAGTGGGATTCTTCGCCCTCGCTACAATCCGTGAGCGTAGGCACCAACCAACGATAAACTACTGCTTGATTCTTAGAACAAATCTCTCAGGTAAGGGCATTTCTACTCGTTGATTACATCCCTCCTTTTATCAAGGAGTTCGGTGTTTCCTACCGAGTGCCCATTCTTTGAACGGGTCCGGTTCATACAACTGCGGATTTGTCTTCGGCAACGCTCCCGCCTCGATCGCACCGTCAATCTCCTTTCTCAACGCACCCAACGTCGGTCGGTCCTCGGGTTTCCACTCCAAGCACCTCTTGACCAGATCGAGCAAAGCCGTCGTATATGCCCCATCTTTTGGATGAGCCACGGGAAACAACGCTCCAGTCATCAACTCGGTTTTGCTATCGAACGGTGCTGCATTGACAAGCCTATGGCCACCAAAGTCAAGGACCGGGCCAGTGTTGCTGTAGTGGTGGCATACGATAGCGTACATGAGCATACCAATGGAACAGACGTCGGACTTGGATGTTATGCGGGTAGGTACGGTGCGGGTGTTTTGAGTTTCCTAAAGCTTGTTAGCATAGTGCTAGACCAATAGACGGGTGAGATGTACGGGAGGATAGCGACCATCGTCGTGTGCGATGCGGTAGACAATAGGGTTGTCATTTTCTTCCAGATGGGTATGGTTCTTTCTGGGTGGAGGTTGTAGAATGCGCGTCCAAAGTCCATTACAACAATTCTTGGCCACTGCGGCGGGCGTTAGCTTATTCTATCAGCAGTTCTCGGAGGATGATATCCAGCACGTACTGTAGGGTCATTTGAGTCTTTCTCTAGCAGCACATTCGGGGCATGTAAGTCGTTGTGTACCACTGGGTTCCAGCCCTCAACCTTCTCGTTTTCACGCCCTTGGCTCAGAACCAAGCACGCATTGACCAGGCCGCTCAAGAGATGCCAAACAAACGCTTCTGGAAGCACCTTCAATGGCTTTTGCTTTCTGGTCTTTGGAACGTCGAAGAGCCGCGGATCAGTTTCCCAGCGGTCACTCAGTGCGTCTGCTAGCTGTCCACCTGAGCACATGTCCGTGTATATCCTGAATCTTTTCAATCTCATCATAAGCCGATAGCCGCGATGCCGGATAATGTTCTGGTGTGAATCTCCTGTACGTGTGCTGTCGATAAGCTGGTGTATCCGGATTTCACGAGGAAGTTTGCCTCGCCATTCATCCGGGTTCTTCCAATGAAACCACGGCGGGGCCACCTCCTTCATCACCATACGATCCTTGATAACTTTATTCTTGTTGACTTTGACCCAGAGCCCAGCACATCCGCAAGAACCACTTCCAAGGTAATGCGCACCCTGCCATGTTGCTTCCTCTTCATCGTTATGGAGGTCTTTGTGTAGTCGAGATCGCAGCCACCTTGTTCTTGCTTCTTCTCGTCGTGTTTCCCACTCTTGTGTTCTTGTAGTGAAAGCTTTTACGCTCTCCTTGGGTTGCTTTTCTGGTCGGGGATGTGCCCTGGACCAATTGAGAGGAGTCTCAAGTTCCGATATGCCATCGGGAGACTCTCCCCACGGCAAGTCAGGCCAAAATGGGTAGGGATAGGATTCGATACTTTGCTTGACCTTCTTCTGCGAAATGTGATTATCATCTTCTAAATGTTTGCGCGCGGTCTCAGATGCGACGAGCTTGTTTTCAAGATCAGTTAGTCGCTTTTCGAGAAGGGCAAGCTTGAGATCTGGCGACTCTCTTTCCTTAGCGGAGGGGAGCTTCTCATCAGTCGTTGGTGTGACACGGTGTTGATCGCCAATACCGTCAGCACCAGAGGCAATACCAGAGTCCCCATCATAATTCTTTGAGCCATCTCCAGCATCCAGCCATGTCATCTCTCGCTTGTGCGCTTCCTTCCCTTCATCAAAGGCGCTTCTTTCAACCCATATGGATTATCCGCATTCTGCATTCCCGAGTCACACCGCACTTTCGCGGCCAACATGCGCTCTACTGTACATGGCCGGTCAGGCACGATACTGTCGTCCCATGTAGGAAACGTTGCAGTTCCATCGAGTATATCTTCTTTGCTTATCCCAGGTGTCGCTGCTGACTCAAATAACTGGCGAAGTTTGAAATCATCATCCCACAAATAGCCGTAGGTTCTTTTCCTTTCTTCTTGGGTCCAGTCCAAGCCCCGAAAACGAAGCACGCGTCGAATAGCGTAGTTGAAGAGTATTCTGCCGGTGACATTGTCACCTGGGTTCTTAGTGTTCTTTTTCGACATGATCAGTTTGCAGATTACTTGTTGGGAAATGTGGCTTTGATTTATTGGATACAGGGACAATGCGTACTATGGAAGACAAAGGAAGCCGCAAACGGAGATGCCGAAGATGTGTTTAAGAGGCGCACATGGTCAAGGTTCTTTGTCAAAAACACCTTTCGAATAACATATGAATGAAAAGTCTATACGCCACACTAAGGAGGCGTGAAAAGAGAACCGCCGCTTTTATAAACAATGTAACGAAATTGACGCGAAGGTGCACAGCAGCTCGGTTTGTCCAAGAAATAGCATGTTCAAGTGCCCGCTTCCCTGGTATAGCACCTGGTTCCTGACATATTAGTACACACGTTGGCCTAAACTGTATGCCTGAAGATCGTTACAATATTCAACCATCCTCTCCGGATATACCCAAACTGTCGGAGTGGTCTTACGACCTGTGCTTCGTCTTGAAAGGCTTCCCAATTGCGAAATCATCATTTATGGGAAGCTCAAGCCCAAGTCCCTCCATATCCTCGAGGTTATCTTTTGCTAAATCGTTTCCTCTCAATGACATCGACGCGGCCTCCAGAATCGCCCTAAGGGTCGGTCTGTTATTTTGATCGTAGTTCAAACAACCTCGCACTAGGTACTTCAGTTGGCGTTCATATTCATTCGCCGCTGGGAAGTTCTGATTTCCTGATAACACTGCGTATTCGGTGTGTATCATTCTATTCGCTTGCGTGTCGAGAGATACTGGAATGAAACCGTCGTACTCGGTGTGTACGCCGGGTTTGATATCTCGCACCGGACCATGATTATCTTGTCTGTTCACTATCAAGCCCCATGCTATGCGACCGATTCCCCACACGTCTGTCTTCTCGTTGAGCAGGGTAAAAGGGGGTCCCGTTTGATATTGATATTCCTAACGATGTTTTAGCGCGGAGATCACTAGAAAATAGCAAAGGAGAATGTGTACGAGAGTTACTTACAGGCGGGTACCTAGTTGCAATATGGTTGACAATGTAGTCTTCTGGGTTATCGGACAGCGGGCAGCCGTTGTTGTCAAGACTGAAAAACGACATACCAAAGTCGCTCAAAACGGGGAAGACGGCCTTCTTATGTTAGTATTGTCAGCTCAACTCGTGCGATTGACTTACTAGCGATATCTTGGGTTCCTTCCCCGTCTCCTGTGCAACTTCGCCATGTACTTGTTCTATCGATATGGGCGCCTCTCCATTCCCAGTATCCAAGAGAACGTTCGGTAGTTGCAGATCCAGGTGCGTGATTGGTCTCCACCCATCAATAGGTACTTCTGCCGTGGTACCGTTTCGAAGAACCAAGCAAGCCGCAGCAAGAGATCCTAGGACAAACCAAACGAAAGCTTGCGGAAGGAAGCTCTCGGGATTACGGTTATCTTCGTCTTGGGACCAATTATCCTCGTGGCCGGCCATGGCGTGCCAAAGGTCACCGCTATCATAGAAGTCTAGGTATAGCCTGTACTTCCTTTGCCTCATAAGCAGTCGATGATTACGAAAACGGACAAGACTACGACACATCTCTGGGTTAACCTTCCGACGCTCTTCAATGAGTTGGTGAATACGGATCTCTTGTGGTAGTCTGTCACGCCAATGCTTTGGATCTCGCCACTGGCTTGCTCTGAAAGTGCTGGTCTCTTTGATAACCATCCTCTAGTCAAGCTGTCAGCTGCTATCCCACGTTGTAAAGTGGTCTTCACGTAACTTACATCTGTGATTAACTTCAGATCATTTGATTCTATCCATAGTCCAGCGGCCCCATAACCGCCTCTACCGAGTAATTTGGCTCCAAGCCACATGGTCTCGTCATCGATAGAAGACAAATACGTGTTGGTAGATAGCCACGAATCTGGCGCACTTCTTATAGTACGTAGGTCGATCCCTGGTAACTCAGGCTCGCTCGGCCACGGGAGCTGCGGCCAAAAGTTGTATGGCAACATATTAACGTTCGCTTCAACTTGTACGCCAAAGCTTTGGTTCTGTGGCGCTAAGGGTGGAATTATTGGCCCGCTATCTCCAACTTGTTGACCAGTTGCTCCTCCAGGCTCCTGGCTAAGTATAGGATTCTGGACTGCTAGATCAGCCTGCACTGGTGCCACTGGCTGCGTTGGCATAGTTTTCGTACGTCTTGCTTCAGCCGCTTGAGTTTCCGAGAATGGAGTATCGGGTATTGGGTTCGGAATCGGAAGTCCAGGGCTGGTTACTCTATTTTTACTCCTAGCATAATGCAGTTTTACTGCTGCATCTCCTGCCCATATCGTAGAAATTGTGTTCTTTTTCTCATCTTTTCATTTTCGTCAGCTGTTTGCACAAAAGTAGTGGTAGGGTACGAGCCTACCTTCGCTCCAGCCTGGCCTGTTGTTGTCAATGAATTCGTCAGCATCGTACCGGAAATAACAGTACACAAGTTTGAAGGGCGGTCCAGGCATCTTGTTAGCACGATCGAGGAGCCAAAGAGATATCTTCTAGAATAAGTGAAAATCGGTTGTAGGGAGAAGAACAAGTTATAGAGCTTGGTGAGCTCTCTGAAAATTGCAAAAGCGGTGTTGCAACAGTCGGATGTAGGCATGTAGCGGATCTGAACTGTTCAATCAAGGATGTGAAGTGTATTAATTATACACCAGGAAATGACTATGGGCGCTACGAAACAAAGAAAAACATTCATATTGCAGTCAAAGGCAAAGCCTAGATACGAATAAAGAAATCAGACAAAGCATCGTCAGTTGCGGTTAATGTAACGGAGTGGCATGATTTGTTAAACAAGTTGGTACAAGCTGGTCCCCCCGAGGACATCAAATGAATACAAAAGCCTTAGCTCTAGTACTTTCGCATGAAAGGCGCCCTTGTAGACCGCAGCTTTCACAGAACCAGCGATAGCTCAACTAGGGCGTAGGCGCTTTGGAAATCCTGTTAGACCGCAGTCAAAGGTTGAAGCCTCGGTGTTGATGATACAACATTCCAGTTGTCATCGCCTCTGACATTGTACAAATTACCTAGCAATGCATGAAAATGTCTAACTAATCGTCCTGGAGGTTTAGAGTAGGGTTATCTCGTAGACATGACGAGACAACAGTCTTGACGCAGGCAACCTGACAACACGAAATGGCGCGGTGAACCGTGCGTGCTGACGTAATATCAAGCTACCCGAACCGGAAGCTTCTCCTCAGCCATTGATCACAGATGACGCCGTTGATTTACAAGGTGAATGGCACCACCACCCCACCTCAGGAACTTATACTTCTCGCATCATTTTATCGCGTCGATGATTGATTCCTGCCATATTCCTAGCAAAGGTGCAAAAGCAACGCTTCCTGTTCTCAGTTGTCTCCACAGACCGCATTACCCTCAATCATATTGCGCCAAGTTCTAAGTGTCATCTCAGCTCGGATTCAGAGGCACCGGATACTGACGCGACAATTACAGACGAACAGGTGCCCTTCTCTTTGACTGAAACACGTCGTTGATCTTCAAACCATCGTCCAACGCAGCCATAGACAAAGGTCCGGTATCTCTATCGTCTCTAACCGCCGGATTATTCTCAAGAAATTCGTCAATCGCCCGTCTAATCTCACGCAGAGTTGGCCGATGTTGCGGCTCCCAGTTCAAACATCTCGCAACAAGATTTCTTAACTCCTCCGAGTACATCCTGAACGCAGGATAAAACAAGCCAGTAAAGGGTGGAGTGGCACCGGGTGCTCCCATTTGCCCGGGGTCTTGCAAACCCGCGCACCACTCATTCACGACGGTACCGCGATCCGATATGATCTCGCGACGTGGACCGTCGGCGATGTACGTGTTTGCAAGGAACTTCCATATTAGCGACCCAATGCTCCACACATCGGTCTTTTCGCCAAGAATGGTCCAATTTCCTGGTGCTCCATGCAGGAACTGGTGTTCGGGTGCGTAATTAGTTCCCTGCTTCTCGAAAACGTACTCTTGCGGATTATCGAGGGTCGTGGCATCACTATGCTCGAGTGGGTAAAAGGAGAGGCCAAAATCCGATAGTACTGTGTTCGGAAAGCCGTCTCCAGTGGGCGGCTCGACAAACACGTTATCCATCTTGATATCGAGATGCGTGATCGCTTTCCAATTTGCATCTGCTGCTGCAGGTGCAAACGCACCAGTTTGAAGCACCTCACATGCGTTGACGAGTTGCGAAAAGACATGCCAGATGAACCCTTCTGGTATCACTGCCATTGTCTCCAAGCTTGGCTCTTCCTCCTCCTCATCCTCTTCCTCCTCTTCTTCTTCTTCTTCCTCCTCATCTTCTTTTTGTTTGTCATTTTCTCTGCCTACAGCAGGCGTCTTTCTATTAGCCTTTCTCCTCTGAGCGGCCCTTTCCCTCCCCAATCTCCGGACCTGGAACCGCTTTTTCTCTCTAAGCGCGCGCCGCCATATCTGGAAGTGCCCCTTGAAGTTTGCATACAGGTCCCCGCCTGCATAATATCTCAAGTAAAGGCGATACCGGCGCTGCTCCATCATCAAGCGATATCCCTGATGGTGGATAAGATTTCGATGCCCGCGTACGCCGGCTGCAGGCGGCCGATTCCCATCAACGATTTGATGGATTCTGATCTCACGTGGAAGACGATCGCGCCACTGAATGGGGTCACGCCACTGCCGTCCACGTGGTCGGACTTCTTTCACAACCACATGCTTAAGCACGGAGTCAGCTATGAGTTCTCAAGCTCGAAGAGTCACACTTTAAGGAAACTTACTCTCTGCACATGATTGGTAGCATTGACCTCGCACCAAAGTCCTGCGCAGCCAAAGGCCCCTGCACCAAGAAACTTTCCACCCCTCCACATAGACTCGTCGCCCACAGGCCACATATTTGGATTGTTACCCATCCATAGATCGTTATCCTCATGGTCCTCGTCCGTTCCTATAATCTCTTCGATGCTTGCGCCGGGCGTTGGATCCTCTGGCTCCGGATCCCATGGAATTGGGGCCCAGAAATCAAACGGATATTGATTTATTGGCCGCGGTTGCGGAGGTAGTGCACGCTGGACCCCAGGGTCAGGCGGCAGCAGAAGCGAGGGGGGTATGGGATGTCCAGCCGCGTCTCTATAGGGCGGTAGTGCCTTGTGTGCCCGTGCATGGTCAACGTCTTGTTGGTTGTATGGATGCGCGGGTATAGTATTAGGTGCCGGTAAAGGATACTCCCGCTTTTTACGCACCCGCGAGTTGTAGTAGTCTCGTACCGTGCTATCGCCGTACCATATAGTCAAGGCGGTTAGTTTGATATCATCTAAATACGGTAAGTAGGTGCTCGCAGTGTGGCTAGTGGTACGCTTACCACCTGTCCACGTCGTTCGATTTCCCCCACAATATGTCTCCGTTGAGCGCTTCAAGTATGGTAACCCGCTGGCGTATGGTGGGCCCTTCGGCTTGGACATTGCAACTAGCGTGAAGAGAACTTAGAGTACGAAAATACTGCAGCTCAACTTCAATTCCATATGGCTTTTCAAAACAAAGGATTTTGCAAATATTACCTATTCACATCTCTTTGTGAATGTTTGGTGCCGCACCGAAGAGACAAGCAGAGAACAAAGGAGAAGTTGTCCTCTAAAGATCGCAATGCTTTCAAGACAGAACGCCCAAACTGTCGACAAATCTATTGATATCGAAGTCGGAGCGCAAAGGACTATTGTCAAAGATTCGGTTATGTCCCCCAAAGCGAAAGATGGCAAGCCACGATACAAGGAGCTGAGGGACTTTTTCAAGACTGCATACAGTGAGCGTATCAAAGAGCTCCATAGAGATAATTGGACAAACGGTATGAACAACTTCAAGGAATAATGAACACCAAATACAGAGTTAGTGCTCATTTTCCACAGCGCAGATCACGGGTACTCTTGCTTGGCTTTGGATCCATGCTTCAGACGAGGAGAAACAGAGAAAGTGTAGATTTGAGAGAGACAAGATCGCAACAACTGTTTACCATCGATGATGCGACAATACCTGATGAACCCAAGACAACGAGCGATCCAGCGCCTAGTAAACCTGCTTCGACTGAAGATGAAGACGGAGTTAGAGATGTTAGAGCTGATGACGAGAGCGAAACGCCCAGGGCTTCTTCCAAGACACACGTGAACACCACGCCTTTTCCTCATTTGTCAGATATGAGAGCACTGAATGACCCATTACCAAATATCGAGTACAGTGATCCGGGAGACACCGCAAAGGAAAGAAACGGCAGAAAGCGACGATGGCATGATGCAGGCCTGCGTTATCCCGAGAAGTAACGTGTTACTACTAGATTTTATGGAGCACATATGCTCGTAAAAGGTGCCACAGGCCGTTTGGGACTATGGGTGGATCTGACGATCTCCAGTGTATGGATTATCGACAGCATGAACGGTGGACATTTGCGCAATTGAAGTCAGCCACTAAAAATTACACTGGAAAGAAGGTCCCATCGGGTTCAAAAGCATGCGGCGGCGTAGTCATCAGGATAGCAGGGGAGATGGAGAAGTTGGCAGTAGGTGGGCAGTATTAACGGCCTCTTGATAAGCATGGAAACTTCAAAAAACATAGACGATCCGAAGAAATCTCCCTCGATAACATTCTCGGAGACTGAGCAGAGACGAAATGCGCGAGGCCACTCGGTACTAAACGCAGTAGAATGTTTCTTTGAAACAAGGTTGCGCCACAGAGACCTCGCCCCTTCTGACCGTTTGTTTTGAATGATGATCTCCTTTGTTCATTCGTTGGCCGAAGAAATTTGGTGGAGCCGTGTTTGCACCCAGCGACTGTCCTAACAAGCACAAAGATCATTGTCTCATTTACGCCACTAATTGCAACCTTATATCAAACCATGCAGTGAATAATCCTGTTTATGAGCATATGAGACCCTAAAGTGTCAACGTTTGGCTAGAATCTATCAAGCATGCCTCGCCATAGCCCACCGTTCAAAGAGGCCAAGACCTATTTCAAATTTGACGCGAAGGCATGGATAGCGATAAACCGCCCACACTGGACGATCAGTAAGCAAATATAGAACGCATGGCTTCTCCGACCTTCGCTAATGTGATTTTAGCGGGGAAGAATAACACAGTTGAAACCATTTGGGCCGGCAGTGCCACAACTCGAGCGCATTATGATGCACACAAGGTCAATCACCCAGATGATGCATTCACTCCAGGTCTTCCCAACCCTCATCATATTCCCGACCAGCCATACACAGCTGCCAATGCAACTGCGGCAAAGAGGGGTGGACAGTTGCCTGATGCTGCTGGTGAAGATGGACGGCGAGCGCGAAGTGGAGAAGTAGCAACCCCGAGTGAAGAAGCTCCTGACAACGCCAGTGCGGCACTAAGTAGGATATCAATCCCAGAAGATGGAGAAAGGGGGGGTGGTGCAGCTACAGCTATACCACATGAAGCTCCTTCAGGTGTAGGAGGTACAGCTTCAACTGCTGGATCATCTGCGGCATTGCGTAAGGATAACTCTCTGCTTTATCCGTTCGAGTTCTGGCCGTCCCTGCCATGGCCAGAAGACCCTGACACTAGTAACTGGCCCACGCATGCGGCTCTTAGCTCCCGAGACCTTGTAGCTCGAGCTGCCTTTCTTGACAGCTTCGGTCGTTTCAATCTTTTCAAGGCGGGACTAGAGGAATGGAGTTGGAACGGTGTGAAATTCCTTGGTGCTGGGGCATTTGGGAGCGCCGGCTTATGGGTGCAGATTGATCATAATCGTAACATTCGCAAAGTAAGTGTGCAACCCAGAGTCATTATTATGGTAAAGCTAATGGTTTTCTTAGCGAAAAGTCATCAAGGACACAAAACCACAGCCTCATGAGTGGCGGGATCCTTCATATTGGCGCAACCACCTTCCAAGAGAGATTCGCATTCACCAACTAGTTGACGAGCACAGGGGATACAATGGTGATCTCTTTAGGAAAGCAGACCGAAAGCGTCTTGTTAAACACTACAGCCACCGACTTATGATGCACCGGCGCAGGTATCGCATCTACCTCAAGTACTACCCTGGAGGTGATATTCAATCCTCTCTCCAATGGGCTAATATGATTGAACTGGACACTATGCAACGCCCACATGTTGTTCCGGAAGGGTTCATATGGCACGTTCTTGTATCTCTTGTCAAGGCTTGCCGTGTGTTGCGAACAGGCTTTGACCACCCGTTACCTGATATGGGCGAGGACTTGTTCGCGGATTGGAAGCCCGTGACTCATTTAGACATCAGTTTGCGAAACATCTTCTTGAAAGAGGCAGGAGACCTCGGAGTTCCGGTAAACTGCGTACCCTGTTGTCAATAAGTCAGCACCACTAACCCGGAACTGTAGCGACCCCAGATTGTGTTATCGGACTTCGGGCAAGCCTTTTTCGATATGGAGGCGCGACCCGGCCTTCCTGAACACTCGCAGGAGAATCCTCAGGAATATCTAATTGGCGCAGATAATACTGCGTGGGCGCCAGTACGTATTGTGTTTCTCAAAACAATTCAATGGGCAGGTATTAATCTTGCATAGGAGCATCAAGACGCAATCGGCGATCCACCAATAAGAATCGGTGAGAAGACAGATATTTGGAATATTGGCGCTACGATCTGGAATCTAATGGCTGGCAATCCGGAATACGTCGGTGGTCCTCGAGGTCCGCAAAGGGAGGATTATACGACGGATCATTACCAGTCCATTCCAGTCTCTGGATACAATGTCGGTCCCATGCAAGAGACGTCCATCTTCCCTATACAGACAGTTTATCGACAAGCTGCAGATTACTCTGCAGATTTGAAAGACGTCGTTACATCATGCCTGCAGTGGGCTGTGCAGGATCGACCGGATCTTGATGAACTCGAAACGTGGATACAGAGATTTGCAACAGCAAATCCGCATATTTGGAATGACCCAAGTCCGCCCCCAGTTGCGCGCACAGGCGATATATTCAGGGACGGCGAATATCTAGGCTACAGACCTGGACAGCGCGTATAGTCACTATTTGGCTTCCGGGGTAATATTAGTTTCAACATCGTACATGATCGTTAGTAAAGCTTTATATCATTGCTTTCCGCCCGATCGTGAGCAGTTGAGCATAAACTTGTCGTGTTGAGTAGTGGAACCATAATGACCACCTACCTCTACCATAACTTTTGAGTGCAGTTATATGGGCAACAAGAAAAAGACATCGAAGTTTGAGGCGCTTGAATGTTGATTCCTAGGTATGGCGATACTCATGCTGGCGCCCCGCCAAATTTGAAGTACCCCGGCGTCAGGGTCTGAAAAACGCTATCAGGATCATACTTCGCAGCCACCCGTTTTAGCTTGTCATAGTTCTCTTTTCCATACCCCTTCAGCACATCTTGGTACATGCTCCCATAGTTCATATAGATGAAATCCACGAATAATCCCCGTCTCTTCCCCTCTTCCACCGCCAAATCCATGATTTTCTTCGATAATCCCAAAACAAAATCGTCATCTTTCTCATGCTTCCAAGCGGTCGGTATCAGGAGATTTACATACGGCGCCTCGTCTTCCTTCAGAGGTAAGCAGTTACCTCCTTCGCTATGCATATACCGAATTGATTCCTTCGTATAGTACTGCATGACAAATACGGATGCCAGGTCACTCTCGTACTTGCCTACATACGGCCCAAACTCGGTGAAATACATTTGGACTAACCAGTCAATGAATTCGGCATCAAATTTGAACGTATGATTCCAGTAGTTCTGCCGGTGATCCTTCGCCTGTCCCTCGGCTATCTCGTGCACCATGCTCGCCATGCTGCGTACCTTTTGGCCGCCATGAAGGGAGGGAATGGCACCGTACGCCCTCATAAGGTCAAACTCTGCCGTGGGCTCTGCGTACATTGCCAATGTGACGAGTAGCCTCTTGCCTTCGTGATGCCCAACGGTTAGCCATGTAGCCGAACTCGGATCCGAGTTGTAGGCGAAGCTGGTGAAGGCTTTGACGACAGCATCCTTGTGCTCGTAGTCAAACAACACGTTGCCAGCATAGATGTCGCCCTGCGGGAAAGTTTCGTAGTCGAAGCGAGTTACAATGCCGTAGTTTGAGCCGCCGCCGCGCAGTGCCCAGAAGAGGTCTGGGTAAGACTGGTAGTTTACATCGAGAACGTCTCCAGCTGCGGTAACCAGTTCAAAGTTGCGGATGTTGTCGCATGCCCACCCCCTAGCAGAAGCAAAAAATGAGATGCCGCCTAAATGACCGTCAGCACTAGACAGTGGGCGTTTGAGCTAGGCGCCTGCTTACCACCAAGCGAATACCCCCCAACACCAACATCACCTGAGCGTCCGCCAGCTACAGCAAGCCCATCTTTCGCCAACTTTTCAAAAACATGCTCCCACCTATTTCCAGCGCCTATCTTCGCGATACTCTTATCCTCACTCAACTCAACGCAGTTCAAGTTCTTCAAATCAATCACAATACCCTCATCAGCGCTAGAGGCGCCGGTCATCGCCGCATGCCCACCACTCTTTACAGCAAACTTTGTATTGCTCTGCCGACACAGGAGCAGTGCAATGGCGACATCCTTGGAAGAAGTTGGTTGGAAGATAAGTGAAGGCTTTGCAGACTGTTGGTGTGCAGAGAAGAATTGCTTGCGCCAGGTATCGGTGTCGGATACGATCAGCTTGGGATAGAGAGAGCTCAGAACGGATACCTTTGCAAAGTCAATATTTGGGAAGCGTTTACCGTGGCAGGTTTGATTAACTTACCGGAGAGCTACTACCGTTCTTAGCGACGTTCTCAACATTCACGCCATGCTTCGCAAGCGCTTGCGCGATGTCATGACCCGGAGATTCAACGGTACTTCCCATTTTGCTGACAGTTGTCGTTGTAGTCTTTCGTCCTAATTGACGGCGGGGATTTGAGCGATTTCGAGATTATATAGGCCTTAGCCCCCGCTAAAAACGGGCGAAAACAGAGACCATTGCTTCTTATTGCTCGTGCTGACATGCTGTACGACCAAGAGCTAGTACTGTAGCTACCCGAGAAACTACCCCAATGAGAGTCCGTGATGCCTAAACGCATGTAAGCGCTAGCGCATCAGAATTGGGGCACAGAGGAGGGCGCTAACATTCGCAACTCCTACGCAGTACCTAGGTAAGTGTGATTGATAATTGGAACCCTTATTATTTCGAATTACCCACCAATTTATTTTCGATGTTGCTTGAAGGTTGAAACGTGGAGACTCGGACGTCGTAAAGAAAACTGGGATGCAACGTCGATAGGCCTTGCGTTGAAAGAGATGAAGCACAAAGTGGGTACTGATCAGGCCACCCACGAAGGATCGGCTAAGAGAAGTGCAGAAGTGGAGTTGTAAAGCTCACCCGGGCGGATCGTTCGGAGCATCTTTACACTTGGGGCTGGCTCTAGAGAGGCGAATAAAAAATTTAGTAATAATGATAAGTCCCATTAGAGTGATTCACTGCGGTGAATCGCCTGAGTCACAAAGAGAGGGTTTTGGTGGACCAAAGACGAGAATTTACAGAGTAGGCAAACAGTATGCGTGGATATGATGAAGCTCCAACGACTATAGGTTGTGTAACGCGCGTACACTATGTGCGCATAGGTATACTAGGATCGGACACTTCGTTCTCGCCTCAAATTCAATCCATTCGAATTCATCATAAAAGTGGTTCAAAAGCGCACCGCAATATGTGGTCTCACTTCAAATGATGGTTGGTAAGAGAGTAGTTGTTTGGTTGCAGGGAAGGTCCTCCTCATAATCAATCTGCCATTTACAGTGTTTTACTCAACATCTTGCCCTTGGTCCTCATCTTCACCTAGATCCTTCGGTTTGGGAAGATTCTGCTCTTGTGAAGCCCATCTGCTTGATAAAAACCCTCGGGAATAGTATGTCTAGACTTTTTGTTCGCCGACTCATCCGCTGAATCTTGATCGCTACCTTTGTCTGCCACGGTCTTGGAAGCTACCGTTTGCTCTTTCGTCTCTGGATGAGGATATTCTCCGTGTTCTTGCTCTTCGTCCGCTCCTGCGCTATGTTTAATTCCCATGTAAACATTCTCGGTTCGGAAGTCTTGCTTTTCGGTAACGGAGGGCTCGTGTGTGCGCTCGGTGGAAGTCATATGAAGTATTGTTTGGGATTTTTAAGCGGTTGGCGTGTATTCGAAGATAGGTTTTGAGAAGTACGATGAGAACTCCCAATTACTGTACAGAATGTAAGATCAGGACCTCGACTTTATATGAATCTATGACTCCTCATAGATATCCTAGTCAAGGTTGCTTAAGTCGAAGTCAGTTCTTAATTTTGTGGCACTATTAACGCTGACTCGCAAGTGAGTAGTAAGGTGCACAGTAGCCTTTAAGGTCAACAAGAAATAGGAACAGGAATATCCTGTTGGGATATATTGAAGGGTTTTTGATCAATAGATCAAAATGAGACGGCGTTCTTTTCAATGCTTCCCTATATATACTCAGCGATAGATATGATGAGTAACAGTGCGATGTGTTGTGCAATGCACGGACTCAGGGAATGACTAGTTGCACAGACTGGAGATTAGGACCCCACTTTATACTCTTCAGAAGCTATCCGTACTACATCACGTCACAAGGTCCGAGGCAAAATATCATCAATCAGGTTTCTGACAAATCATTGTAAAATGTGACATCGGTCACCATCTACCAAAATTATCACCCTATATCCAGTTATTTTCCTTCACTCTCCTTCTTCATGCTCTTGTAAGTAAACTTGGCTGTAGCCTTGATAGGAGCTAGATGCCTAGGTGCTATATTTCCACCGTGAAAACTATCGTCATTTTCGGTGGTTTCCGGGTCGGTATCGCCGCCATCAGTTGCAGCCACGGTGGCAGGTGTCACTGTCATCCTCGGGATATTTGCCCACTCCGCATCAGCACCCTCTTTGGATTTCTCCTTCGTTTCCAGCTTGTCATTATCTCCTTCGGTTGCAGCTACGCTAGAAGTCTTCGCCTCGCTCTTCGAGACAAAGTCCCATTGCCCCGGTATATCGAATTTATTAGGCTCCTTTCCTCCGGTCGCTGCCTCGCTCTTTCGACGATACTCTTTATAATGCGGGCTATCGTGACCGTCGGGTAAAGACATGTTGGTGTGGCTGAGCGGAGGTAGATGCTAAGTCTTATGAAGAATATCGACGAAGTAGGTATTGAGAAATAGTTGCTGTTCGTAAAACTTTCAGTAGAGGTAGTGTATCGAAAAATGATATGAAGAAGATGAAGAAGGATATTTAAAAAGCAACTTATTATATTACGCCATGACTCTGAAGTTGCAGACAAGAGATGCGTCAGGCGCGAGTTTTGAAAGCCTAGCGCACTAAGATACTGACTGTGGAGATTTTGAGTACTGAGATTCGTCACACGGGCGGCCACAGTCTGATTCTGTGTGACGAGCTTTCTTAATCGAAATTTAAAGAAGGAAATTCTACCCATGCGCGTTTTTTCATCTAGCTCACTTGATTGATAGACTGCTAGAAAGAAACCCCATCGTGTTCTCATTAATCTGGCCAGGTTCATTCACTCGAGTTCATAACAATTTTCATAACAAGTGACTGACCGTAGGTGGGCGTGTCAGCCTGAACCCTTACGTATGTATCCGTATTAGGAACCATATGAGTCTAATGTTTCATCTTTTAGGAAGTTATTATGCAAATGCTTCTCCATGACTACGGGCATAGCGACTAATTCCTGCACCGAACACCCTTATGTAGTCATGATCAGCACGTATGCCAGGTATCTTTAACTCCAAGTTTGAGGTGAAGGGTCGCCTTAGGGTGACCATAATGGTTGAATTGTTCATTGTTTAACAGTGCCTATATCATAGTGATGCAGTTTATATTTGTACTACATCATACATCGTCCTTGGCAAGCCTCAATCCTACACTACCACTTACCTCTCTATTTCCCCTTTCTTATTAGTGTGTGGTGCAGTTTTATTAACCGCAGCCTCCGTAAACGGTCGCTCCGTCCCCATCATAGATCGACCGTCATCATTCCTGCCTCCATGATAATCTTTGGCATCGGCGCGGTCGTCGCTCCCCATAGTTGCAGCTACAGTCTCAGAACTAACTGATCCTCTCTTTATATGGTCCCAAGTTGAGTCTCTCTTCGCAGATCGTAGCTTTGCAACGACCTTTTTTGCAGTGGGGCTGTCGTACCCGAGGGCATCGTCGGTGGGGGATGTTTGAGTTTTTCTGCTGGAAGACATGAGGTATAGATGTCGGGGTAGGCAATTGCCTGTGATAAGTGATATCTGTTGATACAAATGAGACTGGGAATGGGAGTAGAATTGCAGTCTGTGGAAGTTTTCGTCGCCGGGTGTCAGTGGAAGGAACTTTGAGAAAGGAAACTGCTAGGAGCCCGAACGGTGTTTTATACAACTTCATGACTCCTTGCGCTTTACAGTCATAGAGGTCTACTGTCAAAATTTAGTCCTACGGAGATTATAAGTAAAGTTTTGACAGACTACAAGCACAGACAGTGAACTTCGTCATTCTATGGAAAGAGAAGTCACAACAACAAAAAATCTAACACTCGTGTGAGAATGGAATTCCATTGTGAGGTCGATGTATTCAGAATAGGATAAGGAGTTATTGGATTCTACAATCCACTAATTTCCCCAGCGTCCAAGCCGTAAACGTATCCTCCCAAGTCCAATGCGACCAACTCTTGTTGCCAACTCTGAACCGATTGTCAGTGTCTCAGGCATTATGAACCCGTATTTGGGTATCCATACCACCGGACCTAGTTGTAAAGATCGTCATTATCGTCCAAATCAGGCAGGCGTCCTCCAAAATTCTCCAAAGAATGGGATCCTTCTTCCTGGACCTGCTCGCTTCCGGATGCACCAGAAGGGCTCTCGCCGCGGATAGAGGGATTTAGTGAGCCCGAGGAAGTTCGATTTATAGAAGGCACACATTCACCTGAAGCTTCCCCACCATCCGCTGCGTCGGCGAGTTTGGAGGGGCCTCCAAGTGCTAACTGGCTGTTGTCTGCAGTATGCTCGATCGAAGTAGCTTCTCGGCGTTACTTCTTACTTCCAACAAAGTCAGCTCGACTCATATCTTGCTCACGTTTGGGTGGTGGCACGGCCGCTCCTGCGCGCCCTTTCGTGGATGCCCCGTGCAATATCTCAGACATTCCTTGAAACGAAGAATCAAACGAAGACTCGTGCGAAGACTCAGGCGAAGACTCAGGCGAAGACTCAGGGGTCATGGACACCTTCTTTGATACCATTTGCTGATTTATCATTCTGGGATGGGGTGGGTAGGGACCTCTCATCCCATAGGGTGCCCCTCCGCCTTGGACTTTCAGATTGGCTGTATGATGCGGACAGGTTCGTGCATGCGCATTGTTTCCAACCTTGTTGATACCTTCCTTGCCGCGGTATGGAGCCGCACATTGGTAGCAAAACTCGAATTTGCATTGGCTGCCTATAGGATTTAGGTGAGTCTTTATCACTCAGGGGTACCATGATCAAACTTACAAGTCATATGATCACATCCTTGAGTCTTCTGGATGTTATATCCGCAATCTTGACCAGGGCACTTTTCGGAGATCTTCTGAATCTCGGCTCGGCTCGCCAGTTCCTGCTCTGCAAATGGCAGCCGCCCCAAACGCATACGCTCATCGTACTGTTCACAAGTTTCGCCGTCGTGCATAGGTAGGTCGTGCGTCGTGCATACGCGGAAGCCGCAAGAGTTGCAACGGAAGATGTTGTTGCCTTCTGCTCCACTGTCATGATTCTGTCCGAAAGGGCATCCAGGTCGAAGACAGTAGCGGAAGTCGGGCTAGTTGCGGAGGAAGCTCTGTAGTACAAGCTGGTCGTAGCTGATGATGTCAGTTTGTGCGAAACAATAATATACGAGAGTAGAAACTTACCGTTCGAAGACATCGACCGACGCGTACTTGAGAACATCTTCGTGGGAAAATACAGCATTGCACTGTGAAGAAGGACATTCAATACGGTCGACAGCGGCACTTCCTACTTCATTGCTCAACCACTCAGCGAAGCAATTGCGACACACATCAGGATCGTGCGTGCAGTCTTGCAGACGAGGGTATTGAGCTAGTGGATAGGTCTCCGTGCAGACGGAGCATTCTCGTTGCTTGAGATTCTCCTCTTTCCCCAGAGTGCTTTTCGTAGCCTGAACTTCGGTACTGTCGATAGGCTGCAGATTGTAGACAGTTTGTATCTCTGGAAAGGCTATACGTGGTGCTCCCGTGCGGTTTTCGACATGAGGTTGGGCGTTGTGATCGATCCGAGCTCCCGTGCCTTGCTGGTTATCCGTATCAGCATCCTCAGAAACCTGGAAGAGTGCATCTGCAGCCGTGGAAGGCTCGTCTTGTGGTGACTGGAACCGTCGACGCTTGTTTGGCGGAAGTATTCCCAGAGCACGGAGCTCCCGCTTGCCAATTTGGAGAACCATCCTGCTCAGCTATGCAGTTGAGGTCGAGGTCGAGGTAGAGCTATGCATTGGTTTGCATTTCGGCAAGCTGAAATGGCGCTGTAGGCGGTGTCTGATATAGCGCCGGGGGCTAAGGGAATTCTACAGAACTCGTGTGAAGGTGTCCGGCGTGCAGCGCCTGTCGGAACCTTGCCAGCCAGCCATACAAGGAACGTCACTGGCTCGGTGTGGACGGATCGGGCGAGGAAAGCGACGTAGGCTGTCGTCTAGGTTTAGGGACACGGCCCCCAGCAACGGTCAAAGTTTCCCCCATGCCTGAAGCGAGAGACTCGCAATGAAGATAGTGCTCATACAACAGCCGAGCTCTTTGCACAATAATCGCCCATGAGTATAATGCCAAGCGGAGTGACTAAAAGTCGCAAGGAGCAGAGTAAGATATGACATTGCAGGATATGGATATTTCGTTAGGTCTGGGGCCAAACACATGATGAGGTTTGAAAAAATGTATCATAATCAAACCCATGCAGAAAACCTGAGAGCGCACTGTTTCCTTAGCACAATTTTCTTTTTAGAGAAATGTAGGCCATTCCATGAAAGTCTGACATAATGATTCTCTAAGTCCACAATCAGTATCGCCGTACTAAGGTAGTGTCGTAATCAGGCATGAAATGATTCAGTCAAACGAAAAGGCTCCCAGAACTCCACCTGATTTCCCGCCGTACTTTTGTAATTAACTCTAAAGCAGCCGTCTAGCTTTTCTAACATCATTTCTCAGCGGATAGCTTACAAGCAAGGGGTATTGAGGCTTTACTTTCACCGACACCGTTGTTGTTCGTGTGCCCTGCGTCTCTACTCATACCATATCATCTGCGGAAACATTGCCTAGGGGTTTGAAATTGAATTTTGGACCCGCCAATTCTTCAACAGCATCTTCATCGACCTGTCCTGAGAGCTTAGAGAGAGAGAAGAATAAGTTGTAAAGCTCGGAAGCTCTCTGCAAATCGTAAAAGCGGTGTTACAACAAGATGATGAGAGCTTAGATCACACGAGATAAATCGTCTCGTTGTCCTCCTCCTGCTACTGCTGCTGTTGCTGGAGGACAAAAGGGTTTCCGAGGTCATGATCATTATTCTTCACGGTCGCGTCAACAGTACGTGTTGGAGGAGCTACCAGTGGCACAGGCATAGGGTGTGCTTGTGGAGGTGCAGCGTTCGGCAATCCCCTCCAGTGCATGCAGTTGGGCTCATGTGCTTGTAAATATACCCCTCGGTCCGAAACAAGGAGCAACGTATTGCCAGCAGAAGTGGAGCTTGCGGCCTCTAATACCCTTGTTAGCAAGATGTTGCTGCCGTACGCAAGCCACCCATGAAACAACACCAAAACTTACACGTCATGTGATCGCAGCCGTCGTTCTTCTCGATGTTCACCCCACAGGTCGTTTCCGGACACTTCTTCGTCGTGCTCTTGTTTACTTCGGCGCTCGCATCATCTTCTACATTGCGCTGGCTTGTTTTGCGTTTGTCGTGATCTTCGCACGTCTCGCCAGCGTGGAACGCTTCGTCGTGTATAGTGAAGGTGAGAAAGTCGCACGCATTCGAACGGGAGATGTTGCCCTCAACGCCACTGTCGTAGATCTGGCCTGACTCACAACCGGAGCGGAGGCAGTACCGGAACATTTACTCTTGAATTAGAGCGAGATCGGTAGGATTCGGTGAGGCTTGCCTGTTGTAGACTTCTTCTGGAGCGTATTTCTTCATCTATTCGTGAGATAAGTGGTTGGCGCATCCTTCTGATGGACATACAATACAATCCCAGCTGGAATTGCCAATCTGCGAAGCATCCCTGACAGAGCTGAGGCGTATGCAAGCAAGCCTGAAGTCGAGAAAACTGTTCTGTGGGATACGTGTCACCATAGACTGCACACCCGGTTCATAAGCCTTCGCTGTCGGTAGGGTAGCCAGAGGACAATCCAAAGCAAGTATTTTTGCGATATTAGTGATATTGTGATGCAGTGGTGACTCTGTCTTGCACTTTATGAAACTGTGTGGATATTGGGGGTGAGAGAGGTCACTTCTAGGTCTCTTACTGCGCTTGTACGATGTCGACTTCTGACGGCAACGTAGGTAGTTCTTCCAAAACCTCCGGGTGCTCGTTTACGAATCATGACCCACTGAAGAGGCCTCTTGCACGTGTTGCAGGTCGGTGTTGGAAGGGAGACGATTCGTGGAATAGACGCAGATTGCAGAGCATTCCAGGTGAAAGGGTTTGCCATCTTCGAAAGGCATAGTTGTCGATCTGAATTGATCTAGAGATTGCCGTGCAGGTGTCGAGATCTTGTGGGAGGGATATCGGCTTATATACCAGAGACATGGTCATCCACTCGAGCCTGGCGGTGTGTAGGTAAGAGAAGGATATAACGGAGACGGCAGGAGAAGTTTTCTTGATAGAGATCTAGGTAAAGGCGTTCCATAGTCCTGGCCCTGATACTCTTTGGCCTTACCCGCGCATAGAACGCATCATCTCTTTAACCTTGTCCCTCATCATCATCGTTCTTTCCTTATCTCCTATCCTGACCTGCGACCTCTTAATTCTTCCGTCTGCATATGCACATTATTCCATCCATTTATCATCTTCAGTAAACCAAGATTCATCTTGCCGCTTTAGCCTAGCGGTATGTCTTAGATATCCATCCCATCTCATGACGACCACATTTCCCATGCGATACATCTCCCAAACCCTAATAGTCGTCGTCAACGTAGTCGAAATAACGTGCTATCTCTTCAGGATCCCTCCCACCTCTGTACTTGATAGCCTTGATAACGAACGGAAGTGCGGCAGCCATGCGCGCACCGTGCCGACCGACCCGGCGGCACACTCGCCTTAACCCGAACCAACCCAACCCCCTGATCTTCCTCGCTTTCCCAGCGCCACAGTGACACAGCACGGGCCGGTGATCGCGCAGTCGTAGAACCCACCCAAGAAGAACGAAGGAAGGAGTCGTCGAAGTAGCAAGTAGTAGAAGTGGTATAATATATACCAAATCACCACCCCTCTCAAGGCGCATTCAACTCTGCCTTCAACCTCTTCCCTCCCTCCCCATCCCTCGGACACAAATCAGTGTACTCGACCAAGCACAAATCAGCACACTGCTCGTACGCCAGTGTCAGTGCCAGCGTCTCGCGATCGACATGTTGCTTTCTGCACTCGTCGGTGCAGGGCGAGGCATCTAGGTATAAGCTGCAACAGCGCGCGTTGCCGATTTCACTGGTGCAAAGGGAGGAGGGTCTTGGTGGTTGGGCGGGGAGCTTGGTAGAAAGGTTGGTGAAAAGGGTATCCGTTGCGTGGGCGAAAGGAGGCAGGAGGTGGTATAGGAAGATTGGTATGCTGAATATTATGAGGAGGGTTGTGAGGAGGGGCCGGTAGCGTTGTGGTATGTGGCGCATTTTGGACTTTGCGTTAACTGCCTCAACGGGCTCCTTATTTTTATTTCTTCTGTATTCTCTTTCTCGCTCTTCCTCTCTCTTTTTTCTATCTTCCCTTTTCTTTCTATCCTTATCCAAGTCGGACGAATGTTGGCGGGTGTTGTGTAATCAAGTGCGGGGACACAGCCAAGTTATGTCCTGTCTCTCGTATGCAAGGCTCAGCCGCACCTTTGTCGTCTCACGTCAGTCGTGGAACTGACAACCGAATCGTAATCTCTCCGAGGAGTAAGGCAAAGACGATAATGTACAGGAATTAAAAGAGCAAGAGGCGCAAATTTTGCATCACAAAAGATGGCATACAACGTCCTATAATAAGTGGACCTGCGGCCTGGTAGTCACAACACGCTACGCTCAGTAAGCCGGTAAGGCGGACAGGCTGGCTTAGCCATATTTGAAGCCGTGGCTCTGCCCAAGTGTCGCTCGACACTGCATTGGTTTTAGAATGCGTAGCTCTAACCTGAATAGGAGAAGTTTTGACGACACATGGGTTAGCTTTTGGTGTTGTGGCTCGTGTTCACTCGTGTCTAGAAAGATGATAATATAGGGCTGTGCCGTTATCCCCATTATCCAATAAGATGCAGGCGATGCGGTGAATTAGAGGACGGGTTTAGTTGGGGGCCGTAACTCGTATGTCGGATTTCGGTGCTAGACATCGCGCAGCCACAACAGCGTAGCCTAAGAATAGCCCTTTGGCCAGCGCGGAGGATGGTGTGAAGTTGGATTGTATATTTACATTGTGCTGCCGATCTATGTCTATTATACGTCTCTTTCTGCAGTGCAGATAGGGAGATGCCTGCGCTGAAATGTAATTATGCTTCATTACTTATGGCTTCGTCTTGAGAGAGTTAGTCCTTCACGTATTGCGGACTTAATTCTAGGAGATTCTGACTCTTCAATAGCTCTGGTGAGTGTGCTGCACAAAAATGCCGTAAGATCCATGACACCATGTGTCTGTCGCGCAATGCTTCCGGAATAGGAGATTTAGCGAATCCTGGGGTTGTTAGCCTGACTCGAAGTCGCGGCCTGGGGGCACGGATGCACGCGCGAAACATATTCGGCGTAATTTCATCGTCGCATGTTGTTATTTCCATTAGTTGTTCGCGATGATGGTCGCAATTTGAATACGAGGACCTGATCGCGGAACTGATGAGGCTGACGATAATCACTAGGCTAGTAAAGGTGTTGTATGTGCAGAGCATGACCGTATTCATCCTTATGTCGCTCTTTAAGATTGCCAAGTTCTTCAGGTCTATAAGTGATGGGAAATCAGGTCGGATACGGGGAGCCGGACTCCTAGTCCACATGCGGGTGTCGAACGCCTAAGACCATGAGATGCTACAACTGTTAGCTTAGACTACCGTGAGAAGAGGATGCACTTACGCCAACATGATTCCCGCACCCGTGAACATGGCCGCGAACTGCATCAGCGTCTTCCTGAGCTCCTGGCCCTTGTTTGGTCCCGTCTCAAGCAGCTCGGGAATGACGGCCACGGTGCCGACATACAGAAACGTACCCGCTGTGAAGGGCAGCAACATGTCTCCCCACTGCAGACTCGTGCCCATGAGCCCAGGACCCTGCACACCAGCCGAAGCTGAGCTGCCTCCAAACTCTTGCACAGCGATGCCAATGCATGTCCCCAAGAAGGCACCAACGGCAGTCACAAACTGAGCACCCATGGCTGCGCGCTTGCTGAAGCCAGACTGGATGAGCAGCGCAAAGTCGCCAACCTCGTGTGGGATCTCGTGGAAGAAGACAGCGACGGTGGTGGTTGCGCCAATGGTAGGTGAGGCGTAGAACGAGGAGCTGAGGGCGAGGCCGTCGGTGATGTTGTGTGTGAAGTCTGCAATCAGATTAAGGTAGCCACCGAGCTTGACGCTGGCATTGATCTCTTTCTCGCTCGCTGTGGGTAGCGGCGTGGTGGGTTGGGTGCCATTCGCAGCAGACTTTCGAGCGCGGAGCGAGTCCTTGGACGTGTTTGCCTCAGCGCCAGTAGTCTTCGCTGTTACAGCGACCTTGTCATGCGAGTGCCCGTGTGAGTGGTCATGTCCGCCCTCGCCGCCCGTTGCGATCCTCAATCCCTTGTCCATAGCTACAAAGGTGATGAAGCCCACCATGATGGCCACGCCCAGCAGCAGGTTCTTGTTTGGCTCCACCATGACAAACTTGACTTTGTCGTGTTCATCCTCGCCCAGGAAGATCTCGGGTAACAGGTGGAACAGTGTATCACCTAACAGTCCACCAACAGCAAAGGCTACCATGATGGACAGCGAGGAGGGGTCGATGTTGGGCGGGCATAGTGCGAGGAGGAAGTTTGGCGGGCCCGAGATGTAGAGTGTAGCAAGCAGAGCGTTGACTGCCGGGGTTCCGGGGAAGAGAAAGGCAAAGATTTGGGACGTAACAGACGACGTGGTGGGGTTGCTGGCGACCTTGTGGTGGTTGAGGGCTTGCACGAGGGAACAGTCCTGGCGAAAGCGTTAACATCGGAATGAGCACGCGACAACAGAGTGACATCGAAGCTCAGCAAAGTCCACTTCGCTACGCCAATGGCATAATAAAGCTTTCAATTTGATACCGGGAACGCTCCAGTGTTGTTAACTGGATAAATCGCATACCTGCAGCTGCTCCTCAATCTCATGAGCACTCAAGCTCCCCGCTGGCACTCCGGTCTCGCCCTTGACGGCTGCTGCAGCAACGTTCCATGCTAGCACCCCGATGAAGATAGACAAGGACAGCAAGGTCCTGTTCCGACGTGATACCATGATGGACGTGTAAATTGCACGATTTGGCCCGAATATTGAGTGGCCTGGTAATAAATGTGATGTTTCAGGGGTCCAGGGTCTTTCGCGGAGAGGGAGTGAGCGGCCTGTGAGCTCGCCCGGGCAGTCCGCGACGACCATGTCCCCTTATCGATAAGGCTAGCGCTGCTTTTTTCGAAATTTTGGGGAAAGTTGCAACTTTGGGTCCCACCATTAGACAGCACTCCCTTCACACCTCAATACCCACCTTTAGTCTCCCTCCAAGCTGCTCTATCCTACAACATGGGTCGTGAACTCCAGAAAAAGAAGAACAAGTCTTCGTTACCGAAGAAGCGCCAGAACGGCCCCTCCAAGAAGAAGCTCCTCCAGAACCCCATCATCGCGAAGCACTGGTACGCCTATACAAGGAGAGAAGCCCTATGCCTGCATGCTAACGTCTGTCTTTAGGAATCAAAAGGAAACCCTTTCACAGAATTACCGCCGTCTCGGTCTTACATCGCGCCTCAACCACGCTACTGGAGGTACAGAAAAGACAATCGCCATCCTTGGCCTGAACGACGGAAAATCTTCGCGCGCCGACGCCGCCCCCAATAGTACCGCGGATGTGCTAAACATAGTCTCCAAGGCGCCAGAGACGATCGACGCCGAGGAAGTCGAAGTCGAGCGCGACCCCGAGACGGGCGCAATTCTGCGCGTCACCGGGCAGTTCGAAACTAAAGACAACCCCCTCAACGACCTCCTCAATGAGATCGAGGACAGCGATGAAGAAGTTGAATGGGATGGCTTCGCCATGGTGCCTGAGCGTAGAGAGGGCGAGAACGAGAACCCCGTTATCAGGCAACTCGAAGAAGCAGCGCGGAACGGCGCGAGGAAAGCGCCAAGGGGACAAAGTCAGCGGGAGCAAGAGTGGGCCGAGCGGCTCGTGGGCAAGTACGGGGAGGATTACGGGCGCATGGCAAGGGATCGCAAATTGAACCCCATGCAGCAGACCGAGGCGGATATCAGGAAACGCGTCCTCAAGTGGAAGGCAGCGCAAGAAAAGGAATGAGCACGTTTTAAACAACTTCGTTGCATTATGCTCACTTGGTCACTACTGAGTACGAGCAAGGCGTTTCCGGCGTTCAAGTTCCCCAGGTCATATTGAAGACCTGGGGTTTCAATGTTCTACCATTAGTTCAAAATGTACTGGATATCTCAGAGGGCCATGGAGATTGTATTCTGTGAGACGCTCTTGCTATTTGCACATTGCACCTGCCTTGAGATCAACTGTCGCAACGCCAAGCGCTGTTACCCCATTACACTCACCTTTCTCCTAGCACTCCCAACGCATGACCTCCACTCCATATATGCTCTCAGCTTTTACTGCCTTTTCGACAGTCGGTGCAGGACTCAAGAAAACGGGGTAGACGCGTCAGGAGTCAAGATGGCTGAGTGAAGTAGACTTCAGGTCAACAATTCAACGACCGCATGGGAAGAGCTACGCTGTGAGGCTCTTTCTAATGCGTTAGCTAGTTTGAAACATTTCAAAGCAACCCATCAAATCCTCGACTGCGTTCTCCGACCTTTCGGCCTTGTCTGGCCCCGCATCTGAGTTGATCGGTTCTAAGCAAAGACTCGCATGTGTACGGAGTGAGGAATGGTTGTCTCCATCAATTGCTATGGAGGTGATGTCATACATTCCGGGGGTATGAGGGAGTCTTTCATCCGAAACCCGATTAGTCAACACAACTTAGCTAATCGTAGGTATCACCGGGAGTTGCGGTACCGTCGGGAATAGGTCATAGCCATCCCTCCACTTCCTTTCGTAGCTCTAGCTTCGATTGCACATACGAAGTTGACTTGTAATTATGGCAACACGCTCGTAAATCTAAATCTGACATCTTGAACAGTTTTCTACGTTGTCATATAGATACTACGATTTTACTACCTCTCCTGGGTGGATAGACGTCGTGGGCCACCCGGTAAGAACAGTGTATTGTTTGAGCCGTCTATTGCCGTGTCAGCGGTGTCAAAATGCCAACTGATTCAGTACAACTTGATCCCAGATATTTCCAAAAGAATCATGGGGTTATCAGGTGAGGTTGCCGGCACGGTGTTTCTGGGGTCGCTAAATGTAGTAGTTGCATGATTAGCCTCCGCCTCCAGAACCGCAACGGAGCTCCCCGTTACAACGTGTACAGCAGCAGCAGTCACGGCACCTGGGGAATAAAAGAATTCGAGGACATTCCATAGCGAATCGGAGAGTGGTCGAATTACCCTTTACGTTTAGAGTGAGGGAAATAAGCAATCGGATGTCTGCGGAGCGTCACAATGCTGACTATCAAGCTTTGCCCTATCAGTTAGGTCTTTCCATCAGTAAGCTTAAACATGCCACACCCGCCATCCGAGAACGAGAGAATGACGTGGTAGTAGGTCATAGTATACGAACCAAAACCCCTCGGCCGACCACTATGTTCATGGTACCGTTCCTGTTCATTATAGCTCACCCACGAACAGCGGAAAGAACACTCGAAGACCACGCGTCTTTCGAAACGGCCTAGGGCTATGGAGAACTCCCAAGTTTCGTCATATTCTCGGATGGATGATCCAATCTGGAGCAGAACTTCGATGTTCACACGGCGCGTGCATGGAAAATGACTTCATCCGCCACGTTCCGCCCCACCGCCATCACCAGCAGATTCCATCTGTAGTCTTTCGTCATCTCTGTCTGACCTCGTGCCCACGGGGTATGGGGGGCGCGGTAAGCATGGAACCTCCGAGGTTCCGAATGCTTCACCAGACTATTAGTATAAAATGTACCTTGCATGCTGCCTGGTTGTGAACTCCAGAGTTGGTTCTCATACAACAATTGAACCAATACAGTACAATGAAGCTTTCGAATCCAATACACTGGCGGCGCAGTGAGGCCTCTGAACCTGAGCACACTTCAAGTTGGGTGGGAAAGCATGAGGGCTACGACAACACCCCGCTGCCAAGATTGACGTGGAAGGGATTCTGGATGGGCATCCTCGTTTCGATGGGTAAGGAATGTCGCAATCCATGATGGAATTTTGGCTGACAATTCTCCAGGTGGCTTTATCTTTGGGTACGACAGTAAGTAATACACAAATAAGATGCGCGAGAGCTATACACTGACTTGGTCCCTCTTTTCTCGCAGCTGGTCAAATCTCCGGATTTCTCGAGATGAAAGACTTCCTCAAGCGTTTCGGACAACATCGACCAAATGGCACACCTTACTTTTCCAACGTGCGATCCGGGTTGATTGTGGGTTTGCTGTCCATCGGTACCCTCTTCGGTGCGCTTATCGCCGCTCCCATCGCAGACAAGATAGGCCGAAAGAAGAGCATCATGTTCTGGTGCGGCATCTTCTCTGTCGGCATCATCGTTCAGATCGCCGCAACGGACAAGTGGTACCAGATCATGATGGGTCGGTTCGTCGCTGGTCTTGGTGTGGGCGCGCTGAGTTTGATCGTGCCTATGTATCAGGTATGCCTATGCCTATCCTGAGCGAGCCACATATACTAACACCGACCAGGCAGAAACAGCTCCTAGACATATTAGAGGTGCGCTCATCTCAACATACCAGCTCATGATCACGTTTGGCATTTTCCTCGCCGCCGTCTTCAACTACGCAGCCGAGCGCCACCAATCCGGCAAGGCCGCCTCGTGGCAGATCACCTTAGGTCTGTCCTTCGTTCCCGCCGTCATCCTATGTGTCGGTATCTTGGGTTTCTCTGAGACACCGCGCTACAATTACCGTAATGGCAAGATCGACAAGGCAACAGCGACCATGGCCAAAGTGTATGGCGTCCCAACCAATCACTACAGCATTCAGCTTGAGCTCGAGGAGATGAGGACAAAGCTTGCCGCGGAGTCGACCATCGGCACTCCGCTCCAAGAGTGGATTGGTATGTGGAAAGCGCCAAAGATGGCGTATCGCCTCGCAATTGGAATCGCTTTACAGATGTTCCAACAGTTGACGGGTGCCAACTACTTCTTCTACTACGGCACCACAGTTTTTGCTGGAACGGGCATCAAGAACTCGTATGTGACGCAGATGATCCTGGTAAGACCTTTCCATCCCGCAATTCTCCGAAGCACGATCATGCTAACGGTTGACAGAACGGTATCAACTTCGGCGTCACCTTCTACGGCCTCTACATCGTCGAGCACTACGGTCGCCGTAAATCGCTCATCGCGGGCTCGGTGTGGATGTTCATCTGCTTCCTGATCTTCGCCTCTGTAGGCCATTTTGCGCTTGATCGCGTCAATCCCGAGAACACTGAGAAGGCAGCGACAGCTATGATCTGCTTCGCTTGCTTCTTCATCTTTGGCTTCGCTACAACCTGGGGGCCTATGTAAGTACTCGTAAACCCGCGGAAATGTCTAGTGCTAGGCTGATCTTTGGGAGTTGCTGGACAATTTGCGGGGAATTATATCCGTCCCGTTATCGCGCCAAGGCAATGGCTCTCTCGACCGCATCGAACTGGCTCTGGAATTTCCTCCTCGCCTTCTTCACCCCCTTCATCACCAAAGCCATTGACTTCCGCTACGGCTACGTCTTCGCTGGCACAAACGTGCTTGGCGGGCTTATTGTGTATTTCTTCGTCATGGAAGGAAAAGGGCGCACACTTGAAGAGATTGATACAATGTACCTCATGGGTGTCAAGCCATGGGAGAGTGCCACGTGGGAAGTGCCGGACCTGGAGGAAATGAGTGGCAAGATGAGACAGAGGCTTGAGGCGGGAAACCCAGAGTTGGCAATCAAGAAGGAGATGGCGGGTGGTAGTGAAGGAGAACTCGAAGGGGCTAGAGCGGAGGAGGCCCATAGGGAGAAGACCGAACTCTAGCCCTGTAAGGCGTGAGTCGCGGCGCGAGTAAGATATGACGCGTGGAGTGACGTGTGACGATCTATGTGATTGCTTGTGTGTTTAATGAATTAGTGTCGTTATTTCGAACCCTCACATATGGGTGATTCGATCATCGCATCCCTGTCGTTCTCACTTTTCATCCAACTAGAGAATTTGAGTGGCCTGATATCGAAGTTCTAATCCACTCTTCAAGATGATCAGGAATGCGACTTGGCATGTGAAAATCCTATACTTGGCATTTCTGGCTTTGCGGGTCCCGTTGTGTTAATTCACGTTCTTGCCAAGCGATCCCCAAGCAACTCTTTGCATCACGGCGGTATTCAAGAAACCGAGACAGGGTATCTCCAGCCGCAATGAAGACACTTCCTGCTAAGGCCATCGGTGGTAGTTATCGGGAATTCAGAATATTGCGCTTGCCGAGTGTGCATCGTTAGCTCCATGTCGTCGATCTCTCATCCGCGTTTGGGTCGTCTGCTCTTGGTCCTTGAATCCAACATGGCGCGATGTTGATCCATGGACGTGATCGTGATCGCTGCCCGCTTCCTGCTCTTGCTCGAGTCGTTGTCCGCGGACGCGTGCGCGCTTTTCCATCTCACAACTGACCATGATGCTTTCCGATATCGCTCAGCATTCGAAGGATTCTCTGGGCATCAGTCATCTTGGGAAAGCTAAAGTCCGCGGGCGCCGAATCGCCCACCTGCTGCGGTCTAGGAAGGTGACACTGCAACGAAATAAGCAATGCCATCGTTGCAACGGGTAAGCAGCGCATTCGGTAGCATCCGAGCAGGACCAGAGTGCCAGGTCTAAGCCTCGTCTGGGGGTTTGCGACAGAAACTTTTACCTATTCCCCGTGGGATGTGTCGGGGTGTCCGACGGTCCAGCAAGGGACGCCTGGGAGGACCCCCAGATTCACGCTCTGACGTAATCCAAATGAGGGCCAAGGCGCGCCGCGCTAGCCAATTCACTCCCCCAAAACATGAATTGATCGGAGGATCTGATTAGATCGCATCTTATCACTCGTCCTCTGCGCTGTGGGGCCAAGGGCACTACTCTCCCCCCGGGCACATAGTTCGCCCACGGCTTTGGACTCGAACCGGGGCCGGTGAAGAGTTGCGTTTGCCATGCCACGACTTCACTTGGCGATATGAGCATGTACCAATGAAGTGGTAACGCTAGTGAAATTTGCAGGCAGGCTGGCGCAAGGTCAATCAGATAAAGATGGTAGGGGGCCCTGCTGCTGATGCTTGGAGCTGAAACACGGTGCTACCTGTGAATTTGAGACGACATTGCAAGAGCTGGAAGCCGACATGAAAGACTCACTGAGGGCAGATGATGGCATCGCTCAGGGTGGAACGACTGAGGTCTATGGCAAAGACTCGGCCCTCGAACACGAGCGCGAGCGTGATTTGAGCGACGATAATGTGAGCGAGACCTCAGAGCCCCAGGCTGGTGTCAAGCGGATCGAGGCTATAAGCCAGGCATGGACCAAAACCTCTCTCATCATTGCATATGTTACGTAGGTCCAAAAAAAAATCCTCCCAATACCCCATGTGCGTCTTCAGAACTGATGCGACTTGTCAGGCTCCTCCTCATAGCCAATGTTACCTCTCTTGAAGGCCAAGTCACGGGCTTGATGGAACCCTTCGCTACCAGCTCCTTTCGAATGCATTCCCTCATGTCAACGATTGCTGTTGTACAAAATGTCGTGAGCGGTGAGTCTTTACCTCCTGGACCGCACATTCAATGGCTAGTTACTCATCTCCAACACAGCCGTGATCAAGCCGCCCATGGGAAAGATTGCTGATGTCTTCGGACGTTTCGAGTCTTTTTGCTTCTCTGTCCTCCTCTTCACAGTCGGCTACATCCAACAGGCTGGATCCCAGAATATTCACACATTCGCCAGCGCTCAAATCTTCTACTCCGCGGGCTCCAACGGGCTTCAGATGTTGCAACAGATCTTCGTGGCTGATACTACCGATTTGCTCAATCGTGCCCTGTTCTCTAGCTTGTTTGATCTCCCCTTTCTGTGGACCACATGGGCTGGACCCGAGATCGGTGATTCCATCCTAAAGAATGCGACTTGGCGATGGGGGTATGCTATTTGGGCCATCCTTCTCCCCATTTGCTTCATCCCACTGGCGCTGAGTCTCTTCATTAACCAGCGCCGTGCGAAGAAGATGGGTCTAGAAGTCCCAAGCTCGTTCCGAGGGCAGTCCTTTTTCGAGATTGTGAAGAATCTGTGGTTTGATATGGACGCCTTTGGCCTTTTGTTACTTGCTACGGCTATTTCACTGATCCTGCTGCCGCTCACGCTGGCCCCAAGAGCAAATGGTGGGTGGAACAACGGGAGCATGATTGCTATGCTAGTCATAGGCGCGATATGTCTGGTCGTCTTCCCGGTGTGGGAGACGAGCAAGAAGCTCGCGCCAAAAGCTTTCTTCCCGCCAAATCTGTTCAAGAACAGGACCGTTATTGTAGGCACATTGATCGCCTTTTTCTACTTCAGTGAGTTTTGCCATACAAGTTACACCTTACATCTACTGACTCGTTCTGCAGTGGCATTCTACATGTCTGTCTTTCCCTACTTCTTCTCTTATCTTCAGATTGTGCAGGGTAGGTCTATCGTCACTTCCGGCTACATCACACGCGTCTTCACATTCAGTTCGACGGTCTCGTCCATTGTAGTGTCCCTGATCATCAAGTATACCGCGCATTACAAGTACTACATCACATTTGGCGGTGTCATTTACCTTATGGGTATGGGACTCATGTTGCACTATCGCACCGAGAATGCGACTACAGCAACGCTGGTCGGCACACAAATCTGTATCGGAATCGGTGGCGGCTTCCTCAATGTGCCCGCGCAGCTTGCCGTCCAAGCCGCAGCTTCCCATCAACAAGTCGCCGCCGTAACCACCGTCTGGCTCACCATCCTTCAAGTCGGTGGTGCCGTGGGATCCGCCATATCCGGCGCAATCTGGTCCACCTACATCCCCTCCAAGCTCCAACTATACCTCCCGCCCGACCAAACTGGTCTGTACTCAACCATCTACGGCTCCATCCTCATATCAGCGAATTACACTCTCTACCCGGCTGGCTCGCCTGTGCGCATTGCGATTAACCGTGCGTACCAGGAGACAATGCGGTACCTACTCATTGGCGCACTCTGCTGCTCTACGCCCATCCTGCCGTTGACCTTCTTCTTACACAACTACAAGCTCGATGAGATCGATCAAAAGGTCACTGGACGGGTCATCGGCAACGCAGAGAAGAGAGAGACAAGGCGGAGTTGGAGGTTCTGGAAGCGCTAAAGGTAGCGACATGTCAGTAAGCAGAAGAGGGAACAAAGCAGGTGTCTTTGTTAACTTTGTGCTTCTAAAATTGCTTTCTATGGGCCATTTATAACACCATGTATGTGACTTATCTAAGTAAGCTAGTGCTCTTCCGGATTCGTCGAGGCGATGGCAAGGGTGAGATGTATAATATCTAGTGCGTGATTCTTACTCTGGACTGAATGAGAACCTTCTAAAAGTTTATTCTTTCAATGACTTCAAAGTGCCCCTTTGTTGTTTTCTTTGCTGCTTGATATGTGGCCCGAGCAATTTGTTCAGGCTTTGTCTGCCCATTATACACAAGAAGAAAGCGCGACCGACCACTTCATCATTTGAGATATTTCAACAGAAAAACCCCACAGAACGTACACTCTTTTTCTCCAGGCTGGAATCACCAGCACATGTTGTATTCATTGAAAGATAGGGAGAAGAAAAAGGGAAAATGGCTCAACCAAACCCCCCAGCCCCAGCTCTCACAACACCTTACCTCACCGCAGAAGGCTACTACAAGCGCGCCTGGCGCGATATTCTCCGCACGCAACATCCACGATGGAAAGAACGTATGTGTCCTCCCTCTTTAGTTCCTTCCTTGACAAGCTTCTAACACTTATCGTGTGCAACAGCTCTCGTGAGGAGAAATTTAGCGTACCTGTGGGCTAGTAGGACGCATGCTGAACAAGTAGCGTGCGAAAACTTAGTCGCGAGTAATGCGTTAGTCTTGCCAGATGTTGATTTGGGGATTTTACCGCTGCGGACTGTGCCGAAGGGGTGGGCGGCGCACCCGCGGGCGCATGAGCGGTTGGCAGCGAGGGCAGGGGTTGGAGTTGAAGGTGGTGGTGACGGTGATGGCGAGGTTGACGGTGATGGCGACATTGCTATGCCAACTCAAGGACCAGATCCAGCTCTTCCAGCTCTGATTCAGGAGGACATCGAACCTGATCCGGTCGTTGTCGCCCCAGTCAACACGACAAACTTCGCCTTCTGGCCTACCCCTGAAGCTAACACAGCCATATCCCTTCCAAGATTTAATGCAGAGGAGGAAGAGTGGCTGGAGAGCGACATTTATCTTCCTGGGGAAGAAGGTGAGGAACGCCTCTGGCGTGGTATTACCACACTCGGACGTGGAGCGACTGGCCGCGTCGGTCTCTGGGTCAAAGTCGATGAAACGCGCACCATCCGCCGACGTATCGCAGTCAAAGATATTGCTAGCATCTACTACTCGGATTGGGTCAACCCCATGAACTGGCGCGATAAGCTTCCCCGGGACGTTGCGATACAAGAACGCGTGCGAATGCAGGGCGGACACAGAGCTATTCATCGATATGAAGGCTATCGCTTAAGCCTTCCGGGAAGACGGTACAGATTGTACCATGAAGTGTGCGAATACGGCAACTTGATGACGGCTATGGATTATTATTCAAAGCAGTGGCGGAGGCGTCGTAATAGGTTTCGCTGGATTGAGAAGGACAACGACAAGACGCCAAAAGATCCTAATGCAAGGGCGGAAGACCCGTCGAGTGAGGAGAGCTCGGTCGACGAGGACGGTGAGACTGACCATGATGAGGAAGAGGCTCAAGACCCCTCGGACACGGAGCACTTTGATGGTATGTCCGGCATCGAGTCATGGAGATCCAGGCCCTTTCCAGCAAAGAAGGAGCCAGAGCATGTCATTCCAGAGGCTTTTCTATGGGAAGTGTTCAGAAACCTAGTCGAAGCTTGCACTTTCCTCGAAAGGGGTGCTGGTGTAGACATGGGCGCGGGCAAAGAGTGGAGATCAATCGTGCATAACGACATGCATCTTCAAAACATCTTTGTGCACCCACCGGCGTCCGGCGACCGGGGTTCCGCTGCTAAGCTGAGTGCTAGCGATCGTAAATTTTTCCCAGAGGACAAATGGACACCGGAAGACCAAGTTAACGTCCTAGAATTCACTAACAATTCCTTTCCACGTGCCGTCGTCGCTGACTTTGACACCGCCTGGTTCGAGCTTCAGGCGCAAGGAGACGCCTATACAGACAACCCATCTGCATATGTCTTCGCCGAGAGACCACGAAACGACGCTAGAGGAGGAGAAAAGTACCCGCCTGAGATGTACTTGCAACACGGTTGCTACATTGGACCGTGGCCAAAACTACGCAGCAGTACGGACGTCTGGGGCATAGGTCAAATGATGTGGAATCTAATCCTCAATCTCCCGTCGAAACTCGGATGGAACCATGAGCCGTACTTCGATGACAAAGGCACGCTAGGAAGACGCCTTGTCAATGGCAAATCGTACAGCAATGGAAAGCTGGACCGACATTTGCTTACTGGTCAACGGCCGTTCGAAGCTTCTCTTCGCTATAGCAACGAGTTGAAAGACCTTGTTAGGCAGTGTTTGAGGTACTGGCCGGAAGAACGACCAAGCTTGGACAAACTAAGCGATCATATTGAGGCCTATATGGACGATCCGCCTGCGAATAATGCGCCAGGGCCACTGAGGGTGGTGGTTCCCAGTGGTTTTGGCATAACGATGGTTGGTGAGATAATAGGTCGTAGGATATGAGGGATTGGTATTCAGAGGAAGAAGGCTGGCATATCGCGTTTGCGTCGTTGCAGATCTTCGAATGATCGTGATTTGTGTGGGACAACTGGTTTTTCAGATAGTGGTTAACCTATGATCAAATTAAAGACATCAGATGTTTCAAAAAGCTGCAAATCATTCACTGGTGTCTACAAGATGACAATATTGCGACTCCATCCCTTCCTTCTAATTTTCTGTTCATTCTTTTTTTCTCCCCTGTATTGGTGGCATTCTTCACGGACCCATAGCGTCTCGGCTGATCTCCGCCCAGTCTTTTACATCAGCGGAGATTTGGACGATATCAAAGTTAACCTCCAAAATGCGCCAATGATACACTTCCCTCTCGTCTAACGTAACTACAACTCGGAAGTGGTTTCCTTCGCTGTCCGTAATAGGCACAACATCCATGTCATCTTGTTCGGGTTGATCAATCAGCGAGTCGTAGGAGGCATCGGAGAAAACTGACCCCATTCGTGCGATGAGCCTAGTACTCGCTGCACGCATAAAGATGGCGAATTTAGAGCCTATGCTGGGCTGCTGACGTTCGAAGGAGAAACTCAGAAGGCCATCGAATAGGTCACCGACGTCCGCTGTAAGCAGCTTTTGTGCTGGGTACCAGTCCGCCCGGTGTTTCTGCCATTGACCCTTCTCTGTTCCCTCTAAATGTGCTGCACCTATGACGTGGATTCCCAATTTTGAAGAGCTCGAGATTCATTGATAACAATCTGAAGATAGCGCCGGCGGTGACTTCGTATACTTTGGCCTCCGTACTCTTGGATAATGGGTAATTTTTCTTGAGGTCGACTGTGCAGCAGCCCTTGGACCTACGACAATTGTACAACAGGTTCCCATAATTCCAGTATGAGTCCGCTCCAATCTTTTATCGTCATCACCTATTGCTGAATGTAAAAGGATACCAATGAGTTTAGAAGATGAACTTGGCGAGCAACTGAGCAGCTCAACCCAGCCGATAGGTTTTTCTGAAGATTTCAATGGAAACGTTGAGGCTGGTGGAAATAATGGCACAAGTGGAAGTTCAATTTGTAGCCCAACATTTGTCATAATGAATGCAGAGTTTGACCTTGTCGCATATTGCAAGTCCGCGCAGCTTTCAAAATTCTTTGGTGACCATGCAAAAATTGGGCTTCGAGCTTCGCTCAAGAACATAGCAGTCGCCACATCATCTGGTACTAGTCCTTGTGGATGGCGCATATTTGTGTCCAGATGCCACGCGAGAATAGAATCATCGTCGAGCTTCTTCGTTATCTCTTCCTGGAGGCGGATAAAAGCCCGCGATCCTTCTCCATAGAGCAATGGCATGTTAATGTCGAATATTCCAAGAAGACAATACGCCATGTCTTCCTCTCGAGTTGTCTCTCGGTGTGACGCCCATAACATTCTTTTGGCAACGCAGAAGGAGCTGAGTTCTACTTCGCTGTTAAAGTAATTCCATCGCACACGGAGGACACCTTTGTCGATGCTTGTAATCTCAGATATCCAGTCAGCATGCTCTTCTTTTGTGCCCAACCCATTCCAGTCTCTGTCATAGAATCTCACAACTCTAGGCGCTATCAGCTCCTGTAATGTCCAGCCTCGAGAGTGCCATCTACTATGAGGGAAATTTGTGTCCACATCTGCTTCTAAAACATCCGTAAGATAGGCGTAACATGTGGTCGAGCGTTTATACCACGCGAACATAGAGTTGATAGCCTCAGAAAGCTCCGCACTCGAGGTTTTGTCGATGCAACAGGTATCGACCCATGCGTAATTGAGTCCGTCCTGGAGTGCTTGCTGGCATGTAAAGGCAATCTTTCGATAACCTTCTTTGGTTCTTGCTGCAGCCTGATCGAGGGTGAAGTCGCCCAATGACACTTCGTCTGTGCCCCACGTGTGCGACAGGATGGCATAGGCTGGGATGTTGCTGCCGCAGAACTCCTCTAGCTGAAGTGTTGTGCAGTTGATAAGGCGCATATTTGGGGTTGCGTTGCGAAGTGGATGCTTTATGAAGCATAAGGTATCAGAGGTGATCTGTCAGCAAGGCATTCCCGCCTAGTTGGAGCATAGCCACGTCTCAACCTCGCCTGCATGCTGGTTCAACACTGAAACTATTTATGATACTGCAAAAAGCCTTTATGTAAGGTCCCTTTGCAACGAATGTATTTTTTTTTCGACACATTGAATAAGTGTACATGTGATCAGTAGGTAGCTTTTGCTAGTTGAACAGCACAACCCTTGCAGTATGCTAATACAGAACCAGTGGTCCTATATAAGTGATCACCTGAGCAAGACGAAGGACTGTACATGTATACATCTACAATAATCGCACCTGCACGAAAATATCTGTATATGTCGTTGTAATGATTCGTTGTTTCAGTGTCATATCCCTCGCGAAAACCTTCCGCACCATCAGCAGCTCGCTTCTCCTACCCCTGCTCATGCAGTTCCGCGTTTCAGACCCCGCGATTCTCCTGAAGCTTTGCCAAGAGCTTTAAGACATCGCTGAGACCTCACTGAGACTTGGCTGCAGCTTGAACGGAGTGGAATTTGAACGTCACTCTAGGTCTGGGAGATCTACGCCGAGGATTATGCGGCTTTCGCGGATTCTGTTGTCATGATAATGCGAAGGACAGTATTGCAATACCTTTTCGATGAACGAAGATGCAGGTTGTATCGTGCAGGAGCGGAAAAAATTGATCACGTAGTTGTTTATTGGATTCTAATTTCCTCCTAGTGGCCGAGCATAAATCTTACAGCGCCATTATCTCGAACTCCATATCTTCCGGTCCGCTTTGCGCAGGATCCTGCCGATGTTCGCTGACAGAAAAGCGCACTCAATGAAATCCCAATATGTCATCTAACACCAGTCCTCGTTCGATTGTCCCTTTGCGCATGTCCGTGTACAATCGTAGGTTACAAATATTTGCTCCAATTCTTTCATGGTACATCTCTCAAACTTCGGTGATAGCGACCAGGGTCATCTTCGGCGCCTCGTCCTCGGTAACGACCTCGCCGCGCTTTTCCTTCTCGCCTGAGCCAGCAGCAGCTGAGCCCTTGGGGACGTTGACACCGGGGTTGACGAGAATGCCGATTCCAGCGTTCTCGGTACCGAGCTCAACCTTGGGGGCATCCTTCAAAGCTTCACGGGCATAACCAAGAGCCTTTTCGAAGCCCGCGAGGTCGCGCTTAATCCATTCCATAGCGGCTTCGACGGCAACCATCTTAGGTTCAGCAGGGGCGCGCTTTCCGAGAAGCTGATCGAGAGCTCGGCGGAGATTCGGGGCACGTTTTGCTGGCGCTGGTTCAGCTGGTCGTTCTTGATTTTGCTCAGCTCGCGCTGGCTGACCTGGTTGCCGAGCTTGGCCTTCGCCGTTGCCGTTCCGTGCAGCGCCCGAGGCGAGGGTGGCCATCAGCTCAGAGGCTGACTCTGTTGACCCTAGTGAGATTTCACCATCACCGACTACCAAGGCAGGGGAGTAGGCGCCGAGGTTGATGTTAAGCGGGACGGCAGCAACGGTTGCGACGAGCGCAAAGAGGACGTGTTGTGGTAGCATCTTGTCGGGCTTAGGTAGAATAAGTTTGTCGATTAGATGATTGAATAGTAGGACCGCAGAAAAATAAATCCAATGAATGAATACGTGATCTTCTTTCGAATGAAATAAGTGATAGAAGTCGGCCGGCGACGAAGAACTGATTAGTAAATCGGTGAAGAATTGAAGTGAGTGGCCGGACTGGAGATCCAAGAAAGTGGACTCATAATCTTCTTATAGCACTCACGCATGCATCAGTACCCATGACATCGCGGGTCAACCATCGTGGCCCCGCCAAGCTAAGCCCGCTGTTTTAAGTAGGCTTGAAACTTCTTTGAAGCCGCGCCAAGAGGACGCAAGCATAGCATGGCAGACATGGCAGAATCTGGCTTTTCGAAGCTCTTTGCCAAGCTACTCCCGCTTTCTGATGTTGGCTCGAAACTTTCGTGACGCGAGGCCAAGAGGTACCAAGCGTGGTATACGATGCTCGACGCGCACGAAGATGCAAGGACTTGCTACACGATGTGGGTCAGTGGCCGTCCTGGAGCCTATCCATGGTCAGTGCTTGGGAGGCAATGACCAGTTCTCGATGGACAGGCCGTATTTTCGCTCATAGAAATCTCTGGGGAGCAAGTTCACGCCGAGAAAGCGTACAGGAAGTTATCGCTCAAGCACATGTACGTGTGCATAAGCGAGTATAGGGGGAGCTGATAGTGCATCCAGGAGGAGCTCTCATGAACGTGTGCATTCCCGGGTCTTTTGCGGTCTTTCATAGACCAAACTCAATTCTAGGTCAATCACATATGTTTCTGAAGGCTCAAGCCTGCAGATTCCCCATGCGACTAGCATCGCCAAGTACAAGGAGGTCCAGCGACATGTCGGCCTAAGTGATCGTCCAGCTCGGAAGCATCGATCGCCGCTCCCTCAGGCACGCCTGCATGATTAGGCAAGGCAATATCTCTTGGCGGTGTTTCTCCACAGCGTTCGTCGCTGGGCAGGGTACTATCCTCGGCGCATGGAGCTTCGACTGGAGAAGCCTCGGCCGCAACAATTAGCGCATCACTTAAGTAGACTTGTGAATGCTTAAGCGGAGCGGACGACTAGGGTGGCGGCTTAAGAAACAATATGCAAGGTTTGAGATGGGTCTGAATTTAGGCTTTCAGGCATGGAACTGGCTTAGTGCGCCCATTTTGGTCAAGCACTCCAACAAAGGTGCGACAACCTAAATCTTGGCCGAAGGTAGATCGCTAGATCTGCGCACTGTCCGAATGCAAGCTAGATCAAACGCCTTGGCTTTTAGTGTGGTGCTTCTTCTGAGTGGTTGGAATGCACGCGGGAGGCTGACGCGGGCGTCTTGTTGACAGTTTCATCGGGTAGCCGTCGAATCTGAGACTGCGTAGCGTCAGCAATACATTTGCATTTTGCACGAAAAGGGGAGAGCGATAGCAAGGGGCGTGTTACAGGTGTCTAGCGAGGAACTAACGCGAAGCTCCTGTTATTACAGTGCAGTAAGTATGTCGTCGTGAGGAGGCGGGGAGAAGACACCGGCGCTTGACCTACCCGGTGTTCGTCCAATCCGCATTGGCGGCGGTGAGATTCGATGGCCTTGACGTTGAATGGCATACTGAAAGAGGCCGATGAATTACAGCCCGGTCGCCTTAGAAGATACGCAGGTCAGCTCTTTTCTTGCGCTTGATATCGACACGCCCATAGAAACTGCCAATTCGATGTTACTCATATCGCCCAGCAATACCAAGCCCTGCCAACAATACCGTTCATCTGGCAACTCTTAGGAAGCATTGACGTGGAGAAAGACCCACGGCCCAGCTGCCTCCCCGCAAGATCCGCTTTTATCTACCATGTTGTTGTTCGTCTTAGCAGATGAGCTTGTTGCACGAAGTCCTGGCAGGGGTTATGCAGGCATTCCGACGCGCCCCACCACAACCACCAACACAAAATCGCACACACTTAGATCTAGATCAGATGTACTGATGAAGATTGAGAGTCTGGCGTTTGGTTACTATATTATATTTTCATGTTGAAAAAATCTCATCAATCAACCACGGCTCGGTGGTGTAGTTGGTTATCACGTCAGTCTAACAAGGTTCGAACTCTTGAATCCGTACACTGAAGGTCCCGAGTTCAAGCCTCGGCTGAGTCATTCTTTTTACAGCTATCTACTCTCTTTTTGCTTGTCGTTGTGGTGTAAAGAAGGCCTGCGTCGTGAAAATTTTGCATCGCGGTGGGCTAGCGTGGGTGGCCGAGAAAATTTGTTCCCCGCACTCGTCCCACTACCTCTTCTAGTGGTAACAAACCAACTATATTACTATGTCCGTAGGCTCTAGATATTGTTTATTAGACAAGGATAGAGGTCCTAATAAATTTTTAGGAGACTTTGTTAAACTCCTAGGAGTTTGATACATTTATGTTAAATTAGAGAATACTAAGAGTTATAATAGGTATTCATCATCACTCCCACTGGTTCTCGTAAGAGGATTTCTAAAGCGCCTACGCCCTAGTTGAGCTATCGCTGAGTTTCGTACAACAGTCCACCCATTTCTAAACATAATCCAGCTGACAGTCAGCGCACCATCACGACAGGCAGCACAAAACATATTCCACACTGCCTGCCACGTTGTAGAACCCGTGTTATTGCGATGAGTCTTGAACAGCTCCCAAGCCACGGATGGTCCAATGCTCTTAGGGGCAGTAATCTGCTCGGAGATTCCGTACCCAGAGTGCTGCCATGAATTGAGCTCGCCTCCCTCAATTAGGTCCGTAAAAACCGAAAGACCACTTCCAGAACCCAGTCCAAGTTCATGTACCAGAGCCTGATGCTTCGATGTGAAGCGCCATCTTCTTGAAGATGCAGGCTCGGCGAACTCTACAATCCAACTGGAAGATGTATCGCCAAGTCCACCAGTGAAAGTCCCATCGAAGTGCGGGTGGATCAAAAGTCTGTTGGATGCTAGCAAAGTGTCGTTGTCGAGACCATAAACCTCGAGCATAGGTTTCCCGTCCTTGTAGAGAACACCCGACGGATACACAATGCGACCAGCGATTCTTGATACGGGTATACACAATGAGAAAGCATACGGGCCAATGATGGCGCGCATATTGCGCCAGCTGTCAAGAAGTGTGAACCAGTCAAACGCAGCAAAGTCGTGAAAATGTCCTCCCGTACCGGCGAATTTCAGTCGGCTCCCTTGTACCTTGAGGTCTACCTTGGCATGCGCAACAGGAATAGCTTCGACAAAATGGAAGTGCGGAGCAAGCCGTGTCTGTGCTGACTTTGAAGGTCACGATGTCCCGTCTGCATAGCGGGCTGGCGTAAAGGACTGAAGTTCAACCTTTCCTTGTACGGTCGGCGTATCGAAAGCTACCGTCGCAGCTCGCATGTTTGCCGAAACCCATCAAGAAATTGAACCTTTTTTTCGACTTCCGTAGCCCTTTTACCTCCCCACAGCAGTCGCGGATGCGAGATTCAGACGCAAAATCTGACATTGCGTGGCGAGTTCCGTTGGCAAAGACGAACATCATCTCAAATGGGATAACGCCGAATCCAAATGGCTTATACGAGGGATCTCGCCCGAGTGAGACGATGAAAGCATCACCGGCTTCGGAAACGGCTTCAAAGTACCACTTTTCGATGGCAGTATCGTTCACACCGGAGAACTTAGATCTTTCGAAAGAACGGTAAGGGTTTTGCGAACACCAGATGGGGGATTTGACGGTTTGGTAGGCGCCGACTGTTTTCGTAAAACAACTTTCATGGCATCCGGGGTGTCGCTATGTTCGAAAACATATTGCCATAGAAAGGCTGTAGGTATGAGAGCGATAAGAATAATAAGGGGTCACATATCGTCGGAATTCTCTTTGGTTGTTGTTTCGACCCAGAGGGGTTGTGCAGAGATGTATGTTTGAAAAGACTACCGTACATTGGTCGGCCTCGGAAAATTATTACGGATTGCAAGTCGAACACCCGAGTGCTGGGCAACATTCCACTCACATTGACTCGACTTCGAATGACTGAAATAGAAGCAGGAACTCCAGAGCCTCCCAGAAGAGCAATATCATGGCCCCATCTTCCAGACTTTCATCGCCTATAAACCTCCTTCGGTGGATAAAACCAATTTTTTTGATTGTGACGTTGTCAATTAAGAATACGAAGTCGGTCAGACAGCGTAAGACAGCATGCTGTCCATCACCGATGAGCCGGATGGCGCGACTGAGATCATATTTCAGTTGAGGGAGAGTTTTTACTCAGTGAAGGATGCGGCAACACTCCTCGAAACCTACCTGTGGCTACTGGATCAGTTCACTTCCCAGCCGAGCGCTGCCGTGGTAGCTTTTCTTTACTGAGCCCGGCGGCGGCAGAGGACGTGGTCCGCATTGGCGAAGGTAAGTGAGCTTCTCGTTCCCGCATCATGTATACAGTCTTTGGATTAGTAGATCAATATCATGGTTATTTTACACACTTGCTCCTCTGCCCATCGTCATGGAACTTACCAGTACCGCACAGGCCCTTCATTCATTTCGAGCTGGGCTGCGCCAATCTCGCAACAGATTCAGCAGATAGTCAATCTACACGGTGATGACCCAGCCGTGATAGTCTCGGGAACTACATACTCGTATCGAGCCTTGAATTCGAGAGTCAGTACTCTGGTCGGACGGATGACCGACTTGAATGTCATGGCGAGCTCTATTGTTGCTGTGTACCAAGAATCTGTGTTTGAGTGGCTCACCTCTACAATTACGGTACTCAGAATAGGGGCAGTGTACATGCCATTAGATGTCCGGACGCCAGTGAGCCGACTCACTACCATGGTCAAGGAAGCCAGGCCGTTCATTGTTCTAGTTCATGCGCCAAATCTACGTCTCGGCCAGTCTCTTTCTTTACACACACGAAGTGTTCTCGATGTCACCACAACTTCGCTCACTATTCTCAAAGGACCGCGGTCCGCCTAATGCTGAAGAGTATCTGCAGACTCTTCTCCAAGAATGCTCACTCCCGGTGTATATGCGACCAGCCCTAATTTTGCCAATTGATAGGATGCCGGTAAGCCAAAACTTCAAGCTGGATCGGGCCGCCCTTGGACAGCTTCCGCTGCCAAAGGCTTCCGTTCCAAACGACGAAAATGACGACTTGACAACTCTGGAACGTCGAATGAAGAACATTTGGCATAAGGTACTTCCTCCAACTGCTATGGATGCGCATGTCATCACTGCGACCTCGGACTTCTTCCATGTGGGAGGTAACTCGATGCTCATGGCGCATTTACAGAAAGAGATAGTGCAGAGCTTCGGCGACAACATTCCCTGGTCCAAATCTTTGAAAATAGTACACTCGCGGAAATGGCCATCCTTTGCGGGAGTCAGGTGCATGATGAAAAATCTTTCACGTTCATAGACTGGGAGGTCGAGACTGCTGTGACAGCGGAAATTCTCCTCCCAAGAAGCTCTGCAGCTGGCATAACGCCGCGAGAAGGCAGACCCAAAACCATCATCCTCACGGGCTCAACGGGTGTTTTTGGGACGAAACATACTCCAAAAGCTCCTTGAAGACCCAATGATCGACATGATTCACTGCCTGGCTGTTCGACGAGACTCCAGTAACATATCCTTGCTCCCCTCATCAACAAAGATACGGGTACATGAAGGTGACCTATCGTAGCCTCACTTCAATCTGCCCGAACAGGCATTGGGCTTACGATTCTCACAATCCGAGGCCATAATTCACAACGCCGCCGATATCTCGTTCATGAAAAGCTATCAAAATATACGTCCCATAAATTTCAGGGCCATCATGACCCCTGCACACCTCGTACAAGGCCATCGCATTACATTCCACTACGTTTCGACTTCCGGCGTGGCACATTTGAGCGGTCTCACTGAGTTTTCCGAGGTCTCAGCCGCTGCTAAAGCCCCGCCAACCGACGGTTCAGACGGATATGTGGCATCCAAATGGGCGAGCGAAGTATTCCTTGAGAAGCTGCACATTGCCACTGGTCTTCCAATATGGACCCATCGGCCATCGAGCATCATGGGCGACAATGTGGCACCGACCGACCTCATGGGCAGCTTATTCACGTACAGTCTGAAACTGCACGCTGTGCCCGTTCTTCGTGGTTTTGACAATGCCAACGCGGGCGGGTTCGCGGATCTCATAGATGTGGACAATGTTGCGACTGGCATTCTGAAGCACGTGAGTACCAACCGGGCCATAGAAGGAGGGCCAACATCGGCGAGATGATCATCCCTATGCAAGCACTAGTAGGAGATGAAAAGAATGAGATGGAGCAAGGACTAGGGCTGGAGCGTTTGTCTCTAAAAGAGTGGGTAAGCAGGGCAAAGGCGATGGGGATGCAGGAGCTTGTTGCGGAGCTATTGACCGGCGCAGAGGAGGGGTTAAGGCAGAAGTCGCAACAGCTTACGAACTTTATGCTGTATCCAATGCTACTGAAAGCTTAGTAATGTTGTTATAAGAGCTTTGAGAAAGAGGCGTTAGTAGCAAATCTTTCCATAAGAAAGTCACTCTCAATTAACATGAAGAAATGTGAAGTATCTTTGGTAAACATATGATACCCTGGAGACCATTGCCCCTGTCAAGGCCATTCGTATGAACATGACAAGTTCTATTCGTTGCATATGTATAGCACATGCTGGGTATAGCGTATAAAGAATCTAAGGTGATCTTTAGGGCAGCACGATGCCCTTTTCCAGTCATCACTTCGTGCAAGAGGCTGCGGCACCCTTCTTTTCATCCGCGTTTCCATTTGCATTTGCGTTGCCGTTGGCATTAGCGTTCGCGTTTGCATTCCCGTTACCACCCGCCTGCGCATTTCCTGTCGCGGCGGCTGTGCTAGCCTGGATGGTCGCGTCGCATTGGTCTGTACCCTTCGTTAGCTTATCACCCGTGCCACTCTCAAGGACGTGCATACCTTTCTGTGTTGAGCATGCGCCGACGCTCAAAGTAGCATCACCACCGTTGGCTGCGTTGGCACAGGCATTGAACTGCTGATCACAACTCCTCTGTAGCGCAGCGCCGATTTTGACAAAAGTATCACCCTTCACTTTAAATGGGCGTTTGGCATCTCCAGTATTTTCTACGGGTGTCGCCTCAATGCCACCAAGTGCATCCCCGAATGTCTGAAGATTCCCTCCCGCTTGGCGGCTGACATAGGGCGAGAGAGTGGGCGCGCTGAGAGCGGCGGCAATGAAAGAGGCGGTGATAAGTGTGGACTTCATTTTGACGGGTCGGGATCTCGTAATGCTTAAGCTGATATCGTATGGGTATGTACGTCGTAGTGGGTTGAAAGAGTGATTAACAAAAGAGTGACCAGACTCGAAAGAATGTAAGATGCCGAAGCAGAAAGAACGATAGACTGAGCGAAAGGCAAAGTAAAGATGCGCGTGGATAGCACTGGTCAGGCCAGCGTTGCCCGAATACTTATACGTGAACATCATGTTCACCGCCATGGTTGGCGTGCTGCGGCGAATGGTAAAGCTGGCGCATCCTATACGCCTCCGTCCTCCCTCTCCATCACGAAAACCATCCTGAGACTTTTGATAGCTGCCAGAACCGCCGATGGGGCTCCTGAGCCCCTTTCATATTCCTCAAGGATCCTGGTTAGCAACCAAGGCTATAGTTCTTCAGTGGCTAAGCTTCTCGAAAACGGGCGCGTTGGATGCGATGAGCGAATCAGATGATGTGAAGGCACATTGAAAGGAAACAAATAGACTCCGTTAACTGTCAGATCGCAGTTTTGGGGAGTACGCGCATACGTTTTGAAGATGCATGACGTTTCGGGTTGTGCGATGTCCGGGTTCTTGGGCGCATCGCGTCGACTCATGAGAGAATGCAGGACTTTAGAATTGCCAGCAAATGAATCTATGTGTATGAGCTAATGAAGAGACAGTTTATTTGATGGGTGACATGAAGTTTGAACATTGCAGTATACCTATATATATTTTCGTTGTCCTGCGCGTTGGAATTCGGGGTAGTTCGCAAAATTGTACATTCGAGCAGATCCCTGCAGCGATCATACACAGTCTGATGCACATTGTGAAAGAGCATCAAAGTCGTCATAATGCCTTCAGAATCCCACCAATACGCTTCTAGGATGCAGCGGCTTGTCCTCAGGCAGAGGCCTTCGCGAGCGCTCATCAGATGCATAAGAGGATGCCCTGAGAAACTACGTCGAACAATCGCCTGGGTAGCAGCTCGAAGCGACATCAAAATGACAGGACTAGGAGCTAGTAACAGGGGTCTTGAAGCATACGGAAAAACTCGAAAAGCTCTTTACTTTGAGTATTTGAACGAGATAAGAGTTGGTTCTAGGAAGCATGTTCGGCGGAGTGATGGAGGACAGAGACGCGGTGCGGAACTTTGGAGCGAAGTCGGACCGTGCACGAAACCCCACCCCTCCACCTAACCAGCCATCGCGTCACCCCTTCACAACGCAAACAACCTCAATCTCATACAGCAACTTCTCATGCGCCAAACTCTCAACTCCCAAAAGCGCACTCGGCGGCGGCGGAGAATCCCCCAGCCACTCCAAATACCTCTTGTTCCTCTCTGGATCCTGCCCTTTCCCTCCCTCCCCTCCCTTCAACAACCCCACAACATACTGTCTAGTTTGCACAACGTCTTTCCTCGTTGCGCCTACCAATTCAAGGCATTTGTCCACGTTCGCAAACGCGAGACTGCATTGCTCGCCCAGGGTAGGCGGGATCGTATGAGTAGTGGTGTCGTAGCCGACCTGGCCTGCGATAGAGACCAGAGTGTGTGTTGAAGATATTGGTACGCGTGAAATCTGAGAGTACGATGGCGAGATAGGGTCGTGTTCGGGTGGGTTGAAGTTCTGCGGCTCAGCCATAGTCACGGTGCGATATAGTTGTTCTGCTATGCGTCAAATCTGGAGTAAGGAGTATCGAAAATGTAGGTCCCTTGTTTGCTTATATATTTTCGTTGATATAAGACAGTTGCTAGATCCTACCCCGCATCTGCTATTAGATCACAAATGCAGATTGCCGCCAATTGGCAAGTGGTGGGGTGGCTAAGGAGGGGTACGGTGACGCCTAATGCTGAGGCTGGTCTCCAAGACTGCGAGGTGCAGTCATCCAGTTAAAGTTTGATGAGTTTGGAACGCGGCTAGCGGATATACACGCAAAAATAAGATAGAATCAGTTTTCTTATGCCCTAATATGTTCCATACTGAGAAGCCCAGTTGTGAGACTATATTCACCAGAGCTGTTGCCCAGCTCACATGGGTTCCCCGATCAGATGCACCCATGAGCTCCTCTCCAAAATCATCTCTCCCGTTCTCATCTATCGACTCCATTACCTGGCCATTGAAGATGCAGCTTGCACGTTCCAATCATCCCTGGTTCGGAAGAAATCGGTTGCAGTCCCACCAGTAGTTCGGAAGGAAGCACCACTTCTCTACACAGTTGACGCGCGGGACAACATCATTTGCCGACACACCGTAGGCGTTGGCCATTTTCGTTTTGATCTTGTCGTTAAAGAATGAGGCGACTTTATCCCTTGACGCTTCACAATTCATACCTCCTTCATCCGTCTTTCCGTTGAACCATACGCTGGCAATAAACGAGGTCGCATTGTTGCTAGAGTCGCCTTCTACGGGGAAAGCTACCATGACTTGCGTAGGAACGTTGCACATAGTTGTAGCTCTGCTACCCGAGAAATCCTTAACGTAACAATTTTCATCTATTTCTGACATGGTCTTGTAGATGCCTGCGACCATGTCATACTTTACATCATTAGCATCACCGCTTGGAAATCTACTTCTGTCTGCACTCACCGTTGCCAAATCGAGATTCGTTTTGTCTGGGCTGTGATGGACAGCCCTATATGTGATAGTCAGGTGAGCGTTGGTACTGTAACTGAATCCATCGCTGTACACGATATTCTTGACCTTGCAAGAAAGCCCGTCGAAAGGCTTTTCCTCGAGGCATGTAATGAAGCCATCACTTATCGCACAAAGGGATCGGAAGCAATCATAGAGTACGTCCCACAGGCGCTGTTTACGCAGCGTGCCGACGTGTTGCATCTCCCCAACCTGCATGCGAATATCTGCGATGTATTTTTTCCCATCTGTTCCGTCTCCGACCGCAGGTGAGGTCGAATTGGCAAATGGTGCGGTCCTGTTATCGAATGAAGCCGCGATATTGGCAAATATTGCAGATTCATCCGGCTCTTCAGCGCCGTAGGGTTCGGCGAGATCCTCGAGAGTACCTGTAGCGCCAGATGGAGGGGGAGGGTTTCGAATCACGACATAGTTGTCTTCCCAATATGCACCAGGTGGCAACTCTGCTTGAGGTCAGACAGCTACTTGAAGAGTTCAAAAAGCGACATACCGATGTCGCAGCGCGTGAGCTTTCCTGGAGCAGCAAGCGCTATTGCCGTAATAGCAGCCACGAGGAAGAAGAAGGTGCACTTCATCGTTGGTGTTCGTCTCGGTAGTCTGGTCAAAGACAGTCGAAGTTGAATGCTACAGTCCGACTGAGTGAGGCAAAGGTCGTTGCAGACGCAGATGCAGGTAGCTAAGCAGGTAGCAGCGGTGAAAGCACGGGTGAGAGTGGGGGTGAGACAGCGGGATTAAGTGGGCAGCAAGCGGTAAGGGTGCGGGAATACTATCAACAAAAACATGTAGCGAAAGCAGTCACTGCCGTGTGTTGGGAAGGAGCCGTGACGTCAGAGCGTAGACAAGGAAAGCACAGCAGCTAAACAATCGAGACTATTGCATAGAATTTTTCTCTCTCTTATTATATTCTCTTATTCAATGTGTCCACCATATGCACAGCTATACTCATGTTGTATCGAATTAAAGAATGGAAATAGACTCGAAGTTGACAAATACTAATTTCGTATGCGACAGGAAGAACTGGACATTATGACAAAGTAAAGTCAAGAATGGGTGACGGTAATAAAAGAAGGAAGGTGGGAACTTAATGTCAGAGTCTGGCGTTTGGAGATTTCTGCTTGATGACCTGGTTGAGGACGTTGAACTTGATGAGAAGGGTAAACGCGTCTAACAATGATCGTTGAACTGGAAATGGGTGTGAGATATGATAGAAGACTAAGCTAGAATGGCGAGGAACTCATCGATGGCATGTACCGCTCAAAGCAGCCTACTCCACACTATCGCGTTGTTACTCGCACTCATATAGGGTTAGTTGAGGCGGACTGATATGCGTATAGCCAATCTGAATTTCATCTCGCCAAAGTCGTGTCTCTGTATGCATTAACGATCCTCTCTATGTACTCATTGATTATCACCCTAAGCCTTTAGCAGTCTTTACCCAACCCCTCATTTAGTCGCTGATTAGTACTGGTACCTGAACTCTTTCTGGTCATCCTCTCCACCAAACTCCGTCCTCTTCTTGTCCAGTTTCTGGTTATGCTTCCACAACAGGCCTACATAGACCAAGCAGAAAACCGCTCCTGCAACGGTTATGCCCAAGCCCGTTCTGAACGCCGTAGGGTACAGTGGCGCCTCCTTCTTGATGAACACGTTACTCGCTACGAAATTGGCGCAATTGCCAATGCCGAGGATAATCGCCGTTCCCACTGCAATACTCGGTCGTCCACGCAGATTGTTCGTCAACCAGCTCGTCGTCATCGTCATTTGAATAAATGTCCCCGCACTCATGCAGAAAAGACTGAAGTATCTCACAGCTGCGCTGATGCCGCGGCCTTCCGAATACGCGATGTTGATGATCCACCCTACGAGAACGCAAAGGATGCCAAAGAGGATGAACGGGAACCGCCACCCGGTGCGGCCGGAGATGAAGGCGGCGGCGATTTGGAATACCATGCCGGTGATCCAGATTGGAATGGACATTGCTTGTGCACGGGCTCGTTTCCAGCCTAGCTCGGTGAGAATGGTGGGGATGAAGGAGGACATGGAGGCGGCGGTCATGTCGCAGCAGAAGAACATGAGGGTGCTGGACAAAGTCAGTCTTCTGCGAATTGCTAGAATAGTATAGAACTTACGGGAACAAGATCCTGTAGTCACAGATGGTCTTGAGCCAATTCACGCTCTTGATGTCAAGCTTTTGGTCACCCTTGTCTTCTCTTAGCGTCTTGAGCAAGTGTTCCTTCTCTGACGCGGTTAGGACTTTAGTTCTCTCAGGAAAATCTGGTACAAGGATGAAAACAAGGAAAGAGACAGCAATGGTAAGGATTCCCTCAAGGATAAAGATCCACCTCCATCCCTCCTTCCCTTGGACTCCATCCATGTTGCGGATGCCGAACGCTAAAAGACCGCTGATACACGGGCCTAGGACACCGAAAGTGAAGAACATGGCAAATCTGAGCGCTGCCTGGGCGCGGGTATAGTACTCAGCCATGAGCAGAGCAGCTCCTATATCGTGATTAATCCATATGAGCGATGTCAATCCCTAAGCATTACTTACCTGCGGGCAATGTTGCTTCGAAGATACCCATCAAGAAGCGCAATGCAAGCAGCCCACCGTAAGACGCAGTAAGTCCTTGACACATGGCAGCAACTCCAAGAATGAGCATATTGCAGCCAAGGAAGATGTTGGGTCGCACACGGGGCATGCTCATGATCATGTTGCTAGGTATTTCGACCAGGACGAAGGGCACGTAGAAAATCCAGAGTGCCGTGTTGTAGCCATTTAATGGCATGTGTAAGCTCTTCTCGAACCCCTCGATTCTGGCATTTGCGACTACGAAATGTGAGTCCCAGTTCGTGATGCGAAGACAGTGTAGTTCGACTCACTATTCGTCCGGTCCAGGAACAAGATGGTGTATGTACATCCTAGAATCGGTATCAAGCGCAAATCGAGCTTGAGCGTGTAGTTGAGCGGTGTTGCGGCCAGTTCGGCGGCGCCATGGTCGCTGCTCCCACTACTTTTCGCTGTAGTCTCCGCAACAACAACCTTCTCTTTGCTTTGCATTGTGACAATGTCGCAAGTAGAGGTAGCAAACGAGTGGCGCTTGCGCTGCGCTCGACCTAAGTGACGGACCGGCCCTTTGGCGGCTGGCGGCGGCAACGCAAATACTACGGTGTCGTGGAGAAAGTGGACCAAGTGGAGGCCAAGTAGAAGCCGGCTGATCAGTTATGTAACGAAGTCGCGATCCCTAAGTGGTGCGTTCAAGCAGCACGTTCCAAGCATCCTTCGCTCTGATAAATAGCCATCGAACCCCCCAACCTGGGCGCTGCGCAGTACTGATAGCAACTGCGGATCAATCGGCAACGTCCAATCCAAGCGACGGGCTACCTGCCAATTTCGTGACTGCAATCGCCACCTTTATCCAGCTACCGATACGAGAACGAGTGGTCAGGTGTGGACAGCGGGTCGTGCATGGCGACTTTTGCTCCTGTCGCGATTACTGTAGCTATCATTCTAGCGTCGACGAGATGCAACGCGTCGGTCAAGGGAGCTTCGCGGATTTGTTCGTAAAGCCTAATGGTGAACCGCAGACTTCGTGAGGTCCGCTATGTACCTAATTTGACTAACCTCGAACAAGCCGCGCGGTTTCTTCATTTCCGCAACCAAGATCTGCACGGCCATTGCCGTCTACGGGGCAACTTTCTTTCTTGTCTCACGCACAAACAGCACACACGGCTGCAGCCAGCGTGTTACGGGCACAGCAGAGAAGCAGTCAAATCCCCAATTGTCAGTATTTCCGACCGGATGCATCCGCTAGCTTCCCCGACGAGCGAACCGCTGCTGGCTCTTTGTTCCTGCACGTGTAGAATGCGGGACAGGCCGACGGCATTCCGTGTCGTGCTGGGCCAAGCGGGAGTCGTTAATAAAGACACCGCATGTTGGTGCCACATTCCCACCGCTGCGTCGAATGGGGAGGCAGGCCTTCGTCGAAACCTTGCGAATCCCACGCGCGCGTATCGCGCATTATTAGGAACCTGCTTTGACATCAGGAAATTTGACCGCTGCCCATACTCTCAGTTCAAGCTAGCGATGTAGATGGAGCACAAGTCTCTCCCTCTTCACCAGAAATAAGCACCGCTTTGGAAGATGTAATATTGGCCCTCCCTGGCATTCCTTTTGCCAGGGTTGTTGACTACAGAGTGCGACATAATCCTCCAGAACCAAGAAATGGGTTACTCCTCAATTGCCCGGCACAGCATGGCTCGGATACTGACCAACAGGGCATTACATCTCTAGGTATGATCCCTTTAGCTGAATATAGCTTGAGTGATATGCATTTCCGGGTTCTCAATTATCTAGTCTCAACAACAACTCCACCATCTGTACTACCCTGTTCATATTGTAGAATCAAGACCTCGCTCAAGATGGCAAACCTCAACATTCCGCCTTCAAACTCTGTAGTCCGCTTGCGAGCCATAGATGCAGAAACGCAAATGTGCGTCTCCTCAAAAGGCTTCATCCAACCAACTCTCCGGGGTTTCGAGATTCTTAATCTCACATCCATAACATTCCTCGTCGAGCACCCGCAGTTGCACAAGAAAGTTCTCTTCGACTGCGGTGCACGAAAGGACTTTGAGAATTTCTCGCCACGAATAAAAGAGCGCCTGAACCTAAACGTAAAAGGATTGAGAATCGAAAAAGACGTGCATGACATTGTGCAAGAAGCAGGGGTCCCGTTGGACGAGCTCGATGCTATGATTTGGTCACACTGGCATTGGGATCACCATGGGGCGCCAGAGAAGTATCCTCAACACGTCGAAGTCGTGGTGGGACAAGGTTTCAAGGAGAACTTCATGCCCGGCTACCCAACTCTACCCAACGCTATCTTCCTCGATGCGAACTTCGAAGGTCGCGCGGTCCGCGAGATCAATTTCTCGGACGAATTCAAGATTGGCAACTTTAGAGCACACGACTACTTTGGCGATGGCAGCTTCTATCTACTCGATACGCCAGGCCACGCGATAGGGCACATGTGCGGCCTTGCTCGCACTACACCAGCAACGTTTGTATTTTTAGGCGGAGACATATGTCATTTTGGTGGAAGCTTCCGGCCTTCATCCAAGATAGCACTCCCAAACCAGGTACCAAATGAACATCTAGACAGCCATCTACCCCACCCTTGTCCCTGCTCCATGTTCACGGAAGTACATCCCGCTGGCTCATCATCCCCAGCTTCGCAAACCTCTCCGTTCTTCGAAGTAACCTCCTTCGCCCAATCAGCGTATCTCAACCGCGAAGAAGCAGCGCGCAGCATCAGGGAGCTTCAGCGTTTCGATGAACACCCTGATATCTTGGTGTGTATAGCGCACGATCCTACACTAATCAAGGTCCTGCCGTTCTTGAACAATCAGCCAGAGAAAGATCTAAAAGATTGGAAGGAGAGGGGTTTAAAGCAGAAAGCGCAGTGGGGATGGCTGAATGAGCTACCCCGGAATGGGAAGCCGGGGCGGGAGATGTATGTCGAGGGTGTGTGGAAGGAGGGAGAGATGGTCGAGGACTTTACGAAGCTGAAGGCTACAATATACTAGGCCTGCAAAATACTCGAGCAGTTTTCGCTGGTCATTGAGCAACACAGTAGAGGCGATAACAATATACATAGCATAGTCATCTATATTTTTGCTTAATATACATCGGGGAGAGACGTTGTAGAGCCTATCTAAAAGTCAAAGAATGGAATGTAGTCTCGTTGTTCTCATAGATACTGACTACCATGACCTCTTACATGTTTGGAGACGAACTCACGAGCTTAGACTCACCAAGATACTACCCGTGAGACTTCAGCCTAGAATTTGTGGCGTTTATAGTGTCTGCGAACCCACTTCCGTAGAGCGACAAAAATCTCCGCACTCAAAGTTTATTCATCCCGAGACTAACACTGGCACAATGTCCAGTCCTCGGGAACTTCTTTTTGAAGGTAAAGCCAACGCTAGCGAGAGGGATTATACAACGTAGTAGGAGAAAGCAGTATCAAACCACCTAGGGTATAAGAGCCTGCTAAGTTTACGACGATTTTTCATGGGTTGAGCGAGCAATGAAGCTAGAATTCGCAATATACGCCGGCCAGCCAACCTTGCGCAACACCTACGTTTTACAGGGTTGACTATGACGAAGGCGTGTTTACTGACTATGGCTTCGTCTTGTCCAATGATGATCTGCTGGATGACCAGAACGACGAGTAGCTTGAAGATCTAGTACTGCTCCAGAGCGCTGAAACTCTCCTTTTCCGCTAGCGTTATAAAAATTTATTCGAACTCCCGGTTAGCGAGCCTCAGATGATAAGGTGCCCGAATGAGGATCAAAAAGATCTTTGCGCCGGTTCTTATAATTGTGAAAGATGCAGGGGCACCGAAAGGGACATGGGCAATGTAGTCGCAGCAGGATCCTAGCAGAGCATTGCCTTGAACGCAGACGGACTACATCTTGAAGGTCAGGGGATGCTACGCTGGTTGGACGGGTCAAGTAGCCGGTAAGTGGATTGCAGCTCTACCTTTCGCAACTGCCGGTTGTGCTGCTGAAAATTAGCATCGCATTGTGCCTAGTTGGGCTCGGGAGCGTGATCTGGGCGTGGGCAGCAAGAACTTCAATAAGTGGGATGATACCAAAACACGCAAGCTTTGAAGCAATCCTCTCAGGAGACATCGCTTGTCGACGACTGTGGTATCCCCTTGAGGTTTTAGCTATTCGCCTTCAGCCTAGCGAATAAGGGGGAAAGCCAGCCGCGCAATGAGGCATTCAGACCAATTGAGGACCTTGAATTTGGGTGGGCCACATGTGGCGGACGGCTGGAACTTTTAGGGAACGCAGTATGCCGTTCATTGGCGATCATACCTACACCAAAAAGACGGTGTGGCCTTCTAAGGTATTCTACGCGACAGAATCTGGTGCTGCGTTTAGCGAGCTGCCACTTCCAAGGGCAGAATCCAGCGCGGGTCACCTTCAAGGGTTATAAAGACGTCTCACTGGCTGAAATGGATGAACTCTGAAGTCCTGCAGGTCGACCGAAATTTGCGATGAGTAATGCAATTCATGAACGGCGCGCAGCATGTTGACAGTTGCACTATTGCGGCTAATGCAGAGATCCGAGCGCCACGCTAATGACAAGGCTTGGCGTCACTAGCGCAACTGACACGAGTCGTCATTCTAGCCACACACAATTCGTCGATCACGGAACACCGCTGTTTTTAGGACGGCCCGTCCTCCCTTTCCGCGGCGTTTCAATAGAGTCGGTTTAGCGTGGACCGTAGTAGGTGGATCACACTCGGTCTAGAGGGTCTTCCACGCCGATACTTCACCATTTTTGCGTCGAGTCCCGGCAGCGCTATCCTCTGCGTTGTACACGTAAAGATGGCGGAGGTATTCATCTACGCCGATGAGAGAGTTTCTTTTTACTCCCGTCGCACTACATTATGGGAACTCAAGACGTACCGTTGACGCGGGACACATCTTTCCACACAGCATACTATGTCCTGGTGCTCATCAGCGCATGGGTGGCCTTCAAAGTTCTGCAGGCATTGTACAATGTCTCTCCCCTTCATCCGTTGAGCCACATTCCTGGACCGAGAATTGCAGCGGCAACATACTTGCTCGAGTTTTACTACGATGTCGTGAAATTTGGTTGTTATACGAAGGAGATCAAGAAGATGCACGAGCAATATGGTGAGCAGGCGAGGGCATTCATTACACTCGGGGTCTAGACTAACGACCAACTTATTTTTTAGGTCCCATTGTTCGAATCAACCCCAACGAGGTACATTGCAGTGATATCAGCTTCGCGGATGAGATCTATGCTGTTGGTGGCCGGAAGCGCGACAAGCCTCTACACCAGATTAATGGTTCAGCGTACGTTTCTTTTACAGTTCGAACAAAAGTATGTCCGCTAAAACACGTTTAGTCTTGGACAAGCTGGCTTTGGAACAGTTGATCATGACATTCATCGTCTGAGGCGCGTCCCACTCGCCAAATTCTTCTCTCGGGCAATGATCGCGCGGCTCGAACCTGAGGTCCATGGGTTGGTGCAAAAACTTTGTGACAAATTACTCGCGCAGTCAGGCGATAACGAGGCTTTCGACATCGCCATGGCATACAGCTGCTTCACGTCTGACGCAATCTCCAGCTACAGCTTCGGCGAAAGTTTCGGTTTTCTCGACCAGAAAGGATGGTATCCGAACTTTCGTGCCCCGACTGCGTCCATTCTCCGACCGGTTTTCATCTTCCGTTTTTTCCCTTGGACGAAGGCCAGCGCTGGATTGGGCAAAGTTTTTGTCGACTATGTTCCCAAGGATATTGCATTGCTTATTCGCACCCTTCAAATCGACCTGCCTGCTAAAGTTATCAAAGCCAAAGCAGATATCGACGCTGGTATAACGTATGATCGACCTACTATTTTCGCCTCGCTCTTGCAATCTGAACTGGAACTTTCTGATAAGGAAACACATCGCTTAGCTGATGAAGCGGCCGCAGTAGTTGGGGCGGGAACGGAAACCACTAGCTGGGCCTTGTCTGTCATGACGTACCATCTCCTAACAAAGCCGGATATCCTCGCAAAGTTGACACGAGAGCTGAAGGCTGTCGTGGAGGACCCAAAACAGCTTCCAGCATGGCCCGTCCTTGAAACCCTACCGTACCTTGGAGCCGTGATCCAAGAGGGCCTGAGATTGTCCTACGGCGTCTCTAGTCGTACTGCCCGCATACCGACTGAAGAGAACCTGCTCTACCGAGGAGAATGGAACAAAAAGCCAGTCGAACACGTTATTCCCCAAGGCTATGCTGTCGGAATGTCGGCCTTCATTACGCACCACGACCACCGAGCATTTCCTGACTCCTACGCTTTTATTCCTGAACGATGGCTGGACGAGGACGGTCATCGCAGGAAAGATGTCGAGCGCAGCATGTTGGCCTTCTCGAAGGGAAGTCGCTCTTGCTTAGGCATGAAGTAAGTAGTTCTACCCTCAACAGGAATTACCTTTGCAACATGTTCGACTCTTGCTAACACCATTTCGCGACAGTCTTGCCTTGTGTGAGCTTCATCTTTGTCTTACAGCATTGGTACTTCGCGTTATACCACAGATGCGCCTCTCTGATACGACTGATGAGGATCTTGCATACGACCATGACATGTTCATCCCGATGACGAAGGAAAATAGGGGTGTGCGAGTTATCATCGTCTGACGTAACGTGTTTCATAATTCTTCTGTCCAGGTATGAACACGCGTGTTTGCCGTTAAGTAGAACCCGCATGGACGGCATGTGTTAGTCCTAGGGTGCGTTCCTCCGTCGTTCGCTAGAAGATATCCCTGTAAACCGTGCCGGTGTGAAGATGCTTGTTGCGTTGAATCTAAATAGAAAGGCCAAACAGACTCCGAATTGATGTAATATTCTCGTCCAAATCGGAGGCACTGCACACTCCTGTATGCGCGGTAGACAACCCTCACGACCGTTTTCAAAGGATTAAGGCGTTGATGTTTCGTGATGCCACATCGGTCCGAATCAACTTGCATGGGTAGCACATGTCAAAACAAGGATACTAGTCGCCGAAAAAGTCCCGCACGCTAGCAATGCCACACCATCAAATCTCCGCGGCTACAGGTTGCCGAGAAGTGGACGTTGCATCTGATAGCTTTGTGAGATTTTTACATCAACATCAGCCCAATGTCTCCTGAGTCTTGGGTTATAGCAACAAACCGTTCTCAGTCGGCGGATGCCTCACTGAGTAAGGTGCATACCTAACGAGGCAGCGCTAAAGTAGGGTCCCACTCGCTATCATATAGGTAACTGTGCTGCAACCGATGACATGAACCCGGTAGCCACGCTTCGGGAGAGCGTTGCCGGTAGCCTAGAGCAAAAGTATTCCTGACGGCAGGGATACCGACACTAAGCGTCCCGCACAAGACCATTAATGCATTTTATCGACATTCTGGACTTCTCCATAGATGGTTCCGCGGCTGTCAGGCCCACCGGCTAAGGCGTAGAAGCCAAAGATCAACGCAAAATTCTACTAATACATGGAAGTTGCAACTATTATCCCACTCTTAAGTTACACCCCCGGACTAGTGATAGCCAACAGGTGGTCCTGGGGCATTGGGGCGCCTCTCAACCCTTTTATATTACTACTTGCTTACATCCTTCTGTTGCTAGGCGTGGCGAACATTTAACTCAGGCCCATGGACATCGTATACTGAGATCGCATGCCCACAGCTACCCGTCTCATCATCCACAGCAATGTCCACCACGGTCAATCCTAATGAGAGGATCATCCCTCTGGATGGCTTACCTCTTGCGATCCTCGCAATTTCGTGTGTATTCTGGGTTCTCTCGGTCATCACCGTGTCGATGAGAGCTTATACACGCATTTCCAAAGCCATCTTTGGATTAGACGATGCTTTCATGGTCGCAGGTACTGTAAGTATACCATTCCGCAATTCCGCCTAACGCTGCAAGTGGGCCATCTGACAATCTGTGATATTAGATCGTCTACACTGCCGCCACCGGCCTTGCCATATACGCCCTCCTCGTCGGTCTGGGAAGGCTCGAGGCCGACCTCAACGCATGGCAACGGAGCGAAGCCATGAAATACTACATTATATGGATCTTGACATATGTTCTCGCACTGGCGGTTGTAAAATCTTCTATCTGGATTACCATCCTGCGCATTGCGTCGACCAAGATAAACCTACGCGTCACCGTTTACGTACTATTGGGAATCACCTGGGCATCATTCTGCATCACTTTTATCGGCACACTCTTGTATTGTCGCCCGGTTAGAACCATATGGACGCCTCTACTAGTACTCACGGGGAAAGGCTCATGTGCACCCGTGGGAACCTTCGTCATCATTGGCCATGTCGCTACGGTCTCTACGATCGTGACAGATCTAGCATTGGTGGTCGTGCCCGCGATTATTCTGTGGAACACGCAGATGAAAAAGCAGCAAAAGCTACAAGCGTTCGGACTGCTATCGTTCGCCTCGGTGTAAGTCTTTGTCACTAACATTCACCAACTATCATTACACGGACCGGGCAGCTTACATGCAATCAGGGCGTCGATTATCACTATGGTTCGTATACCTTACATCAACAGATTCGAGGGAATGACGAACCTACAATGTAAGTATTGAAACTACTGCCCGCATATTGTCGAACATTAATTACTAACTATTTGCGATAGTCTGGGTCGCCCACATCATGCTCTGTTCAAACGTCGAAACAGGAATCGGATGCGTCGCCTCCTCCGTACCCTCTCTCCGCCACTTCTTCCGCGGTGAAACCAGCGGGGGTAGTTCTGGGCCAAGCAACAAGAGAAGCACACCAGGTCCAAGTAGGGACTTCTTCACCATTGGTAGTCAGCCGCGACTCACCCCTGCGGATGGCGGCTTCAGCCTGTCAACCGTACGCCATGGACGAGAGGAAAATTGGGAGCCGCTGCACGACGGAGCATCGGATCAAAGCGACACACCTATCGATCCGAAGGGGTTATATAAGAAACAGACGTATGCGGTGGACATTGAGATGAAGCATTTGGATGAGGAAAGGCAGGCACGTGGTCGGTAGATTGATCGAAATCAAGAGTATCTCTATAGACATTTTGGACCGCAGCGCTTGCAGTGATTCCAACGTGAGCAAGTTTTTGAGTGACGGACTTGCGCGCAGGCGCTGTAATCCGTGACCATATGTGGCAAGGGGAGCGGCCTCGTATCCCCGAAACCGGCCCGATGACAGGCGTCATCCCCGCCATCTTATTCCAACACCAGTGCCCAGGTGCGTGGAATAGTCTGATCCAGGCAAGCCACTTCTCGAACTAATCAATGCTTAAACCAGTGATCGCGACATGGGCTGGAATTTGCGACATGTTCAGTCAAAGCCTACCTTGGCGACCTATCCGGTCCTTTTCACTGCGTCCTCGGGAGGTGTGGCGCTCTGCATCAACCGTAAGCTTTAGTGGCTCGCCCAATTGTTCTTGTTAACATGCATAGCCTTACTAGTTATGTCTTTTACGGTATTAGAGCTACTAGCTGCTACACTCTTTCCTTACAATAGGATACGAATACAAAACCTTTCCTAGCGCGTTGAATCCTGTTCATGGTGCGACATTCATTGGCACAGATTTCCCTCTCATATCACTTCTTGATACCCTGCCAACATGTTGCCAACACTCATATACGATCCTGCTCCGAGCTGAAAGAAGTAATATCAGGACCTGTCTTTTTCGAGTAGCCCTCTGTTGTTGAGGGAGAAACGCCGGAAGCTCACCAATGGCGCTCGGGTCACTGGGGCCGGTCAAATACAGAGAGGCGTTGTGAGAGATTATTGATCAATTAACATAATAATGTATCAAGCGCGAGTGTCAAGTCAAGGTAAACTATGCTCTACTACCCTATGTCGCTCACAGCTAAATTAAAAGCAGATATTGTTAGGCGAAACTATGGCGTCAACACAGCATCGAACACAAGATTTTGGAGAATTAACATTAATATTAATGCGATGCTAAAGAGAGCAAAATGAGGCAACGAGGCCTGATTTTGCGTCAAGTTATCTATGCGAGCATAGCGCGCCTTCTCTCACAGCTGACACGTAGTCATCTTAGTTCTTGCGACCGTGGACGATCACTTGCTTCTCCTTCTTCAGACCTTGGACAACGTCGATGGGGATCTTGAGAACATCAGCTACAATGTCCGCAGGCGTAAGAGCCAGCCACTGGGTCAACGAAACGTCAGCAACGCGCTCCGCCTTGTAGATCTCGATGAAGGTTAGGTTCTGCGTCTCCGAAGTGTTCTCGATGTAGTGGCCTACTACAAGTCAGCGAGATGTCAAGTTGCGAGGGGAAGAAGGGTCCCTTACCCGAGTTGTCAGGGAAGACGGCAGTGTCACCGGGCTTGAAGTTGAATGTTCGCGAGTTGCTGTTGCCGGTGAAGACGGTAGCGCGAGCCTCACCTTCATGGAAATACAGCCATTCCTCGGACTTCATCGAGTCAGCTAACAGCTCAAGCGAGGGTAGTAACAGGATAACTCACGGTGGGATGCCAATGCAGTTCCCTCACACCCTTGGGTTCGATGACAACGTATGTAGAAGCAATAGTCTTCGCAATTGGGAAGTTGGTCGAGTCGATCTTCCACCACTGGCCAGCACCACCGGGCGCAGGCTCAGGAGCATGCTGGAAAGTGCGGTAGACGTATGATGCATCACCCGTAAGTTCGCCTCCACCACCACTGATGGTCCTGAACTTAGATCCCTGACCAGTGGTGCTGTTCTGTATGTATGGGTTCTTCTCTGGAAGCTTGTCGAATACTGACTCTGGCAGACCAAAGCTCTTTGCAAGGATAGACTTTGGAGTCTTCGCGAGCCAATCGTCTAGGTTGAAGGTAGTGCCAGCCCTGTCAAAGTCTCCATCGTCGAAGGCGAGAAGGTATTCGTTCTCGTCGTCAAGCCCTTGAACGGTATGGGCCTGGCCCTTGGGGAAGTACCAGATGTCTCCAAAACCTAGCTCCGTGACCTGGTGGCGACCCTTCTCGTCCACGGCAGAGACTAAAACACGACCGAAGAGCACTTGGCCCCATTCAGCCTATCCTGTTAGCGAACTGGATCCAATAACTCTATTGAGTATCGACATACCACACGATGCCAGTGCAATTCGCGAATCGCACCCTTCTTCAAATGTTGCTGGGCCGCTGCGATATCGTGGCTTGCTGGAAGATCATTGTCCACCTGCTCTCGAACCCAGCCGCCAGGATAGATCCTAGTCTTCGAATCGCCGAAACGCCACTTCAGGTTGGGTACGGTGCCGGAGTCGGTACCTTGCTCGCCCAAGTTCGATGGGTTAGCAATGTCAATCTGACGGTCGGTACCACCTGCAGCACATGGTCAGCGATGTTACAAAAGACTCTAATTCGAAGGCTCTATACCCAGGATAGGAGCGCCTTTGCCTTTGCCATCAATTGGTTGTCCCTTATTGAACTGAGACTCCCGCTTGATGACAGCAGCGAGGGATGACGACGCGAACAGGACACTGGCGGCAAGTGTTTGCAGCTTCATGGTGCAGGCAGGATAGAATGAATGACTGAGAGGTAAGTCGAAAACCTTGCTATGAAGGCCGAAGACTGGATGCTAGTCTTATGTATGTTTATTGTGTGCTGACCCTAATCCGGCCAATTGCATCTCCCCTCATTTCCTGCGAGCTCTCGCGTGCTCACGAGGCGCGTGCGCGAATACAACAACAAGAACACGAAATCTGAACAGGGGAGTAGTTGAGCCGATCACTAGCATTGCATCTCTTTCTGGAACAGATTCGCGCAAACACTGGGGATCGATAGTGGACTCCAGTCCAAGCACACCTGCACTCCCTAACCTGCAGAACCGATCTACCGGATTGCAAGATGATGATGGTCGTCGCAGCCGTGCTCGGTGGATTCTGTCGTCTTAGTTGTCCCACGTTCGCAAACATTGGACACAATGTCGCGATGCTTGGCTCAATTGTGTGGGTGACGCTGATCCGGCCCTGAACGGGTGCGCTAGCATGGGTTCATGGGCTATGCCGATGATGAAATTCGCAGATCAAATCACCAAAACCCCAGATTGCCCAGATGGGCTCACGGACATCTCGAGAGCCCTGTCTGATGCGGGGGACGATGTTCAGGTGTGTCGTCGCCAACATGGTGGTCCATAATGGCTGACTTATTCTAAGGTCACAACGGTCTATCACAGCACAGGGCGTGGAGACGCTCTCCAATATCGTCCTAAAGACAGGAACTGGAGAACACAACATTTGGAATACGGAACCCGGATGCTGCTCAGATTGCAGATCCGCCCACATTATCCGCACGTGGCTCACCAGGTCGCCGTCTGTCACTCGCAAGGGCCATTCTGACTTGGCCGTACCTTGTTGCTCGCAAGATCCCAATCTAACGAACAGACTGGTGTGCCCCTGCAGTGGAGGCAACATGTTCGGCGATCCTTTCAAAATTCCAAGCGCCTGTCTCAAAGGTTACTAAGGCGTAGATCAATCGGCCTCATGTGCTCAGCTTCTGCATGTCGGCTTCACTTCTGGTGTAAGCACGCCTTGCACATGGCTCTAATAAGGTTAGCTCTTTGAGAAAAACTAAGCTACGTCTGTTTTCAGGAGATCAATCGGCGTTCATTATCACGTACTAACGCCATCTGCCGTATACACATAACTCAAAACGTGCCTTTGGCGACGATCTTCATACCACGGGTGCCTTTGAAGTCCTTGATCCAAGCACTCCACTAGGATTTGAGAGCTTGAAATTCTTGGACGAACCTTCTTTCCGACTCCCGGGTCTTCATTGCACCGTGCCCCTGTCGATCTGCCTGTGCAATGGGACTACATTCGATATTCGTCGTCAACCGCAGGCTGGATGATACAATCTACGCCAGTGATGGAAGAGATGATGATTTTCGACGTTCGTGATCGTACATGGGATGTGGCGGCGATTTGGGTCATAGTACAGGGAAGAGGAGAGAATAGAACGAAGTCAGAGAGGTAGGCTTGCACTATAAGAGAGACCGTGAGAATCGCAATTCAAAAACCAGCTCACAACTTGCTCAAAGCCTCTCAACAGCTCCAGAGTCCTTCATTTTCCGCCAGGATCATCTTCACTCATTCGTTCACTATGCACTCTACTACGCTTATCTCGGCGCTGCTCGCCAGCACTGCCAGCGCCCTTTCACTCCCACCTCTCATCCCTCTCATCCCTGGAGTCACTGAGCCTCTTTCTAAGAACGCTCCTCCTCTCCCAATTCTTCAAGTTCCGACTCCTCCGTTGCCCAGCCCACCTCATGAGGTCAACACCAGCATCAAGCCCAAAAAGATTGGTTACTTCTGGACCTCTGCTGGTGACAACCAGCACAAGGATTTTCTTGCCACATACTCCCTTGATGACGATACATTTGGCACTCTGATTGCCCTTACCGATGTTCCGTCCAGTGGTAACTCGCCGCACCATCTTGGTCCGTCTCTAGATGGCAAGACTTTGGTCGGTGGTGGTCTGCTATCGCTGTTGAAGACTCAGGTAGGCAGCTCACATAATTCCCAATCCAACATACTCACATAGAATAGGATACTGCCTACTACTTCGACACCACCAACCCCTACCAGCCCAAGTTCAAGAAGAGCAACCGCGCTCTTCTCTCCTCCATCACGGATGAGATCCGTGCAAAGCCTGATGGCGGTTTCTTCATTACCTACATGGGTTCCGCCGTGGGCACCTCCCCTGGCCGTCTCGTCGAGACCGACGCCGACTTCAACATCATCCATGAGTGGCCCGAGGATGTCGAGTCGACGCTGAACGTCCTCGGTGAGCAGTTCAGCCCCCACGGTCTCTCCATCGACTTCGAGAACAACATTATCCTCACCTCGGACTTCGTCGTTCCCCTTACTATCCTCAAGCCCGCTTCCATCAACGGCATCCAGAAGGCCAACACTCTCCGTCTTTGGGAGCTCAGCTCGCGCAAGATCATCAGCACCATCACTATTCCCAACGGCCAGGGCATCCAGGACGTCAAGTTCATCCCAGGCAACAAGGAATCCGCTGCTATTGCCACTGCTGTCGGCCCCGGTGAAGTCTGGATCATCTACCCGTTCCGCAAGAACGCACAGGGTAAGCAGGGTGTCGCAGAGCTGCTCTTCGACCTTGGTCCACGCGCTCGTGACAACCTCGCCATCTACTCAGACATCACCGACGACGGCAAATTCGCCTACTTCACTCTCACCATCGGCAACCACGTCGCTGCGCTCGACATCAGCGACCTCAGCAACGTCAAGCGCCTCGACGACCCGAATGAGAACCAGGGCATCGTTGGACCCCACTACGTCAAGGTTTCCCCGGACAAGAAGAACCTGCTTGTTACCGATTACTTTGTTCAGGCAGGCGATATCAGCGTTGTCAACACACCTGCCGACTTCAAGGCGCAGTGGATTGACATCAACGCGGATGGAAGTCTTAGCTTCAACCGCAGCATTGACTTCCTTTCTCAGTTCCCGGAGCGCGGTGGCGGCTGGCCTCATAGCGCTGTCATCTTCGATCTGACTGACCCCAACAAGCCCTACTACTACTAGGGTGGTGCTGAGAATTGATATCTTTGGCGGTCAGTGGAGTTTTTGGAAGCTTGAGATGAAGATCTGTACGACCGCTTCTGTGCTTGCTGTATTTCTTGTTGGCTAGCTATTGTCGCTACAAGCTGTTATAGTCACATAGTTAATAGTAATGTTTGAATGCTCTCTTAATAAGAGTTCCTTGCACCTCTCTCGTGTTTCGTAACAACCTCTGTGTTCAGGTTGAATGCGATTCACTCTATGCAAATGATACTACACCACATAACTTGGGCTGGGATCAAGAATTGGGCTAGACGCGTGCTCACGTGCTCGGTATTATGTCATCAAAGCCCGATCAGAAGCCGATCAGAACTCACGACGGCTACGTTCCTACAGTTGCTAAGATAGAGGCACCTGCATCATGTCTTTAGGCCACCAATACGTGTCCTTCGGCATTCCCGTCGGATATGTCTCTATCACGCAACTGCGGGGAAAATCTCATAAATAGAGCTCAAGCTTCCCACTATAAGCAGCTAATCACCAGCCCTCACAATGTCAGCAGCGTACTTCTTACCCCGATCGCTTTCTCGCGCTTTTACAGCTACTCAGCGTCGACCATGTCTCCGAAAAGGCTTCAATCGCGCTCTCGCGACGTCTTCAAAACCACTCCAAGCGTCTGTCGCAGCAGGTGTCCGCGTCGACCATGCTGAATCGAACGATAACCGCACCGTGGCCGCCATGGGCCGCACAACCTCCGGCAAAGCCCTCAAGGTCCGCAAGTACCCCTCCTTCACCAGCCTCGAAGACGAGCGCCTCTACCGCAAACAGCACCTCGCAGCTGCATACCGCGTTTTTGCCTCACGAGGCTTCGACGAAGGCGTTGCCGGCCACATCAGCGTGCGCGACCCTATCCTCACCGACCACTTCTGGCTAAACCCGCTGTCCACGCACTTCTCGCTAATCCGCGTCTCCGACTTGATACTAGTGAACGAGGCGGGCGAGGTGGTAGAGGGAGATCAGCCCATCAACGCGGCGGCGTTTGCGATTCATAGTGCAATACACAAGAGGAGGAGCAATGTGCATGCGGCATGTCATGCGCATTCGGTGCATGGCAAGGCATTTAGTGCATTTGGGAGGGAACTAGATATGATTACGCAGGACAGCATTCGCTTTTACAAAAGCCATGGCGTGTATAAGCAGTTCGGTGGGGTCGTACTTGCGAGTGAGGAGGGAGAAAGAATAGCAGATGCTCTGGGTATGCATACCTCTCCATGACCTTACAGTCTCTCTAGGTGGATGCAGGCTGACAAGCGTAGGCGACGGCAAAGCAGCTATTCTCCAAAACCACGGGATCCTAACCGTAGGCCAGTCCGTCGATGAAGCCGCTTTTTGGTTCCTCTCCCTCGACAAGACATGTCAAGCACAGCTCCTAGTCGATGCAGCATCCGCAGGAAGCGGCCACAAGCCAAAAATCATACCGGACGTTGAGGCGGCGGAGACGTATAATCAGGTAGGGACGCCCGAGAAGGGCTGGCTGGCTTTCCAGAGCTATTATGATGAGGTACTGGCCAAGACTGGTGGCGATTTCTTGAGATGAAGCGAACTTGAAAACGCCAATATCATGCGTGACAACGATGTAGGTGCCATACTAGAACACGGCTCGCCCCTCCAATGTCTTTGGTGTTGGCATTCAGCCTGCGTATCTTAGAAGCGTAACAATCTTCTTCTTAGTTTGCCATTCTTTAGTGCGTCATGTTGAGCAAGGAACGGTCGGTCGTTCTCGCCGTTTGTGACATCTTATTTCATCATCTTTGCATGTCCTCCGCCTTCCTTCACTTAGATTTTCGGACAGACGTCAAGGTAGGGAAGTTGCGGCCCGCATTTTGATCAATTCTTATTTACCATGACCCGACATTCGAAACCCTCCGAAGGCTTCGTTTCCTTCACGCCTTCTCTATACTACACTATGTATAGCACACAATTGGTCCAATTTGGTGCTATATGTCACTACACTTACGTAGAGGGGATGGGCCCGAGACACTTGAGCTTCTAATCCGGTAATGACAGTGAGCATAATGCACTCATCATCCTGGCTACAGCTTTGAAGTGTCAAGTGCTGCGTTCACTAATCCTTTCGTATTACGGTTGGGCATGTTTAGTATCGTGGATCACTCAGCGATACGAGGTACCGACCTGCTCGCCCCGCTCTTGCAATGGCCTCGAGGTTCGCCCCTGTCCGCTTTGGTTTCAATCTGATGCCCTAGAGCTGCCACTCAGTCGGTCTGTCGCTCAGATTCCTTTTCGCCCGAACTGATTACTTGTCTCGGGGCATACCTCGTTACAGACCCATACACAAGGTACCCCATGAAAATCTAGTAAGCACTGGCGACGTTCGTTGACAGCGGCAGGGACCATTCTAGTGCTCTCCGCCGTGTGATGTGGCGGACATGGAGCAGGCAACAAGTTTTAAATTGGCCCCCTCCCACATGTCCATATACCAGGGATATCGACTAGCTGTGACCCTATACGAGCTTTACTTTTTGTCCACGAATCCGAGAAAGCAGTCCAGCCCGGATTAGAGTCCCTTCTTTTCGTACCGATCATGGTCAGAGACAGTCCCAGGGAGCTCCACAGTTGCGAACACATGGCGATGTAGAGTTGTGCTACCTGTATTCCAGATTCACCACTGCCGATGGCCAAATGGTTGCTTAGGCAGAGTATGACAGACAGTATGACGCCTAGGGATAAAGTGTCAGCAATCCTTTGCACATCGACAAGGTAGCAAGAGCGCACTCTCTTGCGGTATAGGGAAAGGCGGCGGGCCAGAATGGGAGGACCTGCGGTCTGTAACAATCAAATCGATGGACACCCCTCCCTTTGCAGGATCCTCATGCGGAGATACAGCGTAAGCAATTATATGAGGATTAACAAGGGTGTCAGGTCGTAAACTAGGGAGTGTAGTTGAGTCGCATCACAGCGTGTGCAAAGGGTTTTGGTCAGCGAGAGCGAAAGACGTAGGCGATCGCGGAAGACTTCAAGTATTTAAGCCGCTGGATTCGCACGCAATTCCAATTCTTCATCGCGACTTCTCTCCAGCATACATTACCACTTTATAACCATCTTCCATCACTCAAACTTTTCACCAGCCACCATGCAGCTCACCCGCCTCGTTCTCCTTGCCACAACCCTTCTCGTCGGCGCCGACGCGTGCAAATGCGTTAACAACGGAGCCAACACAGACGCCACCAGAGCTTGTTGCGCCCAGCTCAAAGGAAACTTCCGCAACGGCAACGATTGCCAGGCTGGCTCCATCTCGGAGAAGCTCTCCAACTTCCGTCGATGCTGCCAGGGTAAGGGCTTCACTTCGGACTGCGACTGCCCGACTTGCCTGGCTGAGGAAGCTGAGGCTGAAGCTGCTGTGGTTACGAAGTATGATTATTCAAAGGGGAACTGGATTAGACTGTACGCTGACTGCTTGATAGGCGAGGTGATATGGGGCTTTAGGTCAGCTCAGTGGTTTCGAACCGCTTTGCTGGGTGCGGGGCGCGGCGAATGTGCATCTAGGTACATTTCGGGGGTGAAGCAGACACTATGACGCTGGTAGGGCTGTAGCTATGGGTAGTGTACTTTGAGGCACTCGTCGTTCGTTTCAATTCCTTGCGGGGACAATGCCACTCTTTTAAACTGGCTCCAACTAGAGATAAAAAGCTACTAAATAAAAGCTATCACTGGAAGGGCATCCTGAGTTTTCTCATTCCGTGCTTCTTACTAAATGACTTGAACGGACTTCATATCCAAACTCATCGGATTCCACCTAATCATAAACACCTCCGAACTCAAGGTACAACTCTACAGAGTAGCTATAGCTTAACCAGGGCGCAGGCGCTGATCACATCTTTTGTTTCATCAAAGGAGCTACAACATTCTTTTATCTATAAATATCAAAGGATTGTGAACATAGTATAACAACGCAGATGATAGCCCAAGACGCCTGTACATGCACGGTAGGCTCGGATCGAACCGATGGCTTACAGAAGAAACCAATCACACTACGGTATCATAGTAGAGGAATACATCCTAGCTATGATATTAACCGCAGACAGTCAGCTTACAATGCTCCAACTTTTTTATACCACCCACAATCTTGGAACAGTGGACGGTAGATGTGAGCAACAGCAAGTTTCATCCTTCACGCTTAACAGGTTTGCCTGGAGCGTAGGTGGTATTTGAGTTTTTATTGAACGTTTAGTAGTCGACTGAACGATATGATCGAAGGGCAGAAGCATATGTAGTATCAAAGGGCCCGATTAAGCCGCGTTGGTGTGGGCACAGGCTCTGCATGTGTTGCCCAAATCCGGACCTTACATATTCCTCTGAGCTGTTGACTTGCCGCAGCCTACGCACACCACCAGCTGCATTAACCACTTTGTCTGACGTACGCTGACGATTTAGGTATGGTCATATTCACGATATCCAGAGTAAGCGATATCCTCCGGGCGATACGCGTCGTAGTGCATGGTGCAGAACTTAATTGTAAGGCTTTCCATAATTCAGACACACTAACAGTTACTAACAATTACCTATCGAAGATCTAGTTAGATATCTGATTTATCGTAAGTTTTGGTAGACATGTTTCCAAGGTGATTTTATGCAGTCAGGACAGTACTTTGCAGTAATGTCACACCGGAACCAGTTGCTAACGTTCGAATCCTCTGACATCACATCGGCACATTGGTCATCAATCCTTCACCAGGACGGTTGTGCACGGCCTGGAAACTGTCTGACCACATGTCTTAGGGGTCTATGCTGACACTTACACCCGAGTGTAGTTGCATTTGAGTCCCGGCTAAATCCCTATATTTTCCGTCTGCAAACTGGGAAAAGGCCATCCAATGAGAAATCCCTGCTTTGGTAGGGATGCCTGATGACGACAAAGACAATTTACTGAACTCCGCATACGGCATTTGCATCCCGTACGATGAAATCCAAGGAAGGATCGACCTTGCCGTACCTTACGTTGGCTACTACGCAACTTGCGCCGTTTGACATCTTGGCAAGATATAGTAACAGATACTCAAGACTAGGGCCTATCTTGAGATCTTTCTAGAAGCGTTTCTATCAGCTGTCTGAGGTTTCATTCTGAAGTTTCATCGCTTCAAACGCTGTGCATGCAGCAAAGCCACCTAACAGCAATTTGGTACACGATGACAGCATCCTTGTCCAATACTTACCAAGCCCCAAGAACCGGGAGTTTAACGCCGGTTGTTCATTTGACTGCGACGAGCCGATGCGGCTTATGCTCTGTGAGTAGAGCAGTCCAAAGTCTGGAGAGTGTGTCGACCAGCCTTAGCTAGCCCGGAGTTTCCATTCTCCTGCCCCATAACTTTCATGATCCGAGACTTCATTAGAGACACAAGCTTGGGTTCAGCTACTAGACCTACTCAACCAGTATTACTATTCATAATCCCGTCACATCTATTCTTCACTCAGAAGGTAGAGCTATGATCGGATCTCGTCAATTTGATCTTCGTTGTTATAACTATTAGGACCCATAGCGACCAGAAGTATGTAATCGTAGTCATGATCATCAAAGATTACAAATGTGACAGTCTTTCCTCGCAATGTGAAAGTCGGACTTTATTGGACGCCTGATATGTGGCTTGTGAGGTTGAACGTGAGATTTGAGCAAACGCAGAAATCGTTCTAAACTGTCTATCAAGCCCCGACAAGACCGCAATAATTAAAGAGTAGATGATACAAAGAACTCGCAAATTAGTGACAGCCTGAGTTCCGATGGTGGAGTCATGCTTCTTTCTACGGTTGCAGTGTCCGAACCATTCCTGATCTGGAAAGGCAGGAATCGTGTCCCAAGGTCAACAACACAGAGAGAGGAACTCGCCCGTGGACGTCCCTTCGCTAGATAGCGCCAATCGTATACCTATGTATCTCAGCTCGAGCATTTATCTTCGGTGTATTTTGACATAGTACGTCTCTCATCGCGACGTGCACGCGTGATATACTTCGCCCTCTCTAACAACAGCTTAGAATGGAGCAGCTAGCTTTAGGCAAGATTGACTCCCATCCTTGGTTTAAATCTAACAATGGGTGCAACATTTATGCGATAGCTGTTTCCTAAAGCTTCGCGTGTGCTTTGTCTCATCACCATGTCTCGAGCAAACCGTGGGTTATGGGAGCGCAAAACTACGTTTACTTTCACTCATATGTTTTCTCTCGTGTCCCGCATCATTTATAATCCTTCGGTATCTTTCCCTTCCTTTCACACACCACTTTCAGCATTTGTATGCTTAATCTTATCGACTTCAACCAGCTCACGCGACATAATACTTCCTCCCTCTGTGTATCAGAAGTGACCACTTCTACAACAATACCACTTTCCCTTCCAAGCCTCTGCCAGCGTTCAACATGGTCATGCGGCCCAAGAACAGTTCTGGAGTCACGCCCGAATCATCCACGGCTACTCAAGAGGTCGATAACAGCAACTCCCGCTCTGTATTCGGCGACAACCATGCCGCTACCGAAGATGCGATGATGGTTGCGCACGCGAAGTACATGCGTGAGGCAGGTCAAATTGATGACAAGATGGAAGCAGAACTCTCCAAGGCGTGGCATAAATCTGGCGAACTTCACAGGAAATATACGCCGGCATATCTCGCAATGCTTCCAAATTACACTGGCCAGAATCAAGACGAGATGCCCTCTTACGAGACAGCGCTGAGGCACCAGAAGGCGCGAGATGATGCGCAAGAACAGCTGCTCGCCGACTTTATGGCAGGCAAGATCGATGAGAACGGCAATCGTATTGACGGCCGAGATGGGCCTTCCTCGTCGATACCATCGGGGGGTGAGCGCGATAAGATAGACGACAGCACAAACGAGCTGAGCACGAAGACGAATGGCTCACCAAAGAAGGGAAAGACACTGGCTATGAAATCGTCGCAACCCACTCTCGTAACTGTGCCTTCGCGATACACCCAACACCTCCCAGCCTCCACATCAGCGCCTCGATCCAACGCGCAAACCGCGGTTTCAGACATCGAGGCAGCTACTACTATCGTGACCTCTTCCGACTCATCTCAGCCATCCTCATCATCGTCTTCCCAGCGCACCAAAGCCCGATCCAAAGCGAAGTCAGTCGTCCAACCCCTCACCCCTCTATTCAATCGTCCCTCCTACACCGAAGTAAACTACTACGAACTCCTAGATCTCTGTCGTAACCGCAAGATCCACGGCCGGGGCACCGAGCAGCAAGTCCGCAACGCGCTCATCCAAGACGACATCAACATTGCGTTAGGACATGAGCGAGAAATGATTAAGAGTCAGGGGCGGAGAAAGGCGTACAAGCACCAAGCGCCCGCGGAGCTGAAGAATGGGAATGTGGCGAACGGGGGTTCGCAGGGAAAGGACTCTGACGAGACGCTGAGTATGGGGAGTAGTGAAGGAGTCCATCCGCGGACGAATGTTGTGGGGAAGAAGACGGAGATCGTGACAGATGCTGAAGTTTCGGAGGCGGAGAGCGAGTCGGCGTTTGAAGATTTGAGGGCCGTGTGCTGCACGGAAAGGAAGCAGGGGATCGAGAATGACGAGGATGGAAGCGAAGGAGAGGGTGGGGATAGTACGGGCGATAAGAAAAGACTCAAGTTGAGCAAGTAGACGTATCACCATTGATTGAAAGAGGCTATTCGGTATTTTGCGTTGTTAGACTTTTTCACATGTTTGGTTACCACTAGACGAGTTTGTAGTACTCTCTTCGCCTCGGGTATAGAGTACGACTTGTTCAGCGGTGCTAGCAGTCTTGTCTATATATGAACTAAAAGCAATAACGTAAAACCGAAACAACCGCACAATTTACACAATTTAACCGCTATCCAAGCATACTCTATGCCATCATCATCTCTCTTTGCCTTCTTTTCCTTCTCTCCTAATGCACCGCAATAGCAGCAACAAGCGCATCCATCGCCGAACTTTGCGTGCTTGCATTCGCCGGTCTCACAAACGGCCCGGCCCAATTCACACTAAACGCATTACCGTCCCTATCGTTCACCCATATACTCTCCGCGTTGATATTGATGACTTCAGCATACGCATCATCTGGCGCTGCCTCATGCAATATCTGCAGATTGCGTATGAAAATGCCCTTGAACTGTGTGCCGTCGCCGCCACATTCCGGCTCGCATATATCATGAATGACACCATCAACATCGGACAGCTCGATGATTGCAGCTTTCGCAATACAGGCTGCGAGAGCGAGGTATGTAGGGTTTGGCGTGGCTTTGTTGAGTTGCACGAGGGCTCCAAGAATGACGCCTTGGTTATAGGACCATGTAGTCCGATCGTTGTTTTCACAGTCTTCTGTTAGGCCGTCATTGATGGTTCCGCGTTCGTTGATCATCCCGCTGCTTAAAAACCAGTCTAACGTGCGTTCGGCCCACGCCACATATTCCTTCTTTCTGTCCTCCTCATCCATTCGGTTCGCTAGATGCGCCGCCGTACTCATGAATAGCTCGTTGGCGATGGCGTTCATGTACTCTTCCTCCCAGCTCCAAAAGATGCCGCCGTTGCCGCAGCGTGTTGGCCAGGCCTTAGTGACTGCGGCGAAGATGCCTTCCGCAAGGTGCAGGTACTTGGGGTTAGAAGTGATATCGTAGGCGTTGATCCAGGCCAATGCCCACCACAGATCGTCGTCATAGAAACCGTCTAGCCAATCCTCCGGATCTAACGTGTTCGGAAGCGGGATTTGAGTGTCGCCGTCTTGCGAGACAGGGGCCCAGATAGGTAGGGCTTCAATATCAGTATGATCGCCGATGGCTTGAGTCCAGCGATTAGGATATATTGTGTGTGGCTCGTTGGTATATGGGTCGAGGATCTTCGTATATCCCGACTGAATACCCGTGCGGTTGGAGAGCGCAAACGTCTTATTCACATCCTGTCCCCTTGACGCCTCGTTCTCGATACCTGGCTGCGGATTCTTTGCCGGTGCTTGCATAACCGTGTTTGCGAATATCCTGGCCGCAAGCTTCTGTAGCCGCTGGTTCTTCGGCTCTGTTTTGGCAAGATTGCCGACCATAGTCATGATATTTGCGCTGTTCCACCATCCTGTGCTGTCCCAGATGCCGGTGCTGGCGTTGTACCATGTCTGTAGAGTTGTGAAGGCGTACTCGGCGCGCTTTGTTGGATCGGTAACGGTGTCGTGGGCGCTTTGTGCGGATGAGTTAGGAATAAGGGATACACTGAACAGTAGCAATTGGAGGAGGAATGAGGTAAACATGGCGATGTTGAGACAGCGACGGGTAACAAGATTATTTGACCAAAATGAGGCAACGTAATCGAAATGCAGATGCGGGATTGATGAATGTCGTGCGACAATTCCCAAAAGCCATCGCGCCACCGCACCTGCCTTGACCTTCGAAAGCCTGAAGCATCGTAGTCGCCAACACCCAAGAAGTCCCAAATTGGGCAAGTCGTATGGCACAACTGCTCAATGTAGAAATCGTAAGGGTGTAGAGAGGGTAACAGGGTCTTACCTAGGCGCTATACTTAGAGGTACTTGTTCTCCGACGTGGCGTAGTTTCAGGCTTGACCACTCGTGCTCCACGCTTGGAGTGGGATAATAGCAAAATATAGTATCGCCAGCGATTGCGGAGACATGCGTGCATGCGTGAGCGACGACTGCAAAGACGTTGAAATAGAGTAGTCGCATGTTGCCATTGTCGACGTGCCAGTTCAGGTCTAAAAGACGGAAGCAGCCATCAACACGGGCACAGAATCCACTAGTGCTGACGGGAGATGTCGTGCTCTTCGCTGCACGGGTTCTGCGTTATGGTTTGGTCCGGGGTTTTTGCTGACGAGATTGCCCCTCCACCAAGACTAGGTTAGCCACTCACGCGCTCCAAAGGCCCTGTACCTTACTCAAGGTCTCTTATTTACCGCATTGTGAGGTTAACTGCTTTGTCTCCATGCTCACGATGCATTTGAGGTGCGGCCTTCCCAACTGTAGCTTGAAACTCTTGGATCCGGCTGGTTCCGGTTATATGGGTTTATGCAATAAGGATCTCAGTCCCATAATCTTTCACTTCCGCAACCCAGCAGTTGTCTGTGCCAGCCATTGCTCTGTCCTTGAACTTCCAGATGGCTTCCAGCACTCGCTTAGAGGTACGCAGATACCCCCAAAACATTATCCCATACAACTCGTCAAGTGTGTTCATAATCCACTCCCTCTGTTCTGGATCCTCTGATTCAGCACCAGCGAGGAACAAGGGCCAACATATCGACTTGAACAGCGCGTCCCCGGCTTTCAGATGCGAGATGTGGTGAACAACGTCGTCTGCGAGAGCTGTCAAACTGACGAGGGCGGTACCACCCGCTGTATCGAATAGTGGGTTGGTCGAGGGTAACACACGCGCGAGGTAGATGCAAACTGCTGAGCGGTGCGCGGCACCAATACGCATGCGCTGCTCGATATCTTCGAAAGGGGAAGCAGGTTCGAGGTCGCAAGACCAAGCAATGGGATCGAATGCAAGCGCGCGCTGCAGCAACACACCCACTTGATCCTGGATATCATTGCGAGGATACGTATTCCCAGGGGCGTCAAGCTCATCTGGCAGCGCGAAGGATTCGAGCATGATGCGCAGAAGTGGGCCAGGACATGAGAGGTAGTTGTTCGTCTCCGCATATCGTAATATGGGCTCCAGCTCGATCGTATCTGGGATGAGTCTAGGAAGCGTAGTGAAGCTGAAGGTCGAGCCTAGGACGTGAAAGACTAGGAAGTCTGAGAGGATCGTCAGTCGTAGCCGGCTCATTGGGCGCTGCAGGTATGGCGGTTCACCAAGAAGCCTAATGAGCTTCAGCGCGCCGTCCATGTGCACTTTCCACTTGTCTCGTCCCGACTCGACCAGGGCATAATTGACAAACATCAGAATTGTTAATAGTATGAGGTCGATGTTGGACTCATTGACCGATGCCACGTTCTGCGCCAGCAATGTCAAAGCCCGTTGCTTTGCGACGAGAGCGTCTCTGTACGACGACTTCATCGGCCCTCCGAATCGACTCACAGCTTGATAGTATGCCATGGCGGTCGGGCTTTGTTGCCCCTGATAAGCTGACTGGCCCATGGGGTTGCGCGAGATGTTGAACACGTGGAAGGCTGAGTTTGCGATCATGATTTGGAGCAGCTGCGGGTATGCGGACGTCGCAGGTATCATGTCACGTATGGGGTTCTGTCCAGGCATGTCGTGCACCACCAAGACATCGCATACATGTGCAGCGAAGTGATACAGGTAGTATCGTGAATGCTGGTCAAGATCGTTGACCAGCGGATCTACCAAAGGCCAGTGAACTGTCATGGCCATCTCTTCCTCATCCTGGTGCGCGGGAGTGGGCACTGGTTCGGCATCGGAATCCGCACATGGTCCTTGAAGGTCGACGTCTGCATTTGGTTGTTTCGGTACATTCTCGTTCTCCCATATCAGGGTGGGTACATCGTGGGCCTTGGCTTCCTTTTCCGTCGCAGTCTCACGCACCATGCGCATCCGCTCTTCATATCCCTTTCCCATCATCTTCCCCCGGCTCGCCACGCCCTGGTTCCACACAAAAATCTTTCCATAGCCCAAACACTCAGTCCCCGCTGAAGAACATTTCTGGCAACTTGGCAAGGACCGGTCGCATCTCCATCGTCGCTTCCTGCAATTGTGGCAGGCTTTGGTAGGGAGGTTGAAGGGCGTTGAGCTCATTGGATGAGCGCCATGCAGAGGGTGTCGCTGATTAACTAATTGGGGATGTCCAGAGGTTTGGGGCTTATGTGTGTGCAAATGGCTTGTTGACTCTAGCGGGTCTCAAGGAAGCCGCTGGATGCATGACTAATGGCTGCCAAGCCTGCTCTGATTAGCCGCCGATACCGTCACGCTTCGCTAAGAAGTGCACTACAACTAACAAAGCGGACCAGCAATGCAAGCCTCGGATGTAGTGGACCATTCAGACGTGTCTGACTACTAACATCGAGTCGACTTCTGCACATATGGCTTGTTTGTGCCGCCATATAGCTTCGACTTTCACTTGCCACTCTATACCCGATCAGGTAGCCAAGACGCAGGCCGTGCATGAGTGGATCTCTTGTGGCGACCGACGAGCTTCCTTTCAAACGTCACGAATAACGCTAAGATGGGTGGTGCCCTTCTATGTCGAATTTCTCAGCAAACGACACTATGTCGTCTATTACCCATATCAGTCACCTTGGGGGGGCATCACCGAGTCCGGCGCAAACATATAGAAAGAGACGGGATATCTGAAGGATTCTGAGCTGAATTCTTCACCATCATCTTTCTTGTCAATTTCCTTGCTGCCGACGGACTTTTGGAGCAGAGAGACTCAAGGATCGTTGCACCTTTCCGACATGCAATCCAACGAGATCAACATGGCCGATGCTTCCATGTCTGATCCAAAGATCGAACGGGTGGAAGAAGGATCGCCATCGCCTACTCGGGGTGCATACACACCCTCCGAACTCGAGCGCCTGGGCCGCGAACGCCCCGAAGTCTTCACGTCGATATGGATGGAACTCGGCTTCTGCTTCGCTCTTCTCGGATCCATGTTTGTAGCGGAATACTTCATTTCCGGCTTCAACATTCTCTTGCCGAAGCTTACCGAATCGCTGGACATACCCGCCAACGCGCAGACATGGCCCGCGAGTGTGTTCTCCTTGGTTACCGGCGCATTCCTGCTGCCGTTGGGGCGGCTCGCAGATATGTTTGGCGGTTACTTTGTGTTCAACGTTGGGCTTGCGTGGTTCCTCGTCTGGTCCCTCATTGCAGGGTTCAGCCAGAACTACGTGATGCTCATCTTTTGCCGAGCCCTTCAAGGCTTCGGGCCTGCCGCATTTTTACCATCTGGCATCATGCTGCTCGGTAGCATATACCGTCCTGGACCTCGTAAGAATCTTGTTTTCAGTCTTTACGGGGCGTTCGCACCCGTAGGCTTCTTTACGGGCATTTTCTTCGCTGGTGTCTCTGCCCAATTCATCTCTTGGGGCTGGTTTTTCTTCATCGGCAGCATCATCCTCGCCATTGTCGGCGTGGCTTCGTACCTCTGCATTCCCAACCGATTGGAGGATAAGCCAGGTAAAGATATCAAGATGGACTGGTGGGGTACTGCCACCGTTATCCCCGGTCTCGTCTTAATTGTCTTCGCTCTTACGGATGGCAGCCACGCACCCAAGGGCTGGGCAACGCCATACATCCCAATCACTTTCGTCATCGGCTGGCTGTTCCTGGGCGCTTTCGTGTACATTGAGGGCTGGGTCGCTGAGCAGCCTTTGCTTCCAGCCGATATGTTCGACGTGAAGGGCATGAAGCCATTAGCCCTGGCACTGTTTTTCCAATACGGCACGTTTGGTATCTTCCTCTTCTATGCCAGCTTCTACATTGAGGAAGTCGTCGGCGCCAGTCCACTTCTCACAGCCGCATGGTTCACACCAATGTGCGCCGGCGGCCTCATCCTCGCCACCATCGGCGGTCTTGTCCTACATCTGCTTCCGGGTCGCATCCTCCTACTTGTCAGCGGGACTGCATACATCCTGTCTGCCTTACTCTTCGCCATCCTTCCTGTCAAATTCAACTACTGGGCCTACGTCTTCCCCTCCATGATCTGCGCCACGCTCGGCATAGACATAACCTACAACGTATCCAACATCTTCATCACAACATCCATGCCAAAGGCTCGCCAAGGACTGGCTGGCGCATTCATGAACAGCTTACTATTCCTGGGTATCGCGGTGTTCTTGGGCTTTGCTGATCTAGCAGTAAGCGAAACAGAAGAGAGGGGAAAGCGGGGGAGCTACAAGATTGCATTCTGGCTTGGGACGGCACTTGCTGTGGCAGGATTAATTATCATGTTCTTGGGTGTGAATATCGGAAAGGCAAAGAGTGACCTGACGATTGAGGAAAAGGAAGAGCTGGAACAAGAATTGTCGAGGAGAGCAACCAATGAGTAGGAGATCTTAATTATGAAGGATTATGGCCTAATGATATCAATGTTCAATATTGCACTGATCCCTCTCTCTCTGAAGTCTTGGTACAGTTACTCCGCGGGCACCACCCGTGTCACCTCGATCAGCTTCGCGCCGTTCAAAAAGTCCAACTTGCCAACATCCACGCCCTTGTGTCTCAAAATGTCGTACGCAGTCGTAACGTGAAACCTATCACCATTAACATCAGTAGTCTTTCACCTGGAGCATTTTACTCACCAGAAGTTTGGTTGCGCAAACTGAAGCACATACTGCAATGCAGTAAACTTGGCCTCCAACGTCCCCTCTGAAAACTTCAACACAACCTCCGCGTCCTCGCATCCATCGAGGCAGCCCGCATCGAGGTCCTCAAAATATTTGATCGTCTTCTCAATCCTCGCGAGCAGTTCGGGAAACGTCTTCTCCTCGTCCGGCAGAGCAAGGTCCTCCACGGCAGGGTTGACGCGGCTGGGGATGAATTTGGCTGCATCGGTGAGGCGCTGGATCTGGAAGATGAAGTCTCGCATATCCGGGTGCAGGCGAGCGGTGAGAAAGTCATTGGGGTCGATGTTATGGGCTTTGGCATGTTCGTAGCCTTTGGTGATGAAGAAACGAGCGTTCTTAAGGCCACTGAGGATTGGGATGAGAATCACTTGGTGAAAAGACATGGCTGGCATCGTGATCGAGAGCTGCTGACCGGGTGGTGGTAGTGATTGTTGAAGGCTTCGAAAAGATGTTGTTTCAGAGATCTTTTTGAACGAGAGAAGGTTACTGCTGTTGATGTTGCTTTCAGTCTGCTTCGATAGTGGGTAGGAGTGTAGTGATATTTATACTATGGTAGGGCTGGAGATGTGATTCAGCCGTATGCGCATGCTGCCATACGTAACCCGTAACGCTGCAGCTGAGGGGAGACAGATATCCAGCCAACGCCTCATAGTGTATAATACAGTTAGTTAGCCTGATTAGGTACAGTAAGTATCAAAAACATATCAGAAAGTTATTAATATACAGAACAGTGCCGCGCTAAGAGTATTGCTAAAAACTAAAATCTCCGTAGGTTGTCAGGTGACATGGTGGGGGTGCGGTGGCAGACGGCTAAAACTTGCCCAGGGTACGGTACCACCACATTTCCTTTTCCAAATTTTCATCTGCTGGGTACTGTATCTAACTTCCCTGAATGATGAGAAGTTGTAAAATTCCTGTATAGTAATCCCACTGGGTTCCCCACTGTGTACTTTACGTATAGTTCGGTTGCCTGATCGTACGACCCACTGCATCTTATCATGCCGTAAATCTCGAAGTGGAGCAATAATTGACCCGTGAAGCAACAATTGACCCAATGTCGTGCTATCGCGGTGCGTGAAACTTGGATTACAAAGCCACTCGGCGGTGTAGTCCACCCGGTAGCCAATTAGGCAAAAGAGCGATATGCCGAAGACGCGAGGATCACAATCGGCTGGTTGGCAGCCGGCGAGCATTAACGAGGAAAGCGAACGTAGCAGTCAGCGAGCGGGGTGTGACGCTTTCGAGGACATATTTTTCGTCCGGTCTTCAAGGGACCGTGCTGCGGCTGGCAGACGCAAGCTCGGTGGGGGCCAAACGGGACATTGATGTGGCCGAGGCTAACGCCCCTCAGTACGGAACAACGCCTTCAAACCTCCACTTGCAATCGATGCATATAGTTCTTCGATTTCCTCTGCATAAAGATCGACAGTCGCTTTCCTTCGCACGACACCCTTCAGACCGACCGCAAAAGGCTTGTCTGGCTTTGCAAACATGACGTAACGAGCTTCGAGTTGGCTATATGTCTCAACAACGTTGTTGGCTTGGATGATTATGGGCCAAATAGTTTTGAGAAGGTTTCTTTGTTTTTGAACATCCCCGGTATAAACTTCTGGGCGGAGTTCGATGATGACTGCTAGTTTGTCTCTACCAGTCCCCACTACAAGGGCGTGTTGCACTGCCGGATGCGATGCGATCATGCGTTCGTGAACCATAGGATTGGACTTCGATCCATTTCGAAAGACAATAATATCGTCCTTGCGACCTTCGTGCCTCCAGTGGTGAGGCTTGGTTGGATGCCGGGAGTAGAGATCCTGCATCGAAAACTCGTGCAAATGCGGGTAGGCTTTGAACACGCCCTGAAAGTCGGCGTAGGCAACGTTTCTGACATATACAAGCTCGAAAAGATCTGCTACCGGGCGCATCTCAATTCCGTTATAAGTGGAATTGATGCAGATGTAAGCCCAGTCTTCCCGGTCTGTAGAGTGCTGTACTACAGCATTCGTCTCCGTACTTCCCATAAGAGTGTGCAGGTTTGTGTACCGTGAAACTGCGTCTCCAGCATCCGGTGAAAGTGATCCTGTAGAGAGTCAGGTAATGGCCTGTGCAAATTTGTTCGCTTGATTACCTCCGACGTAGACAATCATTTTCAACTTGTTTAGCTTCGCTAGAACACCCGGCCTTCTCGCGGTTTCCTCCAGGGTAGATGGCAAGCAGCTCGCAGCGTCGATGTCAGCGTACTCGAGCATGTCGTTGAAGACATCTGCTGTCACTGGTTGTGCCGGCCCCATAACGGCCGTGGTATTGTTGAAACAGGGCTCCATAAGGCCTACACCAAGTCCTGAACCGTTGAACAGCGGCCAGCCGCAATAATTCCGCTTCCTAGTGTCAAGAACTGAAGCCCATAACGCGGGACGGCCATCAAGATCAGGGACCGCATGATGATTGTCCGCTGTGCTAATCATCCAATGGGTCCATACAACCGGCTTTGGCATGCCAGTGGACCCAGATGTATGGACGACGTAGCAGGGATCGTGTTTCGCCTCGTCGAACGTCTTGTTATAAGGATACGGCTTATTCGGCACACTACTCAAAAGGTCCTCCAATTCAGGTAAGCAAACACTCTCTAAGCGGTTCTTCTCTAGGATGCTGGAGACGGGAAATCCTGCTGTGTGTAAGAGGATCGCGCAGGTTGTCTTTTTTATCAATTCCGTATGGGCAGCTAAACTGTTGTGATAGGAGCTGAAAAGTGCCTGTTGACTCGGTTAAGCGACTGCCGTCTAACACACCAAACTACGGCGAACGAAACCTCATACCTTATGACCAGTTTTAATTCTACGTCGTCGATATCAGCAGTGGCTCCTGAGTATTGACGCTATGCACCGGGCAGGTAACAACATACAATGCTACCAAAACGAGAAATGCCCGCAGATCCGGAAAGCCGAGATACATGACCGTCTCGAAAGAGGAACTCCGACCAATCTTTCCTTGGATGAAGTGGGCAGTTTTGTTGATCGCGTTCGCGTACTGTTTTAGTGAGCTTGCTGCTGTTGACCACGATGCTAGGGCCAGTAAAGTTCTTACTGTGCGCCAGCTGATATCGCGAAACCCATCCTGTAAAACCTCGGAGCGCGGGATTGAGAAACAAGCACGGTCCGGTTGAGTTTTGGCGTTGTGGTCGACGATAGTGGGGATGAGCCGTCTTCCATATGGTAGTATATCATCCGATGAGTTCAAGACCGTATTCCAGAACGCCATCAGAGCATGAGAACGAAGTGGAGAACGAAGTTCAAGAAGAGGGTTCCGGAAGGATTGAAGCGGCGTTATGAGAGAGGCTGAGAGACATTCCGCGGGTATACCCTACCGCTACGACTCCGTGCCGTCCTAATGGTCAGCCTGTGCAGGCCGCTAATAATTACACAGTGGAGAACCCGAGCCCATGTTTACATTTTGAAACATCAAGGGATTTTTGTGGCTCATCAGCAATTGGGCTGCAGACGACCCCTGGTAGCCTAGGCGTCCCAGATCCTGCGAGGTTGCGCCGCCGGCAAAATTGCGACATCTCGTAAATGCATGATCGCGCCCGAACGATCTCTCAGACACGTCTCATTCTGGATGCTGCAAACCTGAAAGTAATAAACTTTCGTCTGGAGAGAAATTGGGAGTTACGGCACCGACCGATCCTGGTCTGTGGTCTGTGGTATGTGCACCCAAGTTGTTCCTTCCTCCAATTTCCAGTCATCACCATTACGCCCATACTCTTCGGCCAGCAATATACTAACCAAGCCACAAGCTCATCAGTGATGAGTCTGTCGAAACGAAGCATTCCAGTCCCTCGCATATCCTTGTAGCAAATCAGCTTCCCTATGCTCTCGATCCGTCACCATTACAAAAATGGCTGCCGAGGTTAGCCGCAGCACGCATATCACAATACGCGACCGGATGGGGTGCACGCTCGATGATCCAGTGCTCCGCGAAGGCCTGTACTTGTCGACGTGATGGAGCCTTGTACCTATGCAAGGTGCTCTCGTTGCCTGCTTTCTCCAACCCTTCGTGCGTAAGGTGTGTTTGGCAGCGGTTGCCCCCTAAGGCTAGCATCCCACATCAACACTCCATCAACTTCTATACAGACGGCTGACCACCTCGAAACGGACGCTACTACTTTGTACGCTAGAAACTAGCACGCCGGTTGCACGGGTCAGACGGCGCACAGTACGAAAGTACCGATGTTTGCCCGCGTCAGCTGTCGGCAAGATCAAGTGTCAGGGCTACAAAATCGCGGGTTGTAAACAGAAGCAAACGGCCGCATAAATGTCGTCACAGGGAAGTGCAGCATTGCTCTTGAGCCTGAATGATTCTACTTTGACCCTCAGTAGCGACAGAACTGTGAAACGTCGTGGACGGTTATGCCGGTCACAATCGAACTGATCTCTGCACACGTATTTCTGCGCCGTGTTCGTGGACGAGAGGCGAAGGACCCCGGCAGCGCATCTATTGGCCATTTTATTTCCCTCCGCGTGCTGGATCGTGCTCTTCGGATATCGAATTTACCACTGCCAGCTAGCGGTGTGTGCGGTTCTTCCCGTAAGTAGCGCCTCGTTGGGCATCTAAATTCGCGAATGTAATCTCTCGCAAGCAAACACCCACATGATACGCTCTCTACTCGGAGGAGACTATTCATAGATTCATTCATTAGCGCATCTAAGAGCCTGTCTAAGGAGTAATCACGAGCAGAAGTTTAATCTTCGGACCAAGGACATCACGATGATCTACGCGGCGATGACAAAGTAGAAGTACTCTTCAACATATGAGATCATATTTAAGACCCCTGCAACCTTCACCTCAATATCAGAGTACCTACTAGATGCAGCGTCTCGCGAAGGTCCAAGATGCCTACTCCGCATTTCGCACCAAAACCTTGTCCTGCCGAGGCTTTCCCACACTAAACCCCAAGGTCGACAAGGCGTCATCTGAGGTCACGATAAACGAGATGATTCCATCATGCAGTGTTCAATCAGAGACCTGGTCATTCGGTAACGACTAATCAAACAAGTTTCAACTTACACCATGTAGCTTCAAGCTCTTCTTGCAGGTAGCAAGGTAGTTGTCGTCCAGCAAGTGTATATCTCAATCGATAGACCGTCCTTATGACCCCCCAGTGCACAGCCACAACATGTACGCGACTACGCTTCCTTCATACTCCTTCCGCGAGTCTAGGTTTACCCAAAAACAGCGGTTCGCACTACGATATCAATCTCAGCACTACTACCACGACAACATATGCGCTGCCGTCCGTTCGTTCAGTCGACCGTGAGCCCACGTCCATATCGATCGCTGAGCCTGTTCTACCTACACCCAAAGTTTTCCGCGCCCAACTACTACTCCTTCCGCTAACTTAATGCTCGGTGTGGCTGCGTCTGCGGTTCAAGTTGAGGAGCAGTTGCTGATGAAGGCCGAACCACAGTTTACATAGATGCACTCAGTCTACTCACCCCAAGTGTAGTACCAAGTTTCGTAACAAACGACAACTACTACCTAGACAAAGAGTATATTGAGCGCATCGCAGCCATGGGCGTGTGATATTATCGCTTCTCTATATTATGGACACGCATCTTACCATTCCTACTTCTTAGTACGCCAGTACAGCGGCAAGGTCTGCCAATTACGACAATCTCATCAATTATGTTCTGGAGAAAGAGTGTTGCCCGCCGTCGTACTTCATCACACCGACTCTCCACTCAATTCTACGCCAGTATCTCCGACATCGGCGTCACACCGGGCACCGGAAGTAGCTACACCGACACCGATTTCCAACACTCGTACAAAAATGGTTACGAAAGTGCCTTTATCAGTTGTAGAAAGGTCGTTTTCACATACTCTGCTGATCGCGTGCCAAATGATCAGCATTCAACGAGTCGATTACTGTATTGTTTCGCGAAGCCTAGAGTCCATCGATACCGTTATCACAGCGCATGCAAGACCATCACTTTCATGATGAATAGATCAACAGCACTGGAGGGATCTCAAAACCCCTCGATGACAGCCTCATCATTGCTCGCAATCCAGTTGACTAGGCTGATGCCGATACGGCCAACCACTTCAATTCTTTCCAATTCGCAACCTTTGCACGTCCTAACTTTCATGGCAAGGATTGTCCAGAATTATACTCATCGACCATCACTAACTAGGTGCCGTTAACCGAAGAAGATCGAGGCGACTTCGCGACTCAACCTTACACGGCGACCATTGTGAGCCCGCCCACCCAGTGTGAAAATAGCAAATCTTCTTCTCTAGAACATTGCTCAATGTTGTAGACTAGCTAACTTCTACGCTACATCGCACGAATGGGAACTTGGAACGAAGCGTTGGTCCGAGATCGGCAAGCTATGGCTTCCAGACTTCGTCTGCATCGTCATCCTCAGCAACACAGCCGATCCTACGACAAGGTTGCCGGACTTTAAAAGACATCATGGTGCCCTCGGTCTATCAATGTCCGACTTTATTTTTATTCTCCAAGATTCAAATACTGTCGATTCCTCCTAGCATCGCAACATTCTTCCCATTGAAGCATCACTATCACCATGTCGTATCCTAAAGCCCACGACCTCAACTGCCTGACTATTGGCGAACTTGAAGCGCTAGCTACCCAACGCATGGACAAGCTGACGCGCGACTACTACAATGAAGGCGCAGACTCCGGCTCCACGTTAGCAGAAAACATATCCGCGTACCAGAAATACCGCATCCGCCCTCGCGTGCTGCGCGACATCTCTTCCATCGACACCAGTGTCAACATTTTTGGCCACAAGAACAGCATTCCGTTAGGTGTCGCGCCAACCGCTATGCAATGCCTTGCGCATCCCGACGGCGAACATGCAACAGCCCGCGCGTGCAAGAAGATGGATATTGTCATGGGCTTGAGCAGTTTCAGTACAAGTACTATTGAAGAGGTGAAAGAATCTTTAGGGACTGAACATCCGGCGGCGCTTCAATTGTATCTTTTTGAAGAGCGGGAGCAAAGCAGGAAGATGATCCAAAGGGCTAAGAAGGCTGGGTACAAGGCCGTGCTTTTGACGGTCGACACGCCTCTGCTTGGGAGGAGAAACTTGGAAATTAGGAACCAGTTCAAGTTGCCGAAACACCTCCGGGTCGCAAACTTCACGCTCGGTCAGAATAACAACCAAATGGACAGTATTGAAGAGAAAGATGTAGAACTAAACACCAGTACCGCTGGCAGCGGAGCCGGCCACGACAGCAGCTCTAAGCGTGCGCCGCCTACAGGATCTATAACCTTCCACTCCCACGCTCCCAATCCGACACTGACCTGGGATCGCGACATTGAGTGGTTAAAGCAGGAATGCTACCCCGAAATGGAAGTCTGGGTAAAGGGCATTGCCACTGCCGAAGACGCCCTGCTAGCCTGCCAGCACCGTGTCGACGGCATAATTGTTTCAAACCACGGCGGTCGGCAACTCAACGGCGCGCTCGCAACTCTCGATGCGTTGCCCGAAGTCGTGGACGCTGTGCGCTCCCAACCTAATAGAGTTCCCGTTCACGTGGACGGGGGGATACGACACGGCACCGATGTGTTCAAGGCATTAGCGCTCGGCGCAGACTTTGTGTGGGTTGGACGGCCGGTGCTTTGGGGATTGGCATACAAGGGAGAGGAAGGCGTGGAACTCTGCTTGAAGTTGCTCAGTGATGAGTTCAAATTATGTATGGGGCTTGCTGGAGTGACAAAGGTAGAGGACATTGGGAAGGAGTATCTGGTCAAGATTGACAGGAGTGGGTTTGTCAGTCGTTTGTAAGAGCGTATTTGTAAAGCCTTAGCCAAGGGTGTATGTCATCGCGCATGGGCAATTTCCAAGGATTCATGGGCCAATATCTGTGTCAGCCTAGAGACCCTCGTTCTCTGTCTAATCTTCTGCTGCAACCAGGCTCTGTTTGCCTTACAAGCGAACGAGGGTCATAGCTTGAGGAGAGCAGTCAATAAGAAGCCATAAGGGTCTCCGAAACCCTCGATTTCTATCCAGTCAATATGGTGGCCGCCTTTCATAATACTGAGATCCGTCATGCCACAAGGTTGCAACTTCCACAGGAACCAGACGCCCGATTGCTTTCCGTTGATAAACATGAGTTGGGATTAGAGCCCTTTACCAATGCGCTCATATCCTAAATGTTGTTACATTGCTCAGAACTTGTGCGTTATTTGGTTGAATATGGCTTTCCATATTTGTCGACACTATGAGATGCTTCGGCCGTAGGTCGTTGATATCCAGCCTTGTATGTGTTTTTCTTTGCTATGGCCCGCCGATGAGCAACTAAGGGGGTGCACTAGTTGTTGGTTTGGATTCCCAACACGCAATTCATCATGTGCGCGACAGACTAGCCCCACATACGGACCAGTGTATTTGGTTTCACTCCCCACTGTTTATAAATAAAGTTGCATGACACCATGATAAAAAGAGGACAGATGAGTCTACCGGGTATGTTCAATTTTGATAGAGTCTATGCCGACAGGTGCTCAGCATATCATTCTCAGTCTACGTACAGAGATGCTTGACAGTATTCCATGCCGAGTCCTGGTTCCATTTGCATTCCGTAGACCTTGTAACTGTTCAAAGGCCCAGCTGGCGATCCATCCAGAAAGTGAGATTGTCTATTACGATGCCTAGATCTGGAGCCTTTCAACCTTGTCCTTGAGAGTGCGGATCTGGCCCCTGCGATACTGTCAGTAGACGTTTGAACGTCGTAGAGTGGATTAACATACATGAGATCTGAAGCTTCATTGGTTGTGATGCTCACTGCAATCACACTACGTGCAACTCCACAGGCGCGTCCCTAATCATGTCATCAGCAAAGACGTTCACACATGTAGATAAAAAAAGATAAAAAGATCCTGGAGAGATCGAGGTTTGGCCAAAGCCGCGACAGAGAACATGAACCAGGGAGGCATTAAATGCGAAAAAGAAAGGAATGACTCACCAAAGCAATCTTGGAGGGAACGTAGACGTACGGGACCTACAAACGTCAGAATTGTTCTTTGCTGTCACCAAAAGTTGTCCCACATTTTTGTCCTCACAGAGCAGAGGCAACTGGATCCATGTCAGCATGTTACATGAGTTTCGTGTAGGGTTACTAACGTGAAGCAAGATAGCCAGGGGGCCTAACAAAAATTAGCTGAGGACGCGAATAAGTTGATATTGTGACTTACTGGTATCGGCCGCAAGGATAATGATCTACAAGAGTAACCAGTTAGTGGATGTATTTTTACAGCCTAGATAGACCAGGTTTTCGTGAACGTTGGGCCCTTCGTACCTCACTGATACCGCGATTCAACGTCTGTACATGAGTTAGCACTCTCATTAAACTGACTCTTCTGAATCTTTGTAGCTGCTCACCTTGGTCGCTTCGTTGGCCCCCTTGCGTAGTTGCTTGTAGTGCTGATGAGATGTTAACAGTTGAACTGTAAAAGAAGATATCTTGAAATTACGGTGGCTTGTTGCACGAGATCGAGGATCCTGGAGGAAGGAAGTTAGCATGTTCTCGTGGATTCCGTACATAGTGTCTTACTCTTGCGAGAGAGCCTGATCTGCCTGCGGCCATGCTGCGGAGCTGTCTTCGGCCATTATGTCGGAGAGCGTGGTAATCGGTCTTGAAGGTGTTTTGGATAGAACGGTGAGGGTTTATTGCGTTGCTCGCCCGGGGGTTCCTAGAGGACTTAGTATGTTGCGCGCGACTATAATGCACTTAGAGAGTACATACACTGCATTGCTCGTTGGGTTTCGTTAGGGCTGGTTGTGCTGGTAAGTTGTGCGCTCGAGATACGAAATGTGAAGTTCTAAAGATTTTAGAATAAAAGTGGGGCACCGCTGAACAAGGGCCTTGGCATGCAGCCTGTCACGTGCGACGCTATGACCAGGATCCAAGTAGCGTCAAGCGAAGACTTGCATCGCCAGCCATCGTCACCACTCAACCCGACAACACAACTGCCCCCGTCGCTGCACCCACGTCGTCCGCCCATTTCATCAAATATCTCGGAGCCGTTATACACGAGTCCCCGACCACATAAAACACCGCAAAAATGGTTTCAGAACTCTGGTGAGTGCACACGGAGCTCCCGTCGAGCATGTAGGCAGCTCCAGCTTGCCTCTTGGAGATAAGCTGGAGCTTGCAGGCGTCTCGGTGGCATTGGACGAGCTTCTCTACAGCTGCTTATGATGAACAAATGCTAACACGATTGATGCAGCCCCGTCTATGCTGTAAGTCCTCGAGTACCAAGCTCCGCTTCGCCTCCGCCGTCAGCACTGCGACGACCTCCTGTTGGCGTCATATCTCGATGCATCAGATATCACAACAAATGGCACCATACTAGGCACAAGGGCAACTTACTAATGATCTAATAGCCCTTCTTCGGTGCGATGGGCTGCACATCGGCCATCGTCTTCGCGTGTTTCGGCGCCGCGTACGGCACTGCCAAGGCAGGTGTTGGTGTTTCCGCCATGGGTGTCCTCCGCCCCGACCTGATCGTTAAGAGTACGTCTCCTACATACTCCATGCTCTGTTCTGCTGTTTCACAATGGCTTGGTGGCACCTTGGAAACTCTAGTTAACGCCGCACAGACATTATTCCCGTCGTCATGGCGGGTATTATTGGTATCTACGGTCTTGTCGTGTCCGTCTTGATCTCGAACGGCCTGAAGCAAAATTCGTCGCTCTTCTCCAACTTCATTCAGCTCGGTGCTGGACTCTCTGTCGGTCTGTCAGGTATGGCCGCTGGATTCGCCATCGGTATTGTCGGTGATGCTGGTGTACGAGGAACCGCCCAGCAGCCCAGGTTGTTCGTCGGCATGATTCTGATTCTCATTTTTGCTGAAGTCTTGGGTACGTGTAATTGTGTCTGGTGTTGATAGAGTGTTACTAATGCGCAATAGGTCTGTACGGTCTTATCGTTGCCCTACTCATGAACTCCAAGGCCGGTGAGGATATATGCTAGACGAATCGACTTCCTACAGTTGCAGCCTGCGACAAGAACCACACTGCAACAGATGAGCATTGGCATGGATTTGGCATGGACACAATACCTCGCATGACATTACTCGAACCTACATGGGACTCATGGAAGAGCATGAGCGACATGTTGTACGTCTACCTATGTGTATCTTTGACAGACGAACATCGACGCGGGGGTATGGAGAGAAGCGGGAGAGGTTGAGGAGCAGGGGTATATAATGGAATCGGTTGACGAGCAATTGGCGATCCATTTGACAGCGTGTATTCTAGGGTCTCATCATTTTCTTTACACTTGGAAACGGAATGCATTTGTTTCTTCACGATTCTCTCTCCTTCACTCAATGCACTTTGCTAACTGTATGAGGACCAGATGTGCAAAGAAGCGTTGCACACGTCTGGTTTCAAGTCTGAGGTCCAGAGCCGTCGGCTTGTCCATACAACATGTGATGCGTGAGCGGTACACTTGTCGTCCAACTCAAGAAACGGTGACTTCAGGAACCAAGCCTACTCGAGACACTTGGTTACATGCTGACGCAGACTAAGACCGCATATATGCAATACTGGATGCTCACAACCATGCCTACTATCGACAAGAAGTTCGTGACATTATCATGTAGCAATGTAGCTCAAATGTGAGCGACACAATCTACTTTATCGTTTTGTATCTGTGAGGACAGAAAACTACGTGCTCACACTATTGATTATTCGTCCCTCACAATTCACAACCCCCCTTACTTCCCACCAGGATACACTAAACCATTCTCATGCCTCACCTTCTCCATGACCTTGAGCACATCCCGGCTATGCTGCTCATACCTCTTGAGCGCCTGCCCATCCTTCTCCTCAATGACCCTCGCAAATTCGGCCGCCTCCTCCTTGAGATTAAGTTCCTCGGGCTTGACCAAGCCCTGCACCAGCTCCTTCTTCTTCGACTTGGGATCCCAAAACGTAATCGTTTCGATATCCGTAATAGTAGGAATGACCAACGTGCCCTTCTCGCCATAGATTTCATTCGGCGAGTCTGAATTGTAGATTTTGGAATGGGACAGGTGGACGGTGAAATCCGGGTAGGAGAGGATGAGGCGGCCGCCTCCATCAGCGCCGGTTGCGATCTTGACGGGCCAGTATGTGGCGTCTTGGGGTGCGCCGAACAGGTCGATGGCGGCTGCGACGCAGTACACGCCCAAGTCGACCAGAGCGCCGCCGCCCATCTCCAGGTTGAAGATGTTGGGCACTTCGCCTGCGAGCACTTTCTCGTAGCGGCTGGAGTACTGCGCGAAGATGATGCTCGCGCCGTAGATGGGCCCCAGTCTGGGGATTTGCTGTTTGAGGAGCTTGAAATTGGCTTCTTGGATGTGGCGAAATGCTTCGATTAGTACGACGCCTTTTTCTTTCGCTGTGCTGAATAGGTCGTCTAGCTCCGAGACTGTGCTGCACGACGGCTTCTCGAGGATGACGTTTTTGCCCGCGTTCAAGAACAACTTTGCTTGTTCGTAGTGCAGGATGTTTGGGCTCGCAATGTATACTGTCGAGATGTTGGAGTCCTTGGCTAGGTCATGGAGGTCGGTGTATGTTGCAATCTGCTTGCCCTCATATTTCGACGCAAACTCTTGCGCTGTTTCCGATTTGCGGGAGTAGACGGCTGTGAGATTCCATTTCCCAGTTGCGTGCGCACCTGCGATGAAGGAGTGGGTGATCCAATTGGTGCCGATGATGCCGAAGTTGATCATTTTTGCGAATGTGATTCGGGTATTTGCTATGTGAGGAAAGAAGGGAGTGATGGATAGATGGATATGCAACGGGCGAATCTGCAATAGCCTCGAGTAAGTACTGGCTAAGATGTCAGTTGGGCGTGTTTTCACTTGAGGGGTAGTCGTCTTCAGCCCCACTACAGAAGCTGCGATGGGGCGTTCAGGGATGTGTGATGTCAGGGCAGTGGCATGTCATTGGACCGACTGTTGCAAATGCCCAATCCGGCAATAAAAACTGGAAGTGCGAAAGCAAAGCATGCATGGCCAGGGAGATGCTGAAAAGTGTAGTATTTGTTACGTTTGCTAACTCCTAGTCGGAGTGAAATACAGATTCATTTGCTGCTGTGCTAAATCAGGCTCCGTGTTGGAGGGTATCATGCTGTTGACGACGTAATCGGTCGTGAAATGTATCATAGCACATGCGTGAAAGAAATGCCATGACTCCTCCATGTGTGTTCATACGAACGGTGCCATGCTGGAAGTTGGACTTGGTAAAAGAGAAAGCAGAATCAGCCGAACCGCCAGTAGAGAGGCGAGGTTCAAAGCCTGGCCGAAAAGAGCCCCAAACGCCATATATGCTACTCGCTCAATGTTTGATAATGCTGTGCCATCACGGTCTCGAAGCCATCAGGTTGTTCGTATCCGTGCGGTATGTTGAGAATCAATCTTCCCAGATGGTCTCAAGGTCGAGGTCTCCGCGCCTTTCAGCACCACAGACGCTCCATCTCTTCCTAGAATCCCGCTTGCCGAAGCCGAGACTGCGGCCACGGCCTTCAGGCACATCCAAGCTAGACCTCCTCTGGTCGCCGCCATCTTCTTGGTCCGCAGCGGCCTTCAACCTTGCGACACGATATTCCTCTATGGCTTCTTCTTCAGCATCGGGACTATCTTCGATGGTCTCAAGGGACGAAATAGAAGGGCTACGTGAACGCATCGAGGTCGGCGTAGACGGGACGGACGACGAGGTAAGCGAGGCCGGGTAGTGCTCGTTGAACTTGGCGGGGGCGAGAAGAGGCGAGGAGGCTGCAGACGTTGGTGTACTGACGGTAGGGGTACTCGTGGGCAGGGTACCAAACCCTACAGAGACCTGGTAGAGAGGCGATGCTGGTCGTCGTCGCCTAGACAGGGACCCAGTGCTGCTGTACAAGCTCGACACACCAGCGCCTGCTCGAGGCGTGAGCTCCAACTCGGCGTCTTCTGATATGTCGCACACGCTGGGTGCTCCGTCGAAGGAGCCGATGGACGCTGAACGGATGCCCGAGCTATAGCGCTCAAGGGGGCCCGCTGTGAGAGGTCGAGGCTCCAGCCCCCGTGGGCTTCGTGTTCGCTTGGGCGAGCGCAGCGGAGACAGAGGCTGGGCAAGCGGCGTAGGAGAAGGTGAGAGGGAGAGGCGCCCCGTAGGATGCATCACAGTAGGTAATGAGTGAGCTCGTGTCATTGGGGGTGCACTGAGCGAGCTGGATCCGCTATGTGAGCGTAGGTGAGAGCGTGAGTATGGGGAACGGTTTCGGGGTTGTGGTTGGTAGGTAGAGGTAGTCTCGGGCGAGGGATCGGTCTGCGAGCGTGGTGTCGTAGGCCGTCGCGAGGTGGTGCTGTCGTCGGAAGTGTTGCTCAGCTGGCGAGCGAGCGTGTTGGCTTCCCCCATGCTTTCCGTGTCCTCTGGGAGGGTCTCTATTTGCCTGGCTAGATATTGTGGACGGATGGTGGGAGCGGCAGACTGGAACGCGTTGTTGTCGAGTATTTGTACTGGAGGCGGCAGGTGTGGCCTCGGGCTTTGTAGAGTAGTTGGGCCTGAGCGCGACATGGCCTTTAGCCGCTGAATGAGATCGTCGTGCTGCAGGTCTTCCTTCACTGCAGCCGGCGAGAGGGACAGATTGGCGGCAGTCATGGCGGCGCACAGCGAGAATACATAGTCTGCCTCTCTCGTATATCGAAGAGTCCGAGGGCAAGGCTAGAGGAGAGCAAAGCAGCAGGGCAGGGGCAGGTGGTCTGGTGCTCTGTTCTTCTGGGGGCCGTGTGCCAACCGCTGGACGCAGGTTGCGCACCTTGCAGCGTTTCAGCCGCCGGAAAGTGAATATCGGGGCGCGATTACTGGCCCGAGAGTACTAATTTGTTTGGTGGGGCGCACGTCACAAGAGGGCGCGACAGACGGTGTGCGAGGCCAAGTGTAGTAAAGGAGAGGGAGAGTAGGTAGGCAGGTAGGTAGGTAGGTAGGTAAAGGTTGGTCACGATGCTGCGGGCACTGCACTTGGACTGAGGGGCGTTGTTCACCGTTGGTACCTGCTGCTGCCGGACTTGCCGCGCTATCGAATCTGGGGCAGTCGCGAACCACGGCGATAAGAAGGAGCCCAGAACCACAGCAACAAACGCCCGATGCAAACAGCCAGTCTCTTGTTGCACGATATGAAATCCACTCTATTGCTAGAGAGATGCTACCTATCATGCAGGGTGGTTATTAAGCCCCAAAAGGCCAACATCCAGTCGCTGCCGGCGGTTCAGCCGCCATGCTCCCTGACGCCCGTGACAGGCGGCTGCCAAGGGCCTAACCAGACCCTGAGTTTGGGCGCACAAATTGGGCTTAGCGGCTTGACTCGATCAGGCACCGGGCAACATCTTCGCCGATTAGGACAGGGCCAGCCCCAATCACGGCCCAGCCTCCGTATTACTCCCACCTACGAGACCCCCCAATTGGATAGCGGCTGCTATTTCGAGATGAGCAAAACACAAATCGAGAGACTGTGTATATTTATGCCGCTCCTCACAATAGCTCCATGGCGTCGTCTCGGAGAAACACTCTGGGTGTTGACGTTAATTAGTCCAGACTCGTAAAGTGCTGCAACGTCTTCTCCAGCGGTGCCACGACCCCATCAAACACCGCCTGCTGAAACTCCTCGTCATCGAGGCTCGAGTCTTTCTTATTAAAGTCGCACCGTATGCACCGTCTGACTGCATCCAAGTAGCGCGGCCCTGCTTCATATTCAATTTCCTCTTCGATGAGCCTCTCCGCCGTGCACCAAGCCACTCCTGGCGTACCCACACACTCGAGATCGCGCGGCGACTGGAGCTCCTCGATCGGTTTTCCGTACAAGAGTTCAATAAGCAGAATACCGAGTGCGAACAGCGTCTGATTGCGAATCACTCTGCATGCTCCTTGCTGGGTACTGGCAGGTTGGGTAGGAGGTGTTGATGACAACTTGCGGTACACGAATGGGTGCTCAAAGACGGTGGCTAGTGAGATGCCTGGCCGGTGGATGAAGTAGACGTCGTTGTCGCTCCACTGCTCATCGAGCCATGGTGTCTTGTAGAGCTGTAAAACACTTGAGGCAAGATCTACTGCTACTCGAAGCTTATCGTGCTGTGTCAAGCGCCGGTTGATGTTTGCGCGCTTGGTGAGTATTTGGCGCAGTGAATAGGCTACCCATTGCTGCTGGTCGCAACCAGGTGGTGACTGAAGAGGGTAGATGCCATGTTTCCGCTGGACGCTATCCATCAAGTAGCCGATACATAGGTCTCGCTCTGGTGGTTGTAATTTTGCAATTGTCTTACAGAGGTCCTGTATCTGCTCAGGCGTAGGTTTGGAAGGAGATATCATCTGCTGCTCGACGACGGTTACCGTTGAGCTGCTGCTACTCTCTTGAACTTGTACCTGGTTGAATCTCACGCGTCTCGTAGACCTTGGTGGGGGGCAGGCGTGGTCCTTGGATGGTGAGAGAGCTACTTGCTTCGGCTTGTCTACTATGTATCGAATGTTCGCCTCTTTCCAGTTCCAGGAAGTAGAGGCTACCAAAGATGGGCCAGTGTCAGTAGCGTAGCTAAATATGACGCGAAAGGGTGTGTGCTCGAGTAAGTCTTCCTCTTTCTCTACTCTCCAGCTCCTGTTTTCAAGTCGCAGCTTGACTTCGTGGCCGTCACACCCGCATTGCAGCCCAGATCGTATGGTTTCGAACAAGCTTCGCGCATAACTCTGTAAAGCACAGAAGTTTGGGCAGGAGCGAGGTTTCGATTCCGTGCGGGACGGCTCTAGCTCGAGAGACTGTTTGGTGAGACGTGTCAAGGCCTGGTTAAAATTCTTCAAGTCGCTGAGTTGCTCAGTATACTCCGACTTGCTGATGCTGAACTTCAGCCGTTTGTACTCCTGCTTGAACAGGCCTGGGTCGGAGAATTGAGGCTACCCTATTTATCAGCGAGTGGCGGGACATATAGACAAGTCCGAGCAAATAATCTTGCAGGCTTTCCTGCTTCTGCTAATACCTTCAAACCCCTTTATTGAGACTGTTTGGGAAGCAGACTTCCTAAAAGAGAGGATGGGCCAACGTACCTTCCCATCGGGGTCCAGAGCTAGCTTCATCATCATTCCTCGCAACGACACTTCCATACCTCTCACGTTGTCGAGGTATATATCGTACGCTCCCCGCAATCTGTCTTTCAGTTTCTGTTCAATCCCCACTTCCCGCCATATCTCGCCTCCAGGGCTCGACACAAAGTCGGTCATTTGCTCGATCCTTACAATCCCCGTAAGCAGCTGCTCGACTGTATTGATGAAAATGCCACGCTCGGTGTTGATTTGGAGAATCAGGGATCGGACTTCAGTCTTATATCGCCAGAACCTCTTCGCCGTGTTGATTCCGTTGGCGTAGTGCTCCAAGGCTGAGATGACGAGTGGCAACGAACCCAGCACAACGCCTGCTATCTCAAGGCCCGACATCGAGAACGATATGCAGTGAGTTTTGCGTGGCGCGGAGCGATGCGTTCGATGTGCCTGATTGAGCTATACGATTTTCTCTCTTCGGTACAAAACTGTTATCGACAGGTTGAGGGGAGGCTGCGGCTGAGTCTATGCAGGAGCACGTGTATTACATCCCGCTAATGTGGCCCCCAACTCCCATCTTCAGCCTGCTCTAGAATTGCCGTGCCTTACAGATGCTCGAGTAACTTTACCATCACTTTTTGGACCGCGCAAAGATTATTCATCTTTTTCAGAATTGCCGTCGCTTCTGCTTAAAGACTCTAGTACTCGGACAAGTAACCCTCTACATAAGGCGGATCACAAAATGCGAGATGGCGCTCACAGGACCCGACGATCCTTCCGCGGTCGCAACACACGTCCACAGCTGTCTCATCAGCTTCCAAAATGCGTGTGAGAGCATGGCAAAGGCAGAATTGCTCATCAAAAGCAAATTATCGCCTGCGGTCATCAACGATGAGCTTGGCCGCTTCAGACTATGGTGCGGCAACCTGGGAGCTCATCGCAGAGGCAAAGGCTCCCTCGACTACAAGCTCCGTGAGGCATCTCATATACGTGACCGCGTGATCGAACTTCTGCAGAATTTGAAGTCGGTCTTACAGGAGGCGATCGACATCATCAAAGGCGAAAGGGTTCCTTGGGAAGACTTATCAGACTCGGAGTCTGATGTATCTGATAGCGAGATTCTGCAAAACAAAGAATCAACGACCACAGAACTTGAGCAACTGGCCTCTAATATGGCTGAGATCAATACATGTCTCATGCGATTATCTATGGCAATCCGAAACCCAGCGCCTCACGACCAGTTCAAAGAGTCCACTCACATCAATGTGACCCATTTCGAGGCTTTCGACATAGACCATGTGAGAGGGAAGTTTCCCATGGCCAAGGAGTATCTCGTGGTCCGTCTGGGCAAAGCAATTTCGCGTAGACGACAATACCTACGGTACCGCGAGGAACATCGGAAGAAGCTTGAGCACGGTTTGGGGTCACAACCGCAGGCACAAGTACAAGAGCTCACAATACCGCACTCCACATCTCACACTGTGACATCTCCCTCTGAGAAGATCGAAAGTACCATAGCATCTTCCTTGCCGTTGGCGATCAAGGCCAGTGCTTCTGCGATGGAGCTTGATGAGAATGATCAGTACGAAGATGTACTATCACAGACATCTTACGCATCATCCACAAATGATACCGCCAGGTTGCGCCCACCACCGCTACCAGAACAGGGTCAGGATGGTGACCCCTTTGAATGTCCGCTTTGCTTCCGCTTCACTTCTGTCCGACAGTTGGCCGCTTGGCACAAACATGTTTACCGAGATTTACAACCCTACGTGAGTGTACATCCAAATCTATTATAACTTTTCGCTAATTGGTAGCAGCTATGCACAAGCGAAGGATGCGAAATCCCTGATCGCACCTATGAGTCGAGACATGACTGGTTCCATCACGAGTTGCAAGTGCATCGCAAGTGGTGGGAATGTGTCGATGGGTGCAACCAGAGTTTTCGGTCATCAGGCAGCCTTCGAGAACATCTTTGGCAAGAGCACGCCGATATTGCCAATGAGGAAAGAGTTGACGACCTCATGCGGAACTGCGAAAGACACGATGGTATGGCCACGGAGGCGGAATGCCCCTTGTGTCAGCACCAGCTGGCCTCGCTTACACAGTTGCGGCGTCACCTAGGCAAACATCACGAGGAGCTATCTTTATTTGCTTTGCCCGCATACATGAAAAATGACCTTGACGATAGCGACAACGATGGAAAGGATGATGACTCGCGTTCTCTACCTAGCATCGCCCAAAGCCGCAACTCTCTGTTGCCGTCATCCAACGCAAGCGAAGAACTGCATGCAGTAGAAATCGATGACGAGGCGAGGCTGGAAATGAAGTTCTCTGAACAAGCATCTTCTACAGGCTCATCGACCCCTAGTATACTCCGCTGCGATTTAGACAATTGTAACGCTGAGTTTGAGGGGGTAAATCGAGTAGCACATTTGGATATGCATCGTATGCAAGTTCACAGACTCCCAGCTAGATATGAATGGGACGATCGCAAGGCAGTTGCGCTCTTTGACTTTGCGCGGGATAACGACAACGAATTGCCCCTTGTTAAGGGACAAGTAATACTAGTCTCCTCCCGCAATGGTTCAGGCTGGCTGTTCGCGCAGGATCCTAAAACGGGCGAGAGAGGACTAGTGCCAAAGGAGTGTGTGCGCCTGCTCCGCGACACCGAAGGCGGTTGGAGCAAGCTTATTACTACATCAAAGGATAGTGACGAAGGTTCTGGAAAAGGACATCTGGCCATATATCATTGCGGCGATAACGACTGCGACATGTCCTTCAACGATGAACATGCTCGACTCAAGCACTACCTTGAGCATCATCCCCATCTTGCTTCTAGTTATCATGTACCTTCGTTACCAGAAGGTCTTGAGGACTACCTTGAACGCCTGGCTGAGTTCCATCGAGACAGGGGTAACCCCATTGACATTGCCGCACTCAACTTCTCTGTGGATGAAAAGCTTGCCTCCCTTCAAGAGATCAAGATGGTCGTAGAAGCGCACGGTGGCTATGATTACTTGACAAGAGATAATACCTGGACAGAACTTGGCCTTGGTCTCAACCACGGTATGACACTAACATCTGACGGAGCAAAAGAGTTGAAGAGTATCTATTTCACATACTTGCTACCGTTTGATGAATATCTAGACCAGAACTTTCCGGAGTCTGGGAATATCGAGAGCCGCAGAGAGCCTGAGAGCCGCAGAGAGCCTGAGAGCCAGCCTGGGGAGAATGCCAGCAAAGAGTCAAATGAAGAATCTCACGCCAAAGAGATATTTTCGAATACGGGTAGAGATATTGATTCTAGGGGGGATGTTGAGAAGCCCGGCATCAAAAGGCAACAGGTACCAGGAGCTGTGAAAGTAAAATTGCCCAGTCATGTCGGGATTGACATGGGCTTACCTGGCACACTTGAAACTGTTGATGGCGAACTGCATTTGATTCATTCGAAGGGAACCATCTTTTATCATCTCGAGTCCATCAGTGGGTTAGCCGCCCAAGCTTTCGACACGATGACATTCAGAGGGGATGTCATGACACAGGACAACATCTATTTAAATGAAGAAGTCGAGCTGGAATTTCATGATCCAAAAGGTCTTGCGATGACGTACGGTTACTTGCAGACGAAACTTCCGGACTCGCAATTTTCGACATTCATAAAAGATAGGATTCAAGACATTCTCTCGCGATCTGGAAGTCCTGAAAATATCTATCTGAGCTCCCACGACACACTCCCATCTCCTGAGGCACAAGGCACTAATCCTGCGAGCCCATACTTTCCCGGGGAAGATTCAGTAGAGGCAATAAGACCTGATTCGAGAGTATTTTCGCTACGGAGCTTCCGAGCTGGCTCCCCTTCACGCGAAAACTTAGACATACCCAGTCCTGGTGGGGTTGCATTCCTCGATGATGGAATTCGGTACTCCCCTAACAATTCAGAGTCAATGTTTACAATACCCAACGATCAAGTTGAAGAATTTCTCAATTTTGGAGATTGTACCATCTTGATACGTGGATATATGCACGAGAATGGGAACACGGGGTTGGAATTCGTAGTTGGTGCCAGAGAGATTGAGTTGAACTTTTTCAACCACGAAGACTTGAAGTTGGCTACTAGCTTATGGAAGAGCTACCAAAGCTTACAAGATCAATCATCGACTCCTAGTAATACAGAACAAACAACGACAGTCGCAGAAGTGGCTCCTCATACTGTTACAGGGAGGAATAGTGCCAAAGGTTCTGATACGCCAGATTTTAGTTCATTCCTAACGAACTGGGACAGTCGCATCCCGACCTCTATTGACAATGTCGTGGTTCGGGGCCTGGCTCCCGGTGCCTCTATTCGAGCGACTGTCAGATTCCGACGAACGCTGATAGGTTTTCAAGATATGGACACTCCGGACCTCTGGTACATACGTGGGAAAGACGCGTCGGTTTGTAATACTTACGGAAACTCTCTAGGTTTCACAGTTTTGTCGATATATAGGGCTGGAGGCTTGGGGCGTGTCGCAGGAGAGACGATTCTGTTGCTGACTCCCGAGGATGTTACGCAAGCAGTAGAAATTCGAGAGCTTTTGGAATACTACGTGCTGCATGGAGGAGAATTAGAGGAGGTGGCAATCTCAGATATCGATGCGGAACTCCAAGTTGATCCTCAACCTGACCCTAAAGCCCCAGACTCAGAGACTGACAACGGTGAGGCCACTGCAGGAACGGGTGGACATCTTGTTGTTGATGAAAGCACTGCTCTGAGTGCCGCATCCAAGCAGGCGGAATCATCAAGTGTCCGCAAAGACCACACAGTCGATCATCCACACGACCAACCCCCTCTAAAAATATATCGCTGCATGTTCTGGTTCCTGGACTGCAAATATATGACCGATGACAAAGGAGATTGGAAGGCCCATTGCCTGGATCATTTCGAGGGCAATTCACCACCAGCATCAATCGACTGTCCCTCAAGTTGTGGCGAGGAGTTCCACGATACATCATCGGGGGCAGGAACTGCATGGGATAGCATGATGGAACATCTCTCAACTACCCACATAGTGGACGAAACCCCTTTGCTATACTCTCTGAACTGGACGTTCCTCGAACACCTGAGGAAATTGGACATCATTGATGAAGAATCTTTACTTAAGGCGTGCAACGGCCAGGTCCCCATGTCCAGAGCAGATAAAGACCGGGAGATTACGAAAACTGATGTTGGTGGTCAATATTCTGACGTGGATTACCAGCCGAGCTTCCGTTACGGGCGTGGGCCGGTGATATATGGTGGCGGAGGCTTTCCCTACGACCAAAACACTAGTACCTCGTCACCAAACGCAGGCTACCACAGTTGAAGGACTTCCAATTGTCCTGCTTCCTACTGTAATTGTAAAAAAGTTGAGTCTTTCTTAAGAGTAGGGTGAACTCGTGCCATACTTAGAGAAGCCATAAGCAAAGGGGAAAATAACTGCTTGACATCTCTTATTCACTCTGATGAACTTAACGATAGTAATGTTGCAGCATTTTTCCTCGATACAATCCACGTCAGTGTTTCTAATAGTGGAGTGTCTACAGAAGTCTGCCGCCTGCCCCATTCTGTAAAACCCTCTGTCCAATTTCGAACACTGGGTGATCAAGCGCATGTTGACCTGAGTGATGGCCTGGTTAAGGATATATCGTTTCAAACGAGGCCGAAATGCCATGAAGCGGAAAGTCGAAAACCCTTGAGTATGCGTAGGCTTGGATTTTGATGCATGTTACCCCTTGTCGGGAACATCCAATAGCCTGCACAATTCAAGGTAAGTCCGTGTAGTTAGCTGATCAAAGACCTTCCTGTGGAGGCCTGTTATTGATCTAGGGGTTTTAGATGCGAACATACTCATTTATGTGGCGTATCGTTATGAGCTCCTGTTGTCACAGATCGGGAATGGTACAGATCAAATCCTATCGTATTCTTATGCCGAGGAGCTAGAGATGGGATGATACGTTTAGTCTATATGTACCTGCCAAGGATCATCACGTGACACCTGTCCTTTCCCAATGCCAGAATTCGCTGCAAAAAAGCCCCAACAGCTAATGTTCAACCATCTCCCACGCTCGCTACTCTAACTTACTGCGACGAACCACCCGAGATAGTCAAAACCTGGCCATTGACCCACCCACCATCGTCTGACGCTAGGAACGCAACAACTCTCGCAACATCCTCAGGCACCGCACACCGCCCAAGCGGACAATGGTCCGCCATCAACTTCTCAATCTTCTCAGCAGGCCACTCAGGTGTACCTCCTGGGATATAATGCCAAGCGTTCTGCGTGAACATATCCGACTTGATACCGCCTGGCGCTACACCGTTGACAGTGATACCGCGCTTGCCGAAATCTGTCGCAAACGCCTTGATGAAACCGATGACTGCCATTTTCGACGCGTTGTAGAGAGCGTGGTCTTTGACACCGAGTAGACCGGCGGCAATAGACGACATGAGGATGATGCGGCCGTTGTCTTCGATGAACTTGTATGCCGTTTGGCCGACGAAGAACTGTGCACGCGTATTGAGGCTGAAGACATGATCGTACTTTTCCTCGGAAATCTCCTCGGTCTTGTCCCAGCTTTCAGTGCCGGAGTTGCTCATTACGATGTCGATTTTGCCGAATGCCTTCTTTGCTTCTTCGAACAGTCGGTGAATCTCGGGGACTTTGCTGACGTCTGCCTGGATGGCGACGGCCTTGGCCCCGTTGTTGAAGCCCTCGATTATTTGGCAGACTTCTTTTGCTGGTCCTTCTGAGGAGACGTAGTTGACGATGACTGAGGCGCCGCGCTTGCCGAGCTCGATGGCGCAGCCACGACCGATACCGCGACCAGCACCGGTGATGAGAGCAACCTTGCCCTCGAGGGAGGCGGTGGGGACGTTGATGACCATATTGGTAGTGGTTTGATATGTCAGGTGATGGAATAATCCTATTGGCCAGTACTACGTGGTTCGGTTCCTAGCTCTTATGTTGGCCCAAAGCTTCAGAGGTATGCAACTAAATGACAAAGAGATGTGCGAGTAAAGTGGGTATCTTAAACTTCCATCGTTCAAACTCCATCTCTATATAAGTATGTCGTTGTTCGGTTTGTCCAACATGCTTCCGCTTCCTCTCTCACCATCTACGGGCTCGGGCGGGGATCCGAACGCCAAAGTCCGAGAATATAGCTTAGGACGCGGCTCTTTACTCTCGGAGCACTGGTGTCTTTGCTACCCAGTCTTGACTCCCCGGTGCCGTTTGAAAATGTCGTACGCAAGTGCCGGCTGCGCTGCGGAGGTCGGAAGAAGGAGGGGCCATTGTAGGGCTCTGAGCCAAGGTGTTGAGAAAGACAAAGATGGAGATGCGATGGAATGTCCGCCATCTTTCGTCATCCACCATATTACAACCTCATTAGAGACGGGCGAAGGTCTTTTTAGGCTTGGGACGATTGTTAGTATCTTTGTCTTTTAGTATGGCAGCGCTATGCATCAACGGATCTGCTCAGGCGCAGGTACCACGATCTGACATGCGGGGAACACCCCGATCATCGTTCCAGGGCCGCATTCTAGTAGCTTAACGAGGAATGTTTTTCTCTGCAATAGCTTGCGTTGCTACGTTCTGATGGCTTATTGAGAAAGACCCTCGACGAGGAGTGCAGAAGGATGGACGAGTGACAATGCACGCGATTCCGACTTGTCGATAGCGCTCTCGGAACAACGCAGCACGTCACTTTAGATGCCTGCCCCTCTACATCTCAGTCGACTTCCACAAACAAATCAATCTTCGCTTCTCATACTCACAGAAACTCAACATGCATATCCTAGTAAATAATAGCCATCTCAATTTCTCCAATTGCACCATCTAACTAGTTCACAGATCACCAACGACGATGGCCCGCCCTCGGACCAGTCCTCACCATATGTACACTCTCTGGTCTCTACACTCCAGAGGTATGGACACACAGTCTCGGTCGTCCTACCGCATACTCAGCGCTCATGGATTGGCAAAGCGCATCTTGTGGGGAAATCCGTACGTACACATTTGAGCTACTGGCTGCCTGTTGGAAGCGCATACACCTCTCTTATACTTCCACATTCCCCTCACGCAGATTCAAAGTCCCACCCACCATATCCTCCTAATAGCACTGAACTAACTACCTCCACCAACCCAGATAAAACCAACATACTACCGCCCCGCACCCCTCCAAACCACGTCCGAAGGCCGCCTCACCAACCACGGTAGCACCCACACCTCGCCCCTCCCACCCCACAGCACAGAGGAGGAATGGATCCTCGTCGACAGCACGCCGGCCTCATGCGTGCAAATAGGGCTATACCACTACTTCTCCTCGCGCGGGCCAATCGACCTGGTCGTGTCGGGCCCAAACTACGGCCGCAACAGCACAGCCGTCTTCTCCCTCTCGTCCGGCACCATCGGCGGCGCAATGGAAGCCGCTGTGTGCGGCATGAAGTCCATCGCCCTGTCGTACGCCTTCTTCGACCGCAACCACGACGCGAACATCATCTCGGGCGCGAGCGACCTCAGCGCCAAACTCATACAGTACCTGTGGGACAACTGGGATGCGAATACGCAGCTTTATACAGTCAATGTGCCTCTTGTGGAGAATGTGGGCGAGAGGAAGGTCCTCTGGACGGATATGTTGCAGAATACTTGGAAGAGTGGGAGCTGCTTTCAGGTCGTTGATGTACCCTCCGGAGAGGACGATTCGCCTAGTGAGGTCGAGAGCCAGATACGCAAACAGGAGGAGAAGCTCGGGAAGAAGGAGTTGAAGAGTCATGCGGACGTGGGAAAGGGTGGCGCGAGTGGTACCGATTCGGGGCGGGACACGCCGTCCGGCCAGGGCCATGTGCGGTATACGCATAAGCATTTCAAGTGGGCTCCGCTGTTCAAGGACGTGTATGAGAGTGTGGAGCAGAGTGAGCCTGGGAATGATGGCTGGGCTGTCGCGCAGGGATACACCAGCGTTACGCCATTACGAGCAAACTTCATGCATGTGAGTGGTTTCGCCGGGGAGATCAAGTTGGATTCGAGCTCGTCATAAGGCGGTGAACCGTACCAAATACAAAAGTAGAGTAATGGAAGTGGCTAGATGCTCTCTATGCCTCTTCACTACCTGAATGCGCCTGATCCAATAACATAACACCCCCAATGCTGAATCAAGTGCAAATATTTATACACGACCATGATTCCAGACGACCCAACAAACTCCTACAGCTGCCGTTAGTCGTCGCCACGCTAGGCGTCGCCAGCCGCACTCTTCTTCGCCTTCGCGGCCTGCATCTGGCCCAATATAGTCTTGCTTTTCGCTTTTCCCTCGACCTGCTCAGCCGTCGACAGACTCGAGTAGAACGAGCGCACCTTCTCATGCGCAATAACCTTCCTAGGGTCGAATCGTATGATCTGTAAACCCGCCATACTGGTCGCACGCGAGAGCGCCACATATGCCTGGCCCTTCTCAAAGACACGCCCTAGGTCGACCCGAACGCGCTCCAGCGTCTGACCCTGTGCTTTGTGAATCGACAGTGCCCAGGCGAGAATGAGTGGAATCTGGGAGCGAGATGCTTGCACTTCGCCGTTGGGGAGCTCGACTTTCCAGTCTTCGCGTTTGCATAATAGGTCTCGCGTGGTGCCGTCTGCGATGGCGAAGCGGACCAAGGGATAGACTTGCGCTGTGTTTAAGCCTAGTGATGACTTCGCCATCTCCGTTTTCATGGCTTGTTCCGAGGCGCCTCCCTCGAGGAAACCCTCCTCGTCTTCTTTGTAGAGGGCGAACATTGGCTCTGTCATGAAGCCAGTGACTTTGCCGAGCGAGCCGTTGACCAGCGTATCGTCCATGTTCTTGACCAACATGACTTGGGCGCCCTTTTTTAGGTGCACCACCTCCGGGACCATGCAGCTCTGCAAGAGTCTGTCACGCTGCTCTTTGATGGTAATCGTGCCTCCATCGCGTGCTTCGAAGCTGAACGTATTGCCATGGAGTTGCTGCATGCGAAGAGTATTCGCGCGATCAACCTCCTGGCGAGTGGGGAATAGCTCGGTAGCTTCAATGTTGTCGTCGGAAACTGGCAAGGGGCGCTCTAGCTTTTTGAACTTGGTAATCGACTCGGCCGAAAGCCGGCCTTCACGCATCTCATTGAGCATTCCTGCAAACACTGGATCTTTTTGACGGAAGACATGGTGTAGCCCGATGGTGTGCTCGATGGACGTGGTCCACGTTCCTGCATCGAAAGCGAACTTGGACTGACGTCCAAACTCCGGAACAGGGGGTAATTGGAAGAAGTCGCCGGTTATGACTAGTTGGATGCCCCCGAACGGCCTTCCGTTATTGCGAATAGTCCGAGCGATCTGCTCCAGCTTGTCGAATAGATCGCCATCAACCATAGAGACCTCATCCATGATCAACACTTTTGTGCGCATCCACCGCTGCTTTGCCTTTGCATTTCGCCGAATCTTCTTTACTAGGTCCTCAGCAGGCTCTTTGCCCAAACCAATGCCAGAAAAGCTGTGTAAAGTCACGCCGCCAATGTTACATGCAGCCAAGCCTGTTGACGCAGTTACGGCTACTCGATCTGGTTCGCGGACATACTTCTTTCGCAAGGCCGCAATGATCTCACGCAGAAGAACAGATTTACCGGTACCTATCACGGTCAGCGTAAGCTAGGAAAGATGCAAGTCGGTCTTACCGGCTGAACCCGTAAAGAACACGCTCTTTTTGTATTCTGTAACGAGATTCAACACATTCTGTTGCTCCTCGCTCAGGAAGATGCGATGAACGGTGTTTTTCTTCTTCTTTTTGATAGCTTCTTTGACGTCGTCTTCTGTACCTTGGCCTACCTTCGACTGAGCCTTTGACTTTTCCCGGAAGTTCTTTTGCTGCAATTTCAAAGCACTTGCAGTTGTGTTCCACTGATAATCGGACTTTGACTCTTTCGGTGCGGGTGTAGATGCAGCTTGTGCCACTTCTACCGATTTCCTCTTCTTAGGCCGTGCTGTCTCTTCTTCCGACTCGATCTGGTCCTCCATCTCATGTTTGGCCTGTGCCTTCTGGTTCTGGTCCCAAGGCAGCGCTCTTCGCTTCGTTTTCACAACGCTAGGCTTGGGGGGAGTCTTGAGATGTTCTAAGGGCGAGGATGACCATGGAATTGGTTGGCTACTGTTTGGCTCAAGCTTCGCGTGTGCGGTCGGTGCTCTTGAACGGGACCTTGAATCTATCGAGGCAGTGGGCGCAACGCGAGGCAATGTGGGATAAGCAACGGTTCCTTTGGTCGCAGGATCTTCCACCTCGAGATCGACATCGCTGTCAAAATCGTTTTCGTCGAAGAGTGCAGAGACTAAGTTGGTGGAGTTGGTTTTGGATGAGGTATGGAACGTAGTTGGCAGGTCATTCTCCTTTCCCATGCCCCCAATGTTAAGCGTAGGATAATCGAAGTTATCCTCCTGGGAGCTCAACGATTTCACCAAACCACCCGACGTCCTCTTGATGCCATGTGTAACTTGGCCAGGCGGACGATATGTCCCCGCGGAATTGTGTTTCGTGCCACTCGCCAACGGACGCGTGGTTTGACTCTGCGTAGAATCGGTACGACCAAATGTATCCCCGAGTGAAGACTGCTTGTACGTGGGGTTCGAGGGCGACGTGGAGGCAACAGCGGCAACCTGCACAGCTTGCTTGAACATGGTCTCTGCTGAGTGTGGCTGAGGCGCGATATATCCGTAGTGCACGCGAGTTGAGGTTGTTGGCGAAGCGTCTATCAGGTCGTTTGCCTTGGGACGTGAGGTCGAGAAGCGTGTTCGAGGAAGGTGCGCCGGGGAAAGCTGCGGCAGGGACGGCGACGGCCCTTTGGGATTGAACAGTTTCAGTGACGCACCCAGTCTTCCCAGGGCGAGAAGCATACAGCAGAGTAAGCAATGCAATAATAAAAGGAATGAAGAGCAAGAGAGTGTCAGCGAAGGGCATGCCCGCGGGGAGTGAGTGTTGGCCCGCAAACGCGAACCTTGACGCGACTGTCTCGATTAGGTGCGCTAGTTTATTGTATCACGTGATTCTTCTCCACCGCCCCGCTTCGGTCCTATGTAGTGCAGGTCTCGGATGTATACAGCGCTTGTCTTCGGCCGGACTAACTTTGACGCAGGTACGCAATCCCTTTATCTCGTAGCTTGAGATGCAATACAGTGAGTTGTTTAGCATTGTCATCTACTAAGAGTGACCTGATCGCAGAGATGGCTTGCGAACAATTTACATGTAATGCAATCTACTGGTAGGCTTTGGTGGTACATTCTTCTATCCTAGCATTATGACGAAAGAGTATCAAGTCAATGACCTCTTCATGTTTGTATGTGACATCTGAACGTCTGCAAACCCGCGCCCCGTAGTCGCCCTCTATAATACACCGCGTATGTGCAATTAGACTGAGCTATAACCTGGTATCTCATGACATCGTGAAAAGGAAAGTCGTGAGAAGCGTGTGTAACCGCAAATCGAACGGGGCCTGCCCATAATACGCCGCAAGGAGATCAAAACACTTTGGGTGACGCGAAAGAAGCTTCAAAATCAAAGTAATAGTGGAGACGTAAAGCCTGGCGAGCCTGAACTTGTGGCAAATGAAAATGCGAACTAGGAGATTCATTGAGGTCACAAGAATCGACCGTGACCCATACCCCAGGAAACAACCTGACAGAGAAATGTACCAAGTGGCACTCCAATTCACATGCCAGCCAAACTTGCCAACCAAAACGACACCCCTCTCACACCTTTTTTGGAACAACATGATCAAAATAACAAATTCCCTTGAATAGACATAAGCAGATAGCTGATGAGGTGACCCAGAGATCGGAGCTATCCAAAAGGCGCCCTTGTAAACAACCAGGCATGTCGTAAAGATAAATTGAACAGCGCAAAATGAGTGAAGTCTAAACAGATGGGGCGCTTAGCCCTGGTATCCGCCGAAGCCATTCTGGTTAAAGTTGCCCTGGGGGGACTGTCCCCACTGCTGCTGCTGTTGCTGCGGCTGAGGGGCGCCACGACCGTATCCGCCGGCGCTGCCTGGCTGCTGCATTTGCTGGTAGGGCATGCCAGGATTGCCAAAGGCTTGCTGCTGTTGAGCAAAGGGTTGTCCGCCGGGGCTAGGTCCTGCCCGCGCATTAGATTGTTTGTTTCGATATTGCAACTTCCTCCGGTGCCGCTCACCTGAAGGTGACATGGGACCACCCTGTGGCCCACCACCATACTGAGGGAAGTACGCGCTGGGCGTTTGAGGGTAGGCTGGGCTGGGACCTCCTGCAGGCGAGTAGCCTTCAAATTGACCTGTCGGAGGACGGTCTTTGCCCCACTAGATTGTGAATGTGAGCTAAGAAAGAACAACAAAAGAGAGACTGGTCAACCTACGCTGCACTTCAATGGCCGGCCGTTGACGTTGTAGCCGTTCAGCTGGCATATAGCCATGGCAGCATTCTCATGCGTGTCCATTTTGATGAAAGCAAAGCCACGGTCCGACTGGAAGCGAGTCTCGGTTACGTATCCAAAGTTTTGAAAGAGCGGCACAAGGTCAGCCTGTGATGTGTAGGGGGTGAGATTGCCAACGTAGCACGTCGTCTGCCACTGGGGAGTCTGCGCAACGACCATGTCGTAACTCTGAACACCATGGGTGGGGAAGTGATGGTGTCCGAACGGCGTGGTTGGCGTCATGCCCATCGAGGCCATGGCCTGTTGCTGGGAAATGGAAGGTTGTCCCTTTTGATTAGCCCAGTTGCAGCGAATGGCTCGAGAACCGAGCCACTCTCCGTCCATGGAGCTAAGGGCACGCTCAGCGTCAGCACGATCGCGGAAAGCAACGAATCCATATCCACGCGACCTGCCCGTCTTCATGTCCCACATGACGCGGGCTTCCGACACCTGACCAAAGGTAGAGAACGCCTGGAGCAGAACCTCGTCGTTGACCTCGTTGGACAGGTCGCCTACGAAGATGTGGAAGTGGTTGGAAGTATCCTCCTTTGCGGTGTTGTTGGATTGATACGCCCAATTCACACGGATTTCCTAATGTGAGTCAGAGTCGACTCCTTCCATACCCTTTGAGTATCTCATGCTTACGTTGTTGTGGATGCGACGACCATTGAGAGTCGCCATGCCTCGCTCGGCCGCGCCCGGGTCATCGTACTCGACGAAACCGTAGTTGAAGCCCTGTGAGTGGACAGGTTAGCCATGAGCCAAACGATAGGTCGCCCATGTCACATGGACGACTGTCAAGAGGTATGCAGCGAGTTCGGATAGAGTATCTTACAGAAGGAGCGGTTGCGGTCTTGTCTGGGATGATCTTGACGCTCTGGACGTGGCCAGTGGTCTCAAAAATCTGACGCAACACATCCTCGGTGACTCGAGGGTCCAATCCTCCCACATAGAGCGCTCGCTTATTCGGTTCGGGGGCCGCGCGACGCGGAACGTAGCCTGGCTGGCTGCTGGTCGGGGACATTGGGTTGCCCGACAAGGGCGAGGTGATGGCGGTCGGGATGGGGTTGTTGTTTTGGGGAATAATCACAGGAGCTAGCGGTGGGGGAGGCATGTGCTGCTGCTGCTGGCCCGGGTTCCCATCATAGCCAGGAGGGCCGGCAGAGGGAGGAGGAGGCAGAGGCTGCCCAGCGTTCTGTTGGTCGGCCATGGCTGTCGTGAGGAGAAGCGCACAGGAAACGGGGTCGCAAGAAGGCGCGCTAGAGGCTACTAATGTGTGTATTGGAGAATCGAACTTTTACGCGACTCGAAGGACGATACAGAAACGACGACGTCGACTTGGGCCACGCTGGGGGGCGGAGAGTCGAGGGTCGAGGTGGGGCGAGAGTGGTGGCTTCGAGGAGGCGGCAAGGAAAGTTGCTAATGGAAGGCGCGAACAAGGCTACCAAGAGGGATGCGAAAGGCGCAAGGAAAGGGAAGGAGGAAGGAGAAACAGAGAGGAAGAGAGGAAGAGGAGACAAGGAGATGCAGAGACCCGACGCCGCAATACGATGGCAAAGCAAGCTGATCTCCACTGTGTGGGGTGAGGAAGGAGAGAGAGAGTGTGAGAGAGGTGGTGAGGGTCGCAAGAATTAGGGTCGTAAGGCCACAAGCGCCAAATGCGACGGGAGCTACTGTAGCCCTCGAGCCAGCAGCCGCCAATCTTACGAGCGACGACGGCGTTGCATACATACGCGCCATTTTTTGCACTGGGAGAGGCTAGTGCCGCACGCTGGCCTGCTTGCTGTGGGTGATGGAGGCCGTGATGGAGCTGCTTGGCCGTGTATTGAACCGCTGGACGGGTGCTAGCGTTTGCCTGTTTGGCGGATGTGTACCGGAGAGGTGGGAGTGGGCCGCCAAAGCTCCGTATAGCCTATTTAGGCGGCTCGTCTGTGGCCTGCATGGACATGTACATGTCCATACACCGTCCTCACGTCTTGTAGAGACACCACTCTCACACCATGGTTACCGCGAAAGCAGCAGCCCCAACAGGGCAGGCTCAGCCCAACGCTTCTGCTGTCCCTATTGGCCCTGCCAACCACAATCTTGATACCCTGCAGAGCATGCTGAATCTCATAGTATGATTCCCTCAGCCATGGAAGCGCACTCTAGCACCCCGCTCACCCTCCCCAGTTCCTCCAATCTGGCCGCTTCATCAAAGAACACCAAGCTGGCGGCGGCACCGGGCGCATGAAGCTGGGCATGCAGCGCACCGTCCCTGCCGCTGCTGAGCGCTTCCACGATACCCTCGACGAGCTCGAGAACGAGGTCCGCCTGGCGCAGACAGTCCTGAGAAGAGACCTGGCCCTATTGAAAGAAGACCGCAAAAAGCGCGAAGCTGCAGCGAAACAGCACGAGGTGGAAAAGGCGCGGCTTGCTGCAGAGTCACGGCATGCTCCACCCAAGAAAGTGGATGCACCTGTCAAGATCGAGAAGGTGTCTACACCCGCACCCCCCGAACCACCACCGACCATCGAACAGCCGCCCGCAACGGTAGAAGAGCCTGAGAAGGTATCGAAGCCCGAGACGAAGCCCGAGACGAAGCCCAAGGAGCCCACGCCGCCACCACCCATCGAGACAGCAGCTGAACCAGCTCGCGACCCCCTCTTCGACGGCACGCCTACGACCGCCAACCCCCCAGAATCCGAGTTCGACTTTGACGCCATCTTTGGCGATGCCATGGATACATCGGGCGACAACAACGCAGCAGAAGACGTCATGGACACATCAGGCGACATCAATTTCAGCGTCGACGAAGCGCCTTCACTCCTGCGCGGCCTCGAGGACTTTGCAAAGAGCAATGATGACGAAGATATGAATCAATCCACTCACATGGACATCGACTTCCCCATGCCCGACCTCCCCGACTTGAACGCGAATACAACGACGCCTACAACGGCAGCGGCAACTGCAGCTACAACGAAGCCTGCGGTCCAGCCGACCACCACCCAGGCAACAGCAGATGCTACCAAAGACACCACGACCGACAACGACTTGTTGACTACATTGGTCCCAGATGACCTCGAAGACCTCTTCAACATGGACGAATACGAGAACCCAGAAAACTCTTCCTTTGATGACGCCTTCTTCTTCGACAACTAGCCGCCCCACGACATTTATCAGGGTATTATTTAAATTTTTCTGCGAGCTGGGCATTACTTTCCATTTGCCATTTTCATTATTGATACCCCTTTATATCCATCCAACTATTTAGCTATATTTAAACTCGTTGCTTATTCATTTTTGGATCTTGTGTAACGATTTAGATAGAAGTAGTTCCGTTACATTAATAAAATGAATATACTCGAGGAAATCTTACCAAATGACTGCTTAGTTATCACTTCACGTCACATTGCACGACAGAATTACTGAGATGAAGCTGAATTTCGAGAATGGTCATGTCATTTCTCGCTCCATATGCTATGGCTACTCACGGTTGCGGCTTCAGCATGTGAGAAACTAGGTGCCAAGGACGCTACTATATCATACAAGAATATTCATGCTTCGTGTCTTCATGCCATGTGGCGCCAATCATGCATGGGCAGATCGCTAAACGCCAAACCGAATCATGAACTAATATCAAAGTCAGGGACGCAGATTGTAACCCATAGGGACACAAAAACCTGATCGCACTTTTAGGGACTCGTTCCATCACTCTGCCGCTGGCTCGTCTGGTGTTTTTCCCACCTCAGAACTCTGTGCCTCAGGACTCTTCGGCGCTGGCTGAACATCCATATCCGCGCCCTGGTTCGCAGCACTGACAACCTCCTCAATCATAGCAGCAAAGTCGACTGTGACGCCTCCAACATTCATCTTCAGAAGCGCAGTTGCATCAGGCCCGTCATCGAACTCCATATCTGCGTGCTTAGACCCGCTCTCCATATCATGCAAAAGTGTATCACTCCCAAAAATGTTTGCGCCGCTCCACAGCCCAACAGTTGATGTGTTCGGATCTTCATACAAGTCAAATCCAAGTCCCAAAGCACCTCCTTTCGGTGGTGAACTCGGCATTGGCATGTCGCTTGATAGGAAATCATCGTGCATGAAGTCGGTGAACTGCGCACCGTGGCGGCCCGGTGTGTTGAAGGCGGAAAAGGTAGAGAAGTCGATGGCTTGCGATGGCGACGAGATCGGGCAGTCGGACAAGAGAGCATTCAACTGGCGAGTGAATGGAGTCTCCGGCGCTATCGTTGCGGCACGGGTGCCTCGAGGAGTGAGAATGCTGCGAGACGGCGTTAGAAGCAGATCTGCATTGTCAACGCTTCGTCTCGGTGTCAGGGGCGCACGACGGCGGGAGCCTGGAGTCGGCGTTTTCAGAAGGTCTTGAAAGAGCTGGTCCTTCTTAGGGGTGGTCTTGGGTGAGACTGGCTCCTCAAAAAGGTGGGCGAAATCTTCTTCTTCCTGAACGGATGGGGGCGGACAGTTCTCTTTATCGGGACTGTTCTCATCAACCACGGCTATGCGCACTGCAGGCTGCTCATACCAATACTTCCTCGGACACGGAATACAGCCGTCGTGGCCGATACCCGCATTGTCGCATCGTCCACAAGGTCGTTCGCGGTCACAAGCTTTCTTGAGTCCTTTGCATCGTTCGCAGCGGGGATTACCTGGCATCTCCTCTCTGCTAGCCACAGAGTTTGACACATCATCTGGTGTGGCAGTAGATGCTACCGTATCGCAGAACAAAGACTTGGCCTCGCCTTCCTTTCGGGGTGACGGGAAAAGAAGTCGTCGCGTGGGCTTCGGCGTGAGATCTGGGTCGATATCAATGGGCGAATTCTTGCTTCCTCGAAGACCAGCTGGGCTTGACTGGATAGCTCGTCGAAGTGCGGCATGCGCAGCGTCATTGTCCAATTCAGCTCCACTTGTGGTTGCCTGAAAGCTCGCCGTGTGCTCTCGAGCAACTGGGGGCGGCGGCATTACCCCTTCCATAGTACTGTCGAAGAAAGCCCGGATCTCTTCTTGCTCATCTGGCATGACAGGTTCCGAGTCAGGCACAATAGCATCAGAAACGAGATCATCGCCCTGGCAGGTGGACTTGGATCGAGCGCTCGTACCCGGATTCCGCTTACGCTTAGTTACTCGCGCGGACTTGTCCCATTGCTTCTGTGGCCGCATCTCGCCCTTCTTGATAAGCCAGAGCCCGCATGGATTGCACAAATTGAGTGACTCAAAAGTGTTCATAGTCTTCTCCTCGCGGGTCAAGTTGTTCTTGAAGATTCGATACTTCGGCTCACTATTATTCTCGTCCGGAGATTTAATGACTTCAGCCACAAGGATCCCAGTACCAGCCGTATCAGTGGAAAGCTCGATGTCATCAGGCGATCCAGCTTCTACGCGAGTGTAAGCTTTCCTCCAGGCTGGGGTATCGATTTCTCCACAGTTGATACAATGTGGTGGCATCTCTCCAGCGGCGATGGCTTTTTCCAGTTTGTCCTTGATGTATTTCTTTCTCTTAGCGCCCGAACCACTTCGCGGATTATTCGAGTCAGCAGGAGTAGGAGCATCTGACATCGGCTCCGCTGCCCCGGACCAGGTATGTGACCTTGGGAGCCCTCTCACTCTGGACGGTTTCGACTGCTTTGGTGGCAGGTTCGGGGTGGCCGAGCGACTATATGCTGGTGCTTCGCCTTCACCAGTCGGACATACACTGGACACAGTCTCTTCAGGTGATTCAGCTTTCGGGGCGCCTTGTTGCGACTCTTCTTGGAAATGATCGTGCTGAATTGGCCCGAAAGGAAAAGAGTCGGTACGTGCAAGACGTGCAGGACGCCCTGCGGCCCGACCGTTGCTATACTGTGACATGTTGGTTTGCGCAATGCCCCGGGAATGGCTCTTGGCTTGCTGTTGCTGTAACTGGGCTGGGTCGAGAATGTCCTGGTTCATAGCGCCCATATCGGTGGGCGGCGCGTGTCCAGTATCTTGCTCGATGCTCTCCGTGATAGGTTGAACTGGATATTTGCGATGATACTGTTTCGGCCGCGGTACATACGATTGTGGGAGTCGCTCAACCGGACCAGGATTGATGTGCTGCCAGGGCTGGCGCGATTTGTTTTGTCGTGGCCCAACTCGTTCTTCTGGTGCAAGAGGCAAATCACTTCCATCCCAAAGCTTACCATCGAACCCTATGCTATCTTCCTCATGGCCTATTGGCATATCACTGACGAAGCCAGAGTCGGTCGGGAGAGGTAGTGTTGGTAAAGGTGGACTAGACGCAGCAGGTGATACTGTCCGCTGAGGCGCGATTGGAGGCGATGAAGGGATGTCCATGGGTGTGTCGCCGGGACTTGCATCTCTTTCGTCTGCAGAATCCAAAGCATTGTCGGAGAAGCCAGTTGTGTCGTAGGGCGACATATATGTTGTTCCTTCATCCATGGAACCACGTCTTAAAGCACTTGGGGCTGGCGGACGGCGTGATCCACGCTGGCCAAAAGGGTCTCCTGGCCTAGGTGTAGGTGCGCGAGGAACAAGGTCGCCAGTGACAGCTGAGTTGCTAAGAGCGGGCTTGTGGAGGCGTACAGATGCTGCTGTGCTAGCCGTGACGCGTAGTGATTCGTTAGGGGCAGTGAGTGGCGTTCTTTTTGGTCTCTTGGCCTGAGTAATTCGCGCTCTCTTTTTTGGCGGGCCCTCCTCTTGCTGCTCGATGACATAAGGATCGCTGAACGGAAACTGCTGGGGCGGAGGTGCCGCTTCACTCCGGACGGAAGCCCGTGAATCTGGTCGAGACTCGGGATTGTACTGGTACTGCTGGAAGGAGAGGGTGCTCATGGCGGGACTAGAGGCTCGGGTCGACTGAGGGTTGAAGGACATGTTGGACGGGTCGTAGAAGGAGTCGTTCCTGAAGGCGTCTTGCGAGGGGCTCTGGCGGGTAAGCATCTGATGGAAAGGCTCCACGCCACCAAAGGAAAGTCGTTGAGACAGCTGCGCAGGGTAGGCTGGATTGGCTGGATTCGGGTGGGCCAGCTGACCCAGCGTTGGGTTTTCCTTGAGAAAGTCTGACCACGCGCTATAATCGAACCCATCAGGCATCAACTGACTCAAGCTGTGGTACCTCTCCATGTTCTCCACGTATTCCTTCTGCATACATGTCGGAACAGGCACCAGCTTCAGCTTGACTTCTAATGTCTCTTTCACTCCGTTGGAGAAGATGCCCAGAATATTCTTGCACACGCGACCGGTGACCATGGTCTCAGACTGTTCAGCGGGGGCATTGGGAGTGGCAGATGCTGACGCAAGTATCCATGAGAGCATGCCTTGGCCGACAAGAGGCGTCTCGTACTCGGAAAAGTCGTATGCGTAGACGGTGTAGTCGTGGCCTAGTTTGGCAACCAGTTCAGGGCTGGGGGCAGTGAGCGACGTGTGATCAAGAACCGAGGGGCGTTGTTAGTAGCGTACCTTGCGCCAACGATTGCCTGGATGCATGTCTTGAGCTCCATGACTCCCACCTGCGTGGTCTCATCGAGGGATACTACGGGTACGCTCAACACATTTGGCAGGCGGGCGAGGCAGTTTGACTTGTTCTGGTCGTCGAACGTGTACAGGACCTTTACTATAAACAGAACTGAGTCAGAGAGATCGATGCAAAGTACTAGACGTGCTTGCCTCGCATTGGTCTCCGCGGTATGTCGCCCATACTGTCCTCATCGACGGCGGCAGCGGACGGGGATGTTTGCTGCACGGCACCATTCTCCGGGGAGGTACTTGACGGAGTTGACATGACTGCCTACGAGTTGACAAAGATTGACAGCCGTGGAGGAGGAGGTGAGGGCGTGGTCGTGGGTCGCAAGGGAGGTGGTCAAGGTTATATCGCAATCGGTGGCTGGCGTGCGTTCATCGCGAACGCGTTGGGTGAAGGCCCAGAACAGGAACCAGAAACAACCGAAAGAGCGATTGAAAGGAACTTTAAGGTTCTTAAATAGATCTAAGGCCTGAGGAAGTCGCAGCAGGCAGCAACACGCGTCGAACAAAGAGAAAAGACCGTAAAAAGCGTCGTAGGGAACGAAGGCGTGAGGTGCACAAGAGGCACGATCGAGCATTGGAGGTTTGAAGCCATCCGCGCTGCGCTAACGCTGACGCTAACGCCGCCAGACGGAAGGAACGCGTGACGCACCTACCTACAACGCCAGAACAACGCGCAGCTGATTGGCCCGGCCTCGGAGAAACCACCTGCCTAGCGCCATCGCAGGCAAGCTCGCTCACTCCGACTCCCTGCATGTCGACACCCATCTCCGGCTGCTCCACCTCATCCAAGCGCGTTGCCGTGGTATTCTGCTCTCCTGTACAAAGTCAGTCATTCCGTCGTGGTCTGTGCATTTTCTTTGCCAGACCTCCACCTCGCCTGGTCCTATCGCGAGAGCAACAGAGAAAATTCGCTGGCAGATGCTCCCGCAGCAAAAACTTACATTGAACTAGACTATCGCCGCCTACCTCAAGCTTCCTCGCGGAATTCGGTATAGACAATATGGTGGACGCAAAGATTCAGTGCGTATCTAAACCCGCCCCTCGAGTCTACATGCATGCTAACATTGCGTAGAGAGCTCATGGCCAAGCCGCGGCACGAGTTGACGTACGTATAGGATTACCTCTTGGACTGGCAGGCATGGTCGCTAACACTACTGCCTAGTGAGTACGAGGTCGCTCAAGTCGAGGAGCATGAACTCACTACCGGACCCCTCTCCATCCTCCAGACCGCCGTCCGCTCGCGCACACAAGTCCTGATCTCCTGCCGAAACAACCGCAAGATACTCGCACGTGTCAAGGCTTTCGACCGTCATTGCAACATGGTTCTCGAGAACGCAAAAGAGATGTGGACTGAGACTCCGCGGTTAGCGAACGGCCAGTACGGCAGGAAGGTCAACAAGGACCGCTTCATCTCTAAACTGTATGTTACACCTCTCCTTTGTAACACAGTTTTCCTGCTGACGCTCAACAGATTCCTTCGGGGCGATTCGGTTATTCTTGTTCTGCTTTCATAAGCGTTGGCTGTACAGCGGGTTTGAGTCGGGCACAATATCAATCACGAATTGGAGTTTTTAGTGGATTAAAAGTTACATAACCATCGCACAGCTGGCGATTACCACCGAACGAATCAAACAAACGATACCCCAAACATTTACTTCTTCAATCCGTCACTCAGGCCCAGCAGTAACTCCGCGAGGCCGTGAGCGCCAGGATCTGGAACTTCTTGGAATCCTTCACCTCCGACATAAACCGTTCGTCCTAAGCTCGCTTTCATTCCTTTGGTCCCTTGCGCTCCTTCTTGCGCTGCTACAGCCGCTTTGTCAATACTCCCAGTCTTGGCCAGCGTTTCGACAAACGGATATAGAGCGTCCATCAATGTACGATCTCCTGGCTGGGCAGGCGTATATTTACCCAGGGCCTTAAGAGATGAATCGAGAGCTTTGGCCCAAATACCTGCGGTGACTGGTTGTGGCGATGATGGAGAGTTTTGTCGTAGACCATGGGCGAGTGCATTCAAGAAGATGGCATAGATCGCGCCAGAGGTTCCGTCCATGGACACCTCGACGACCTGAATAATATGGTTCACGAGAATCAGAAGATCATCCGTGTCCTTTGCTGTATCGAGCATCTTCAAGATCGCTGCGGGGTGTCAGTGCCAGGCAGCCATTCACGTGACCGTCACTTACATTCCGCGCCGCGCTTCAGCCCGATTCCACAATCGCCGTCTCCGACGATTGTGTCGAATCTCGTGACATCTGGTTCGACAGAAATGAGACGATCGAGTGCCACCCTCAATGTTGACTTTGCGAGACTAGGGTCGACTGCATTGAAGTCAGCAGAGGTCGCGATAGTGCTCGTTCGATTGCTTACCTCGCAGGTTGCTTGGCTGAATTTCTTCGTTATCAGCCTGCTCTTCCTGCTTCTTCGCCTCTCCTTGCTTCGCCCACGTTGCGCTACTGATTGCAGCAGACCAGCCACTCGCCTCCGCTGGTGCATCCAGTAGTTCTAGCATCGAAGAACCCACTCCGGTATCCGCTACTCTCAACAGACTGATGCTGAAGCCTAGTCCGTTCAAACTCGTCATGAATGTGCCTGAGAGTATACGAATGGGTTGGATCTTGTGATCCTTTGCCAATTGCTCGACAACCTCATTTGTGATTCCGCCCAACTCGAGCGGACTAACGCCTCCCAGGTTGTTTACCAGCAACACCACCTCGTCTTTCTCGGTGATTTTGGAAAAGCTCCGATCCTTATCTGCGGTGCTCAAGATATGCGACAGCATCGTCTTGACAAGTCCTGGCAGGTCGGTTGATTTCCGCTCGGAACCAGCTTCGTTATGGATACCCATGCCGATTTCGACTTCTCCCTCTTTCAGCTCATCTTCCTCTGGTTCCCGGCGTCCAGGGACGTGGACGTGGGACAGCGATGAACCAATTGATACTGTGTTGTCTGCGACGAGTTGAGCGATGCGCGTTACGTCCTTGAGACTCGCTCTACACTTCCATTAGTCTTCGGTATCCACCAAAATCTTTTGGAAATAGGAATGCATACCCCTTCGCAGCGAGCGCGCCCGCAATCTTCTGCACAAGCACTGTCCCCGCAATACCTCTTCGCCCTACTTTCCCGCCCTTCGCACGCCCCACGCCAGCATCGTCGCCTACTACGACCATGTCTACCTCGAAGCCTGCCGCCCTCGCTTTTTCAACCGCCATGCCAAAGTTCAACACATCACCCGTGTAATTCATGACTACTACCAAAACACCCTTCTCTTTGTTGACGCGGTGCAGTATGCATCGCCTAATCTGTTCTGCAGACGGCGATGCAAAGATGGTACCAGCTACTGCTCCAGATAGCAGGCCTGCACCAACGAATGATGCGAATGAGGGTTCATGGCCACTGCCGCCTCCAGACACGATCGACACCTGTGAGACGCCATTTTTGCGATAGATGATTTTATTCTCAATGTCGCATTGCACAGAGGGGTTCGTGCGCGGAATGGAGAGTAGTGCTGTGGTGACGAGGTGGGTTGGATCGTGGATGAAGTGTTTTGCTGGAGGCATGATTAGTCCAATCTCCCAATACAGTCAAATGCTATATTCTACGATTATGAAAAGAAAGGCCGCATACCCGACATGTTTGCCTTGTCTACTTTCGATGCTCAATTGCAAGTAAATCAATGCGTATCAATCAAGACAAAGGGGAATACTGCACAACACAACAGGACAGAAGACGGGAAAACGCAGGTCAAGAAGCTGGGCAACGCGGGATCTTCCCATCATGCGACACGCAGGGCACACCACACACAGGACACATGCACACAGGCCACCGCCTAAGCTCTTCCTTTTGGCACCTTTGCGAATACGGCCTGGAGCCGACGGAGCGCCTGCGCCTCTGGCACAACTTGATCGGCATTTGAGGGTTCGCGACTTTACTTGCAGTGGGGTCGCACGCAGGTGGGCGTGAGGGGTAGCTCCGGCGGGGTCCAGCCCAGATGCTCCGGTGCCCAGGCGCTAAGCTGGAAGGGGAGCGCATAGGCACTGCTTTCTGTTTGGGGCGGGTAAGCGGCGGTTCTAGACGGATCCCCCAGGGATGTCTGTGAGTGCCAAACGTTGGAATGGGGAAGTTCACGATAGTTTGCCAAACTTCATAGTCTCTTCGAGCGGTTGAGCTCCGGGTTTGAATTGTTGCTAGGGGGCTATGCTTGCCCCTTCGAGTATGAATGAGATGATGTTGAACCGTCCTAATATGGAAATATAATCTCACTCCCCCTAACGACATAAACGCCCGATGCTTTCCACTGTAGCGACAATTGGCTTTACATTAGCCATATTATGCAACAAGTTGTGCCAACTCAGGGGGTGCTAATGGACAGTGATCCTCTGAGTTCGAGAACTTGCTTTACTAATTGGATTCTTTCTATTTTGTTTGTGACTACCCCCCATGGACACCTCCTACACACTATAAACACCAAATCTCGCCTCCCCAGTCTCAACACCAGCCAGACTGGAGGGATTTGCGGATTTTCGTGACCGACTATTGGCATACTCATCGCATCACAAAGACGTTTGCCTATCTACAACTTCTGCAGACCACCCTCCACCCACTCAATCACCTTCTCAAGTAATCCAACGTCAGCCTTCGCCTGCTCAAGGGCCTCTTCGTCGCTGTCGATGCCTAGTGCGCCACCACCTTGGCGAAGCTCCGCCTGGAACCGGGCTGCAGCACTCTTGAGCGGTGTGAGGTAGTGGTCACCAATCTTGAGATCTTTTACACCTAGAGGCCCGTGAAGATATTTAGCCTGTAGTAGGAGGTAATAGAAGTTCAGCGCTGCGACGTAAAACCCAAGTTCTTGGCGGAACTGCATCCAAGTATCCGCCAGATCCGCGTCTGTGAACGCGTATTGCTTTGTCACATTTGGCCACAAGTAGGGCGCAACTGTTGACAATGCGACCGGTGTTGCGAAGATGCTTGTGTGCCCCTCGTCATCATCATGAGGGCCTGGAGCGTTGGCTTCCAGTGTTTCGCCCTTTAGCCATGACACCGCACTGGCTTTCAAGTTCTCGTACGGACAGTACTCGAGGGTGTCGCGGATAAAGGTAAGGCGAACGAGGTCATGGGGGTGAGATCGTAATACGGTAGTGGTCAGATAATGTGCATGACCGCGCAGACTGGGTGATGGCGTATTTGCTGAGATGAGTGATATAGCCTGGAGGTATTGCGCAAAGCTTTCGTCATCTTTGGGCTCGCCAACGTTGTTCCTCTCGAGGGCAATGAGGCCAAGAGCGACGATCACGTCGAGAAGGGCTTCTGGCTCCAGACCGACTGTTTGCGGGCCTAGCTGGCCGACAAAGTTGCTAATGATGGTAGCATGTCCTGGAAAGATGGGAATCGAGGATGATTGGGCATCCTTGGCCGAAGCATACAATTCTTGCTTTACATTCTGTGCTGCAATGAGAAATAGGGAGCCAGTCCTGGAAAGAGGGATATCGTCTGCGGTGGCCGGTGGCTCGTCTTCAGTACCAGGGACGCCTCGCTTCTCGACCTCGGCGTCCATGACTGTTCGCAAAAGCTCCTCGTACTCCAACCCCAGATCCTGTGTCAGAGCAACAACTTGTCCAAGTATCGCAACCCTAGATGTCAAGTCCTCATCGTCCGCGAAGCGATCTGCATACTTCTGGTAGTTGGGCTTATTTGGTATCCTCTGAGGCTCATACTTCTCCATCAATCTGCTGGCCCACGACAAGCCAGGAACATCATCGTCTGAGGTCAGAGATAGCACATAGTCTTCCAGAATATGTGTGAGAAATGACTGAAGTAGCCGGTTGACCAAATGAGTCTCTTCCCAGCTTGGCGCCTCACTCTGTGCTTCCGCATCTGGTTCGGACTGGCCGGTCCCTGTTCGCAGAAGATTCCCGCTACTTCGTCTTGACGGTAGATGCGGCCTCTTGGTCCCGGAAAGCGTCTTGACAAACTTAATAGCGGACAACGTGAGCTCTTCGATGTGCGTGTTGGCTCTATTGTATGCGACGAGCACAGCTTGCAGACTGGTCGAGAGAAATCGGCTTGGATACTTGGTCTTCACTCGTCGATGTAGTGTCGCTAGCACATCCAATAGGATCTCGAACTTGAGTACTGGTAATGGTGGTAGTATCGTGCGTTGGAACGCAGGGCTCGTGCTCGACTCGCCCAATCCGACCTCCGGACTTTTGAGCTTCCGTTCGCTTCCTTCTGCGCCATCCTCCTCTTCATCCGTCTCTTCATGCAGTTCCTCGAACTCAAGGAGTCGCAGCGCTTCCGTAACTTTCAACACGCATTCTCTAGGATTGCCTTTGGTCGCAATGTCTTGCAAACACTCTTCTGAAGCGGGAAGAAATGGAAGTAGCAAATGAATCAAATCCCAGCCGATAGTAGATGTCAACTCGGAATCCTGGAGAACTTGGTGGAGAATTGGCAAATTCTGTTCCTCAAGGTTGTATTCGATGATTGTCAGGTAGGTGATGGCATCTGTGACTGGCGGACGTGAGGCTAGGAGCGGGTGTTCCTCCTTCTGGGTTTGACTCGGATCCTGCGGTTCGGCCATGCCGGATTATTCGAGGCCTCGTCGTAGTCCGCGGTTGGGCAAATGATAGTGTCGAAGGCAATCGATAACGTGGCAGTTTGAAGATAGCGTGTAGTTTTAGTTTGTTGATCGAGGCAGCGAGTGCCCAGGCATCTGTCTGACGTTGACGCAATGGCACAGCCATCCCGCACTAAGCCTATATGACACTAGCCTACCCGCTAGCTCCCCGCTTCTGCCAAGACGATCGCTGCTGAACTTCGCAGACAACGTCGCAAAGCTCCAATTTCCAGACTTTCCGTCATTATACACGACCCACAATGGACGAGAAGGAAGAGACCAACGAGCCTCTCGACCTCGTGCGACTCTGCATCGATGAAGTCGTCATTGTAAAACTGCGCGGCGATCGCGAATTAAAGGGAAGACTGCATGTACGTGCACGCCCAAGCACCAGCTTCCCAAACCATGCTCACATTGGAGGAGGGCTAACAAGGAGACCTAGGCGTACGACTCCCATTGCAATCTCGTTCTCGGAGACGTCGAAGAGACGATATTCGTAGCGGAGGAGGAAGACGAGGACCAGGAGCCCCGCGTACGGACGGTCAAGAAGCAAAGCGAGATGTTATTCGTGCGAGGTATGAACCATTTAAATGCTATATGAATAGCGACTCGATTCTAACCAGTGTGCAGGTGACTCAGTGGTCTTAATCGCGCCGGCAGAGGGAACTTCGCAGTAAACTCCACTGTTTGAGTCCTGGCAGGAGCAGCGTACTTGCCCCAAGGAAGAAATACATCGGCAGATGGGACGATGGTCAGAGGAACGCCGGTACATGGTTATGGTCACAAATGAGATACCCGAAAGAGAAAAGGCGCAACAAATGCAAAAGGTGGAGCGGACTGTCCAATTGGCAGTGCATCAGACGAGGCATATTGGCGCAACATCTGAAGCACGATCGAAGGCGAATTGGATTATGGCTTCAAAAAATATGTGTGAAAAGATCCAATAATAAGACCGATTCTCGTCCACTCCTTGAGACTTTAGTGAGAGAGAGTGCCTTGTGTCCGCTTTGTCTATGTGTCGTCGATTGCTCAACTCGGCGCGGACAGCAGAGGTCCATTGCCGACAGGAATATCCCGTTTTTTGGTGACCTGATGTTCATCACATCACTGTTTGGAGCGAAGGGCTGCGGTAGACAGTGGCATTGCCGCTAGGTGTTGGATTCAGTTCGATTGTGCCATAACCTGTGCCGTTCATTGCTGCAACGCCGCTTCTACACTACTGGGAGGGGTACAGAGGGCAATCTCAGTCAAGTCACGCTGCCGCATTTTGAAGGAAACTTGTTTTAGAGAAGATACAAGCATTAAGCGCTTGATTGTCTACGGGAACGTACAGGATATGGATCTCGGTGCACCATGAAAATGCGACTTGTTCAGGTCGCACGGTGTGTGAAGTCTTGTCTATACTCCTTGCGTTGAAAACCCACCAACAATCCAAGACCGACCAAGACAAACAAAAGAAAAGGGGAACCGGATTTCGGTGCGCCGTGGTGTTTGTGTGATTAAACTAGTGTGCTAATATTCATGACTTCGTGTCGTCGTGATACGGGCAAAAGCCGCGCCTCCAATGCAAGCAAATACAGATTAAAGGGGAAAGGGTTGACGCGCTCCTTGACCTTCCAAAAGTCCCAAGAGGATGCAAAGTCCTATTGTTCAGATATCATTGTGTTGGAATAGCGAACGAGTTGGCGTTTGGGCGGGAAAGAGAGGGGCGACGAGGTTTATGCTAGGAAGCCGTAGGCGCCGTGCGCCTGTCCGAACGAGGTGTGAACTACTGAAGATTGGGAATATGGCTGCGATTGAGCCTGTTCGAGGAAACCGCCAAAACGCCGTGTGCCATCGGAGAACAATAAGCAAGAATGGAGAAGATTTCGATGATGACCATGTTGGTGTTGGTGTGTAGCGTGGTGGCCAGCTGGCCGCGTTGGGATTTTGACTGACGGGTGCGGTTGAACGATCTGTGTGAGGTGCATTGTGACACAACCCCTGTTACGCTCGTCAGAATAGGTAAGCCAAGAGCGACGCAGAGGTAAGTGGTTTGTTCACTTTCGCCTCCATGTCTGACTCGCACAGCTGTCTCTAGCCACGAAAGGGAGTTGGAAACCCTTGGTGACCTCCGACTCGACGAAAACTGATGCGCGCTTGTAACGCTTGTCGGTATACTTCTCGTACACGGCGGCATGATGCTTCTGGGGGTTGTCGCAGCATTCAAGGATAACGGAAATGAGCTGTCGTAGCTGGCCGAGAGTGTATCCCGAGTAATGTACGTGAGCTTGTGACTAGTTTGTGTTAGTAAAGGTTCATCGGAGAAAGGTGCATGAAAGAACATACCCAGTCACCCTTCTTCAACATGAAGCGAGCTAAGCAGTGAGCTCCCGCAGAGAGGAAGCTAGGAGCGCATCCGACAAAACGCTCGTCCATGACAGTGATCTCGAGGAAGTACTTGGATAGCGTGCGCGTCTCTAGGTCATAGTCATCCGCCTTGCTGATGCGGCGCAAGAAGCTCATGGGGCCAGGCCAGCCCAGCTCGAACTGAAGCATGCTGAGCATAAAGCGCTCAGCCTTGAGAACCTCGTCAGCGGTGTAAGCACCGTCAACCATATATACGATTTCTTGAACCGACGGGCAGTTGATCTCCTCGTATTTGGCAGCGACAAATAAAGCGGTTGCACCGACAAGCTGCAACTTGCCCAGGGAGACGACTTTGCAGGAGAGAAAGCGGTCGACATAGTTGACGGCGAGGAAGAGGGTTTCTGGCAGCAAGGTAAATCGGTTGTGTACCTGGACTAGCCAGTCCATGAGTACTGATCGCATGGACCATTGTATTTCCGCCTGGTGGTCCATGTACGTTGCATTAGGCTTCATGCGTTCCTCAAGAGAATGCATGTATTCGAAGATCTCGTCGCCATACTCGGCAACCATGGATGTATCCCACTGCTCGTCCTCGACGTCTTCGGCGGATCGGTTCGCCTCAACATAGAGTCTCGCAGCCTCGAGTTCACGTTGCGTCTTTGCTGTAGCCCGGGGGGCAAGCACGAGAGTGACACCGCCGGTCGTGTTGTCACCGCGCGAGCGAAGAGATCGAGCAGTGGTATAACCATCGGCATCGTAGTATTCCTCTTCCTCGTCTTCATCCCAGTACTCCTCGTGGTCGAGATTCTGCAGTCCGCTTGTTTTGGCAAGCTCTTCGTTGCGCTCCTGCTCTAGGACGCGTGCTTGCTCTTCGAGAGCATCCAAGTATTCGTACTTCTCCTCAACCTCCACACGCGTCTTGTTGTGCTTTACGTCAACCTTATGTTCCATGGGCGCCGGTACATCTTCAATCAAGACAGGTGAAGGATCGTTCGATAGTGCGGGAGCACGGTCCACCTTGGGAAATGAGGAAGGCTGGGATGACAATGGTTGACGCGAAGGTACAGGTGCGATTGTTGCCTCGGGAATAGGATCAGGATGTGGCTCTTTGAAGACGGCTGACTTGTTTGATAGGACCTTCCGGATGTTCGCCGTCTGCTGGCTAACCTCGAGCGTGACATGCTTTGGTACGGCCGACGCGACCGAGTCGGTGCCATCAGACGCGTTAGATTGCGAAGTGATGTTTGCCAGAGGGCGCTGCGCAGGTCGGAGCAGCGCATTGGGTTTTGTGAGCTCTTTCGCTGGAGCAACGGTTGACTCGTTCAGAATCTCGAGAGTCTTCTTCTTGCTAGGCACTTGTAGGTCATCCTTCGCTACCGCTTGTCGTGTTGTATTGCTGACGTCTGCGAAAACGGTCCGCTTAGCTGCGGCCGCTTTGATGCCTCCGACCTGCATCCGTGTTGACAGCACTGGAGTTGATTTGGTACGCTGATGGATCGTCATGCCTGCGGGTAGGTTCGGTGGCGCGTTCTCATCGCGTATACGGAGAGCCCGCATAGGGCGCTGTGGCTGTAAAAAGTCTGTTAGGAGGTGTTGACGTGTAGTCTGGGTGAAGGTGACGGATCGTGGCTGGGAGTAGTTGGCATAACAATGCACCCGATGTACCCTTGCGACGGCAAGGTCAGGCCAGGGGCAGAGGACAGGAGACTTACCTTTGCGTCCATTGTGCTTTTGGTGTGTCAATTGATGCCTATAGTCCTTAATGGATGTTGTGTTGACAGCGACCGTTGTCGAATGAATCGTTGGCGATGGCTCGATAGGGGCAGCGGTGGTCGCAGCGCTACAAGACAGTGGCCGATATAAGGAAACTCTCCATCTAAGTTGGCGGCGATGAGATACACAGGCAGAAATTGTCGGGCGACACGATGGGTGGTGATGACAACAGCGGCCTTGCTGGGTGTCGAAGATATATACAAGCTTCGAGTTGGGTAAACAATGCCAAACGCGCATAAGTAAGCTAGAGCTACGACAGGGATTAAGTGCGCTAGGCCCGAATCGCTGACATGACTCGCGTTGCGCACGGCAACCGCCAGACGGCTCTTTCCCGAGGGTACGCCGACGAATGACAGCGACGTCATCGCAGCCTGTCAAACGCGGGACCACGAAGAACATCGAAACCCCGTCTTTCAATGCGCTCGCCCACACACACACGATGGGAGCCTAAAAAAACCTTCACAGCATCTCCTCAATGCTGCCATGGATTACCGACCCTAATTTTGAATTTTCAGCGCCTCGGTGATCCGTTCTGTCCACCTACTCGTCGACGCGTCTGTTGATGCGCCAAGTGCCGGAAAGCGATGCGAAACATATGCGCTATCACGTGTTGGCCTTTCACGGTCGACCTTCTCTGAAACACCTTGTTGACAACTTTTATTGCCATAACAACATGCAAAGCCCGTCGCCAGTCTTCCACCATGGTCGCCATTGCGGTCGCGACCACTGCGCTGTGGTCTAACCCTCACGGCCAGCCCACTATGCGCAGCCCACAGCCTATCGATCATGTCCTGACACTGCATATCAAACTGTCGCCTACACACTCACCTTTTGTACGTCGCCATTATTCCACGCCGGTTGGGATGCCGAATTTTCCTTGGAGCATGCCGAGAAACTATGTTCCGTTCTCGTTATCGCATCTTTTCGCTTGCTTTGTCTCCGCCCACGAATTATAGGCCGAGAAGCTTCACCGACTGATGTGGACCGACGACATCCGCAATGAGACGCCTAGAGGTCGCAATGAGCCCACTTTGCGATTATCGGCCTGTCAAATAGCCCGCGACCGAGTTGCCGTCTCAAGGTTGCTTGCGCAAAGTGCGGGAGAGCTACAATGGACCATCAACCCCTCATCGCTTTAGGCCCTCATCCATGTCATAAATCTACAAAGCATGCTGCGCTACGTGTGTACACTCTGCGAAGCTTGCTCGTGCACATGCAGGGTCGGAAAACTCTAACAGCACGCGCAGCAGCGAACTTCAAGCGCAGTATAACATGGTGCGGAAATCCATTACTGATTTTGCGGATTGCGGTTTTGCGGTAGTTCCGTCATAATAGCGTGAGCCGAAGATGCTCAGATAACGTTACGGTGTAGTCCTTAGAGGCTCAAAAGAATCGCATGTCTCGCAAACAGTGTAAATTCTTTGATACTTATCAGGCGACTCTAGGAAGACTTGTCTGCGAAAGTGATCCCAACGAGCAGGTGTTTGGCATTAATCGTCGCGCGGAGGTTTCTTCCAATAGACGCCGAGCACCAGCTGCCAACGAAACGCCAGCGCTTCCCCAACCTGGGGAATAGGCATGTTTTTGGGCGTCCCAACTATATCTGCACTCGAAGGCGACCCAGAATTCGACGTCTTTTGGTACCTTGAAGGGCTCTGGGGCTGCGCATCAGGTGCTCGGACTGGGGCTGTTCACATGGAACGTACGCATGCATCGGTCCACCACCAAAGCGGCGTAACAACCTTATTGGTCAAGTTCGGGGGTATCGGGCGCTCTGGTGGCAGGATTTGGGATCACTTGTGCGGATACAAAGTTGTGATGTCGAGCAAGAGATTTGCTTGCCTCGTGGCATGCATACTAGACTGGTTCAACGATTGGGCGCATAGCTGGCGCCCGGAGTCTTCTGATGTTTCGACCTCGAACAGCGTGCCCCAAATACAGACAGCAAGAACTCTCAAGTGTGGTATGGCGCCAATGCATCTTTGGACCTATTTGTGTGACTAAAGGCTATGTGCTTCTTGAAGTGGTGTACATGCTAAGTGGCAATCGAGGCACCATCGGATGCGCTGCAACAGGAGAGTGCGCTTGAGCGTCTAGAGCCCTGTACCAATACAAATGCTGCCAAAATTGACTTTAGATACCAAGGCGACCTGCAATTCGTAATTCCGAGTGCAGTAGCAGGTTGCGTTGTTGCCGTTAAGCGGGTTCCAAGTCGCTGGTGTCGTCGTTCGCTAATAACCTTTCCCACCTGAGCCATCTTCATCCCTCCTCCTCTCTCCCACGCACACCTTTGTGGGCTCGCCAACACAACAACCCCCTAGTAAGTCCATGACCCGCTCATCAAGTATCCAATGCCCCTGGATTCGCAATTCAACATCCTCACAGCCCTGTTCTTCCCATACTCATGCGGCTGCTAACCTGACGCTGCCAGCCAGCGGCGGTATACGGAATCAGATCGCAGCACCTCGTGAGAGTCCATCTGGTCCCCTGAGCACCACTCTCGGTATGTATGCCTTTCAGTATGTTTATGCGACCGGATCAGCGTCTACAGTAGTCTACGATGGCGGCCCTTGAGTGCTTCAGCGCTGTCGTTGCGTCCTCCCTGCAGGGCGGCCAACCGGCAGCGGTGACGACTCCCAACAGCATCCCACTCGATGAGGGCTTTCCGGGCCACAATGAGAAGCATTGAGAACCTTACGGATCCTCATTGAGAACCATGCGCTAACATATCCCATCCCAGACTCAACATCCGGTTATCCTTCCCCGACCGCCATTTGCTCCAAGCCCTTGCGACACCGGGGGTAGTGCGCCGTCCACCCACACCACACATATACTGAACCTCATCGCAGAGGCTTTGGAATACAGAGTCTGTAACAGGAAGACTGGTCATGCAAGTTTCCAACCTTCTCTCGGAACCTCAGGTTTCAGGCCTACAACGCTTCCCTGAGACCGTAGAAGAGCTCATAGCGGGCCGGCAGTACGATCCAAGACAATCGGCTGCTGGATACGAAATGATCCCTCTTAGAGAGGACTCGAGCATGATGGATGTCTATCCCAGCACCGAGACGGCCTCGGCGCATGATTCGCTGTCACCCACAAAGCAGGTCCAGCCCAAGCACGTCAGCTTCGAGCTGCTGCTTCCTCAGTCCCCAGCCCACAAGGCTCGTTTACCAATGCGGGTGAACATCTACCCCCATGACACTACCGATTCTATCATTACAACTGTCAAAAATTTCTACGGTCTGTATGAGCGCAGGGGCGTCATCTTCGAGGACCGCCATGGCAACATCCTAATTGCCAGGTTCGAGAACTTCGAACATGGAATGGTGGTTTATGTCCGAGTATCCCCAGAAGACCCCGATGCAGAGGACTACTCACCTGCCCCTCGACAGCCGACGGCCTCGCCTCGTCGCCCTCGTCCCCATCTTGAGGAAGCCTTCCAGATGCCCCCACCTTCCATCAACCACTTTGTTGGTCCGAGGGCAGACTCTTACACTGGACGCCAGAGTCGCTCTCCAATACCAGGCCGTGGCACCAGGAGTGCTTCGGCCAGCAAGCGCATTCGTCCTTCCCTGAAGAGTCGTGGTAACAGCTCTCACGGGAGTTTCGCTGAAGCTAATGGAGATATTTACAGTGACAGTGACGGCGATCATGGTTCTGTCACCAGCTCACGTCGCTCAAGGAAGGAGCCTCTCGCAAGCGCTGACATTAGTGTTGACAACATTGTCGAGGGAGGCCGCCGAAAGCGGGCGAAGTTTGACAGCTCGGTGAGTACTTGCCCAATGGATGTAACACACATTTTTTTTCTAATGCCCATGTCTTTCGTAGGAGTTGCCTCTGTTCGTCCCCCCACAAGTCCCAATGACGGCGTCGCTGTCATCTGTTTCTCCTCAGCGACGTATTAGCGGTAACACTGCCGGTTCGCCTTACTCGGTCAATCAACAAACCTTCTCGTACTCGCATCCGCTACCATCGCCTCAGAGTTACGGCCAGGGCGAAAGCTCATACATGCAAGGACTGGTGACACCGTACTCTACCTCTAGTGGTCCAGTACAGGGATATAGAGCTCGCACGCGAGGCTCGGCACAACACGCTCACTACCGCTACTCTGGCAGTGGTGGCATTCTGCCAACACCAGAGACCACCCTTGGCAGCATCAGTGTTATTTCAGATGAGGATGTTGCTCGCCAGCTGATGCGCTTGGGCGATGCGTCCAACTTCTCCACGCATGGACGTACTTCGACCTCGACGCTTGACGATGCCTTTAGCGGCAAAGCTGATGCTGCTTCGTCTAGCGACGAGAGCGACGAGGGTAGCGAGGACGAAAGTGGGTTACCTCCACTCCCATACAACATGGGACGCATAGACACCATCCCTCGAGTTTATGATGAAGCGGAGAGCAGTGGCGAGGACTATGAGGACAGAGACGACTCATTCAAGGGTGAGAGCGATGAGATTGTGCCAGATGAGCACAAGGACCACCAGCACATGCAACTTGGTGTAGTGAAAGCGCGCTCGTCCGTTTCAAGCAAGTCTGGAAAGTCTGCCAAACCTCTCACCCTCTCTAAGAGCAAGGTCCGGACCAATGGGTCCAGCAAGCCTCCCATGTCGCCAACCTCGCTGCCTTCTCGCAAAGCTTCGAGTGCCTCAATCAACTTCCAGCACCAGCTCGGCGTGGATGAGGAGGATCTATCTAGCAAACCACGGTGTCAGCGATGCCGTAAGAGCAAGAAGGGCTGTGATCGCCAGCGACCTTGCCAACGCTGCAAGGACGCCGGTATCGGCGCAGAGGGCTGCGTCAGCGAAGACGAAGGCAACGGCAGGAAAGGACGTTATGGACGCCATATGGGTGTCTCGGTTAAGAAACCTTCGACTTCTGCTGCAACATCGATGGCCCCCCCACCGATGCACGACTACAGCCTGCCGGTAGAAGCCTTTAGCAGCGCCAGCATGGACAAGAATAAGAAGCGCAAGAGGTGACTCCCGGACACTAGCGCTATTGAAGAAAACAGAGTGAAGGCCTCCCGGGTACCGTATCACTTGTGTGAAGGTCGGCCTCCCACAAGTACTTGAATCACCCGAGGCCACTGTTTCGGACGTACGGGCACGAGGTACGAGAGGATACAACAGTGCGGGAAGCTCTATCATTTCTTCGCATTTCTACTGTCTTTTCCCCAGAATGCTATCGCTCTGCTTTGCGACGTCATATCGATATTGTGTGGAGTTCTGGATAGCGAGTATTTTTATTTTCGCGCTACACTACGCACTACAAAAGGACGTCTCTCCTGATTTGCGCTCCGCTCCTTAGCATGTTCAAAAATATTTACCACGCGCATAACTTGTTTTGGCTGCGCAATGATGGAACGAGTGGAGGGTTTGAAATTGCCCCGGGTGTTATTGGACTTGATTGGGCTGGCGCGACGGAAGCACCTAGGTATTAGGGCAAGGTGAGGGAAAGGTGATTAGAGGATTGGATGGTTAGGAGAAAGGGATCTGGTTGTCTGAGCTGCCCGCTTTCGCGGGACTTTTCATTTGTCTCGACTCTACAAACTGGTGTTTGGTACACATCTAGCTTACGATATTGAATGACATGCACTTTTCAAAATGTCGTCTAAGCAGCATGTTGGTAATGGAGGTAACCAAGGCTAAATAAAGTTCGAGACATGCGTTTCACGCCTTGAGCCTCGAGCAGGATTCCAATCATGTCATGTCACCCAAACCGGTGAAGATTCGGCAGTAAGAGTCACACAAGATTCATGCAGCCAAGTGGGGTCTTGCTCGTAAGATCCAAAGTCGTAGTGATATCCTATTGTACGCACAATGTAGCCAAGAGCCTGCTATGGCGCCATGTAGTTCGAGTCCAGTTGGGCGGGTGGGACCAGGCAGTGTGCGTCGAGTGTTCCGACTGTTGTTGAGTTGAGAAAGCTATTTTGAGAGATGAAGCCAAAGCTTGATTGCGGCAGGAACGGCTTTTAGTGGGGCAAGAAGTGGCTTTGCGGAGGCGCGGGGTGGCCTGAAGGATTGGGCACATCAGGGAGGGCTGGAGGGCTGTGTAGCCTTTGACCTCACACATGCTGGGCATGCTTCTTCCAATGATTCGTATCATCTCACCCTCGTCTGCCCTGTTTACGACCAACAAGCCATGAGAGAGGTCGTGTCTCAATCAACCTCCACTGTCGCTCGCTAACGTCACCCATCGCCCGCCTTTGCACACGTCCAGCCACACTTCGACGCCCTCGTAGCTCCCGCCACAGAACCATCTAGGCCATGGCCCAGAGCATCAAGTCGCGCATCGCAGCGCTCAACTTGGAAGAAGTTCACGCGCCAGCACCAGACGCGAAGCCCACGTACAGCTACGAAACCATCGGTGCGAAGAAGAAGCCTCCTCCACCCCCACCAAGCTCGCGTCCGCCCACCTACCATCGACAGCAGACAGTCAACAACCCCCCCATTTTGAGCAATGCGCCAACCACGGCGCGACAGCTGGGCAACCAGCCGATTGAAGCGAACGACAGTCCTAAGCTCTCGCCAGCGCTTCCTCCCCGTCCACCTCCACGAACGAGCAGCACACCTCGACATGCGCCAGCCCTGCCCCCGCGCAAGTCTTCGGAGAACAGCGTGAGGAGGCGCGAGTCTTCTGAGTCCATTAGCACAATCGCGTCAGGCATCTCTACGCTTTCGCTCGGGTCTGTGAAGACGAATGGTACAGGACACAGCAATGGGAATGGCACGCTATACCAAGTGCGTGCCCCGGCTTACGACCCTTCGAAGCTGCCTCCACTGCCACCAAAGAGAGCACCAGAGGATCCAAAGCAGAGCAAAGCGACGTTGGATGCAATGAGAAGTAAGAGGGATTATGTGCCCAGTCAGGCGCTCCCGCCACAGCTAAAGACGCCAGGTAAGTTGGAACACCGACGGCTGAGTAGCTTCAGAGACCTTTGCAATCGCTCGTTTGCAACTACATCATGGGCCTAATCTAACAATTGATATAGAGCTTCCTATGAGACCCTCATTACCGCCACGGCAATCAAACCTACGGGGCAGATCACCTGGCCCTGCGGTTCCTGCAAGACCAAACACAAACACTTCGTCCACGTCGAACAACCAAACAAACAGAGTCATCTCACCCCCGCCCCGACGATCAGCTCTCGAAATGGGCTTCAACAATAAAGCACCTGCTCCTCCTCCTATTCCTTCACATCGACCGTCATCGGCTGCCACAGACACAACCCCAAATCCTGCCGGACCACCCATCCCACTAGCTTCGCGGCCTAATCTTGATGCAATCATGGCATCGAAACCAAAACCAGGAACAGTCGGGGTTTGCCTTCAATGCCGAGATTTCTCAGCTCCTGATGGTCATGCTGCCCGATTTCCTCGCACTCAACTCCCGTCCTCAGATGTTGGATGGTTGGCTCATCAGCTCTGCTCTCCATTCACGTCACCTACGGACAAGGCGCGAGCAATCTTCACTTGGCTACATCACAACGTCGATTATGACACCCATTCCTTCTTCAACGGAACTATTCAACCAAGCACACCTGAGAAAACCATAACGTCTGGGCTAGCAGTATGCGAAGGCTATGCGGGATTGTTCGCGGCTCTGGCACTCAAGGCAGGTCTTCAAGCCCTCGTGTGCTCAGGAGACGGCAAGGGTTTCGGCCACAAGCCACTGGAGCCCGGCGAAGCGGTGCCAGCGTTTGAGTCAAACCATGCGTGGAACGCCGTCAAGATTGACAACGGAGAGTGGAAGCTTGTCGATCCCTGTTGGGGCGCCGGGCACATCGGTTGCCCCAACCGAAACGAGGGATACGTAAGAAAGTTCAACCCTGCCATGTTCACAATGGACAACAGTGAGTTTGGGATGAAACATTTTCCGAGTGACAACTCACACCAGTTTCGCACTGACGGGCGAGTCATCTCCTACGAAGAGTTTAAGAAGGACGATATGGGTGGCCGGGTACAAGTCATGTCGGACTGCGAGCCTGAGCATGGCGTTGGAGAGCGAACCATCCAGCCTTCTCAACTCCAACTCAAAGTCAACGATCCGCATGACGTACCAACCGTCCGGTTTCAGTTCGCTGCAATCTGCCCACACTGGGACAACGCACGCCATGGCAAGGGTGCGCCATACGTTATGCTCCTTAGTATCGCGGGTAGAGATGGGCGTAAGCCGGAACACCGGCCATTTCACACTGATAACCGTGTCTGGTGGCTTGACGTCCCTCGGACTGAGCTTGGTGCGCCGGGGCAGAAGATCAGCGTCAATGCAGTCACGGAATTCAATAAAAAGAACGCGAGGGGTCTAAGCTATGAGACGTGGAACAACAAGACTTCATATTCGTGTAGTTTTGGTACCTTGTGCATGTGGGAGCTGGTCTGATAGGTCGACGGATGCATGATTGCTCAATGGATGGTAAGGATGGTGTTATACAGTGCGGATACCCTGGACTTTGATTTGCATTTATGGGGAGGAATTGGCTCTGCATGTAAATGATTGCTTTTAATAAATAATATTGGTACTCTCGTTACACAAGCATGTGCGATGATATTCACATGTGTCACCCGTAGACACACTCATGCTATATTTGCGACATTTGACGGGTCCTGTGCAGATATGCAGCCCTACCAATTGTAGATTATGTCAGCGGCTGTTGTGGCTGACACTAGCGTCTTGGCGACGATCCGCGTTCTCGAAATGTGCAGCAAAGCACGGCCACCGGGTCGCGACCTTGACCCTTACCTCCACCCGTCAACGTTTGGGGGTCGCCTGTCAAGAATATAGCCCACGGCTCTGCCGAGTCTCTCTCCGCAAATATGGCTTCTGGATTCGTCGGTCTTTCGGTTGCTGTGACGCTGCAAAACCCGCCAAATACAATCGTGTATGGAGTAGTCGCAGCCGTCAACCCGCAGACTGCTACCCTGACGCTAGAGAACGGTTCGTTGCAACTGTCGACACGTGCGATGCTCAATGACTGACATTTTGGCACAGTTTTCTTTCCAGCGACCGGCCACCGTCTGACTTCTTACCATGTGGAAGGGCACGCGATCGCTGATATCAAAGTCAACGCATCTGCCCCCGCCGCTCCGCACCCTCTCCCACCGCGCTCCAATCCTCCGCCGTACTCGCAGTATCCTCCTATCCATGTTCAGAGAGCCCCAACGAACGTCGGTCAGCAAATTCCACACCTTGTCAGCCAATCGTCGCTGCAACATGCGAGCCAACCGGTCCGTCAGGCGTCCCTCCAACACACAAGCCAACCTAGCCGTCAATCCGCACCGCAGCAGGCTCAAGCATCTCCCTTCGTGGACCCTGCTATCCTGAGCCTGGGCAAGCGGGCCTCTGCTGCTACTTCGTCGAACCAACCCGTAACCGCGCCACCTCAAGAAGCTCCAGCTACACCTATCAAACCTATCTCTGCTGCAACTGCTGCGCCCCTGCCGAAGAATACTTCCCCGTTCGTTGGCTATGCCAAGGGTGTTCGAAAGCCGAGTGCGGCGACGTTGGAGGGGCCGTTTTCGTCGTTGGACATTGCGGATGCCGAAGAAGCAGACAGTGAGACAAAGACAGCCCAACCCCCAATGCGGAGGGCGAGCATCAATAAGACACGGACGGGCAAGCCTATGGATGACCCGAGCCCGCAGAAGGTTGAGGATGGTGGCAAGAAGACCCGGAGAGGAGGTAAGTCGCGGAAGAAGGAACTTGCAGCCCAAGAGAGGAAGACCGGTGAAAACCTGCACTCCGGCCCGGATGTTGTCAGGAAAGGGTATGTTTGCATCTCTGCGCTTGCGCAAATGAACAGTGTCCCTGTCATGCAGAAGCTAACTAGTAATAGCAAAGGCAGCGGTTGGAGAAACACCCCTATGCTTCAAGATGCCGGGCAAACACAGGCACGGACACCAGGAGTTATTGGAGGTAGAGTTGGTCTTGAAGCAGCGCATGCTTCAGTCCGCAAAACCCGACGGCAAAAGGCACTCGAAACCACCAACGGCTGGGCTACGGAAGACGCGACAGACATCCAAGAACTGCCCGAATTCGACTTCCAAGAAAATCTCTCCAAATTCGACAAGCGCACTGTGTTCAATCAGATCAGAAACGAAGACACGACCGCGGACGAGGATCGCCTGGTCAGCTTCAACCGGCTAGTGAGACCTGGAACACATGGTGGCAAGAATTTACACCCTACCGAGAATGTGCTGGATCGGAAGAAGAGCACAACCAACACCAGCTCTGAGGAGGACTCCGACTTTGGTAGTGGGCGCAACTCCAAACGGGCAATGTCAAGAGCTTCTGTCAAGAGAGCACCGACACGACAAGGCAGTGGCGTTCAGGCAGAGCTGGACCTCATGGGATCAGGTCTGTTACCACGCGGCAGTCGTTCATTCATCAGCCGACCGTATGCTTCTTCGCATGCCACTGGGAGTCCGAAGCCAGGGCGCATTACAACGCCTCCAGATTCGCCTCTTGAGAGTGGCGCGCGAGGATGTCTGCGTCTAATCTCCAACAACCAAAAATGTTACACAATCACCTCTGGCGGCATGCTCGCGGTCGAAGAAATAGCCAAAGTCGAATTCGGTCTTACGGAAGACTTGATTGCGGAAAACTCGGGACGGGGTATCGCAGAGGTCGCACTGACAGCCATTAATCCTGGCGGTCGACGCTTAGCACGCGACAACCCGAATGCAGATCCCGTCATTGTTGTTCTAGCAGGCAACCACCGAGGTGGAGCTCGAGCCGTGGCAGCAGCCCGTCATCTCCAGCAACGCGGGCCAAAAGTCATGGTGGCGCTACTCGGTTTTGAGCGCAATGCGGACTGGGATAAAGACGTGCGGCGACAAGTCGATCTCTTCCGCAAACTGGGCGGCTCGGTCCGCGCTTGGAAAGACACAGAAGAGGCTCTCAAGCGGCTCCAGGCGCCACCTGAACTCATCATCGACGCCCTCCTCGGCCGTCATAAAGAGTTTGAAGCCCTCGGCGAGGAAGACCGACGGACTGTTCTCGGCATCGTCGGCTGGGCAAACAAATCCCGTGCCGCGTGCCTTGCAGTTGAAACACCATCGGGTGTGGGCGGGTCAACAGGTGAGGTGGCCATTTTAGAAGGCGAGCCACTCGAGGTCAGAGCAAAGTACATTGTATGTCTCGGCGCTCCGAGGACAGGCCTACTAAAAGCACTCCAAAATGGCGCGGGACGCGACCCGGTGTGGTTGATTTGGGTGGTCGACGTTGGAGTCAACAAGCCATGGCGGAACGCTGGTATCAGTGGCGGGAAAGGCATCAAATTTGGAGAGCACTGGGTTGTGCAAGCTCGCTTCTCGGAAAACGAGGAAGCTGTATGATATATCGTAGGTGGGGTTCGTACTTTTTTTTTTTTTGCATTGCGTGGGCGTTTTCTCTTTCATCTTATCTAATGAAGCGGTGGGGCGGTCACTTCACGGGTCATGGGAATACGAATACGATCATGGGATGTCACAGGTCATATCTTTTTTCAAAGGCTAGAGATGATGGGATTATTCTAGCGGATATTATTTTGACGGTAAGGGAGTCGCGTGGCTATTTAGCTAGCGACTAGCAGAGAAATACACACAAACACAAGATATTGCTCCGTTCTTTGGTTTGAATTTCTCGTCTTAAGTCCTTCACATGGGCAAGGTGACCTTGCAACACCCTTCTTTTTTTGAGTATCATTTTGGTTTCATATATAACGCAAATAGGGCATCGCACTCTAAACTTTCTGATATCTCGCCAGGGGGTTCGAGTTATTTCACATCATTTCGATTCGACTCTGAACTTCTTATCACTCTCGGTGGTGACGTGCCATTTCCCCCTCCTAAAACCCCTCTTTTTCAGAGCGCCCATTCTACTTTTTTTTTCTTGCCACGGTGTTACTCCTTAATACGTATATATCTGCTTTGCTTCAAGGCATAGTCGGAACTCTCTTAGAATTAGGGGTAGTGTGCCTAGTCATTCCGCCTAACTGGTGGTGAAAGCTCGACTTTCTTGATCTCTTTCTCCGAGTCGACAATGGATTTCGTATCGTCAAGTGCCCAGTACGGAGACTTGGAAAAGGGCTGTGGAAGCCTACCTGCCCATCTACCCCTTTGAGACGAATTCTTTTCCGATGGAGCTTGTTGTGGGCGTGTATCTAATCTCATAACAGGGCAACATAGAAGCAGGAGAGAATGGCCAAGCAAAGTAGAAAAGCGAAGTCATAATGGTGATCCCGCGCTTCCCTTCTCGACACTCGTCACGAATCCACACACCCTCTTCACCAAGTCTTGCACCACTTCTTCCGGATCAGTGTCAAAGGCGTGGTGACCGCCTGGAATCACACCTCCATCTTTATCGTCGACGACTCCGCCACCCTCGCGAATAATCCTTGTCCAGCGTTGCAAAAGCTCAGCTTTATCGACCGATGCAGGAACAAATGGATCCTCGCCTCCAAGCAAGAAGCACACGGGTGTGCTCTTCGGTATCGCGCCGAAAGTCTTCGCGAAGTGCTCGTCTGATAGATCGGAGGAGAAGTAATCGTCGTCTCCGCCGGGCGCGAGGAGCGAGTACGTGCGATACGCCGTCATGGGCGCACCGAGTTCCTTTGAAACCATATGGGCCTCCATGACCTCTTTTCCTTTCCCTTGGTCAATCATCTCTTTTGCATTCTTGACAATGGCGTCGTATACGTCATTCTCTTCGCCTTCTTGCAGCATATCTGCCCACGCCTCCCGATCTGAGACTCCGCCTTGGAGAATGACTCCAGCTAGTCCAGGGCGCTTGCTGCTGTCCTTGCCAATCACATACTCCATGATGTCCTGACATCCCGTCGAGTGCCCTAGCACTACGACCTTCTTGCCCGGTCGCAGGGTATTGAAGTATTCGACACATTCGCCCAACTCTCGTGCGTCACGAGCCAGACTCCCAGTGCCCCATCCTTTGTATGAAGACGAGAGGAGGACCTCTACGATGACCCAGGATGAGGGCAGGGACGCAGCGATGGCGGCGGGATACGGTACGGTGAGTAGGCCACCTGCTAGACCGCCAACATAGAGGAGTGTATTTGGCGCGTCGTTGGAGGAAGCTTTCGAAGAGGATCCATGCTCGAATGCGACGAGGCGATTGGAGTACTTGTGTGCGATGCCTGGATGGGCCATTGTGTCTGCCGTAACGGTTTCAAGAAGGTTGTGGAAGCAAAAAATGCGTAGCAAAGTGAAGATATGAGAGAGAAAGGGAGAAACGCAGCGCTGTAGTGAAGGTAAAGCGAATGTTCACTGGCGGGCCCACCCCACTCGACAAAATCTTATCAGATGGTGGGGTCACTTTTCCGACACCGGAACATTTCCGCGCTATTGGGATAGTAACAATAGCATTTGCGCAAGTGACGACTCTAAAAGTACTGAGGACTTCCAGGTGGTATCATAGTATATAAATCATGCGCCAACTCGAAAGTGCGCCCTAAAATCCCTGGCCGTTCAACGGCCCAAATCCCGTATTATATGTGCCACTTTGTGGTCCCCAGCCAACGATATTGTCAGCTATCATGTCATTCCAGAGGTACAAGTCGCCATGCTGAAATGCAGCCGAGAAGTCGCCTATATCTGGTGTGAAGGTTGCTTGATCGCCAATGGGTTGACTGGAGCTGCCAGTATCGAGCCAAGATGGATAGAGGGTACCAAGGGGGAGTTGGGATGTTGAATGCATGTCCTGGTGCGTCGATAGCTGCATAGTATTTGAAGACGTTGAAGGCAGTGGATTGGGTACCGCGAAGGTAGGCGTCTGGTTGCCTGTTGCCGTCGCGCTCCTATCCGCACCATTCATCTTTCTGCGCTTCAAGTGGCGACCTTCTTTGCGCCACTCTTGATATTCGACCCACCATGACTTGAGTTTAGCCTCTAGCACAAAACTCCAATGTGATGGTATGCGACAGTTTTGCGGCCCCGTCGCTTCAGACGCTTTCTGCATCACAGTGTCAAGGTAATAACCCACCTTCAGACTCTGGCTATCGAGTAACTCTTCCATGTCTGGATCCGTGCCGACAGCATATTCTGCCTTCATGAGTGCCACGAGGGCATAAATAGCCCTAACGTAGATTACATTAGGCGCCCTTTGTAACTTCTCAGTGGATATTGAGATGAAGCACTCTAAAATCGAGTGTGCAGCGCTGATACACTTCGTCGTGGCATTGATTTGTAGGGCGGATCGTGAAAGTAGAGACTCAGGTTGCACACTGTCATCGTCCAGAGCGGGAAGTGTGAGATGTCGATTGCGAAACTCGGTGACGTCGTATTGGCCTCCGTCCATGCCAAACTCCCACATCGACAACATATTTTGATGGAACTCCATTGTTGTAAATACTATCACATTAGTTCACGATGCTTACAGGCGACCGAGTAGCACTTACAGGTCAACACATCCTCTGGAACAGATCTCTTCCAATCTTGCATCCTACGATCGAAAATCCTCAGAACGATTTGCATCCGCAGTTCAGACAGGCTGAAGCTAGTGCTCGCATCGTCAAAGCCAAACGCTGTGTTCGCCTCGTCGGCGATTCTTTGAAGCTTCAGCCATGCGATGATCCTCTTGTCGTCTAGTAATTTTGATTTTTCGAGCATGTTGGAGCATTCTGCCAACCAGCTATTGAATAAGAGGATATTGGGTCGCTTTAGTCTCATTGAGAAGCCAGCACTGATAATATAGACCCATAGTACGGTTCTACAATGTTCGAGAAGCTCTTCAGGAGACGAAATCTTTGGTAACGATCGGATTGCTCGTTTAGGAAGTTGTTCGTGCGTTCTAGGTTTGGAGGCGAGGCCAAGTTCGAGCGCCATCGAGGCCGCCATGTTGACCCACTGATAGATTTGCAATTGTCCTGGAGTTTTTGGAGGCGAGTTGTAGGCAACTGTAACAAGCAATGCTTGTATAGCCTGTACGGACTTCTCGCCCTTGATGAAGGCCGATCGCGCATAAACATACACTGCTTCTTCATGCAAGCTGTCCGATAAAGCAGATCCCTTCGAGTGTGCAGCCGCGGCCATGATGGCATGAAAGAGCGCTGGCTTCTTCGCCCTGAGATCCAAGGCTGTCCATTCTCTAGGTATTGTGATACCAGGACATGCATGGACCAGCTCATTACTCCAGATAGCCAACAACTCCTCAGCTTGCTCTTCTGTAATCACACCACGGTCTATGATATCGTTTTCCGCAGGTCCTAATAAATCCCTGGGACCGCAGCTATTAGTGGGACCTGCCACCGGTGCCTTAGTTGCAGGTATAGTAGGCCATTGGATGGGGGGAAATGTGGTAGCTGTTGCGCTGCCGTGGGTCTGTGGGTCTGGAGATATCTCTTTCTCTCCATGCAGCGCTTGCTCGTCGGATTGCTCGTCCACGGACTCATGGTCACTGATATCATTGGATGACGGGTTGTTCGATTTCAGCAGGCTGCGCATCTGCTGAATCTCCTTTTCTAACTCTGTGACTCGCACGTCTGTTCTTTTCCGCTGGCGCCTTTTAGCCGGTGGCGCGAAGACACAGGCCTTGCCGGCTTTTGCGCATCTTTGGCATTGGGTTGACCCTGCCACCGGATTGACCAGGCACCGAACTTTTGACACTCGGCAGGACTCACAAGCTCGGTTCAGGGGCTGATCTTGAGATTTCTTGGGTGAATCTGAGTCATGACTATTGACACGGTGGTTCGACATCGTCCAGGGCTTTTCTGTTCCGCTTCGTGCGTTGGTTTGGCTCACCTGCTCCGAAATGTTCATTTCGAGATCCTGAAAGACCTCTTGAACAATCGTTGAGCAAGTCTGGATATCTTCGATGGTAGAACCCGCTGATATGGGGCATACAAAACGTATTCAAAGTTATCCTCGCTCTTGCCAATTGCTCCTTTCCATGATATCTCAATGTTCCAGCCAGCGAGAAGGTGAGTTCCGTGGAGTTTTTCGGACCAGCGCCTTGTATCCAATAACAAAGCCGTCACAGTTTCCTTGCGACCGTTGGATACAGGGTAAGATCGTGTCTGGATGTTGAAGTTGGTGAATTGGACGCCTGGAAGCCGCGCGGATTACGTCCCCAAGTTCCATATGCATTAGTACTAAATAGGTAAGGTTAGTGCACTCGCTATCTTCCTTCTTGTTTCGCAAGTACCTACTATTTTCCACGATAGTCAACGATGGATGTTCATAGAGGCTATAGCACCATTCGTAGACTTTGACGACACATGATGAGAGGTTTCTGATCGAGACTTTTCACATAGGGGTGGATTTTAAAGTCGCATCATCAATAGCTATGCGAAAACTGTACCGCCTTCTTGGTATAACATAAAACGAAAGAAGGAAAGGTATTTATTTGCAGCTTGTTTTCAATTCTAAAGTTCAAAAGCTAAAGTAAATCAATCATACTATGTATGTACTGAAAGCAATACATATAGATAACAGCTTATGTCACCTCTCCGGCGTCCCACGGTTGCCCGCCGGAAACCCAACTGTCAAACGAAGGGCGTGCTAGCGCGACAGAACACATACAAGACCTTGGGACGAGCCCCGAGACTTCGAGAGCATGCTTCCGCTGCTGTCACGCTCACCAATATTTTCAACTGCGCTGCAATGGCTATTTTATCAAGTTTCCTCTCCTGTTTATTGTATACTTTTAAAACGCGACGCAGATGAGTCAAAGTAAGCGCCAAGGCAAACTACCAACTCTCTAACACTTTCAACGCAGTAACATCATAATCGAACTGGAAGTGGAATCGATCAAGGAAGATTCTACATATCATCATACTTTATACATGAATGTCGCACTCGCTAGATGAACTATGGACTGCAAAACCCCTTGCGACACCGAGCCATGTCCCGGGGACGCCTTCTCGCTAACGCCAAATAAGGTCGCTTAGCACAACCAAAACCAGAACTTCTCGAGGAAGTTGCGCGGAATCTGCTCAGGCCAAACCTCCGCATCAAGAGCAGCCTTGCCTGTCCAAATGTCTGCCTCCGCTGGGATGACGAACTTCGTGCGCTTGAAAATCTTCCAGAAGGCATACAACAGGACGAAAATCAGAACACCGACATAGGCCGTGAAGAAGCTGGTCAGCTGATCAGGACCCCAAGGCGATTGTGTGAAGACCTTAAACCCGTTGAAGACGAGAATAAGAGCGAAGTACGTGAAGGCAATCCACGCGGTGTAGGGTTGAAACACGCTCTTGAACACCAAAGTGTTGCGGTCGACGCCCTGAGCAATGAGAGCCTTGCGGAAACGCGTGTATGTGACACAAATACTGCACCATGTGAAGAGCTGGGCAATGGTCGTGAGGTTCTGGAACCACAGGAAGACCGTATTTGCGCCGGTGGAGACGCTCATGTATGTGATCAACGCTATGGAAGCGGTGATGGCGACGCAGTAGTATGGGACACCGCTCTTCGTGCACGTAAGGAGGAATTTGGGGGCCTGACCGTTCTGGGCGACACCAAAGCTGTTTGTTGTTAGGTCTTCGGGTCTGAGCAATGGGTAGGTTGTGTTGGGAGTACTTGCAGGTAACGGGAACCAGTATACAGGAACGCATTGCCGGACGAGGTAGCCGAAGTCAAAATGACAGCGTTGATGATGTGTGGCAGGACAGGTATACCTGCATTCTTCATCGCAATGACCCAGGGCGAGCCCTGAGCACCCTTTGCGGAACTGTCGCTGAGCTGAGGGTCGTTGGAACTGACGGTTACTCTGCACTACCATTAGCATATGGCGGTGACTGATGGTATAGGTGTACGTACCCGATGATGAAGGAACCTAGAACGTAAAACGCTAAAATACGCCAGAAAACCCGACGAACAGCCTTGGGAATGTTCTTGCGAGGGTTGGCAGCTTCACCAGCAGCAACGGCAACCATCTCAACACCACCATAAGAAAATGAAGCATTGACAAGTGTACTCCAAAGGCCCGTGAAGCGTCCAGTAGCACCAGTCCCAACATACTCCTTCATGGCGCCTTCTTTCCAGTAGCGAAATCCACGACGATCCTTATCCGGGGCGCCCCCGAGCATGATAACAAGACCAGTAATCAACAGACCAATTATTGTGATGATCTTGATTGAAGCAAATATGAATTCTGCTTCTCCGTAAATTGAGACAGCGAAGATATTCAGGCCGACGATGATGACAATAATCAGGGTTATCCAGATTCTAATATACGGTTAGTGGATTTCTCATTCGAATCTCCTACTTGACTAAGACTCACGCAGGGGAGTACTTTTCCTCCTGATCCCAGAAGGACACGACAACGGCGGCAGCAGAAATCTCAGCACAGAGAGTAATCGCGCATTGGTACCAATTATTGTAGCCGACCGCGAATCCAAGAGCAGGGTCCGCATAGCGCGCACAGTATTGAGGAATAGCACCAGGGAGAGGAAGCCAAGTCGCCATTTCGCCCAGACACTGCATCATGGCGAAGACAGCGCAGCCAGTAATCGTATAACCGAGGAGAACAGACACAGGGCCGGCATTGGCAAAAGCGTCCCTGATGCCGAGGAACAAACCAGTGCCTAAACAAAAGATATAATCAGCGCCTACGCCATGGTCGAGCTATCGCTAGTTTGTCGAGTTGTACTTTGAGTGCAGAGATGTTTTTGATTACATGAAACATTTCAAGGTAGGCTGAGTTGACATACCTATAGTTCCGCCGAGTGCAATAAACTGGATATGTCGAGACTTGAGGCCTCGCTGGACGTATCCAAAGTTCTCAGCAGTTTGGACATCGCCGTAGAGATCAGCAGCCTCGCTGATGTGGTTGGCTTTGTGGTCGACATCCTTGACGCCATGGTCTGATGGCGAGTCTGCGCCTATAGCATACTGCTGCTGCTTCTCGTAGTCGTTCACCGACATGTTGAAAGTGTGGGCGGAGGCCGGTTGAAAAGAGAAGGGTGATATGGGTACGACCTTAGAAAGAGAAGAGTAGGCGCAACGGCCAATCGAAGGGACGAAAGTGAACTCGTCTGGAATGGAATCGCACGCATCGAAGGCGTACAAGGGCTATCCTTATATCGGCAGGCTCGCGATGGTCTCACAATCTCTAGACCCCTCGTTCCCACCCCCGGTGCTAAACACAGTAGAAACGCACAGACCAAACAGTAGAGGCGACTCAGATTGCCCAACTAGCATCGGCGTGGTTTGGATGTCACCAGGGCTGGAAGGCCCGAGATTGCTATGTCTAGCGAATCAACGAGTGCAAGGAATGCGGACTCGCCGTCTTGCGCACGCAATACGGCCAGCACTTCCTACACTTTGCGTAAAGCTCGCTTGAAGTGCTCGATAAGGGTGGGCCCGCTGCCCTGGGAAGGATTGTATCGAGTGACGAGCCATGGCATCAAGCAAGCATTCGCACTGGGTTGGTCATGGGGTTTGTCTCCGCAAAGCGCTCCAGACTCGTCGCCGCTGTTGCTCTCAACCCTCTCTGGGATTTCTCCATCGCTCTCAACTAAGTCGCAAACAAGCTTTTACTGCTGTTTCCGTCTGATGTGGGGCATGCGACACTGGCAGTCGGGCTACAAAACGTCCATTGTTATTCGCTCCACGTGCGATTTGACATTTAAACAAGCCTTGATGCAAAGAGCCATCGGCGCGCTAGGCGTTCTGGGCAAAAGACAATCATCTGGTCCACTAAGACAACCGTCCTATCGCCGGCCAACGGGACAATGACTGCATCGGCTGGTCCTTGATAAGGAATCCTTCTGGAACGATTGATTCTTAGCGCGCCACCACACGGCAGCCGTCATAGCTCGCGAGCGCGCAATCGGGATTTGAGAGGCCTCAACGCTCACTGGTTTTACCTGAACGACTCCTGATAAAATCCATCACAAACCAGAGGATTTCCGGGCATGTCTAAGAAGCGCGAATAGAGGTCAACCATGTCGCGCGACTAGTCTCTCCAGAGTGGTAGATGTGTGCACTTTCAGCGAGTCGTGCCTCTGCGCCTACTGCCCTTCGGCTGCAACATGGTGAAAAGTTTGACCTTCCTTTTCAAGCTATAGGGCAGAAAATCAACCTGACTATCGCGGCAATGTCGAGCTGGTGTTGTCCACTCAAAAATGGATGATGCGCCATGTCTCATACGCCTCCAATTACTGCAGGTGCCCAAATCAACTTGATGACATCCGGATCCTCGAGACGCACTCGACATGCTTGTGTCTGGCTAAAGCCTGACGTACACAATACGGCGTGGCGTATACAAGGGTCCCCGCACAGTGGTATTCACTTCCTTTACCGATCATACGTTGCCGCCAGTGAAGCAGCAGAGAAGGGAAGGACATAAGCAAAGGGGCTGGCTCGTACTATCAACATAACCACTCGCGTACTTTGCCAACGCAGACCCCTCTACTTAAGAACTGCCCGATATCGAAGGTGCTCGTGTCTTTACCCTTGGCAACATGTACAGCTCCAACTCCGGTCCTGTCAGACTCCTCTTATCCAAGTAAGCAGGAGTCTATCCGGTATACAGCACTGGCAATGCTGGAGTGTGTTTCATCCTTTGGAGGCAAAATATGACCGTAATCAGTCGATGCAACAGAAGTGCCGTTGGACTGGCGCAAGCGCGAGCTTATCGCGATTCTAGAGGCACTCCCTCTACAATTCCGTTGTGGCTTTCTCTTGCTCATATCATTACAACAAAGGTATTTTGTAACGATAAGGCTAACTGCTAGGGATTGCATCTGGGCCGATTATGTTTCGATGTTCGAAATGTTCTCGCCGCTATCTGTGGTGCTGGCGCTCGTTCAACGCCCTAAGAAGCTTCGCCCGGCACTTCAACCCGGCGCTTCGGCGTCTTGTCAAGCTTCTGACTTACTGATGTGAGAGTAATGATACATCAGGTGGTGCACCCGCATTGCATGATCTTAGTTCTAAGTAGTTAAGCTTCACTGCTCTTGGCCAAAAAGAGGATGCTTCCGCTTGCCTACGCAGGCGATTACGCGGCCCTCAGTCGCGCCTCAACTATATAAGAATCATTTCCGACTTCGCATCCCAGCTATGATTGATCTTGGGACCTCCTGACCCTAATTTTAGTGGCTCGTTACACATATCGCGCATGTTACTCCATTCGCGGAAGTTGATGTTTCGCTCATCTTATCTAGTCGAGGATGAGAAGATCTAGGTCCCCTAGAACCGCTGACATGCTCAACGCTAAGCCAGTGGTGTACTAGAATGCCTGCTACTATCTCTTTTCTATTCTAGCTATCGGCGCCGTATGCGGGAACGATTTTTTAATGAAAGCTTGTGTTGAATCTCGACCGTGTTGAGGCTCAAGTGGATTCTGTGGAGCAATCTCTAGACCTCCTCCGCTCTCAGGCGGCTTTTTCGTTGGGGGGTGAGAGTTAGTCTTCACTTGCTAATGAGTATCTACTTCGTAATAACCGAATACTACTCTGCGGGCCTTCTAGGCAAGGCACAAGTACCGAGCACCTGGATACGTCAAATGAAATTCATGTGAAGTGTTAAGCGATGGAGAAGTTCGAACATACAGGGGAACTGTACGGATACTAACTGAGCCAATGCGCAGTTTCGCATACAACCATTTCTTAGAAATCAAAGTGGAAATGTCCCCATGTCAGAGTCTACAAAGTCCACTCTATCAGAAATATGTTATAATGTGTATTCTTTACGCCTTTGAGCCCGTGCTTCGTAAAGACGAATAGGTATAGGTTCAGTTGCACCGACCCTGCCCCCACATCACGTGCACACCTGTTCCTCAAGATCGCCGAGCTCAGAGCTAGCCCAACACCCATCTCAACCGCTCAACTCCCAATGCCGTCCTCGGACTACAAAACCGCAACAGGCGGCGCGCTGAAATTGAAAGGCGCAGGCGTCGATAAAAAGAAAAAGAAGAAGAAGTCGAAGACTACCACAGAGTCTACCAAACCCTCCGAAGACCCGCAAACTGCCGAGGCCTCCACACAGCCCGCCGAGCGCAATGGCTCAAAGTCACCATCCCACACACCACGCCGCTCGTTATCCCCTAATACTGCCGAGCGGTCTTTTAAGGAAGGTGGTGGAAGGCAGAAAACAGAGGCAGAGAAACGGCACGATGAGATGCGCCGGAAGCGATTGGAGGAACGGTTGAAGCGCGAGGGCGTCAAGACGCATAAAGAAAAGGTCGAGGAACTGAACAAGTACCTCAGTGGGCTGAGCGAGCATCACGACATGCCGAAGATCGGTCCTGGCTAACAGGATGGGGTCGGAGTGGCGTTTGCGATGCATCGCACGTTGGAACAGATATTGGAGATTCGAAGCACCTGCGGAAGGACATTTGGTGGACAGAGAGCTTCATTGCCTGAGGGTATATGGCCTTCCGAAGGACTACACCGCTAGGCTAGGGATCGATCGAGTTGGATATGAGAAAGAACGGTTCAGCTGGCAAGTGAGCAGTGTGTGAAGGCAGAAGTTAGGCGATACGAAGTCGCGGTTCACGTCGGCAACGAGATGCTATGGGGTCTACGTTTCTCTCTCAGATCAGTTCTCGAAATAGCAAGCCCTGCAAGCAGGGCGCTGTTCGTCCCATTCAAATATAAGCATTCTTGTGGACAACGTCTATCGGATTTCTCGTGAGAAGTGGCTAACGCGCGTAGAACCTCCAGTGTTGTTTCATATTTTTGTCGTCTAGTGTTGAAGAACGACCTCAAGATTTCAAAAGCCTCTTAACAGCCTCTGTTTCAAAAATTCAAGGGGAGCTGCCGTAACAGTCCCCGATCGCGACAACCTGCCTTACGCGCCTTCGTGAGCCCAAAATGGAGAGCGGAGCACCTCAGTGGACCATCGTGAGGCGTGTTGTGTGCTCGGGCTGAGCGGCATTCATATTCTCCTGCATTTCCCGGCTTCTTTCCCATCAGAAGTCGCACGACTGAGCAAGCAGCTCTGCCAACTCTTCCAAGGCAACCTGATCCTCCACTGTGAACCCAGCCAACTCGGCACAATCAATATCGATGATCGCTAGCACCTATGCCACAAGTCAGCACATAGTTACGCTACGCAACCGCCACGAACATCCAATCAAAATAGAAGAAAGAAAAAGCATGATAAACTTACCTCCCCATCCTTAACAATAGGAACAACGATTTCACTCTTCGACGCCCCATCGCACGCAATATGGCCCGGAAACGTCTCCACATCCTCGACTAACTGCGTCTTAGCCTCCTGTGCCGCCGTTCCGCAAACGCCACGCCCGAAGGCGATCGTCTGGCATGCTACTTGGCCTTGGAAGGGACCGAGAAGAAGCCGAGAAGGGTTCGACGGGTCTTTGAAGTAGAATCCTGCCCAGTTGACATGGCTTGAAGGCGCGGGGAGAGAGTGGTAGGCGTGCCAGAGCAGGGCGGCGGTGTTTGAGAAGTTGCTGTAAGGAACGGTGTTAGGCTTGTGGTATCTTTTTTTTGCTTGAATACGCCATCGTTAAGAACCAGCATAAATGGTAGCCATGGAAAGTAGCGGCAGAATGTGTTCAGACGTACCTGACCTATTCAAGAGATTAGCACAATTCCTCTTGTTCTTCATTCGATTGAATGTTTTATGATATTATTCGGACTTACCCAGTTTCTTTGGCCGTCTAGTAACAGTCTCGCCTGTTCTAGAACTTGTGCGTACACCTCCTTCTTGCTCAAGCCATCTGCGAACGCGGATGAATCGGCGTGCACCTATTAATATGAAAAATAAGCATCTAATCCTATTTTCTGAGACGTAGATTTTCTGGCTCCACATACCATGCTTACGATGCACTTGCTGGCGATGTTATTGTCTCAAACCCTTGCAATGCACAAACGATGATTCTCCCCGGTCGAACCCGGACTCAGTTGTAGCTGCGATTGGCTGTATAACGAGTATTGTCTTTGGTGTTTGCAACTAGACACACGTGCAAATATTTGTGAGGTTGACGGGAGGACTAAGGGTTTATAGTGGGTCTTTTTCTATATTGGTCATCCGTGTAAAATTGCGCCATCGTCCCTAGTCTCGTCTGAGTCGTAGCCAACATCACCACCAATTGCCATAATCTTCCTCACGCATTTCGAGCATTGGTGAGTAATTTGGCCAGAAAGAAAAATATTCACATATTCGCCGCGCCTTGCTAGTATGCGTATTCTAACCGAACCATACAAATTATCTATGATTCTTGATTTCATCTTCTAATATGCTCCGAGCAAGCAAAACTTGTAGAGGCCGGTGGCGCACTGGTAGCGCAAGTCCCTCCTAAGGCCAAGGCTGTGCACTAAGGTCTCGTATGTATTGTATGTAGCGCCGGCCTTTTATTTAGTACTTGTGGTACTTTCACGGTAAGGAATGGTGGTTTATAAATACACGTGATGCGTAGGACTGACATGCTAATTATGAACGATATACACTTGGTATCCTGGTGGATGTCATGAAAGAATTAAATCTCACCATGTAGTAATATCACATGCAGTGGAGATGTAGATTAGTTTAAACAGTTAAGACTACGCTCTCATCAACTCATACATGTCATGACCATAGCCGCAGCAAGACACCGCAGAAAGAAACCAGACCCGAAATGAAGCAATGCAGAGTCAAGAAGAGCAGGGACTGGAAAGAGACATGGACGAAAAAGAGATGAGCTCCCATGCGCCCCGAAGACACCCAAGCAGTAGTATCCCAACCCATATTCACACCGAGTGATCCGAAACGCCCGCTCACAAACAATTTATGTAGTGCCGAGGCCTATGCCATCCTTATAGACGAAAAAGAGGAGACGGTGGCGAAGGAGTAATGACGACAAGATAGAAGTGATGATCCCAATGCGCCATGCATGCCTGAACACCGACGATGCAGAGGATGATCAGAAATCAAGACCAAAAGGGACGCTACGACTTCGGGCGACTTATGGAGTTGCCAACACTTCCGACCCGTCCACTTGTCTTTCGCACACCAGTCTTGCCCTCTGTGCTTCGTCGTGCAGGGCTGGAACGGATCTTGCCTACGCTGATGCTGCCGTTCCCGCTACCGCTCTTCTCCCTTGGGGTCTTCGGCCGAGCTCCGGCCGGTGCGGTGTTCTCGAGGTCGCTCTCATCACCAAACCCGAACGAAGTATGGGTTACGGAGGTCTGAATAACAGACGTTGTGCTGAACGCGCGGCGCTGTTTCTCTTTCGTAGCTGGTGAACGTGCTGGCGAGCGGGATGAAGTTCTTCGCGCGATCCGGCGTAGGTGGTATTCTTCGTCTGACTCGCCATCGAAGCGAGTGATTTCGGCCCTGACATCGGTATGCGACTTGGTGAAAGGCTCGTTCTCATCGATTCGCTGGGGAGGTTGTCGCGTGCTGTTGCCGTAGAGCTTGCTAGTCTTTCGCGGCTGGCCTGGCGTTGGCACGGGGAGGTTGTCCTCTTGCACACCAATGTTCGAGTGCGCGGCATTGCTTCTCTCATTCGATTCGATCTCACCGAGCGCGGCACGCTTCTGTGAGCCATTTGGCGGCGTGAAGGTTTGACCGTTGCTTGCCATGCGCTGCTTCTGTGGGGATTTTGTTGGCGTGGAAGGCATCGCCTCGGCATACTTCGCCTTCATTGTGTCCTCGTGCCACCACTCGCGGAAGGTGGCTTGGTTAAGATGAAGCCAGTGCTGCTGGGGTCCGACTACCATTCCAGGACGCATAAAGCGCATGTAGGCGATGATCTCGTTGGCGGTGAAGGCATGCTTATAGATTAGATAAGCTCCAATGAGACAGCCAGTTCGGCCAAGTCCAGCTTTGCAATGAACAGCGATGCCCTTCTTGCGCACTGTGATCATCTCATGCGCAAGATTGATAAAAGTTCGCACGAGTGATAAAGGCGGGCAGGTACCATCATCGAAGATCATGTTCAAGTGCTGGATTCCGAGTTTGGTGAAATAAGAGGAGGAGTAGAGCTCCGAGTTCAGTCGCACAACGAGACCAACGTTTCGTGCGCAAAAGTGAGAAAGAACGTTCTTAAAGGGTCCAGGAAGCCCTGACCGTTGAATCTCAGAGATGTTCGAAGGAAGCGTCGAGTACATTGGTGAACTCGCTGGGATCTCGTGGGTCGGTTGTTGCTGTGGCGAGGCGAAAGCAAGGAAGTTGGGAGTGACCCAGTTGAAGTCACCCATGTCTACGCGTTCGAACTTCTCGTATCTGTTGAAATTAGCAATAGTCGCCTCAATCAACTGTAGAAGCTTACTCTTCCAGACTGAAGTCTTTAAGCCCGCAAAGTCCCTCTTCTTTAGCTTTCCACACACCGTAGATTACATCTTGAATGTTCAGGACGTAGTCTGCCTGGCTGTAGCCTGCATCGCGAAAGGGCATGCATGGCGGGTCCATCTGCGCAATGGGCGCCAAGGCAAGGTGAGGCGGCCATGACTGGATGAGTACCATGTAGCATGCCAAAATGCATGCAGCATTGGCGCGGCCTATATACGTCAATCATAATGCCTCAATGCGCCAAATGGGTTGACTTACTCCTCGAGTCCGCACTGCTCCAAAAGACGACTGCTCTGTCCTCATTTGCGGGATCGCCTAACACCTCGTGCAGCTGAACAGCGAACCGGTACAAGTGACCAATGTGTAGTGGACCGAAGTCGCCGTGGAAGGCATTGTACAGGAGAGTCTTGTCGATGCTGAAGTAAACTGGCGGATGCGCCTTGGACCCAGCTGCAGTTGGACCGACTTGCGCCCTCGACGACCGCTTTGAAGGCGACTGGCTCTGCTTGGGGTAGGGGAACGGCGTGCTCGCATCGGGCGTATGGGTATACGATGCAAGATATAGTCGGTCTTGTATGTACTAGAATAGGCGAGTCTATTAGAACCGGCTCTGTTGTCGCATTGTTTTGATGTTTGTTTTGGGCTCACCTCGATGACTTGGCCGTAGCTGGTAGTGGTCGCGCGAGGCATCTTGGCTACTCGCTGCTGCGCAGACATGAAGAAGGAATGCGCGACTCTGTGTAAGAGATCTCAGTCGAGGAAAGCTCGACCGGTGGATGCGATGATGTCGGGACGAATGCTGGACTCGGGATGAAAGCAGCGTACTTGGGCAGTCCAGTGCAGTTGGAGCAGACAGTCGTCCAGGCGCGGTCGGCGTAAGAGCTCTGCGCTTGTGCTGCGGCCGTTTGGGTAAGGAATAACAGTAAAGATGTGAGTCTTGTGGAGGTGGAGAAGATAGATGTCTAGAGCTTTGTTTATTATGATGCCAGCGCACGGGCCGATGCAGCACTAGCTCGGTTTCGGACAGGCACAACAACGCCACCACAACAACATTTCAGGACTTCAACGAGCTTGGTCAAAGCTCAGTCACAACACGGCTTGCGGTTAGCTTCCCCCTGTCCCTCGTCGTGTCAGTTGTTTGTTTGTCATCTAATGCAGAGGTGTTAGTGCGCTTCCTGCAGTCTGTCGCTTGCCAACTGACAGCTTTGACTGCTTCAATCACTCGGGGGACCATCTCGACTAGAGACGCGCATGCATGCATGATCTCACAGGGTCCAAATTAACTCCCGGCACGTTGGATTGATCCAGCAGCTGTGACCAGAAACAGAGCCCTTGGCAGCATTGCACGAGCACCATCGCGATCTTGTTGAGCCGTTGTCGGTATTATCATTGTGGTATTCTGATCGCTTTATCATCTCACTCAACGATATCATCCCGCCTGGGTTAGAAGGCTAGGATTATCATTGTCGTCACTTTCTATGCACCATGATTAGGAGGGGTAGGACAGAAGGATGGCTCAAGCAACCAATTGATACATTGCCAAGATGGGCGATTTTCCATGGAGTCGCATTCAACGGCGTCAAGATAGGTCCGTTGCCGGGGTTTGAAGAGAGAGGGTCGACTGTAATAGCCGATCATGACCTTGAAGGAGGCAAGGTTGAACCTCTCCTGACCATACCGAAGGAATTGATCATTTCTCGTCAGAACATTGAGCTGCTTGCCAAGGCAGACCGTCATCTACGAGAGCTCCTCGAGGCTATCGGAGACTTTGGAAGGGTTGGACAAGCCCCTGAAGATAGCAAGGCACAAAACGACTAACGCCTTGCAGACGACAAGAGGCGCAGTACTCACCTTCCTACTTCTACAAGCAACCATCTGCTGCCCAGAGACGCATGATGTTGGGGTCCTGAATCCTCTCACGGAGTACATCAAGTTTCTCCCAGACGAGCTTCTACCCACATTCTGGACTGAGGAGGAGCAAGACCTTCTAACAGGGACAACGCTGAAGCCCGCAGTGCGTGCCAAGCTGAACAGTCTATTGCGCGAATTCGAGACATTGCGAACTGCCACTGAGTCCATCGAATGGTGCGCCAAGTACTGGTGGGATGAAGACACTGGCATGGTGACGTTCGAAGACTGGATGCGCATTGATGCTATGTACCGATCGAGAGCACTAGAGTTTCCTGGGGCTGGCGACTGTATGATGCCTTGCGTTGACATGGCGAACCATGCATCAGGAGATGCGACAGCAGCTCTCTACGAGACTGATGATGATGGAAACGGACTATTGTTACTTCGAGAGGGCAAAAAGATAGCTCCAGGCGGTGAGATTACCATCACGTAAGTTCCTATCAGCGTCCTCAGAGCACGCACTAAGAGACTCAGATATGGCGATGAGAAAGGTGCATGCGAGAACATCTTCTCATATGGCTTTCTTGAAGATACAGTGGCCTCTGCCAAGGTCATGTTTCTCGACCTCGACATCCCAAGCGACGACCCACTGCGACCAGCCAAAATATATGTATCTACAGTAGCACCGGGCTTCCGCATCTTCGAGAAAGACGGCCACGTAGACTGGGAAAGCGACTTCATCTGGCTCGTCGTGATCAACGAAGAAGATGGTCTGGACTTCAAAGTCAGACAGACGATTGACGGAAAACGAGAAATTCAAGCCTTCTGGAAAGAGCGGGAATTGGATACTACCAAGTTGCGGGAATATCTGCAAGAAGACCCAGCATGGGATGTCTTCCAGCTGCGCGCCACAGTTCTCTTACAACAGAGAGTCGAGACGCAGATAGACACCCTCCAGGAGATGCAAGGCGCTAAGCGCGAGTTTTCGATCCGGGATGTGCCCTGGATACTTGCGGAACGACTTCGAAAACTGGAACTTGAGCTGCTTGTGAGCGCTGTATCCACTCTTGAACATCAGGTAAGCACGTTGCGTCTCTTTGTACCCTGCGCTGCAAGTTCCATGGAACTACGGTACGACGCGTTTATGAGTATTGCACCCGGGGCCTACTATGCATCAGGTTTCAGTTATGCAAAGTTCAACTTCAATGGGATAGCCATTAGTGTCGGACCACTATTGGCATATCCATCTAACAGACCAAACATTATGATCAGTTGTCCTGCGGTAGCCTTGTGGGCTACTTGTTTATTCCCGCTAACGCTTTGCGTAGAAATCGAGCCTTGTGGAATCAGAGGCTGTCCAGCGGTATCTGGGCTTGGCTGGAGGAGACGAAGAGGTCGACTTCTCCTGAAGGTCAAAAGACCCCACATTGATGTATCTTACTCAGGTGCGGGCCCCATCTTCAAGTTGTGGCGGTCGTAGACGAAGTCATATACTGTGCGGCAAATGCAATTTATTATGCTCCCACGCGCCCCAACCGCCATCAGGCGCGACAATAATGGCAACCGTCAGGAACATCCGACGAGCAGCGTGTTGATCACAGGAGATGAGTAGAAGCATCGGCTTCCCGCCTTGGACCCATGATGGCATCTCTTTACCCTGTTGATGAATATCGTGGATCTGAATGCGCGTCCTGCCTGTAGGGCCAGTCACGCCGCAAATCGACGCCGCATATGGCGCAGTTGGAGAGTGTAGTATCGAGTCTCTAGATAGAGTCGGGCTGTCACACGCGTGCTTAGACGAGCGCAGTGGGATCTTCTGACGGCTCGCGCGGCCGCATTCCCGAAACCACCAACTGGAGTAGTATGGATAACACAGACCATACACTCACTATCAGCCCTATGCACAGGGACATGTACAAATGGCAATCAGCGAGATTCAAGAGCCATCAATACAGACATTGCCCAATGAGTCTAGGAGTATTGATCCGCAGAGGTCAGGGGCTTGGCATTTCACAATGGCTGTCGAGTGTTGGCTAATACCATGGCGCTTCCTGGTCAATAGGTCCAGGCTCTTAAGAAGTGCGTCCTTTGTTCCCATGCCAGCGAGGGCCAACGATGGGCAATTCGCTTGGTCGACCTTCTGGAAGAGTGGTAGAGCTGGCGCTAGACTGCACTGGACCTAGCCATGATTTGCTTTGAGCCTGCGGGGAATAATCATGCACTGTGGCACGTAGAGTGGTGGTGAATGAAGGAGGCGTAGTCATACGGGCAGCGAGCAGGAGCCGGCCCTCCTGGCTGGCGAACCGCTGTATGTCTGTTGATGTCGATGTCGATGATGCAAAGGCCAGGGGTTGTGCACGACCGTGTCTTGTGTCATGGAGTGTGGTGCTCATAGTTGGACTGGCATAGAGCGCTGACGAACAAGGCCATCATTACTGCTGGTTAGTAGCCTCTAGCCAGGTCATCCCCCGCAATGCTGATCGTGTGCACGGATGCGGATTAGTGGCGAGCAGTGGACGAAAAAGCATCGGCGACGTGCGTTCCTTCCTTAGCGGTGGATGGCGCCTGCCAGGGCGTGGCCATCCCATGCCATGCCACCCCCGCAAGCCCGCCCACAGCAGCGACCCCGGACAAGGACCAGGGTAGACGCGCTGCTGCTTACATGCTGCTGCCCCAGCCCGTCCCCATTCTTCCGCACACCCTTTTCTACCTCGTCGTGGTCCTTATGCACCCGCCCTGCCCGCTTCTGTTCCACTACTTCGACACGGTCACAACGACTGACTACACACACTGTGCCGAATTCATCACCCCGTCAAACTTCTCCCAAAAAGGACCGTGAGAGACCATCGCTATTGAGTACCGCCTATCCATCCGCATGGTGACAGAACGTGACATACCCTGTCACTCATAGCCCTCAGGGCCCGAAACGAAACGAACTACACACTCGACCAACGCATAGCAAATTACCGCCACAATGCCTGGAATTCTACCCATGAAAGTTATCAAAGTCGGCTCAAACTGCCAGGCCCGCATTGCCCAAGCATGCGACCGGTGTCGCTCCAAGAAGATACGCTGCGACGGCATCAGGCCCAGCTGCACCCAATGCACCAATGTGGGCTTCGAGTGCAAGACTAGCGACAAGCTCAGCCGTCGTGCTTTCCCTCGAGGATACACCGAGTCGTTAGAGGAGCGAGTGCGAGTACTAGAGGCAGAAGTGCGTGAGCTCAAGGAACTGCTTGACGAGAAGGACGAGAAGATCGACATGCTTTCGCGAATGCACTCTCATTCGCCATCTGCAAATTCAGCTATGCGACGACCGTCGATACATTCGCCAACTTCTACAGAAACTAGAGAAGACTCACAAGAGAAAGACGAGACATTCAAAGTACAGCAGACGCCACTCCTGCTCGACGATGCCAACGATGATTCGTACTTTGTGGGCAGCTCGAGTGGACGTACACTCGTTGGTATGATCTCTCATCCCCACTTGGCCATCGTGTGCGAAAGCTGACCATCCATTTGCAGAGGCATTCAAGCAAAAAGCCCAAGAGACGGGCAGGCTGTCTACTACTATCAACTCGGACGCCTTCTTCGGGGCAGGAGCGAAAGCTTCTACTCCAAATGCCCCCAAGCGCATCGTGTCGTTCAAGGCTCCTCCTCGTCTGGTCTCTGACCAGATGATTAACATCTTTTTCCAGGAGTGGGCGCCTCTATTTCCCGTTTTTCATCGCCCGACTTTCCTGTCGCTGTACGAGCAATATGTCGCGAGTCCCGAAACTATGCATGACAAGAAGTCAATCGCCAAACTCAACCTTGTCTTTGGCATTGCTGCCCTGTCAAGCGATGTATGCTTCCCCTTCTTCACCACACATTATGACATGTTACTGACACCTTACAAGCCTCGCGACGGTCAAGACGTCGATTCATTTGAGGCCCAGTGGCAGAGTGCCATCGAGAGCTTCCTGATGGATAATGACGTCTCAACCCTGCAATGCCTTGTCCTTGCCCAGATCTTTTGCCTGCTCAAGGCTGACTATTCTCGACTACTCAAGTATAAGGGCCTAGCTGTCGGTCTGTCACAGCGCCTTGGCTTGCATCAGTCCCAAAAGCGCTTTGCGCTTGGTGCACTGACCAGTGAGACGAGGAAGAAGGTCTTCTGGTCGCTATACACTGTCGACTGGTGAGTACTCAAAGTCAACGACTACCATCGCATTGCTGACCTACCACAGCCTGTCTGCTGCTCACCTCGGCCTCCCTAAGCTCATCAGAGAGGAAGATGTGCACTGCGAGTACCCGGTAGATGCTGATGATGAATACGTCACCGAAAAGGGATTCCTACCCACCCTACCCGGGGAGTATACTAAACTCTCAAGTGCCCTGGCACTGTTCCGCATGTCGCGTATCCTGTCGAAGGTTCTTACCGACCTATATCCGGCGTCGGCATCACATGAGATCTCGTTCCGCACCGTAGCATCTCTTGCCGACGAGCTCGAAGACTGGCAGACCAACCTCGCTCCCCACCTCAAGTTGACCTTTGCCCAAGACAAGCCGAGCACCAATGTGACCAGCAGCAGATCACCTATTCTGGTATGTGTTACTCGATACATCATAGATGTCAAAGCACTAACAAACGACTAGTCCCTGGCTTATCACCATATTCGGTCGCTTATATACCGTCCAGTTGTTGTTGCCAACCTTGGCGACAAGAGCTCGTCAGCTGTAGTAGCTGTGGGCGACGCCTGCAAACACATCGTTCAGATCGTCCAGCTGTTGGATGAGCGCAAACTCAGCTTCTCATTCTGCATCAACCGTAATGAGGTGCTCGTACAGGCTGGCTTTGGTCTTCTCTTCCAGACCTTGAATCTGGCTCGCGATGGAAAGCTCATAAAGGATTCTAACCGCCTCGTCTGTTCCGTCATGGACATGCTCGAGGGCGGCAGTGCAGCTGGATTCACCGAGTTCCGTAGGGTCGGTTGCTCTATGGTTGCTATCCCACGTGTGGAGCAGATGCCCGCGCCTCCCTTGTCCCGTCACAACTCTGATGGCAACATGGGAGCACCAATGGACACCTTCCGAGCAACCCAGAAGTCTCTCAAAGCCATCGCCGCTCGCTTCTCTCCCAGTGCCATAAAGGCTCGTCAAGAAGCCCAGGAGCCCCGCCGCGCAACCTTGCCTGCCATCTCGCCCAACATGGGCGTGCACGCTAACCCGTCATCAACAAGCCTGTCGTCCATTCGCTCGGAACCACCTATTGCCCGCTCGGAACCAACTCTCAGCCCGCTGTCGCACCGCGCATCCTTCACTATGCCAAACAAGCGTCGTCCAAGCCAGTCAAATAACCAACACCGTAACATCGACTACCTCTCGTTCGCGACGGATCCTTTGGCTAGCTATGCTCTTCAAGCTACCCACGGCGTGAAGAGTGAAGTCTCAACGTCCGACTGGGAGCGCCTCCTCTCGTCACTTGATAATGGCCAGACAAACATATACGATACCATATACGGTGGCACACCAGCAGACGCACTCGTCGACGTCGCTCCTCTTTCCGCCAGCGGGGATAGTAATGTTACCTGGTCCCCGAACGTCTGGAACTGGGGCAGTGGCAACGAGCAAGCGCCGCCACCACAAAGTGTTCTTAGTTTCAGCGACGAGAGCTTGACGAGTTGTGAGGAGTTTGGCAGCGGTACTTGCGACTATGGATCGACACCCGGTAGCGATAGATTGTACACCGGTATCATGATCCCGGATATGGGACTAGATGGGAATTTCGGGTTGTAAAATATGCGCGATGACGGTATACAAAATCACGACGGTATGAAAGGTTTAGAGTTGTTGGAGTCCTGTGGAGTCGATGGGTTGAGCTTGGATGTGGGTGGCTTCACTTTCGCTTTCGCTTTGATCAATTTTTCTTTTCAAGCACCCTGAGATACCACGCTTCTCGCACGAGCGAGTCGAGCAATTTTGGAGATAGACGCGATGTTGTCTTGGAGCAGCGTGGAGCGCTTTGGCAAAGTTCAACCTGGTTTTACGAGTTAGATTTACTTATGTATTTCGATGTGTCATTCCTGTTCTCGGATCAACTTCTAGCAAATACACGCACGTCTACACAATACACAACCACTGTGCAAGCAAACGTGCAAACCTTCCTCTGTCATGATCGGCACACGCTAAAACAATCATCCCCCACAATTACCAAAACGCACCCCAGGCTCACACAATCCACATTAACTTCCGTACTCATCCGAGCCGCCAACTGAGACCAGACGCCATGACGCCATTTTTAGCCAACAAAGCGTCTTGACCAACAAGCGAGCGTCTATTAGTCCGGAAAGAAACCGCTCTCTTGGCTAACGGGAGGGGGGGACCAATGCACCCCAGATTCCGCGATATCCCATCGCCAAGCATTGAGCGGTAAGTTCAAGGGCAAAGCTTGAAAGCTAATAAATAATGATGAGCAGGGCTAGGCTAGGATGAAGTGGGTGTGAAAAAAAGCAATAAGGTTTTTCGAAGCTTGTTTGCCTCACTGTATAATAACTTAAACTTTGAAGTGACAAGGATGGATGGAGCAGCAGTGAGGAGCAATGATGAAATAGTTCGCCGAGTTTCCTCCGCACCGGCCGGCGTTCCCATCAATAGACTGGCCTATCATCTTCTCTCCCTCTTGTGATTTTCGTATTCGATGCTGTACTTCTCTCGCTAATCCCTCCCTTCACATACGCATCTACAAATCGGCCCGTCACTGTGTTTCCAGCACAGAACCTTTCCACACATTCAGAGGAACACACTTGACTCGGCTGATTTGCCCGCAGCGCGCCTTACCTCGGGGCAAAGGAAGTTTGCTCCTCCACAACCCGCAGTTTAGTTTGGGCTCACTATCCCTATCTAGCTTAGTGCAGGTGTGGATACGAAGCTGTGCGGGTTGGCGCACGTGGAGGTTGTGTGGGGGGAGCTTACGCAAGGGTGCGTGCGATTGGGGAGCGAGTCTGGATGAGAGCTGGAGCGCTGAATTGCGCCTCTGCGCTCTTTTCATTTGAGGAATGTGGGCCGATCTAATGCATTACTGTACCCCCCGGTTTTCGTGTCGAGAGACTCGTCGTGTTAGGTGTGGGGTGGTATAGGCAAGGGGAAGGGATTGGAAGCGATTTTGCGTGATTATGCATGACTATGCATGCGACTGTCTTAGATCTGGGAAAGAGAGTTGTCCTGGTGGGTACTAGGGCACGTCGATTTCGAGGTGAGATCTGCGAATACGCTATAGGATGTTTTGGATGATCAGATGTGACGTGTAGAGCCATCAACGATGCGCTACATCAGTCGTGAAATGAGATAGTTGTGCAAGCGAAGATATACACCGTCATCCATACATAATGAACTTCAGGTGTGGTTGCAAGCTGTTCATGGAATCGGACACTAGTACAATGCACTAACCCAGTCCCACGTGCACACATGCCTCCTTCAGATGTTCCCACACCATGATTGAGCGGATCCGCACCACTGTTGTGGAATCCATTTGGCTGGAGACAACTTGGGGACCCCAGAGCTGGTATCAGAGTCTAGAACGCTGGGGTGCATGCAAGGCGGGTTACAAAGGACTTTTGGAGTTGCGGGGTGGACGAACAGGCGACTCTCCGCAGGTCACGCCATGTCGTTCGAGCGCACAGCTGGACATCCTCACACTAGCGCTTGGTTCCAATATGCTAGATGCGGCTGAGATGTATCGTAACGTCGGAAAGAATCGGGAGTATGGTCCTGACGATGCTTGTTGGACGAGCAAAGGCCGAACTGCATGTGCGGTACATCTCGAGCTCCGTGGGTAACCGCGAGTGGAAACATGGCAGGTGTCCGGCAGAGTGGAAGAATTCGAGCGGTTTCCAGGAGAGTGTAGGTAGGAATAGCCAGCTGAAGTACATCTGGGGCATGTCTGATGCCAGATCGGCCCTGCATACGGCTCCGAATACCAACTTCTCTAGCGCAGAAATTCAGCATTCAGGTAGTCGACGAAGACTTCCCTGATCCTAGCTTTGGAGAAGCTGTGTGACCGGTTCATCGTAATGAACTGACGACGTATGCGCTGCAGCTGCGAGAGGGTCATGGGTGTTGCAGGAAGCTCGATGGGTTTCTCAACATCCTGGACTCCTATCTCACCCCCTCCTTCACCTGCGTGGTCTTTCTGGTACGTCATTATCTGTGCGAGAATATCGGACGTCGTTTTGTCGAGCTCGTAGAGGTAGTTCTGCTCCGTCGCCGGTTTCTATTCGACGTTAGTGGTCGAGACCACGGTGGAGTACTTCTGAGGTACGTACCAACACTGTCGCCAGGTTGGGCTTGACAACCTTCATCTTTCCGTCACTACCTATGAGCGCGTCCCATATCTGATCGTTGGGTGGTGTCTCGTCTTCCTCGACTGCGATGAACAGTGGGCTGTCCCATCTTGTCATGCCATTGGGCTCTTCGTATCTGAAGATCAGGTTCTCAAAGTCTTCTTCTTCATATCCTCCATCGCTGTCTTTATCGGCCAGGAGCTTCTTATTGTTTTCGCGACATCGTTCGGCCGGCGTTCCTATGTGCAACTCTAGGACTGTTAGCGAGCTGAACACGAGGCGAGATGAACAGTGTGTACTGACCACGCAGCTCGGAGTCTGTAACGCCTTGGCCTCGCAGTACAACTGGTATCTAAATCCTTTGATATAATTCATACCATCCGCGATAACAACATCGTCCCGCGAGAGCACCCTTTTGACGGCAGAATATTCTTCCGCGCGCGCATCCTTTTCGGCTCTGGCGGTATGATAGACACTACGAGAGACGCCGAGGGTCTGATCGTTGATAAGGTGCACTTTTAGTCGACTGGCGCGAGCATCGGCGCTGGAGCTGGCAATTTTGGCCTCGAAATAGTCCTTGAGTTGGGTTGCCCGCGTCGTCTTCCCCGCGCTGGGAAAGCCTGGGATATGGGTTAGCGATATTGCTCTGTGCTGCGCGACGGGAGGGGCAGATGCGACCTGATATGAGGACCAGCTATGCACACGTCAGTCAACAACATCCTAGAGCAAGGCGCGACGGGGACGGGGTCCTTACTGGCATTTTTAGGATTGACTGTATAACTGCCCTTGTCTCGAGACGAGTGCCTAGCAGCAGCAGTCAGTAGTCGTGGGCTGTTTCTCGGCCAATTTTCCGTGGCAGTGACGAAACCGTTTACAAACTCAGATTCGGCCGTATTCGAAACAAGCCTCGGCTCAAAGCCCGCCGATAGTGATTGTCTATGCTGCCCTGCACTGTGCCTCTCTCTTTCTGCCTGTACTCCTTCCTACTCTTCCACCTTTCTCCCCCCACTTCAGCCTTTTCCCGACATTATCTGCCAATATCTGGGCCCAAGTTGCGAGCCAGATCGAAGGATATTAACGAGACCACTATCCGCTACCGAGTAATCGACCGATACCCGCCCGCTGCACCACCGTTACTTTTTAACCTGCTGCACCCACTCGCCTCAAGCCACCGCCCGCTGCAACCATACTTCCTCCTTGTCCACTTCTATAAACGTATAGAACTCTGTCATACACAACATGTCGAGAGCCCAGCAACAACCCTATGCAACCACCGGGCGACCGGCCTTCGCTCCCCTCCAATCCTCATCTTCTTCACACGCAACGAGCTATAGCAGCACCTCAAGTCTCGCCTCACAAGCGTCGATTGCCTCGGCAACGATGCCTGCACCATCCTCGAGTCCCCAGCCGCAGCAGTTCTATGGCTCGCTGAACCAGCAAACGCAGCAACCCCACGAACAACAGCGAATGCAGGCCGTGCGACGACACCCCAGCTTCGATTATCAGCCAAACAGATCAGGCTCAGGCCAGACTGCTGCTGAGACTACTACCTACCTCAACCAGGCGGTGTTGCTCGCTGAAGCAGCCAAGAGGGCACAAATGGCTTGCGTTATGCGCGATATTGGGGACATGGAACTCTAGTGTCCCTTTCAGACCGTCTATAACACACTCCATCGTCTTCCTCGACACAAAATCCTCTTATGGCGATGGCATGGAGATTCTCCGAGGGTTTTGCGGATAAAATCGGCTTTGCACACCATCACACTACCTTCATCCCAAATAGAGTGGGTCCGGATATCAGATCCTTCGAACATCACGAGAGCCTCACTTTACTTTACACGACATGCCTCGGAACAATTTCGCACGGGCCCTTTATGGCACTTGGACTACGTGGCACATCCTTTCTGTTAGCGCCTCCGTCATCCCTTCATCCATGCCAGCAAGGATGACTTCACTTCTATTGTACATATTTACACCGTCTCGTTTGTGATTACGGCTTCCTTATTCCCCACAAGCGATTACTTTCAAGCATTCAATATCCTTCATAGCTGGGAGTTACGCGGCGAACACATTACAACAGGATAGTCCAACTCTATACGTCTTTTCTTTCAGCGGGTCCTAACGCGGCACGGACTGGGTCGTTCAATCTTTAGAGGCACCATGCATGCATATGCACAGTATAGATAATCAAGAAATTGTCCGAAATCCTTCCTTTGTCTCGCTCGGGAACTTCCGTAGCCCCTCGCGACCCACTGTCATGCTCACGTACACTTCCCTTGTCAATTTTAGAAAAAGAACTTCATATTCTTCACGTCGTTGACACGCGTTGACTTCGCGAGCATCGGGTAATAGTCACAAAAAGGCACATTGCAGACTAATTCGACGGGGCCAATTAGAGCACTTTTTGTCTAGGTCTCATTTCCAGGACTTGTAACACGTAAAAACTACGTTTTACTCATCTACAAACATTCACTAGTATCAACTTACTAACCATCAGTCAATCCACAACCTATCCATCCCTCCTAGTACCGTGCTCACAACCAATGAATAAACAAACCTTTTCATCAATAAAAAGTATGCCTGCACCTTCACTTGCCCCATCCCTCCCATATACAACCTTGAAAGCCACATAAGCCATTCTACCTCTAGAACAACATGTAGTATCCTTCACACGTGAGCAAGATGCTTATTAAGAAATCCAGAATGGCGCATTCATTCAAGTCCCAGCTAGTAGACTATCGTATCGTCGTTTAGGACCTGAAATTTCATAATTTACTAATAAAGCCACATAGCCAAAAGGTAGCTTCCTAGGACTCTACCCTTTCATTCACACACTCTGCCTGAAACTCTCTAGAGTCCTGCTCTATGTTAGAATAGGCTAGAATGCAGTTATCCTATTTAAAGAGGCGTACTGCCGTATATTTAGGCCAAGTAGTTAACCAAAACTAAATTCATAAGTAACTCAGTTGCCGACTCAACAACAATACACGTCTGCGTAGCTACTTATGGGAGAACGTCATTTCGTCACGAAAATACTTCTTCCTTAAACAATTACATTATCTTGCGATATCGCTAGGGCAAAAGTTCAACGAGATTTTATTTTTATGGATTAGTGGCAGTTGAATACGACGTTCAGCCTTACGCGAGGTACGGTACCCATGAACATCCACATTCGGCTACAGGAATAATTGCATGACATGCCCCGAAAAAAACATAGATGAAGACGTTGAAGTTCGTTAAATTCTCAGGATAAAGATGCTTTGTTGAAAAAAGAAATCTTTCTGACAAGTCGATACACGCCCCGCCCTTCAAGACCCCATTACCCTTATCTTTGGGGGGAAGAAGCCCCTCAGATACTGAAAACACAGCCTTGCGCGGGGGGTAAATCTTTTTTTGACGCCCTCTCACCGGTCATGCATGCAGGACTAAGGGCCTAGTACATGTTGCAATACAAGCCTGCAGCTAGGCAAAAAGGGGCGCACAATGGAGTGTGGGACGCACACTGCCTTCTTGCCTTGCTTGCGGCTCAACTCTTTTTGACCGAAATGCCCTTTTTCCAAATGCGTATCGATATGCGCTCACTTTTTTCCCCAGCGGCTCATCGGCATGTCCCGTTCTGACAGCGCTTCTCGAGCCCGGGTGTCCACTCCCACGAAGCAGGACTGAACTCGTCGTCCATTTTACTATCCATCCTTGACATCGAGACGGAGGATGTTGGTCCAGCGTCTTGAGACTTGAATGGGCGACTAAAGTCCACAAGTACAATAGTTCCCATTACCTTGTCATCACTCGAGCCATACGAACGGCCAGGCTTGACCATGTACACCAAGCTACGGTCATCGAGCACGCCGATAATCGTTCTTGTATGCGACGGCCCATATGGAAGGGTTGGGTTGATTATACCGTGTAAGCGTTTTGAGCAGGGACATCGAGATGCTGGGGGTGGCCACATGCGGATGGGAGAATGGCGGTAGACTGTTTTGTCGGCAAAGTCTAGTTCCATCTCGTCAACTCGCTCTTTGCCCCTTATATTTGATGGTGCTATGTCGAGTGGTGCTTCGCGCCGCGACCCTATTCTTAGCCTCAGGCAAGGAGGTCTCGAGGGATCATTGCAGCATCGTTCGTCTTCCACCAGGTCAAGGAACGACGTGCAAGAGTAATTGTACGCTCTGAGCTTGGTCCTTGCTAGAATGAATGACCGTGGAGAAACGTCAGATTTCGAGAACTCAGGATGCTGGCTCCAGCTATACTGGCGCGGCGTACGCATGAAGTTTGGGTTGTTTGTTGAATCGACGAGACCAGCAAGAATATCGTCGGGGAGAAGTGGTTCGTCCGAGCTTTCTGCACTGGGAGAAGACACGGGGGCTTCATCCAGCTCAAGTGATGTGACGTAGAACGTGCGTGACTGCCGTGAGGATGCTTGCGCCCACTCACGCCGCGACTCAACGATCATCGTTTCGTTTGTGCGCTCATCAAGTTGCAAAGTGAGATCAGTCCAGGAATCGTGTATAGGCCCTTGCCTATGCTGGCGGCGGTAAAGACGCTCGTTCTTCTCCACGAAGTCGGGAAGTGGCTGGTTGACAGGAAAGCGGACCCAATGATAGAAAGATGTATAGTCTATCTCTTCAACCTCAAAGGTTCCCTGGTTGGATACCGCGTAGAAAAAGTCATTGTGTATCTCAAATACAACGGTAGACCCAATATCAGTGCCATGAAAGTTTTCTAGCAGCAAAGGTCGTTTGCGGTCAGGTAATAGAAAATCTCTGTCCAAAGAAATACCGTCAATTATCCACTTGTGGTGATCATCGTGGCCCATTCCACTGTGAGTGCCGTAATAAAGGTATCGAGCGTTGTGTCGGACAAAGAGTTTGGTGCTTGATGCAACTTGAAAGGCTCTAATGACCCTCCCTCCAATGGGTGGTTGGGCAGCCGTACTGATAGCGAAAATATGGTCAATGTTAGCCTCGCTCCCACCAACTGCGTGGGCAGCGAGAATGCCGTCACTATAGTAAAGCAAAGAAACCTTGAAGCGTCCAGGTGACGCGAAATTCGACTCCAGTATAGGTCGGATAATGGCAGGGAGATCAAGTTGACAGGTATCAGATAGGGCATGCACATCCGAAATGCGGACAGTATCGCCTTCTGACACACAGACTGTCCCTTGACGATATAGGAAGGTACTTCCTTGGCCAAGTATACGAGCTGAAAAAGGATACGCGTGGGAGAAGGCATGGCGTCGGTCGTAAATGGCGCTTAATGCCTGTTTGTACGTAATATCTTCTGCTCGTGCTAATCGAGCCTCCTCGGTATGCGGATAGTGAATCTGCAATCAGTATCAGCTTGAGATAACCTCGTTGTTTTAACTCTCATTTCGTACTTCGACTGCGCGCCGACAAAGCGTCCTTTCGTTGAGCAGAGCATGTAGCTGGCGACATGTCTGGCCAAGGTGAATGATGGCCTCAGGTTCCAGGCTCGATGCAATATGAAAGAGGATATCGAACGGCAATCGATCTAGAGAAATCGTCATGAGACCCTGTTATAGTTGCTCGAGGAGAAAATGGACGGAGGAAGCTTGGGATGGAAGGCTAGTGACCACGTGAGCATAACTTCAGCACGCCAAAGGCATGAAGGCCAGACAGGAAAGCCGAAATAACTTATTGTGAGGCAAATGAGGCTCAAGTGGAGTAACTAGGCGGAGTATGATCATGCGTACGTAGTCCCGCTTTGCTGTGAACGGTAAGCCTGCAACCCGACTGCTAGCATGCTTGCGGCTCTGCGAGCATATTAACCAAGAAAGCCCTAGCTAATGCAAGGGATAAAGGGCATCTTGTGGGTGACACTAGAATCTCCCCAATGCGTGCCTCACACAAGCAGCAATTTGGAAATGCTTTCTTAAGCGCGGTTTGTGAGGCTTTGCTGCATTGAAGATCAATTGCAGTTCATTGGCGTAGCCCGATGAGGACTATTTGACCGGTCAGATCGATCAACTGATGGATTTAAAACAAAGGGTACGACTAAAGTCCCCGCTGACTCGAGGAATTAGTGTGCCTTTTCTGGCGGTTGGTGGGGCTTTGGCCAATCATTACAGCAGAGCCGCATCGCTGGCTATTCTGTATTCCTGCGTTTCAGCCTTGTGTACGAAAACTTGCTGATATCGTGGAACCGCGAGACGCGTGCCGTGTCTTCTCAATAGATTGCCAACAGATCGTCCCGCTTTTCATCTGGCTTAGCTTTTCGTCCAACCATGCAAAGAAAGTCCTCCAATGCTGCATCATGGTGTTACTCAGCCTCGTCCCGTCGATCTGGCCCTTCAGAAGCTGCCATAGTCACAGCCTGACCCTGAACCGAAACTCCATATGCTGTGTGCCATGTGTATGCACATGCATGGAGGCGTGGAGTGTTCGGAGAACGTGCAGTTTTAGAACCCCGCTCTAAAACTAGGTTTGGCTTGTACGCCTGCTTGCCCTTTGCCCTCCTGGGCTTGCTCCTTCTCGATTAGATTTCGATCCCAACGATATGCCTCGAATGGACGAATAGTATGCCAACGGGGAGATGGGTGTTCTTGCGAAATCGTTCCTGAAGTATTGGCATGCATAGAATGCATACTCTACTGCGGAGTCCATATGCGTATTTCACAGGCTCCTAACCAATGGCTTGCGGTACCCCACGAGTAGGATAAATGTTAGTCCGCCAAGAGGATGTACTTTGAGAACAAGTAGCAACACTCTAATCAAAGTAGCCGCCGGAAACGGTAGGCGACGAGCAGGCTGAATGTTGAAGCGGTTGCGAGTTGGCAATTTTGTGTCGAATGCGTACTAAATTGATGACGAGATGGCGCTGCATATAGCTGTGAGGAGTAAGAACAGTGCAGTCATACCCCACGTACCTTGCGTGTAGTCGCTTGACGATATCCAGTCTTTTCCACAACGCGGATGATGGTTTCCGAGCAGGGCGTGGAATGTAACAGTGCGAGAGTATCCCATGAGGTGCACATGGTCGATGGGAACTTATAGGGTTGGTTCGATAAAGTTCACTGAGCTGATTTCATTCCTCAGGAGCCGCTCTTTGACGGTCTTCACCTTCCCAGCCGATGAAGGGCCAACCTACAGGAAGGCTGGAATATCGTGGTAGTGTATACCGCCCTTCGCAGCTTCCTGCGTCTCCGCAGTCGAGCTTGCAAAGGCCAAAGACCTTGCAGTAACACTCTTTTGCAGATGGACAGTGTACCGGTTTCTTGCCAAAGATCACTGCGGGAGTCAGTACATGCTCAAATTTCTCAAAAACGAAAGGCTATAGCAGAGCCTCACACCGTAGTACAAGGAGCAATCGCCAAGCGATACGACAGAGGACTTACTATGCCACGAATATTCCAGTACCCGTCCACTGATACTGTCATCGAGTTTTGTCTCAACGATCCAGTCCCGGTAACGTATATAATCGCTCTTCTTTCTCTCCCTAATCTTCTCCCTCGTAGCGGCAAATTGTGCACAGCAGCTCACGCCAACAGACTCGGGCACCTTGACCCCAGGAAACAACTGCTGGAACGCCATCTTGTAGTCACCCCCAGCATGCACAGCCTCCCTGTGCTCCCCTGCCTCCTCAAGCGGTTTTATCTCGTTAGGGCAACCGAGCGGCCAGGCACAGCGGATGTTGACGTAGCCCTCTTTCTCGAGATAGGGTATCTGGAAGTGCCGCAGCATAGGGAGGCCATCGTAGTCGGGGTCGTCATTGTGCCATTGGTAGCGGTTGGGATGAATGAAGAGTACGTTGTCAGGCAAAGCGTCGTAATGGTCTATTATGTAGCTAGTCGACGTCCCATGTTAGCTCATGATCTAGTGACGCGGCGAGGTGGAAGGCACGTACGTCAGGTACACCATACTCTCTCTTCCCTTGTTCTTCGGCACCGTGAGCGGCGCATTGGCATCGTCTACCCTGTAGATGTTCTTCTCCCAGTCTGGGAAGTACTGGTGGAGCCATGTCGCGTTTTCAGAGGCCTGGCTGGCGACCACGACTGCCGTTCTCCGCGACTCGACTCCGGAATTGACCTTCAATGTTTTCCCGCTATCAACGTGTGACGTTGCGGCTGTTTGGTAATCGTCTAGCAGCTCGTCTGGTATGTGTGATGGGCCACCGAGGTCCGCTGTAGGGGAGTGCTTGTCCCATAACTCATTCTTCAAATGAACAAATAGGGCAGTGAGGAGCAGTATATTCACTGCAATAACGGCATTGCGGACTGTGAAACGAGGCATTGGTCCACATGGGAAGCGATTGCAAGCTCGCGACGATGTTTGGTGATAATCTAGGCCACTCAACATGTTCAACGGGGATCGGGGGAGATGCACCTGCGCCAAGGCTAGCTGCAGCCAGTAGCATCACGCGCGCATGATGCTAGTCAGGAACACTTCCTTATTAGTGAAGAGAGTTCACATTTGGACTTCTTTTGTGTTTCATTATGATTGCATCAAATCGTCCATGTGGAGTCGTGTCATCATGTATTCCGTCCACTGTCGGGAAAACCACCAGAAGTCCTCAGACTGTATTCAATTTCAGCGTCCATGGCGCTCCTTGTCCAGCTTAAGTATACAGCTCCTCAGTGATAGCATTTAGTCCCATGCCTTCCTGCGCAATGTCTTCCTCCTTCAAGAAAAGCAGTGGCATCTCCACAAGCGTTCCCTTGATGGTGCTCAATACCTCCTTGACCTCGCGCACACCCTGCTCACCCTGGCTGAAGTTCTCTGCAACTACATGGCCCCACTTGTACAAGCTGGGCTTCTTGTTCTCCTTGGCTTTCTCGTCTTGCCCGAAGAATCTAGAATAGTACTCGTCGTATTGCTTCCAGTTCCTAACTTCATCGCTCGGTACTGGGTGAAACAACTTGCCAAAGGCTTGTGTGTTCGTGTTCGCGCGCCAGTTCCACAGATTCTGGAATTCGTCCGACAGTGGATCTGCGACCTGTCTATCCTCATTCGAGCCCCAGTCGTACACATTCGGAATACCGACGGGTTCGTAGTTCGGGTCTGGATGCTCCATGTCCTGAGGCTTGAGCAGGCCGAGATGCTTCCGGAAGATTTCTCTTCGCAGGGAAGAGGCAAACTTAGATGCGCGCCATGGTCGTCCGTCCATGTACGACTCGATCGAATCTGGATCTCGGATAATGACTGCGATCTCCGAGTCGTGGTCCCCAAGTTGGGAACGGTCATTGAGGTTGGCCGAGCCGCAGATGACGGTTTGATCATCAGCAATCAGAAGCTTGCTGTGAATGTAAAGCTCCTCAGAGACGAATGCGTCCATCTCGTCCATTGCTCCACCTTCCCAAGGGACATTGCGAATGTCTTCCCCACCAAGCATGTAGCACTCGCTAACAGTGTCCCAGCGTCCGTCACCAAGGCCTTGTCGGCCCCCAATCTTGGCAGCTTCATGCTGATAGCGGTCATAATCGTTGGGGTTGCCTTGGCTTTGCGGGCCGGCATCATACTGCTGGTTCTGCGCAGGTGCGCCGCCAGAGGAGCCATCTAGCTCGTACACACCATACTCGGCGGTGGGTGGCGGGCGATAAGCTTGATAGTCCCGAGCGTTGTCGTGCGTCGCATCATAACCCTCTTGGGCCTGTGTATACGATACGCCGCTGCGCTCTTCAGCCTCACGCATGACCTTACTACCGTTGATGCGATCATAGCTGCGAAGATTATAGAACCGGATGTAGTCCATTGGGTTAACACCTGCTCGAGCGATTTCTTCGTAGATAGAGTGACCACCGCGGTTTATCGAGTCGTATTGGAACTCCATAATCGCTCGCGTGCCCAGCGCACCGTCGAGCTTGAGGTCGCCAGCGAACGCTGGAACAGCGGGGATCATAATCATCATCTTGTATTTCTCACCGTTGCGAGCAGCTCGGATTATACGCTCGACCATGGCCGCGCCAATCTGGTTCTTAATCGGCTTCTGTTGTTCACCAGTAGCGGTGATGAAGAACTGGTTCTCAATGTAGACGAAGTGCTTGCTGTCACGTATGATCTCAACGTAGGCGTTCTGAATCGAATGCTGAGATGGTTCGTTAGCTAGATACTTTCCGGCTCAGGGATTATAGCTTACCTCGGTAGCGATCAGGTTATGGCTCCATTTTGCAGAACTGCGTGTAATTTGGCAGTCCGCGCCACCTTGCTGGGAGCTGTGTTCAGAATGTGACTGCTGAGTGCCTTGATATGATCCTTCTTCATGTCCATATTGGCTGATTTTGCTCTGCAGCTTCTGGCGCAGGCCTCCCCCGTGGCCGTGGCCGAACAGCCCTCGTTCACCGTCCTCGTCGCCGCCAAATCCGCGTTGACCATCTTCCTCGCCTTCGAGCCCACGTTGTTGAGATGGAGGCGGATAAACCCCGCCCTGCTGAGCACCGCTACCTGTGTCAGGTATTCTTGAGTACCTAGTGGCTTTCTTGCTATACTTCTCATCGTAAATGAAGTTCCAGCGTTGTGCAAAGTGGGTGCGGAGATCTTGTACTACGGGGCCACCTAGACAGAGTGCAACATCAGACCAGCCCATGCGAGAGCTTTCTGTTCTGTCGAGCTTGTTGTTCTCCCAGTTGGTGACATCGTTGAAATCTATCCCCACGTTAGCATCGTCCCTAAAACCACGTTTACTGCCACTCTGATTAAGAATGACTGTGGCACCCTGTAGTGTAGATATCTTCGTGGGTCTTTACAATCCTCCGTCGAAAATTGCAAACCTTACTGAAGATGTCGACACTAGGTCTGGGTTGCAGATAGTCTTACCTAACATTCGGGCGTTGTTGAAGTCCTGGCCTGGAAACACTATCCTATCAACGTTTCCAGGATGCGCATCGGCAATTGCGTGCTGGTTGGTGTCCCAACGGCCATAGCAGAGGTCGAGACCTCCCATGAACGCGGTTTGACCATCGATAAGGCAAAGCTTCTCGTGGTGTGCCCAGAACATTACTGTTCCATTATGAGCTCCATAGATTGCCTTGAGTCCATCTCCAGGGAGTTGTGCCAGCTTTGCTGGAGTGAATGACATGTTCTGAAGCGAGGACAAGAACGAAGATTGCAGCACTGCTGCATCTGGCAGATGATCGGGGTGTCGAAATACGCCAATGTTGGGGTGAAGCTCTTCCAGATTGTGCTTGGTATGAGCTGAGGAGACTGTAATAGGTGGTGCAATCAGCGGGTCTGTCTCTTCCCACACTTCAAGCGATTTGAAGATGACATCTAGCCCAAGTCGAGTGAGGCTATGGGTGAACCTGTCGGTAGAGCTCGGTAGGAGAGAATGAAGATAGTTGGGTAATGTTGGATTCAGCAACTTACGAGTCAAAGCTTGGGTCACCTCCTTGTATACAATGATATTGACCTTAACACCGCGCTCTGCTGCAGCGTGCAGCATTCGGTCAAGTCGATACTGCTGGTTCTTCGCTGGAGGGCGTCGCAGGTACAGCTCAGGGGAGAGCCACCAATCCAAGATCCATATGGACTCTTTGGCACGCTCCAATGCCAGGCTTACCGCATACATATAAGAGCATCCATCAACGTACCACTTGGTCTCGTTGCCATGCCGTTCGGGCGCGAAGCTCAGGAATCGATGTTCACTATGGTATTCCTGACCTGGCTGCGGCGCCTGTCCTCCTTGCTGTTCAACTCCGCCATGAGGAGGCTTGTTCTGCGAATCCTCTTTTCCTGAGATTGCGTCCTTGAGGTCGGAGACGAAGCCGTGGAGAGGATCATGGAGCTTGTTGAAGAACGACATGCCGCCGCCTTGATTCGAGGAAGATTGCTGCTGCTGAGTGTTCTGTAAATGCCTTGTTAGTCTGAGTCTGCTTCAAGGCTATGTTCTTGGAGTTGAGAGAGGCTTGAGGGCGGCAAGGATACACAGGCTAGGGCATCAATATGACGGAGGCACCGAGCGCTATGACTATTCGAGTGGACCTGTTTCAGGCTTCGAAGAGTGCAATGCAAGACAGGGGGCACAATGACAACATGGCGTATCACTGAGAGAGCACTCACCTCTTTCTTGCCGCCAAAGAACCGCCTACCCACGTCGCCTATCAGCCCACGATCTCCCTCTCCGCCTCCGCCTTCTTGACCATGATAATCTCCGTAGGCCAAATCATCGTCTCGGCGATTGGACATTGTGCCAGACACGCAGCTCCAAGTCACTGTCGAGTATGCGGAGTGGTGGTGGTGGTGTTGGTGAAGTTACGAGCTGAAGCACGAGGTGCTCGGCTTGACCCCGCGTCATCGCCTCAGCTTGAAACCAGGGCCATTGAATTGCCAAGAGGGTGATTGCGCGGCCACGTTCAAGGCAGTCTATTGAATATCTAGCGTTGCAAAGCATATATCAATGTTGGATTTTAATCTTGTACCCTTCTTTGTTGACTTTTGTAACACTAAAGATACCGGTTCCATCGCTTGCCCCTCATTACCCCTCATTTGGCGCTTCTCGAACTGAAACCCCGTCTGCCACACTCCGATAAACGTCAGCGAAGTTTTGCCGCAAGTGGGACTGCCGCGGAGATGATTACCACTTCGTCGAGAGGCCTGGAGCAGTTGATAGACATGGTGGTGCCGGGCCGATGGACCATAAAAGCGACCGCGCAGTTGAATGACGTATGATAGGTCTCGGGCACTACCAACGGCAGCTTAGAGCTTCTTGAGCTCCTCACCTTATCTCTATTAGCAATACGCAGTGCAATAGCTGTAAATATCCTATAATTACCCGCTCCTTTCCTGCAGTTATGGCCTTTGTTCCTCGTCTTGCTCTCTCTGCTCGATTGACCTCCCGTGCAATCGTTCCCGTCGCATCTTCCATAGCACGACCTGCATCAGCCTGTACAGCCTCCCGCTATCTCCACTCAACTCCTGCTGCCATGTCGAAATTCCCCATTGCTACTCTACAGGTAAGGACAACTCAAATATACATTGGCCAATACTAACGTAGCTTTAGGAGGATCTCATCCCTCGGCTGCCACCATCCTCGCCAACCCTCTTTGAGGCTAAAAAGAAGAAGAATCTGTCTTTTGAAGCCATTGCAAAGCACGTTGGACGCGATGAGGTTGCAATTGCCGCATTGTTTTATGGCCAAGCAATGGCGTCTTCCGAAGACATCAAGAAGCTGTCTGAAGTCCTAGACATCCCCGCCGAGACGCTCGAGGCGCAACTGTCTGGCTTCCCGGACCGAGGGAGAGCCTTGGAGATGCCTCCAAAAGACCCGCTCGTGTATAGGTTCTATGAGATTGTGCAAAACTACGGTTATGCTTACAAGGCTGTGCTGAATGAGAAGTTTGGCGACGGAATCATGAGTGCAATCAGTTTCAGCACGAAAATCGAGAAGGAAACAGATGACAAGGGTGATTGGGCAAAGATTACTCTCAGGGGGAAATGGTATGTTGCCGCCTTTGCGTTATGTAATCCAACCACTGACCATGATCTAGGTTGCCATATTCGCGATTCTAGAGGTTGGATTCCTACCAATGCAGTCATCAAATATTCATCATCAGCGTTTGGATCATAATTTACGAAACCTGATGACCGCTGTTCGTGGCTTATTGCTGTTATCGAATTTGATGTCAATGACTGTTGGCATGAAATCACTAGTTTGAACTAAATGCTCTCTACGCACAGTTACGTAGTTTTAAAATTTGTTTTCATGCCATCAAGCATCGTAGCGGAAGCCAATTTATGCCGAGCTCAATCATAAGGGTGTCCTACGGTGTGTTCAAACGTTTCCCCTGCGTACACTATCATTAACGTACTCGAGGTACCGCCTTCAGCCACTTCGTAGGTTTCCAAGGTTACAGTTCTTGCCTATTAGAGTAGAAATGGAAAGCGGCCTTCACCTCGATCTCAGATCACGCTCGTGCCTGCCTAGCTACCCTTACGCCGCCTCGGATATCTAGGCTGCCTCACCTTTTAATCTTAATTGACACTCACTAAGCCTTCTTCTGTTACACTCCAAGATCTTTGGCTTAGGCCCCCGCAAAGATCACGAATCTCACCTGCAACCACTCGTGTAGGCCGCTCGTTTCTACCACCAACTAATCATTAATATCAATCGGCATCGACTTAGTGGTACCTTCACTCGTTGTAAACTTCACCATCACTCGCTAAGGTGAGGCCGTGCAAGTCATCCACACTCCAATTTTCTCACCTCTCAGAGGGAGTTGTGGCACAGGTTGATTAGCCTCTCGAACGGGATGACCAATTCCTAGAACAACCAAGATCGTAAATCCATCAGATTTGCCCAAACCCACCAACATTACCGTCGAAAACAGCGTAGCCCAATATGCCCACGAAACTCGAGCCCATCCGGCGCGTCAAGTGCACGTACAAGGACTGCGACATGTCTTTCGAAACCGAGAAGGCTATGAGGAGCCACAAGAAGCACTCCGATGAGCACGAATACTGCCACAAGTGCAACGAAGACTTCGACTCCTACGATGACTACATACAGCATAAGATCACTCGCCCCGAGGAGCACGACAAGGCGTGTCGAGTCTGCGGTGATGAGTTCAAGTCGGATTCAGGCCTGCGGCGCCACATCGAGCTCGTGGGTCATCCAGCCTCACCACACATACTGTCACTGACAAACGCTAGAACCACAAGATTGACCAAAAGCTCACCTGCATTGGATGCCATAAGTCTTTCTACCGCGCCTGTCTCTTCATGGAGCATCTCGAATTTGGACACTGCGACGTCATCTCCGCCTCGCAATTCCAAGGCCATATTGTCCACAAGCATCTTATCACAGAGTTGCTGAAGGCCGGACCAGCATACGAACGCTTCATGCAAAAGACGTCCAAGTTTGATGCAACCCTGGACTATGAACAAGAGGGTGGCGTTGAGCTTGAGGATGATGCTCTTGATGCGGATGAGGATATAGAGGATGTGAAGTTTGAGGCTCTCAAACCTGACACTCCCCCGGACACTCCTCTGAACCCCGCGTTTGTAGGTCCCTACCCACCTCTTCCCTCTTCCCGAAATGTGGGCGATGCATGCTCTAGGGTTGCATCTACGCTCGGTGCAATGTCGTTGAGCGATGGGTCCGAGTCTAGCACTGTGGTCGGTTCTCACTTCCAAGCAACTTCTCTAGCTGGCTCTATGACCGGCCACTCCACTCACGAAGGCTTATCCCCCCAAATCTTTACGGGCCAGAGAAATCGTCAGCCCAAGGTCTGGGGTAATCGCAACGGAAAATCCGCCACCACTGTGCTCTTCCCCAACGCAAAACCCACTCCTGCTCCAAGCGAGTTCTCCATTGCCGCCCACGACGAGGCAATGGAGCAATCCTACGGATTCAATATTATGAGTACGCGATTCTGGGATCCTATGAGCAGCGACTGGAATCCAGAGCGCTTCTACAACTCAGTCATCAACATGTACAATTGTCCCTTCATCTGCGAGTGAGTAGTAACCTAACCTACAACCAACTTCCCCATTCCTTGACCAATATGACCGTTCTAATGCATCACCAGGCAAACCTTTGGCACCGCCGCCGATCTCAACACGCACATCCTAGGCGACCACCGCATCACGCGCATGAAATGCCCCACATGCCTCAAGTACTTCAAGTCGGCCACAGCACTCATGGGCCACTGCGAGTCCCGTGGCGCAAAGTGCCAGATCAACAAGGCGGAAGACTACAACATATTTCTCGACCGCCTTTCAGGTGGTTTCCTAGGGGTCGAGGAGATGGTTCGTCCGGATCACCTCAACAACCCGACGGTCATGATTCTCAACCACGAGAAGGACCGTCTGGAGCGTTATAAGCCGCCGGTTGCGTCGTATCTGCAGTACATGGTTACGAAGCCGCCGGATTGGAAGGAGCCTGTGCAGACCGCGGTGGTTATTGGTGGTCCGGCTAAGGACAAGTATGCGTCGCAGTGGTAGATTCTGCGCCCTACGAGCATGTGTATGTGACGGACTACTGGATACGACTAGTGATGGAAACTTCAACGGAAGTGGTGTTAAGGTAGAAAAAGTTCATCGAGTATGGACGATACGGCACTGGGAGGGTTTGATGACTTTCATTTCACCACTAACGGCGACAAATCTGCATCCTTCTCTTTCTCTTTCTGCATGACGATTAGGGTAGATTAGACTCACACCCCTTTTTACATTCGATGTAGTCATGCCCATAGTCATGCCCGACAAAAGCAATGGTATCAATGATGATCATGTCCCCAATCAATCAAAAAGCTCGCAATCATATGTAGTGCAACAAACACAACGGTCCCGCTTTTTACATCATCCCCATAGCCTCGGCCGTGAGCTGCAGCATATCGACGGGTCCTAGCCCACGCTTCGTAGTCCCACTACTCTTCGTCAAGTTGAGGCCGCCAATATCGCACCACTCGACACCATTCGTCTTGATAGGCTGTATACTCGTTAGCAACTGGTGCAAGTCGAATTAGAGAATGTGAACTTACCAAACAAGTCAAATGTTTGCACCATTTGCACGTATTCCTCCACTCATAAAAGTTCTTCAGAAGCAGGATGAAACCTATAAACGCTGCTACCAGCCCTCCCACACGGACAAGCCACCAGACCCACCAAAGCGGCTTCCTGCCCTTGAAGAAACCCACGGGCGCCCTGGCAAACTTCTGCATGTTGAATTTGCTCTCCGAGGCCGTGGGGGCAAGAGGTTGCGTGTCGACCGTCGCGTACGGCGGCTCGTCGTGGCCTGTACGTTCGCGGAGAGATTGTGGGGAGTGCAGCAGACAGATACCTAGGACAAGGCCCATGAGGAAACCGCCGATATGAGAGAAATTGTCCAGACCAGGGAGGAGGCCGAGGACGAATGCTATCGCCACGTCGAGGAGGAGAAAGAGTAGATCCTTGACCGGAGAGCGGCGTGTGCTCCAGTTGTAGCAGAGGTCGAGGAGCGTGAGGGCGAGGACGCCGAAGAGGGAGCCTGATGCGCCGACAGAGGTAATACCGTCCGCGGCGTAGTTGCCACCCAGCACGAAGCCGAAGATTCCGGCGCTGAAGTATACAACGCTGAAGCGGAGAGGTCCAATCTCTTTCTCCATGTCTCGCCCTAGCGTCAACTGTAGTAACATATTAAAGCCAATATGAATAATCCCCGCATGCAAGAATATCGGGACGATGAAGCGCCACCACTGGTTAGGCTCTTTACTCCTATCTCTGAAGTCTGTTATGCCAGATTGGTCCGGGACGCCGCCGCTCATGCCGCAGAGCTCGCTGAGGGAGCAGGTCAAAGTGCCCGGGTCGAGTGATGTGGTGTTGGGGCAAGGCCAAGCCTGCACGTCGGCTTCGATGACTTGCTTGATGTTGTGCATGCAGGGAGTGAAGCGGGCGCCCATGTTGATCAGGACGTAAGGGGAGGGCCCGATCATGATGTTGAAGTTTGGCTTCGTTTGAATGGGGGAGCCTGTCAGGATGCCTGCAATACTCGTTAGCCTTCCGTTCCATCTTCGTTGCCCATATCCCAACTGATCCCGTTTCTCCTCTTGGACTCTTAGAGACTGAAATTTGGGTGTTATTGCTAGACATACCATTCTTAATCAACTCGCCCACAAAGACGCCTATCTGCACTGTTGTCAAGATATAGACGACCCACGTCACCCTCCCACTAAACCAGCCCTTCTTCTTCTTTTTCTTCCTCTCCACCCCCGCCCCAAACCTCTCCGGATCACCATCGTACCGCGTCGGACTCCTACTGTCCATCTTCAGCTGGCTCTGCAACGGTATTGCGTTCTGATCTGCAAACGGGTCTGGGTGGCGGCCCGCCGGGGGGTCGTACCGGTGCGGAGGGTCGTTGAGATATGAGGTCGAGTCGTATTGCGAGGGTGGGTTGTAGGAAGTGTTGGAGTAGGAAGTATTGACGGGGTAGCCGTCTAGCGCGCCCGAGCTGTGTGTGGTGCTGGGGTAGGGCGGGTACGTATTGTCATTGAAGGGCGAGGAGGAGATGGGCGAGACGGCGTGCTGCGCGTTGGGTATTGGGGGCAGCGGGGCGTCTGCTTTGCCGTGCGGTTGGCTATTCGGCGGGGGATAGGAGGTGTTGTAATAGTCGTTGGCAGCCATGGTGGCGTCTGGGGAAGGTGCGACAGAGGTAGGTGCGATGCGATGTCGTGGAGAGGAAGGTCGCAGGGGCGCGGTTCAGCACGAGGAACGCGCTCTGGAGACACTCGGCTAGGTAGAGATGTAGATGAGACGTGGAGGGACTGGAAATGAACGCCGGGCTTTGTTTGCCTTGTCACAGGAGCAGGAGGAGGAGGCGTAGAGGCGTCGACCAGGACAGCGAGCGTGGGTCTTGGGCGTGTCGTTTGGTGTCTCAGAACTGCGGGAGAAGAGCATCAAAGCATCCAAGACGGACCACGCTTATATATCAAGACAGCATGAATCTTGCTGCCGTCTAAGCGAGTGTGTGCTGAACGAGAGGCTGAGGTTTGCTTTGCGCAGGCTTAACCAGGCTCAACCCGACGTGATGTGCATAGCTGCGCCCAGTTGCTACTGTACCTTTGTACCCGGTCCTGCGCTACCAAGCGACCGCAGCCATCTGTGGCGCTGCGCGTGTTGCTAAGAATACCCGGACGCGTGTAATGCGCCAACATCACCAAAGTTGACCAAAGGGATGATCATGTCTTATATCTGTGTCCGAATGTCGTCTTTGGCATTGCTTTTGACAGCTGTCATATAGATGCAGCCTTTGCGGAACAGCTTCCTCAACAGTTGATGATAGCACAGCCACTGACACCAAGGATGCTTGATCCACACGAGTACGTGGACTCCAAGACACTAATAAACGTAGTGCTTCATGAACTTTGGTCTGCATGCGCAATCACGCTACACCATCGGGGACCATTTAACGACTCAACACCAGAGTATTATTTACGTACACTCCGCGATATCTACAATGGCGGAAGTGACTCTCTACAATTGGGACACTGCAGTCTATAGCGCAGCCACCCCTCCAGACACCCTGTATGAAAGACATGTCTACACGGCGTGACCATGTACTGTCTTCTCTGTAAGATCATACTCGTGCTGCCCATGCCTGCCACGCTGCTCTCATCGGCCCCTGCCGGAATGACGGGCACTTCAATGTCCTGCGCGCAGATACTGCAGTCGAAGACCCTTTTGCCTTTGCTCTTGGACTCTCCGAACGCCTTGGTAGATTCTTCTGCCGACGAGGATGACGTGTCGAGGGCTGCCGTGGAGGGAGAGTCGGTGGAGGTCGAAGTGTTTATATTCAGAGGCATCGTAGCACCCTCCTCATCCTCCCTCAAGATGGGATGATAATCATACGCTGGTGGTGCCCATCCTTCTTTCACAAGGAACCTTGGACCCAGCACCTCCTGACTGGCCAGTGCGACAATCTGCACCCACACCCAACCTATTAGCACTGCAAATTCCGTCCAATCCGTCTTCGAGAATAGCACATTATCCTCTTTTAGGTAGAAATACGCGACAGGTGCGAGTCGAACGATAGAAGTCCCAGCGATGTAGTCCCAGCGCAACGCTTTCCGGCAATTACGCATGACGTTCCGGTAGATCTGTGGCACCCAGAAGGAGAGGTAGAGGAACGAAATCGTGCTGAAGTAGACGTTGCGATATGCAGTGCGGGCGGTGGCGAACTGGATCGTTACGAAGAAGATGACGATCAGGAGGAGGCAAAAGCGACTATAGAGGGCGCCGAGCTCGGCTCGAGGATTGGTGTTGGTGGTAGTATTATTTGGCGTCGGCGTTGCGTCTTCCAACGGCTCATCTTGATCGGGTGCGATGATGATGGGTGTAGGAGGGCGTGGGCTAGGAGCAGTCGCTGGGAGAGGCAAACCCTCATCGTTCGAGGGAGGTGCTGGAGTTGATAGGCTTGCAGCAGGCTGAGCAACTGGAGAGGGCGCTGGTGATGCCTGTTGTCTATCTATTCGCGCTCGTTCTGCTGCCTGGACGGACCAGATATCCATCAAAAAGCGGAGGTGTGTAAGTACCGAGAACAATGCTATGAATGCGATGCTGTATAGGGCGAGCTGCGATGTGCTCAGAAACAGATACATGAAGATGAGAATCAAGAACGTGAAGCCATCTCCTAGTGCCATCATGGCAATGGTGTAGAAACTGACCCGGCTACGCATTGACGGTGTTGCAGTCTCCTTCATCTGCTTGATAAGAAACGATAGTTGAAAGGCAAGGGCGATGGCGAAAGCTACAACGCTATGTCTTGCCCGTACATTGAAGTCCTCTGTTTTTGACCCAACAAGATGCGTAGCTTCAGAGGGAGAATAGGCTGGAGGTCCCTTCGACTCAATGACGAAGCCACAGTCTGGGGAGAAGCCGACCATAGACATTGCAAATTGAGCATGCTGAGTTGCCGGAGCGCCAGTGGGATACCGCATTTCATGCTCGAGCCAGTCCATGTCGACGTTGAGTTGACTTGGAACCTCCTGTAAATAGAGTACAAACTCGCAATGATGCCCTTGGAACAAGCCCTCATTGGACCCTTCGGCTGAAGATGTCCAGGGGTTCCAAAGCGGAAACACTCGACCCTCCTGCCGTTGTATAGTCTGATGTATCGTCCAGTTCAGAAACTCCTGCGAGGTCGAGTAGTGGTGCTGGGAGATCTGCAGGTGTGGTAGAGCGAAGATACCGGCATATCGATCGCTTGTTGTAGTCAAAACCATCGTACCACTTTTCAGAAAGTGTACCCCATGTGCCACAAACTCCCACCAGTTACCCCCAAAGCTGTCGTTGTCCCCTATCACCACCTTGGCGCCGATCTCGGACACAGTCTTGTCTTTGTTTCTACGCATCTTGTCCTCTAGCTCGGTGAAGTGTAGTCTTAACGGCCCACCCGTACCCGTCAGGTTCCTGTCGAAATCCCCCAAGTGTGCAAACGGATTGTCTGGGACCATGGACGAGTTGCCCATATCGCTGGGATGCCGTACTCGACTGAGCGGAGAGCGTACCCATTCACCCTGCACGTACCCAGAGAGATTCTTGTACACCGGAATGCCGTGGTCTTCATCTGCCAGTGATCCATCAAGGATTGTTTTCCATCTTTCTCCCAGTAGCCTCTCCGACTGTTCCTTCGCCTTTTGCTTCACTGGGTCCAGCAACTCCCACGCGAACCCATCCTCATCCTTCAACCCCGTAATATTTAGCCACTGATCTTTCTTTGCGTCGAAATCGCCAAATTTGGTCCTATTCAGAACATCGAGCTGATTATATTCGCGCTCAATCAGCTCATCGTATCGCGCTCGCGCGTTAAACGAGGGCTGTTGCGGTTCGGGCGAGTTGATGAGGAGCAGTAGTATTATGAAGAAGAGGAAACTTCGTGGATCGCGGCGAACTTCCATCACGGAGGTCGTGGTGCTATGTGAGCCATCGAGGCGCGGGTGGTGAGTGTGGGGATGATGTAGGGTAAGAGCGGTTGAGGACTAAGATGACGTTCGCGATTCAGGTCCCGGAGGTCCGCATTCATGCGACAGCTTGGCATTGTCTTCATATTCAAATCATGTACATGGAAAGTTCAGGCAATTGAATAAGAATATTGTATTTATTCAGAGGGCAAGAGGGGTATTGGTTCATTTGTATGTACATAGAGAAAGTGCAATCAAGTCGTGATATCCTAGCATGAATTCCGTGCAAACGCCTCCTCGATAATGAACCTTTTCCTTGTACTCGTAAAACAGAGCTGTTCAGACAGTAGAACGCGTGAACGAGCTGCGTTAGTGAAATGGACTGGCAATGGCTGCCGGTGGTGCGGCTTCCAAATCCACACGTTGCACTGTCTGGCGCAAATCGTTGCTGCTACGCACAAGATTACCGAAGTATTTCCGGGCTACTTCCGTCTCCATTTTGATCTTGCTCGTCTCCTCCTTCTTGAGTTGGAGCTTCTCGACGTTCCTCTGCAGACCAATACGAACGTCATTAGCAGGGCCCTTGAGCGCGCGTCGGATCTCTGAGCTGATGCGCAGGGCGTTCTGGTGGGTATAGTCGATAGATGCGAGCTGTTGAGACAGCTTCGCGCTCAGTCGGTGGGGTAGAGACTTGGGTACCGATGCTAGGATATAAGAAACCCCGATAGCAACTGCAAAAAGTATATTAGCGCCAATCCTCAGAGTGAATTGCAAAAAACGTACCACCTGCGATAAGGCCAGGGATCAATAGCCTCTTCATATTGTTCGAGCCCATGATCTTTGCAGCACCGAGTGCACCGTCAAGCCATCCAACGCCGCCAACTAACCTGCCGCCAACCACGCCTGCAACCGTAACAGCCATGCCGGTACCAGCGACCTTCTCTTGTCGTTCCCACAAACTGGCTACGTCGAAGAAGTCCCACAACTCGATATCGATGTCGACTTGCCTGGCAAGAGCGTGTACCGACTTTCTGAACATCCTCTCTGGGCGGAACATGACGTCAGCATACAAATTGTTTCCAAGATGTAACACGCCCAAGTTCTTGATGCCGTTGTAGCCTTGGACAGCCTGAGTTCGTGCATGCTCCTCGCACAAGCGAACAGTTTCGGTGACTTCGTGGAGCATGGAGTCTCTGATGTCTTCGGCATACTGGTAGGCAGAGAACAGGCCAGGGTATTCGATGCCCAAGTCTTGCTCTCCGACCTTCGCAATAGAGTTGTTGAGTGTATCCCGTGTGTAGCCGTAGACGTCGGACGTTGTGTCTTCTACCATTCGATCTACAGCCTCTCCAGCTTCGGTTCGCGACTTTTTAGACTCTTCGAATTCTGGTTCAAGTGTGTCGATTTCTTTTCTCACACGGTCCAGCTCGGCCTGGGATACATCTCGATTGACTGTAGCGAGATTGTTCATGTCTCCGAGTACGTTCAGAAGATAGGTCTTCGCAGGAGCCAGTTTCGACCTCGCCCTCTTCTCTAGCACAAAACGTCGGAGCGATGCCTCAAGGTCTGCGAAGTCACGCATCTTCTCTGCCTCTTTGCCCTTGCCTTTCCCGCCGTCTGATGGATCATCGTCGCCATCGTCTCCCGGTGGCGAGCTTCCTTGCATAGGTATAGCGTTACTGGAGACAAAGTGCACCAATTCACTAGACTCTTTGAAGGTTGCAGGGCTCAATCCATGAACTTGCTTGAGAATCATCTCCTGGCAACGTTGCTGGTCGCGAATAGCGTCAAAGCCGTTGACCACCATGAACATATAGGCCTTCTCCCGGGCTGCACTAAAGATGAAGTTCTTTGCGGACTCGGTGAAGTGATTCGCCGCAGAAACAACGAAGACTACAACGTCGATTTCCTCTTGGCGAGCGAACACAGCCGTAGTCTTGAGCGAGTCGGCATTTAGCCCAGGTGCGTCAATGAGTGCGATATCGACAACTCCATTGTTGAGAATGGATTCGTCCACATCTCGAATGTCTTTGATGTACACCTTGCACTGTGAGAAATGCGCGTTGTCGACGACAATCTTCTCTAGATCTTTCAGGTCGAATACAGTGTATGTGCTTTCGTCGTGGCGTTTGTACGTGGAGCCGATTGGAACAGCGTGGACCTCTTCCACTCCGCCATTCTCCCGAAAGTCGAGGACCTCGCAAAATATGCTTGTGCAGGGTTGCTGGTCTTCTGGTAGGACCTTGCGTCGGAGGAGAGCGTTGCAGAAGGTGGACTTGCCAGCATTGAGATCTCCGGTCACGAGGACCTTACTTGAAGTGTCTTCGATGCGGTCTTTGATGGCGTACAGATGGCGTATACTTTGTTGAATCTGACCATCGAGCAAAGACGCAATTGAGCTCTTTTCGAGAGAATGTACTAAATCTGTCTGTGTGCGGCCGCCCATGCGTAGCTCTAGTTTCAAAACTGAAAAGTCGTGGGCCAGTTTCGGCGTCACCAGTCGAGGCTCTTCCTTCTTCTCCTTCGGAGCCGCGGAACTCGACTCTGCGATGGGATCGTCCCCGATGGTTGTACCGGCGCGTCGTGGTGGTCGTGGTCGGTCCGGAGAGCGCAGAATGGGATCAGCGTCGCCGAGGGAGGATTGAGTATGATGTAGCCCAGGCCTGGGATCGCTATGAGCATGTGCTTTCTGTGTTTCGGTCTGCACTGAAGGGTAGTGTGCTGGCCATTTCAAGTTCATCTCCTGGAAGCTTTTCAGCGTGTCGATAGTACCGTGGATGGCCCGGCCAAGGGCATTCTTGTTCTGGTTGTATCGTAGCTGAAGAACATGGCTGCGTTGCTTCTCATGTTCGGAGGAGTTGGGCTCGCCGGGTAGGATGGGTGTGGGTGATTGCGACGGTCTATCCTCGCCAATGCGCGACCGCCAACTCGTCTCTCCGTCTACCAGGCTTCCTCCATAGCCAGAGTCATCGTCTAGCATCGACACAAGGCGGGCGGCGGCTTCGGGTGTCGACGACCCACCCACCGTCATATAGCCTGGGCCAGTACCTCGCCGGGGTTTGTAGCCATCGGGCGAGCCTGCATCGCGGCGGCTGGAGGACCCCCCGGGCTCTGCGGACTTGTCGGCTCGTCGATCGGGATTCATCTAGGTGGTTGACTGTTGTGCACAGACGGGGAAAGGTACATGTCGTGGAGGTAAAAGGGTGATGAGTGATGATGTCGAGCGAGAAGGCGTAAAGAATATGATGCGGCCCCCGGTGGCGTGTGCTTTATGAGCAGGGATTCGTTACTTGTACACCGCCAGAGCGCTGCCGCGGCAAGACGAAACAAGGCACCTGGACGGCTCACAAGCTGTAGTTGATTGGGATGAAGCTCTTGGCTTGTTCTTTTGGCTTTGAGTACTGCACGATGCGAAAAGCTTGTCGTAAATGTTCCGTTTGTGTATTTGACAAAGGCTGGGCATGGCTACGCGATAGATGTATAATCCCTACAAATGCTCGTGCCTAATGCACTCCCCATAGACCAACAAGGTTGAAACCCCACCTCCAGAAATCCCGAAAAGTGCTTCTGTCCAGTCTGTTCCCAGCTGTTGGCTCCTCCATAGCTGTACACTGCCTATACCCACGTAATCCGGCGCAGGCTGTCCAGAGTTGCAGTCGCTACCCTCTCCCCGTTCGACGACTCGACGATTCACCCCCCACGCGTCCCGCAGACATACCCGCCAGACTAGCCCATAATCCGAGGTCACAATCGCAACGATGAATATTGTTGAATGGGCTTTCGGAAAGCGGATGACGCCGGCGGAGCGACTGCGGAAACACCAGCGCGCACTCGAGAAGACGCAGCGAGAGCTGGATCGCGAGCGTGTGAAGCTCGAGAACCAGGAGAAGAAGCTCGTAGCAGATATCAAGAAGAGCGCAAAGAATGGGCAGATGGGGCCTTTGCGGATACAGGCGAAGGACTTGGTGCGGACAAGAAGATACATTCAGAAGTTTTACCAGATGCGGACACAACTTCAAGCGATCTCGTTGAGGATTCAGGTGAGGGCGACGGCCTACATACACGGCAGCTGGTGGCTGATATCAGGCAGACTGTGCGCAGCAATGAGCAGATGATGCAGTCTATGAAGGGAGCAACAAGTGAGCTAAAGAGTCCCTTTGCAGATAACATGGCTAACTATACTAGCACTACTGGGCAGCATGAACAAGCAGATGAACCTCCCGGCTCTGCAGCGCATCGCCATGGAATTTGAGAAAGAGAACGATATCATGGACCAGCGGCAAGAGATGATGGACGATGCCATTGACGACGCCACAGGCCTCGAGGACGAGGAAGAGAGCGAAGACGTCGTCAATCAAGTCCTAGACGAGATAGGCATTGACCTTGGCCAAGCAGTAGGTGTTGTATGCGCATTGATTGAGCAGGAGCTGACACTTTGCAGCTCGGCGAGACGCCCAGCGGCCTGCAAAAGAACGCACTGCCAGAGGCTAGGGTGGCGCAGGCCATTGGCGGAGCTGATCCGGACGATGATGACCTTCAGGCTCGTTTAGACGGCCTGAGGAGGTGAGGGGACAATGTAATGGTTCGAGGCGTGTGCTTTGTCTATGGCTGTGCTCAATCTGAGGCTATACATGATTGGGGATGAGGTGACATGGCCCGGTCATGATGGCCCTCAGCGTTTGTGTCTTTGAGACGTGTATGCCACCAGGCTCTTTCTTACGCATGTTACCATTGTATGGCCTTTCTCCTGATTTGATTGTACATATCAGTATGGTCCATGAATGACTAGTGCTTGGCTACCTATCCCAAGACCAAGATAATCCCTGCCTACTCCACCTTGGTAGCCGGCGCACATTTGATTGAGCCTAGATCTGCTGATCGTTAGTTCACCACGGCCCAAATTCACAAAACGTTCCGAGCAGCCTCGAAGGCGGATTCTCCAAAGGAGACATGTCGAGAGTCACAAGACCAGGGACTGGCGTCAAGCCACCGGTCAGCTTCGTGCAAACGGTCCATTTGTAAGGAAAACGGCGGGGTAGAGCAAGTAGCCAGCGACTGAAGAAGGCCTCCAGCCATCCCCGCACTCAACCGCCTCGAGCAACAGTCAATTCCTGCTCTTCTGCCTTCTCACCACGCTATTCCTTTTCCGTATCGTGTTCCTTTGCGCGCCGTGAGGGTGAATTGCGCTTCCCCTTGTTCCGTCACACCGTTGTCTTCCACATCCCACGTCATTTCTCTCCCACAACCGCCGACTGCGACAACAACCACAACAACCACACACCTCTCTACTCGCACTATCCTTACACTCGCACCTGAATCAATCCACTCCCACGCCGTGTCCTCCAGACTACTCCTGCACCCTGTATGTACGCTTATCCTGCATGATGTCCTCATTGCGCACGGCCCGCCCGTCCCGCAAAGCTGGCGAGCCCAATGCCCCTCTTCACTGTTCGTTCGTTCGCTTCAGCAGAAGGGTTCCTAACACTTGGGACAGCAGCTCATTGACGTCACCCTCGAACACGCGCATTTGCCGATTCCTAACCCCTCAAGCTCTCCACATATCCCACGGTCCTATACCCACCCCCTCCTATACAACCGCTGTCGCGAAGTCTTCAATCTGGCAGGAAACAAGCGTCGCAGTTTCTCCAGCCAGGGAGGTCTGCTAAACAGGATGTTTGGCTCCTCTGGAAAAGACGACGAAGTGGCTGCCATAGATGGGCCTGTAGCCAGCGACCCACCAAAGCCCGCAACAGCACCTACAACAGACAACGCAGCTGCAGGAGGAGCAAACACGGCGGGCAACGGAAATACGTCTATAGAACCCAAGACCAGCGACGTCGGTTCCACTCCCAACACAGAGAAGAAGCGACGGAGTAGCGGCGTGTCGCGTGCGAGAGATATGTTCTCAAGCGCAAAACAGTCACTGCATCTGAGCGGCTCCTCTCCCACGTCCAACTCGCCCACGGCGGACAAGACGATCCAAACGCCCATCCAGAAGCTAGGGAGGTCTGACGCTGCCCTCAGTGTTCCCCAGGGCGCACTTAACAACTCTGCTGGCGAGTCTGCACCTGGGCCCCGATCTACTTTCCGAGTAGGTGTCACAGAAGACAAGAACAAGAAATGTAGACGGACGATGGAAGACACACACGCATATCTATACAACTTCCTCAGCACGCCTGCGCCCTCGTATGGGGCAGACAAGACAAGCTCGCTTTCCGATGCTGGCTCGACTCGGTCTGACCCTTCGACACAGTCGGTAATCGAAACTGACAACGGCTATTTCGCCATCTTTGACGGACATGCGGGCACATTTGCCGCCGACTGGTGCGGAAAGAAACTGCACTTGATTCTGGAAGACACCATCCGCAAAAACCCAAATACACCTATACCTGAATTGCTGGACCAAACGTTTACCGTCGTAGACCAGCAACTCGAGAAGCTTCCGCTTAAGAACAGTGGATGCACTGCCGTCATCGCTGTCTTGCGGTGGGAGGATCGAGTCCCCAACGCACAATCATCTACTGGATCAGTCTTACTTGCGCCTGCTGCAGTATCGGCGATTAAGAATGCTGGCGAAAGTGAGGAAGTAGGCGCTGAAGCAGTGCCTTCACAACCTGCGGGCGAGCATCCTATGGAGACAAGGTTACGAAACGAGGCCAGCCGGCAAAGAGTACTCTACACAGCAAACGTTGGCGATGCGCGCATCGTTCTTTGTCGAAACGGCCGGGCCCTTAGACTTTCGTATGACCACAAGGGTAGCGACGAGAATGAGGGACGTCGTGTTGCCAGCGCCGGTGGCTTAATACTCAACAATCGCGTTAACGGCGTCCTTGCTGTTACACGGGCCCTTGGCGATGCGTATATGAAGGATCTGGTGACTGGTCATCCTTATACAACGGAGACAGTGATTCAGGCCGATCAGGATGAATTTCTCATTCTTGCTTGCGACGGTGTAAGTAAAACGTGCCTATCAACTTTCAATGGCTAACAAATATAGCTCTGGGACGTTTGTTCCGATCAAGAAGCTGTAGACCTAGTCCGTCAAGTTCAAGATCCGCAAGAAGCCTCAAAGAAGCTGGTCGACTACGCTCTCGCACGCTTTTCGACGGACAATCTGTCGTGCATGGTCGTTCGTTTCGATAACAAGGCGCTCCGACAGCGCAAAAACGAAGCCGCAATGGGCGTAGATGGTGACCAGGCTACTTTGAAGGGAGGAGTCACCGAGGCCGAGGCCATCGTAGCACAAGCAAAGAAGTCCATTGGCGACTCAAGCCAATCAGTTGAAAGTACTGCCAAGGAAATCATCATGGAAGAAGCGCGAGCTGAGCCAGGCCCTGAACTCAATATTGACGCTGCGAAAGCGGCTCAGAAGCACCCAGCCTGAGCTTCTTGAGCATGAGCATGAGCATGAGCATGAGCATGGCTTGGACGGACGGATTACCTATCCATGATCTTCCGATGAGCGTCTTGAACAGGGTGTGGGACGGCGTATAGTGTTTATGAGCAGGTGGCAGCAATCTATGGTTTCCAGTCCACTCTAGCTGGAGATCTCCTAAGTTTTCTCAACGTCTGCATTCTCCTCAAGGTCTAGCTGTACAACTAAAGTCATATCTTTCGTAAAATGAAGTGAAACTATCAAACTCCCCTGCTCTGATGGATTCGCATGACTCGGGGCTACGATCATCTTCCTTGCCCATGTCTTTTGATTAACGCGGGGAAGTTGAACGCACGGACTCACCCATGGTCCCATCTTTCTACCTCAACGTCGCAGGACGGACAGATCCCCCCACATTTCTTACCATCAGGCACCACGCTCTCTTCTTCCGCGGACCCTATAGCTCGGAGTCACACGACCCCCATGCGGCTCCACCTCAAAGAGCACCGCAGTTATCATGTCTGGCGTCGACACCGCCGACTCAGCGGCCTCCAATCTCGCCGTTAACGATGCGCTTCCTGCATTTGTATCACCAAGGATGCTTCTCGAGCAATCACGGCCAACAGTGCCTGTGAAGACTTTCACCGCTCTCGATCGCGAGCAACTCGACGGCCTGGTATGGAGTCCTTGATTGTGGAGGCATACAGCGCGGCGGCTGACACGAAGTAGAGGACGATTCGTGCCTTCCTCAAGGCTAGAACGAGCTATGATGTGCTGCCGATCAGCTATCGCTTGATAGTCCTAGATACAGCGCTGCTGGTGAAGAAAAGCCTTAATATCCTGAACCAGAACGGTAAGCCACGGCGCGTGCGATTGCGATATTGCAAAGCTGATTGTGATTGCTATTTGCAGGCATTGTCTCAGCGCCGCTATGGGACTCAAAGTCGTCCACGTTCGCCGGACTATTAACGACCTCAGACTATATAAACGTCATTCAATACTACTGGCAGAACCCAGATGCTCTGGCTAGGGTAGACCAGTTCCGATTAAACAGCCTTCGAGGTAAGCGACCTGCTATGCTATAGCAACATCAGCTCACGTAGACAGATATCGAGAAAGCGCTGGGTGTCAAGCCTATAGAAACGATATCGATCCACCCCAACAAGCCCGTCTACGAAGCATGCCGCAAGATGCTCGAATCACGCGCTCGGCGTATCCCAATCGTTGATAGCGATGACGAAACACGACGGACAATGGTGGTCAGCGTCATAACACAATATCGCATACTTAAATTCATTGCTGTGAACGTCAAAGAGACGCAAAAACTGCGGAAGCCGCTCAAAGAGCTGAATGTGGGCACCTACACGGACATTGCCACTGCCACGATGGACACACCGGTAATGGATGTCATACATATGCTTGTTAAAAAGAGTATATCCAGTGTCCCTATTGTGGACAAGGCGGGTATGTTTAGCCTGTCTGAGGTCCGGTTAACGTTGCTGACAATGGCAGGCACTGTACTCAATGTCTTCGAAGCAGTCGACGTCATCGCACTGATCAAGGGCGGCGTGTATGACGATCTGAATCTCACAGTCGGAGATGCGCTGCTGAAGCGTTCAGATGTACGTGACAAGACACTCGCTCTCCATTTACTTCGTGCCTAACGACTTGCAGGATTTCCCTGGCATCTTCACTTGCTCGCTGAATGACAACATGTCGACAATATACGACACTATTCGCAGATCGCGAGTCCATCGCTTCATTGTCATCGATGAAGAAAGCAAACTTCAGGGCGTTGTGACACTCAGCGACGTCTTGGAACATACGCTATTGGAGGGCATGGAGGACGAGTAAACCAATTATCACCGCTCATCTTCGCATGTATAATCTCTCTAACGGCGAGACTCAAAACCACACTGTCAACAATTATAGCGCATCATAGAAAGACCAGCGCATATCGACCCTGAAGCATAATACCCGAAAGGCCTTGCCGCTTAAATTCATCAGCGAGGAACATCAGACGCAAAACAAAAGCGTCCTGCACTAGCAGCATAACACGGAGTGTACGAATCATGGAGGCGCATTCAACGGGAACATGGTGAGCTTGTTTGTATCCACAGCTCTGCGTTTCTTGCATTCCATCATATAGACTCTTATGTATCTGTAATTATATCTCAACCTCAAACCTTACGCCTTCATCTCCATCTCGGCGTATCTTGTAACAGTCACCTCTTGCGATCCTCTTTAACAAGCCCTACTCAATCCGGGCTCCCCTCCAGGCTGCTTGGTATTGTTCTGCCACGATACTGTATCTGTGGCTTCACTACCATACACTAATGTCGAAGGCCATCGCAGACAAGCCGAGAAAAAACTCATGGAAAGATAGGCGTAAACGCACCCGGCCGCCGGTCCCCCTCCATATAGCGCTCCACATCCGCTATGTAGCTGTGCACGCGATGATTTAGTTCCGGAAGAGTCTGAGCAGCAGCTGCTAGCTCTTCAGCGGTAACCATATCCTCATACAGCGAAGCATCCTCCCTACTGAAACTGCCATTCTTCTCCACGTTCTCTTCAAAGTACGCAGCAAATCCAGTGGCATCGCGAAACCACTCATGTCCAGCAAAGATCGCTCGCTCCGCATAAGACTCCTCGTAGTTACCATCGCCCGTAGCGAGCAGGAGGATCTTCGTTGCCTGGCTATGGGCTAATTCGCCCTGACGCACCGCGTGGTGGATATACGAGTTGAAAACGTGGTTGGTCATTTTCTTCTCTCCTTGTGTGATCGTGGGGAAGAACTGTCTTCGAACGGCGTCTACGATCTCGCGTGTCAAACGTCCAGTCCGCATCTGGACGTCAAGATCGATGGCTAGATGCGCTTTGCGAATAAGGTAGCGCGCTTGTTTGTTCCATCGCGGCTTGATAGCGGGGGATCTCAGACCTTTGAGTAGTTCTCGGTCGAGTCGCTGGATTATCGTTTGGCATTCAATGTCCCCGTGTACACCGGCGTTTGCGATCACGTCGAGGACGTCGAGTGGGATTATGGGGACTGCGATACTTGATGTTGTTGTTAGTGAAGTTTTGGATGTTCGTGGGGTCAGGAAGAGTTGGGGCGTGGGGGTGGAGCGCGTCGTTGTGGTCTTGAGGGTGCTAGGAGGCCACTGTGGCTTCTCCATAACCGGGTATTCGAAAGAGAATTGGGGTAGTCGGGGGCTGTTGGCTGTCGTGGGCGGAGTGAAATATAAACTGCTGATACCGACCGACACCGACTGAGGAGTCGCGTATTCTGATGACACCTGCGTGTTTGGGTCATACTCGATCGACTGGGTGGCTTGAGATTCGGCCGTAGTCAAGACTGAGAGAGATCTAGTTCGTGGTAAAATCTCGCTGCTGGTGTGATAGCTAACGGGTGGTAGGATCGAGCGGAGCTGTTCACCCACATCATTCTTTGAATAGCCGTTATTCTCAGCACTGACAAGCTTTGCATGCTCGACAAAGTCGTCAGGTTTTGGAGTGTGACTCCAGCCACGTTGACTCCGTGCATTCGTGGCAGACTCTTGCAATACCTGCAGAGCAGCAGTAGGTAAACCCACATCTACATCTGGACCTGCATGTACAGCACATGATGTCGGAGTGTCGAGATGGCGCCGCGTCCATGACTCCTCAGAAGAAGTATGAGAATACTCAGATGCGCATTGAGTAGGGCTTGATGAGGATAATAGATCGTCGACAGAGGCTTTTGACACTGTACTAGTATCATCGCTGTCATCAACAGGTAGGAATACGCCTTGGATTTCTTCGATGAAACTCGCCATCGGGCGAATTGGCTGGAAACAGTCAGTCTTTGTCTTGGGTAGGTTTCTGCGGAGAAGAGTTACAGTCAGTCGTGGCGCTTTGTTCGATATGTGCGATCCTTCGACATCGGCATTCTCGTTCACGTCTTTCGCCGCAGCTGTGAATGGATCCTCGATATCAAAGGGTGACGTGAACTTCGAGATCGAGCGCAGTGGCTGTTGAAAATGTCAGTAACTACTAAACTATACCTTCTAGAGTTGCAAACTTACCGCAATCTGAGGTGGGCCTTCAGGGATATACAATACTTCTTCCACTCCTTCCTGGTCAACATCCTTGTTGAAGATCGTGGAGCATGACGCACATCCGGAACGTCCACCTTTGGCGCAATGGAATCCAGACTGAATTTGAGTCTCTTCCTGCTTAGGACAGCCGCACTTCTTGCATCGACCTTTGCGCAAACTGTGCTTACAGCCTTCAGCAGTTGCGATGCCAGTGCCGTGGTGGCGAGAGAAGATAGAATTGACGGTCTTCTTTATTCGGAAGTATCCTCCATGCTTTGTCTTGCTAGCCGCTGGTGCAACAATCGATTTGGAAGTGGAATTATCCTTCACATGGTCCTTGGCGCATTTACCGACTTGGTTCTCGGACTCGGAGTCCTCGGGAGCACGACGGATTGCACCCATCGTCTGCGCCGTCGCGACATGGAACGACTGATCATTACTATCAACTTTTCGAATCGGTCTTGGTATTGCAGCACCTCGCGAGACGCCGGCAGCAGGAGTACGCTCGTGCTGACGCTGGCGATCCTCAGTGTGCTGAAAATCGTCGCCGAGGGACTTGCTACGAGGATGCCTATCCGTAACCTCTTGACGTACAATCGGAGCGGACGCATGTCGATGATGTCTGGATTCTGTGCTGTTTAGTATAGCAGAAGCACTCTCGCTCCGCTCATGCTTTTGCACATCTTCTTTTTCCATCTCGCGGATCTTTGGGCGTGGACGGCTGAGGTGCGTTGCCTCGTAGACGACGCCGACAATGGGCCTGACTTCGTAGAGGAGAGGGTATGTTGGGAGGGTTATTGACTGCATGGTTGTGACAGACCTGGATAGGGGGCCGAATGAAAAGAAAGAAGTTGAGAAGGTCGTCGAGAGTCGAAAGAGAATATGTGAAGTTGAGCGAGTTCTTGGCTCATAGAAAGTTGAGTTCCTGAGTTGAGGCGAGGAGAGTAGATTTCGAAAGAGCGCTCGGTAAGTAGACTTTTGAGGAATAAGTATCCGTAGGGCATCCAAAATGAGAGCCCGGATGGTCAGTGCACACGTCGAGTCCTTTGAGTCAAACTCGGCTCTTCCCTGTTGCTACGGGAGCAACACTGCGGGCTGAGGGACGTCCTTCACTGCCATTTCACCCGCAGTCATGTGGCAATAGGATCACGAGTTTCCATTCCAGTGAAAGAAGGGAAACGAGAAGGGAGCTAAGCCGTTTTCACCCACCAACGTAGAGTAATACTGCCAATATCGCTGGTCAGAAGTTGGCATTTTTACCGGCCCCTGGGGTAGGCAGTAATGCCTGAACATGAGAAGGGTGCAGTATAAATACACCGGGAAGCCTTTAGTACGAGTAGAAACCGACTGGCTTCTTGTGGCGTTGAATATACATGATTGGGGGTCTAAATCTCTCAGATCATTGTGAAATAGCTATACGGAGTTGGTCTAACTAATCCTATAGCTAGGCGACTAGCTCCAGGCTTGCACTTGTGTTGTACAATGACATATAGGATGACGCCAAGAACATGGAACCGCCTGGTAGTATCAAGGCCCAGAGCTGTATTCGATTGGCATTAGAACTATTCGAGGCTGTTGTGACCTATTCTTTCCAATACGGAACGTCCTAAATCATTTCATCCGTGTCTTCCCCTTTCTCTTCATCAATCTGTGAGCCAGCACCATTCGGGGTCGGGGAGTCTTGTTTCTCTCAATCATCTTTATGCTCATCTTCTTGCTCTCTTGCTTTAAGAAACGTTCCAGGTCGATGATTTTGTCAGTGGTTCAGATCCAAAATATATATTGGCACCCTCGTTCCTCAACCCGAAATTATACTATTTTGACCTCCTTTTCTTGTGGATTAGCTGCTTCCCACGCTGCTGAATGTATTACAGCTACCGTGCATCGTTCTCCAATGTCATCTGGATGCCCCATGTCCAGATCAACCACCAAAACATTGACTAGCCCGCTCCCAAGCCCCACGGTTGGGAACACTTCATCGTCGAAAAGGCTAATCGGGCCTTCAACGAGAGACGGGCCCTTGCGCGGGCGATATGCGTCTCCGTAACTTGATATCTCTAGCATGTCAAACTTGCTCTCTGCCTCCGGACTGATGCCCAGCCCCATATACCCGTACCCAGCCTGCTCCCACCATAGCCCGCAGTGCTTGCCGTTGCGGTCCTGGATGCGGCGGACGGCTTGGGAGCTTCGGATGTGGACTTGAGTCGGGGAGCTAAGATATCCCTTCTTGGGCATCACTTGGAATGCCGGAAAAGGAACAGTACGCGCCGTGAAACGCAGGAGCTTAGTAGCAAGATGCGGATCCTTTCTACTCTGAGGTGCTTGTGGTGCTGTTATGACCCAGGTGCTGCCACGAACCTGGTCAGGGACCACTTTAGCAAGAATGCGCTCCCCAATGGGTTTTTCCTTGGCCGATTTGTCGTTTGTTACGTTCCCTTCATTGTCTCTTCTTCTATCGATGGAGACTTCCTGGCCAGCCCTGTCGGTTGCTTCGTGTATCCACTCATGAGCTCCCTCTTCTTGCTGTAGGATGTCGCTAATGGGGCCGTGGATCATGTTATAGACTTTTACCCGTGGGGTCGGAAGGATGATCCCTCCATTTGAATGCTCGAATAAGCGATATTCTACAGGACCATCCCATCCAACCCATGACCAACTTGGGAAATGTGGATCAGGGTGACTAGTGGCCGTGGTGAAATCTGAGGGTAAATGAGTGCCTCGACGTGGAAGTCTTGCCCCAGGCGACCAAAGAAGGGCATGGCTGATAGCTGCTGCTGGCAGTCCATGGACTGTCATGCTCTGAAAGTGGTCTTCGAGCACTGCAAACATTCCTGCAAAGGCGTTAAGGATGTCGGACTTGAAAGATAGATTTCGTTGACTATAGATCCCAACGAGCTTCGTATAGGCATTGAAAGCTTTAGTGATTCGCTCACGTAGCGTAAGGTCGTAAAAGATTTCCAGGCCCGAAAGAGGATTGTTGCGATTCGCCTTTTCCAAAATGTGGTTATCGGACAGGGCAGGTTCTTTGTCAAGCAAAAACGTATCAAACTCTTCGTTAGCGCCCCATTCACTCAATGTCTTCTGGCCGCATTGGAAGTAAACAGCATCTAGCGCAAAGTAGAGGCAACGTCTCGAAAGCAGATGTTCCTGCACGATCCAGCATCGAGAGTTCCATTGAGAAAGCTCCAAGGCGAGGTATAAGGGGCGCGGCGTTGCTGTAAGCCAAATTGTGTCTTTGTCTTTGCTATCAACATCGTCATCAAGGTCGACTGACTTGTTGGAAATGGAGAGGGTGCTGATCTCCTGGGGCTTTCTTGTTCCCGCGCGGACCCCGGGTAGGCCCGCATCCGCATCAGTACCCTCAAGGGCAACAATGGTAGCGAAAGCCTGTCCGTAAACAATGTCCATGTTCAGAACCTCTTGAGCTATCTGTTCTCCGTCATCCTGCACTAGACAAATGGCATCGACCCAGAGATATGTTTCTCCAAGTGAATGGACGAATTTCATTGCATCCCTGATAGTCTTTGGAAAACAAATCGCGGTTAAAGAGCGAGGCTGGCGCCGAGCCTCGATGTTCGACTTGAATGTCTTTGACATATCCACCTGGCCCCAAACGTAGCTTAAGGCAAAGTACTTTGTGTCTGAGGAGGCAGTGACCAAGCGTTCCTCCTTGACGTCGATGAGAGTGAGGCGTATTTCTTTTTCTGCCCGCTTTGCAGACCGTGGGTGATTACAAACGGAGCTGTGGTTGTGATCGCAGGTATTTAACCACGACTTGACCAGATCAGGATTGATTCGTTGTTGACTTGGATCATAGACTGGGCTGTTGCGGTTACCGAGGACTTTTGAGAGCGATGATCCCGTATCTGTCTCCCAAGCTTGCCGCAAAGCCCGAGAGTAGTTCTGAGATGTCAAAACCCTCAATTCACCAACGTGTTTCATACCGTAGTCAAACCTCATCAACTTCTCATTGGTTGAGAGCCTTCCAGTACTCAAGCGCATCCCCTGAACCTCGGGATCCATGGCCGCAAGTCGTGGATGAAGCCCTCCGGATTTCGTTGTAATTACCGACAGCATCAGTGAACAAACAGCACAGGTTTTCCTTTCCCTGAGTTGAAAGAAATTTCCAAACGGAATCCAGGCATCCTTTGCTGTCAGCTCAAAGCCGTTCGTCGTGGGCTGTAGCACCTTCGCCAAATCCCGACACATGCGACAAAGAGAGAGATTTGGATGTCTTCCTTTAAGCTTGGCTTCGTCCAAGGCTTTCTGTTCCCCCTGTGCTGCCATGACACTGAACTCCTCTTTCGAATACCTCTTGGTTGAATCCCAGCCCAGAATATCACTTACCAGGCCACTCATATCGAGGATCATATTCTTAGATTCGTCCAGCCCCAGTTTTCGAAGGCCAAGCTCTGTCTCGTAATCATTCGTTTTCAGTCGCCGCCTATCCTGGTGCTCTCTGCTGACAATTGCTTTCTTTTCCTCGAGTTTCCTGATTTCAAACGTGATCTCATCGTTGGAAAGTGTCCGGCCGGTTGTAATAGATTCGGCTAGCACTTCCAGTCGCAGACCGTTCTGTTGGTGAAATAGCTCCAGTGCGCTGCCTGCGTAGCTTTGGGTCTTGCGACAAGTGCGCAACATCTCTGGCAATTCTTTCTCTGCTAAGCTTCTCATATAGTTGCTCGCAGGTGCTTTGACAAGCAGTTGCAAGGATTTCTTCAAGTCCCAGAGCCATGTTGTCTGTGCCAAACCTTTCGAAGAGTCACCTCCGTCCACCTCATCATTGTAGTCATATGTAACTCTCCTAATAAGACTCACGCAATCGAGAAGATCCTGCAAGTTGTGAGACAAGTTGTATTGGTCCAAGGAGAGATTAGCGAGCATAGCCCAACATTGAATTTTCTCGGGGTACTTTGACGGCATGTTCTCCAAGATCGGCCGGATTGTTTGTAGAGTTGACTGGACTTCTTGCAGTGTTTGAATCGTGGCTGTCAACCCATAGAGCTGACGCATATAATCGTGAAGATATCTTCCCCGAGCAGCGTGGCCTAAAGGGATATCGCAAAACAACATACCAGAGTAGCTAACAAGATTTCTCAAGTCGGCTTCCTCGGACGTCTTCTGATACCTTGCGCTATAAAGGCCAATAATCTGCCCGAGCAGAGGCACTCTCGTCTCATGACCTCTAGACAAGCCCTCAAGACCTGATTTGCAGTATCCAAGTGCCTCGTCCAAATCTTGCAGTTGATCGGTCCTTTTGAACTTGTCTGATACGACTAGACCTAGCTGCGCAGCAGCCATGACGTGCTCGGGTGTACCGGGGACCGTCCTCGATCGAAGTTCATTAATTAGTCTCAATGCTTCGTTGATATCATCTGCGTCTTGACTTTGAATGTAACGCAAACGGAGGCGTGACGCAAGGTTATTGAGAGTGAGGTAGTATGGCTCGGAGTCCTTTGGAGCGTTCTCGTATATCTCCCTTGCACATACGACGGCGTCTTCGAGATCCTCGGATTTTTGGAGCAGTGCGTATCGTTGCGCAAGCGCATATCCGAGGTTGGTCAAAATGCCGAAGTAGACATTTGGGTCACGATGTAGAAGATCGATGGTCACCGCCATCTCGTTGGCTCGGCGGCCATTCGACACGGCCTCGTCCAGAGCATGCCGGGAATTCGTTGCTGAGTGTTCCGACATGTTGACGAACGACAAGGTGCTTAGATGCTTAGGGCGATCTGAAGAATCACGTGGAAGACGACGCAGGATTGTCTGTAGATGCTGGACGGCATCGCGTAAATCTTGGTACTGCCCTGACAGGTCAAAGGACTGGACAAGCAGATCCGCCATGCGGGATCTGATCATGACTTCTTTATCAATAGGCAGTAAGCCTGAGGCAAGTGCTTGCTGTACATTTTCGCGTGCTTTCGCGATGCTGGCGAGGCTTGCGATGTCTTCGGCGCTCGTTATTTCCGCTGGGCGATTTCCCGCCATCTTGAAGATTAGGGGGACGAGAGGACTAGATACAATGCAGACGACGTCGCATGAGAATGAGTATGAGAATAGAAGGGATGGATGGTGACAAAGCTGTTGCCTATCTCGGTGGGGGTAGCCTAGGTCGTGCGGCTGACTTTCCCCGCACTTTCACCTTGACACCAAGGTAGTCTGCCTGCTCTTGTGTGCCAATGAAAAATGAATTTGAAATCTCAGCCTCTGAAATACTCCAGAAAATCTAGTCAAATCCAGCCAACAATGCTCCAGCCTGCATGGAAACTCTCATCGCAGTGCTCTAAGCCAAAGCTGGCGAGACCCAACTATCAGTCAGCATATCTACATACTATACGAAAGCATTGGGGCCGAGAAACAGAGTTAGGGAGAGCGAAGAAAAAGTTGCATTGTTACGCAAGTGTAATGTACAAAGGTTCAAAAACTCCAGACAAAAGAAAGGTCAATGTACCACACCGAAGGATCCGGTGCCGATCGTCTGTGTTGAAATTGTCTGTTGCATCCTCCTCCGCCATTATCGTCCCCATCCCTTCCAGATTCTATACATACCCCATGTTCTCGCTCAAGATGGCTCTTCCTCGATCAAGGCTGAGTGAGCCATGCGGTGCCTGGCTTGGCGCAGTCCCAGGTCTCGTTGTCCGAGGTGAGGTCAATCTATAACCCGTTAGACTGAACCTGTTTCTCACCCTTGAGTTAGCTTACCGTCTCAATTATATTCAGCTTCCGCTGCTTCTTCGCGGATGGCTCTTCTGGGAGAGGATGCTTTCGCGGTCTTCCCCGGCCTCGCTTTTGGCCCGTGATTGGGGTTACGCCAGTACCGTGACAATCCGGAAACATGATATCGATCTTGGTAAATGGTAAGCGTATAAACGAGTGGAATAGTTATAGTCGCCACATACAAAGGGGTGGGCCTTGGCCTTGCCCTTGGCCTTGCCCTTAAGTGTTTTCCTCGTCGCTGCCTCGATTCCGGGCGCCTTCTTGACCTTGGGACAGTATCGAGGTGTACCAAACTCTTCGGCCATCTGGTCATAAAAGCGAGGTTTCTCCGGCTTACTCTCGGAGTATCTTGGTGGAGGGGACGAAGGTGCCGATGACGATGGCCCTGCCGCTGACTCCCGAGGAAATGGTGACGGAGATGAAAATATCGCTGCAGGTGATGACGAGTGTGGTGCGGAGGATGATGAGCAGGAAAAATCCGAGTATTTGGTTTTCATAAGTGTTTTGTGTGGGACACGTTCGACAGAACCAACTGTAAATGGCGCTATCGTTGGCCCCGTCTGTCCTTTCAGACGTTGCAAGGTCGAATGGCGTACACCAGGAAGATAGTAGTCATACGCTTCTTTAAAACCCTCGTGTCGACCCGGTTCGAAAAGATCATCTCTACCGCCTAGAGCGTGCAGATACTGGTAACGTATATCTGCAACATCCTTGATATACTCACCCGCATACATTCCCCAGTCGAAAACGTAGTCCTTAGGGTGCTGTAGGGTTCCCTTCAAACAGGTGTTTGCAATCTCCGGGCTCTCGTGAGTTGATGGCGGTGAAGACACAGTTGCTTTGTGTCGATTTGTACTCGGCAGATGGAGTTCTCCTTCGGTATTCTGTACATCCTCCGCGGGCTTGATTGCCTGCCTGTTTTCGGCCTTCGATATACAATTGTCTGGGGCATGCTTCGACTTCTGCAGACCGTCGCACCGATGAAGCGGCTGCTTCTCCATATCCTGGGAACGACGAAGCTGCTGCTTCAAATCGTGCAAGTCGTTTTGCACTCCCCCCTTTGTCATCATTGCTCTAGCAATGAATTCGTGCATGTCTTCAACGGACTTCTCGGTTTTTGATATCAAAATCAGCAATTCAGACCGACTAAGTGAGTTCGTCGAGCGGTTTGGAGGCATCGTCTAAATATCCGTGGGAAATGGAGTTGAACAGAAATATAGTCAACAATAGACTTTGGCGAGAGGTTTCAGAGTATCCAAACTCGAGTGAATAATGGAGGGACGGGCTTGAATTGAAGCCAACCCCAAAACAGCGGAGTAAAGCAACAAGCTGAAGAGGCGAAGAGGTGAAAGAGAGGTTGTAGCAAAATATTGAGAGTACCAGGATAAAGAGAGCCGAAGAGGCGAAAAGGATTTGGAGCAAAGAGTTAAAAAGGTAACTGTGTGAAGGGAGCTGAGGATTGTTGCGATGGTTTGTTGCTGTTCTGTTTTTTTGGCATCTTCTGTGAGCCTTTAAGTACTCGATTCCACACATAATTAGCCTCGGATGTTGACAGCAGAGCGAAGCCGAAAGAGTGAAGGCAGAGCGTAGCCTTAGGCCAAGGGTGGCACATACTTCGAGCTATGGATTCTGTACGACCAAGCTGGTCTACCCTGATTGATTTGTCGATATAATTGGCGCTCATTCATCTCTTGAGGCCCGTGTTGTAGCACTACTATCTGCTGAGGTCGGCATGGACAGTTGGCGAGATTGCCAACGGGTTGATCTAGTGTATTCTCACTCAAGCTCCTCCCACCTCGAGCTCCGGACCGACATTTCACGGCTCAACAGATACTAGCCCCAAGGTGGGAGGCTGGAGACGCTATTGAAAGCAGTGAGCTTTGATAGAAACAGCTGGTCGCGTTGAACTTTCCTGCTCTGCCTGGGCCTGATAGGCTCGACTACCGACTGTGTGGCATGTGGAGGCTTTCCACGACAGGGGCGATATCACATCCACGCGTCGAATATCAGGTCATCGAAAGCATTCAACTAGTAGTGGCCGTGAAAGTCGGGAGTTTCTCAGGCCATGCCACCATAATGACTTGTTTCAAAGAACATGTCTATTTCCGGGGCCGATCCAGACCAGTTGCCCGTGCAAGAAAAGTGGCAGCCATAGCCACAAGTAGTTATGAACATCCCAGACTGGCGTGGTCTGTGACTATCGGTCGCTCAAAGTTTGGGTTGATGCTTAGCTTCTTTGGGATTACTGCGTCGTCGTTAGGCCGCAACTTCCCCGTCTCCCCGCTTCCCCGCTTCCGAGCCAGACCGTTGGCCGCATCTCAGGTGGAACCCCCCAGGGGTCAAACCAACGACAATATGGTAATACACTTCTGTAAGAGAGTCATATTCGCATCGCAAACAAGATTATGTATGTTCGAGGTCCCGAGAGAATGTTCTACTGGAGCGAAGTTTAGCTATGCTGCGGCATCCCTATCCGGTGGCTTCTTCATGTTGCGGCTCCTTGCACCCGCTTTTATGCTCAGCTTCATTTCGGATAGGGCCATCCGTGATATCTCCGGCTCAACCGAATGCCTCCAAGTCAGGAGTTGATCTACCTAGGCGCAAGCCACCGTGCACTTGTCTCTTTTTTCGTGTACCAAGCTATGCCCAGGTCGAATGTACCATCCACTACCCTCGGTCTCCTCATGTGCTCCACTAGGTTATCACCTTGTCAGCATAATCCATTCCGGGAACGTCGTTGAATCGCCAAGGTTATCCGCTGCATCCTATCTAAGATATCACCTCGGACATAGACTCTGCTCTTTTTCACACTAATCCTAACACTAGTCGTCAAGAAGATTACAACGCCACTGTCTCCCTGTGGCTTCGAAACAGACCTGTAAGATCTACCATCTTCTTTCTACCAACCTTGTAGATTTACTGACATTGTCTTGCACTTGTCAGATCTAGAGACTAGAGAAGCTGCACAACTCTAGTTGACCCCCCTCAATCAACAGGAATTCTGTTCAACGATATCCTCAGAACTGCAAGCCAGACCCTCAAGCAACAAACTCGATTCTGCGTATCCCTAGGGCAATCACGATGTCTTCTGTACACGATGAGGTCCACGACGACCCCGCGCCCAATGAAGGCAGCTTCCGCGCTTCGGCACGTCAGACGGAGACCATCATGGCCAACTTAGATCAACTTGAGACTGTGTTGGAGGACCCCTCACGCCAGTATGACCGATCGGCCGTTTTCGGACTACTTCACGCTGTCCGAGAAGAATGCACTGCCTGCATGCGACCCCTTCCCACCTGCCAGGAAGCGCTGCTCGAGATACGTGAGATGTTCAGAATCATCTCTAGCAACAATAAGGTTGATGCAGCCAATACCGACAATGTGCCAGACGATGTGCGCGAAAGACCTCCTTCTGTCCGCATCACCGTTCATCATGATGACTGGGAATACGTCAACAGCAAGAGGTCAAGTGACCTCCAGCAACACTTGCATAATCTAGGACCACCCTGGACCGACATTGTTGCGGTTACCAAGCATCCGCTCAAGAACATCAATGTTCTCGAGTGCTTTGTTGGCAACGAAAAGCAGAAGGAAGAACTGAGTGCAGTCGCGGGCAAGACCAATGGACTCCATCCTTTCAAAAATATCTTCGATCTGCGCCACAACCCGAATCTACAAAAAGACATTTACGAAGTCGCGGTGCTCAATGTCCGATTCGAGCGGAAAATGTCGCAGGCCGAGCTAGACGACAAACTTTACAGCTGGTGCCATGAAAACAACACTTCGTTCGATCGCGTATCGTACCGACAAAGATCTCTCCGACTGTATTTCACAGACATTGAGAAGGCTCGAGCTCTGGTGAATCACGGATACTTTATAATCGGGGCTAAGATGCATAAAGTGGCAGCCTGGCATCGGAATTTTGATAGATTCCAGTGTTATAATTGCATGAAAGACGGCCACAGCTTGAAGAAGTGCATAGAGCAATACAAGAAGCCAGTGGTATGTTCCTGGTGTGCTGGGCCTCACCATTTCAACCAGTGCGCCAGGGATCCCAGAGAGAAGAAATGCGCCAATTGCAGCCAGGCGCATTGCGCAACCGACGACAGGTGTGCGGATCCTGAGGTTGTGAAGGACCGTAAAAAGCGAACCGCGAGGCGAGGAAAGGGAGTCTACTGGATGCGCAACGCCCCGCGCGTAGAACCGGATGGCTTCGTTCGGGTTGAAAGCAACCTGAATCGAGGTCTAGCTTTACAGGCTGATGCCGCGAAGAACCCGCGCAAACCCGCCACGGCACCTCCTACGGCGGCCTCGAACGTTCCCCACAAGACACCAGCGCTGCCAGCAGGGACCAAGTCACTGCACCACTATTTTCACACTGCTAGAGTGACACCAGTCAACACGGTCCAGCCAGATTTGCCACTAGCAACCACCATGGACTTGTCGGCTCCTCCCCGTCCAGATATAACGCAACCTGTTATCAGCACACAAATCTCCCCTGAGACTTCGCGGAGCCTTATTGAAACTGCGAAGACAGTCTTATTCCCACCCATGCTTGTCAATCCACCTTCACCATCTAAGAAGCGCAAGCTTACCATCGAGCCACCTACAATGCCCAGCCTTCACAGCGGTCTCACCACTTTCGAAATCATCTCGAGCAATGGCAGACTGGATACACCAGACAATATGGAAGTTGACACCGCACCAAGCCAGATTGTCATCGACACGCCAGGTCCTCTATCACTAGGCCCTCCCAGCTCTCACGTTTCTCGTTCTTCCACACCGGACTTCATGTTCAACTTTACCGCAAATGCAGCCAAATCACAACACAGCGCCCCAAGACAGGTCATCATGGATCGCCGTATTCGTCCTATCACCCACAGGCCACAAGGAATGTCCTTGCCCCATCTAGCACCCAGCGAGAACCTCATATCCGGCTCGCGGTCGGTTGATCAGCCTGAGTCTGCAAACGACTCCCAAGAAGGCCCACCTAGTGTTAATCAAGGTGTTGGTTTCTCATCCTCGAGTACGGATCTAAGAGAACATCAGCCTATTGTCCATGGGCACTTCCTACGACGAGACCCAGGCATCCCCTCGATCACCCAAACAACCTCGCAATCCTTCGAGTCCCACTCTCAACACTCCGAAGCCTATGATCCCATACGTAGCGATGTCGAATATGGTCTCAGCGACACAACAAGTGAGGCGTTTCTTAAAAGCATGAGCTGCGACCCTTTCGTTAAGCCTGTTGGGAACCACACCATTAAATTGGAGCATGACAGCGACAGCGACATGGACGATGAAATTGAGGATAATTACGATCATTTAGCATACATGTCGCAGTCTGCTGGACCCTCCCCAATGATGCAACCATCTCGTTCTCAATGAGTGAGCACAAACTAAAAATTTGGGGATTGAACGTGCGAGCCACAAGCGACGTTCAAAGGGAGTTGCTACGGATAGCCGACCGCCATCGAGTAGATATTCTCACAGTGCAAGACATAGCCGAAAACACAGGACAGGTCGTCCAGAAGTATACCGGTCCAACCGTGCCACCAAATGCTTCCGCGGCCGCGATTCGGAGGGCAACCAACAGGACAACCTTCAAAGCTGCCATTCCCTCCCATGGATATCGTCTCGCCTTCGAGCACGTCGCATCCCACCGAGTCTGCATTTATGTGCGCAGCGAGCTCCCCATCAAAGCCTGGACCGCTGCCTGCCACAATGACTTGATGGCAACATTCACACTGGAGACGGCATTCGATGTCCTTCATATTCACTCCATTTACAATGTCAACAAAAAGATTCCCATAGCCGACCTTGTGGAACTCGTGTCAATTCCAGGGCAACATCTTCTTATGGGCGATTTCAACCTTCATCATACGTGGTGGGGTGGCCAGCGTGCTCGACGTAAAAAGTGCAGCAAGTCAAACGCACTATTCAACGCCTTCAAATATGAGGAGCCGATGATTTTACTCACGGAAGAGGGTGTCAGGACTTGGGAGAAGAAGCGGGGTGCTCATAAGGAATGGAGTACGATTGATCTCGTTTTTGCGAGCCCAGGTATTACATCACTCGTCGCAACTGCATGCTCGTTATTATACTAACCACTATATTCCAGACCTTGCTAAGCGAGCCACATCTCGGATCGGCCACGAAATACCTGTTAGAAGTGACCATCTTCTCGTCGAAGTCGAGCTCGGGATACATGCTGATCGAGTCATCTACGAACGGCGAGATTGGGTCAACGCGAACGAGAAGCACTTGAACGACCTAGCAGAAAAACATTTGACGGCGATAGAGGACGATTCTATGACATCTCCCGCAGAGCTCAACGCTTATTGGGACAAGTTTTTGGACGGTCTTCGCGAAATTGAGAACACTGTTCCGATTGCTAAGTCGTCTCAACATTCCGCTACCCAGATGTCACCAGGTGTTCGGCAGGCTTTTGCCGAGGTGAAACGGTGCGCGCGGGACTACAAAGCCTTCCGCACACCTGAGCTTGAAAAGAGACACGAGGAAGCCGAACTCGTGGCGAAGGAGCTCTGGAAGATTGAGAGACAGAACGCTTGGTATGATCATGTGGCTAAATCGACCGCTAATCTACAAGGCGCTTACAAAAAGTACCACTGGGCTCTGAAACAAGAAACCGCACGAGAACCTGCACATATGCCACCCCTGGTAGAGGGTGAAGAACCCAACATTACTACGCATACTTCTCCTCAAGCAAAGAGCGACTGTCTTGCTAGGGCACTTCTACTCGTCTCTACAGACAAAAATGAGCAGCCAACGGCCCCCGACCTTCCTTTTGACGTCAACCCCAATCAGTTACCAACCTGTGCTCTCCTCCAATATGAGGATATTGACAGACTCATCCGGAAAATGCCACGTATCAGAGCCACGGTGGATGGTGGAGTGTCAAACATCTTCATAAAGATTTGTCGAAAGGTTCTCGTTCCGCACCTGTTGCGGTTCTGTAAGTTACTCCCACTGTGCAAACGATTCTCCTCCGTTCTTTCTTTGTCTCTTGACTAATCCTAATTCAGACAATGCTTGCTTGCGGATCTGCTATCATCCCGCTCGTTTCAAGTTTGCCACCACCATTTTCTTGCGAAAGTCCGCCGGTCCGTACTCGAAGTCGAAGAACTGGAGACCAATAGCGCTTCTGTGTCCATTCGGAAAACTATTCGAATCTGCGATTACCGAGCTCCTCACGCAAATAGCATTAGAGGGCAATATGATACCACCAGAGCAAATGGCCTTTACTGGACGCACCACAGTGACTGCTCTTCTCTACATCGAAGCTATCATCCGTGCAGCTTGGGCAGTGGGCAAAGTTGTTTCCATTCTCAGTCTCGATATGTCAAATGCTTTCAATCGGGTAGACCGAACACGACTACTTGAGATCCTTCACGAGAAGGGTGTACCGCCCGGCCTTATCATCCTTATTCGGTCTTTTCTATCTTATCGCACTACCTCTGCCAAGATTCCTGGTTACACGTCCGAACAACCATATTCCGTCAACACTGGAATTCCACAAGGAAGCCCGCTCTCGCCTATTTTGTTCCTTTTCTTCACAGCGCCACTGCTCGAAGAACTCTCCAAAAAGAGCGGTGGAACAACTACCAGACATGTTGTTGCTTTCTCCGACGATACTGCGATATTGAGGGTCTCCGACTCTTTCTGGACAAACTGCTCATGCCTCGGTAGGGATTTCAAAATTTGCGAGCAATGGGCAAAGGAGAACAACATGCTCTTTGGTCCCCACAAGTTTGACTGTATGCACTTCTCACACTTAGTGAAAGATCGTCGAAGCAGAGATTGGAATATGATACCAAGAATTCCTGGTTTTGAGCCTGGCGAATTCTTCCAGGAGAAGATGAAGCTGCTTGGAGTAATGCTGGACCCACGACTGGACTGGAAAGCACATATGGCTTACATCGAGGCGAAGAAGGTCGCCCCTTTGAAAAGAGTGTTCCGCAGAATCCTTGGACCAGAGTTCGGTCCCTCGCTCGAGAAGGGTATACAACTTTTCAAGACGATCGTAATTGCTGCGATCTCTTACGCACATCCGGTCTGGTTTGACCCTGTTAATAACCTCAAGGAACACCTGACATCTCTGGAGACGACACAGAACACATTCTTACGTATCCTAGCTCAGGCGTACCCGAAGGCACCTATTCTACCTCTCGAGAAAGAGCTTCGTGTCCGGAATCTGATTATCGAGCTCAGCAGGCTTCGAAACATAGCTCTGGCCAAACTATCGCAGACCAAGGTGTGGTCGACAATCTGGAGCGCGCACGAGGATGTCTACATATGCGGTCGCGAGCATCACCGTATGCGTGGCGAAAAGACCCGTCCCGTACTTTTCGATCCCTTCTGGAACCGGTATATTCAGGCTCTCCATTTCTACAACACGGCCTACCAGAATGTTGCGAGAAAATACCGAACGACATCGACATACCTTAATCAAGAGGTTGTTACTATTGAGTTAAAGAGATTGGGACATGTGTGGGCAGAGAGCGAAATGAGAGAGCGCTGGAATACCTATCGTGCTATGCATCAGCACAAGCCGCCTACGTCTTTATTGGAGGATTGGGATACCGATACGCTTGCGGTACACAAGGATCTCTCGCGTGTTGAGAGTGTCGCGCTTATTAGGTTGAAGACCGAGTGCGTACGACTAGGCGACTATATGTTCAAAGCTCGGGTAAGACCTCCTTGCCTCGATATCTTCTTGTTGCTAACTGAAGTGCAGGTGGCTCCCCATCCCTTGTGTCCATGTAACAAAAGACAGACGGTTTTCCATCTCTTCATTGAGTGCCCTCACCTGGATTCCGTGCGCCAGAACCTGATTGACGAGACTGGACACTCCGACTTTAACAGATGGCTCACACACGATGGAGCAATTGCGGCGAAATGGGCGATACAGAATTTCCGCTTTGTCGCCCCTGATTGGATGTTGCATTACCTTCGTTCTCTGGACAGGGACCCCATTGAACCATTACGCATTGATCTTATCAGTAAGCAGCGTGCCTAAGGCAATCATCAGGCACTTTATACTGACGAGGTTTCTAGTTGATAACTAACCAAGCCTCGGCTCCTCGGCCGCCTCGGGCCGCTGCAGCAAACGCGTCAGTACAAATCACAACTCGAAGTGAAGATGATGCTGAAACTGTAGTCAGACGGACCACCGCGATCGCGAACACCGCGAACACCAGCACCGCAAACACCACGACACCACGACACCACGATCACCGCGATCACCACGACCTCACAGGGTGGGATACTAACACTCAAGCGTACGTTTTTCTTTCAGCTTCGAGTTCTTAGCTGATTGGTACCACAGTGATGCAAGACAGATCATATTCAGCGTAAGTACAGTACAAAGCATAGCCAGAACGTACCAGAATCTGACTTTATCGATGCAGAGCGAAGACTACAGCGCCGAAATCCTCCACACCGCCGAACTCCGCAACACCGAACGCCTCACATCCCGAACTCCCCGCGACGAGCGTACGTACAACTTGTCTAGAATGAGGTCACCACTGACCTTCAATAAGGATCAACAACCTGCAATCCACCGCCATCGTTTCCACGACCGCTTCACGATGAGCTCAGCTGCCTCAACAACGACAGTGTGCGTACTAGTCCTTGGTGACGAGAGTTACATTGACGGGTTACTAGACCGATACACCGCGCAACACCGGGCCGTAGCACCGAGCGCCACCCGATTCCTCCGCACCGCCGCACCGCCGCATCGCGCGTCACGAGTGAGTATGAGCGAACTTCTCATGTTTATCCAGCTTGACTAACACGCAATATGTAGCGACCATCTACTTGCCGATACGCAAGTACTTCTCCAGCCCCTCGTAAGTTGTCTTCAATCTACTTGATAGCAGTCCTTAACAATCGTCAATCAACAGCCACCGCCGGAGACCATCGACGAACTCCTTCTCAGCATCTGTCGCCTGCCCCTTAGCTAGCTTCTTAGCTAGCTCCTCCAGCATTTGCTGCTGGTCAACGAAGAAGGACTTGTCCAGCGACTCTGGCTGTCCTGTAATAAGTACATATTTTCCTACCTAGTGATTGTGGGCCTACATTAACGTATTCACTTTCAGTTCAGCGGTCTGAATGTGTCACCATATGGCTGCGATGACCACGTACCTTGGACATACAAGTCCTTGACGTAGGACCGGAAGAGCTGTAAGCGGAAGTGCATCTTAACTCTAGTTCACAGTTGACAGTGTAATGCAGTCAGCGCCTCTGGCAGATCTAGCTTCTGCCGGCCGTTGTTGATACTGACCTTCCTCCTGCGCTCTATGGTCGCAGCATTCGGGTGGTCAAGGTCTATCTTGTTGACGGTACGCATTAGGTCAAGCTACTGATGAAAACATGCTCACAAAGGCAAAGATCGAGAGCGGATATACGGCATCTACGCGACAGTCAGCGATGTACAGTTGGTAGGTATACGACAAACTAACCCTCGGTGGGCCACAGCACAGGAACAGGCTTCATGTAAGTTCTTCAAACCCGTTTCAATCTCTCAAAATAGCACACACTGATCCATCGCTTGTAATAGTCTCGATCACCCTTGCGTCGAATACGTCGAATAACCGTTGCGTCGAATAACCGTTGCTATCGAGAAAGCGTTGCGAGATCTTGTGTAAGTACAGGGAAGGACGAAGTCCCTGTCGGAATCCACTAACGAATGGGCAGTGGAGACTGGCACTTCAAGACTGCGATGTCTTATATACCGTGCGCCGAGTATGTCGCCATGGGCTACGATCTTTCCGGCCGGGAGAGCTAATTCAATCAGGAAATCGCTACCACCAAATCGCTACCACAGAACCTCCACGAGTGAGTCATCGTACACCAATAGGCCACTATCAGTGCTAATGCTGCACTATAGGACCCCTACGATCTTTCGCCTTCGCGCCCTACACCCCGCTCCTCCCTCTCACTTTCCGCCCTCTCGCTTTCCGCTCCCCATGTAGGTAAGTTGCGGCAACAGGACTGGTATCTCCTCTAATGACATATCCAGGGCGTTGGAGATCTTCGTCTTCGGAAGCTATCAGATACACGTAGGTCAACCGATTTCCACGATGCAGCGCGTTTGCTAACATCCCTCCAGCACATGGTGCTGTCCCCGCTCGCGGTGTTCTCCTCCTCACCGAGGAAGAATATCCTTCGAAGTAAGTTATACGCATCTTAGGGTCCACTATAGCTATACTGATTATCTAGCTGATGATCGTTTTATAGAGTTTTATATGGACAACGATGGTAAGCAGTGTTTCAAACATCGTCTTCCATGGGACTAAATGGCGGCTAACCCTTTTTGGACTCATAGTCCCTCCACGAACCGAGTACATCGCGTACTCCTTGGTAAGATATCCCGTCCCGGAGCATCCTTTAGATAGAGCTAATTGGGTAGTAGTTGAATCAACCACTTTTTGCAAGCTGCAAATGAACAGCTCGCAACACGCTGCAGTATATGTAAGTTAGCATTATCTTGGAAAATGAACTTTGATAACAACTAACGGCGTCAGCAGCTTTCTCGAAGTATAGCTTGATACAGTAAACTGGCATGGACACATGGATTTCATTGTATATAGTACTGTCGTCTTATCATCGAATAGCTGCCTGAGCGGTTTTAGTCTTCCTTCAAAAATAAAATAGTTTCTAGAAAAGCAATTCAATCTCGTTCCCAGCTTTGGCTGAGGGTGGGTTCGAAGAAGTGGTATACTGGTACTGGTTGCCGATTTAGCGTGCCCGTGGCCTGCGTGCGCCCTTCGATTCTTGGCAACGCCCTTCAGAGGAAGCGCACCTTCAATCGCCAGTATATAAGGCTAATTCAACACACACACACACACACACACACACACACACACACACACACACACAGACACACACACACACACACAAAATTCAACTCACAGCGTTCTCGGATTCGCGGCTAGCCAAACACCTTCGATTCTTCCATATGGAGCAACACAATTCCCTCTTCTTCCGCCTTCCGCGTGAAATACGCCATGAGATATATGGACACTATGTTTGGGAAGAACGAGGTTATATCTTCATTCCGGGATCTGGAAAACTTCGAACGACAGACGGGCCGCCTGTGGATCTCGCTCTAGGATATACCTGTAAAAGGGTTGCCGAAGAGATGGATGGACTTGCCTTAACGATGAATTCAGTCACTTTCCGGACCATGCTTGATCTGCCTAACATTATTGAGCAGTGCTCGACTGCATATTTGTATGGAATTCTTCTTGAAGAATGCGTGGGACTGCACCGACTCATGTTAGAGTGGGCAAAATCTCTGGTCTCGCCAAAGGCTATGCAGATACTACGATTACTCTACCCGGGGAATCTCGCAGTGAAGAAGATGGAGCAACAGGTTATTGATTATGACAAAGATTACGAGGAATTCATGGTATCCGATCTCTGGTATGGATATGGAACCTTAGATTATTCCGCCCAGGAACGCATCATTCTGGATCTCGTACGGATCATCGCTGATCACTCGGACTTTGAACGCTTAACCTCGAAAGAATATCGACTAGATCTAAGGGACCCCATAGATCCGGATATATTCTATTACGACGAGGAATTTCAGGAAGATGAATTCAGGAGGGTGACATGTCCAGCAGAATATACAAGGGAGACACAGCAAAAGATACTCCAATGGAGGCCTGCGTACTGGTGGATCCCAGATCGCATAGACTTGGATAAAGTCACCCAGTTCCTTCCCGTCTCCCCTGAAGTATCAACGTATGATCGCTCTGGGAGAGAGCAAAGACAAAAGTACTACTTCTCCGCAGCTGCACTCGCTATCCGATTTCTCGAACGACTTAACCCCAAGACTCGAACGCATTTACGTAGAATCATTGTCCAAGAGGACAACCCAAGCGTATCAATGCCGAAAACTCACGCGCAGGGTTTTATTCCCTTCTGCCGTGAAAATCGAAAGCTTCGAGTGGAAAGATGGGTCGACATCTGGCGTACAGAGTTAGTAGCAGAAAGTCGCCACCTCCACAGAAACAATTACACTCGGTGGAGACTCAAGCACATTGCAATCTGGATCCACGAGGCAAAACTCTTACGACAAATGGGTATGCCCACTGACTCCTTCTCCTTGGTCCTACATGGCCCATCGCCTGAAGCAAGCCAACAATTGAGCGATGGAATGATACAAGCAGCAATATGGCACGATGGTGCAGTTGAGATTGCTCGTCGTGAGAAGGAAGAATTTCTCTATTACCAGGATGGCGTGGCTGAAGACTTTGTTGAAGTGATCAGGGGAATGTTAAAAGGCGATATTCCGGCAAGGTTCGATGCCGTCATGGGTGACCTTTGGGGTCTGGAGGAAGTGCTGAGAGACCACGAGGGCAACTGGCCAGTCGAAATCAGGTCTGCGTTTGATTTGATGTCCCTCGAAGAACCGGCTGGGGGTTGGGAAGCAGCTCGGAACGAGTGCTTGGATGAGATTGACTGGCTGGAACGAATGGATGGATGGGACGTGTTGATTTCAATGGCGTAAGTAGATGTATGAAGGGTATTGGCACATCTGCTATTAGTGTCGTTTGCGCTTCTCTATACGCGTTTACGTATGATAGAGTCTTGTGTCGCGTATTTGAAAAGTTGTTAGACGAACCATGTCAAATGCGAATCCCTATTAAGCTACTGCTCATAAGAGGCGGTACATCAACGTGGAGAAGTTGATGAATGGATGGCGAAAAGCCGATGGCAGGGGATGCTCGGCTAATTTCTTCAGGCACCAAGCGATCCCCACTTGACAGACACCTCGTACACATCTGCTCTACGATCAACTTAATCCTCATCAATCACATATCAATACAAGCCAGCAAAGCCTATGATCTGATCCGTGATGTGTCAGAGTGGCCATAATTCATCAATCATCAAACGATATGGCTCATTAGCCTATCGCGCAAAATGAGCCTACACTATACCCCGAAGACCGCAGCGCCCAGTAAACCCGCAGCACCAAAAATCACGTCCACACCCACAGCCCCAGTGATCTTAGGAGCAGCAGCAGTACTACTCGAAGTCGCAACGCTCGAACTCCTGCTCTGACTTGAACTCGCACTTGTGCTCACGACCACAGTAGTAGCTTCAACGAGACTAGACAGTACTAGAAAACATCATCAGCATCCCATCACACGCCAAAGTCTCATACAAGCAAAGGAACTTACCATCCTTAGGCAGCTTATCGACTCCCGCTGTAACCGTAACGAGCGCCTGATTCATAGTCGAGAAGTAATCCTGAAACCCCTTAACGGTACCCACATGATCCCCCTCATCCTTGTAACTACACCTCTTCGTCTTCTCGCTCAGCTGCGCACATGCTACTTCTACCGTCGCAAACTGCGTCTGCGTCCGCATCCTCTTAGACGACCGCCTCGACGTTCGTGTCGTCTGTGTCACGGTGAAGTTCCATTGCTCGGGTCCTTGGGTGACGGTGACGGGGCCTCGGCCTACGACACTGTTCGCGCAGATGAACGCTGAGTTGAACTCATTGGCGCGTGTGTACGAGGCATGTCTGGAGTTTGGGGCGCAGTCGATTGCGTACACGAGTGTTGAGGTGGAAATGACCGTGATGATGGAGGCGTAGTAGTCGCGATATTCATGCTGCCAGTATGCGTCGGTCGCTGGCGTGGCGGCTGCTACGACGTTGGCGGAGGTGGTAGGAGACGGTTTAATGGAGGAGATAGGGTACGGTGGATAGAAGGGGAGGACGATGGAAGTCTTCGACTCTAATTCTGTGCTGCTTTCTGTGCTGTTTCGGGATGTTGTTGGAGTTGTTGGAGTTGTTGAGTTTTGCGCGAGAGATAGACTAGCTGCGAGAGGAAGAAGGAATACGGAAAGCATCTTCATCAAGCTCTAAAAGTGAACGCTGGGCTACCGAAAAATAAAATAAGAGTAGACTCGAAGCAATCTGGCTCAGCGTATATGATTCTTTAAAGTTTCTCGGGATCCACTCTTTCTTATACATCCAAAGACTCCAAAGCAGCCAAGATACATACTTCATCCCGGCTCGCTCATGTGCATCCTTTATAAATAGTTTCGTTGGGTGATTGGTCAGGTCGCTTTGCGCCTCTTGGCAGGTACCCACGTGTACGAGCATTACAGAAGATCAACATATGACGTCGCCATCGGATCAAGGTCGGAAGTTCAAAGGATTACCATGCCTGTCATAGTTACCAATGCTGCAGGGGATAGCTAACCTATACCAACATGAATCCGCTACGAAATCATTCGAGCCAAGACAAGTAATCAGGCCTCCCGTAGATCTCGTGGCTGACTTCTTGAAGGATCCAAGCTAACAAGTTGTCTGATACGACTGCGCCTTGCTTACTGTATTCATATTCTCTGCGCGACCTGCCAACACACAGACTGTGAATAAAAATCATAAGCGCAATCGACGTCATCTTCGTATTAAGGGACCTTTAAGCCGCCTCGGCCTCTTCTCTCTCCGCCTTACCCGTTCCACCCTCACCACCACTTCCAAGTCCATAGGCCCTAGCAATCCTCTTCGCAACCCCCTCACCCGCCCAATATGCCCCTGTAACCGTCCCTATACGTTCTACGTTAGCTTTAATTCCCTCCCATCTCCTAACCACTCCTGTCTTGAACGTACCTAAGGCCACAAAAGGACTCGTGTGCTCTCCCGCCAACCAAAGCCCCCTCTCTGGCAGTCCCCGCCTCATAACCTCAACGTCCTGATCCCCTCGCTCTAATCCCACTTGAAAATTACAATAACTACCATATCCCGCTAGCTCATCGTTAGCCCAGGCTGTTGCCAAGATGGATTTGGGTTGATGACTCGGGTTGGTCGAAATGTAGTTTGGTAAACGGGAGAAGTAGGGGCGGAAAAATGAGGTCAAGAGAGCGTGGTGCTCGGATGGCGGGGTTGAAGCTAGGAGCTTGGCGATGTGCAGCGATGTTGGACCATATATGTAGAAGAGCAGGGTTGGATGAGCGCTTCGTCCTGGGAGAGCAGCGAGGTTTACGGCTTCCTGATTCCATTGCTGTGGGTTTGTGTCGGGAGCGTAGTTGGGTCTGACCCAGTGTGTAAAGCCTGGATAGTGTGAAGAGTCGACAGAAGATTCTGGTGACTGAGATGAGAGGGGCTGATGAAGTGGCGCAATTGTCGCTGTTACGTTGGGTAAACTTTGGTCCTGCGATGCAGATGGCGCTGTGGCACTTGCTGTGGAAGACTCATTCCAGTAAGCGGTTGGGAAGTTGATGTAGACCTAGGCGTGTAAGTGGAACTTTCTTGGTCTCGTACTCGATACAACAAACCTTATCCAAATGCCCATACCCAATTGACGATATTCCTTCCTTCAGCCTCTTTGGTAGCTCGGGCACAAACGCATCCATATTTCTTTTCAGCCAGCCCAGCGGGGCGGTCATCACCACCTCGTCAAAAGTCTCGCTTTCCTTGCCCTCGATATCAACCAGAACAGTGAGATATTCATTCTCTTCATTCGAGATAATCTTCTCAACCTTGTGGCCAAACCTGACGTCAGAGTTGAGCGTCGGTTCCGCAATCTTTGCTAGAACTTTACAGTAGGTTTCCGCAACGAATAGGTTCTCCCCATCAATACACTCTTCAAGCCAAAAGAACTTGAGACTCTGTTTCTGAATCGGGCTTCCGACGAATGCGCCCCACATCTCGGCCATCTGTAGGATCGTTTGCTGTTTCCTCTTCGCTTCCTTATGGTTGGCTCCATCAGTCTCGGATGGGAACATCTCCTCCACCTGTTCTTCAAAGAAGTTGTACAAGCTCTTCTTTTCCGGAATAGTTGCAGACTCTTTATTCGATAGTTTCATAGCCTGCTCGATGATGGTCCACACAACTTCTGTATTTTCTGCTGCATCGTTCTCCGGCATGTGCTTCCCGAGGTGATCGAAGACAGCCTGTCGACCATCCCAATTCATAGTCACTGTATTTGTCTGCTTGGCGAGATCGAGCATTGGGTTGTTGTCTGTTCCATGGATCCAGTTAGGGCCCCTTGAAGAAATGATGATCAGTCACAAGTTCTTACATCGGGAAGTAACGAAGAATAAAAGGACTCTCGGACCCACAGATCAACTAAGTGTCCCAACGCATTACTCTGACACAGCTATCCATAGGTTAATTGTATGTCCTCGTACTGGTTCCACTTGAACTCACGCGCCCGCCCACTCGATCTCGGCCTTCCAAGATTGTCACTTTCGCGCCGTGTTGCAGCAATACATCTGCGCATCGTAAACCAGCTACACCAGCTCCCACAACGCAAACATGCGGTACCTTTCCGGCAGCCCTCCGAATCATGGCTGTCCCGTTCGCTTCGTCGAGATGGCTCGCATGTGGAGAACCGGATATATCTTGATGGATCCGGCTCGCGCACATGCTATCAAGAGTCGATGTATTATTTGATCTGTGAATTCTGCGATCAACGTTCAAGTTGCCAATATTTCCCATGATGTAGGGTGATATTGATTAAAATGGGAATGAAGAAGAGTTCGACACTATTTAAGCACATATAGCGTGCAAGTAAGGCGGGTTGGAGAGAAGGCGGCAAGGAAAGATGCTGTGATGTAGTCCAAAGGTAGTTCGGCTAGCATCTAACGCGCTAACTGTGGCACGGGGTCCTATTTGACTTGTAGGACAAGCCTAGAGTGCAGATGTACCGGGGAACAGATCTCTTGGCTTCGGTAGACTAGGGAAATGAAGCTAGGCTACCGTCTGGAGGGTATGTCATGTTGATGGGACGAGGAGAAGCAGATAAGATTTCGTTTGATGGAAATTATAATAAACATACCACAAAGTATTCCTTCTGAAATAGAGCGGCGTAAGCGATTCCTAATTCGCTCGTCGTGCGAGACTCTTGGCTCTCATTAATACCCAGACGATGCGAGCGAAGTGGCATGTGGTGCGTGGTGCGTGTGATAAGAGTGAGGCGATGTACATGCGGGTCAGACTTGCCGAGCATACGCTAACTGCATGTGGTGCCACGAGTCTGTATCATGACGTTCATTGGACACAGCGGTGGACGTGGGTTTAACGTTGTAGTTGTGCAAATTAAGTTACTATGTGGAGCAACTACTTATAAGGAAATGACCTCTCGGGTCTGGCAGCTAAGCCGTGGTATCATATCTCGTTCCATCATCCATGAGAAAGAAGCATCATTAGTGCTACAGAAGCGACGAAGCACTTATTTGTCCTTGTGGCCAATGTGAAGCTTGTCCTTGAGCTTGTTCTTCAGATCTGACATCTTGCCGCTCTTCTCGTCGCTGGGAGAGGACGATATTGCGGGCTCGGACTTGTGCGTAGGCTTCTCTCCAACAATACCTGCGACACCGTCAGCTCTACTCAACATATGGCCCGCTTTCTGTGTCCACGTACGGTTTGATTCTCCGACGCCGGCACCTGCTGGTGCTCCCGTCGTCTTGGGGCTGATGCTTCCATCAAGACTCGGCTCGATGTGGACTTTGGACTCCTTGATGGCAACGTTCTCATGAGCAATGGGCGCCTTGGTCACGGTCGTCGAGTCAGGAGCTGTTGGACCAGCCCCAGGAGCGCCCGAGCGACTAATGTCATCGAGTGCGGTCTCCTTCCACAACTTATCCGTAACGCCAGTCTTCTCTGTTGTACCCGAAGACTTCGTATCCAGGCCCGACGTAGCAACGTCTGGGTTCAGAGGAACGATGGGCATGCCCGTGTAAGTGGTGTCCTTGCTGTTCGTGTGGATTTTTGGCGCGTCGGCATCATGCGCAGGTCCGTCAAGCGTTGGGTTCAGCTTAAGAAAGCCGTCTGGGCCGGAGGATGCATCGGTTGCCTTGGCTTTGATAGGGCAGTTAGCACCGTGCTTTAAAGCGAGAGGGTCGTGTTAACAAATGAGTACGTACCTGAGTTACCTTGATCGAACGGCGCAGTCGCCGTGCCTTTGCCCTGTTCGCCAGAGATAGGCTCTTTGCCCGCCGTCTCATTGTTTCCGTAATCGAGGAACGTCTTCCTGTCTGCAGTCGTGTCTAGCGGGGTAGCTGCAGTGCGGTCAGCAAAGGCATTGCGATGTATCGAGAGAACAAAGATGGCTCACCAGCATTACCCTTGTCGAAGGGCTCGGTCGCTGTGCCTTTGCCCTCCTGCCCTGAGACGGGCTCCTTGCCCGCGGTCTCGTTGTTCTTGGTCTGATCGCCATAGATGAGGTTCGAGACGGTGGTCGTCGCAGTAGACGCAATATTGGTGATGGTCTCCATGTTGGTGGTCTTGTTGTAGAGGCAGTAGTGAAGTAGGTGCTTAGGTCGAGATTCAAGGTGATGTGTTTTCGTGTTGGTGTTGAGCAAAGAGGGCACGTATTGATGAAGATATGCGCGTGCCACGATGACGTAGGCAGCGCCAGTTCCTGTTCTACGAGTAGCTGCAAGCCACAAAGCCCGTGTCGCGGGACACAATGCCAGGAAACAATCTACAGCGAGCGTCAGAGCGGGGCGCAGTCGGCTTCGTGTACCTGAATCCAGTCTACGATACCGCCCCTGAGGCCAATAATACAGAGCCGCAGTAACATCGGGAAGGTGTTCATGGATGCTCACGCGCTAGTTTGGCCAGATGCGCGGCTAATTCTGTACTTCATAAACCGAATTACTTGGACCTTGGAATCTGGGCGTCCCCGCAAGTAATCTGGAATCCATAGGTTGGAGCGTGTTCGTGCTGGTGGGAGGCTATGACGTTACTTGCCCCATGACGTCATGGCGTAAATGGGACAAACAACACCAGGCCAACCGAGATCATCACATGTTCTCGACGATCACGTATCCCTGGGCGGCACATATATTTTCCGTTTCAGCTTGTGCCAGTCATCGAGATGGGTCATGGCAGGTGTATGGAAAAGGTGTGTTATGAGTATGTATGCCACATGGAGCATCAAACAGCTTGGGGTAGTATGCACTCAACCACATCCATTAAGCTGCTCAGAACGTACTCCCTTTCGTCAAACTTCTCTTCCAGCTCCTCTGCCTTCCCCCATCCTGCCCCGTACTCGCTCTCGCAACCCTAAGTTCGGTCTTTGGCACCAGCAACGCACCTCCACTATCCCTCAACCGTTGCCTCAACTCCTCTTCTTCCAGATACTCTACCTCTGTACCCAATTCCTCCCTAACTGCAGCCGAATAATCCATAATGCTGCGAAGAAGCCCAGGTCTGCGGCCACTCTTGTACATCCTAGATCCGCGACATGTGTCAAGCCACATGCCCACCATGATACATGACCACACAAAGTTGAAGATCGAGACCATAAACAGGAAGATGTAAGAGAAGCCCCATTGGTATGTATCGCTTGGCTTGCAAGAGCCATTTTGCTGTAGGTATGTCGCGTTGTAGAGGTCGCCCTGACGGCCGTTGATAGCAAAGGCATACTGATGACGTACTTGCTCTGGAGGAATTCTCACTTCGCCGTCAACCTCGAACAGAGTTATATTGAGACTCGGCGATGGCAGTCTATTTGGCTGGCCGCCTTCCAACTCCCACGTAGAGGAGTTGTCTGCGTAAAATGTCCCTACGCCAGGTCGAACCCCAGGCATGTCATAATATTTCGTGTTGTTGCCCTCGAATTGCTGCCTGTCTTCAAGATCAACGTTAGCAAAGTTCTGGGCCTGAAAATCTTATACGTACATATGTTAACGTAGTTAACAAGCGCGCTATCTTGCAGCGTGACAACGAGTGGCTTGTCAAAGCCGATCCGTCCAGCGTCGTTAATGACATACACAACTCTCTCTATTTGGCTCCACTCAATGAGATTGCGTTCGTAATTCTGAAGATACGGCTCATTCGTCGTAATGTAACCGGTAAGTGCGGCCATCAACGTGGGGAAAGAAAGCACATAGATCGTTGAAATGATCATGCTGAGCATCGCGAGCCAGCGGAAGAACCGCCTCCACGTCCCTTTCCCAAAAGCAAGAAACTCCTTACCCAGCACACCCAATGTCCTCATCGTCGTCGTCTCAAACGCAACGGCTGCATACATTTTATAAGACGTAAGATGTAACTCCATGTGGTACACTAGCCACTCATTGAACACGCGATAATTGACATAGGCTAGGAGCATCTGCCCGCCTCGCCCAATGATCAGGTCCCACGCGATGTCGATGACTTTGACTTGGGTGAAAGAAAATGCTCCAAAGCTAAGATTTGGCGTGAAGAAGTACGAGGAATCCATGATCCTCCACGTCGCACCGTCCGCTTCTTTCCACGAGCCATTGGGGTAACAGTCGCGTCCCTGGATGTAGTTCCGTGATGCCGTCTCAGCTGCGGCAGCGAGAGTAACGATGGGAGCCAGTGCGAGCGGTAGCGTCAAGACGATAAAGAAAGTCCTCCAAGGGAATGCAGACCAGTTCTGCGCGAAGGTTTGTTCGCGATCATCCTTTCGTGTCCATTGGCGCGATGAGATGGACTCGGTGTCGCGTTGCAGCCCAGTGTGGAGCATTTCGACGCTCGTACGCGCATCATCATCAGGGTCGAAGTCTCGACGGAGAGCGTGGAAATTAGTCGCCATCGTTGGAGCACTGCACGCGATACATCGTGGGCGCGTGTTATTTCGCACAGCGAACGATCGGACGTTTCGCAGTATACCCCTCTGACTAGTGCTGTGCTCACTATTCAGGCGCCCCGGATCGTCATTTCACGATACGAAACCCGAGAGCCAAGCGGGGCGCAGCAGACGCTAAAAGATCGGGGATCTGCGTGACATTCTATCGATAAGACCTTGAGCCTGGGGCGGAGTCTCATCAAAAAGTTAAGCCTAAAGTTGGGGGTTACAACATTACATAGTTTGAATTGGATGTTTGCTAACAGCTCAAGTACTTTCAGACGGCGGGAAAGTGGGTCGCCAAGCTCGATGACTGATGTCCTGATCGGCATACCAGTTACCGCACGAGCACCACCATATCAGTGCATACTTCAGATCATGTTGCAGTATAGGATGCGTCTTCAATATATCATGTTAATATTGCTTCATACAATTAACATGTCGCACATGGACAAAGCATACAAGGTCATGATAACTGAAAGATCCAAGGCACCTCCATATGTACAGTATGCTTCCATGAACACTGTCTTTGCTCAACCGGCCCGTCCTCAACTCTAGCAGTTCAGGTAGATTGCTAGATTACGTTAGCATGGATACAATCATTGTGAGATGAAAAGATAGACTTGCCGTTAGAGTACAGCGCAAAAGAGTCGGCGTTGTTCAAAGCCTGGCTAGTCGACAATCTCGTCGCGGCAGCGTATCCGTAACCAAGGTCATCAGTTCCTGGGCTGTACACAGCTGGGGCATGAGCCTCCTCGTGGAGCACCGTGGTCGCCTGATCTTGACCATGGCAGGTGGAGCTCAGCGCTGGAAGGTCGCTGAAGAAGAGAGGGCAGTAGGTGATGAAGTTCTGCGCGGGTACAGTGTACGCAAGGACGTTAGATTCGCACCCGTTGTATGGATCGTTACAGTTAGTAGTAGTTTTCGACCCTGTTCCTCCACAGTCGGATGAGATGGCACGTAGGCGACCCGAAACCTCGTTCTTGACACTGGTCGTGGTCGACTTGAAGTACGTTTGGAGCTTTGTTCCTGCGGCGGCGGAGGTGGCAGCAGCGCTTGCAAGTCTGGCGCAGTTGGACAATGCGGTTCGGACAGCACTGAGCTTGGCTCCTGTGCAGCTGGAGCCGATCACGGTGCGTTTGACAACGGCCTTGCTGACCGTAGCTGCAAGAGCACCGTCGACGGACATGGTGAGCTTGTTCGACTCGTAGTTGTAGGCGCCGGCGAGCTCAGTTGAGCCCTCTTCGGCAAAAGGCAACAAGCCCTTGGCGAAAACATCGAAGTCGCCACCATCGTTCAAAGTATGGAGAGCAGCAGTCTCAACCGTAAGTTCCTTCGACTCTCCAGCTGCCAAGGCGACGAAGTCATCCTTGCTAAGGCCGCTGGTCAAGAGTCTGATCTTGATACCCTCGAATGGGACCTTTGTGCCTAGACCATCATTAGACTAGAACGTTTGAAGTGTGTGCTGTGGCGTGGGTACGATGGGGTGGTGCTCGATATTGGGAAGGTCGTGGTTAAACCAAGTCCAATGATGCTTCACCAAGTCGCAGGGGTTTGCAGTTGCATCGCCACATATCACCCGGGATTTGTGGTATGGCATGAAAGCCGGGTAAGGTGTTGGGAACTTACTGCCTCCAGCGGAGTAGATGGAAACCTTCTCCACGGGGATTTTCTCGTCCAAGAAGGTGCCCTTGCTCAGAAGGTTCACAATCTTGTCTCCATTGTTGGTCACGAGGACCTTAACCTCTGAATTGCCGGACGCAGTGAGCTTGACGCTCAAGGGAGTTTCGCGCTTGAAGACATTGACCGAAGCAGCAGTGGCGTAAGAAGCCAAAGCCGCGACGGTTAGCTGTGAAATGACCTTCATGGTTGATGTAGGTGGAGAGGCAGCGAGTGAAAACGATGAAGACTTTGTTGGCAGGCTGATGAGACCGAAGGAACTGGTGATCAGTAAAGAATAAAAACAGTATCGTGTGTGACATACATGTCTTTATACTTGCTCGAGTGGATGGGCTTCTTCCCAAGAAGGAATGCGCGGTGCAAGTGGCCATCGCGGGCTGGGCAACATGGCGTCCTGGCTAAACTCCTTTGTGGAGCTTGACTGGTCTAGGCAGCTGAGGTAGTAGTTGGGCATAAACCTAGGAGTTTGTAAATGATTGCAGTCGAGGTGGTGGGGCGAATCTGCATGAAGCTTCCCCACGAAGCGGAAGAGACGTAGGATGGTGAAGCGTTGAGTGGGTAGTCCGCTAAAACAAGGGACAGGCCTTCGGCTCGACTTGAATTGGCAGCGGAGATTAGAATGGAAACGGAAGGTCTTTAGGCATACTCATAGAGGTAAGATGATAAGGAGTATAACCTGTGTGGCATCCGCGCAGGTAAACAGCTCTGGTCAATCTGTATGGTGCATCAAGGCGCGCCGATCACTTCGGTCTAGATTAAGCAATGCCAGATAAGCCTTGGCCCCCGTAGGATGTTTTACGGAGACTTGGCTTGGACAGGCAGGAGAGCAGGGGTTTTGCCAATGAATGTAGCGGCAATTGTACCGGGGTCAGGCAACCGTATGGGACGGCCTATTCAGACGGCAATGTTACTGGGCATTAAGAAGAACCCGGGGTTGTTTCAGCTAACATTAGTATCCAAGATCCACTAAATCTTGAGAACGTCCTTCTAATTAGGTCAAAATAGCTGTTGAGCTCTTCAGAAAGCGTATTCTGTTGCCGTGACCGGTTCCTGACTAGATGGGAACGTGCTAATTGCTCAGAGGCCTGCTCTATCTCCTAGATTGAGGACAGTTCCTGAAAGTGACTAGTTGAAGGTGGGCTGTACAGCGACGACAGGCATCCTAGACCATGCACTATTCAAGGTCAGTTATCTTGCTTTAAACAATATCTGAAAGGGATGGCTCCGTCATTGGGGCAAGGAATTGGTAATCCCGACAATGCTGTTGAAAGAAGGTTGTCGGAGGATTCCGCCTGAAGTCGGTACTTGCACGCCAACGACAAAGTGGGTTAGGCGACGCGGGAGTGCAAGTAGGGCCGCTTAGGCTAGTTCGTCCTTCATCACAATGCGACACAATTATTGGAATGTCGCCTCAGGAATACCTAGGTGGCGTGTGTCGTTGCCGAGAGCGTCGTTTCACGTTACCTTGGGCAGACGAATTGTTTTGTCAACACTCCACGTCACGACGTGGAATTTAATCAATTTTAGCGCCACCCGTTTCACCCTTGTTGCCAACCGAGGCAGGTTGCCAGCAAACAACAGCCGGATGCAAATTAAGTGTCTGCGTCGATTTGATTCGCTCTTCGATTTAAGCAAATGAACTAGCATGTACCCAGTACTGATCCGGAAGGCGGATGTATGGCATGTTTGAGGCCGAAGACGACTGTTTCTGGACTCTAGACGCAATGCCATCAACATTCCCTTGACTCTCCATTCTAATGTCTGATGACCTCTCGCAAGATCGAAGAGCACCTTCCGCAATCGCTTTCTGGGGCGTTTCTTCCGGGATACATCACCTCACTTAGTAATCTACCAGGCGATAAAGCATATCTCCTTCCGTTAGTGGTTTGGCGCTCCCCGCTGCCTTACAACATCCCACCCGCTACTGGACGCCGCACCTCCAGCATCGCCCAAAGGCTTTCCCCAACGCAGCTACCAGAACCAAACACTGTTCTCACCACATGGCAGGCTTCTGGAGTAGTCGGACAGCGCTCATCACAGGTGTTGCCATAACGCTACTAGGCACATTCTACATTTACCAATCTGACACTCCTACATCATTCACAATGTCCAGCAAAGGCTCCAGCGCGTCCAACGGCGTTCCAGGCTTAGAATTCAAGCTCTCCCAAATCTCGCGAAACCCTCCCTCTCTCCTCGTCACCCTCAAAAACACCCATCCAGACACCCCTTACTCGGTCCTAAGATGGGGTACGCCACTCGACCCCTCAGCGCTGAATACTGGAGTCTTCAGCATTCTTGACCACGACAGTGGCGACGAAGTTCCACAGGTTGTTCTGCAGATCAACAGGTTGATGCCTCCGCCGCAGGAGGAGCTTATCACTGTGGCGCCCGGGACAGAAGAAGAGATAGAGGTCGTGTTTGACAAGCCCTGGATGCCACAAGAGAAGCCTGCAAAGTATAAGGTCAAAGCTGAAGGGGAGTTCAAAGGTGTTTGGGGGAAATATGGAAGTGAAGTAACGGAGGAAGAACTGAACGCTTACATTGAAAGTCCGTTCAGCGGCAAGAGCTTTACCACTGGCGAAATTGTATTGGAAGTTCACTAGGATGTATGTGTAACGGTATGACTTTTTGTATTCAAAGAAATATCTCGGTGTTCTATTTATCCTTCAACTCCTGGCCAAATGCTTCGAAGGCTACGGTTCATCCCAGATGCCAGCCTTGTGTGTTCTCCAACGGAATAGAGAGTTGAAAGCATTCCACATATAACGTGTATCTTCTCTGTTCTTGAAGTTGAAAGTGTTTAACGAGCGTCGTCGGTCATTATCGTCATTATCCCCAAGCCTCCCGGTCACACATGGATCATTTCCCATCCACTCCTCACCGCACTCGCCCTGCTACTCGCACCCGCCTAAACGCCTGAAGTATGCGCTGAGATCTTTTTGTTCCAAGACGGTGACGGTTGTTGTAGTTTCAGTTACGCAGCAGTCTGGGATGAGGACTGTTGCTGCTGCTGTGGTTGCTGACTGGGCGCTTGCTGTGGCTGCAACGAGGGCGAGGAGGGGGTAGAGATTTGAGGTGTGCTTGGTGATGAGGAGGTGGGAGATGTGTAGCGTGGGCGCGGGAAGTAGGGGTGGAAGTTGGGCATATTGGCGATTGTTGGAATAAGAAGTCTCGTTGAAATTTGGTATTGTAAGCTGATGTGCAAGGTCGGTGACTATCTTTGCGACTCGGTGTTTGGGCTTTGTTTGAAGTTCAAAGTCCGTAGTGGGTGAGCGGACGGTGTTATATGTACGCGTCGTGGGGACGCGCAAAGTGATCTTACACCGGATCCGAGGTCGTACAATAGACATTCAGACCGCTCCCGCGACGCACAACGCTCATGCATGTATTCAGCCTTCTAGCAGTATACTGCAGAGCACCCCTTTGAGACCTAGAATTTGACTCGGGTCTCGCATTTAGCTTACCAGATGTAGTCGCCATTGGTGAGACTCGAAGCTGGGCTATGCAGTGCACTCTGAAGTATCAAGCGAATGGCATGTTGAATGCAGATCGCGGCATTTCAGCTTTGGTGGGGTAGCGGTCTGAGTAGATGGAGGCACAGGAAATGTTGTACCGAGGCTTATCAGCCGATAAGCTACTCCACCCAATAAGCTACTTTAATATTAAAATAAACTAAATATAACTTTTTTAAATTGCAATATATTTACTACTAATAATTTAATTTTAAATGCAATTGCAGTAATTAATTTATAAAATTTTAAAAAATAATTTTTGTACTACGCAGCTGTAAAAATATTTAGTATTAATTAAACTACTTTAGCATACTAATATTAAAAAAAAACATAATTAAATGTAGAAAAAGCTTAATAATAAATATATTTTAATTTATAATAAGAATTAAAATTTATATAACGTATTACACAGGCGAGTTAGTTGCCCGGTCGAGTTAGTTATAATGCTAAAACCCTACTAAAATTAGTAGTCTTCTACTATTAAACGCAATGCTTTAACATAATAATATATAATTTTTTTAAAAAAAAAACTAAATATAGCTTATAGTTTAGGCTTTAAAACATAATATAAATCTCTCCTAACAAAAAGCTGCGCAGATCTACAGCGTTTTTTAAATAACACTTAGTAATTAACTAAAAAAAAAGCCTCTATAACATAATACTAGGCCTAATAAAATAAAGCTTTTTTTAATAGAAGAAAAAGTAATTGCCTAGCATATACTTTACTTTAAAAACTAAAGATTTCCGCCCTAACTAGCTGCTATAAATAATATAGCTAATACTTTGCTAGCTAAATATAGGCAACTACCTATTAGCAAAAACTAGGCTAGCACGTTTATTAAATAATATCTATAGCTTAGTACTAGGACTTTTTAAAAGTATAACTACTAAAAAGCTTTATATAAAAATCCTAAGCTTATATAAGGCTAGTTCTAACTTATAGAAAATATAAAAGCTAAATATAGTATTTAAAATAAAAATATATACAATTTTAACAAAACAGGCTTTATAATAAGCTAGATATTATATAGAACTATTATCTTAAGTACTAACTATTAAAAATAGCTAAAGATAGTACAGCAGAGTAATTAAAAGTAGGTAACAGTAATCTAAAGTATTAATGTAATAAAGTAAGCTATTTTACTTTTTATTATTTTTGTAGGTAAGAACTACTTCTTAGCCTAATATAAAGAAAATAGCCTGCCCTATAATTAGGTTATTGCAGTTTTTAAAAATAGCTAAATAATAAATAAGCTTACTTTTAAGTAGTTAAAGCACTTTAATAAGTATACTAAAAGGAAAATTATTAGTACTTATTATCTACTTATTATTAATAGTTATAAGAGCTATGCATTAGTCTAATTCTAGCAGTACTATAAAGAATAAAAAATTATTACTTTTTATATACTTTTATATTTATCGCACTTGCTATAGCTACTTAATATAAGTTGTTTTACGCCTTTAAAAAAAGTATATAAGTACTAAGCTAAAAAGCTAATGCGCAACAGCATTAACTATATTACTAAAATTAAGTTTTTACTATGTTTTAAACTAGCTTTTAATGCTGCTATTATAAAAAGTAATATTTTAAATAGCTTTAAAAGCACTAGTCTAGTTTCTTTTAACTTTAAAGCTATAATATTAAAACTTAATATTTAGTTGCGTACTCTACTACTACTTACTATTAAAAACAGTTTTTAAGAATTAAAAATACTAAGTAATATTTTAGAATTTAAGTCTTAGTTAACGCTAGTTAAAACAAAAATTTAAAAGCACTTAAATAGTTTTTTTACTTTAATAGTTAAAGCTTTTAAAAAAGTTTTAAAAAGTGCAGCTATAATCGCGCATAAGCTTGTATTAGCATAAAAAAAAATTGCTAAGCTTTAAGCAGCTAATAAGGCTGCTATGCAACAAAAATTACATAAAAAAAAGCAAGTATAAAAAAAAAAGACTTTTATAGTAAAAAATAGTTTTTAACTAATAATTCTAAAAGAATTTAAAGCGTATAGTAATAAAAAAAAGGTAAAAAAGCAAGTGCATACTAAAGCAAGTAAGCCCTTTTAAAAGCGCTATAAATACTATAGTAAAGCTAGGCATAACGCGCAAATATGCAAGCAAAAAATAAAAGTAATTTCTAAATAAATTAGCTTATTATAATTTACTACTATAGTTTTTTACAGTGCTGTACTGTCGTGTATAGTACTAATTTTAGTAGGGTTTTAGTATTATAACTAACTTAACTAGGCGACCGACTCGCCTGTGTAATACGTTAATATATATAAAGTTTATTTAAATATAGGCTTGCACCTATAAAAATTATAATAAAAAATTTTATTTCTAAAATTTTAAAATAAGAAATTTTTAATATATAAATTTTGTAATTTTTAAAAAAATATTATAATATTTTTATTTTTAAATATATTACTAGGATTAATTGCAAACAGCTTTTTACTAATACTAAATATAATTATAAGTTATATTTTAACTTTTTTTATTTAAAAATTTAAAAGTATAATATTAACGCGCGCCATATTTATAATATAAATATAAAAATTTTTTTTATTAGTATTACTTTACGCTTTAAATAAATTTTTTTAAAGTAATTTTAAAAGTAAAAATAAATTATAATAGCCTTATAAAATAGTAATTAAAAATAAATAATAATTTTAGTATATATTTATGCAAATAAAAGCGCAGTAAATCTAAATATAGTTTTTAAAAAAAAAAAAAAATTTTGTAATACTTAATTACGCAATATAAAAGTTAAAAAATACTAAATTTTTTTTATAATAAGTTTTTCTAAATAGTTTAATAATAATATTAATTTAGCTTAATTTAAATAAGTTTTTAATTAGCGTATAAAAAGCAAAGTATAGGCAAATTATAAAATTTTTATTTTTAATAGCTATAGCAGCTACTTTACTACTAATTTTATAAACTTTTGCAACGCTAATAAAATTTTTTTAATAATATTTTTTTTTTATTTAACTTATAGTTTATAATTTTTAAATATAGTACTTTTTTTATTTTTTTTAACTATTTATTTAATTAAGCTTGCGCACTACTTTTATTATAGCTAAAGTTTTATTTTTATAAATAAAAGTAATTTTTTTTTATTATTTTAAACTATTTATAATACTATATTTACTTTTATAAATATATAAAAAGTGTTTAAAGCTATAAGCATTAAGCTACTTAATACTAATATTATATTATAATAATTTAAAACACAATTACAACAGGAAAATTAAAAATTAATAAATAAAAAAAATAATAATAGAAATACTTAAAACTAGCTTTATAATTTATTTAAAATTATTATAAAAAATAAAGCAAAAATTAAAATTAAATAATTAAATTTTATACTATATTCTTTTTAAGTGCAAAATAAGCTTTTTTACTATAAAAATAAAAGTCTCTGCAATGCGCTTTTAATTAAAAAAAAATATAAAAGTAAAAATAAATTTTTAAATTTTTAATAGCGTAAAAAATTTTATAGTGCTATAATATTTTAAAATTTAAAAATTATCTAAAAAGTTTGCGCGCGCAATATAGTAAAATAATATAAAAATAAAACTAAATAATTTTAAAAAAAAAAAATAAAAAAACTAAAAGTAGTAGTAATATTATATAAAAAAAAAATTACAAAAAAAGCAAAAATAATATAATTACTTATTAAAAAGTATACTATAAAAAAACGCATAGTAATAGCTTAAAAATAAGCTACTATACGCACGCAAAAATAATAAAAAAAAAAAACTATAATTTTATAAAAACTTTATAATAAAGCAAATAAATATAAATAAATAACTTTATATTTTATAAATTTAAATACAGTAAAGCATTATTATATTATAAATGCTAAAAGTAGTAGTTTAAATATATTATAGTTATTACTGCTTTTATTTAAAACTACCGCGCGCAGCTGCTAAATTAATTTTTTATAAAAATTTAAATAGTATAAATTAATTATAAGTTTTTGTTTACTAATACTTTAAAAAATTTTATAATAATAATTTTTATTAGTAGCTTTACAACTTTATTTTTGCGGATAGCTGACTTTAGTTGAGGTGGCTTATCGGGTAGAGTGGCTTATCGGCTGATAAGCCTTGGTATGGCGTTTTGGCTCCGGATTGAGGACGCCAAGTCGGATCCGACCACCATTTGCGCGAACTCATTGGTTCCAACATCATGAAGTGTATGTCGTGAATGAAGATGGAAAGTCTTGGTAGTAATCTTCCCGTCGCTATGTTTGACAATGCTACATGAGATTTCTTGGAATTGCTTGGGGTTTCTTGGGTTTCACGCCTTGTAACATTGAAAATGGCAGCGCCTGACGGTAATGGCCTTTTGAAAGCAAGAACTGAGAACAGTCCTACCCTTCATGTACAGCTAGCACGTCTCTCAACATTTGAAGCACCGCCTGGCGTATCGCTAGCCCAATGCAGTCGCACCCTTCAAATCCAACATACGTCCAGAGCACCATTCATCATTCTATCCGAGTGGCAGACCAATCGCGTTCAAGAAAGTTGCAAAGAAGTCCCACCTTTGGCAGCTTCGAAAGGCCGCGAGAGGTACACAATCAGTTTAACTCAAGATGTAGTCGGAATGCTAATTGTAGTCAGCTCCTTTGGCAGGTACTGCGACGTTGCAGAATACTCTGATCTCAATTACCCCGAAGATGGGCCCGCAGGCAAAGAAAGTTTTGGAGCGAGTTCAGTTCAGGTTGGCATTGCTAGTTTCGACAAGTGTCTGCTACTATCGGGTAGCGAGCGTAACATTGGCATCTCGATGATGTAAAACGAGCTGAGCGATCCACTTTTATAAATAGGCATTGTTGGAGTTTTGCGGTCCATGGCTATTGGCGTTTGCATTTACTGGTGTTATCTCTAGACTGAAAGGGCTGTTGCTTTCCAACAGTAGAAACAAATTATAGTAGAGTTCTTGGCTGTTCTTATAGAAAGTTTTTAGATTCTATTGGCCCTGACCAAGCCCAATGTAAATAGTCAGCTTTCCTTGGAATTGAGAAGGGGTATCTTACGATCTCAAACATGGGCATGAAGCCCTCCGAATCCTACCCTTACAATCATATATATATATCTTCTCTCGACAGTGCTTCTGCCTTTTACTGTGCAACCCACTCCCTCTCTCCCTCTGTCGGATCCACGACATTCACCTCACTACCAACCCATTTCGCCTCCCTAGCCGGCAACACCACAGCCAGCACCTTCGCCTTCACCAACCCCAATGGCAACGGCCCAAACAGTCTACTATCCCGGCTCCACTCCAGATTATCACCCGCAACCCAGCAATGCCCCTCCGGTACCCTCACCACTTGCTCTTTCACACGTGCCCATTTCCCTTCCGTGTCTATAGCCTCCACATCGCCTTCCCCACGTCCATTTGTTATGACAGACACGAAATCCCCCGGCATCCCAATGACGCGCTTGCACCCGCTTTCGTTGGGGAAGATGGGGTTGGTATAGGTGATGATGTCGCCGACTTTGATGTTGCGGCCGCGCCGGTGGAGAGAGGAGTAGAGAATCCACGGGTGGCCGTTCCAAGAGTGTGGGATGGTTGGCGTCATAGAGATGCCGGTCGTGGAGCCAACGCCGCCGATGTAGGAGTAGAAGACATGTGTAAAGAGGGCTACTTTTCCGACTAGGAGAGCGTTACCTGGTAGGTTGTTAGTTGGAGGTGGAGAAGAATATATGAGGCGTGACCTACGCGCCCATGTTTTGGGATTGAGAATTGCTGGCGCAGATTTGTGAGGGAAGCGGTGGAGGAAAGACCATGGCGGCGGCATTGTCAGGAAATGCAGCTCGTTTGGCTATCGTTGAAGCATCATGTGGCGTCGAGGTGCACGAACAACGGGGGTGGGGCGCTACTCGGAGGTTCGTTCCATATAACGTTCGATGAGAAGAGCATCATGTTCGACTTCCAGAGATTCTGTAACTCCGCGTGCCAAGACCATTAATTCCGCCTTTACTCGAATCTGCTTGGACGAGCTGTGCATACCCCATGAGCGCGCTTTGCACACAAACATCATGTTAGTCGAGGATGAGATAGTTGGCTTAAAAAGTGCACAGCAAACTGCTCTAAAGTAGGTCGTAGCTATCTTCGAGTATCTCACATAGAACTTCACGCTCATCTGATTCAGGCCCGCCCCCACAGGACTCGAGGGCGAAGGAACTTTGAACGATGCTGTAAGAGGTGCTTCTTTTTCTCAACTCATGCGCTCCTCCGCTACTATCGATGGTTTCTTATCTTTTCTTTTTCGGCTTGGAAGGCGACATTGAGATCCTTGCAAAAGTCTCAGCAACGTATTATCTGCCGAAAATGTGACACTGTCCTTCAAGACTATGTCGATCTTACAGCTACATATACTGCCATTCCTCCGATATCTCTTCAAGAACAATTCACACTATTATAAGTCTAACACCATTCCTAGATCTGATAACAAGCTACCACGACCTCAACCCCTCCACAATCGACATCCTGCATGAAGAACCCTCACCTCTAGAGTTCATGCGCTATGTAGCGCGGAACCGCCCATTCGTCATCCGCAGTGGAGCCAAAGACTGGAAGGCCAGGAAGCGATGGACCGCCGCCTACCTCACCAACGTAATGGCAGGCCAAAACGTCAACGTAGCAACCACACCACATGGGAACGCCGATTCCGTCATCTCCCTCCCCAGCGGCGGCTCACTCTTCGTCAAACCCTACGAGACAGAGCAGCGCTTCGAGTCCGTCATCCACGCCATTCAACAGCAGGAACTAGAGACAGACGACTATGACGGACCAACTCGGTATGCGCAGACGCAAAACGACAACCTGCGCAACGAGTACGAAACGCTCTTTGCCGACGTCCCCGCCTCCATTCCCTTCGCGAGGATAGCGCTCGAAAAAGACCCCGATGCGATTAACTTCTGGCTCGGAAACTCGCACTCGGTTACCGCGCTGCACAAAGACAACTATGAGAACGTCTATGTGCAGGTTCTAGGAAAGAAACATTTCGTTCTGCTGCCACCCGTGGAGGCGCCGTGCATCAACGAGAAGGCTGTTTTGGCTGCTACGTATGCTCCGAGAGACGAGGCTGTATCAGGAGATGAGCAAGAAGGAGTAAGGAAGGAGGATCTTCGTGTTCGAATCGATGACCCGGAGGAGTATGTTCCCTTCGCAACGTTTGATCCCGATCACCCCGGCCAAAATGCAAATGCATATTCGCAATTTTCGCGGCCGCTCCGCGTTACGCTGGATGAGGGCGATATGCTCTATCTCCCTGCACTATGGTATCACAAAGTATCTCAGAGCTGTAGTGACGAAGGGATTTGCTGTGCGGTAAATTACTGGTATGATCTAGATTTTAGCGGCGGATTTTGGAGCATGGCAAACTTTACACGAAGCGTGGGGCTTTTGAGTATAGCAGGCAATGAGATTGAGGCAAAAGTAGGATGAAACAAGGAAAATTTAATGATTATGGGTATCTCTAAAGTTCTACAACAAACGAAACACCATGCAATGCAATGCGATATACCCTACACACCATACGAGCCCCACTTCACGTGCGAACCTTGACCTTGATCCCCACACCCCTTGCACTCGCCCATACACTATCAGTAACCCTGACAGGCAACTTTCTCCCCTTGAGCCTCTGGTCAATCAGCCAAAGCCCAACTACAAACTCGTATCGAGTCAGCCTGCCAACCCCCCTGCCATCTACAAGATCCCACACTTCTTCGAGGACATGTGTTGGTAAGCGACTTCTCGTCCAAATCTCTTGCACACAGAGATTCAGCACACCGAGTGAGGGGTCTTCCTCAACGACGGCGCGAGAAGGTGATACTGATGGATTAGGCAAGTACAACCCTTTGTTAGCTGCCCAAACACCCTCATATCGCTTGCGTTCCCGCTCGGTGATCTGATCGCGCCACCGTCTCCTTGTCCCTTCATGGTGCTTGTTCGGATGTTTCCGTCCCTTGATGCCCATGATTCTTGTACCCTTCTTCTTGTACCTCCTCACTTCATCTTCGTCTTCCGACGAAGATGGCTCTTTACGCATTGTAGTCCGCATCTTGCCAGCCGCTTTTGGCGGCGACTGTTTCGGTGGCGAGGGCGATCGCCGAAAGGGCAAGTGGTGGTGGTGTTGCTTGCGAGGTGGGAAGAGGGGCTCTATGGACGTAGGGCGCGGTGCGGGTGAGGCGTTACGAGACGTAGCAGCTAGGGCTGCGCCCATGATGGCGCTTGACAGAGACTCTCCGGTCATATGCTTTGTGATTTGCTGGACAGATTGCCGTTGGTAGTTGTTGTGGTACATTGAAGGTTGTATACCTGTAGCCGATGCTGGTCTACGCGGGGGCGAGAGTTGCTCGCGTGAACGAATTGAAGTCGGTGTCTGGCTCTGATTCCGTGACTTGATTGATATGGGTGTTGTAGGCTGAAGTTTGCTAGCCAGGGGCGCAGGATCTGTTCGCCGTGTATTTGACCGTCGTGGAGGAGGTAGACTTGGCTTTGGTTTCTCATCCTCTTCTTGCTCTTCCTTGGCTGATTTGAATGATGTTGGCGAATCAGGCGATCCGTAGCTTTCAAGAGATGTTGAGAGTCTCCTGTGGACCGAAGTCGACCGTGCCATGTTTTGAGACTTCGGGCGAGACCCTCTCTGAGGTGGAGGTTTCGGAGGTGGAGTTGTCGTCTTGCTTGCGGCCAACTGCACCGGCTTTTGCTTGATCGGTGGAGATTTGAGGGGCCCTTTCTTTGGAGTGTTGAAGAATGCGTCATCATTCGAGACATCGATGAAGGGTTGCGGGGCCAGCCCAGTCTGAAGCTTGGGTTTTGGCTTGACGGGTGGCGGACTCCTTGTACTCGTCCTCTGCAGCGGTGGACCGAATTCTGATTCTGGAGGCAGTCTAAACGTCCGCTGTGGTTTAGGAGAGCGAACAGGAGGCGGAGAGTGCTGGGCGACGTTCGGGGGTGCGGTGGGAGGCTTCGTGGAGGGATCAGATCGGCTCTGCTCGAACATTTTCACCAAAGAAGTGGTAGGCGGGATAGGAGTCTCGTCGGTAGGCTTGTCATGTTGCTCGCTGCTCACCGTGTTCGCGGGCGAGTGCGACCCCAGGCTGCCCCTCCTCGTACGCGGCTGCTGACTAGGCTTCCTAGGCTCAAGCCTTGCGAGGACGTTTCCCACGCTGCCCGTCGGAGGCAGTATGTCTCTCTCGTTTGCATCCCGATCGCTCATTGCAGGAGCAACGGTAGCCTGGGCTGCGGGCCGTAGGGGGCTGGCGCGGGCAGCCGCCAGCCTGGCAGCAATGTTGGACGGAGACGGTACGCGGTCGAGGTGGGTATCAGTCACGCCCAGCGAGCTGGAACTGTTGGACTTGGTGACAGCTTGCTGCATAGGCGACAGGTTCGGCCTGCTTTGGCTCCGCGAGCTCCCGCCGGTCCAATCCCTCGTCAAGGCCGCAGGGCTTCCCGCAGCGCTCTGCCGGCCCGTGCCTACTTTGGTTGCCGCCAGCAGAGCCCCATTGTCTCCTCCAGTATACGTATTGGCCTGGGGTTTCGGGCCTTGTACGGCCGGTTTGGAGAAGGCCAGAGAGGCACCGTGGAGAGCGGCATCGCGGACATTGTACTGCGTATCGCCGGTCGACTGCGGAACCAGGCCGCGGTTGCGTGCGGAGCTCATCGAGAGCCCATTGGATTAGCGAGCGTGGTGTTGCAGTGACGGCGGGGGAGTATGGGGCCTTATGCGCGAGACATGTGTATGAGGCATGAGAATGGAGATTTGAGCGAGAGACTGAGTGGAAAACAGTGAATGTGGACCTGGCCTCCACAACCTTGTGAACGATCCTTGACGCATTGGGCAACGCACTAGCCGTTTGCGGAATCTGACGGCACGTGATAGCGCGGCATAGCGCATATCGCCCTCTCCAGGCAGCTGCCTGTCACCTATGTAGGTACAACCTGTTCACAAACAAGTCCACAGTTCCAGCAACCTCCACTCTTCAATGCACGCATCATGGCCGACGACACAGAAATGCCTGATGCCGATGCCGTGCGAGAGAACACGCTCATCTATGGCCGTGAGGAGCTCGACGAGAAGTACCCTACTCGCCCTGTGAACCTTCACAAAACACTGCCATTCCATACGTTATTTACCGACCTGTTTGATCCGCTCATGGATACTCAGAAGAGAAAGCAGCCTCCCGGGCCCCGTCGAAGGGTGGGGCCTACTGGCCACTCGAACATGTCACCGCATGAAGCCAAGCGGAACATCATTGAGAGATTCATCGCCAATTGGCGTAAGCAAGTGGGCGACGACTTCTATCCAGCAATGCGGTTGATAATCCCGGAAAAAGACCGAGACCGAGCCATGTATGGTCTGAAAGAGAAAGCCATTGCCAAGGTTCTGATCAAACTCACCAAGATCAGCAAAGACTCGGACGATGCCAAGCACATGTTGAACTGGAAACTGCCTGGTCAGCTACACAAAGCGTCAGCCTCTACAGCTGGCGACTTTACGGGGCGATGCTACGAGGTTCTCTCATCCCGTCAGCTACGAACCGAGCTTAGTGACATGAGCATCGCCGAAGTCAATAATGCCTTGGATAAGCTATCGCAAGTTGGCTCAGAAGATGAGCAGATCAAGATCTTCCAGAGGTTCTACCGGAGAATGAACGCCGAGGAGATGACCTGGCTTATTCGCATAATCCTTCGTCAGATGAAAATTGGAGCGACTGAGAAGACGTTCCTTGACATCTGGCATCCGGACGCGGAGACCCTATTCAACATCTCATCGAATCTTCGCCGAGTGTGCTGGGAGCTGTACGATCCAGAAATTCGTCTAGATGGTGAGGACACAGGCCTTAGCTTGATGCAGTGTTTCCAGCCTCAGTTGGCTGCATTTCAGGATAAAGTGGGATCGTTCGACAAAATGGTTACTAGGTTTCAGTCCAACCCTGAAGACGACGCGTTCTGGATCGAAGAGAAGCTAGACGGTGAACGAATGCAACTCCACATGATAGAAGACCCGGACGCACCTGGTGGGAAGCTTTTCGGCTTCTGGTCACGAAAGGCCAAGGATTATGCTTACCTCTATGGTAAGCACTTTCAGGGTGATGATGCTGGTGCTCTGACACGCTTCATCAAGGACGCTTTTGGCAAGAATGTGAGGAACATCATACTTGACGGCGAGATGATTACCTGGGACATGGATGTGGATCACATCGTCGGATTTGGCACACTCAAAACCGCAGCCATATCCGAAAAGGAGAACAAGACCAACAAAGATACCGGACAGCGGCCGCTCTTCCGTGTTTTTGATTGTGTATATCTAAACGACAAGCTACTTACGCAGTACACGCTCCGCGACCGCCGTCATGCTCTCGAAAGCGCCATCAAAGGTGTGCATCGCCGCTTAGAGATTCATCCGTACATCGAAGCGCGATCCGCTACTGAGATTGAGCCAGCGTTGCGAAAGGTGGTTGCCGAATCGTCCGAAGGTCTGGTGCTGAAGAATCCGCGCTCGATGTACCGCCTGAACGAGCGGAACAACGACTGGATGAAAGTCAAGCCGGAGTACATGTCCGAATTTGGAGAGTCGCTCGACTGCGTTGTCGTTGGCGGCTACTTTGGCTCTGGTCATCGCGGTGGCGCCCACTCTTCCTTCCTTTGCGCGTTACTTGTCAATAAGAATGCCAAGCCAGGGGACGCAGACTACGAAAAGTGTTTGTCATTGTTCAAAGTGGGTGGCGGCTTCAGTCGTGATGACTACGCGGCTGTTCGTGGGCGCACAGAGGGCAAGTGGAAGGATTGGGATCCGCGACGACCACCTCCGTTCGTTGAGCTGGGTGGTCACGATCAGAATCGCCAACACGAGAGACCTGACCAATGGATCAAGCCTAGCGACTCTGTCGTTCTGGAATGCAAGGCTGCCAGTGTAGAAGGTAGTGACAAGTTCCGAGTCGGTTTAACACTGCGCTTTCCTCGGTTCAAGCAGTTGCGTGTCGATAAGAGATGGGACCAGGCTCTCTCACTACAGGAATTCTACGATGTGAAAGACAACGTAGAGAAAGAGCGCTCGGAGAAAGAGAAAGAATTCAAAATCGAGCAATCGCGCCGAAAGAAGGCGAGAACATCGAAGAAGCCACTCACTGTAGTAGGCAACGAGACAGTCACCACACCCTACGCTGGTCCAGAATCGAAGCTTTTCAATGGGCTCAGTTTTTACATAATGACAGAACAAATACACCCAATGAAGAAGTCCAAAGCCGATCTTGAAGCATTGGTCAAGGCCAACGGAGGCAAGATCGTGCAGCGTGACTCGGAAGACAAGAGCTTGGTCATTGTGGCCGACAAGCGACTCATCAAGGTTGCGTCCCTCGAAAAACGTGGCACAAACAACATTGTCAAGCCAGTCTGGATCGAAGATTGTGTACAACAGAGCGCGGTGGACGTTGAGGCACTGCCTTACCTACTGCCTTTCGAGCCGAACCGACACATGTTCTACCTACATGATAATGACCAGCTGCACTTCGAGGAAAACGTTGACGAGAACGGCGACTCTTATGCGCGCGACATAACGGATGTGGACGAAATGAGAAGACTACTTTCCGGCATGAAGAAGCCGGAAAGCCATTCAAACTTCGACCGCGGGACGTTCCTGGAGCAACTTGAAGATCATGGAGAGTCACTCGCCCATCTCAAGACACACATGTTCTCCAATATGAGGGTCGCTTTCGACACAGACGATAATTGCGCCTGGAATTCACGGGCTCAGCTAGCAAAGAACTACATCTTCTTCGGTGGTGGAAAGGTCGCTGATATTGATGAGGATGGGCTCACTCACATCATAGTCCCCAACGGACAGGAAGCCGCGACTCTGAAGAAAGGAGGAAGCAAGGTAACCAACCTCTCGCGCACAGTGGGGGTCGAATGGGTGGAAAAGTGTTGGGAGGAAGGGACAAGGGTTGACGAAGAGAGGTTTCAGTGGGGATGATGATGTTCATAAGAGGATGCATAAGCGATTACAAGTCTTTTACGATCGTTCATGTTGTATGAATAACGAAGTCAATCTATGAATGCATGGACTACCAGGAAGGATGAAACATGGTGCCAACTTGACTATAGACTTGAGGTACTCTAGAGCCCCCAACACCCGACAAATTAACTAGACAGCCAAACGTTCCACAAAGCCCCCATTCAAATCCTTGCTGACGTCGCATGCCATGGATGGTCAGTTGGGTCCCTAGTTTCCTCCAGGGTAGAAACGCGCTCGATTCGCAGCCTGTGCAGCCCAGCGATCCATTGGTGTAGTGCGGTGTGTGACGCTATCAACTTCCATACGCATAGAGTCGAAATTCTGCCAAAATGCCGTCTGAGGGGATGAGTCGACAAATTCGGGTGAGCGGGACTGAACTACCTCTTGCGGAGTAGGAGTAGGAAGGCTGACCAGCGGCGGAAGGGCAACATGTGTCTCTGTTCGTCCATTGCGGGCGACGTTGTGGTCACGCATGACCCGCAGGGTGGAGTTGTCTGCGTTCACTCGCTCCCGGCCATTGAAAACAGGGGGCGCTGGACGAGTATGGGTAGCATTGCGAGCTGAGGGCGATGCACGAGCGTCTCCATGCAATAAGTTGTGCCGCAACAGCGCACTTCGGTCTATGCCAGCGGGTACACGACGCCCTAGGAATGTGTCTCGATGATGGCGACGATGACGTGATGTGGGTGACAGAGGTGTAGCCCGAAGCGTGTCGATATCCAATCTACGAAAAGGCGCGGTAATATCGGGAATCGAGCGAGGAGGAGAGTCGAGCGGTGTGCGTCGAGGCGCATTGCCAAAGGGAAGATCAGGCCGCAGCGCCCACTCACTACTACTACTACCATTCGACTCGTCCACGCCTAGTCCAGGGATGAGAAAGGGCACACCACGTGGAGGACCTCGAGCAGGAGTGAGCGCACGAGACGGTAGGGGAATAAACGAACGGTGAGCTGGGGGAGTAGCTTCGTATAGTGCTCGTCGACAGTTTGGACACGTGCAGTTTCGCTTTTCTGCGCCCTGGAGCCAGGCGAGAATGCAGGTGCAGTGGAAGAAGTGAGTACACGCGACCAGCTGGACTACGTCCGCGACTAGGGGTTCGGTGCAGATGGTGCATACTTCGCCCGGTGGTCGCGTCTCCACTGGTATCACGCCGGTCATGAAGAACTCAGCTTGAGAGCGGAGAGCTGGCCTGTTGAGAGTTGGGTACGCGTACATCGGAACATCAAAAGGTCGGCCGTAGTCTTGGCCTAGTCGGTGCTGAGCTTGTCTGTAATTGGGAATAGGCATGATGTTGTGCCTGGTGGTAGGATTTGTGTGTGTTTGTGAGTTGAGGAGATTGAAGGGAAAGGAGAGAAAGTTTCCCTCTCACTTATGGCAATAAGGGGACGTTGGAAAGTTCCCATTGTGTTTGCAGCAATTGGGAAGTGTTTGTAGTCATGGTGAATGGTGCACACATGAGAGTGAAAATATTTGGCATATAGAGCATTTCACTCAAACTCTGTCGTCAAGTACATCCACAAGGTGTTTTAGGCATCGACGCTAGTGACGAAGACCAGATACTAGTGAAAGATCATAGAGTCGTGAAAGCGTGCAATTGCTAGAGTCTTGCAAGATTCGTATCTCCGGTTCAAAATTCAACATGGGGGATGGTTCCTACCTAACAGCAGCAGTGCCAGTACATGAACCCTAGAATCTCCGATCAAGCATTCTATTTAAATCGTAGAAGTTCGTCCTCATCGACACTTTGTGTAAGTTTAACGTGCAGCTTGAATATTTATAGTAAGCAAGCGGGCTGTTATCCATCCAGTAACACATCCAAGTAACGGATGAACATAAAAAGATGCTTTCTTCTTACGCCGAGAACACATATCTGTTTAATACGTAAATAAGTCGTAACGGTATTCAAGACAAATCCAAGCTGTGCATCATCCCATGTGTAAACAGGGAAAGTTTGGGGGCGAATAAAAAAGGGGTGGCGACGGTGAGAAAGTGCGGGTAGAAGGCTGCGCACTGACGCAAGCAGAGAGACGGAACTGGAAGGTGAAAGGTTGGCACAAGTGCATCTTTGAGATTTGAGTGAATTAACGTCCGCGAATCAAGCGTTATGATAGAGGGCAACATTTCTAAACGCCTGTGCGCCGTGTAAACGAGCCATTGTCCGGCCCGGACGAACCGAATCCCGCCCCCATTGCGCTGTAAATGCAGTGATACTAAAAGAAGAAGAATAGATTTTACGGAGTGCGTCGCATCGTGATAAGGTGGTGAACACGCACTCCTACCAAGACCATCTTACGACGGTCATTTCCACTGGCCTTGACTGAGCTTTAGCAAGCCCTCGACGCATCCCGCCTCTTCAGCCGAACTCAAATTCGTCCGTTCGCTCAAGCCATCACCATTCATGAACTGCCTCAGCTCATCATCTTTCTCCGGGTCGATATCTGTCTTCCTACCCTTACGCTTCTCCCGTGCCAACATGGCACCAAGACTCGAGGTCTGCGACATGAGATCCGTGTTCTCGCCCAGTATCTGACGTGCTGCTCGAGAGGCTGGAGGTGTGGTGGCGACATCACGGTCCCGGCGTACCGACTTCGGAACATCAGGTTCCCAATTCTCTTTGTCGGATTCCGTGCTTGGGAACTCGTCTGACTCGGTTGTGTCACCACTCTTCTTGTACTCCTTGGTCGAGAAACGGCCGCTGATGGTAGAGGCACGTTGCATGGAGCCACGAGACTTCTTCACACCTGGGCTGCCCAAAACCTTGTGTGACCCATGTCGTGAAATAAGAGGCGTGTTCTGGCGCGCCTGGTTCTGAGCTAATATCTTTCGGTTCGCACGAAGTATCCCGATGGCATCTGCCGCGCTTCCGCTTCCCTCTTGCTCTGCTCGTGTTGTCAAACTCGTAGAGGATCGACTATCTGGATCGCACCAAAATTCCCAAGCGCGGCTATCTCTGCTCCTACCCATGTTCGACGAGGTCCGGGGCATCTTAGGACTCGGCTCGCCTCGTGCAGCAGCAGCTAATCGCTCATTCAAGCCAGCTGCACTATAGCTCCTCCGAAGACCGGCAGCAGCACGGGAGAAGTTAGACGGGTTGGTCTTCGCATGGGGCGGCGAAGGGGTCTTGTCGAGGTCTGTGACAATGCGGGCTGTGCCGTCTTCATTAGTAGATATGCGTACAAAGGAGTGTGCGCGTTTTAACGGGCGCGAGGCAGACGTGGCCGTCTCGGGCGACTCGGCTGGTTTTGAAGGAGCATTGGGGAAAGTGATGACTTCGGACGCGTAGTCCTCGCTATATCGTACAAAGGATGCACTTCGACGGTTCGATATCCAAGATGTGCGTGGCTGTGCAGTACCTTGGGAAGACGGTGCAGTGTGGGGATGGCTCGGCTCGGTTGGCGCGCTGTCGGCGGTTTGAGATGCAGTACATGGTTCGACTACTGCTTCAGCCGTGACGTGAACATTGGACTTGGCGGACTCGGTAGCCTCTTGAGTAGGCGACTCTTGTACGGTTTCGTCTGAAGTGAGTTCAGGTGTCGCCGCTTGCTCTGGTGGGTCGGACTTGGGACATTCATCCGGCTCATTTTGGTCTAACGCGTTCCCGATATCACGCGCTACCGTCTCGTCTTCAGTTGGTGGGTCAGACATGGTAGATGAGGAAGACATGAGCGACGCGTTCGACGAGCAATCAAGAGGCCGCGATCGACGGCGGTCGTTCTGGCGTTTATCTGAGGAACGGGGTGTTAGAAAATATAACAAAAGTAGGAAACCGTGCGTCGAGTGATGGACGTGTTCAAGCCTTTGCGAGACTGCGAGTCGAATTACTTACTCTGAAACCAAATCTAAAAGAGGGAATGGAAGTTAGCGACGTCGCGCACACGTGTGACGTGGAATGATATGCTTGGACGCACCTGCACTTCTTTTTCGCCAAGGGCGACTTTGCGTACTATCTCTAGGCGAGCGGCCTTGTCTGGCTTTGGGTTGTTTAAATATTCAGCTTTTAGAACGTCTTCGTCTTCTTTGCTGCAAGATGTCGTGGTCAGCGATGGATGATGCGAGGTTGCGTGGTGGCTTGTCGCGGGGTAAGCCGAGAGACGGCGCGGCGCGAGGGCACGTTCCAGCGCGTCGACCGCGGTCAACAGCATGGTTGGGATGGGAGAAGCAACACGAAGAGATGGAAAGAATCAGCCTACCTGGTTCGTCGTCGCTTTTGTCGAGCGAGGGCCTTGTTGTCGACATCTGGAGGCATGTGGTTTGCTACGGTTTCGGGCGAATGCACCAGGAAAGCCAGTTGCGCTGTGGGACTTGGGCGTGTGGCATTCGCGGCGCGCGATGACGCAGGTGACGACGAGGGTAATGGCGACGAGGTGGACATTGTGGACTGGGCCAAATAGAAACAGACAACCGATTTCAGACAGTGAGCGAAGGGGGTGGGGATGGATTGGCAGGGGAGAGAGAGGGTCAGAGGGAAGAAGGGCTTCGAATGAATATGGTGGCAGGGAAGTGTTGTGAGGCGCGTCTTCACCATCGCGTATCGAATGGTCCGAGCAGAGCAGCCCAGCCTATGTCGTGCAGACGCCTTGCCCTAAGAGTGAACCCCGAGTCTGTGCATTTTTCACCTCATCTCACGCCCTGGTTTACATGCCTCTGATTTACATCCTCTTACATGCACTCGCAAGGTCACTGTCCTTTTGCCAGCTTCGGTTTCGGGGAGGAGGGGGGGAGGGAGTTCGTGAAGAAGAAGAGAAAAAAAACTTCGAGGCCTCATGCATGCACCCACCCATGACTTTGTTCCCGTCACACGCTCGAGCATATTGGATGCATGAGCTTGTCGCACAGCATGCAGCGACGCGTCTCCACACAATGAAGCGGCTGCCTGCTGTCGACCGAGCACCTCCGTCTGAACATGAACACGAGCATGAACCCGTCGAGTTATACGCGTCGAGACATGTAGGAATACACCTCGCACTGAAGTAGCTTCTTATAACTTGCCAGTGCCATCTTTCCACTGTGATGCTGCTGTTGTCGAGGGAGACGCGTCGGCACGTGAGGCGCTAACTTGATCAGTCACCGCCGCGCCTCCACCTTGCGCCCGCAGCTCCTCCATCGGGACTTTGCGGCACCGAACATCACACCCTCACAGACATGTAGTTTTTTAGTTTTTTAGTTTTCCAACGCCATGAGTATGGAAGCACCCAGTCCCATTGTTGCTAAAAGGCAACGCTTTAGGCAGCGACCTGACGCGACCCGCTACTGCGAGCACCTCGATTCCAGCCTCTGGTTTGTCACTCTTGGCATACTTCACCGTAAGACGAGCTGAGAGTCGCCTTCCTGCGCGCGGTACTCCCTCCCCACACTCGCGCAAACTTGCTTGTCCTCCTCAGCATCTGACCTGATCTCTTGCCTATCTTTGCGCCAGTCGACCCGCCCATTGTCCGTTTCTCCTACCTGCAGCTGAACCCCACCGCTACCGGTGAACATGGCCAACCCAAGGCAGAAATTCCCCAAATCACAAGAGCTAGAACCAGACGTTTCCAAACACTTTTTCATGTGTCAGAGCCGCAATCCTTCTGCCTGAACCGAACCTGGATCCCCCGCTGTTGCGCCCCAAGCATTACTAAGTGCTGTTTCAAACCCAACTACAGAGTCCGGAAAAGAAACCGTAACATGGCCTAGGGTCCCTCAACCTACGTGACAGACAGGGTCGCTTCCATCCAAGCGTTCCCTCTATTCGCAAATGGAACCAATTGTAGTTCCTTGGAAGCCATCGGCAGGCCTTGTGATACCCATCCAAGTGTCACCGGTTTTGGCCCCATTTTCCTTTCTTGTCATTTCATAACGGCTCCCAAGATTGATTGGTGACCATGTCCCCCAGAAATTTCCAGGTTCCCATAGCATTCCTCTCGGCCAGCCTTGCAAGGCTAATGGTCTCGACCGCCACCACATCATTGATATGCCCACAGGCCTCTTGCACCGAACGCTTTGTACGAGGCCCCAACCGACAGGTTCCTTATTCTGCGTCCGAGGCAGTGGTTTAAGTCTGGCTCAACAACCACGCTCGTTTTCCTTTGCATAGGCTCTGCCGATAAAAAGTTTACAATCCATGAACATCTTGCGTACGACTCCACACTAACATGTTCCAAGAGGCCGCCTATGACTCTATAGTCTCGGACTTTTTCTCTCATTGGACGGTAATCAGTTCCACGCGACGTGCTCAACCATCGAATCTATTCGACCCTCATTCGTGGACACAACAAAGCTCTTTCATTGTTTTGATTTTAGTGCTCTCATGGGGTACAGTGTTTAGGCATCGATTCCTCTGTTGTCGCGGCCTACCCCACGTCCACATCGAGCGTTTCTCTGTTTCGCGAATGTCCGTTGTACAGCCAAGGGTTATAGGGCGCCCTCATTCCTATTTGGATAGCGAATCAGCTCTCCAACATGGGCTGTAGCATCGATCATCGGAGCGGAAGAGGCACTCAAACAAGGCAACCACACGGAGCTGCGCTCTTAGCTCTCTATTAAGTCCTGCTTCGCTCACATCCGAGTACCCTTGGACGTTGCAAAAGACGGTGGCAGCCGGTCGTCTCTCGTACGAGCGCTAGATCCAACTAGAAGTTTTATTCTCTGTAATAGCATCGCGTACGCTACGTAGCACTTTACTGCATTGTCATTGGTAAGATTGACGTGTTTTCTACGACATGCCATCATGTTTTGAAAGCAACCGTCCGTTTTGAATAGCATAGAATGGGCCCCACGAACTTCACAGGCCAGCCCCTGAGGGTTCGTGCGCCCTTCACCGTCCTCGAATTCAGTTCCATCTCCGTGAGTCACGGGTATTGATATCTTTGTTGCGGTCAGGGGCTTACGAGTACGCCCTTGGAGCCCAACTCATCGCCCGAGCTGGCTACGGAGTAGTAAAAAGGCACGGGGTCGTCCTCTTTTCCCCGACATCTCTCAAGTCTCCCCCAAACTATCAAGCAGCAAACAGGCAATGTCCAACATGCGCGTCGCTGTAGCAGGTAAGAATCTCATGCATGTAACTAAGTATGACACATACACTGACTTATTCCTTCCCAGGCACCTGCGGGCTAGCGCTTTCGATAGCAAGGGAAATTCACAATTCCACAAGCCACCAACTTGTCATACTGTCAAGAACAGTAAGTGCCCGTCAATAGCTTATATCTCCAACTCGGGACTGTACTAAGGTGCCATAGCATCAAACGGGTCTTATATCGCAAGGATATCAGTGTCAAGTCGTCGACTATAACAACCCGTCTTCCCTTCAACATGCGCTCATGGGCGTTGACACTGTCATCTCCACAGTAACAGGCAACTCTCAACTGCGGCTCATCGAAGCAGCCGTACAGAAGCGAGTGCGCCGTTTCGCGCCAGCTGAGTTTGAAGGCCAGCCAGGACTGCGAGCTCAAAACGACGTGCTCGACCGCGGCAGGGATGCAGCTATGGCCTTGCTACATTATTACAAGGGTTACATACAGTACACTGTGTTTGTCTGCGGTATACTGTATGAGAGGTTTGCTGTCAACGGGATGATATCTCATCGGATCGGCGCCAGTACCGGATTTGGCAGCGAAGGAGACTACATCGCTGATGCCCGGAGCATGACCGCAATAGCACCCAGCTGGGACGCTGGACAGAACCTGGCGTGTCTGTGCTTGACTTCCGCGTACGACGTTGCCCAATTCGTCGTCAGGTCTTTGGATATGCCTACTTGGGCACCAGAGATGTCCATGTGTGGCGAGAGGATGACCGTCAGTACTCTCGTGGAGACCATCAGAGCTTGTAGAAGTATATTCGCCGTAGCAATATTCAACCAGGCTCTTCAGCTAACATTGCACCAGATCGACCATGGAATAGTATCGTACATCAAGATCCTGCAAGTATGTTTTCCACCTTGAAACAGTCGAAGTAGGCGATTAACTCAATTCATAGACCTTCAGTATCAAATGCAGGCAGCGCTTACCGAAGGCGACACCGCACAACACCGACGCCTCTCTCCGCTTCTCGCCACAGCAGAGGGCCGTTACGACTTCGCTGTTCCAGCATATCTCAACTCCGTTTACCCAGACATAACGCCAACCCCTTTCCGAGCTTGGTTCCTGCGCAACTGGGCTTCGGTGCCTTGATCTATTACCAGGCGCTCGACATGCTTCAACGATGCCTTGCACCAAAGCTGCTGAATACTCTTGATACATGCACTCACTCAGTGCACCAAATTGTGGGCTCTGCGGCGTCGATTAAGCACACGTACACCAGGCGTTCATCGTTTCTTTCTTATTTTTTTATGGGATGGGTTTACATATAGTAACCACGGCCTTTAGGGGAATAGAATTTGTAATACGTAGCTGCACACAGAATGGAAGCACTTTTATCTTTGATGTCACATTCAAGTCAATTCTTTTCGTTTTACTAACTCTGGTGCTGCATGTGCTGACAGATTAGGACTTACAGCAACATGCCCCCGCAGCTCAGGGCCTCACCCTTCCAAAGCACGAGCCAACTTTAGTACGTTACTATTGACCATTTCTGCAGATCACTAAGCATATCCCTGTGTAATGACGCTTGCGTCCACTTTAAGGGTTCACGAGCATCCTCGTAAAGGTGTGCGTTGTTTTGACGTCACAGTGTGGCGAAGAATCCGCATGACATAAATATCGCAAAACATCATCGAAAAGTATGTTCAGCATCAACGAACATCAGAATCCAAACACATAAGATATATCATCTCGACTTCAAACCAAAAATGTAAGTATCACCGAGGTTCACGCTCATACGCTAGTCTCTTTCGTAGCTTCAAGGACGCTAACATCGGCAACAGTTTCCATCACACCTAAACATCACAATGGTCTCCTCGCAAACCATCGACGAGCGCAAAGCCAACCTGCCGCTCCCCGAGCAACCGCCCGTGGCTTCAGATTTCAACTCAGCCGATGAGCGCACCGTCAACGTCGGCTCTGGTGCTGTTGGACCTGACATCTCGTCCGGTAACAGCAAGGGAGGGAGAGAAGGTCATGATGGCTTGAGTGGCATTCCTAATGATGCGGTTACGCGCGATCAGAAGCATCACAAGGGGCTTGAGGATACGACGGGTAAGGACTTTGGATATCCGGCCAAGAACGATCCTAGCGCTGGGGTTAAGGAGTAGGGTATTGAAGAGATTCAATGAGGGAAATGCAGGGTTATGCGCCGTTTGGGATACGCTGAGTTTCCTCGAGATGTATGTGTGTCTTACTTATGGGTATTGGAACGGTTATATGTTGATTGTAGGAATTACCGGTCTTGGATGGCTGTGTATGAATTGGACGACTGTATGACAATATATCATAAACATCCTATCTTGCAGTGTGTTTGAATGCTGAGATTTGTCTTCGCTTTTGTAAGTTTCTTTTGTGCAGCATATGAAGGGTGCATACAATTGGTGGTGAGGTTCTAATTGATTTGCCACTCCGAACCTCAATACCAATACCGCCTCATCGTACCTGTACTGCACGGGTCCTGTGTTTTATTCTAACTTTGATGTTTCTCGTTTGAGTATTTACCCCAGTTTTTCGGATATTAGATACCTCTAGCGGGGCTGTCGGTTAGGGATTGGATGGATGGATTGACGTCACAAATAGAGCATCAGTCAACATCCATGCATGACGCAACGCCACGCCATATGTTACGCCATGTGAGGAGCATACATTAAGGCGATAGGTACTCTGGATCACTACTGCAATAACACAAACATCTTGTTCATATCCAATCGTGATACTCACTCACGTCTCGAAGTAGCTCAAATACAACCCCGAACATATCGCTAATATGCCTACTCATCATGGACAGAAGGTATGCGTTACGTCTTACCCTATTCACGCAAATAGTAACTCTGCGATGCCCTCTCTCAAATACAATTGCAACAGCAGGACATCTCACTAACCTCATCTCTACAGGTCACCACCGACCCCGAGTCAACCCGAAACCCCATTCAAGAGGGCGTCGGCACCGTGACATCTGACTCCCTAGCCGCCGACTCCATCAACGAAGGCGGCTCATTCGGCAAGGGCAACCCCAAAGCCGCAGCATCAAAGCAGCCCTCCTCGTCCACGACGACAAACACTACTGACACGTCGAACGCAAAGACGCTCGACCCCGCTATCGATGCGCACTCACGCGAAGCACAGGAGGGATGGAGCGAGGAAAAATCCTACCAGTCCGCCAAAGGGCTCGGTAAGGAAAGCGGCGTAGGTCCCACGTACAACTCCACCGGCTCGGGCGTCAACAGCGCTGGTGACAAGCGGGGCGTGTCGACGGGCACATCTGATGGGTTTGACGGCGTTCAGGGTAACATTGCGCCTGCCGGTGTGTATGCGAAGCAGGACCTCGACTCCGGCGTGTACAAGCCTAAAGGGAAGAATGTCACAGAGGATAAGGAACTCAAGGGTAACAGCAAGTTCGCCGAAATTGGGTCCAAGGACGATCCGGCGAGGGCGGCGGAATTGGCGTTTGCGAAGAGAGATGCTGCTGCTTCTGGCGCGGGGTCGAATGGAGATATTGCGCAGGGAGGGGAGTCGAAGTTTAGTGGGTTGCAGGATGAGAGTGCGTAGGGGTTGATGTGATTAGTAGGGCCGTGTACCTTGGGTGATTACAATGGGCATTTGGCATATATTGAATTATTTCGCATACTGGTGTGCGCTATTTTCCTGAGTATCACTACCTATCGTGAGTATAAAGGAAGAGAGTGAGAGTGTAGAGCACGTGGCGGACCTTCCCAAAACAGCCTCTTCCGCGGGCACGGACGGCAGCCGCAGCCGTACCGCAACTCAAGGTGGCCTTTCGCGATAGGTGAGCCTCGCATAACTCCAACTATCCAACGTCGCTCTTTCACCTCCCAACGCACTCCATTCTCCCGCGGATTCACGCCTTTTCAAGTCGTGCTTGGGTCTCTAGTACCCGCAGTGCGCGATTGAGTGCCCAAGATGAATGGTTATGGGGATCATGGCGGCAGCGAGGATGCGTTTGGTCCTGCGAAGGGTGGGATCGTGTCGAGTTTCGATGCTTTTCGTAAGTGTACTTCGCGTTCAAAGAATCAACTGCGCACTTTCAACCGTGCTATAGATTTCAAACTAACAGCTATATAGCTAAAACCAAGAAGACGTACCTCGTTCAGGGTCGCAATTCCTCCGCCTGGACTGTGACGCTCATCCTCACATGCATCTACCTCTCCTGGTCCGAGATATCGCGCTGGTTCGCCGGTACAACCATGCAGTCCTTCTCCGTCGAGAAAGGCGTGTCACACGATATGCAGATCAATCTCGACATTATTATCGCCATGCACTGTGCCGACCTGCACGTCAATATGCAAGACGCGGCTGGTGACCGCACGCTAGCCGGTGACCTACTCCGTAAAGACCCCACCGCCTGGGCGCATTGGACAGGCAAGAACATGGAAAAGGGAGTTCATGAGCTGGGCAAGGGGGATAGTGCGCCGGCTTGGGAGGAGCTCGGGGATGTGCATGAGCAGCTGGGGAAGGCACGGAGGAAGAAGTTCAGTAAAACACCGAGGGTTAGGGGCGCAACGGATAGTTGTAGGATCTTCGGCAGCTTGGATGGCAACAAAGTCCAGGGTGATTTCCACATCACTGCGCGAGGCCACGGATACATGGAATTTGGGGAGCACTTGGACCATTCCAGTAAGTCTGCAGCATGAAGTGGAGAGTAGCTCCAGGACGAAGAGACCGCTAACTTTCCTTCCAGCGTTCAACTTCTCCCACATCATCCGCGAAATGTCTTTTGGCCCCTACTACCCCTCCCTCACCAACCCGCTCGACGATACCATTGCTGTAACCCCCACCCCGGACGACCACTTCTACAAATTCCAGTACTATCTTTCCATCGTGCCGACCATCTACACCGATGATTCGTCCCTCATTCCTCTCCTCGACTCCGTGAACCGAAACCCAAAGAATCACCCTGCTTCATCCATTTTCCACACCACGCACGCCATCAAAACGAACCAATACGCCGTGACTAGTCAGAGCCACACGGTTCCGGAAAACTATGTCCCCGGCGTTTTCGTCAAGTTTGACATCGAACCGATCATGCTGAGTGTGGTGGAGGAGTGGGGTGGTTTCTGGCGACTAATCGTTCGTCTTGTGAATGTTATTTCGGGTGTCATGGTGGCCGGCGGATGGGCGTGGCAGATGTATGACTGGAGCCTGGAAGTCTGGGGCAGGAGGCAGAGGAACAGAGGTGCGGATATGGGCATGTTGGGAACGCCAGGGCAAGAGAAGAAATCCTGGGACTAAGTTACTCTATGCAAGCTCGAGAGTGGAGGGGTAGCGAACAGCGGGGGGGCGATTATGGCATTTGCGGCGTTTTTATGGTTCCCATTTCATGTGGATATTTGGGTGGAGTTCCATATGGTAAAGTCTGATTAGAGTTCGTTTTCGACGGACTAGTGAGTATAGGTGCTATTTACATACCAATATCTTTTCACAGTTGCCCGTTTTCTGCAACAATGGGTCTTGTAGGTGGGATAACCTCGCTTCACCATGTTCAGCTCTTTCTTGCCACGGCACATTCGAGTACCGAGAACTCTCGTATGTCTGAAAAATCTAAACAGTCTATCGCAGAATATCCATGGAAGAAAGCCTATCCCAGCGAGGACAGACTATCAGCGACACAAATGAGACTCTTGTGAAGAAATGAAAACACTAATGGAGAACGCAAGAAGTACGGAGCGAGATAGGAAAAGCAAGCTCAATCCCGCAGGCCCATCTCAACAACACGTAAACCTATCTTGATATTGAAATAGCCGTGGATCTATCCAAAGTTAACAGACGTAGCAGCAATGGGTAGATGCGTTGTAGAATACCTTGACTAGCGGACAGTATTGTTGAAAGTAAGTGTATTTCACCAAAGAGATCTATGAAAGCAAATGCAGAAGTACAGCAAAGCAACACAGAGAAACAAGGAAACAAAAGCAACTATGTAGAACGCGGAAATACAAGCAAACAAAGACCAAAGTATCAAAAAAAGCGTAGACAAATGGAAACCGGGGCCGTAAAGTCGTCAGGTCCGCAATTTCCATCACCTCCAGCCATCCAATCTCCATTTCACTTACTCTCCTCCCGATCCTACTCCTCTCACATCCAGTACATGGTACGTCGCCAGTTCTCGAACCTTATCCGGCCACCTGAGTGGTCTTTCACAACTTGAGCCGGGGATTGGTCCCATCTGGCCTGGATCCCGTCCCTCATCCAATTCGCCATATGCTTGATGACGTTCTCTGCATCCTCCTTGTCTTCCTTGATCTCTTCAACAGTCTTTCTCTGGTTCTTGCCACGTTGTGGGCGCTTGCGCTCGGTCTCAACCAACTCCTCGACTTTCTTGCGATGTGTGTCGTAGTCTCCACGGTGCTGGTTGTCGGGATTGTACCAGGCGCGTAGGTAGCAGCGTCCGCGTTCACATAGGCGGTCGGCGTAGTAGGCGGGCGAGGCGTAGGATACGCCCAATGTAGCTCGGACATAGGTATGACAGAGATTATGCGTCTAGAAGGTATTAGTACGTGCCCATAAGGGTTTTGTGGCTTGAAGAGTCTTACCAGGTCTTGTAACTCGTCTGTTGTCATCTCCATTTCGTTCCGCAGCACAAAGTAGTGGCAAGGCCGCGCAGTACCCTTGATGCCATTGTGTGATTGCAGATAAAAGTCGGCGAAGTAAGGTGAAGTAATCACATTGTCCACGAGGAGTCCTGGTTTGCAGTTGCTGTTGTGGTTCATCGCGTCTTTTTCATAGCGGGGGAAGAAGCGAGTGCTATGTCGCTTGGTAACAATCACCGCCGTCGTCTTGAATCTGGGCACCTGTTCCATATTTAGCTGTGTAGCGAGGGCAGCGAAGGCCTTTTGAATTGTTGAAACTTCTTTATCAATGACTTCGTCATACTGGCTCGTGCTCACACCATCGCGATAATACAGTACGTTCTTCGGAAATGTCCGGTGGAGTCTGTGCCAGTCTCGAAGAAGATCAAGTATAAGCTCTCCGAAGTTCATGATGATCTAATGCTGTTAGTGATTCTCTCTAGTAGTTTTATGAAAAGCTCACCTCTTGCTTTGCGGGTTGCAATTGAAGCTTGCCACGAAATCTTCCACCGCTAGGTTCAAGTGAACCGACAACAGCTGCGATAGATGGACTACCCTGGAGCGCCCCGCTTCCTGGATGGGTTACATCGGCCCCGAGAACAAGCGTGTTAGACAGCCATCGTTGTACGCCTTGCGCGGAGTGATTGATTCCAGCCATCTTTAGATTGGCCTTCATGGCAACATTTGCCAGGTACTGTTGAAGATGGTGTGTGTTGTTCCAATTACCCCCTCTGGGTTGGAGATTGGCTTCCGTAATACAGATCGACTGTAGGACGAAGACCTTATCTGTGAGATACTTGAAATTGGAATAGAAGTTCTGGTCTTTAGCCTTGACAAGCAAGACCACAATATCCGGTATCCTATTGTTCTTGTCCTGGAGGTATCGTTGAAGGGTTTGGTGCAAGGTTTGCTCCCTGCTGTCGTTCAATGTGAGTGGAGCACCCATTTTATAGGCTTGGGTGCATACTCCGGTCACTTGTAGCTGTGCATTGAAATGCTTCGATAGGGCATTCACTGAATTGCCGTTAGGATGAACACCTGGTCCAGTGATCAGTTTCCAGTACAAATGCTCGACCTTCTTGACGAGAAATCTGGTGTTCATGAGATCCCATCTTCCTGAGTTCGAGTTAGGGTTCTTGCCAGCTGCCGGCGACGAATACATGATCGTTGAGTACGGTAGTTGAATAGAGGGTATCTGAAGCATGATTGGGTTTAGCCGTATCGGAAGACATTTAGCGAGCTGGTTTTGTGCGTTTGTCTGGATGTGAGCGAGGCCTTCCTGTTCGATACGAGATCGTATTTCCATGGGAGGGCGACAGGCCTGTCGATGGAAAGTATTTGCAACATAATCTGGAATGATCTTCGCATAAATTTGATCTGGGATGATACGAAGGTCTTCAGGTGCAATCCAGATTTTTCGCAAGGCCGTGCCCACGTTCACCGCTGGCGAGCTAGGAAATTGGAGGACCCGACCGTACTCTGTTTCAATTGTTAGTAATACGCGGACCGAATATATACTTGCACTTACGCGCTTGCTGGTACTGTTGCACAGTAACATCAGTAGTATGAGCCGGAATGACGACGCCGTCAACATCCTTGTGCTCCCACTCAAACTTTTCGACATTGCATGCCAACCCGAAACCCTGGATCGTCTTAATTCTGAAGTGTTGAGCGTTCATACTAGAACTCTGCGATTTAGCGTCCTTGCTTTTGGCACCCCTGCAATTGGAATTTTTGCAATTGGGATGCTTGCACTTAGTGTCGTTCCCATCGCGAGCGTAATTGACATAGACACGTACGTTTTTAAGGGCTCTCTTGACATTGTCGAGAGAACCCCCAAATGGCCCGCTGCCGTTTTGTAGAACCTCGCTAACTAGTAAAGGCCTCCAGAACGCGCTATTTGCCGGACTGACATTGAGAAGGATATTTCCGATTGTGGGTTTGACTCTGTACGAGTATCCTCTCATGGCACGGAGAGGGGCGATAGCATTGCGTTCGTTCGTTCGTAGATCGAAGAAAGAATCGCGGACGTAGAACTTGTGGTTGTTGAGGTGCAAGGTGTTATTGTTGTCGATACACTTGGTCATGATGGTGTTCATGGCATTCTCTGCTGCGCTTGGATCATAACTGGCTGGGGTGGGATGATTCCTCTCGGCGTAGTTCTGAAGCCCCACAATGTCGACCTGTCGAAGGTATTGGAGGTTGAGATACGCAGTGGTGCTTCTATCAACTACATCAATGAGTCGCCATTCAGCTCCGACCCCGGTATTGGTGGCTCCGGGCACTACACGTGGACCTGGCGCGTGCTGGTGCAGATCAACCCAAGAGATGATGGTGCCGATGTTGTCGGTAGCAAAGTTGTTCTGATTGTTTCTCAGGAACGGCACTGCCTGAACAGCGGTCGCCATGTAGCGCTTTCTGCCGGCGCGTGACTCTGACTCCGGAATGTTCAGAATCTGATACTCGTAAAAGACAGTTTTCGGATCAATGGAGACTTTGAAGTAGTTCGCAAGCACTTCGTTCTTGTTCGTCATGGCCCGGAGTCCTGTCCTGACTGGATACTTGAGGTTACCCTCATAACTTGACAGCTTTGAGGCAAGTCCTGGATTGACGGCCACTGTGTTCCCAGCTGTATACGTAGAAGCGTGTGGAGTAGGGGCAGAGCGTTGAAGTTCGGCAAAGCTAATTGCTGGCGCGTCCAAAAGGGTTGTGAGAGGAACAGCTGCAGCGAGAGGCGGAGCCTGTTGGCCACCGCCTGGGGGACGTTGGTTGTTGTTCTGACCACTCATCTTCGTGAAAATAGAAGATCAGATCTGAAGCTGTGTGAGAGTTTCTCTTCCACGATTCTATACGTAGATATACAACATTAGAAGGTGCGAAGTTTGCTTGATGTAAATCTCGCTTGTCCAGAAACTACAATTGTTAACATATGATGCTGTTCACAGAAGAATGGAACAATTGTTAACTTCCTAAGAAACCTTCAGAAACAATCTGATTAGACTGGGGAAACATGTATTCGCAGGTCCCATAGATTGACAAGCCATTATCACTCTAAGGAGGCCTTCCGTTGATTATTAGCAATCATCGTAGGTTGGAAATAGATGATGAGTAGGCGAACCTTTGCCGTTTCTTGGAGTGATTTTACATGCTTGATAATTCCACGTAGTATTCGCACTACTCCGCGCGTGAGGGAAACAGCGCAGTTAGAAGGCAACATCTTCGAAGCAAGATGGATGCTATTTGCGGGCTCAAATCGGTGACGACTCAATAAGCAAGAAACCGGCTTTACATCTGAGAACAGTGGTTTCCTTGAAAGTTAGCAGCTGTACTTTGCAAACGGGTTGAAGGTCGGAATGCGACTCACCTGCTTAGTGGCTTGATCCCTTACGCTCGCAAATGAGGTATCCGTGGGTATTGTGCTCCTTGTTGCTTGCGCAGAAGAAGTAACACTTCAATAGAACTAACGACTGGAAGGGAAGTGGCTGACCTGACAGGTGGGAGTAAAGTTGGTGCGTGTGACAAGAGACCAAGGCAACAGCGGCCTGAGTGACGGAATTGAATTTTGCTTGAGGCTCAAGAAGACGTGAGATGTGGAAGCAACATTGATAAAAACGATGTAAGAAGCGTGAGACGAGAACATGTTGATGTCAATAATGACGATTACCAGCTGTGAAAAACCGCGCATACCGGAAAGGAACAATACGACGAACAACAAGTCCTGCGCAGAACCCACTACGTACTTAATTCTCATCCCAGTCGCACAAACCCCTTCCTAATCTCTTTGACGTGGTATATCTACATCCAAAACATAGTCTTTCCGATCGCATCCTTCCAAGGATTACGCACTATGTCCGATCCGTAGAACGTCGCTTTCGCGCTCTCAAATGTGTTTCTCTTGACTACCATCTCTGCTCTATCACGGTCTGTCTCCTCTTGCTTCTTCTCTTCTGCAGACTTGACTACCATGCCCATGCTGTCGGTTGTTCGTTCGCCCCTGAACTTAGTCTCGCGCTCGGCTTTGATCTCCTGTTCTACATTGAACCGCATTTTCTTGTGCCTGTTGGCGAAGTCCTGTGAAGGGGCAAGGAAGGGGCGGAGATAGCATCTATCCATTATTAGCGCTGAGTAGATGACTATAGGGAACTAGTATCTCTGTGGAACTTACCGGCCGCGCTCACAGAGACGATCTGCGTAGTACGCGGGAGGAGCATAAGAGACGCCCATAGTTGCGCGAACATACGTGTAACAGAGTTGGTGAGTCTATTATGATACGTCAGCCGTGAAACATTGATAGAGGGGTAGTTTAGAGAGCCCGAGTAGGAAAGGCATGGATAGCGGAGGAGTAACTCACGAATTCTTGCAATTCCTTCTCCGTTTTGCCCATCTCATTCTCCAGGACAAAGTAATGAGCCGGCTTCGCTGTGCCTTTGAGTCCGTCATGCGATTGGAGGTAGAAATCCTGGAAATATGGCGAGGTGACAACGGTGTCAACGAGAGTGCCCGGCTTGCAATTGCCGTTCTTCGACATGGCATCCTTTGCGTCATTCGATGGAGGGAGGAAGCGTACATGATGGCGCTTCGCGACCACGATAGCCGTGAGCTTGAACTTCGGGACTATCATCATGTTGGCCTGTTTTGCGGCTGCTGCGAACGCTTTGCGAATCTGAGGGAGTTCATTCTCCCTGACCTGAGAGTATTGCTTTGAGGGTTAGTGTGCATTTTCAACTAGGAAAAGTAGGATACGTACCGAAGAGCTCACGCCATCTCGGTAGTAGAGGATGTTCTTGGGCAGGGTCTTGTTGACGGAGACCCAAGCCTTGATGCGCTCAAGTACCATGTCTTCGACGTCTTTGATATCCTCGCATGCTGTGTCTCTTGGTTGAAGGCGCATTGATCCAAGGAACTTCCCTCCAAGTTGATCGACAGAACCAACTATGGCTGCGATCGATGGCGTTCCTTGAAGCGAGCCTGGACCGGGGTGGGTGACATCACTATTGCCTCTTATTAGCAGATCTTTGGGCGGATCCAACAGAGAGACTACTTACGCTCCGAGGACTAGAGTGTCCTTCATTATTTCCGCGACCTTCGTAACAGTGTGATTGACACCGCCAGCCTTGAGATTGATCTTCATCATCACGTTCCCCCAGTATTGGTCACCAAATGGTCTCCCTGTTCTATCCTCTTTGTAGACGGCGCAAAGAGAGTGCATATCATAGGTGCGATCTGCCAGGTCCTTGAAAATCGAGTACGCCGTTGTGCTCTTGGCCTCCAAAAGCAGGAGAACGAGGTTGGCGCCTTTGTCTTTCGCCATGGCCATGACCTTTTGAGCAATCTGAGGCTGGGCAAATGGGGGGCATGTAGTGTCTCCGACATATGTGAACTTTCCAGTGGCATAGGTGTGCTGCGCGGCTGTGGAAAAACCCTTCCAAACCTGTTGCAAGACGGCAGGCTGGCTCTGCAGCTTGGACCTGCCACCATCGCGAGGGACAACGACCATGAAGACTTTGAATGGCGTTTGAGCGCTAGCTTGTAAGAACTTGCGGCCCATCAGGTTCCATTTTGAATCCCTTGCGTCTCTCGGGTTACTCCAATTCACAATTCCGTTGCCATAGTTTGGTGTCGGGTATGGCAAGATAGCTGCAGGGATTTGAAGCATGCGCGAATCGATCATGATAGGAGGACAGGCAGACTGGTACCGGTTAGTGACTTCCGAGATATTGAAATTTATGCGTCACTGAGTTGGAAATCAAGAGATGTAGACTCACAAACCGGGCGAAACCGGGCGAAGAGCTGAGACCCAATTTCCGTAGACCCTCGTGCTCGATGAGTGCTCGGGTGTCTTTCGGGGGGTGGCAAGCAATATCAAGCATATCCTTGGTCAAACCGTCGGGTACTTTGCGCTTGTAGATCTGATATGGGAGGATCTGGAGGACCTCTGCAGGATACCAGAGAGGTTTTAGCTTCGTGCCGCAATTGATAGCCGGTAGCTGAGGATACTGTAGCGTCTTTTTGTAGGTTTTCTGAAAGTACTGCTGAACGGTCGGCTTCTCATCCGGCTTGCCGTCTCGGCCCTTATGATTGAATGTCTGTCGGAGACACGGGAGCCCGGTCTCTTCGATCGTCTTCATGTAGGCCTCAATTGTGGCAGCTCGGGATCTTGCTTCCACGCCACTGTGCTTGGGATCGTATGTTAAATGCACCCTCAGGCCTCGCAACACTGATAAGCGCTCCTCTTGGTCCCTGATTGTGTTGTTGTCAAGTAGAAACTTACTGACGAGCACAGGTTGATAGAAGGCGCTTGTGCATGCGTTAAGATTGAGCAGAATCTGGCCCATACCCGGTTTAATCGAGTAAAAGTATCCTCGCATCGTACAGAGAGAGTCGCCAAGACGAGTATGACCTCCCGTAACGAAGAACTTGTTAGCTTTCAGAGAAAAGGAGTCTCGACTGAGAGCCTTGGAGATGACCATATTCAAGGCTTCATTGACCGATAAGATCTTATCGTTGACGGCCTGCTCTAAATTAACATGCCGATATCAGGTAGGGATAGATCCTCATTGGTGTTTGCAGATCTTGGATTAATACATACCTTATTCGGCTGGGCCTTGCCCTCAGCATACTGTTTGAGAAGAGCCGTGTTCACTTCACCCTTCCTCTGAAGCTGCAGGATGACAAGTTCCTTGCCCTCCTCCGAAGATACAGATACAGGTGCCAAAGTCGTGTCGGGTAAATTGACCCACGAAACAAGGGTCTTACAATGATCTGTTGCGAACTCGTCCTGGTGATTCCTCAGGAAGTCAAGTTTGTTGATCATTTCTCGTACCAGGATTTTAGCAGTCTTCTTGCCGAGCTTTCCTGGCAGCCCCTTGATCTCATACTCATACAACGGCATATTAGGATCGAGCTTGATGGCGAAATGGTTGGTGTAGACCGTCGTGTTTGAGTTGTAGAACGCTTTGCGAAGGGGGAACTCCGCTTGTAAACCTGGAATGCGGGGGCCTGAAAGAGCCTTGTCGAGCGATTGAGAGTCGATGCGATTGCCGGGTATGGGGTTGCTCTTGGGTACGGGTTCAGGGTTTGCCATGTCGAGGGGACTGTCATCGACAGCGACCCTGGTTGACTGAGACGTGCCGAGGGATAAGGTCGACATGTCTGGTAGCGAGGGTCCGTCTACTCACCATAAGCTATGCTCGAAGCACTTTCGCGATGTGAAACTTACTAAGAGTTGAGTGATAACCGCTAGGGGGTCCTTCTGTGCATGTGTTAGCTATGCTGCGCGCATTTGGCGATACTGAGCATACTTGGAGGGCCGCCACGGCCACCCCTTCCTCCTCCTCTAGGAGCACCGCTGCTACCACCCCTTCCTCGATAGTTCCCACCGCGCTGCGACATATCCTGTCTTCTAGACGTCTTCCGAACAAAAGTTGAGTAAGTAGATGATGTATCGTCCCTATAGCGTCGGGACCGGCTGTGGATGTGTGCTGTATGTCCTATCTGACAGCATCAGCAGGCTGACATATATGTACTCCATGCTTGCTCCTAGAAGCCTCTGGATAGTGTTGTCTAAGACAGTGTGCTGGACAAACAAAACGAAACAATCTCACCTGTGAGACACAAACGATAGAATTGTCTAGTGGTACTGTTGTATGTGCGTGCAGCGGGGGATAGAATGTCTAGAATAGTATTGTGTTGAATGATGATATGCTGATGCGAAAGTGATTGTGTCGTGAAGCCCCCCAGCTCCAGTGTCAGAGGAAGGCTGGTGTTTGTCGACTGGGCGCACCTACCTCTCTAACTTCACCGGAACATTTCGACTTCCGCATGTTTTCAGAGGGGGCGGTGCGATCCGCACATACTACATCGCAACTTAGACACTCAAGCACTCAGAGAATACTCACAGTGTGGATGACTTTAAGGGGCGAATACGGTGAAAAAAACAGGCACTTGGCCAGACCTACACTCGTCAGCACGCGTCAATTGAAACTTTAGATGAGACAAGAGGAAGACAGAGAGAGGAGAAGAGCAGAATATTAAGACAACAAGTTCATACACGCCATATAATCATCTATCCGCTCAAAAAACACACCCCTCAATATCCCACACACACCGCCGCGCGCTATGAACAATGATTGTAGTCTGGACCAAGCGCAAATCTAACGAGTACATCCATGATACAGGAAGTCCAATCTGGAGGGGGTATCTCAGGTATCTCAATCCACACATGTGAATCAGAAAGAGAAGAAGCGAGAAGTGAAGTAAATAGCCATTAGTGGCTGGTATTAGAAGATCATATCAAGGCAATGAAGGGGCATTACGATAAGGGAACCGGGTATATGCAGGAAGCCAGAGCAAGTGATGGAGTGCATGCAGTCATACAGATCTCGGATGGAGGAGGTATCAGAGGCTTATTTGGCGCCAGCGGGTAGCTTGACGTTGTTTGAGAGCCATGCCTAATCATTGTTAGTAGATGTTGTGAGTCGGAAGAACAAATGAACTCACCAGTCCCTCAAAGATGCCCTCTCCCGTTGTCGCACAGCTGGGCTCGACTTTCCATACGTGGTCTTTCGCAATCTTGTCTAATTGCAGGCGATCCGAGACTTCCTTGGGTCGCATAGCTGCCGACATGTTAGCCTTCTATTGTCCCTCTTCTCTCACCAACTATACGGGTTGGGGGCAATTTATGCATACCTCCTTGCAAATCCTGCTTGTTTGCAAACACCAACAACAGCGCGTCCTTCATTTCCCTATCCTGGATGATGCGCGTAAGTTCTGTTCGGGCCTCGTCGATACGATCGCGGTCGTTTGAGTCGATGACGAAGATGAGACCTTGGGTTCCTGCACCATTTCGTTAGCACACATACGCCCCTTTTGGATACAGTGAGAAGGGAGTCTAGCGGGCAGGGAGAGCTTGATGCAGTGCATGCATGCTCGCCTACCCGGAACACTTCCCTCGCGCCTCAACATACCAGAAAAGTAGTGTCTCCATAGCGGCCTAATCTTGTCCTGGCCGCCGACGTCCCAGACGTTGAATTTGGTGTTCTTGTACGTTACGGTCTCGACGTTGAAGCCAACGGTGGGAATTGTGGTCACGTCTTGGTCGAGCTTGAGCTTGTAGAGAATCGCTGTGCACATGATGGTTAGCAATCGCGTCCGATAAGCCCAAATTTATGATAGGATGCGCGGTGAGCTCGGGAGAGATGAGCTCGACGGGATAGGTGAGCATACTGGTCTTTCCTGCTGCATCCAAGCCCAGCATCAACAATCGCATCTCCTTGGATCCGAAGATCTTGCCCATCATCTTTGATATTGACCCGCCCATCGTGTCTATTCCTCGCAAGACAAAGTCGGATAGGTGTTGATAACGCGTACGCGAAGCTCGTAGATAAAGTCGATTGGCGCAGATAGGTCAACCGTAGCGCGAAGATATGCTAGATAGAGCTCTCCAGCTGGTACGGGATGTTCGGGGGATTTTGAATAGGCCGTGGTAAAGTGCTCGGTGGGTATTGTCCAGAGATGAGGCCTCAAGCCTCAGGGTGAAACAAGCCAGGCGCGTTGCAGATCGGCAGCCAACCGGCGCCCGAGCGCAAGCCCCACTCGCACAACGCCACGCTCGACACTGACAGGTGTGTCTCATGCAAACTTCTCCAAATGTTTAGGGGCACCAGGGTAGCTAATCTCTTGAGCTGCAGTCAAAGATGAAAAGGACCTGCCGCTGCTTGCACATGCACTCTTTGCTGCAGCACGTCGGTAACTAGTCCATGGTGTACCATGATGCAGTGTGACCTTTGCCGCCGCCGCCAGCAATTAAACCATGGAGAATATGCAGGTACGCGGGGCCGACTCCTGAGATTGATGGCTTGATGCTTCACGATGCAGGAACGCGACGCGAAGGAATGTAGCAGAGACGTCTGGAAGTTTGTTCGCATACGCCGTTATGTTTCAGACATGCTCTCCAATCCCATCACCTCAAGACTGATACGAACGCAGATTGGGGAATAGAGTTGGCGCCTAGCATTCTACAACAAAGTACCTTCAAATCTTGCAATATTGGAAAGCCCCTTTGGGCTCTTAAGAGACATGGCCTATATACTAGAGGCTCATGACGTGGTCCATTTTGCACGTGCAGCATCCCCGGCAAAAGGGGCTATCAAAAATACAGCTTTGCGGAGGATCAGAGTCATTGGCAGGATTAGATAACCTGACTCGACGTCTTTCGCGTCGGAATTGAGCAAGTTCCTTGCTATTTACGTCTCGCCGGCAGCTCTCCAGCTGATAACAAAGTAAGTTCCTGATGTAGCTTTTGGCCCCCTGTAGTACGTGAGGATCATCATTCACAAAGCTACGCTCTTCACTCTGGCAAAGCCCGCATCACCCCCTCAAATGCGACCAATGCCATAGCATTTGCCGGAAACGCCCTTAGGAAGCAGGGTGCAAAGCCTCTCCAGTAGCCTCTCCATCCATTCTCCCTCCACACCGCTTTCGCGGCGTCTCTCCATCTCGGAAATTGTCTCCCTTCCCCCAATGGGTCCGTCATTATTCTTTGCTTCACCACATCGCTAGGATAACTCGTCATCCAGAACACCTGCGCCGACAACCCACCCGCCCAGAAGTTGATCGCCGGTGCCGACAGATCTGTGCGCTTCTGCAACTGCCGTGTGAAGAGATCGTATGTGCCCCACCAGAAGCAGAAGAATGTGCGGAAGAGTAGCGTTGCGCTGAGGCCGTGGTATAAACCGCGCATGCCGTGGCCGCGCACAATTTTCTGGAGACAGTCGATTGGGCCTTTGTATAATCTCTTGCTTTTATCTGCTGCGTACTGCACCTGTAACCGCGCTTTGATGTGCTCAACTGGCGCGGCGATGAAGGACACGGTCCATCCCGCCATTACACCTGCTGCTGCGTGACCGAGGATGGGGAGTTTGCGTTGCGATTCGCCAAGGCGCGGTGGGTTGAATAGAGAGTCGTTTAGGATGCGGCGGTACATGGTAAGGGAGCCTAGCATACTTGACAATGTCAGTCTCAGTACATACATATTCTACGCAGGGTTACTGGCGGGTGAAGACGTACAGAGAGTCCATGAACATCCATCCTACCAACGGTGGTGTAGCACCCTTGTATAACCCCGCGAATCCTTCCTTCTTCAATGTCTGTAGTAGACAATCCACCGGCCCTCGGAAATGTGACTTATCGGTCGTTTGTAGGCGCACTTTAACAGTGTCGAATGGGTGGCCGACTGCAGTTATTGTTAGCTGAATTCTCGTATGACATGAGACGGGTGAGGGCAGTACCTGAGAGCTTCGCAATGCCACTGAAAACGCCGCCTACAAAACCTCGATAATGCTTCGGGGACTTCTGAGGCTCGTCAGACGTAGCTATCATCGCGGTGGCCGCGGGCTTGTCGCCCGTCTTCAAGACCGTGGCAGACATTGTCGCAAATATCTTCGTCTCGAGCTCGAAATCGAAATCATGCCGTCTTCGCGATCAGGTATTAAGAAGATAGATATGAATCGCGAACGAGGGAAACGTGGATATCCTCATCCTATGCTGACAATCCGCTCCATGAGTTGCGTTTATCGAAAGCTATCGCTCGGAAACGCACAAGCGTCCGCGAGGTGGAATGGTGACGCCCTTGACAGGGATCCTTCGTCTGCAATCGCAATAGCGTTCTGACCCCTCCAAATTTGGACATGAGCGCGCAATACATGTAGTAGTTTCTGATCGCTAGCTAATCCAATTACACTGACAACTTCTGTACTATAGCGCTTGATTTTGAGTGAGATCATGGCGACATCAGGGCTTACCACAGAGTCGGCGGGCGTCCCGTCGAAGAAAGGTAGACAAACCATCGCGAGCTGTGCATCAGACTGGCATACTAACAAACCTAGTATGGACGACCCTCATTACGAACACAGCCTACCTCACTGGCCTCCTCACCCTCGATTACAGCCTCAAGAAGCATGGCTCGAAATACCCGCTCGTCGCGCTCTACACCGATACATTCCCGCCAGAAGGCCACAGGGCCCTTGATGAGCGCGGTATACCGAAACAACACGTCAAATACCTCCTTCCGACCGTGCAAAAGGACTATACAAACGATCCCCGTTTCTACGATTGCTGGAGCAAACTCACACCATTCTCGTTGGAGGAGTACGACAGGGTAGTGCAGTTGGATAGCGACATGCTCGTCCTGAAGAACATGGACGAGCTCATGGAGTTAGAACTCGATCCACCCAGTATGGCTGGAAAGGGAAAAAGAGTTTTTGCAGCGAGCCATGCATGTGTGTGCAATCCGCTCAAGAAACCGCATTATCCCAAAGACTGGTGACACACCTCTCACCTCATATCAGCTCTTAGACAGGCAATTGATTGGTAGACAGGGTACCAGAGAACTGCGCCTTCACGTCGCAGCACGATAAGCCGGATGTAGCGCAGAAGGAAGGCGCGCCGTCAGATTTCGGCCTCGGCATGCCAAACGGTGGCCTCCAAGTTGTAAACCCCTCTGCCGCGGTGTACAACCTCATCCTCGAGCAGCTCTCGAACGAGACGTCCATGTCGTACGATTTCGCCGACCAATCGCTCTTAGGCGATGTGTTCAACGGGCGCTGGGTTGCGCTCCCGTACACCTACAATGCGCTGAAGACTCTACGGTTGGAGGGCGTGCACCACCAAATCTGGAGGGACGATGAAGTGAAGAATATACACTATATATTAAGCCCCAAGCCGTGGGATGAGGAACAGGGTAAATGCAGTAATGAGAACCATGAGTGGTGGTGGACCGTGAATAAAGAGAGACTAGAGGAGGAGAAACGGAGGCATATTGTGGATGGGTTTTGATAGGCATGAAGAGATGCGGCAAAAGTGATTTAGATTAGGGTAGCACTCTTTGAGGACATGGGAGGCTATGCCTATCTCTCCTCAAACGACGCTCTATAAATGGCGGAGCCCACTGGAGAAGTATAGGCAGTTAATGGTAGTCGCGATTATTGCAGTTCGAATATTAATAAACGATGCTCACGAACCAACAAAGTGGTAAAGAGACACGAGGAATGGTAGATTAGGCTTAATCCCATGACGATGTCCAAACGAATGATGAGTAAAATGCGTACGCGAGGAGGTAATAAAAGACAAACACCAGAGTCAAGCCTATTTATCTACGCCAAAATGCAGCCCCTATGTACTAGTCAATCCAACAAAACAACATGTCCTATCATCTCGCAAGTATGCTAGCCCAAGTGGCTCCAATCTTCCTCTTTACTTTCTACTCTCGAATACAATACCCATACCTCCTTACCATCCTGCAAGTCATTTATCGGGCAAAACATACCTCCTCTCAACACTCATCTCCCGATCTGCCTCATCCTCTCCCTCAAATCTAAGTCTGACTAGATTCTCAACATGCTCGCCCTCCTTACCCCCGTCCTCCTTCTTGACTTTCCCATCAGAAATTTTCCAGCTCGCTACAACCTCCGCTTTGTAAAATGTCGTCGTGCCCGGGTATAGCGCCAGCACGTTCCTTCCCTTCGGCAAATCCGGTAGCGTCAAATTGCTCGTCAGCGGCGGAATGGGTATTAGGTGGTTTACGCTTGCGCGGTAAGGCATGGAGGGGGTTGGTGGGTCGGGGTCTGCGTCAATTATCTCGTAGCGGCGTTGTTTGCCTTCGCCGATTACGCTGGTGACACGACAGAGTATGCCTTCGCCTTCGTAGTTTGCCGAACTGGATGAAGAGGAGCGGTTTTTGGCGTTGTTACGGTAAAGAACTTCGGTTTGGGGGAAGAGGCGAGGGCGTGCGTCTGAGCTGCGTCAGTTGTGTTGAACGTTACGGTGTGAATGAGATGTGTGAAGTGTAAAAGAGATGAGACGATAGGAATTGAGAGTGAAGAGACGAGGAAATTACATTGAGGATGTAGGATACATGCATAGAAAGACAAATGAGATTGTGGGCTTGTCTATGAGACTACAAACCTAGAACAAGCCGTTTAAACCAAGTCAAAGATGCCAAAAGCGGGTATCATCTGCCGTCTCAAAACGAACACCAAACGCCAAAAGGAAATCGTTGCTCAACGAGAGGCGTTCTTCTTCGTCAAGGACTGGGATTTGGAGGAAGAACGAGCCTTCTTACCCTTACCCATATCGTCTTTATCATCTTCCATTTTCACGCTGCCTTCCCTAACAGCAGGCACCGATCCCGCTCGACTACTACTATTCGTCTTCGCGACGAGTCGGTCTTTTTGGCTGCTGATCACCACTTTCGGACTTGGGCCACCGGGACTATCCGCAGCAATGCTATCACGATCGTCGACATCGGTTAGTTTCCTCTTGCCCTGGCGATCACGTCCAGACTTCCCACCGACGCTGGTCGCACGTGATGCAGAAGATGTCACTTCCTCTGAAGCACGAAGGGCGGAGAGTAGAGTGAGTTGGGTGCAGATGTCGTTTCCGCCTTCGATGGGCTGGAGAAGCGTCTGGATCTCGTTGCAGAGGCGGATATCCTCGCGCAGGCTTTTCTCGAGTTCCTCATCGATACGAGAGGAGGGTTCAGCGCCTCGGGCTGTTGCGGTCAGTTTCCTGTACTATGTTGATCCAAAGTTGTCAAGGGGAATAGAAAACAAACCTAGGCGGGAATCTTGGTCGGCGCTGAGTTCGCCCAGTCTGACTCGGATGGTCTCGGCCTCTCTCTGCGTGATGTTAGTCGATGTGACTTGGGATGAAAATCTGACGAATTTAAACGTGTGTATGATGCGAGTGGAGAGCGTCAATTCCAACTGACTAGGACCAAGCAAGACCTGGAGGTACTTGCTGGCCACCAGGAAGTCGGCCCAAGTGACTCTCTCCTCTTCGTTTGATTCGTGGAGTATCTTCTCCCATTCGATAGCCTCCTTCCGAGGTCTACAATACTCCAGTGGCTGATTGTGGCCAACAAATCCCTCGTGATATGCTTAGGAGGACTGGTCGATTTTTCGAGAACACGATGACAATGCTGATGCTGGATGAGACGCGTCTTACCATGAGTTGGTCAACTCGCTTGCCGTCGCTCTTGATTGAGTTCCAGATTGATCTTTCCTCGTCGAATTCATCCTTGAGCTGCCCGCCTCGAGGCCTGCTGCGCGCGGCCATGTTGACACCAGGTGCGCCTACCTCACTCCCGGGTTATCTGCGTCACCTCAGCGGCCCCCGGCTGTTCATGGGTAAGGGTCGTGAGCTTTGTGGAGGGAATCTGGAGATGAGAAGAGTACAATGCAAGTGCTGGGGTAGTGTCGCAGATGCAGGGTGAGAGCCGCACTAAAGAACGGAAGTGGGGGTGGTCCCAGGAGCTTATTCCAACGGCAGTGTGTCGATTATGCGGAGCGGAGGCGGTAAGGGAAACACGTGGACCCCGCCAAAAACTCCCCTGCCAGTTCAGAGATGCCCTTTACTCACTACATCACCAATTGACGAGCTTCAACATGCGGAATCCTCTCATCAGACTAGAATGCGGTAAGATGCAAGCTTGGGAAAGACACCGTTGGATCACAACTGACGTGGTGTAGGCGTGAACAGCTACGACTGGGGTGCGAAGACCCGCGTCATATCTTATGTCATTTCAGCAGTATGCTGAAGCGACCCAGGCAAAATTGGCAAAACATCCGCCGCTGCTAAGTTTGCTGCTGCAACGGCTTCTGGATTCTCAATCCAAGAGGAGAAGCCTTATGCTGAGGCATGTTTCTCTACAATTGCTCCATTCGCTGTCTTGCTAATGTTCGTAGCTATGGATGGGTACTCACCCCTCTCTTCCCTCCAAGGACCTCGAGACACAACGAACACTTCTCGATCTCGTCCAGGACAACCAAGCCCTACTCTCCGCAGACATTGCTGAGCGCTACGAGAACAAGCTTCCCTTCCTGTTCAAGGTGCTGTCCATCAACAAGGCTTTGAGCATACAGGCGCATCCCAACAAGAAGCTTGCGGAACAGCTGCACGCGAAAGACCCCAAGAATTATCCAGGTCAGCCTCCAGTCAGCAGTTTTGTGGGACCTGGCTGATGAAGTGTGCTAGATGACAACCACAAACCTGAAATGACCATTGCGGTGACGCCCTTCGATGGCCTCTGCGGTTTCCGACCCCTCGCCGAAATCACCCACTTTCTCAAGACTATCCCTTCACTACGCAAACTCGTTGGCGAGGAGGAAGCGAAGAAGTTCGAGGACACCATCAAAGGCAAAGAGACATCAGAAAAAGATGAAGACGTTCAGGCCAACAAAAAGGCTCTACAGTCCGCATTTACTAAAGTCATGAACACAGACAAGGATGCGCTCGCCTCAGCATCTAAGGAGCTCATCAAAGCTGCGGAATCAGAGGGCGCACAGTTCGCTGGTGAAGGCGGCCCTTCAAATGACGGAAAAGAGCTCGCCGACCTCGTCATCCGCCTGAACTCTCAGTTCCCCGAGGACATTGGCCTATTCGTTCAATTCTTCCTCAACTACGTCAAGCTCGAAATCGGCGAGGCCATGTTCCTCAAGGCCGACGACATCCATGCATATCTCTCCGGTGACATTATCGAGTGCATGGCATCTTCCGACAACGTGGTGCGCGCGGGCTTCACTCCAAAGTTCAAGGATGTGGATACATTGACGACCATGTTGACGTATAGCTATGCGCCGATCAGCGAGCAGAAGATGGACCCCACAGACTACCCTTATGTTACATTGAATGCGCCAGCGTACAGTTCGAACTCGGGCAGTCTTTTGTACAACCCGCCAATTCCTGAGTTCGCCGTTGTCCGGACAGCGCTCAACAGGACGGGCGCAAAGGCGACGTTCGATCCCATCGAGGGTCCGAGTATCATCCTGTGTACCAAGGGTAAGGGCACGATTAGCGTTGGTAACAAGGAAGAAGCGATTGAGGAGGGCTATGTCTTCTTCGTTGGTGCTACGGCGGAGGTTGTGATCAAGAGTGACATCGATGCCGAGGATGGAGAGGGTCTAGTGACCTTCAAGGCCTTTTGCGAGATCCAGGATGAGAAGGAGAAGCTATAAACGAGCGGCTCTATTGAAGGTAGGGGAGCGACGTGTGAATACGTCGTGACATGGGGCATGAAAATGAAGATATGAACAATGACCTGATGGAACTTCTCACGCGTATACGCGAGAACTTGATAACATAATGCTATAAACATCACATACGGTGATGATATGCCGGTCATTCGATGTACGCTCCCACGTTAATTGAGGGTAACCCAATAGTGAAAATAACTGGCATCATATCGCCAATGAAGCTCTTTGAACTCCCAAAAGCAGCCTGCAAGCCCATGATATCATCTCCAAAACGCCAACGCTATGCACAACCACCGTTTATACGGTCCCATGATCTCACGCCATGTAGTTTCCCAGATGATTATGGTTGGACCTTCTCTTCTTGCTCTTCATCGCTGCTCTCCTTCTCCTCCCACCCCACCAACCGCCTCAGAACCCTGTTCTCCTCCTTCACCTCCCTGATTTCTCTTCTCAGCCCCTCCTCGACTTCTCCCTGTGATCTCAACGCATTCCTCGCATTGTCCGCCACGCGGCTCAGCCCTGCTTGCCACTCTGCATGCTCCAGCCTCAAACCCATAGATGTGTTGCGCTCTGTGTCTAAGAGTGCCTGGTAGTGTTTGTGCAACGCGAGGATGGAAGTCGTCTGAGAATAGGCGTATGGACGCAATTTATCGAGGAGGAGGGTCAGTGCGGACTCGTAGTCTGTTAAAAGCGCGGAAAGGGATGTGTTTGTGGCGGTCAGGGCGGAGATGGTTTGTTGGGCGGAGGACAGCTGGTTTTGGAGCGTGGAGATCTGGTGGGCATTCGATGCTGCTGTGCAAGTTGTTAGCTTTCTTTTTCTCCAGATGTTGGTTATGGTGGAAGTGTACGACACATACCATTCAATTCCCCATTGACCTCCCTCATTCCCAGCCCTCCCACCGCACCACCTTCCTCCGCTGCCCGTCCTTGTATCGCAGCAACCCCGTTCACAATCCCTGCTGTCTGCGCCTTATTCTCCTCCAACAGCTGACTCAGCTGCTGCACCACCGCCCATAGGTGATTCATATCCGTCTGCTGGCCCCCGGAGGGCAGGCCGTTGACCATGGGTATGCCGTTTTGCTGGCCACCGTTGACCTGCGAGCCAGCTTGTGAGGGTGAAGGGGAAGGAGGTGGGCGGGGCATCGTGGGCTGACCAGTGGAGTCGAGAAAAGAGTAATTGTTCATTGTAACGGCTGGCTGTGCGGAGTATGTGAGTGGTGGGAATGAGGTGTGGCGTGGTTAGCGGACACGGATAGTTGAATCGCGTCGCGTGGTAAGCGATTTAAGTGCTATCGCGGATAGCGCACGCGTGACGATGTATTCTAGGTATCACGAGCGTATATGTGGACGCACGATATGGGCAGCGACAACGTTCTTCACTCATATGCTCAAGCTGTGGAAAGCTCCATGTTGCACCAGGGTCTCGATGCCGCTTGTACGGATTCGATACTAGCGGCTTGGCGCACCCATACTAACAGGGCCCCGCATGCGCTCAGTATCAAGCACTCGATATATGGAACCTCCGGCTATAGAAAGACTTTTCTGATTCGAACATGGTAGCATTAAAATTCTTCTCAAGTTGATACCAACACCTTCCATATACTTGACAGCAAACTTCATCTGCTTTTATCTTCCTTTTTGCGCCGTCCTGTCTCTCAAACTCATGAGTCGACAACTATGTGGACCCAAATCATCGTGGAAGGTGTATTTTCGCTAGCCTGTAGAGCCAATATTACGATTGGTTAAGTCTCTGAAGCCTGGACGGTTTTTTTGTAAGAGCAATAGCTTAGCAAGGACGCCTTAGCTTCGTCTTCATTTCAGCAGCGAGCGGAAATACTATAACGCCGTCAGCAGTGAAGATGACGTGTGCTGCCATGTCAGCTGCCTCACCTTCAGTCTGTCAAGACTATGCTCTTTTTCCGTATGCAAATCTGACGAGAGGAGCAAGTCAGCCAGTTCCCGCTTCTTCTCTTGTGTTTCCACAACCCTCTGTAACTCTTTAGCTAGATCCTGCACACGGCTATAGCAAGAAGCCTACCTCTTCAAATGTCCCTTCCATCACGAAGCGAATCGTGGTTACTTCTCTCGTCTGCCCCATACGATGTACGCGCGCTAGCGCTTGCTCTTCCACAGTAGGGTTCCATTGCGGTTCCATAATATAGGCTCTCGAAGCAGCTGTAATGTCTAATCTACACAGATTTAGCACAATTAGGATTGTGGTTACATTAACGTACCCAACAGCCGAACAGGATATTGTCATTAAGATGACAGGAAGATCCTTGTCTTCTCGGAACCTCTTCAATGCGCGGGATCGATTACTTTGGGAAGTATTGCCGTCGTACCGTGTGTAATTGATAGAACCCTGTAAAAGGCCTTTCTCGACGAGATCGAGCGTTGATGTCCAGAAGGAAAATACGATACTAGAAGTACAATGGTCAGCGCTAACAGCACTGATTTGATTGTGATACTAAAGCGAGATAGCAAGGTCATGATTTCCAGCGATCATCCATAGACTTCAACATAAGCCGGAAGCAAGTGAGTCAATAGTGGTGTCTAATAGCGACATCATCAATGCCCAAATGTGAGAGACTTAACTCTTCTAGCAAAATCGACTTACCTTTTGGTTCCCATTGGTTGGTCGAGTAAGTCCGTGACTAGAGCTTTGATCTTTGTAGGTAGGGACTCCTCGGGTGTATCAGAAACCGACGGGGCTGGTGAAGAAGCTTCTGATACTGTGCTTCCAGGTGTGTACAAGGCGGTTGCGCTAAGACAAGATGGCGTACAGCCGCATTGAAGTCTTAGGTCCTGACTCATGCAGCTCTCGCAAACGATTTTGAGACAACTGAATATCATAACTCGCGTAGAACACAGGATGAGATCAGAGCCTAGCCCATCCTGCATCATGCTCGCGTTTAGATCAAGGCTGCAAACGTTGCATGTGATGATATCAGTGGTGCCCAAGGCAGATAGTGCTCTTTGCGCTGTTCGCGAATTCCAGGCACCGCTGTCCGGAATACATGTTTTCTTCGCAGACTTTCGATGTGTGCCGAGGTTGCATATTAGTCGAAGCTCGTTGATCTGCTGGATTATGCTCGCAAAAGTCGTGGCGGTGTGACTCGAATTGTTTAATGCTGCGTCAATGGTAGAGGCAACATTGCTCTCAACTGCGCTATAGTAATCTCGTTCTTCGTGGTTAAGCTTCAAGGAGAACTTCAAATCGGTCCTCGTTGGTAGATCAACAATGCCCTGGGTCCGACGGAGGAGGATGCACTGGAATAGTCGCTTGAGTCTGGAGATGGCTGTGTCATTATGCCCGGCTTTCCAAAGTGATACTAGATCTCTCTCGAAGGTTTCACGATCGTCGTACGGGTACACACGTAGGAACTGGCAGATTGTGGCCAGATCACCAAGCCGATTTTGTAGCGGTGTCCCAGTTACGGCCCAGCGGGCGTGGGCATTCAGGTCGCAAATAGCCTTGAATGTGTTGCTCGATCTGTTGCTCACATAGTGGGCTGTAACATCAGCTTGAGGTATGAATTTTAGAAGGCGTCCTTACCCTCGTCTAAGACTATTCGTCGCCAATGGGCCGCAAACAAAGGTAGCGGCTTTGACTGCGAACACGTTCTCCATTCGGACTCGACCGTCTGATAGGTAGTAATAATAACATCATACCTTCGCAACTCGTCGATCCCTAGAACACGTCTTGAGGCATGATGTCGACGTATCCTTAGCGATTGCGGAGATTTGAGATGTCTAGACTGTTAGCAGAGAGCTTTGGAGGGAAAGAACAGGCCTTCACCTTTGTAATTGTTCCTCCCAGGTAAGAATAACTAAATGGTTTTATTATGCAGTGTCACAGTAATGTAAAGATTACACTTACGTGAAGGTGGGACAATCAGGAGTGTAGCGGAGACTTCGACTATTCCCCTAATTCCTTCTTCAAGAGCAGTTGGATGGGAAGAATCACCCTGCCAGTCGTTTGCCATCAATGCAATCATGCTGCATGATTTTCCTAGGCCCATCGCGTCAGCAAGGATTCCTCCCTTGAATTGCGTTGGTCGACATTGTTGCCATGTCCCAGTTATATTATTGCGATAACTATTAACGGTTTAGTAAAACTTAAGAAACTCTAGCGTGGGCCTTGCTTACATGTCATGGTGTGTGCCTCTCACTTTCGTCCAGATATCGCATGAAGTATCTTCGTACGCCCAACCTAGCTCTCGCTGTGTCATGAAGTACAAAGCCTGTCGCTGATGCCTATATATACGTTAGTGAAACGAAAAAAAGCATGATATGTAGGACTTACGGCAGTAGCGCAGTCCTGAGGTGAGGTGGTGTTTCAAGTTCATGCAGCGCTCCCGATGAGACGAGACTATCAAGAAGGTTGGAGTAGTGCAGCTGCGTGACAGTTTTGCCCAAACTGGTTTCGTTGAGATCGAATGTGAGGCGAGGTTCGTCTTCGGATAGAGCGAATCGATGTGGGTTGCAATAGGGCACGTTCCGGTCGCATTCAAGAGGATCTTGTAAGTACAAGTTGCAAGTCTGGCAAAAGTTCCCCACATCTCCAGCAAAGGATTTCGAGCCGTATACATTAATTGACACTGGGGACCAGCCAAACCGACCTGGCGTGAGCTTTTTAGGCTTACCCATTGTAGCTGCCGGTATTGGCAGGATAATCTGTATATCAATCAAAGGATCTTCGGACAGAACTTGAAGGATCTGGGCACTTCTTTCATCGAAGGTTCCTGCGAGAGATCCGCCGATGTACAGTCCGCACGGCGACGAGAACACTGCAGCTCGGCGATCGTGAAGAGGTAAGTAAAGTGCCATGTCTAGTTCTGCTTGTAGATCCGTGATCTGTCACAAAGTTAGTGCACAACATGAGCCAATGTATGGAGCGACTTGCCATACCAAAGCACACCTGGTTAGCTTCTGTGTTATTCGCAGAAGGGGTGCATGATGAGCGTCGAGAAACGTTGTCTGTTGGCATCGGTTCAGAGAAATATTCGTATGAAGCAGCTGGAATTGAAACTGAGTGATGAAGAATCGAAGTAGAGCATTGCGCGTGAAACTCGGTACCAGTGGCTGGATCTGCTTGTGGCATCGCATCCGTGAAGACGAATTGGCTTTGAGCATTCCAATTCGTTTCGAACTTCCATCCATTCATCCCTGCATCAGGAACAGACCGATCGACAACGGTCATCTGCTGCCCGAACTGATATGTAGAGGATTCATATGCCCACAAGCATGTAGAAGTTGACGTTTCCATGTGATTGTAGGTGTGCGGATTGAGATTAACCTCTGTCTGGGCCGACATGTTCTGCTCGAACTCATTTTCGACCCGGCGCCGTTTTGCGGGCGAATGTTCAAATTCGCCATGATAAGCGTGCGTGGCCTCCTGGGTGCGGTGCGACACGAATGGTGTGTAGTGGGTCATTGTCGAAACCTCAGTATTCTTCGCTGAAGGCCATCATCTATCATGATAGCTGCTCTTAGATACGGCCAAAATGCTGCTTGAGAAGTGAGAGATTGAAGAACATCCGTCCACGGCGAACTGGGCTGCAGCAGGAGGCTGTGTTTGCAGGTTGTGGCGGCAAGCCCCAGGCATCAGCTGCGCGATTAGCGTACAGGTCTGCCTCGTTCGACAGCTTCGCCTCAATTGTGCAAACAGCACCCATAGCGTGGCACAGAAGTAGCAGCGCTTCCCCATTTCTCAGTCCGTTCTCCCTCTTTGGGCTATCACTGCATTGTGGTTAATCGCGAAAACGCGTGAACAATGGCCAGTCTCACAGGAGCACCCCAGCCGTCGAGCTTGGCGCCCCACCTGAGCCCTTCCTCAACCTCCTCGTCAACCACCCTTGCGCCTCAAGCGCGTAGAACCTTCCAGGAGAGCTTCGACAGGTTCGAGAAGACGGTCCAGAAAAGATCGAAGAATGATCAACGCGATTTCAACGACACAACGCTACGCGACGTCCAGGAAGCAGCGAAAGAAATTGAGCAGCAGCTAGCTGCACGGCAGTGCCTTCGCAATCTGAAGCGTCTTGAACCACTTTTGAGTGGACTTGAAGCATATTCAAAGGTTGTAGAGGTTCTCTGCAATGGCACACCATATGTACCATGGATCTGGGTGGGTTCAGTCGCAAGAATGTCTAATCATACGTTAATACTTCTTTCAAGGCTCCTATCAAGTTGATGATGAAAGTAAGGTTTCCCTCGTGAACAAAGATTCCAGGAAACTGACAAAACATTTAGTTGGCCACAGATAATATCAGTGCTTTTGAGAAACTGATATCAGCATACGCACAAATTGCTGAAAACCTGCCTCGATTCGATCGCCTCAGCAATGCTTTCCGCAACAATCCGGATTTCCAACAAGTGCTTGCTGTTGTGTATAGTGATATACTAGAATTTCATCGACAAGCCTACAAATTTTTCAGGAGAAGTGGTGAGATATATTGTAGCACCCCCGATACGGGATTGTGCTAACAAATGCTAGGCTGGAAGTGCTTCTTCAAGTCCTCATGGGGCCAATTCGAAGCGAAGTTCAACTGCATCCTAGAGAGCATGTCGAGACACGCAAAACTCGTCGACCAGGAGGCAAACGCATTCCTTATTTCCGAGACAATGCAATGGAGAAAGGACGCTCGTGAAGCAGCAAACAGAGCAGAAAAAGATCGAAGAGTTGTACAACTGACTGCATCGCTTGCGTGGTTGGGCGTTGAAAATGTTCCGCACTGTGGCCAGTCGTACCAGGACAATTCCCTAAACACTTTAACGAATGATTGTTGTCCGGGCACAACTGACTGGATAATGAAACACCAAAAAATGCAGGCTTGGCTTCAAGACGGACGAGGCTCATCAACTTTATGGCTGAAAGGCAAACCAGGCTCAGGTAAGCCTTTCTAACGTGGTGTCTAGCCCAACTAACGTCGTGCAGGGAAGAGCACTATTTGTGCTCGAATTGCCCAATCTCTCCGCACCTACTCTACACATAGACGCTATACGCTTTTGTATTGTTTCTACGGTTACAGAATAAGCACCTTCCATCCGGACCCGGTGATCTTCATCCTGGCTACTCTAGCGTCTCAGATTCTTCGCCAGAACATCAAACTCTCTGCGTACATTTACGAAGAATTCGTTGCTGAAGCTCGTTCACCTTCAATCAGAGAGCTACAGCAAATACTGTCTGACCTAATGCCCCAGCTGAAGATGCCCCGGATTCTGATTGATGGTATCGACGAATGTGTTCACTATGACTGCAATGGTAGACCGCGCGATCTCAATCCGGTCAAGGGTGTCCTTCAGGCCATCTTGCAACTTGAACATCCGGTTAATGGAATGCCGCCACCCAAGATCCTTCTCGTCAGTCGTGACGTTTCGCAAGTTACAGTAAAGCTTTCCAAGAAGCCAACAGTGTCGCTTGATGACGAGAACGATGCAATTACAATTGCAATTCGATATTTCACGAAGCAAAGGTTTCGCGAGATTCAAGACAGGTTCGAAAGTTTTCCCGATGTCGACAACATCCTCAACAAAACCGAAGATATGATCATTTCAAGATCTCAAGGTTCGTGATACTAGTTTTCCTACATCATCCCGCAAATTCAATTACCTTACACCCCATGAATGGAGGTATCGACACTGTAAGGCCCCATCCACAGTGTGTTGGTTTCCAGCAGTGGGAGAGAAGAAAAAGTACATTTCAACTTCACTGGGTACAACCTTCCTGTACATGCTATTCAGCTAGAGAGCTAATCAATCACAGGGATGTTCCTCTGGGTCAAATTAGTGTTATCACATCTAGAAGAAGACGCGTATAATTTGAACGACCTTGAAGCTGCTGTTGCAAATATGCCTGTCAGTCTAAACAGCTTGTGAGTGCAACGTTCGGCTCATGCGGTATACGCACTTACGTGAACCAAAGCTACGACCGGATTCTAGCTCGCGTCATGCTTCTGAGCCCTTCTTCACGGGAGCGAGCAAACAGCATGTTAAATTGGATGATCTGCGGAAGGCGTCCATTGCGATCCGTTGAACTCCAAGACGCCATCGCCTTTGCCACCGGTCAGGATACCCTAACGGAAAGGTCGAAACTCCCTAAAACGATCCTCGATCTCTGCAAGCCGTTGATTCAAACTCACTCTGACGGTCATGTTTCCTTCGTTCATTTCACTGTGCAAGAGTAAGAAACCATTATAGGTATTTATAAGATGGCTAATGCTGTGCAGGTTTCTCCTTGGAAGAACATCTACTAGTTCACTCGAATCGGAACGCTGCGTGTCTATGAGCTGTCTGAAGTACCTGAACTTCAGCCTTGGCCTTATTCGACAGTATGCAGTATATGACTCACGAACGGTAGATGTAGGGAAGTGTCTGTATACTCTGCAGTCATATGCAAAAGAGCACTGGCTGGACCATTTACTGGCCTTCATATCGAAACTCCACGGCGTTGCAGATAAGCAGTTAGAAGAGCGTTTAGATCGTCTTGTTGATATCATTCAGAGTCATCAAACACAGGCTAGTAATGCCAGTCTCAACTTCATTTCAGAAGGCCCAGAATCGGCACTGTCCCTGGAACCGCGCCTGGAGCATATCAGGCACTCTGGATATATCTATGAAGCACTTTGTAAAGTTGTCAGGCATCGGCATCAGCAAATGGTACACTTCAAGAATCCTGCCTTAGCGCGTGAGTCGGGTGCCCTCATGGGAGTTTTCGATATTAATTCTATCAGACCTCCATCCAGATCCAACTCCCTTCAGCATCGTACAAGCGGAACATCAAAAGAGAGTCGAGGTTCTCCTTTCATCTACCTCATTTCCCGGTCTAACGCCCGCGCAACTGGCCATATTTCATGACTATCACAGGCCATTCGCTTTTGTGTGCCGTTTTCCTGGATGCTCGAGTATCTTAGCTGGCTTCGCTACCCACGATGAACGCGGTCAGCATGAAAAGTCTCATGCTCCGCCGCTCGTGTGCACACACTCCGGGTGCAAGTATACCCTTGGTTTTAGCTCCTTACAACTCCTAAAGAGACACATTCGAGAATTTCACAATGCGGCTCTTGCAGGTATTCCGAGAAGCTTAAGACCTCAGAAGGCAAGATCTTTATCAAAAGATGCTCCCGACAGCTACACAAAAGGTTCAACGCAGCTTGATAAATCCGACTATAATACCACAAGCAGTATGAAGAAAAACGCTCCCCACGAAGAGCGAGCCACGGAACAATATTTCGACCAAAAGCTACTCCAGGGCTATCTTGAGGCTCAACCTTGGTACACACCACCATTGTCAGAAACGGTTCATGAAAGAGAAGTACGAATACAGACGACGGACCTTCGCGAACCACTACTACGTCTTTTTAAGCAGCTCAGGACCAACCCCGATGCATGGCCATTTGGCACAGCGGAGATTGCAGGAGGTGATATTTCAATCCAAGAAATGGAGAGGAAGCTCGACAAAAACCTATATCCAACGTTAGAGGGTTTTGTGCATGATGCTCAGTCAATGTTCAATCACTGTCGAAGTTACTATATTCCTGATAAATCGGTGAAGGTAATCCAACGAGCGGCGGAATCGGCAGATCGTTTGGAAGAGTTCATGTGGAAACAGATTCGAGAGATGAAAATACACAGGTCTTTCGACCCCTCTCAGGTAAAGATGAATGAGAGATTCTGGCGATCGAGGACCAGCAGCTATAACCCTGGTAATGGCGACCTGTCAGGCGGTTCTATTTCTTTACGTGAACTGGAGTATGAGCATATGGAATCAACGCCTGGAAACATTCACCATGCAACGGCTCACAACCCCGATACGACAGGCACCTCCTTCGATACAATCTCAAGCATCCCAATGCCTCTGCCAAGAGCTTTTCTTTCATCTTCATCGGCCCAGTCAAGTGGTTCAACCGCAAACACAAGCCCACCACCAACAAAATCTACAAATTCTAGGGTGGCTTTGCACCACTTCGTACAGTACTATCGCGTCCAGCTACAAAAAGGACAAATACTCTCAGGCTGGCGGCTGACTACTTCGCCAGAAGAGCGCGGTACATTTGCTTACAAGTTCTTTATACAATGCTCCTCGATAATAATCGAGATCCCGGATATGGAAGCTACGCGTCTTGCTCTCCAGTTCGAAAGAGCCAACTTTACGAGAGCGCAGACAAGGGAACAATACGTACAATTAACCCAACAGGGCCTAAGATCAATGGCACAGCGCATACAGAATACAGATACCAGCAAAGCCAATTCCGCGACCACATCAGGGGAGATCAACGCACCGCAGCGAGACGAAGTTCCGGCGCCGTTCGTGTCTCCAGGTCAAGTCCTTCTGAACTACGCTTCTGAAGGCGTTCCTATAGATTTTGGTCGTAGCGGACCTTCTACAGTGGAGCATCTCAAGGGTATTGAAAGCCCAGCGCCATCACCTACTAGTGACTACGGTGATCCTGGAGCACCACGACCTATATCCTTGTCACCACGCCCCCCACCAAATTTCCTGCCGAGTGAGTCTAGTATGCATTTTAAAAAACTCGAAGCAGTCGGATACGAGAGCTTGGAAACTTCGACTGCTAGACTTGCGCGCGAGAGGGCTGATGCGGATGAGCGTCGCAATCAGCAATTATCGATGTTACGGACGCCGTCACAGGAGGTGACAAAACCCACTGGTTTGGGATCTCCCTTCCGATTACGATCAATGGGGCCTTGGATTTGACACCATGTAGTGAACAGAATCTTCGAGAACCACACTCTTTCCAAACGGAGTTTCAGGTCGCAGTCAGTGATGCAAAGATGTTGTAGTCATATTTATCGTACATTCATCTATCTTCATTATAATTTCATGCGTCCTTGGTCGATCAGGCCCTGGCCTCGTCATTCTTTTCCTTTTACACTCTCAAACTTGCTACGTTCTTCTTCAAGATATCGTAGGTGTCGCTCCTAAAATTATCATCCAGATACTCATTCTTATTCGCCTGAAATTCAATCAACTTCTTGCTCTTACTCCACTGCGGCCACTCCCCAAAATTATTTCCTACGTTCGGATCTAAATTATATATGAACGAGTAGTAGTAGCCTCTAATTGTTTTCGCCGCGTTGTTGGGCAAAATACCATTGAAAACCTGCAGGATGTCTGAGCCATGGAACGTCCCCATGATCGGGGTACCGTAGTTGTAGGTTGCGAGGTATGACCACGATGGCACGTCGGGATTGACTTGGCTGGAGACCTCGAGGAAGATACGGCGTGTAAGGGTGAATGTGAAGTCTCCTAACATAGCGGCAACGCGCTTGAATTGCGGATAAATGTTGTTCAACAATCCCGTGCGGAACGGACTCCCATCCTCTGTGATGGTTTGATAACTCCCTACTAGCTGATCGATCTGTGTCGGACTCGCACTGTTGAAGAAGATGCTTGTGAGGTACGTCGTAATCTCCGCTGTGGTGGTCAGATTAGGCGTAAAGAGGCCGAATAATGTGCCCTCGTCTTCCTGGTCGCCGACGATAAAGGGTACTTTGGCGTATTTCCCGGCGGCTGCGAGGACATCTGGGGAGGCTGTGAGAGCTTTGCCATCAGGGCGGGGGAGGTAAGACAAATTGACTGTGAAGTAGGATAGGATTCCTGGGACGGAATTGGCTGCGTTAAGGAGTTTGGTATAGGGGACGTCGCGGAGGCAGGAGAGTGTATTTGCGGAACCCGAACAGCCTGCTTTTTGGACGACCTTCGCGCTGGTTAGTGGAGGCGTGATAAATTCGAAAGAGAAGACGTACGGTATCGTAAATTGCTTGTCCTTTAGGGCAGTCTACTGGATCGGCAGGCACGACTGATCCACTGTTCATAATGCCCGCCCTGAATAGTGGCTTGCCTTTGTAATTGATGTTGCCATCATACAACATCATCTGATCCATCACAGAGATGGCTCCAGCGCTCTCGCCCCAGATGGTGACCTTTTCGGGATCGCCCCCGAAAGCGGCGATATTGTCGGCCACCCATTGTAGGCCTAGACGTTGATCAAGAAGTCCCAAGTTTGCCGAGCCATCTGCCAAGATCTCCTTCCCTGGCATAAAGCCGAACCCGCCGACGCGATAGTTGACGGCTACGAAGACAATGGGTTTGCCTTGCGCAACTGACTCTGCGACAAGGCTGGTGCCGTCATACATAGCAGTTGAGCCGAGCTCAAAACCACCACCAAAGATCCAAAAGAGGACGGGTAACTTAGCATCTGCTTTTGTACCTGCTGGTCGTTGAACGTTGATGGTTAAGCAATCTTCTCCGGCATTGGTAGCAGCCTGGAATAGTGGCGTATTAAGGAGTACACCAAGAACGTTGGTCGGGAAAGCAGCAGGATCGACGCTGAAGAAGAACTGCGGACATGCTCTAGGGATACCAGTGCCGTCAACTTTTCCAAGGGCAGAGGTGAGAGGCTGAGGTGGTTTGAGGCGAAGCTGGCCAACGGGTGGTTGAGCATAGGGGATGCCTTTGAAGGCTTCGACACCAAGGATGTTGCTACCAACCACTGTTGCTTGTGGTGATGGTGCAATGACTGTGGGATTGGCGCGCTTTTCGAGCCGCGCTGGGGCTGCAAGAGCCAAAGGAAGAAGTGCGAGAATTGTTGTGACCCTCATGATGGGATGTGCTGTCTTAGCCTCGTGCTATGTATGACGAATCAAAAAGAGTGAATCCTAAAGCTGCTCTGTCAACTTTTGTACATCATGAAGTACTTATGCTTCCCTAGTAGTGCAATATCACAAGCTAAGAGATATCTTCCCCGCAAAGCCATCGGCGAAGGATGTGTCCACGATGTCCAGCTGATGTATCTTCGCGACCTATTCACTCCACGTTCCGCAACGTCCGCCGTCGTTGCAGACATACCCCTGCGGGAATCTCACCCTACCCGGAGTTTGGTGCAGATCGGAACCATTTCTAGAGAAGCAGCAATAATAGTCCCCTAGGCTGATTATCGAATACGGAGGCCATGCCGTCTGGCCTATCAGATCTGGACCTATAGTCAGTTAGCCAGGGGAGATGCCCGAAGTAAGCCTAGTCTATAAAAAGATGGTGTTCGGCGCCCGAGCCAAGGGCGCTTTTACATAGATTTTTGAGTGGTCATGGGATACGTAACCTGTCGGTGAATTTAACGGACGAATCATGGCACTTCGTACAGACAGTTGCGTTAAAAGGATCACAACCTGTGTTGGTTTCGATGAGGTTATCGATCACGTACATTTATTCATTTGGCGCTGCGGCAATCAGTCACTGCCGATAGCATTGCTGCATTTTATGAATTCCCATCGCAAAGCGAAAGTATAATGACGGCATTGCGCTGCAGAGCAATGTAGAGATAACTGAAGCTTCGTATTCTGCACGGCGCTTTTTCCCGGCCACTCTGGTTGTGTATTAGAATTTTGGTCGCGAGGTACGGAGAACAGCCGGAACCCGTTGGTCGTCTCTCTTAGCTGACGGGGTTATTTCCGTTCAGGGGCAGCAACTAGGTCCGCGTGGTCAAAACGCGGGGTAGCGATGGAACGTTTCCCCAGATTTCTCACCACTGTGAAGCTGAAGTTTGGCCTGGAAATCGTCAGGAGCAGACAAAGAAGCCTCGGCAATAGGCTGCTATCTTGGACTTTTTGCAACATGCATTTCATGTGAAAGTAGCCTAGATGGTGCTGCGTTTCTGGTCTGTATCCGTGGGCAGTTGATGGCGATCATATAATGCTAGTTTGTCATGAGAACGGCATCATACTTTTGCATGAATGCAGAAGGAGAGTTTCAGTCGTTCTCCAATGCCATGTGTGAAATACTTTCATCTGTCGCTGGGTGCGCGGTGTGCAGAGACCTCAAGCCCGAAGTCACACAATATTGAACGACGGAGCAAAGGCATCCGGACATGTGTACAAGTGACACAATCGCAAGGGTAAGCATAACGCATGCAGGGAGAAAATGGCCGTAACTAGTACACACTCCATTTACTTTGAGTGCGTGGCTGAGTACAGAGAATTACGGGACTGCATCGTTAGTGGGTCGAAACGGTGCTGCCGGCTACAGCGCATCAACACTGCCGGAGCTCGACATGAGGGGTGGAGCAGCGTTCCTGGACTACAAAAGATGTTGTTATTTGGATGGTGGGTATATCATGGTAGAAGTGGGATCGTTGGCCCGGGCAATGCTTACCAGGCCACGCGATCGATGACGTCAAGCACTTCCGACCTGCACGTCCTACTAGTTTAGTTTAGGTTCATCTTTTCAAAATCCACGCCCTGAAGCATGGCTAGAAATTTCTCCCCCACAGCTAAACTTGGTGTGAGTAACCTTCAAATGACGAAGAACATATTATTCAAGCTTCAGAGGGCGTATTGCCTATTCTAATTTGTTCGTCAATCTTTTCAACCCTCCTGTCAGCTTCGCTCGCAGCTAACACATCAAATATCACAAGTTCCAAGTCGCACATTCTACCAAGAGTAGCTGATTTGATTCGAGAGGAAGACAGCACTGATCGAACTTCCCATAATCCATACTAAATTGTAATGGACCCTGCTCTAGTAAGGCTGTATGGCTCAGTTCTCTAATTTTAAAGACGTAGCTGTTATCCCTCATTAACCATCAAACATGCTCTTCCCGACAAGGTAAATGAAAACCCGACATTCTTTAGTCGGTTTGATAATCAAGCGTTGTGGGTAGCATGATTCTATATAGGATAGTAAGTCAGATCTCTTAGTTCTAGCAGGCCTCGACCCAAGGGGTAAGTAAGCACTTGTAGTAGCAAGTAAGCATCTTTCAACTTTACTTTTAGAACTCCATAAGCACACGTCGTAATTATATCACTCTTCTTCTTTGTTTCTATCGATTAAATTTCAATATAGAGGCTGCCTCCAATTCGACAATGATCAAGATTGGCTATACAGCGCTAATAGTGCTTCCGTCCTGGAGGCTCTGGAGATTCGCGATACAGCCACACGATCCAAACGAGCTACCACACTGGACTCCTTACGTTAGGCATGCCGCGAGTTTCTTCTCGGGTTTTAGTGGCGCCATCGAGAAAGGAAGAAGGTATAAGAGGGTTTCCAAAGCACCTACGCTCTAGTTGAGCTATCGCTGGTTCTGTGAAGGTACTTGAGTGTCTCCGTTTCCAGTATTGTTGTGCTCAAGCATGGTATAGCTCGACAAAAGAATTCTATAGATGGTCTAGACGTGGTTGAGAATGTTGTGAAAGTGTGAGATCAAGAAGTTCGACCCATCCCACATTCGGCCCCCAAATCCAAGCCTTATCTGCAGCATACAACGCCTCAGTGGGGTCCAGCCTGGCGACATCTGACCATTCACCTTGCAAACCCCACCAAAGAATAGTAGCTGACGAGCGCGTTGAAAGGTCAGGTGACGCAGACTTGTGAGTAAAAGTAGTTTTCCTCCAGGCCTCAGCCTTCAGTCTTCAACCATTGTATGCTCAGTTCATATTACCCATTCCATGAAGAGATATCACGATGTCTTCAAACGAGTACTTTATTGCGCCTTTGCAGCGCAACAGCCAATGCATCAGCTTCCCAGAATGGGTTTCCCTATTTACGCTTTGCCTCGCCCCACTAATCGCCCACGTTGCCTCCGGCGCGCCCCCAGTATCATATCTTTCACCCAGTCGCCCTAAGTGGCACGAGCATCTCTGCCATTATAACCCAACATCAATCATCTGGCGATACGCCGCCATCACAGACCGGCGGATTCGCGCCACTCGCTGGAGCCAAAATGACCTCGCAGCCAGCAACGCCATTTTCTGGACGGCAAAGGGATGGGATGGTGGGGAGGACATGGTATTCACCGCTGCTCCGCACTGTTCGCGGTGTCCGGAACTCACGCGAGTACGGATCTTTTCAGTGACGATGCTGAAGACTATAATCACAACGTTGCAGGGCCTAGCAGCGTTGTACTCGCTCATCGGGACACTCGCCGGCTTTACAACCCTACACTTCGTCAAAAGAATGGGCGTGGATATGCTCTTTTTACCCTTGGCCATTTTGGGGCTTTTACGACTTTGCGCTGCAACCTGGCTTACCGAAGACTTTGGTTATTCTCCACGGGACGATGGCTTGAATAATATGCTCTTACGACGGTTCCCGAACCTAGCAATCAGTGAACATGAGATACAACTCATAGACCCAAGTGACACCCTCGACCCATTCCTGGTGACGCCTCTCCCGCTGGGTGCTCATTTCAGATCTCCCAACTCCTCTTACTCCAGTCGCATCTTTCGTGTTTTCTATCTCCTGGTCCTCGGAGGTGTCTGGGGAGTATCCGTTGCATATACTATGCCGGCTGGCCGCGGCCAGCAGTCTAGATACACCACGACCTCCTTTCTCGTCGGCCTCTTCTACTTCGTTTTCCTCACTATATCTATTGTACTATATACCTTCTACTTTTTTTTCCGCAGCCAGACCACTACCACGCTTCTACCTTGCATTTCTAGAATATGGTATAGGGTCTATACTGTGCTGCTTATGGGATTCATTTCAGTCTTGATTGTCATCGCGAGTATTGAGACAAACATGACTCCTACTGGGCTATATTCAAGTGAACCGCCAATAGTGCAGCTAGAGTGTCGTCATCTTGTCAACTATTTATCATTCTTACCAAACTCACCATTCTTGGGGTTGGCGTCGCGGGTGGAGGTGAACAAGACTTGGCTGGAGCAGAATTACTCAAGCATACCAGTAGCAGGATTTTCGGGGCATAATGCCTTATTGGAAGAGAGGTATTGGTTGTACAATTATACTGGGTATTGCGTAGGGCGGTTTGAAGATACGGGGAGGTAGCGGAGAATATTTGGCAGATTGTAGCGTTTTGCACTGGAACGAAGTATGGAGAATCAAAAGGATCTAGACAACGCGAAGGATATCCAGGGGCTAGCTAATGCTCATCGCCATTTTCTACCCTTACGAGACTCATGTGGGAGACAAACGGTATCATGGACTACCACTGTTTGTGTCACAGTGTATGGCTGAATTACCGTTCGATCAAAGTGGCCCCACATAACCGGCGATAGCTTAACATTGGGGCGTAGGGGCTTTAGTAAATTGTTGTCTGTATGGCTATTGCTTCCTCAAGTCCAGCCTGGCAACAAAACAGCAAGAGTAGAAACATAGCTAAACGAGGACCTCTATCAGAAAGATGTCTTTTATTCCACTGCAACTCGTTCCGTAAGCTCTCGAGATGGAATGAGGTTACGAGTCCTGTCGCCAAGCCACGCCAAGTACGGACGTATGCAGGTGAGCTAGTTTCCTATCCTGAGAAAAATGCTCGTTTAATCTTGCTAATTAATATCCTTTCCTTGATTCGCTAGTTGCTCGATATGATAACAACCCGGCCCGGTGGCTCTAAGGAGTGAGCAAGTTTCCCAAGCGAAAGTCGTTTGGTAAGGCGCGGTCGTGCACATGTTAGTGTTAATATGAGCAAGTTTATAGCTAGAACGCGTCCCTTGGGCGAACTAGCGCCCGAGTGGATCACGCAGCCTGTCTACCGTGAGAGTTTGGAGTGGATCCCGACAACCTGGTACGAATATATAGCAAGCGTGACAGAACTGCACCCTGGAACTTGACAGTCACCTTAATTTCCATTCGCTAGTGACACAAAAACCATGAGAACTGTATCATCGTTTGGCTTTTGGGGCCTTACGCTATCTAGTACAGCCTCAGCTTTTGTCGGATATGGCATTCCCAGTAAGTTCTCCGACTTCGAATCGTCAGTGAGTTCGCACACTAACAAGATTTAGTGTACCAACCCAATTGCGCATTTGCTTGTCGGGATCAGTTCTCAAGCGCTCATCTAGAATGTACCTCTATGAACCATAATGGGGGAGGTCACCACGGTAGCAGTGCTACAACTCCAGAATGCTATGCACAAGACACCAATTGGCTCACGACCCTCGCTTACTGTATCAATCAAACATGCACAGATATACCCAAGTTCAAACTAGAGGCATATTGGGCTGAAAGAGTTACGAAAAACAGTCGCGGGAATAACCTGGAGCCGAAGTGGACGTATCAAGAGACTTTGTTCCACATGGAGGGACGGCTACTACCGATTAGAACACTAGGAAAGGATGAAGCTTTGAATTTTACTGCGCTGTATGACCCTGAGGCTTGGGAGTCTGCGCGTGGATCGTTGCAGGCTTTCGAGCTCGCTGAAACCAATCACACGAAATATGGGTACAAATGCCCTCCAAAAGCTTTTAGGTGTTTAAACTTACGCATGCTGATTTTGATTAGTATCATCCTACTAGTCGTCAGCTTTGCCACGCCCGTCTTCATCACCGCTCTCGGCTACCTTCCCTTTGGATCCAGTATTATCGACAAGCTGAAACCACGCATGGTATGGCCCTCCCTCATCAAAACCTACCATACTCGCGCCCTTCCATTCTCGCTTGGAAACGCTCCCACTCGTGGCCAGACGATGTACATCATTTTCTTTGTGATTCTCAATATCATCGCAACGGCTGCTGGTTATCACTCATTCCAGAATCCTGCAAACTCAATGTTCGACGATCGCTGGCAAGAAATTATGGCGTATATCTCCTCGCGGACAGGTGTACTGGCGTTTGCATTGGCTCCGCTTACTATTCTTTTGGCTGGTCGGAACAACATCCTACTATGGCTCACGAACTGGAGTCACTCGACGTACCTACTTTTACATAGATGGGTGGCTCGGGTCTTCACACTCCAAGTTATCCTACACTCGATACTAGAGTTCATGCTGTACAAGAGAAGAGGTGAAGTAGGCGCCGAGCAAAAAGAACCTTACTGGATCTGGGGCATTGTTGCAACCGTTGCATGCGTCATTATGGTCGTTATCTCAACACTCTACTTCCGCCGCATGACCTACGAGATCTTCCTCATCGTTCACATTATCATGGCGATATTCGTAATAGCTGGCTCATGGTACCATGTCGAGATCCGTTTTACTAGGAAATGGGGATACGAACTTTGGCTCTATGCCGCTTGTGCTGTGTGGTTCTTTGACCGAATTATCAGAGTGGGGCGAATCCTGAAGAACGGTAGGCGGAAGGCAGAGGTTACGCAAATCACGGAGGACATCGTGAGGATTGATGTGAAGGACGTGAGATGGCAGGCATTGCCAGGGAGGCATACGTATGCCTACTTCCCCACGCTCAACCCACTGCGACCATGGGAGAACCACCCGTTCTCCAGCATCCCGACTGCTCTGTTGCAGTCGCGTGGGCACAGCGTCACGGCTTCCAGCTCATCCTCTGGGTCCCAACATTCAGCTGAAGACATTGAGAAGAGCGGTGCCATCGGGAAGAAGGGCCCTTCTACTACCATCACCAGACCCAAGACACACGGTGGCAGCACAGCGGGCATATCGCTGTATGTCCGCAAATCTGCTGGTCTTACAAAAGCATTGAACCAACACGCCTCACTGCTTACACTACTCGATGGTCCTTACCCTAACAACTCTACATCCGGTGTCTTGAAGACTGACCGTCTCATCCTCATCGCTGGCGGTATCGGCATCACAGCGATACTCCCTTTCATCGCACACCATCCAAACGTAAAGTTATACTGGAGTGTCAAGGCGTCGGGGCAAGGTCTAGTTAATGATCTTAGTGACGTGCTTCAGGGCTTGAGAGAAAAGGAAGTCTCGGTTGGCGGTAGATTGGATGTTACCAGTACCTTGGAAAAGGAGGAGGCTGAGGGTTGGAAGAGAATCGGTGTAGTTGTTTGCGGACCCGGCGGATTATGCGACAATGTGAGGAGTATAGTATGTCGGAAAGGGAGGGAGGGTGGTGCTGTCTGGGAGTTGGATGTTGAAGCTTTCTCTTGGTGAGTATGTTCTAAGTTTGTCTGATTGGCATTGTTGCCATCATAGACCTATCACAAATACGAAATGTAGTATGGAATGCCTCCTATACAAGTTCAACCCCTTTCTTGTCTAAAGTAATGACAAGTTCAATGAAATATGTCTAGTCTTTCTCGTTCAGCATGATCGCACATCCAATCATTCATGCAAAGAGCTGATGTTTCGCCTATATCCATATAAATGCCGCTAGACACGATCTCTTTTTTCAGATCCATCATCGTGAGAACCTCGGGGTACCAAAGGGCTCCGATAAGTACTATCGAACCTCCGCAGCGAACTTCCTTGGTTAATTTTTGTCCTTAGGCTCTTGCTTGTACGGAACTCATTCATCGTCCGAAACGAGAAGTCATATTGACGAGTCATCCCCTCCAGTCAGGTCGTCATGCTCCTCGATGATTAGGTGGTTGGCGTGTCCAATTCCAATTCGAAGAGTTTTCCGGCATTCTACTCGATAGGGTCCTCGACCTGGTGCTCGGCAGGGTCTGCTCGAGCTTGCATTGTAGACCGTGCGTCGGTCTCTTCAGACACTCCAATCGATCTAGGACAAAGATTTAGCCCAGTCTTCAACAGGCGTGATAACTAGATGAACGTACGCTTTGATCTTCTTCTTATAGCATATGCTATTCTCTCCGTGACAGTGATATTTGCAGTACACCTCGCCGTCCTCCAGCGACAAGGGTGTTCGATCCTGAGATGCGCACATAGAAGCGACGACTTGGAAGACATCCTTGGGAAAATGAGGTTCCGATTCCACCAAATCGTATGCCAAGGTAAACAGATCTTGCATCTCGGAGACTGTGGCGTCCTCACGACGTAGTAGCCATGCTACAATGTCGACAATTAAACTCTTTGTGCTAGCGACTTCAGGTGCTTCAAGATACAGAAACGCGCCTGCCACGATGAGTGCCCTTAATTTGTTGTCGTGAGTCTCAGTGCTATATTGAAGGATGGCATCGTGTACACTATCGACGAAGTCGACGTCCTGCAATCTATGTCCTAGAATGCAGGTATGAGTGAGGTGGATTATTTCGAGATATTGTGTCGAATCTTTCGTATGGATTTTGCCAGTCAAGAGCCATTGATAGTAGATTGCAAAAGCCGCTGGTTCGTCCTTAGGTAAGAGAATGATACGCTTCTCCGGATGCTTGCATGGGGCATCAAGCATCTTTTGCATGAGCGCAGAAGACCCGCGAATGATGTTCTCATGGACAAGGAAGTATTTCTGGTCCTCCTCGCCACCCACGAGGATGAGCAATGCGCTTGTACCCAGGCTGCTTTCGTTAATCATGGTAGCTCAAGGATGGTGTGTAGGACTTACTTCATGATATCTGCATACTCGGCCCTCTCCATGTTCGCTACCTGCCTTCTCAGTATAAGTGAGTAACAGGATTGGTTCAAGTAGTCGAGCAATTAGATGATTGGTGTTGACGACGAACAGAGGTTAACGAGCGGATTTAGTGGTAGCCACCGGAGGTCCGTCTAATCTCAGGGCCTTAAGTAAAGGCAGAGAAGCACTTTATGTTGTCTCTTACCTTCCAGTCTACTTGAAGTTCGTATTGTCTCTCAACTTTACTATACGAGTGGTTTGTAGGAGGCATCTTCTCCACGCAGGACAATACACAGGCTGCCACCACAAACACGGATACGCTCAATATACCTAGCAGTATGAATTATAACAGACACGTAAAGTAGAACTAGTTCCACTTGTAGAAAATGTTGACATTCAGGCCAAGTTCTAGCTGGAGATCATTCTAAGCTAGGTCAAATTCGGTCTAGCAGGCGCAGACCCCAACAGTGACGCGACCGGCGAGCTTGCTTTCTACAGCTTAACACATGCGATAATGACGACCATTCTGCGAAGCTGCACAATGTTTCACGGCTTCTTCAAGCTCGCGGTGCTATGATAACACCAAGATCAACTCTGCTTTGCAATCACCGGCTGGAAAGGCACTGCGAAAGATCTTAAGCGCGACATCAGCGCAAGCCCCGCCATCCCACCATACGCTGTTGCTCCCACACCAGCCCTTAATCACGTTCCACTCACACAAAGTTCTCCCACTGATCTCAGCTACGCGTGAAAATTATGCCGAAGCCCACAGATATACCCTCCTTCGCAGCTTCGCAGCTCACGCTCCTCGACGCCGAACTCCAAGCCGAACTCTCAGAAACAAACGCGCTTCTCTCTTCGCACACGCCTACCGCGCTCGCTCGGGCTGGTCTTGCCATCCTCAATCTCAATGTGTCTTCCATGCGGACAGGTCTCGGTGGCAAGACGGTAGTCGAGCTAGGATTGGATCCGGCAGTCGTGGCCAAAGGCGAGAAGCCGGATATCCCTGAGCATGGTATCCGAGTGGGAGATATCGTGGGGGTGCAAGACCAGCCGAGCGGCAGTGCGAAGAAGACGGAGAAGAAAGAGTTGGTGAACAAGGGCGTCGAGGGCGTGGTGTTGAGGGTTAAGAGGGAGAATGTGGAGGTTGTGCTGGACAAGGAGGATGCGGACGTACCCAGTGGAGGGAAGCTATGGATGTCAGTCTTTATAGGATGGCTTGATGCTGCGAGAGCAAAGAGGCTGATGAATATACTAGAGTCAAGCTGGCGAATGACGTTACTTACAAAAGGTACGTCTTCGCCCAAATATATTATTATCTCGAAACTTGATGCTCATACGTGATAGAATGAACCAGACCATGACCCGGCTTGAAAAGTTCGGAGACCAAGAGCTTACGCCATTCATGCGCGTCCTCTTCGGACAAGGCTCACCCACGCCACTACCGTCAGACCTGAACGACCCTTCAAATCCGCTCTACAAGCTGGAATGGAACGATCCATCACTCAACGACAGCCAGAAGGAGGCCATAAGGTTTGCGCTGGCATCACGCGAAGTGGCTTTGATCCATGGCCCGCCGGGCACGGGAAAGACACATACCCTGATCGAACTTATACTACAGCTGCTGAAGCAAAAGCTCCGTCTTTTAGTATGCGGGCCATCGAACATATCAGTAGACAATATCGTGGAGCGACTAGCATCTCACAAAGTCTCTATGGTACGCCTGGGCCATCCAGCACGCCTGCTTCCTTCAGTATTGAACCATTCTTTGGACGTTCTTACGCGAACATCGGAAGCCGCTGCATTGGTACAAGATGTTCGAAAAGAGATGGACGATAAGCAAGCGTCCATCCGAAAGACACGAAACGCCAGGGAGCGACGCCAGATTTACACCGAGCTGAAAGAGCTGAGACAGGAATTCAGAGAGCGAGAGAAGGGGTGTGTCAACAACCTGGTTGGTGGGAGTAAGGTGGTTCTCGCAACGCTACATGGTGCAGGAGGCTTCCATCTCAAGGGGCAGGAGTTCGACGTCGTCATTGTTGATGAAGCGAGTCAGGCCCTGGAAGCACAATGCTGGGTACCGCTTTTGTGGGTCAGAGCATCCAAGCTGGTGCTTGCGGGTGATCATCTACAGCTTCCGCCTACCATTAAGTCGCTTAACTCGAAAGAATCGAAGGTGGCGAAGAAGGAGATGACAAAGAGCAAGGATAAGTCTACTAAGGCTGGAGAGGGAGATTCTGGAAAGCCAACAGAAAAGATGACGCTGGAGACAACGCTCTTCGATCGCCTACTTGCGTTGCACGGATCACCCATAAAACGCATGCTAACGACACAATACCGCATGCATGAGAAGATTATGCGGTTTCCGTCTGACGAGCTATATGATTCGAAACTTGTGGCTGCTGATTTCGTCAAAGACCGTTTACTCAAAGACCTCCCGTACGAGGTTAAGGATACGGAAGACACACAAGAACCCCTGGTGTTCTGGGATACGCAAGGGGGTGACTTCCCGGAAAAGACTGAGGATGATGCGGTTGCGAAGGGTAGCAAAGGCATGAGCCTCGGAGACAGCAAATCAAACGAAGCAGAAGCGGCATTGGTGAAGATGCACGTCGGGAACCTTATCGAAGCGGGCGTCAAAGCAGAGGATATTGCGGTCGTTACGCCATACAACGCACAGGTACGCGTCTCTAACCCCCTGCCAGTTCCGGAAACGTCGCGCATAGATCTACGCTGTGCTCCCTGTATTTGGATCCATGGTTAACAAGCTACAGCTCGCACTCTTGGCTGGAATGCTCAAAGAAGCATATCCCGGTATTGAACTAGGCTCCGTAGACGGGTTTCAGGGACGGGAGAAGGAAGCCGTGATTGTGAGCACAGTTCGAAGTAATGCGGACCGAGAAGTGGGCTTCCTGGGTGAGAAGCGGAGACTCAATGGTACGTCGATCCGAAGGACCCTTGCGGACGTGCTTTTTGCTTGAAACCATGCTGATGAAAGGGTGTAGTGGCGATGACACGCCCAAGGCGACATCTGTGTGTGATTGGAGACTCGGATACCATCAGCAAGTACGTACCTTTTGTTCTTCCTTTTCTTTTCCAACATATTGTGCTTCTTGCGGCTTTTTTGGTCACACAAGCCCAAGCCTACCTTGGCCTCTGGGTCCGTTCCGGCACACCCGAAAGCGTGGGAATCGGGTTCACTCTTCTGCAGCGTCAGGACAATGCACTACGAAACGTGCACACACTGTGACAGGCAGCAGGCACCTCCCCTGTCATGTACCCCAACCCCTCAGCACACCGTTTCGCTGGATCACAACCGTTACACAGCAGCATCAGCATGCTGACGTGCACCTCAGGGGCTCGAAATTCCTGAAGGCGTGGATGGGGTTTCTAGAAGAGCATGCGGATCTGCGTTACCCTAATCTTAGTGATGTGTACGTGGACGAACGGGGTGGGGGATGAGCACCAGGCACAACTCTACTTGTAACATGTGCGTGGCAGCGTTCCCTTTGAGCGAAGTGTGGTACAAAGCGGAACAGGCAAGGCTAAGCGGCTGAAAATTGTGCGAAGCTGCAGCTTGCATGCGAAGTGATTTAGCTCATGGTAGGGTGCAGTAGCCTGCGTCAGGTGGTAAGCAGGTCGAGACAGGAACCGCACCAACGCACCAACGCCGCGCGGGGAGCGAGCGTGTTGAGGTGTAATCTACTACAATGTAAGCGGCAGGTCGAACCGAAAAAGCCAAGTCCCCCAATAATCCGAGTTGAATAGGTAGTGTGTATGTATGCCGTCGTCGAGGGAGAAGGCGAGTCGTGCTCCAATAGATGGCGCAACGACTTACATTATCGATAGCTGTGGGAAGCTGAGAACCTCAAACCTCAAACCTCAACAGCGTCTGTGCCGGCCACGTCGCTCCCCTCATCTCCATTCAATCAAAGCAGCCCCCGCACCAACACTCTGACTACAGATGGCACGCTCCTCTGCTCCTCTTGTTGACGATGCTGGGGCTGTTGGGTCGTCTACTACTGCACCACCTCCTCACGCTTCTCTCCAGTCCACAGCAACCACCAGGGCCCTCATGTCATCACTAGCCGCATGCACCCAATCCTCAACGCCTTCGCGCTTGGCCGCGCCTCGCTCTCAAACGCACCAGCGCATGTGCACGCCCCCTTGGCCCAGGTCCATGACAAGTGTGTGTGTGCCTGTCAGTCTCGCTACCCATGGAATCTCGTCTACTCGTGGATGCTTTGGGGGGGGCGCGGCGCTCTCAACCGCTGTTCTCATGCAGCTTGGCTTCATGGCATGCATGCTTGAGGTAAAGCGCACCACAGGTCGGCGCATGTTCTGGGATGCTGGCGTTTCAGATGTCTAATGGGGGTCCCGTCCGCTACGCTATGTGGACAGTACCGAGGCGCCTACGACCGTGTGTCGTTGGCCTGTGGGTCGTATCGATTGCAGGCATCGTACCGCTTTGGCAAAGACGTGCAGCCGTCAAACCAGCGAGCCCACGCAGTGGCGCACACGCTGTATCCCCCCTCTACGCGGCCAACAGCAAGCCAGGCCGTCTATTCGGCCTCGCTCATCAACCGTCTACCCGCTCTCATGCCCTTATATTGTCAACCAACCCCATCCGTGTGCTTCGAACCATGCCGGCCATATTGCTTGATTCGCAAATGCGCCATCAATAATAGCCTCCCCTCCCGTGCCCACTCCCCGCCGCTACGTACCCTAGCACGAGTAGCTTCATGACACTATTGCTGGCCTGGCCGTTTGATACATATTCTTTCTCCGCCCCTTCTTTGTCCTGAGGCACCCTTATTGTTTTACTATTTCCGTCGTCGCTCTTTCGCAAAGCTTTTTTCTTTCGCAAACTCTATTGCTTGCTATTTTCCAGTGATCTTCCTCGGCATTCATCGGGTATTGGGGCTACTGGAACGGACGGCTGCAGGTCTCGTTTTATTAATGTGTACTGGCTATCTGTAGCTATCCGTCTGTACAGTGGTGATGAGAAGCGTGAATCATCAGCTCACCAGGTTCCTCCCTGCAACGCCTGCGTGAGCGCAATCTTATCCGCATAATCACATGCCCACCTCGTCCACCATAGAAAGTCATACTTCGCACTCGATGCTTACACGAGAAGGCTTCGTTGTCGCCGATATGAGCGCGCAGACTCCGTTGCAACGGTCTAGTTGGAAGGCTGAGGCTATCCGGAGAGGGGATCTCAAAATTAGTGGGCCAATTCCCATCACAGAGGATACGCCGCTAAACGAGGAGGAAGAGAGGGAGTTTGCGGAGAAGGGTGGGCTGGATGCTTTGTCGCAGCCACAGGATGCACCGCAGGAGGAGCAAAGACCACAGACACCACCGCAACCTTCACAACCACCACCAGGCATTCCAGACCAGGCATCAGCTCTGAGATCAAATCCGGTCGAGCACGATTCGCCGCTGAGAGAGGAATTGCGTGAGCGCCAGCCTTCAAGATCTCCACCTAAAATGCGACAAGTGAACGAGATACCACAGGAAAGTGTTGTCCAGCCTATCTCGTATTCTTCTCCTACACCACTGCGGTCAACGCCGGAGAGTGTCACGAAGGTGGGGCAAAAGAAGCGGAAAAGCGGGCTTCGAAATGTCTTCCGGAAGATGTTTGGACGAAAAAGCCGAGATGAGCATGAAGAGCATGAGGATGAGACGGTACGCCGAGGCCACAGTTACCATCACAGCGTAGGTTAAATGAGTAAAGTTGAATGAAACCAGGACTGATACTAAACAGGATCCTGGGATGCTACAACAGTCGCCACCACGAGCACAGAAGACGACCAACGGATCACGGATTTCCGACCTACCAGTTCAAGAGTTGAGACCTCTACATCCACTTGGCCAGCACCTTCCTTTCCCAATGAATGTCAACGCCCCACAGGCTAGTCCACCCCAGCAATACCTGACCTTCGATATGCAAAGGCCGGATATCGGCCGTCGGAGAGCAACACTACCCAGCGTACCGAGCGCAAGCGCTCAGCGACACAGTTTAGACGAATCGCGCAACAGACTTTCAACCTGGGAAGAAAGACAGGATGAGGAGCCTGAGCCGTCTCCAGGCATTGGGATAGCATTATCGAGTCCAACGCAAGCAACGACCCCGCTTCAATCAAAACGCCGGTCGAGAAGCGCCAGTGCTCTGCGTGATCTCGTCAAGGGTCGCGCATCGGTTGATCGAAGGCGCAGTGCAGAGATTCGCTACTGGAGGGAGAGCTACATGTCAGGAAGCGTCTACAGTAGGCCTCAAACTGCAAAGACAGTGGAGACGATTCGGAGTGTGCATATGCAGGAGCCTGTGATACAAGGACCCGAGTCCGATCCAGTCATGGAGATGAGCGCGACGCTTGTGGAGCCAGATGAGCTGGAAACGCCTGAGCTTGAGGCTGGTGATCGGGAGCGGGCAACGGAAAGGGACGTCCAACCTTCCCTGGCAGCGCACTACTTCGGTAACCTGAAGAACGCTCCAGATCCGCAGGAAGCTGCTCCACCTCCACCTCCTCGCAGCGATCAACGGCCATCCGTCGAAGCTCGCGTGAAGACTCTTGAGAGCAAGTTTGAAAACATCGAGTTCTCCGTGCGCCGCATGTCAACGCGCAACAATCGCCAAACTATCATCCTTGAAAACCCACCCAAGACGCTGCGTACCCGGAACCGGAGCAGTTCGTCTCGCTCTGTATCCGCATCACGTTCCCGCTCCACAAGCATACACCAAGAACCGAACCACCAGTCGAGCAGTGACACGCTGAACCCCATGCCCACATCACCCGTATTGACACATCCTGCAATCGCAGGCAGTGACGGGGAAGAAGCAAACAAACAAGCCCTAAAGTCCATGTATGAGGCGCTGAAACATGAGAGAGGTGCCCGGAAAGCTCTGGAACAGCAAGTCCGCACCCTCCATCAAGACATCTCCGATCTGCACGCCCTGGTCAACAAACTCATCGCCTCGGCTACCGCTACTTCGCCCTCGTACCCCACGCCCTCGCCCGACACGCTCATCACGAGTACAGAGGACCGCCTACTGACGCCGCGAGCCGTTCGACCCGGCTCCTTCGAGTATGGGCCCGGCAAGCGTACTGTTCGCGCGAGCGTGAGCAATAAGTTTAGCCGTAGTGAGACGGAGAGCGAAAGCGAAAGCGACTACGACGGCCGCCCACGTCGTGGTGTTGACGAGAGGAGCACCAAGGGCAGCTGCTATGATGATGTTGCTACACCAGATGTATGGGCTACGCCGAAAGAGGAGGGGTTCGGTGGGAGTGGCTTCTTTCATCCACGCGAGAAGAGGAGCCGGGATCAGTTTTGAAAGGCACTATGCTTGGCGGATTGCTTTATTCTTATTTTTCCATTTTTTTCGCAGCGCGCGTACTGTTTTAGTTGGGCATTATCATCGGCATTGTTTTTGAGTGTGTAAGATACCCAGCGTGGGCGTTCTTTTTTTGGGCGTTTTTTCTTTCCGCCCTCCATTTTTTACAAATGCATCCTTTTCTTTTGTTGATATGCTTGGACGCACGTTCATTTTTTCTTGCGCTTTTATATGTGGGTTAGGTTTTTGGTCTATGAGCGTTAATGCGAGCGAGTCGAATATTCTACTACCTTTATTGTTATCATGTTGTTCTTGCTCATGCTGTTTAACCCGACTGATCGGTTTTTTTCAGCTTGTTGATCGAATGCCGCCTCCAGTCAACTACGAGCGAGACTGACTAGGATTTGAACGACTAACGAACCAGTTACATGAAATATAGCTCATGCCTAACAATGAACCGCGCGGTACAGTACTTCAAGTAAGATACACCCCGCTCAATGGATCGTAGAGGCCTTGAAGGTGAGAGCACGCTCGCACACTCTCACCGGTGGTTTACAAAATCTAGCCCCCGCGTCTTTAACGCAGTACTTCAGCTCAACTCATAGCGTCAAGCAACTCAGGAACACACATCAATCCAGGAAATAACGTCAGCATGGTGCAAAGAGCCTTTCAAGCGGATGCGGCCTAGTAAGGACGGTTCCAGCTAAGTGTCGTGTGGTTACTAACACTGAGTAGTGTCGGAACAGCGATGATCACGATTCGAGTCGGCTCCGGCAAACAAAAGTCTGACTTCAGCCTTCCTGAGAAACTAGTGCGTGAGGCTTCTCAGTTCATCGATGCGGCGATGAATGGCGCATGGCTGGAATCACAGGGACGCGTCATATTGCTGCCCGACTTCGATCACGACACTTTCAGTATCTACTTCCAATGGCTTTTGACTGGTAAACTACACAGCAAGCAGCGATATACCAAACCAACCATACCAATCACAGCAACTTACTGGTCCTTGAACTTCGAGATTGTGGCATTGGGGGAGCTTGTTCGTCTGGCTCATGACCTGCTCGATACCGATTTCAGAGACACTCTCAACGATGGAATCATTCAGTGTGCTGCTGAGCTACAGCGTTTCAAATTGGGTTTCCCCGCGTATCAAGGATCGTGCTTCTATGATGATACTCCGTGTGGGTCTCCGACCAGGCAGCTCATCAAAGATCTCTGCGCATGGACATCGGACGAGTGCATGATCGGGTCAATGGGCAAGAGTAAAGAAGACAGACATCCCGACTTCATCATGGATCTGCTTCAAGCTGTGACTTGGAGATTCATGTCCAGCAACCCAGGAACATCGCCGCTTGAAGGCTGGGAGACAAGCTGCAAGTATCATTGTCACGGCAAGGAGAAGCCATGCTACAGGAAGAAGTCCACAAGGTACGTTGACTATCTGTCGTCAGAGCTTAGTTGACCTTCTTTCCACAGATCTAGCGAGCCTACGAAGAAGCGCGCAGTGCCGGATGACACCGAGCCACAACCCTCAAAGCGACGAGCATAAGGGACAATGACGGTCTTGCAACAAAAAGAGTTGGTATCTGTGGGGAATTGGATGGCGATATTCTGGTTCATTTGATTGAAAATAGCTCACGCAGAGGAGAAGGGGGTATGGAGACTGGCGTGGCTTCCTTGTTAAGGTTAGCTGTGGACCTGGAAGACGAGGCGAGTCGTCGGTCGCTCCTTCCTCGCTCGGCGAAGACTTGTTTGACATTGCGTCACCTACTCTCACTTCATGTCTCTACGGACCGATCGTAGCTATATGGGGCGTAGGCACTATTTAAACTTTCTTTCACGAAATCTCACACTTTCAGCTAGTTTGTCGCTTTCTCACTTCTATCCTCTCACACCTTACTCCACAACCGCCACACCGTCTATGAAGACCTTATCTAAATTTCATCCCTGTTCTTTGAGGCTGCCCCCAGCCTGGACTGGCTTGAGACCAAAGAGCGCATGGTCAGAATGTCAGATTGCGACGCGAAAAATTTCATGACTTATGTCCAATGGCTGTATAGCGAATACCTACATATATCACACAACGTAGCTACGAAGACATTGACCGAGACAAAAAAAAGATTGACGGGTATTATCTCGACAACTATCTCCAGGGCACGAGGTACAAAGACACTATCATGGACGCATTGATCGAGTGGGTGTTGCCACTGCCGTGCTGGCAACATGTTCGTGTGTGGAGGAAGCAACTATAGCGATATGAATTTTCTCAGTCTCGAATCTGAGAATCAAACTGTCAGTGTGCAGCTGGTACAATGTATTCTCTTAATTTAGATCTAATGTCATCAACCTCAACTCTACTTGTTTGCCTTCCCCTTCTGTCGTGCTTACGTCTACGGTGACCACGATGACCAAGCAAACACCTCAAATGTTACTTGAGTCTCGCGTAGACTTTGTCATGCTGATTCCTTCAGGTCAAGTCGGTTTGAACTTCGCCTTTGTACAGAAAAAAAGCTAGATTGAACCTCGATATTCGAGAATATTGGCCGGAGGTCTTATCCAAAACGCGCTAATGCACCAACACGACTTCACATGACCTCGTATCGCTGATGCCCGCCAAGCCTACCCCAGCTCACTGAGACATCTCGCACCAGCCTCATCTCAAACGTGTCAGGATGGGCGTCTACTCATCTCAACCGTGAATCCTTCACACTATGATATTCCGTATAGCGCCGCTAATTGCCGCGCTCTTCCTCTTCAGTCAGGCCATTGCGGAGATTGCGCCCGAGATCACGACTGTAGCCGAAGGCTTCAACTTTATCGCCAAGCTCCCGTGCCTCGGGTGCCCATTCCTGTATCAGGATACGTCGAAAGGAAAAGACGAGCCATGGACTGAGAGAAAGCACGAGAACGCTCTGGTACATCCATCCCGTCCAGTAAACCTCGTGTTTGACATGCTCGCGTGACTGATGCACGAGCAGCTGCTGAACATCAGCCTTCCGTACGACTCGGCACACTTGAGCATCAACAACGCGCCTCTCCTTACTTCTTCTAATTTCCTCCCCCGGATATATGCGAATCAGGTTTTACTCGACACTTCGACTGAAGATGTACAAAGCCTCATTTCCACTAATAAACTCGATGATCTCGGAGGTGCGTATTTCGGCCTGTCGTACAGCTACTCGCTGCGTCGCATCAAAGACTCCAAAGCGCTGCTATTCCACTTCGACATCATGGAACTCTGGAGCGATCTGCCCGAAAGCCCCATCACGGTGATTCTAGAAGATTCAAGGCAAAAAGTACTCGAAGTAGTGCTGCTCCAGCGCCCACTGCTATCTGCCGGCGACACGGGGAGCGGAATGGAGATCATCCGCGCTGAACTCGTTGCGCGGCCGGAATTCGATGACGCGCGTAAGACGAGAAAGTCCATGTGGTTCCACGACTGGGATGCCCACGGGAAGAAAGGCACGACGTCGCACATGCTCAACTCGGCGTCCGATTCCGTCACTACGTATATAAGCTCTGGCATCTGGGCGCTTCTTCTTTTCTCGCTGGCGGTTATTGCTTTCATTATTGTGATTTGCTTGTTTTGCATCTTTGGGTTTGGGTGGCACAAGGATGAGTATGAACGTGCGCAGCATAGGAAGAGGAGGAGTAGTGCGAGGGAAAGCGGGACTTGGGGCGGAAATGATGTTGAGAAAGCGAGGAAGTTTAGGAGCGCTGAGGAGTTGGGGTTACGGAGTGGGGCGAGGGTAGTAGGCGTGGGGAAGGCTGATTGATGGGTCAAGACTGCAAAAGGAAAGGGGGGCTTAGAGTGCACAGATGAACGACTGAATGAATGGGAGATGGTCTATATTTGACAGTGTACAGAACGCCCCGAATTTCGCCACCTTCCTCCCATGTGCCTGTGTATATTATATTGTGCTTTTCCGTGTATTATTCCTGAGTCGCGTAGATGAGTACTTCAAGAGGCCGCCCAATGTCTGCAATTTCGATTACCTGCAGGTCTATCCAAAACAATTTTCGCCGTCGCTATGCAGTTCGTGTAGGTGATCGTGAAGTCGTGAATACGCATCAACTATAGATCCTCCCCGTCGGAATAGTCCAGGCGATTGTTCTCCTTCGCTAATATCGCCAGAAGATCACTGTCGTCGCCAGCACTATTGTAAAGCCCGTATTCTGCTGACGAGAGAGCCTTGCTAGGTGCTTCGAGATCATCCTCATCATCGTCCTCGACCTTTCCAACTCCTTCGTTGTTCCCCGTCTTCTGGACCAGCGCCTCGCGGATCACAGTGCATGCCTTCAGCGCCGCTTCATCGCCATTCATTTCCTGAAGATGTTGCTCGACATTTTGTAGCTTCTCCAGCATACATTCTGGCTTGTTTGGCTCGTTCTCTTGCTCAAGTCTCGGGTCCAGTGTCGAGCGATTCACCACGGCCATAGCGCCAATCTGAATGATTTGTCTGCTCCTCGCAAGGTCGTCGGGTTGGGTCATGTGCTCGAATATCGGGTCACCGAGCGTCATCGGTAGGCCGTGAGCCGACCTATAATGCTTATGCGAGAAAGAACCTTGGTCGAGCTTTGCCGCACTTTTTGGCTCTCTAAGCATGTCCAACGGCGTCCCAATACGTGTCGACATCATCCCGCCCACAAACGAGCCTCCACTTAGAACGTAGGGTATGCTCGTCGGTTTTAAGGGCCGGCCTCTCACGCCAGGACCCTGGCTAGCACTCCTTCTATGTTTGGCATATGGACCCACCCTCGTGTCTTCTGGTGTTGTAGACCTCACACGTGGTGCCTGGAGGCGGACGAACGTTGGGTTCGGAGGAGCGGAAGCGAGACGGTCTACATCTCCGTGACTGAGCGAACGGCGGCGGATATATGTTGGCGAGGGTTGCGCAGAACGAAGGAACGTAGTATTTGTGTGCCCACGGATCGGTAGAGGACGTTGACGGTAATCTTGGATATTCGGAGTAGCGTTTGCTTGGTGGGTTTGCTGAATGTCGAGGGGGTACGGTTGTGGAGAATTTTGACCGGGGGTCAAGTATGCTGATGAGATTTGACCGAAACTGTAAGTGGAGAAGTCTGGCGTAGAGATTGTCGACGGGTTTGACGAATCGAACTGTGTGAATGAAGTGTTGTCGAATGGTGAGTCCAAATGGTGGAGCACCTCGTTATTGTTGGGTGAGAAAAGATGCTGGTCCGCTTCGTTCGATCTAAAGAGACCTTCCAGCTGAGCTTGACTGAGAAGCTGCTGCTGATCCGTGGACGGAATGAATGAATCGAGAGCAATGCCATCGAATGGCGTGCTTGGCCGAGACATTCTCAATAACCCCAGATCGTCGTCGATGATACGAAAGCGCGTGATCTATGGTAATCTGGGGCCCTTGTAGCTACAGGGAGAATGTTACACAGAGTGTGGAAGGCTGCGTGGCAGATGTCCAGATATAGTCCTGTTTTTGTTTTTGTGGTGGCCTGGGCTGAAACAAATGGTTGTGGAGAGACTAGTGGGTGAAAGCGGTGGCGGTGGGATGGCGAACGGACGGGTACCTGCGTTAGTAGACGTGGATGGCGAGCAAACATCGACTTGTGCAGTCTATGCTAGAGTGACTTCCAACTTGTTGTGAATATTTGATTCGTGTGTAGCTCTCGAAGACTGTATTATCCTACTAGAGACAATTACCGTCCTGTGCTCATACATGGTGTAGAGGTGCGACTGTCAGTGCACTGGTCTTCACATGACAGCAGTCTCGAAAGGCGGTCGTGAATCTTAGATTTGCTGTGACAATCTGTCGAAGATATAGGTCCAAATGAGACATCTCAGTCCAAGATCTTCGAACGGTCGGATGATTTGAAGCGAAAAGGGTTCCCAATTTGGGAGATAGTATTGCAAAGCGCAGTAGTCCTGTCATAGTAGAAGTCCAATGCCATGAACGCCCAGAAGCCCTATGCAGCCTATATGCTCTTGATTCTGCCATACTGTACATCGGCGCCATCGTACAAATCGTTCCGCATCCTTCATCATGGGTATTTACTCCTTCTTCGGCCCAGCATCTTCCCCGCCTTTCTTTTTATCCCAATTCCACACGTCCCAAATCTGCTCGAAAATCATATCCGTATAACTCTTCCCCTCTTCCAGTGCCTTCTTCTCTTCTTCTAACCTCCTCTCTTTCCACCCTTCTTTTTCATCCCCCATCCACAACTTTCCTAGCACACCCTTCTGCTCTTCACTCTGCTTTTCTAAGCCTTTGCGCCCTTTCTCTCTCTCTTCTGCTAGTATTCTCTGTATTTCCCGTGCTTTCTCTGTCGGCAACTCCACCGCCTTCATCGGACTCAAACTCTCTACCAACCCTCGTCCAGTTCGCAGCGTAACGAGATGGTCGGCGGAGAGGTAGAAGCCCACGCCAAGGGAGAAGGTGTAGAGGTCTAGTTTGCGCGGGGGCAGGAGCGCAATTATGGGACATAATACGATGCCACCGATAGCAAGATTACGTGTTATGCGCTGGTAGCGGGCTTGCTGTTCGAGGGCGAGGCGTTGTTCGGGTGGGATGGGAGGTTGTTGCGTTGGAGTCGCCATTTTGATGTGATCATACGAGTAGCGTGTATATGTCGATTGCGAATGCGATGATTAAGCGCTGTAACTAGGAGTATATGGGTGCGGCGTGGTTGATAGTGTCCAAGATGAAGTTGTGATGCGACCTCAAAAAGTTCCATGATGCAAAGACCGCGGTTAGCCTCGCTCGGCTAAACCTGCCCTCCTGAAACCATGCAGGTTATAGAGCGTTCATTTTCCCGACAGTATAAGTAGATAGCCTTGTAGATAGTTGGACTGGTCCTCTTAAAATTAAAGATACCAGCTATTTCAGCCAGATTCTTCTACTGTATAGCACTGCAGCCGAAATCATGGCATGCCATGCAGCGTTTCGCAAATAGTTGACATAATTTACATCAGTGCACCCCTATGCTACACCTCCCTCGAGGTTTGCACGCTGCTGAGTTTGTCAAAGCTTCCGCCTCTTGCAACCTGCCTGGTCGCTCAAGCGCTCCTCTTCGTCTGGCCTTCCCTTTCCATCCTCCTTCCTTTTTCCAGCCTGCTCAAAGGTACCACTACTCTTCAGGCGCTTGGTTGGAGTCTTTTCGTACTCACTACCACTGTATCCGCCTCTTGATCCATCATCTTCGGTCTCTGCGGCACTTTCTGATTTTGGCTCCTCGTATGCGTTGTACTTTCGCTTCTGTGCAGTACTTGGGGTTTCCATCAATCGCCGCAAGCGACTTTCTCGTAATCGTCGATTGACTTCTTCCGTAACATCGATGTGCTGGACCACGTAAGTCTCTTCGGCTTGGACTGGCTTGCCACGCGGTGTGGGTGATTGCTCAATGGGCGGAGATATGGCTTGGTTTTGCGAGGTTGGAGTATGCGATTTGGGGGTCGAGATCGAAGGTTTGGGGGCTTCTATACTGAGCCGTTTGTTGGATGGTTTGGCCTACGATTGTCAATGGCTGGGTTTAGTTCGAGAGCACAGAAGCGCGCACCTTTTTCTCGGCCAACCCTTCACTATCGAGTTGATCTCTGAATCTTTTCATATCGTCCTGCAGTCTACCGGATTTGTTCCGTAGCGATATGAGATCGGTGGCAAGCCAGTCCGGCGCATTGTGATCAGTCGCCTTGAGGGTCTCGTTTAGGAACTGCAGTTGCGTGCGAAGAGCGTCGATGTGCTTATCAAAGTCCTGGGATTCGAATGAGATACGCAGAAGAGATGGCAGTCAAGGCTTTAATATGTTTTACCTCGAGCGATAGCCTCCCCATATTGTGCAGAACCGTGGTGCAACAAAGAAGGTCGAGTGCATCAGGCTTGACGCTCCGTTGCGGACCTCCGACAGACAGGCAGGGGCTAAATTTCCCTGCGTCGATGCGTTCGGAATGCCCTTCCGAATCTCGGAATGATGGAACTATGGGCCTAGTCAATCAACACTCCAATCATCAGAAATGAGATTATGATCTGCTACATGATAAAGTAAAACAGGCTGGATACAACAGTACAGGGTTCTATATACACGCTGGTTCTTTTACCTTAACACAATCATTGAATGAACTCCGTCCACTTGGACACACCACTGGCGTTCGCCATTTAGCCTTTAGGACTCGTTTACGAACACATCCAATTGTAAAACTAAGAGCACCCCTACATATTCTTCTACTCAGAAGTTATACTCCACCAAGTCCGACTGATTTGATCATGTGCTCTCCGAGCTATAATAGCTAGAGCCACGTCTGCTATAGCAACAGTCTGATAGTAGATTGCCATCACTACCTACACTATGCGGCACATGTCTCCTGTTTTCTCTCGGCTGGGCGATTTCAGGGTTGGCTCTTCGCAAACTTGGTCAAGGATAGATATGGTAAGCTGTGAGGACTTGAATCGAGAGTGGGCCCAATAGACCATCCCGTGACTCTATGAAGGCTGTCCGATGGCTATCATCAGGCAACACTGGTAATTGTTCAACTCGGACGGCCCGTTGACTGGAGGGGTCTTTGGTAATCCACAAGCTTTTCACCCCTCTTCTTCGTCGCCAAAGGTGAGCTTTACGGCCTTCGCCTTCTTCTTTGTCTTCTTCATAACTTTGCCATCTGCCTTCTTGACGGCCTTTCCGTCCTCTTCCTTGCTCTGCTCATTCTCATCGCTTATTATTTTCGCGGCCTTCCGCTTCTTTGCATTCACACCAACCTCAACGATCTTGTCCTTTGGCTTCTCGTCTCCCTCCACAACCCGCTCTTTTAGGGCACCATCCCCTGTGGACTTTTCGCCTTCTTCATTGTCTTTCCCCGATACAAGTGCATCGTACTCTTCCTTGGTCAGCGACTGGTTCGTCTCCTCGAGTACATAGGTGGGCGCATCATCTTCATCGTCATCTTGCTTCATCCGTTTGTTTCTGAGAATCGGCTGCTCATGGCGGGCTGAGTCTCCGCCTGCCAACTGACCGCGCAGACGTTGTAGGAAGGCGGGCTGTGAGTTATCTGCCCAACGTGAGCATGCCTTCCAGATCATCATGAGGAAATACTTACCGAAGTGGAGATCTTTAGCTTTGAAGCTCATTTTGATGACTGGTACGATTCAGGCCGGTATGGGGTTCTAATATGCTTCGCGAAGATGCAAGGGCAACGTCACACAGGCCGTTGCATGCCGATCGTTTAGCGGGAGATTTCCATGCGGCTCGTTCGAGATGGCTTGGCGATGTTATCTCCGCGATGTTCAGTCCCACTTTGTCCTTGACATGTTTCACTCTTTGCAGACGTTATATAGGTGCAATATAACACGTGAAATGGGCACTATTACGGGAAAACAACGCATTGGCCGGCAGCAGTTGCCTCAGGCGCAATCTCTAGGTTGCTTGGCCCCTGCGCGACACTCGACGACATCTTTCTTGCCCGACCCGCTCCACCACACCAAGTCGCGAAACGCATACCGACTCGCCGGGCGCCGAGTGGGCTCGTAACTACCTTCTAGAACCCTCCTTTCTTTCACTCCTTTCACCCTAACGGATTTCCGAGATTATACCTGTCGCGCAACTATCAGGCCGGCTTCTGTTGTTGCACGCCTGTTAGTTACCTCGGGTCGCTCGTTACAAACTCGATGTCCCCGGCCCTGCGTTGACCACGTCGCCCTTCTCCTGCTCGTCTCCCACAAATCCTACGTATCCGAGCTTCGAACAGTCCATTGCGGTTAGGGTTCGCAAATACGCGAAGGACTGCCATTGGCAGGGAAGGCTTCCTCGGGCGCGCGATCCCTCGGACACAAAGATGAAGCTCTCCCAAGATGTGACAAGGCGATCACCGCCCTCTAAGGACGGCTTGGAGAAGGTGGACGACAAATTGCGCCGCGCAGACAAGGTCTCCCCGCAGTTATCTTTCTTCCGCCGCCGGATACGACTAAAGGGGAACTCGTCTGTCTCGATGCCACTGGGCTTAGTGCTCCTATTTCCATGTCTTGTACTCACATTAATCCTAATTCTCTTCGCAAAGTCGCCAGACCCCCAGGGCATCATGAACATGCCCGCCGGCGCTCCTCCGTCAATACGGTAAGTGTTGTCCCATCTTTGAGGTAGCAGATGGCAAAACCCTAACACTGCGTAGAAAGATCAGCGAAAAGTACGACAAGCCCTTCGTAGTAGGCTGTCTCGAACCCAAAGTCAATGCCCCCCGAGCAAACGCTGCATTCGTGGTTCTGGCGAGAAACAAGGAGCTAGACGGTGTCATACAAACAGTCAAATCAATCGAGAGACATTTCAACAGGTGGTTTCACTATCCATATGTCTTCCTCAATGATGGGGAATTCAACGCGACATTCAAGGAGACTGTCTTGAATCACACAAGCGCAGCAGTGGAGTGGGGCACGATCTCAGCAGAGCACTGGGGATTCCCTGATTGGGTAGATCCCGCAGTCGCAAAAGAAGGAATTGCAAAGCAGGGTGACCATGCGATCATGTACGGCGGCATGGAAAGCTACCACCACATGTGTCGGTTTTACTCCGGGTGGGTATTGATTGTTACTACAAATGACTCTGCTAACGTCTGGAAGTAAGTTCTATCAGCACGAGCTGCTGCAAAAGTACGAATGGTATTGGCGACTCGAGCCGGAGATCAAGTACTTTTGTGACATCACGTACGATCCATTCATCCACATGATACGAAACAAGAAGACATATGGCTTTACCATCGCCGTAAAGGAGCTGCGGGAGACGGTACCTAACATCTTTCGATATGCGTCTGCTTACAAGCGGATGAATAACCTTACCTCTAAAGGTCTCTGGGAAATGTTTGTGGAGAAGCCAAAAGAAAAAGAGGAGAAAGCGGTACCGACGACAGATCCCAAGTCCAAAAAGCCCACGCCCCAGGAGATGGAAGACTCGGAGTCCATCGTAGGGAAACTGCCCGAAATCGATCCTGAGGCGATGGAGGGCGAATCGTATAACATGTGTCACTTTTGGAGCAATTTTGAAATCGCGAGACTGGACTGGTTCCGAAGCAAGGAGTACAACGACTTCTTCGAGCTGATGGATCGCAGCGGTGGCTTCTGGATGGAAAGATGGGGAGATGCGCCAATTCACTCGTTGGCTGCCGGCGCTCTTCTCGGCCCTGGAGACATCCACTACTTCCGGGACTTTGGTTACCGGCATACCACTATCCAGCACTGTCCAGCAAATGCCCCAGCGCGGCAGCTATCCAGGAGCCCATACTTTGAGAAGACGACTCTGGACGAAAAGATGCGACGTGAAGAAGACGCGTACTGGGCGACGCCGGATCCAGTCAAGGAGAACGGTGTAGGCTGTCGCTGCAAATGTGATAGCGACATCGTCGACGTAGAAGGCAAAGAGGGGTCTTGTCTCGCGGAATGGGTAGATGCCGCTGGCGGATGGGCATCGCCTGGTCCTCAGTGGCCTTGATGTCTGTCCTTGTTTGCATGTTTTCCTACCGTTTATACCAGCTCCGGGGGATTGTTTTGAGGGAGCATCAGCATTTAGCCTTGGTTTCCGCACGGCGCCATGGTGTTGGTATTGCATATGGGTTGGGCAGCCCTTCTGGAGCATTAGCTACGCTACGCTACGCTACGTCAGGTGTACAGGGGCGTTGGCGGACGTGCATCATCTGCACTGTACATATTGCTCGACTGGCCGTGTACATTTACGAATGAAGATATGGTCGACGCTTGCATATTGATCAAGTGGGATTTCCATTCAGCAACCAGTTATTTGCTGTTTGTCTGCCTTGTTGGTGGTGGTCGTCCATGGTTTCCCTATCTAATCGGCGTGCGTACGTGGGGCAAGGTCAGCTATTGGGGCCCCTCCATTTCGGAAACGGAACCCATGCGCGCTGCTCTCACCACTTGACGCCTTGTACACCACTGCACTCGCTCTACAACTTGTAGTTGCTCTCTAACTACTCTCAGTGCCTACTAGAACAGCCAACCCTCACCGTCGAGGCCGTCAAGGTGCCCCAAGCAGGTATGTGTTATCAGCGTCCCCACTTGCATGATGCCTATCCCGGCCGGCAAGGCTTCCATTCCACGCGCATGGCCCGCGACTAGACGTTAGGCAGCGCCCGCCCGCACCTTCACCCCGTGCAACCCATGGCTCTGCCAGGAGTCCCTCAACACACTATAAACCCCTCGCACGCTCTTTCCTTTGTAACGTTCAACTAACATGCCTTCCAGTGACGCCAACCCAGCTCAAGATCTCAAGTTCCCCCCTGTGCGAGTCAACCACTCCCTTACCAAGCTCGACCTCGATACACTGATGATGCGGTCGACGACGCGCAGACTGCCAGAGGAGCCCGGTAGCTCTCTGGACGATAGTACCTATGAGCTGCTGGGCGATAGCCTCCTCGAGACGTCCGACGATGAGGCACATACCGAGTCGATCGCTTCGACCGACGGCCCAACGCCTGACGATGCGTCGGACTTCAGTGACGACGATAGCGTTTACGAGACGGGTAACAAAGACATGCATAGCAGCATACACTCCTCGCACGCGGAAGCACTAGAACCACACGCTCATGAACGCTCGATAGCAAGCGGGGAAGATAGTATCCTGACTGAGGTACCACTACATCTAGAAGGAAGCGAAAGCTCCCGCAAGATCAGGCTCGAGGAGCAACTGGCAGAAGAAGACGACGTGGCTGTAGGTAGCAAAGTCATCAAGAGCTTGTCGGATGCAACAAGCGAGCTGCCCCAGGTCTTGAACCGATACGGTTGCTCTCAAGTCAGACTGGTTGTCCGCGCAGCCTTGTCTCCACGTTCCATGCCCACACCAGCCTCTTACAGGGTACTCTACATTGGTATGCCTGAGAAGTGGCTGGAAGACGTTATTACTTCGCAGATCGGCGCCACAATCGCTGCCTCTCCCAGTGTTTCAAGGTCAGTAATGGTGCGGGACGGCCAGATAGAGCCGTACGGTCCCGTCATACACGTATACCGCTGTGCCGAGCTCCACACCTTCGCCGAGCATGACAAACGATCACACGTCTTGATCATCCTGGATGACGGAACCCAACTCAACTTCGGACCAGGTCTAGCCTCCCACTCTAAAGGGCGACCAGATCTTGTGGTTTTCTGTCACCCAACGATCCCCGGTCCTGCGACTGACTTACAGGAATTTGCGTCTGCTACTGAAATATTTGGTCGCGAGAACATTCCATGCATCAATCTTGCTCAAGCCCGACCTTACGGTGATGGGGCTTCCGCATACGACTCGAAGAGCTTGAGAGTATGCGTAGAGGGTAGGGATAATTCGGACACTGACTATGAGTTGAAGGAGGTTCTTCCTCTCGACTATTATACTTTCAGCGAACTCGAGCCCTCCCAGCTTAACCGTCATCTCGCTTTCATCAGTCCTCACCTGTTCCCGGAAACAGACACGAACACTGAAGAGCCACGCAGGTCTTTCACTGGTGACACATACAATGCGTTTATGAAGAACTCCCGCTCACAAGGGCGACTGATCAAGATGCTAATCTCGGCCGTGGTCTTGTTCGCACTGATTCCGGCCTTACTACATGGCACTGCATACGTGCCGATGCTCTTCCAGAAACCGTCAATTCTCAAACTCGAGTCTTCGATCTCAGCACAATACTCAGCATTGACGTCTTCTGTTGCTTCGGCGGTGTTGACATCGCAGACTGGTATTCCTGTCTCCTCTATACTTTCGGCGAGTTCTGCGCCGAAAGGTCTCACGCTTGTACCACCACAGGCAAAGCCCCTTAAGCGGAAGCTGGAAAAGAAGGACGAAAAGATCAACAGATTCGACATCCAAGCGACGGGTGATCACCAGTTCATTCTTAGTCCATCTAAGGGTTTCGCCAATAGCCGCAAAACACCTCAACTCCAAATCCAAGTGTCTCGCGAGTCAGTAGCGGTTCCATCTCATTACAATCGGACTATCAGCGGCGAGTACATTGTGGATCTCCAGCAAGAATACCCCTTCGGGGCCTTTAACGTGAACATCGCAACCTATTCAAAGCCCCTTCTGCGACAGTCTTTCGAGATTACGCTAGGACACAACAAGTCAACGTTAGCTCGACTCCTTGACACGGCCAAATTGGGTCTCATTGGTACGCAAAGCAACCTCTGGAACGCATCATATATATTGACAGAGCATTTTCGAGCAGGCTTGGCCGATGTAGAAGCCGCTGCTGTCCTCTGGACAAATGAAGTCCGTGGGCCAAGCGAGGAAGCCGTGGAACGATTCTGGAACGGAAAGCAAGTGCTTCGGCGGAAATTAGCCTCGAGCACTGAGTTTCTCATGCAAGTACCCGGAGCAACGTGGTTGGGGTTACGGATGGCAACTGCTCCAGTTCGCACCTCATCACCTATGTTGAGGGCCAGGATGAACGCGCTTCGCCTTCGGTGCAAGATGGAGATGGTTACAGGACTATCGAGTGATGGCTTGGCGGAGAAGCAGAGTTGGGCTTGCAACAAAGTACGAATCGAATCACAAGAGAAGGGTCAGCTTTGAAGTTTAGGAACAATCTGGAGAGCATAATGCGCTGGAGGAATCGCATCTCTCGTCACTTTCTCCCATTGGGTGGCGTTTTATGTTTGTTTTATGAGTCGCAGAACGGGGTATCAGGAGTCGATTTGATCTCGGGCTTATACCCATGGCATGGGCGAGGATGGGAAGGTTGGTGTTCACGTTGCTAGGGAACTCGTATGCTTGAGGCGGTTTGATATCTGGCGTATGGTGATTGCATGCGGCCACATGGCATATCAGGATCGCTTATCGATCATCGTTTGTAGTCCTCGCGATACTATATCATAAACCCCTTTTATTTTCAGCATGCCACTTGAAGTGATTGCCGACTTGATTCTAGATCCTACAGAGAGCATGAAGCATAAGTGAACCTGGAGATATCGGGCTGCCTGCAACGACATATGACACATATAATTCCACCCTAAAGCAGCGGTTTCCAGGCGATGACAGGCTTCACGAGGCTTCACAAAGGCGGCGAGTCAACGTCACGCACGTCCCCGAAACTACATGGAGCCTAGTCTAGCGCGGTGCCCCTCCATCGCGCCTCCCACTCCTAAATTCTAGGGCTTGTGCTAGCATCGACAACCCTCAAAACACACCACTGCCGCCCGACTATTTTACCCCTCAGGCACCTAGTCCTAATACCCAGCCTCATATATCTCTCACTGCCGAAGCCATGTCTGACGTTGCCAAACCAGACCCCCAGACCACTGCGCCTGGAGCGACGCTCGTCAAGGACGAGACCGCGAAGGTCACGACCGATATTGCTGCCAACAAGCCCGAGACCGAGACCAAGGATGACAAGCCAGTCACGGAGAAGGCCGCAGAGGCTGCTTCTTCGGCTGCGGCCGCAGTAAAGGACAATGTCTTCTCCATGTTTGGTGGCGGCCCAGCGAAGGTGAAGAAGGAGGAGGTTGATGATGTCAATGAGCCATCGGGCGCCTCAAAGCCCAAGGGCGAAGTATGCCTACAATCTTGACTCAAGAAAAACTTCTGGACTGTACTAATACCATCAAGGACGAGAACCCCGAGAACGAGGAACCCGACGTCGATTTCGCACCCGTTGTCCACCTCACCGAGAAGGTCGACACCAAGACCAACGAAGAACTCGAGGAGCAAGTTTTCAAGATGCGCGCCAAGTTGTTCAAGTTCGATAGGGATTCGCGGGAGTGGAAAGAGCGCGGCACTGGTGACGTTCGGTTACTCAAGCACAAGGAGAATGGCAAGACTCGTCTTGTTATGCGACGAGACAAGACGCTCAAGGTCTGCGCCAACCACTACGGTAGGATATATGATGCTCGCGCATATGGACAGTTACTGACATGTGCATAGTTGTCCCGGATATGAAGCTTTCGCCCAACGTAGGCAGCGACCGCAGCTGGGTCTGGAACGCCGCTGCCGACGTCAGCGAGGGTGAGCCTGAGGCCCAAACCCTGGCGATCCGTTTTGGCAACAGCGAGAGTGAGTTTCAGCCCCGAGGAAGATAGCTATACGCCCCACTAACAATTTGCGTCTAGATGCCAACCTCTTCAAGGAGGCTTTCATCAAGGCCCAGCAAGAGAACGAGGCACTTTTCGGCAAGTCAGAGCAGTAGAGGTCGTCCCTTGGTCGTCGGGAATGTGGGATGGGAAAGGAAAACAAGTTTGCATGCACGAACAGTGATGACTTTTTGAAACGGTAACATATCACGGCGGTAGAGATGTCCCACCCCTTTGCACATATAGATAGCAACAAATTGGCCTGGCTACTGCAGCCTATGGCGTCCCCCAAACTTGACAAGATTCTTTTACTGACGTGAATCATGACATTGAAACTTGGTACGTAGGCAGTAGCTGCTCTCACCCCACCTGGTAGTTCAACGTGATGCGACTAGTCACCTTTACGTTGTACCAGAACTGTATTTCACCATGGGCTGTGTCTTGTCGCAGCAGCCTGGCCATGATGTTTGTTCGGTTGCGCCAAGACTGCGCGGTAGCTAAATCGCGGCCCCGCGACCTGCATGTATCTCCTCCGCCAAATCAAAGCTCGCGACCAGCCACCACGCCAACTTCACTTTACCAAAAACTACAGCATCCCCAGCAACCACCAAAGCGCGCTCATCCAAGAGCTTGTCGCGTGTGCTACCTCTACATAGCTTGGATATTACCCGACAGAGAGAAAGCACATAACCAGACAAGATGCCGGACGTATGTTGCGCCGCATGGAGATAGTCAAGGCGATTGACCAAGTGCTAATGTTTGAGCAGGTCAAGCGTTGGGTCAAGCTCATCACGCACCAGAAGCCCATGTACGTATACACAACCTCTGCCCCTTGCGCCATCGCATGCGCCCGTCCGCCTAACGCGTCACGTTGCGACCAGCTGCTAACAAGTCTCCAACAGCGCGGAGCCTTCGCCCGTCGAGGGCTACCCAATGCGAACATGGAGCATAGAGATCTGGCTGCTAGACGATCAGGGCAACGAGGTCATGCCGAACGTCTTCGAGAAGGCTACCTACAACCTACATCCGTCCTTCGATAAGAACAAGCAGGGTCAGTGCGCAAGGCAACGCGACAGCCAGGAGACGGATCACTAACGAGCATGTAGTATTCAAGAAGCCGCCTTTCCGCATCGAAGAGAAAGGCTGGGGAGAATTCGACATGAACATCGTGCTCTCGGCTGTTGGCAAGGGCGGCGATCACACGCTCGAGCATGACCTCAACTTCCAGTCTGAGCGATACGAGGCGAAGCATCAAGTGGTGAGTGGTACAGACACCATGGGCTATTAGAAGTGATCACTGATAAGTGGACACAGACGTTCCGGAATCCGAAACCAGAGCTGCTCGCCCTTCTCCAAGAATCTGGCTCCGCCGACGCAAATGGCATCCGCGGCAAAGACGCAGCTAAGAAGAAGAATAGGCGGGACAAGAACGTTGACATGGAGAAGCTCGCCGATGGCCTTCAGAAGCTAAGCGAGGATGACCTGCTGCATGTGGTGACGATGGTGCACGACAACAAGACGAGTGAGACGTACACGAAGAATGACGTTGAGAGTACGTTGCCCTGGGCTTCTTTCCGAAATAGAGGGAATAGATATGCTAACCATGTGACAGACGGCGAGTTCCACGTTGACCTCTACACGCTTCCCGACTCGCTAGTCAAGATGCTGTGGGACTTCACGGCTTCGAAGACTGACTTATAGGCTTGTCTTTGCACCTCTCGCAGTCGGATACGAGTAGGATACAGTCCGCCACTCTTCGTCATTTTGCGACTACATACCCCAGTTTAGTCACTGCGCTCCGGTCGAATGCTATGGTCCAGAATCTCCATTGCGGTCCCGCACACTGGTGTCTGGATCAAGGACTACGCGCACACCTCAACATTTTCCTCGATTTTCTTTCCATATTGCTTACGAGCCGAGGCGTTCTTGGGCAAAAGCTGGATGATATGATCAGCACAATGCTTGGCGCTGGGTTGGGTAGGTCTATAGGTGAAATGGATACCTAATGAATGCTTCATATTAATTCTGATTATCGTTCATCCTCCTTTCTCTGTCGTTGAGCGGCCTTGGCCCAATCCAGTCCTGTTCCCTGGGGTGTTTCTCTTCGTCTCCGAACTTTCCTAGACTATCGTCCGCCCCTAGCGCTTTGTCAGGCCAGACCCTACGTTTCACGCAACCTTCGCCTAACCACTGCACTAACATGCCGGCATAACGCCTGATTCTGACTCCACCGCTAGACGATGTTCTGCGCATGGGGGTTACATGTACCCCGCGTGTCCTCGGGGCACAGGAAGAGGATATCCGAAACCTGGGGCCCCATATCAAGCTACCGGTGCGACACGCATGTTCATGCAACTTCCTCCAACTACGATCGGCTCCTTACGTCACGTGTCAGACATTATCATTTCGACACCTGGCAAACACACGTATCCCAATGGCTCTCCTTAGCGGCCGTGTCATAGCCATAACCGGTGCTGCATCCGGCATAGGCCTAGCAACAGCTCATCTTCTCGCCTCTCGAAACGCAACACTTTCCATCGCCGACGTCAACGCGACAGCTCTAGAGAAAGCGGAGAGAGACTTGAAACAGCGCTTTCCAAGCGTAGACATATTACCATACGTGCTCAACGTCAGCAAAGAAGAAGAAGTACAAAAGTGGATCGAAACCATCATAGCAGTCTACGGCCGCCTGGACGGAGCCGCGAATCTAGCCGGTGTAATCGGGCCCTCAATCGGGCTCAAAGGCATCGACAAGCAAGACATTTCAGAATGGGATTTCATCATGTCGGTCAACCTACGCGGTGTGATGCTCTGCCTCAAGCACCAACTGCGGCATATTTCCGACCACTCCGGCGGCTCCATCGTCAACGCGAGTAGCATTGCAGGCGTACAAGGCATGGCTAACAACGCCGCCTACTCCGCGAGCAAACACGGCGTTATTGGCCTTACGCGCAGCGCCGCAAAGGAAGTGGGGCACCGTGGTGTGCGCGTCAATGCGGTTTGTCCGGGATACATTGATACGCCTATGAATCATAAGAGTCGGGATATTGCGATTCAGAATGGCATGGAGGCTCAGCGCGAGAAGAGGATTACTAGTGTTGCGTTGAAGAGGACGGGAGCTCCGGAGGAGTGTGCCGAGTTGATTGTGTATTTGTTGGGGGATGGGTCGAGTTTTATTACGGGGAATGCAATTAGTGTTGATGGGGGGTGGAATTGCTGAGTGTGGATGATTGGGAGGGGGTAGGGAAGGAGAGTTGTACCGAAATGAGAACATGTCGCTACGGGGTTTTGCGAGTAGAAAGACTGTCTGATTGGCAGTCTATGACAGCTACGAGGGGTATTAACATGAGTCTGTGACTTTGCTACCCTTCTACTTCATGACTACTTGTTGATTTGGTGTCCAGATTTTGGATTCACCTTGGCAGAGGGACACTCTACAAGTAAAATCCTGCCTTTTGATTAAGATGAAAGAGTCACGCCTTTATCAGCACTTCTAATATGTATGTTAGGAAGTTGTATAGAAGTTTACTCTTCTTCTCGATCAATCAGGCCTAGAAGCGATTTGAAACAGAAGATGGTGGTAAGATCGTTAGTGAGCATAATTACTCCTCGTATAAGAACTAATTCTAGTGTCCAATAGACGTCTCAGGGTTCTGTTGCCATTACGTTGCGGAGCACATCCTCCGTGGCTAGTTCCTTCGGTAAGCGTGCATCTCGGTCCGAGGAGTAACGTGTGCACCTCATCCTGTGCTCTGCTTACTTCCGATCTTGCAACGACCTTGAACCACGGCATATAATCTTCATTCGCTAATCAATCTATGCCACTTGAGGTTTGTAGCAGTGCTTATACTGACGTTCATGAGGTCTGCGCCTTACTGCACAGCCTCATTCACCGTGCGTTTTCCCACTGCCCCTGCTGACGGGTGAGGCTGACTGCCCCAACGACTAGCATGTGTTACGATAAGCCTTGGAGCGTTGGTGGCATAAAGCTTCGTGGTCACCAGCTCTGACCGACATTCATTCAATCTGTTGTGTGGAAGGAAACTTATTGTACCTATCCCTGCCGCTGCCTCTGCCTAGGGAACTCAACGCCTTCCGTCCACTGTAGTCATCAACAAGCACCACCACGCAGCTAGGCCTAACCACCTTTATCTCTAACGCCTTGTACTGCTACAATGGGTCTCTTCAAATCCTCTCCCAAACTTGCACAACCACCGCTCCCAAACCTCGCCATCCACCTCTACAATCCAACAGACAAAGTTTTCAAGCCCGATGATGTCGTTACCGGCCACATTTCCCTTGCACCCATCATTCCGATAACACCGTACGCCCTCGAAGTCTCACTCTTCGGCCAATCTTTAATCTGGCTGCGCACGAGTCACAGGAAGAATTCGAATAGTATGATGGACTACTACCATTGGCGAGACAACGCGCCCCTCTTTGAAGTCTCCGAGAACGTCTTACCCAGTCCATCCAAGAAGGAGGAATCTATGACTGTATATCAGCCAGGACAAACGTACACGTTTCCATTCCACTTTCGCTTTCCAGCTGGCACGAGAAACTCGAGATTGGGACAATACAAGCAGGATAGCGATGAGCGGTGGACAGTCACACCACACGACTTACCGCCCACTTTCCTACACACAGATAAGCTTGGGGACGCGACTGAACCAGACTACGCAAAGATCGAATACGGCGTCAGGGTCAAACTGATATGTCCCGGTATTGGTGTTGTTCAGGGACAGAACCTGATAGATCTCACCACTACGGCACCAGTGCTGTTTCAACCCATGAACCGCAATCCGCAACACATACTCGACGGCCCAATAAGTGTACTACGCTACCCAAAGACATTCACCTTCCAGAGCTCCATCTTAACAGGCCAACAACCCAGTCAAATCGGCTTCCGACAAGCCATGCACGACCGCTTCTCCTCCACGACGCCCAAAGTCGATTTCGAAGCCGCACTCGACATGCCAGATGTGCTCGCCAGCGGCTCTGAATTCCGGTTCCGCGCCTCCTTCCACGTCCTCAGCAAGACAGACAGCGTATCTCATATCCCGCCCATCCAGTTCCGCGTTCTCAAGCTAGATCTGCTAGACTTTACGTTTGTGCGCGCGCCGCGCGATGAAGATGCTTCGACCTTTCGCGACGGGCACCACCGCTCGAATAAGTACGACTTCATGCCGCCGCCTGACGCGCCTTTTGGAAAATACGGGCGGGAAAACGAGGATTATTCGGAGCGCAAGACACATCTTAATTGCCTACCGGATTCTGCGGCCGTTGAGTTGGAAGAGGTGCCTAGCTATGATGAAAAGAAGAAGGGATTAGAGCAGGCGAAGAGCTGTGAGGTGTGGTTCACGGCTAGAGTACCGGGGTTTACGCCCCCGAATTTTAAAAGCTTTGCTATTACGAGGGCATATAGGGTTAAAGTCAAGCTAGGGGTTGAGGTCGGTGGAAAGCAATTTGTGCTGGAGGCGGAGAGTCATGTCAGGGAGATGGGGAGCGTGCCGGCTTAGTGAGCTAGAGACGGTAGCTTGAAGGCGAGGATGCTGGACGTGCGATGTTCCTATACCGTTCGTGTGTGATACCCATTGATAGACGTCGTTGTAATAAAATTGAATCGAATTTCTTTGCCTACTACGCACCGCTCTCGTAGCATTCGTACCGAAAAAGCAGGGGTATCATAGTCTATACGCCAATAGCAAAAACTCCTTGATCACCCTCAAACCCCTCCTACCAACTTGCGAGAATGTTTTCCAACTTCTTCTGCCCATTGTTGCCGAATTCCCGCATGTCAACGTCATCGTCCTCGTCCTCCGTGGTGGCTGGTACCTGTACATCACCCCACCGCTCATCCACCCTACTCGCAACGCGTATAGCTAGCGACCTCGTCTTGGCCAACTCAGGCGCCAGAGGCGCCTCCTTCCACACCAGATTCGGCTGTATGTTCTCCTTGGGCTTGCGGTAGGGTTCGAGCAGCGAGAGGAGCGTGCGGTAGGTTGCGAGGCGGTTTTGCAGGGTCTGGCGATGGGCAGACAGGGCCTGTAGCTTTGATACGGAGGCGAGGTATTCATCTTGAGATGTAGCGCCCGAGGTAGTAGAAGGGAATACCGAAGGGAGTTTTGCAATGTTTTCGTCGAGGGTGAGGTCGTCGGATTGGTAGAGCATATTTGCGTTGTCGATATCGTCCGAGTTTGTAGTGGCTTCTTCGTCTTCTTCATCGTTGCCGGCGTGTTGGGTGCCGGATTCCCAGTACAGCGTGTCTATTTGCTCGACGACGTGTTCGATCATTTGGCGACTGTAGACTTTCCGCGAGTGCTGTTTGAGATCGCGGTTTACTACACAGGTGAGCTATTGTCCGGGTGATTACAGTTGTAGATCAAGAGGACAGTTCTGTATACCTTTGTCAAGTACGCCTTTCAGCACACTGAGCTCAATTCCACCATCATCTGCAATACTTCGAAGCCTTTCTGAAGGTGGAATTCCACGCGACAATAGCTGTTTTCTGGACTGTAGGAAGAGTTGCTTCTGCTCGACGACTGTGCCTTGCTTCGACATTGCAATTGCCACGCGTCGACTGTGGTGGGGAAGTTAGGTGGAAAGTTGGGCGGGAGGTAGATGGTATGACGAGTGTTGTTCGAGGGTCCGCGTTCTGCGGGGTGTTAGCGCGAGCGCGTCCGAGCGTGATCTGCCATTCACTGTACGAGCTTCGACCAGGCACGTTTATAGTCAGAGTCCGAGAAATGAAGTAATATATATGAATTTCAGGAATACACTATAAGATCATAAGTTGAAAAGGCAGGCCCTAGGCTATGAATGAACATCAAACACCAAAGTCGGCTACTTTCGTGTTCAAGTCTCTATTCTGCACCATTGTGTCTTTCAGCAGCCCTCTGCCTCTTTTTCTTGAGGACCACCACGAGGCTTAAACACGCCACAACTCCGTCCAGTGCCTTCTCATCCACCACAAGCGTGCCGCCTGTAACAAAACTACCCCACCACTTCTGCGCGTACTTTGCAACCTCGGTCTTTTTATGGTGCTCCTCTGATCCGACCACTCTGTACAGTGTCATATTCTTTGAGTGCCACAAGCTATCCATTTCCCAAAAGTATGGCACGGAATCGAGTACAAAGGACTCGGTGCGTAAGCCCCAGCGCTTGTTCCGAAGGCTGATGGGATGGGACGAGTGTGGGGAATTGTCGGCAAATGTGAGAATAGCTTCGCCGACAGAGGTCCAATGGTGTGACCAATGTGCTATATTGTTGTCTTGGTCGTCTGTAACGTTGTACTTTAGGCCGAGCCAGTTGTTTCGATGACAGGTAATTGCGGGTGAGAACGAGTGGTCTTTCAAGGTTTTCTTGACCTCCTCCTTGTATTCATTGGTCATACCCGAGTAGGATACGCTCATATCCTTTGTCAGGTCAAGGACTGTGATTTTCTTGGTGAGCAAGCCATGTGGTGAGATCCAGTACACGGCTGTTGGGGCGAGGGGGCGAGTGTCGAGAGGTAGTTTGGAGCATTCGGTGTCGTGTGGTGTGTCGATCCATAGGTCATCTTCGGAAGATATGCTGGACTTGGTATGTGATTTTGATATTGTGCGATGGCGGATTGTGCCCTTCTCCCCATTCTGAGACGTGCCCATATCTTGTAAAGCGATTGCAGTTGACATGATGGAAGACGTATTTGGTTAGTTTACTTGATGATAGACTGACTGAGTGCTAAAAGCTGATGCTAGCCCGATGAAATGATATGGCTAGGAGAGAGATGGAAAAGAGATGATTGAACTGCTTTAAGTATTCGCACTGCAGGCTCATAAACCTCACCTACACAGAATATCCCCAAAGCTGAGATCCGTAGATTCAACTTATTCTCTTCGTTTATTGGCTCGTTTTGCCAAGTCTAGGCTTGAGGTATGCCTGGTGGGGCGGACATTCGCGTTGCTCGCTTTTGCGATTCTACGCACAGCCATAACCGAGGGGTGGAGGCACCGTTGCCTTGGTCTCGTGGCGATCTTCCATGCTGATTGATCGAGGCTATCATGTGATAGAGCTGAAGGCTGTGGTGGGTTGTGCTTCCTAAAGCAGGTGTAGCTACAGTTTGCATCGCGATACCTAGGTAGTGCCCTTGCAATTTAGAGAGTGAACTGCACACGGAAAGTGGTAACGAAGATGGCACGTGAGCGGCAAGCAATACGAGCTGCGTGCTAACGTCATGGTACGGGGATTAATCCGATCGGTCACCAAGGGTGCCACCATCTTTATTGCTCCTGAACCCACAAAGGCGGATCCGATCCGAGAGTAGGTACCACGTAAGGCAGTCGTGTCGTCAAAGAAAGAGGCGAGCGAAGAACAAAGTGAGGTTGTGCTCGCGCTCTCAGGACAGCGGCAGGGCACCACCCCATAGCCGGCTTTATTTATCGGCTCCGCGGTCTTGAATTCGCCGTGGTAGGAGAACTTGTTTGGCTACCAACAACGGGCGGCTAGCTAGCAAGCTAATGGGCGGCGGTAGCGAGCGCTGTGACGGATGCCAAGTCCCTCAAACGCGTAGCAGGGAAATCCAGGGCATGAAACACGTCGGCCTACCCAGTCACATAGGGTCAATAATGCCCTTCGTTAAGTTTTGATTGTTCTCTGTACTGCTTTGTATCAACGACCTATTTGTACATCTAATAAACCCTTCCTCTACCACCTCTATTGTTGTGCACCCGCTAGCAACTGTCGCGCCCTAGACCTCTTCCATGGTCGCGAGGGTCTAGACACAGGGGTCACGATTCACCACTCCACGATTCAGGCCACCTGCACCACTTCAACTCCACCACCTTGGAGGCCTCACCATGTCCAACACAGCCTCAGCGTCAGGGACGCCGACGCCCACTACAGGCACAGGCGCTGCCCTGAAGTCGGCGAACCAGAGCATCGAGAACTTCGCTGCTTCGCTCTCTACCGCGGCAGTCATCTTCGGTGTCCAGATAACAATCTTCTTGATTCTCAGCGGGAATTGGAAGCTACACAAGACCAAGAAGAGCACCAACGACAAGTCGGAAGACACTCAGAGCCTCTTTCACAAGATCTAGTATGGAACCCTCCCACGACACCTTGTCCAACGCTAACCAGACCAGTTACTACAAGACAGCCTTCGTGCCAAAAGCGAAGCGCATAGCAGCGCCCGTGACCGCCATCGAATCCTTCAAGAATGTCTTCACCATTAGCGACCGTGAGCTTGTTCGCATCGCCGGTGTCGATGGCTACCTCTTCCTACAGTACCTACAACTCTTACTCCGTATATTCATACCCATGGCTCTGGTCATCTTACCCATCCTCCTGCCCATAAACCGACATGGAGATGTAGAGGGCGTATCAGGCTTGGATTCGTTTGCATGGCCAAACGTCGGTGTGCCCGAGAAGGTCAACCGTCTGTGGGCGCATTTGGTCGTTGCCGTCGGCGTTGTTCTATGGGTCTGCTTCAACTTCTACCTGGCCTTGAGGAAATTTATACGTCTCAGGCAGACTATTCTCACCTTGCCAGAGCATCGCATTCGAGCTTCTGCGACTACGATTCTCGTGCAGAGCATTCCTCGAAAGTGGCTGACTGTGCCGGCCTTGGACGCCCTTTACGACGTCTTCCCTGGCGGTATCAAAGATATCTGGATCAATCGCAATTTCGACGACCTGATGGAGAAAGTCGACAAGAGGACTAAGATTGCGAGGAAGCTCGAGTCAGCCGAGACAAATCTCATCATCACATGCACCAAGAAGCACTTGGAAATGGAAGAAAAGGCCGCGAAAGAAGCGGGCAAGCGGAGAAGCAAAAAAGAGAAGAAGCATGACGAAGCCAGACAGAACGAGCTGATCAACCAAGACACCCACGACTCGGGTCTAGATGCGGGTAACCCCCATCAGATTGAGGAACAGTTGCAGCTGGTGCTTAAAGAGGAGGACTCGTCTTCGTCGTCGTCATCTTCACGCTCTACATCGCCAGATCGCAAGCGAGGAATGAACCCAATGCCCTTCGTGGGCCAGGGCATCCACGCTGTCGGCGAGGGGTTTCGTGATGTCGGGCAAGGTGTGAACCAATTCAACAAGAAGATATACGGTGGAGTACGAGGCGTTTTCGGTGGAAAGCAACGCCAAGAGCACAGGCAGGAACTTGAGCTTCCTGAGCCGCACCTTGATGGAAGCGCTGAAGTAACAGGTTCTTCTCCAATCTCAGCGGACTATGCGCAAAGGGGCGCCAGCAGTGATACATATACTCCCTTAGCGGCTCCTAATAAGGAGAAGTACGGGTCTGAGGGCACTGTGACAGAGCCAAACTCTCCTAAGCCTGCGGAGGCCGTTGATCCGGAAGAGGAGAAGGAGAAACCCGCCAAAGGTGGATTTCGTCCGTGGCAGAAGTTAAAAGCCGCCTATTTCGGACAAGGCGATTTCGCAAGCCCACAGCCGTTCCGACAACAAGGTGAGGTATTGCCTATGGAAATCAAGAATCCTGAGAAGATCAAGTACGACACGATAGGTCTCTACAACGAGACTTTTGCAGAGGACGATGAGACCGCGGTCTGGAGGAGGTACATGAAACCAAAGGACCGCGACACCATGCGTTTACCAATTTTCAATCTGTCGTGGTGGCCCTCCATACCGTTAATCGGGAAAAAAGTAGATACGATCTACTATTGCCGCAAGGAACTGGCCCTCCTGAACGTCGAGATCGCCGAGGATCAAGCCCATCCTGAGCGATTTCCATTGATGAATTCCGCCTTCATTCAATTCAACCACCAGGTCGCAGCCCACATGGCTTGCCAGTCAGTTAGTCACCATATTCCTAGGCAAATGGCGCCTCGAACTGTCGAAGTCAACCCCAACTATGTGCTCTGGGACAATCTGACTATGAAGTGGTGGGAGCGCTATCTCCGCATGGGGGCTGTCATTGTCATCATCATTGGGCTTGTCATCTTTTGGGGTATTCCTGTTTCGTTCACCGGAGCTTTGTCCCAAGTCAAGACATTGAGTAACAAACTACATTGGCTTCGATGGATCAACCGACTCCCTCCATGGGCACTAAGCTTCGTTCAGGGTGTGTTGCCACCAGCTTTCTTGGCCATTCTCTTTGCGGTTCTGCCTATTACCCTACGTTTCCTGGCTGGCATTACGGGTACAACGACATCCGGAGAACGAGAGCTTCTCGTGCAGAACTTCTACTTCGCTTTCGTCTTCGTCCAACTTTTCCTCGTTGTATCGATTTCGACAGGTATCTCAACAGCCATTCAGGATCTTCTCAACGACCCCATCAGTGTTCCTGCAACACTGGCAAAGACCCTACCCAAGGCTGCCAACTATTTCTTCTCCTACATGATTCTACAAGCACTCAGTATCAGTTCCGGAACGTTGTTGCAAATTGGAGCTGTCATCATCATTATCTTCCTCCGCTTCCTCGACACGACTCCACGAGAGAAGGTTACTAGGGTTTTGAGTCGGCCGGGGATCAACTGGGGTACTATGATGCCGGTTTACACCAACTTTGGTGCTATTGGTCAGATCCCTTATCAACTTTGTGTCTTACACTACTAACAGCATGCAGGTATCATCTACTCTGTTGTATCACCGTTGATCTTAATCATGATGGTCATCACCTTCTGTCTCTTCTGGTTCACCTACCGCTACCAGATGATCTACGTTAGCTATGCGAAGGCCGAAACGAACGGTCTCATATTCCCCAAAGCTGTCAACCAACTCTTCACTGGACTCTACTTTCTCGAACTCTGTCTCGTCGGCTTGTTCTTCCTACAACGGGATACCAAGAATGAGCCATCCTGCGTTCCCCAGGCAATTATCATGATTGTTGTTCTCGGCGCCACATTGCTCTACCAGTTCATCCTCAATAGAGCTTTTGGGCCGCTCTTTACGTACTTGCCAATTACGTTTGAGGATGAGGCGGTGGAACGAGACGAAGAGTGGCAACGTGCACAAGCTGGCCGCTGGGAGAAAGACGACGAGGATCACAAGCCGCTCACCACTCGGGAGGATGCCAAGCAGACAGCAGAAGAGCGTGAATTGGCTCACTTTGAGGAACAGAACCGTATTGACAGAAACCAACGGGAATCTTCCTACGGCCCGGGCTCCTACGAGTTGAACAACTTGGATGGCAACCAGTCTAGTGCCAACGGCGTCGCCGGTACTCCTGACCGTTCCCGTCGTCTTTCAAACTGGGCCGAGAAGTCTCGCAATAGCTCAAAGTCCCGGTCGCGCTCCCACTCGCACGCGCATACGCCTAAGAAGCACAAACGCAAAGACCCACTTGACTTTGTCACTGACACCTTCAAGCGCGGCCTTGACGACGTTGTCCGTCCTGTTCGCGACATTGAAGCTCAAATTCTCCCCTCGAAAAACCTCTTCGACGACATTGACGACGAGCTCGCAGACATTGAGCCTGAGGCGCGCCAGAAGCTTATTAAGCGCAGCTTCCAGCATCCGGCTACGAGGGCTATTCAGCCAGCCATTTGGATACCGCATGACGAGCTGGATGTTGCTAAGGATGAGATTCAGCGGACAAGTGAGTATACGAAGAAGATTTGGATTACAAGTGTGAATGCGAGGTTAGATGCGAGGGGAAATGTGCTATATCGGGGATTGCCGCCTGATCGGGATCCGTTTGAGAACATTGAGGTTTAAGGGGCCGTAGCGTGGTGAGCAAGGGATGATAAAGTTTGGAAGCTGGGTTTCCTTGGTCACTTTTATTCCTGTGCATCTTATTTCCTGTCAGAGCGTATTCTCTCTTGCATCTTGCATAGCGTGGTGGTTTGCATGGTACACAGATTTCCTTCTATTCTACAGATGACGATACCCACCTTTTATTACTTCCCTATAATGTAACGATTCATCACATCGCATCTGGTTTCATCAAAAGATTTCTCAAGACTTCTATTATTGTGGTATATACGCCCCTTGTCTCGCCGCCTAATATATATGATGTAGGTACTAGACAGGGTTATTAAAGTTGTATTGATGCCGTTGAGAACTCCATTACCTCCCTCCAACCCTCGTCTTCTCTACGACGACTGTACCAGAGTTCTCGACCGGATTTCCCCTAGCTGAGCCTGCAGAGCGCGTTTCTCTTCTTCGAGCTTGTCGATGGTCTTGCGAGCGCGGGTCACGAAGATCTTTGCTGTGATCCTGGAGAGTTGTTCGTGTGTAGTGGCAAGTGTCGTGTCGGCGGCAGCGATTTTTGTGCGGATTTGCTCGACGAGGAGGAGATCTTCTGGGGAGTAAGCTAGCTCCTCTTCTTCTTCCTCATCTTCCGAGTCGGAGTCAGAGTCAGAATCGGACGCAGGCGCTTGCTCTTGAGAAGCGCTGGGTGTTTCGGGGGCTGCCATGTCTTGAGGAGGATCGGTTGACTCTTCAGTGGTATCTTCCGCAGCTGGAGTAGGACTCTGTACATCGTCCTCTGCACCATCGTCGTCGAACAAAGCATCGAAGTCGTCCTCGTTCTGCTCTGCGTCTACCGCCTGCTGCTGTGCTTCTACCTCCTGGCCCATTGCTGGGGTGGTGCGAGGAGTAGGGCATTGCGTCGGCTTCATTTGAGGCAGCTCGGATGGCTTCGCGACACCATCGGTATGCTGTTCCGCTCCCTCCTTAGGTGGGCTGGGGGCGTGTAGCTGTTCCTGTTCCTCTTGAGGAGGGCTGGCGGCACTTGCAGGAGTATCGGCAGAGAGCTCTGCAAGCATCTCCTCGGCTAGCATGGCTGCGAGGTCATCCTCCTCCTCTACCCCTTGAGATGGGCTGGAGTTCATGCCAGCATCAGCAGTATGTAGCTGCTCTTCTTGCTCTTGGAGAAGACTGGAGGCATCTGCAGGAGTATCATCAGAGAGCTCTGCAAACATCTGCTGAGCCAGCACGGCTTCAAGGTCATCCTCCTCCTCGATGGTAGGAGTACTGAGAGCCTGCGTATGCCCCGTCTTTGGGGCTTTGGCAGGGCGGCCGGATGTCTTCTCGAGCTTGTCGTCAGCTCGCTTCCTCTTCTTCTCTTCAGCGTCCGCTTTCCTCTTAGTTGCAGCATCTGCCTTCTTCAGGGCCGAGGCCTCTTTCTTTCTTAGCGCCTCTGCTTCACGCTCCTGCTTCTTCTCCTCCCGCTCCTCCGCAGCCTCCATCTTCTTCCTCGCCTCTTCCGCTTCGCGTTCCTCCTTCTTCTTCGCTAGCACTTCCACCATCGCCTGCTTCTCCTTCTTAGACTCCTCATACTCCCTCAACTGCCTCTTCCGCGCCTCCACCCCCTTGTGCCTCCGAGTTGAGCCAATGAACGTGCGCTCTTGCGCATCTCTCTCCGCCTCCAGCATCTCCTGATACTTTGCCCTGCAACTCCCCCTCAACTCCTCCTTCTCAGCCTCCATCTTCGTCTTCTCATCCTCAATCTTCTTCGCCTCTGTTACTGTGGCGGAAGCCTCCCAGCGCATGCGATACATGTAAATCTCCGTGAAATTAGGAGAGAACTTTGCCATGTCGTGCAGGTCTTCAAGCGCGGCTTCGTTACTGGGCCAGAACGCCAGGCAGTACTTGCGTTGCTGTTTGGTGTCCATATTCAGCTCGAAGGTGCGGATGAGCCGGATCTCAACGGGATGCTTCTGCTCGTGTGTCTTGGTCTTCAGATACCGGACGCGCTCCGCCAAGAATGAAGGCTCCTTTCGCTTCGGAGGCTCAGGAGTAGCCTCTTTGGGTACCTCAAGAGTAGTCTGTTCTGGAGGGAAAACAGGGGCTACTACTTGAGGCGCATCCTCCATATCAACGTCGACGACCTCATTTTCAGCAAAATTCCATGCTTGTTGAGGTGCCTGCCGTTGTTGCGGCTGTTGTGGAGGATACGCCCATGAGCTTGAGGGCGGTGGAGCGAAAGTCGGCACCGGGTAGTTCTGAACTTGGTTTGGCAAAACGACTTGTACAGGATTGAAGGGTATGGAGGGAATAGGTGTCGGTTGCTGAACCGGTCTTCGTTGTTGTATCTCCATCTGCATCTGTTGCATCTGCAGATACTGAGCCGGTAGATACTGACTTGGGCCATTCCTATACTGCAGACCCGGGGCCGCGAAGTAGCTTTGAGGAGCGAAGGGGTTCGAGTTGGGCTGTGGCATGCCCATGAATGGAGGGTGCTGAAGGTACTCCGGTTGCTGGCCCGAAACTTGCACGACTTGTCCTGTTTGAGGGTCCCTGTAGACGCCAAAAGTGCTGGAGGGCTGGAGGTAGGGTAGACCTGTGGGGTTCGGCATCTTGGAGAAGGATAGAAGAGAGAAATCTGAATAGGCTTGAAAAGCGTGTGCAGACCGTGTAGAGAACTTAGTAGATGAATGAGCTATTGCAGCAGAATGTTACGAAGAGGAATTACTTAAATATGAACTCCAAACAAAACACACAATATTGAAAAAAGAGGTATCCTATACCGTACCAGCAGTTAGAGTTTTTGTTTGTAAAATGCGTAGAATCGCTACCCATAGAACCATAATCTGCTCACAAGAGGGTACATCTAGGCCAATAGCAGCAGCAGAAGATAATCATATGTCAGATTCATATCTAGAAACTCACTCATTATCCAAGTTATGCAAGGCGAGGATGACTCGGCCACACCCCGTGATACTGCCAGAATCCTCTCGAATCCAACTTCCGTCCCAATAGACTCATGTCCCGTGGTAACGCGCGAATTCCCTCTTCTTCCATTAGTTCGCCAACCCATTTCGAAAACTCCTGCTTCGGCTCCTGGCCCTGTTGATTACCTGCTCCGCCATCGACCATCGCGCTGAAGCTCATAATGAGATCGTACCAATCGTACACCCTTAGATCAGCAATGATCCACCGCTTGCTTGGCGTAAACTTGCTATGCGTTGCAATAACTGCACGTGCAACATCTTCTCCATGAACGAAGTGGACAGCCCCACGCTTCCTCACATCGTCCTTCGATTTCCCGAGCCGTGGTAGCCAGGTACGTGGGACGCGTTGGCCGCCGTACAGACCGCAGAGATTGAGTACACAGCCACCGAGCTCGAGCAATTCATCTTCGGCAATAGCGCGCGTGGAAGATTTATCGTACGGCGAGTTGTCTGTGCTCCAATCGTGAGGCAATTGATTGAAGATTTCCGTGGAACCGAGCTGAATCCAATTATTGCTCGCACCGTGAACACTACGGTATAATCCGACAAGATTCTTCGATTGAGAGTGGCCAATCAGGGGGAATGTAATGAGGATCGTGTGAGCGGAGGGGAGGCGCTTATAGGAGTCTGCATCGCCCGAATCAGGGTCAAACTTGAAAGGTATCGTTCCGTCTCTTCCGGTCGTAGTAGTTTCAGCATGTGAGATCTTTCCTCTCTCGAGTTGAGGGATCAAGAACGTCGAAGTCCATCCAGCTCCCAGAATTAGCAGGTCCACCTCTTTCGATTGCTTGCGCAGCATCTTGATTGCTTGTGCGCCTGAGTGTCGAGTACCGCTAAACTGGAATCCGGGCGGTTCGGCCTCGCTTGCTTCTATCGATATCTCAAAGTACTGGCAAGAGCTCAATAGGTAGTCTGGGGGCGTCGGTACTTCTTAAATCTTTTTTAATATCCAGATATATATCGATCGGCTCGTAGTTGACAAGTTGTTGGGAGTTCAGTAGACACAGAAGTCGTGACGTCTGTGCCACGGCACGGATCGGCGCACAGACTATTTCACGTCTAGTTCCATCTTTAAATCGCCAGAGACGCTTATAGCACCATACCTCACCCTCTACATGCAGTTTATGTAGCTAGGCAGCCAGATTAACAAGTCACCCTCAATGATATGCTCATTACCTAATCAATTCTAATATTTGTGGCATACTGTTGTTAAGGTTCACATATAGAGCTTCCAGTTGTATCTTCCAACAAGGTACATGGTTGCAGGTGGTGCCCCAACATATGCTCTTCAAGCTCCTCGCTGTCCTTGAAACCATCTTCACCTATTCTATCACATCCAACGGCTGCGCAAGGCACATACCCGTTCCATTTAAAACCAAATAGGCGCACCGGATGTGCGTACATATGGTGCCCTCTTAGATGAACAAGCGTCTCGCATTTCTCCTTACATCCTGGAAATCGACACGGCCAAAGCTTCTCGCCTGTCCAGAACAGCTTCCCGCATTCATCGCTTTCTGGCATGGGAAAGCGATTGCCAAGGTGGCTATTTTGCGTCCAACTGACCATGTTTTCCACAGTCTGCTCAGCCATGTACGTCCAAGTTGACGTAGTTCCAGGCTCAGAACCTGGGCCGACTGAATATGAAATGTTAAATTCTCGCATTGGCGCGCAAAGCAGTTTGTCGTGCTCGATACACGTGCGACTAGACATCATTTGCCTGCGAGTGGATCGCTTGAACGTGGTCGTGGACGTCGGGACGTACGAAGAACCTCGGACGGTTTTGAACTTGAAAAACTCCAGCCTCTCGCGAAGTGCTGTAGAGACATTGCTTTGCGGGGTCCAGGCACAACTCATGTGGATATTATCGGGAGGTTCTGTTATAGATAATCTTCTGGGGTGCTCGTTGTCGGTCTGGTGAACGAGCAGGATGATAGTGGGATTACGGAGACATGGATCAAGGAGAGCCTTGGAAGCGCGAATGAAAGCATTGTTCGCCGCCGCGTGTCCCCATGGTAGCCAAATTGTCATTGATCGCATTTGCCAGGAACGGAGGAGAGAGCATGTTGCTCTTTCGTTGGTGGTGCAGTACTCACAACTTTCGGCGTCGTAACAGCGCACAGTACCTGGTCGAAAGGCCAGAAGGTCGTTGCATATGTGCCCGACCCTCAACCTGAGGTATCGCAATCGAGTGAGAATCTTACTAATCTGATAGCATAGATGATCCTCTTGGTTATTCATGATAAGTTCGGTACTGGGAGGTACATCTGTACCACTCGTGTCGAGCTCAAGGTGGATGACTGTGTCTGGAAGCATTGCAACAAGCTTCGCAATTATGCTTTGCCGAATCGCGGGTACATCTAGGATAGGAAAGTCCCAACCTTCCGAGAATTTCAACGAAAAGGTCGACAGTCTTTTCGTGGAGCTAAAAACCTCCTGTAGCGACCTCACCAAGTCGCCTGCTTGTGATGGAGCGAAAGGTGTCGCGATCCGCTGATGCCGGACGTGAACCGTCAAGCTCCTCATCATCGACAAGTACAAATGGGAAGGCGGTTTGAAGTCAAAGTCGGTCCTCAAGTGGATATCTGACAGAGTGCCCTCTTCATGGACATTGCAACGGCGGGTGTCCGACTCAATAGTAGCAGACGCGGCGAAGCCCAGGCCTTTGTACAGCCCTAAACTGATTCGATGCCACTGGCGACATGTTCGCAAGCAGTTCCAGAATTCAATCGACGATGCGGTACCTTTTACTTGTCGAAGTATATGTTCAAGGAGCTCCTCAGGAACGTCGCCTATGCAAGGCCTTGTCATGACGCGCTTATTCAGGCTGCAAACAGAGAGGAAATGGAACGAGTCCTAAAGCTAGGCTTGAACAGATCTGTGAATTGAAATAGCGACAAGATCTGAGATCCGCAATCTGATATCGAAGAACCGTGTGCGCTAGTGGTGGTGACGAAGAAGAGGGTTCTTTGACCCCACCTCAAAGCTCTAAAGCTGTGTCCCCTTGCTTACCTACACACCTTACGCGACCAATTTCTGCTGTGTTTCCCATGCTACCAAAAACCATGTATTTTGTCGCAAATGATGCCTCTTGATGATGTCGACGTTGGTGTTGCTGATCTGCAGTCACGTGGCGGCGCGTTGGCGCGTCGCATTAGCTGCGCGAATCGCATTCAAGACATTACTATCACTGTTCAGCTTCATTCAACATTTGCAGTCCAGCATAGGCACCAAGAAACTCAATCTGATTCCCTGTGAACGCTCACAGTTTCAATGCGAACCTCACGTATTTCCCGTGATACGTCCCGTATCCTCGCCGCGAGCCGCACGCAGCGTACATTACGCCAGACCCGAAGTGCCGCAAATATATCGAACCGGGATACCCACATCGAGAGCAACGGATTGGGCGAAGCAGTTAAAAACAACGAGAATGAAGACACAGGCTCTGAACTGAGCTCTGTGCCAGCGGACTCAGGCTCAGATGGCGAGGCAGGAACAGCAAACAGAAAGAGGAAAAGGGGACAGGACACACCTGTTGTCGTCAAGCTCGAAAGCAAGGAGATATTAGTCGCCACGATTGCCTCGCCGAAGAAGGAAAGCAAGCCCAAGAAAGCGCGCCGCATGCCCGCGAAAAAGATAAAGGCGCTAGATGGTAGCGTCAAGGTGGAACCGCCATCGCATTGGGAGGAGATATATGCCTTGACGCGACAGATGCGCAATGAGCATGTCGCTCCGGTGGATACAATGGGATGTGAAAGCCTGGCAGACCGGACTAGGTCTCCGCGAGACCAAAGATTCCAGACGCTGGTAGCTTTGATGCTGAGCAGCCAGACGAAGGATACAGTTACAGCCGTAGCAATGAGGGGTATGCAGGAGAAGATGCCAGGAGTAGGTTGGTTCTGTGGAGCGTCGTGACAAAAGCTGACACCGACAGGGCTTCAACCTCGAGTCTGTCCTCGCACTTGAACCTCCAGCACTCAATGCATTCATCAACAAAGTGGGTTTCCATAACCTGAAGACAAAGTACATCAAACAGACTGCAGAGATCCTGAGGGATAAATGGAACTCGGAAATCCCAGATACCATCGAAGGGTTGACATCACTGCCAGGCGTAGGACCCAAGATGGGTTACCTGACACTGAGTGCAGCTTGGGGCCGCGATGAGGGTATAGGAGTGGATGTGCATGTACACCGTATCACTAATCTGTGGGGATGGCACAAGACCCAACAGCCAGAACAGACGCGCGCTGCGTTGGAGTCCTGGCTTCCGAAGGACAAATGGCACGACATCAACAACCTGCTCGTTGGTTTTGGGCAGACGATTTGTCTACCTGTGGGAAGAAAGTGCGGAGACTGCAAGTTGGCAGATAGAGGGCTATGTCCTTCATCAGTGGTGGCAAAGAGTAAGAAGATCAAGAAGGAAGAAGCTGTTGTGAAGATTGAAGCACCCAGTGGCGAGTCGATAGTACAAGAGAATTCGATATTTGCTGAGGTCAGTGAAGTCAAGGCTGAAGATGCCACGCTAGATATCGAAGACATTGGGATGGAGCCACGCAAACGAGCACCGCGGAAAGCGACGAAGTCGTAGGCAATATTGAGCCCCTACTGAAACTCTAATATCATGCTACCCGGCAGGAGAACACCAGCCCATATGCTGTAAACTTATGGCTTTGTTATCCTCGTCAGTTCACATTATTCGGCTGCATTCACTCTGACAAAGCTACAATCAGTCCCACGGAAGCGCGCAGGAAACGCCTTCCAATAGCAGACCACTCGCTGGCACCTTCCTGGTGAAACGATATTGCTTGCCAATGTATGATTGCGCGCTTTCCGCCCGCTCTGAAGGCTCCAGAATAGGCAACAGCCAGTGGAGACGACGTCATTCACCAAACCGACACGGCCTACCTAACGAGAAAGGAAATTTACACGGCCAAACCCTTCACCGTTCACCTGGGCACCGCACGAAACCTTTGTTTCACTACGTGTTCAGCGGGCCTCCCACCAGCACTTAACATCCCACGACTTCCTACTAATCTTTCTCGACCACCACCGTGACTCAACACAGCCTACATCTACTACCTGCTTCATCTACGCTCTCAATCTCGATAAGCGAAAGTACCAAGGATGGAGACGCATCAGATCGAGGACGCTGAGCAAGCTGCACTTACTATTGACACCGCGTCGCAGAAAGCGGATAGCGAGACATTTACCGACCAAAAGGCTCGACTCGAAGATGCGTCTACCGCGAAGGTACGCAAGGTGAAAGACCGCCAACGCATCAAGGCTGAACGTGCCCGTCCACGCATCATGATCATCATCGCGTGTCTTGCCTACCTGGCCACAGCTCTTCTCGCGATCAACATCGGATTGCTCAATATCTCGAACTTCATCGAACCGCGTCTCGCATTGGCAGAGTCTGAGACTCAAGCGGAGTCATTCGGTATCGTGCGAGAGCGAATGCGACTTATACGACTCGAGAAGCTTCTTGCTGGGCAGTTAAGCAGGATGTCCATGGAAAGCCACGAAGAATGTCTTGCGCGAGGACTTCAGGCTGCCCACAAGATCCATGACGGTTTCCAATATGCCGATGTTCGTAACCAAACCATGGATTGGGTCATGGAGAACTGCGGTCGTCTTCTATACACACCGCAAGTCGCAGATCCGTCTCTGCAACAAACCGTCCTGGCGCATTTGACTCACACCAGCAACCGTGGCCGCCAGATTGCCGAGGAAGCCGTGAGCTTTGTGAAGCAAAAGGCCCATTGGATCTTGCATCGACTGTTCAGCACGGATCTTGCTCAAGATGATTCCGCCCGCATCGAATACGTCCAGGCACACGACCAGTTCCCAAAGTCTTCCAACAATCCGCTACCCCGCATTCAGATGCCCTTTGGGTTCGACCTGGCCTGCGAGGACTACAGTCCGTGTCGCCTCATTTACCCCCACAAATCCACAAATCCATATAGCAAGCCAACGTTCACGATAGTGAAATTTCGGGCATCCGCACACAAGTTCGCCGAACTGTCTATTGTCAAAGCCAGGCTTGATACGCTCCGAGCAGCCTTCGACATGTTGGTTTTCGTTCTCGTACTGGCTTATGGCTGCCTCATCGTGATTTACATCCGCGTAAAGGCCTTCAAACCGGCACAAATAATACTTCCCGCCACCTCACTAGAGGAGGGCCAGTCAATCCTCAGCATCATCATGCTCCTCATCTCGAGGGAAGATAAATACTTGTTTGGCTCGCTCGCTCTTGAGGTCGTCTCGTCACTTCTGTACTGCTCGACACTGTACGCTTCTCGCACTGGAGGAAAGCTGAGCATGATATGGGGTCTTTTCATGTCGATGGTGGGCCTTTCTATGATGGCCAGTTTTCTCGTCCCGTCATCGCAGCTGGAAGACATATTCATGATCAGCAAATCGGCGAAGGAGTTGTGGTTGATCATGCAGGATCGTGAGATTCCAGGCTCGGCCAGTAAGGAAAAGAAGGTCACTCGGGGCACTCGACCGAACACGGAAACTGCTCTAAACCAGATCAAGAAGGACAGCTTATCGACTGGTGTTCAACCTGAGCGACTGTTGCCGCTGTCCTACGAAACCACGAGTCGTTCCATCTCCCCGACTACGGTGAAACAGGAAAATATTCAGGCGGAGGAGTTGCAAGCTTTGTACGAGGAGCGGTCCATCGAGAATTCAGATAGCGAATTCGGTACTGACTCTGAGATCGATAGTGAGGACTCAGATGATCTCGCTGGCCGTTTCGCGACTACAAGCAACGATCTCGAGTCAGGTTGGTCTGTTGTGGATCCCTAGGGTCACCCTGAGCTTCTAGGGCACATGTTCATGGCGTTTAGGCTTGCGATGCCCGGACGCAATATGATCCTTGTGCTCACTCTTGATTGCGTTTTCCTCCACATGTCACGGTACGATGCTATGTCTACGATAGACAGCTTGCACATCATATCGATGTCAGATAAGTAGGGAGCCCTGAGTGGCACACCTGACCATAGGGTACAAGTCACACCATGACAATAACAGACTGTATTTTCAAATGATCTCGAGAACCGTGACATTGCTAAATCAAGCTACCAGGTACCATTGTCGTTCTACAAAGATATATGAAAGAAGATAACTCCAACGCTTTTCTAATGTGATAGACCACGGCAAGCACACTTCCTTGCCAACTCATTTCTCTTTCCCGTTGCCATTACCATTGCCCAACCCCAAACATCGACCCGCATCCTCCAGTTCGGCCAAGACTTTCTCTTCAAGCTCATTCAGAGCATCATCTCCTTGACCCCGCTTCCTACCAAGCATCTCCACCTCACGCTCATCCATAGCAACAATACGCTCCCTTAGCGCCCCCTTCCTACTCAACCAGCTCTCCACATCCTCTTTGACATTCTCCTTATCCCAGTCCAACAGCGCAACGTCGTTGGCCTGTATACCCAGCTTTGGACCCTGTTTACGCACGTTTTCCAAGATGGTAGAAATGAGCGCAAGGGAATGTGTTTCCGAAGCGACAGATAGAGTGATTTTCGTTGCTGATGAGCGAGACGAGGGATTCGAATTAACCGAATGCGACGCACGGAGTAGCTGTTCAGGATACTGGTTTAAGAAGGACGAGATTTCCGCGGCGATGGGTGGGCCGACAGAGAGCAGGAGGTTCAGACACAAGGGAAGTATGCCCTTTGTCCAGATAGAGTAAAGACGGGCTGGAGTGTCGAACGGTCCCATGCCGTTGGGACGACGGTAGTAGTTCATCAGGTTCGCTGTGTTGATTTGGCTAAGTAGGCCTTCGACTGCCATTGTCTCCGCCAGTGCCTGGATACTCGACAGAGAGAGTAGGAATAGTAAGCTTAGCTCCCCATAGATGGGATCGTTGACACCGTTATTTGGTAGTGTCAGACGATCGGACCACGAGAACAAGCTTGTTGCGTAGCGGATAGTGTTGCTATTTGCGAAGAGAAGCGCAGCTTGCGTTTGCCACTTGGCCATTTCCGGGATAGCGATGATGCGCTGGAGGAGAGCGGTAAGGAGGGCAAAATCCGAGGGTGAGACAGAAGAGGGTTCGGCGTGCAGCTGAGTGGCTAGGCTGCGGAAGCCCTTGGCTACTGCGTCGGAGAGGACTTCGAGTAGTTGGGTTGAGATGGGCTCTGTGTAGGAGTTGTGACTTGTCGGCATTGTGCCGCGGAAGCTGGAGCGGAATGAAGCATCCTCTGATTGATCAGAATCTTCAATCAGATGGAAGTGAAGGGCGAGGTAAGTTATACGCAGTAAGGAGCGGTGGTAATGTACAGCATCTGTGGAGAAGACATCATCGAAATTTGGAGTGGAGGCTCGAACAGCATTCCAAATGGGTGTGAGGAGCTGGCGTGCCTCCGGTGTCTGAACCTTTGCTTCGACGAGCTTCTTCAGAAGAGCGAACGCAAGATCAGCTCGCGCGATCATGAGCTGCCCGAATAATGCCTCGGGTAGGTTCGATTGTGTATTAGCCTCCATACACTTCTTGATGACGCCGATGAGGATTTTCGTTAGTCGATCGTCCTTAGCGACAACATGGCTTAGCTCCAATGATAGTAGCTTCCAGCCTTGGAGTAGTAGAACTTGTGATTCCACTAGCCCAAGGTTGTAGTTCGCTTTCTCGACCTCATTCGCGAAGCCTGTGCCTTCCCTGGGTCCAGACCATTTGCTGTCAAACCCTAAGAGCTGCTGAGCAAGCTCAGTATCGTAGAAGAACGTTCGGCCGAAGGACTCGGGGTAGAGAGTTGTCCGCTTTAGGTTGGCTAGCGAGACACCGGGATACTGTCTCTCGAGATTTTGCTTCAGGTAGCCGTGCAGTGACACATTGTATGATGGCAAGTCCAACGCAGCCTCCTCCAAATACCCCAGGCTTGGGACAACATCCTTGAGTGCAGTAATGTCGCCGACTTGCCGTGAGCTGTGAAGATACATTGCGATGACTTCACATGCTAGCGATGCAAACCTGTTCTGGTAGGAGCGCTCCAGAATTTCAGCGTTGTGTCTTGGTTGTTTAGATTGCTTTGCCATCCATTTAAGGAAGGCGAGCAGTTTCTGGATCAAGTCTTTCCGTTGACGCAGGTCACCCATCGCCCACGACCAATTGTTTTGTGCTGACGAAACAAACTCGAGCATGGCTGTGTACAGTGGCCATGGAATGTCGTTTGTCTCCTTCTCTGGTAGGGTTAGGCTGGAAAGCGCGTCCAGCGCTCGAGTGAGTAAAGCCTTATTCCTTGAATTTGGAGCCGTATCGGCCTTGCTTCGGAGTGACTCGCGTGGAGTGTTGCCGGTGAGCAAGTACAAGGAAAACCATTGCTGTTTGCAGGTCACTACTGCGGACAACAGATTCCAGACATTTGTCTGGATTTCAACTATCCGCAACGGCTCGTCTAATACAGACAGCACACTCAGGAAGTTTTTCGCTGTTCGAGGCCCTAGGTGTCCAAGTAGCGAAGGTGGTTCCTGCTGGTCCTTTTTTCTCCGGCCAAGTTGCTTCGCGTCCGAATCCCCCATATCTGCGTCTTCTGGCCCTATGATACGGACAGCGCCGCGGACAAGAGTCTCTAGCAGTAAGACAACTTGCGACTTCCACTTGTCGCTTGTAGCGTACAACCGTGCTAACAATGGTGTCGCTTTGAAAAGCTGTTGCTCCAGATGGGTCCAGGGTTTGTTCATTAGTATGGCGACGCGAACTAGAATGTCAGACAATGTCAGAGTTGCTTGTGTCTGCTGCCTCCACAATGCCGCAGAGCTAGTGAGGAGTGCTGTGTCTTCGGGGCCAGCTCCAATGACCAGTGACGCCAGTATCGGGTTTGCTGGTAGATCGTTTTCTGACTTTGTGAGATACAGCTGGGTGATGTACTCAGCAATGGGTGCGATAGACTTGGTGAGCTTAGCGGAGAGCTTTAGCGCATCGTCAACGCCATAAGCAAGCTTCAATATTGTCGTGAACACAGTGCATATAGCGATGTTAATCTCTAGACGATGCTCTGGGTTAGAGTATTTCCAACCTAATGAGCTTTCGTAGATGCTTGCTAGTGTTCGACCGAAGGTGAAGAGGATTGTACTCATGATCTTGTCTGAAGTACCACTTTCAGATGGGGTAGAGGAATTGAAGCGGCTTAACGCTTTGCTGGGGGCTTTACGAGCGATAGACCTGTCGACTGCGTCTTTGACCAGTCCTTTGTAAAGCCGTATGCATCCGATGAGGAAGTCGTATCTGCCGAGTACCATTTCCGTGCCGATCAGGATCGCGGCCAAACTCCCGTTTCCGTCGCCCTCTAACAACCGACTCCTAGTCAGCCAAGGCCACACTCTTTGTGGGGCGACGGCTACAAGGGCTTCCAGGAAGTGGGTGCAGTTCACCAAAAGCTCCAAAGCTACTTCGTTGTTCGGCTCTTGGCCAAGGCGCAGAAGCTCTTCCTCGAAAACAGCAAGTACAATATTGACGGTATCTGAACTACTACCAGTGCTGACGCCAAGTGCTTCCAGCAGCTCGTTCGAACAGACTCCTTCAGACAGTTGTAATGAAGAATGTATCAAGTCAGCGAAGAGTCCAATGATCTCGAGTGCGTTCTCACGAGACGCTGGCTCTTGTGTAGTGCACTCTACCTTGCTACTGCCGACTGGGTATGTAGAAAGCAGTTGGGCAAGATATGTCAAGGTAGAGTGTTGATGATGCCACACCGCCACATAGGGTTGCGTGCTGTCATCGACAATGATACCCTCTGTGCCGGCTGGAATAGTCATAAGCATATCGGTCGAAGTCGAAGCGGCTGACGTCAAGAGGCGGCGTTGATTGCGCGACCCTGGTAGCGCCCCAGATGAAAAAAGTGGAAGGTCCGCCGTCAGCTCGACCCAGTTTGCGTTTTCTTCCTCGCGCGTTAATGCATACTCTCTAAAGCCCTCTGGCAAGCGTTGCATCAGTCGGTTCGTATTTGTGAGCTTGCCGATAAAAGCCGGCATACCATTTTGCACTGTTCTGTCGCCGCGGGTCAAAGCGCTACAGAATTTCAGGAAGGGCGTCATCTCATAAGGGTACCGGAGACGCGCCTCGTTCAAAAGAAGTGGCCTCAGAACATACTCGTCCTCGAGGAAGAATGCAACAACCGGGTCGGTATGACGAGAGACGTCTGCGTCCACCCAATTGCGGAAAGTCTTGTCGCCTGCCAAGATAGTGTATGTAGCTACAATCAGGTCTGGACTATATTCCACGACATCACTGCCAAGGGCAGCGCGGATGAGCTGTAAGAATAGGAGTCGAATTCGGTCCCGAGAGATCTGATCGATAGGAGTGCCGAACGCGGGTATGCCTATCTCAACCAGCTGGTTGATGATGGCGAGAACGCCAGCCGCTGAGCTAGCATTAGCTAACTCTTCATACGGCATTTTGTTGTCGAACAGCTCGTGGGTTTCGAGCTTCGCAATGGATAACGCGGATTCCTCGAGTGCGGAAGGTGCGGGCAAAGATGTCTGCGCGCCATGTGAGGACTCAAGCAGTCGTTCGCGCTCTTGCTCTTCATAGCTCGCTCGATTTGTGAGCTTCCAGATGAGGATGGCCCAGGCAAAGGTGGGCGGCGTAGCAGGGCTTGCACCCAGTAGCTTTGCCTCTCCGAAGATAGTGGTGATATTCTCCACGACGCCGGTATTGAGAATGTACGATGACGGATCCCAGTTCCTACAGTTGCCAGAATCGAGGTCGTTGATGATGAGGTCTACTTTTAGGATGGCCAAGGATATCAGGGAGGTTAGAAGCTGAATCACAGGGATGAGTGGCTCCTGGCGAGGCGGAACCTATGGGCTGTCAACTAATGCTCAATGTCTTGAATACATGCTGTACTTACGGCTGCAAATTCGCGGAAGAAGCTGCGAGTCATGAAAGTTGTGAGCCAATCTTCAATGGTCGCAGCGGGTATGAAACCTTTGGTAACCAAGTCGGCGTGTACAAGGGCCAGATGCAGGATATGTAGCAACTCGGTAGTCTGAGCAGCCACCCATTTCTCGGACGCAGATTCCAGTATTGCATCGGCCACAGTCCAAGTGTAGCCGCCTTCCAGGCATTCGCACCTCTTCTGCACCGCTTTCAAGCATTCATCAAGCGCCCCTGCACCTGAACCGGTCGTGGACGCTCCATTCTGCGTTGAGGCGATAGTCTGGCCAAGCTCTTCAATCCATCCAGCGCCTATAGTGAGGTACTCGTTGCCGTAGATTGTTTGACTCCGCAAATAGGATGCCGAACCCCACGAGACGAGGAGCTGGCTGATTCGGATGATGGAAGCGCAAGTCGAGTGATAGATGTCGATTATGCGGAGTCTGCGCTGGTCTTGTGTGTCGAACTGCGTGGATCTCGATGCCAGCGGTGTGGTAAGGATGGACGAATTGGGTACGAAGGTGGATGCGCCGAGATTTGCAATGCCAGCAGCTTCCTGTATACTCAGCGCCTCCTCTTCAGTCAGCCCGCTGAGCAGCTGAGTGGTTGGTCTGCTCTGCCATTCCTGCACAGCTAGGTGCAAGGCTGCATATTCTGATATTTGCGCCTGTTTGGACAACCACAGGCTGTCTTCTTTGATCTCGTCTAGATTATATTGACTATTGCTCGACGGCGTGACGCTTATCGGCGCAGTCTTTGAGTCAAACTTGCTCTTCTCCTGTGTTGACGGGTCTGGGAACGGCTTCCACGGTCTGCTGAGTATGGCGGCATTGTCTCTCGATGTAAGGAAAGCGCGCAGAGCCTCGCTTCTGGACGCGGTTTCAGGGTCGCAGAGGGCACGATATGCGATATCCCAGGTACTGAAGTCGTTAGCGCACAGTTGCAGCATATACAGTTCCAACAAAGCAAACGTACACGAGCTGTTGCTCGCCCTGGAAGCACTTGGACAGGTCAAGCTCGGGCGATTGGGTTGGGGCCATGTTGGCGCTACAGTGCGCTGGTAGAGAGGCAGCTATCCAAAGGCCATAGAGGAGCTGGTTCGCGTGGGTGGGGTGCCGCTGAAATGTTTGGCGTGCTGGTCGCGTAGAGCTTCGGCGTCTTAAAGTCGGCGGTGGTGCATGGGGACAATCAATCAATCGCACACCAGCCACTGTGGCTGTTGCGTCGGCAATAGCAGCGCAAACTCCGATGTCTCTTCTATTCAGGTACAATAACTGACTCACCCCCACCGTAAGCATCAACATCCGCCGCGCTTCCGCTCCCAGCGAAGAAACCCTATATAGGATCGCCGAAATGCCTTCTTTGGAGCTCATCGACCATTCGCCCCGCCATCCCGACCCTTCGAAACCGATAGCCACCGCTTCGAATGTCATCCTCATCGACAACTACGATTCCTTCACCTGGAACGTATACCAGTACCTCGTCTTTGAGGGCGCAACTGTGACTGTATATCGCAATGACGAAATCGCCCTCGACGAACTGATTGCGAAGAACCCCACACAATTGGTGGTTAGTCCTGGTCCGGGACACCCAGAAAAGGATGCTGGCATCAGCAATGCGGCAATCAAGCACTTTAGCGGGAAGATCCCGATTCTTGGTGTTTGCATGGGAGAGTGAGTGCCATCTCAGTAGGGCTAGTGATTCCAATCTAATCCATGGGTAGACAATGCATCTTCTACGTCAACGGCGGCACCGTAGACGTCACTGGCCAGATTCTACACGGCAAGACCTCGCCCCTCAAGCACGACGGTAAGGGAGTTTTTGCCGGTGTCCACCAGAATGTTCCCGTTACGAGGTACCATTCACTCGCCGGTACCCACGGTAGTCTTCCGGACTGTTTGGAAGTGACTGCCACCATTCCGGCCAATGAGAATGACAACGCGAAAGAGGTCATCATGGGTGTACGCCACAAGGAGTATGTCATCGAGGGTGTGCAATTTCATCCCGAGAGCATCTTGACTGAAGACGGGCGGATCATGATGGGCAACTTTCTACGCATGCAAGGGGGCACCTGGGCAGAGAACGAGCGATTACAAAAGGAGGCCCACACAAAAGCTGCTGGAGCTGCGACCAATGCTGTCAAGAAAGACAAGCAGACATCAATCCTCGAGAAGATTTACGATCACCGCCGAGCGGCTGTCGCCGAGCAGAAAAAGATTCCCTCGCAACGGCCCAGTGATCTACAGGCATCCTATGACCTAAATCTAGCGCCTCCACAGATCAACTTCCCGGAGCGTCTAAGGCAGTCGCCTTTTAGGCTCTCCCTCATGGCTGAGATCAAGCGTGCATCGCCTTCTAAAGGCATAATTTCCATGTCCACATGTGCACCCGCGCAAGCACGGAAGTACGCAAAAGCCGGCGCAAGTACCATCTCAGTGTTGACAGAGCCTGAATGGTTCAAGGGAAGCATCGATGACCTTAGGGCTGTCCGTCAAAGCCTCGAAGGAATGTCAAATCGGCCTGCAGTCCTTCGGAAAGAGTTCATCTTCGATGAGTACCAGATTCTAGAAGCTAGACTTGCAGGAGCTGATACCGTACTATTGATCGTCAAGATGCTAGACGAAGCCTTGTTGAAGAGGCTCTATGAGTACTCGCGTTCGCTTGGCATGGAACCTTTGGTAGAGGTCCAAAACGTCGAAGAAACGGAAACTGCGGTGAAGCTAGGAGCACAGGTGATTGGCGTCAACAACAGAAACCTCACCAACTTCGAGGTCGATCTGGAGACGACCAATCGCTTGGTCAGCTTGGTACCGAAAGAGACCATTCTTTGTGCCTTGAGCGGTATTGCTGGGCACAAAGACGTCGAGCCATACATCCAGAGTGGCGTTGGTGCGGTCTTGGTTGGCGAGGCGCTGATGCGGGCCTCCGATACTGCAGAATTCATTGCGGGGCTTCTAGGTGGCACCTCCACCCAAGCAGCTCGAGGTTCTTCAAGTCCAATGGTCAAGATCTGTGGAACACGCAGTGTCGAAGCTGCAAAGGCTGCAATTGAAGCCGGCGCAGATCTCATTGGCATGATTCTGGCCGTTGGAACCAAACGAACAGTATCAGCAGAAACAGCACTGGCGATCTCAGAAGCTGTGCACAAGACGAAGAAACCGAACATCTCAAAATCAGGGTTACTTGCGACATCAAAGTCTGCCTCCGACTTCTTTGAACACGGCTCCTCACGGCTTGTATCAAGTGAAGATCGAGCACTCCTCGTGGGTGTCTTCCGGAACCAGTCACTAGAATATGTGCTGGAGCAGCAGCGGTTGCTCAAGCTTGATATTGTGCAGTTCCACGGCCAAGAACCTCTTGAGTGGGCCAAACTAGTCCCCGTCCCAGTGCTCAGGGCCTTCAACCCGCATGATCATGGTATTGGGTTAAGGGGCTATCATGCACTACCACTTCTAGATGCCGGCTCAGGAGGTTCAGGCCAGCAACTTGACCTGACAGACGTCAAGGGTATTTTTGCGAAGGATGATGGCGTCAAGGTCATACTGGCCGGAGGTCTCAATCCCGAGAACGTGCAAAAGGTTTTATCTGGCTTAGACGAGTATCGAGACCGCGTCAAGGCCGTAGATGTCAGCAGCGGTGTGGAGGAGGATGGCCAACAGAGCTTAGATAAGATCCGTGCCTTTGTGAGAGCCGCAAAGAGTCAGGAGTAGGTGTGCAGCGTTAGAGAAGACATCCACAGTAGGTCGAAGCTAAGCCAGAGCGACAAGTTCGGCGTCTCTAAGGAGAATCAATATTGTCAGCCCACGTCTCCACGCCTCGTTCATCAACATATGTGTTTAGATCTCCGTCCCAGTTTTCATGTCTCTTCTCACGGAAACCTTCCTTAACGCATTCAACCACAGCTCCATGGACAGCCCCGTAATAGCGCTGTTCGTCACACTCTCACCTTGTCAGGACAGCCGCACGGTCCTGGCAAACGCTATCTTACTTCCATGCCTGTCTACCTCCAATAAGTAAAACAGGTCAATCTCGGTAATTGGACAGCAATATAACCCCTCTCGACCGACTTTTCTTTTACAATTGTGGACTTTCAACTCGCCAACGACACTCTACAACAACCTATAGCTTAATTTCCGTAGATTTTCCGGCCCAGGTCCTCAGTTGCATTCTTGAGCTTCCACCAACTACCACGGTCATCTCTTAAGATGGGTATCCTCTCCAAACTCACCATTGCCGCAACCGGCACTCTGCCATACGAACCCTTTCAGATCAAGAAATGGGTCATAGCCAATGGTGGCACATGGTCTGCCAGCGTCAACAAGGGCGTCACGCATCTCATTGCCAGCAAAGAAACGTGCAAGAAAGCTACAGAGTCCGTCCAACAAGCTTCTAGCATGGGGATTTTGGTAGTCAGCTACGACTGGCTCGAAGATTGCTTGCAAAAGAAGAGGAAGCTAAGCGAAAAGAAGTACACATTAGATACTTTGAGGAGGGAGAGGAAGAAGTGGAAGGAGGTCAAAAGGATAGGTGCATTGTCCGACGGTAAGAAGTTCAAGGATGGGTGTAAGATGGCGAGAGAGCTCACGGGTTCAGGTACGTCGAAGATTGCTGCAGTTACACGCAAGCCTAAGAAGTCTACGAGTGTCTTCTTCACCGCATCACCTATCCCTGCTACACGTTTCATGTCAGCTACCGAGGACTTGGAACGTAGGCGAGCAGAGAGGGAGACGGCTCAAGCGGTAGAGACTGGAGGGTCGGGGTGTCAGGCTCAAGTTCAACTTGAAGCTCTAATCGAGATTGAGGATGAGTGTGTGAGCCAAACCACGCCATCCTCAAGCTCTTTCCCCTCCACATCCGGAGCTCTCTCTACGTCAGCCTCCAGAAAGACCAAGTCACCCCTTTCTCCCTTCAAAACAGCAGTCGTAAAGCCCGCTCCCACTGCCGAACTTCAAGCTAAGACTCCACACTTCAAAGATCTTTACCACTACTACCTCGACACCACGGGCTTCGAGTACAAGATTGTCCTTGCACGCAGCGACTTCTCTACTAACAGCTTCGCTCGATACCACATCGGCTTGCTGGAGAGCCACACGAAGCCGCCTACGTATTGCACAGTCGTTCAGTATACGCCACCAGCTAAGAGGAGCCCAGAGTCTAGCCTATCGGCTATTCCGCGAGTAGGATTGAGGAACCCTTTGCTACGCTTTCTCAACCATAGCGAGGATGCTATAGCGCAACGGCAACCAGCCAACAAGAATGGTAATGGTCATGTTAAGGGGCAGACGGCCCAGGACGCTCAAGACTCTGAAGCAACGCGTCTTCGGTCTCTAATCACAAAGCCAGCACCCGTATCAGAGACGCCGTACAAAGCCTTGATCTGCCCCATGAATAGCGATTACACCTCCGCATGGCGCGCCTTCCGTCACGCCTTCCGCGACCTTACTCTCCTCACTTGGGAAGAGCGCTTCGACGCGAACCGGACCTTCCAAAAGGCACGTGCAAAAGTGCTGGACATCGAACCATTCCTATACTCGAAGCCTACAAAAGGACTGCCCATGGGTCTCCTTCCTCAAGAAAACGGTCACCTCCAAGGTTCTGCACATGGGTTAGAAGTGAGGGGAGAGGTTGATGATGGGTATGTAAGGAATGCATTCAACCTTCCGTCCATCTCTCATCCACTTGGCGAGAATGGCGCAATTGGTAGTGCATTACTTCGCGATGAACAAGAGAGGAAGAAGATAGAAGAACAGAAGATAAGAGAGGCTGAGGAGCTTGAGGAGAGAGAGAGGAGAAAGCGTGGAGAGGTCAAGGTCAAGAGACCAAACTACAACGCGCCCATGTTCAATTGCGCCACAGGTCGGCCATCGACCGATGCGTACGGACAGTACACGAGAAACATTCCAGTAGGCGCAGCGAGGCTAGGAGGTGGTACAAATTACGCAGGCTTGATCAGGAAGAGTAGGCCGTGGCCGCGTGAGCGAGATGAGTAGGCTTGGTGGGCGGAGGGTGAGATAAGCCTTGGAAAGTGTACAACGGGGATATCTGGATGATGGTTACGACGCTTTTTGGCGTTGGTCAGTGAAATTCGTCGACCTTGATGAATCATGCAAGCAGGGCTTGAGATGGCTGATTTGATCTTTTTCTCTTCATACATCGATCCAACTTGGACATACATTTCTACACACTGCACCTTTCACGCTGTTCTAAAGTCGTATCTTCGAGGATAGCAAGGTCGAAGTTGAAGGGCTAGCTATATTTCATTAACTGACTTTTGCGAAAGTCGACTTCTTTCCCTTTCTCTAGTGTGCGTGATGAAGCGGTTGAGGCTCTGCGGGAGGCATACTCCAACTTAGCCGCAGGTACCGCAGGCTCTTCTCTAGTTTTCTTTCTTTCTTATCTTGTGTTTCTTAGCCGTATAGTTCGTTTCAACACGAGAATTGGGTGTATCTCGCACAATCAATCAATGCTCTTGGTCATCAGTGGCGTATGTCACTGGTGAGACGCCTTCGAGTTTGCAGTTGATGAACGTGGCATTGTTGAAGCTGACCGAACGGTGTACCTCGGTTGAGTTGCGACATGTCTACTCGAATGCGGTAGTCTTGCGAAGGCACATGCAACGGCTATTCGAAGCTGCGCCTCGTTAATTGCATACGCTACAAGCTGTGAACCTTCCCTCAAGCTGGCTAGCGTGTCACGATGACTAAGTCAGGTTTCCGGACTTTGCCCCGTCCGTGACGTTGAATGGGGCTGGGATGTCTGGGCGAGTGTACAAGGGCTCATGAGCATTAATTTCCCCGTCGCCCACATCACAACAAGCCTGCCGCCCGCACCCACAGCATCTACCCATCGCTTCCTTGATTCGTACTGCCGGCCCCGGTCATTGACGCAAATCACCTCGCATTGCGCCCTGTCAGCGCACGTTTCCGTAGCATCCGCATCTGCCTGAAGGCTCCACTGCGACATCGCGAAACCATCGCCCGAACACTACAAGTCATCCCGTGAAACAGCCGCCATGTCGCAAAACTACCAGCAATACAGCGGAAACCCATATGGCCAGGCGGAGGCAGGATACGGCCAGTCCCAGTCCAATCCATATGGAGGCACCGGCTATGGACAGTCCAACCCCTATGGCGGAGGAGTAAGCAACGACAATTGTGCGCCTTGAGCGCCAGCAACTAACGCGACGAGCAGTACGACGAGCAACTGAACCCACCGGCTCAGCTACAGCATGGCGATTCGAACTACTCTCAGCCGTCGCAATACTCGCAAACTGCACCCCCAACCCAGCCAAGCACAAACCAACAGAACGTTGCGCATGCGACTCAGCCCGGCCAGTATGGGCAGCAACAGCCTGGCGCCAAGCCCTTGACCCAACAAGACTTCCTCTCGCGCATCGACGGCACCAAGCAGCGAATCGGCCAGCTTACATCTGACATCCAAGCCATTTCCAACATCCACCAGCGCATGCTGTCTTCGCCCGACAACCGGTCATCCGCCGAACTCGAGAGCATTGTGTCGCAAACGCAGATCAGGAACACACAGATCAAGGATGAGATCAAGTTCTTGGAGAAGGATGCGGCGCGGGAGCCGAACAATACGTTCAAGAGGACGCAGGTTGAGGCGCTGAAGAGGACTTTCAAGAGCCAGCTCGAGGACTTCCAGAGAGAAGAGGCGGACTACTCCAAGAGGTATCGCGAGGCCATTGGCCGGCAATATCGCATCGTCAACCCAGAGGCGACCGAGGCGGAGGTGCAGGAGGCAGCGAACGCTGACTGGGGTGAGGAGGGTATTTTCACACAAGCGGTAAGTGTCTTTACTTGAAGACAGGCCCGAACCGTTACTGACATGTGCACAGCTCAAGAGCAACCGCAGCGGACAAGCGTCCAGCGTCCTTGGCGCCGTGCGTGCTCGTCACAACGATATCCAGCGCATCGAGAAGACCATGTCGGAGCTCGCGCTACTCTTCACGCAACTCAACGAGCAGGTCGTGTACCAAGAGGCACAAGTCACACAGGTCGAGAACCAGACGGTGCAAGTCAATGACGATTCAAAGCATGCCAACACACAACTAGACCAAGGTATCAAGTCTGCCAGGCGCGCAAGGAAGCTCAAGTGGTGGACGCTCTTTGTTGTTGTCTTGATTCTGGTTATCGTTGGCTTGGCGCTTGGTTTATGGTTTGGTGTTGGTGGTGGCAAACCGAAGAAGCAATAGAATGGCATGGGTTTCATCCATACTATCAAAGGGTTGTGTTGAAACGAGCTGTTCAGTTAGCATATAGAAGTCTCGACATGCGGGAAGTGGGAGCGGGGATGTTTTCATGGCGCGCTGGTGGGTGCACGGAGAAGACGAGGGCCATTTTCTCCCTTTTTTATTAAAACTAATTCCAGACAGCGGATATCCCGCTGTGCGTGTGTATATCGGGGTCGGGAAGGGTGATAGCGGCGGTAATGAATACGACGATAATTTCAGCAGCTCGTGAAAAGCTCGTGAGGCTCGTTTCCAACAAACCAAGTTGATCTATCAGTTGCCTCTCTCGCAAACACTAGTGCATTTGACCATCCGTGGATCATCGAATGATGTTAATGCCGACTATTTCAGTTTGACAACCCTTGGCTCCACACCATGTCACAGTTTTCGCGTGAAGGGAGGACAAAGGCAGCGCGCTGCAGGGCCCCAATGGCCGACCCGGGGTTGCCATGGTGCCAATCTTAAGCGACCCACACTATTCAGCACTCCGGTCCCCATGAAGTCGCACACGCAACAAGACTTTGATACAGATCGGCGTGGGCCTGTTGTAGGAGACCCGACGGATGGACAGTGGACGCGCGTTTCAGGTGTAGAGGTGGCCGCGCGCCCCACTTCTTCTTGGGTGAGGGCTTGTTTAGCTCTGCGGGTTGCCCAGGTGGTTGGCGAGGGCTTGAGTGGCCTTGTCTCAGGGGCTTGGACATGCTTGTGTGCTTGGACGAATTAGGGCTGGCAGGGCCAATATGACGGCGCGCGCATTCCACCACCTATAGATTAGCTTGCGCCCCTTCCCAGCTTGTTTATTGCCTTTCTCTTGAACGAACGACCTTTCTTGCAATTCGTCTTCCTTGCGTGTGCCTCTTTCACCTTCCCATAGGTTTTTGTCTGTTTGCAACTTCATACACTCGTTTACTAGGCATCGCGCCTACTACTTCTCTCACATCTTGCACGACTTTCGCTGCTAAATCTTCTTCCTCTTTCCGAATCAATCCGCCGTAATTATCCTCACAATACACACACGCCCCATCATCATGAAGACCTTTGCCATCACAGCCGTCCTTGCGGCATCCGTCGCCGCGACACCCGCCACCACCACTGTCCAGAAGCGCGCCATCACACCGGTTACGGTCAAGGGAAACGGTGCGTCATGAGCAAATCGCTCAACTTTGAAAGTCGCATTTCACTGACAGTCTGCAGCTTTCTTTGCTGGCAATGAGCGTTTCTACATCCGTGGTGTCGACTATCAGCCAGGTGGCTCGTCCGATGCGAAGGACCCCATTGCTGATGCTGCTGGCTGCAAGCGCGACATTGCCAAGTTCAAGGAGCTTGGAATCAACACTGTCCGCGTCTACACCATCGACAACGCTGCCAAGCACGACGAGTGCATGAACGCGCTCGCCGACGCTGGCATCTACCTCGCTCTCGACATCAACACTCCCAAGTACTCGCTCAACCGAGCGGACCCCCAGGTTTCGTACAACAAGGTCTACCTCCAGAGCATCTTTGCTACTGTCGAGTTGTTTGCCAAGTACGACAACACTCTGCTCTACTTCTCCGCCAACGAGGTCATCAACGACGATGCGACCACCAACACGGCTCCTTACGTCAAGGCCGTCACCCGTGACATCAAGTCTTACATCAACGCTCGCGGTCTCCGCAAGATCCCCGTCGGTTACTCTGCCGCTGATGTCGAGTCCAACCGCTACGAAATGGCTGCGTATATGAACTGCGGTGACGATGCCGTCCGCAGCGACTTCTTTGGCTTCAACGACTACTCTTGGTGCGACCCGTCCTCGTACACCATCTCCGGCTGGGACCAGAAGGTAGCCAAGTTCAAGGACTACAGCATTCCTATCTTGTAAGTCCTATTCATAAAAACAATCCGAGTAAACAACACTAACCATTTCTGCAGCCTTTCCGAATACGGCTGCAACAAGAATGCTCGCAAGTTCGAGGCAGTCAAGAGCCTTTACGGAACCGACATGACTGGCGTCTACTCTGGCGGTCTGGTCTACGAATATTCTCAGGAAGAGTCCAACTACGGCTTAGTCGAGCTCAAGGGCAACACCGTCACCGAGCGTTCGGACTTTGGTGCTCTCAAGAGCGCGTTTGCCGGTACCAAGAACCCCAGCGGCGACGGTGGCTACAAGTCCAACGGCCAGGCCTCCAAGTGCCCGTCTGAGTCCAAGACCTGGAACGTTACCCTGGCCGCCGACAAGCTCCCCTCTGTTCCCGAAGGCGCCGATGAGTTGTTCAAGAAGGGCGCCGGTGCTGGCCCCGGTCTCAAGGGCGACGGTAGCCAGAGCGCTGGATCCAAGTCCACCAACCTGGCTAACGCTGCAGACGGTGCGGTCACCTCGGGATCTACCACAGGAGGAGGCGCCAAGTCAAGCAGCAGCAAGGGTGCTGCTGCGTCTCTCCGCGCTGGCGAGTTCTCCATGGCTCCTTATGTCTGTGGTGCCATCGTGCTTGTCTCTTCTCTGTTTGGTGGAGCTCTTATCTTGTAAGATAGAGAAGGAAACGGACATCATATGACAGTGACAGCTGGAGGGTAATACAACGACCCAGTGCGGGCAACGTTTTCTGGGTTAGTCGTATATTAGAGATGTTTTTCTTTTTTGGGAGTCGTCGGCTTGTAATCAATGGTTATTGTACTCGTATATAACAGCAAATTCAACCAGTAGAAATCTCTAAGTTCAGCACGGGCACTACAGTGATGCTGGTGCTCAATTTCGACATGACATGACATAACTCCACCCAAAGATGTGCTTATCGATAAGCTTGGTGGGATTTTGATAATCGGGACAGTCGGAATGGTGCTCGTACGACTCCTATGCTCTCCCACACCAACCTCTTCTTCTTTGATATCCAGTCATTTCCGTCTTTGCTTTCTACCAGTCATGCCTCGAGATCCGTTGATCGGTTTGGTCGGCAAGCCCTCGTCAGGAAAGTCGACAACACTCAACAGGTGCGCGCTCTTGCCCCGCGCCCTTTTCTCTCCCTGAAATTATTGAAGCAATGTCTAAGATTCGAATGTTGGCAGCTTGACAGATGCTACCTCCAAAGTCGGTCCGTAAGCCAAGCATGAAGATCTGAGAAAGCATCGTGGCTGATTGTAGGCAGGCAATTTTCCGTAAGTTCTTCTCTTTTTGTCGAGCAATACCCCACTAGGTTATCATACACCACAGCAGATGACCCTTCCACCCTTGTATATCTTCTGTTGTAGTTGCATAGTGTCTTCGCTGAGTCTAATCCTGTTTTCAGGTTCACGACCATCGATCCTCAACGCGCAATCGGCTACCTGCAAATCTCATGTCCCTGCGCGCGCACCGGCGTCTCAGACCGCTGCAAACCCAACTACGGCTCCTGTATTGATGGGCGGCGCTCCGTGCCCATCGAGTTGCTAGATGTAGCAGGATTGGTGCCAGGAGCGCATATGGGTAAAGGACTGGGAAATCGATTTCTGGATGATCTCAGACATGCGGATGCGCTGGTGCATGTGGTAGATGTCAGTGGAACAACGGATGCCGAGGGCAAGGCGACAAGAGGCTACGACCCATCACAAGACATTGTCTGGTTAAGGAGCGAGATCGTGCGCTGGATACAAGGCAACCTCATGGAGAAATGGGGGTCGATCAAGAGGCGGCACATTGCAGTTAAAGCGACAGCTGTGGAAACGCTACAAAACCAGTTCTCCGGATATGGCTCAACGAGCTCGGTCGTAGCCCGCTGTCTAGATAAACTAGCCCTCAAAGAACCACTACAAGACTGGAGCAACGAAACGATAGAAAAAGTCGTCAACGCCTTCACAGACGAGAAATTCCCCACCGTCATCGCCCTGAATAAAATCGACCACCCAGACGCAGACAAAAACATCGCAAAGATAGCAAAGATGCAAGACCCCAAATCCATCGTCCTAGCCAGCGCAATAAGCGAAGTCTTTCTACGGAAACTGGCGAAACAGGGGTTTGTCAAGTACACCGAAGGCAGCGAGTTCGTCGACACGCGCGAGGACCTGATAGAGCAAGGCGACCCCACCGGCGGCGGCCTCAAAGAACTCGACGAAAAGCTCAAGCAGCGGATTGAAAATCTCAAGGACATGGTTCTGTACCGCTTCGGCAGTACGGGCGTCGTCCAGGTGCTCTCGCGCGCGGCCGAGTTACTGGGTCTTGTGCCTGTTTTTCCCGTGCGGAATATACACGCGTATACGAGCGGGAGTGCGAGTTCCACGGCCGTGTTTCGGGATTGCGTGTTGGTTAAGAAGGGGAGTACCGTGGGCGATGTGTATAGGAAGGTCATGGGGGATGCGCCGCTGGCGTATGTGGATACTGAGGGGGGCAGGAGGGTGGCGGAAGATGATCTTGTGGCTGTGGGGAAGAATGATGTGAGTACTTATCTTTTTGTCTCGGGGTTAGGAGGGAGATTGTAAGATGTAGGGCTAACAAGAGACAGATTTTGTCGTTCAAGGTTGGGAGGGCGTAGGGAGGTCACGGGGAGAGTTTTGTGGTTGGTACTCGTATAGTCGAGTGTTTTGCAGGTTAGCGCACAGTTACTCTATCGACCTTTTAATCAGTACTACGAAAAGGCATCCTCTCCACCGCCCTGATCCATCTCCTACGTCTCCACTCGCCCTTCCGACTAGGCGCATGACTCTCCCACGTCCGCCTCAACACCTCCTTCTCCTGCTCCCCAATATCCTTGCTACCCTTTGAACTCACCCTCTTCCTCAGTTTCTCGCGCTTCCGCTCCTTCTCGCCCTCGCTCTCGAGCACCTCGTAATGCAAATCTGTGACCCATCTCTCGCCCTCAATCTCCACTTCGACGGCCGTCACACACCGGTCCTCGACCCACTCCCTACTCAGCAGATCGAGCGCCCACTTCTTATCGCTCCAGCGCCAGCCGCGCGGGGGTAGGACGTCCTCGAAGAAAGGCGTGCCCCTGGGACGGTCGCCTGAGATGCGTGCGGGGGACAGCGGGGCATAGGGCGACGGGGAGAAGATGAAGCCTTCGTATTCGCCGTCCTGGTCGTGCAGGGCGCGGTGCTGCAGTTCGAAGATTTCCACCTCGCGTGTTTCCTGCGAGGTTTCGAGTTCAATGTCGGCTTTGGAGAGGGAGAGGAGCAGCGAGCGGCCTTCGTGTTCCGTGTCTGAGACGAACTTCTCCGTCTCGGGCGTCGATAGCAAGTCTTGGATGGTGGGGTGTCCGAGCGCAGTGAGCGTGTACCCTATTAAGAGGAATATGAGGCGCCAGGGCAGGAGGTGTGCGCTGATGAATAGCGAGCAGGAGACGATGAGGAGAAGGAGGTAGATCATGGAACTGAGGTTTTCGTTTGAGAAGTTTGTCAGGGGCGTGATGACGGACAGGACAGCGTCGTGGCCGCGGGAAAAGTCTTCCATGCAGTTTTGCAGGTCGCGCATGTTGCGGAAGAAGTCCTTGGAGAACTCGGGCGCGGGCTTGATCGTCTTTGCATCTGCCAGTGGTGGCCCGCCAAGGTTGCCTCGGTAGCCGTCTACAGCGCCCTCGGGCTCTGGATGGCGTGCTAGGTACGCAGGCACCATGACGAAGAACATGGCGCTTGCCAGTGGTAGCACGGGTAGCAGATACGGGTCCACACATACAAAGGTCCAGACTAGCAAAAAGGAGAGCGTCTGCGTAGGCTGCTTCCAGGTAAAGAGGCGGATGAGGCGGTTTTGGAAGATGAAAGCCACGCCTATGCGGGCGTTGAAGCGGCGGAAGTTGGAGGACATGGTGGGGATGGAGAAGTTGGGGCGGTCGACGTAGGTCCGGCTGCGGCGGTCCTTGATGCGTGGCGTATTGGGGTCGTCTTCGGGGGAGGTATCAGACAGGTCTTCTTTTGGTAAAACTTGGGATAACAGTCTATCTGGTATCAGCATTGGGGCATGTTGCGACCATTTATCAAGAGTGTAGCAAGCTTACAGGTTGAACATCTTGTCCCCCATCTTGTTGCCAGGTTCACGGCTTATATTGTCACCCAGCGACTCCAGCTTGTCTTTGAGTTTGCTCGCTGAAAGGCGATGTGAGGGCCCATGTTCAGTATTGGGCGTGCGTAGGCCAGACGCAGTTGGCGTTCCATCCTCTGCTGGGTGTATCTGCACAACTGGAATGGGCGTGTCGCGGTTTGCAAACGCCTCAGGTCCATTCGAGCTCATGGTGGCGATTTGTCCCGTGCTCTTTTTGTTCCAAGTTCCGCAGCCCAAGCGTATGAGAGGAAAAGTGTAGAGGCGAGGTATTATCTATTTGACGAGGTCGCACCACCTCGTTCATTCAAGGAAGTGGCGTGTGCTTGGGGATCACATGTGGCCGAGAGAGAAGTAGGTACCTTGTTCTCACGGGCTATATTGCATCGAGTCAACAGTATGGGGAATTAAAGTCTTGTGGTGTCTATATGATAGGGCTGGCTGGCGTTGCTCATAAAGCGAGTGGGGATGACGCACTTGGTTGCTTGGTTGCATGTGCTCGTGGCTTGCGGCTGTGACACCTCGCCTTGTGCCGGCGGCAGGTGGTCCGAGCTTGTTGGTGCTCGAGCTCGAGCCCTGGGATCATCAGGGACAGAGACACCAAGTTGCCGACAAAGACAGGTAGCACGTCGACAGTCATGACATGGCCTCTCTAAACGTCGTCTCCAGCTCGGGCTCGAGGCAACGGGCGGGACTAAAGCCTGCAGCGTCCCACGGGCCTTGTTCCGCTGTCATGTTTCGGAATGAGGTTACTATCATCAAAGGGTCCATTCCATGCGCCATGGAGGGTTCAATACATGTACATACATATACATACATATATGTACAGGACCTATGCACTGCACTGCACTATGCATATGCCGAGAGCCGTGTCAGGGTCAGCTAGCTAGCCAGCCGTCGAGACCCGTTGTGTTGTGCCAGTCTACTACTCAACGTTGCACTGCTTGGGGGTGGGCAAAGACCACGAGCTCCGCACTTGGGCGTCGTCGTAGTCGTAGAAGCATGCATTGACCGAAGCATCCACTACTACCCGTCCGCTGCTGTTTGCATTTGCGTCGGTTTCCCGGGAGAGCAGAGTTGTTTTGATTCCATCCATCCTAGTCGTCGCGGGGAGGACCGTGAAGACAGGGGGCTCGTCAACTAGACAACCTTGAACCTCTAGTGTGGCTTTTGGCGGGCTGCAACCCTCATACTAACTTTGACGAAGAACCACCGCTACCTACATCGTCTCCTTGCTGTTCCCTAGGGGGCCTCTCTTACCGTGCCCGCACCATCTCGTCGTCCCGAATCGCCACGCCCATCAGTACACTTTGCTTGCCGTCTCGCTGGTGTCGCTAGGCCTGCTCACCGCCGCCCTCGGACCCTTTCGACATGTTAGCATAGTCTCGTCGGACCGGAGCCCAAGCTCGACGCTTGGAGACCCTCTCCGCGCTTTTTGAGGGATAGCACAACCAGGGCTCCGTCGGTGACAGTACGGGTACTGCCTGCATAGCCGTCTGTCAACAGCCGTCGTAGAGCTGACCATGTCGACGCAGCCGCGGACCGCTACGAGAACCATGGAGTCGACCAACGCGCCTGGCAGGTCAGGGTCCAACATGTCAGCCGAAGACTCGAGCGGCTCGTCAGGTAGGATCATACCTCTCCATCTTCTTGCTGCCCTACTAGCTGGTCTAGAGACTAACGCAATCTAATCCAGAGGACCGAGTGCGCAAATTCATAAAGACAGGCGACAGGAGCACCCGCCTGCGCAAGACGAGTGCCTCCAACGCCATCAACGCCGCACGGCCACCGCCCGCAAACAACAATGCACCGCTACGGGCGAGGAACAAGGTGCCGCTGGGTCCGCGAGGCCCGCCACAAGACTTCTCCAAGCAGAGGTACGATTTGTGTTTGGCTCCACCCATGACATGGCAACTGACATGCGACCCTATACAGCACCGCCAGCGGCGCCAGCGTTGCTTCTCTCGAGAGTCGCTCCTTCCTTCCCACCACAGCAGGAGCAGGAGGAGGAGGAGGCGACGCCACGACGCGCCTGGTCACCTCGAACCCACGCTTCAGCTTCTCCAAGCAGCACCCCGAACCCCCCAAGGAGCTCAGTTCCAGCACCGGCTCCAGCTCGTACGACTTCCTCCCCTCGGTCAACTTCGACGACTTCGCCAACAGCCTCTCGTATGAGCCCAATCTGAGCGACTTTCCCGTCCCGGCCTCGTTCAAGAGCAACCTGCCAGCCAGCACCAGCGCCCCCAATATGCAGCCCTTCACAAAAGGCCCCCAAGATGCACGCCCTGCACGCAGCAGCTCCTTCGTTCGCCGCTTCAGCCAGTCTACCAGCAGACAGCCCAGCGGAGCCTCCACGGCTTCGGGCAGCACACTCAACTCGGACGCGTCGTCGATGCCACCGCCCGCCACCAGCATGGCCATTCGATCCCGACGCCAGAGCCAGTTTCCTCCACAGGCACCGCCAAACCCCGCTGCACGTGCACCGCGAAAGAGTGTTGGCCCTGGCGTGTTGCCAACAAACAGTCTCGAGAGCCGACACGACGTGGCCAGACTGGCGGGTGACGCTCCGCAGGCTCCCCTTGGACGCTCGCCCTCACTGAACAGGGGCAGCCGGCGAGAGACGCTCAACCCAAACTTCAACACTACAACAGGTGTACCTAAACTACCAAATGCAGCGCGGTCTGCAAAAGCAAAATCGTTCCATCCACCCTCGAGACTACAGCCTACACACCTGGCTGTATCATCCATAACACCAGACCCCAGTGGACGGCCTTTTCATCAATCTCGCTCACCGGGCAAGTCTCCTGCGCAGCGATCCCACACTCCTTCTTCCTCGTCGAGCAAGCGACAGTCGACTGCACACCACATCTCGGGACTGGGTGCGCGAACCATCAGCCCAACGGATGCTCGAAGACTGAGGAGGCAGTCCATGAATCCCAACCATCCAGGAGGCCCGGTCGGTCCTCCTACCCCCCAGGGCGATGCGTCATTCGACGATCGTTCCTTCAGTCAGTCTCCCGCCATGGTTTTCGGCAAAAGCATGACACCCTCGTCTGCTCGCGCAACGCCCGAGCAAAATCGCAAGTCGTATGCCTCTGGCATATCGCTGTCGTCCAACTCAAGCTTGAATTCGCTCAAAGTCATAAACTCCGCCATACCACTGCGGCCCAACCCTATTCTGACAAACTCACGGTTACCCACGCCAAAGCCAAGAAGCGTTCACAGTTCTGCTGCTGGGGAGGAAGAAGAGGTGCCTCCTGTGCCGGCCATTCCAAAAGCCTACGAATCTCCAAAAGATCCCGAACGCAGTACCTTTGCATTCTCAACAACTCCCATGAAGATGAGCATGCCTCCGCCATCGGCTCCTCCTCCTCTTCCTCCCCAGGAATCTGCGCCCGTTGCTACTGCGCATCTTACTGAACCTCAACATGATGAAATTGTGGCCGCCAATCCTGGAAAGTCGACCTTGGGCAACAAAAGCACAGGGTCAATCCGGCACCGGAGGGGTCTGACGGTCGGATCTGGGTCGGAACCTGAGAGGACACCCACGGTACAGCATTCAAGCAAAAAGACTTTGCAACCAATTAGACTTCCACCATTGAATTTACTGCCGCTTGGAACACCATTCAATAATCGAATCTCGTCTTTCCCAGCACCTTCTGCTGAGGTTGACGAGCGAGCGGTCACGCCGCCGCCAAAGCGTGCTGCCAACAAGACGCCTAGCACGCCTATGACAGCGTCGAAGGCAAGTTTCTTTTCAAAGAGCAACCACCAGGACCAGTACGAGTACAGCAAACATCTACGTAGCAGCAGTTCTGCATTCAATCTACGTGCGACAGACACCTCACTTGGCGGGGCACCCAACATTGGAAGCATGCCCATTCCTACTCTACACCCCACACGCCAAGCGACGACACCCTTCGCCTCAAATTCATTACCCAAAGGTAGCGGTGAGTTTGCACGCCTTCAATCAAGGCCGAGCGGTGAATACAGCTTTAGCAAGAACGTGGAAATGCAAAACATGAATGTTGCTGGACCGCGCCCAATGCACAAGGATGCATCAGACTCTGCGCATACATCAACCTCTACTGAACCGGAAACACCATCCTCTGGCTCTTCGCTACGACGTAAACTCAGTCTGAGTGGTTGGCGGAAGGGATCCTCGAAAGCTACTTCACATCCCTCACAGAACCCACAGGCGCGAAAGACGCCTCAAAAAGCCGAAGAGCCGGCACCACAACCACCGAAGCACGGTGATATGCCCCCACCTCGGTTGCCCGCCTCAGCTACCTGGAGCGGCGCTATTGGCACAAGTCCTACTCCCAACACCAACCGTTCGCGACCGTCACTCGACTTTGCTCGTCGCAAAACTTCCACAGCGACAATTGCAAGTGATACTGATGCTGAAAAGGCTAGTACTCGGAAACCCGCAGGAAATGCAGGACCGCGGACAATCTCAGGACACACTGACCAAACTGGCAACCACCCAACACACAAGTCCATATTGACGCCAATGCAGCGAATGCTTGGCTCGAAGAGTTCTTCGAATATGCTCAAGTCTCGCCACCTGGATTCGAATCTTGATAGAGACGACCAGGCGGCCGATGACGAGATGAAGAAACTTGCCTCGAAACGGAAAGATTTCGAACATGCAGCCCGCGATGTGGACGAGCTTCGCAAGCGCGCTAGGGCCCAGGAGCGTGTCACACCAGCACAAGCTCTGCAAATGGTCAATTTGAATATATTCGAAAGGGGCGAAATCATCGATTACAAGGAGATCTATTTCTGTGGAACAAAGAGCGCCAAGAAACATGTCGGTGACCTCAATGCCCAAACGGCCAACTTTGGTTATGATGACGACCGTGGAGACTACAACATTGTCCTTGGAGATCATCTCGCCTATCGTTACGAGGTCGTTGATCTGCTTGGGAAGGGCAGCTTTGGACAGGTCGTGCGCTGCGTAGACCACAAGACAGGAGGGCTTGAAGCGATCAAAATTATTCGTAATAAGAAGAGGTTCCATCAGCAAGCTTTGGTAGAAGTCAACATTCTACAAAAGCTGCGCGAATGGGTAAGTTGAGAAGCCCAGCATGTTGCAGCCCAATACTGACGAGCCGGCAGGATCCCGATAACAAGCATAGCATGATCAACTTCACACAGAGCTTCTACTTCCGGGGTCACCTTTGCATATCCACCGAGCTTCTCGGCATGAACTTGTACGAATTTATCAAGGCGCACGAGTTCAAGGGCTTCTCGCTCCGCCTCATTCGCCGATTCTGCAAACAGATGCTGGCTTCTCTGGTTCTCCTGAAGAGCCACAAGGTCATCCATTGCGATCTGAAACCCGAGAACATTCTACTCGCTCATCCGCTACATTCGGAAATCAAGGTTATTGATTTCGGGTCTAGCTGCTTCGAGACTGAGAAAGTCTACACGTACATCCAATCACGTTTCTATCGGTCGCCAGAGGTCATTCTAGGAATGAGCTATGGCTTGGCGATCGATATGTGGAGTCTGGGCTGTATTCTGGCGGAGCTACTAACGGGCTACCCCATCTTTCCCGGAGAGAACGAACAGGAGCAGCTCGCTTGTATTATGGAAATCTTTGGCCCCCCAGAGAAACATCTGATCGAGAAGAGCAGCAGGAAGAAACTCTTTTTTGACTCCCTTGGAAAGCCCAGAGTGACGGTCTCTACCAAAGGACGTCGACGTCGGCCAAGCTCGAAGACGCTGCAGCAGGCTCTCAAGTGCGACGACGAAGCCTTCCTCGACTTCATCACGCGATGTCTCCGCTGGGATCCCGAGCGCCGTATGAAGCCAGACGAAGCCATGCACCACGAGTTCATCACCGGCGTGCGCAGAAATACCCGCCCGCCTCCACGCATGAACGGGAGCTCTAATGTATCTTCCCCCGCGAAGCGCTTCCCGCCCTCTCAGACGCCGCAAGCGCGCGTACGACCGCTCCCCGAACCTCCAGCCACTAGCTTCAAAAATGGCGCCGCAGTCATAGCACATCGCGACGCGTCAAATAGTTCGTCGCCCGTGAAGGCCCAAGCCCCGCACCGCCGCCATTCGACAGCTCAGGGCGGACCATCTGGAGCAGCAGGGACGAAGCGTACGGCGAATGGGGCACCGCTTAATGCTACAAGTGGAAGTGGGCTGCCGCGAGCTGCGCAGCGGAGTGTGAGTGGCAAGCCTGATCTTGCTTCGGCGGCGGCGATTGCTAGTCTCGTAAGTTCTCACCAAGTTTCAAGCTGATATCTTCATTGTGGACCGCGCAGGCTAACGGAAAGACAGAAATCGCGCTAATTCTGTTATGATATCCGGGATAGTCGCTTTGAGTATACATGAATGATTATGTGTGGGCTGGTGACAAGGCTCCTTATACTATTTAATATGAGTTCTAACGCTAGTGCGTCATTGATGAGTAGGCTTGGCTTGGTTGGCTGGCAAAAGGGGTGGTTGCTGTTGCGTATGGTGTTTTCTTTTCGTATCATTCATTCAGCGATGTTGATACCCCCTCCTCCTCCCCCGAAAAAAAGTCTCTTATTGAGCATTATTCTTCTTCTCTTGGTGTATGAGGGCATTTTGGATCGGGTGGCAGGGTGACGTTTGCTCTTTCTTTTTCTCTGCTGTGACGACTGGCATTTTACGGCGTTTACTACGTTTAGATCTGTGTGGCAGTTGTTTTGGTTCTTCGCTTTTAATGTGATGGGACTTTTCGGGTGGGGATGCTCTGCTCACTTTTGGTACTTTTCTTGGTGCTTGGTGAAGTTCTGTAGTTTGTGTGATGTTGATGATGACGCACATATCATGTATACCCGCCCAACCTAGGACCCAATACAGAGCAGACCTCTGTTAACTTTGTGGGGTGTTGAAATTACAACCTGACGGTTACGGTCATACAATTTTTGGTTTCCCTCCTTTAACCAAACCCTCGTCCTGTCTGTCCTGCCTCGCGAAGCTAGTTTGCTTCCCTTGATGCACTAGGCCGATTTAGTCTCGCATACCGTTGGTATCAAAACAATCACATATCAACCCAGCTGGGTTCGGCCAATCCATGGCTCGATAAGGACGACCATGGCCCACTATTTTGGCGGCAGCTGGGCCCAGCTTTCCTAAGGCTTCGACACAAGCATCGTAGTGCGCTGCATGGGAAAGGAGTTAGAGATGAGTCTATGGGGAGTCTGAGGCGTGGCCATGCTTACATTGATCTGGTGGCCTATGAACCACACAGTAATGGTAGTCGATCCTAAAAGCAAAGTCCACCTCTGTGCGCTTGAAATACGCCTCTAGTTCAAGAAACGCGTCGGTGGGCAGGACATCATCCAATATGACAAATTGGTATCGGAGATAAAGCCTTTTCAGATTTGGGAAGACTTTCCAGGCCTCGGGGTCGTGAACGTCGAGGAATTGATGAGGGGACCAATCAGGCGGCACTTCCAAGAGGAGTAGCTCAAGGGTGGGAGGCAAGACCGTTGTTAGCGCGGCGAGTTGGTCAGGACTGTGTTGGAGGTTGGAAGGTAGTAGCGGGACTAAGAGACCCACGTAGGTATGGAGCGACTGCAAGGACTTGACCATGCAAAGCTGGTCGGGAACGCTTAACCGGTCAGTTGGCCAGTGTAGGTTGTTGGAATCCCAGGTATCGCAGTTTATGTTGTTGAAACTAAGTGACAACAGCGACGACTGATGTTGAAGGAGCGCATTGCCTACTTTGCTGAACCAATCGGGCTCTTGTTCGAGATATACTTCTCCGCTGCAGCAGAAGCGTTGTAGAGAGGAAACACTTCCTATCATGATGCTTAGGACGGCTGAAGCGAACACTCCACTAACATGGAGCTCCTTGACTTTTGATGAGCCAGGAGGGCACTGCCAGTACCCTTGGATGATCGGGGAACTGTCGCGGGCTCGCTGGGAGCTGCGACTGCTAAGCCTAGAACGTAGTTTTGTCCCATGAATATGCACAGAGCGTAGAGACGGTAAGCAAAACACTGACGACACCTCACCGGGAAACATCGAGCTGATATACACAGTGGCTGATGTAAGATGCGCAAAGGTATGCGCCTTGGGATCCGGTTCGTTACTGGAGGCGGCCCGCAGCGGTTCTAGGTACTTTGGTGGTGCCACATCTTGGTCCCCGTAGTAGTAGTTGTAGACATCGAGGTGCTTGATATTGGGCGTTAGGCAGATGGTCAGAGCAATGCAAGCTTCGAAAGGGTCAGCCCTGATCATCCCTGTCTTTGGTTCCGCTTGTAACATGTCCAGCCAGGGGATCTCTTCGACGGCTTCAGAAACGTTGTCTAGTTTTAACGTCTGATGCGCAACCGTCACTCGTATGACGAGCTTTCCAAGAGCTGGTGCCGCTTGCAAGGTGCGAATAAACCGTGAATGTACTCCACAATCATAGTGGTCGAAGCAGTACTCGCGATAGAGTAGGGGAACGGCAAGCCGGTTGAATCGTCGATTGACAGCACAGAGGGCGTGTAGTGGATGGCGGGTTTCGCTAGCTTCGTCCACTTCCCGGGTGATCATCAGCAGAAGTTCGTCAGAAAGGCTGTTGAATGCATCGTGGCTCCTGTTCGATAGGTTCTCGCCAAGGGTGTTGTGTTTCGTTTGGGCTGGTGTGAGGGCCATAGCTAGATCATGGGTTTGCTGAACTTGTAGCTCACAGCTCCGATAGACCTGAGAGGCGTTCAAGGGTGATTGGCGTGATACTTGAAAGGTATTCGAGCTTGAGTTCATACGCCGTAGAAGTGGAATGAATTTGCGGTGAGTGAGGCTAGGTTGTTTGTTGTGAGCCAGCGAAGAGCTGGCGGCTACACGAGATCACGTGCAACCAACAGGTAGTTGGTGATACTGCATTAGCTCAAGAGCGAATGCGACGCCTGATAATTTACGCTTAGTTCTACTCGACCCTCTACCATGAGACGTTGCAATATTTTGACAGGCCAAAGGTAAGGCCAAGAACACCGCGGTAGTCCATCAGGTAGCCCTGATAGCTACCAGAAGGCGGTCCCTGATCTGCATACTAGGCTTACAGTAGCGCGAACGACGTACCGCTATAGACTTGCGGACGGATGGAAAGATTGTAGCTAATCTTTATCGGCTTGAGCAAGGTTAATAGCAAAGGGAAGCGGCACATGTGCTGAGCTGGTAGCCTCAGATTCTAAAACGACAGCGAACATCACACATAGTATATTCTGTCTACAGGCTGATGAGCCGCACAGAACTACAATGGTATGTCGGTTCACGTTCGGATCTAAGTCCGGCTAACCCCCGAATCATATTCGCCGACCTCGGCTTCTTACCAACGGTAAGCACGCAAACTTGCTCCTACTTGGAAGAGGACAACACTCGACGCAGTGTATAGTTTTGAAACTCTGCAGAATAATTCCCTAGCATATAAAAGGTACCGCTATAGGTTGTTAGTAGATTAATCCTATGGTCAGGTGAGATTTAGACGGGCAAAACTCCGAACAAGGCACTTTGTTGCGCTAGCGCCTAGAAAGTCCCTGCATCCCATGGATGGAACGCGTCTCCAAGCTTTCCGGCCGACGGCCTCCGGTCACCCCCAACTGGCCCAAGGCTATTCTATAAGATAGAGGCCACTAGTTCGGCTCGTAAAATGATTGCTAATGTCGTCTAGAATCATGCCATGGTACTACTAATCTGTGACGAGCTCTCGGTTGAAGCGCCTTCGCTGTGAAGATTTTCACAGGCACACTCATTCAACACCTCCTAGGTTCGCGGCCGCGGAAAGCCTCTATATTGTACACCATGCCTTTCATTCACAGGTCATAGTTCTTCTGCATTTACTACCCGTAGTCCACGGAGGTCAACGCTGTTGTCTCAGTCTTTTGTCCCGCTTCTCCGCTTGGTCCGCAAAGTTTAGTGCCGACCGCCAGGCCTACATCCCACGGGGCTAGCTTTCCTTTGGCCCACCAGCAACATATCTAGGGCACACTACCCGCATACATGTCACTGAGTTTGTTCTTATAAACCCTTCACAACCGTAGTTAATCTTGAATACTTACGGTTCGGCGTGGGTGGCGCTGCATTTGCCTTCCGTTGAAGCATACAAGGCTCGCTCTTGCCTACACAATTACATCACGCGACCACAAGCCTGAGCATCCAAAGCTCTTAAATACTCGATTGCCTGCTCAGAGATTAGCGGCCGTTATTCCAGGGTCTCCGACCCCACCCGCTCGTCTCAATCACTTCACTTCGCTCTCGACGCATTTGTCGCCACTGCCTGCCATCGATACCATGCTTCCACCTCTCCCCCGACCGAGCGACTACGACGTCTCTTCTCAGAATGGCTTTCTTCCAGACGAGATTCCTCTCGACATCCTGCCTGATAGGTACTATCAGCCATGGGAGACTGTTGTGCGCAACTTCCAGAGCTTGATTCTCGCCAAGCGATTGCACCAGATAGTCATTGCCTTGCCCGTGCTCGAGACGGATCTTCTCCTTACAGAAGCCGAATGGCGGCGAGCCTATTCTATTCTCGGCTTCATCGCACACGGATACATTTGGGGCGGCGACAGGCCAACCGATGTAAGCCTCGAGTACCCGCACGCTGATATTCATTGTGAGACTAACACTCCGGCACAGATTGTACCACCATCCATCTCAATTCCATTCCTGAAAGCATGCCGACACTTGGAACTTCCACCTGTTGCCACGTATGCCGGTGTATGTTTGTGGAATTGGCGCCCCCTGTTCGATGGAGAGCCGATGGACTCGTTGGACAATCTCTCGACCCATATGACCTTCACTGGCTCGCTAGATGAATCATGGTTCTACTTAGTGTCGGTAGCGATCGAAGCAAGAGCTGGCCCAGTCATCCCGATGATGATAGAAGCTATTGCAGCAGCCAGGCGGGGCGACAGCAGCACCGTCGTCAAGTGCCTACGATCTTTCGCAGAGCGACTTGATGAGCTTGGCACCTTGCTTGAACGAATGTATGAGAGCTGCGACCCCCATGTCTTCTACCACCGCATCCGGCCATTCCTTGCTGGAAGCAAAAACATGGCAGACGCCGGTCTTCCCAACGGAGTCATGTTTGACGATGGCACTGGCGAGCAACCCTACGTTCAGTTCAGTGGAGGCAGCAACGCACAGAGCTCCATCATTCAGTTCTTCGATGTTGTCCTGGGCATCGAGCATCGTCCCACGGGCGAAAAGCGAGGAGACAGTGTGGATTCAGAGAGTGCCACAGTAACATCACCGCCGCACGGTTTCATCCAGGATATGCGAAAGTACATGCCTGGTCCTCATCGCAGATTCCTTGAGCACATGGAGAGCGTATCCAACATCCGGGAATACGTAACTTCGAATCGTAACAACCGCGCATTAACGACTTCTTACGATGCTTGTTTGGCCATGCTACGAAGCTTGCGCGACAAGCATATCCAGCTAGTGTCTCGCTATATCATCATCAAGTCTCGCGAAAGTCGATCCCACTCCCGGTCGCTCTCGCCCAAGCAAGCAACGACTCAACGCGTCAATCTCGCCAATACGTTGGCACGCACAGGCAGCAAGAAACTTCGAGGTACCGGCGGCACCGCTCTGATCCCTTTCCTGAAGCAAGCTCGTGATGAGACTGGAGAGCCTGCAATCGATGCTTGGGCACGAAGGCTGCTCAATAACGGGCCTGGAGAAGTTGGCACACCCTTTGGCATTGATGATGGTATTGCGAGGCTGGGTAAGGTCTCGGAAGGTCTCAATGGGGAAGTGCAAGTTGTTGGCCTTGCTGGAACATGGAGCGTTGATAGGTTTGACGAGGGTGGAATATGCCACTGTGAGTAAAGTCCATATACGAACTGCATATGAGACTTACACTGACTTTACATCTTACAGGGTAAGGCGTGGTTGACCGGACTTGTTTCTTTTGGTGTTCAGATCATACAAAGGCGACTATTATACCATGCACTGCATAGCGCACACATATTTGTATTATATTGGTCTACAGCCTGGGTACGCTACAGGTATATGAGCGGACAGAGGTCCGAAATTGAGCATCTCCGCTCCTAATCAGGTAGCAATAAGCATGTTCTAGATTTACAAGCTCTTCGTATTGCATCATAGCCAACATGTAAAACGTGCTAGAGTCAGTTGACCCTCGACAAAGACATTCCAGGTTTAACAAGCCATGTGAAACCAACCGTGATGGATTTCTGCGATGTTTTGGCGCCACATTCGTCAGACCCCCCGCTGACGCAGGGGCACGTTGACGATCGTGAAAGCCCAACGCGTGGGGTCTAGCTAAGGCCGTGACGTCATTTTGCACATGCGCAGCCTCCCGTAGACCCAAGCAGAAACATATAAGACCTGCGTCGCCAGCCTCAATAGAACAGATATACACTACTAAAACAATTCTCACACTACCTTTCATAACCCTACAACATCTTTTAACATCACTCGAGATCACTCCGCAATCATGTCGAACACCAACACCAACAAGGACCAAACCTCCACCCTCCAGTCGTACGTCGACCAAGCGACCGGCGCAGTCCAGAGCGCCATCGGCTCGTTGACTGGCAGCACTGCCGATAAGGTTCGTACCCCTCAAGCATTCTCTCCTCTGAATCTTACTCACACTCGACAGGCACAAGGCGAGAACCGCAAAGTCGTCGCAGACGCCGAACACGACATCTCCCACTCGGCCGCAAAGGCTGGCCCCTTCACCGTCTCAGGATCAGGAGGCGTTGCCAAAGACGACAGCGACCGCACCGCTGGATCATGGAACCAGAATGTGGGAGCAGCCAAGGAAGCGGTTGGCGGCTTCGTGGGCGCAGAGGGACTGAAGCAGGAGGGTATCCGGCAGAACAAGGAGGGCAAGGGTCAAGAAGCTCAGGGCCAGCTCAACGATTTGGGCAAGGGCATCCACGACCGCGTTGGAGGCACAATTGGCGGTGCGGTTGCAGGTCTGGCTGGCAACGATGCGCAGCGGGCCGAGGCACAGGCGCAGCATGATGAGGGCAAGGCGCGCCAGCGCGGTGTCGAGGTCGATTTGCAGAAGCAGAATCCTCAGTAGATTGTTTGTTATGAGTACGGCTGGGAGGTTATGATTGCTTGATTCCTTATAGATGATATCCCTCTTTCTTACAATACCCAATCGGTAGATGAATCATTAATATCTTCACACATTCGCTTTTGCATTGAGAGTGAAGAAAATACCTTGTTTGGCGATCATATGCACAGCTGCGTTATCGTTCTCGATCTCTCGATCTCCGAGTCTAACCCAAGCAATACTCCAATAGCGAGCGGATTGATCAAGCCGTAACGCATGGTGAACCTTGTCTGCAAAGGACAGGCTCTGCACGCCTTGGAGGTGTGTTGGGAAGTTGCCGAACTCGATGACATCCTCGGGCCTTATTGCTGGCCATGTACGTCAGACGCGAAATGTTTGATCAAGCATTAGAACTGCCACTTTATTCCTCTAGCCACATCTTCCTAAAGATAGCCAGACCTGCCACGGCTAGAGCGTTGTTGACTCCACCGCCGTGCACAATGATGCATGGATCCGCAGGGCTTGCGTGGCTGGCAGAACTATGAGCCACAAGTGGCGTCACTAAGCCGAGTGATCCGAACGCGAAAAGCAAGCTGCGCCCTCTGGCCTTCCAAGAAACACACGCAAGATCCCCAGCCTCGGAATTTTTTGCGGCAACTCATTACGTGTGTGACGCAGCCTCTGTAAGGTTACAACCTTGGTCAATGGGCGTCCGAGGTCTGGATTCCGTAATTACCAGGTGAGGGTAAGCAGGCCTGGGCAGCCAATAGAGCTTAGTGTGGCGCTTGCGGAGGCCGGGCTACGCGGGAGCCCCTGCCACCTGTTTGGAGGTTTGCAGGCGGTGACGTAGCTGTGGGTGGTCATGAGCTGCCCGCGCGTACCTTCCATAAATACTAGGCTGGCTGCCATCTTTGTTTGTCAGACCAGACAGAAACTTCTCCCTCACTACCACTCGACTCCAAGTACACACACACAAGCTCTACTTCTTTACGAAGCCAATCATCAACCATGCCTTTCACCGCCAGCGACATCTGCAAGATCCTTCTCGCCATCATCCTCCCTCCTCTGGGTGTCTTCCTCGAGCGCGGCTGCAATGCTGATTTCCTCATCAACATTCTGTTGACCGTCCTGGGTTACATTCCGGTGAGTCCCGCTTCTGCTGCTGCTGCTGCTGCCAAACAACAACAGCACATGTCCCCTGCAACCTCTACTAACATGAACATCCAGGGTATCATCCACGCCTTGTACATCATATTCAAGTTTTAGCGGGGGCGCGCAAACACGAAATAATACCGCAATAACGGCATGACAACTTTGTCAACCAACGATACCCATCTCTTATTCCTTTCAGCCGGCGTCAAGGCTCGGTCACTCGATTTCTGCCCACGTCACTCGGCATCTGCGTTGCTAGCTGCTGCTGCTTAGCATGGGGCATGCGGGCGATCCGGCAGTTCCCGGTCGGATGAGCGTTGTCCTCGCTCCGGCTCTCTTTACGACTACTTCTTCATGATGGCGTCTTGGTTCTGCAAGAAATCTTCAGGCTTCTTCAGAAGGTTTTCTGGTGCGTTATACGAGCGTAGCGTGCCAAACTTAATCAAACTTCTACAACCATGAATCTTGCTTTGTGCTTCAACAATGTGCTGTCCAGTGACTTGACTAAAACCTTGAATGAATGTTTTTTGTCGAATGCGTATGTCATTGTCGAGTAGAGACGTGCTGGTCGTTGTTCCTACGTGCAGATGGTAATAAGACATCTCAGATTCTTGCGTCTTGACTCGACCCCCATTAGGCGCGATACTTGGCAGCGCATGCACTCACCATTCACGCGTCGCAGCCAGAGGCTACCATCGTGACACCTCAACCACGCAGGCTCCATGTCTTCCTCCCAGCACAAAACGTTACACTCAACACATTGTTATGACTTCAGTCGCAAGGCGCGGCATAGATATCGTACAAGATGAATTTTGCAGCGGCCTTGACGCGCCCCGAAGTAGACGCTCTTAGCGACCCAGACCGAACCTACAGCGATGCGGCGAATGCACTCGAGCATATACCTGCATCGGCAGACGAGCATCCGGGAGATACTGTCTTCGAGAAGAGCTTGAGAATCAAGAACACGCTCGACGAGTACGAGGAAAACGCTAGGAAAGAGCCCAGCTGGAACGTGTTGGCTGTGCTCACCAACAGCGAGTACAGGCTTTGGTGTTTGAACGCGGAAACACCTATGAGGCACAACCCGTTCTTGACTCACTGGGTGGAGGCCTCGCAGCGCTTAGACAAAGAAAGCGCTGAGGGGAAGTTGAATACGAACACTTTTAGCACACCGAATGGCGGCATAACAACAGCGGATATACTCGAGGTTAGGGTGGAATGGATTAAGAGGCTATTGCCAAACAAGGATGTAAAGGAGTTTCTACACTCGACACCAAGGGAACTACACGACGCGTTTGTGAAGCGAGGCCTAAAGAAAGCTTTCAATATTCAGACATACATCCAGATGCTCGAGGAAGAAGGCATCTACGACAAGACACCGGAGCCGAAAGTAGCCACTTGGACGCGCATGCAGGAACATCCACGCGACAACGCCTCGAAGCAATGGAAAAGCGACATGCTCCAGAAGCTCAAAGAGCAGCCCGATACCGCAGTACAAGAACTCACACACCTCCCCCTCGAACTCTCTTACCTCGACTTTCTCACCACGCTTCTTACCGACCGCACGCTCCAAAGCCTCTCGATTGATCCCGCGCCCGTTATAACGACTTATATCCAGCACTCGCTGCGGCTGGCGGAACAGATGGCGGGGCCTCCGACAGACGCGACTGTAGACGGGCATACGGATGGGCCCCTGGACCGCAGTTCGATCTGGGAATATGGCAAGGAAGCGCAGAGTCGTGCGGTACGACTGCTGTTGCTGTTCATTAAAAGTTTGATACGCAAAGAACTTCTTGGGACGGAAGTGTTATACTTTGAGATACAGGAGATTTGTGTGCGCTATGTGTGGATCAAGGAAGTTAGAGATTTTAGAAGTTGGGTTGAGGAGGGTATAGGTGAAGAGCATGTTAGGGAATCTTGAGAAGAGGAGGATATTTGAAATTCCCAGGCGCTCTTATGAGATCGAGACCGTCGAGACTGCAATTTACGAACCTTCTACACCTTGCAGTGGCGCATCTATTCGAGACGATGCATAGTCGCTCGTGGTACTACTCGAGAGTTTCGGACTCGGTTGGGAGGGCAATCGAATAGTCAGTTCCAGTTTCGTCGCGCCAAGCTAGAACCGACTCCAAACTTCAAAGTTTCATGATCTACAACTGAAACAACTCTATCATTTTGGCACCACCGGCTTCATTGCTAATCGCGAACGAGCTGACATGGCACTGTACGATGCTGAATACCACGAGAGGCAAGAAATTGCTGTGATTGTCCTATGGAGCCCAACATATTAACGTACAAGGCACTTTAGCAACATCGAACTGCATGGCTAAGAGGCAGCTTTCATCGAGGTCGCATGAAACGACGACCCCAGATAGACGTTTCAATCGCCAAGTATAGAGCAAGGCTTGGCTTCTGATACACAGATGCGGATCTCTGTCGTTAGATGCCAAACGGCAATGCGCCTTCCGTCCAACGCAACATTGTTTATCCGATTCATCTTCCCTGCCCAGCATTGAACCATCTACTTCCGGACCTCTGGAGATGATCATCCCGTAGTGGGTATCCTAGTACACCTCTTCGTATTGGTGCTTTTGGGGTCATCGTTCGACTAACATCGTCTCAGCCCTTCTTCCCGCCTCCGTGCTTACAGTATTACGGTCGAGTTTCTTCGCCGTCTTCACGTTTGGGCATGGCAACAGGGGTCGAAGATGCTTATCTGCCTTGAAAGTTTAGAGACCTGTACAGGCAAATGCTTGTGTCTAGCTAAGCTTTGCCGAGACGCGGCGGTGCTCCGAAGGTAGTATATAAGTTATCCTGTCTTCTCCTCAAGTATGACTATCACCATCAGCTCTACAGTTCAGCATTACCAGACTCGTTCTACCATTCTCTTATTCTTCTAATTCGTTTCTTGCGCCGGTCGCTTGCTTTAATCCGTCTCTATCTTTACACTACGATCATTCGTCAATTGACTCTTAATAATCGTTCCATCTTTCATCAGTAATCCTAAATCAATCAAGATGCGTTACTCTCTCGCCTTTGTTGCGGCTATCGCAGCCACTGTCCAGGCCCACGGTGTCATCACTGAGATCCAGGGTGCCAACGGTGTCACTATGCCTGGTCTTTCCGGTAGGCCTCAACTACGTCTCTCTTCGAGTAGTATTCTAACAAACCCATAGTCGCAGATGGCACTCCCCGTGACTGCGCCTCTCCTCTCTGCGGCTCCGAGGCTGACACTTCCATCATTCGTACCCGTGAAATGGGCGGCAAGGCCTCTGCTCTGGGTCGTACCAAGGCCGGCCCAGTCGATGCTGCCGCCGCCATCGCCAGCTTCATGGGTGCCGGAGCTGCTGGCGGGGCCAAGGCCGCTGCCCCTGCTTCTGCCGCCGCCGCTGCTGCCCGGAAGCGTGGCCTTCTCGATGCTCTCACAGGTGGAAAGGGAAAAGGCAAAGGCAAAGCCGCCGGTGCTGGTGCTGGCGCTAAAACCGCAAAGGGCACCACTGAGCAGGGTGTTGCTAAGGCGGCTGGCGCTGGTGCAACTTCCGGTCTGCCAACTACATCCGACGATGGTACTGTTACTATGACCTTCCATCAAGTCAACCAAGATGGCGCTGGTCCACTCACGGCAATGGTCGACGCTACGTCCGGCGGCACCGACCCTGCTGCATTCAAGGATGCCCAGGTCACCCAGGACGTTCCCGGAATCGGTATTGGAGGTCTCTCGGCTGCCGCAGTCAAGGATTTCCCCGTCAAGGTATTATACTTGCCCCTTTTCCCCACCAATCTACATTACGATGTCAGAGATGCTAACGGCGTGAACAGGTTCAAATGCCCGCTGGCATGACCTGCCAAGGTACCGCCGGTGGCGCCCAGAACGTATGCATCGTCCGCGTGCAGAACGCCGCTCTCGCCGGTCCGTTCGGTGGCTCTGCTGCCTTTACACAATCTACCGCAGCCAAGAAGCGCGCTGTCGAGTATAACCTCCGCAAGCGACACATGGCGCGCGGTCTCCTCGGAAGGCCGGAGTAGGCTTTTCTTCTCTCTGATTATTCCACGAGTACACATTTCTTTTTGTTGGTAAGTAGAGGTTTGATTTTGGGATTGCTGGGCAATCTGGGATGATGGGGCTGATAGAAGTGGGCTTCTGGTAATCTCTTTTGCTTTGTAGATGGTCAATTCCTTTCCTTTGTATTTCGTTGCATACCTGTCTCACTTATACCCTCTTTTACCTGAGCGAGTTGTATTTAGTTGATTTTTGGGGAAGATGGGAGCTGTCTCTAGCGGTAATGATTGGGCACTTTGTAAATATGGAGCGAGTCTGGTCGTATCTAATATCTTGTTTCTCCTACTCTGCTCGAGAATCTTTACATCATGGATAAAATATCTTATTCATGCAGTAAGTATCTACCTCGATAACCTCATCGCCTCTACAAATGACCCAAAACATTCGCCCGAGAATCAACGGCAAATAGCTTTCGACCATGTCACAGTAACTCACTGAACAAAGTTCCGGCAAGTCGACTTAGCGTTCCTCAGATCGTGCACGTGGCGATCTTGCGGAAACGCCATGTGTCTCGAAAAGCTTGTTTGAAAGCTTATCGTGAGACAGGGGTTATCAGGTTTCAAACCTAAGATCGTAAACTTCAAATCGGCATGGCTGCATCTGTTTTACATTTAGTTTATTTGAAAAGTTCACTAGTCAAATTCTTGATTTTGGGAAATGCGAAAATGGTGTAGCATCACTGTTGGCAGGATCAAGCAGTTTTATTGATGATCATTGAAGAGTAGGATAAACAAGTGTCGGAAAAGAAGGGGATTTCATGGTTCTAAATTTACTTTGAAAAGCGCATGATCTATGTATGGGCTGTCAACAGACCAAGTTTTGCATTGCGGTACCGTACTATTCATCATTGCAACACCGCTTTTATAATCTACAACACTCTCTTTTTCTCACACACACACACACACACACACGCAGTCAATTCTGCGGTGGTAGCTTCACAACTATAACCTCACATTTCTTCCTTCCAAGGAGGTCTGGTGAAGACCTTGTCTTCGCCCACAGGAAATCATAGTCAGCCTTTTTCGACTTGACCTTTTTCGACTCAACCTTTTCCGTCTCAGCCTTTTTCGACTCTACCTTGGCCAGGTCTTGTGCCTGTGGTAAGCGGACAATGGGCTTGCGCTTATCGGTCAGCCCAGGACCGTTGTGCAAACGAGTCTGGGAAAAGAAACTAGGAGCCGATGCAGCGGAGGAAGAGTTCAAGGAACCAGACTTGTTCATCTTGATCTTGATCTTACCTTTCGAAGATGCCTTGGTCCTGTCGCTGATCTGTAGCACTTGAGACCACGTCATGCCGTACACATCGGCGTAGACATCTGCGAGGGTCGTGCAGCCATACGGTAGCGTTCCTGCTACGCTTGGCTGTTTATATATGGCCGGCATATTCTTGCGGCGATTTTGAGACTCCCGTGCAGCCTTCTTTGCATGCTCCTTGGCTTTGGCGTTGGCGTCGCGTGGATGATGTCGTGGTCGGTGTAGCTCGATCTGTGCTTTGGTAGCTTCGAACATAAGATTTTGGTAGTCACCTTTCGCAAGGATGTGCGCGAGAATCTGATCAATCTCGATCTCGGAAATATACCCACGGAAATGATTCCAACCAATGTTCAAGGCCAGCTTGTCCATGATGTTGAAGTTGTTGATCATCGCAGGAATGAGGACCTCGACATCAGCAGGTGTGATGGCGTTGCTGTACATATAGTTGATTATGGAGGATTCGCTGGAGAAAACACTGTTCTGCTGGGCCTGAGATGCAAGCACAGCGAGCAGGGAGCTCACCGTTTGTTTTGCTCCAAGGGGCTGAGGAGCCTGCTCACGCTCCTTCGAGGGTTGCGCCTCCAATGCATCGTTGTCTTCGGCCGCCGGTTCAACATCAAACTCTCCCATTGTCGGCGTGCAAGCCGCAGTGGAGGATGGAGTCGGTAGGTCGATGATGAACTTGTAGTCGTTGCTACCGCTCGAGGATAGGTTCAGAGATGCCGGCATTGTGACAGATATTTTGGTGGAAGATTGTTGAAAGGGTATAAGAAAAGTGTTTTTGAGCTTGTCTGGGAGAAAAGCTGCATATATATAGCAGAGAGTGCTCACACTTCTGTTGACACACAGAACATATGTAGAGCATTGTGGTAGGGACATCGTCTTCGCACAGTGTCTCACACCCTAATTTGCCATGCTTCTTCACTATGCTAACAACAGCTGTCATGTTGCGTTGGAAAAACTGCTGGGTGGATATGCTCATGGCGATAGGAAGCTGTGTTTGAGGAACAATTTATATAACTGACTATGAAATCTATCTCTGTAATTAGGAGGAGGAGAGAAACCTTTTAAGAAGGTTTCAAGGGCCCGTGCAACAGTCCTCTTCAGTGCTAATTAAAACCATCAAACTCACTCCATGAGACAGTTGATAAACTGCCGAGTCAGAGTTTCAGGAGGTAGGAAGATCATGAACACTCAGACATATGGCTGCCTCGCAGCCGAAGACATTTCTATTGTTGGAAGAATGGGCCTCGCAGGGTCCAACATTTGTTGACCAGGGACGTACTTCTCCTCATCGCTTATGCGTGAGTGCGAAAGACGTGGCGAGTAGCCCGACGTAAGAGGGAAGGGGCCTTGGTGGGCTTGATAGCATCTCGATACCGACGGTAAGTCGAAGCCACACGTGCATGGGCCTGATCACTCAATCCCAGAAGCTCAGTCTCAATGAACAACTCAATATATCCACCCACCGGCTGCTTGTTGAGCACGTCGAAGTGCGCGAGATTGTACAACATTGCGTCGACCCATTCATGAAACTCGTATGTTTCCTGGAGCCCCCACCAGATACTTTGGACATCGATCTCGTTGAGTGGCTCAGCTTCAAGGCGTGACATGATGTCATCGCGGACGTATAGAGCTTCGCGGTTGTTGAGGAGTCGAAGGACGCAGTAGTGGAGGACGGTTTCGCCGATAGAGGGGATGTTCGGAGTAGTATCGGCACTCCAATGAGCGAAGAGACTGGTTAGAGCAGGAACCTCAATTTCGTTCGAGTGTTCGAGGGAATTCAAACAGAGGGGAAGCGTGACCTTGTCATTATGTGGGTTGGCCTCAATCAAGTGGACAACCTCTGGCGCATAACGCTCAAGCAGATTCAGCGAGATGTCAACGACGTGCTTGCGGTGTTGCTTGATTTGATTGCAGATTTGTACTTCGACGATTGTGGAACCCAAGAGCGATTGCTGGGCTTTGTGCCTATGTGGCGTTGATGGTAGCTTTGATTCTAGCCTGATGCGTCTGATGGGGATGGAGTATCGAATCATGCTTGTTCTCAACTGCAAGTATGGTTGTAGGTGATGTAAGCTGTTGAACTTCCTGCAAATATCGATTGGCTTATAAGATGGAAGGGGGCAGTCTCTCTTCTCAAAGTGTCATGTGTACAAATACAATGATCATAACGTGCATTGTGAGGATGGCCTCACCCGCAGCAATGGAAAGTGTTCTTCGGATACATTGTGAAGACTGCTGCCTTTTGTTGAGCTGCTTGTGCGCGTGAGGAAGCAACGATAAGTGGAGTTTTCTGAATACAACCAGCTATCCGCAGAAGATACCCTTTTCTGGCTTTAAAGGTCGCTGGTGGCGGCGATAAGAGTCTCGACATATGAAGCGAGCCTCCCTAGTCCCGACATTGAGCCACCCTGGTGGCTCCAGGGGGTATCGGATTTTGCATTCAGATTGCCCAGCTGAGTTCGTAGCCAAAAACAGTGCGGCGGAGGAGTTCATCCTACAAAAGTCTTAGTATCTGTTGAACTAGGACGACTGAAGAGTAACTTACGCCCGGATCTTCTTCAAACATGACCTTGTCCATCACCTTTTCGAAGGTCTTGGCGACAGTAAAGCCCGAGTCTCGGGCTAAATCAAAAAATGCCATATCCTTGTCGAATAACCATGGTCGATACGGCGTGAAGAAGACGTAGGCTCTTGATGCCGGGGTCTTCTTTAGCGTCAGCTGCACGGTTTTGATGAGTTTACCGTGCTCGGAATGGTTGAACAGGAGGTCGGCTAGGATAAGCACATCAAAGGCCTTCTCATTCGACAGGTTCTTCGTTAAGTCTTCGATAGGTGCGCCCCAAAGGTACCCCTATGCACAAGTTAGTGACAATTCGCTACTGGTGAGTACAATGTCCAACCTCTGCAACGACCTTGTGTGGTTTAGGCAATAGATCGCAGTGTTCAATGTTGTATCGTAGATTATCGATCAATTCAGCATCGGGGTAATCCGTGACGACCGTTCGGGAGGCACCGTTCAGAGCACAGACAAGGCTGGGAAGCCCTGCCCCAGCACCGAGTTCAAGTACCGTCTTCCCCTTGACAAGCCCGTCTGCTCGCTCTTCTAGGAATGCTGATATGGTTCGCCCCGCGTTCCATAGAAAGTGACCCTAAGTACGTCAGTGCCGTGTTTCGAGTATAGTGATATTGTCAATCAAGATTCTACTAGTCATGTCTATCTGACAAGCTCTGCGACATTGACGACGAGAAAGAGGTTTATGCTCCTGCTCGAGTGTGCTGATAGATGTGCCTTACCCACAGTGGATTGTGGCCCACTAATCGAACCTGGAGCTCCTGCCCAGAAAGTAGTTGATGAGAGGCAAAGGTCGCTTGCTTTTCTGGCTCGTAGAAATCATCAGGCTCTTGGAAGAGGTCTAAGCTCTCCTCATCAGCCTCTGAGGCCATTGCGAAAGGCAAGTTGTCGAAGTTGGATGGCTTGGCGAAGGTTGAATTTTGGATGTCGCGTCGGAATGGGACACCAGCCACATCACGTGCGCCACCTCAGCCACTGTCGCACGTAGCACGGCAAGGTTCTAGGAGTGTGTTTCATTGAAACTGCGGATCGCAAACGTCAGTCAACAAGCGGAGCCCACGCGCACGAGGCTTGCACGACCTGTCTCTAGCCTCTGGGTTAGTATTCTTGTGCTGCACCGAGTGTTACACCGAGCTATGGTGCGCTCGCAAAGCCTTGTCAGGGGAAACAGCTCTGCGAGCCTTCAACAACAGCCATGATTTACTCAAGCTGATGCATGTGCAGTCGTTACTTATAGCGATCATAAAGCCACCTGGAACATGTCCGGACTTCATCATTGTCGTACTCACCTGATCAGCTTCCAGCTGCTCTGTTGGCGCCGCACAAGTTTCCCTGGCCTTGCAGTATCATCCCCGTTTGAACCCAGGGTCTCAGAGGTCTCTTTCCACGCTTCCTCAATCACGGAGGTAGGAGGTCGCGCGCTTCCTTCTTTGTTTCAAGAACTCTATGGCGCACTCTTTGTTCTTACTTCCTCTACACATCCAAGACTTCTTTTGCTGAGTTCACAACTGCCTTTTCTTATCCAAACTGCGGCAACTAACGTTCCTTACTAAGAAACTTGCTCAACGCTAAGGCGCTTAGCCTAATTGATTCATCGACGAACGTCGCGCATCCATCTCACGACACACCTTGACAGCCCGACCAGCGAGGACCCGCGCATTACCGCCTTGACTCCCGACTCACGAGCCGTCAAGCGAAGAGACGGGGGCTAGCTACCTGGTACATCTCGAGATTGGACGCGGCTCGCCCCATCCCATATCAAAGGTTTCCACAGTGATTAACACCTTAGAGACGACATTCCTGTCGGCTGATTCTTCATGTGTGGGCAACGACTCTCGTATCTCTCGCTTCATTCGCTGTCCCTGGCGCCGTAGTAAAGGCCGGAACTGCCTGCTCGTGGGATCCAGCTTCAATCAGTTCCCTGTCCGACGTCGCTTCTGCACCACCTACTACCTGTGCTTATCCAATCTTCCCACCAGGGAACCGCGGGAAGCTGTCGGTCCAGGATTAGCAACTTTCCAGCCACGCGGGAACTGGATCCCCAAATCGCACAGGCCAAGTCTGGTACCGAGCGACCTACATTCTCGGTCGGATAGGTACAGCAGACAGACTACATTCGAGCCCCGTTCTTTACTTTGCCATACAGCCAGGATTGTCCGGCTAGCCCAGGGCTCTCGCCAGGAGGTCAAGTTCCGCGCGACGCGCCACTGTACCCCTCCGCAACACATTTTCACGTGCGCTGTGCCGTGCGTCGTGCGTCGCGAGGTTGAAACACCTTCTAAGTCAACACCAATACCGCTTATTCTTTTGCAATACAGTCTGCCGACTGGGCAAATTTCTTTATAATCATTATAGCCTTACATCATGTGGGCTGAAGTCAATGGAGAGCGCAAAAAGGTCGCCTGGTAAGTCTCTCTTACTTTGTTCCTTTGCGCCTCTTGTGCTCCTAAAGTACGGTGTCCTACTGATAGCCCCTCCTTCTTTTTGATAGCCTGCTAGCATAAGAGTCCCCACACTTCCAAGTTTGCAAGCATTGTCAAGTAGAGTCGTGTCTGGTTGTTTCCAGCTTCCTCGTTGCTAGCAATGTTTGTCTACTAGGGCTTCAGAGTTTGCAGAACTAGGAATGTTCTAGGTCGCATACAAAGGACACACTTTTTGGGCATTCATTCCATCTCAACACATCTACTAACTTAACATAGTGGTCCCTGTATTCGAGGTCACCGCTCGTCCAAATGCGACCACAGAGACCGAGTGCTTGTTGAAGTTCGAAAGCCTGGGCGGCCTTTGAGCAGCTGTCCGCACCCAACTGGTTCATGTAGCTGCGCCCGCGTCGTTATCAACTACACGATTCCCAAGTCTAATGAATGTGCTTGCCCTTCAGAGAGCGCGCAGCCCACAGCCACAGTTGCCGGTCACCGTCGAATTCAGAAGAGCCGAAGGAGATCCACAGCGGTCAATACCTCTTCGCTAGAGAATGCTATTCGAGCCGGCCGAGACGCTCAAAACGATCCCTTCACTGTGACACGTACGTCGACCGAAAAAAGCGGTAGCAACGAAGCGTCGCCTTTGTCCAGTGCAAGCTCAACTCCTCGTTTACTCCCTACGCAGAGTGGTGCATCGAGCTGCTGCAATCCCCAGCCGGCACAGCCGTCCGTCCCGTTGTTTCCAGAGTCAGTTCCGGCCAAGTCCTGCTGCTCTGGTTCAAAAGTCCAATCTAACACTATACCGAGTAGTGATCAGCCAAATGTCTACCAATCCTTCGGCCAACAGTACCAGTCTCAAGTCTCACCTCAGTTCCAAGCATCACAGTATCAAAACTTCCACCCGCATGCATCGCAGCCACTGCCAGCCACGGTCCCCTTCGGTCTTGGTGCTCCCATATACAATCATGCAGCAGCAGCATATCAGCAACGGGGCTTTATCCCAATAAACCCTGGCATGAGTGATTCCACAGCCTCCCATACCACTAATCTTCAAGTTGGTCAGCAAGTTCCTGAGCACAACTGTCACTGTGGAGAGTCGTGCAGCTGTTTTGGCTGCGCAGCGCATCCAAACAATGCTACCATGACGGAATACGTGCGGCTCATGGCCCAATTCCAGTACACTGGCGGATACGGGGCTATGTCTCCACCTCTATACGACATGCCCACTTATCCCCATCAACCCAGATTCGGGGTCGACGCGTATAGTTCAATGCCTCGGGACCTGTCAGCACCCACTCCGACCAACATGACCTTTCAACGGAGCATAAATATGCCAATCCAGTCAATCACGTCAATGGATGTTTCCGGACCATGGCAAAACCCTCCTGTTTCTACATCCGGAGTATCTGAGGCTCAGTACCTAGAGCCACCTAGCTATACAGCATCAAATCCCTTAAAGGGTCAGGTCCTATGGAAGTCGGAGGAGCCCGCAGCGTCACCTATCGCCGAAAGCCCAACTAGCAAAGAGGAGGAGGCCCCCACACTCTCGCCTTCGTCCTACTTCTGGAACCAGATGGTCCTGCCTGGCTGCAGTGATGCCACTGGTACTTGCCAGTGTGGCGACGGCTGCGAGTGCGTTGGTTGCCTTACGCATGGCGGTCACACCGGTGTTCCCCTCGAGACTCCTGCAATCAGCAACCAAGATCGCTTTCCTGGCTTCACAACAAATCTTGGCCTGCCTCTGGATGATGAAACGACCCCGTTCATGCCGTTCAACCCGGCTCCAACGTGAAAAAGTCTGCGTAGCCTTACGTACACATGTACACATCATCTGGCCCGTGTAAAGAAGACGCGATGCCATGCAACCATCCATTTGGAAGCGCTATGTATACTTGACAGTCTACCATGCCACGCTCTATTTGCCTTCCCAGGCGTAACAATACCATACCACCACTCCCGGAGATTTAAACCAGCGATGGCTAAGGGTTCACGTGCGCAGAACCCCTTTGCAACTGCCTGCCTACAAACAAAGGGCAGTTGCAGCAGGGTAGACTGTACTTTGAGCACCAAACACCACCTGGACAACACACCACAGCAGAAGAATGTCCTCTGGTCTGGCGGTCACCCCTTCTCGCATAAGATACATGCGATGGGCACATATTTATTCTCATTACATTCAATTCGCTTCATTAGCCTCCATGACCGGACGATTGTTTCCTAGAATTGTTTTTGCTTCTTGTACATCTTTGGTATTGTCATATCGACACTACGACTACAGCTACTTTGGCATGGATACTGGGGAAAAGAGCATTGCTTCGGTAGCACACGGACTGGCATGGGGAATAAAGGGAGTATGGGCTTGAAGTCGTTAGGACACGATACCCCTTGGGAGTTCAGAGATGGTGCGGCCAGGCTTTGCCCACCCCGTCAATGCATAGCAATGATATTCATTCCGCTTTCATTGATACTATCACTTTGTGTATGTAACAGTGATCTGCATTTGTTCGTCTACTTTGTAGCCTGTTGTATCAGCAACAGACATGATGCTGTTTGCTTTCTACCTACAACAAGAATAACTTCTTAATTGCAGTTGTGCCTGAATCCCCTCAAAGTACTCTTCACTTGTAGTGTCGTAGACCAAAAGCTCTTGAAAGCTGTCGTATGCGGGGCAACCTATAGAGTCCTCACTTCGTAGATATGCTTAGATCATCACGAGTTTAATTAGGATGAGGAGCATAAAGTATGAACACCGTTCGTAAGAAGCCTATGAACAGCATGATTCTCAAGGTCGTTCGTAAAATGACTTCAAATACCACGCAGCCAAATTGTGAACAGCCCGGAAGAGAAATCCGAAAAGGCGGCTCATATCCCAACTTGGCCATCGGCTGTCCATGTCCGTTCATTCAGGAATTCCCTTCGCCCCCAAAGATGAAAAGAAAGTGAAGCTATCTACATTGAAAGACTGTCACAGATGACATAAAGTGTAACATGATTGATTCCCGAACGGGTCACGCATAAGGGATGCTTGTGAATCGTAGAAGAATCTCGGTCATCCCCAAATGTGAACATCCTCCAAAAACCCGCCGAGATTTGTATCGTGATAGTCTGCACATGGGATCATCGACATTGTGAAAGTATCAACCAGAATTCGTCTGCTAGAGACGGCTGAAAAGGGGGTAAGGCTCGAAACCTTCATAGAAACCCAAAGTAGGCGGCCTTGAGAAGGTTCAGTCATCTGAGAGGATGATGATGAGTGTGCCACCAAGGTTTGTGGAGGCCTTGTAATATCTCCTGTTAGCCTTGTTCAATGTAAACAATGTAGACTGTAGTGTGGCTTACCGTGCAGCCCCGATCCTTATCGTCGAAACACGTATCTGCTTGACAATACTGATTGGTGGAACTCTTATACCTGCAAGGAGAGATAACGCCATCGCCGGTGAAGGTGATGTCGTAGTCGAGTCTCTCTTGCTTGCAATCCAGATTTTGTGATAGACTGGAATAACCTCTGTTCATATTGATGTCGTCCCAAGAAGTTCCGAAGATTGTGGGCGCCCAGTTTCCCTTGCCCTTCATGGTCTCACCCCAAGTGCATGCCTCGCTCTCGGGCACTCCTTGCTTGTTGACGTAGTATTGGGCTGAGGTTGCTTTGCCTTGCCAGAAGTAGTATTTGGCTTGGTCGGGATTGGCAAGGAAGCCGGTCTCACCGGGGCCTAGGGTGAGCGGGAAGGTCATTGACTCAGTGCCTGGTGGTGGTGAGGACCTGTACATACGATTGACTGATGGGGCTTACCTGGATAGTCGGTGCGGCAAAAAGAGACGGATTTCGAAAGCTTGTTTTCTACCTTGATCGTCATGCTCGTGGAGCCCTTGCCGCAAAGTGTCTTGCCGATAGAACCCTCTGCCATCTCCAAGTAGTTGTGTTCGTTGCAGTACAAGCCACCGACGGACTGTCCAGTTCTACCCTGCTTCTTTGGGAATGACAATTTGAGGTAGGGATTTGGACAGCCATACGAACAAAAGTTACCGGCTGTGCAGCAGGAACCGTCGTTACACGAGCCTTTTCGAACAGTGTAAATGTCATCAAAGCCATCCACTCCACGGTATTGTGGGTCTTGAATCCCAGACCAACCTCCCAGGCCTTCGTGTGCGAGTGGCAGGGCGCCATAGCCGTACGGGAATTCACTACATGGAATCTTGCCATTGGGGAATTCTTTGTCGCAAGAAGAGCAGTGACCATTCTTGTCGACTAGGTCAGCCCATGCTTTTGATGAGGTGTCCTGTTGATGCACCATTGATGGGTTAGGAGACGGATGCGGGGTGGGGTTACTTGACGGCGTCTCGGCCGGCGGTGCAAGTTCCCACGACTTGGACTCCTGGAGCTTGGGTCCCGAACTCGCCTCAGCAGACTGAGCGTGGCGATCTGGTACTGATGGAGGGGTGGTCAAAAAGACGGGACTAATTATTGACGTTGAGAGGTTACCGTCCTCTCCCCACATGAGAGTGCCGTTGGCGATACCTTGGCGGACTTCCTCCTCGGAGATGGAATGTCCATCAAGCACGTAGACGATCTCAGTCTCGGTCGCTGCGGGTACGTACACAACATGGTCGGGTCGAGAATCGCGTTTGGCGGCCCCATAGGCATGGCGGTGCACGTAAGCATGCGGGTTGGCTACGGTGACTGCAGCAACAGCAGCGAGGATAGTGATATGTTGGAGCCTCATGACCAAGGCTGTAGTTTCTCTGCCTGTGTTTAGGTGGGCTATTGCGGCCGGCTCAACCAATTGTAAGCCAGTGATGCTGGTGAGCGCGAGGCACTAGAGCAACTTACCTTTTCTCTCCGAACAAGCAAGTGTTCTTCGTAAGCCCAAGACGCTATAAATGCGTCCCTTGAAGGTGCACCTTCGTCCCCTTATTGTTCGATTCGTTGCGTTCTCCTCCAGAAACGAGGAAGGAGCGTGAAAGTATACTGATGATGCCTAAAGAGTGAACTGGAGATAGAACTCCGGGTGAAGGCACGAAAGAATGGCTGTAGGGGCGTGAAGCGCGACTGAGTCCAGTCTGGTTTGCACTGTTGCAGCGTGAGTCGCACGAAAAACCAAGAGTTGAAGTTGTTTGTATCTGTGTTTGTTGCCAAGCCAAGCTCCCAGTGGCGTGGTTACTAGTCGCGCAGGGAAGGCGCAGTGAATGGGAAAATGCTCCTACCTTGATGGATGTAGATCCTCTGTTGCTAGCACTTTGCCTGATGGACAAATGCAAGTATCAACATGCGCAATAAACGTAGAGAGTGTGCACGAATCCTTGATACTAAAAGAATGAGAGACAATGTAAACGTGGTCGAAGGTAAAGACAGCAACCAAATTCTAGAAACGTAGGGGGCGAGAAGAAGAGGCCTATAGAGAGTCCAAGCAGGGCCAGGGCGAGTGCGAGTGCGGATATAACCAATATTAAGCTTGTGACATTGTTGCATTGGGCCTGTAGTCTGTTATGGTCTCCTCATCTGTGCCACCTAACGTGTACCCAAACACAGTGCATGGTGGGTTGATCGTGAACATCAAGCAATTTCAGTCTGAGGCACAAGCTCTTGACGCTCTTATTCTGGGCGGGTTCAACTTTTAGCGGCGCGAGATCGACTGGAGGCTCTTAGGCGGTGATGGGGTCTCACCTGCACATGGCCTGCCCTGCGTATGAACTGCTGCTGTCATTGATGTTGTGTGACATTGACCCCTGGCTAGGCCATGGACGGCAACAAGCGTCCGCATTCCACGAACTAGGAATGTGGCACAGCAAGGTCATATAGCAGAGCCAGTGGCGAAGCCGTGGGTTTGAGAAAGGCCCAAGATGTATGTGAGTGAGGGTACTCGAACAACATGGGAGTTGGTATCCATCTGCGTCATCTCGAGGATCGTGTTGAATTGCCACTACTGTGATGATGTGATGCCTTCACCCGATTACACTTCTCTGCCAATGCGGCGCGTAGGTGAGGCCTACGCGATGGTCACTCCAGAGGTCGTACGCTGGTTAGCCTTGGAAACGGTGTGGCTTCGAATGTTCGCAACAGTTCCTTTGGGACTGTCTGCGGGCACAATAGCATCCATAGGGTAGCGCCATGGCGTGTTGAGATAAAATGAGGTGTGATGGTGATGATGAAAACAACGGTAGAGATTGAACGAGGTGATGAGATTGAATCGTCCTCCCGCTAACCCAACCTGCTCACACTAGGCATCAAGTGCACGTCAGCCCGCTAGCTTCAAGATTCAGGTAGCGAACATGTTTTAGCTGCGCCATGTGTAGCACAGCATATGCGCTCGTGCTTCGTGACTGAGACACAATATCTAGCGGATGAGGTATATCTAGAAGTCGGCTGCTGATTGTATATACAAGCTCGAAAATTACCGTGGTAATGATATCGGCAGCGCTACCAATGCAAAGGTTCAAGCCATGTCGAGGTTCCACCCATTTACACGAGGCTCATCTCTCGGACAACCGCCAGACAAGTAGTCTATACCTGCTGAACATAGTTTGCCGGGACGCTGCGCACAACACCATCCCGCTCAACGTCTGCCCATCCATCTCCCGCATCCATGTTGATAAGTACAAATCGTTCTCCTTCAGCCATAGAGTGTTCCGCTTCGCTTGTAGCAGCGTAGTCGTAGAGAGCTTCCACATACTTCAACTTCTTTGCTCCTCGCTTCGGAGCAACAGCCGGGCCCTTCTTTTTGCCAACGATGGCAGCACTGAGGTTGGTCGTTGAGGCTGACGATGCAGAGTACGTCGAGTCCGGACGATTCGACGAGAAGGTCGAGGCCGTTGTAGGTGGTGTTGGGGCCAAGATCTCCACATACGACGCAGGTACGAGGCCTTCCTTGGAGCCAACGCGGACTTTGATCCACCCGGACCCGTCTGTGTAGTCATTTGTGAGCACTGCGCCCAAGAGAATTTGGAACATAGGAGACAGATTCGCAAAAGACCTACCATCGGGTTCCAAAATGGTCACCTCCTGTCCGTCAGCGACAGTTAGTTCACCCTCGCTGTTTTCTTGATATGCGTACAGCATCCTTCCTTTCACTTCGTTACCCTTTGGTGTAGGTGGAGGAACATCATCGCCATCCTTGACATAATGCGCAGGTGGAGGTGCGATCATGCGGTTCCTCCTAGGACCTGGCGCTGGCGCTGCCTTCTTTTCTACCGGTGCTGGCTCTTCTGCGGTTGGTGACATTCCTCCAGAGATAGATCGGTGTGCTGTTGCTGAATAGCCCGAACTGAGAGTGTTCATGGAGTTTACTGTGTCGCTTCTCCCCAGCCGTGGCATGTCGGCGTTTGAGCCGGTTGCAGTGCCATTCGTAGCTGTTACTGCATGTGTAGCCTTTTGTCGCTCTTCCTTCAACTTCTTCTTCTCTTCTTTGGACTGTTCACCAGGACAATTCGCTGGCACTTTCATCTCGCACTTGCTGTGGCATGTGTAACCACAATCTCGGCAATCGAACCCTTTCGCTGACAAGCCCCATATTCGATCACCACACAAATCACAATTTGTGGGTATCTTGAACGTCTGAGACTTGAAATTGTGATTCCTCGCGCCAATGCTGAGGTCACCCACGACTGAAGTAATGGTGGAGACTTCCACTTCAGCGCTAACTTTTTGTCGCTCCACTTCATGCATAGCCTCCTGGATAGCGAAGACAGCGCGAACGACATCTACTTCATCGCGTTTATCTTTTCCTTCCCGAATATTTCGCCGCACGGTCTTTGCGTTTTCTACCTCTTTTCGTTTTTTCTCCAGCTCTCGCCGATAGTCTCCTAGCGAGGCTTTCGTCTTTGTGAGCACATTGCGTAGGAAGACTGTAGCGGAGTCGTCGACTGCAATGCTGCTATCATCCAACCAGACCGGACTAGGTTCGAATTGGAAATCTCCGGGCTCCTGCCACGAACCAGCATTGTGGCGTACGAACATCATCGAATCAAGTAGAGGGTTGTTGCGGGGGATCTCAGCTGATAAATGCTTCATATAGTCGGTACTCCGTGTGAGAGTGTCCGTTTCGATTTGCGCGGCTAGGGACCATATCGAGTTCAGCTTGTTGACTCTTGTTTCTGATAAATCTTGTAGGCTCTGTGACTGTCAACATCGCTCTGCCGATCTTTATGAAATCACTTACGTCCAAAAGCTCGGGAACATACTCGTGGTAGTACATTTCCTTTTGCTTGTTGGTTACGTTGATGCTAATGATATAAGTGTTCTGCGCTAGTCAGCATTGCGCCAAACAGAGTCTCGAAGCGATTTACCTTGACGTTGCGCATCTCAACCTGTTGCTGTTCGAAAGCGTTCCGTGCCTTGCCTTTGCCATGATCGAAAGCACCGTCAACCTTTTTGCGGCGGCTCTCCACTTCTTGGCAGACACTATCATATTTGCCTTTCTGTTTACGCAACTCAGCATACTGACTATCACGCTCCTTTTCGAGCTTGGCAGCAAAGTCGCCGTGTAACTTCCGTAATTCCTCGTATCGCGTGCCGAGGTGCTTCAACGGGTCGGCGAGTTTGTTGATGAGAGCGCCAGCGAATTGGTCGTGCTCGGAGGCGCGGGATTCTAGTGTGCTTAACTGGACTCCCCATGTGGTCATGGATGCGCTGTAGCCAGGTGTCAGCGATAGTCCACAGGGGAAAGCAATAGGAGTCTTCGTACCTCTCGAGCGAGCCTGGGGTCACTGTAGGAGTGTCGCCAACACTTATACTGCTTACTTTCCTCGCCTTCTTTTCATAATATTTTTTGGCTAGTGCGCTGAGCTTTGCCGAATATTCCTTCTCTATCGCGCTTCGTTCCCGGTAGAACTGTTGGATGTCGTCCAGCCAAGAGATGCCGCCGGTAACCTGATTGCTCCTGGGTTAGCATTCGAGCGAAAGACGCGGGAGATGGAGCCAGCGGAGCATGTGTGTGGGTGTTTTCAAATATCATGGGGTGAGTAAGGGGCGTACCCAGGCGTTGACTGTCTTGTAACCATCCTACGAATTATCCGTCAGTCCATGGTTTGTGGTGCGCTCTGGAGTCCGCATACCTTCAATTCAGCGCCAAACTGGGGCGCAATGTCGACCTCCATGCTGCTGTGAGGAGTATGGATCGAGAACTAGCACGGCGGGGATCGGCACCCCAGACATAGAGGATGTAGGACTCTGGAGGAGCGGTTGGGAAGGGCTACGCGGACCTCAGGTGGCTGCCCAATAGGTGGGGCAGGATGGCTGACATGCGCGCCGAGCAGGAAAGGCCGGGATCTTTGCCGTTACGTCTTGTTCTAGCCTTTTTCTACGATTCTTCCATGGATACTTGGGATGTGAATAGATTGTTCTCGAATACACTCGATGCGCGAAAAGCAGGGACATGCAGTGATCCAGAGACGCATTCATTCACACGGCGGAGGGCAACTGCTGTTCACGCAGGCCGCTGCCTAAAACTGCCTAGCGCCTCGCGCACCTTCCGCCTCGAGTTCCCCGCCAAAGCCAGCCTCGAGCTCACAATTTCGCGTTGTGCTTTGTGCCAAACAACCCATTCAGTACTCCACCCGACACGCACCATTCTTTGAGCTTGCCTCGAGTTTGCGCATATAATAGCTTTGCCACTGCTATTGCTATAATTCGGCAGCCCCTACAAGCTCCTCGCCCCCTCTCTCACTTGCTCGACACCGCTTTACCCCCACCGCAACCTCACAAGCAACAGGCAGCTCTGACTTACCTTAACATACGCCATGTCGTCAACGGAGGAGACTCCTGCAAAGGAGATTCCCACAAAGGAGACTCCCACGAAGGAGACTTCCACGAACGAAACACCCACAAATGAAACACCTACGAATGAGGCACCCGCGCAGGAAACGGTCGCAGAAGACTCGCTGGCGCAAGCACAGGTCGATGGTAGTGGACCGCCAGGAAACGGCTCCGATCTCGCAGACACCGAGTTCAATGTCGAGGTCAAGCTCGCCGACTTGCAGGCAGACCCCAACAACCCTCTATTCTCCGCCAAGTCATTTGAGGAGCTCCAACTGTAGGTTGCACGTAAAACTTCCATGGACAGGCTGACCTTAGTAGCTCCGATGAACTTATCAAGGGAATCCGTCACATGAACTTTCGCAAGCCGTCCAAGATCCAGGAGAAGGCCCTGCCTCTACTTCTGATAGATCCGCCCACCAACATGATTGCTCAGTCACAGTCGGGAACCGGCAAGACTGCAGCCTTCTCCCTCAACATGCTCTCCCGCGTCGACCTTTCAAATCCAGAGCCTCAAGCACTGGCACTCGCACCGAGCCGAGAGCTCGCCCGACAGATCTTAGGTGTCATTACACATATGGGCCAATTCATGGACGGCCTGAAGACAATGGCTGCAATCCCAGATCCATCCAGGAGGGGACAACAATTCAATGCCCAAATTCTCGTCGGCACACCGGGAACAGTTCAAGATATGCTTAAGCGGCGTTTGATCAACCCAAAGCACATCAAGATTCTCGTGTTAGACGAGGCGGATAATATGCTGGACCAACAGGGCCTAGGCGACCAGTGCACTCGTGTCAAATCCCTCCTTAACAGGGACGTTCAGACCGTGCTCTTCTCGGCCACGTTCCCCCCCAACGTCATTGCCTATGCCAACAAGTTCGCACCGAAGGCGAACGTGCTGACTCTGGCGCACGAGGAGCTGACCATCGAGGGAATCAAGCAACTGTACATCGACATCGACAAGGACAACGACAAATACGCAACGCTGCTCAAGTTCTACGGGCTCATGACACAAGCATCATCGATCATCTTCGTCAGGGTACGTATTCTGCCCTTTTTATAATCATTCAACTGACGGAAATAGACGCGTAGAACCGCTGAGGAGCTCGAGCGTCGCATGATCGCGGAAGGTCACAAAGTCGCGCAGCTTAGCGGTGCGCTGGAAGGCCCTGAGCGTGACCGAATCATCGACCAGTTCCGCTCGGGAGAAGCCAAGGTACTCATTACGACAAATGTTCTTGCCCGTGGTATCGATGTGCAGTCAGTGACCATGGTCATCAACTACGTAAGTCCATAGAGGCGTCTCTCATTGTGATAACTACATACTGACCTATTCCAGGATGTCCCAACTATGGCAGACGGTCGCCAGGCAGACCCCGAGACCTACCTCCACCGCATTGGTCGTACTGGTCGCTTCGGCCGCGTCGGTGTCGCCCTCACCTTTGTCCACGACAAGCAGAGCTGGCAGCAGTTGCACGACATTGCAAATTACTTTAAGACAGACCTCCACCCCATCGACACAAGCGACTGGGATGCGGTCGAGGATATGATTCAAAACATCATCAAGAGCTCGAGGGCGGGCAAGAGCACGCAGGAGATGACACAGATGATTACAGGAGGATCGTAAATGTGCATTGTTATATCCGTGAGAAAGCTGCAGAACATTGCTGGGAGACATCTGTGAGGAGTATGGAGCATATAGGGGAGAAATCGCGCGACGGCGCCAAGTGGAGGACAACCAGGCGGTGATTCGAGCATGTGGAAGGGACCAACATTGTCCTCAAGATAGATGGAGCAAATGAAACACTTTGAGATACCCAACTAGGATATGTTCTACCATCCCAACATAATCATGACCGCCATCGCTACTGCACTTGATCCAGGATCAGACACCCCTGGCAGCAGCTTCGCATAATATCATGACTGTGGCAAGGATTCTATGGCAGCTCTTGCGATAAAAGTCCCTTCCCACGTAAACAGCACCTTGAAGAGCTTCGGAGCTTGTGGTTTTCCCCCCCTACACCATACATTCCGCTTGAAGTCAGCCCTTCTTATGGTCTCAGCTAGTCCTGCGTCACCACAAACAATTGTTCGTCACTGTTCAAGCACACTCGGCGCCGTCACCAAAATCACGACGAGAGAGCTCGCAATGAGAGCGCCAGAGATGGCGCTTACAATCATGATGCTCCCTCTTGAAGCCGGGAACTTGCCACGTATTACGTAGTGCTGGGCTTCAAAGTATCTGTGGAAGCCTATGAAGAGCATCACGATGCTGATTCCAATGAATGTCGCTCCCAACGGCTTGCCCAAATGTCTGATCTTCGCCTGCGGAGACTCGGTGGTCAAGAAGTCGGCAAGGGTGTGTTGGGAGGCGTCGGGAGGGTGGGAGGACTTGTGGGAGAGGCTGGTGTTTAGGCGGAAAAGCTGCGTTATTGCGATTCCTATGCTTGCGAATGATAGGGATGTTCGGAGCCAGGCTAGAAATGTCCGTTCTGCAGGAGTCTCAGATTAGCAAGACACACTTCAGACTCACCTCCACACTTCTACATAATAAGGAAGAAAGGAAGCGGGGTGGCTAGGACGCACCTAAAGCTAAATGATCTCTGGCAACACTGCCCTTATTCTCCAATTCTACACTGCCGTACTTGTCCCAGAATGCGCGCCATCGTCCGCCTTCTCGTCGTTCAAACGCAGCGGCTGCGCGCTCTGCACTCTCCGAGTGTCTTATCCCATTGGTTCTTCGCGTATCTGAGACCGTACCATCTTCTTGCGCACCTATTGGTTTCGCCTTTGGGGCGGGGGTAGAAGCGGGGTTCTGCGAGATCGATGAGGTGTTGTTTTGCGGTGGTAATGACGGTGATATGGAGTTGTAATCTTTCGCGGTGGATTGCGCATGCGTTATTATGGGGTCAGTTTCGTCTGTAGTGGTGGCAGCGGTTCGTGGAGAAGTAGGCTCCCGTTCGGAGGTGCGTTTGCGGGGGCCGTCGGCCATGTCTACTCTTCTTATACTGTTTCTTGAATACAACGTTATGGTACACAGACGGTGATGGATTGTGAAGTAATATAAGGTAAAAGCGCTGGCGATTGTGATTGTAATTGTAAGGTCAAAAGTAGTCCAGGTTCATTGACGCTGTCATGGGAGCTATCTCCAAGCACCCGAAGTCCAGGTCGCGGTTTCGCAGCAGCTCGGCTCTTCTTTCATCGCTGCGTGCAAAGGCCCGATCGTCCACATGGCGGATACCCCCAAATGCAAGAAGCAGTGCGATTCGCATCCGATATCGTCAGGGTGAATTGTAGAGTAGCGTGAATACGTGATCCCGTGTGGGACTGACGCAAGAGCCTCCAGTAAAGGCCAAAGCCCTGGCCTATGGGGATTCGAGGCGCACTCCACAGGGTCTTACACGAGCTAACGTCCGCGGAGTGAACTTATTTGAGCAGCTTCGACAACTTCAGCTGCTCGTTGAAGAAGCTGGGGAACTGATTTCACGGAATCACAACTCGCTAGATGCGCTACACGTGACTTTACTCGAAGTCGTAATGCATGAGCACCTTTGAACTCTGAAATCTAAAATGTTTATAATGTCCTTGATGGTATTTTCCTTGCCAGCAAGCTGTCTATACCTGTTGAAAATGCTATGTAGTACATGTAACGAGATGTCACTAAGCTCACTACTACAGAAGACAAAGCGATCATACAAACGCCGCCCAATGACTGCCGTTGGAGACGCCCAAAAGTAAACGGTCCGTCTTCAAAGACTTCACTCATTGTAGTGGAATACCTACATCGTTATTAGCAGAATTCCTCACGCGATCACAAGCGTGAAACCTTACAAGATAGTTTGGCAATCCGAAGCTATCCCAGTTCAGTCTATTCGCCATCTTGGCGAAGCCTTCCGTTTCGATAAGATGGTAGAAGGGGAATGGTGGGAACATCGCTCCATCGCGGTGTACCTCGGCCTTGACCAATAGTGTCGCGCCCCCTACACCGTCGAGCTTGATTTTCGTTCCAGGATCGGCCGACTTGTCGTACATCTTTGACATCAGGCTACGGTACGTTGGCATCTCAGCATAGCCTTCCAAGAGAATTTCGTCATTGCCCATTTTCGCGCCCAGCTCCCTTGCCGTAGGGCTATCAATCCAGTTGTTGAGATCGTACTCCCGAATGCTCATAGCCTTCTTATCATTGTCGTAGTATCTCTGGAAGCAGTTGGGCACAATGATGGGCACATCGTATCCGGCAAGATCCTGAATGAGGGTTGGCGGGGTCTCGACGATGTCAGCATCCATCCACAAGACCCACGATGTGGTGGGGCCCATGGTTGTGAATAGCAGAGAGTTGCGCGCCTTGGACATGGCCGCGCGACGTGCCTTCTGGTTTTCCATCTTGTGTCGTTCTGCCTCGTTCTGTGATGTTAGCGGGGACTCGGTGTCCTGTCGGAGAATCGTGACCGCAGCGTAGCGCTTATTCTTTGGTCCTGATTGTGTCTTGGTGACCTGTGCCTGCAACGCTGCGTACGCTGCATTTCCCTCCTTCGTCTTTGGTATTATGAAGCCCAGGGAGATAAGATGGTGCGGATAGTTGAGCTTCGCCAGATTGTCCCAGTACTCTTGGTAGAAACGCGCCAGTGGAGTGAGAATAAGAACCGTCTCCTCATTTTCTATTGGTGTCCGCGATGTGGTAAGGTTGTTCATGTAGTAGTGTACAACTGGCGGCGCCGCCTGTGGAGCGTTGCCTTTTGACTTTCGGAAGGGCAATGATGGCGGAGAGAGCGGATTTGATGCCGTCTCGATCCCGCTTCTGAGCTTGCCAAGTGTAGGAGCATCGCTGCCGGAAAAGAAGAAGAAGAAGAAGCCTATGCAGAGGATGCCGGCAAGGACTATCGTTATCGGATTCGAGCGTCGGAATGAGCGTGACATTGTGGCTGGACGAGTAGGAAAGCAGGCGAACTGCGGTTGCCCAGATTGAGTCGTCTACAAGTGGTGCATCGAACGGGAAAGCGAGAATGGGGCTGAGATTGCGGTCGAGGTTCGGCGCAAGGAGGTTTGCGAGATGTGGCCAAGCTGGCGCTCAAAAAAAAGTATCAGGGCCGCACGTAGAGATGGGAGTGGGTCTCCCAGCGTCGGTCGGGTCGAAGAGGGCGAAAAGCACAGCTGGAGGACAGCCTCAATGCTTATAGACGGACAAATGTCAAGGGGTATTGGCTGCTCGATTGTGGTCGGTCGCCCTTGGCTAGTTGAAACCGTCGAAGATGCGGCTCAGCTTACTCATCCTACATTTTAGCTGCGGGATAGTTCCTAGACCTCCGAGTCCTGACCTCATGGACAGCTTCAGCACCACGTCTGCGTGCCGCCATGGTGAATTGAGTCTCGACCAATGCCTCCCTTGGTCGCGCGACAATGGCAAGTCTTGAGGGGCGCTCCTGCCGCTATTGGTACCTTAGGACGCACACAACGCCTTTCGGGGATTCCATGCGCTTCAGCTTGGCGGTCGTACGCGCAGCAGTCGACGCCAGATGAAAAGACTTTAGGGCATATAGTACCACTCAACAGTGCTATTCTCATACCAGCCTCTATACCAAACGCTGTGAGAAACTTGATTTCCCACAGAGACGCACAAGCACTAACCTCTACAGCAACCCGCCGAACTCATACATTTCATCCGACCCGTTATACGAAAGCGAATCTCTAAAGAGACTTTCTGCGTCTTCCTTGTCACACCCGCTTTTGCGCCATGGCTCCTTAACGATGAAGTCTTCCTCCGAAAGGCGCTGCTTCAGGCATACAGCGAGTTGTGGAAGGGGCCGAGTGCGAATAATCGATACCCGGACATACACGCTCTCTGTGCTGTAGTCGACAAGCTTCCAGTCGGCAGGGCTTTCAAATTTGAGACCACACTGGGAGATGAAATATCGCGCCGTACCACGGAGCCGCCTGTTGCTGAGACTGGCCTCGAAGGCATCGCCTATGTCACACTTCCCGCCACTGCTTCCGTGTCGTCGACCGCACCTTCGTCATCCGAGAAGGGCGCTATTGACTTCGTTTTAAATGAGCACACGGCAGGCGAGCAGATAATCAGCGACAGTCTGCGACTACCACTCGCCAATACTATATTCCAGACGGGCACTCCCACAACTATGACTCTCACATCGTGGAAGTCTCGTGGTACGACGGAGCGGCTAAAGCTGCTATCGAAGACGAACGTCTCTCATCATGGTATTCGAATAGCTGGACGCAACCAATATGTTGATCAGATCATTCCCACCCTCAGTATCCCATTGGTGCCACTGACCGTTCCTCGTCGGGTTGAAGGATGTATGGGCAATATCATTCGCCGAATTGTCAATTCCGACGGGGAAAGCGTGACAGCTTCTTCGGAACTTGAAGGAGTTGTGCCGCGATTCTTCAAGTCGCGAGGGGAACCCGCACAAGCAACATCTGCCTGGGCTCTGGTGATACCAGGATCCATGGCTGCGAGTATGAGCGCAAGGACTACGAGGCTTCTTGCGAAAGTACTGGACAAGAGTGAAAAGGGAGTCGACAAGCGAGATGAACTGTGGGAACGTCTTTGGCGAAGCGATCCGCCTTGCTGGAACATGCTCGTGTCAAAAGCCCTTGCAGAAGGAGCACGTCTCCACCGGGTATTGAGCGGAGGAGGTGGATGGGGAAAGAAAGCGGGTTTACTGTCTCTAGACCCCGTTCCAGCCAGCGACGCCTTGGACCAACTAAACGCACACGATTTGCCGAGCATTCTCAGTGACCCAGAGGACTTTGCTTCGACCCTGACGCCAGTCATACATGATGGAGACTTCATACAATTTTTTACATTGCCAAATTCGAAGATCGATGTAGAAGCCAACTACCAATTGGATAGTCTAGAGAAGCTCACTGTTCTGCCAAAGCAAAACAGTTGGGGCTGGGAATTTGGAACGATCCCTAGTACAGCAGACTCGATGCCTGGAGGGTCATGGCAGCATACCACTTCAACATCAAGGAAGGTCTCTGTATTTGAGAACAGCTTCGGTGCTCTGGCCGAGGGAGGCTTAACACTCACACGCCGCTTCCCCGGAAAGGAAGGGGGGTCTTCTCCTTCGGTTGGTACTACCATGGTCGATGTTCCTTTCTCTCGCTTCTGGGCTGTGGAAGTGGCGGACAAGGCTAACTCGATTGAGCACGTAGGTGAGCCTGAGAATGTATGATGGCTTGTATTTAGTTGTGTTCTAATTGCTGAATTAGCGAATTCATACCCCGAAAAAGACAAAGAAACTTAAAGCCATGACCACCCGAGCACGAACCAAATTAGGGAGCCATCTGAAGGGAACCAAAAGTGATGCCACGACTAAGGTCAATGAAATGGTACCGTCTAGCAAGATCACAGTCATAACACCAAAGCAGCTAGAAGAAAGGCCGCGTCCACTAGTTCGGAAATTTACAAGTATATGGTCAGAAGCTCCCACAGAGATTACCGAAGTGGGAATCAGTAGACTTGCGATCAATGCTGCATTTGCTTCGAAACGTAATATTGTAAATGATATCTCTCGCTTGACAGAGGAGTACCGAGGCATCATGTACACCATCCATCGACGTATACTATCAGAGCAACACACTATGGCACGTCACCGCCAGCGACACCAACATGCTATTCAACGCCGTCGCACTTGGGCCACGAAACGAACTGTGGGCGAGTATCCAGAGGAATCAGAGACGAGAAGCCGTGTGCAGAAACGGTGGGCTCCGAAACTGGATGACAAAATCAAGGAACTAATGAAAAGTAATCAGCAAAGGAAAGCCACCAGACAGGCTGGGAGCTTCCCAGGACCGCTTTTGCGCAAGATACCCAGCAAGTTCGAAGAAGTCGACGTTCCACGTGTAACGCGAAGGCCCCTAGGCGCCCCTCGTAAGCCTAGCTACGCAATGTTTTCCAAGCCTGCGAGAAGTGCAATGTTAAGGGGCAAGAGGAAGCAGAGGAGAGATGACTTTGCTGCTAGAGTCGGTTCGTGGCTTGGTGGGGACCTTGCTTTTACAAATCAGAAGGCGTCGGGTACGCACAAGACAGAAAATCAGCCGATTGTTGGTAGAGACACGTATTTTGGAGTCCGCTACGACGGTGCCACAGGTGTTGAAAGTGAGGGAAAGCAAGATGATCTCTCACGCGTGCTTGCAATCGCTGGACGGCAAGATCGAGGGTCTGGTCATAGGAGAAGGAGTCGATGAGCTATGTTCCACCATTCTCATGATTAGAGCATGTTTTAAAAGCTAGTGGGTGCGCATGTATATATGTGATTATAAGTAATATGTAGCGCTGCATGTGTATCAGCTTCAAAGTCTTGCAATGTTCGGAGTGACAATTCGCGACTGGCTCCTTGCTTCTACACGAGAACGTTTGAGCAGCCAACCCTAGTTATAGGATCCGCTCCTATAGCTTACTGGATTCCTCAATCCAAAGCACGGTAGCGATTTCACGTGTATACTATAAATAGTCCACGGCCATGCTCAGCGCCGCAATGTTCCGAAGATCCTCCGCTAGCCGAAAGGCTTCCATCTACTTCAAGATGACATTGGTTCCTTCTCTTCAATCCAACTAGTTACGAAAGGGCTATCTTGTAAGTCCCACACTACCGATATGTGTCCTCAACACTAAATATCCCAGCCTGTAACCAAATGGCGTCCTTTCAGGTTTAAGGAGACCGCTCTAACGCAAAGAGTACAGATTGCACATCGCTTTAGTTGCTATCATGGCAATGTTATTAGCCATTGCAACACTAATAATCGTACCATTCCTTACATTCTTTCTTTCCACGACTCTTTTCTATCGAAAAACGAAGAACAAATTTCCCGGGCAAACTCCCCCGACGACGCCCTACTTTGTACCTGGAGTCTTCCATGCATTTAGTCTAGCATATTTTGGACCACAGAAGTACTTTGCTGCCTTGATGTAAGTAGCCTCATCTCTTCTATGGCATGTGGTCATACTGATAGATAGCAGTGACCAATATGGCAATTTCGCCCCGTTCGTTGTCAAGGCAGGACTTGGATCTTTCCTCGTCCTCCGAGATCCCAAACAAGCTGAGAGGGTACTACAGGCTAGTAATCAACTGACTACACGTAAATCCAATCTTCACATTCATGAGAGGCTGTTCGGCTCTCCGAAAGAAATTTTGAAATTCTATGCAGGCAAAGGCAGCAATGGGAACGAAGCTGGATTAGTCGAACTTGTACATTCGGCCTTGCCCCGGAAGTACTTGATGGGCACATCGCTTGCGCCACTTATTGACACCTATGTCTCCATCCTGTCTCGTAATCTCAACGAGAAGATGTTCCAAGTCGGATTCTGGACGCAAATCGAAGACTTCTGGTCATTCCTCCAGCAAGTTATCGCCCGCTGCACTATTGAGACGTTGTTTGGGAGAGAGATCATCAAGCAGTACCCTAGCATTGTCAAAGACTACTTGACATTTGCTGATGCCGCTGCTAGCTTTGTGCCGGGCATGCCGCGTTTCCTAGCTTCAGCTACATACGAGGGGCCTCGCGACCGGTTGCATGAGGGCATCGCGAAGTGGCTCAAAGCGACCCATAGCGGATCTGAGTTCGCAAAGATTGACGAAGAGGATCCAGTCTGGGACGAAGACAAGGGTTCGAAGTTTATCCAGGAAAGAGATGACGTGTTTGCGAAAACTGAAGGTGTGGATCTGAAGGGCCGAGCTGCAGAGGTCTTAAGTGTCATGCATGGGTATGTACCATCTACGTATGGTCTCATCCGAATAGAGCTCAGAAGCTAATGTGTACGTCCAGGTCCAATTCGAGCTTGCTTCCGTCTGCTTTCTGGACGCTTGTCGAAGTTCTGCGCAAACCTCAGCTTGGTAAGCATATCGCAGCTGAGATCAGCCAACATTATTCACCACAGGCCGGAGAGTACGATGTTGCAAGTATTACAGAAACTCCATTCATACAGTCCGTCCAAACCGAGGTCAGGCGCTTACGTGTGCCAACCGTTGCAACTCGCACAAACGAAGTCGACAACTTCCAGCTAGATGAGCAGTGGACACTCCCAAGAGGCATGACAGTGATGCTCTTCTCACATGACATATCCTTGCACACTAAATTCTGGGCGAAAGCGCGACCCCGGACCGTCGAGAGACCTCTTGAGGAATTTTGGGCGGAGCGGTTTCTCCTTCCTAATAGAGCAACATCAAGTGCGAAAAGCTCGAAGCCGGCCAAGGACAAGATCGAAGCTGGAAACTTCAGTATGGAGGGTCTTGAGTCCTTGGATCTAGTCTTGGGCGGGAACGATGATCAGTGTCTGGGGCGTGATTACATGAGAGCTGTGCACGCAGCAACTTTAGCCGTCTTCCTGAACGAATTCGATCTTCAGTTATGTGATACCGACGAAGTTGACGCAGCTATACCCCCAGTTCGCGAAGACGCATATGGCACGGTGAAACCGCTTTATCCAGTAGCGGTACGGATACGGAAGCGAAGGATGGGCTAGACATGTACTAATTTACAAAAAAGATCCCAGCAAATGTCACAAAAGGCCAATTCCGAATTGTAAAAATCCAAGCATGCTACATGGCTACATACATACCTAAAACGATCTCAGAAGTGCGCGAGGAACTTAAATTCACAACAAATACAACTAAAGCTCCACTGGCATCTATCAATTCGAGACGTGACTGTGGCTTGTCTTTCAAGAATGAGTTTAAGGGCGGTGCCAACTTCAAGATCACGACAGCACTGTTATCAGGAGCAAGAGACAGTCGCCAAACAAAGTGTGTCTCAAGATGCATGCCATCAATTAGGATCGCATAATGCCCATCCAAGAGCAAACCCAGAACAATCCCGATTAGCTCCCTTGCACTAGCCCATCCATCGTGCTTCCGAGAGCAATATCAAAATATCAAACCTGCCTGGAACCATAAAGTCGAGGTGAGCATTTCGAACCTCTATATCCATTCCCCCCCTCTCAGTCCTTTGATACGTAATCAAGTCTGCTTATCCCTTCCACTCACACTTGAACCCACACTCATCCTTGCAAAAGCCATCTTTCTTCGATACCTCGCACTCGCACATCCAACGACACGAAATCGCATCCTTGGAACAGTCCTAATTCCGCTTAGTCAAATACCCGCTCCTTCAGCCACTGAACGCTTGAAGAGTGGTGACATACCTGTATACACGCACGGATTTTGTCTTTGCATCCCGTACATTTTGCATTGTCGGCCAACTCCTCAGTTGTAGGGTACTCGTTAACCACTTCCCTACGTATAGCCGTCGAGGTCAAGGTCAAGGTCGAGGTTGTAACCGAAGTCGCAGGATTGTCGTTGGAAGGCATGAGATCCTCCCAGTTGGCTGCTAGTGCGGCGGTAATGATGATTATGGTGGCGAGTAGGAAGCACCAGATCCATGTTTCGAGGGTGGCGCGTTGCAGTCGTTGTCTCATAGTGAGGTTATGCTGTGGTGTCGCAGGGTGTGAAGTTTGTGGGGATTGTCGTGAGAGGAGGAGAGATAAGGGCTACGAAGTAAGTGGAGTCTGTTGAGACAAGAGAGGGGATTCACCTATGTGGAGAAAGTCGGACACAGGTGTGCTATAGCTGGTGAAGCGGGCAAATGACGAAGGGCGTCAAGGTACCCGATCAACCAATCCTCACCGTCGCACAGATTGAAGCAAACAGAGGACAATCCTCTGAAACGTAACTGTACAGATTCCCACCTATCATTCGAGTATCTGTCATGTCACTCTCTTCTCGTGTCACATCTCGTCACCGTTCTTTTGATGTCCGCCAATAGATTTCGTTGATAGACCTTCCCAACGCAGTACACCATATGTTCCGTGCTTTTCCCCCCAACCATGTGCTATCCAAGAAAGGTAACTTACACCAGAGTGGGCGGCTACAAGCGGTAAGGTGAGAATGATAGAGTCTTTACTCAATAGCCACAGGTCTATCTTTACTTCCTTGCGAGTAAACTCTCGAATGAGGGTTTCAGCAAGAGCTCGAGATGCATGTTAAGGGCCAGAATCGTAGAATCGCGCACCATTGGAACTGTTTGGCAATAACTCGAGATTGTTTGTGATAATCCTGCATCAAATTCACTGCGTATGTTGAACAATATAGGAACGGATTACAAAGAATTGCATCACGCCGAGATCTTGATAGATTCATTGTCGGATGCTGGTGTCTGTAGAACGCCCGCCTACCTCCCAGAGATGATGCAGTGCTCCCATGCTCACTCCTTATGCCGTTTTCTAATTGTTTTGTTCCTCCTATATATCCGAGTTCGCTCAACCGCCTCGTCCACCCCTCTCGTCCTGCATGCCAATCGTATCCGGCGCCTCAGGGAACTCCTTCTTCGCTTTCTTCGCCCCGCCAGCTGAGTCTCGTCCCTCGGCAGCGGCGCCGCCATCCTTATTTGCGCTGCTTGAAGATGTCAAACTAGATTCATCGAGCGTAATATAGAGTGCATAGGGTGGATAATGATAGACAAACAAGGGCAATTAGTAAAGCACTTACTCTAATCCAGCCTTGGTATTCTCCGTCTGTACATCATGGGTATCGCCTTCCTTGACCTTATCCGTCGCGTGCTTGTCGTCCGGGTACTTGCCCGTCTTGCCTGTTCTGCTTGCGGAGACGGAAAATGGTCGAAAGAACTTTGTTGGTGCGCGTAACGACGCAGTCGCTAGGCTGCGGTACATCTTTGACTACGATCGAGTATGGGTGAGCTTGTGTTGTTGGTCAAGGGCAAGCCGTATAGAGCAGTAGAGGTCAGGTAATCGGAGTGTAAGAGTCGGAGATCGCTAGGGTATAGCTCGACGAATAGGCCATGATGCGTTTGGAAGTCATTCTCAATGATGATGTATGACGATGACGCTGTCAAAGGAGCTCAATGTTTCCTAGCTCGGGTCATAGCTCCTTGGGCACCTTCCTCATGTTAGCGGAATGCGGGGGAGGGGTTCGCCAACTTTAAACTTTGAGCCTCATCAATCTTTAACGGCCCAGATCTTCATATTGGACATTGCAGGAGACTCGAAGACCCAGATCGCAGAAATGGCCGCAGAGAAGGAGTGGAAGGCAGATGACTTTCCCTGCACCCTGTACGTCTTCTCATCGCTGTCTGCAGATGACAACTCTTTTTACAACTACCGGCATTCCATCTTCCAAACTGACAGGAATTCGACCATCTGCAGGACCTTACACGTTCCTTTCCCGTCCGACCACCTCGCAACAACCGCAGAACGCGCTCTATCCGTGGATGCCGAACTCTCGCCTCTCGTCCGCCGCTCCTTTGCCTTGACCACGCCATCCACCACATCTACCCAGCCTACCGCTTCAGAGAAAAGCGTGCTACAGGTCAACTATGCCGCTACAACGAACCGCATGTTGCGTGTCGCCGTCAATGGGTTCATAGAAAGCATCGGAGTCGTCATAGGGGTGATGAAGGATTTGGATGTCGATGTAGTGTATGAGCCTAGTGCAGAAGGACTAGAGGGGGTGCAAGGGCTAGATGGAATAAAAGCCAAGTGAAGCATAAGAGAGAAATCTCTTGGAGAACAAAGCAACATCCGGCGCAAAGATCCGGTGTAGCGTTAGGATGGCAAAATAGCCACCTTTTGGCGGCTCGTTGTCAGCCAAAGTCGCTCAACTGATGACTGACAACGATGGCGTCATCAGAGGCATGCACAAATAGCCGATGAGTTGGCGCTGGGAAGGACACCTGAAAACGGTGTCATGTATTGGCAAATGATTGCCAGACATGTTTCAAACAGCGTCCATCGCTGCAAAGTAGAGAGAATATCCGGCTCTAGAAATTCCGTACTCCGTAACGTTATGCTACAGCAAGATAAACATAATCGCTTATCTCTTCCAGACAAAATGCCTTGGAACAATTGTCCCTGAATAGTAGAGGCTTCATAGGCTGAGAATATATATCGCTCTGGGAGGTTAGACAGGGCATGGCAATGAGTGTCTGTTCCTATATTAACCTTGTTTCGTCGCTGATAGTTCATCACCATGCTCATCTTCCTCATACTCCCCCTCAAACTTCCGCTTCTCCGCCGGCTTCCCCTCCAGCACAGCCACCGAGGCCACCGGAACCATCGACGGAACCGCAGGCGCCTGTGGAGGCGGCGTGCCCTTTGGCATCGGCGGCAAAACACCATCGCTCGTAACCTGCCAGCCATCATGCTTCATCACCTTCCACTTCTCCTTGACCTTGAAACGAACGAGTTCACCCGTAGTCCTGGCATCCTCAAAACTGTCGTGTCCTGCAGCGCCTCCTTGCTGGATATCCTCCCCTAAGTGCATTTTTGCAAGATTTCGAAGTCCGTGGCGGTATGGTAGACCTTGGCGCGTCGGGTACAGGAGGACTGTGTCGATGATAGTGGGGTGGATGATACGAATCGTGTTGAGATCGTTTTCGAGGGCGTGACCCAGAACGGGCGTCGTGGGCGAGACGTGGGCAAAGAAGAGCTCGCGCGCTCTGTAGGGCGAGTCGACGATTCGCAGATCTTTTCGGACGGGCTTTGGGTCTTCTGGGTCGTACGGCTTTGCGTTGAGGAACTGCTCTGCTGTGATGCCGGAGAAGCGCGTGTTCAAGTCTAGAAGATGGCCGAGGGGCCGCACTAGGACGTCGATGAGCGGCTTGTGGGTTGGCCAGGATATGACGGTAAGGCGAAGCATTTCGAGACCGTTGGTTGTGTAGCCCATTTCGCAATCAAAGCATACGGCTGTGTGTGGTGGTGCTTGGTCGTTTTCTGGCGTTTCCATAAAGGGCATGATGAGAGAGAGACGCTTCGAATCCTTCACGTTGTACACATGGGTGTCGTGAGTGACACAACCTGGGGATCCCACTGGCTCGTTGCAGCACGTCAGCCTTGTGGGTTCTGGAACCGCATTCTTGACCCTCTTAGGGAAATTGCGTCTGCCCCAATGGTGTTTGCATTGGCCCCCAGTCGTGAGTGCACCGTCTTCTTCTCTTCGTTCCGGGAAGACTTGAAAACGCGTGTTACAGCGATCACACTCTTCCCAGAAACCCGCCATCTCATGAACCTTGCGGGCTTCCGTCAGCTCCTCCTCGGTTGGCAGTTTGGTAACGTAACCATGGGCGTCCAATCCAGTCTGTGGGCATTTGAGGGCTGAAAGAAAAATGATCTCCTCTTTTGGGGAGAGGCCAGTATCAACTTTGCTCGGCGGTGCTTTCTTTGGTGGATCTCCCTTCTCTTTCACCAAAGCCGCTCGTCTCTCTTTGACCCACAGTTCAGGCGTCATGGCCTTCAGCTTGACCAAACGCTGTTTCAGTATATTCTCGTATACTGAACCGCTCTCCTTGGCTATCTTCTCTTCCTCGTCTACGGCTTGCCTAATGAGTTGATTTGGAGTCAGGTGCAAAGCTTTGATCTCGGGTTTTACTGCTTTAGCAATTTTGTCGTTCTGTGGCTTCAGGTAGGCGTGTAACGCTTTGAGAAGGGTAATTCTCTTGGTGAATGTCGCCGGCTCTTTGCTCAGTTTGCGCGGCATCAAAGGAATTGGGACATCAGGTTTGGTGGTGGGTTTTGTGGCAGCAATCGTGGGAGGAGGCGATACTGGTCGAGTAGCAGAGCGCGGCAGTGTAGCGGGAGGGCCCGGTTGGACCACTGTCTTTGACGGAGTGATTTGGGTGTCTCTTGTTGCTTTGCTTGTTTGTGCATTGTCTCTGGGTATAATTGATCCAACAAAGACATTGGGGTTTGCCTGGGTTCGTGGAGGTGTGACCTGCGCAATGGGCTCCTCCGTGCCGTCGTTGAGCTTCAAACGCTTTGCATGTGGTTCCAACCCGAGTCCTTCCACTTCGAGCGCTGGGGAATGGCGTGTAGTTGGCGATTTTGCAACATTGTGCTCAAAGATGCAGTGAGGCAACTCGCAATTTGCACCTGAAGGACACGCTACGTTTGCGAAGCTCCTGTAAGCTGGAATTGAAGGCCACATGCTGGATTTGATTGCAATAATCTCTTATCTGTGAGTATGAGGATAGCAAGCTACGGTATGCCCAGGACATACCGAGCTAGGTTGAGTCTATAACTGGTTTCATTTGAACCAATGAATAGGGTTGAAAGAGTGACTCAAGAGGAAGTTGGGGTTGTTTAAGCAGCGAACTACTTGGTGTCTCAGTGAATCAGTAGAGAAGCTCAAATGAGAGGGCCAGTATCAAATCGCATTCGCCAGCGATAGATGCAAGGGCGACGGGGAAAGGCAAGCCTTGCTAATGCCAATGCAAATCAGGGTTTGTCTCGATTGTTGAACAGGGCTATTGCCTATGACCTGTACTGATAGCCCTGCAGTAGTAGGTCTGGAGAGACTTCACTGGTGGAGGTCAACACGGGTGAGGTGAGTCTGGCCTAGCTGGAGGCTCACATGCAGCCTTACCAGGTGTTCGCGCTAAGCCTGCACGTCTCAACCGCCTAATTCCGTCATGACGTGGTGATATATTTCGATCTCCAAAGAAAACCACTCAGTAGCCGCACGCATACATTAGCCTCGTAGGCCACTACAAGATAGAATCCAGATATTACCCCCGATTCCGATCCGATAGTTTGCCCGACACCCGACTCCCTGAGTTGCATTACCTTAGCCTGACGCCACGCCGTCGCTGCGTCCGATTAAGCCCGCGCGTTACGGACGAGATATGGAAGCGTGAGAAACATATAACCACTGCGCCCACGACCTGCCTAATACCTCAGTCAACCAAATCGCGCAACAAACACATCTGCGCCGCCAACATGTCGGGCACCGCCGATCACCTCTGTGTCCTCGTCCATGGGTATGCCAGCTCACCCTCGCAGAAGGCATTGTCGCCTTCGCGTTTAGCTTGGAGGGTGCCCATGTGCTGACTACCTTCAGGCTGTGGGGAAATCCAGAGCACCTCAAATACCTGAGCACCACTCTCCGTGAGAGGTTCCCCGAAGACAAAGTCCACATTCTCGTCGCCAAGCGCAATGCCGGCAGCTTCACATACGACGGCATAGACACGGGTGGCGAGCGCGTCGCCGACGAGGTGGAACAGAAGTTGGAGGAGCTAGCGAGGAGCGGACATGATATCAAGAAGATCAGCGTAATCGGGTATTCACTGGGAGGGCTTATAGCACGCTATGCGATTGGCCTGCTATATCATAAAGGCGTCTTCGAGAGGATACAGCCAGTGAACTTCACAACCTTCGCTACACCCCATCTTGGTGTACGGACGCCTCTCAAGGGATACCACAGCCAGATATGGAACGTTCTCGGCGCTCGAACACTGTCTATGAGCGGTAGACAGCTCTTCGGGATTGACAAGCTCAGGGACACCGGCCGCTCGCTCCTCTCCGTTCTTGCAGATCCCGAAAGCATATTCATTCAAGCACTAGCCCGATTCCAGCATCGAAGTCTGTATGCAAACGTCGTAAACGACCGGACTGTGACTTATTATACAGCTGGCATCTCTCAGACGGACCCCTTCGTGAAGCCAGACGGCATTAAGATCAACTATATACCTGGATACGATGAGGTGATAATCGATGGAGAGGACCCAGTGGCGCCAAAGGAGCCGGAAGATCTGCCAGCTTTCACACAGCGCTTCACCACGGGCACACGTACAATCCTAGGACGGGTGCCAATCGTCGCGTTCCTTGCTGTATTCATTCCTATTGGCTCAACACTCTTTCTGATGAACTCTCTAGTTCAGTCTTTCCGGAGTCAACAGCGTATACGCCTACACGAAGAAGGCAGAGCCGGTGCGGACTTTGGCCGATACAGGATACCGCTCATGATCAATGCCGTTCGACAGGAAGCAGAAGACATGTTTGAGAACGTCAACAATGCCCAAGGCCAGGACTACCTTAGCGCTGGTAGTGAAGAGGTGGCGTCACCAACCCAACCAACGTCGCCCGGACTGAGACGTAAGCGCTCTACACGCTCAGACGTTGACTCTATCCAGGAGCAAAAGTCGGGGTTGGCTATCGAGTTCCCCACTTTGGCCTTGACGCAAGACCAGTTTGGCATGATCGAAGCACTAGACAACGTTGGCTTCAAGAAGCATCCTGTCTATATACACAACCACCGACATTCGCACGCTGCGATTATTGTTCGCATGGACAAGAAGTCGTTCGACGAGGGAAGGGTCGTGGTCAAGCATTGGCTGGACAACTTCGTATTCTGATCGTGAGCTAGCATCTTTGTCCTTCTATCAGCCTCGGTCGGTTACTGGAATTTATAGCGTGGCGTACGGTGCATTCTGGGCATGGACTTTAGAGGAGCATACCCAAGGTTGTCTTTTCAGTGATTGGGGTACCCTGCGGATCATTTACTTTTGTGGATTTTTTTTCATTTGATGGATTTGTACACATACCCCTTGAATAACAGCATATCCCCAAACTATACACTTGATACCAAATTCCTGCTCTTCATTTCGCTTCATCACCTCACAATCACAAGAATTACGCCCACCATGCAACATTTTCTGCCATCACTAATTCGACCGCTAGGCTCGCTAGGTCATAACAAAACATGACAACGCGAGGTATTAAGAGGTTAGAAGGCCTCAACAATCGAAAGCGGGGGAACTCGATCAATCTCCTACACCGAAACGCCAGTGAGAATTTGATCTTGAAGTGGTCTCATCATGCGAAGGAAGTCCACGTGACGTCATCATCTCACGTTATCCAAGTCGGCCTAATGCTCCTTCTCATTTCGGCCGAAACGTGGGATGTTGGGAAACGGACCGAGCGAATTTTGATGGCAGGATGGACTGGGGGGGCCTTGTGTTTCAAGTTTCGGTATTGGCAAGCGCCGAGACTGCACTAGAGATCTTGGTTGTCATGTTTGAATCGATCACGTTTCTGCTGCATTCATGTGCTAATTTTCTCTGAACGGACCGGGGGGTGTTGCGTATGCCAACTGAGTGAGCGAAGTGGGTTATTTTAAAGTTTTATATGGACAACAAGATGGGGTATCACAAAATAGACACTAGATAATACAAACAGGTAAATTGAATCAATTATTTGTTTTCATTGCTGAAATACCTAATGGAGCTGCCAATTCATGTTGGAGAGTGAGGCTAGCAAGGCGTTCTGGAGGCTCAGAAGCTGTTTGGTTGATGCTATCGAGATCTATATTGGGTATCAATGTTGTCGTGGGTGGAACTTCCAAAACGCCGCTTTCATACATATGCTGTGGTTAGGACTCGCTGCTATGGTATCTACTGAGGAAATAAACAATCATGTACGTCCATGGCTGAACTAATCAGCCTGTGACGCTATCGGGGCCTTTCGACACCCGGTTCGGTTGGCCTTTCAAAAACTCCATCATCTTAGCAACGTCTAGCGGGCGGGGTGTCCGTGGTATCCAGATAAAGCATGATGTATGCTGTGCCGTGAAAGTAGTATGTACAATGAAGTGCTCAGTCTATGAGCTGTTGAATTGAATCGCGTGGCAGTTTTCTGCCCTCTTTCAGGCACTGCCCTTGTCGTCCTACGTGCTCCTGGAGGTAATGAAGCTGCGTCATGTTGTCCTTCTGGAAAGCAAAGGCACCGTTCCAGAACCCGCAATTGATATTCGTGGTCTCGTTGCGGATTACCACTTGTGCCTGAGCTGCCAAATCAACTGGAGGGATTCCGGGCTCTTCTCCCGAGCTCTCGCCTATTTCATCAACGAGGCTGTGTCCAGGCATATGGTGGAATAGTTCTGAGTTGAGTGTCCAGCAGCGAAGTCCGGGGCTCGGATACTTCCGTCGCAATGCTGGGTCTGGATGCAGCCTGGGATCCTTCCATGGTGGCGTGGGAGAGGGTGTGTTGGAGCCGTTGTTACACGCGTGAAGAAGGGCGACATCAAAAGCTCGTGGGCCATTCACTTTGTACTGCGGCGGTGCGAGTTCGCTCAGTAGGCGCTCGGCGGCTGGGCGTGTAATCGCGTAGCCAAAAGAACAAAGTGGAAACTTGGAGCGGTGCAAAGCTCGTGACTTTTGCGGCATCCTCAGCATACCAAACAAGCTTTGTGTGAATGGGTGCAGGTCCGATCTGTCGGGAAGTGTAGGGTCTCGATAAAGGATATGCGGTATGGCACTCAAGTTGTAGGATTGGTGTTCCGTCATTGGCCCGTCTTCAGTGACTTCATCGAAATAGTCGCCGCAATGGCCCAAGTAGACAACATCCCAGGCATCATGGTCGCCCCAGTACTGAGTCTGGTGGCTGCGAAAGCTGGCAAAGGGGTGGTGTGAACGTGGGCGTGCAGGAGGCGGCAGGAGCTGGCGTGCAGCACTCGCTGCGAGGGGAATCTGAATACTGCGCAGGCGAATGTCCCAGTCGACGTCGTCTTCTAGTATGAGTGCGGTCTCGGCGCCAGAGTTGAGGAACCTGAAGAGGCAGCGAATCAGCAGTGCTCCTGGGGAACGCTACACGAGCGGCAGCCAATGCGGAGGACGGGTGCGATTTGGGCTGCTTACCAGCGCAAGGCGTTGTGATGTCCCAACCACGCCAATATCGAGCCTTTCTGAACATCGTCTTGTCCATTGATGAAGCGCTGCACATGGCCTTCGGTCCAGACTGGCTGCTTCGGGATGGTGAGGTCGAAGTCGGTAACGTTTGCGGCCTGCACAAGCGAGTGGCGCCGTTCAGAGCCATCTCTGGAGACGACGACGACGGCACCGAACCCTAACGTCCTGTTCGCTGGTATCACCGACGACGCCCTTTGCTCGTGCGTGCGATCCACATCTCTGCTGTGGTACCAGGTGACGATGAAGATGAGGGTGAGGGCCAGCAGTAGCGGCGTCGAGCGCTTCCTGGACGCAAGCATGTCGGGATGGGAGGACGAAGGAAACAGAAAGGAAAGCAGAGTGTCAATACATGTCCTCGAAGCAAGGGCTGTAGGGGAGCAAGTACCACGGCGACAGAAACAGGGAGACGAAGCCGGGTACAACAGCGCAATGGCAATCGAGGAGTGTTTGCACTGAGCGAGCGAGCTCGAGGCAGGTCCGCAGTAGAGAAGGCGGCAGGGCAACGTTTATCTTAACTCGTCGTAGTAAAAGACTGGAGCCACCTGAAGTGGTTACAGGCCGGCAGCTCGCACTGACATTGGGTCTTGTAACAGCATAATTAGATTAAACCGCGGGCGGTAGCCAGGGATGATGATTATCCAAGGTGTGGGTATCGACGCGTAGGCAGATTCCAGGGCGGGAGCAATATGGACTGTGCGACTGGCAGCATTGCCCACCATGGGCAAGCGACGTCGAAGCAGGGCTCCATGGCATTCCGAGGACGTATATAGATTGCTGGTGGTTGTTTTCCTTCTTTGCCCATCCGGTAGTTGGTCTTCCCATATAGCCAGCACGTGACCGTCGTGACCGACCCCCTGGATAGAAAGACGCCGACAGGGCTGAGCTTACACATGCGCCCCCCAGTCGACGACGACGACGACGACGACGTCCGACGGCGGACCAACACGGCCAAGTTACACTTCGCGCATTACAGTCACAGCTACTACCTAGGGGTTAGCCACGAGTGCGACCTGTTTATATGCTCTTTGCCTTTGCCTATTCCTATTCCTATTCGCGTCGTGTCGTCTGCCATAGCTGCGAGTGACATGTTGTGTGCCGCTGCACCCTGAAACATTCCGTGCTACAGAGAGCTTGTCCTCTGCATCTTTGCCCTTCTGGAAGCCTTTACGACTCCAGCTCTAGAAGACACCCATCCACTCGTTGGCCTACCGCACCACATGCCCGGCTATTCAACGCGCCTATAGCCATGGCCACACTGGGCTCGCCGTCGCCCCCGGCTTCGCCTTCACGAACGATGCGCCGCCGCGGCTGGGCCAGGAAAGTCGAGCGCTACTGCTGCACTGCCGTCACTTTCTTCCCGCTGTTCTTCGTGTACGGCCTGACGTCGTGGGCCGTGTGGGTAGAGGCAGGCATCGGCCTGGTGCCCTCCAAGAATGTCTGGACTGGTGCGTCCATCTCCTTATCCGGCCAAGCATATTGCGACACAACGCGCCATGGCATGCCGCATGTCTTCTCGTACACGAGACACCGCGGGGCTTGGAAGTTTGACCACGATAGCTAACATGGACACTAGGAAAGTTCTCCTCGGCGCTCGGCGTCTTCTTCTATCTCATGCTCAACTGGAGCTACTCGACCGCCGTCTTCACCGATCCTGGCTCGCCGCTGAACCTGAATAATGGCTATAGCCACCTGCCAACACAAGAAGGAGGGGGGCTGCAGTACACGTCATTCACGGTCAAAGCCTCAACTGGCGATTTGAGGTTCTGCAACAAGTGCCAGTCTAAGAAGCCAGATCGCTCCCACCACTGCTCAACCTGCAAACGATGTGTCTTGAAAATGGACCACCACTGCCCTTGGCTTGCGACGTGCGTTGGCCTCAGAAACTACAAGGCCTTCTTGCTCTTCCTCGTGTATTTGACCTTCTTCTGCTGGACCTGTTTCGCCGCGTCTGCAACGTGGGTATGGAGTGAGATCCTAAACGACGAGCAGTTCACCGAATCATTCATGCCCGTCAACTATGTCTTGCTTGCTGTACTGTCCGGCATCATCGGAATTGTAATATCTGGCTTTACTGCATGGCATCTGTGGCTGACTGTTAAGGGGCAAACAACAATCGAAAGCTTGGAGAAGACGCGCTACTTGTCACCGCTCAGACAAGCTATGAAGCACAATCTTAACGACCGTAACTATGTCGATGCTCAAGCGAATGGGCGACTAAGCATCAGCGATCAATTGCGCGAAATCCATGCGAATGTCCTGCCAGGAGTGACTAGGCCTGAGGAAGGTGAGGTCCCCTCGCGTTCAACATCCCGCTCTCCGGTACCAGGCCACGCCCCGACGAGCAATGGCTATTCACACCCGAACAGCCAAGCATACGAATATCGAGAACGTCAACAGAACCAAGAACGCTACGATAATTACCTCGATGAAAGAGATAACGAGATGCTCCCCAATGCCTTCGATCTAGGCTGGAAACGCAACATCAACCATGTCTTTGGTCCGTCCCCGATAAAATGGCTCCTTCCGATCTGCAACACCACAGGGGATGGATGGTCATGGGAGCCGAGTCCGAAATGGCTTGCAGCACGGGAGAGCATAAAGCGGGAAAGGGAGGTGGAAGAGCAGCGACAAAAGCAGCGTGAGCGAGCTGCCGGTTGGGGTGTCGATTCTCCTACTGAAGCAGAGTTTAGGCGCCCCACCCGAACTCCAGAGGGTTGGCAACCTATCCAGCACAACCAACCTGTTACCCGACAACCCCACCGGCCCGAGTGGCAGTCACCGCTGCGCCATGGGGAACAAGCACAATACCTTACCACCTCCAATGGCATCCTGAAGTCTCCACGAGAAGGCCGAAGAAGTCCGAGCAAAGCGGATCAAATCCTGGGAAGAGAAAACGGCATGTACGCCGACGGTGACGTGCAACTTCAGAATATCGACCGCAGGAAGTTTGACCAGTATAACTACATTTCTGAAGATGAAGATGAAGACTACGAGGTCTCTAGCGATGAGCAAGCCGCCGATCAAAGGAGCGCCCAAAAGACCAAGACCGTCTCAGCACCCCCTAAGGGGACGAAGAATTGGAACGACATCCCAGAGGGCTTTTTAAATCCAGCGCCGAGGGGAAAGAAGAGTGCCAGTCAAGAGAGGAAGCCGAGCCCGCTAAAGACAGAGGGGTGGGATGATTGGACGGCCTAAAATAGGCATCATTGGGGGGTATGGAACACGATGGGATGTTGGTATGTATACATGTAATTCTGCATACGAAGGCGTCTCTTGCATATGGCGGCGTTCTTCACCTGATACTAGACGTTGGATGTAAAAACTGGGTTTATGATACGATAGGTATTTAAGTAAATACGAACATTTTCAACTTCTTGACAACCCTCTAGAAATTATATCAATCAAGCTATGCTGGACGGCAGGCTTCACGACCTTCTGGTGCAGAGAGACAAACAGTTTCAGAAGGTCGAAGATGCTTGAATCAGAAACTCGAACGTGATTGCTACCGTCAGCTAGACAAGCGATTGGACTGGACAATCTATGGAAAACACATATATAGAACCCTTCCCCCTTGATTATGAACTTGTTCACCCAACCTAGCCAGTCCAAAATGTTACCGGACGTCAATACAAATGATGACAGCCCCGCTCCAGCTGTCTCAACCGCGGACTATCACGCCTTCACTCTCCTTCAGCGTAAGTATCTCCAGGCTACCTTCAATTTCATCTTTGTGCGCACATCCAATTAACATGTACAATAGAGCTCCTCCCCTCCGTCTTCGAGCCTTCAGAATCTGCTACAATCCTCGTCGCATGTCACGGCGATACTTCTAACCGGTTTCGTGCAGCTATTGTTGGTCGCTCTCTGAAAAGCCAAGTGCCTGTCCAAACCCTGCTGGTGAGCCCGCGAAAAGGCACTACTCGCGAAGAGGCACTTCTCAAGCTCCTCCATGTGGTAGAAACGATTTCGGCTTATACGCTGGATGTCATCGTGTATGAGGCTATGGAGGGTGTGCTACGAGACCGTAGAGAAGAAGAGGATGGTCATGAGCACGAGGATGCAAAGGCGGCAAGGAAGAACCAAATGACAGCGAAGAGAGGACGAAAGAAGAGTACCGAGGAGACGAAGAGCAAAGGCAGATCGAAGAAAGCGCAGAAGATGAGCCGCGAGGTCGAAGACGAAAAGGACGAGCCATCTTCACCGAAGCAGAAGGAAACTAAGCGTACGGCTAAGAAGCAGAGCGTCTCCTATCCGAACCATACGGAGGAGAAGGGCACGCTCGCCAAAGCCATACGCTCACTGCCGTCTGAAAAATCTACGCAGGTGCCGGGACCAGAGGACCAGAAAGATGCCACGACCACGGATGAGGAAACCGAAGATTCGTCCCGGTCCAAGCCCACTTCGCTGAGATTCGCATCGAAGAAGAACACTCCGCTTCATAGGAGGACAAGGATTGGACGTTTGAAGGAGCAAAAGGAGAAGGAGGAGGAGGAGGAGGACAAGGCTGGCAAGTAAGATGACCAAAGTAGGGGTAGAAGCAGAAGGGATTTGGAGTGCTGAGTGGTAGGTGCCAGTGATGAAGAAAATTGCTCAGTAACCCATAACAGGTAGCAAAAACCACTATCCATTCAGAACGAATTTCCCTCCTATTCCTGCATTGAACAATTGCCGGATTTGTCTGCCGTCCCAAAAATCCCGTTACACACATTTGAGGGCGGATGCTACATTGGTTCGCTTCTAGTGTACCACGAGTTTGCTTTGGCACGGTAATTTCCTTTACGCAGCCTCATCTCAACGTGAGCAAACACAATCAATGATGACGTGGAATGCTCACCGGTCCTGCCGATTTCCCCCCATATAGTCTTTCCCGTGCCCTCGAGTTTTCATCCATTAACATTCCCAGTCGAACAGCAATGACAAGCATACCCGAACGCCTCACTCGACCGCGAGAGCCCCTACCCAATCTACGCGGCGAAGACGAGACTGAGCTCTCGTATCTAACGAATCTAATCGAGAGTGAGTGGCTCCTTTCGTTTCCTGGAATTTATACTCTGTATTTAAACTGCACTCCATCCCACACTTCATCCGATTACTAATGTGGAGCCTTCTGACCATACCTAGCGCTATCGTGGATCCTGTTTCCCACCAAACACTCTACTTGCGTAGTTGGCCGCCATCCGCGTCCTCCCGACACCTCTAGCACATTCTGTGCCTCCCTCTACTCTATGGGTAAGGGCGGCGTGAAATGTCTTGATATAGGACCTGAGATGGGGGTAACAAGGAAGGAGGTGTTGAAGAAGCTATTGGGGGTTGTCGAGCTGGACATTGGCAAGATGATGTACAGGGATGCGAGACGAGCAGGTGCGGAGGGGGGAGGGGGGAGAGTTGGTGGAAACGGGGAGAGGGAGAGGGGAGGAACTGGTTGATGTGACTTGTAAAAGAGGACAAAGACGAAAGTGGTTGGGGTGTTTGGTACAGGGAGGAAATCGCATGGTGAAAAGGCATGCAGAAACAATACCTGCGTTATTATACCCTTCTGCATACCTATCGTTACTTCCTACCCCAGAGCCTATAACTTAGCCTTGTCATCTAATAACTGTATGCCCGCTGCTTCCTCTAGCTCTTTCACAGCTTCCTTCGTCTTCCCAAGGTTGACCTTAATCGTCCTTAACCCCGTCTTCTTCGCGAACTTCAGATTAATCCCAATATCATCCAAAAACAGCGTGTCCTGCGCCGTCACCTCGCCCATCCCTCTTTTCTTCGCAATCTCACTCATCTCCCGTACTGCAAGTTGATATGCTGCCGGGTCAGGCTTCCTCACCCCGACTGCAGCCGAGCCAAGAAATACATCAAAACATGTCGTTACATCTTTTGAATCGTTTGCGTATGGGTTGGGCGCTGGAGGATGGATCAAGTCCTTGGTAAAGAGTTGGCCTTCGTCATCAAGAATGCCGGTTGGAAAGGTGACGTTGTTGCTGAAGGCGCCTAGTACGAATTTCTGGCTCTCTCTGAGCTTTCGCAGTGCAGGGTACATGTACGGATCCGGCGCTCTGCTGAGCTTCATCATGCGCCAGAAGAGCCTCTTCGCGTTGACCTCCGGTACCTGTGGTTTTCCGCCGTCTACGGCCTGGCCACCACCCACACTCTGTTGCTTGGCGAGCTTCTGAAGGTACTCTGTCCATACCTCAGGCCTGGAAAGTTGTGTCTTGAACGCAGCGAACCAGTCGTCATTCAGTTCGACCTCGCCCCGCTCGATGAGTTGCCATGCACCGGTGTCGTGAGGCCCTTTCTGGATCGCGTAGTTTATGTAGCCGACGGGAATGTTGTTCTCGATTTCGTAATCGAGGATGGCTTGGAAGGGTGATATGACCTATCCATCTGATGTCAGTCGGGGCGCCTCTAGATGTGGGGGTGGAGTCAAGCTATACGCACAACTACGCCGCCGATATCGAAGAGGATTGCTTTCGGTGGCCGGACAGAGGTGGCCATGGTGATTGGAAAGAAGTAGGTATTGATTTACTCTAGCTACAGGCTTTCATGGCGGTTCGTAGCGTGCCATGGCGGTTGGTGTTATAGGAAAGCTGGGAGGTCGAGGGACCTCGGCAATGGATGTCGTTTATCGCTAACGCCAAGTTTTCGATTATCTGGACCATCACGTCTACATCATCACCATAAGAGGATAGGGTTCAACACGTTCCCCTGCCGCTACTCACTACAACCGATGCGTGTCGATTAATTATTTCAGGGTTCAACCGGTAAAAAACAAACACATATCCGAGAATCAACATCATGGTCCTATCTGCACCATTGCGACACCACGGTTTACGATGCTATTGCTTCTTCAAAAACCCAAAGCGGCGACGAGACCTTTCGGTGACGGGAGTCGGATTTCTAGTCAATGTCACCTCTGCTTGGCCGCAAGTGGTTTGTACATCTTAAGTTACTTACGTGTCTAGCGATGCATCTCTTGTCGTTGTAGTCAACTGTGTTGCCCCAGATCCTTGCCTTGCAGGCTGTGCTACCGGTGCTCCCTGTGCTCTTTGCCACTCTTTTACGAACTTGTTAACCTTAAAGCTCCCTCGCGTGCAGGATAGGCTGTTGGCATCTATGCTTAGACTATGATAATCGCGAAAAAGCTTCAGCGCATCCAAGTTGCCACTGCCTTCGCATGCTAATTGTACTGGTGTTCTCTGACGGCTCGAATCTTTTGTCTCGATATTGACCTTTGACGGTGGCTTCAAGAGGGCCTCCAGAGCTGTATTGTTTGCATCAATCAACGCTTTATGTATGGGATATTTCCTACAGCGAGGACATAATTTGTTTGCCAAGTCTTCATCCAGAACCAGTTGACGGATCTTCTCGACCTCTCCGTGGCTCATTGCAGCACAGAGTGCAGAGGGCTCGGAAGAGCCTTCTGCCATCGGCATCCCTGTAGATGATACTGAAACTTCTGAAAACGTCACTGCTCCCTCTAGCAATGCTGCTGGCTCTTGTGGCGGTGCTGTTGCTGTCTGTGGAGATACTGGGCGTGTGTTCGAAGGTGCTGTTTGTGACTCTGAAGGTGCTACTTGTATTGATGAAGATGATATTAGCACTTCCACGAGTGGTGATTGTATCTCTTGAGTTTCTGTTGTAGGCTGTGGATATTGAGGCCTGACAAGATTTGGAGCTACTTCTATACGCTTGTATTCATCTCGAATTTTGACGAACTTCTTGTGTAGTTCGGCAGCGTCAATTCTTGACTTCTTATCGATGAGAAGGACATGCATGAATATGACACAGAGCGCGTCCTTGACAATGCGTCGTTCTGGCTCGGGGGATGCATCGTAGACTTCATTAGACCATCGCATGATGTCGGGGTGCAAAGTCGCCTCCAGTCTGTCTTCTATGATACCGACCTCGGGTATAAAGTCAATATAGTCCAGGGAATTATGCTTGAAACGTGGCCATTGATGCATTTTACTAGTTACGTAGAGTGAGCGGCGTTCGCCACCTTGGTCTTTGAACGTTACTGTCGCAGAGTCTCGGAAGCGCTTCGCCCCACTATACGGATTGTATAGGAAGCCAAGTACTACGAGCAGGATACCACCCATGGACCATACTTCGCTTTCATCGCTTGCTAGACTAGTGCCTGGAACCTGAATTTCTGGTGCCTGATAAAGCGCGGGTCCTCGTCCTGCCGGAACTGTGGATGCAGTAGAATCCGAGTTGCTCAACTCAAGTCGCTCTCGGCTGCTAGATCTGACTTTGATTTTTCTTTTCGCCAAGTTGAAGTCGGTAAGTTTCCATATTCGGCCATCGTTAATTCCTGGTTCGGCGCTCTCGTAGATCAAGATGTTGTCAGGCTTGAGATCGAGATGCAGAAACCTGACCTTCTTATGCAAGAAGTCCAGCGCCTCCACTATGTCAACAGCCTTAGCAATGACGGAACCATTGCTTGCGTAAAAGCGTCTATTATCCCCTTTGTTTAAAAACTCGTCGAGATTGCATATCGCCAGTTCAAAAAACAGGGAATGACAGAGTTTGCCTTCGCTGTCTTCGTAGATAAGGCCGCCCAGATCCAGGACAATTCTCTTATGGATGGATACGTTCTGCCTAAGCTCCTGCAGGAAGTCTCGCTCAGTTTCATAATCTTTATCGTCTTCAAAGACTTTCATAGCGACCAACTGATCCATCGAAAAAGTTCGATACTCGTCGTTCTTTTTATCTCTCCAATATCCTGCGGCAACCTTGACCTTATAAACTGTGCCTGAAGCTCCGCGCTTGATCTCTTTAGGATTGCCGATGAAGGGCTTCCGGCACATGCGAGGTACCCGCTCATAATATTGTTCCGTAATTGTAAATGGTAGGAATATCCATTGCTTCTCCAATATGTATTCCCAATGATGGAAACCTATACCAGGGAGCCATCGTCCATCCGCGGACAGCGGCAGGTCCTCATCAGACGGAAATTTTGCATCGTCGGAAGAAAGCCAGTCTTTGAATAGCGAGAGTAGTTCTTCTCGCTGGTCCAACAAAAAGAGAGCAAGAAGTGAAATCCGAGAAGGATTCTTGACTGTCTTCTGCGCATAACCTATGACGTCGTGGCTGGGATTGTCAATCCAGGGATTGCTCGTCAACATATCATTAGGCTCTCTTTGCGGTACAACTATGCGAAAGAGCTTCTGATACAAGGCAATGAGTGAATCATGGCAAAGAATCTGGTCAAGGTCCGCCTTCGGCAAAAATCGATCGGACCGAGGTTCTCTTGTGCGACGAATCGCGTCTGCGAGTGCCTGGGATAGTGTCTCTGCAGTCGAAAGTACCATGGTCCTGAAGCTCGCATGATTCTGTTGGTATGTATTCTGGACTTCACCTTCCGTCAGGCCTATGGTATGAGTATCGAGTCGTGAAGGTGGACTACACGTGGCTGAAGATTGTTGCTCGTGGGCTTTAACACAAGTAGGACATGTGGACTTTCAAGTAATGATTATTGGAAGACTTGGGCTCAAAAGTCAGTAGGTCACAATAGGTCGGCCGCTGGTTGCGCGGGGACGAAAGAACACATTGCGGGGGTGATTTCTGGGGGCGAGGACGTCACCTGGGCGCGCTAAAAACCAGGCAGCCATCCAACATTGATGTTAATGGGCGCCCCTGCCCTGCAGCACGCCACCAATACTCATCCACCTAATGCCCCAAAACAAGGCAAAATACTATACTCCTAACTTGGTATACTTTTCATGTTACTAATCTTTGTTCACTAAGATCAAGACGATGATACGACGGTGCCCCGACACGTGGTCACCATGGGCCATTTACACTGCATAAGAACGCCTGAGGACGCCGCCGCCGCTGAAACCGTGGCAACATCAGGCTTCCATCCTTTTCATGATGCCTCAGTACGAGACCCCAGCGAGATACTACACCCTTAAGGGAATTGAGGAAGCCCTCCGCAAGAAATACCCGACGGTTCATAACTTCTTTCTAAAAGAAGTCGAGGGGATCAGTGGTACTACGATTAGATATGTTGCAGACAAGAAGCTTACAGATGTGAGTCAAGTGACTGAATTGCTTAGCTCGACCGCTGATCAATTCAAGGACGAACTGAGGTAAGAGACTGAGGCTTCCTATATGACCGGTGAAAGCTCATTGCCCATTCCGTGACAGGGAAGCGAAAATCGAAAGCTAAGGCGGTGCTGATTCAGCCTTGTGACGCAAGATGCGTGCAGCAAGCCATAGTTAGTGGGAGGATCACAGCTGCATATATAGTAGTGATCAAAGCCTTCTTATCTTTCCTCTCACAGATTCTAAGATTGAATCCCAAACAAATGACTATGAGCAGCAGGCGGACATACGCAGTTGGGCCCGACCTACAATGCTTGTCATCATCAGCATCTCGTATACAATCAGATTTTGCCCTTGATGCCTACCTGTGCTCTAGTTCAGTTGCTAAACATATTATGGACACCATCTGTATCCCGGCAGATCCAACACAAGCCACCATAACACAAACTTTGACCTGCGCTTCACAACTATCGTCCCACCTGAAATACTCCTCTGGTATACAAGACCAAGGTGTCGAAATTTTGTAAGTTGCGCAAGATCATGTTCATTGATTTTGAGACTCATCTCAATTGTTAGTTTTATACATCAACGAAATACGTGGGCGTCTCTTGATGTGAGCAAGGAGATGATCATGCTTCTTCAGGACCATTTTCACTTGAGACATGAATTCTTGCAGATGTTATCCTTCTTTCGCGACCGTGTCAAGCCAAATGAAGAGGCTTTCTGTGGCGCAGCACGATCATTCTCGGTAGCTGATCGTTCTCGTGGGTTGCCCAAGCGCTTGGAACTGTATGACCGCTAATGACCATGTGAAGATCTCACTTACGTTTACAAGTACCCTGAGAAGAAGGAAGTCAAGGCTGGAAATCCGTGGCGGATCAGACAAACAGGAATTTATCATGTTTACGATCATCATCGACCCTCCTCAACCTTCGTCATCGTCAGCCCAAGCCCAAATGCGCAGTTCAAGACTCATCTTGAAGATGTGTTGCGAGACCCTGATATCAGATCCCGTATTTTTTTGCATCCAACATTGATCCATGCAATGTTGATAGCAAGTCACCTTGGCACGTGGCGGAGGTATCTCGAATATTACGATGAAAATATCATCGACGCTGTGAGTGGTCTTCGATTATGGTCTTGCCGCGTCTGACAGTAAAACAGGAGTTGAGTAGCGCCGCCGCTAATTTCGGGGAGTCATCAGTCTGTTTCCAAACCCTGCAGCGTGTTCGCGCAGTGCGGAAGGATATCCTGATATCAGAGCCTCTTCTCAGTTCGACCAGCAACATTCTCTCCGAGATCAGCCAATTTCATAAGCAAGTAGAGTTGACACAAGGCGTAGGAAAAGACAAGAGTATCATTATCGAAGCAAGCCTAATAGATTTCCAAAAGGAAGCCTTGTCTTACAATCAACACTCCACGTACCTTACCAAAAGAGCTCAATCCGTGGAACAGACAGTCGTTGATATGCTGGACTGGAACTTCCAATTACTAGCTCAAGTTCAAACAAAACTTGCACGCGAAGATTCGGTTGCAATAAGAGCCCTCACTCTTGTCACTGCATTCTACCTTCCATTTTCATTCGTTGCAGTAAGGCTTCCCCCCTCACGATGCCTCGTCGAGGCTAACGGCTATGCAGACAATGCTAGGCATGAATTTGCTGGAATTCGACTCAGAATCGCGCAATCTAGTTGTATCAAAGCAACTCTGGCTTTACTTCGTCATTGCCATTCCCTTGACAGCATTGACGCTAGTCTGCTGGAAGTGGAACATGCTTCAACACCCCAAAAGCTACAAACATGGAAATTTGGAAAAGATGGATTATGCTTCAGACTTAGAGATGGTGTAAAGTTTTGAACAGCATTAGTCGTATCCCCTGAACGACTACTTAGCAAGAAATGCTACTACGTAGTCCACTACTCACATTCTAGCGTCCCTCTATCATCCCCATCTTAATACTATGTATGTCTTCGTGCTCCCTTCCTGAAAGCTTTACCCCAAAAACTCTTGATCATTGCCTTCCAGTCTGCATCTTGTCCTACATGTTCTTTGTATTCGTCCTCGGCTGTCTCAAGTTGAATAAAGCCACAATTCTTCCAGCTCCTGCAGCCTGCCCCATGACACCATTCTAAACCACGGAAGGCCTTGCGCAACAAAATGGCACAGGTATAAACAAAGACGAAGTGTGTAGGCGCTTCGAGTTGTTCGAAAATATCTTCCAAGTCCTCACTCCCGGTATTGGGCACTAGCCAGTAGCATAGAAACCAAGCCAAGATATTCATTCCGGAGAAAAAAAACAAAGTGTTGTCTTGACCAAGGTTTCTCGTCATAGCCGGGGCACATAAAGCTAGCACGCCTGCGCCTAGAAAGTTCCAGAAAACGGCCAAGCTCATGCCAAGCTCTCTATTCGTTAGTGGAAATACTTCTGCGGAGATAACAAAAGCTGCAGGTCCTTCGCCAATCGAATATGCTGCTGTAAAAAGCATGAGGAGTACAATGTAGGCAATGCCGGCTCCAGTACCGACTCTGCCTGTTGCAGAGTCATTAGTAGACTTCCGAAGGATCAGTCCGCTGATCAGTAGTGTTGCGAACATGCAGGGGAATGACCAATTTAATAGTGTTCGCCGCCCTTCGCTCCTGTCAATATAGAAAAGAGCAGGAATCGTGAATAAGAAGTTCACAACTCCGAATGCGAAGGACAACCAGAGATGTTTAGTGTTGTCCTGTAGGGTGGGATTCTGAGAATTGGAGAAGAACGAGTTTCGGAAGAAAGTACCAGCTAGAAATGCTAGTAGATTGATGCCGCAGAGTTGCTGGGCAATCATGACAGCAGCAGCAGCACCATTGGCTCGAGTCATTCTTCTTGTGCTGATCATGAGACGCCACCGCTGTCCCCATGAGACATATTCAATTGGTGTGTTGTGGGGGGCCTTTATCGATTGCTGACCCTGGTTATCGATGATTGTCGATCTGTTCTCGTTGACCACAGCTGCTGGTGTGTCGCCATTGACCCTAGCCTCTGTGCTGTGCATGTTCACTGCAACCCCTGATGCGTGTCCGGTAACCGCGACTTTTGAGGTGAATTCGTTGGTTGCCTCCCTTGATGCATGTTCGTTGAATTTGGAGTGGCTCTGATCGTCATTTTCCTTCTTCAAGAAGTCTTGCTCTTGAAGTAGTCTCATATACAGAAGATACAGTTCACCCGCGGCAAGCATATTGGTGGGCTTGCCGTGCAATTGAGATAGCGATTTCAGCGCAGCTCTGACCAAGCCTTTCCTTCTCTTTTCAAACTCAAAATCGCTCAGTTTCTCACTCTTCTTGAACCCGCTTCTCTTCAGAAGCCAACGTGGTGACTCTGTTCACTCACGTGAGCCGGCGAACATTAAAGATGTCAGACGAAGACATGACTTACCGGGCGCGAAGAGGACCATGGAGAACAACAGCAGCGCGGGAATGAAGGCTGAGATGAACATGTACCTCCAACTTTCACTTGGGTTCAAGCGATACAAACTCAAATTTGCAACTGAGCCCGCAGCTATGCCGCAGGCCACGAATAGCTGCCAGCAGACAAGTAGAACTCCACGAACGTTCCTTGGAGATGTTTCCGAGAGCCAGATAGGAACAATGGCTGCTTTACCTGCCATTCCTGCACCTAGGATAATTCTGAAGGCTAGAAATTCCCAGAAGTTGTGGCTTGCCGCGCAGCCAATAACGGAGATAAAGCTACAGGTGCCCGCGACAATGATTGCACCACGCCGCCCGAATCTCCAGAGTTCGGGAAGACGATCTGTGAAAAAGAGACCCAGGAATGCTCCACAGAGAAACGGTGCGCCAACGGCGAAACCGAGCCACCACGTGTTAGCCCCTAAGGGTAAATTGTTGTCGTCTGATGTCGGCGTCAAGTCGTAAGCTGCGGTAGAAACGAAAGGTTTGCCTAAGTCGTTCATAGCTTCGATCGCAGCGCCTGATCTCAGTAAGCATTGGTTGCTCTAAAGAGCACTGTGTAAACCTACCAGCCATAGCAGCCTGGTCCCATCCCCTATTGAAACGTTAAACATGGGCGGATCGATGAGAGATGTAGCTTACTGTGTCATAGCAGCGAAAATGCAGGCGACGATCAAGAGCCAATGTTGCCTTGACAAATGTAGCAGCGTCTCCCATTTCCCTCTCATCCAGGCGTGATACAAGGTTTCCACTTCCAGTTTACTATATTCCCAATCACCGATCTTGAGCTCAAATGGCAACTCTGTTTCTTCGGAAGGTCGCAAAGCGGTTTTAAACTGCTCTCTTCCTTTCTTAAATCGCCGCCACGCTCTCCTAATCCATTGCAATCGTCTCGCGAAACGCGATCCCTCGATGAGTCCATGTCTAGATGCGTCTCCGATATTGTCGAACCGCCCCTCTATTGTGGCTCTGTATTTGACTGCCAATATACCGCGGATCAACACTCCTTCCTCGATTTTGAAGTTGTATTCCTTGAAGAATAGGCGAGCGTGGGTGTCGGTCACCAAATGCAAGGGATTTCTCTTGCTCTCACTGATGATTTGTTGGTCAGCTTCGTTTGCTGGGAGACAACACAAACTCACTATTCGTCGATCTTGATGAAGATCCTATGCGCCTCTGTAGTTGCGGCGCTCAATGAGATATCCATAGGTTTTATGAGGACAAGAGCAACAAGGGCGCCCGAAAGAATGGCTGTGAGCTTTGTTCAAGTGGTTCAGAGGGTGGAGCGATCAAGCTGAAAACAGATTTTCACCATGCGGCTCTGCCTTCCCCCGGCCTTACTCCATCCCCTTATTCAGGCAACAGGCACGGCTAAAACACTCTCAGCTACTCCTGTTGTCGTTCGGAGATCCAGGCCACCGCTACAGAACCCTATCGAGACCATCTATCTGTGCGCAAATCTGCTTCGGGAACCGACATCAGAACACATGATGTGGTTTCCAAGGTTCATGTTACTCGTGGTGGTAGCGCAAGCCGTCGTGTCAAGGGGATATGCATATGTGACACGTATTATAGTCCCTATCGCCTCGTTTGCCTCGTTTGCCTCGTTTGCCTCGTTTGCCTCGTTTGCCTCGTTTGCCTCGTTTGCCTCACTTTTCCTTGTTGTGGAGCAGTTGGCACTGCAGTCGTGCGTCGAGCGGCATTGATGTGGTAGGTTGAGAGACTGAAGGACGATAGTCGGTCAACCTAGAATGGTCTATACTCTATGCTCTATGCTCTATGTAAACCTACGCACATGCGCTTGCATATTTGTGAGCCTATCGACATCTGCCTGATACGAGGCAAGACGATATGGGCTGAGGGTTTGTTCGTTTGTAATAGAAATGCTGTGTTATAAAACAATTCAGAACGACCAACGCATGCGTCACTCGCCTACCCATGTCACCCCAAGTACCAGAGCTGTTTAGCGCCTGTCTATATGTCGTGAGCAGTCATGCGCCTTCTTGTCAAGGCTGGCTGGTCTCGGAGGCATGTTGTGGTATTGTTGTTTCCCACAGCTAGGAAGGTCACATTTAAGACAGAGATAGTCGTTCAATCAATACCTCCAGCAATGTGCTTCACTCTATCTGTCACTTTCTGCTACATACGCCTCAGCGTCACACAAGCCATCACCACTGCTAGCACCTATCATCCCCCTTCTTCCATCCACAAGCCCCAAGTCCCTCTCTTCCAACATTAGTTCTAACCGCTTTTTTTTTGTTATACATGAGGAGGGCTACAACTCGGCACTATGTTTCACTTCGACGTCAACTCATCCACGTTGTTGGCCTTGCGGCAATGACTGAAGGTGCCTTGCGCCCTTGAAGCTACTCGTCAGGCCTCCCGTCGGTAAAAACTTCCGCGAGCTCGCCCTACCGCCTGATCTTCATCACGATCGGCGGTGACGAATCCTCTACAAGACCATATAGAGTCCGTCTTTTTGCGCAACCAACTAGAATCCAATCGTCGAACTTCGATATATGCAATCTATAAGCCACCACAGCAGTTGCAGTTGCAACACCAAGGCAGACAGTCGTCAAACGAGTCAAGGGTTACATATTCGTCATAGTGCAATCTGATGGCCATGATGGTCAGGCCTTCCGCTAAGCCTCGTCCAGACCAAACCTAATCCGCCGAAGTGTGTTTCAGCGATCGTGAGATACACCTTTTCTAGGTAATTAGAATCCTGCATCCGCCAACTTCACCCACTTGAGAGTGGGTCGAGCGAATGGGTCAGGAAGGATATGGACCTTGCGGCTCCTTGCGCAAGCGCCTCAAACGCGAGGATCAGCAGCAGTCCCAAAATATCTTTCATAACGTTGCGAACCGACAGGTTGATTCTATGCATCTGATCTGGAGAATCTACTCATTTCTCCCTAGAGCGGAACGTAGGCGCCGTTTAAAGCTTTTATTTAGACCTAACAATCCTATTTTAGACAGCCGCATAGTCATTCCCATGGTTGCTCTTCTTTTCAGCATCTCGAATCTTTCCGGGAATCTATGTAGAAAGAGAAACCACTCTCAGCTCTTTATGACAGTGTTTTGGCAATTATTTACTTACAGGAGAGATGGAGTATGGGAGTAGCTATACCCCGCCACTACACAACCAGCATGCACCCAACCACCAACGAGTGGAGAGCACCGACGACGATACAGTTGGCATGCTATCTCAAGCCGCGCCATCTTACCAATACGAAGCCTACCGTCCGCCAGATCAACAGTTCAAATCCATCGATACATCAGTAACGAACCGCATGTACGCGGATATATCACCCCTCTCAGCGCGAATATCCACACCTCCAGGCTTCCAACCAGTTCCTACTTCTTCCTCAATAGGCCAGGCGACTATCAACTACCTCCCCACCACCAGAACCCAGCAATCACCACCCGCCTCCCCAGGCTTCCGATCTCGACTTTTTGGTAGTCGAAATGTGCCGTACCAAGAAAATGTAGCGTGGGCAAATTCAACGCAGTTTCGGCCTACGACTGTCGAGGTACCAGACCGCGAGTATGAAGCGCAAATCGTAGACGCGGGTATGGCTGCGGCGCCATCAAAGCAATACTTCCGCGAGGCGCGACACGTCCGTGAACCGTGGAGCCCTGGCATCTGGACGCGGTTTCCACGGAAGGGCCTGGGAGCCCTGGTATTGATAGTTCTCCGTGAGTTATTCCTGGCACGTTTTGAGAGAAAGGGGGTATGCTGTATGTATATTAACTACGACAGTGACGGCTGGATCTTCGACCATCCTTTTCTTGAGCGATGGAACGAGACCTGAGAATTGGAAGGTTGGTATGGATTCCGTGCAGCCGCACGTCTACGTCTCTATTTTTGAGATGATCATAATACTTCTCAACTTTTGCGCACTCGCAGAGGGAATAGTCATCACCTTCTGGCATCGCTTGTTGCAGAGTACAAATGTGAGCAATTTACCCATAAAATAGTAGTGCAAAATGAGCTGCTGACCTGGTTAGCTCGTAGATGTACATGATATGCACGATTTGTCATTCCTCTGGCCAGCAATCAAGCGAACATCTCGTTTGCAATTCAACGCTGTAGCAACTGGTGAGCATTACTCGAATTTATATTGCGGCTGTCCTTGTCTGCCGCGACGAAAGACTGACATCTGTACCAGCTTCTATACTTACAGCTTTCTCGCTCTCCAGAGGCCCGTTCTTCCAGCGCGCCATCATTCTAATAGATGGCCGCTATCAGACCAACACGACGTTTGTCATGCTTGGCATCGTTGTCTCATTAGCCTCCGTCATCGCTATTCTGCCCTTGTATTACGGCTACTGGGACTTTGGCAGGAAAGTTAGTTTGAATCCTTTGGAGATCGCGCGCGCTTTTGGTGCTCCTTTATTGGATGGTTTAGACGGCAACCTGACATCGACTGGTGTCGAGATGGAGCGAGGAGCTGTGACAGTGAAATACGGGGCGTGCGAGCGATATGGTGGTGAAAAAGTGCTGAGGGTCGAGGATGCCGCTAGAGTGAATATAAGAGCACCTTGGCAAGGGGAGATATTCGGATAAAGGTTGAAGCAGGTAAGGGCAGAAATAAGCCTCCGGTAGAGACAGTAATAGATATTGGAATAGATGTAGACATCCGGTCTGATTGACCGCCTCATCAAAAGATCTTCCCAACCTGGATATCAATGCAACGCATGACATGAGAGACTATATCAGGCCATGATCAGCCGAAAGGTAGCTGAGTATACAAATGCAGAACGCTCGAATAGGAGAAATTTTCTAACGCCCAAAAGCAAGGGATCAGAACAGACATACGACTCAAATAGTCATCGCAACAGACTTGTCTATCCCGTGATCTTCATGTAGGCAGGGCCAGTCTAATCCTCGATCGCAAAATCATCTCCGCTCTTTCTCGAATCGAGTTCACCAGGACCAAATATGTCTGGATTCCGATTCTTAAGCGCGGCGATCTGGCTCTCCCTGAATATCTTGAATGCAGCCGGATCATCCTTCTCCAAACTCTTCAGCTCCTCTGCATTATCAACCACAGAGTCGAAGGCCTTTTCCCAGCCTGCACGCTCAATCATATGGCGAATTTCATCTCCACTATAATTACTAAAATAGTCACGAAGAGACATGATATGTTCGGGGAGGCCGTGGTCGTCCATAGTCCCAGACATAAACGCTTGGTGCGAATCCTCGTGTGAAGATGAGGGTCGAGAAGGGTTGAGTAGACCAGTGCGCACGCGATGCCCAAAGCGATGTAAACGCCCTTCCTCCTGGGACATATGGCGCGATGCGAGCGAAACATCGGAATTGTGTCTCGAGCGGAGCGTTAAGGGTTCGTCTTCATCGGACTCGGGGCTTGTGATGTCGGTGATGCTGTTGTCGAGAGTGGGTACTGTGGAGGCGGGTGCGGAGCTGCTAGGCACAGAGCTGTTGCTGTGTATTGAGGCGGTGTCAGAGGGCTGGAGACGCGTCTCTGGGTATTCGTCTTCGAAGCGTTGGATCATGCCTTGTAAAGTCTGGTCCAAGAAAAGTAGACGGCCTATAAAATGTTAGATATGCTCGTACTGACTAGTGCGAAGGAAGGATAAGGAAAAGCTTACGATAACCCGTGTCGTTTCCGCTCTTAGCCTCTCGAGCCAATGCCGGTTGAATTCTTGATCGCGTGTTTCGCGCAGTTTCGAGAAGGTCCTTCGACATAGCCCGCGCTTTACTAGGCTCCTCTGGATCTTGTGCTCGGCTTCTTGGGGTAGAGGTACCACTTGCAGGCTGAGACACTCTGCGAAGGTCTGTCGCTTTGTGCGATAAGCAGTAACTAAGAGCCTTAGCGATACCAGTACCGCTCACGATGTAATCGGTGTCTGGAGCCGGCGGCGCACTATCGTCTTTGTAGTAGGAATCGTCGCGACCAACGAGATGCTTGAGAATGTGCGGTAGTTCGACTTCCTTCGGTGCTAAATGCAACTCGGGCACTTCGTTGATAGACTCGATGTTGCGAAGGCAGTACGCCACGACCTGTTTAGCAAGTGCCTTGACCACCTCGTCCATTTCCGGAGCAGGAACATCAACATCAACGCAAATGAGCGAGTGAGAGAGTTTAGCAGCCAACGTGAGTGAAGCGTACAGCGCAGCAGCTTCCTCTTGTGTTTCCTCGTCTGTGGATGTTACAACGCGAGATATCTCTGGGTTCTCCAAGAAGCTAATATGTGCAATATGAGGACAATCCGGAAGGATCTCTGCTATGGCGATTGCGTCCTCGGGTTTCATGTCAACATCCATAAGATGGAGCCGCTTTAGCTCCTTGAATTGAGGCATATACTTCCGCAAGAGGCATAGTGACATCGGTTGGACGAAGAGGTCGCTGTTGTGCGATAGGTCCAAGAAGCGGAAGGATGGCAGGGAAATCAACGCTGGGAATAATATCTTGAGGGACTCGGGTGTCAGGCCGGTGTCTTGTAAGCACAAAGCCCAAAGTGCGCTGTTCTTGCTTTGACTCAAGCTCTCGCAAAGTGTGCTGATCCATGCTCGGAGGTCGTTACCGCCGAGGTCAATGCCCTGGCAGACTCCAGACCGTATGTAGTGTAGGACATGCTGCAAGCCTTCACTATCGATGTCGTTCGTGGCAAGTCCCAGACGTTGGATCCCGCTGATGATGCAACCATCGATAATTCTCCTGATGCTGGAGGAGGTCAGATTGCATTCGGCCATGACTAGTTCCTGAAGCTCTGAACCGCCTAATCGTTCAGACATGGCCTTTGATAATATTTCCGCAAAATCTCTCGATCTCGTCTCTTTAGTAGGCATCCCTCTATGTGCGGCATCATTCGTCAACGTAGGAGACATTGGTGGCCTGGGCTGCGGGAAAGGAATCATTGACACATCGAGTGCCATGATGGACCTGCACAAGTAGATGAACAAAGCGATGTGCTTCCAGCCTTCGGATGTAATCTTAGGATTATTCTTCAGAACGAGCTTCTTGATTGCACACGATCCTTGCTGAGCATCCCCATTGACGGAATCTCCGTTGCTGCTCGTCCCTAATGCACGTCGCCTTGGGGCTTCCGGAACCTTTGCGGCTAACAAGCCAGCGAGGATGACGCGAATCTTCTCGTCGTTAAGATCCGCATCTTCGAGGAAGAGCTTCTTCACTGGTACAATGGCGAGCCAGTCCGAGAGTGTCACAACATCAGCAAGCTGCAGCCTCGATCCTGTGAGATCTAGGCTGGTAACCACTCTTGGTTGGACAGTAGCGCACGCACGCGGGGCGGACAGCTGGTCGCTGATGCGTTTGAGGATAGGTGATTCGCGCAATTGGCAACATCTTCGGTAAATCCGTAGGGGGTCTATGGTGGGTCTGTCTTGGGCCTTCAGAGCTGTTGTGCCAGTGGTAACAGGTGCACCTTCAACGCTACCTTCATCATCTTCCCTGGTGAACTCTAATGGTATGGAGCCATCTTCCTCTGCCTTTTTCCGCTTCTTCTCTTTCCTTTCCTTGCGCTCAGCTTCAGAACGCTTCTTTTTCTCCTTCTTTCTACTAGGCTCTTTATTATCTTCATCTGGTGCTGGTCCTTGTGGTTCTGGGTGGTTGTCGTTGCCAACGACTTCTTGCGACACAGCCACCACACCGGCCTTGTCCTTCTCCTCAGCCACAACATCAGGATGCTTGAGCGCCTCTCCCTCTCCACGTTCCTTGAGCTTTTTCTCCTTCTTGTTCTTCTTCTTTTCGTCGGTATCCAGGTCGTCCTTGTACTTTGGACCACCAGCTATCTCAACATCGACGCAGAAAGCAACTTTGCGAAGCTTGCTGGCATCTAGTTCGGGGACTAAGCATCGGGACCGGTGGTGGTCAACATTCATGACCTTTCTGGGACACATGCCGCCGTTGGGCGAGACCTTGGGTGAGGTGCCCACCTGCGTCCCGGATGACAAGCGTCGCAGCGCATTCGATATGAAAGAGCCCTTTGGCTGCTGGGGCACATAGGGCTCAAAGCCACCATTTGGGCTGCCCGAAGCGGCCTGTATACCATTCAGCGCACCGTTGGCCGATGACGTCGTATGTGTCGGGCTGTTGGCAGTCGCAGGTGACCCTTGGGCTTGCGCAAGCGTCGTCTGGGCGGGTGAGTTCTGCGATGCGAACTTGGAGCTGAGGCTGGACATCCACGAGTTCCGCCGCGAGGTGGTCCTCGCGTCTGGGGGCGTGTTCCCGTTGGCATACTTGTCGGTACTGCCGCGGCCAAGCAATGCTGGACGCTTTCCCAGGATCTTCTGAGGAGTCGTCGTTGCGGAGGAAGCAGTAGGAGAAGAAGGAGGAGGCGGCGATGCAAGTTCCTGGACGGCCGGTGCCGACTCAGTGTCGTGCTGCGCTACATCGCGAGGCCTAGTGGGGAGGCCACCATGCGACGATGTCTTCGGCGGGGCGTCTCTGGTGAGCCCTGGCGACGTGGGTGCCTGCTGACGATGGTGATGGTCTACATCGACACGGAAACATTAGTCAGAGTGTCATATGCAAATGCGCTCATGGAGCCGGAAGAGCGGAGCGCCCGGGGTGAGTAGGCCTTACCTCTCGTAGAGTGATGCAGCCAGGAGACGTCGACGCCGTGAATCTCCTCCATGGCAGCCGCAGTGTCTGGTGGTGCTTGAACAGCCGTCATGGTGTGTATATGCGATGCGCCATGCGTCGGGGGTGTAGGTGTCGGTCACGTAGTGAGGGCGGTCGGATCTCGTCAGCGGGGGGTTGCGGAAATCATTCGCCGCACGCTGATTGGAAATGGTGGCAGGCCTTCTAAGACAATTCTCGGCCCGGATGCTGGGTGCAACTCGAACGACTCGTCTTGTCTAGGTCAGATCAAAGCGCCGACATCAGAGCTACTGTGCGATAGTCAACCTCGTCCCATGTTCTGGCGGGCCTGCACTGCGTTATCGGGCTACTTAGCACAATGACGCCAGAATCCTTCTCCACACGCCTCAACAAAGATCCCGAGGCATCTAACCTAAATCAATCACGGCCACTTCTGGACACCTCCTACTTGTTATGAAATTCTTCTTTTGATTTATCCGAGTCACATAGCATGACTGGCCATCATCCTACTTTCTTTGGCTGACGCGCGGTGCTGATTAAATGGCTGGGCTCTTGGTAGAATCTACTAGAGCTCGCTGGGCTCTGCCAGCACTGCACTACACCGGCTGACTGATGTATCAAGGCCCAAGTTGAAACTAATTGCTTGCGGATCGAAGAAAGGTCAAACTCACGCGTCGTCCGTTAGCGGACGGCACTTGGGTATCACATGTTGCTACTTTGGTCTCCGGTCCTCAACAAGGGGTGCGGTAGCGTGCAGTCTGGAGTGGGCTAACGTTCGTGCTGTGCATATAACATCAAGAACCTATATCGGACTAACACTGTACGGGCAAGGCAAGATTGGGTTGCTTTTTGCTTGTGGTAGCCAACTACAGCATGGCCATCTCATCATCTCATTGGACGTCGTGAAAAGGCTAAGTAGACTATCTCCTGTGCAAATCCAGGTATCATTCCCCGTACATCCCCGGACGCCGGGAGCCTTGCTTTTGTCATGATCAAATGCAGTGTGAAGAAGAAGACGAACAAGTAGCAACTGCTTAACCAGTGATCTCGGCGATCTTGGCCTTGACACGCTCCTCCTTCTCGGCCTTGGTGAGCTTGGGGGTCCTGAACTTCTTGGACTCGGCCTTCCACTCATCCTTGGACTTCTTGCTGCCCTCGCCCTCCTCCTTCTTGTAGGGATCCTCGCGGATCTGCTTGTGGGCGTCCTGGTACAGCTCCTCAAGACCGTCGGCCTCGAGGTCATCATCGATGTAACCGCTGAACTGGGACTTGTAGCGCTCCTCGTCGTCGTCGGCGAGTGTCTCCATGTACTCAGCAACGTGGCCGCCGAAGATGTACTTGCGGAGAGTCTCGGCGTCGAGCTCCTTGCCTTCAACGTCGTAGCCGGGGAAGCGGTTCTCCGAGTGAGGGACGAAGACACCGCCATCAGAGACACCCTTCATAGCACCGAAGACACGGGCACCAGTCGAGGTACGGGTGAGACCGACATCCAAGAAGACCTTGAAGGGACGGCGCTCCTCGCCATCAACCTCGGCAGCCTCGGTGAGGGTAAACTCACCATCAGCCTCCTCGACACCAACAAAGTCCTCGTCAAGCTCGAGCTTCTTGAGAACGCGGCGAGCGAGAAGGAGACCAGTGGCATAGGCAGCGGACCAGTTGGTGAGACCGTGGGTGATACCGTAGGCCTTCAGCTCGTGGGCGCTGAACAGAACTGTTAGCACATGTTTCAAAATATGGGGTTGTTCCATCAGTGTCAAGACGTACTAAGCGGCCATGAAGACCTTGTCACCGCCAATCTCGGAGTGAACGACCTGGCAGATGATGTCCTTGTTGGTGAAGCGGACGACGAGGCGGTACTTGGGCGCATTGTACTTGTTCTTCGCCTGGGTAATCAACCGCTTACGGGCATAGTAATCGGCTGCATCTTGTTAGCTGTTGAAATCAGAGGCGTCAAGGCAAATACGTACTCTTTCCCTCACGGCGGCGCCTGTACTTGACTTGGAACCTCGAGAAGTAGGCATTGTTCTTTTGGAGCTTGGCCTTGACCCAGAGTCAGCGATTTGCGCTTCAAACCCGCATTCGAAGCAACTCGCAGAGACTCCACTCGACTGGCCGTCGAAGCGGGGTGGCCCTCATATTGAGGACGGTGTGGTGCAAGGTATACTTACGGTAGGCATCTTGTCAAACTCTCGTGTGTCGTCGGTGCTGGAGAACAAAAGTTCGTGGTGGACGAACTAATATTGACTTGTGCGGAAGGTGCGGTGCACGGGCCAGTTTTAGCGATCCTTAAGCCACGCCTTGGGCAATTGGGGGTGGGTGACCACGAACACCAGAGTGCAAGGTGGGTGACCACGCACGCAATAAGTCATCGAAAGGCATATTGCTATTGCCCTCGGGTGTATAAATCCAGGCTGGATAGACTATCCTTATTTTCGAAGTTCCCAAATAGTCGGTGCGTTGCTGCGCAAATACACACTGGAGCCTACCTCCCCAAGGACCAACCAAGAGGAAAGGAAAATAGAAACTATCGCCGTACACAGTCACTTCAATTCGAATCCAAACACCTACTAGCAGTCAATCCCTCATTCTCCAGTGTTGTCGCATTCCTTTTCTCAATTCAAGTCGTGTGTGAGTTCAAGTTGCTCTGGATTGCCTGATTGAGCGCTCACGGACCATGCGGGCCCCGCCAACGTCGTCAACCTCCAGGCACGCAACAGACCATACAAACAGCAGTCAGCTTCCCGACACCCATTCACCCCTCTCTTTGAGCCCTGGACAACATGGCTGAAGTCCCCATTGGTATGCGCAGCTTCCATGTCCCTACTGGTAGCTTTGCTTACTCTTCCATCCAGTCCTTGACGGCGGAACCGGCTTCCTCAAGGCGGGCTACGCGGGACAGGTGAGCTTCTATCGCATTGCAGACCTCCGGCTACAAACAGAGGCTAACCAGTCTCGGTAGAACTTCCCAGATCAGCAGTATCCGTCGATAGTCGGCCGACCCATCCTACGTACCGAAGAGCGAGATGGCGGAGATATCCAGCTCAAGGACATAATGTGCGGAGACGAGGCAGCGGCGGCGCGCTCCATGCTCCAAATCACCTACCCTGTATGTGGTTACTCAAGATCTTGTTCAAGGTAGCCTCAATGTGCGCTAACGCTGTTCCACCCTCGACAGATGGAGAATGGTATTGTCAAGCGCTGGGACGATATGCAACATCTCTGGGACTACACCTTTTACGAGAAGATGAAGGTGGATCCAACAGGCCGCAAGATTCTCCTCACTGAGCCGCCGATGAATCCACTCAAGAACCGCGAAACCATGTGCGAGGTCATGTTCGAGCGCTATGGCTTTGGAGGCGTGTACGTTGCTATTCAGGCTGTGCTAGCCTTGTACGCACAGGGCTTGTCATCAGGAGTGGTGGTCGACTCGGGAGATGGTGTCACGCACATTGTTCCCGTCTATGAAAGCACTGTCCTCAACCATCTTACTCGCCGTCTGGACGTGGCAGGAAGAGACGTCACCCGAAACCTGATCGCACTCCTGCTACGGAGAGGCTACGCACTCAACCGAACCGCCGACTTCGAAACTGTGCGTCAGATCAAGGAAAAGCTCTGCTACGTGTCGTACGACCTCGAGCTGGATCAGCGTCTGAGCGAAGACACAACAGTACTGGTAGAATCATACACTCTACCAGATGGTCGGGTTATTCGAGTGGGCAGCGAGCGTTTCGAGGCTCCCGAGTGTCTGTTCCAGCCGCATCTTGTGGACGTTGAGCAGCCTGGTATCGCCGAGTTCTTGTTCAACACCATCCAAGCTGCGGACGTCGATGTCAGGAGTAGTCTATACAAGGCAATTGTCTTGAGCGGTGGCAGCAGCATGTATCCGGGTCTGCCAAGCCGGCTGGAGAAGGAGTTGAAGCAGCTCTGGCTTACCAAGGTTTTGGGTGGAAACCCAGAGCGACTGAACGTATGTGTGCATGTCCCCGCTACGCTGACAGGTGCTAATCCACTGCCAGAAATTCAAAGTACGCATCGAGGACCCGCCACGGCGACGACACATGGTCTTCCTTGGTGGCGCAGTGCTTGCAAACATCATGGCCGACAAGGAGAACATGTGGATATCAAAAGCAGAGTGGGAGGAGCAGGGAGCACGTGCGTTGGAAAAGCTAGGCGCGAGATAACGCTGAAAACAAGACGGCTTACAGCATTGTGGCTCAAAGGAATGCTGCGCTACATACTAGCAAATGACAATAGAGATGTAGTGCAGCGTCAATTACTTCAAACAAGACTAAACACATTTCTGAAGACAAAGTTTGTGGCACCTACTCGACGGTGGAATTTTGTTTGCAAATGTCGTGGGACAACCAGGGGCTCAACCAACTCTTTTTCTACAGGCTCAAACGGGGCGGCATAATATCCCGCTCTAGTTCTTGATGCCGGAGCACTTCCGGCGGCTGAACTATGTGCACGTCGTAGCTGCTTGCCATCCGTTCTTAATGTGGACAAGGTGACCTATAGTTGTGTATAGATTGCTTTGTGACAGCTAGCAAGCCAGGCAGGCGCGCTAAACTCGCTATTCCACGCACCTTACCAAGACTCGATGACGGCGCTGTGATGCGCATAATCGCTACTGCAAGGCCACCGAGAGTCTTATTAATTCGTGACGAATGTTAGTTTCAATGTCAGCGTCATTGTACAGTATGTAGCGACCAGGGTGCTTCGGAGGTGGATGTGGACTCCATCGACATCGCTGTGGGTTGGCCCAGAGCAACGGATGGTCTTACTGCACTGCGACGCATTGTAATTATATTCCGGAGGAGTGGAACTGTTTTCTACAGTAATGAAATGTTCAGCAAGCGCTGGGCTGGAGGGACATCGGAGATATCGGATGAATGAAGAGTGCGGCGCTTGTGAAATTACCGTGATGGCTCTGCTTGTGTTATGGTCCACTTGAGAATATTGCGGCTTCTCGCACTCAAGGTCGAGCACGCGCACGAATGAAGCTATTAGCGCTGTCGCCACGGAAGCACAGTCCTATCATGACATTGTCAAGCTGCAGGTGCAGTAGGCGTTGGAAGCGTGTGTGAATTGTGGAGTTGCCCACGTTTAGCGCGCTGGTATTTCCAAGCAGCAGCATGAAGCACGTGTTGGTGCCGTCAAGAGCCCGTTTTGCTTGCTAGACACCTGGGCAGTCCACACCCCCATGACTAGCCGCCAAAGGAACGTTGCCGACAGCAAGCCAAGGGCAGCCCGCCAGATGACGATAGCAGCGCGTAGTTGGACGGCAGGCCTCTGTCGCAACTCCAAGTACAAAATGCTTGGTACCGCACTTTTCCCCCCACCCGTCAAATGAGCCCAACACGGTGGCCCACAACACAATATCTGCTGTTGCCCTACTACTTGCAACAACTAGTCTCACTTCATTACCACAACTAGTCAACATACGCCAGCTTATTTTACTTTGATTGCGGACCCAGTCTACGGGAAAACACACGCGCCTCCCCTCCGCCATCCACACCGGCCCGCAGCCACACGTTGCAACTGATAGCCAGTTTATTCATGTGCTGCCATTAACAGGCCCACAGCTTCTCATCCTCCTTGGGATCGTCATTACGACAGCGCACCTTCAGCGGAAGATCATCGTTATTCCTTTCCAATAAGATTGTCCTCCGCCCCAAGCCTGTCTCTTAGGACCCAGCATTCCAGGACCCTCCCGCTGCCCGATACATTTAGACACCGCCACTATCTGTGCGTTCCCGCTCGGAACAGACGGTACTTTATCTTGTCTTCTCGTCTCGATTCTTAATCTCATATCCATCGCTTCGCCAGCTCGCACTTTTCCTCACAGACTTTCAACGAGGCCACCCGCCACACGTCATATGAGGCCGACTTCGCCCTCATCGCTCTCGAGAGTCATCTTCAAACCCGACACTTCACATCACCAAAACATGTCACCTCGAACAGGCGACCGCGCCATGCCTTCAATCAGCTCGCCTCTCTCGCCTCGGACTCAGCCTCTCGACATCCCTTCACAGGCTCGACGCCGACCGGCCTTGAGTGCACGCCAATCTACCAACACTGGGCCTGCCGCACACCTGAGGCTTCCATCACTGCCACGCTTCCACCCTGCCAACTTTGCCTCATCCCAAAACTCCAGCCAGGCAGCAACGCCAGTCACTGGTCCTAACAGCCCTCAGGCTCCTGTCTCACCTCGACCAGGCAACAACAGACAGTATGAAGTCCAGAAGCAGATGTATCTCTACCAGCAACAGCTCCTCGCCAACACAAACCGGCAAGTTCGAGGTCCTAACGCAAAACCGACGAGCCCTCGACTCGCACCTTTGGCAAGTCCTGGCGCTGTCACTCCTCTGGAGCTTGAAGAGGCCGCTGGCGGCTACCTCACCGCTGGTGTCAATCCCAGCGATGCAGCTATGCATGTCGAGAAGTTGATTCGCGACGAAGCCAGGCGACGTGGGGATTACTCTCCTGGACGGACCACATCAGTCGGTGGCAGTTGACTCGCCGGCCAGAGGCATGCACAATCACCAAGGAGAACTGCGAAAACATAGACTGCATCCACCATGGCGACACGACTTTTCTTACCCTACGAATCTCGAACTTGTATTTCCCCCAGGACTCGGAGCATTATCGGCGTCTTCTTACACCACCCACTACAACTAGGCAGTAATGCAACCAAAAAGATTTCTTTTTGGGATAGGGGGCGTTTTTCCTTTGCATCAACTCGCTACTTGTTCGTTGCGATCACCTCCAAGCGCTGGAGTGAGCCATCAGTCGCTTTATTGATACCAAAATGCATTTTTCTTTTCCTTGCTTCGCATGTACTGCATCTCGCCTGTCCATAGCTTAGTACCAAGCGCTCCGCATGCTGGCGTTGAGCTAGACAGATGCCGGGTCCCTTCAGTATCGAATCAAATCATTACCATCTATGAGTTTTGTGGCTACCTGGTGCTCGATTCTGCTCGCACCTTCCCTCTCGTGACCCATGACCAAAGTCAAGCTGCTAACTCGTCTTCCGCCGTACAACGCGAGATGCCGGGACTGCCGTTCTTCCTGCGCTGCACTACTGTTATTTTCATTTTACTCCACTCTGCACCGTACCCAGCACCTCGTTCTTAAAAACACCAGCGACCACTAGCAGTACCGTGCTGTTACCACGCTTCCGCGACGCCCCCACTATATGCGAGATTGCTAAACAACACACCGGCACTATAGTACCAGGAATCGTTGTTGCGTCTGCAGCATCCCGTCGATAATGAACCATGTCCTTGCCGGCAACCTCCAGCCTCGCCTTGCGGGATTATACGCAACCCCCCTCACTCAGACGTCCCCTTACATCTCTTCGCAACCCTCCAATTCACAACCCAGGATGGATATGATTCGGTACACAAAACGATCCACGCCTTGCAAACCCACACCAAATCACCGAACCACTCGCACCAACATCTCGTGCCCCGCATCTTTAGCCCTCACGTGGATCTTCATTAAGCTCGCTGGTTTAGGAGCTGTGCACATCAAAGACTCACGCCATTATTGCAACGTGTGAATGCTCTTCTTGGCAATCTTCAACATGGCGGCTTGTTTGGGCAGAAATTGGAGAAATGGGTTGATACACCGCTTACAGGTCGTGCATTGAGCGGATGAGGCGCTACAGTATGCAGGGTGTTGTGTGACCAAGGGAACAAGCAAGGTCGTCCATCCTTCAGACTGCGCGCTGTTGTGGTTGGGTAGAAAGGAGAATTCCTTGGTAGCACATGAGTCTATTTTTATGCGCTGACGACATCAGATCGCAGAGAGAGGGAACTTCATCGTGATTTCCCTGCATCCCGTGTGCTGATAGATACGAACAGCAACCCGTTGCACAAGCTGACGGGAACTTCGCGCCGAAGAAATCCCATTGATGTGGGTCCCTTTTTCGATGCAGGGCGGGCAGGGCTCTCGGATGCCGGCTGCGAAGGGGTATCCCGGCAATAACACACCAATGTTGTATCAAACCGTCTCCACATCGACTTTGCCAGCGAACAGCCGATTCGATGAGTCAACCTCGTAAGCTGTGTCCGGCAATCATGAGCCGCAAGGAATAAGCCAGCAAGATGCCTGCTCGAACGGGCATTACCCAAGCTTGGACACTTGGTTGCGGATCGTTGTTTGACTGGGTGGAACCTTGACCATCAATACGACGATCAAGACAATCATCTCTGTGGATTTTCAACGCTCGTCCTGCTCATTCGCCTATTATTCGATACTCGCCAACATTTGCTGCTTCCAGTTTACGCTACCTATGTTTCAGTTTCAGAAGCAAGCCTCAGCAGATTTTTCAACCCTCGAGACTCTCATTGGTAAGACAGCGTCCGGTCTTGGGACACGGTGAAGACGATTCGCTGGAGGAGAATTAGCGGCCAAAGTAACACAGCTGTACTTACAACTCGATCAGCATTACAGTAGGACCATATTACTTGGTGGATATTACAGTATTTTGGCCAACAGACACAAACACAAACTCTGTAGCTCCTTGTGTATATAACTCTACTGTATAGACCATGCGGCTGGCCGTATGTTTGCCGCCCCCTCACCGCCCTTCACGTTTCAGCCCTCGAACCGGGTGTCGACGAGGCTGCAATCATAAAATCAGAATGACGACCAAACCGTTCGACGCATTACGTCAGTGGCGTCATAGCCCAAGGCCAAGAGCTAGGGGTCGGGTTGGGTTGCGAAGAAGCTTTGCTCTCCCGCCCGCTCACTGAGTCACTGGCCCTGCTAGCTAAAAGGAGGTAAAGTATTATACACCACTCGTGTATTTGGCAAAGCGCATCTTTGCTCGCGCAAGTCAACCTTGGAATGATTGCCCGCCAACATTTGGCATGTGAACGATGAAGCATATGCTGTTAATGAAATGGCAAAGTACAATATAATTCCTTTCATAACAACAAGATCCCCATTGTAGACTCTCTCATAACCATAATAATGCCGTATATTTTGATAGCCAAATTCCCCACACGGCCAAAACAGCTACTCCACAAACCCCGTCCGCGGAAATGCATGCATTGAGAAATTCTCTCTGCGCATCGATAATCTGCACCCCGCACCAGGGAAGTGCATATCATCCCGGCTCTAGATACAAACTAGATCTCTAATACCGAGGCTATCTCTCTCCACCCGTGACCTAGCTACCTTGAGAAAGATAGCCGCTGCGAGGGAATGGGTACAGTACGGAAGACGATTACTCATATGCATTCATCTTGTTACGTACGTGAATTTGAGTAGTCTGCCTCCTATATGGTAAAAGAGGGCAAATCTATTTTGCTGAGATATGCGGTGACGAATAGTTTCTTACGAAACTGTACAATAGCGTTCTTGGGGTATTAAGCATATAACGCAAAATACTATACCTCGTTCTGGATGATGGGAGGAGGGGAGACTCATGTACCTAAAGCTGATAGGTAAGGAACATGCAAGCAGCAAACAAATGCTTACAGTAGTCGTAAGTATTTCAACTACATGTTTTGAGTTACTTCAAGTTGCTCGATGCACTTATAAGGGGATACATTCCACGTAGTTGTAGCAAAAAGATTTTAAACTCTTCGAAGGTCAAAATGAAAGGCCAAATACATGTCCAATAAGGTTGGACACTGAACAGCATGGGTAATGTGGTGAGGGCGATGCCTCAGCATCGAGGCTAGAGATGATTCAGATGCACGATTGAAGAGAGCGAACATCATATAACAAACAGAGTATAATTTTCTAACTTTTCCTTACAAAAAACGCATCTAAGCCTAACATCCCTTAGCCGAAAAGGGCCGAAGATTCGTATGCTCAATCTAAAAGATAGCCGTCGTCGGGTGGCGCGCGTTCAGCGTTTCAGATGGCGCATCTTCAACGGTACTCGATCGCTTTACACTGGAGTCCGTGGCGTACTAGCACGTCTGACCTCTCGCCCAATCGTCCCTTCTCGTGTCGTGTGCGGTGCCACGCCACCCGAACGGGCGACGGTCCCATTTGCAACGTGGACTATTTCAATGTCGATGTCGAGACTAACGCATTATTGGTGGTCGTGGTCGTTGATCCCGTAGGCCAAGCGTGCCACGACGGTAAGACCGATCCTAACGTGAGCACTATGACGGTGTCTGGTGGATCAAAGAGGCTCGCAGCCAATGTGAGTACTGAAAACCCAAAGAGTGTCGATCCTGAGTTATCCTGAAACATGCCATCAGTCATAGCCCGTGCCACCGATTTGGCTTGCGAAGGCCGTGGAGACGCTACGAGCATCATCGTCATCAAAACCACCAAGACCAGCGCGTAGGCCGCGGCCGGCGCCGAATCCTGTGCCAATGTTTGGCCCCTGGCGTGTGGACTCGACGAAGCGATTGAGACGATCAGATTGACTAAGCGAAGTAGGCTTGTTGTAGTCGTTCAAGCTCAGACCAGAGAGGCTGATGCCACCGGGTGCATCGCTGCGAGTATCAGTCAGCTCGCTGGCAGCGACAGACTCGCCAGCAACACTTGGAGGTGCGCCATTCCTGCCTTTGCCACCAGCTCCAGGACGGCCAGGAAGAGGCCAGGACTCCTGGAAGTTGGAAAACATTGGAGGGTAATTGGAAGGCACGCCGACACCACCGAGGGCGGATGAGTGAACCGAAGACACGTCGTCTGGAATGTAGCCAACAATTGAACCGTTGTCGTTGTATTCCTGGCGGGTGGGCTTGTTGCCATTGAACCCAGCTTGACGACCAGACGTCATTGCATTCGCGTGCTGATAGGCCATCTGGTAGCGCTGGGGTCCCCGGTAGGTCTGCTTGGGACGGCTGAATTGGAGAAGCGAGACTTGAAGGTTAGTCAAGGGACCTTCGACGAGGCAGTTGCGCTCCTTGAAATGAAGGAGTAGGTAGTGCCAGAGCGGATGCTTTGAGAGGACCTTTGGGTTTCCGAGAATGACAAGACCGTACTTGGCTCGAGTGAGAGCAACATTGAGACGACGAGGATCGCTCAAGAAACCAATGCCTTGATGATCGTTGGAACGAACGCAAGACAAGATGATGAAGTCCTTCTCACGACCTTGGAAAGCGTCAACAGAGGCGACCTCGACTTCTTTGTAGTTCTCTTTCTTGAAACTTCCGGTGGCCTGCATGGAGCTTACAACGTAGCTGCGCTGGCCCTCATATGGAGTGATGATGCCGATATCGCTGGGCTGCACGCCTGCCTTGAAGAATCGGGTGACAATCTTCTCGACGTTTTGAGCTTCGGTGCGGTTGAGGTAGGATGTACCAGAAGCTGAAATCTCTTCTGCTCCTAGGTTGGACCAGAACATCATAGGGCTGTCAGCAACAGGCCAGGGGAAGTCGACATCGCGACGAATGCGCTCCTGCATCGTCACGCCGTTCTGGAGGGAGCCTTCGTAGAACATGTTGGACGGGAATTCCGACATGGCAGGGTGCATACGATACTGCACTTGAAGTCGAATCGGCGAACAGCCTAGGATAACGAGACGCTCAAACAAAGACTG